TAATGCTCTTGGTCTAGCCACAAGACGTTGATCACTAAGCCAACTATATATTGCTCAATAACGCGATACCTGGAGTCACCACAATTTTGAGACTATCTCACCTTGATATCCCCGAAGCGGTCTATCATATTGGCTAAACACTTGCTGCCTCTGATTCTTTCTTTATATGTATCATAGTCACTTGAGTTATTCATACATTCATAATGATTGATCGAGTGTGAGTCTGTCCGTGGGGTCCCTAGTCGCCTGCGAATCGGGATACAAAATATTTAAGATACAAGATCGTCGTCCTCCACCTGCTAGCTGAAGAAAGTCAATCACTGGTCCCAAGCAATTTTATAAAAAGTATATGGTTGACTTGTGGTAAATCTTTCCCACAAACTAACCAGCTTGGTCCCCAAGAGGCCCCCGTGCACCTCTAGTCAATCGAAGCAAGGCTAGCCTGTTTATTTTCAGTGTCCGCATTGATCATCACCATCAACTTGTCTCCAAATTCACTACACAATCTTCTATAGTAGTTCTCTTGGATAATCTTGTTTTCAAAGTATAGCAATGCTATATCATTTACATCTCGTTGGAGAAAGTTCTTCATCAGAACTACAACATAATCCATAATTCTGTCTCTCTCTTTGAATGATGTACTGGTATTGAATATCTTGGCCAATGGATCGCTTGTGATTAGATTGATATATCTTCCACAGTCATAGCCCCACTTCTTCTTTAAAAACGTTATAAAATTCTTGGGAATTGTAGCAGATATCATAACTGTCCTGTGAAACAAATCAGTCACTTGTAACTTCAACTTTTTAAATTCTCTATACGAGAAATCACACACAAGACTTTGCGATTCATCAAATAAACACGACGATAGTTTATATGTCCTGCCAAAATACTTCTTGAAGTTATACAAGAAAGCAAGAAAATCATCCGACGCTATAACATCGACACACCCAACCATCACGTCAGCAGTGGATGACTCGCTGAAAGTGGTATACTGGGCTGCATGTAGCACATTTAGTCCGGCCTTCTCAAATCTCTCGATTAGTTGAAACTTCAACGCCTGGTACGGCACCAACACCAAATTCAATACTTTCTTATTGCAACTTCGTCTTGCAGCAATCTTATGGGCTTTAATAAGCAACGCAATCAATAATGATTTTCCCCACCCGGTAGGTGCTCCCAATAGTACATTCGAAGTTTCGGTTGATAACGCCAAGTCATCTAGAATAGACATCTGATCAGCTCTCAACTGCAAATCCCCAATAGCCTCTCTAACATCACCACCATTGGCAGTAAGGAAGATTTCATCTGGATCCTCCGCAACTTCCTTCCTCTCAAAAATAGACTCAAACCCTTCACTATCTTCGATGCCAATAAACTTAAACCATTCTCGGAATAAACACTGGAAATATATATAGTCTGATTGTGTGATGGATGAATCTGCCCCCAAAGGACCCAACCCTCCATATGAAGCGGATGTCGCATTGGCGTGTCCCTGTACCTTCTCATTCTTGACTTGATTTTGCATGGCTATTAGCCCTTGTTTGGCGGTAGTAGCTTCCACGATCTTGTGTCGGAAAAAGTACGAGATTGCTTGTCGTATTTTTCTCGGTGTCACAATTCTTCCCATGTGCTTGCCTAATAACGTAGCCATATGACTCTTGAACTCATGCAGACTAATAAACCGGCCCTTCAGAGTCACAAATATATAGCACTTGTAGAACAACGCACTGATCTTGTCATCTGGTAAATCCAGTCGGTGAGTGAAGAACTGTTCAGTAACCTTGGGAAGATCCCCACCATGAAGCTCTATATAAAGTGGCCGTACTGCCACGAGATAAGCCACCATAACCTTACTCAACTTTCGTGTGGCAATACGAAGTCTACCATCAAACCGCTTGTTCTTGTTCGTAAACGTCTTGATATGCATAATGTCGTTGTAGTACACCGTGTTTCTTTCTTCATAACTGGGTGCATTGAACTGGAGCGATCGGAGTTCGGGAAACCTAAACGAGTTGGCGCCCAGAATATAACATAGTACTAGCAAATCCAAGGTCATCGAATCAATCACATCAACCACCAACTGCTTGTCAACATCAGTATTAACCAGGAATATCTGCTTGGTAAATCCCGAGATAAGACTACCTTTTCCTTGGTCCCCAACTAATAGAAACTGCTCATACACTTCTTCAATCGTATGGTAGTCTTCAATAAGTTGACTCATGGAATCGTACTGCTTTCTGAAATGGTCGTATGCCGAGTCGTACAACTTATTAAAGTACAGAGGAGAAACATTGGTGCCGTTGACGTAAACCAGTTCTCCAGGACCAGGAGTCACTTTGAATTTGACATATTCGCCCCGTTCTTCCTTCAATGCCTGATAAATATGAACCAACTTGGCCCACCCGATGAAATCACTCTGACTGAAATTGGACTGAGCAACAAACTTGTGTATGGTTCCTTGGTCATTCTTAAGAAAGAGCACTCGCTTACAAAAACTCTTTAACCCATTGAGTTTCTTCAAACTGAAATCGGTAGCTTTCAACCTGTGGGTTTTAAGGTCCAATAGAAACGGGAGTAGGGCTAAGTTTAATATATTGTCATTCTCCATCATGAAATAATCAAACAAATCTAAAATTGTAATGTACCTACCGTCAAATGTGTCAGCATACTTGACCAGCTCAAGCAATTCCCGTGCCTTCCCTTCAGCAGCAGTATTCATGAAGTCAAACTTGTCATAGTTCACCAAGATGGCATATAAGTAACCAAAGTATCTAGTGTAAACCTTCTTGACATTGGAAGTATGGACATTAAAGAACGGTGACAAAGTCATGGAGTTGTGACCCTTGGGTACATAGTAGCACCTAGACGTGGGTTTGGAAATAACATTATCATACACTTTGGTGTAGAATTCTTCTCCATTGAAACTAGTAGGTGACTGGTCCAACTTCTTCAAAAGACTGATGTGTTCTGCAGTCAACTCGACGCCTTCGCAAAGACCTGACAAATAACTGTTGTTGTTGCTGGTGTCCACCGTAGAAAAATCAACTTGCATGTGGTTGTCTTTCAGTATACTGTCATCATTGGGAACAGCGATGTAAACTATGTGATACTTGGATCCTTGCATTGAAAGTTTATAAACTGGAACCTTGATGCAACCACCAGGGTTTGTCTCCTGTAACTTCACTCCATCAACTGTTCTCACTAGATACATTTCCGTGGAGGCTGGGGCATACTTTCGTAATACCGGGTGGGGAAAACATGTAACTTCATTCTCAACTATCTTGCTACATAGGGACTTCATTTTAGCTAGTTGGACAGAAGAAAGTTTGCTGATGGTAGTTTTTGCAATCTGTTGTAGTCTGAAATCAGTGGGTAATTCGATAAAGGGACGTGGTTTTCTTGTTCTACCTTTGGTATGAATCAAGAGACCACCAACATAGGTGTAGGTATTCGATAATTGTATAATATCAACATCAAAATCTGGGGTAACTGTTGTGGGAACAGGGTCATTGTAGACATTTCCACCTTCGTAATCACTGAACTCGTCGTCTTCTTCGTCTTCGTCAAAGGGGTCGTGGTTTACATCAAATAATGACATTGCTAAAGTAAGAGATGAATTTTTAAGTTCAGGTGGAGTAGTGGGGGACTTAAATAATTTTCACCAAGTATCGCGTTATCAGAATTTCTTGCTGCAAAGAATATTCCCTTACGTGTCGAGGTATGCCGTGAAAATAATGTTTCCCTTTTAGGGTTAATTGCACATCGCAATGCGGCTATATCATTAGTTTTACATTGTGTCAAGAAATTGTCTAGCCAGCCCTGGGAATGCGGAACGCGTCGCAGTATTATTTTTACCTATTTCAGATTAGACGACGACTTCGCCTATTACATATTGTCTTATTACATGAGCAATACTGCATAACCGAAAAAAGATTCCTCGATACTGTAAAATCCAACTTAGAGAAATTTAATGTATAAACTGTTAACTGCACCTTCCAAACAGCACTTTTGATCTACCCTGTTCATCAGATTTCTAGTCCCATTCTTTAGTCTACACATGAATATTCTATTACTCTAGTATACAATCTATAACTTAATTTCTTCAATTTCATTGACTACTTCTTTAACCTTGTCATTACAATAATTATTATCAGTCCACCATTTTCTTCTTCTTAAGTGACCCCTGAAATAACAATGTTCCCAATATGGATTCCATACTGGTAGTTTCCTTCCTGGACCCTCATCCCCAGCTAGTTTACGAACCTCTTCAAAGTATCCTTCAAAATCAGGATATAGGTTGACAAAAGCTGGACCGTCCCCTTTAAGTTCAATCCTTTTCTGTTCCCATAACCTTTGCTCACTCACAGGTGGAAGTTTTGATCGTTCAGCAAATACTCTTGCAACATATACCGCTTGCCATTCAAATACTTTGAAGGTTAATCCGGCAGTGATGGAACCAACAAATGCCAATGTCGGATCGTCAATATTAAATATAAGTTGGTATAATCCCTTTACACGATGGTTGGATACATTGAAGTTGGGCAAAAATGGATATTTATAGATAAATCCGGTTGCAAATATAATAGCATCAATGTCTGATTCGGTTGTATCATCATCAAAATAAACAGTTCTGGTTTCCGTTTCAATCTTGACAATTTGCGTTCTTTTTTGAATGTGAGGGTGATCAAATGCTTCAGTTCCAAAATACACATGAGGTCCACTTGTTTTCTTTTGTGATGATATGGCAGGTTTCTTGACAACGTCCACTATATCTTGTACTGAGTCCATTGCTGACACAGAAGCACCAACCACAATAGTCTTTTTATTACGAAATTGTTCCCTGCTTCTGAACGCTTTGGAATGAATAACAGTGGTCAGAGGAAGGTCACTGAATTCTTGTAAACCTGGTATACTAGGAACATAAGGAACGTCGTAATGGCCACTGGCAACAATTACAGCATCAAAGAATTCCTCCCAGATATAATCTTGGTTCTTGCCAAATTTTCTCAATACAATTCTCCATTTATCATTCACCTTTTCAACTAATTCAACTGAACAATTAAATTCAATGTGATCATCATACCCTCTTGTTTTATAAAGATCAGTTACAAACTTCTTAAGTATAGAGTTATGTCTAAATGGTGTATTTTCCCCGTATTTACTTTTGGATAATTTACTAGCTTGGTTTGGGAAAGTTTCTTGGCTAAATTCCATTGAGGTTGCTTCAACATTAGATTCAAGATAAGAATAAGTTGCAGTATCCATGAACCTTTGGGTGTGTGATTTTGGAACATATGTAGGTAATACTTGAGGTATCTCATCAATTTCAATTTCTCCCTTGGATAATTTATCAAATGATTTAATGGGTTCTGGTGGTTGGGGATCATAAATCCAACAACCTCCTGCCTCTTTCCTCCGCTCAAATACTCTGATGAGGTCAAACTTTTGTTCTTTGATAAGAGAGTCTAGTGATATTAATCCTGAAGGTCCGGCACCTATGATTGCCACTGATTTAATTGCCATTGTGATGGAGGTGTTGTATGATCTTGAGATAAAAGGAGAAATATTTGCAGGCTTATATTTCTTTTTTTCTTCTTCTTCCAACGGTGCCGCGCTTAGCGGTGCCGCACTCACCTGATGAGCATTCAAAACTGTGGCGTCAATGAAATGTTAAAGTAAATATAATGGAACTATAATCGGAGTTAGAAGCATTGTGTAACTTAGTCAATTATCAGTAAATAATTGAACCCCTCATTCTAATGATTAATACGGTTATTCAATCCAACTGAAGTAACAAAAAAAAAAAATCCTCTCCAAACAACTTCCATGGCAAGGAATCCTGTATATGAAGAAACAGTCGAGTTTAATATTCTAATGCACAAGATTGTCTCGCTCGAACTCCATAAAAGTTTGTGAGATGCAGTAGTTTTATTTAGGCTCGACTCAGACTGTCTTTTGGAAAAGTTGTCATTTCAAATTCCTCGTTGTTTGTATGTTGAACTTGTCCTAACTCCTGTTGATCTAACATATTTTCAAAAAACGTGGTTCTTAACTCCTTCCATCTGGTTGAATATGTTGACAAAGTTACCAATATTACTCCGCTCAAAACTTGTAAACACCACCAAAGGATGGATGTGGGGAATTTCCCGCTATATGACCACACCACGATTAAATTTATAATATGAACAGTGATGGCAAAATCCCATGCTAATTTTGATCTGCCAACAATTATGGTGACAAATAAGACACACAATAAAGAATCAAATAGCCAAAGGATGAAAAGGGTTAGTCCCATAGCATTATCAGAAGCTACTAACTCCCACAGGAATATCCAATCTATCTTAAAGTCGTATCCATTTAGCCAGGCAAACAAACCAAACATTACCAATGCTGATAAATAGTAGAAGCATTGAAGAATGACTATTTGGACAAGCAATTTAGAAGGATTGTTGATATCATTCGGCTGGTAGCCATTGAATAATTTCGAATATCCACTTGATAATATCATTGGTTGTGATGTGATTGATGTGTTGTAGCAAGTGGGACACCGTATTAACTTTGGTGTTCGGAAATAACAACAACAAAAAAAAAATCGTTCGGGAATATCAGCACGTGACGGATAATTCCTGCAAAATAAAATTACTGCAAATTGTGGATTTATCTATTAATGGCTATGTATAAATTACTTTCTTTTCTTTCCCTTTTTACTGGCATTTCTCTTTGGGTTCTTTTGGTTATTAGTTCTATCAACCTTGGTCTTTTTGTACAGTCTTCCTGAATCCTCCTTTTTAACTTCTAATGCCTTTCTCTTTTTAGAATTAACCTTCTTACCATGTTTGGTCAAATGTTGCATGACTTCAGTTTGATGTTTCTTCTTGTCTCGTTCACTTTCAAACCAAGTTCTCTTTGGACGAGCTTGAATTTCTTTACCATGCTTAATGATATTGGATGCTTTGGTCAATTCCATTTCCGCTTGCAAAATTTCTTTAGCTTGTTTTTCTTCATCGAGAACTTCTTCAATGATTTCTTTCTTAGACTCGATTATCTTATTAATTGATTCCACTTTGTTCCAATCGACATTTCTTGAAATGGCCTTACCGGAATTACCTTCAGCGATGGATTTAATAGCAGCCTTAACAATTGATCTATCTTGAGTGGATTCTCCGACAAATGATATGGAAACACCGTCTCTTCCTGCTCTGGCGGTTCTACCAACTCTATGCAAATAAACTTCGTGGGTCTTGGGCATATCATAATTAATAACAATTTCAATCTTTGGAATATCCAACCCTCTAGAAGCTAAATCGGTACAGATCAATACTGGAACCACAAGATTCTTGAAATCAGAAACACTTTTAAGACGTTGTTCTTGGGTTAAGGAACCATGTAACTCAGAAACTTTCATACCAAGCAAACCAATGATAATTCTCAACTTGTGGGCCATTTCCTTACGAGAAACAAATACAACAATTCTGTTTTGTTGTTTTGGATCAATTGTTTTAAGCAATTGAAATAATAATGCTGGCTTAAGATGATCCCTTTTACGGATACGAATAAATTCTTGGATTAACTTAGAAGCGGCAGTCTTTGGAGGGTCAATCATAATTCTAACTGGCTTCTGCAAAGATAATTGAATTAAATCTTGAATTTTGGTGTTCATGGTGGCAGAAAACAACAAGGTTTGACGTTTGTATTTTGGAATCAAGGATAAGATTTCAGTCAATTCAGCTTGGAAACCTTCATCCAACATTCTATCAGCTTCATCAATAACCAAAACTTCTAAATTATCAATTGAAAATGAAGGTGAATTTCTAATATGATCAATTAATCTACCTGGGGTAGCAATAACAATATCAGGACGGGATTTTAATTGTAGTTCTTGTTGTCTAAGGTTTAACCCACCAACAGCAAGACCGAAATTTAAATTATTTATAAATTGGGATAATTTTTTACCAACATCACAAACTTGAATTGCCAATTCACGAGTTGGTGTAAGAACAATGACTCTTGTGGAAGGAACTTTGGATGGTTTATATAATAAACGTTCTATAATTGGGATCATATAAGCTGCAGTTTTACCACTACCAGTCTGAGCACCAGCAACAATATCTTTACCTAAAAGGGCAATTGGGATCGATGCAGATTGAATAGGGGATGGTTTGACATAACCTAATTGGGCTAACCCTTTAAGAACAGGACGTGAAAGTTGAAGAGTTTGGAATGTGGTATGGACTTGTGATTTAGCAGCAGATGACTCTTGTTCATCGGCATAGAATTCAGCCATAGCTTCAGCGGTATCTTCTTCGGCCTCTTCGGCATCAGAGTCTGGATGTTCTGCATCCATATCAGCTTCAACTGGTTCTTCGTCGGATTCTTCGTCGGATTCTTGTTTTTCTTCTTCGTCTTCTTCTTCTTCTTCATCTTGTTCGTTGGAACCCATACCAAATCCATCAAGAGCAAGTTCTTCTTCGTCTTCCTCTTCCTCTTCCTCTTCTTCTTCTTCTTCTTCTTCTTCTTCTTCTTCTTCTTCTTCCTCTTCTTCCTCTTCTTCCTCCTCTTCAGCGCCTGCTAATCCAGTTAATCCACCTTTTCTTCTCAATATTCCATCTAAATCAACATCTTTACTAATACTCTCTCCATTTCCGTTCTTACTATTATCAACTTGAAAGTCCCAACCATCAAACTTAGAAGTGGTATCTAAATCATCAACAGTGAACTTGAAATCGGGATTAATATCATTTTCTTCCTCTTCTTTATCTTCTGATTGAGTCTGCTTCTTTTTTGATTTGGATTTAGACTTGACTTTCTTGGGTGTGACTTCAGGTTCGGAATCTGATTCAGGTTGGATGGGCTCTGAATCGGAATCACTGTCTATAGTGAGAATAAAATCGTCCTTGGCCATGATTGGTTTGTGATGTTTGATAGTATCTATTTATGATTTCTTATTGAAAACTTTTGAGATGAGATTTAATTTTTTTTCAATGGTTTGTCTCTTTTGGGATGTGCGGCTTTTTTGGGGTAGAATGGTGTTGCCAAAAGGCTAATGAGATATGACGGACACCAACTATGCCTTTATCTAAGTTAGTTAACTGTATAGTTAATACATTCGATGTCTATGATCGCCTTTGTACTCAACAAGAAATTATTTGGAAATTGTCAGTAGTTGTGACTGTTCTTGTTACCTGATACAATTTTTGGCAGCACCGATTACATTTTGAACAACATGGGAATCGCAACGTGTTTATGCAAGAAAAAAACCATCAGTATGTCATTGCTGAGTCTATATAAGATTGTTGCTGGTGTTCAGTCTGGTAGTGCTAAGACTGTGCTACAATTTTGATTCATGTACCCAGCAAACACAGAACGTGAATTATTTTCGGTAGTATTTTTGCGAAATGCTCCCAATAATCAAACAAACCTTCAGTAACCAACTTCCAGTCACTAGAATGTCACATGTCTACTGATAATATACACACAAGTATTTGTGGTATGTGACATTTCAAATGGTAGCTCTGACTTGTCTAGAGATTTGTTGGAATTGTTATAAAGTTACCATAATATACACTGACTACAAATATGGTACTATTTCCAAATTTATATATTCTAAACCAAACCTATGAATAATACAAAATATTCATACTATATTACAAGCAAACAATACACCGACTAGACAATATTCATAAAATGAAACCCAGTAGTCACGTTATCCAACTCATTCAAATTGTACACATCTTCGTCTTCATCGATAACTCCTGGCTCAATATTGTTCAATTCCAACAATTGAATTGTTCTTCTAACTTCAATCAAGTTTTCCAATTGTTTTGCAGTCTCGTCGGAAAATTGGTCAGGATTGGTTATACCTTTCAACATTTTAATCCCATCTAACCAAACATACATATTAACATTTGAATCGGTGTAAAATGAAATCAATGGTTTTGTATTGCCCATCAATGTAATTTGTTCATACGAAATTGTTCCTCGGATACTAATCAATCTGGATGATTTAAGCTTATCTTCTTCACCAATAAATTCCCCCAACTTCTGCGATTTTAAACTGATGATTTCCGTAAGTTTAATGTACTGATTGTTCTGTTCCATTTCAGCGATAGTTGGATTTACCGGCGGTTTATTGAGATATGGTTTGAAATAAATAACCTGTCTATTAGGAGAAAGGGTGATAAAGTAATATCTGGCGGAATCTTTGTTGGCAATGGCAGCATGGGAGTTATTACCAATACCAATACCACCATTGCTCGAGCTTGGTTTAGATTTAAGTAACGATTCACCATATGACTCAGTATAAACCCAACTTCCCTTTAATAATTGAACCACTCTTTGGTCAATAATAAAATCAAGCAGTTGTTGAGCCAATATTTTATCGAATTCTTGCAATTCAGGATTCCAAGCTATTTCATGAGTATTAATAATCTGTTCAACTTGTTTCAAGCGAACATCTTGTGACATATACCAATCAAGAATTTCTTCAATTGATTTAGCACCACTGCCTAAATCATCTTCAATAGTATATATTGATGATGTTATTAAAAGGAAAATCTTATCTACATGTTCGCTATCAGCTTTTGTTTGTTGCCAAAGTCTTAAACAATTCAACATGGTGTAATAAATAAATTCATCATAGTTGAGACAACTTGATACAATATTGGGGTATTCGTCTTGATCATAAATATCGATCCAAAGATTAGTGGATAACTTTATAAATTGGTATATTGGGAATGTTAACTTGTGTTGATACATCATTAGATGTTCATGAAATCGTTTCTTGAAGGTAACGTTTGAATCTTTTAAAAACACAATGATATCGATTGATAATAAGATTGAGCAATTTTCAATTATAAATTGCTTAGGGTTGTCACCAAATCCAGCTATTTTGAACTCTTCTGGAGTGGCGTCATTACCAAACTCATTCAAAGAACCAGTCAACTGTTTAAGTGTTTCTTGAAGAATGGTATTGTGATGGACACTCGTCAAATCGTATTGCATTGTATTCAACCATTGTAATGTCCTGATATAAGTAGATTTCAATTGTTCAATCAAAAACGTCAAAGATTTATCATTCATGTTTAAATTTTCAATACTGCCGAAAAACGATTGTGATCTTAACCGTTCGAAAATAACAAGAATGGAATCATAGTGGTATTGAAGTGATTTCAGTAACAAGTCATTAAAGAACCTGAGTGAATTAACCATAATTTTAAAGTCGTGATGTAATTTGTCTACCATGATGTTGATAATATCCAAATGTTTAACCACGGTATCAATAACGATTTGGTACAGTTCCTTGGTGGTAAAGATTGAGCTCATAGCATTACAAATCTTCAAAATGGCCTTGAATGTTTCCAACGACATGTTAGGAGTGATGATTGAAAACAAAACGTGAAACAAGTCATGGTTTAATATCGAAGTCAACTGGGACAAATCTTGCACCAGTTTCACATCGATGCAACCTAACAACTTGGCCAATACGACAATGGAGTTAACTTTCTCTTGTTTATCCTTTCCCAAGATGTTAGCTCTGAGAAGGTTTGAGTATTGGACGACCGTATTCTGGTCTAGCTTGTTGACATCACTGGTTGATCCAGTTGGAGATCTGGTGGCTGCCGTTTTGTCAAAAGTTAGTAAAAAAAAAGCTTTACAGACATCGTATGATCTGGGGGAAAATCACATACCTTTGTTCAAGATTTCATTTAGTTTCAGGTTTATGGTCCTTGAAGAAGTGGTTGCAGGTGGGAGAGTCATCATAAGGGTATCTATTGCACACACCTGGTTGGTTGTCAATGTAGAGATTATCTTTGGAAATCGTTGGACAAAAAAAAAAATAGAAAAGAAAAAACAAGCAATTAAAAAAAATTAATTTTCGGCGAATATCGACTAACAATAAGAAAAGGGGTCGAAAGGCACTACCCTTATAAAGTTTTCTAGGAGGTGGTTACGAACTATATAGACGATGTATTGGTTTGACATTTCAGATCCACGTCAAGTAGTCTAAAGCAGGAGGTTTTAAGGACACGTTGCATCAACAGGAGAATACCGCGCGGCAGAACCTGATGTACGAGGATATTCAGTGCTTCGATTTTTTTTTTTTGTAGGCGTCAATTTTTCTAAGTGGAAATATCGGTGACCCGCTTGGCCTTCACCATCATGCAATGGTGCAACTCAAATACGGCACAGATTTTAGATTTAGTTTCAACCTTGGCACTGTCTAAAAAGTCAGTGGGGGGATTGTTAAATTAAACGAGTCGTCCCAAACAGGAAATATTTTCAGGAACTGGGGCACACCGTTTGCATATTTTGTAGCACAAAAAATGATACGCTTGCCTAATCGAGAAGAATTTTTCTCGTTTAGCCTCTCCTACACCTTCGTTGATCTAGTTGCAAAATCAACAATGTGGGAGAATCTTACAGAGAATTGAGATTAACATGCTTGCAATGCGTGTACGTTAGAGCGGGTTTACCTAGATCGTACCCCTGTTGCTTCTTGTTTAAATAATGGCTGTTCTTGCTGTGTGTAGGGTATCTTCAAATGCAGAATCATGCGAGAAAAAGGAATAGCGCCATTTTACTCTTGACGTCTAAAAAAGAATTGTTTCTGTAATAAATCGATTCGGTTGCAAGCATATGACTCTAGTGGGTGGTGGAATGCCGCGTTTGACATTACTACTGTGGGCTCACGGTACCGAGAAACCGCACTCCTTACTCGTGCCACATGTAATCAAAAGTGGTAACAGTTGGCCCATCTGCAAAGCCCTGCAATCAAGCTCTAGCAACACCCCCCCAAAAAAAAGGGCTGGTTCCAGGCTACCCGCACTTGTAGTAGCGCCATGCAGAGAATGAATGCACTCCAACTTATCAACTATTCATGTTGATATGATACTGATTGCTTTGTTGCTATGAATAGAAACATATGCAATACGCTGTACAAATAATGTGGTAAAACAAGAATAGTTTAATTTCAAGCATAATTGCAAAACGGGAAACCGCCAGCTTTTGTATGTCCAACACTACTGTTGGGAACGGTTTTCCTTTTTTGTAAACGTTTCCACCGCCTCGTAGCTTCAAATTACTGGCAACAGATTCAATTCATTGTTTAACTTTGTGTTGTACAATTAAATCAACAGAATTACAGTTTTCTCAATTTTACGCAGGTCCACCCCCATCACGTGGATACTTTTCTGGTTACGAACTACATCTCTATCTGATCATGTAACTAGATGTGAAACTACGACCCATTCCTGCACACAGCTCAAGCTAGTTTAAAGATTTGTCTAAAAAGTTAAAGCGGGTTTTTTGTTCGTTTTGTTATGAATGCAATGCTAGGTGGGGTTAGAAGATTTGGGTTGGGGGTGGCCAATTACATCATATGCTTTCTTTGACCATCCCAGAAAACAGAGTCACATTTGATGTAAATTTTTTTTTCTTTCTAAATTAGACAAACATGTAAAAACTGTTACGAGATGAGCGCAAGTTAACCAGCCAATCCACAGTGTCTTGTATTCTCATTGTTGTTTCACCTTCTTTGTTATGAAGAGCATTTTTTTTTTTGTTGGCAAAAGAAGTCAACGACTTTTTACACATTACATGAGCCAACCTGTAAACAATACCAAAAGTAACAAAAAAAACTGCTTTTTTAAATTTTGCATGTTACCTTACACAATTTTTACACATTCAATTTTTTGTGATTGACGTCCGCTCTTGGTTTGTTTGGTAATTCGCTAATTTTATCACACAATTCAATTGGATAACAACAATAGACAAGGAATCAAACCTCATCCACACCACACAGTTTACGGGTTAGGAAGAAAAACACCCTCCAATTTTTTTTTGCTGGTTTTTCCGTTTGAAATGAGTTTTCTAAAGCGAGATAAATCAAAAAGTAATTTGAAATTACAACCACTTACAGCTTCAACTTCCCACAAAAGTACACACAACTCTTCTTCTTCTTCTGCTGCAGGACAGACAGTAAACAATACTTACTCAATGACATCAATCACCACAAATAGCTCAGGTGGTAGTGGAACCAGTGGTAACAGCTCCATGGGCGCCTTCTATGATCCCCTGGGACAACAACTGCAACCACACCATGAAGATGACGACATTGGCCCAACTTCACCAATTGGTAAAAGACACTCGCAAACATTTTATGACCCTAAACCAGCTGGTCTATCGGCAAAGGAAAAGCATCATTTTACCTCTTCTATCAAAATGACAGAAGCAACCCCAAAAATAACCACCCCTGCAGCCACCAGTGCTAGCACATCACCAACAGGCGTCCAGAGTCCCTTAAGCTCTAGTTCATCTTCCCAGGACCAATTGTTGTTAGTTCAGGGGAATTATACCATTAACCAAGACAATAAACAACCACCACCTGCAGATACCGGCGATCATGGTCATACCCCACGCCATGACTATGATTGTTCACCCAAATCCTCTGTGGTTTCGTTGCCAGGACTTCATCATGAATCTATTCATACCCCAACCAATTTAAAAGAGAATTATTCCGGGTTTCATGCAAACAAACGCCCCAAGGGTATAGCAAACGTTCCTCCCTTGGCCCATCCAATCAAGCCAAGATTCAAAAAGAAGGGCTCTTCGTTGTTGAACAAGTTGATCTACAGCAGACGGGATGGTGATGGAGAAGAACAAGACCAACCGGGAAGAGCTACTTCTTTAGATAGTTCTATGGCTGGATCGACTGGATCAACCCATCAAAGGAAAAGCGCCAGTTCAGCTTCAAGTCAAACCAGCAAACATAAATTTCGATTACCCTCACTCACACTTGACCATCACCATAAACAACATCAAGGCTCAATAACTTCAGTTGTATCCAGTGACCAATCACAAGCAGGAACCACAACTACAACATCTTCCAATACTGCATCATCGTCACCACTTCAAATCCACAAGAAATCAATAGATGCAGAAACAAAATTATTGCCTACAGAATTTGATTTAAACCTTGATGAAATGCATGGAATTATTAAATCTCCCGAAGAAGTATCCCTTCAATTGCAACAACCAATTCCACCGATATCATTGGCTGCATCAACAGCTTCGGGGGCCGCATTGGGTGCTTCTGCAGCTGCCGCCTCGGCATTTGCTTCTGCTAGTGGTAGTGCTGCCGCTAGTATTTCTGGTCCATCAACCACCCGCAAATCATTTAGTGAAGGAGTAAGAGATCGTCCTCTGGTGAAAAAATCAAATACTCTGGTAGTAGAAACTACTCCTGGATGGCAAGCACCTGATTCGTGGGGTGTTCGGATTGAAACTAAAGTAGACCCAAATGCAGGTGTTGCTGGTACTATTCCTAATTTGGATGAAGTTATAGGTTTGACTGAAACTGATGAAGAAGAAGAAAGTCCTATAACTGAAGAACCCGTTAGTAAAGAATTGGATAAACTGATCTCTCAAGGATTCCATCTGAGTTCAGACCGCGAAATGTCGGTGGATATGATTTCAGCACCAACTACTACAACGATTGCTACTGGTACCACTGTTGGTGTGATTGAAGAAAGTAGTGAAGAAGCTGAAGAATTACCGCCTCATCCTCATTTACCTACATTATATGGTACTAAACAATTGCATCAAACTATAATCACACCGGCTGATAAGAACTTAACTAAAGGACCAAGTCATATTATTCGTGTGTTCAAAGAAGATAATACATTTACAACGGTGTTGTGTCCATTAGAAACAACCACGGCCGAATTATTAAGTATTGTTCAACGGAAATTCTTCTTGGATTATACTTCCAACTATCAAATTTCGGTATACATCGGAAACAATGTTAAAGTGTTGGAGCAATTTGAAAAACCATTGAAGATTCAAATGGGGTTATTACTTTTAAGTGGATATACTGAAGAAGACAATTTACGAATCATTGGCCGTGAAGATTTATCATTTGTTTGTAAATTCGTGGTGGAGAACATTTATTTGCGTAGCTTAACTCATGATGAAGAAGCGTCATTATCAAGAAATTATGTTGAAGTTAACATGCAAGGATTAAATTTGAAAAATATTCCAATTATATTCCATCAACATACTTATGAAATTGAGAAATTAAATGTTGCTGACAATCCGTCGATTTACATCCCCTTGGACTTTATTCAAAGTTGTAATAATTTAACTATGATTGATTTTTCGAGAAATGGAGCTAGTAAGTTCCCATTGAATTTCTTGGAAGCAAAGAGATTAACTCATTTGAATATGGAAAAGAACTTTTTGGATGAATTACCTTCAAGAATAAACCATTTAAAGAATTTGACCCATGTGAAATTAAATTCAAATCAATTATCAAGTTTGCCTAAACTGTTTGGGAAGTTACGCAATTTACAAGTTTTGAATTTGTCATCGAATTATTTCCATAATTATCCTGAATGTATTAGTGAATTGACTTGTTTAGTGGAATTAGATTTAAGTTATAATGATTTATTATCCTTACCTGAATCAATTGGAAAGTTGATTCATTTACAAAAGTTGAATGTGGCTTCTAATAAATTAAGCAAGAGTTTACCTCATTATTTATTGAATTTGACCGAATTAAAAAGATTGGATATTAGATTTAATCAAATCACCAGTGTTGATATTGTTGGGTTATTGCCTAATTTAGAAGTGGCATATGCTACCAAGAACAATATTTCAACTTTCAATGATCAGGCCAATTCCTTGAGGTTACTTCATTTTGATAAGAATCCAATCACTGAAATCAACTTCCTGCAAAGAATGGATATGCTTAATATTCTTGATTTATCCAAGGCCAAAATAACTTCAATTGCACCGGAATTCATTAGAAAAATTCCTAATATTGAAAAGTTGGTTTTAGACAAGAATCACTTGGTTACATTGCCCAATAACATTGACCAATTAACTAAATTAGCATTTCTTTCCATTTTTGGAAATCAGTTGCAATCATTGCCGGTAGAAATATGTCACTTGAAGAGTTTACAATATCTTGATTTACATTCAAATAATTTACAAAGTTTACCAGAAGAAATTTGGCATTTAAAGTCATTATCGGTGTTGAATGTTAGTTCTAATATTTTGACCAGTTTCCCTAAACCTCCGTTGGCTATTGCTAAACGTGTCAGTGCTGTTGATATGAAGAAGGATGAAGAATTATCTGTTCGAGGTGGTGGTGGTCTGGCTACAACTGAAGATATTGTGGAAGTTGCTCATTCTAATAGTAGTAGCTCAGAGATTCAACATTCTGTAGAACCATCAAGTCTAGTTGATAGTTTAATGATGTTAACCATGTCGGATAATAGATTGAGTGATGATTGTTTTGAACCTATTTCATTCTTGATTTCATTAAAGAGTTTGAACTTAACATATAACGATTTGTTGGAAATACCTGAAGGAGCATTAAGAAGATTAACCAAATTAAACGAGTTGTATTTGTCAGGGAATGGCTTGACCACATTACCTAGTGAAGATTTGGAATCACTTAAATCATTAAAGTTGTTGTATGTTAATGGAAACAAGTTGGTTACGCTTCCAGCTGAAATTTCAAAATTAACAAATTTGCAACATTTAGATGTTGGTTCCAATCAATTAAAGTATAATATTTCTAATTGGCCATATGATTGGAGTTGGCATTGGAATAAGAACTTGAAGTATTTGAATTTCTCGGGGAATAAACGTTTTGAAATCAAACAATCTCACATTAAGAACCCAGAAACTGGTGAAGATTTTGATTCTTTGCTCGTGTTGAAACAGTTGAAAGTTCTTGGATTAATTGATGTTACTTTGACTACCACCAGTGTTCCTGATCAGAGTGTTGATATTAGAATTAGAACCACTACTTCTGAATTGGAAAATGTGGGATATGGTGTTGCCGATACTATGGGGATGCGTGATAATGTATCATGTCGTGATTTGTTTATTCAAAAATTCCGGGGTAACGAAAATGAATTATTGATTTGTTCATTTGATGGGAAATGTGGTGCCACTAACCAAGGTCATAGGTTGTCAACATTATGTAAAAATATACTTGTGGGGATGTTTACTGATGAGTTAAACAAGGGTAAAGGTGAAACTGATGAAGAAATTTACACTGCATTAAGAAGAACTTTCCTTAACTTGAATAAAGAAATCAATGGGATTTTGTCAGCCAAGCAAAATAATTCATTCACCCCAACATCAAAACAGCCTAAAGAACTTCAAGATTTGAGTTTGATTTATGATCTTAAAGCGGGTGTTTCTATTACTGTTGTTTACATCAAGGACAAGAAGATCTATACCGCCAATGTCGGTGATATTGAAGCATTGCTTTGTCGTAGTAATGGTGATCATGTCCTTCTTACCAACAAACATGATCCAACTAATCGTGACGAATTTGAAAGAATTAGAGCATCAGGTGGGTATGTTTCTGGTGATGGATATCTTGATGGAGAATTGACGATTTCTCGTGGTGCTGGGTTTTTCAATTTCTTGCCCCACACTCATTCAGGTCCAAGTATCAATGATATTTCTCTTGCATCAAATGATGAAGTGTTGATTATGGCCACCAGAATGTTGTGGGATTATATTACTTTTGAGTTGGCGGTTGATATCATCAGAAGTGAAAAGGATGATCCAATGATTGCTGCCCAGAAGTTGCGTGATTACGCTATATGTTATGGTGCCACTGATAAGATTGCAGTTATCATTGTTACTTTTGGTGAACGTAAGAAGCGTGGAAGTAATATCTTGTTGTACAACAATTTAGGACATGAAGCTGATTACTTTGGATATAAGAAGAAACGTGTGGCTGGTGCTGCTCAAGATTCTACATTACGAAGACTAGATGATGAAATTGAGCCCCCAGTTGGAGAATTGGCATTGATTTTCACCGATATCAAGAATTCTACGTTGTTGTGGGATTCTTATCCTGCTCCAATGAGATCGGCCATTAAGACGCATAACTCGATTATGAGACGACAATTGAGATTGGTTGGTGGTTATGAAGTCAAGACGGAAGGTGATTCGTTTATGGTTGCATTTCCATCGCCCACATCGGCATTATTGTGGTGTTTTAATGTTCAACAGAATTTATTAACTGCCGATTGGCCGTCAGAAATCTTGGAAACTGACCAATGTTGTGAAGTAACTGATTCTGAAGGAAACATCATATATCGTGGTCTTTCAGTTAGAATGGGGATCCATTGGGGTTCGCCTGATTGTGAACGAGATGTTGTCACCCAAAGAATGGATTATTATGGTCCTATGGTTAATAGAACCAGTCGTGTTAGTGCAGTGGCTGACGGGGGACAAATCTGTGTCACGAGTGATTTCCTTGATGAAATGAATCAGTTGTACGGCATTCACGAAAAGATTGTTCTGGGTGAAAAGACATTTGAAGAAGCATACCAGGGGAATGTGCGTGCTGGAGAGATTATAGAAAAGGAAATTAAAGGTATTGAAGAAAACGGGTGTCATTACTTTGAATTGGGTGAACGTAAGTTGAAAGGTTTAGAAACTCCCGAGTTGATCACTTTGGCGTATACTGATAAGTTGAAATTGCGTTATGAGATATTCAAGAAACGATTAGGACGTGAGATAGACAAGGCTCATAGCACCCGGGTTGTGGGTACATTGCCAGTGGAGATCATCTACGGGTTAAGAACTGTCAGTTTGAGATTGGAAAACGTATGTTCTGCAATCAACGGGGGTACGTATCTCAATGAAGAGTTTGAACAGCATTCCTCGGGAATGATTTCGCAAAAGATGAAGACGACCTTTAAAGAAGTTGACTTGATTGCGTTGTTGAACCACATTGTTACTAGAATCGAAAGTTGTTCTTCGATGTTGTACTTGAGACAGCAAATGAGTATTGCCAGTGGAAACGATGGATTTATTGACATTTTTAATTCGGTTCCAATTGGGAACATTATGGATGAATTAAACCAAATTGTTGAACAATTTAACATATATAAAAAGACTATTGAGTAGTTTATGTGTATATAATATACGTGTATAACTGTATGATTGAGCAAATGTCGCGGTGTCGCCAATGTTGACACAATTTTTTCGCGACATTGCATATTTTTATCCAATGTAAACATTTGCTGTCTAAAGGGTCACAACCACGTCCAACAACCAATCCCCCTCCTCCCCCCCCCTCTCCCTTCAATGTCGCCGTCCATACCCAACGCTACTCTCAGGGTAGATGACACGTCCAAGCTCAACTTGAATTCATCCGCCCTGCGTCTGTTTTCATCACTCCCATTCATTTCACCCCGTCAATCAATCTCAAAGTTCAATAAGCAACCCTCAGACAACCTTGGGTCAACCACATGTCCAAAACTACGTGAACTTGACTTTGGCCAGAGTTTAGCGGCACGGACCAAATTCTTGCAATTGAAACATAATTCCCAATCTGCATCCATCAATTGCGGACCTTCCGATTTGGTGCATCGGGCAATTTATGCCGGGTCCCGATCAGCATTGTACCACCATTTGGATTTCAAAGGGGAAAAATCCGAGTCTACTCGTACCGTCGACGATGACGGATATGTGGGATACTATCACTATGTGAATGGAATCAGATTTGAAGCACTTGCTGACGACATCGAGGAATACGTCGTGGAATTGTTGGCATTAAAGAAAAATGAAGAAGGGTATTATTTTCAAGCCGGTAACGGATTAGAGAAGTTGGGATATAGCAAACGCGACATCATTGTAAGCTATTGCAGCTACAACATGTTCCATCGACTGGATTTCCGCGCCAGGTTTGTTATTCAACCTGCCTCCGCAGGTTCTACATTGCCTGTGACCATTGACAAGTCCTATCAAGTTATACCTATTGGCGACAACCGGAAAACTGTAAGTTACAACAACGGTACTATAAACCAGCTTTCTCCTGGGTATTGGGAAGAACTTCGAGCATCGCATTTAATTCGGTTATTTCATCAAATTGACAACCCGGAGAGTCAACTTGCAGGAACCGTCAATTATACCAACTTTATCGACACTTTTGATTCATTAATAACATCAGTCAAGATTTTGATCAAGTATTTACCACGAGCAAGCATGTCTGGCACAAGGGCTGGGTATGGAACTCCTACTGCATGTGGAAACAAAGGTGATTTGGTGTACAAGACAAGTCATTACCGAAACAAGCTTGTGGATGCTTTATTAAGATTAGTTAGTCTCGATTTAACTGGAGAAATTGTTGATATTGCCATCAGCGAGATTAGACAGAGGTTTTATCAAGGCGCCACTAACGGACCATACGACTATGTTATTCTTCGGTTATTAAAGAACAAACGTGGTGGGGATAATGGAGAACTTGAGTATTTGGCATTGATACATTCTTCAATCAACTATCATGGATTATACACGACCCAATCGGGGCTAATCCTTTTAGACCAAGTGAATTTCTTGATTTGCAAAAACAGGTGTGATATCGCGTTGCCCATAGCCAAGAAGTGTGTATTAATACTTCCTTTGGACTTTGATTGTTGGTATTATCTTGCATTGTGTTATATCTTGACGGAAGATTATAGTCAAGCTTTGCTTGTGATTAATTCCTTGCCAGTTAACATTCAGCCATCACGAGAATTTGAATCTAATGGATTCACGGGAGGAATCAAGGATTTCTTTATAAATTCGTTCTTGGTCAGATTGAACCATTCAATGCAAGATGAAGAAGTTATTTCTGAAAAGTCTTTTAATGATTTCTTTCCTAATCCAAAGGTTAAACCATACAAGTCAGGCAATTATGATGTTGATGAGGCCAGCATTAGTAAAATGTGGCACGATTTATTCTTGTTTAACCCCCACTTACGTCATCCTATAGTGGGGCATTATTTTGCCCAATCGCTGTTGGTGAATAGTTCTCCTTTGGAGATTGCTTCTGTGGACACGGCCTTGATTAAGATATATGGACCTGGATCCGTCAAGAATGCGCTTGCGTCACAATCGGAAGGAGTTGGTCATAGTTCCATGACTAAATTCATGAGGAAATCCGTGTGGGGAAGAAGTTATGATTTACTTAGTATGATGATTGCCGTGATTGGGTGGGATGAGGTTATTGCACTCAAGGAGAAGGTGTTTAAACGGAATGAAACAGAAGAGTCGCTAGATGAATACACCGTTGATCACTCGTCCCCCGTTGAGAAATTAGTCCAGTGCGAGCCATGGTTGGAACAATTGTTTGTGATTATATATGAAGATTTACGCGTGTTGATGATTTCGATTTCAAATAACCAATCACAGCAACGAAGTGCCTTAGAATGGGCAATTTTGGGGTCTATTGGTTGGAATGTCAAGTACAATTTACGTGAGTCTATAAGTTCAATAGTCACCAGTGTTATCGGGGCTAACGTCGAAGGCGGATTTGATTATTTTGGAATTGTGCAACTTCTTGAAATCTATGACGAGTTTGTATTGAGTGATGTCAATGATTCTTTTATTGATGTTATCGGCGATGATTATGACGGATTAATGTTTAGCAACAAGATGATCTTGAAATGTTGGGGTAAACTAGGTACTATTGATTCCTTAGTTGAAGAATACCTCTCGCTTGACTTTGTGTTGTTGTGTATGATTAAATTGTTGAGTTGGAATGTCAGATGGTACCAATATGTTCCCGATTACCGCATCATTAAAGTATTGACCAAGCTACTAGTTCAGTACGATCTGGTATATATAATGACACGCATTAAGATCATATTTGAACAAAACAAAAAACATCAAACCAACAAGAGAAAGTTTTCCTTGGGTGGGTTGTTAAAGAGTAAGGTTGAAGAGCCTAAGGAACAGTACGAGTTTGACAAAGATGATACAATTTTCGATTATATGGAACGAGTGATTAACTGGATTGACAGTTTAAAACAATAGAAGCTGTATATACATAAAAAGCACGTCCCTCCCATTTATTGGGACTTTTTTACCTTGTTTGCACCCAAAACCTTCTTTCTTTGCTTAATCATGTAGGTGTACAACATGTAGAAACCAGGAATGTAAACAACAAGAATAGCCTTCAATGCCCAAGCATACCAGGCACCAACGACGTTTTCAGCTTCGCCCAAGGATAAAATAACTGAGTAAACTTCGGAAAAGACACCGGTTGGATACAAAACGTAGAAAGTAGAGTATCTCAACCAAGTTAAATATTGACTTGGTACAACACTGGCGCCAGCTCTCAAGTTGCTGGCATAGTAACTGTATCTGATGATTTCTGTGATTGACCAACTCAAACATAAGGTAATGTAACACCAATGGAAGTTTGCTGGGGATTGTGGTAACAACTGGTGGATTCCCCATACAATCAACAATCTTGAGAAAACTTGAGTTACAGTGGTAAATAAAGGAGACTTGACGAATCCTAAAGCGGAATTGAAGATTTCAACCACGGCAAGGGTTTGAATTAACGCGGTGGAGAAATTAGTCTTGATGAATACATATGGCTGTCCAACTGTAAGGGCAAGGAATACGGTATTGAAAAGCACCAAAGACCAAAGGGAGGCCAGGATCGAATTGTAGGCAATCAAGTATCTCTGAGGATGGGCCAGTTGGTTAGACTTGGCTGGAGCAGACTTTACTGGAGCAGACATGTTGCTGTTTCTGGTGGGAGGGGGGCGGAAGTTGTTACTGCCATGGACATGTTTACTAGAGCGGTTAAATTTTCACTCAGCAAAAATCGGAGACATTTTTGATCACGTGAGAGACGCGACAGCGGAGCCGATGCTCAGCTGTAGGTACCAAGTTGGTTTAGTTGGCGGATATAGTTACCTTTTAGCAAGCTTAATAGACAAGTTAGACTTGGCTAATAGAGAGCAGAAGCGAATTTCACATTGTGGAGTGTTTTGTTCAGGCAAACCGTGCAACAGCTTCCCGATCGAATCCTAGCTCTTACGTTGAGACTAAATCTCAACAGTCTTGTTGAACTTTACTTGAGCCAATAACTGGTTTAAATAATCACCGTAAACTCTGCTATTCGTTTGAAATTGTTCTTGCAAGTTTGTAAATCTGGGGTATGGTGCCCAGTACATTTTGTAGGAATTCTTATCGAAACGGTTGCGAAATAAGCTTCTTTTATTTTATACACAGGTCGTGATCTTACATCACATCAACGATAAACCTTAAACGGTACGTCACACATACTCTAACCAGGAGCAGCAAGTCTGTTCATTTACTGCTGTCTATACCCATTCGGGTGAAATAGGAATGTAATAAATAAATGATCTACTATGCACAACGGGCAAACTGTATTTCGATTTAATGTCAAATCCTAAAAAGTGGTGCAACTTTATTTTTATGTAAATACAGAAAACTTACTAGGGGGAAGAAGAAGGGTTCCCCGCAAAACACAATACCTAATCATACATTCAGCTAAAGAAAAGTGACATTTAAGCAAGGGACCTAAAAATCCTATGCATTTGTGGGGCAAGGGGCGTAAGGGCAACTAATCATGGAAATTATTGTGGTGTGACTTTTGCTTTTCTCGTGGGGTAAACCGATAAGTGATACCGTGCGACATTTCAATCTGCTGTGAAGGTTGCTAGGCTCGACTCTACTCCACTCCAGTTCGCTCCAGTTCGCTCCAGTTCACTCCAGTCCAGTCCACTCCAGTCCAGTCCACTCCACTCCACTCCACCCCACCCATCTACTCAATCCAATATTTATCTAGTAATCAATACTATGTTTTATACGGTATAATAAATATATAGGTAGATACATAAATTCGTAAAACGCATGCTAGTTAACAACAGGCTGGGCATCCATGGCAATACCAGTACCAGATCCCGAATAATGTTCCGACTCCGGTACATACTTCGCCAACATTGTCTTCAAGGTGGCTTCATCGTGTGCCAATTTGTTTTGATCCCAATCAACCACCAATGGCGCCTTGAATACATCAGCAGGAGTAACATCGCGAATATTGTCGCCTAATTCTTGAATCTTGTTAAATGCATCGTAAATCATTTCATACTCTTCCTCAGTGAATATTCTATCCATATCAACCCCACGAATCGTCACGGAATGACCACTGTGCGAAGTCTCGTAGTAATGCTTTTTGCGTCCCTTCAAGAACGGATATGAATCATGCAATGAGGCCTTGTCGTGGTTGCATTGGTTTAAAAAGTGAAGATATTGGTCGTAGGTTGGCATTTGATCTTTCATGACGTTGATTTCGAACTTGGGTACAGGCACGGCTGCAAATGGGGTGTTTGGTGTGTGCAGTTGTCGATGTGCTGCTGATTGTAATATTCTGAATAATTTATTGGAGAGAGGGATCTTGCTATTGTGGAAAATAGTTATAGTCGCTGGTGTGCTTTGTAAAGTCTTTAATAATGACATTATAGGCATTGTTTAATAATTGTAAGGTATGCTTTGAAAGTATATGTTGAATGAAGAAAAACCATAAAAATGATCTACCGTTGTGGCAGATTCACCCTTTTTTATATTTGAGAGCAAAGTTGCAGGGCACCCCCACAGATCACGACATTCTCCGAATATTAGATTTTTTTTGTACAAGGATATTACTCTTTTGACTCGGCAGACATCGGACTTAATAAAAAAATAAATGCACTAAACAAAATTTCCGCGCACACAAAAAAAAAACGGATGATTCAAGCAGTCATTCATCGGTTGTGCACCTCCGTGGCAATGTCCTTTTTTTTCTATGGTAGAAACACCCCGGGAACAAGGATATTTTTTTAATTTCAGTTTTGATAGATCTTTCGGGGGTATACTTCCGTGGGACATTATCTTTGTTTTTTCTTTTTTGATTTCCTCGGATTGAAGGTGAAATGGCTTTTGCCCTACGGCTTATCTCTAAATGCTATCGGGATCTTTATCCGTGGGAGGGTACAAACAAAGACGTGGCACAGCTAGATTATTTCAGTGATTGCTCTCGGGTGAATGCTATGCCAGATCCCCCGGGGACATGTATGTTTGAATCCGCTGCCTGTCATGAACTGTTTATATTTGCTTCACAATAAACGGATTTGTGTAAAAACTCTTGGATCACCGTAATTTCAGGGGACAATTAGGCATTACGCAAGAACCATCTGATTTTTTCTCTTTCTTATGTTGATTGCAACATGAAACTCATGATGTCATTTTGTCGTGTGAGGAAGAGGAGCAGCAGAAGCCGTGGCAGCGCTATCATCTGAGGTGTCTTGTGCGGTGTGTCATGTGATGTGTGTCATGTGATGTGTCTTGTGACCTGTATCATGTGACCCGTGAGTCATGTGCACTCAACTCACGTGCAGATAGAACATTTCTGTTTCATCAACCACAATACCATATTTACAACAAGATCCACCTTTTACTCTATACCCACCATCACTAATAGCATCACCATGTGTCGATTCATGATATATAAAGGAAGAGACTCAATGGTCCTTTCTGATTTGCTCACAAAACCAGCCCATTCCATAATCAACCAATCTTTTGACTCTCGACTTCGATTAGATATGAGAAACCCCATTAATGGCGATGGATTCGGCGTGGGATACTACACCAACAACAACGAGCCATGTATATTCAAAGCCATCACACCAGCGTGGAACAATGTTAATTTGAACAATTTGGCCAGATGCACCTCTTCCCATTTAGTGTTTGCTCATGTGCGTGCCAGCACGCAAGGAGTGCTTAGTGAAACAAACTGTCATCCGTTCCTGGTGGGCAAGATTATGTTTATGCATAATGGCGGGGTCAGCGAATTTTCCAAGATAAAGAAGAAGTTGGTTAATCATATTGAAGATCGGTTCTTTTTGTTGATTCAAGGGGGAACTGATTCTGAATGTTGTTTTGCCTTGTTTGTCGACACTTTATACAAAATGGGCTATGATCCTGAAGATATAACCACCACATTCAGTCATGTTATACTAAGACAGGCATTGTTGACAACTATAGAACTCATTAAAACCTGGCAATGTGAAGTGACTTCCGATCCGTCATTACTCAATTTTGCCGCCACCGACGGTGAATCAGTTGTGATTTCTCGGTACATTACGCTGAAGTCTGATGAAGCAGCATCACTTCATTTCAGTACGGGGCTGAAATTCTTTGAATACCAACCGGGATTATTCAAAATGGAAAGGTTGAATCGGTCCCAGGATGTTATATTTGTCGCTAGTGAACCATTAACTTTTGAACGTGGCGATTGGATGTGTGTGCCCACTAATACTGTGGTTACTATAACTAATAACAATACCGTATTGGTTCATCCTATAATGGATGAATTTTACGATGATGTCCATGAGAGAAACTCCGGCTTGGCCATGTCTAAGGGGTTGATTGGTGGAGTACCTACGATGAGTGAGGAAGAACTGAGTCATTCTGAAGTTAATTCTGAAGTTAATTCTTCCATCGCTGACTTACCACCTTTGGAAAGAGAAGGAAGAAATGTAAGACGGGTGAGCGAGGTGGCATAAGCCTATACAGCAGTAAATCTATGCTTGTATATATATATATATATATGAATATATAGTCATGAATCATTTTTATAAACGTTTAACCTTGGCTGGCGGCTCTGGTTAATTGTGTTTCTTGTTCCTCTTCTTCTTCTTCGTCGGAACTTGAACTTGAACTTGAACTAAACTCATCTTCGTCTTCGTCATTAAATCCAACTTGTTCACGAAGTGTCACTGGGCCGGACTTGAGTGAACCCGAGGCATCGTACAAGGGGTTGGGTTTCTTGTATGAAAGCCCGTCGTCGTTTGGATCAATGTAATCGTCATCGTCGTCATCGGGGACTATTTCCTCTTCTTCTTCGCTGGAAGTGAATTCATCGGGTTGGGCAGCGGGAGATGTCAATTGTTGTGACATATAATTTGAAAAATGATCATCGTCGTCTGATTCCGACTCCTCAGTTTCAAGCAAATGTTTCTTCTTAAGTTGTGGTTCCCCGTCGAAACCAAGCCCGGTTTTCACTTCCTCAATAATCTCATTCAACCCCTCATCGATGGATGTGTCGCCTTCAGGCTCGTCTTCCGGTTCACTTTCTTCATCGCCACCTCCCAAAATGGCATTGTATTTTTCTCGGGTGTCATACAACACATTGTTGACATACAGTTCCCAGACTTCGTTATCAATCTTTTCGTTAATCAATACACTCAACGAGTCACCAGGGTATAACTGGATGAACTTGACTACTTCTTCAGCAATCAAGGTTAAATGGCCCATAAACCCAAGACGTAATCCATTATGAGTCAATTCATAGTCTTGGCAAAGCTTTTGTCCCTCGGTGATTTTATTTATAATGTCACCATTAACGAAAAGATCAATGGCCAAGAACTTGTTGAATCCAATATCCATGGATCCATTGAGAACTTGTTGCACAATATCAAATACAACATTGTGGAGGAAGTTGTTCCAGGGGAATCTAAAGAACATGGAAAGAATGTTGGAGATGATCTGGGTGTCAAACACGGAGATCTTGACGAGATCTCCGACGACGGGGTCGGCCCGAAGTTCGGCTTCAGAAAGGTTAGCGTTGGCATGAGGGGCTTCTTCATCTTCCTCAACTGGTGCTTCTGGTTCGGGGTCCATGTCAGGCAATACGATGATTTCATTATATTTGAAGCTTATTGGGTCGTATTCCTTCATTTTATTTCGCACAGCATCACGACGGGAAACAATGTCGAATCCGCGATTGTCATTCAATAATGCCATGTTGGAACAGTGTAGTAATTCGGCAATCAATTCACAGATTTTGAAACGTTCAAAACCTAATGGTTCAATTTCACCAAAGGGAGTTTTCAACTTCAAGTTAGAGTAGTCCTTAATTAGCAACTTGTTGAATTGGGGGATCTGTTCGCCAAAAACTCGCAACAAGTGGCCGAGATAGATTGGATCTCTGCCTGTTGGAGGATGACTTTCCAAGCTAATGTAAAGAATGGGCAAGATGTCATAGTCGGAGTTGTTTTTTCGGATAATTTCAATGATTATACCAACACCATTGGCTAAAGCGTAGCCACCCTTCAACATAATATCACAAAGCCTTTGCATTTGCTCGGGGCTGACCAATTCTCTTGTCAATTCATTGGGTCCAATGGTGGAGTTATCCGTGGTTGAATTGGCAGAAATGGTGATCAATGCCTTCAAAAAGTCACCTGCGGATGATTGGTTGATTATGACTTGTTCTGGGTCTATATTTGGATCTATATCGAGGGAGTTTATTAAATGAGTGATTAAGTTTTGCGATTGCAAGTATTCTATTATCCCAGTGGCGTTGTCGGGTTTATCAGTGGAGATTAATTTGAGGAGAAAGTCCATTAATGGTGGGTTGGACAAATGGTTGATAAACTTTTCCACTAAATTGGGTTGGTTTTCAATAAGGTACAGAATCATATCGTCACATTTCATGTCAAGCAAGTGTTCCATAATCTTCATGAAATAGGTGGAAACGTTTATGGACAATGGCTCTTTGGTGTCGAGAATTGACCAAAGGCTGTTCAAGTTGGCTGTTGATTCCATGACGGTGTCGGTTAATGACCAGACATCGGCCGAGAGGATTTCTGATGCAATTGTGGCCCGACGGTTGGCACGATCTTCGGGAGTTTCTTCATTCAAGTCTTCAGATTCCGATTCTGAGTCGGACTCTTCTGACTTTTCAGACTCGGATTCTTTGTCTGTTTCTGCGTCTGTTTCTGTCTCTGCCTCATCCGACTTTTCTGATTCCTTGTCTGATTCCTTTTCTGACTCCTTTTCTGACTCCTCTTTGCCGGTGCTTGCCTCTGAGGTTGTTGTATCTGCTGTCTCTTTCAGTATTAGGTCGGTGTCTTCAGGTGCATCTATCACACCTTCGTTGATGACTAAATCAACCAACATACCGACAATCACGTCGTTACGCAAGAATTCCAACAACATGGGGTTGTTGCTCAACAATTCCTGCAACAAGTCGTTTTCATCAAGTAGCTTTAGTAATACAGTGTACGATTCTGAAACATTGGGTTTTTCATCCTGACTTGTGGCATGGTTTTCAAGTAAGGTGGAGATGTTGGAAAGGGAAGTGAATCCATTGGTGAATTTCCAGAATGATCCAGACATATTTGAAACACACTTTCCTTATTGTATGATTTTCCCCCCTTCACTTATAATGTAAGTAGGTGGTAAAGTCTGAAGATGTCAACTTGTTCGCTTGGGAGTTCTTGATATTTTTTTAACGTTTTTTCTTTTTTGTCTGTCTGACTGAAGAACCAAAAAAAAAAAAAAAAAAAAATTTCTTCGACGAATTAAATTGGGTACTGCATACTGCATACTGCACAAAACACCACTCCCTCACGTGACGGTTCTGCCCTCGGTTTTTTTGTAGCGCTACTTAAAATTTTTCATCCAAACATGCCAATACGGATAAGCAAGTGCTATACCAAATATGTTCGCTTCCATAAGGTCATTGAGACCATGTGTGGTTCCTCGCATGCTCCCTCGTATGCTCCCTCGCATGTACTCCACAGCTACACAATCCGCCGCACAAGCAACCACAGCGGTGTCCCCACTTTCGTCCTTGAAAATTAACTCCAATGGGAATCAACATTTATACGCCATCTTCAAACTTCACAACATGCCCTACTTGGTAACCAAGGGAGACTTGATCTACTTGAACTATAAGCTCAAGAACGCAGAAATCGGAGACGAATTAGTCTTGAACGATGTCACCACCTTAGGAAGTCCAAGCTACACATACACTGAACCAAATGGGATCGACAGCAGCTTGTACCTGCTAAAGGCCAACGTTGTTGAAATCACACGAGAACCAAAGTACCAAGTCACAAGAACAAAACAGAGACAAAGAAGAGTCAAGACTTTCCAAGTGGAAAACTTCCAAACGGTTTTACGTATAAACGAATTGAAGATTAACTAGATCTTTCCCTCCTGTACATACACACATACTTACTTACTTACTTACTTACTTACATACGTCTGCTATTAAACTTGATAATCTCAGCCAACTTTGTAGTCTCAAAACTGAAATCGTAGTCGGAATTCACAAACTCGTGGGTGAGTAGCTGTGAAGCAGTTGGTCGTTCTGTCGGATCAATCGTGAAACACTTGTTGATGAAATCAACTGCTTGTGACGACACACACTTCTTGATGTCTTCACTAATAGGTGGCGCCAACTTCTCCTTGCCGGTCTTGTAAATAACACTGATGGCAGCTTCATTCGACCATGGCCTTTTTCCAGCAAACATCTCCAATACCACACATCCCAACGACCAAATGTCAATCTTGGCACTGTATCCCTCAACTAAACTGTCTATCACTTCCGGTGCCATCCAGAATATCGTTCCTTGCATCGACATATTGGCATTGTTACTGTAGATGTCATCGCTTGACCGTTTGCTGATCCCAAAATCACTTATCTTACACGTCCCGTCGATTTCAAGCAACAAATTATCAGCTTTTAAATCCCGGTGAATGATATTGTTCTCGTGAAGATACTCGAGACCTAGCAACACCTGCTTGGTGATAAACTTCACCATCACCTCTTCAAACTTACCATAACTCTTTAAACAACTGGCAATCGACCCACCAGTCACATACTCCAAGAACAAACTGTACACGTTATTCTTTTGTTCGTATCCTAAATACTGCACGATATTGACATGGTTCAAATCCTTCATGGTCTCCACTTCCTTATGTAATGCCTCAATCCCATTCAAGTTTAACCTGTTGTACACCACTTGTTTAACAGCAAGCATTTCACCAGTGGTAACATTTAATCCAAGGTATACGTCTCCAAAGGATCCTCTTCCAATTAGCTCACCCTTTATCCAAGCAAACTCTTGGAAGTTGCCATTGCGAGTACGTAGTTTACTCACGAACCCCTGTTCAATCTCACGCGATGTCACTTCGATAACTCGCTGTCCCCACATCTTCGTGTTTGATCGAGAAAGTTTGATGCTATTTTCTCTAGTGATATTAGCAAATGTGTTGGGTGGCGAGATTTGCTTCCGTTGGAGTACTTTTCGTCTTGCTTCGTTGGCAACTACTCTAATTGTCTTCATCCGTCTGAATCCGAGCGATTGATTATCTGGTTTAGCTGCTTGCGGCTGTGGCTGTGGTGTGGGTGTGGGATTCACTGGTGAAATATTGGCATTGGAAAACGTTCTCGAAATAGTGGGCTTGCGTGTTAGGGTAGCTTCAGTGGGTGATGCCGGAGAATCATCAATTATAGGTTTATCTAAATTGGTATGAGGGAAATATTTTTCTAAATTGGAGTAAACTTCCTCAACTGGTGGCCGGATGCTCATACGAGATGCTGCGTTTCTAGTATACGACGGTTTCTCTGGGGTACTCTTGGTTATCGGTTTCTTGAATGGTTTAACGAAAAAGTCATCATCGTCATCGTCATCGGATGCAACAGGTTTTGGGTCAAACTTTGGCTTGATCGACTTGACAAGGAAATCGTCATCATCGGAACTGTCATCTTTGCTCTTTTGCAATGATGTATCGGTATTCAGACTATTTGTCCCATTGGAAACATAACTCGTGGTCGAACTTGATCTTCCTCGCAATATCGAATCCTGTTTCTTGATCTGGATCTTACGGTCCCCCGGTGGAGGCGGTGCTACTCGTTTCGCCTTGATACTATCACTTACCTTCACCGATGGCTTCTTGGTTAGTGGTTTCTCGGGCAATTCCTTGACAGGCATTGCAATGCTCTTTGGTTTCGACTCATAAGGAGACTTTCTCCGTAAATCAAAATTGATTTCGTTTCCTTGGCTTCGTATAACTCTAAATGAATTAAGTGAACCGGCTGACAAGGGTGAGCTTGACTTTTCCTGGTGGATATTGGTGTCAATGACTAATGGTGGTGTAGCTTGAAGCACTGGTCGCTTGGGATCTTCTCGAATACTAGGTAAATCCTTACAATTGACATAATCTGTGGCTGCCTTCAGTTCGTTAAGAAGGTATTGGGGTGTGGCAGGATATGTCTTATCTAGTTCGAATGAATCCGAGGATGCACCTGTGTCTCGTCTTTCCATTTTGAATTGTTGTTTGATGAGGAATTTGTTCATACCGTTAGTGATTGCTTTGGGTATGACTTCATCTGGTAGTGGTGCACCTTCAGTGGCATTGAACTCGGTCAAATGTATCGTGTATTCTTCTAATTTCAACTCCTGGCTGATTCGTTTACGAATGTGTTCTGGTTCCGTTGATGTGATAACCATGGGTATGAAATGTCTATTGTCCTGAGTAATCAAGATTGAAGCATTGGTGTGGGTGACTTTTGGTAAATACTTTTCGTCAACCCGTTCAATGGGCGATATTGGACTGATACTGGATATGGAGCTGTTGTGTGGCCGCAAAAAGTCAGGGTTGGCATCGAGTGCAGGCAAGGAGTCTATAACGGGGAACTTTTGAGGTTTGTGCTTGACCAAATCAGCGGCTTTATCACCACCGTACTTTCGGAATGAGCTGAATATCCCTTTCTTCAGATCTGGTTTGGTCTTGCCGTTGGTCTTGTAGTCTGACATGGAAAAGTTCGGTACTATCGGACTGTTCCCGTCGGTGGATGTCGATCTATTGTGTTTTCTGAAAAACAGGTGGTGCGAAGGTGATGGAAGTTGACTAGACACTTTTGGGTCAATGTAAGAATACGGGCGTTGTGGCGGGATGTACTTTAACGAAGTCGAGGACGAAGTAGCTGACATGGGCAATTTCTGTTTGGGAGTAGGGAATATCGGACTGGACTTGCGATGTTCCTTGGTTTGTTCATTCATGTTTTCCTTGCGTAGCAATTCAATAAACCGGTCGATACTGTTTAAGTTATCGTCGAGGTCCAAGTACTTGCTAAACTGCTTCCAAATCATGGAGTTTCTATCAAAGTTTTCTAATTCGAGGAACCGGTTTCCGGAGATTTCATTCTTGCGGAACGTCTCCTTCCACGAGCTGTTGAATTGGTGTATATCTAGCCATTTCAACACGTTGGAGATCTGCCATTTGGAAGTATTGTTGACGGATTGGTTGACGTATCGCGCAAACCGTTTATCCTTGGGAGTAGGCACCGACGTGGTTGAACCTTGGGAAATGGTGGATGATTCAGATTTATGTCGAGTATGGTCGTATTGTTCACTTGATATAGTACGGTACAAGGGTTTTTCTATCGGCAGGGTTCTTTTCGAAGTCAACACATCTGTTGACTTTGACTTTTCCGATTGTTTGTGTTTAGGGAGCAATTCGGTGGAGCTTTTGCTGTAGTTGTAACTGCCAATGATCAGACCGAGGGATCCGGTAACTGAGCCTGAATTTCGGCTGGTGGTAGCCAGTTTTGGCGGAGATGCCGATTCTATCAATGTGTTTTCGGGAGATTCAAGCACGGGACTTATTGTCGTGTCATCGGAGTGTTTTCTATAGGGGAATATATCAGACTTGATGGGAGATATTAAAAACTCATGGAGTGAGTCGTCGTTTTCGGAGAAACTAAACTGCGTCTTGACTTGTTTGAACGAGTTGGTTGATTCTGTTGGCTCAATGGGGGAAAAGTTGAAGAATTCGTCTTTTCCACGTGGAGTTGGTTTATGAAAGTAGGGGTGTTGTTGATGTTGCTGTTGTTGCTGCTGCTGTTGTTGTTGTTGCTGTTGCTGCTGCTGTTGTATACTGCTGGTTCCGTAGATGACTCCATCGGATGCGGTACGAAGTCCGGTGGTATTACTGACAACACCTTCGCTGTCTATGCTCAGCAGACGGGACGTATTGTTGTGGGAAAACGGGAGTTTGATTCTGTTCGTGTCGTAGCTGACCGAACGTCGTTTGGAGTTGTTCATGATGCAGTGTCGATGTCTTTTATTGTGTGTGTGGTAGTCATTAAACCGCCGCCGCCGCCTGTCTATGGGTTATAAATAGAATGGAGACATTTTTGTTTGGCAGATAAATGATGATGTCGTCGATCGTTCCTCTTCATGCATGTCGCAGATCTGTTGTGCGCATTTATGTCGTGCGGCTCAATGTTTTGATTTTTTTTTTTTTTTTTGCTTCGCCCTAAGCAAAAACCACACACACCCCCCCGACTTTCATTTTACAACCAACTTGGCCCAGATCCCAGCACAGCGTTATCCACAATGCAATGACTCTAAAGACACTCCTTCATACTACAATTAGAGATCTACATGCCCTCCATGTTTACCGCAACTGGGATGATGCCGCCACATACGAATCAAAACTCACATCCACCGTATCTCAACTACTACAACTATTAAACTTCACCAAAGGACAAACTCAACTTAAACTTGACTCTAGCGTGGGGGCGTTTCGTGTGTGGTGTTATGGAAGTGCACCTGATTATCACGATAACATCATCGACTATCTACAAAAGCTAAAACTGGGGCAGAGCACTGTTGGTATATTACGACAGTTGATTGAGCTACTAACTGAGAAAACACCCACGAACATCAAAGACGAGTATTCGACTATATTCCTCAAGTTGTCTAGAATAGTGGAGAAACTAATCAAGCATCACACCATTTCGCAAATACATTTGATAAAGTACGTTTCAGGGTGTTTCCAGTACGAAAACAAATACTATAGTCAACTACACAACAAGTTCACCACTATCGATGACGACACAGTGCAGATTGCGGAATTCATGGATAGTTTCCTAAGCGATGTCGAGTTTCCTGAGGAAGACAGTATATTCAACTATGAAAGCGACCTGCAAGATACACCATTAAACCTCCAATCCAACCAAGATGCATTTGTTAAATTGTTTCGAAAAGTAGTTAATGTAATCAACATCAAAACAGACGTAAACCACGACAAGCTAGCGTCGATCTTTGTCCAATTATACAAGAACCAACAGGGTATAGACTATTTCGAGGACTCTCAGGATAGCATGACTGGGTGCTTGACTGAGTTACTCACTGGTCTAGGTGAAGAACACCAGGAAATACTCCCGAAAAGCTTTGCCGAAATCAACAAGAAAGTTATCCTCAAAGCCACATCTAACTCCCAAGTTGAATTCGACATAACGTCACAATCAGAGCAGGAATCAAGTGAAGAGTTCAACCCAATATACAGCAAGCAACAACAAGCCCAGCTCTTCGCGGATCTCAAAGTAATGATATCCCTCTTTAACGATCTACAACTAGACTTTGAACCCGAGTTTCCCTGGCTTGTACGGCATTACATGAAACTCATGTTTACGAAACTACCCACGATAGTTAACCCGCAAGACTGGGAATATCTTGCCCTGATCATGGCACTAGCCCAGGAAATTCTCGCGCATGATGCCAACCCCGTAATGGACCAGGTTCACAAGTTTAAACAGTTGCATTTGCTTTTATGCAAAGAGAATTTCTTACTTGATGACTCAACATTATTGATGAGGGCCAGCACCCAGGATTATTACCGAATGAAGGAAATGGTGGAGGTTACCTGGCAGGGGTGGCGAGAGAAGTGGTGGAAATGTTTCCAATTACAGAGTGTGCTTGCTGACTGTGAAGTCAACCACGAGAATAAGTTACGACAACATTTTACCAAGCTCTGGTTTGGAAGATTCAAGAAACTTGACCGGATCAAGAATGAAGTGGGGGTGTTTTATCAGTATGAATTAGCCAGAAAGTATTTGATCCAGTGGAGGAAAGCTGTTGCTCAACATATCCAATCTATGCATGTAGCTGATAGATTGCCCCTCAAGAAGTTTCTTCATACATGGAAGACAACATATACCGTCAAGACCCAACTTGAACAAAAATGTCGAGAAGTCACACTTAATAAATACTTTACCCTTATCAAGAAGGTATATTCGGCTAACCAAGCTAATCTCCAATTGGCAATCGACAAGAATCGACAATTTGAGAACGATAGGAATGACCGGATATACTCATACTATTTCCTCAAATGGTATTTGAAAATGGATTCCTCAGACTCTCCTGAATCACTAAGTGAGAAACTCGTCCAGTTGAAGAAACTAGAGCGGAAGTTTATTCTTTGTGTGTATTTCAACAAGTTGATGCACGCGTATGACTTGGCGGTTAAAGTTCATCAATTTCGAAGAAATAAAGACGGATATTTAATTCAGAAAATTTTTAATTTTTGGGGCAGGAGTTGGACACTTCGAGACAAGTCAAATGGTATTATTTACTCAAGGAATATGGATCTACAAGCGAAAGTGTTGCAACATTGGAGCAAGTCATTGAGTCAACAGCATCAAGCAGACCAGTTCTATAAATCAAAACTAAAAACCAAATTCATTGCTCTATTAAAGCAAAGAATATTTAATACTCAACAAGAAGAGAAGTTTAATGCTGTGATTACTAAGCGTTATTTTAAATTATGGTTGACTAATTATAAATTATCGCAAGTGATGATACACAAGGATCAACAGGTAAAACTTGCTGCATTGCAACTATGGATGGAGAGAACCAATTCCGTGTTGACTAGTGAAATTGATACTAGTAACTACTATAATGAAAGTTTAATAAGGAGCACATTTCACAATTGGCAGAATTATGTCAACGCTGTATCTGCATATGATGAGAAGGCAATAACATTTGTCAAACAACGATATTTCAACAAACTCAAGAAGAAATACAAGCAGTGTACAATTGAGTTGCCTGCCCGCTACCAAACCAACAGACTAGCTGATGTCATTGCATTAAAGTATACACTCACAATCTGGCATCAACGATACAATGAACAATTTGAACTTCGAGCTCAGGGTAAGATTAAACAACTCCACAAACAAGTAACACGTCCATTACTATTGAAGCGATATTTGAGTAAATGGGTCATGAAGTACGATAAATTGAATGAGTTAGAAGAATTAGCTCATGAGTTCACTCTGTGGATGCAATTGGCAAAACCGCAACTTGATCTCTGGATATACAAGACCCAGCACCAGTCAGCCATGAATGAAGAAGCAGAAGCATTTGAGGCCGAGTACAAGATAAGGAGATTCTTCACCATTTGGCAAGACCACCATAGTCGAGCCCAGGAGTTGCTTGAAACGTATGAGGACTATATCGCTAACAAGAACTTTACACTAGTTAGTGAATGCATCAAGGCGTGGAATCTAAAATATCACAAGAATATCAAACGACACCAGGCCCAGCATCAGTTTCTCGTGGCCAAGTTTGAGCATGCCAAAAAGAGATCGATATTTGACTTGTGGAGATACAAGTATGAACATAATCAGGATTTCGAATTGGCTAATAGTACAATCATAAGCACTCTGTCGCCATTAGCTAAACGAACCCAACGACAACGGCAATCGCAAACACAAGTGTCGACTCCGGTTAAACAAGTGGGAAATATAAGTCCGGCCCGACTACAAGAGACCACACAACGATTGAAAACAGAAAAGATTGGGGCGCTAATTAAACATTATGGCCAAGTGAAACTCCCACAAAACTACGTTAGACTTTCTCCACCGAGAACAAGAGGGACCGTTCCTGCTCGACCCAACTTCAATCAGATTCTAACTGATGAAGATGAGTATGAAGAATATGCTTCACCATCACCTTCGGCGATTGAACTGGCAAAGAGTTTGAACAAAATTGTCCCGATAAGGTTTCCTACTGATGATGAAGTCAATCGTCCAATATTCTCACCAATATCGACTATAAAACAAAGATATAGAAATACCTAGACTATGTATTATATACTTTGATTGATTAACGAATAAACCCCTTTTTTTTTATTTTTACTTCAGAGTTTCCTTTTCATTTACATACACGTGTAAGTAATCACCAGTGACCACTGTAGATCTCAATAAATCCAACCAGGTGTTAGCTTTGCCTATTGTGACTTCACTGGCAACTGTCTTGAGCAACTGCACGAGCTTTTCTCTATCTGATAAGATCTTGGACAATGTATTCACGTTAACACCGATAAATGAATCAATAGTTTGAAGATGTTTCCAAGGTTCAGTCAACTTATTGTGATGAGTGATGATCAAATCAAATTGGGTCAATTGTTCTGGAGTGAGGTCTTCGGTCTTATTATAAGCCACTCCTACATTGTGCAATTCGCCAAATCTAGTTACTCCCGTCATACATGCTGGAACATCAATGTGCACCGACACATCAGTTAAATTGTGGTGCAAGATGTAATCATTGGTGTATTGTAAAGCGTAACCTCCTGGATAGTTATAACTAGAAATGTATCCGATTTGTAACGAAATAATGGTAGACAAAGCGATGGTACCAACCATCAATAATAACAAGATTTTGTTGAGTAAACTGGCACTCCACTTGGTGGAAACGTTAGTTAATCCGTTGGCAGCTTGTAGAGTGAATATTGGAACCACGTATACAATAAATCTCCATTCTTTGTGAGGTTGGAATGACATTGCTAAGATGTATAAAACTGAAGAAATGAACAAGATCCTTAAGGAGTATCTTGCCGGATGTGGAACTACCTTCTTATCCTTCTCCGCAGTAACGACACCTTCATCGGTTGGATCACCGATCAAACCGGGAATAGTCAACAACAAAATAATTGGGGGTCTGAATAATTGCCAAAGATATTTCTTAAAGTAAGCACCAAAAGGTTCGACTCCCCAATTGACAGATTTTCCTTGGACAACGTTAAACACAAATGCATCGAGCTCAGGAATAAGCACTCTTCCCCAGAAATAAGAATCAACAACAGCAGATAGCAATCCACCAATTATAGCACCTGCAGCCAAGTAAATAAAACTATGAATCAAATCGGATTGACCAAAAAATGCCGATACAACAGCGATAATACCGGCAAATACACCAACTTCAAGTCTGAAGATAATACCTGTGAATGCTAACCATGTTAACCCAGACAAGTCACCAGTGATAAGTTTCCCCACAGAATAGTTAACCAACGGTAACGCCAAGAAATTAGGTAATGTTCTTGAACTGTAGTATAGCAAATGATATTGGGAGATCAACAAGACGGTATACCAAAATCCAATTACACCTTTGTTGTTCTTCTTCTTGTCTCTGAAATTGACCTTGTTCAATGATTCTCTAAGGTAGATCAACAGAAACACATTAGAAATGCCCACGATTGCCCTCACCAACTTTTGTAATTCCAATTGAGTGCCTTGGAAGTACTCAATGCCAAAGAGTGAATTGAACAACAAGAAAACTTTGGTGACACCGGCGACAAATAACGATCCAATGAATGTTCTTGGAACAACGCCGGGGAATTCCACATGGTCGTAGTTTGACAATACGGTTTCTTGTGGGAAGACTCCATAGTTTAAGATATCATGAATGGCTTGGATGTTGAACGATTCCTCCACTTTAGTGAAAGGTGCAAGCACAAGATGGTATGAGAGAACGAGAAACAATATCGCGTCTAGTGTTCGATAGTATTTGTTCATGGTGTGTACTGTTCAATTGAGAAAAGAAGAAGAAGAAGAAAGACGTTGATTTTAAGATTTGATCAACAACGGATTCAACCATATGATCTTGCGGCACCAAGTGCGAATTAAGTTAGCAACTTGACTTTTTTTTCTTTTTGTGCATCAGCAACATTTTTAACTTCAGCAAGCAAGCAACCATGGAAGAAATACCAGAGTTGGTCGTGGAGTTGCCCGAGAATGGGGTGATAAAGACTCAGTCAGTGCCTGTAGCACCACCCACAGCGCCATTCTCACTGACACCTACACCTGGCAAGAAAATACCAATCACCATTATCACGGGATATTTGGGATCAGGCAAATCAACGTTGCTTGACATTATAGGAAAGACTTCCAATAAACGATTAGCAATTATCCTTAATGAGTTTGGAGATTCGTCAGTTATAGAAAAGTCAGTTACTATTAAAGATAGTGACACGGCTGTGCAGCAATGGCTTGATATTGGGAATGGCTGCCTCTGCTGCACGGTCAAGGATAATGGAGTATTGGCAATCGAAAATTTAATTGAAAATTCCCGGGATAAAATTGATTATATCTTGTTGGAAACTACTGGGATTGCTGATCCTGCTCCTATAGCCAAGATGTTTTGGTTGGATGAGGGTCTAGCATCGAATATTTACATTGATGGCATCATCACTGTGGTTGATTCTGAACATATAGTCACTTGTTTAGATGACGTTGGTGGCCATTGGCATAAGGAGCATCACATTGAACAGGATGATCATGAACAAGGAATAACCACAGCACATTTACAATTAGCATTAGCTGACGTCGTGTTGCTCAACAAAGTAGATAAGATACAGGAGAATAGCCAAATTGAGAAAATAACAAATAGAATTAGAAAGATCAACCAAACTAGTCCAATCTATCCTACAAGTTTTGGTGATATTTCCTTGGACAAGATTCTTGACTTGCATGCTTTTGAGGCAAATAGCAACACCATTCAATCGCTCAACGTATCTCAAACATTCCATGATGATAGAATTACTACAGTGGCAATAGATTTCCCGTTCTTCACTTCTGTTTCTGACTTTGCAAAAATTGAAAAGTTCTTGCAATATGTGCTTTGGGAAAACAAAATCAACAAGAAATCAGTGGAGATTCATCGATTAAAGGGATTACTAGTATATAACAGTGACGTACCAGATGTCCGTGTAGTGCAAGGTGTGCGTGACACTTATGAAATCATAGAAAATGGAGTATTGCTTGATCTGGTCAAGGCCAACAAGCTCGTGTTTATCGGTAAAGATCTTGATCTCCAAGACATCACCATAGAATTAAATAGTTTTTTACAGTGAGTAAATTTCTTCGCAATTTTTTTTTTTCAGCAAAGATTCCAAACGTTCTTAATAGATCCCATCACCACAGTAATGTCAGATACAACACCAACTGACAAGCCAGCTGCAGCTGCAACTGCAGCTACTACTACCAAAACAAAACCTCCTAAGAAAGGATGGTCAAATCCTGCCCTTCGTATGATGGGTATCCCTCGTCTTTCATTGCCTTCCCGTAACTGGATGATTTTCTGGACTGTCCTTGCCTCAATTGGTGGGGGAATAGCCTATGACAAGTACCAACAAAAGCAAATCAGAGCTAAATGGATGGAAAAAGTCGAGCCTTTGAGCCATGTCACATACACTACAGAAAAGTTGCCTCGTAAGTTAACTATCTATATCGCTCCTCCACCAAATGATTTTTTGGATGAGTCTTTGAAATTGTTTAAAAAGTTCATTAAACCAGTGTTGAATGCCAGTGCTTTGGATTTTGAAATCTTTAGCGAAACAAGACAAGGGGATATCAGATCTGCGGTTGCTCAAAGAATCAGAAATTTAAGACAAGCTCAACTGGAGCAACCAACTGAACCAGATGTGAAACCGGTTGTTCCCGTGTCTAGTGGAGACGCCGAAGAAGTTCTTGTCAGTCGCTCCGACTTGTACAAAGCCAAAGACGTATTAGGGTTATACAAGATCTTCCCTAGTGAGGTTGAATTACATCCAGAAGATTCAGACCTGGACATTGCCGGTGGTGTCGTTTGTATTGGCCGTGGGGCATTCAAAGAATACATCACCGGATTACATGAAGGGTTATTAGGTCCATTAACCAAACCACAATTTGTTATTGACGAAGAGTTGAAAGCAGAACAAGAATTAAAAGAAAAAGCCGAACAAGAAGATTCCGACGATGAAGAACCAAACTTGAAGCCAGTCCCTAAACCATGGATCAAGCCAGAACAATATGCAGAAGCTTCCTTCGCCCCAGAATTGGACATTTCTCGAGTCGTTAAAACCAGTGAAGGAATTCCCGAATTTTTCGAACAACCAATATATGTATTCAAAGTGCCAAACTTGATTGGGTTCACCACCATCCCGCTTAAAATTTATAGATACTTCACCAAGAGATGGTTGGCCGATGACTACGGGGCAAAGGCAACGGGTGTTGTCATGAACAAAACTAGACCATTCACCAAGGACGATCTTGATTTTGCCGCCGATGAAGAGAAAGAATGGCCCAAGAAATGGGTTAAAACTGGTAAAGAACGTAATTCAGAATGGGTTCAAGATTTACAAGCTGATGATAGAATTATCTCAAGATTAAAAGTATTTGATGTTGATTCAGATTTAACCACTTCCAATGAGTAAGTGTGTGTATGTATATGTATATATATATATATTATTTTCTTGTCCATAACGTATAATTATAAGCATAATCACCTTCAGTAATATTTTCATCTACCGGTTCACCAATAAACTTTTCCAATTCACTTTTTGGTTGCTTCACCCACTTGTCTTCTGGAAACTTTAAAAAGGTGTCCATAGGAACGGTTTCTGGGTCAGTATGTTCAATTTCAGTAATCAACAAGTTGTCAACAAGTTCACTGCCAATTACACTATTATAAATTTCACCACCACCAATAATAAACACCTTATCGACATTCTTCCCTTTGATCAACTTCAATCCATTCTCAATGGAATCAGCGTGAATCACCGAATCATCAATAGTCTCATTGTTGAATGATCGAGATAACACAATATTGATACGATCAGGCAAGGGACGGAACTTTTTAGGTATGGACTCCCAGGTCTTCCTCCCCATTATAACTGCATTGATCCCATTACTCTTTGTAGTTTTGCTGGTGACATTCTTGAAATATTGAATTTCCTTACGGAGTCTCCAAGGCATCTTACCCTGGTATCCTATACCATACTTTGGCTTTAATGCTGCTACAACTATGGAAATTGTAGGTTTATGTTCGGTCATAGTCATGCTGGTGCCTGTGAAAATATGGTACAACGCGCTTGTTAATCTTGTGAGTAACTTTTTTTTTTTTGTTTTGGACCGCGCGATTCCAGAACCGCACTGTAAACGCTTAAACTTGCCTAATATAAAATTAATGCAAATACACCAAAACCGAATGTAAACGCTGAAAAGATTGTTTTGACTTGTTAATATACCTCAAATACAAAGTTGTCTCAAACTGTTTCCCTATTGGAAGAGATCTCTATTTTTGGTAGCGCAGTCCACCATTGCAAGATTTTCCGAAACGCGGACCAATGCAAGATTTCCCCGGATCCTCCACAAAACCAAAACATAGGAGCAGAAAAACAAACTGCGAAAAAAAGGATTTTAGCCACTACAAAAAAAAAGGTTACTTTATCCTTGCAAACACACATGATAACACAGTAATAACACATATAATTAAAACAATAGGGTATATAATAACACAAGATACAAACAAGAATAATAATAAAACAATATAAAAGATTATACCAAGTTTTTTTTTAGAGAAATTGAAAAATAAAATTGTTCACAACGTCAAAACTGAAACAACTAATGTACAACAAATAAAACACATCCAAACAAGATCATCAAAAAGTCAAAAAATTTACTTGGTAGATTTCTTGGTAGTGGTCTTCTTCTTTGGAGCAGCCTTCTTGGTAGTAGTAGTAGAAGCCTTCTTGGTGGCAGTCTTCTTAACAACCTTCTTTGGAGCAGCAGCCTTCTTGGTTACTTTCTTTGGAGCAGCAGCAGCCTTCTTGGTGACCTTTTTGGCAGCAGCTGGCTTCTTAGTGACCTTCTTTGCAGCAGCTGGCTTCTTGACCTTTTGGGCAGTAACTGGCTTTTCCTTCTTGGCAGCCTTAACTGGACCAGATGGTCCCTTTGGTTGTAAGAAATCTCCTGATTCAACACCTTTTCTTAAAGCAGTGTTGAACAAGGCATCAAAGTTGGCGGTTTTGATATCATTGTTGGATTGAACGTACTTCTTTAAAGCTTGACGACTAGATATATGTTAGTATATGACTCGTGGGTATATATGTGAGCTTGATTTTTAGGGATGCGAATTGACAACAAAACCAAAACAAAAAAACAAATTATGATATGAGTTATACATACGAAGAACCATTTCTTTCCTTCAAGGCAATGATAGCAGATTTGATCATATCTAAAAGAATGACATTGTTAGTATATTGAGTTTTTTAGCCGGAGTTTTAAAGTGTTGTGGGAATAGAAAACAAGGATTGAAAATGTGGGTCAACCCCTCTTCCTTGTGTTTCCCTTTTTGCAAACTTCAATTGTTAAAACATACCCTTGTAGGTGACCTTTGGAGCGGCGGAAGAAGCAGCGGAGGATTTAGCAGATTTAGCGGTAGCCATTATGAAAGCAATTGTTGTTTAAGTATAGAAATAATACAAGTGGTTGGTATATGAAAGAAGAAAAAGAATGACAGGAATTTTGAATTTATAAAAAAAACAAAAAAAGTGGGAATTTTAAAAACTTTGAAGAAAATCAAAACAAACAAAATTTGCGAGCTTTTTTCGCAATCGCGAAAAAGTGGTCATCAAATATTCTACAGTTACTTTGGCCTGGGGCAAATACTAGGAGGTTTTATTGAGATATTTCTGGAGTGTACTATGCAATTACCTAACCTAGTCTTGATTATAAGTTAATGTTAATCTATATCAACCCATGAGAATGGCCACGGTTGAACCATGTACTTTCCCGCTTCGGAGTACATACTTAAAAAAATCAATTTAAACTTTATCGTTAAATTATGCTCTCATCTGGGCTGCGGTTACCATGCGTCACATGTAACCCCCCTGAATTGGCTACATTGGTAGGTTATGACTCAAAATACGACCTAGACAAAAGTGGTTTCTCGGTAAATTCCTTCATTTAACTGATATGCACATTACGCCGTTGTGTATTTGATTATGATTATTGATATGGTAGCTGCTATATACTTTTAAAATCCCCATAAGTTTGTTTTGTAGTTTTTCTTTTTCTCATCCTGTATAAATCGTTCAAATGTCTTGTTCTTTATGGACAAACTTCTTGTTCGGTCCAATTTTGGTATTCGTCCGTTTCATAAATATACCTTCTATCCTTGTCCAATTCATAAAAGTCGACATACTCAATAAACAACCCGACCACGGTAAAATTCTTTAATCCTTCGTCGTCTTTCTTTCCATCTACCCCTCTTTGAATTGAACTTATCAATTTCGCACTTTCATCGGTAATTGGTTGTTTTGGAGTTGGTTTTCTATATGATTTTTTCATCTGCTTGGACAAGTTTGACCATTGTCGTTTTATTTCTTCGTTCCATTCTTCTTTAGTTGGTTGTATATAACTGATTTGGGACATATCGTCATATACGTCATTAGCTATGCTTGGTGATAACAAGGCAGACGTAATTGGCTGTTTCTGAATTTCAGTAGATGTTCCGTTGTTCTTACATTCACAAACAATAGGCGATGTTGGACTATTGGTTGCAGTAGTTGTGGTGGTGTTTGTAGTATCATCTTGAGAAATTTTCCCCTCAAATATGGATGCATTAGTGTTTGTAGTCATTATCGATTCATTATCATGCAGCATAAGGTGCATACCATTTTGCACCGCAGTCAAATCAATTTCCGGTTGGTATTCATCATTGATTAATCTCGCCCTGCCTCGGAATCGAAATTGTTTCCGCACATGAGGGAAATAGAACACGGCTTCAAATTTATCATTAGCTAGTAACTCTTGGTACTTGTTCATTCTTTTGTCAGTGGCGAATGTAATGACATTAGAAGATTTATTATTAAACAACCATCCTCGATAAACCAAAGTTCTATTACGTGGGAATCCTGAGATATTATCTACAGTAGCTAATTGAAATGTGATGAATGGAGTGTTATTTTTGTCTGAGGAAAGTTCGTTATCGATGCATGAATTAAAAGTAGATACCCATGGTGCTAGGAAATGACACTGTAACATGCTGGTGTTACTATATACTTTAAATTTGCGGAATAGCTATATATTGAAGGGAATTTGTCAGAAGGAGGGTTAATCTCCTTAAGTACCCTATTTTTTTTTTTTTTTTTTTGGTAGAGTGCGTCGGGGCACACTCACACTTGAGGTGGTTTTGTACACCTAAATTTTTTTGTTTTTTTTTTTGTTAAATCCGCAAGAAGTATTTTTTTTTCAAATTCATTCTTCACTTTGTTATAGAAAAGAGTTGTTGTCAAGTAGTCTATAGAAATAGAAGCGTATCATGATGTTGTGATATAGAACTTTAATTGTTGTTCGGTATTTAATACTACAATGTCAATATTACTGTGTAATCAAGACAACACATTAATTTTTGTTCCTTCAAAGTCCGTACGTTCTCGCAAAAATCTCGGTTTTTCTCGGTGTGGAAGAATGCACAATTTCAAGTTTAATACTAGCGAACTTTTACTCACCTCGGACTTCCCATCATTTGCTAATATTTTTTTAACAAATTGTGCGAGGTTTTGTCGTGAGGTAAATTGACACACGGATCGAAAATTCTTTGTAGCGAGCAAGATGGGGGGGCCCACGTTGTCTCTTTGATTTAGTGTCCTATTAATTCAATTTTTTGATTCGAATTGTTGTTCCCAAAAGGGAAACTCATCTTTTTTTTTAATTTAAATTTTAAGCCCTATTGCAAAATGGTTGCCATTTACAACAAGGTTTCTATTGTAGTCATTTCGCTCCTACCCTCACCCGATGTTGAATTAGACATTCTACAACACAAGAGAATGTTTGTCCATCGCGACCTATTAAAAAAAAATAAGGAAATGACTCTATTATGCACAAGATCTTAATTTTCATTCGATATATTCCCGTTTTCTGACGGTTGGAATGTTAACTAAGATCCTGTTGCTTTTACGAAATTTGGAACTTCCTATTCGTCCCGAGTTATATTTTGATAAATTTGGATAGAAATTTGGTCAAATATTTGGTAAAATTTCTCCCATAAATTAGAAAAATCAGATTAGCATCGAATTAAACTAATACTAATGCAAGAAATGAAATGTAGAACTATTAAAACAGAGTTTGCAAGAAATGATTATCTCAGCTTTAATGGCATCGTTTAATAAGAAGCGATGTTAGTGGAAGGTGGAAATCTACTTTGGAAAATAAGAATCATGTGATAAAAATCACGTGCAAATCATCTAGATTGTTTAAAAAACAAGGGTATTTTTTGATTCAAAAAATTGGAGGGTTGGCCGAGTGGTCTAAGGCGGTAGACTTAAGATCTACTGGACAGTGTCCGCGCGAGTTCGAACCTCGCATCCTTCATTATTTTTTTTTTTAAATCTTTAATACCAGTAATAGTGAATGTTAAGTAGTTTTCAGCGTATACTCTTTGAAGTTTTCAGATCAGAAGTAAGCTCAAGAAATTCTAGTGCAAAGAATTTTTTTTTTTTCGCTTGTGCCATGAAGGCATTGCAAAATGAGATGTGAGATCGATTTGAATACTCGATTTTTCAATGCTAATACATCATAGGATTTTCTCTTTCAATTGTACTTTGCTTCTCATCAATGACATACAAATTAACAACTCTACACGGACCACCCAGTGAAACCCAAGAGATCTTGCAAACTCATATACAGAGAATCTCAGCTACGCATCCATATTTCACAAAAGTTCATGTGGTAACTAATACCCCACCACCTAAACCAACAGCACAAGTCATTCGATCTACAATAACATACTTATGGGATGTAGTTAATGACTCTACTACGACTTACGTGTTTGCAAAGCCAGCAGATGAAATCAATATCAACCCTGATTTGTCATTTACGAATACATTAGAATTTAACAAGGGCAAGATAAGAATCGTAGTACATCAAGACAAGTTTCAAATGATACCTAATTTGAAAAACTCATCCAGAGTTAAAAAGCTAAGCCAAGATAAGGTAGGCCATGGTGGGAATTATTTTGTTAAATATAAATATTTGATAGAAATGGATAAGGTAGTACCTGAATTAAAGGGTATCATTGACACTATATTTTCAGAGGTTGAGATCACCACATTCCAACCTACCGAGGTAGAATTACAAACGAATCAGGTTCAACTTCCTAGCTTACAAGATTTGGACAACTATGAACTTTATGAATGTCTAAGTTTGGTTCTTAATGTGTCTAAAGATAGTATTGTACGTGATGACAATTTTTCACGTTATGAGATAAACTGGAGTCAAGAATTAGTGAATAAATATACTGTTGCTGACGTCTCTTCAGAATGGATAAACGAAATTCCTCAAGATTGGACCATTGCAAGCTTACACGGTGAAACATATCATATTTTAATACATAGAACCCCGTCAAGCACAAAGATCTGGGAAATAATATAGTGTATTGAAAAAGCTATTGTGGAGAACATAAAAAAAGATGCCTTTCAGGAGGTTGGTTTCTCAATGAAATAATGACGAACACCAAACCCTTGATTTGTGAACTTGTTGTTATAGCACAGTTGGTTCTTGGAATCAGTTAGTTTTGCAATGAAGGTGATCATTAAGAAGGATTTGAACAGCATCTAAATTTGTATCTTGCTTAACCATAGATTCTATAAAATAGACAAATATATCGAATAGACATTCAAATACAAGAGGATGATAACTAAACAACGCATAATTACGCTTGAGCTAAATGGTTTCTGATTGGTAGGTATTCCGCATGCTAAATTAACATAAGTAAGAATGATGTAAGTAGTCGCCAACATTTACACCTATGTCAATTCAGCTCTTGACAATGACAGTGAGAACAGGATCTTTTGAAGTATATTGGCGCTTATTTAGTTTCCTGTCCTTCCTGTAGAGCTTGCAACCACTGAACATCGTTCTGAACTTGGATCAGTGGGGGAGATCTACTTCCAAGAAATGAGAATGAAAATATCTGGAATTCATTAGATTTTCACTTAAAAGAAATCTATATACATTGAACCATAAACGAGGATTAGCATCACTAATTGGTGCTAAAACTCGTGCCATCTAGATGACAGCACCACTATGGTATTGTGTTTCTGGTACAATAGTCGATTTGTCAATGTCAGGAAGAAAGCTGTTGAAAATCAGAAGAATCACTTACCAGAATGGATTTCAACTGTATAGCTGGCATGAAATTAGGAAAATTAATTTTCATATCTTTGATATTGATGCTTGTTTTTTGCATTAAATGAAGATTGTACTTGCTGAAAACTCTGTTAACGGTTAATATTATTAGAGTAATAAATGTATTCGAAAAAAAGCTCCAGCAGCTATCTCATTGATATGTACTTACCTGAGGTATTTTGCATATAGTAGTGGCTTATCTGTCAAACTTTCTTTAATTAATTACAAGCTAATTGTGGATAAACTTACTTGGTTGCCTCAATTTGCGAGGTCTTAGCACCGCCTTTAATACTTGCTACAAATATAAATATATGGAAATTGTTATAATACTGTTCTTTAAAGCATAGCACATAGACGCAGGCGATAAATACATAAGTAAAGTAATTTAGACATATACAGATAATCATGAAAAATCCTTAAACAACTCATCAATAGGATAATTATCAAATAATTCATTAGAATTACCCAAGTTCAAAGGGGTAAATACATTTCCAGGTCCCGGAGTCAAGCCAGTGCCAACACCAGCAAGGGGACCCTCTAATGGATTTAATATATTTGGAGTGGCTCCTATATTGGCATTATATATAGGGTCAGAGACTTGACCAGTGCCTCCATTCAAATTACCTGATCCGAATTTGTTAGTTCCTGGATCACGATACTCATTCTTCATATTCATCATTTGCAACCAAATTGAATCAATTTGCTCATTCGGTTTATAATCATTAGTTGCAATATCAGGAGTTGTCTCAAACAGGGGAGTCGAAGAAAATCTTCTCATTGCAGGGTCTTCATGGCTGTAATTGGAATAAACTGGTTGTTTAGGTCTATTTCTCGCTTCTTTAACTTTTGCTAGTGAGTTTTCAAGTATAAACTGCAATTCTCCTAACATTTGATCGTTATTGAAAAGTATGGTTTCATGAAGTGGCCTATACTGCCTGAATAACTCATCATTGGTGTAAAGGTTATGCAAGAAATTTTGAACTTTAGTTATTCTCCAAGAATAATAATAACGATGTGCAAGTTTAGAAACACATTCTCTAAATACATCACGACATTTCAACAATAAATCTGCAATATTTACCAATTGTTGATAATGAACTCGGTATTTATTGTTGCTTTTCATTAGTGGACCGTGGTTATATTTTGATTGTAAACTAACAACTTTATGCTTGACTCGCACATAGACGGCACTTATTAATATCAAGGATTTATGAGCCACACTTTCGTAGGAGGGAATGATCACTAAATAAGTTGATTTTGGAGAAACCATCATATTAACATCATTGACACATTCCCACAAGAATGGCATTAAATCAAGTATGACAACCGCAAATATCTTCTTGAGGTAATAATGTGCCAATTCAGTGTTCCTTTTGCGTTCATAATGATTAAAAATGTGAAAGTAAAGTGATACCATAAACAAATTCCCTGTAAAATAAACTTTTAATCTTGCGGTAAGAAATTCTTCATTCACACGTTTCAGTTTATCCCGGTTCAGTAAATTCCCATATCGTTCAATGAAATGGCACTCAATGTAATTCAACTTGGTACATAATTCTGACATATTAGACAGTCCTCTAACTTTCATGATGGTTGACAAAATTTCGTGCAATGGTTGATAAGAAATATCAAACTGAGCAAAACATTGTGCTGTTATTTTCTCTAATTCAACATCAATAACATTTTCATTACCTGGCTTGTAAAATGGAGCCTTTGTATCAAACGCATCCAAACTAATATTTAGCATAGTTCCATTGGAAATCGCAAGGGTCAAATCACTAATCAATAAATATGTCCATATTTTTCGTCCCAAATTGTTAACTTTTTCGTCATTACAAGTATCAGGGAAATTATCTGGCTCACGATGAAGTCCTAAAGTAAACCCCATTTGAATCAAAATTGCATTAAATACTTGGGCATCCCCACCATTAATACCATCACCATCTTCTGGGGCAACCAGGTTATATAACCTCATGAATAATGCTAGTTGCATTAATGTCATATTGATGCTTCGCATTAAATTGAATTGATTTAAGCAACTCTGTGCAACATCTATGGCATCGATGTTAATAGGGTTATTCATGAGATATTTGACTTGTTGAGCATTAGGAGAAGGATCTGTGGTGTGTAAGTTAGCTTCATTAACGCTTGAATCATTGGAAAAAAGAGACAAGTAACTGAGTCTTAATAGGATCAATAAGATTCCCAAATATGCAAAATCCATCTTCTTTTCAACTTTAACGTCAATTGGAACATCAAGATAGTCTTCATAACCAATCAACTTTTGCACTTGCTCTTTCAATACAACTTCATCAACAAATGGAAATGCAATGTACAAATGGGTAAAAAATCTCTTATATAATAGCCAAATAACTTTTTGTTTTGGTAACACCAATTTGATCTTTTCCACCAACTCCATTTCTTCATCTAATCCACCTTGGTAAAACAGTAGCCCTATACTTAAAGCTTTTTCATTCAATTTTTCAGCCGATACCGGATCAGAATTACGTTTCTTATCCTTAATCGAACCGCTTTGCACAGTTTCTCGATAAGGTCGAATATCATTGTATCCTTCGTCTACATGAACTTTTTCAGAGAATTCCTTCTCAATAACTTGTGAAGTGTTCAAAGTAGCAGCCATATACATATTTTTTCCCTTGTACTGCTCTTTGATAGTATTAAGTTGGTCCCAAAGACCACCTAAAGCCCCATCGACTTTTGTTAATGAAATCCAAGAAAGCGGACCAAAGTTTCGCCTTCTAATTGGTTCTTTGTCGTAAGTAGGACTATATCCATCATAAAAGTTTATGGTTTCAGTTGGAGATTCAGCAGGGTTATTTCCAACTAAGTTGGTTATTTCAAGTGAACTAATGGGGTTGAATGTTTGGTTGGTCAAAGATGGTGCTAGAACTGATGATGCAGGAGTTGTTGTTGTTGCGGGATGTAATTGCAGGTTTCCATTGGTAGGACTATTGTCTACACTTCTTCGCAGGAGTGATTCTTCCAAAGCTTTTAACTTTTGTTTCAAGGCCGCAAGTTCCTCCTGAACCAATGATTCGGAAATTGAATCAAGCTGAGAAACAGCAGGGGCAGATCCAGTAGTGCCTAAACCGTTGATGTTGCCACTACTACCAGAATCGGCAGAACTCAATTTCTTGACACACTCCTCAACGATATGTTCTTCATGGTTGTCCTTCCTAGTCTGTATAAGGGTGTTGTATGCGGTATATGTACACGGTTCACCTTTCCTGAATTTGTCACACGTAGAACAAGGATTGCCTAGATCACATTTAACTTTTCTATTTTTACAAAAGTCGCATACTTTAGATATTCTCATTCGTTTTCTACCCATTTTAATATCTAATATTATCTCTGTCAGTAAACCGGAGGAGTACGCGGCTGAATATTAAACAAGTAGGGGGAAGTTCTGATGTTTTAGCTAGTAGTAGAAACAACAATCCGCTAAAGGTATAGGGGTAGTGTGAAGGTAGAAAATAAAAAGTCGGAAGAAGGGAAAAAAAATTAATTCCGCAAATCGGAGTTTATTCTGAGTTCATGTTGAATATTCGTAATTGTACCAGATTAGATACGAATCAATACTTAATTAGTTGATCTTCTAAAGCTTTCAAGCAGACTTTGTAAAACTTGATTCTGTTGCAAAAAAAAAAAAAATTACGCATTATTTTCCACGATAAATAAAGGGAAGAAAATTTGCGTAACAGGAATATTTGTGTTTTGTTCAGGTTGGTTCTATAGATATTGAGAATGGTAGCTACTTAACTTGATCATGGCATGTCTTTTGCTATAGACATTTGCAATGTACTAAGTGATCTTAGTATATGCTCTCTTTCATAAAACGTATAAATGTCAAATTTAGCTATAGAAAAGAACATTATTGGTTTGATTCAGTTTTTGCAGCAATTAGCAGTCTCGGAGCCCCATCATGTAATTTACGTCTACAGATACATATAAAAATAATACAATACTGTTCATTAATAAAACATAGGTAAATATATACAAGCATTAAATACATAAACGTTAACATTAACGTAATTTAAATTAATAAAAAAAAACACGCATCATCATGAAAAATCTTTAAACAACTCATCAATGGGATAATTTTCAAACAACTCATTGGCACTACCAAAATTCATAGGAATGGCAGGACTAAATGCATTTCCAGGCCCAGGAGTCAACCCGGTGCCAACACCAGGTATGGTACCATCTAATTGGCTCATGATATTTGGAGTAGCAGCCACATTGATATTATATATTGGATCAATCATTTGGCTGGTACCTGTGCTCATACTGGGCACTCCCATATTATTACCTCCAAATCTGCCAGTACCAGGATCTCCATATTCATTCTTCATATTCATCATTTGCAACCAAATTGAGTCAATCTGTTCATTTGGCTTATAATCCGTCACATCAATATCAGAACTTGCTGTGGAATTGGTATCAAATAATGGAGTTGAAGCAAATCTTTTGGTTGCAAAATCTTCATAACTATATTTGGAATAAACTGGATTTTTAGGATTCTTCTTGGCTTCTTTGACCTTGGTTAATGAACTTTCAATAATGAATTCTAATTCCTCCAACATCTGATCATTATTGAAAATCAATGATTCATGGAGTGGTTTATATTGTTTGAATAACTCATCATTGGTGTAAAGGCTATGCAAAAAATTTTGAGCTTTAGTTATTCTCCAAGCATAATAATAACGATGCGCAAGTTTAGAAACACCTTCTCTAAATACATCACGACATTTCAACAACAACTCTGAGATATTCACCAAGCGTTGATAATGAACTCGGTATTTATCATTACCTTTCATCAAAGGAGAATGGTTATATCTTGATTGCAAAGTTAAAACTTTATGCCTGACTCTCAAATACACTGCTGTAATAACCAATAACGACTTATGAGCCACAGTTTCGTATGCGGGAATAATCACTAAATCAGTTGAATCACGGGAAACCATCCTGTGAATATCACTGACACATTCCCAAAAAAATGGCATTAAATCAAGTATAACAACAACAAAAATCTTCTTAAGGTAATAATACGCCAAATCAGTACTTCCCTTACGCTCATAATGATTGAAAATATGTAAATAAAGGGAAACCATAAAGAAGTTCCCAGTACAATAAATTTTCATTCTCAAAGTACGAGGCATAATGTCTTCTTTTTCATTCTTTAATGCCTCTGTACGATCCATTAAATCCCCAAATCTGTCAACAAAGTGACATTCCATATAACTTAACTTGGTACATAATTCTGACATATTAGACAGCCCTCTAACTTTCATTATTGTAGACAAGAGTTCATGTAATGGTTGATAAGAAATATCAAACTGAGTAAAACACTTCATAGTTGATTGCTCCAATTCAACATCAATAACATTTTCATTACCTGGCTTGTAAAATGGAGCTTTAGTGTCAAACGAATCCATATTAACATTCAACATGGTTCCATTAGCCATAGCAAGATTTAAATCACTAATCAATAAAAATGTCCATATTTTTCGTCCCAAATTGTTAACTTTTTCGTCATTACAAGTATCAGGGAAATTATCTGGCTCACGATGAAGTCCTAAAGTAAACCCCATTTGGACCAAAATTGCATTAAATACTTGGGCATCTCCACCATTAATACCATCACCATCCTCGGGTGAAACCAGATGATATAGCCTCATGAATAATGCTAGTTGCATTAATGTCATATTGATGCTTCGCATTAAATTGAATTGATTTAAGCAACTCTGTGCAACATCTATGGCATCGATGTTAATAGGGTTATTCATGAGATATTTGACTTGTTGAGCATTAGGAGAAGGATCTGTGGTGTGTAAGTTAGCTTCATTAACGCTTGAATCATTGGAAAAAAGAGACAAGTAACTGAGTCTTAATAGGATCAATAAGATTCCCAAATATGCAAAATCCATCTTCTTTTCAACTTTAACGTCAATTGGAACATCAAGATAGTCTTCATAACCAATCAACTTTTGCACTTGCTCTTTCAATACAACTTCATCAACAAATGGAAATGCAATGTACAAATGGGTAAAAAATCTCTTATATAATAGCCAAATAACTTTTTGTTTGGTAACACCAATTTGATCTTTTCCACCAACTCCATTTCTTCATCTAATCCACCTTGGTAAAACAGTAGCCCTATACTTAAAGCTTTTTCATTCAATTTTTCAGCCGATACCGGATCAGAATTACGTTTCTTATCCTTAATCGAACCGCTTTGCACAGTTTCTCGATAAGGTCGAATATCATTGTATCCTTCGTCTACATGAACTTTTTCAGAGAATTCCTTCTCAATAACTTGTGAAGTGTTCAAAGTAGCAGCCATATACATATTTTTTCCCTTGTACTGCTCTTTGATAGTATTAAGTTGGTCCCAAAGACCACCTAAAGCCCCATCGACTTTTGTTAATGAAATCCAAGAAAGCGGACCAAAGTTTCGCCTTCTAATTGGTTCTTTGTCGTAAGTAGGACTATATCCATCATAAAAGTTTATGGTTTCAGTTGGAGATTCAACAGGATTAAATCCAATTAATTTAGTAACATCAAGTGCTACGGCGGTATTGAAGGTGCTGGTACTGAAGCCAGATGCAGGGGTACAAGATGGAGAGTATGCATTGACTGTTGGTGGAGCTGTGATTGTGGTTGCAGGATTTGTTAGTGGGTACCCATTGGTAGGACTGCTATCAACACTTCTTCTCTGAAGTGATTCTTCTAAAGATCTCAACTTTTGCTTCAAGAATTGAAGCTCATCTTGGACAACTGTTTCGGAAATGGAATCTAGTTCAGTGACAGCAGTAGATGCTTCGTTAGCGAAGGTGTTGACGGGGACACCGTTGCTGCTGCTGCTACCAGAATCAGTAGAACCCATTCTCATCTCTAATTCTTCTGCAATCTCTTCTTCTTCATGATTTGCTTTACCATTTTGCACACGAGCATTGTATTCCGTATATGTACAAGGTTCACCTTTCCTATATTTGACACATGTGGAACAGGGGTTACCTAAATCACATTTGACTTTTCTTTTTTTACAAAAGTCACATACTTTTGATATTCTCATTCGCTTTTTACCCATTACTGTAGCATTTGATATGTTTCCGGTAATGAAGCGAGTTGAAAGTTAATTGAAGACCACTAAGTAACTTGAATATAGAGTGGGGTGGGAGGGGGGAAATAACAGTAGTTGAAATATGCAATACAAAATCAAAAACAAACAAGGATGGTTTTAACTTTGGTCTTTTTTGTAAGCTGGAATTAGAGGTGATAGCAAAAAAGAAATGTCACCTAAGTCACGGGCAGCAGTGTAGTGATAGAAAATAAAACGTTGGAGGGAAAAAAAAACCAACAATACAAGGAATCCGTAAGTCGGGTTGGTTCTGGTTGGTTCTGGTTGATCGTTAGTTATTTGTAAGAAGGGGGAAATGAGTATGCGTGACTTACTAATTGCTTAGTAAGACTTCAGCTGGCGGGTTAATTTGTGTTTTTGGTTGTAAAAAAAAATACAATGACTTTCTGTGAAGAAACTGAAGTGGCAAAATTTTGCGCGTGGGGGTAGGGGCCGCTCAGATGGTAGGTTGGGCCGACGGTGTAGTAGTCTAGTTGGCTTCAATTGACAGTGAAACTTGTGCTAATTATAGTCCTGCACAATGGTCTCTGAGGCTAAGTATAGCGTAGATTGTTTTCACACTTATAAGAATGACAAAGCAGGAGTAATAAATTCGAATTAAAATTCAATTGGGAGGCAAATCGAGGTGTATTTATTCTTTAATTGGTGAGAGAATTTTAGTCAAGGTTTTTGGGGGAATATTTTTCTATTCCAAAAACGTTCTTATTGTTTTTCGATTTCTTTTCTTTTTAGGTTTGTTGTCTAGTTCAAGGATTGACTCTAGGCACGATTGCTAGAATTTGTGTCTTAGAAGTAAGGGGACTCTGCTACCGCTATTAATAGATATTTCCTTAAGGTACGAACTATTTTTTGACTTCTTCTGAATAGACTCAATGCTTTCAAAATTATTGACTTTTAAGTTAATCTGTGCTAGAGGAGGAGCCCCTGCACAAAATGTGATCCCCCCAAGGTTAATTTTCTTACAACCATACATTCTTAAAACGGAAGGTGCAATATCACACTCTGGACATCTAGATGTGGCTTTTTGAGCAGTTCGGACAGGCTTTGTCCTTGTCGTATATGTAGAAGTTCGGGTCACAGCAAGCTCTGAATGTAAACATTAGTCATTCCTTTGTATTGTTCCAGGAACAATATTTTTGTAAAGTCGCACTAAATCTCGCGCCGCGCTTCAATGGCAGGTTGAAAAAAAAAAAAAATTTTGTGTTGTTAATATTTTTTATTCTAGATGAGTTAGTTTCTTTTTCATGGTTGATTTCACCTTTGAATTGTTCCTTCGGACTATACTTTTGGGGTCAAGTAAAGAGAATCTCTCCGCTCTTACCGTTGAGATCCATTTTTTTTTGTTTTTTTTGCATGACTGGTTCGAGGAAGCGGAAATCGAAGAATTCTCTTTAATGTGGAGCAAGGTAATTTTAATGAAACACACCAGTGCTCCCTTTCTAATATTTTTTAGTAGAGTTTGTAGCGAAAAGTAATTGGTTTAAATTTTGCCACCCAGGCTTCCTGTGACAGGACCCGGTTTGTTCCATAAATTTCACAAAAATAATTGTTTTTACGGGAAGACTCATGATCTATATTGAACAAAAAAAGTAGGCAGAGTAACCATTGTAAGGGGCGCAATTATCAATTATAGGAGTAGTATTTGCTTCCGACCTGTTTTCGTAATGTTTATGTTGCGGCTATGCTTTTGGATATTATTTTCAAGAAAAAAAAAGGGGGATTCTTTCCCTTTTGATACGAAAGATTGTTCTATTTCTTTTTCAGTTACAGCAATATTATCCGCTTATGTAATACAATACTCCAAATCTAGGTGGGCTATAATGGTTACATCGGAGTTTAAGTCATGTGATCGGACTTTGCCATTTCCCACGACCCACCTCTCTTATTCTTGCCCAAGTACACGAACTTCTGGAAAAGAAAAAGTTACCCCATACTAGAAAACAAATTTGGTAAGGGGGTAAATTGTGACAACTGTAATTTCACCTTATCTTTGTTTGGTGCCTTGATTGTTCAAAATTGTCAAACAAATTTTTGCGTGGAATAATCCGAAGATAATAATTCATGTCCATTTTGGAACAATATTAAACCTTTCTTTTACAACTAGTCGGTATTATGATTTCCAAAGATTTCATTCAGCAATTGTTGATAAAATCTTTGAATGACTTGGGTTATCATCAAGTTGCTACTGACTTGCTAACCACAATCAATCAGGAGCATGATCTAGAACAACAACAGCAGCAACATTTAATTACCTCAGCATCAACATCTTCACCTGCCACCTCTTCACAACCGCAAGGCACACGCGCTGTAAGCCAACAATCCCAGCTTATCGACTGGTTCTTTGCCCAGCTAAACATCTCAAACTATCAACAATTGGATGAATATTTGGAAACAGTATTGATCAATACAACTACCAATGTTAATACAGCTAAATCCAATGAATTCATTCAAATATTAAGTTATGATGGAGATAACTACAACGCTTTGGTCTTGATCATCCTTTATTTTGTTAGAAGGTTCTTCTATATGGAAGGTCTTAATCCGTTAGTGGATGGTGAAATTGGAATGCAGTACCTTTCAAACAAATTACTTCCTTTGTTAGACCAATTCAACACTGATAGCATAGTGGATGAGTTTCAAGATATAATTGACCGTAATATCTTGATACAATTAAACAGAGAACAAGAATCAAAATTGTTGTTGAGTTTATTAAATTCAAGTTCACATATCCCCCCACATTCTTTACCAACTTACTTGTTTGGTTGTAAAGTGAATGATATCAAGTTATTCCATAGTATACTATTCAAACCATTGTTTAAAACCAGTCAATCTTCATTCCATCAAATGTTCGATATCCCTGCAAATTGTCTTGAAAATATAATTGAGCAAGCAATTAAGTATCAACAGTTACAAAATCCATTTTATTTACCCCCACGATCGAAATCAGACAAGCGAAAGCATGGCCAAACCCCATTAATTCCATTGGATTTTCTGAAAGTTCCACTTCATTTTAATAATGCCAAGTTGATTCAAACATTGACATATCATACCGACGAAGTTTGGTTTATTAAATTTTCTCCCCTGGGTAGATTTATGGTTACAGGCTCCTTGGATGGGAAGTTAATCTTGTATGACGTTAGTAATAATTTCAAATTGATTAAGATAATGGAGCCAAGTGTCGCTGCGGATAATTCTGCATTTGTTCCATTCTCGGTTAAACCACAAGCAGCAGGTAAAACCAGAGCCGTGATCTATTGCTGTTGGGATCCTAAAGAGCAATATTTAGTTAGTTGTTGTTTGGACACCATTGTGCGTATCTGGTCAATTGGTGATATTCATAACAAGAGAATCACTCGCAGTGAAACAACTATATCAACTACTTCTAGCAATACTGGATCCATGGCAGCAGCTACAGGATCTACCGGATTTCTGTCACCAGGAGTAGTTATGGGGGCAGGTACTACGGGATCACACATCCCTACAGACTTTAAATTAGTTACATGCTTCACTCTTGGTCAAGATATCAAAACTTGGACTTGTGAATTCTTACCAGAAAACAAGCGAACAATGTCAAACTCTTCTTCCCCTCAATTCATTATTGGATCTCCCGATAAAGTTCTTAAAGCATTTGATTGCGATGGGGTTGAGTTATTTGACTTTTATGGCAATATTGAAGGTGGAGACGAAGATGATGAAGATGAAGATGAGGAAATGGAAAATGATGATATTGAAGGTGATCATAAACGTAAGAAGAAGACTATCTTAAGAAGCACACCTGAAGTGGGAACAAGCAGTCGAAATACACCTCCTAGACGTAATACTCCTAAACCAAAAGAGAATGGACAAGAAGGGGAAGATGTCACTATGAAGGAAGCAGATGAAGCTAATAGCCATGGACTTTCCAATTCTCTTAGAAAGCATCTTGAAAGTAATTTTAATCGTATTAATGACTTGGCAATAACTCCAGATGGTAAGATTTTAATCACAGCCAACAATGAACCGCAATTACATTTCTACAAGATCCCAGACGTTCTCAATGAAGAAGCAACTACGAGACGTATAGCAAGTATTAACTTACGAGGTAGATTAACATCATGCTCCGTATCCAAGAATGGGAAATATTTACTTTTAAGTTCTGCTCCGGAGGAACTTCAAGTATGGGATATATCTAGACTTCCGCAAGATCCACCTATTCTTTATCACAAATACATTGGTCATTCTCAATCAACATTTATCATTCGTTCATCATTTGGATACTACAATGAAGAAACCGGCGAGGAAGAACTTGTGTTATCAGGAAGTGATGATGGATACATATACTTCTGGAAATTACACACCGGCGAATTGATTACAAGAGTCAAGGGACATACCGGGTTGTGTAATTCTGTTGATTGGAACACCGGAGGTACTTCTTGGGGTAAGGGTAAAGATCTAGGTAAGTACTGGGGTAGTGTTGGTGATGATAAGTTGGTCAAAGTATGGGGCCCTCAAGGGTGATCCGATACACAACAGTTAAGGTTTGTAGATTAGTAGTTTATGCCCAAAAGTTATTCAAATTTGACAGATTCTTGTAGAATTCGTACTTATACCAACTTTTGATTATGATTGCGTTCACACACACACACACAAAAAAAGAACTAAACTAAAATATCTTGTTATGATTGCAAAACTGGATTTCGTAATACCTTATGGAGCCAAAACTAAAGATTCAGATTTTCTTTGCAGTATTTGCTTGAACTTCTAGGTACAGGAAAAAAGTGATCCCAACTATATCAAGCTCTTAAAAATATATACTTCCCGACATGCCTCAATGCCCTGAGTGGTTTTAACTCAAAGAAAAAGGCTACTGTTTTCAAGCGAGAGCACTCAGCGGAGATATTTTCGGAGCTCTTGCAGCCAACTTAAAAAATTAACAATGGACAACAAAAAAAAATAGAAAGAATTTGTTTCAGGAATTCGTTTCATAAAATCGGTTAATTGGATTGATCTATTGAAATTCAAACATAACACAGTTTGTACTAAATTGGTAATTTTAAGAACGGGAATTAATTAAACACTTTATTAGCGGAAATAGTCATTTCTTCCCGAGCAGTGGCGAAGCTCGTATCTCCGATTCTCAAAACCTTATTTCTTGCATTCTACTTTAATTCACAACCCCGATCTCAGGTTTGCTGTGGTAAAATTGGCATATCTGCATAAATCAGATCCACTAACACTTGGAAAATACCCTACTGGTTTAATTGAAGAATGCGGATAAAATTTGCACCCACAATGAGCTCATTTTAAATATCCATCCGCGATATTTAATCTAATTCACCGCATCGGCCCCACCCCCTATAATTGCCCATTTTAGTATGGTCCTTCCATAAATAAAATTGTGAAAACTCATTGTTCCCCACCTCGTTTGTTATATGTGCGGCTCAAAGTAAGCCTACCTGTGAGGGGAACTTCCTAGACCCGCCGCTGCGAGTCGGGGAATCTTTTCCGCATTCGGGTTATTTTTCTCGCAGCAACTTTAAGAAATCACATCTATTTACCCCAGATCTTATCCGCGTGATTTTAACTAAATACTCCGACCATAATAAGTATCTACAATGGAACCCCACATTATTATGGTCATTGGTATGCTTTAATCGTTATAAATAGATGTGTAAAGTTCCTTCATTTGAAGCAATTGAAAAATATATATATATATATATTCTTTCACAAGATATAAAGTATTAGTTACAACAAAACAAAATGACCAAGCCAAAAGTATTATTAGTTCTTTACGAAGGTGGTGAACATGCCAAGCAACAACCCAAACTTCTTGGTACCATTGAAAATGAACTTGGACTCCGTAAGTTTATCGAGGATCATGGTTATGAACTTGTCCTGACCACCGATAAGGATCCGGAACCAGTTTCCACCGTGGACAATGAATTGCCTGATGCTGAGATTGTCATTTCCACACCATTCTACCCAGTTTATTTGACTCGTTCTAGAATTGAAAAGGCTCCTAATTTGAAGATTGCCATTACTGCTGGTGTTGGATCTGACCATGTTGATTTGAATGCTGCAAATGATCACAAGGTTTCAGTATTGGAAGTCACTGGATCCAATGTTGTCTCTGTCGCTGAACATGTCATTATGACTATCTTGTGTCTTATTCGTAACTTTGTTCCTGCCCATGAACGAGCCATTAATGGTGAATGGGATATTGCTGGTTGTGCTAAGGATGAATACGATTTGGAAGACAAAGTTGTTGCTACCGTTGGTGCTGGTAGAATTGGTTACAGAGTCTTGGAAAGAATGATTGCATTCAACCCAAAGAAGTTGCTTTATTATGACTACCAAGAATTGCCAGAAGCTGCAATTAAGAAGCTTAATGATGCATCTAAACTCTTCAATGGTGTTGACACAATAATTGAACGTGTTGAAAGCTTGGAAGATATGGTTGCCCAATCTGACGTGGTGACTATTAATTGTCCACTTCATGAAAAATCTCGTGGATTATTCAACAAGGATTTGATTTCCAAGATGAAGAAGGGTTCTTATTTGGTTAACACTGCTAGAGGTGCAATTTGTGTTGAAGAAGATGTCGCTGAAGCAGTCAATTCTGGTCATTTAGCTGGATATGGTGGTGACGTCTGGTACCCACAACCAGCTCCAGCTAAACATCCATGGAGATCAATGCACAATGCCAATGGTGGTGGTAATGCCATGACTCCTCATGTCTCCGGTACAAGTTTGGATGCTCAAGCAAGATATGCTGCTGGTGTGAAACATATCTTGACTGAATATTTCAACAAGACTCATAACTATCGCCCACAAGATGTCATTTGTATTGATGGTGATTATGCTACTAAGGCGTATGGTCAAAGAGATAAGAAGTAAAAGAAACCAAAAATAAAAAAGAATTTATATCGTAATTAGTATCTTTTCAATAAATATATGATTGTTATGATAATCTTAAAAAAAAAAACATACGCATATTCATTTCATTTTTTTTTTCTACTACTCCTTAAACTATACACTCAACAAATAATTACTTACAATTCATCATGAGCAACTTCTTCTTCTTCTTCGTCATCTTCCTTTTCAGCTTCTTCTTTTTCATCAGCAGCTTCAGAAGCGGCGGCTTCTTCAGCGGACTTCAGCTTCCAAGCATCGGCTAACTTATCAACATCAACGTCTAAAGTACCCTTTTCTTTAACAAAGGCAAGTAAGGATTCTAAATCTCTACCACTTTCATACAATATTGGTTCTCTTAATCCAGTCTTTTGATCAATCTTACCATTTGCTGGGTACAACAATAAAGTTGGGTAACCTTGGATATCAATTGGAACATCAACATCATTATTAGTATGGTCAATGTTAGCAATGACAACCTTGGCATCATCCTTGTTAGAACCAAAAATAGAAGCTAAATCTTCCCAAGTTGGAGCCAACTTCTTACAGTGACCACACCATGGAGCATAGTATTTAACAAAGACATCCTTAGAAACATCATCCAAGATTTGTCTGTAGTTGTGACCAACTAACTTGACAACTGGACTAGCCTTCTTTTCTTCTTCAGTTGGTAAATCTTCAGACTTGATAATTGGAGCTACCTTACCTTCAAAGAAATCGTCAACAAACTTGCTGATAACATCAGCAGATGGACCTTCTGGGTAAGTAGTTTGGTTGACACCATACTTCTTGTTGTCAGTGACATTGTGAATGGCAAATAATGGAACAATTTCTGGGTCCATATTGATAACTTCAGCATGCTTACCAAATAAGGTAGCATCAACACCAGCAATGTTAATCTTTCCTCTGTACTTCTTGGCAATCTTGGCAAGGTCCTTAGAAATAGATTCTCTTTGTTCTGGAGTCTTGTAGAAGTAGTAGGCAAGAGGTAATGGAGAAGACATGTAGGTCATATAAGTTTCTCTGGTGATATCACCAAAGTATGGAACAACTTCAGCTTCAATGAAAGCAAGTAAGGATTCTTGATCGACAGTCTTACCATCAAATTTAGCAGCATCGTCAAATTGAGCTGGGTGGGCAACAATATAAGTATCTTCTTTAGTAAGGTCGACATTCTTGAACTTCTTGCTCAATTGATCAGCCAATTTCTTATCTTCAACAGAAATAAAGGCGTAATCATTCTTCTTAGACTTGGCAATCTTGCCAAAAGTAGCATTGGCTTCAGCACTTGGATTAACTTGAATAATGAATGGCTTAGCTTGTTCGTCAACTAATTTTTCCAACAAGTCATAAGAAGCTGGAACTTGAACAGCAGGCAAGGTTTGCTTAATCATGTAATCAGCAATACCTTGAGCATCTCTTGGACCAGCATAATCTTCACCAGCTTGACTTTCACCATCTCTGATGACTTTCAAGGTTGGGTAACCTCTGATACCATGGTCACGACAGATGGATTCGTCGGAAACACAATCAACTTGAGCCAACTTAATGTTTGGATGAGTGGCGTTTAAAGAATCAGCAGCCTTGGAAAATTCTGGACCAAGCATCTTACAGTATCCACACCATGGGGCAAAGAATTCAGTAAGAACCAATGGGTTAGCTTCAAGGAAACTGGTAAAGTTGCTGGCTGCCAACTTGACAACAGCACTGTTAGGATCAGCGGCAGCTTCACCGGAAGATGGACCACTAGCTTGGGTCACTGAGACGATAGCCAAGAGAGAGGCTAAAGCAGATGTAGAGAATTTCCAGAATTGCATTGTGTAAATGAACTAACTGTAACGATAAAGAAAAAGAAAGAAAAAGACTAAACTGACGAAATTGATTATTAATTGATCTATTTAAACCAACGCGGAGTTAATCCAGTGGAAAAAAAATAAACAGCGTGTTCTTTTTTTTTTTTTTGCTCAAAGCATTTTATTTTTGTTAGATTATTTTTTTTTTTTTTTTTTTTTACTTTTTTCAGTTCGTCATTTTTGCTTCTTAGTTTAGCCTTTGTTATGGAACATTTATTCTCCCCAATTACGTAATGCAAGATGATCATGTTAGTGAATTTCACTGTAGTTTGAGGGCAAAGATCTTCTGAATGAAAAGATCGTTCTTACACTAAAATGTAGCTAGTACAAGTAGTTTAATGCATACTCCCCTCTCCATAATCTTGCATAGGTTGTGGGATCAACCCCAAAAATTAAGTGCCTTATTGTTCTTCCCCTGGCCCCGCTATTTATAACGTAAAATTATTGGCATCCCATTGTTATGGTAAAATTCGCACTATGATTTGTGTCAAGGATGGAGTTTCTTAAAGTCACTCTCCATCCACCAACACCTGTCAATATGAGGCTTAAATCTACACCTATTTTTGCGCGTTTGCCTTATTATAGTTAAGCAAGTGTGTATTTAAACATCTACTGAATTTCCCCTCTCACAACTTAAACACTATATAGTACGTTCTTCTTCTTCTTCTTCTTCTTTAAAACCCCAAGAACTCTCTCCAAGTGCTCCAACTATCCATCTCAACATCATAGATATATGCCATACTATGTCTCAATGAGCTTTGCAAATATTGTGGTTGATAATCATATATAAACATAACTAATGCCCATGTTAAGACCGCAAAATATTTCCACAGTTTATCATAAATTAAACCCTTTAATTTCTTTTGTTGATTATTATTCAAATCTCTATACTTTATCAAATCACCTTGATAATTTCTAAAACTTGGTTGGAAACATGCCAAATATTGATCCAATAAGATCTTTCCCACAGCTATAAGGACTCTACTGAAACAGTATAATGTGATCTGATGGGTTATACCTCCATGAAAAAATTTAAAATGTTGAGAATAAACAATCCATGATCCAAACCCACCAGCGAGAAACTTGATTAATCGCATATTCTTGGGTCCTAAAAATGCCTCACTTTTCAATATTATCACTGCAGCTTTGTAGATAATTGCAAAGGATGCCAAAACTTCAGCATGATTCTTAGTGGCTTCCAAAACCGATTTAAGCCTAGGGGTTAATGGTCCGGATCGGTAAAGGAGGTTGATCACTAATGCATGCAGGAATCTGATTTTACCACCATAGACTATACCATTACGGGATGACCTTAGAACATCAAGTAAAGGACGATAAAGTGGATTTGTTAATATTGAAGACATGTTGTTGCTGTATTATAAATGAACTGAACACGGGGTTAAACGGTCGTATAGATATTAAGTGGAGATTATATTAAGGTTTGTATTAAGAACAGATGAATCAATCTAAATCCCAACTATTGAACTATAATCAATATGAATACATAAGCTGTAAGAAATTAAATTCGATGAATTTAAACAGAACAAGATTTATATGTATTTTCCGGTGAAACTTGTATGGGGTAGCATTTCGTGAACCGAAGAAAAATCATGAGCTCCAGCAAGAAAAAAACAAAAATGCGTTGATGTTTGGATGACCTCGGGATCTAAAATTCTCGGAACAAAACAGTATCATCTTGCTTCATTTTGCATCGACATTAGTTAGTTTGACAGTTCGGTGTCTTTTCTTGATGTTTACTGTAGTATTGGTGTCTTCAGAGGTTGCTATCTCTTTGGAAAATGGTATTTTGAATGACTTGTCGTCCAAGTGTGGGTTTTATTCCTCGGTCCAAAGTGTGTAGTGTCACCCATTGTTTTTTTTTTTGCAGTAATTTTCCCCCAAAAGTACCCACAATATTAATTGGTTTATATAACTTAAGCCAAGCCTAAGTAAGTACCTCCCTGGTGGAGTTTACTTTAGAATATAAGCTTTAGATTGATGTCCATCTTATCAATTTAGTACCCTTTCCTTTAAATGCTTGTCTTCTTTCTCTATTCCTTTCTATTTGGTAGACTAAACTAACGATTTATAAATAAAACAAAATATCCTCTAGACTACTTTATTACGATTATATAGCACATCACGTTACGACCTTGCCCAGCGTACTAAAGAGGTATTAAAAAGACAGAGAAAGAAAACGCGCAATACTGGTACCAAAAATACTCACTTGGTGTATAATAAGTCATGACACCCCGCTCTTTGCACTCTCTCGACCATAAATTGCTTGACCTATTAACTGCTTTGTATATGTTAACAAGTATGAAACAGATTCAACAATTGCTCTGAAATTACCACATCTATATAGTTGAGCAATAGTTGCGCAAATGTTTGCAAAGGAACGCATCTCGTTTACGTCAAGGTGACGCGACGCGACATTACTAGAAGTTAGACATATTTCTCTATAGTAGCAATGACCCCAAAAAAGGTCAAATATCTATTCTAAATTGGTTTCCCCTTACTCGTTTAGCGTTTAGGTTTGCAACGTTCTTTGCTTCAAACGTTTTTTTTCTTATCTAGATGCTTAAATGGAACATACGACAATGTAGAAAAAAGCGCAGTAGTTAAAAAAATTAAGTTGCCAAATTTTCTTTTCGTTGAAATTATCAGAAAATCATTGGATGAAGCAGCTAAGCTACTCATATTATAGATATCCATAAGTTATAGAAGCTCTGAAGAAACAAAAGAACGAACTTAAGTACAAGATAGTTCGTATCTACCAACATATTTGCCATTTCAACCATTCAGAGGAAATACCTTTATATAACAGTTAAACTTTAACTTTCAATTAGTATCACAGTCATCAAAAGCATAGAATCTCCATAGTTGTTGAAACAGAACCTCAAAATCAACTTACTTAAATAACTACACAAATACAAACAGCAGCAAATTACCTCAGTTTGCCCCAAAGACGCTTTTTCTACATACGCTTCAATTTTGACAACCAAAAAAAAAAAAAAAATTTTTTTTAACAAAGAAAAAAATTTATATTTGAAAAATTTTCTTCTAACAAAAAATTTTAATAGTGAGAGAAAAATTTTCCTACTGTCATTTAAAACCTTTTTAAACAGACGAGAGTTGATTTTATTCTTTGAAGCCAGGATTCATAACTAGTTTCTCAACCCATTTCATAATTATTAATTTACGGAACCACATCATCCTATTATCAATTTTTAGCTTCCTCCCATTCATTACACTAGTGTCTTTTTTTTTAAAGTTTTTTATCCATTATGACATCGCCCGTTTCATACGCTAATGCTGCAGCTAATGGAGCCATCTCCACTGTGGACATTGACACCAAATCCAAGCAAGAAGTCGAAGCAGTTACTGAATCGCTTGCCAACACCAGTGTTGAAGACAGTTCAGCCACCACTGAAGAATCCACTGAAGTTAAGGAAGAAACTGATGATACCACCAAAGAATCCGACTCAGTCTCAAGTTCGCCATCCAAGGAAAAGGCTCCAAAAAAGAACCTTCTCCCTGCACCTGTACCTGCCAAGTCTGCATGGGGTACCACTTCTACCACTACTGCTGTTACTTTGAAGGAAGTTGTTGATGAACAAAGAGGACCTATACTGAATGAACAACAAGGACAACAAAAGTTCATTAAACCAATTACAAATAGATGGGTTCCTATTAATGCCAAGGTAATATTACCTAATACCAGAGGCAAGTCTCAACAACAACCAAGAAGAAAAAAGTCTGCCAATGCTTCTCAAAAGACCAATGCCAAGAAGCAAGGTAAGGATGGAAAGTCTAAAGAAGGTTCAAACAGTCCTGCCACCAAAAAGGAAGAAATTGCATCTTCTGCATCAAGTGATACCGATGCTAGTGTTGAAGAATCAGTTAGTTCTGAGGCCAAGGAAGAATCTCAAGACGAACAAGCTCAACCGGCTCAATCACAACAACAAAGCACGACCAACAGTCCGCCATTTAACCAAAACTACCAAAAGTTCAACCAACAAAAGCCTTATAGACGTTACAACAACCAACAACAACAACAACAACAACCAAATGGAGGTAACTACAACGGACAATATCAAAAGAGATACAGTAACCCAGATCAACAACAACAACAACAACAACAACAACAAGCTCCACAACAACCGCAACAACCAGTATTCCCAAACCCACAATCTTCTCAACAAGTTCCAGGTTTCTTCCACCCTCAACCATTTGTTCCTCAACCTCCATTCCAAAACTTTAACAACCGCCAATTCAGGCCGCAACAACACCAAAATGGCCAATACCGTGGGAACAGAAATTACCGTGGCAACAACTATCGTAACGGTAACCAACAACCACCAGTGATGCCATACATTCCATATGGAATTGCTCCATACCCACAACAACCAATGGTTCAAATCCCACCACCAATTTCACCAAAACAAGAACCTCAACAAGCATTAATTCAACAACTTGACTATTACTTCTCGTTAGAAAACTTGATTAGAGATGTCTATTTGAGAAAGAATATGGATGGTGAAGGATGGGTTAGCCTTCTGTTAATTTTAGAATTCAAAAGAGTTAAAATCATCATCAACAGCATTCAAAACGAAGTTGAAGGCGATGTTGATGCTATCATTTTGGATGCCGTTAAACAATGTAACAATCTAGAAATCAAGTACAGTGGAGAAGAATCCAGTGCCAAGTTAGAAGACGTTCAATTGAGAGTCAAGGAAAACTACGAACAATGGTTATTGCCAGCTGAGAAGTAGGGTACCCTTCTTCCATCGCCAACTTCTAATAAATTTTGCATTAATGATTTGTATTTAGTTTTGACGTTGATTTTGATTTAGTTTTATTTTGTTGCTTATTTATTCTTGGTGATATCTTTATTCCCCCGGAACGTTTTAGAAAAATCTTATTAAAAATATGAAAAATTTGAAAAAAAAATATATATATATATTACCCTGAAAGCTTCTAGCTTTTGACCTATACCTTCGGGTTATTATCCAATTGTTTATTTGGTGTTTGCATATAGTATTAAAAGACCGTTTTTTTCCAAATGACATTTAATAAAACTTTTTTTTTTTTATAATTATGATATATAGCAAAATGTATAAAGGAAGATTATAACAATATTGCTGTAGACTTTATAGTAATATAAATTATTCAACATTAAAGAAACTAAAAAACCTAAAACTAACCTATAAAAAAGACAATCTCGTAAAATGCTAATAAACAATATGGTCAAAAAAAAAATTTAACATCCATAATTAAGCCTTACACATAATCAAATCTTCCAAAACTTCTTCTTGAAACTCCATTAATATCCCACATCAAGATCCCGGCATCTTGACATCCAATCATAATCTTCGAATCATTTGTGCTATGAGGATCACAAAATTCAATCCCCAGTAATTCCATCTCACCATGGATATGATTGGTACATTGTTGATACGAATCATCACAATAGTTTGAATAAATATATGAATCCAGACGAGTTGACATACTTGGTGCGATTCCAGGTGGTGCGCTAGCCCAATCCATGCTATTGTATACTGATTCTAAATGAGCCGCAACGTCAGGATTAGTATCGAAATCTTCTATAGTTTGACTAATTGATGGACGGGCTGATGAAGTTGGAGATACATGTTCAATAGAGGTACCTTCCAATTCAATTGGACCCGATTCATTCCATTGGGGATAGTTGAGTTTTGGAGGCGGATTATATTGCATAGGTGCTGGTGGAGGTGGGGGAGGAATATAACTAAATTCCTTAAATAATCTAGGGCTAACATTAGTCAAGTAATCATAATCGTAAACTATTGGAGCCGTGAAGGAATCGGAAGTTTGCGGATATACCGCAACTGGGAATTTCTGACGGGGTTTAACATCGGCTTCATCAGGTTCAGTAATATCTTCTTTATGCATGACATCTTGAGATTTCTTCTTGAGTGCTCTTTCTTCACGCCTCTTGATTAAATGTGGATTCTTAATTGTGGCTTGATAATCACCAAATTGGTCTAATGCAACTGGAACGACAATAACTTGGTGATCATCAACATTGTCATAATCCAAATTCCTTAAATCAATCAAATGTACTCTTCCGACATGTTCCAGAATGATCAATAAATCATTCATATCATTTGCTGGTGAGAATTTACAAACTCTAAATGCTCCTGACTGATGTCCTGGTCTGGTAGATTTAATATCAATTAATCTTGATTTCAAATTACGGATATCGTAAATTTGACAAGTACCATCTTGGAAAACAGTACTGAATAAATAACCATTTGGGTGATAACTTACCCCAAATCCGCTTTCATGTCCTGATTTTATGGTTTTAATGATTGGTTTCGGTTGATGCGGATCTATCAAGAAAATAGAGCTCGAATCACCAGTTGCAGTCAATATTTTATCGGTTCTAGGGTTTTGCACAACATTGTTAAGGCAGGTGTTAATTTCACAGTTAATTTTGCATGTGACTTTGATGTTACCGTTATTATTGATATCAAGACCATACAAATGCGTATCATTATTACAAACATATGACTGATATGAATTAGTGCTAGAAGGATAGATTGTAACGTCATTATTTATCATTTCACCTAATTTAACCGTTTTGGATGTATGTGTTTTGGGGCTATAGAACGAAAATAACCCCTTTGCGATTCGCCTGGCGGGAATATTTGTGTTAGTTGAGGTTAAATTATCTAAATTCAAGGAGAACAACTTTGATGAGGAGGTTAGCAAACCACCAGTGACTATTATATCATCATGGTGACTAAAACAACGTGGATAATAGTTGAGTTTAATATAATTCTTGGTAGTTTCTTTATTCAAATCATACGAGTAAATGGAGTCATCTCTTGTATAATAAACCAAATCTTCCACCTCGTTAAACTTAAGCAAGTCTCGCAACTGCCAGTGGTTAACCGATGGCCTGATGTGGGGGATATATATCGGGTTTGGCTTAAGATATTCATACAGATGATAGTAATTCTGGAAACATTTGTTATACTGTTGACTACTATTGATGAACTTGCTTTTCTTTTTGGAAACGGATGAATTGGAGAAATTGTTGATGGTCTTTAGTTTGTTGGGGTGTGAAACGTCTATCGTCATGATAGGCGCTTATATAATATGTGTATATTTAAAAGGGGAGCGATAATGCAATTCAAAATGAAACTGGCCAGATTTAAAACAACAAAACAAAAAAAAAAGATTTCCTGATAAAGGTGGGGGTAATATCAGGGTTGAAACTGGCGTTATAGGGTGATGAATGATGTATCTGTTTGGTAGATGTATTAGTCTATTAGAAATACCTGCTATTGAAACTTGTTTTGTTGTATAGCGTGTTATTAGTGAAAAGATTCTGAAAAAGAAACCAGGAAAGAGAGGAGTGAGTTTTTAAATTTTTGTAGATCGACATTTTTCTATGACCAACATTATGTGCTAATGCTAAATTGCCCTCATATTAAAAAATAAATTAAAATTTCTTAGCTACAAAAAAAAAAAAATAAAAACTTAATTTAAGAATCATCCAAAAAAATTAAAATCGTGCAAAGACAAGTCGGAAAGGGAGGAGGGAGTGGGGTGCACCTAAGCTGCTAGTGCCAAATTTGACTTTTGGAATGCTTAATTATTTCCTACACTCTAATTAAATATGCTTGCAAAAAAAAAGTATATATTCTATACCAAGGGTCTGAATAAAACATTGTGTCAGCTTATAGGGGGTCCAATATTCACCTTTGGCTAGTGGTCATTTGTAGTTGCGTTGAAAGGTTGCATCTATAATGATCCTGCACATTGTATCTTATTGTTCCATTACGTCAGGCTTTTTCTTTTTTTTTTTGTTATGGGAGGTTTTTGTTTGTGATACTCTTCGCTCTAGCTCTTGTGCAGATTTCGTTCCTACCGGAGTCAATAAATAAAACACGATTACGTATGACCTACAAAGTACTTGAACGTACAGATCTGGAACTAGAGATGATTAATAATGATCATGATATTTTTTTCGGAGAATAGTTGTGAACCCCTTGCATTCGGAATGGTCGGTGGTGGTTTTTTCCTGTGAATGAGTGGAAAATTGCCTGAGGATTATTTTGCAATTGAAAAATTGCCCCAAACCACCACTCGTATGTGATAGCACTCAACAAAAAAAAATGACTAGGTTGGGGCTGCATGCAGGAATTGGAACAAAATGATAATTAAGCTAAAAAAAAATGAGATGACTTTATTGTTTGGTTGGCATGATTTTCCTGTGGGGGACGGATTTTGTGCCACACAGAAATCACTCCATACATTTTAGACTGTTATACATTACTACAAAAAATATATACATCATGAGTCAAAGAACGGTGGAAAAATCGAGTCACTCATGACTAGATGAAACGAGCAGTTGTCATTACAGATGGTCGCGTTCAGTTATTTTCCGTTGGAGTACTTTCACTCTCGTTTTCTCCTCGGTTAATCTTAATGTTTACCACATCATCATCATCATCCTTTTCAACCTCTAACTTGGGTAAACTAATAGTTAATCCGTCTTTGCCATGCTCAGCAACAATAGAATCAACACTCACTGGTTTTTCAAATTGATAATTGCTGGAGAAACTACTTGCAAAACTCGAAGTGTTGCCCTTGTCTTCTTGATCCATCTTTTGTTCAATTGAAATTTTCAAGGAGTTTTCATTCTTGTTAAAATCGAGCTTCACATTCTTATCTGCAAGATTTGCATCTTTAATATTAACCACGTATTTATCCTTCTCTTCTGTAGTCTGGAAATAATCATTCATTGACTTGTTGTCAAACCAGTTGATATCAAAATCCCGTGCAAGTGGATCCCGGAATATTTCGGGGAGTCGGAAGAATGAATCTTTGTATCGTGGTACAAGAGGCAATGGTAAGCGTGGATCATACCAGGTACGATACCCGCGAACACGAGGAATTAAAGCCTTGGGAATATTAGCAGCAGTTCTTCTAAGCATAGTGTTTATTAACAGAGTTCTTTGTAGTTTTGATGTTCAAACAACAGTAGCAAGTTCGTAGAGGTCTACTTTCTTTTATACGTTACTAAAAATCTTGATGCGCTACCAAGGATACTCTAAAGAACATTCGAGAGTTTTCTATGAAATAGGGGAAGCAAATGATTTTCCCCCCGATCTAACCGAGTCGCCATTGCATTAGGTTGTTATGAACTATGAATGTTATAAGTGGGCGGTTATACCCTGATGTGGTGCGTTATTAGAATTTATTTTATTGGGATGATTTTTTAGATTATCGAGACAATAGAATCGTTATGGAACATTCGGTTTACAACCATAATGTTCCGAACACGGCCAACTTTAATGCCACATAAATATAACTCTAATAAAATCTATTTCTATAATAATCTATAAAACTAAGTCTAATAATAAACGGTAGCACCTTTGTAGTAATATGCAGATGGGACAACCGTGACTTTTGTTTCAATTGAAGTAGTAGGAGAAGAATAGTAAATACTACTTGAATTGGTGTATCCTCTAGAAGAAGTGGTACTTGTGGAAGTTGAATTCGTGTAGTGTGTTGAATAACTATAGGTACTAGTGGTTCGTGCAGTGGTGTAAGTGGTTATATCAGCATAAGTGTAAGTATAAGTATAATAATCAGTGCGGGTCTCAACCTTATCTTCAGATTTTTTATGTTCTGTTGTTTGTTTAGTTTGAGACGAAATGCTGGAACTAGACTTGATTGGTTCACCAGTAGTGATTGTGGTTGTTTCAGTTACAGTTTTGATTGAAACAGGGGCATAAATAGTGGTGGTAAAAGCATTGCAGATTGGGCTTGGAAAGGATGTAGGGTTTGCTGGAATAGCTGTAGTAATTTCACTATGAGTAATAGCTTCTTCAATGGTACTATGAGTACTTGCTTCACTAGTAATATGGGTGATTTCGGAGTAGGTGTTAGCAGCAGCAGCAGTAGTAGTAGTAGTAGTGTAGATGTGAGTTTCAGTATTGGTATGAGTTTCAGTACTAGTTGATGAAGAATTGGTCCAAACACTAGATGTATTGAAATATCTATGATAGTTTGGGAAAATTACTGTGGTTGATACAGTCTTGTAGTCAGTTTCATAGGAAGTTTCTTCTCCAAAGACTAAAGTAACGATAAAGAATAAGGCAAGGTATCCGATCATTGTTGTTTGTTGTTGTGATGATATAAAACTGAATTAGATCAATTCAATTGAAATATTGTCTCATTTATATACTTTTTTTGCAACTAGGATTCTAGTCAAACTTGAGTTTGGTTCAGCCATGTATATTGAAAGTGGCTGCTAAACCAAAAGAAAAGAAACGATTCTAATTTTGGATTTACGTAAAATGCGCCGCGCGCGCGATTTAAAAATTCCCGCATAAAACAATGTATGGAACAAAGTTTCTTTTCATGATCCTTGAAATGCAACGAGATTCTTGAAAAGAACAATGGTTAATCGATGATGTAATTATTATTAGATAAAACTAAAGTTATCGTATATGTGTGTTCTTTTTGTTGCATTGATGTATCAACTTTGCAATCTGGAAACCTTTCTCTGACGTAATTAATATCGAAGATAGGTCTACTGTAGTGTAGAAAATCTAAGTTTTGGCAAAAGCCATGTATCTATTTTTAGTTACCTTGATCCGTTCACTTTTACACTACCTCAGTCAGGTACTCAATGATGAAATGTCTATTTTGGAAAGCTTAAAGCTAAATGTCCAAGCTCATATCATTTTAGACTTTAACCCTTGTAGTTGGAATACAAGAGATTTTCTAATAACTAGGTGTATCAACTATCAACAATTCAAATCTACTAAGGTTGTTTCTATGTTCGGGTAAGAGAAACAAATGAATAGTTCCTTCAAAGTGCGATTCTATTCACAAATTGCTTTGCCTAAAACTTGAAATAATCTACAAAGGCTCTTCTAAAGAGATATTCATTTAATAGATACAACTATAAATAAGGAGAATGCGATATATTTAAGGAAAATTTATGTTACTAACAATCATCATCATCTTAGTTTATAAAAGACAACTGTGGTGGATCAGCGCTAGCAACTGGGGTTTCTAATGGTTCATTGTCATCGAAAGACAAAATTGGTGGATCAGCGCTAGCAACTGGGGTTTCTAATGGTTTATTGTCATCGAAAGACAAAATTGGTGGGTCATCTATAATTGGTGTCCCTATAGATTCATCTGAATCAGTAGGAGTTTCTTCTAAGACGGATGTAGTTGGTGTTTCCAAAGAAGGAATATCGACCCAAGTTGAGGTGCTATCCCATGTGGTGGAGTCACTCCAGGTAGTGGAGTCATCCCAAGTGGTGGAGTCACTCCAGGTAGTAGAATCATCCCAAGTGGTGGAATCACTCCAGGTGGTAGAATCATCCCAAGTGGTAGAATCACTCCAGGTGGTAGAATCATCCCAAGTGGTAGAATCACTCCAGGTATCTGTGTCAGTCCAAGAAGTAGTTTCTGATTCAGACCAAGTAGTAGTATCGTCCCAGGAAGTAGTTTCCGTATCATACCAAGTGGTAACAGTTTCATAATCTGTTGAAGTATGATGACAGGTATAGGTATCCGTAGTATAAGTTTTGTACCAAATAGTGGTGGTTGCATCAACATAAGTAACAGTACAGATATATGAATGATAGTATATGAAAGTTGCCACATCAGTAGTACATGTCTCTGTAAATGTGACATAATCTTCGGTATAAGTATAAGTATAAGTATAGCAATCACATGGTTTCTTTTTATAGACCACATCACCACCATTAGTAGGACATGTAGTTTCGGTTTTGGTAACAGTAACAGTCTTTGTTGGGGCATTTTTGAAAACTGTAGTGGTTACTGTTTCGGCATCACAGTTTGAAGACTTGTCTTTGTCTTTATTCTTATCAGTATATACTTGCTTGTCGGCACAGTAGCACAAGTCATATGGTGCATTTGGACATGGACCATTGTATTTAATCGAATTATAATCGTCAGCAGTATACGAACCAGCATAAGTTACTTTTTCAAACTTGGACTCATCATAACCTTTTCCAATATAAACCAAAATCAGACTGTTGTAATAGTACAACTGCAAGGCTCCTAAGTAAGTGTCATAGGTATATGAATATAATTTGCTAAAAGATCCAATAGTACTATCATCACCAAAACCACTAAAGGAAAGACCAAGTGGAGTTTCATCGAAAAGCACATGGGAGTTATTAGTCAAATGGATAGTTTGGGGAGTATAGGCAAACTTTTCATTAATGTACAATTCAGAACTATCCAATACGATACAACCTGTTCCACTATAGTAGGAATAAATACCATCAATGGAGTTTCTGTAACAAATAGAACCTTCATTTTCAGTATTACCGCCAGTTGTAGATATACTTGGATAATGGGAATCATAGAATTGAACATGTCCGTAATTGTGAAATTGGGAAGTTGCAATTGAAATGTCTCCATCAGTCAAGAAAATATTCCCATAATTGTTAAATGAATAATACAGCAAGTCAAATTTACCATCATAAAGATCAGCAGAAAAGGTTCCATAGTTGGTGAAGTAATCACCACTAAGATTGATTTTAGTGGAATAAGAAGAAGGTGAGCGTGCAGTGATTGAACCATTATTATAGATGTTGCCATCAATTTCAACTGATTTCACATCAACAAGGTCATAATGAGCTGGAGAAAAAACATCAAGAAACTCACCTGAGGTTATGGCTTCCCTAACGGTGGTATCTGTGGTAATTTGTTGACCAAAGATTGGCGAAAACAAAAAGCAGAAAAAAATAAAGTAAAGCATTGTTGAATGTGTCTGTATGCTTATAGAAGTAAACGGAAAGAGATTGATCAAAAGGAGTTTATCATCATTTAAATAGTTGATTTTCTTTTGATCAAGATAATTCGCAGCCGTAATGGCAAAAATAGCTTGACCAAAAGAAAATTTGGCAACTGCTAAATTTGGAAATACGTAAAAAGACACAGAAATATTTTTTAATTCAACCCCACAATAGCATAGCCGTTTTCTTCTACATTCATCATTAGAGGCTTTTTTTAAAAATAATTAGTATAACTTGCTTTATAAAATTATAAGCTGGTATCGTAACTGAGTTATAATAATCCAAAAATGGAAATGTTATTGTTTTTATCCAGGTCGAAATTAGAAACAACAACGGTATTTTTTTGAGGCTGAGTATCAAATAAGCATGTCTCGGTTGAGGTGAACATAGCGACAACTAGTTGTCAGAATACGCCTGTGCAATAAACAAGGAACTTGCAAGTGTTTAACTGATATCCCGGTAAACTGACTACATAGGACCATCAAACGTTTGATTGCAAGCTCCGTAAGTGAATTGCAGGTTGTTTGTTTTTTTTAGCCAGGTAGCTGAATTTAGTATCGAGTATCGAATAACCTGCTGGGTTCAGCCTATATATAGGTTCAATCATATAATCTCTAACTGGGCTTAAAACTACTTTAGTTAAGTTCCTTGCTGCCTCTACAAGAAAATTAATTAATTTCTTCAAGTCACTAGAAGAATCTAAAAGGTCTATTTTCCTGGGTAGAATCTTATCATTGGAAACTTCAAGAAAAAACCCAAATATGATAGAAAACTGTATCATTTAGGGATGAAAAAGATAATTACGATCAATTCTTTCCTGTGGTATTAAATATTTTCGTAATTGAGAATGTTTAGAATATGTGCTCAACCGGGACAGAGTATTCTAATTTTAGATTATTCAAAGAGGGGAATTACAAATGATTATATACTAAAAATACAGAGTGGAGACATTTAGAAATTGCTTTATTGACAACTTATTAACTCAGCGCAAATAACCCGTCTATTTTTAAACCAAGACAGCGAACCCCTCTTAACATATGGAAAGAGAAGTATACATGATAACGCCCATTGTAATCTAAGTTTACGCTAGTTAAAGTATACTAATGAAAAACTTGGTAAATAGAATAGTATTGAGCCATGTATTTGCAAATCTAGATCCACAACCAATTCGGAGCCGAAATAAGATAGAAAGGCAAATGAGCATGCCATATCTTCTCATCCGTTAGCAAACCACGTGAAGCAATCTTCTCGTTTAAAGTTATTAACCGAATAAGCAGACGTGCATAACAACGTCTAGACTTTTTCCGATAATCTTAATTGACTCACCTATTCAAGTTGTCTAGTAGTTAGACCCAGGAAACAGATTAAAGTAAGGATTGAAAGTGTAGCTTTTTCAAACAAAAAATTGTTTTTTTTTTTTGCAAAATATCGGCTAAAACTACGGGTATTAAAAATTGTGAACGTTGTCATGGAACACACTGTTAAAAACTAATTTGCAAAGGCAAACCCCCCATGGAAGTTCTAGAATTTAGATTTACGCAAGTTATGAGCAAATTCCTATCTCGACAGGGGCTACAAAATGTTATGGCTTTGTATGCTTATCCCTAAAATTCATCATAGCAAGCATCCAAAGATAGCAGTCAAATTGATAAGGAATTTTAAAGAAGGTTCAAGAGATAAAATAAACGCGCATACACAAAATTGAAAGAGGAGTAAAAGCGAGGGGTTCTTTACTTCAGCGAAATAGGTAAAATTGTTGATTGATTGATTGTCCATAATTCCGATCACAATGAGTCAACCGGGAAGAATATGCAGGAAAATAGGTGTTTGACGTGTGGAATTATATTGTTATGATTGAAAGAGGAGAAAAAAAAGATGAGAAAAATGGACCGCGTTCCTAATCAGGCAATCTAACAACAAGTTAGCGAATCCAGGTTTGTTAAGTAAGGAAGGAAAATCCCTAGATAATAAATCTAGAACAATCGAAGGATTTTTTTTTTTTGGTGGCATTTTTCGCAACACACACAATTTCTCTACAAACCCCTCATCTTACGCAGTTCCCCTCTAAGAAATTAAGTATACTGGGTGAAATTCAAAAATATGTCGCTGTAATATCATCATCAGCTGATATTAAATGTGAGATCCAATGCAACAGATCCCAAGCAAATGTGCATTATCTTTTCTAAATATATCTAGGGATTGCATCAGGTGTATGCACGTAGATGTTAGTTAGTTGCAATGATAATAAAAAAAAGAAATTGTAAATCTTTTTTTGGAATGAAAGGAAAAAAACGGTTAATTATTTTTTTTCTTCTAGACTGTTGGCAAAAAAAGCTTATACGACAGGTCGAAGAAAAGAGGAGTAAGTTTAGTATTGAGGTAATGATGTAACGTAAAATTCGCCTGTCAAAGCTGAAAAAAAGCTTATAGCTTGATCTGTTGAGTATTGGCGGGTAAAATCAGCTCAATTGTTTGAAATGAAACTGATGGCTTGCTCAGGTTGTTTACATATATGTGCTTGGCCTAACTATAACCAGGTGGGCGATAAGTCTACTTGCTATTTTCATGGTTAGGTTTTCGTCGTTTAAATAAGGAGGGGAGACGAAAAGATCAAGAGCCACGATGGTTCCTGTACATAAAAAAATTTGTTGAGTAAGAATTAATCCGAGAATAGATAAAAATAAAACTGAAACCAGTAAAAACAACAGTAGGGCGAATGGAAGAAAATGGCTGTGTGAGAAAGTGGTACGAGCATAGACTAAAAAAAAAAATACAGCAATAGATTTGTTTGTGTGGCTATAGTAAATGGGGGGAAAAGGGGGGAAACTCAAGGGAGGGGATCTTTTTTTTTTTTGTTTAGTCATAATCTATTATTATAGAAATTTTTTTTTGGGTGGCTTCTTCGTTGCCAGCAGGTCTCGTTTGGGATTTGTTCCATGTTGGCCACGCTTTTATTATTATTTTGCGACATGCGTTAGTTTTATCTTTGGAAAAAATAGATTCCCCTCTTTCATTTGCAGCACGGTTATAAATATGCTGCCATCTTCCTCGTTTAACTTGGATTTGCAAAATTATTTCTCTTTATCTTTCAGTCTCTTTTTGTTCCATCTACTCTTTTCAACTATTCACATTTCAAGTTCAACCTTTTAATTAATTATCATCAGCACAATGTTCAAGTCAATCTTTCAATCAATCAAGCCAATGATCATTAACGGTGCTACCAGATCCGGCGTTACAGTTACTGCCACACCAGCTACTTCTATTACTATTTATCACAATACAAACTCCTTGTTATCACACAATTTGTTATCCAAGTTGTCTTCATACAGTGTTTTACCATGCACTGTTCACAGATTTAAGGATTCTCATCAAACCATCACCTCATACACTACTGACAAGGTCTCATCTTCGAATGGACAAGCACCAATTGCCAAATTTGATGTCGATGTCAAGTTTAACCAAGGATTATCTAAGACAGATTACGATTTCATTATGAATGAATGTGTCGATATCCACCCTGATAATCAATCCATTATGTTGCAATTGTTGTATGGGGTTAGCCATGACAAGAGAAAGTTGATCAAGTCTTTTGATTTACACGACGAATTGTACAGTAACTTTGATAGAGTCTCACAATTATCAAGAGAAAATGGTCCTTTGATTATTGACTACAACAACAAGTTGATTGCCAACGATGAAGCTTCATTTGATCGTATCATGGTTAATTACTTGAGTTGTGGAATTCAAAATGTTGATAAGGCTGGTGCTGGTTTAGGTTCAAATGGTTCTAGCAACAATAGCGCCAATCTTAACGTGTCTGCTGCTAGTACTATTCCAGCCGCTGAGTTGTACCATCAAAATTTAATCCATCCTCACGTTGCTGAGTTTGCTGATTTGTTTTAAGATGGTTTTGTTTTTGTTTTATTTTTATAACTGGTTATGGTCACTTTATTAAAAGAAATGGTAGTATTACTACTGTGTTTGTCTTTTTTGGATACTAATTTATAGCGGGTCTGTTTAATAATTTTTTGGGAATTTTAGTTTTTTATTGCTTTTATAGATTTTAATTAATAGCTAAATATAATATGATTTATAAATTAAACAATTGTACATTATATTCGTTAAACCAAATTGCTATACACTATACACCCATCCTCTTGATGACATATTCTTGAGCAACAACCCCTAAACTCAAGTTCAATCCCTGCTTAATCCAATCCTTAACCCATTCTCGAGGATCAACGGAATCAGTCAATGATTCTTGATCGTTCACTACATTCAATTCTTCTCCATCTAACCAAGCGGCCCATCTTAATGGGAATGGCTGGGTTTTGGTGATGATGGTGATACCATTGGTTATATCCTTGAGGACAATTGTGAACGAGAATGAGTTGGCATTTGACGATTCAATAAGCACAGGCTTATCGTCATCTTCCGCAGGTTCATTTTCCCTGTCGGGTTTACTAGTGGTGATTGGTTGGATGGAGATGAATATGTTTGATTTGTTGATTAATTCTTCCTCTTGTTGTTGCTTCTCTTCGGGTGATGGTTCGATCTTTTGGAAATCTCTGGCGGCGGATTCTAAATTTGCAAAACATAATTTTTCACCATCGATCACTTTCCCATAAAACATATTCAATTTGACTCCGTTGGTCTCTTGTTCATCGTGATGTTGGTTGAACTGAACGACACTAACATTGATCCCACCTTCGACCTGGTTCATAACCAGTTGGAAATTCTCAGATACCAATCGATTTAAGTAATTCAAATTATATAAATCACACACAATCATCACATTCAATATCTCATCAACATCCTCCAATAATCCTTGTTTAATTTGGTTACTCACATTAACCACGAGAGAATTCAACCGGTCACTCAATTTGCTAAGTTGTTCGTTTCCTTCCAAGTGTTGTCTCTGTTGACTCAATTGGTTGGTGGTGGCCAGGGCCAACTGGTAGGTCTGTTCCGACAACTTTTCAGCATTGGATGTGATTGTGCCCCATAATGAACTAACCTTTGTTGACCCTTCCTTACTCCACCAACTGGAAATTTGGCCAATTGGATCAATTTCGAGTTCGGCCTGGGCATTAGGTTCGGTGTCGGCTTCATCGGTCATGGTTGTGTCTGACGACGTGGCGGTTGTTGCTTCAGTAGTGCTTTCTTTGGCTTCTTCGACGGTGGGAGGAAGTGGAATTGACGAAGAGATGGTAGTAGGAGCGGCAGCCAGTTTCTTGGGCTCAATATCTTTCTTTGGTTCCAACTTAGTTCTGCTTGCTGGGCGCTTTGTTGTCTCATGTTGGGCCAATTCATCCAAGAAATCTAAGAGATCGTCGGCTTTGGACTCCTTCACCTCAGAGCTGCCACGCCCTGACACAGGCTGTGGGGTAGATGGTTTGGAATCCGGAAGGGAATTGATGAAATCAAGTACGTCTTTATCTGTGGGCATGGTAGTTGTCTGTCGATCACGGTGTTAATCGACTAAGTGTTTGTAACATTTTTTTTTGTAGTGACTTTGAATCGTAAAATCTCCTTGGCCAGAATGCACGACCTTTTCTTTCATCAGCAAAGCAAATCCCGTGGTTTACTAAGAATCAAAAAAAGTTGATATAAATCGTTTGATTAATATAAGTTTAAATCACAGTTTAACATCAGAGAAACTAGGTTATCATGCATCCTCAGTTAGATAAAAATCGTTTCGATACATGCGAGAAACTAATGGACGCTCTTGAAAAGTGTCACCAACAAGAATACCTTAAGCAAATCCTTGGAATGTGCAACTATGAAAAGGACCAATTAGCCAACTGTTTGCATTACACCCGAGTAGAAGACTCCAAGGACAGAATTAGACAAGCTAGAGAAAAGCAAAAGCTCTTTGAAGAAAAAAGAAGAAAGGCTAGAGAAGAAGAGTACGGGAAAGACGGATACTTGCAAAAGGTTATTGATGCTGAGTTACAAAAGAAGCAGAACTAGACCAGCATGACCTGGTTGACGCAAGTAAAGCAACAGCCAAAGCGATGCTTGAAGGAGCGCAAAAAAAAAGAAGATTGTAAGAGCACGAGTGGAGGTGGGAGGAGCTCCTTTTGAAAGCTTATACGTATCCTCAAAAGATACACTGTAAATAGAATAACAAACAGAACAAAGAACTTCTAATATACATTCACAGAAACGAATTTCTATTTATTCATTCATTCAAAATGCTATCTCTCTAATCTTGACGAGTCTTCAATACTCGTTTAACCACCTTATCCTTGGTAACGATATACACCACGGCCCCCCAACCAGAAAGGGCATCTCTATCCACAGCATTCAACAATGCCTGACTGATAGTTTCAAACAACTGTTCCGGCTCTAAATCAGGTTCGTACAACGATTCACACATCCCATACAATTGGTCTGAAGCGGTACCACTGACGATAAAATCCTTGGCGAAATCAATACACCCAATCAGATCAAATCCACATATGAATGGCTTATTATCCTTGTGGCCCAATCCAGCCACAATGGGACTTACAAAGTATGGCCCGAATCTTCGTTCGTAAAGCGTGGAACTGACCAAATTGGCCAAGGTCTCGGGCTCAATCAGTCGTTCCTCTCGCAACTTGTATAAATTGGTCTTGAACCGGAAGGTCTCCTTTAATGTAAGTACGTCAGTGGCTAACCCAGTCAACCCGAGAAAGCACTTGTCGCCAAAGCCAAAGATTTTTTCAAAGTTGTTGGATACCCCAAGCGATTGGTTTCCCAACCTCAAATCACTGGCTATGGCAATACAATCTTTGCCAACCATGGCCACGGCAGAACCCCCATTGATGGAAAATGGATCAGACATTGTGTGTATGTATTATAACTCTTTCAACTGTATATTATCAACAAACTAACTGCCAATTGGGATGTCAATTAGTGTCTAGTTTGAATGTATGGGTGGCGTAGACAGGGTTGGTTTTTTTCAGCGTTAACAAAAAGTGACGATGTTCGTGCGACAACCAAATACCAACCGCTACCAAATTATACACTTCCGTCTTTTTAATATTACTGCAAAAATTCATTTAAAGTTTATACATAACAGTCATAATAATCTAATAACAATATATACAAATATAAACAAACATATTAAACCACAACAAGAGGACCAGACACAGTTTCTATGTCTTCCGTCTTCTCTAACACAACATTGAGATGTGGTTGCTCAATAAATACCATGGGTTTTTCGTTTGGTTGTATTTCTTCTTCTGGCTCTTCTGGCTCCTCGTCAATGGTCTGATAAGTATGTTTCATCGACTGCAGAAGCTGCTGGTGGTGGTGGCCCAGTTCCGAATTCTGTAGCTCGGAAAGGGTGAATGTTTTAGGCGACTTCACCATGTGGAATTGGTCTTGTTGTTGTCGTAATTGTAATTGGGCAATGTCGGAAATCGACTTCGATGCTTCGAAAGTGGGGATGACTCCCGCAATATCCTTGATGCTCAAGAACATCTTTTTGATTTCCGATTTAATCACCGTGGTTAATTGGTCTTCTTCACTTTCAACCTGGGTGGCTTCGTTGGCTTCCGACGAATCACTGACTTTTTCTTCTTCGGTTTCCTTATCCTTGTCTTCTAGGTCAAACCGTAATTGTAACCCAAATCCAAGCATAATGAGGTAATTCTTGTACTTTTTGATTTCATCCTTGTACTGATTAATCTTAATTGCGTAATTACTAAGCACTCGTGAATAGTTGCTGCAGTTATACGTAGCCTTGGGTAACTCTTTGACAAACGTGTGTTTCTTCTGAAGGAACTCAAAATACAACTTCTTCAAATTGTTGTAATACTTTAATGTCTTCATAAACTGTCTCATCATACCTAAATGGTTTGGATCTTCATCGTTGATGATATACTTGGAAAGATAAATTCCTTGGACAATTGGTTCCCATTTCATGATATTCTTGGACTTCTTGAACATGTCCGAGTGAGCAATCAAGTATTCCAAATTGGTCCACCCATATTCAATCGAACTTACGCTTTCTTCTAATGTAGGTATAGCAGTAATCTTAGCGGCCCAGAAATTACAAGCATTGACATATTCTAATGCAATCTCTTTAGTACCAGCCTGGAATAAGAACTTCATGGCCGCTTTCTTGTTGGAAGTGGCGGGGAAGGTCAATGACCATTGATATGTCTTTTTACCAGCCGACACCACGGGAGTTTCCAATTGGGCAAGGGTAGAACACAAATTGTAGTTGCCAATCTTGGCGGCATTCTTTAACCAGTTCCCGTCCCCGATTTCATCATCGTCGTCATCTATCTGTCTCTCCTTCTTTTTCTGCTTCTTGATTATCTTGGGATCGAACGAGTAGAGTGATAATTCACCCTTGCAGACAACGACAAAGTTCTCCACGAACTTGTGGTGGAGCAATGGTTGTGATTGTGGTTTAGGAACACGTGGCTTTTTAAAGAACGATTTGAATCGACCAGTATAACTTTGTTGTTCTGAGGTGATGGACGCAGTATCTTGCTGTTCATTATTCATAATCCGCAATTTCAACAACCCTTCTTTTAAATAGGGTGATCCTTGAAGCTCCAATGTCAAGTCGTAATCATCTTCGTAATTGTCCACCAAGAAATTATCCATGTGGTTATTGGTGTCATCTACATCGTCTTCATGCAAACTTACAGTTTCAAATGATAACAATGACAAAGTATCATCGCCGATATTTGCAGCAGAAACATTGGATTCTCGCGATTGCAACGACGCAAATGATTTCCGTTTGTTGACCGGCTGTTGGTATAACAAGTCATCCATTGATGGACGTACTTGTATATGATGACGATTGGTGGTGGTTGTGGTGGTTTGCGAAGTGAACGATGCATGGCTGTGTTGTCCTAACATTTTCCGCTGTTGGTTTTCCTTGTCGGTGGCCAAGGCCCGGGCGAGACCGACACGTTCCTTGTGGCGATAGAATGGTTGATGACTTAAATTGGAAATATCGGATGTGCCCGTGTTAATACGTTTCACTACTGAGTTGGTGTCTACCGACCAGATTGAGCCTGACGAGTTGGATATTTGGCGTGAGAGCTCGCCACTGTTGTGGTGAGGGTCCTCGGTTTCTTTGATTGGAGTAGATTTCCACGTGGTTTCCAAAGTATGAACAGCGGTGGAATAGCTAGTATGGGAAGTATGGGAGCTATCAGTGGTTGATCTCGAGGTCTCCCGCTTGCTGGTACGGCGATGCAACGAGGGTTCCGAGGAATTGCTGGTGGTAGTTTTCAAATGTAACTCATTCTTGGCAAGATCGTCGTAGTACCTGGACAATTCACGTTCGATAATGATCCGTTGCTTGACTGTGAGGGAAGATCTAGAGCGCAGTTGTTGAATGAATGTCCCAAATGTATCCTTGATGAAATCTTGTTGGCTGATTCTACTTTTCTTGTTGACTTCCAGGTTGTGCAAAGCTGTATTTAACAAGATCAACGAGTATATAATAATGTAAATCTGTTCAAAGTTCCTGGTTGCAAACACGTTCTGGGGGTGTTGTTTCAAGTATGATTTCGTGAAGGATGAAAGGATTCTGTCAATCTCTTGTGATTCGCCCTTCAAGTACAATTTCAGACAGAGCATCCGGGTAGACTGTAACAAATCGGACGGCCATTGGAAAAGATTCATGTAGTGAGTTCTAATCCGGGACGATTCGTCGTCGTTAGCAGCAAGGAACTGGATATATTCTTCAGGAGCGATCGACACAAACTCTTCGTCGTACAACTTCTTAGCAATGGAAAGCGACTCATCCACAGGCGGTGGCGGTGCTGGGGTGACTGGGGGTGCAGAATGTGACGTGTTGACAAGTATGGGGTTGACATCGGCGGAAGCTGCCAACACTGCTGTGGATATGCTGGTGGTGGTGATTGTTGTGGCGGCAGACGTGGTTGATTTACTATTGAGGGTGGTTGCTGCTGATGTGCGGATGGAGTCCAAGGGAGAGCTCATAGAAAAATCAGCATACGTGTCTTCAGTAGGGGTTTTCTGTTTGATGGTTTCGATATAGCCGTTCAGTGTATTGATATTCACGGTGGTGGTGCCATTTGGGCCAGCGCCATTTGACAATGGCTGTACTGGTTCGATGGCTGATTCAGATAACGAGTTGTTAGGGTTCATGTATGGTTGAGTGATTAAGATGGGAGTTTGCGGTGCCAGTTTCGCCTCTCTTATTTGTGGACGTGTTTGCAAGGGCATGTAAAAAGGGGAACGAGCGTTGTTATGGTGAAAAAGGGTCGTGTCTCAACTGTCGCGTGGTGCGTGTGGGTGTGGATGTGTAGATGTGTGCGATATGGTAGTCAATTGGAACAAGAAGTACATAGACTTGCCTTCCAGATCTGTGATAAAACACCACCCTTTTATTTAAATACTGCTTTAGTTTAAACGAAAACCAAAAGGGGAAATCAGACTACAAAATAAATTAAAATAAAAAAAAAAAATTCAATATCAGACAAATGTATGCACGAATCAGAAAAATAAAATATAAATATGTAATTTCTTTTTACGGTCATTGTTACCTTCGTCAAAAACTATAATTTGTGCCTTTTTTTTCTTTTTGTCAGGACAGGGTTCTTACAAATTACACCATTTTTTTTTTTTTTATTTTTCTTGGTTACTTAGTTACTGTCTGACACTTCACTACTATTTCTGCATGCGTTGCTTTGTGGAAAATTCCCCTTTGTAGACAATTAGATTGAGCCATAGTTAGACTATGCATCGGCTTAAACGCGTACTTCCCATGTTTTGTTTTGTAGTAGTTATAGACACAAACAGCTCTGTCTAGCCCAGCCTCGAGGATACGTTTAGTTCGTAATTTGCACCGAACGTTACATTATAGAATGTAAATTTGGCGTTAGCACGGAAATTTATGCACTCCCTGCTAACTTCGATGTAACTGAATAAACAAAAAAAAAATAAAATAAATTTTGACGCGTCTTCTCAGTATGATTGCCTCTACCGTCAACAGAACTACCGAAACAGCCCCAATTGATTGGATGTAATAGGTAAATTATCATCTGAACTAAAGCGATCAGGGGTACATGTCTCGGAGTTTACGAGGATATACGCCGGGTTATCCTCTGATGGAAATTTGTCTTAGTATTTACCTTTGTATTTACCATGTGTTGCATTACTAAATCTATGGCTGAGACTAAGCGGAGAACATCTGTGTGTTTCTGCATGACTTGTTTGGTATGTCGGCTGTGGCGTCGGCGGCATTATACATGTAAACTTGATAAGCCAGCCAACTTAGCCCCACTAGCTTGTAAACGCTTTATTGCTGTAGGGATGGCTAGACCGGGATTTGGTAGCGCAGAATACTATTCTCATGGTGTTTCGTTTGGTAGCGTGTGCACTGTTTATTCGCTCGGTAAATACGGTTTGAAAAGTGCTGCCTACATTTGCCACATTTCTAATCCCTGACCTACAAACTAATACAATGGATACAACTACAGTATTAGACCATCTCAACACATGCTATGAAACTAAACAACCAATTGATAATGATTTAATAGATACATTTACAACCAGTGTGAATTCCCACACACCCGATCTCCCCCAGTTGATTTCTATTATAAATCAAATTCTTCTTGGTGAATCCAATATCGATCCCATGGGAATGCTAGTGGCTTTACTTGAGAAATTGCTTGGGAATTTGCTGTTTAAGGAGATCTTGCAGGTTTATCCTGCCGAGTTTATTCTTCAGTATTTAGTGAACTATGAGGAGAATCCGGTTGTCAATCAGTTATGTTTAAAGATTTTAAATTTGAATTTGCATGATGAGCAAACTCAGGAGTTTTTGAGAAGCAATGGCGTGTTGATTAAATTGTTGGAGATTTACTTCAAGCGAAATACCCCGATTGGGGTATTGAACCAAATAGAGAAGTTGACCTCGTTGTTAACCACCACGGAGTTTGCGCTATTGGTTACACCCCTGTATTTGCAATTGTTTAGTTCATTCCGTCATGTTGACGATACCACTATATTAGCGAGATATCTTGATTACTTGACTTTGATATTGCCTAAGCTTAAGTCCGTTGACCCTACCCTCTACCAGTTTACTAAGCGTGAGATTGATCAGATTGAAGATCCGTTGTTTTTGATACTACTAGCACAATTTTATGGAAAGTTATTAGAGCAACCTATCAATATTGAACCTCCGTTGAACGACTTTATTTCTCTATATGTGGATGGGAAATTGGATGAACTAGTGAAGGGCGAATTAATCAATGTGATTGCAAAAATGTCGTATCTCGACAAGTATACCTCCATCCTCGAACACAGCCAACTATTTAAAACTCATAACTTGATAAAAGTATTTGAACATGATCAAAGTGATATAAATTTGTTGAGCAAAGCTAATCCCGATGTTATTGTCCAGTTGAATTACCTGGTCTATCGAGACGTATTAGACAATTTGTCCTTGTTTAATGACAATTTGTACTTGCCTATTCTTTTAAATTTCATAAAGTCGCCTGTGATATTTGGATTATTACTGAGTCAGTTCAACTACTTGAAGTTTTCTGGGATGTCGATGGATAAACTATATCTCATTTTGCTTAGCATGAGTGAGAAGGGTCACACCAAGGAATACTTGTTTAATAATTTACCCAATGTAATTACGCAATATTTGCTTGAGCTGGAAATTAGCAATAATCAATTGTGGAAATTAAAACTCGAGATATTTACTAATTTGTTGAGTGATCCAGAAGTAGTGGGCTACGCATACTGGCACGATGAGCTAAACCGAGTTTACGAGTTGATGAAGTACGGAAAAAGTTTCAGAAATGTCACCAAAGTAGATATAATGGATGAGACTGTGTAAAATTTCTATATAGTATTATTTGAAGAGTCCTCTTTGGGTTCCACTTGTGTAGCAGCAGCAGCAGCAGCAGAAGCGCGTTGTCGTAAAATCTCTTGGTCCTTGGCCAACTTCTCCAATTCTTTCTTGGCCTTGTCGTCAGCGGCCTTTTTCTTTGCTCGGTTGTTTGTCCAACGGATATTAAACACAAGGACAATGTTCATTACCACGATCCACATCACTAGTATTCCGATGTTTCGACCAAGGTGGCCCTTCCACGTATTGAAAAACACCACCTTCAATGCCTCATAGGTATTGTACATGGGCAAAGCGTACCCGTAATGGTAAAATCCCGGCATAAGAATAAACGGCGCAAATGTAGTTGATATGTTAATGACGACATTGAAAATCATCCAGGGAGCAATGAGTTGTTTTAAATCATAGATGAAGATTACCGACACGATATTTTCATTGATCCCAGCACTGGAGCTGATGAACAAGTACATAAACATCCAAAGCACAAGGAATCCCAGGTGGCCAAACGCAACGTTTATGGGGACTTGGAATGCGATGGTGATGAGGGAGTATACTAACGCTAGAACCAATGAGTTGATTTGCGATGCGATGATTCGATACAAGATATATTGCTTGAATCTGAGTCGGGTACGCATGAAGGAGTAGACTTCAAGTGAGAAGTTGAACTGATGGAATGAGAATAATTGGGCGTAGATCAAGCCAAGCTCGCTGGGTCCAAGCACGGCAGCCGATGCTGGTGGTCGATTATCGATGAATGTGAATGTGGGGAATGTCGAGAAGATTGACCGCGTGGCGTTGGATTGTAGAAGTGCTTCTTGTTGTGTCAGGTTGAGTTGGTTTATTATTGGTTGGTATACAAACGGTGAGACGTAGTACCGTATCCACATTTCTCCAATAAGGTCTAAATGTCGGAATATATACTGGTTCAAGGCGGAAAAGTGACGGCCCAGTTCGTACACCACTTGTATCGTCAGGTTAATTGAAGATGTCGTGAATGTGGCATTGGCGGTGTTGAAACTGGTGTATATCTGTTGGGTGGTATTTGGAAGGATATGTATGGCGGCCCAATACTTCTGATGATGTACTTGGCGAGTAACTTCTTCCGAAATGGTATTGTTATGCTTGTTGGCCAACTCGGTGAACTTTGTCAAATTAACAAACTCAAACTTTCCCAATTCGACGGCACTTTCATTCTTGGTGAGCAAATCAACCATGGTGTCACCAGTTAGTGCCGGCACGGTATTCCCATCCAAACCAATAAACGGTTGATCTTCATTAACCACCAACATCTGCATGTTGCCAAACCGATGCTGCCGATGAAACAACGATCCCCAGTAAATAGACAAGATTCCCAAAAATATACAAAATAAATTGACATACACCCTTACAAACTTGGGGAATACCCGGATGTACTCTTTTGTCCGTTCTTTGCCAGTTAGTTTCACTGTACTCTTGCGACGGATTTCACCGCCGTCCTCTTCTTGTCGGTTGAGGGCGTCTGCGGCGTGCTTGGCCCCGGTTATACGCTCCTCAGGATCGTAGTCTACTGGTACGACTTCTTCGTCGTCAATATGGGAGTGAGGGGCACTTTCGAGTGGATCCATCCTGCTGGAATCTGACCTAGGTGAGGTCTGGCCAGATAATGTAGGGGAGGCTGCATGTGGCCCTGAATAAGACGTAGGTGCATCCATATTACTTTATCAAAGAGTAAACTAACGGAAAGGGAATGGAGTGGGAAAGGTAATCCCGTAATTGTTATTGTTATCTTTTGGGGATGATGATGGGGCGAGGCTACCAAATCTGTCATCGTATGCGCGATAATTGTTGCGCTAATTGTTGCGTCATTTGTTGACAATGCGGGAAAAGAATCGACTAAGGTGAAATTGTTGAGAACCGGAGTTCCGGGGAGGCTGAAAATGATAACAATCACTAAAAACTTTATCGATGGATCGATTGCTTCATCTACTGCCCCTTATAAGCTATGTCGAAACAGTCTAGGATGAGTGATGTCAGTGATCTTAATTCTGACGACGATCATTCATACAACGAGCATGTCCAACCAGTCGAATACCGTGGGAAAAGTCCCCGAAGACCATCACTAGCACGAAGAGTCTCAACCGCAGTAGACAGCTTCTTTACGGATGACGACGACGACAATGATGGTGATAGCCAACTACACATGGACGACGATGAGTTCCTTGCTGATCATTTCTTTGGCACACGGCAATTGACGAATTCCTTACGAAGAACCAGAACCGAACTGACATTCTCGGAGATGGAATTGGAAGAGTTTCCCCAAATGTACCATGGTGTAACTGAACAAACTGTCGCCCCAGAGGAGATCCCCAACTTAACGCTACCTCCTTTAGAAAGAAGGAGAAGCACAGTAGTGACTGCCATTCAAGCGGTTACAAAGAAGTTCAATTTCTGGGATAAAGAGTATCATGCCGATCGTATTCAGATTGCCTTGAAGTTCTTGGATAACTATTTATATTTGGTGGTAGGCTTCACCATAGCCTTGTGTATTTACTGGGGGTCATACTACGATCGTACGGCCCATTACAAACGGTTAAAGTTTGCCGTTATTATAGCAGACCACGCCGTGGCGTCGTTGCCGAATATCTTGGGTGAGACCGTTGAAGCTTACTTTACCCAAGTTCCTGCTATTCAACAGCTTGGCCATTTCGATATTTGGGATTTCAATAGAATAAGCACATTGGCAGATAGTCACAACAATACCATAACTGAGGAAGTGTATCGACAAATACACCATCAGAAATACTGGGGAGCATTCTATGTCCATGAAAATGCCACCCTCCAATGGGCACAAGCCTTGGCGGAAGCATCTACAAGCTTCGACCCATCTACTTCGTTAATGGAAGTGGTTTACGAAACCGGCCGTGACTTTAATGCCGTGCAAAACTCAATCATCACCGTGATACAAACCATGATCCGCGGATTCTACACGTTCCTCCCCAACACCAACCTCGTCAGCAACATGCTCGAAACTGTTAACTCCACTCAGGCAGCTACCGTCTTGAGCCAATCGCCACAATTGATCGCCACTATGCCGACATTCTTTATCACTGACCTCATACCAGTGAACAATCTCGTATTCCAAGCGCCCCTCCAGATTGGGCTCATCTACATTGTCATCTTCACATTCTTCCAGTTTATCTTCTCCATCAAGATCCACATGTACATTGCCCTGAAGATCAAGGGATTCCAGTATGTAGTATACCGAATGATATCGGCACAAGTGGCATACCTCATTCTTTCCTTGGCCTATGTCGTGCTTAACACTGCGTTTGGTCTCAAATATTCCACTGCATTTGGTCATGCCGGGTTCCTTGTCATTTGGATGTTTGCATTCTTGACCATGGCGTCGTTAGGTTCCATTATCGAACTTATTGTGTTGTTTCTTGTCGCCGTCAAGCCGGTGCTTATGGGGTTCCTCCTTTTGTTTGTGGCCGTAACCAACATCAGTCCCGTGGTTTCACCTATTGTGCTATGTCCCACGTTTTATCGATATGGGTACGCTATGCCCGTACGTAATTCGTACGAGTTAATGCATGTGGCGTATTTCGACAGTTGGAAGGGACACATGGGGCGAAACATTGGGATCTTGCTCGTGTGGATCGTGCTCAGTAATGCTGCCATGCCGTTTGTCATGAAGTGGTTGGCTAAGAAGAAGGCCAAGATGGATGCCCAGGCTGCTTCCAAGGCCGACGCCAAGTAGTTATATATATATATATATATACATGTCTTAATATAATGTCTTATGTTTGTATCTGCATGCACACCTACAACTGTGGATATGTTGCTTAAACTTCCGTTTGTGTCATAGCATATCAAATTAAATATGGCTGGAATTACTCTTACTTATTTAGTTTATAATCAACACTTGTCTTGTTAGTTACAGAGTTAATATTTAATGTCTATTTGATGTGTTTACATTCACCCAGACACTCCCGCAAAGGCAAGTTCTTTGAAACACCATCGTCCATAACCCAGGACCTACTGACCCATCAAACACAAGCGGGTCACTAACAAGACTCACGGCCCGGCATCGCGTACACTTTCTGATTTCTCCTCCGCCAATAGTAATCTTCCTCAAAGCGTCAATGTATCCGTCCTGCATGCGCAACCTAGGTGCAATCTTACTAGTGCTGCTGTCAACAAGGACAGGCGATGACTCCCTCAGTTGATCCCTGATAATGCCAATATCTAGCCAGTCCACGTCGAAAAAGTACAAGTCAGACGCTTTCAATTCTCGGTTGATGTTTGCAGCGTATCGTTCGATAATATATGGTGCAATCTGGCTCATTTCACCAGTTATTTCTCCACGACACACGAGTTTCTGTTCAAGTCGTAATACCACACCTGGGGTGGTGACCCTCGTCGATAGTTCCTTGGTAATTAATGCGTCACATTCACGGAGAAAGTTTTCAAAAAGCAGGAGCGTGAGCGGCGCATGGTCACATATGGTAAAGTACCGGTTCAAACTCTCCTTCATCGGCGTAAACAACTTGTTGGCTTCATTCAAGTCTTTGTGCAACTTCTTGAGGATCTCGTGGGTCTTTCCAATGGACGAAATGGCATACATGATAAACAAACGTGGCACTTTAGAAAGTATCACAGGCAACACAATAGAATTGGCAATGGTGACTCGCGAGTTCTTGGAGTCCTCGTCTCGTTTGCAGAGCGAGAGCTGGAGGAGCTCCTGGTTGAGGTAAACCATGAGATCAATCAACCACTTCATATTCCCAATCAAACTGACTATGCACTCGGCCCGCGCGATTGAGTCCTGGAGACTATCTTCAGATGGCTTCTTCTTCAGGATCTGTCTGTAGATGCTCGACAAACTAAACATGATTCCAAAGGAAGTGCTTCGTAAATTCAAAATCATCCATGCAATATCACTGGAAATGCTATTGGTACCAAGGAATTCACCAAGAACTAGTTGCAAACTAAGCAACTTTTGCAATGGTGGGTTCAGCAATAACTTATCAACAGACTCCCGACTAAACCCATCCAATTGGAAGTTTATCGCTTTGTGACTTTCCGTGATTATCGACTCCACAAACTTATCAAGAATAACATCGACGTTGCTGTTTGCTTTGGTTTCACTTAACTTAGCTCGCAAACGAACAATTTCCGATTGGATGAGCACAAGTAAGTCATCGCTGCAAGTGTTGGTATAGCATGTGTATGCGTGTCTGAATGCAAACCCTACGGATGTGGTGAACAAATCTCGCGAACTGTAACCTGTATGTCTTGTCTTTTCCACCATCACAAGCGACAAGTTTGGCTTGTCTGAATAGACTTCGGTATATACAAGGGATGTCATGTTGGGTGATACTGCAAGGATTAGTGGGTTGGTGTGAGGGATTTTGGGGAAGGAAAACCCCACGTCGAAGATCGTGGATATTGAAGTTGGTGGGAATTGTTCAGTGCTGTGAGTGACTAATTTCCACGTGGACAAGTCGATAACGTCAATCTTACCATCCATGTACGCTATCAACATGTAGAAATCGTTGAGTACGGTATTTATGTGTCGGATTTGCCCCAGACGGGTAATCTTGTCCATTAGTGTGAGTGTAACCGATTTCTTGGTTGGGGTAGAAGGCGAAACCACTCCTTTTCGTGCACCAAGTTCCATAAATGCATCACTGACAAGATCAAGTTTGTCGGTGATATTATATCTGTAAATTATAGATGTAATATGATCCGATTGATTGGTGTATGCATAGCCTATCAATACACTAGGTTTACTGTCCTTTTCCGCATTAGCTGATATAACATCTACCGAAACCAATTCACCAATAGTGTACTTGACATTATCCACATCCATCTTATCCTCGTCCAGATCATCTTCGTCATCAAGAAACTTGACCGCTGGTTTCATATCATGAATCCGATTCACCGTCATTTTGACTGGTTTCTGAGCTTCCTTGGGTGTATGGTAATGCTGATCGACCTTTTGTCGCTTAGCGGCTTCCACAAGGAACCCCCAGTCAATCACCACGGAATAGGTTGAGATTGTGTCTGTGATTGAATCGTAAGCGGTGATGATAATCTGTTTGTCGTTGGCGAACCCGATAGACGCTTTTGTAATTACGCTGATTCCGTCGGTCAACCCCACACATAACTTGTGATACTCGACTTTGTGTTCACCCTGGTAGTAAAGCATGAACTGGCCGTTTTGCCTAAGGGCAACGCACGCTTGTTTGGTGGCTAGTGGATGGGTGGCACCATGGGGTGGGAACAGGGATGCGCCGTAAGTATAGGCAAATTGGCCGTTATTAGAATTGGGCACTGGTGAATTGGAATCAGGCACTAGTGTGGCTGGTTTGTTCATCAATTGGGCCTTTTCGATATTCATCCATTTGAACGCGATGATGGAAGCGCCTGGGTTGACGGTTGATTTCAGGTCTTGGTTTATAATATCGCGGTAGATCATCTCCATGTGGTTGTATGAGGTTAGTTCATAACTAGGCAGGAATGTAGTGGGCAGGGTTCTTCCAGTGGTGGTGGTAGTGGTGGTGGTGGTGTCGTCTAATAGTCCCACCCCGGCTAAAAGAATGTAGAAGTTTCCGTACACATCGGCAATGGCCAAGTCGGTGTTGAGGGAGCTCCAACTGACGAGGCTTATCTCTGGAAGGAAGTTGTTTTCTAGTTTGATGTTGATTGGTTGTGGTGGTGCCAATTGCCAAGTCTTTCCATTGATGTTTTCCAAATAGGTGAGGTAAAGATTGTTTGTGGAAGAAGCTAGTGGTGAGCTGTAGGCGATGAATCCATTCTTTGACCACGATATGAGCTTGGATGTGTTAGTTAGAGATGCCAAGTGTTTATTTGTTAGCGATTGCTTGTCCATGTTGGCTCCTGATGGTATAGAAAGACGGTTGTATGGGTTTGTGTGGTTTCTCTATAGTAAAAAAAATTCAACTACAAAAATTTGCCCAGTGTACAACTGGTAGCGCGTAGACTGCAAATTGCATTGCAAGGCTCCAAAGACATGTGTATACAACCATGTGTGTGGATAGAGGTGTGGATAGAGGTGTGGATGGTGGTGTGGATGGAGGTGTGGATGGAGGTGTAGATAGAGATGTGGATGGAGGTGTAGATGTAGATACAGATACAGATGTAAATGCAGATATAGCTATAGATACAGATGTAGATACAGATGTAGATATAGATGTAGATCTAGATACAGATACAGATACACATACACATACACATGTAGTCTACAAATCACCAGGAACAGGGAAGGTGGAAGCCCATTTGGCAACTTCTTCACCTAATTCCTTAACAGCACTACTTTCGTCAGCCAATTTCTTGAAACTGGCCAATAATTCCTTTGGAACTTTACCTTGTTCTTGTTGCTTCAACTCCTTCGAGATCTCAACAGCACGGTCAATGTACTCGGAAACTTTAGTAAAGTCCTCCTTACCGAATCCACGAGTGGTCATGGCTGGGGTACCGACACGTAACCCACTTGGGAAAAGGGCACTGACGTCACCTGGCACAGTGTTCTTGTTGGCAGCAATATTGGCTCTTTCCAATACAGCCTCGACTCTGGCACCATCAATGTTCTTGGATCTCAAGTCAATAAGAATCAAGTGGGTGTCGGTACCACCGGAAACCAACTTGAATCCACGTTCAAGCAAAGTGTCGGCAAAATGCTTGGCATTGTCAACAACGTCTTGTTGGTATTGCTTGTATTCAGGCTCTTGACATTGCTTGAGGGCAACAGCCAAGGCAGAAATGGTGTGGTTGTGTGGTCCCCCTTGGTGACCTGGGAACACACTGAAGTTGATCTTTTGTTCAAGCTCGTATGGGATTTCCTTACCCTTTTTAGTAACCTTTCTAATACCCTTTCTAAAGAAGATCATGGCTCCTCTTGGACCACGCAAGGACTTGTGTGTGGTGGTAGTGACAATGTCGGAATGTGGGAATGGGGAATCGGTGACTCCAGCAGAAACCAATCCGGAAGTGTGGGCCATGTCACTCATCAAGTAAGCGCCAACCTTGGTGGCAATCTTTTTCATTCTGGCGTAATCAATGACACGAGAGTATGCACTGGCACCGGCCACGATCACCTTTGGTCTGAACAAAGTAGCAGTCTTTTCCAACATGTCGTAGTCAATCAATCCGGTTTCTTCGTTCAATCTATAAGGCATGGTTTGGAAGTATTTAGAAATGTATGAAATCTTGGTGGTGGCAGTTTGATAGCCGTGGGATAAGTGACCACCATGAGGTAAATCCAACCCCATGATACGGTCACCGACTTCCAAAATGGCCGAGTAAGCGTACAAGTTAGCAGGGGCACCACTGAGCGGTTGGACATTAACACCCCATTCGGCTGGGTCTAATCCAAATGCTTCGAGGGCTCTTTTTTGACAGAGGGACTCGGCCTTGTCGATGATTTCATTACCACCGTAGTAACGTTCGCCAGGGTAACCTTCGGAGTATTTGTTTTGCATCTCGGACCCAAGCAAGTCCATGACGGCCTTTGAAGTGAAGTTTTCACTAGGAATCAACGTAATTGAGTTCTTTTGTCTTGCTCTTTCTTGGGCAAGAATGGAAGCCATTTCGGGATCAACTTCGGAAACAGGGAGGGAAACAAGCGATTGGGCCTTGTTGGCGTAACTACGCGCAAGCAATGCCATTCTTGGCATTGACTTGGCCTTGATGAATGTACGAGAAAGCATGGTAATTAACTATTTCCTATTTCTTTCTTTCTCTAAGAGGGAGGGGGTGGATCGTTGGCCCTTATAAGTCTTGATGAGTCAACGAAAAACTCTTTTTTTTTCTTCAAAAATATCAAACACCGGAAGCGCATTTTTCACATCACGTGGATTGTGGGGGAGCAGTCAAACCGAGTCAAACTTTGACCTTGTCCGGGTTAAAGTTTATATGGTGATCAATGCCGCACAAGTTTACCCCGTCACAGAACCCAATCAGAGTAAACCAAGTGTCTTTGTAGAAGTCAGCTATGGAACTGCGTGTCTCCGGGTTGCATTCAAATATTTGACTCGTGAGTGCATGCAGAGCCACGGGCAAATGTTGAAGCACTGATTGTTTCAAATGGATAGTGGTCAGCGCTTGATCAGACTCCGGTCGTGCAGACTCCGCATGGAACTCTTTATACTCGGGATCGTTCCATCTTGCTGACTTCCACGGGAATTTCCTATTCCACAAGTAGAATAAAATAATCCCCACACTCCACACATCGACTTTGGTTCCATGATACTTTATCGACGTGTACGTCTCAGGTGCAAGATATATCTCACTTCCTACTATCCCTATACATACTTCCTTCTCATCAGCGGTGGCGAAATCAATAATCTTGATTTGGAAATGATCAATGTCAAACACGACATTTTCTAGTTTTAAATCTCGATGACATATTCCTCGATCATGCAAATAGTTTACCCCAGCGACAATCTGTCGCCAAATACACAACATCTCGTTCTGGTTGTACTTGTGCTTGGGTATCACTCGAATGAGCTGGGCCAAGTTGGCAGAGCCAGCATCCATGTAGAACTTGACGGTGTTGCCCGAGAGCGATACATCATACTTGAACACTTTGATGATATTGCGATGGTCAAGCTTGGCAAGAAGGTGATACTCGTAAAGCACTCGTGTCTTGTACTCGCTCCGCAGTTCGTACGTCTCTTTGCAATGGTATGTCTTGACCGCGTAAAGGAAACCGGACTTGTGCTGAAAGAGTTCGACAAATCCTGAAACCCCATCACCGAGCGCCATTAGTCGCGCATCTTGTCGGGAAAATTTTGGATGCGGCTTGGTGGATACAGAGTAGGTCGAGGAAGCAGTGGAGACGGTGGACTGCATGCTGTCGCTTCGCATAAGCGACGCAGAACTGGAGTTCTTGAATAGTGTTGATAATCCCATCTGCTTGATGCCTTTGTTGGTAAATCTTGGATCCAAGTTAAGAAAAAAAAACAAGACCGTTTCTTTTTTCTGTTTGTTGATTACCCCATTTTGTGACTTTTACATTTGTGAAAATTGACATATCCAGTGAGGTTAGTCGTGATTACTTTGGAAAGGTATGTTGGAATTGATTGCGTGAAAGTCATGTGGGAAGCATGCTGACAATAATGTAATTACCGCACATTTGACAGGCTCGTGCATTATAGACTTTGCAGTAGCTGTTGCAGTTGCAGTTGCAGAAGCTGTTGTAGTTGCAGTTGCAAATTTATTCACAAAGTTACAAGAGAACATGCAGCCAAAGAATCCCGGCTGCTTCGGACTTTAACCCAGGCATCTATCACAATACAAACATATCTTTGATTAAAACAAGTAATTCAGGATGGTATTATGATGTTTTCGCGTGATTTCCGATGCACATGTTAATTTTGGTATTTTGTTGCAAAATTTTTATAAAATATATTTGAAGAATCAATTACGTATAGAATCAGAGAATAACATACTATTAGAATTCCACACCCATACACCACCATATTTACATCGCTGCTATTTATAACCGGCAAGGTATTCTCCGTTGTCACCTAAACATAAAAGTCATGTGACAATTTTGAGCCGTTCGCCCAAATGGGGCGCGCCCCCAGCTCCCCCCGATTACGGATTTTGGGATGCGCGGGATTTATCCCCCTTATCAGTGGGGGGGGGGGGAGGATAAACTTTATGTGGTATTTGCCCACCACTCAAGGGCACCAAACTGTACGTTGAAGCTGGTGTTATCTTGTACAACCTACATAGTTAATTGATAATAGACAATTTCTAAAACGTACACCCAAAGCCAAGATCTGGCGGCTTTAATTTCATGTTTCATCTTGACGGCAAAGCTGCCTCTCATTGTAATGTTCACCCGCACTTTTTTTTTGGGGGGGGGGGGGGGCGAGGGGGGTCTTAATCCAGCCACTTTCGAGGTTTATCTTTTTTTACCTTTTCCTTATCATTTTCTTTTCCTCTTTTCTCCTTTTCCTTCTTTTCCTTCTTTCTCTACACACAGTCATGAAGTTCTCAACTGTAGCTACCGCTGCCACATTGGCAATTGCCTCTGTGAATGGTCTTAGCATTCCAAACCCATTGTCGTCGCTCCAACAAACCCTCAAGTTAGAAAATGCCTTCGAAGCAGCCGATATCAAACAATTTATCGGTGATATGATGAAACAATCGCTTCCCATGGAAACCAAGAAGTTATGGTCGGAAATGATGTTGAAGTTCCCCGACACCATGTCCAAGTTATCCTTCAAAGGTCCCCCAGCCAAGAAGTTGAGAAACCTCTCTTCGCAATTTATCCATGTCTTGGATGACGCTTTCCCCGGGCACGGCTTGAGAATCAAGTCCACTCCCGAATCCCTCGGTATTGACACCGTCAAGCAATACAGTGGGTACTTGGATGTCAAGGAGGAAGACAAGCACTTTTTCTACTACTTTTTCGAATCGAGAAACGACCCTGCCAACGACCCAATCATCCTTTGGCTCAATGGTGGTCCAGGCTGTTCCTCCATGACTGGGTTGTTCTTTGAATTGGGCCCTGCTTCCATCAATGCCGAATTGAAGCCAGTCCACAACCCACACAGTTGGAACAACAACGCCTCGGTGATTTTCCTTGATCAACCAATTAACGTTGGTTACTCATATTCCTCAGGCTCCGTATCCAATACCATTGCTGCTGGTAAGGATGTTTACGCCTTCCTTGAATTGTTCTTTAAGCACTTCCCACAATACTCCAAGTCGCAATTCCACATTGCTGGTGAATCCTACGCTGGTCACTACATTCCAGTTTTCGCCACTGAAATCTTATCCCACCCAGAACGTTCCTTCAACTTGACTTCAGTGCTTATTGGTAACGGGTTGACTGATCCTTTGGTTCAATACGAATACTATGAACCTATGGCCTGTGGTGAAGGTGGCGAACCATCCGTTCTCTCTCCTGAAGAATGTCAAGCCATGAACAACTCCATTCCAAGATGTACTTCGCTCATCCAGTCGTGTTATGACTCCGAATCGGTGTGGTCATGTGTCCCAGCCACCATCTACTGTAACAATGCCCAAATGGGTCCATATCAACGTACTGGCCGTAATGTGTACGACATCCGTACCATGTGTGAAGGATCCAACTTGTGCTATTCCCAATTGGAATACGTTGACCAATTCTTGAACCAACCAGAAGTCATGGAAGCCTTGGGTGCTGAAGTTGAGAAATTTGAAAGTTGCAATACAAATATTAACATGAACTTTATGTTTGCCGGGGACTGGATGAAGCCATACCACACTCGTGTTGCTGAGTTGTTGGATGCTGACTTGCCAGTTCTTATTTACGCTGGTGACAAGGATTTCATTTGTAACTGGTTGGGTAACCAAGCATGGACTAACAGGTTGGAGTACAAGAACGCCAAGGGGTTCTCCAAGGCTGAAGTCAAGAAGTGGAAGGTTGGCGGTAAGGCTGCTGGTGAAGTCAAGAACTTTGACAAGTTTACATTTTTGAGAGTTTACGGTGGTGGTCATATGGTTCCTTTCGACCAACCTGAAAGCTCATTGGCTATGGTCAATAGCTGGGTTGCCGGAGACTATGCCTTGGCATAAGCGTAAATCGTTAGCTTTTATAAGTCGATTATATAACAGTAAAATTTAGTATAATTCGAGAGATACCCGAAGCGAAGTGATGAGAGATGTGATGTTGTCATGTAGTAACAGCCGAATACACAAAATATTAGCCGGAGAATACGAATTCTTTGCGAGACAGTGGGGATGGTTCGTAAATGTGGCCTCATGCACCGAAATCGAAATCGAAATCGCAATTAAAGTTGGCAGTTGGCAGTTGGCAGTTGGCAGTTGATGTCTCGCTACGACTTTTCTTGGTATACTTCTGCGCGTGTGCTACTGTCTATAACTCAAGCTATAACTCAGGATATAACTGCAGACAAACTTGAAGGAGTTCCCGGTATAACTCTGGAATAATAACACAACCCGGATTAGTCATTCGAGCCCTATTGTTTAGCTGGTCCGTCAGCCGTGTAAATAACGTATGTTATTTGTCTGTGCAACTGACAGAGTGCCTAGTAAATACCCGTAAATACCAAGATCTACACTAGTGTGTTACAAATACTGCTGGGTAAATATACTAGTTATCTGCACTTTCTACATTCAAGGGTTAGAAGCTGCACAGGTACAATTCCGAACATAGATTGGTATACATTGCAGAAAGCAACAACTGCATTTCGCGACATTGGCTCTTTATTTATTTTGGTTTTCTGTGCAACCAAATTTCCTAATTGGGCCAAAACAACAATAAACACACAGGACGTAAACTCAGTGCCTCAGTCCCAAGCCAACTCCACTGTGCAACTGATCCACCTCCTTGGTTTCCATCACATCCGTTGCCGTTTTACGAGGTTACGCTTCTTCCTCCCCTCTTTGGAAAACTGTATATATATACACACACATACATATAAAACCTTCATCTGCTAAGCCTTGGCTACTACACTGTAAGGTACTAATATGCTCCGCGTTGTCCAAGTAATCACAGGTGTGGTTGTCGTTGGACTTAGTGTGGCCCTGGCCGTCCTACTATTACTACTGCCACGCCTGTCCCTGCCCCACCAGATCCTGCATGAACCTGTCCCGTTGCTTAACGTTGTATCGGGATTACTACTCAGTGTTTTGATTATCATCAATTCCATCATAATAGGATATATCCAACTCCTGTTGCAACTAGTGATATCGTTAGTGTATATAGTATCGGGTATACTTCAAGTGGTGACCACTCCTTCAACCTCACATACTATTATATTTATTGTCGATGTGATTTTCATAACATCGTCGATGTTGATTTCCCTGATCAACTACTTGCAACCACTACTGCTACTACCACCATCATCACCACAACAACAACATCATCATCACCAACAAGACGAAGAGTCCACTATCGGATCCACCATCCATCAAGATGAAAAATACACCTACAAATTATCCACCCCCAATAATCCAATCAGAACATCCATCAGCACCCCCAATTTCGTCACCCATCAAACAAAAAAGAACAACAATAAGGTCCAAACGAGTAATTCATTGCTGACCTTGGTAAGTGCCAGCACAAATAACATCTCACGAGACCCATCCAGTCTACTCATGCTAGAAGTAGACGACGAAGAAGAACAAGAAGAAGACGTGACCGACATCGTTCGCCGATCTAAACTGATGATCGTCAGTCGCAAAGTTAAGCGATGGAAGAGCATCCACGAGGAAAAGGCCTTCCTCAGCAACGTCAATGACTGTTTGCTTCCACCAGTGCTCAAGGGGAACAAAGAAAAATCGCCCATACAAGAGCAACAAGAAATACAGGACCTTCCGTACATTGCCGAATTTGACGAGCTGAATGGCGACGTTGAGTTTGTGGCTGACCCGGAAGATTTGAAAGTACGAAGAAAACTGGACTATGGTGACGTTCTAACTGGTTTAGAACCCATTCCTCAGGTCATCCAGCCTGATCCTACTAAACGCACCATCACATACTATACTCCTCCGCCCAAGGAACTAAGAGCAGACCACATCGACAACATGAGCGATTTATCCACCACTACACGAAACCCATCGTCGGAAACAACTCCGCTGTTTGCAATCGACAAAACCGCGGTGCCGTCTCGCATACCCACGCGCACACCGTCGCCACCAACAACAAAATCCGTGCATACTTCACCCTTGCGCAAGCTTTTTCAAGACAGCAGCCCCAAACGAATCCTCAAACACAAACACACGAGCTCATCGATGTCACGGTTGATTGCTAGTCCGCACAAGGTGAACCAGCACCGTCATAGCGTGTCGGTGCCCACGTTCAAACTCCACATTGAGGCTATTGACCAGTGGGATGTAAATACCAGCTACAACAGCGAGGAAAGCCGGAATAGTAGTGTTCCTAGTGCTGTGCTAGGACAATATGATCGGGAAAAGTGGGATGCGTTGAAGTTAAGGGGACAGGTGTAACTTATGTGTAATGATTATTTAATGTGTGTGTAGTTTGGACCGAATCAACATACTTGTACATCATGCTACCATGTGATATGTAAGAAGCCCATCTTGTTAGAGCTTTGTCAAGCACGAAGGTCGCCCGTGGCTCTTCCCCCACACACTCTCTATATATATACACGTACATACGTACATACATACACACATACCTACATAGCTAATGCGCTTGGTATGGCAATACAAGCTCTTTCTATTGTTTTATTGCCCTTTGTATCCGTACTGGTGATGATCTTCAACTGCGATGAGACTTAAAAAAAAAAAATATAACATAAATTTAAGTTCTTCATCTACTACAGTCATCAGCAATGGACGACTTATTCGACGTATTCGACGAGGCGCCAGCTGCTGCCCCAGCCAAGATCGAAGAGATTAAACATGTTGAACACAAGAAGCGTCAATCGGAGAACACCGCTAAGCAAACCGGTCCCAAAAAACAAAAGACCGAAGCCAAGCCAGAAATCAAACCGGTAGTGTTTGACTCGGTTGAAATTGAAGCATCACGAGAAGTCGCCGTCTCAGCCGGCCTTCTCTCCTCTGCCACACCTACTCCTGAAGACAAGTTGAAGTTGCGCCATCAAGTGCGTCACCAGGTGGCCATCCCGCCTTCATACCCTTACACTCCTATCGCCGAACACAAGCGGGTCAAAGAAGCCAGAACGTACCCGTTCGTGTTGGATCCATTCCAGGATACGTCTATTTCCTGTATCGATAGAAACGAGAGTGTTTTAGTATCTGCGCATACTTCCGCTGGTAAGACCGTGGTGGCCGAGTACGCCATTGCCCAATCGCTCCGCGATAAACAACGTGTGATTTACACTTCTCCCATCAAAGCGTTGAGTAACCAAAAGTATCGTGAACTCCAGGCAGAATTCGGCGATGTTGGGTTGATGACAGGTGATGTCACCATCAACCCTGACGCCGGGTGTCTTGTGATGACCACCGAGATTTTGAGAAGTATGTTGTACAGAGGATCGGAAGTCATGCGGGAAGTAGCCTGGGTCATTTTCGACGAGGTCCATTACATGAGAGACAAATCGAGAGGGGTGGTTTGGGAAGAAACGATTATTTTGCTCCCGGATAAAGTCCATTATGTGTTCCTTTCCGCTACTATTCCCAACGCTATGGAGTTTGCTGAGTGGATAGTCAAGATCCACAACCAGCCCTGCCATGTGGTGTACACTGACTTCAGACCTACCCCCTTACAGCACTACTTGTTCCCAGCTGGCGGAGATGGTATCCATTTGGTCGTCGACGAAAAGGGGACTTTCCGTGAAGAGAATTTCCAAAAGGCCATGGCCACAATCAGTGACAACACTGGTGATGATCCTTCGTCGGCTGATAAAGGAAAGGGAAAGAAAGGACAGACGTTTAAAGGTGGTAAAGGTGATGCCAGTTCTGATATTTACAAAATCGTCAAGATGATCTATATGAAACGATACAACCCCGTGATTGTCTTTTCTTTCTCCAAACGTGATTGTGAGAAACTCGCCTTGAAAATGTCCAAGCTCGATTTCAACACCGACGAAGAAAGAGAAGCATTGACCAAGATCTTCCAAAATGCAATTAATCTCCTCCCAGAAGCCGACAAGGACTTGCCTCAAATCAAAAACATCTTGCCGCTCTTGAAACGTGGGATTGGGATCCATCATTCTGGTCTTTTACCTATCCTTAAAGAAATCATTGAAATCTTGTTCCAGGAAGGTTTCTTGAAGGTGTTGTTTGCCACAGAAACCTTCTCCATTGGATTGAACATGCCGGCTAAAACCGTGGTTTTCACCAGTGTGAGAAAATGGGACGGTGTTGGATTCAGATGGGTGTCCGGAGGTGAATACATCCAAATGTCAGGACGTGCTGGTCGTCGTGGGTTAGATGACCGAGGAATCGTTATTATGATGATCGACGAAAAGATGGAACCGCAGGTGGCCAAGGGAATGGTCAAGGGCCAAGCTGACAGACTTGACTCGGCGTTCCATTTGGGATACAATATGATTCTTAACTTGATGAGAGTGGAGGGTATTTCTCCTGAATTTATGTTGGAAAGTTCGTTCTTTCAATTCCAAAATGCTGCTAGTGTGCCTGTCATGCAAAAACTGATGGATGAACTTTCGGTCGAACTTGAACAGATCCAAGTCGACGATGAACCTACTGTCAAGGACTACTACGAGTTCAAGGCGCAATTGACAAAGTACCAGGCCGATATGAGAAAAGTTATTACTCACCCTGGCCACATCTTGCCATTCCTTCAAGAAGGCCGTGTTGTCAAGGTTAAAGTCGGCGAGCATGATTATGACTGGGGGATGGTTGTGTCATTTGCCAAACGGAATGCCAAGAACCAAGATTTCACCCCACATGAAGCCTACATCGTCACTGTGTTTGTATGTACCATGTTTGTTGACTCGCCCGTGAACTTGATCAAGTCGTTCAACCCCGTGTTGCCTGAAGGTATTAGACCTGCTGTTCGTGGAAGTGAGAAATCCAGGGCTGAATACATTCCAATAACGTTGGACAGTATTGAAAAGATCAGTTCGGTGAGATTGCGGGTTCCTTCTGATTTGAAGTCTGCTGAGGCCAAGAGAAGTCTTGTGAAAACCCTCAAGGACTTGCCCAAGAGATTACCGGATGGAATTCCATTAATGGATCCAGTGGAAAGTATGAAGATTAACGATAACGAGTTCAAGCTACTCCTCCGCAAGATTGATGTGTTGGAAGCCAAGCTCGTCAGCAATCCATTGCACAACACTGCCAGATTAGCGCCACTCTACGAGAAGTACGCTTCGAAAGTGGAGATTGAAAACAAGATCAAGTCACTCAAGGAGAAGATTCTCGAAGCCGAAGCCGTGATCCAGCTCGACGATCTCCGCAACAGAAAGCGAGTGCTTCGTCGTCTCGGGTTCACCAAGACCGACAACGATATCATTGAACTCAAGGGCCGTGTTGCGTGCGAAATCAGTACCGGGGACGAATTGCTCTTGACGGAACTCATCTTCAATGGTAACTTCAACGAGCTCACCCCGGAACAGTGTGCTGCTCTTTTATCGTGTTTTGTGTTCCAAGAACGGGCCAAGGAAGTGCCTCGACTCAAACCCGAGCTTGCGGAGCCATTGAAGTCGATGCAAGAAATGGCCACGAAAGTGGCCAAAGTCAGTCGTGAATGTAAGATTGACATTATTGAAAAGGACTATGTTGAGAGTTTCCGAGCAGAATTGATGGAAGTGACATTTGCATGGTGCAAGGGTGCTACGTTCTCGCAGATTTGTAAAATGACGGATGTGTTTGAAGGGTCGTTGATTAGAATGTTTAGAAGGTTGGAAGAGTTGATTAGACAGTTGGTTATTGCTGCCAAGGCCATTGGAAATTCCGAGTTGGAAACCAAGATGGAAGCCGCTTTGGAATTGGTTCATCGTGATATTGTTAGTGCGGGATCCTTGTACTTGTAGTTGTAACATTGCATATTCTTTATACTTCTATATTGTTAATGTATATTACTTTATTTCAGTTTGTGTAGAATTTGCAGCTATCAAAATTGTCATCTGCATAACCAAGTAATTTGGTAGCGTGGCGAGGCAGGCGCAGACACGCAGCCAGACAGACAGACAGACAGAAAAAAAAAAGTGACTGTGACAGTTGTGGGGGAATTGCTATTTTAAGGGGCAAAGTCAGGGAGGACATCAGCTACAACTACCCTTTGACACTCAACCAGTCCTCTTTTAAGCAATAATAGTTACTCTACGCTGGACATGTCATCTGCTAGAAAAAGAAGTTTGCTGTGGGATGAAGTCGAACTTCTCTTTGTTAAATCCAAGGTCTACTTGCATCCCACGCCATCGAAACGAGACAACATCAGTGGGTTTCTCTCGTTGTCCCGCCCTGCCAATTCGTCCAATCTTGACATAATTTTGGCATTCACGCCAGAGAATCAGTTGTCTAGTGAAGACAGGAAGGTTTACGAACAGGTTGACGTTGAGGATATCCAGCTTGATTTGGAATCGTTGAGTCTTCAGCATAGTCAACCCCTGAAGAAACGGGTCGACAGCCTGCGCATCGTCAAGAAGCCTTCGGCATCAGTCCTCTCTAGTTACTCATTCAGTTCCGTTTTGTCGTATGTGTACTCCATCCAGTTTAGAATCCCCTCCCATGGGTATTGGTATGGCTCCATTGTGGTCAACACTCAGGACGGGGACAAACTCCCCATTATGTTTTTCCATGACGATGAGTCGCCATCCACAATCAAATCCAACAAACTCCATAATCAAAGGTTCGATCCGTTTGGAAACGAAGGCGAAATATACTGGGGTGGCGTTGATTTCCGCAAGGCCCTTGAGAAGGTCGTCAATATCCAGCGATCAACCATTGAACCGTCAGTATACTTGATCAACCCGCAATCTACCGATTTGCGTAACTTTGCTCCCTTCAAGACCAAGCAAACTCAACAGCCGCAACCACAGCAACCAGAAATTGAATTACCTTTTAAGCTTCCCGACGTCAGTAAATTCATTGCTACTGCTAAATGGAAAGTGTTGGAAACCGTAGCGACATTTGGTGCCAAGACTAGAAATCAAGTGCTTGATATTATTGAAGACAATGCACCTAAGCCTTTGAAGGAAATCATGCGCCAACCGGAAGTGCAGCAGATCGGCAATGATTTCGAATCGGCCCGGATTTACTTGGCTAAGTGGGCGCAACAGGTCAAAGAAGAGGCGGAGCGCAGTCAGAGCAAGTATATGCTTGATTACGATTTGTACAGCAAGATTAATCGTGAATTAGGGTCTAGTGAAGTGCTCACGGACGAGGAAATTAGTTGCACCAGTAGAAGAGCAGAGGTTTCTCGTCAGGAATGGAAATCGTTTTTCGACTTCAGTGGGAGATTGTGTATTACTGCTGACGAAGTCAAGGGTCGGATTTTCCATGGTGGGTTAGCTCCAGATGTTAGACCGGAAGCATGGTTGTTCTTACTAGGTGTTTATCCCTGGGATTCATCCAGTGAGGAAAGAGAAGCACTTCAGAATTCATATGAAAGTAGCTATCAAGAGTATAAATTGAAATGGGTTAACGACGATGACAAGAGATCTACCGAGTTTTGGAAAGATCAGAAGTTTAGAATTGAAAAGGATATTAACAGAACTGATCGAAACTTGGACATTTTCAAGAATCCAAGAAAAAAATCAAGAAGCTCAGGTGAGAGCAGTGGCAAGAGTCGTGAATCATCACCGGAAACCCCAGATGAGGAAGATTTCGATGATGAGTTTGATATCTCCAATATTCGTAATCCACATTTGTACATTATGCGAGAAATCCTATTAACCTACAATGAATACAATGAGAATTTAGGATACGTTCAAGGAATGACGGACTTGTTATCGCCACTTTATGTTACTTTTCAAGATGAAACACTTACATTCTGGGCATTTGTCAAGTTTATGGATCGTATGGAACGGAACTTTGTCCGTGATCAATCAGGCATGAAGAAGCAAATGAATACCCTTAATAAGCTTCTCCAATTCATGTTGCCTGACTTGTATAAGCACTTGGAGTTGTGTCAGTCCAATGATCTTTTCTTTTATTTTAGGATGTTGTTGGTGTGGTTTAAGCGAGAATTAGAATGGGATCAGATGTTGAGATTGTGGGAGATATTCTGGACCGATTACTACTCCAGCCAGTTTCACTTGTTCTTTGCCCTTGCTATATTGAGTGATAATGAGCGGATTATCATTGCTCATCTCAAGCAGTTTGATGAGGTGTTGAAGTATATGAATGACTTGTCGATGAAGCTCAAGTTGGATCCATTGTTGATTCGTAGTGAATTGTTGTTTTTGAAGTTCAAGCGGATGTTGGATATTATTGATCGCGATAACAGTTTGAAGAAGTTGAAGTCGGATCCGTATGCTGGTGAGTCAAGTAGTGCAGCGGTTGCTGCTGCTGCTGCTGTCAATAATGACGGAGTCATTGTTGTGGGTGATGAGTTGCGTGAGTTGTTGAAACATGAAATCATCATTCAGAAGGAAGTGGAAAGACCAGAAGGTGTAGGCGGTGGGTAGGTTATTGGGTTTGATTTGGTTTGGTTTACGTTTGCGTTTGCGTTTATAGTTTAATATATTGATTTAAGAGAAACACGTAGAAAACAGTATATAACAAGCGAAATAGAGGGTGAACTAATACTTTGTCCACTCCCAAACAGATTGATTGGGGTTTATTAATTCATTATCCTTTTCATCATAGTCTATTCCATGGGCACCAATAACATGCAAATACCAAAGGAAATCATTCCAATTAAACCCACCAGTTTGCTTTAACTTTTCATTTAATTGTTTTCTAGCTTCATCAGTAGTGATCTCGCTCGATTTTTCCAACTTTACGTCATGTGTCTGTTCGTATTTGTCAATAGCGTCTGCATATGAAATGGAACCAGACTTGACTTTGATCTCATCTGGAAGAGTATCGATTGGCGTAGTTGACACGGCAAGCACAACATACCCGATATCTTCTACTCTCGTGAATGGTACCTTGGTATTCAAATCGCCAATTTGAAAATAAGATTTGGTCTTGGGGTCAATACCCAAATGTCCCACAACTTCATACATGTATAACCCAGGTTGAGCAAAGAAGGTGGTGATTATATCCACAGCTTTCACACCCATCTTTCTGACATTCTCACTGTGTGAGATCTTGTTGTAGAACATCCCTGGGACAAACTCGTTACATACTGTATAATCAGATCCAAATTGAGAAGGTATGAATAGTTTTGGTTTGACTTTAGCCACGATCTGTTCCGTGCAAGCAAATAAGTCAGGGGTACAAGCAAGCAATTCGATAATCACATCAACACCAGGTAGTTTAGCGGCGATGGAATCTACAGTGTCGGGGTTGATCTCCGTCTTGATGTATTCGATTCTGTCTGTGGATGTTTTATCTTTACGCGTGATGGCCTTAACGGGGAATTTCAACTTGTTATCGAACTTGCCTGAATTGATGGCATCGATTGTTGGTTGCCCTAAGGAGCCATGAAGACCAAAAACTGCAATTGAAACAGACATGTTGAGCTTTTTGCACTACAGACAAATTCAAAGCAGTTAGGGGGGAGTTTAGCTTCTATTTATATTGACACTATTAAGCGAGATACATAATTAAACAGTGGGATTTAGGGGGGACGTAAAGTGTATTTTTGCAAAATTGTACTTGTTACTTATCTTTCTACACACTCGATTTAATAACACATCAAAGGTGTTTCCCAATTAACAATCATATCCTGGTAGGGATTAGATCAATATTGGGATAGCTGTTGTTCTTCGATTATGTTTTGCAGTTTATATATTGGACCAGAAATCGTAAATAGCAGTGTGAACAGAACAGCGGTCCGAAATAAGTATGTATTGGATTTTTGATTTCCAAAAAAAAAAAGTTTCACAATGTAATGTGTTCTTTTCAGTCATCTTGTATATACAGTTATCATTTGGTATTGGATTGTTAAGGGAGGCTGGGTTTGAGAGTGGTGTGCTTGCGGGGTTGGTGAAAGGGCTCTTGTGGCTGTTGAAAGGTGTACTTGGTTCTTAAATGCAGCTTGTAACCGATTACTAGAGTCTCTGGGGTCTTTCCCACTTGCTTAATAATGAACGTGGTTTCTATGACAAATTATCCAAAGGTATTAAAATTAAACAAAAGATTTATCTTTCAGTAGCTAATGCAAAAGCAGGGATAGCCCCTGATAGATACATATTTTGTTTAGCTTTAATATCTTTGAATAGTTATTTATATAAACCAGCTTCTTTTCGTCGGTTCGTTGGAAGGATTGTTCCGCGAGTTGCAAGGTAAACAACCTGGTAACCAACAGGGGTTTCAAGTTGCAGCTTAATAAATTTACCGAGGTTTGTGTTGACGTGAAGACACCCTCCACCCCCCTCACTACCAAGTTGTACAGTGATATCCTAACTATAATCAATCCCCTCTGGCTCCGAATCTTCACATCATGCAGCGTATCTTTAAAGAGCTTAGATGAGATAAGGCCAGTGTTCGAAGCTTCCACACCCAATCTTTCAACAATGGACCTACCATGGAAGATAGCACCTAGAAGTTTTCTTGAAGGGTGGCCATATATTGCAGATCCGACGAACTAAACTAAACTAAAAAATATCTCCACCTTTTTTGTGACACGCTGGCTGATACCAAGATTTCTTAATTTCCAATCAGTTAAACAGACTATGCAAAAACGCAAGTGCAAACCCACCATATCTCTCTCTCTCTCTCTGGACCGTTGGTGCTACTGTGGATATGTAAACTCATTCCACCATAACTACAGCGGTGGTTGCAGGTTTTTACTCCACAAAAGCCGAACTATTGTCGGCATTAGTTTATTTTTTAGTACTGCATTACCGAAGAAAACGTGCTCATCGTGTTTCAAAAAATAAAAAAGAAACAACATAAAAATAAATACAAGCCAGATTTGCTCAACTGCAAAAGAACTCCATCACCTATTCAATCAATTCTTCATAGCATGAACGAACGCACACCGCTAAAGATCCACTCGGATGAAGAAGCCCAGTATGAAATCGACGATTCCGATGCCGAAGAAACCGTCGGATTAAGCACGGGCTCCAAATACCTCCTAGGCATATCATGCATTGCCATCCTCTATCTATTCACGGTATTCTTGCCAAACATGTTCATCCCAGCTGCCACAAACTTGGTCAACATCAGTAAAATATCGGAAATTGATGCGGTGTTATCCCCCGTTGGCACCTCCAGTTCAAAACGCCACGTTTCTCGACTCATCCTTATCGGAGATGTACATGCCCACTACACCGAATTACAACATTTGCTCAAAAAGGTAAAATACGATAGGAAGCAAGACTATGTGGTGATGCTTGGGGATTTCATCACAAAGGGTCCCGATTCAATCAAGGTGTTGGACTACTTGATTGACAATGAGATCGATTGCATAATGGGCAACCATGAGTACAATGTGTTGCAGAACTATGCTATATTCCACGGATTACAACAACCACAATTTGAGCTTGTTCCTGATGCGTTTGTGCCATCTACTATCCGTATAAAAGACCTGTTTAATAACGATCCAGAGTTTCTCCTTGCCAAGAAACTCCAACCTAAACATATCCAATACATAAATAAGTGTTCAGTTATAAAGAGATTGGGAGACACTCCAATAATGGGGAAAAATAAGCCAAAGGGTGTCATCCCGGGTATAGCAGTGCATGCCGGTATACGATGGGACATAACCCTATCTGCACAAGACCCGGAAGAAAACCTTGAAATGAGATCATTTATAGGACCATACTATAATGAAACAACATCAGATCCTAGTTTGCCAGATGCGGTATCTTGGTCAAAGATCTACAATATGAAACAGAAAGAGGGAGAAGCAGTGGAAAGAGTCAGTGTTTATTATGGACATGACGCAAGACGGGGATTGAGTCTTAAAGAGTATACTAAAGGTTTGGATACCAGATGTTCACGAGGCGGGGAACTTACTGCCATGGTTATTAGTCTGGATTTGGGAAAGCATGATGAAGTTGTTTACACTGAGGAAACTGTTCTGGTCCAATGCCAGGAATAGTGTATCTGCAATGTATTTATTTACAAATAGCTAGAAATATATGTTTTATGAATTATATGAGCCCTTTGTCGGCATTTTCTTTCATGAACAAAACAGGAAACGCAATTGCCAAATAGTAACTTTAACTAACATGCGCGTAGCCACATAAATGTGGAGGTTACTGCATTCAGAATAGGAATAGCCATATTGAGTCAAACTATATTTGCAACTAACCAGCAATGTCGCACGGGCGACATTGGTTCTGTGCAAGCGAAAGTTTAAAAAATGTCGCACACTGAAAATCATCCCACTCTATTAGCTCCACCCTTCCCCTTCTCCTTCTCCTTCTCCTCCTTCTGCCCCCTGCAACCATGAGCAAAGTAGCATTGGCAGTAATTGACCTACAAGAAGACTTTCTACCACCGGATGGATCACTCGCCATTGCCGATGGTCGATCAATCATCCCCAAAATCAACAAACTACTATCCAAGCACAACTGGGCCGCAATTATCAATACCCAAGACTGGCATCCTCACAACCACATCTCGTTTGCATCCACCCATGGCGTAGCCCCTTATTCACAATTGCAATTTACACATCCTGAGGGCAAAATTGACGCAACTACCAATCAAGCACAAGTGATGACGCAGTACGTGTGGCCAGACCATTGTGTGCAAGACACCGCTGGCGCCGCCCTTGAACAGCTGTTTGCAGACGCATTCAATCAGATCCAAGGCGAGAAAACTAATGTCAAGAAGGGATATTTAGTAGACCGTGAGTATTACTCCTGTTTCCAGGATTGTTGGGGGTTGCATCATACAGAAATGCAGCCATATTTAAAGGAAAAGGGAATCACAGACGTTGTGTTTGTTGGATTGGCTTACGACTTCTGTGTTATGAACTCAGCAGTTGATTGTGCAAAAGATGGATTCAATACTGTCGTGTTGAAGGACTATTGCAAGAGCGTGTATCCTGACAAGATTGCAGAAACTGACAAGGTGTATACCGATGCTGGTGTTCGCATTGTTGAGGATAAGGACTTGGATGCACTTTTTAAATAGCTATTCTTGTATGCCTAGTCTGGCTAGTAATTGTTGACGTTTTTTATCAACTAACCATTGGGAAACCTGCTCGTTTGTAGGGAATTGGTCGAAGTTGTACATGTCATCATCTCCTTCTTTTTGTGGTTTCGCCAATTCCATTGATCTCTGTTGTTCAAACTTTAATAAAGGATCATCTGTGCGATTCACCTCATCAAAGTATCCATAATACGAATAATCAATTCTGCTTTCCCTTGCTCTTTCTTCATTCTGTAGCTGTTTCTTCTCGTCCTCTTTGGCTCTTCCCTTCCCTGGTTCTCGTTTCTGTGCCTCGATCAACTTCTTGACATCATCCAACTCCTTGGCCCTTCCAAAATATCTATACCCTTTAACGTTTATCCCACTCGACGTCAAATCCCGAACATTCAAGTAGTCATTGCCTCCAAGGTCACGGATATGATACTCCCATGCCCGCTTCTCCTTGAATAACTTGTTCAAATCATCGTTAATCTCACGAATGGTAAATTCGCCAAGGGTAGAATCCTGAATCCGTGTTAGTTTGGTGGATATCTCCGAGATGACTGTGGTTCTCCATTTCTCGGCTTGGGGAAGTGATGTTACTTTTTGGACGTATTTCGGACGAAGGGTGGGGTCAGAAATGAGGACACCAGCTTCTTGGGCTTTATACTGGTGGAATCTATTAAGAGACGATTGTGCCTTCTCTTTATTTCTCGACATGGTGTGTGTGGTTGCAGTGGTGATTAACAGTTGGTGTATGTGTTTGTTTATGTGATGTTTTTCGAGATGGCTTAACTATGCAGGAAATAGAACTCTATTAAATTATCTACTATACAAATCATCTACATTCCTCTAAACTTGTTTCTCGATGCAATTCTACGGCCTTCGAATCTTTGCTTGGTTCTTCCCTTCAATTCTGCATCTTCGTCGTCTTCCTCCTGTCTGAACTTAACCTTACGTTCCTTCTTCTTTGGAACAAACGTCAATTCAGCTTCACCCCGAGCATGACGACGTAATCTGGCATCATCATTAGTATGTTTCTTACCAACCTTATTAATCTTGCTCACTTGTGATCCAAATGTCTCGTTCTGTTGTGATACCTGTTGAGGAGTGTCGGAAACCGCCTTCATTTCATTAAGGAATCGTTTCTGTTCTTCCTTCTTTCTTCTAAGCTTGGCCAATTCCTTCTCAACCTTGGCTCGTTGGACCTTTTTGGTTTCTTCATCTTCACTTTCTTCACTTTCGCTCTCCAGCTCCTCCTCGTCTTCGCCTTGATCTGGATTAAGTCTTTCTTCATCTGACTCTTCAGCAGCAGTCAATCCACGAGATCTGGTCGAGGTTATATCCTTGGCAGATTGGACCGGGTTCAATTGTTTATATTCATGAGACTCTTCATCAACAGCAAACGCAGGATTCTCGAACATTTCCTTGAATCTCTCGTCGTTAACAACACTCTCGGCCATGCCTGACCCAATCTTGGCCTCCAATCGAGTAGCCAAGTCCTTGTTGACCTTGATCTTGGTGCTCTTGATGGCACCGGTACTTCTGATTCTCGATTCTCTTTCTTTCTCGATTTTATCTCTGATTTGACGCTCACGTTGATCACGCAAGGAGTTAGGATTAGCGATAAGATTGACCTTTTCGTATAACTCAGTATCGATAAAGAACCCATGCATGTATGATCTCATGACCTTGGAACCAACAAGATGGGACAAGTTCAATTTAGCCACTTCGTCACGAGTGATGAATCTGTAATTGGAGTAGATCGAATCACTTGGAGTCTCCTCGAGCTCTTCAGTGATATTGTCCAAGAATGAACACCATTTGGGTGCTGGTCCCAAGTTAGGAATATAGTATGAATGCATTGGTTGACCTTCGTTGGCAAGGAAGAACATTCCTGAGTCAGGGACATGCGCTACATCATTGATGTCCACGGTGGGTTCCATGGATGCAAACGGCTTCCCTTGGTTTCTATCCCAGATCTTGGCAATTCTCTTGTCGGAAGACAAGATGTACTCAGTTCCTGGCAACCAGATCAACTTCTTGATGTCGTAGCCATACCCTTGGTCCTTGACTAACGATGGAGTATCGGTACGCAAATCATAAAGCAAAGTATGTCCTGAACTTGTTCCAAGGGCGAAATTCAACCCGTCGTTTCTGAAATTCACGGCAGTGACACCAACGCTTTGGTTCACTTGTTCGTCAACGTACAACTTCCCCGCGCGTTGCTTAGCTCTAGGATCCCAGAACTCAACGGCCCCATCTTCCAACGCCACACTGACTAACCCATGCACGGGGTTTATATCCACGGCATTAACACCGGAGTCAGTTTCAAGCACAAAGGGATTGAGGAACCGCCCTTGTTCCAAGTTAAGTCTGTAGAGCTCGTTCCCCAGGGCACCCACCATCAAATCACAATTGACGGGGTTATAACATAAACTTCTCCCGAACTTGGGGATCCTCGTTCGGTAATGGATTCCACCTTTTGTCTGAAATTCGATACTTCTATCATTCTGCAAATGGACACTCTTGGTCCAGTCCTGGCTCAATACCAAAAAGTCAACGTTTTCACAATCAGTGTGTCTGTCGAACTTGAGCGACAAATTGGCAAAGTCGTATACGTGGATCTGTGGCTTGTAGGTACCAGTGGCCATGGCATATTGGCCATCGGGAGTAACCCTAATCTTGTTGGATGCTTCCAGGAATTCGAAATCTTGAATAAGATCAATCCGGTTCTGGTAATCTTGGTCGAGTTTGAGCGCTCTCTTTCGTTTCTTGGCAATCCAGTCGGGAAGCGAACGCAGAACGTTCGTACCGGAGACTTGATACACTGACACGTCACTTGCGGATGTGGATTTCAAGACCATTTCTGTACGTATTAACTCTATGCATAAGAAGTCTTACGAAGAGATGAGGAAAATAATTCTTTTTTTTTTTTGTTCTCGCTCGCTAAATCAAAAAATGGGCAAATCTCGTCACGTGAGATTTTTTGGCTGCAATAAGAATCGATGATACTACTTGAATTGATCAACATGAATGCTTTGTTGTCTTCCTTGTTTAACAGGTGTAGTTGGTGCATCACCATACAAGAACTTGTAATCTTCCATCTTGATCTCGTAATTTAATTGAACTGGTGTCTCTCTTTTGGAAAACCACTTGTACTCCGGATCAAACGTATCAATGAAAAAAGTCAATCCGCCGCTAATCAATTCATCATCCACAATAGTGGCATCCTTCTTCATCAAGTACTCAAAAAGTGTTATGAAGTTGGGAATATACCGTAAATCAGCATAGCAAATATCGTTCACGGCGTTGATAAGCGTGATCCAGATCTTGTTCGATTTCGTTGTGTACTTGACCGAGAGGAGCGTGTGGAATGTTGAAAAAACCACTTCCTGTTTGTACTTGTTGTTGCTATCGACAAGTAAAGCCGAAATGAGCGAAGAAATAACCATTCCATTGAATTGCTCAACAATCTTGCTCGTCAAACTAGCAATTTTAACCTGACTTGTGTGTTCAATCGTGGGTGCCTCTTGAGGAAGGAACCGTGCAAGCAATTGCAAAGTGCGAAATTGAATCACAGATAAGTTTTCCGGAATTTCACTTTCATACATCTGTTCAAACACCTTTTCTATTTCCTCCTTTGGATCTTGTACTTCTAATTTGGATATCGGTGGGAGAACAAAACACTCAAACTGACGAGTAATGGTAACTGGCAAAACCAAATTTGGGTTACGATTACTGAGCTTATACGAGAGAATATAGTTCAAATAGTTGAGTGTCATCACAAGCGAAGTCTTGCAAATTAACTTGTTAAAAGCTTGCAAAATAACCTCCAAATCGTTCTGATGAATTGTCTCAATGGCAACCCGAAGTTTGTCAACAAGTCTAAAATCTAAGTGCGTAGTTATTCCATGATCCAAAGTCTGCAACACAATCTTAAATGCTTCTTCAATGGTCATTGATAGCTCGTTAATGATCTGATGCATAACCTTACAGGGCACCGAATCCTGTCTTTGGGAAACATACTCCCCGATATAGGGATAAAGACCCAGGAATCTTCTTGTAAATTCCCGCGACATCCGATCTTGAAATGCCAACTCCAACAACTTGTTGATTCCGTCTTCCACTTCCTTCACTCGCTCTCCCGATATCTGCACATTAGTAATCGACATGAATTTGCCCAAATACGCACCAACTAAACCAAGGAAGGATTTGCTTACGACAAGATCATTATGTTCGTCGGTATCGCTTCCTGTACTTGTAGCATTCATTGCCATAGCCCAGTCACTGAACTTCATGTGATCACCAACGTCAATGGTGAACCGTTTCAACCACTCACAATGGTAGATAACTGAGGATATGTCTAAACGGGAATGGAATATGTACTTCCAAGTGACGCGGGCTATTATCGGGATGATATGACTAGTGTCGGACCCAGAATGATTACAGGTGTCGTAATAGTTGATTAAGGGTGAAAGGATGTTGGTGCTGGAACTAGCGGTTTGATCTAAATGGGAAAGAAACTGAATGGCTTTTTCAATGATTTGTGAGGGTAAAACCAGCATGTTCAAGTGATCTAATTGAGGAGACATGAAGATAGCTTTAGTGTGTCTAGAGTCGTCTAGGTTAGCTTGGGGTGACTTCAAATGTGGTAGTCGAATTTGCAACATTTTTTTTTCTAAGCAATTTTGATATTTTTGGCTGTCTAAAGACAGTCTAATCTACGATCTAAAAACTGACATGTCGGAGGTGATGAACTACCTGCTACGATTTAGCCGTCTCTGCTATTACCAGCTTGTACTAGTATGGTTTCTTGCTTATGGTAAGCTATTCAATCAATTTCATCTTGAATTCGTCAAGCCTTGCGGGATATAATCCTGAGGTTAAAGTTATGGTTCTGACAGAAGAACATGAATTTAGCCTCAGGATGTTACAACTTGCCTCAGCGATATTTACATGCAGGTATCTGCTGCTATTTAACGACAGTGAGGTTGGACTTATGGGGACATTTCTGGCGTCGGCTAACATTCTCTGCGCGAATAGTTCTACGTCAAGCTAGTTGGTGCGGGTGTCAAGGCAAATGCGTGAATAAAGCCAAGTCCACGGCTAAAGTCAAAGAGGTTTGAAGTAGAGATGAGTTTTGAAAAAAAAAGACACCTGATTGTGGAGGGGAAGCCGTGTTTCTACTGAAACAAAGAGTCGTTTATTGTCTAGTTCTTCTAGTCACGATATACCAGAAAGAAAGATGTTTGAAAAGTGGCATGATCGAAATTCTACAGAGACAAAGCTTTGTAACTATTTCAATTCGGGTGCCGGGTAGTTAATTATTTGAAATTTGGTTTGCTAGTCCCCGAGTTATAGTTTGTAGTTTATAATTCACGTGGTTCTTAAGACTATAATTGTGGTTCTTGGCACTGTTCGTTATTGCTGGTATGGATATTACGAGATATTGTGTTTTAAAAACCCGCACACGTCTCTAATTTAACTATTGCAAGAATCTCTTGCAAGCCTTCTTCTTGCTTTTTGTACGTGTTCTAAAACTTTATATATTTAAGCCATTTCTTACCTTCTGCCAATCGTTCTCTAAAACTAAATGCCTTCGCTTGTAAATCTCAACCACGTTTGATTTATTATACGACGATGCTATCAACAATAGCAATTATTATAAATCTAGTTGCACCTGACAATAGACGATAGTCTAGAGCATGAAATACGGCGTTTCATCAATGGTTAGAAACACCGATATTAGATTGGGAATTTAGGACTGAGCTGAACCATGCATGGACATAAACTCTAAATAACCATGCAATTGCCAAACCCCAGGGTATTAGAACCAGTTTGCAAGCACACATATGCATCACACGAGAAGTTTTTCGTTTAGGTGTGGACTAAAAAAATTCTGATATATTGTTTGGTTGCAGTGAACATTTTAGGTGGTTGCATTTACGCACCAGGAATAAAAAAAGAAAGCATCGTCACCTTTTTACGACAAGCTTGCTCGCTTGCGACATTAACACTCTAGCCTGTGTACAATAGAGAAAAAAAAGGAAAGTTCCGAAAAAAAAGAAAAAGAAACCACAGCGGTGGAGTTATAATTCGGGTTGTGAGGTTCGGGTTATGTGGTTGGGCTCAAACAATGAAATTGGGTTTTTGATTCCTGCAGACTAATCTGTATCGTGCATATTTGAACAAAGGGCTGCTACAAAATAATAAAAAAGCAATTACGTAGGGATTATTTTCTAGGAAAAAAGTTAGATTGGCCTGAAAATAAATCTTTGACTAAGTTTCTTTTGCGAAGTTTCAAGTAGGCGCTGCTGCAGAGACGTGCATGATACCATTAACATGCGTACGTTCTAACTTCTTGCAAATTGCAAGTATAGTCATACTTGATTTATTTTTTTTTTGGTTCTTTTTTCCCATAATATCCAGAAAATATAAATATCCGAAAGTTTCCAGGAAAACTATTGCTACATATAAAACCCCCCAAACCACTTCCACTCGTTAGAACTTTCAGGTTATTTATAAACCTATTTATTTACACACACACCCACACACACATCATGTTGAATTATAACTACTCTTTGAACCAAGCACAACTAAAGACATCATCCGTCACCCCCACATCCACACCCTCCCACACGCCCACCATATCCGCCGCGCTGCCCACAAGTCTAGATATAAATGCAGGCTCATTTATAAATACTCCCCCATCATCATCTCGGGTGCACCGGCGCTCCAACTCCGTCGACTTTACCAAAAAGGCAGGTTCGTTTATATCGATGAACTCCAACTCTACCCCTCCTTCATCGCCAATATCACTGGCTAGGGTAACTAGCACCTCGGGGATACCGCGCAAGCGCAGTATCATTATCGACTTGGATAAAGTTACCGAAGAATACAAGAATTGCGAAAGAAGGTTGAGTGTCGCCAGTGCCAAGATACAGAACAAGCCTGTGCGAAACGATCAAGCCAGTGGTGATACTGATGGTGAAGTCGATGAAGACGGTGAGTTTTATATGCGGGAGTTAGAGTTGTCTTGTCAGTTACCACTTAGTCTGGAGTTGCTATTACAGAGTTATTGCAAGAATGAAGATGGACAACACCACAGCGACGATGAAGAGCTTGATGGGAGGCACAAACCAAAGAAAGTGATATTGAGGACATGGAGCAAATTAAAGCGGAACAGTTCGGTTAGGTCATAGAGTATAGAATAAGGACATTCAAAATTAAATAGGACGATTATATAAAATAGATATTCGCTTATTTCATAACCTGGTTATGTAGATTAGTAAGTTTCTTTTTTTAGTTACTAGCTAGATGTATCTGTAATGCGAAGCAAGAGAAGGTGTTGCGTTGGTTTGTTTGACTAGTTAGAACAAAGAATGCGCAAGGAAATATATTTTTAAAAAATAGAAATTTTTTTATAAAATGTGGTAATTTACTTATGTGTGGGGCAACCATCGAACAATATGATTTATTTTTTATAAATGTGATTAGCCGCCAACAAAATCAACAAAATCCCTCCCAACATTACCAACACATTATACTGAAAGTGTACCCCACTTGTAGAGTTTCCCCAAAAGCTAGATGAGAAGTTGCATACATTCACGTTGATGTATCATGAATTTGTAGCTTCCTAATTACTTTCTAATTACGTCATGCAGAAAGTACATGTATATACGGCAATTGTTATCGGAATCCGCTCTGTGTTTACATCTGATGGATACAAATACGCTTCGGTTATTGAAGGGTAAACACAGCAAATAGCCCAGAAAATATACCTACAGTACAAAAATCAAAAAAAAAAAAAAAGAAATCTTGCAAGGGACTAGATTTCCGCAAATTTGTGTCATCACCGATGTATGCACGCTATATAAAATAATTTTTCTTTTTTCCTAATGGGTATGTTGCAATGGTTTTGTGCCCTGGTATTCGAAATTATGACGTCGATTATAACACAAGTGGCTAGAAGGTGACGTAAAGCATGGCGCCTTATTACATAGCTGACAACGTGGCTCACAAAACCTAGTTGCAATATCACGTTATTTGTGATGACGCCTATTGGTATTGTGAGGACATAATCGGAGAAGTGCAGCACAAGACCGAGATGGGAGTGGGGGAGAGAAATTCGAAAGGCGGGATGATATTTTTTGACGTCATGGAAAATATTTTTCTTCGGATATATAATGGTGGGGGGTGGAGGAGGGGGGGGGAGTAATTACGATAAATTTATACACATGGTTTCGTTCTATAAAATTCTTAGCTTACGACCTTCTTTAAGCTTTCAAGTTGCTTGTATACAGCACTCTTAGCGGTACCTCCGATAGCATCTCTTCTTTCTACACTAACTTCAAAATCAAACACATCGACGACATCGTCACCGAATCTGGCATCGATTTGCTTGAATTGGTCCAAGGTTAACTTGTCAATACCCAGTAAGTTTTGCTCTTCAGCTACTCTGACACATTCACCAGAGATATGGTGGGTTTCTCTAAATGGAACACCCTTTCTGACCAAGTAATCAGCCAAATCAGTGGCCAACATATCCATGGTCAATGCTTGTTCCATCTTTTCCTTATTTATGGATAATGTGGAGATAACACCAGTAGCGATGAGAATAGAGTGTTCAACAGTAGTCATGGCATCAAATAATGGTTCCTTATCTTCTTGCATATCTTTGTTATATGTGGATGGAATGGATTTGATAGACATGAGGAAACCGGATAATGAACCGAATACACGACCACTCTTTCCTCTTAATAATTCAAGAGAGTCTGGGTTCTTCTTTTGTGGCATCAAGGAAGAACCGGTAGAGTAAGCATCGGCAAGCTTGATGAAGCCGAATTCGGCAGTAGAATAAATAATTAAATCTTCGGCAAATCTCGAAATATGGTTCATGAACAAAGTGCTCCAGAATAAAGTTTCGACAACGAAATCACGATCACTGACTGCTGTTAAAGAGTTACCGATGACTCCTTGGAATCCTAAACCTTGAGCCAAGAATTCACGGTCAATTCCATATGGGTGACCAGCCAAGGCACCGGAACCCAATGGAGATTGGTTGACACGGGCAATGATTTCTTGTAATCTCTTATAGTCTTCGGTAAAGTAAGTACCATAGGAACTCAACCAATGAGCCCATCTGATAGGTTGTGCCCTTTGCAAGTGGGTATAACCAGGCATCAAAACGTCAATTTCGCTTTCGGCACGGTTGACAATGGCCAAAATAAACTGTTGTAATTTGTTGGATAAATCCAAAAGAGTTTCTCTAACAAAGATTCTCATATCAGTGGCTACTTGATCGTTTCTGGATCTACCAGTGTGAACCTTACCTGCGATCCCCTTACCGATGATTTCTCCCAATCTACGTTCGTTGGCGGTGTGGATATCTTCATCACCTGGCTTTTCGACGAATTTGCCTTCTTGCCATTCCTTTCTAATCACTTCTAACCCTTCATGGATAGCAGTGAGTTCTTCCTGGGTAAGCAATCCTAATTTTTGTAAACCAGCAGTGTATACTTTAGTTCCGGTTAAATCAGCATCGTACATGATTTTATCATATGGTAAACTAGCGTTGTATAAGTCCATCAATGGATCGGTGGCGCCGGTAAAACGACCACCCCATAATTTGTTTTCACTTGGTGCAGCAGACATATTTTGTTGTATATTGTTTGAAGAAGAAGGAAGAGAAAGAGAAAGAATGAACGAAATTTATAACCAGCGATCTTGAACCGCGCTTAAATGAAAATTTTTCATGAGTAACAATTACCTAATTAGGAAGGTGTTGTGCTGGTGCACGACCTCATTGACTCATAATTGCAAAAAAAAAAACCGAAATTGCAAAATCTGACATTATGAAGAATTCGTGATATTAGTAATATTTAGATTTCTATTTCATACAAGGGAATAAACTAAGATAACATTAAAGTCTATGGCTTACATCTACCGGAAAATCTTGGGTATAATGAACAATCCCTAACGGTGAATCTATCACATAACCAAGCCAAGATACGTTCAGTACCTAAACCGTACCCACCGTGAGGACAAGTACCGTACTTTCTTTGGTCAATGAACCAGTAGTAAGCGTCGGCATCTAATCCTTCTCTCTTAATACCAGCCAATAATTCGTCGTGGTCATAAGTTCTCATGGAACCACCGGTGATTTCACCAACGTTTGGAATCAAAACATCGACGGACTCGGTGACTCTTGGATCATCCTTACATTTTTGCATGTAGAAGGACTTGATTTCCACTGGGAAACGGATCAACAAGATTGGTTGGTTGATGGTATCGGTCATCTTACGTTCAGCGGCTTCAGCGATATCATCACCGAACTTAAACTTCTCGCCGTCTTCGTTAAGAACGCCGTGTTCGTTTAACCAGTCCAAGGCTTGGATGTACTCCATTCTCAAGAATGGCATCTTTGGTGGTTGGAAGTTTGGGTTTAATTGCTTGACAAGGGCAGCAGTAACTGGGTCTTCCAAGACATATTGGACGGTCTTGGTGATTAATCTTTCTAAATGAGACAACAAGTCTTCAAATTCTATAAATGCCAATTCGGATTCAATATGGGTGTATTCACTCAAATGTCTTCTGGTGTGAGACTTTTCAGCTCTGAATGATTCTTGGACACAGTAGACATCACCCAAGGCTGGTAAACAGGTTTCAAGATATAATTGGGAAGATTGGGTCAAGTAAGCTTCTTCACCGTAATAGTCCATCTTGAATAATGTAGAGCCACCTTCAACTTGGGTTTGGACCATACATGGAGGAGTAACTTCTAATAAACCTTCTTCGGCAAAGAATCTTCTAACAGCACCAAGGAAAGCAGCTCTAACCTTCATGACTGCAGATAAGGATTCACCACGTAAAGCCAAATGACGTTGGTCTAATAATAAGGAAGGGTCGGCGTTTTCTTGGACCTTGTTGGTGAATGCATCATCACCAGATGGGGCTAAGCCGACGATTTCGTAGTAATCGGCCTTTAATTCAACACCACCTGGGGCGGTCTTACCTTCTGGCAACTTAGAAATGACACCCTTGATAACAACGGTGGATTCCAAGGTCAATTCTTGAGTTTGTCTAGCCTTGGCCAAATCACCTGATAAGACGGCCTGAATGAATCCGGTACCGTCTCTAAGAGTGATGAAAGCAACACCCTTTTGAACTCTCAAACGATGGATCCAACCTTGAACCAAGACTCTGGTTTCCAAGTGGTCTTGGATGGTTCTTAACTTGATCTTCTTAGCAGCGGGCAAACTTGGATCTTCTTCGATCTTGATTAAGTCTAATTCGGCAAGTTTAGCGGTAGCTTCTTGTTCTTTTAATTTACGTTGTTCTTCTAATTTGGCTTGCTTTTCGGCCTTCTTTTTTAAACCTTCGGCACCCTTGACGGCTTTCTTTAAAGCAGAAGCGGAAATTTCAACGTATGAAAAAGTTTCATCTTCTTCTGATTGTTTGTAAACCAATACTTTGGCGCCTGGGGTAACATATAAGGCGTATGCGGCGGTGGCAAATGGTTGTTGTTCAGTACCTTTGGCTTCGGCTGAATCAACACCTGTCTTTTCGTTGACGTGAACTTGTGACATATTTCAATTGATTGAGTTCTACACTGAGTGTACTAATGAACATGACTCACGTAGAAATTTTTTTTGCATGGTTGTCAAAATTTGTTGTCATGCTACCATGAAAAATTTACACCTGCAAAGTGTAAATTTAGTCCTACAGTTTAGTAACGTGCAAATCAGTTTTTTTTTCTTTCCCCATTTTACAGGTTATCTTTTTCAAACAAAAATTTTCCCAAACGTATTCAGATCAATCAAAAAGATTAGGCAGCCACTAGCACTTGTACATATATATATATAAGTAACACACAATCATGGCATTAGAACAATCGTTGGCCGCTTTATCATTGGCTACTGTTTCTGCTGACTCTTCTGCAGTCGACACCAAGACTTTGGTCTTCAAACCAAAGACTGCCAAGACCGCCACTCCAATCCCATTATTTGTATTTGCATTAACTGCAACTCAAACCCCAAGTTCATACATTGCCAAAGCCGCTGGTGTCAAGGAACCACGTTTGGCCAATGACGAATTGGTTCAAGAGTTTTTTGCCACCACCACCAAGGAAGTTTCCATTGCCAGCTTGTCCAGTGCGTTGGCTGGGAAGGTTAAGCTTGTCGTTGATGCTGCTGTTTTCAAGGCCGCTGAAACCGACGCTGTTTTGAAATTGACCACTGAGTCTTCCGGAGCTGCTCTTCCTGCCAAGACCGTTGTTGAATTCTTGAAATCTACCGGAATTGAGTTGATTGAAGTTGACTTCTCTGTTGAACCTGCTGCTGCTGCTGCCCCTGCTGCTGCTCCAGCCAAGAAGGAAAAGAAGGAAAAAGACTCTGGTAAGATAGAAGATGCCAAATTGATCGGTATCACCTACGATAAGGAAAAGGATTTCTCCAGTTGGTACACTGAAATTGTCACCAAGGGTGAATTATTGGAATACTACGACGTTTCCGGTTGTTACATCCTTAGACCAAACTCTTACTTTGTTTGGGAAACCATTCAAGATTGGTTCAACGTCAAGATCAAATCCTTGGGTGTTCAAAACACTTATTTCCCAATGTTTGTCTCCCAACGTGTTTTAGAAAAGGAAAAGGACCACATTGAAGGTTTTGCACCTGAAGTCGCCTGGGTCACCAGAGCCGGTTCATCTGATTTAGAAGAACACATTGCCATCAGACCAACCTCTGAAACCGTCATGTACCCATACTATGCCAAGTGGATCAGATCCCACCGTGATTTACCATTGAAGTTGAACCAATGGAACTCGGTTGTCCGTTGGGAATTCAAGCATCCTCAACCATTCTTGAGAACCAGAGAATTCCTTTGGCAAGAAGGCCACACTGCCCATTTGACCAAGGAAGGTGCCCAACAAGAAGTTTTGGAAATTTTGGACTTCTATGCCGCTGTGTACGAAGACTTGTTGGCTGTTCCTGTTGTCAAGGGTAGAAAGACTGAAAATGAAAAGTTTGCTGGAGGTGACTACACCACCACTGTTGAAGGTTTTATTAGTGCTACCGGTAGAGGTATTCAAGGTGGTACTTCCCATCACTTGGGTCAAAACTTCTCCAAGATGTTCAACATTGCTGTTGAAAACCCAGAAGGGGCCGATAAGCCAAAGGTTTTTGCTTATCAAAACTCTTGGGGTTTGTCAACCCGTGTCATTGGTGTTATGATCATGACTCATTCTGATAACAAGGGTTTGGTTTTACCACCAAGAGTTGCCCAAAACCAAGTTGTTATCATCCCAGTTGGTTTAACCTCCAAGACCTCTGATGAACAAAGAAAGCAAATCAATGAAGGTGCCGAAGAAATTGAAGCAAGATTAAAGAAGTCTGGTGTTAGAGCCATCGGTGATTATAGAGCTATTTACAACCCAGGTTGGAAATTTGCTGATTGGGAATTGAAGGGTGTTCCAGTCAGATTAGAATTTGGACCAAAGGACTTGGCTCAAAACCAAGTCACTGCTGTTAGAAGAGATGATGGATCCAAGTACACTATCAAATTGGAAGAATTGGAACAACGTATTCCTGAAATCTTGGATGAAATGCACAACGCTTTGTTGTCCAAGGCTAGAAACGATTTCGACGCTCATCGTGTCAAGGTTGATGAATGGAAGGATTTCGTTCCAACTTTGAATGCCAAGAATGTTATCTTATCTCCATGGTGTGGAGATGCTGATTGTGAAGATGATATCAAGGATTCTTCTGCCAAGAAGGACAACGGTGAAGACGAAGAAGTTGACGAAAAGGCTCCTTCCATGGGTGCCAAGTCTTTGTGTATTCCATTTGAACAACCAGAATTGAAACCAGGACAAAAGTGTGTCAAGTGTGACAAATTGGCTTCTACTTACTGTATGTTTGGTAGATCTTATTAGATGTATGTAGAAATGAATTAATGTACAAGTGTCTATATATACTGCTTCCAAAAGGAAGACTTGTCTAGTGAAGCTATATCTTTGGTGACTGCTTTGACTCTGTTCTCGTCGGTCAACTCCAAACAATATATCTTGTCTACTCCTAGTGACTTTACATACTTCCAAGTCTTGTCGTAGTGGATACCAATTTGTGTAAGTGAATGAGCATCATCAGAAAGACAAAACCTAGCATCACCATATTTCACAATGGCATCAGCAATGTCGCGTTTAGGGTATGAAGTATCCCATCCTTTTCTCAATGCTGACGAGTTCAACTCAAATAATCCACCATACTGTTTGACACAATCGATGTTTTGTACTATCAAGTCCCAAACCTCGGGCCATTCGGCTTCTATGTTGACTTCGGAGGTGAGTTTTCCTGTCGTGGTATCTATATCATCCGCAGGAAGCAATAGACGAATCAAGTCAAAATGACCCACCACCATTGGTTTCAAACCGGAAATTACCCGATATTGCAAGGCAAAGTAATCTCTAAACAACGCTCTAGTGGTTTTCTCGGTAGTTGCTTCTCTCGCCCTTTGCCATAACTCAGGAGTGAAGTCTATGGGAATCTGATGTACGAAATGCACTGATCCAACCATCATCTGGATGGAGGGATTACGTGCTAGTAAAGCTTGGGAATATTCAATATGCGGGTCGTCTATACCCTCCACTTCAAAACCAAGTATTATCTTCATTCCATCCTTATCATTATATCGTTGTTGTAATTGAACAACATGATTGACATACTTGTCGAAATCTTGTACCAAGTTATCAATGGAGTAATCTCTGTCAGTCTCTTCCGGATATAAAAACCTCAGTTCGAGTCGGGGCATATGTTCAGTGAGACATACTGTTTGAAACCCCATCTGGTGATACTTTCCCACCATGGATTCAAGGGTATCACTTGCATGGGAGATGTAGTCTCTGCTGTGTGAGTGGTGGGTGTGCATTGTAGGGCTCTGATTATTAGATCTGGATTGGTTGTAAACTTTTTGAAATAAAAAAAAAAAAAAAAAATCTGGTAAAGTATTTGAAAACTACTTTGGTGGTTATACAATGTTGACGACACGGAAAGCTCTCGCCAGAGGTGTATTATTGAGTAAGCGATGGAGCAGTTCGCTCAATCCAACCATCAAGGATATGCATGTGAACCCACCTCAACCAGATACACTTATATCCGTACAAGGATTTGTTAAAAACATACGACAATTTCGTAAAGTTGGGTTTGTAGATATCAACGACGGGTCAATATTCAAGAACCTCAATGTCACATTGAAGAATCCTACCGAGATCCCTGATTTGAAAATCGGTCAGAGTTTAAATGTCAAGGGTGATTGGGTAGTTAGTCCTGGTAAACAGCCATTTGAATTGGTGTATGATAGCAAGAACCCAAATCACGAGATGAAGATTGTCGGTGATATAGCTGAGGATTATCCCGTCCATAAAGAAATGACTGTTGCCCATTTGCGCCAGTTCCCTAGCTTGAGACACAGAACTTCCAGCTTGGCTTCTATCCTCAGATTGAGATCGTTCTTGGAGACAAAATTCATGGAATTTTTCAATAGCAGAAACTTCACCAAGGTCACGCCACCAATCATAACCAGTTCAGATTGTGAAGGAGCAGGAGAAGTGTTTAAAGTGGAACCAGTTGAGAAAACTGAAGAAGCTTTCTTTGGTAAGGACTCTTATCTTACCGTATCTACTCAGCTTCATCTTGAAGCGTTATCACTCGCCTTGAATCGTGCATGGACATTGACCCCGTGTTTTCGCGCAGAAAACTCAAAGACGACTCGTCATTTAAGTGAGTTTTGGATGCTCGAAGCGGAGTTGTCCTATATTGACAATCTTGACCAATTGACCGGGTTTACTGAAGATATGGTGAGATACGTCACCAAGTCATTAGTTAAGGATGTTTTAGAAAAGGGGACTAGTGCCAACATTGATGAAACATTTGAAAGTGGTGATGGAGCTGACTTATTGGGCTCCTCATTCGGTTCGAATGAACAAGTGCTTAAGAGATGGTCTGCTTTATTAACCCCTGATAAATGGCCAAGAATGACATATACCGAGGCAGTAGAGCATTTAAACAAACAATTACCTAGAGAAGAACAAATAGTATGGGGAGATTCCTTATTACTTAAGCATGAAAAGCAACTTGCCGAGAATTCACCAATTTTCATTACTGATTATCCAGTCTCACAAAAACCATTTTACATGTTGAAATCCAAAGACTTTAATCCAGATAAACCTACCGTGGCCTGTTTTGATTTGTTGATTCCTGAATTTGGTGAATTGGCTGGTGGATCATTAAGAGAACACAACTACGATATCTTACTCCAAGACATGAAGAATCATGGTATGAACTTAGAAGATATGGAATGGTATTTAACATTAAGACGTAATGGAACCATACCACATGGTGGTTTTGGGTTAGGTTTTGAAAGATTAATTACATATCTATCAGGAAGAGAAAGTTTAAGAGACATTTCGGCATTCCCTCGAGCTCCTTCCTTGTGTAGTTGTTAAATGTCCTTGTAAATAGCATGTACATAGTAGATCTTATTCCAATGTTGCGAAAGCCATATTTAGAAGAAACATTGAAATTTCTTGGCTCTCGATTAGTTAACTTTAAATTGTAGAATGTGTCTGTATACTTTAGTAGTACGAAAGAGGGAAAGGTATGGTTATGGAATAATCCAGTATTTGAATTTGCAATGTTTAGAGTAGAACATGTAAAAGGTTGATCTAGGATTTCCAGTATAGATTTTACGGTTATTTTGTCATATCAATTTTCGAAATTTATTCAACAAAAGGAATCAGAATAGTACCAACAAGACAACTATCACATCAAATGGAACAAATCGAGGATGAATATGACTTACTACATTCGTTCAAACTTCACTGCATAGAACGGCTTATTATGCTTTCTTTAGATAAAGATGTTGCATATGTTGATCATAAATTGAATCAAGTAGTATATTCAAAATAAGTATTAAACAGAAATTTACCAACTGACATCACTCACTGTGATATAACCTATCAAATTTTTAAATCCGCATTTTTATCATATTCAATACAATCCATTCGACAACTACATGTTTCTGTGCGATATATAGTTGTTGACTGAACGTCTTGGTTATGATAAGAATCCATTTGTTGATTGTGATAGAATTTTTTCATGAAAACTTTGTCCAAATTGAAACATATATCCTTGTACAAGTTTTATTGAGGTCTTGGGATTTCAGTGAATGAGTTAGTTTCCTCGATCTTTCTGTGTGATATAAGACTTAGATCCGTGGTGTTCTCTAATTTGTTTAATAACTCTATCCGTTCCTCATGGCTGTAGGCAACTGGTGAGTTATCGTTAATCGCTATATTGGTATAACTTCTTGTAACACTCAGGATTACACCTATCTTTAATATTTGCTTGTTGATATGAGATAATGGAATGAATATGCATTGTGCCAATGTTTCCAAACCACATATTGCCTTTAAAAAAATTCGGTTGCAAATAGCATATCACAAATTTGCACCCAAAAATACTACGCAAGATAATTTTCAACTACGTCAATACAGAGAACTTGCATTAGGAAATTGATATTCTTTTAACTGGAAAACTATAGAAATTTCTATTTCAAAATATATTCTATTTATAAAAATTGATCTTTATTAGCCAGCGTGACAATTTGTAACTAACAAAAATAAGAAAAGCGAAAACTATGTTCTTATTTTCCCAAAAAACTAATATGCTAGATTGGCAAATTACTTGATTTAATTGAATATAATCAAATCTAAAGAAAGGTAATTGGAATTAATATCGAACTACATCTTCCTAACAAGCTTCCTTCTATCCAAAATAGCTTCTTCTTTCTCAATGAATGCTTTCGTGTTGTAATCAATCGAGTTATGAAACTTTTTGTGATCTTTATAATGACTCATCAACTTGTCAAAAAAACAACCTGTTGCATGTAATTAAACAAGCTTGAATTGAATTATATTCAACAAAATCTTCTAAATAGCGTTCAATGTACACTGTACTTTTATTGAGAAAAACCACACAATAGAGAAAAATATATCGGTATAATGGATTAATTTTGCAATACATGTCGATATACTCAAGATCGTAAGGACAATTACAAAATACTGAAAAAAGTCTGCAATTCAGGATCCAATACAACAAATTTGTATACGAATTCACTGATATACTAACCACGGTTCTGACAACGATTTTCACGTTTTCGAACATATCTCGTTCGCTCTACCCTGCTATATCCAATGTTAAATTAAGGTAGTACTACAACACATACCTTTCAATGTTTGAAATTCTTGAATTTTACAAGTAAATTCAAAATGCACCACATCACTGTAATGCTTTTTTAATCACCGATCTAACTATCTTGGCCTTGAAGATTTCTAAACTCAAATCTTCTTAGGCATATTGATCATTACCAAATAGTGAACTAAAATGATCTGTGGGGAAAGAGCAATCACCTTTAGAAAAATAATTGCCATATTCTAGTAAATCATACAATTCAATCACTTCTGCTAGGATTTCCCAACGTTTAAATTTTCATTAGAATATACTGTTTATTCAAAATAACAATGTAACTTAAGATCTGATCCGATTTTTCATCCTTATTTAGTAAGGTATTCATCAAAATAAGTCGTTCTTATTGCTGGTCCGATTTCGTGATTGCTTAAAATATAAGAAGCAAACTCTTGGTTTCGTAAAATACTGATAATCATATAATATTCTAAGGTGCAGTAAAAATTTCCTATGAATGCTGGTTTTGTAATGGCTCTTGAACTGTTTGAGTTCTCCAAAAAAAAAGGGGAGGTAGCTATGAATATCAAAGGTAGATTGTTTATCCATCTGGCATTCTGACTAGCGTAGCGAGAAACTACAAAGATATTATAGAAATCATTTAGCAAATGAATTTATGAGAAGTTTTTATGACAGCTGGAGACTAGCAGCTTCCTGGTTTTACGGTTACGTGGGTTGTTGGGGCCAAGTTGTCTAGGCTGTATTTTGCATATCTTGACAGCATGGAAAAAAAAATATAAAGACTTCTTGCGAACGATAGACACATATTATGGGTTTCATTGGCTTTTGGGTACTATAAATTAATTTGCTCCTTGTTTCATGATAAATGCGTTACAGTTATAAAAACCGTTGGTACGGAGAATCATAATTCTTCGTGCTATGAGCCTTTTCTACTTCACAGTATGAATTTGTTTTGTCGCGCCGGTACAGAAATTTGTCTCCACTAGTTTGAACAAAAAAAGCAATCAGAAAAAAATTTTCCTCTAAATTGGTTGCCATCGAATAGCTACTACACTATCATCCAACACATACACATACAATATGGACCAATTAAACGTTAAGGAACAACAAGAGTTTCAACAAATTGTTGAACAAAAGCAAATGAAGGATTTCATGAACTTATATTCTGGTTTAGTTGTCAGATGTTTTGATGATTGTGTTAACGATTTCACTTCTGCCAGTTTATCCTCTAAGGAAACCAGCTGTATTGCCAAGTGTTCTGAAAAGTTCTTGAAGCACAGTGAACGTATTGGTCAAAGATTCCAAGAACAAAAGTATGTAAGGTTTACCTAAAGTGTTTTATTGAAATTTATACTAACAAACTTTTAGTGAAAAATTAGTGCAATCCCAAAGATAAGCTTGATATTTCCAAGTATTACTTAGAGGGAAAACATAGTATTATCTAACCAGTCAAAGAGTATGCTGGTTTAGAAATTCAAATGTTTTATGTTTTTGGTGGGGGATGGCGGAAGATGTGCCTAGTGTTTGAATGTCTGGGTATCTTGTGTTTATAAAATTTGTATATAAATATTATATCATTAAGTATTGATTAATATCATAATACTTTATTGTTACCTTGTCTTGTATAAACTTGGTTGCCTTGTAATTTGTAGGGTACGTATCTTGTAGGGCACGTGTCTTGATGGTCACGTATCTTGATGGTTACGTATCTTGATGGTTACGTATCTTGATGGTTACGTATCTTGACTTACCCATGTTCAACTACAGTACAAAATTCACCTACTGAAAAAAAAAAAAAAACATTGAATATCAGAAACAAACTAGACAACCACTGATCCACCATGTCAGAACAAGTTAAATTCAATCCAGATCTTCTGATCATCCTAATAGGATCAATCATAAACAAATCACTCATGAAATACACTGGTGATTTCCCCGATTGTAAAGCCATCATTCCCATAGACACATTCATAACTGACCTCAATGAACTCGCAGCCCAATACACCAACACATTCAATGACGTAAGATTCCCTAAGATTGACATCAAATTATTGTCTTTTATAATAAGCAAGACTCTATATCATAGGTTTGTCCAGATTGGCCAGAAAGAGGTAGTCATTGATGTTGTGCCCCATGTCTATGAGAATATGTTGAAGAATATCGTGGCTACTTCGACCTTGAGATATTCGAAATATCTTTGGCGAAATGCTAAGGAAATGTATGAAAAAGATGGAAATGTTGTGGAGAGTTCTAGTGAAGTGCCTGAGGAGAAGGAGGAAGAGGAGGAGGAAGAAGAAAGTGGTAAGATGGAGGTGGATGAAAAGGTAGAGTCTAAAGAAAATGAAGATAAGATGGATGTTGATAAGGTAGAAGAAGAAGCAACTGAGGATAAGACAACATCAAGTGAGCCAGAAGAAGCGCATCAAAAGGAAGAAGAAACCAAGGACGAGGAAGACGAAGAACAAAAGGGAGATAAGAGCATTGTTGAATCGGAGAAACAGGATGAAGCTGAGTCTGAGGCTGAAGAAGAAGGAGAGGAAGCTAACGAAGAAGAAAAGGAAGAGGAAGAAATCGAAAGTGAAGAGGTCAAAGAAGAAGCCCTGCTGGAAGCACCCGAAATTAAAGGTAATGAGGAACGTGAAGTGACGGAAGTCAAGGAGGAAGAAAACAAACAAGATGATGAGGTAGAGTTAGTAGAATCGGAAGAGAACGAAGAGGAAGAAGAAGAAGAAGAAGAAACTTCAGAGAAGGAAGAGGAAAAGCAAGAAGATTCCAAGGAAGAAAAGCACGTCACAATAGCAAAGGAAGATGAAGTTATGGAAGTAAAGGATTCTGAACCTGAAGACGAAGACGACGAAGATGATGAACAAGAAGAAGAGGATGCACAATCACCTGACAGCAAGGAAGGTACGGCTGAAGAAGACCAAATAACGCAAAAACCGGGTTCTCGTAAACGCTCACGCTCCCCATCTGCAATCAGTCAACACAAGCGATTCCAAAATATTGCTGTTAAACTCATAACCACTATCCAAGAACATAGATTCAGTTCACCTTTCTTACAAGCAGTCAACAAAAGAGACGCTCCTGATTATTATGACACAATATATGAACCAAAAGACCTAAAATCCATTCTCAAGGCGGTCAAACTGAAGAAGGAACCTCCTGAATATCAACTGATTAAACAATTAGAACGAGACATTATGCTCATGTTTGCCAACTGTATTATGTATAACAAGTCTGATGATGACTTGGTACAATTGACAATATCTATGAAGGAAGAAGTTAGAAACATCTTCAAGATATTTGAAGAAGCTGAAGAGGAAATGAAGTAGCGTATTATAGTTTAAGGAACATTTACAGTAAAAACCAGTTGTATTACTAGGTAAACTCGGTTGGTTGTACCCGTGCGTAATAGTAGAGACGAAAAAAAAATTCTGGCGATGATTTTTTTGTTGATCTTTCCTGGCAACACTTTCATCTTCAGCCAACAAGTAAAGAATAAGAGCTCTGTTGACTGTAAGAACCAAAGAGCGTGTTTAGGGCGAGTCTGATTGTTCTATTTCCAAAATATTGAAAGCTGTATCAAGGTTAGTTTGTCTGTCAAACTCACTACTCCACCATTTGCAACAACATTCACTTTATAGACAACTAGCAACCACCATGACCCAGAATCAGACTCAGTTTGTCAAACAAACTTCATTCGAAGTAGAATATGCTCCTTCACACATCACCAAATGGAGATCATCCAGAACTGGATTACAAATGACGTACATCAACCAACCTTCACCTATTGTCAATGGGTATTTTGCAGTTGCCACTGAAATTGAAAACAGTTCTGGGTGTCCCCACACTTTGGAACATTTAGTGTTTATGGGATCAAAGAAGTATCCATACAAAGGGTTATTGGACAATTTAGGTAATCGTTTGTATTCTTCTACGAATGCCTGGACTTCGGTCGATCAAACAGTGTATACCTTGACAACTGCAGGCTGGGAAGGTTTTAAAACTTTGTTGCCTATATACTTGGACCATTTGTTTAACCCTACATTGACTGAAGAAGCATGTTTAACTGAAGTTTACCACATTGATGGAAAGGGTAAGGAGAAAGGTGTGGTATTTAGTGAAATGCAGGGTATTGAAAGTCAATCGTGGTTTGTCTCGTTCCAAAAGATGCAAGAAACTTTATATGCTCCAAATTCGGGTTACTCCTCGGAAACTGGTGGATTAATGAAGGAATTGCGTCATTTGACCAATAATCAAATTAAAGAGTTTCATAAATCAATGTATAGACCAGATAATTTATGTGTGATCATCACTGGATCGGTGGAAGAAAATGAATTACTTGAAGTTATGACTGAATTTGATAACGAGTTACCTGAATTGCCTACCACTCCAAATAAAAGGCCATTTGTGGATTCTCATCCTCACGATGAACCTTTGCAAGAAGTCCTAATTAAGGAAGTCGAGTTTCCAGAAATTGATGAATCTATGGGTGAACTTTTGATTTCTTGGATTGGACCAAATGGAAATGATACATTGGTGAATCTGGCCATCGACATGATTGGGGCTTATTTCACTGATAGTCCTATCTCTTTATTCAATAAGAATTTAGTGGAGATTGAACATCCGTTGGCTACTGATATTGATTATACCACTGATGATTATTTCAGGACTGCTATTAACTTTACCGTGAATGGTGTACCAACTGCAAAACTTGCTGAAGTAGACACAAAGATCAAAGACTTGATTCTTTCGCAAACTAAGCCGGAAAATATCGATATGAAATATCTTAAACAGGTTATCAATCAACAAAAATTGAAATTTGTAAGTGATACCGAGAAGTCGCCATCGTTATTTTCAAATATTGCCATTTTGGAATTCATTTATGGAAACCCAGATGGAACCGATTTGTCTAAATGGACCAAGGATTTGCAAGAATATGAAACTATGTTGAATTGGACTGCTGAACAATGGAGTGAGTTGGTTAAAACTTACTTTGTTGATAACAAGTCTGCTACTATTCTTGGAAAGCCATCGGCAAAATTAAATGACTTGATCAAGAAACAAAACAAACAGTTAAATAAGGAGATTAAGGAGAAGTATGGTAAAGAAGGATTACAAAAGCTACAAGAGAAATTGGAAGCTGCTCAAGCTAAGAATGATATACCTATTCCTGAAGAATTATTAACTAAGTTTTCCAAACCAGATCCATCCAAGGTTGAATTTATCAAGACTAAATCGTACAATGCAGGTTACACCAAGTCTATCGTTGACAACAACACTAATCAATACATTCAAGATGACAAGTTTAGTGAATTGTTAACCAATGATACTCCTGCTGACTTTCCATTATTCATTCATTTGGAAGATTTCAAATCTCAGTTCACCACAATCAAGTTAATTATGTCATCAACCAGAATCGACCCACAGTTGTTAAGTTACATGTCTATAATGGAAGAATTGTTCTCGTTATCTATTCAACTCCCGGATGAATATATTCCTTATGAGAAAGTCATCTCTGAAATCAATAATGACTTGATTGAATTCCAATTGGATAACGGATATGAAAACCAATTTTTGGAGTTGATTGGTGTCAATATCAAGTTTGAATCAACCAAGTACCAAAAGGCGATTGATTGGTTATTGAAAGTTACACGTTATACCATTTTCGAAGAATCTAGAGTCAAGGTTATAATTGAGAAAATTATCAACTCGCTCCCAGACAAGAAACGTAACGGAGAATTAATGATGTATTCTTCACAATATAGACATATGTTTGAACAAACCTCGTTGAGAAAAGCCCAAGATGCTATATTCACTGAACTCTTTTACAAAGACTTGTTGGAGCAAATTGATCAAGGAAACTTCGCCAAGATTCAGCAAGATTTAAACACACTTAGACAACAATTGTTTAAATTGGATAACATCAAGGTTTTCATCTTAGGTAACACTTCCAACTTGAAATCTCCAGTTAGTGCGTGGACGAAATTCACCCAAGAATGTCTTGAACAAGACAAGCAACATGATGACTTATTCACCCCCGAGCCATTTGCTGAATTACCCCGTTCATATCAATTCAGATCTGACATTGGAGACGCTTGTAATAAGGAAGCATATTTCGTGAACATCCCAGCAGCGGAATCCACACATTTAATGTCATTAACCAAGATCCCCACTAATTATCTCGAAGATGATATTTTCAAAATTGCTCTTGCCAGTGAATTCTTGACTGCGGTGGAAGGGCCATTCTGGAGAGGTATTAGAGGAACTGGATTGGCCTACGGTGCCAATATCCGTCGAGACATTGAAACTGGGTATTTGAGTTTTAGTATCTACCGAGGCTCCGATGCAAAGCAAGCATGGTTGACTGCTAAGGAAATAGTGGAAAAATATGCTAGTAAGTCCATCGAGATTGATGATATAAGCATTGAAAATTGCATTGCTGTTATCGTCAATGAATGTGCCAATTCTCAAGAAAACAATTACGAGGCTGCTAATTTTAAAATTACTGATAATGTGTTCAAGAGACGTGGTCCAAATTACTACGAATTGTTCTTGAAGAAGTTGAACAAGTTGACTGCTGATGATATCGTTTATGCTTTGAATAAGTATTTTGTCAATTTGTTCAAGCCGGAAACGTCCGTGGTGTTCACTAGTTTACCTCCTGATAAAGCTCCTGAATTAGCAGAACATTTCCATGAAGTTGGGTTCAATGTTAATTTTGAAGAGATTGCCAGTGATGACCATGGTGAAGTTGAGAGTGAAGAAGAAGAAGAAGAAGAACATACCGATGAAGAATCTGATTGTACTGATTCCGAAAGTGAAGAAGATGATGAAGATTAAATAAAAGTAATACACTAATAGAATATAATATAATATCATTTATTAATAATCTATAAATTCTCTTACTTCATCTTGGCGAAGGACAATTCACCCGATTTTGGATCTCGAGTATCCTTTTTCAAGAATTCAACATATTGACTAACGCTATTACATACTTCTTTTTGATCAGCACTAACTTTAGTCCAGTAACTATCGCTGGTGATGGCATTACATACAACCCATTTGGCCATGGTGTTAAACTTCAACTCCCAATCAATAGACCCAGCGGCAGGTGCTGGTCCCAAATTTCTTCTTTTGTATGTATTCAGTTGTTTTGAATTCTCTACGGCATCGATTCTTGGATTGTGAGGATGCAAGAATAACAGCTCTGGAGGAGTATATTCTGACATTCTATATAATGCCGGCTCGATGTCAACCTGAACTTCCTTCATGAGTTTCTTCTTGGATGCAATAAACTCTTTGACCAATGTTTCAGTGTAGAAACCCGCTTGGTATGGATTCAACCTGGTATCCATGTCTCTTTCTGCCAAGAACTCCTTCCAATCATTATAAAATGTGGCAACTTGACGAGGATCCAATTGGGCAAATGCAGTTTCATGGTTATCAATGTTGTAAGTGGGGAACTTTTGTGCTTCAAGGAAATAACGCTCATTCATGACATGTAATGCCGGAACGATGGTTTCACGTTCGGACCCAGGAGCACCTTGATAAAACATTGGTTGGTAGAAATCTTTCAAGTGCATATTGTAGTATAATGCAAGTAACAAACTCTTCCAGTGTTCCTTTTTAGACACAACCATTTGTCCCGAATCGACACTTACTGATTTAGGTATGTTCTCAAGGTCATGGAAATGAACCAGCAGCCCTTTATTCTTGGGAAGTATACGCACAATTGGTTGATCATTGGCGATACCGTCTCTTCTAATCATTTCTCCCGGGTGTATGCGGGCTAAACGGTAATAAACTGGACTGGTCATTTTATGCCATCTGTCGGGCCAAAGAATCATCTTTGCCGATAAAAATGGATCAGAATGGAAAATGGAATCAATGTTCTTGAGAACCAAGTTTCCGGCATCGATTACAATCACATTATCGAATGAACTTACCAAAATACCCAAAATTTTCCGAGTATGATGATCCAGAAGCAAATTCAGTTGACTCAACTTAACTTCCTTTTCTAAAATAACACATTTACCGTTTAATGTAGGCAACAACTTGTCACAAACGTCAGAATCATAATCTTGATTGGTTTCAAGAATGACTTCGATAGGTAAAGTTGAGCCAGAATCCTTTAAACTGGCTACAGTTATAAGAATAGAACGCATGGATTCTCTAACACCATTAATAACTATACCATCGCCCTGGATAATCTCGGGTAACGGATCAGGTAAGAATTTCAATCTTTGCACAACCTGGTCATGGGCCTTTTGCAACGCTTCAAACTTTGGACCAGGGATGTTTAACTCGGTTCCACGAAGGATACTCTCACTTAAAAGACGAGAATCCCATTGGTAGGTAGGATCCAAGTTGGATCCTCTTTCACTGGATGTTAACGCGTCACATTCGGGCTTGGCCTTTAACAAGATGTCATCTAACAAATGGCTGAAATATTTCAGACGGTCGACATATCTCTCCATTCTATTCTTCAACTTGATTTCAAAACCAAGAGGTAACTGGATTTCAGGTAATCCTTCATCCTTCAATGCTTGTAATACTGCATAATTTTGAATGTTTCTGCCGTTCTTTCTTAAATAATCAGCTTTCAAGTCTTCAAATATAGAGTAAGAAACACGCTTCTCTAAATAAAACTCGTCGGTGAACTCATTCAAGACTTGTTCCTTTAATGCTTTCTTGACATCTTCAAGGTGGGTGCTTCTGTATTCAGCCTTTAACTCTGATACAATGATAGGTTTGAGTTCAGCTTCCATTTCCTTCTTCATAAGTTGTATAAGTTCATCCTTTTTGGTTTCCTGAAGTTCTTTAAACAAGTCAGTCATGAATGCTTCACTATCGACTTTATTCACTTCATTTTGAAGCTTTTTTGAACCAACATAGTAGGTACCACCACTCAGATTGTACTCTATGGTGTTTTCTTTAGAAGGTGTTAATGCAATGACGTTAAATATGACAATGACCGCAGTCAACCCACAAAGTAGGAGGAACAGGATAGACTGTTGACTACCTAAATATGCCATTTAGTATGGGTTAGGGGGGTGACAAATGTGGTAAAAATGTGTGTGAATATGTGAACGAGTGAGGGGACACGTGGGGTAAAAACTCAGGGTTTAAGTATAGCAGCCGCAAATCAAAACCAAGCAGAGTTCAGCACGATCTAGCGATTTGTAGAGGGATTAAACAAAAATATATACACCACAGACAAAGAAAAGCTCTAAATCAAGGAGTGGAAAAGAGATAACCACATTTCAAAAAGCCTCGAGTGAGTTGTTGTTGACAATTGGAACGTAATTTTGGGTGACTATTTTCCTTTTTTCTTGCAAGGATTATTTTTAGTGAAATTTTTAGATCTTGCATTTTTCTAATTTAAAAAAAAAAAATAACAATAGATTTTTCCACTTTTGTGTGATGTGCAGGACGGTTTGTTGTACAGCACGAGTACAATCAAAAGAGAACTTCGCTAATACATGCTGCAAGCGAATGCTATGTGTAATAAACTTAATTTAAGTAAGTTGTTTTAAAAAAAGACCCTGCTTAGAAATAAACTTTGAAAGTGATGTCAAATTATTTAGGCATTTCGACGTAGAATTATGCAACTGCATTTCTTGTTTTAAAAAAAAAAACTGGCTGCAAATGAGGCTCAATTGGGGCAGTGCTATTTTTTTGGTGCAAGTTTGCTACTTTGCTACTGAACAAACAATCACATAACGACTTGACAACCAGATTGTTTATCGATGTATTTTGACGGGTAATTGACACCGATACATAGCTGACTTAAAAATATTAGTTTAAGTTTGTTTAATTCAATCTTGCTGCGTCTCTTTTCTGGGGAGAAATCGAAATTGAAATCAAAAAAAAAACATCAGGCAATCCGAGCATGTGAATTTGGTTCTTCACTGTCAACGCAAGATCTTTCACTTAAGTGTTCTCATTCAATGTGTTTATGAAAATTTAGATCAGTGTTCAGCGTTGTCTTGCAAAGAAGGGCTATTGCCCAGGGTTACAATATGAATATGTATTTCCATGGATTACTTGGATATGATGGTAATTGAATTGTCGTATTTTCTTTTTTTCCCCGTATAAATATATGCATGGACATACATAGATGGTCTGCTTCAAAAAAAATTAGAATATAATAACATCCAATATAGCATGAGCCTTACTTTTCTCCACTTTTTTTTGAAATTTTAATATAAATCAACACCACTTTAATCTATACCTCTTTTTAACCTTTCAAAGGAAGCTGGATGTCCTGCAAACAAAACCAACTGGTTTATATTCAGCCTGCCTCAGTATGCTTTGACTTGGAAACCATTTTCATTTCTTAGTTGTCACGTGATCCAAGTTTGGGGCCTTGTATGCCCAAGAAAATTTAAAAAAAATCGGGCGTGTGGTCTAGTGGTATGATTCTCGCTTTGGGCGACGACTTGGAAACAAGTTGATTTACTACAAGCATGCGAGAGGCCCTGGGTTCAATTCCCAGCTCGCCCCTTTTTTTTCTTCTTCCATTATTTCACTACGATCATAAACTATGAAATATACTGTTGTTTATATTTCTCCGCTTATTTTTGAACAGTGTCAAAGCTTGTTTTTTTAAAAATTTGGGTTTATAGCCCTGTTGTTGGTTCTTTGTTTAGGGTTGTAGTGTGGCTCTTTTTTCTTGTCTGGCCCCATGAATTTAATTAGTTTTAGCCATATACTGGTATCTGAAGATACCTAAGAAAACCTAGAATTACAAACAGGCAGACATACTAAGTTTACTCTGAAAGCTGGTGTAAATTCCAGTGAAAACACGCGTCTTTGTTTAAATGTTTGCACTTGGCAATTGACGAAAATTAAATTAATCACCATCCCTATTTTTTTTTTTCGGTCTCATTGTTCTCTAAGATTTGGCTTAAAAAAATGATCAACTGTTTTTCTTGGTCAACTTGACCACTTTATTAAATAATCATTCGAAAGAAAACGAGTAGTTTATTCATAGAGGTATTTGTATATAAACGAGGAACGAATAAAGTAACTAATTGATTGTTGTTGTTGTTTTCACCCTCCTGTGCTGTCCCCCTTTTTGAATATTCACATTGTTGCACCCTTCTTACGATTACTTATACAATATGGAACCCACACCAGTTGATGCAACAAGTATTGTGTTGCTATTGGTATTCCTGTCAATAGCGCTCATCTTCTTGTTGTTCTTTTGTGCATACAGGTTGTTTTATGCTGGGTCTGACCGTAATGAATACTCGTTGATTGGGTCTGATTTCATGGGATCGCATTCCAATGACGTTCCCCGAGAATTCCTTAATGATGAAGAATCCTTGACTCATTTGGCAGAAACTTATGATTTCACTCATTTGTCTCCAGAGGAGCAAACTGCTTATTTGAAGGGGGAGGAATTCACCCAGACCAACCCACCTGATTTCACTAAAGTTCGTGGTAAGACATTCACTACCGAAGATGAGAAGTTGATTAAGGATTGCGGCATCAATGCATTCCAATTTGACTTGGAAGAAGATTTATTAAATCCCCACTATATTGTTGCCGACAAGACCGAATTGAATTTCCATAACAATGATACACCATATGCCACCACCACTGCAGTTTTGAATTATCCCTTGCCAGTAAAAAACAGACTTTATTCAGACACAGTTTACTTTGAAACCAAGGTATTTGAATTCAACAATACCGATAATCCAAACGCCCATTTCTCAATTGGGTTAGTTACCAAGCCATACCCTACTTCATTTAGATTGCCTGGGTATAACAAATTCTCCATTGGGTATGAAAGCACCGGTAATTTGAAAATCAACAAGCCATTCCCAACTCCATTACAGCAACATCAAGGAGACTTAAGTGAATACAATGCGCTCGTTCTTCCACCTTTGCAACAATCCGATATAGTTGGGTTTGGGTATGTTATTCCTACTGGTACTATTTTCATCACCAGAAACGGTAAGAAGATTTTGGACGTTATGAGAGGCTGCCATGTTGATTTATACCCTGCAGTTGGTTGTTTCCTGACCAATGCCAAGTTTCAAGTTAATTTAGGACAGTTGGGTTATGTATGGATTGAAGCTAATGTGAGAAAGTATGGATTTGTATCTACCAGCGATTACAAGAAGATTGGTGGTGATCGAGGATTGGCAGCATTGCCACAATACGATCAAGCCGTAGAAGATGGTGATAAAGTATTGGACAAAGGAGAAGAATTACCACCCAGATATCCCGAAGAAGAATTAGATTTCTTTGGAAGATCTTTACAAAATGTATCCAGACTTGGAACTTCTGCTCAACACCAGAAATTGAATGAGAAAGCCGATAGTGAAGTCCAAGATGAATTTAAGGAACCACCTCAAGAAGGTGGTTCTTCTACTATTACTGATGAGCCAGAAGAAGTTATGGATTTAAGAGAAAGAATCTATGAACAAAATATCCAAAATGAATTGTCGTCCGTTTCTGAAAACACCCCATTGTTTGTTGATGCTGATTTACTTGATTACGAAAGTACTGAACTTTCTAAACAAAAGCCAAAATCAACCGACCAACAGGAACAACTGACTGAACCACAAGCACATTTAGAACAGGTTGAAGAACAAGTGGAAGAACCAGCGGTAACTCAACCTCAAGAACAAGAACAGATTGAAGAATCTCAACCTGAGCAAGAAAGCACTGAACAAGGTCTCGATGTAACATCTGATGCACCTATCAGCCAATCAACTGAGGTATCACAGCAAGTTGCTGAACTGCAAGAGCAACTGGAAGAACCTCTGGAACGGGAAGGAACTACAGATACTGAACAAAACACAACTATCGATACCACCCAAGAAACAGCTCAAGATGAAGCACAACCTCTTATTGTTGGCGAATCAATCACCCCTACACAGCAAGGAGATTCTCCGGCTCGCAAGGCTAACAAGCCCAAGAAGAAGAAGAAAAAGTCTGGTAAAAAGAAGGGAAAGAAGAAGTAGATTTATGACTCTTTGATTGATTTCATATATATATACTTTCACAAAAGCACTGTACTAAACCTCTAACTACCTGTAGAGCATAAAATGCGCCTTTATTCAAGCTTTTAAAAGCTGTAATACAAAAATAAAGACAATAGTTGCAAAAAGTTAAGAGCTAGCGCAGCCAGGTTTCGATCCTGGGACATCAGGGTTATGAGCCCTGCGCGCTTCCACTGCGCCACTGCGCTCTTTTTTTCAAACAAAAATTTTTAATTTTCAAATGGCCTCAATCAATTTCAACTGGTAGCGCGAATTTAATTATTTTAACTGTACTCTTGAGATGATAACCAATAATGTCCTTAAACTTAACTCTAGGTATTTCTATACTACAGGGTAATGTAGCAAAGCAGTTTCTAGGATTGGTATAGCGTCCTTGTTGTTTCATTTATTTTTGTAATTTTATGAAAGATTTGTTACTAAAATTGATTGTAAAATGTTCATTCTAAGACTAATGTTGGATTTTCATGTACATAATAATTAAAATTGCCAATAACTCATAGTATGATACCTTTAGACAATTATAACAAGATTAGGGCTGATTATACTGTTTCAATATCTAAATTGATGAAGAGGTACCAGTTTATTTGCCACTAGTGAACATCATTATCACGTGACACAATTCTTGATCTGAATTTGGAGAATATTTTTCATCAACGATATCAGATGTGTTGTATTCATCCTCTCCTCAAATAACCATAATAATGTCCTTGAGAACTCTTGCCAGATCAAGCGTGCGTGTTCCACGCGGTGTCACAAGTATAGTTTCCACAAGATGGTACTCTCCTGCCAAGACATCCGACCAGAAATTGACACCAGAAGAAGCAAGAAAACAAGCAGCCCAATTAGCTCTTCAATCACTTAAAGATTTCGGATCGCTCTTATCATCGTCATCTTCTGATGAAGCCACCCAACCAATTGACACTGCACCTATATTTGAAGATCCTACTTTATTCGGTAGCTTAAGTTTATTACACCAAGGACAAGTGTTGAAGGAATTGCAAGAGAAATATGACAAGAAGTGGGAAAAGTTGACATTGAAAGACAAGAAATTGGGCTATTATATCGCATATGGGAACTGGGGATCGCGTGAAAAGTTCGATAACTGGAATACTTTGGAAGCACCTTATGATTTACCATTCACAGTTCCTTCACAAGTTAAGAATAGTCACCCGGAGGCAAAAACTGTTATTAAGAAGTTGGAACCTGTTATATTGGCCGAGACTGAAGTGAGAAAGGATCAGTTTGATTTCAAGAGAATGGATGGTGCAACCAAGTTCTTTATCTACTTGACTGCATTTATTGTATTATTCGGGTTATATAGAGATAAGAAAATTGGTGAAGATGGAAAACCGGTTGAAATTATTATAGAGGATCATTATGAGAAGGCAAGACAGGCCAGGATTGCCCAAGAAGAAGAAGAAAAGTTACAACGTCAAGTTGAACAAAGAATAGCTACACAAAAGCTTGAACAAGCCACTAACCAAAGAAAATGGTATTACTTATGGTTAAAGTAAACCTCGCCCCCCCCCACACCCCCACTATCATCATGTAAATAGAGAACCACTACAAATAGTATAATACACATTAACAAGAAAATTCTATATTTAATATCGTACAAATATGCCCAATAAATCACTCATCATCCTTATCATCCTCATCATCTTCCAAATCATCTTCAAGCCAACTATTCTCCACAGTCTCCCTTACACGTTTCACATACTGCGATCTGTGGTCCTTATACAAATTAGCCGCCTCTACGTTCGCAGGAGAGCTAATATTAGGGTCGTTCAATAACGACTGGATAGAGGTCAATATCGAAGAAACGTCATATGTTGGCGACCATCTATTTTGTAAAATATCCAAACATAATTCTCCAGACGCATACACGTTGGGATGGAACATGTCACTTATGAACTTCACGCTAGGTGGTTTATTAGGGTATTGCTCATCAAACTGAAGTATTAATCGAAATGTCCCGTCTTCAAAGGGGGTATCAGAAGGTCCTATAATTACCGCATTCCTAAACGCCGGTTAGTATCTTTAAGCAAACGCCTCAAGGAAATATCATACATACCATTTCATAACATTGTCTGGCAAGGGAGAAGCAGAGACACCACTTGGCGCATCCTGTTGCATACGCTAGAACCTTGTTAGTATAGATCTATAGATCGAAGAGACAAACCCTCCATTTTGACCATTTGACATTAGACATACCTTGAAATCACGCATAAGTCTTCTTTTAGCGGGCGTGGACATTGTAAATACTTATTATATGCTATGCTATTAAGAGTTTCTAGTAGATGAACCTGGTTGAATGGAAGTTATTGCCGATATCAAAACGAAAGACGATTCAGTATCATGAATTTTTTTAAGCGCCACCAAAGAAAAAAATCAATGGAGCCGAACTCAGTTTTTTTTCCTGCACACGATCAAGTAAGCCACTTGGTAGCACGTGGTTTGATTACAAACTATATAACTAATATCCGAGGATGTATAAGCTCGTTCTGTTGTCAAGGTTCTACACCGATATTACATGAAATATCCACTACAAACTTAACTAAATTTTTAAACTTATAATTAACAATGAAACAGCCTATATATATAAAAACAACAACAACAACAAGATAATGGCAATGACGACGACACCTAGTTTAACCTCTTCATAATCATAAAACAACATACTTTGTGCAACATCATGTAAAACAATTAACAAATAATAAACTATTTGATTCTCAGACTCAAAATTCTAACGGAATCTATAAACCTTTTTGGTAAATCACTTTTTACTTTCCATGCCAGAAATCAGTCAAGTTTTGACCAGCACCATTGAATGCCAAAATGTTTGGAGTGTCTTCTGGAATGTCAGAAAGAACACCAGTGCTGGCATAAGCAATCAAATTCTTCTTCAATTGATTTGGCGAAACACTGTCGGCAGCAACAAAGAATTCAGAATCAGAATCTGGTTGCAAGGAAAGGTAATAAGTCAACAAACCACAAATGTGTGGAGAAGCCATAGATGTACCAGACAAGTAGGCAGTAGAACTATCAGAACCAATATAAGTAGACAAGATATTCAAACCTGGAGCGAAAATATCGACACACTTACCGTAGTTGGAGAAATAAGCTCTAGAGTCACTAATGGTGGAAGCACCAACAGTGATGGCATTTTCTGCCGAGGCTGGAGAAGTGTTACAAGCATCTTGGTTTTCGTTACCGGCAGCAACGGCAAAATGAAGACCAGCCTTGACAGCAGCATTAACAGCCAAATCTAAGGCAGGAGATTTACCACCCCCAAGGGACATATTAGCAGTAGAACCCTTGAATCCCTTCTTGCTTTGCTTGACGGCGTTTTGGTGCGAAGTGGCAGCAAATTCAACACCCTTGACGACATCAGACATGGATCCAGAACCGTTGGATCTTAAAACCTTAACGGCAACGATATCAGCCTTCTTGGCGACACCGTATGCATTGGAACCAATGGTACCGGCACAATGGGTACCGTGACCATTACCATCAGTGTCAGAGTCACCAGTTGGGATAGTAGAACCCCAGGTGGCTCTGCCACCAAATTCAACATGGTTGACATGAACACCAGTGTCAATGACATAAGCAGTAACACCTTTACCACCCTCATTGTCATACAAATATTGGTCAAATGAGCTTAAGCTCAATGGTTGTCTATGAGAAACCCTAGCCAAACCCCAAGGAGCACCTTTATCAGCTTGGAATTCATTGGCATGGACCAAAGAATCACGTTCAACAAACTTAACCAAGGGGTTCTTTCTAATCAACTCGATGGTTTCATCCAAAAAGTAACCATAGTAACCATTCAACAAACTGTCAATTCTAAAACTGTCAATGATACCACCTTCAGTCTTAAAATCTTGAGTGGAAGCAAAGAATGGATGGTCCTTTTCAACATTGTTAAGAGAGTTGGCATGAGTCAAAGCAACCCATTCTTGATGGAAGGAAGCTTCTTCGGGTTTGACATCATCGTTAAGAACGATGATATATCTATGAGGAATAATGTCTCTAGTAGAGTCAATGTTGACGATTGGAGCCAAAGCGTCAGATAATTGCATACCTAAATGTTGAGCAGCGTCATGGGCAGCTTCCTTGAGGGGTTCTAACTTTTCATTAATCTTGTCAGAGATCTTTTCGACACCACCAAAAACGTCAATAACGTCACCGATGGATGGGAGGACCAAACCTTGAACACCCAAGGAGGTCAAGATGGAAATAGCAACAGCTCTAGATAATCTCATTGCGTGGGGTGAATGGCTGTAGTAATTCTAAGTTAATAAAAGGTTTGATGTTGTTTTTTTTTTTGGGAGGGTTTCGCGTATGTAGTTTGATATCTTTTGAATGCAGCTGTTTGACCAGAGGAGTATACAAAAGGTATCGTAGGGAAGTATAAGTAAAAAGAAGAGGAAAACGTAGAAGGGCAAAAAAGCGGGATATTTAAACCAGCTAAAAAAAGGTGGTCTGAAACAGCAAGTAGCATCCAAACATACACACAATGACCCAAGTGATAAGCAATTGCTGTAAGAAAAAGAAATTGTGGGTGGCGATAAGGTCAACACCATGCAGGAAATGCTACCACAACAAATTTACACCGTTGCCCCGAGACAAACAAACTGTGGTGAAACAAGCAAAAGTGGGACGAGCAAATTTGATCTGTTCCATTCCCCCCCCCCCCCCCCGCTTGGGCGCAGTCACACGAATCAAGGTTTTCCCCACCGTTGCCAATTACGGATTGACAGAAACAACGCAAGTATCCTACAATATCTATATTATTATACTATATTATATTATATATGCCATTATTCTTAACCTACTACGTCTTGGGTTATGTCTTTGGTTATGTCTTTAGTCCTATATACATTGTTTCCCCCTTATCTAACATGGGTTGCCCGTGTGACGAAGAATATTATTCCGGGTTTCCCTTATTTTATTTTTTTTTGTTCCATCCCTTATCTTTTCCGAAAACGGAATACTTGATCAAGATATATTGTTATGTTATGTCATTACTACTACGCGTTCCCTTCCCCCTCCACAGTTTAGACGCTTTGCTTTAATCTTGAAAATATTTTTAACACCCGACTAAAACTCGAATCTATAATGTCAGCCTTGTTATTGCGTGTTCACGCAACCAACTTCTAATAGCTTGTTCGTCACTTCTTTCATTGACTGCCTTGTACACTATTTCATCCTCATAAACACCTTCTGATCTCAATATATCTAATAATACTTTTTTGTTAGATACAGATTCATTCACACAGAACCACACCTTATTAGCCCCCACGTCGGATTCCTTTCTGGACTTGTTGACAGGCAACTTTGGGGAATGAATATTCAGGAACAACTCCTGATTCAATAATTGCATCAACTCTTTAAACGGTTTCAGCTGCAAGCTTCTATTTCCAGTTCGACAATATTCATTATTACAATAGTCGTTACCGCACCCTTTACTCAATTGAATCATATACTTCCGCTCTATTCTTATTTGCAACTTTAAATATGTAGGGTCATGTTGCGCAACATATAACGGCCCATAGCATATGTCGCACAACCCCATTTCATTACTACTCACACCAGAAAGCAAATTTATACAATTCTCGTTGCAGCACTTGTTGAAAGTGAATTTATTCATTTGGTTAAACTCAACCTTGTCTAGCTCATGCATCTTGACATGTTTCTTGAAATCCTTAATCCGCACGATTTTACCACATTTGTAACATTCATTAGTCTTGTTCCCACATGAATTCTCATGATGGGTCAAATTTTCAAATCGGTCCTGATACGTCGCTTCTTCTTGTGGTACAATCAAATGACAGAATCGACATTGGTGCATCTTAGCGGGACAGTTAGTGGACTTGTGTTTGGTAACCAAATCAAAGAAATCGTTAAAAGGTGTGTGATCGGGACATTGGCTGCAAGTGTATGGATCCAAATGGTACAACTTAACATGTTTAGACTGCAACAACGGCGTATTGGCATAAAAACCGTTTGTACATAAATCACAATGCCAATGGGTTTCAGGAATCTTCTTTAGAAAGACTGAATCACATTTGACACACCTGACATTGTTTCTTAAACAGAATGATTGATGAAGGTCATAAGATTGGACAGAAATATACTTTAAACAGTTCGAACATTGTTTCTGATTCTCATCGGGTATATCTTCCTCTTCAGGGGCATATGTTTCGCCCTTTTCTTCCACGACAAGTGTGATATTTGCATTTGTATCCCATGTATATGGGATAACGTACAAGTACTTATCAATGTCATCTTCATCTAATTTCAATTCCTCTTGTATTCTATGCAATTTATTCACAATTATATCATCTTTGTAATCAATTTCAACCGATTTGATCCCGTCACTATGCTTGCCATGATCCAATTTATATTCAATGTCAAAGTCTTGGTCCATTGTTGAATAATGGAAGTTTTCAAGGGTGACAATCTTATCCAATCCTACAATCAAATCAGCGTTAAATAAACTGTCATACTTCTTCCCATCATAATCGCGGTTTATCAACTTTAACACAATGCCACTCTTGGACCTCGTCAAATCGATCTTGTAAATTGTCGGGATAAACTGAGAATCGGAGAACGACTTCAAGTTATCGACATCCAATTCATGTTCAATCTCCACGATATTATTATGCGGGTTTGAGTTAAAGGCCAACATCTGCTCCTTGGCCAATTGATCATTCAATGGCACCATTTCCAACGTGATGTCTGTATCTACTATGCACGCTGTCGTATTCGCACCGCCATTAATCTCGTCAATGTGCAATTCATACCTGAGATTCTCATCCTGGATGATCATAATATCACCGCTTGTCAATGTGGTGTAGTATAAGTTCAATTTGTTTTCAAGAAAGAATTTCCAATTGGTGATATTGGCGTAAAATTGGTCTGGCCGGAGTTTGATTGATGTGGCTTTAGGTATGTTTTGCACCAAAGTTATTTCCACTTGCTCTGGCGATCCTAGCTTTCTATATATAACGTCTGGAAGTATTGCGTCTTCAACTGCAGTAAATTCTTTGACGCCGATGTATACTGGTTTCCCTGAAGGGGCGTTTGTATTTGTAATCCTGAAAATTAACGGGTGTGGCAAATTTGATTCAGGAATCACTTCGACAATCTGGGAAAGCACCGACGGAGGCAATATGGCCTTGTCTGAATATGGATTTAGACTTCTATCATTAGATTGATCCACACTTAGGTAGAATTGGAAACTCATTGTCTGATCGGGTGATTTACTTTGGTTGTAAAAAAACGATTGGCGGCAAAGAGAGAATTATAGCTAATCAGAAAAAAAAAAAAAAAAAAAAAAAAAAAAAGACGAGTTACAAGTGAGTGCGACATAAACTACTAATATCAGTACGACATTTTTGCATCTATTAAAGAACTATATGTAATTACCTTTGTGCACCAGCTTTACTATTCTTCATTAAGGATCTGGAACCATCCCTTACTAAAGGACAATAATGCTTATCTAACAAGACATTTTCCCAAAGAGTAGCTGCTTCACTATTACTTCTTTCTAATTCCACTTCTCTATCTTCACGCTCGATACCTAAATTATAAGTACCTTCACCACTGATTCTCTCCTCAGTATTCCATAACCCTTTAACGGCCTCATCATATCTATTCATTAACTTACCAATGAACTTCAATCCAGCAAGCGATGTCTTTTCCGGCGTTTGCAAGAAGGACAAGTACAATCTTTTGGTGAATGATGTAGCTCTTGGCGTAGTCCCATTCTTGGATCTGAAGAATATGAAATCAAGACATCTCAATAATAATTCCGCCTTGGTAGAAACATTAATGGCCGGCTTTTCAACTTCATTGGCTATTGATAACGGGTCAGCTAAACGAAGGGTCTTGTGACTGAACTCTAAATCTGGATCCAAAGCTAAATCTGCTAGCACCAAATATAACGTCGATACAAATTTACTCAAATCTATCGTCATGGGTAATCTACCGGTGGACTGATGATTCAAGACTAACGAGAACGAAGTGGCTATACATAACAACACCGTTCTTATTTGCTTCCCACTGTACATTCCTCCTTGGTCGTCAGTTTCGTCAATTTTTCCATCAACAATAGAATTGAAATGTCCCATAGAGTGTTCTTCTACAATATCATTCATGATTTCACGCAAGACTTCCAAGAAATCACCTAAAAGGTCAAAATTGGCCATTTGTCCAAATCGTGACAATCCTTCCAACACAGCACCCATTAATAATGCAGCATCTTTCTCACCAGCATCAACACTATGAGACCCAGCCTTCAAGATTTCCAAGTACAAAGTCAAGATCATTTTCAATACTTGCGCTTGGTATTTTTCACGCTCTTCCACTGTTATAGCCTGTTCGGCTTTTCTCATTTCTTCTTCAATTTCCTTACGTTCCTTTCTGGCTTTTCTTTCCTTTTTGGACAAGTGAACACGGTCCTTCTTTTTCAATTTTGGCTTTGGCAAGTCGTCTCTGTTGTTATTAGGATCATAATCTTCCAACAAGGCAAGCGACAAGAATACATTGATTACCGATTCATCCACTCTGAATTTCTTGTCTCTTATAGTCTTGGTCATGATTCTGATCACATCAAATGTAATGTCACCATTCTCGGCATCATCCTTTAATAAAGTTTCCAAAACTCTCAAACATTTCATAAATACTTGATAATCTTGAGGATTTGTGGGCTTCCTATTCAACCTCTTTATTACAATCAGAAACAATTCACTACGGTAGTTGAAATGACGCAAAGAGGAAAGACACAATTCTGTAGCTGCAGTTGTTGCCAAGAATCCTCGTTTCAAATGATCACTGGTGATTTTCTTATTGTTGGCAGAATTGGAGTACGATACTTTGGAAAATTGAGTCAAAGTGTCAATATATGCAATATAGTTAGTCACCAAGGATTGTTCAAAGGTTCTTAATTTTGCAACTTCTCGACTTACTTTTTCTCTCTTTTCGACATCACTTAAAGGTCTGATTTTATAGGATGGTGCCAATGACTTGAAAATTGGAATGAGTGCCATAATGGCCAATTGACTGGTTACAAAGTTCTTTGATTCTGACATTTTTCTTAATCTAGTTAAGCATGAGATGTTTTCTTCTGGGTTTTCAATTAATTTCGAGGCAAGATCCGCGATTTCTTCTTTTATCTTGATCAACTTTTGTTGAGGGGTTAAATGTGCATCTTCATCTTCCTCTTCCTCTTCTTCTTCTTTTTCGTCTTCTTGTGGCTTCTCTTCCTCAACTTCTGGTTCTTCCTCTTCACTAGCTGGTTCCTCTTCTTCGATTTCAACTTCTCTTACGACACGTTCAATAGTACCATCAGATTTCTTGATAGGTAAAGATTCGACAGTTTTGACGTTCTTAACATTTCTAGGTTTAAGCTCATATTCTTGTTCTTCATTGTCCCAATCGTTACCTTCCTCGTCAGACACTTGAGTAGTTGAAGCAAACAAACCAGTCAGTAATTGTGCATCTTGTTCTTGTTTCAACTTTTTTCTTTTAGCCAACTTCTCAGCATTCTGCTTTCTCTTTCCCATGATTAAATATTTACCTGTATAGGCTGTTTTTATTGATGTATACTGGATCAGAGACTGTATTTACAAGTACTGCCCATATCCAGAAAAATTTCTTGCATCTTTCTCCATCTCATTGCTACTGCATAGAGGAAGAAAAAAAAGTTGAATGTCGCAAAGTGCCTCCTGTGTCGGGTTCACTTGCGACATCAAACTTTTTGCGACAGAATTTAGACATTTTTTCCACAAACAAGGGAGACATATTTCTAGACGCATTTTGCGCAACGTAAACAAAACAATATGCAGGAAACTCTTCGTTTAATATTTTTTTTGGCCCACACTTGCTGCTGTACGATCGTATAAAACACACACTAAACATCCTTTCCGCAATAATTCGGCTTTAAATAAGAACTCCCAAATCTGCAGAAACATGTTTTATTTTTGTGTATTTTTTGCGCATTGTTTATCCGTGTCCCGATATTGAGAGATGGTTTTTTTTTAGTGCCATTCTGTTTGCCCAAGTGGAAAGCCATTGTCAAATTTCAGATATATTATTTGAACTTTTGGATCAGCTAATGTACAAATGTGTATTTTGCGAATTTAATCATTGCTATTAGCTATTCTCTTACAGGTTGATATTGCAACTTTGTTGGATGATGGGGTTAGTACAAGCCATCGCATGCTAGTTACATTTTATCCACATATTCTTGGTACCCTTCTCTAAACGACTCATCATACATCGTACAACCGTTGGATTTAGTCGCGTAAACGATCATCCCTCCCCACCTGATATAAAATTTTTTACTAGACTTGACAATTCTAATTGTTTGTTTTTTTTTATATAGAACCCGTTCGTTCCCCTTCGAGAGAGTTTTTTTTTTTTTTTTTTTGCGTTTATAATTTCAGAACTTATACGAACACAGTTTTTAAACCCAACTAACACCACCCTTTTTAAAAAAACCTCGTTCGTTCCTTTACACTTTTCAGTGCTTCTTTAGTATTACAGTTTTATCTGCTATTAGAGTCATGAGTGTGAATGCTACTACTCCTTTAGTGGAGTCTTTAAGGCAAAATGCTAAGGATTTGTTAGACATCCAAGTGTTACAAACAACCGTTAATGAAATTATTAGTCAAGCATCATGGTTACAAATAATAATGGCTGTAATTGTCGTTGTATTATCATACGACCAAATCAAATATCAACTCAACAAGGGTGTAATTGCTGGTCCAAGGTTTAAGGTCTGGCCAATTATCGGACCATTCTTGGAATCCCTCGATCCAAAGTTTGAAGAATACAAGGCCAAATGGGATTCCGGTGAATTAAGTTGTGTCTCTATTTTCCACAAATTCGTTGTCATTGCTTCTTCTCGTGACTTGGCAAGAAAGATTTTGTCATCTCCAAAATACGTCAAGCCATGTGTTGTTGACGTCGCTATCAAGATTTTAAGACCAACCAACTGGGTTTTCTTGGATGGTAAGGCCCACACCGATTACCGTCGTTCTCTTAACGGGTTGTTCTCCCAAAAGGCTTTAGAGATTTATATTCCTGTTCAAGAAAAGTATATGGATATTTATCTTAACAAGTATGTCAAGTATGATGGTCCTCGTCAATTTTTCCCTGAATTCAGAGAATTATTATGTGCTTTGTCCTTGAGAACTTTCTGTGGTGATTATATCACTGAAGAACAAATTGCTCTTATTGCTGATAACTATTATAGAATCACAGCTGCTTTAGAATTGGTCAACTTCCCAATTATCATTCCATACACCAAGACTTGGTATGGTAAGAAGATCGCTGATGAAACCATGCAAATTTTCGCCGATTGTGCTGCTATGGCCAAGGTCCACATTTATGAAAAGAACGGTTCTCCAACTTGTGTTATGGATGAATGGATTCACTTGATGAAGAATGCTAGAGAAAAACACCTTGAAGATGCCGAATCCAAGTTGTTGATTCGTGAATTCACCGACAAGGAAATTTCTGAAACTATCTTCACCTTCTTGTTTGCTTCTCAAGATGCTTCTTCTTCCTTAGCTTGTTGGTTATTCCAAATTGTTGCTGATAGACCAGATGTTGTTGAAAAGATTAGACAAGAGCAATTACAAGTTAGAAACAATGATCCAAACCAACGTTTGTCTTTAGAATTGATTAACCAAATGACTTACACTAACAATGTTGTCAAGGAATCATTAAGATACCGTCCTCCTGTCCTTATGGTTCCATATGTTGTTAAGGAAAAATTCCCAGTCACTGAAACTTATACCGCTCCAAAGGGTTCCATGATTGTCCCAACCTTGTACCCTGCATTACACGATCCAGAAGTTTATGATGATCCAGATACTTTTATTCCAGAAAGATGGGAAAATGCCACTGGTGATATGTACAAGCGTAACTGGTTAGTATTTGGTACTGGTCCTCATGTCTGTTTAGGTAAGAACTACGTGTTGATGTTGTTCACTGGTATGTTGGGTAAATTTGTTATGAATGCTGATTTGATCCATCACAAGACTGACTTGTCTGAACAAATTAAGGTGTTTGCCACTATTTTCCCTAAGGATGATTTGTGGTTAGAATGGAAGGCTAGAGATCCTTTAGCTGCTTCTGCTTAAATATACCCTGTATAATAATTACCACCTAATTGTTTGTGTGAGTTTGCTCTCATTTTACTTTTTAATACCTATATAGATATTCGATTATGAGACATACGCATAGTTGTACCATTGATATTGCATGGCATTGCACAGCCCTATGGTTGAAAAAGTAAGAATAAAGAAAGAAAAAAAAAGTTACTGGGGTTGTTGTAAGACCTGATTACATATATACTTTGTGTTTTATTTTTTATTGTTTGATCAATTATAAATTTATATCATCAAAATTCTACACTGTTTTTTCCCCCCTGTTGTCTGTCACCCGCATTAACCGTCTGGTTATTCAGTTCTTACTAATAAATTGATTGTTTTGATTGTTTTCTAGGAGGTGTGTGAAATAAAATCAACTTTTTTTTTCTTCTAGTACGTTTTACATTCAAAATTGACAACCAAAAAGTAGCCACCCTTTTATTTTAGTTGTATTATGTACATATCATGAGTGATCAATTAAAGAAATACCCAGTGGGAACACCGCACTCAACATCTTCCCAACCACAAGCGCCACTTAAGCCAATCACACCAAATACAAGCATAAACCTACCCAAAAGACCAATGGTCACCCAATCCCTCCCACCAATAACCCAAGCCAAAAGAAAAAGAAGGAAGCAAAGACTCTTTACCAAGGATATAGAGAACTTGCTATATGCCATGGGTGACCGACCCGTGTCCACTGATGCAACTGTCAGTGCTCTTGAAGATATATTGGTGGAATACCTTACTGACTTGTCAGGTCAAATTCTCATGTTTGCTAGATCCCAGGGGAGATCAAGGATAAAAATGAACGATTTGGCATTTGCATTACGAAGGGATCCTTTGAAATTGGCTAGATTCCAATACATTATTGAACAGAGTCAAAAGATTGAACGTGCAAAGAAAATGTTTGAGGATAAGGCCAATGACTATTCTGATGGTGAAAAAGATGGCTCAGATGATGAAAATGATATTGATGATGACGGCGAAAGAGATGGAGATGATGGCGAGGTCCGTGTCAATTCGAAACAGGAGAATACTACTGAATCCAAGGGCAAGAATAAGAAGAGAAAAGTAACAGGAAATGTAATGATTAAGAAAAAGAAGGATCTTCAAGAGTAGTAAGTAGTTAATTTCGATATGGCTTGTTATGATATATCTTACTTATTAAATGTAGTGTTCAATTAATCATTAGCTATAGTTCTGTTGATTCTGGACAGCATTTAAGTTTACTGCTTTTTTTTTTTTCTAGAAACTACCATAGGCAAAAAAATCTTTACCATACGTCAACCGTTTTACCGACTTTTGCTTTGCTGTTTTACACCAACCGAAGTAGACTGACACCTAATAACAGAACAAGACTCACTTGTGTCAGCTACCTATATATATATATATATATATTTATCACGCCTGTTCAAAACCAACTTGGCCAAGCTTTTTTTATTTATATCAATTAGATACCCAGCGGTATTGTATCAATCTAGCATCGTAAAACATGTCTGAGGTTGACCATACATGTCGGATTTGCCGTGGGGAAGCAACACTCGCTCAACCATTATACCACCCTTGTAAATGTAAAGGATCCATCAAATACATCCATCAAGATTGTTTGCTTGAATGGTTGAAACATGCCAACAAATCTACTGAGAAATGTGATATTTGCAACACTCCATATAAATTCAAGATCTTGTATGATCCAAATATGCCCAAGAGGATACCCCTTGAGATGATTTTCAACAAATTAATAGAGACAGTTTCCAACTTAGCCGTCAAATCAGTGTCAGTTGCTCTTTACATCTTTTGCATTTTAATTGAAGTTCCTATTTTCTGGAAATTCATTGGGAGAGCGTATACCTGGGTTCTTGATGGACAGTTACCACCGCAAAATCCCACCTTTATTAATGCATTAGTCTTTGGAGAAGCTGATATAACAACTTACTTAGCAAGTCTGCCCAACTTGACTCCAGTACAGGTCAATCTTCTCAGCTTGAGAAAATTCTTCACCTATACTTATTTCAGTGGAGTAAGATACATAGTTGTTTTTATCATTGTTCATATTGCATTATTTATTGAAAGGGAATGGATTGTGAGAGATGAAGGATATGCCAAGTTATTAATGAAGAGGATAGGCAAGGAGCGTAAGACAGCATTGGCAGATATACTTCAAGACACGCTTGAACGATTGAGAGAGGGAAACCCCGATGCCGATGTACAAGAAGCTATGCAGCGGGTTGAAAGAGCCATTTTTGATTTACAAGGGAATAACATGGGTATTTTGAACGATAATCGTCAACAAGATTTACGTCGAGCTATTGAAGAGGGGATAATGAATATTCAAAACCCACCTCAGAATGAGCAACCTGATCAAGCTCCAGAGAGACGTGAAAGGCAGAATGAAGATGATAATGAAGAAGATAATGTTCATAATGAGCAAGAACCAGGACATCCAGCTGTAGGAAGATTAGGGCAAGGTAATGACATGCGCGATGAAAACATGAGACAATTTGTGAATGAGTTCATTAGACACCACCCGCCTTTCAATAACGATGACAATGATCTGGATGCCCTGGATGCTCTGGATTCAGAAGTTGAACACGAAAACCACGAGCAAGAGGAAGAGGAAGAGGAAGAGGTAGAAGAAGAAGAAGAAGAACAAGAACAGCAAGTTGATGCAGATGGTGAACAGCAAGATGGATTTCCAGAACCGAATAATGATTTTGCTCCAGGAGGTGAAGAACAAGGCGGTGCCTTTCTTGACATGTTGGAAGTATTTGGTGCTCATTTAGACCTCAAAACTCCAATTATGTACATGGCAATTATCGACATTGTGGTTTTAGCATACTTATTCATCATTTATTTTGTCCCCCATTTGATAGGTAATGTTCTTGCAGCAATTACTGGTTTTCTGATGAGATTTTTGCACTCAAAGATATTAAATAAGGTTTATACAATTGTTGTTTCAAATGACAAGGTTAATCATCTTTTGACCACAAAGATCGAGCAATTACGGGCTGATCATGATGTTTTTGAATTTGCCATATTTACCTTGAATGATTATGTTATTAAACCAGCCATTTCAACTTTAGGAAACATATTTTCATTCAACAGTGGTTTGAATGGGTATATTCAGTATTCCTTAGTGGAAAGAATTGTTTTATTGAGTATTGGGTATGCTGTGATTTGTGCAACTATTTACAAATGTATGCAAGTTTTACTTACTGCTCCGGGGCCAGTCATTGGAACTACTAGAAAGGTATACAAGGTTTTATTTGAAGTCAGTTCAACCGCTAAAGTGTTCCTCATATTTGCCATTGAAATCTTCTTCTTCCCAGTATACTGTGGGTGGTTATTAGATTTCTGTTTTGCTCCTCTTTTATTGCCTACTTTCTCAATTACTACAAAGTCAGGATCACAATATATTGTCCTTATTACATCGTTTTTCGAAATTTTACAAGTGACATATCTTAGAATATTCTTGTATTGGGCAAGTGGTACCCTTTACATGTTGTTCTTTGCATTATTTGTGGGCATGGTCAGAAGTAGTATCTTGCGTCCGGGTGTATTGTTCTTCATTAGATCCCCCGACGATCCAAATGCCAGGTTGATCCATGATGCCTTGATGAAACCTTTAGCTTTACAGCTATCAAGAATCTATCTCAGTGCCAAAGTCTACACTGGTTTCATATTGTTTGGAATTGGGGGCGTGACTTGGGGATTAAGATATTTGGTTACTTCTTCAAGTAATGTTGATTATAATGTGTTCTTACCTATCCAACTACCATCCTATTTCACGGTTTTAATTTCGGGATTCTTATTTAATACCGTAGCCGATTCACATGTGTTGATTACAAAGTATGTTAGAAGGTACTGGCATAGAGCCTTTGAACTTTCCGCTCATAAATTAAGATTATCCCATTTTATTTTGGGCAAACCAATTAGTCATGAACGTGGACATGTTGTTTACAGAAACTTATGGCATCAACTTCTTGGTCAAGCTCAACCTGATTACACAAAGCCCGTGTCTTACAGAGAAGCAGTCGAAACTTTCAAAGAAAATCCTTCGGTAAATGCTTGCTTTGTACCGGATGGTAATTATGTAAGAGCTCCTGACAATGATACCGTGTCTAGAAAGTTCATCAAGAAGTTGTTTGTGGCAGTTACCAAAGATGACAAATTGTTGGAAGTTCCACATGAAAACAAAAAGAGATCAGGATATGAGACTCCTTCCGATGAAGAAGATGAAGGAGATTTTACTGGTGAAAATGCATATGCTATAGTTTATCGTCCACCTAACTTCAGAATGAGATGTTTCGGGTTGATATTTTTGCTTTGGGTGTTTGCTGTGATTTTGATCTTATCCTGTGCAGTGGTTGCTGTGTTGATGGGTAGACCAATTCTTCGTGCGAACCTGTACTTGTATAAAGCCGTGGCACCGACATTTATATACCAAGATGTCGATTTAGACTGGAGACTTGCTGATTTTGGTTCTATTGCTATTGGTCTTGTTATGCAAATCAAATTGTTGAAATTTTATGACAAATCCTTAGTGGCTGATGCACCTCAGGGAGGAAACAACGAAATTCAATTGGGCAGAGAACAGGTGGATGGAGTAGCAGCAGCAGAGCCAGCCAATGATGAACTTCCACCTCAACAGCGTCTTTTCCAAGGACTCCTTGATTTTGGACGCCTTTTTAATAGAATGCCTAAAGCACTAGTATTGAGTACTCCTAGTGCCGTGCTATGGATCAACTGGATTATTAGTGTACATCGTGCAGTGGTGATCAACCCTGTTCGTTATACCACTGGAAGATATAACCAAGATTTATTATTTGACCCACCTACCGTGTTTCTTCATTTCATAGTTTCGTTCTGGACTATATTACCTTTCTTGTTTTACTTGAGACCAATTCCGCAACAAATCACGATGTACCAAGCACTATGGACGAGTGGAATTGTTCCATGTTTAATAAACTACACTATGGTTCACTTACCTGCCCTTCTCACTATTTTCTTCCTGCATTATTACAGAAGAAGCTCTGACCAATTGGATGTTTATATCTGGCCCGTCTTATTTGTGATGTTTGTTGCAATTAAGCTTATTCACGGCGGTCTCGGCTTGTATTCTACCCTTAATGATCAAGTTAAGAAGGAAAAATATGTTAGAGGAAGAGCTATTGAGAACGTCGATACTCCCGAGAATTAAACTCAGCATTTACATAGTTCTTTACCACATATAAATATATTTACACGAATCTTTTCTTATCTGTTTAATAAAAGTAAAACAATAAAAGTTATATTCAAGGTTATACAAAGGAAATAACATATTGCATCAAACAATATTTCTCCAACGTAGAATTTATTTAAAAAAAAATTTAGTCAATTGTCATTTACTGAAAATAATCTCAATGCAATGACCTATTTATCTTGACCAGCATCTCCAACTTGAAGTGTTCAATGCTTTCACCTTGCATTTATCTTAAAAGGCTCCAAAGTCCCTTCTGTTTTTCTTTGGGATTATTGGATCACCTTCTTTAGGGCCATCTCTTTCTTCATCGAATTCTCTAACGACTGGCTTGTAACTTTCAATTTTTTCACCACGCTTAAGACGTTCCAAGGCTTCACCTCTTGGTACGAAATCAATTACAGGTGGACGCTTAGGTTTATCCTTTTTGGCTTCAACAGCACGGGCTGATTCTTTAGGTTTTTTAGCATTACTTTTAGAAGAACTGGCCGTGGTGGTCTTTACTTCTTCCTTAGGTTTACGAATTCCTCTTTCAAGATCAATATCTCCAGCTTGAGCACCATCTTTCAATTCGTCAAATTCTCTAATAACAGGTTCATATTTGTCAATCTTTTCACCACGCTTAAGACGTTCTAAAGCTTCTCCTCTTGGGACAAAATCAATGACAGGCGGACGTTTATTCTCTTCTCTCTTGGCCTTCTTTGGCTTGACTTCACGGGATGACTCTTCATTTTGTGTAGAGCTTTCAACTTCTTCAGCTGGGGACTTAACTTCAGGCGGAGTTTCTGGATCAACTGCAGCAGGAGGTGCTAATTGTTCAGGTTCACCTACAATTTCTGGAGATTCTTCTTCAATTTCTTCACCATCATCATTGTATTTTTTAACTACTGGTTTAATATCAACCTTTTCACCTCTCTTGAGACGCTCTAAATCTTCACCTTTAGGAACGAAATCAATAACTGGACCGGAAATCTTCTTTTCTGGTTCTCCAGGTTTAGCAATGACATTTGGACCTCTTGCATCAGCAGGTTTCTTAGAGGACTTCTTCTTGTCTTTCTTAGCACTCTTCTTCTTCTTGGTGGTGGTTGTGTCCTTAAGTGGATCATGTTCAGGTTTTTCTTCATTGGCAGCTGGAGTAGTACTTGGGGTATTTTCAGCTTGCACGGCTGGGGCTTCTGAAACTGTAACTGATGCAACGGTGTCAGGTTGAGATGCATCATATTCAGATAATTTGTTATAGAAGTTGTTACAGTCATAATCCCATGAACCGATAATTTGGGACTTGACACAAGCATCTTTAGTCCATGGAGTACCGTAAATCAAACTAGAATAGTTGAAGTAGAAAGCAAGACTGAATAAAGCAAACAATCCAACCAATACAAGGGCAATGTTTTGGAGCGTCTTGGATCTTGAAGTCAAATAACCGGTAAAGATTTCCAAAAAGTGACCTAAGGCCAAGATACCGAAATAAAGGGCTGGAATGTAATGATGTAAGAATAATTGTCTACCCATGATGAAAAATGGCAAGTAATGTAAAGCCCAACCCAACACATATGAAAAAGTTTGGACATTAAAGTTAAATACGTGCTTATCCTTAGAGACTGGTTGACCCAATTGCCATCTAAATACGGAAATAACAACGTAAATACCAAAAGTGACGATGGATGCACTAGCAGCCCACCAAGTAACAGCGTTACCCAAAAAGTAGATTTGCTTATGGTCACGAGCCCAGTAATTGATACCTCTTAACAATAATGGCCATTCGTATGGGTTTGATTGCCAGTGGTGATGTTCAGTTAAACCTTGGTTGATCTTCCACATCCTGGCGTGAGATTCAACAACCTTTTGCCAGAAAGTCAATTCAGGATAATTAATAATGTCAGCATCTTGTGAATCCAACCATTGGTTTTCATTTTCTTCAATATACCAGTGAGTGAGCTTACGCTTACCCAGGGAAGCAGTAGAAACTTCTTGTTGACCAAAACCCCATTCTGGTAATTTGACTTCACTTGAGAATAAGTAGTTTCCAGTCATGGCATGCTTTAATCTAAATACAGTTTCAATGGCTCTGACCTTTTCTTGAGCTTCTCCCTTAGCAGAACGGTAGTCAACAATTTGAACAATAAAATCATCATTTGGATCACCTTCAAATCCCTTATATCCATAACAGGAAACTTCCTTTTGCCAATCACGTTCACTAACAGGTGGTTTTTCATCGTGAGAATGTAATCTTCTGTGAGTGTTAATATGTCTCAATCTAATTTTCATACCGTCAACTAATGGAACAAAAGTTTCATTGTAAATAGTACCATTGTATGGTTCAATAAACCATTTGTTATTTGAATCCAAGTGTGGGTACAAGGTAACTTGTTGTTGTTTGGAACCAGTTGGGTAGAAAGCATCATGAGAATGCAAATATCCACCACTAGTTTCAACATGACGAATAGTGACAATAGATCCTAAACCAACGTTAGCGGTAACATTGCGAGGAATCTTGTTTCCCTTCAATCCTGCTTTAAATGCACTGCTCATGAATGAAGCACCATCACCCGTGTTAGTCAACACTGAGAAATGAACAGCGAAAAAGAACAAGTAAAGAGCGATTGGAACTCCCAACAAAATAGTACCACGAGCAAAGAAATGACCCCATGCCTTCTTTGGAGAAATTGATAAATCACCAACAATAAACCACATTTGGTAGATACACAAGAGACCCACCCAGGCGATGGTGAATAAACCAACCCATTTAGAACTGAATGCTAAACCAAGAGCAATCCCAGTAGCAACTAACCCACGATACCATCCGAACGAGAATGGGATTTGGATTTCAAATTTCTTCCAGGAATAGATAGCAGCAGCGATAAAGAACAACAATGGGGAGTCCAATAAAATGTATCTTGAGATTGTAACATTGGAGTTTTCGATCAACAAAAGAAATGAAGTAATATAAGCAATAATTGGTCTCACCCCAGATTGTCTCAAAGTCAAATAGCAAAAGATTATGGTACCCACACCTAACAATGCTGGGAATTGTCTCATGAAAACGTATGGAGTTGAGCTTGGGTAAACATCACCAATGTTTTTAAATTCAAAATCACCTTTATAGCCACCAATAGCACCAACAGCCGCAAAAAGCATCTTGGCTAAAGGAGGATGAACATCCATGAAAAATTGACCCAAAATGTATTTTCTGGAAAATCCACCAAAATGAACTTCGTCAAACACCACGGAATTAGGATTGGCTAAATCATATAATCTCACATAGAGGGAGATGACTAGCAAGGAAGAAAGCATCCAGTATTCTTTAGCTCCAAGTAGTTGTCGCTTTTTAAGTACAGCCGGAGATGGTTCAGTTACTAAATATTCCCTTACTTCACCCTTGGCGAACACGGGATCAGCAATGGGATCCACCGAACAAACAGTGTCTTGCTTGCTTTGATGTTTGCTTACCTTGGCAGCTGCAGCTGCAGCTGCAGCGGCGGCTCCAGTGACAGCAGCTTTCGGTTTGGCTGTCTTTGTAGTACTCTTAGCCATAACTCAAGAAAAAAGCAACCTTATAATACAGAAACGCTTCTTGAAATAGTTGAAGTTGGAATCAATTGAGTGTTAATGGATTGATTAACTGTAGGGGTATGTGTAATTGATATTCCCAAGACTTCTTCTCTCTTTTTTTTTCAGGGAAGGCTTGTTTAAACAAAGAGACTGTGGAAACAACAAGTTGTACTAGTTTCTTCTCCCTTGTTTGAAAAATGCCAAGTAGGCCAAAATTAAAGTATGTGCTCCTGCATATTGAAAGGCTTCAGAAAAACACTGTGCTGTTCTTTTCTTTGTCACGCGTTATGAATTTAATTTAAATTGACCAGCAAATCAAATTGCAAATTTCACTCTCGCGTCTACATAGGCTTACACGAACTTACATACACAGATACGAAGATCTATCTAGCGAATGATTCAGAAAAGAACAAATAAATCTATTGTAGATTTTAGTTCTGATTAGTAAAACAAGACTGAATTTACAGAGCCTATCCTAATAGAACTTGCTTCGGAGCGTCTTTAAAGTTAAGGTTTTAGACATTTTTTTTTTGCAAGCATGAAGAACACTAAGCTAAATTGATGCTGAACGGAGAGGATCTTGCACGAATGAACACATACAATTAAGCTTTAAAATCTCCAGTTGAAGTTCTAGACCCAGTCTCTCACGACGCGTATATACTACCCCCCAATAGAGGGCACATATATCATACTGATAGGTATTGATAGAATCGCTCTATTTGCGTTTTGTTAAGCAATGCTTTACTTCAGCTCTAGATCTTCTTCTGTTAACTCGGTCATCAACTGAAGTTTGCAGCCAAAAGACTGTACAATGAGCAAAACCCATATATCAGCGACCTACCTTTGTTACCAACTGTTTCTTTTAAAATACAATTAGACTCGAAACTGCTAAATATCTCCCAGCGATATAACATGTAGTTGATTATAAATCCAAACAGATTAGGTTATGTTATAAAAGTATGGAAGACTACCTAAAGCCAAATCTATAAATAAACCCATCTGTAGTCGTGCATGCCACAACAAAATCTTTAGACCTTTCAAAAACATTAAATCAAGGGGGGGTTAGTATACTCGTGTGATGCCCCAGTGTTCCTAAGCATACACGTGTGTTAACATAAGGTGATTCCGATGACATAAGGTTTATATTTACGAGACAATATAGATTCTTGAATTTTCCGTTAGGCCAAGTTATCGTAATAGCCAGACTCTTTACCACGTTTTCTAGATCAAATTTCCATACATAAATTCTATACCGGAAAAACATGACTGGAACGAAAAATAATGCATTGTACTTCCGTTTAAATATTATATTTATTTCTTGTCGCAGCTGCAGGAGAAAATTGTTATTTTCAGATGACATAAAAAGGGGATGAGATTAACGAGGATGCTATCACCGTAAAGCGTGTGTTCGGAATTGCATATGGAATTGATTGAGCATAACATGAGATGTGAACCAAGTATATTCTGAACCGTGCTTAATTTGTTAACAATATAGAGAAGTTGTAAGGACTGCGCAAGCGAAACATGAAACCTCAGCCGTTTTATACAGCTCACGTGACGATATAATATGGGTTGGTTGCATCTTTAGCCTGAATGGGTCGAGGCGGTGCAGTTAGAAAATATCTTTGGCTTTGTGTTTCACTTTTGGGTTTCTATTTTTTTATCGCAACTGCAGCAGTAGATTAAACCGTTAGGAACTGGAATGTTAGCGAAGAGTTCTCCAGTCGGAAATTTTTGGACAGGGGCGTATATTTCATAAATTTGCTCATCTCAGAACAAGATGATACCAAATTTTGACAGTAAAGAGCAACAATTTCTCAATTTGTCTTGTGAGTCAAGAAAAAAATAGGAGTCATGTACGACTTGCAATAGAACAGATTTCCATATCTCATCCATACTTACACAAAAGTACTAGTCAATATTTGGGTTCGGAGATTTATCTGTTTCGGGCATTGAATCCCATATCGATAAGCTCGGAAAATATGTGTGGCATTTTATAACAATAGAAATAAGGTTAAGAGAAGTGGGGTGAAACACTTTATTACCACATATCAGCAATGCCGCCCATTACCAGTACTAATAACAAGAAGAAATGATAACGCATTGACAATGTACCCCACTTTATTCACAAACCAATCCATGTGGTCTTTGTCATTTTTCCATATTTTTATGACATGTCAAAAATCACCAGAAACGACACACATCCCTTCACCCCCTAGTATGCACAAGTTACAATTTTTTTTTGTATGATGCATGTTGTGCTGTTTTATTAAAGAGACCCGTGCTGTTAACGGGGGGTTTTGTCTATTTGCGAAGAGCCCATGTGGGCAAGATAAGACTTTTTTTTTTTCATTAGGCAAAGAATAATCACGGCAACCATTTTTTCTTAGCATAACTAACGGCATACAGGGTGAAACAATAGAGACTTGCTATGAGAATTTCTTGTCTATCAGGACAATTATTAATTCCTAGATATTATTGCACACGATATTTGCCAGTCTTGGCAAACTGAAATGAACAATTTCTTGTGGAAATTGCGATATCCCGATAAGCCAATACTACAGAATGACTTATACACATGCAAGCTCAGCCCTTCCATGGTTTTAAACATTACCCTAAATGCGTAATTTATCCCACGAGTGCTGTTTTTTTTTCCCGTTTAGATTACATGTAGATTTGATTAAAGACATAAGCCTCGGGGATAAGCCACGTTATCAAAAATAAAAAAATCTGACTTTTTTTTTTTAAACTTTCATAACTGCCAAGAAATATGATGATGCAATTAAAAAGAAAAGGTTGGATTCCTGCATAAACCTAATTATCACCATATAATTTTTTTTTCTTTGGCTTACTCTTTGCTAAACCTAAACGTTGCACGAAACATAGGCATTTTTCCTTTAACCGAAAGACAGTGACATGATTCAATATAAATATTAAAGCAAATCCCCTCCAATATTTTTTTCTGACCCAGTTATTGTTAATTCTTTCTTTGTAGATCACTAACTACTCTTGACAAATATTCGAGTATAAGATCCTAATATAATATATCTTCATATAACGTTGTCATTAGCTAATATTGATCAACGTTCAACCGCATTAGAATTCTCTGTAACGTACAAGCAGAATTCATTTCCATACAAGTGTTTAACTTTTTTTTGGTCACACATATATTTTCTCCATCTAAGGAGCCCCCCCACATAAAATCACATTAAAGATCACGTCCCAAACTAACAAGGCGTCCGCTGCTCTCTCGAAGGATGGTTCGTCTAGAACTCACAGCTTTGAAGCTCAAAGGAGTGACAAATCATCGGACATAATCACTACGAGGAACAATAAAGAACAGTCAAGTGATGATGACGATGACAGAAGTGAAAAAGTCCCCACAATTGACGAACCATTTCGCCTTTCGGTGGAGCAGATTGCGGACAAATTCCAACTTGACTTAACTACTGGGTTGACCAGTGAGCAAGTTAAAGTTAATCTACATCATTACGGGTTGAACAATTTAGGTAAAGAAGACTCCATTTCAATTACTGCAATTCTTGCCCATCAAGTGTTCAATGCGATGGTTATTGTTCTTGTCATCTCCATGATCATCGCCCTTGCTATTCAAGATTGGATTTCTGGTGGGGTTATTGCGTTTGTTGTATTTCTTAATATTTTCGTTGGTTTTATCCAGGAATATAAGGCTGAAAAGACAATGGGTTCTTTGAAATCGTTAAGTTCTCCTCTGGCAAGAGTGTTGCGTGATGGTATTGAAACAAACATCAATGCTGAAGAAGTTGTTCCTGGTGATATTGTCGTTATTAATGCTGGTGATACCATTCCTGCTGATTTAAGATTGATTGACAGTAAGAATTTGGAAACCGATGAGGCTTTATTAACCGGTGAATCCTTACCGGTTGCAAAAAATCACGAAGAAACATATCGTTCCAACGAACCAGTCCCAGTTGGTGACAGATTGAATATGGCTTTTAGTTCTTCGTTGGTTGCTAAAGGTAGAGCTCAAGGTATCGTTGTTTCCACTGGGTTATACACTGAAATCGGTAAGATTGCCGATTCATTAAAGAACAGTGATCATAAGTTAATTGTTAGAGTTAAAAAACCTTCCTTGAAAAACTACACTAAGGCTACTTTGAAATCAACTAGGAATATTATCCAAAATGTTTTGGGAACCAACGTTGGTACTCCATTGCAAAGGAAATTATCCTGGTTAGCAATTTTCTTGTTTTGGGTGGCTGTTGTATTTGCAATTGTTGTTATGGGTTCTCAAAAAATGATTGTTAACAAGAATGTTGCTATTTATGCCATTTGTGTTGCCCTTTCTATGATTCCTTCTTCGTTAATTGTGGTTTTAACTATCACCATGGCCATTGGTGCTCAAGTTATGGTTTCTAAACATGTTATTGTACGTAAATTAGATTCCTTAGAAGCCTTAGGAGGTGTTGATGACATTTGTTCTGATAAAACTGGTACTTTAACTTTAGGTAAAATGATTGCCAAAAAGCTTTGGATTCCAAGCGTTGGTACATTTTCAGTTCAAAACTCCAATGAACCATTTAACCCAACTGTTGGTGAAGTTGTCTTTTCAGAACATTCTCCTAAATATATTAAAGAAGTTGATGAAGAAGTTGACTTCCTGTACCATTTACCCCAAGATTCCAACCAATATTTCAACAATTGGTTAATGAGTGCTACTTTGGCCAATATTGCCAGTGTTAAAGAAGTTGACGGTGAATGGCAAGCCCTTGGTGATGCTACTGAAATTGCTATTAATGTTTTCACTACCAGATTAGGATGGATACGTGATGAAGTTGAAAATATCAATGAATTGAAGCATTTAAACGAATTCCCCTTTGATTCAGCCATTAAGAGAATGTCAGCTGTTTACGAGGCCAACGGTGAAGTGAAAATTTACACCAAAGGTGCAGTCGAAAGACTTGTGAATATCTGTAACACTTGGTATGTTGATGGAAAGCTTGTTCCATTAACTGAAGAAGATCATAAGACTATTGAAGACAACATGACTGTTTTATCCTCTCAAGGGTTGAGGGTTTTGGCATTTGCTCAAAGACATCTTCGCTCGGTTGATGAGGTTGACATTCAAAATCGTGACGCTGTTGAATCCGAATTAACTTTCTTGGGGTTAATTGGTATTTACGATCCTCCAAGACCAGAATCTGCCAAGTCGGTTCAATTATGTCATAAGGCTGGTATTAGTGTCCATATGCTTACTGGTGATCACCCAGGTACTGCCAAGGCTATCGCCCAAGAAGTTGGTATTTTACCTCATAACTTGTACCACTATTCCCGTGACGTTGTTGAAGTCATGGTTATGACAGCTATGGACTTTGATGCTTTGACTGACGATCAAATTGATGCTCTCCCAGTCTTGCCTTTAGTTATTGCCAGATGTGCTCCTCAGACTAAAGTTAGGATGATAGAAGCTCTTCATAGACGGGGAAAGTTTGTGGCTATGACTGGTGATGGTGTTAATGATTCTCCAAGTTTGAAAAAGGCCGATGTTGGTATTGCTATGGGTATGAATGGTTCTGATGTGGCCAAGGATGCTGCTGATATTGTTTTGACCGATGATAACTTTGCTTCCATTTTGAACGCAGTTGAAGAAGGAAGAAGAATGTCTTCAAATATTCAAAAATTCGTGTTGCAATTATTGGCTGAAAATGTTGCACAAGCTCTATATTTGATGATTGGGTTGGTTTTCATTGATGAAGATGGATTCTCAGTTTTCCCATTAGCCCCTGTAGAAGTTTTATGGATTATTGTCATCACTTCTTGTTTCCCAGCTATGGGGTTAGGTCAAGAAAAAGCTCAAGATGATATTTTGGAATTACCACCTAATAACAAGATTTTCACCAGAGAAGTTCTTGTTGATATGTTTGCTTATGGTACTTGGATGGCTGCTTGTTGTTTGGCTATTTTTGTGATTACCGTTTATGGTAAAGGTGATGGTGACCTTGGTCATAACTGTAATAGTCATCCTGAACATTGTTCCCTTGTGTTTAAAGGTCGTTCGGCAGCTTTTGTGGCATTTACCTGGTGTGCTTTACTTTTAGCTTGGGAATGTGTTCATATGCGTCGTTCCTTCTTCTTGATGCGCCCAGAATCTGAATTAACTTGGTATCATCAACTTTGGCTTGATGTTTGGGAAAATAAATTCTTGTTTTGGTCTATTATTGGAGGTTTCGTCTCGGTATTCCCAGTGGTTTATATTCCCGTCATCAATGACAAGGTATTCTTGCATGGTCCAATTAGTTGGGAATGGGGGTTGGCGATTGGGTTTACTGTATTATTTTTGGCTGGTTCCGAAGCTTATAAATGGCTCAAGAGAATTTACTTGAGAAAGCAAAAGGCTAAGGATGCCTTTGCAGATTTATCTGTGTTTGAAAGGTACGTTTCATTAAGTAAGAGTAACACTATGGATGTATAGACGTTGTTGAGGGGGAATTATTCCCGGTGATTTTGTTTCTCGAATTTGAGAAGGTACCCTATTTTGTTTAGATTGTTTTTTAGATTCTTATAAATATTATACATTAACTTAGAGAGATTGAATTAGGTAGACATAATCTTCTTCATTATCATTAGTCATATGTCATTAGATAGTAGCACAAAAGGTTGGATGCAAATGAGTCGACGACCTGTCGCCCAATTGTTAGATAAATTATGTAATCCAACAATTAAAATTCGAGATTTTTTGCATCTATTATGTGATTTCCAGATTCGGCAAGTGGATGCGCATTTTTCTCTGAGACGGGGCATTTCCGCCAAGTACAAGGTGTGGGATCCCGGTTTTAATGCCCCCGCGCTAGACTGAATCTACAATAGTTCTTGATTTAGAATTTATCTAAGAAAGTTCTTCTTCGATGTCATTAACTATTTCTATATTAAACAGTTTAGTAGTTTATCTTTGTTTGTGGGACTGTGGATTTCTTGCTTATCTTTGATCGCTCCTGGTTACTTTTTCGGAAAAAGTTCAAATTTCTCCCTGTACTTTTTTTTTTATTTTTTAGTTATCGGTAATTTCCTAATCTGGCGAAAGTTGCGGATCTTTTTGAATCCTGATGCGCTTTTTCCATTGTCAAAACCCCACTATATAAAATCAGAACTATATAAAGGGCGTAATTCTTTCTTTTTCAACATCAACATTTATATACTACTTCTTTTCCTTGAAAATTTCTGATATTCACACTCAACATGACCAAACAACATACATTCGAATCATTCCTTGTGAATGACCCTCTTGACAATTACGAAGATCCAGAAAAGTTCAAGGAATGGATCCCAAAGATTGAAAAATATAGACAAGACTTGGCTGCTTCGATCCCAGATGACTTGGCTGTAAAACTACCAAAACCAGTTGATCAATTAATCGATGAACAATTCAATGCCGTTAAGTATCTTTACGATGCCAAATTGTTGACTCCTCAAGAATTTGCTATCACTGATTCCAGTGCCGTTGATTTGGTCAACAAGATTGCCAAGGGTGATTTAACTTCGGTCGAAGTATTTAAGGCTTTTGCTAAGCGTGCTGTTATTGGTCACCAATTCACTAACTGTGCCCTTGATTTTTTCCTCGATGAAGGTTTAAGCCGTGCTCAAGAACTTGATGCTTATTACAAAGAGCACGGAAAGACCGTAGGTCCTTTGCACGGGTTACCTATTTCCCTTAAGGAACACATGAACTATAAGGGAAGAATCACTCATGGTGGGTACGTTTCTAAATTAGACAATGTTACTCCTGAACACGGGGTTACTAACCAAATCTTGGCCAATTTGGGTGCTGTGTTTTATGTTAGAACTAACCAACCACAAACCTTGATGCATTTGGATTCAGGAAATAACGTTAATGGATTCAGCAAGAACCCATTCAATTTGTTGTTATCCAGTGGTGGTTCTTCTAGTGGTGAAGGTGCCATTTCTGGATTTGGTGGTAGTGCCATTGGTGTTGGGTCTGATATTGGTGGTTCTATTAGAGCACCAGCTGCATACTCTGGTAGTATTGGGTTAAGACCTTCTTCCAAGAGAATTTCAGGGTTAGGTGCCATCAGTAGTGGTGCTGGTCAAGAATCAGTTCCTGCAGTTATCGGTCCATTGACTCGTTCTGTTGATGACGTTGACTTGTGGATGGATGCTTATATAAATGAAGGTAAACCTTGGGAATTGGATGGTACCTTAATACATATGCCATGGAGAAAAGTTGACAAACCAAATCCAGCTGACTTGACTATTGCTGTTATCAGAGATGATGGGTTAGTTAGAGTTTCTCCTCCAGTGAGACGTGCTTTGAATGAAACTGTGGAAAAGTTAAGAGCTGCTGGTGTCAAGATTGTGGAATTCACCCCTCCAAACACCAAGTTAGCTTATGAAACCGTGCACAAGATGTATACCTGTGATGGTAATTACATGCAACGAGAGCTCTTGTCAGCTTCCGGTGAACCATTAACTAAATTGACTAAATGGTCCTTGAACTATGGTGAAGGTGCTCGTGATTTCCCAGCATCAGAAAACAGAAAGTTGAATTACATCAGAGATGGATTGAGACAAGAATATACTGAATACTTGGTGAAGAACAAGGTTGATTTCATTTTAAGTCCTGCTTACAACAATGTTGCTCCCCATTCTGAAGAAGTGTACAACTGGTCATACACTTCCTTGTTCAATATTCTTGATTTACCTACTTTAGTTATCCAATCGGGTGTTTTCCAGGATCCAAATGTTGATAAATGGACCGAAGAAGACTTGAAATACAAGTATAGAAGTCCATTGGAACAATTGGAAAATGAAAACTACCACCCTGACGAATTCATTGGCGCTCCAGTTGGGTTACAATTGTCAGGAAGAAGATACTTTGATGAAGAAGTTGTTGCTGCTGGTAAAGCAATTGTCGATGTTTTAGGTGTAGACTTGTTTAAACATTAGATTTTATAGATTCTAATTAATACGTATAATGCGTATGTTATCTTGAATTCTGTCGATTACATGGTAAACTTCATTCAAAACAATGGTATTCAATTTAGGAAACTTTTTGCCATTCCCAAGCACTCTTTTAATTATCCGCTTTCCTTGTTTATCACCTACATTACAAAAGACATGTTTCAAATTCATAACTCTCTCAAAGTTTCTCGAGCCAACCACCCATGAGCTCATGGTATGATCCAGGAGACTGAATCCTATTAACGACTGCTGTTGGCTTTCAATGAGCTTAGTAATCAATCGGGAACAGTAATTCAAGAGGAATATGTTGTCCTTGAGTTGACGGAAATGCAAAGTTGATAAGGAGTTGGGTCGAAGTAGACCAGAAACTTCTCGATAATCAAGTTGATGGCAATCCAAATATAAATTTCGGAGTTGAGGAAGTCTTTCTAGCAACCATTTCATGTCTGGATAAAGGGGTCGATTGTAATAGGCAACATGGAGACCCAAGGTTGAAATTGCTGCTAAGGAGAATATGTCACCTAGCCGCAGTAGGTGGTTTTCTCTATCATCGGTAAATCCATAGGTAGTTAAGCTGAAATATAATTCTTCAAGCTTTAAATTGGTTATTTTTAGGTCTTCCAATTGACGAAATATATCTGGTTGTGCTTGAATAAGACGAAGTGATGATAATGACTTTAGTTGGGGTATTATCTCAAGCACCTCATGGTTCAGTTCATAGCAATCGATGGTTAGCTTCTTGATAGAGTAATTGGAATTTTCTATTCTTGACTGGGCAAATTGAGAATCACCTGCAAATAATAAGAGATCCAAAATGGGTACATGTCCAGATAGAGGAAGATCATCGCTGCAAACCTCTATCGTTGTCTCAGCCCACGGAAGTTCGGTAGTGAGAACACTGTATTCCAAATCACGGTATCTATCTATGACCACACTTTTAATTAATCTCCGTCGCGTGACATTTCCAATCACATTGATTCTAAATGAAGCAAAGTCTTGAACAATAGTATATTTCAAATAGAAGGGAGTGTAAATTTTCCTTGAGACTACAAGTCCTGAACCCAAATATATTGAACGGTATAATTTTTGATTTCCGACATTATAAAATCGTTTGTTGACCAACATAAAGTTAACGACATCTTGTTGGTTGAGGTTTGTTAATATTATAAATAGTACTTCATCCGGTAGTATCAGTAATGTACTATTGTTGTCACTAGAATCAGTAAACTCGGTACCACTATGACAAATTTGGGATTTAACTACGTGGCTCAAATTTGGTAAATTGATCCATTCCAGAAACATTAAAGGTATGATGTAAAAAGGAGATAAGAACCGCGAGTTCATTGAGAAAAATATCAATCAGACGATAATGTGAGGTGATTTTGTTGGAAATTCTGCAAGTCGAGATCTATATTTAGATTGATTGGTGATGATGTAATAGTTGCAACCGGACCGTATTTGTTGGCTTTGTGGAATTATTTTTTTTTTCATATGTTTTAAAAGGGTTACGATAATCAATGCCGTGCCTAAAAAGTTGTAATCAAAAATTCATATGCCAGTTAAGGTAAGTCTCTAGATCATAACCAATGGTGGGATATCGAAAGACTTTAGATCTAGATCTTACATACTTTCTTATGTGCATACATTGTTATGCAGATACTTTATTCTGTGTATACAAGATATCCAAAGAATTTATCGAAAATTATTCAATATCCAGTCCTATCAATTTGACCGTACGATCGGGGCAATGCCGAGAGTTCAAAAAAAAAACAACAACAACAACCCCACATTTCTAAGTCATCACAACCTCATTTCAGTTACTCCAATGAAGCCATACTTACGCTTTAGGAAATAGACAGGGAAACACCATAAAATAAAACGCAATTTCTATTTACGCTATTTCCTGTAAAAGAATAGGAGACTGTAGTTTCAAAAAAAAAAAGAAAGAACCTAGGAGGACACGAGCCACGCCTTGTTACGGTAACCTCAGTTGGGATTGGTAAGCAGTATTTTATAATTATGAAGTAATTCTCACTAATGTGCAGGATCTGATATTATTTTTGCAATCTAGAACGAGGGAATTACTGAACAATCTAGTTAAAAGAATATCCTCCCATAATATTAAAATTTCTTTTTAGAGCTTTATTCTATTGTTGAGACGTTCAATTTTGAGTCTTTTGTCAGCTTCGGACTTTATGTCCCCTCATTTTTGGGTAAATTTTGTTTTGACTAAGGTTACATCATTTGCTCCGTAAATGCACATAATAGATAAGATTTGGGTAATTGACATCAGCCTCAATTAAAGAAGTTAGAGGGGTAACTATTGAGGCTCACTTGAGAAAGTTTAAATATAAATACTCTTGACCATCCATACTACCATTGCATGTTATCCCCCCTCTCTCTCCCTCTTTCTTTCCTTCTATAAATAACCTCAATATGGATTCTCTTACTCAATTGGACAACTTCGAACAATACTGGAACTTGTTCCAGCATGACACCAATTATCTCAATGACGATACAGTGTTGACCGAAAAGGAGTTTAATATCACCTCGTTGCCCTTGCCAGCTTTATTGAAGAAATTATCTATTGGGGAATTAACATCAGTAGAAACTGTAATTGCATTCATGAAGAAGGAAATCATTTCCAGGACATCCACATCAAGATCCAAAAACAGTCACCACCAAGAATTTATGGATGCAATTACAAAAGCCCGTTACTTGGATTGGTATTTTGCCAAATATGGCAGACCAATTGGCATATTACATGGATTACCTATATCCAACAGACAATTACAATTATTAAACATCAACAACAGCGACGGCAAAGAGTTGGGAAATGTTACCCTTGATCTGGTTTATCATAACATAGCTCAATGCAACAATGGCAGAAGTAGAGAAAATTATAGAGTGAATGCTATGGTCCCTAGACCCCAGCTTAGCTTTTAAAGCTGCTTTCTTGTATACACTTTAGTTCTTTTATTTCTTTAGTTTTAGGTTTATTCGGGTCAATATTACAAAAATTATGAATATTACTAATCTGTAGATGACTAACATTTGATGTAAATGATCCCACATTTCAACCCTCACATGTCTTAGGTAATCAATCTGAACAAAGATTAATCAACAGCACTGAAAAATAAAATCAATCAGCCTATTCGGATACAGATATCAGTATATACACTTGAAATGTCGAAAGTTAGATCGGTCCGACCTCTAAATGTCCTCTTACTCTTGGTTGAGCCTCATTTTACTAATGAGGACAATACTCCAAACAATAAAAAAAAAAGAAGGTTCTGAAAAAAATTAAAAAAAGTGATACAATAAATACTCTTGGACAACCAGAACATTCACCATGGATTACGATGAGGATGATTTAGACTATCCATCAGAAGAAGACTACGAATTCCACGAAGACAACTTGTCGAATGAAGACTATGAGAAGTTGCACAAGTATCTTCCCCAGCTCAAGGACATCATGAGTGAATATGACGCGGATGAATACGACTTGAAAGAGAGTTTGTATTTCAATTATTTCGATGTATCTGCTAGTGTACAAGAATTGAAGTCTAAATTCAAAAAGAGTATGTATAACTTGTTTTTACTTTCTCGTTTAGAGTAAGCTCTACTCTATTTCGTCTTTACCATTTGGTGTGTATGACAGCATGTTTTGCGGGCAAGCAAAAAAAAAAAAACATCAGATTGGACAACTTTTCATCATCATCTTACGGTTCAACTCCAACACTAATCATGTCTAAACTAGCACAATTGGCCAAATTACGATCACAGCAACGACAGGCCCAGACTATCCAGGAGCCAACCGAATCACCATCACCGATACCGAATGATTCTAATGACTCAGGAGACATAGCAAAACCAACATCCAAATTATCTGCATTGGCGAGTGCAAGGGCAAAGGCAAGAGCATCTGCAACAACAGAATCAAAAGAATCCATACCGAAGTCAGTTTCAATATTAGACAGATTCACAAAGAGCCCGTCACCTGTAACTACTTCAGGCTCACCATCACCAGCTCCATTGCAAGATCGCCATAAGCCTTTACCTAATATACTACGCAGGAAACATAAGCTTGAAGCTACCGAAAATGCGCCTAAAACAGTATCGCCCCTGCCTGAACCACAAGCTAATGATGTGCCTTCACTCCCGCAGGTGTTGTTTGAAATTGCTGTTGATGACTCACTTTTATCCCCACCTCAAAACGAGATCTCATTATTTTGGTTAGGTGAACAAAACCAACATACCGACCATAAACGAAGACGAATAGATAGCATTTTCCAACAAATTACTAACATCCCTGTAGAAAAAGTAGTCAAAGCAAAAGAAAACTTTTCTGCTCCATCGCCAGATGACGAAATCACCAATGCTCAGAAAAACGCATTTGCCAAAGACATGGCCAATCTTAAACTTGAAAGTACACCTGCTACTACTCAAAAGAAGATCAAGGAAACCAAACCATTCAAGAAAATCGATATAGCCAAGGAGTTAGCTAGTAATCCCAACTACACAAAACCGCATAAGTCGTTTGTCGTGATTGGACATGTGGATGCTGGTAAATCAACCCTTATGGGAAGACTCTTGTTCGATTTTGGTATTGTTGATGCAAAAACCGTAAATAAATTAATCAAAGAATCAGAAAGAGCCGGTAAAGGATCGTTTGCATTGGCGTGGATTATGGACCAAACAGAAGAAGAACGGTCCCATGGTGTCACTGTTGATATCTGCGCTACTGATTTCGAAACACCCGAGGTTAAATTCACAGCGATTGATGCCCCAGGACACAAAGATTTTGTGCCACAAATGATTGGTGGTGTATCCCAGGCTGATTTCGCCTTACTTGTAGTTGATTCAATTACGGGCGAATTTGAATCCGGATTCGCTATGGATGGACAAACCAAGGAACATACTATTTTAGCCAAGAACTTTGGAATTGAAAAGATTTGTTGTGTTGTTAACAAGTTAGATAAGGAGAATTGGAGTCAAGAAAGATATGAAGTTATTAAAGAACAATTGATTGAGTTTTTAACTGGGCCTGAAGTTGAATTTAAACCCGATCAAATTGATTTCGTTCCTATTTCAGCCTTGAGTGGGAATAACGTTGTCAAGCGTGATCCAGCCATCACTGCTTTGACCGACTGGTATAATGGTCCTACTTTAGGAGAATATTTAACCAACATTAAATTGGCCAGTAAGAAAGATACATTGATGACTGAACCATTTTTTCTTTCCGTGCACGATGCATATAGAGATACCGGTGAAATTAAAGTCAGCGGGAAGATCAGTAGTGGGTACATACAAAATGGAGAAACCATCGTTGCCTTACCTAGTGAGGAAGCATTACAAATCAATGGGATTAAAGTCGGTGGTAAACTTGTGGATTTCGCCATTAGTGGAGAATTAGTGCAAATGAAGTTCAAAGCAAGAGAAGTGTCAAATGAAGCAATAGAGCCAATCAGAATAGGAGATTTGATTACTAAGATTGGATCGCCGGCTCATACCGTGAAGAAATTTACCGTGTCTATTCATTTGTTTAATATGGATAAACCATTATTGGTTGGAATGCCATTTGTGTTGTTTAGAAACAATTGTCACGTACCGGCCAGAATCAGCAAGATTGTTGAAATCACCAGTGGGAAAAAGAAAAAGAAGATGTTGCATCTTGTAAGTAAACAAACTGCTATTGTTGAAATCCAAGTGGATGATGGCACTTCGTTGGCCCTTACCAAGTATAGTGACAATAATGTATTGGGTAGAGTTGTGATTAGACGTGAAGGTGTGACTATCGGTGCAGGTATAGTTGTTGATTTGTAGAAGAAAAAGCTTGTATATGTACTTTAAAACGAAATGTAATCTACAAACAAAATGAAAACTCCGAATATTACGGCCATGGTGACTAGCATATTGGCTGCTTTTTTGTTGCTCTTTTTAGACTTGTTCAAGGTTTTGTTACCCAAGGTAACTTCCATTTCTATTTCGGAATGGGTATCCATAAGATTGCCAATTTGATTTCCTTGATCTTGAAGTTTAAATGATAATTCGTTTTGGATATTGACGATATCAAGAATAGACTGTTGCACTTTTTCAACTTGTTTCAATTGGGTAGTTTTGAGATTCAAAAACTCTCTATTTTCAAACTCCAATTCTTGTAGTTGGTCTGATGGTACTTGTTCATCTTCGAATTGGCCATTGGTGTCGATTATATCCAAATCGTTGGCAATATGGTCGACATCCATTTGATCGTCTTGAATATCTTGGAAGTTCAACAAGTTCAATTGTCGTTCTCGGGACAATCGCTTCTGTTGAATGGAATCAAAGGTTTTATTAACGTAATTTAAAGTTTCCATGAGGAATAGCAATACTTGTTTTCTATGGGCTGCGACTGTTTCATGGTAGAACGACGCTTCATCGTCGGTGAACACGCGATTGAACCAACCACCACGCGTGTTATCTTGGTCATTAGTGAGTTTTTGTCGTTTGCTCTCGTATACTTCCAAATGGTTGAGTTTCTTGTACATCTGTTGAACCTTGAAGTTAAAGTCCTGGTCTATTTCGTTTTTATCGTCGATTGATAGAGTTGAAGTGTTGGCGTATTCGTCACTGATGGCGAGGTATGGTGCTTTTATATCCCTGATGTATTTGTTCATCTGAATTAACATGGTGTAGAATTCTTGCGATTCTTTTATGAAGGTGTCGTTGACAAAGTAGTTTTGCTCATCTTGGTGTTTGATTGGTTGTGGTTGTGGTTGTATTGAATCACCTAGTTCTGATTGAACTATATTGACACATTGTCGAAAGAGAGGCGTGAGATCTGTCATATTTACTGTACCTGGGTGTTGACTAAGTGATTCGCTTTTTTTGAAGTGGCTGTCTTTTTTTCTCATTCTCTTTGGTTGTCTGTTGAACACCACTAGACATCCACCTTGGATATACACGTTTACTACGGGAAAAGTACCTAGACAACATACATTGTCTGTTAGCTGCATTGCTCTTTTCTCACCTACTGGAACCATAGCATTCTCCATTCTATGGTTGCTCGAACCTTTGCTGTGATCTGGCTAGCCCCATATGTCCCGTGAAGTTCTCATACTTTTGTTACAGGAATCTGGTAGCGCTCTCGTCTCAGCCGCACTGGTCCAATTTGGTAGCACCATTCCTCACGTCAAACGGGAAGGAAAAAAAAAGAAATGCGCGTTTGTCTAAGACTAAGTCAAGTGATTTTATTTACAACCAACCTTCTTAATCAAAGCAAACCTTCATAATGACGACTCGTGCCCCTAAACGAGGTGCCGAAGAGTTTGATCCTTCCGTATGTGCTAAATGCGCGTTTGATGTAACTTACAACACGTTTACTAACGCTGTTTTCTAGGGTGATGTCAGCATTAACGAATTTGTTTTGAATAAGTTGACCAAGAAGCGTAAGATGATGACGCAGGCTGACTATGACGACGAGGATGACGATGACGACGATAACGAGTCAGAAAGCGAGTCTTCCTACTCGTCTGATGAGGCGGAAGACGAAGAGACCGGAAATAATCCTGCCCAGGCAGGTATCATTGAGAAGTTAACTCTACGAAACTTCATGTGTCATGATTTCTTTGAGCTAAAATTGGGCCCACAAATAAATTTCATTATTGGTAGAAACGGATCCGGTAAGTCTGCTATCCTCACAGGTATCTCTGTGGGGTTGGGAGCTAAAGCTAGTGACACAAACCGTGGTCAGTCCATCCGTGAACTAATCAAGGATGGGAAGTCAACATCGAGAATCACTATTGTTCTTAAGAATGAAGGTCCTGAAGCGTTTCGACCAAGTGAGTTTGGCAAGAAGATCGTCATTGAACGGAAATTGGTCCGTAGTGGGGTGAATACATATCGGATTAAGAATGAGCATGGGAACGTTATAAGCACCAAGAAACTGATGATTGACGAAATCTTGTACAAATTTAGTATATCCATTGATAATCCATTGGCGTTCTTGTCTCAAGATAAAGCAAGGGAATTCTTGACGTCCAGTACTGATACGGCAAAGTACGATTTTTTCATAAAGGGGGCTCACATTGGTGATATTCTTGATAATTACACCAAGACCAACGATAATACCAAAGAAATTGAAAATAAGGTCAAGCATGCAGAAGCATTCTTCCAAGAATGTAACAAGACGTATAAGAAAGCCAGTTTGATTTATAACCAACACAAGAAATCGGATTGGTTAAGAAAACAATTACGAGTGCTTCATGGGAAAATCTATTGGTTTAATGTTAAACATATTGAATCAAAAATTGAAACATATAATACAAGATTGAATAACTGTAATCAGGAACTTGGTGAAATTACAGAGGAAATAGCCAAATGTGATCAAGCTATTGAACAGAAAACTCCTCAACGTGCAGTGTTTCAACAGCAAACCTCCCAGGCCGAAACAGAATATAATCAAGCTATAGACAAAGTCAATCTGATTAGACAATCACGAGATTCTATAAAGGCAGACATTAAACGAGATTCTGATGAAATTAGAAATCATTTGAAGGAAATAGATACCTATCAGGCTCAAATCAAAACCAACCAAGAACTAATCACCAAGGAACATCAACGGATTGATGCGATAAATGGAGGTTCCAAGGATGTGTTGCGAAATCAATTGGATCATATTGAGCAGCAATTGACAAAGTATAATATCAAGCACCGTGATTTAAGAGACAACATTGCTGAATTAAAAGATAGTCCCGGTAACGAGCTTGGACAATTAACTAAACAGCAACAGCAATCAGAATCAAGAATTAAGGATTTAATAACGAGACAAAGAAAATATAGGGAATCATCATCAGATCAATATAGCGCCTGGGGGAACAACATGGCAAAGATCATCAGGGAGATTAATCAAATACACAACTGGCATAATAAACCGCTTGGACCAATTGGGAGCTTTATCTCGGTCAAGAAAGACCACCAGAAATGGACTCCCTTACTTAATACTTTGCTTTCCAAGACGCTTGATTCGTTCTTGGTTTCTGATGAACTGGATAGAGCCAAACTTGATACAATACTTAAAAAGTATCAGGTTAGGAATAGCATTATTGTGAGAAAGTTTCAACGATTTAACTTTATGCAAGGTAAACCACATGGTTGTGATACTATTTTGGATATTCTCGATATTAGCAATCAAGATGTGATGCATACATTAGTTGATGTCAACAATATTGAAAAGATGGTTGTGTCAGAAGATCGAAGAGGCGCCAAAGATTTATTGCATAATGATGATGTTGCTTGCGTCTTATTGTTATTCAGCAAAAACTCGGGACAAAGATTAAGTATGAGTAATAATACCGAACGTCAAGATCCCATTTATTACAGTGATGATATTTCCAAATTCCGAGTTGATAATTCTCTGGATTTAGTAGATCAAATCACTAAAGAGATTGAAGAAGAACGAATGAATCTGAATCAAATCAAACGGAAAGTCCAACAGGCTAGACAAGCGCACCAACGTAAAATCAAGACTTTAGAAGATGAGTTGACAGTGTTGAATAAAGAAATACAGAAACTCAAGAACAAACAAGGTGATATTGAAGTTAAATTGAATGAAAACACGGATTTATCCAAGATTGAAAGATTGCAAGCACAAATTGAAGACGACAAGGCCCAAATAAGTAGGTATGAGGGGATTAATGAATCAATGAGTGAAGAAATCAATACTAAGAGGAACCAGATGACTGAGATCAAGAAACAACTACTCGAGGCCAAGAAACAAGTGGAAATTGCCGTTGACAATAAAGAAAAGATCCAACAGGAATTGATTTCATTTGAAGCCGACTTGACTAGTGATTTAGATTCTAAAAAGCATTACGAATACGAAAAAACTAAACGTCAGCAATTGATCCAAGCTACTGAGGAAAAGATTTCCCAAGGGAAACAAAAACTCGAAGAATTGATCAAACAAGCTGAAGAGAAATGTGCTCGAGAAGAAGTTGTTTTCTCGCCTGACGATACTCATGATTCCATTGCTAATGAATACAAAAGTATAAATGATCAAATCAAACAAGTTGAAAAGGCAATGGGTAAGACGTTTGATCAGGTACAACAAGAGTTGGAAGAAGCATTGAGTGCTAAACAAAAAGCAGAACAAGAATTATCTGACTTGACCAATACGGCCAAGAGATTACGTGATGAAATGAATATTCGTATTAAATGTTTCACCATTGCTACCAATTCCGCTATTAGTCAAGCCAATGAAAGTTTTGAAAACTCTTTATCATTACGTGGTTTCCAAGGTTCTTTAAATATTGATTTTGACACCAAGACATTAAGTATGTTGATCAAGACCAACAACAAAGAAGATTTGAAACGTAATGTCGAATCATTAAGTGGGGGAGAGAAATCATTCAGTCAAATCTCGTTATTGCTTTCCATCTGGAGAGTTATGGATTCAAGAATCAAGGGGTTGGATGAATTTGATGTGTTTATGGATTCAATTAATCGTACCATTAGTATTAAATTATTGTTGCACGAGTTGAAGAATTATACTAAATCACAAACCATTTTTATAACGCCCCAGGATATTACCAATATTGCTGACTTGAACAATTCTATGGTTAGAATCCATAAAATGGACGACCCAAGGCCATAACTTGGACACTTTTTGTAATTCTCCACACTCAGCCTGCTACAATACAATATAGGGAAATTATAGGATAATGTATAAACTATTTACAAGAAATGAACTTATTATATGGTTCAAGGCCTTTGATTGTAGTGTAATTTGCAAATGATACTGGATCGAGCTGTAAATGAGGTTGAAGTTTAAGAAAAGCCTTGATATATTGTTCTATATCATACTTTGAAATGGTAGGAATCAGCAAAAGTTTGGTAATGAACTGGTGGAGGAAGGTCACAGTTGGTATCTTATTAATCTCAACATGCCACTTGTATAGTTCTTCTAGACTACGCAAAGTATGCTGGGGATATTTAGTGAGTATGTACAAGAAAGTTTCGTTGTTAATTATTGGTTTTTGAGTATCGTGACGTTTAATCTGGGCGTGTAATTGTGGCACTAGTTCAAGTATCAAGTCCAATTTGTTTAAATCACACAATGAAGCCATAACGAACATGGTAATGTTAACATGGTTGTTGAGACAAATATTGACTAATTTATGAGTTGCTTCGCCTGAACTCAATATCTGTTCAACATGGGTGTGAATCATATGGTGAAACTTCGGCAAGTCGAGTAGACTAATTGTTCCCGACAAGATTGCTATGGGCTTTTTCTTGGGGTAGTCCCGACTATACACGTTTCGTTGAATTATAGGATTATACAATCCGACACCATTCAATTTCGCCACGAGTTCTTGATGAATGTCCAAGGGTTTCTTTAACGAATCGTCAGTCTTGTCAGCATCAGTTAGTGTTGTGTACACGTTCTTATTGTACATCACATTGTCCAACCGTACCTTTGCATTATCAACGACTCTCCGCTGGATGGCAGTTGCCTTGGTTGAGGCTTCTTTCCCCGTAAACCTCTTCAGCGATTTCTCGTCGTGAGCCAGCATTAATTGATTAAAGTGCGTAAATGCTGCTGACATGTTGATTTCGGAGTAGGATTCCACCAATAGTATTAGCAACAGCTTATATACTTTCTTGTTATACGCGTACGAGTAGAATCGAGTGAAGTAGTCAAACATTCCCTCAACACGGGCTGCATCTTTGTAATTGGTGAATATCATGGCCAATTGTTCAATAGTTTCGACATTTACAAGAAAGGGTACAAGGTTGTTTTCGCGGACATATGTGCTTGGTTCGTCTGTGTAGTACTTGTAGTTGTTTATGAGGTTGTGGTAGATGAATATTGCTCCGAAATGGGAGTGATTTTCGCAAACCTTTGACACCAATATCGACCATATTTCATTAGCAAGTTGGAATGTGCTGCTGTCGGATAGCTTATGTAGTAGAGCGACCGCGGGCATGACATAGTTGCTAGCGAGCAAATTATAGATGTACACCTGGATTAGTTCAGGATATAGTTGGGCGTGGTGTGCGAGTATGAATTGAAAGTTGTCATGATATGTTCCTTGTTTGAGCAAGGTTTGGAACTGGACGTTAATTAAGTTTGGGTATTGCTGGACAAGTGCTGTCTGGTCGGTGATTGATAATTGTGATAGTAGGGGTTCCAATTCGGGGATTGTCGTATAACTAAGAGTATTATGCTGAAGAAAGTCGAGTATGGCTGTAGATGAGTATCTGGCTAGACAACGACGCTGAGCTACCCGTAGAACCCTCAACATTGGTCACTGTTGCATTCAGATACCGTCAATATCGTATGGTTTTCTATGGACTTGAAAATTTTGATATTGGAAAACGCACGACCGAATCGCAACTCACCACCCCCAACAAATTTTCTTTAAAAATTTTTCAAGATTCACAACAACTTACAACCAGATTCAGCAGTATATCAGTAGAATATGTTGAGGATTGGGTTGAGTAGGTCGTTAAAGACTGGCTCCTTGTTAAGACCAGTTCGTGCTAATCAGTTTCAACTCGGAACAAAAATTATCAGTGCATCATCCCCCATAGTGTCACCTATCAGATTCAACAGTTCTACTACCCATGTAGTGGAAGAAATCACCAATAAACTAGTACCAATCAGTGATACTATTGCCGATAAAGTAGCAGCAACATCTTTACATGCCAATCAAATAGGATACATGGATTCCATTGGATTAGTAGACGGTTGGGGCCCAACCGCCTTAGTCACTAGACTCTTGGAAGCAACATACGTCTATACAGGATTACCATGGTGGGCTACCATTGTGGCCGCCACTGTTATCGTCAGAGTGGCTATGTTACCCTTGTACGTGAGGGCCTCCACCAATGCCACCCGTATGGCCAAGATTAAACCCCAATTGGAAGAAATCATGAGTACTATGAAACAATCCAAGGACAATACCGAAACTATGAAGGCAATGGCCAAGAGAAAGAAGCTTATGAAAGACAACAATGTTTCTACTTTGGCCACCATGGCTCCAATACTTCAAGCCCCTATTGCCTATGGGTTCTTCCGTGCCTTGCACAATTTCGCAGCTGCCCCAGTTGAGGGATTTGCTAGCGAGGGTTATGCTTGGTTCCCAAACTTGTGTGAAATCGATACTTATTTAGGATTACAATTAATTTCTACCGGTGCAATTATTGCTTTGATCAGATTAGGTGGTGAAACTGGACAATCGGCCATGTCTCCGCAAATCAAAAAGATTATGACTTTTGTGCCAATTTTATCTATATTAGTCACTAAAGATTTCACAGCTGGGGTATTGGTTTACTTTGCAGTCAATTCGATTCTTTCATTCATCCAAACCATGATGTTGAGAGCCGGATTCGTTAGAAAGTTGTTGGGGGTGCCACCTAAATTATCCACTCAAGAATTGACAAAGTCAAGTGGTGGAGATCCTGAAGTTGGATTGATGGATTCTGTCAGTAACTATTTGGAAAAACATAAAGAACAAGCCATTGCTACGGCTAGAAAAACTGATAAGCAATTGGAAATAACTCAAAAGAGAAAGCAAAAGGCCAAGGAAGGGTATATCAAGAGACATTAACTTACCATAGAACGAATACATTAAAGACCTTGTATATAGTTGAATAAACAACGATTCATAGTGTGGTTTTTGTGGGCAATCCCTGACAATTGCAATTTATCTATTTACGCAATCTGCTACAAATCCCCTGTTGTGCTTAGAATTAAAGATGTACACGATAAAACTATACGCTGTAAGACTACACACTGTAAGACTACACACTGTAAGACCATACACCAAAAGACTAGAAAAATAAATAGCTAATTCCATATAGTTGAAAGATGTAATCAGCATTCGCTTCCTCTATTTATATCTTGCAGAAGTAAGCCGTATTTCGCTAGACTAAATGGACTCGAACGGCCCCTCAGATCGTTCAAACATGCTATGCTTCCAAAAGAGTTCCAGATAGTGTACACGAAGTTTAAAATATAGGCTAGCTAACCAGCTAGAGCCCATCTGTTCCAAATCAAACGATTACAAGAATGTACAGCAACCTTTCACCACCAAAACTTCTCCCGTTGAAGCCAAGTTGGTGGTTCAGGCTTGGATTTACCCCATTTCACGTAATAGTAATTCACCGTTTTTCGAATCATAGTACGCAATCACCAATAACACATGCAACAATAAATAACCTTTAATAAACTTGTCTGTTTTAGGTTTGCGAAGCCATTGCAATGGCAGTCAGGTGTCAGTAGTCTAAAGTGTATCTCTCAGCCTATCTTAAGCTATTGGTGAGTTGCACGATATTCCGGTACACAAATCTGTCTGTCTATTTCCGATCCGCTACCCGAAAAATTCAAACAATTTGTCAGACTAAAACAAACAATTTGTCAGACACTTTAGTCTAGCACCTTCGGCCCTATTCCTGCATACTTCTACAGATTGCTAAATTTTATAAATTACCCCAAATTTATATTAAATAAATGTATATACAAGCAAAGTCTATTAATACAACTCCTTCAACATTTGTAATCTTAATTCCCGTAACTCACGTTCTCTATCAATGGAATCAACAAATGTTTCTTCTTCTTGGTAAATATCAGCGTAGTATGAATGAATCTCATTCAGTTCTTCATCCAGTATTGGCTCTTCCAATTCTGAATCTATAGAGTAATCACTCATTATAGAAGAAGTACCAGCGAAATTCTTGAAATTAGCAGCATCATTGCTGATGAAGTATTCTTCATCTATGCCCGTTATACCATCAGTTAATGTGTTACTTGTGCTTGTCGTTATTTGATCGTTGGATTTGTTAGATACTTGCTCATTAGACTTGTTTGACTTGATAGACAAGGTATTGGATATGCGGCGGAATAATGAAGGTTTTGAGTAGCAGTATGAGTGACTAGAACTCGACTTTCTTTTGATTAAACCTGGTAAACTAAAGTGTCTTTTAGGTTTGTAATTTACTTCGCAGGGAGTATCAAACGATATCGTGTTTTCATATATGTTTAAATAGTAGTATTGTTGCAAAGTTTCATCATACACCAATTTCCATGGATTAACTCCCGATGGAACGGCGGTAGCACTAGAAGCAGTGGTTGGAGTCATTATATTAATAAAAGGCTGGTTAGTTAAGTGAAAGCCATGTTGTTTAGGTTTGCAGAAATTCTGTTTCTATTTATATTAAGTTTGTAATGTACATCTTCTAAATCTTTGTCATCAATAATTTCTTTGCGAAAAAATAATCGGGAAAAAAATTTGTAAGCCCAAACTCCGTAATTAGCACGCGCGAAACGGAAATAATGGAATTAAAAAAAAAAAACAAAAAAAACTGTGATTTCTAATACAAAATTTGTAATCTAATGGTTATAACGTTATTTCCGAAGTTATTTCCATAATTTTATTTTATTTTTTTTTTTTTTTTTCGCCCGAATTTGTTTTTTTCGATTTTAAAACATCTCCGTACATTGACTATCACCGAAGGGCAGTAGTATCCCGATGGTGGCAAACACCTGGTATCAATAATCCATGTTAACATATTCCAACTGAAACAATATGAAACTGAAACTGAAACTGAAACTGAAACTACCCGAACCGCGATTACACTCTGCTAATTACATTACGTCAAGGTGCCAGTTACCAGATTGTTCTTCTGGTTACATAGCCTGTTTGGGCAGCCTTACTAACAGAAAAATTGCGCTTATATAATCATGTGCAGCCGCTTATGTAATCGCATATACATTTCTTTTTCTATGTAAGCTGTCATTTATCTAACTTGGAATAGATATTTTTTGCTTCAGGGCTGAACCAAATGTCATTAAATCTGGTTCCTGCGATTTCCGACACTATCCGGAACCTCCATTGTTAGTATGTCACCAATGTATGATCAAAATTACAATTATGATGACGCTTGGAGATTACATAATTAGACATGAAACTATAAAGTTCCCCGGGTTAAGTCGATGATTTACATTGCGCACATGTATCAACCCAACATTATTCCCCCTGACCTAAACCTCCTGAATGAATTTACTTGATTCTGCAATAAGGTTTTACAGCTTTAAGGGCTCTCCCCTCCTTCGCAAATATCGGACCCATTTATTAGTCCTTTGTGCCGATTCCGACAAGACGAGCATAGAGAGATAAAACAGCATGCTTTTCCGTAAACAAACATCAAATGACTCACCGTACTTTCCCCAACTTCAATATAATCGTTCTGTTTATACTGTCTATATTTAGACGGCTTCTATTAATTTCTTGTTTTCCTCGTGAAAAAAAAATTCGGCAATTTCCGAATTAGGAAATCCCGAGAATCCTCCATGTCGGTGATTACTATTGAGCATAATGGAATATATTATGGTACAGCGTGATCAATATATTCAGAACGTAATTGGCAACTTAATAAGTAAACATACCGTAGTATTTAATTATCAAATACATTAGGAGCAATTATACTAAAAATAAATTGGTGTTTACTAGAGGAAGGCTGCAAATTCATGTAATCGCATTATCTTTGGTAAAGTTACATGTGATTACTAGTTAATATTAGTAACATTACTAATATCGTATCAATTCTGTACGATAAGATAAACCGATAAGAATATGACTGCTATAGGCACATTTTTCTAAGCCATCCAGCGATAGCAATTGGATTAAATTACGGATCATCGCATTGCTGCTTATATAACAACTTATAACACCTTAGTTACTCCCCTCGTTATCCTTCCAGTAATCATTCATGATTATTATTATTATTATTATAAAAGCCACAGTAAATTCGGTTTTAGCAGATCAAATTTGAGCACAGCCCTATCGCACAATATTTTCTAGTTGTGATTACATAATCGCAAAAACGTTTTTTTAATTAATGCATTGCTTTTATATTTTTTTAGTTTGTTTGATTTCATGATTTCATACCAAGAAGTGGCCAATTACGATATTACTAAATATTGAGGCTTCTATTCATACTAGTCAAGTATTTCCGATTTCGGAAATGGTGATAATTACAAATATGTTATCTAAAGAGGAGAATTCTAGATTATGTAAGTACTGAATGTCAATAATATCTAATCAAACTTTCTGTTCACTCAGTTATCTGGATTGATTAGATAAAGGCGGGGAATAAAGATATAGTTTGTGTATCCCACCTAAACAAAGGGGTTTTCTTGATATACATTGCTTCCATGTTATGTTTCTAGAATTGGAACCGCTGTGGTTCTAGAGCGTCACAACATGGAAACATCATTTTTGGGAGTGTGGAAACTTTAAAGTGTAATATTCCCTCCCCCTCCTTTTTCAAGCTCTTTGCATTTACTAAGAATTTTCGCCCAACTGTAGATTTCATAAGCTAGTGCTTCCTAATTAGTGCATCTTGACAGTAGCTAGTTAGGTAACTATGCCTTAGATCTTTCGATCATGTTAGCAGTGCTTCCCTAACTAAAAAGGAACATTAGATATTTCTTGGCATACCCCCCAAGAATGCACGATGAAAATAGTCAGTGCAAAAAGCAAGAACAATATCATTCTATTGTTAGGTTACTTTATGGTAACTAAACCGAATGAAAACTTTCTGTTACAGAAACTGTGCGGTTCTCAAATGATGCAGCACTTACCATAATTTGCATTATAAGTTTCCTACTTCTAGCATACCAAAGAAATGTCATTTAATATAAGGTCAATGACTAGGCACTAACAGGATTGTTCCCTCTACCACCCTCAAAACAGTAGTATAGCCACCACCACCACCACCACCACCACCACCACTACCATTACTACCAATGAATAGAATAATTCCATTCATACTAATATTCGCCTGTCTCGTATGTGCCACACCGTTGCAACAGGCTGAAACTTCAAAAGTACCTCATGATATACTCGGTGAACCAGATGCGTCTATTGCCATAACACCACAACCAGTTGATAATCTCCCACCAATCAACTGGCAGCCAAAGTTGCCCTTTCCCCAATGGTTGACCGATTTCACGGGGTTAAAGGAATGGCCAGGGTTGGACCCGCCTTATATTCCGTTGGACTTTATTGATTTCAGCAAGGTTGTTGACATTCCCTTGCATCAACAAGCTCAATGTACCGACCCTATTCTTAGAAGTTCTAAATCTTGCTCGTTTGATTGTTTTAATTGTGTGGAGTTTGATGATGTGTACACCTGTCCTCAACTTTCGCAGACTTTTGATGATGGACCCAGTCCGTGGACGATTAAATTGTTGAAAAATTTGCAAGTTAAGAAAACAAGGACTACGTTATTTACCCTTGGTGTTAATATTATCAGATATCCGGAAATTTATCAAGAAAGTCATGCACGCGGTCACATTATGGGTTCGCATACTTGGTCGCATAAATTCCTTCCGAGCTTGACCAATGAACAGGTTGTTGCCCAGATTGAATGGTCGATCTGGGCCATGAATGCCACAGCCGGTCACTTGCCTAAATGGTTCCGTCCACCATTTGGTGGGATTGATAATCGTATCAGATCTATTTTGCGGCAATTTGGTATGCAGGCTGTGTTGTGGGACTTTGACACTTTTGATTGGAAAATGTTGGATTTAGCCAATAATCGAAATGAAGCTGATGTGTTTAGCGATGTAACTAGATTTCATGCACGGAATAAGGGAAAGGGGCTTATGTTGGAGCATGATGCTATTGAACGTACTGTGGATTTAGGGATTAAGTTGCATAATAATGTGATGAAGGAGCAGCTTACTGTGCCTCAATGTGTGGGTGGTATTGATTATATAAAGACATTTAGATAGATTAGAAGTTATTTAATGTTTATGGTATAGTTTACCATAGTTTAGGTTATCTTGTGGATCAATCAATGACTCAATCAATCAATCAATCAATTAATAACGCAATTAATATATGTGCACTATATAAAGAACCTGTAGGCGTTAGCGTATGTCGTCTGCTTACCGAGATATCTCATTGAACTAGCTTCTAGATGCTATCTCCCAGATCTAGAGCACTACAGGAAGATTCATAACCAATGTTGACGACAAACAAACCCCCCGTCTCCAAGAAAAGGGTAAATCTCTCGACCGTTGCAACATACAGGTTGCAAATGCCCACACGTGATTGTGCTCACCACATGATTCTTTTGCATCACAATGGTAATAATTAATCCGCACAACAAACTTCCGGAGTTGCTTGGTAATTGTGCACCAGTGCACGACCAGTGTTGTCCTAATCTGCTCCCATTGAAAATGAAACTCCTCATCAGTTGATGTTATATGTTTCATTTTTTTCTTTTATTTAAACAATTGAGTTTCCCAGACAATTGGCTAAAGAAACAATCAAACGTCAAGTGTTTTCTCAGTCACAATGTTGTCAATTGTTAATGGAACATCAACCATTTCGTTGACTGCAGGAAGCTCAACTTCCTTAAGTCATGCCATTAACTTTTACACTAATATCCTTGGACTTAATTTACATTCTGAAACCGACAATATCACATACTTGGCTAACAACTATGACAAATTAATCGTCGAATTGATCTTTGATCCGGCCAAGGGGCTCACCGAGGAGCAAATCCAAACACGTACTCAAGAAATCCACGACAAGTTAAACCAAACCGATTGGAGAAGTCTTGATGAAACTATTGTGGTTAAAGTCAACAATATTGTTAGTTTGATCGAAACATTACAAACTTTTAAACATGTGGTTCAAATTACCCCCAATGAATTGTTTCCTAATGAAGTATATTGCGTTGATCCATTAGGCTACGTCATTGGGTTCACCGCCGTGTCTAACCCCTTAACTTTGCAACCTCCCTTACAGAAATTAAAACCTAACATGGGTGCCGGTACTCCTTCCAGTTTTATGATGTCGCAAGCAGGCTCCCAATCGGGCATCATAACGGATGATCTTCCTAAGCGTAACGTTGGGATTATGACTTCGGGTGGTGATGCCCCAGGTATGAATGCTGCTGTTCGAGCAGTGGTCAGAGCCGCTATCTTCAGAGGCTGTAAAGCATTTGCAATCAAGGAAGGCTACACTGGTTTAGTCGAAGGTGGCGAAGATTACATCAAGGAAATGAAGTGGCAAGATGTTAGAGGGTTGCTTTCGGAAGGTGGTACCAACATTGGTACTGCCAGATGTATGGAATTTAAAGAACGTTGGGGTAGATTACTTGGATGTAAGCATTTGATTGAAGCCGGAATTGATGCATTGATTGTATGTGGTGGTGATGGTTCTTTAACCGGGGCCGATTTGTTCCGTGCCGAATGGCCAAGTTTAATTCAAGAATTGTTGGAAACCAACCAAATCACGCAAGAACAATATGATCGCCACAAGCATTTGTACATTTGTGGTATGGTTGGATCAATTGATAATGATATGGCCACTACTGACTCTACCATTGGTGGATACAGTTCTTTGGAAAGAATTTGTAAGGCGATCGATTACATTGATGCTACTGCCTCGTCACATTCGCGTGCCTTCGTTGTTGAAGTCATGGGTAGACATTGTGGTTGGTTGGCACTTATGGCTGGTATTGCTACTTCGGCCGATTATATCTTCATTCCTGAAAAGCCATCCAGCAGTAAAGTTTGGCAAGACCAAATGTGTAACATTGTTGGTCAACATAGAGCCAAGGGTAAGAGAAAGACCATTGTTATTGTGGCTGAAGGTGCCATCACGTCTGATTTACAACCAATTTCTTGTAAAGATGTTAAGGATGTCCTTGTGAACAGATTGGGATTAGATACCAGAATCACTACTTTGGGGCATGTCCAACGTGGTGGTACTGCTGTTGCGTTTGATAGAATATTGGCTACTTTGCAAGGGGTAGAAGCAGTTAAAGCTGTGTTGGAATTGACTCCAGATACTCCATCGCCCTTGATTGCCATTGATGAGAACAAGATTTGTCGTAAACCATTAGTTGAAGCCGTGGAAAAGACCAAGAATGTCGCGGCTGCCATTAGTGAACGTGACTTTGAAAAAGCCATGTCGTTGCGTGATTCCGAATTTAAAGAACATTTGGCTAATTTCATGTCTATGAACTCTGCTTGTCATAATGAACCTACTTTACCACCAGAACAAAGAAAACGAATTGCCATTATTAACATTGGTGCACCTGCCGGTGGTATGAATTCTGCCGTATATGCCATGGCCACTTATTGTATGTCTAGAGGTCACACCCCTTATGCTATCCATAACGGATTCTCGGGTCTTTCTCGTCACGAAAGTGTTAAGCTGATTGATTGGATTGATATTGAAGGGTGGAACTTAATCGGGGGTTCCGAGATTGGTACTAATAGATTTACCCCTGAAGAAACCGATGTTGGGATGATTGCTAACTATTTTGAAAAGTATCAGTTTGATGGGTTGATTCTTGTTGGTGGGTTCGAGGCATTTGTTAGTTTAGAACAATTGGAAAGAGCTAGATCTATGTATCCGGCATTCAGAATTCCTATGGTGTTGATTCCTGCCACTATTTCCAACAATGTTCCCGGTACTGAATATTCTTTAGGTGCCGACACTTGTTTGAATTCTCTTATGGATTACTGTGATGTTGTCAAGCAATCTGCTAGTGCCACCAGAGGACGAGCATTCATTATTGAAGTTCAAGGTGGTAACTCGGGGTATATTGCTACTTATGCCCAATTGATTAGTGGTGCTCAAGTAAGTTATGTTCCTGAAGAAGGAATCCAATTGGATCAACTTGAAATGGATATACATTCACTTAAGGAATCATTTGCTGTGGAAAAGGGCATGACCAAAGCCGGTAAGCTTTTACTTAAATCCACTAATGCATCCAAGGTTTTAACTCCCGGTGTTCTTGCTGACATTATCAATTCTGAATCCGGAGGTGAGTTTGATACCCGAACTGCTATTCCGGGACATGTCCAACAAGGTGGGTTGCCTTCGCCAATTGACAGAACCAGGGCCGATAGATTTGCCATCAAGGCAGTGCAATTCATTGAAGAAAATTGCGATAAAATGTGTGGATTGAGATACAGTTTGGAGTTCCCACGGGAAGATAAGACAATCACTCGCACCGCAGCAGTATTGGGGATCAAAAGTTCACATTTACGATTCACTTCCATTCGACAATTGTACGATTATGAAACTGAATTGAACAAGAGAATGCCCAAGAAGATTTTCTGGTCGCTGACTAGAGAGATTGCTGATCAATTGGTTGGTAGAACTAAAATTGTTAGAGCTTGAGGGAGGTTTTATTTTTTATATATATAGTTTAACGCTTTTGTTTGAATATAATAGATGTATAAATTGAGTAAACTTATATTGAAGAGGATGTCATTCTCAGCCACACGAATAAAAAAAAAGAAAATGTATACACAAGTTGACATCGTCTAGTTACAACCAAGTTAATGCCTTCTAGTGCACGACTCGCCATAATCAAATCACCAATCTATATTATCACAGCAGTTTATTTAATCAATTCAAGAAAAAATGAGTGTGGACACCGGCGTAACCAGCGATCTCCGAAATGAAATCATTGGTTGTAAAGACAAACAGCAACTTGTTCAGTTACGACAACAACTTGATAGTGTGCAACTATCAATCGATCTAACTGCATCTACTACATTCGAACAGAAGCGAATCAAAGAATTGATTGAAGGTTTGTATAGAATAATTGACAACAAACAGGTGCAGCTTTCAATGACCAGATTTGAATTTGTTGGTGAGCCTATACCTCCCGCAAATCCTAGAAGAACTGCTGTTACATTAGTAGAGAGCAATGACGAGCAAAAAAGTTCAGGTTCGGCTATAGTCAAGTTAAATAGTGACAAGTATGAGATTTCTGATGATCGATATGTTCTAATCGCGTCGCTGGTACGGTCTATAATATCCACAGCGAGTGCGTCCCCTCCACCATCAATCCATATGAAAAATGCGCAAGGTTCCATTTGCAGTCTTGCCAGTAAAGGGCCTATTTTTATACACAACGTAAACAACAGTATACTTGTACTATCATGTCATCAAGCTAGACTACACAACATTCACAATTCTATAATCATAGTGAATGTCCAGAACAATCGAATTATAATTGAAGATTGTGATGGATTGGTAGTTAACGACATTGAAGTTGATGACTTCAATCATCCTACAAAGGAAACTGCCAATCCTCATTACAAGATAATGAGTCGAGACAAACAAGAAAATATTTTGAAAACAATTGGCGATTGTTCTGTTGATCAATTACCCGTTGTAATCCGTGAATGTCTTGCGAAGTTCGAGTGAATTTTGGTATGTCAATACGCTTGGGGTTTCCATAGACGGATTGTGCTTGTCGCGTCTATTTCCTATTTGGGTTGATCCCGCCACATTATACCCAGGGTAATACAGAGAAACTGATCAACCATGCGCATATCCAGGAAGGTATATTCATGCTTATAATCCACTGGTTGCAACAAATTGAAAAATTGGAGCTGGTTTAAGTTTACAATGGTTAGTGTGGGGCTGCAAATTGTGGTCGGGGGCAAATATGTGTAAAGCTTAGCTCGGTAAATTTTTGACGTGGGATTTCGCTCAAGCTCCTCGGGAATTCTTTTTATTTATTTTTTTTTTTTGCTCTCGGTAGTTTTTTTTTTCAATTCTACCCCCACAATCGGAGTGAAGTGCCGACCAAATAACACAAACCCCACTATACTAGCAACCACTATGTTCATTTACATGAATTGTTTAGCAGTCATAAACTTTCGTGATGATACACTATGGATAAGAAAAACATTCCAGTATAAAACGGGGAAACCCCTTTTGCAACTGGTTCTAAATGTGGACTAGTACGTACTGGTACCTCCTATTTATTGTCAAACTACAAAGAGATGTATGATCGACTCCTCTTCTCGGCATTTCCGCTTTCCACAAACGCCTTTATTATCTTGGTTGGCTTTTTAGGAGTTTCGGTTTATTCACCTTTGTTAAATTTCAGTTTGGGCTACCCCACACCAAATGTTAGCAGCCAAAGATTATCCCGAAATGCGAACAAACATCCACACATCAATACAAATTCCAACAATACAATTAAGACACCCCCACCAATACTCCGAAACAATGAGTCTCCCCTCTTGAAAAAGATTCTAGCTGCTCCACATCTAGCTTTTATAAATAGTCTGGCGGATTCCTTGTTTTACAGATGAGCTAGTCTAATTTAGTCTGAAAGGAAGAAGAACGTATCTTTCTTTGTCTAATAACTTAGTTGCTAACCATGTCATTACCATCTATTGCTGATACCGATTCGGTATTTGCATCCGACGATAAACCTTATGTTTTTGAAAATCCCAATGATCTCCCCATTGAAACTTTAATCAACCACATTTTACCTTACCCGCAAGAGTACGCCAATAGATCAGTCAAGATCCCCGGCACTGCTGAACCTGGCCATACTGAAATCTACCGTAATCTGGCTTGTCCTGGAGGGATCAAGTCCATGTTGGTTCCGGGAATGGACACATATGCTAAGGTGTTTAATTCTACCGCTGAAAGACATCCAGACCGTCCTGTTTTTGGGGTCCATGAATATGATTACGAAAATGAACAACATCTTGAACGTTACAAGATTATCAGTTACAGTGAAGCTCAAGAAAGAAAGAGAAATTTTGCCAGTGGGTTGTTCTTTTTGCTTGAATCTAATCCATACAAAGACCTCAATTTAGAATCACATAGAAAGATTGATAATCACAAGAAGGATTACAAAAGTTACAACAGTGATGATCTTTCATTTGTGGTTGCCATGTATTCTGGTAATCGTGTTGAGTGGGTATTGACTGATTTAGCATGTTCTTCCAACTCCGTCACTAGTACTGCATTATACGACACCTTAGGTCCCAAGGCATCGCAATACATTTTGGAAACTACTGAGTGTCCCGTGATTGTCTCTGCTAAGGAACACATTAAGCATTTAATTGAACTTAAGGAACAAAACCCAACCAGTTTGTCTTCGCTTATCTTGCTTATCTCCATGGATCCATTGACCAAGAAAGACGCTGAATTGATTAGATACGCCGAAAATAACAAGATCAAATTGTTTGAATTCAGTCAGGTGGAAAGGACCGGTGCCATTTTCCCTCGTGCTGAATGCGAACCAAACCCAGACACTGTGTTTACCATCAGTTTCACTTCCGGTACTACTGGATCAAACCCTAAGGGGGTTCTCTTGCCACAAAAGTCGGCTTTGTGTGCTATTTTGGCCTACTCGTTGCAAGTTCCCCATCATCAAAACACCAAGGAATTCTGTTTCCTACCATTGGCCCATATTTTTGAAAGATGTATGTTGTCCAGTGTCTTTTTCTTTGGTGGATCCACGGGGTTCCCCAGATTAGGAGGTACTCCATTGACATTATTTGAAGATTTGAAATTATGGAGACCTACTTTCATGGCCAATGTTCCTAGAATCTTTACCAAGTTGGAGGCAGGTATTAAAGCAACCACCGTCGACTCTTCGTCTCCATTGACCCGTTCTTTGTATAATTCTGTTATTGAAGCTAAAATTAACAGAATGCAATCCAAAGACGGTCACAAAGGTAACCACTACATCTATGACAAGTTGTTCATCAAGAAGTTGAGAACCTTGATTGGGTTTGACGATATTGAATTTGTATTCACTGGTTCGGCACCAATCTCCCCAGACTCCATTGAGTTCCTCAAAGCCAGTTTGGGTATGGGTATGATTCAAGGATATGGGTTGACTGAAAGCTTTGGTGGTATTTCCATGTCCCAGCCCTATGAAGCTAAAGTTGGTACCTGTGGTGCTATTTCTCCTAGTGCTGAATGTAGATTAAGAGAGATTCCGGAAATGGGATACCTGAAGAATGACAAGGGTGGACCAAGAGGGGAATTACAGTTGCGTGGTCCTCAAATCTTTACCAAGTATTACAAGAATCCAGATGAAACCGCCAAGGCTTTGAGCGAGGATGGGTGGTTTAGTACCGGTGATGTTGCTCAAATCACAGAAGAAGGTAAGTTGAAGATTATTGATCGTGTCAAGAACTTCTTTAAGTTATCTCAAGGTGAATATGTCACTCCTGAAAAAGTGGAAAATGTTTACTTGTCCGGTAACTCTATCTTGACCCAATGTTATGCCCATGGTGATCCATTGCAATCGTTCTTGGTGGGTATTGTCGGTGTTGACCCAACTAACATTGTGGATTACTTGAGAAACCAGTGTAATGTTCAATTAGACGATTTGTCCACTGAATCAAAGATTCTTGCTGTATGCAACAAGCCGGAAATCAAAACGAGAATCTTGTTGAATTTGAACCAAAATTTGAATGGTAAATTGAACGGATATGAAAGATTGCACAATATTTATATTGAGTTTGAACCATTGAGATTGGATAGACAAGTGGTTACTCCGACCCAAAAGTTGCGAAGACCTATTGCTGCTAAATTCTTCAAGAAGCAAATTGATGATATGTATGATGAAGGGTCAATTGTCAAGAAACCAAGATTGTAGATGTTTATATTTGACTAGTTTATAGGAATAAAGTAAAAGCTAACAGTTATATCCATGTGCATAGGTGCTACCAACCGATCTGTCAAATCCTTTTTGCCACGACATTTTTGTTGTTTTTTTTTTTTGTCAGAAATGTCGCATTTTGACCATGTTGGAAAAAAAGGCGAAATCTCATCAAATGGTGAAAAACCTACTAACAACAAACTAATAGCAGTAAACACAAATGGTATGTGCAATTGTACTTGACTATCAATCATAACACATTACTAACGGAATATGCAGTCGGCATCAATCACCACCAAGTCCACAAGTACGCAAGATGCGTCCAGTCTCTCACTTATCGCCGCCCATTCCCATATCTCTGGGTTGGGCCTCGATGACAATTTACAACCCAAGGAAAGTTACCAAGGTATGGTTGGCCAATTACAGGCCCGTAAGGCTATGGGTGTCATTTTGAAGATGATTCAAGCCGGAAAGATTGCAGGAAGAGCAGTTCTCTTGGCTGGTCCTCCAAGTACCGGTAAGACTGCGCTTGCCATGGGATTGAGCCAGAATCTTGGTGCTGAAGTCCCATTCACAGCTATTACTGGATCTGAGATTTTTTCATTGGAATTGAGCAAGACCGAACTGTTGACCCAAGCATTTAGAAAGTCTATTGGAGTCAGAATCAAGGAAGAAACCGAAATGATTGAAGGGGAAGTTGTCGAAATTCAAATTGACCGTTCCATTACTGGTGGTCACAAGCAAGGAAAGTTGACTATCAAGACTACTGATATGGAAACCATTTACGAATTGGGTAATAAAATGATTGAAGGTTTGACAAAAGAGAAAGTCTTGGCTGGGGATGTTATCTCTATTGACAAGGCCCTGGGTAAAATTACCAAGTTAGGGAAATCATTCACTAGAGCCAGGGATTATGATGCCATGGGACCAGAAACTAAATTTGTGCAATGTCCAGAAGGTGAGTTGCAAAAACGTAAAGAAGTGGTTCACACTGTTTCCTTGCACGAAATTGACGTTATAAATTCCAGACAACAGGGGTTTTTGGCCTTGTTTTCCGGGGACACTGGTGAAATTAGACAAGAAGTTAGAGATCAAATCAACACTAAAGTAGCTGAATGGAAAGAAGAAGGAAAAGCTGAAATTGTTCCTGGTGTGTTGTTTATTGACGAAGTTCATATGTTGGATATTGAATGTTTTTCATTTATTAATCGTGCGTTGGAAGATGAATTCTCCCCCATTGTGATTATGGCCACCAATAGAGGTATTACTAGAACTAGAGGCGCCAATTATAAATCTCCACATGGATTGCCTATGGATTTATTGGATAGATCAATCATTGTTCATACTACTTCATACAGCGGAGATGAAATCAGGACGATTCTTTCCATCAGAGCCAACGAAGAAGAAGTTGACTTGACTGGTGATGCCCTTGCATTGTTGACTAAGATCGGACAAGAAACCAGTCTAAGATATGCTAGTAATTTAATTGCTGTTTCTCAACAAATTGCTGCTAAAAAGAGAAACACCAGTGTTGAATTACAAGATATTAAACGAGCATACATGTTGTTTTTGGATTCTGACAGATCAGTACAATACTTGGAAGAAAACTCTTCTCAATACATTGACGATTCTGGTAATGTTACTTTTGGACAACAAGTAGCTGATTCTGAACCAAAGCTAGAAGATAAACCAGTAGAAGATGATAAGATGGAAACTGATTAGAATGTTTATGTGTATTTTTATATATATATATAAAAAAAAAAGAAAAAGTTCTATTGTAAGTACAACTATATGTAGTGGTTTACACGGCGTGGAAAAGACGATTGGTAGATTAACCACTTCCCTTGGTGTTCAAGATTAAGGCAATAATCATGCCATACAATCCCAAAACTTCAGCGAAAATCAAAATCAAGACGATACCAACAAATAATCTTGGTTGGTGCATGAATTGTCTCACCCCTTCATCACCAACAATCCCAATTGCATAGCCGGAAGCCAAACAAGAGAAACCAACCGCTAAACCACAGGCTAAATGCATGAATCCATTAAACAAGGAATATCTTTCGGTTGGCGACAATCCACCAGCAATCAAAACAGCCACGACTAATCCGTACACTGACAATATACCGGACATGACCACGGGGATCAATGACTTCATAATAAGTTCTGGTTTAAAAGTACCAATACCAGCAATACCAATCCCGGACTTGGCTGTTCCAATGGCAGCACCTGCACATGATAATATCATGGCGGCGGCACATCCACCGAATCCCAAGAAAGGAGCAAAGGCTGGATAATATTCATCACCAAATGCCTCTGACATTGTGTAATAGTATAATTGTTAAGATGATGTTGGTCAGTTGAACTCTCCCTTTACTTGTCTGTTTTTTTCCTCTTCCAATTTGAAGGATTTCATGTGTGGTTTTTGTCGCGACATTGGCTGGGTCAGTGTCGCAAAGATAGTGCGACAATCACCAAAGCCAAAACAATAAACAACAACAACAACAATTTAAAAAGCTGCCAAAATACCTACCAAGGATTACACACCACCTGCTCTTAGCACATTATACTCGATAAATATGGACCAATCTCCTGATGACGGAAAGATTACTCTTTCCAGAGACGATCTTAGATATGTGTATAACCAATTGTACATCAGCACTATGGATAGATTGAATCTTCATCTACCTACAGAAGAGAACGATCCTATGAAGAATCAAGTGGCGACAATATTAAACGAGTTCTTATTAAATGTGTTTGATGATGCCCGTCATTCGTTGATTGTTGATGGTGTGGCTGACGATAAACCAATAAGTGAAGTTTTGGCCCTCCCTGAACGACAGGAAGTGGTAGAGCCATTTGATGTGGAGCTCAACCAACAATTAAAAGACACATTGTTAGAGTTTGAGAACGAGATTGTCAAATCAACAACGCAAAAAAGAGAGTTGCCCAAACAGGCAGCAGCAGAGTATGAGAAGTTTGTCGATCGAGTCGACCAGGGGGTATCAGAATACTTGGCCAAGATTGACGAGGAAGTAGAAGTTATAAATAACCAGGAGTCATTTGACTTTGAAATAGAAGACAAGGATATACCTTATGAAGAATTACGGGCCAAGTACTTGGACACATTAGAAAAGTTGGATGAATTAAAACAAATAGTTCCTGAAACCGAATCCAGACTAGAAAGGGATCTCCAAACCATGGCATTTCTTGAACAAGCATATGAAAGACAGAAAAGGGAAGAATTGTAATTATTGTAATTTTAGATCTATAATATGTTAATGAACTTGTTAATAGTGTCTCGTTATGTAATCGAGACAATGTCGTTACACCTCCCCCCCCCCCTTCTTCTGTTTATACTTAATTTAATATCATGCATCGTTTTTTCCTGTTGCCAAGTGTCAGTTGATTGGACAACGCACACATTGCATTCGCCCGTCTGAGGGGTGGTGGGGCTGCTGCTACCCCTAAGTTCTCGTGTATCTAATGGGAATGGTGATGTTTGTTTTTTCCCTACGTGTTAGTTCACTGAAATTGGTTGTAAACGCAATCGTTGGTCTGTTTACACTTGTTCCCAATTAGGAAAATTGATAACATCCACTGGTGCCCTAAAAATTGTAAATACATAAAAATGTTCAAGGGAATTACAAGAAACTTCTTCCGCTTTCCTTAGTCAATTCTTACTAGCCTAAATAATACCCCTACAATTTACTCATTGGTTACAATGAGTAGTCCTGTTAAAAACATTGCCTCAAGGTATTTGGATGCCTTAAACAATGATAACACCAGCCCTTTGCAACCTTCACTAAAACATAATTCATCACCCATAAAACGAGGAATGAAGACACTGACAGACAACCCTGATCTTGACGTCTTAGCGAAACAATTGAATATCCGTGGCCAGGATAACACAACCAGCCCCACCAAAACTGCCTTGCTAAGAGAACGGTTTGAGTCTCCATCAGTCACTGTATCATCATTTAAAAGTCCCCTGAGTATATCACCGTTTAGTTCGGTTGGATCCAATGGGTCTACAACAAGCCCAACTAAACGTAATTCTACTGTTTCCGATAATGAGTTGACTCCTAGTTGGGCTAATAAAAACTATAGAGACAATCTCAAATCTCCGTCCAAATTCAAATCCAATACAGCTACCACATCTAAACCTACACTTAAGCCATTGAATGAACCAATATCAACTCCAAAACCAGAGCCAACCTCCAAATCTAGAACTTCAAGTCCTGTATTTAACTCACCAACCAACAACTGTTCTCGTGACTCCCCCGGCTATGAATACTTATGTCGTATCCAAGCTATCAAGTCGTGGTTAATTCAAGTATTGCAAGAAGACATTGAGCAATCACCAGCCACGTTAATCTCATACATTAGAAATGGGATCCATTTGGCAAAATTAGCCAATGTCATATTACCGAACAAACGAAATGTCTTTCTTAAGGATTCAAAATTACAATTCAAGCACACCGAAAACATCAACCGATTCTTTACTTTGTTGGATTTCTTGAATGTTCCTGATTTATTCAGATTTGAATTGACCGATCTTTATGATGCTAAAAATGTCCCCAAGGTTTGGTTTTGCTTACATGCGTTGAGTTATATATTGAACATATCTGATCCAACTTATCCCAAGATTGAAAGCGTGGTTGGAAAACTAGAATTTGAAGATGATGATATAAGAATTGCCAATCGAGCCTTGATTGGTGCGCCATTGCCTAATTTTGACAGTGCAGATAATGGTAAGGAAGAAGAAGACAATACGTATATGAATAAGATTACTTCGCCAGCAAAGGTGCCTACCCGTCAAGAACCACCAAGGCAAGATCCAGTATTTACAAAGAAACCATCTCCTAAGCAAACTGTCCTTGTTGATCCATTCAGGGAAGAAGAAATTGAAGAAGAGCCTGTGGAGGTACCGGTGGAAGAACCAATGGAAGAACCAGAAGTAGAACCAGAAGAACCACCACAACATCTAGTCATTCAACCATTGAAGGCGCCATTTTCTCCAATTAGAGACACATTTGAAGAAGAACCAAAGCCAGTCTCTCTGGGCTATGAAGTCGATACCAAGTCCCAATATTATACCCCAGAACTTCAAACCCACTCCGTCAACATTATAAAATTCCAATCCTTGGCTCGTGGTGCCAATTTTAGATATTCCATGTTTGTCAAAAAGATTATGTTGAAGTCATATCAGGATGAATTCACTATGTTGTTTTCTATAATTCGAGGTAATCATGCTAGATTGAAGACCATACATAGACACCGTGTTGAATTAAGAGTTTACACTCCTGAAATCACACAATTACAAGCTATTATTAGAGGAAAGTTTATTCACAATAAGAAGCCTGAAGTTGACACAACCAAGATTACCACTTTCCAAGGTCAATGTCGAGGCAGTCTTGTTAGAAAGAATACTAGCAATATTAGAAAAGTATTGGAACGTGAAGAATCAAATATTGTTAAATTACAATCTCGTGTTCGAGCAAGTTTGGTCTATTATAAGACCAGCAAGGCCATTGAGATCAAAAACAACATGTTGTCATCCATAGTGGGTCTTCAATCTGGTGCTCGTAGATTATTATCCCAAAGGAAGTCCAATTCTTGCAACATAGATGAGGAGTCAATAATAACCATCCAATCAATCATCCGTCATAACTTGGTCATTGATGATATTAACTACAAACATGCGAAAATCAGAAACAACAAGAAAAATATCATTGAGTTCCAAAGTATTGCAAGAGGTGCCATTGCTAGAACAAGATTGTGTAACACTGTGTTGATTAATTTATTGTTTGAAGATGAGAATTTGAATTATCTCTATGCTATAGTTAGAGGAAAGAACTCGAGAAGGGAATTCAATGAGAAGAAACTAGAATTGAAGAAGTATGAGCATACTTCGATTCTTCCTGTACAAACACTCTTCCGTGGTGTGTTATGTCGATTTGCCAAGGAGATTAAATTAGATGATGCTTATCAACAAGTCGATTCCCTTATTCATTTACAATCCATCTTCCGTGGTCAATTGGTAAGAAAGGAACATAAGCAATTAAAGAAATATTATGAAAGAAATGTGGGTCTTGTCATCAAAGCCCAGGCTATTCTACGTCGTGCATTTGTCCAGAATGCCTACCAGGCATTAATCTCTTCCAAGAATCCTTCACTTACTGTGATTAGAAAATTCGCCCATTTGTTATCAACCAGTGATCGTGATTATGAAGAAGAGATGGAATTATCCGAAGCTAAGGATGTGATTATCGAAAAGTCAAAGCGTAATGAAGAATTGGAAAATCAGATTGATCATTTGGATATCAAGTTGAAATTATTGGATAAGAATAAAATCACTATTGAAGAATTTTCCAAGCCTAATAAATTCAAGAAATCGACTAATGTGGTTACAAATGCTGTCAATGTTAAGAATTTGGAAAAGATGAATAAAGCCTCTAGAAAGAGAATTGAATTATACCAAACATTGTTCTACTTTTTGCAAACTAGACCCAATTACATGGTTAGATTGTATAATACGTTATCTTATGAGGAGAAGGATACCAAGTTTGTCAAGGAATTGCAAAATTATATTGTTCAGTTGTTCCCTGTTCACAATGCCTCCAAATCAAGGGAAGAGTTCTTTTTCATGAAATTTATCTTGAGCCTTATGGAAAGTGATATTAACAGAGCTAGGAACATCAGTGATATTACCAAATCCCAGTTGACTTTCTGGATTGATTATTTCTTACAATTTAACAATTCATCAGTACAAAGGCAACATTTGAAATTAATCATGGGTAAATTTGTCGTTAGATTAGTTGAGAATGATGAGATTGATTTTGAATCGGATCCTACCCTTATTTACAATAGCTTAATTGAGCATGAAATCAAGATTCATGGTTCTTCAAGTCGCGAACGCCACATTTCTCCTCAAGCAGCCATTAAACAGGCTGAAGTTTCTTCAAAGTTTGTTGAAAATCTTATGGGATTGCGTGAAACATCGACTACATTGTTAACATTGCTTGAAACCAATATTTCCAGAATTCCAATTCACGTCAAGGTTATATGTAATCAAGCCTACCATTTATCGCAAGCACAGTTCCCTGACAGAACTGACCAACAACATTTGGCCGTTGCTGGAGTTGTATTCTTTAAGCATTACCTTGCATCGATATTGCACATTCCTGAAAATTACGGGATTTCCACTAATGATCCATTTGATCCAAAGATTCAGAATAAACGTGCTCGAGGTAATTTACTCCATTTAAGTCGGGTCATGCTCCAAGTGTTCTCGATGAAGCCATTCTCGGATAATTTCCTTAAACCATTGAATGATTATATTGTATCCTCGACTGAATCGGTGCGTAGTTTAATTCGTCAAGTTATCAATGTGCGAGATATTGACGCGGAGTATGAATTGAATGAGTATGAGGATATTGTTATTAGCGATCGTCCTGAATTGACAATGAAGATAAACACCATGATATCATTGGAGAAGATTGTGTCCCAGAATATCGATTCTATGGTTCCAGGAACTGATGATCAGTTGTTGCGGGTGGTTAATGAGTTGGATAATTTGGTTAATTCGAGTCACGACATGATGTTTTTGACTGATCTTGGTGCATTGACGCTTAATCTTAACCCAGCTACTAATGAGGATTCCGTGGTTGATGCCAAGACAAAGACTTTGTTTACCCAGGTGAAGAGGTGTATTTTGTATATCATTCGGATCCAACCTGGTGATGAATTGTTGGAGTTGTTGATTTCAGGGATCCAGCCTGCTGACGAGCACAAGTTCAAAGAGATTGTGCTTGCAGAGAGAAGAGAAGCTGAGGAGTCGAATTTGAATGAGAAGAAGAGGCCATACTATAAATCATCACTTGGTGATTTGACCAAGATTACCTACCATGACTTGAAGAAGATGGCGTTGGCGCATATCTTGGAACTTGAATCTATGGGAGAACTCAGCAGACGTAACTCATTCCAAGAGATCTTGAACCAGATTGCTGTTGATATCAAGACGAAGGATACACAAAGGGAGAGAAGGCGTCAACAATTACATGTTATCCGTGCCACCGCGGGTAAGTTGGCAGATAAAGAGAGGTTTCTTCGTAAACAATTGGAGGATTACAATAAACATATCGAGAATGTGCTTTTGCAATTACAAACCAAGCCCAAGGATAAGAAGATTTTCAATATCATTCCTGTTTTCAGTAAACAATATTTCTACCATCGTGAATTGAGAAAGCGGAATAGATTGCCTAGGTTTGGTAGTTACAAGTATTCATCCAAACGATTAATGGAACAACGAGTTTTGCTTGATGTTGGTGGGTTGATGACTCGTTATTATTGCAAATCTTCCAAGTTAGACTTCTTGTTTAGTTGTCATGAAGTTGGAAAGTTCACCATTGAAGCTGCTAATGGTTCCGTGGCCATACCGGGCGCATCAGGGACACTCACCTTGGATGAGATCTTAACCCTTCAATATGAGAACATGCCCAAAATTGAAATGTTTGAAGGACTGGCGGTATTTGATAGTTCAAATCTTATTGCATTGTTATTTAAAAAGTTTTACGATATTAGAGAATAATTTGTTTATTTATTTTTGTTATAGCTAAAAATACAATATAGTGTCTTGTTACATTTACTTCTTTAATAATTGCTCAATCTTGGCTTCTAAGCTTGCTAATCTTTCATCTTTTTCTAAACCAGCTTGAGTTAATTTGGTGACTTGGGATTCTAAGCTTACTACTAAGTTGGCCAATTTTTCAATTGTAGAAGCTAAAGTTGGTTTGGTGGATGGAGTGGCTGAAGCTTCTCTGGCTGGAGTAGCTTCCTTCTTTTCGGCCTTTGGTTCTTCCTTGACTTCCTTTGGTTGTTCCTTTGGTGGTTCTTCCTTAACTTGTTCCTTAGCTTCTACCTTTGGCTCTTCCTTCTTTGGTTCTTCCTTCTTTGGCTCTTCCTTCTTTGGCTCTTCCTTGACTTCCTTTGGCTCTTCTCTTGGAATTTCCTTGGCAATTTCTTGTTGCTTTGGAACTTCTTCCCAGCTTTCATCCTTATCTTCGTGATACTCGGCAGCATCTTCGTCATCGGACTGATCAACAACCTTATTAAGTAAACTATTCACTTCACTGGAAGATTTCAATAATTCATCAACATTTTGAGCAGGAGTAGATCTACCGGAATCTTCCTTGACTTGGGGAGTGGCTGGTTTTGGCGATAATTCCTTAGCTTGTTGTTGTTGTTGTTCTTCTTCTTCCTTCTTCTTTTGTTCGGCTTCTTCTTTAGCTTCGTCAACCTTGACACCTGGTTGAGATTCATGGATTTCTGGTTCAGTACCTTCATACAATGCCTCCATGCTCATCAATAAAGGACCATTGACTTCCTTACCACTCAACCATTCTTCAGCAGTTAATGCTGGCTGTTCACTAGGACAATCTGGGTAGATGTCAGCTTGGAACAATTCAGATCTTCTAGGGACGATAAAAGAAACTGGTTCAATAGAGTTATCTAACACGGTCTTGAACACTCTGCCAATTTCATTTTCTTTGACATTGACTGAATGCTTTGGAATCATGGCAAATCCTCTTTGTGGGTCAGTTGAAGCATATTGGGAAAGTTCAAACAAATTGTCATTTTCATATTCATAGTATCTGATATTACCATCACCTTTACCGGCAATATACAAAATTGAAGTGTCGGGGTCGAATGAGGGAATAAGGACCCCAGAACTGGCATCAACATTGAAGAACCCGTCGATTGGTCCCTTGTCGATATTATTAATGTCCCAAATACCAACTTGACGATCGGATAATCTCGAGAAACCAGTGGTTACGATACGATCGGTGTTACCTAACCAGCAAACTCTTGATGGCTTGGCACCGTTATGGCCTGGACCTTCAGAGATGATCTTACCTGATCTGATATCCCAAACCCTAATCTTCTTGTCTCTGGAAGTAGTGGCTAATAAAGAACCGTTATAGTTGAAGGAAAATGATGCGACCAAGTCCTTGTGTTCTAAAGTGATGACATCTTTACCGGTTTCAAGGTTCCAAATCTTGACGGTATAATCCAACGAGGAAGAAGCAAGGATGTTCTTGGCACATGGATGGAATTCAACAAGTCCTACTTTTCTGGTATGTCCAGACAAGACCTTGACTGGTTCAGTGATGTCCTTGATGTTGTCGTCGGCGTCAACATACTTGTGGAAGGAATAATCTTCGGGGATGTTCCATACTAAGATCTTACCATCATCAGAACAACTGACAATTTGTTGCTTGTCAAATGGGTTGAACGCGGTGTCCAAAACTGGGCCCTTGTGTCCTCTGAATAAAGGAACGGTGTCTGGAGCCTTGCCGACCTCGTTCAAGGGGATGATTGCAAAGGCACCACCACCAGAGATATCCCAGTTGACTGAGAGGTACTTACCGTTGGTATGGATGATGTTTGAATCCCAGGCGTTTTTGGTGATTTTCAAGTTTTCGTAACATGCTTCTCTTTTGGCAGCTTGGCCGAAAACATGACGGTATTTGGAAGCTCTAACGAATTTACCACTGGGAGAGTGTTAGTATGAACCACTACCACAAAAAAAAGGAAAGAGTAAACAATCAATTACTTACCTCATTTTCAAATAATACAAAAGTAGATCAAGTCAATTGGATTAATCAAGTCAAAGTACCTTCAATTCAAATAGAATAAGTGTAGCTGTGAGAATTTCCACTTGTTGTAATTTCAAAAGGGGTGGTGGTTTTCATCAACACATTTTTCCAGTGGGGGGATTTTTGCGTTTGGTCGAATCGCGAACACGAAAATCAACACAAACTATAATCAGCTTAAAGTTAATAGTTAATTCGACTGGATTAAGCTAATCAGATAGCATACGATAGCCTAGTCGAAGCGAAGCGAGATACCCCGCTCGCTCAGCTGCTCGCTCTCTTGCTTGCCCACTTGCTTGCCCACCTGCTTGCTTATCTACTGCAGTGGGTGTTCACTGCGGTTGGGGGCGTATGTTTGATTCCTGCACACAACAGATCACTACATAGGGAAATTTGTCCAGTTGGAATTTGCAGCTTAAATCCAAAAGCGAATCAGCAACTTTCGTGAGTTGTCACGAGCAATGAGAGGAATGCTTTGTCTGGATGCTCCCACCGGTCTGCCTGCATCTCCAGCATACGACAAGTGCAGCTTCGCCTCCCCATCTGATCGGTGTGCCTTCACACGCTTGGTGTACCACTTTTGGCTAAAGTACACTACCCTCTAGGTACAATTTTTTCACCTAACCATCAAGATCTGAACCAACTATTACTGTTATCTCGTGTATTACTAAGCAATGTTAAGATCATTCATACCCAAAGCACAGTTGGTTACTCCAAGATTACTGCTTGCTAGCAGATCTTCAGTATTACAAACTATCCGCCATTACTCCACTCCTCCTGATTCTATGGATGAATATGAATCCAAGATTTACGGTATTTTAGAAAAAGAATTCACACCTTCAAACTTGGAAGTCAAGGACGTTTCAGGTGGATGTGGTTCTATGTTTGCTATCTTGATTGAAAGCCAAAAGTTCAAGGGAATCCCCATGATCAAACAACATAGGTTAGTCAATGAAACCTTAAAAGACGAAATCAAGAACTGGCATGGTTTACAATTAAAAACCAAGGCTGCCGCTTAAAACTAGAATTAATGCTTGTACATAGACTATTAATACACAGATAAAACTACTCGACAATTTCTTCCTTTTCTTCAATGATTTCTTCCTTGATTTCTTCGATAATCTCGGCTTGAACTTCATTGGTTTGCACCTTCTTACCCAAATGCTTAGCTCTGTACTTTCTCCATTCTTCCAAGGCTTGTTTACGGGCCAAAATGGCTTCCTTGAGAGCAGCATCGGCCTCCATGGCATCGTCAACTTCGAATTGAGCACTAAGATCCTTCAAGTTGGCTCTGACCTTCTTCTTATCACCAGATGTCAATAAGGATTCTGGTCTTGGTCTCCAGATAAATTCTCTAAACTGATCAATGGTTTGTTCTCTCAATAAACTACCGGTGAATTCATAAAGTCTGTAACCGTTTTCAATAGAATGCAACCATGATGAAGACCAAGCAGCAACAAATCTTCCAGATGGATCCCAACTCAAGTTGGTCATACCCGAGAACTTGGTGGTGTTCAACAATTTAACATTGGCAGGATTCTTCTTGTTTTCATCGTCAAACGAAACATCAAAGAATTCCAATTCACCAGAAGATCTAGAAATGGTAGCAACAACAACATATCTACCCTTTGGAGACCAGTACACACTGTTGGAATGCTTGTTTTCAATCTTCTTGTAGTTCTTGAAAACACGGGCTTTGCCACCTTTGGCTGATTCAACAGCGTAGAAAGAAATGGTATTCTTTGGAATGGCTGGATTTGGATTACCGTCATCCAATCTAGAAATGGTAACAAATCTTTCTGACTTAGGTTCCCAAGAGAAGTTAATAACCACTTCCTTCAATTCAAGCTTCTCAACCGGGATATCACGTTCACTGGTTCTAAAGAATTCCAAGTTGGAGAAAACGGTCTTACCGGATTTAGTATGACGATCAACCTTGACACACAACAACTTACCTTCATTTTGCCAGTGCATTTTACATCCACTGACTTGGAACAAGTTGATGGTTCTCAACACTTCCTTGGAAGGAACTTGCATCAAGGAAACTCTGGCGGTTTGATTGGTGCTTTCTGGTGTCCAGTAACTCAACACGTATTCACCACCGGGAGTCTTGCTGTTGTGCAATGGAACACCGGCTGGAGCCCATTCGAAATCTTGGATACCTTCAATCTTGACCAACTTCTTGTCCAATAATTGGAAACTTGGGGTTTCGTAAATAGCCAAGGCATCTGGCCCTTGACGAGCACAGTACTTGTCGTCGTGGGACCATTTGACTAAAGGCCATGGCATTTCCTTTTGGCCTTCCAAATGAGGTGGCAAGGCAAAAGTCTTGGCTGGTTCACCAGTGGCCAAGTTCCAGATAACCAACTTGTGGCCCTGAGATTCAGGACCAAATGGGAATGAAGCCCTGTCGGAAATACGGTCAGGTAAAGTGATTGGAACTGGGGATAAAGTAACCATATACTTTTCGTTAGGGGAGAAATCAATTAATCTGACTTGGTTGTGGATATATCTATGAATGCTCTTGAAATCTTCACCACCCCATGATTGAATACCTTGAGGGTGAATGGAGAATAAGTAAGTACCTTTTGGTGAGAACTTGGCATACTTGGAAGTGAATGCTCTTCTTGGTTCAATGACTGGTTCTGGGTCTTGCTTCTTCTTGTTCCAGTAGACACCAACACTGTCGGAAAAGTGCAACACCATTTGGTCTCTACCTTGCTTGTCTTGCAACCAAGACTTCAAGTATCCGTGACTGTGGAATGGGGCAACTTCTGGTTCCTTGAATTCGGATGGGACAGCACCTTCGGCACCAAACTTTTCAATATCGCTCAACTTGTTAACTAAAAGTCTGTGTTTTTGATCCAATTTCTTGCCATGCAATTGACGGATAGCAGCATCGGCCATTTCACTGGTCTTGAATTGAACAAACAAGTAACCCTTGGACTTACCGCCTTCTAAAGGCATGTAGATCCCGTCGTCGCCTTCAACGACTTCGCCAACAGTGCTGAACAACTTTTTCAACACCTTGATCAAAACTGGGACCTTGGCTTCTGGTGCGATTGGGGCACCGTCAACAACAACATAGTTGTCTAACCCGGTGTCGACTTCGTATTTCTCTTCTAAATCGGAGAAATCAATATCGTCCAAATTGATCTCCTTTTCAAGCTGAAGATATTCTTCTTCGGTAAGTGACATCTTTATCTTGGTTCTTTAAAAGTGTAGCGTCTTCTAGAGTGTGAAAATTTTTCTCTGTATATTTTTTTGTGTGTGAACGTATTTCGTGTACTGCATGTAAGAGACTTCAGTGGGTTACATACAGGAAACATGTTTTACTGTCTAATTACCTTTACTGGCCGCAAGTAATTCAGTCAATCGATTGATCTCCATTTCTTGTTCTTTGAATCGTTTTTGAGCTTCCTTATTCTCGAGAACTCGTCTCTCCCTTTCTGCTTTCCACTTGTTACCCAAATCATCCATCCTCAATTTCGATATCGGAGAATATGCCAGCGCTTCAGCCAATTCTTCAATCTGTTGCGTAAGAGCCTTATTCTCTTTCTTTAGTTGTAAAATCTGCTCTCGCTGCATTGAAGAACTATCTGATTGCGCTTTCTTTCCGTTTTCCTTGAGCAACATTCGAATATGGTCATTAACAAGAATGTCAACCGCTCTGGCAAAATACTCAAATATCGACTTGTGCTTATCCCTGAGCTCACCTACATTATCAAAACTCTCCAACTCCGAGATCATATCGTGCAATTTCTCATATTTCAATTTCGGATCCTTCAAAGACGCATCATCGGCAATTTTATTAAACGAATTGATAAACTTGTTAAATTCGGCAAGATCGAATTGAAGCAAGTCCTTATACTGCATTTCCAACAAGGTCAACTTCTTCTGAATGCCCGATTTATCACCGGAATCTTCCACCGTCAACGATATGATATCCGTGAGTTTCTGAACTTTCAGCTGAAGCACAGCATTATCTTTCCTTAGCAGATCAGCAGAATGAGATACTTGGATCCGCTCAGTGTTGAACTTGCGCTGCTTCTCAAGCGACATATCTAATTCGCGCTGCAATTTATCCACGGTCCCTTTCAACGTCCTTGATTCAATGGTTTTCTCATTGAGTCGACTGGTTAATGAGTTGACTTTATTGGCTAACGAATCTTGTAATTTGGCATACTCTTGCTGTAATTTGGTATATTCGTCAACCATGGATGAATATACATTCTGTAAATCTAGATATTTCGTGACTATATTCTCAGGTACAAGACTTGATCGACTGGAAACCCGTGAACTGTCGGTGTCGTGACTAGCTTCTGGCTGGTGTAAATGTTGGTTAACTTCTTCTTGAAGGAGTTTGACTGTATTTTCATATTGTTTCATCTGAGATTTAAACTGTTCATTCTCAAGTTCTAAATACTTGACTTTTTCGGAACCATTGTCTTGGATACTGTTCTTCAATTGTATGAATTTTTCATGCATCAACCCAAAATTACCTTTAATCTTCTTAGACTCGTTGATTTCATTATATAAATCGCTTTCCAATCTTTGAGTTTCAAGTTGGTGTGATTTCACCTTGTCTTCTAAGGACTCCACTGCTTTCAAAAGTCCATCGATAGTGGCGACATATCCATCTATTTCGTCTTGTTTTGATTCCTGTGGTGTGCAAAATAACAACGCAGTAGATTGTTCTAATCGGTTCATCATTTCCAACTTGATCGCATTCAATTTTGTTTCTATGTTAGCAGAGTCCAAGCTCTCGAGCACAGTTCTCAGTGATTCACTAGTTCCATTATCATCGATCATCATATTTATCATGTCATCAACTAACATAAGCCATGTGTCATGATCATTATTTAAATTCCGAAGCTGTTGATCTTTCTCATTGATCATCCTCTCGAATTTTTCCAAGTTGGTATACAAATCTTGGTTCAATTTATACATTTCGTCATAGTCGGCGTTAACTTCTCGCACGGTACGTATACTTGACGGGCTAGTTAAATTATCTTGAAACTTGGTAATTTCATGATTAATATCATATTCGAATTCTCCGCCGTATTTATCGAGTAGCTGTTGAAGAAACTCTTTGTAAAGCTTTATCTGAATCTTGTATCGAAGGATTTCCTTATTCTTTTCGTCAATCACTGATGAAGTAGTGGTATGTTGCGCTGATCTTCCAAATATGTTACTGTCACGGTATACCGGTGGTGTAAACAGACGCGGTGGGTTAGACCGGAATTTACGCCAAGGTGTAGTCATATCCGATCCGTTACGTTTAGGACTAATATCAAACTTTTGTGAGTCAAGAAAGATACCAAATGGTTGAATTCCGGTGTCATCAAATATGGTTGAATTGTGTAAGGTATTCCTAAACGGAGAGTGTTCTTCCTTGGTTATTTTTAATGATTGCATTGATTCCTGAAGGTTTGCTATACTCTCATCAAGATCGGAAGTTGGGGAAAGTGGATGGGTGCCATTAGTGGTGTTGAGTTGGGGTGATCCTTGAAAGTCAACATGGACTTTCCCATCCTCGTGTGGTTTACCGCTAAACTGCAGAGCCATTACTTGGCTCGGCACTTCCTGTTCTTCTTCAATTTCGCGTTCCTGTTCCTCTTGTATATCGCTTATCTGCTCCTGTGATAGCAATTCTGGATGCGATATAAACGGACTTGAATAATCAACTGTATTATAAGTGTTATTTGTATTTATCGGAGAATGCGGGGAAGGTTCCGGCCGAGGTGATATTTCTTGTTGCGATGGTTGCAGAAGTTCTGATTCGTGTTGTGGTTGTGAGGGCGTTTCTTGCGAGGGTGATTCGATGTGCTGTTCACTATTTTCCTCATTCAGATCAGAATCAACCATATCTTCCGCCATGGTGTTTTGTAATTCTACCGGCAGTTTGAAAATGATGTTGGAATGGTTCTGTAACAGATCTACGTCGGAATCCCCGCCAATTGTTCTAGATTCGTGAGAAGAACTACCGTCTGCTGACATATTCAGATGTGGTTTGGTAACAATAGTTGGTAACCAAGTACAAACTTCTGGTTTAATGCCAGGCAGCCAAATTTTTTGTTTTACATTTGTTTACGTTTTGAGGGTGGACACGTACTTTTTTTTGTCTAGTATATATATAAAAAAAAAAGTTGGCAGCATTTATTTCTAAACTTACACCTACACAGTTTACTCTTGCATTTCATCCCCTTCCTCTTCTTCCTCTTCTTCTTCATCGTCGTCTTCTTCAGCAAACTTTTTGGCTTCTTCTAATAAGTCATCAGGAACGAATTCGTGTCTACCCTTGGTAAACTCCTTGGAAACCCAACTGATTTCTAATTCGTAATCTTTATCCTTGTTATCTTCATGAGCCAAATGAATAATCTTAGCAGCTAACTTGACCGCCTCTTTGATTTCCAATTCTTCATAATTCAACTTTTCCAATTCAGATTTGGCCAATTGTCGACCTTTACCAGTGGCAGCTCCACTGTAACCCCAACAACTTCCACTTGGTTCAATCATATATAAATGAGGACCATTGTCATCAATCCCACCTACAATAGAAACTATTCCAAATGGTCTGACAGAGTTGTAACAAGTATAATTCTGGACATAGATCCCTAATCTGTCCATAAGGTGAGGCACACTAATAGAGTTCTTGTAAATAGACTTGAACGATTGTGCTTCGTCACGGGCTCTATTGACAAAGTGACGTCCATCAGGTAACAATCCAGAGTATACTACCCCAATGTGTCTATCAACAGTTTGAATTCGTTTGTTTTTGCCTGGCACTAACAATTTGGAATTTATAATTTTTTCTACAGCCAACACAACCCCGTCTTTACATTTGATTCCAATAGAAGTTCCTCCATTTTCAACTGCCTTCATGGCGTATTCAACTTGGAAGTTTCTTCCATCTGTGCTAAGTTAGTAATTGTTGTGCGTGTAACGTGGTCACAGTGTAAAGTACATACCTGGTGAAAAAACACTATTTGATAAATCGTAACCGGTACCAATGGAAGTCTAGTCAATTGTTAGTATTTGCCCGTGTATGTGATGAATTGATGTGCTTTGACATACCATGCTTGTTTGTTATAATGCTTAAAGTATAGTCTTCTATAAGATTGCAATGAATTAAATGAATGTTGAAAATTGCCACTGGCTTTTTTTTCTGGTTTGTCAAAGCACATCTTTTTTTTTAATAGGGTGCAATTTTATATGGTGGATCAAAGAGTTAAGTAGTCAGTAACAACAATATGATTCAACTCAAGTGGCCAATACTTGGTGTTATAGTAAGTATTCAGCAGACTCGTTCGTTCGTTTGTAATCTTGAGTGCTAGCACTAACATCAGATAGATTCCCTCCATAATCATTGCAGTATTGGGATATGGATCGCATTACTTTGTCTTACAACACCACCTATCCTTCCGAGAGCAAATGTGGTTCGAGTTCTACGTGACCATGGTATGGATATCATATCTTCTTGCCATAATCACCAGTCCTGGAACACCGCCTTCCAATTATAAACCACCTAAAGGTGAATGGAAACGATATTGCAAGAAATGTAACAATTTCAAACCTCCACGAACCCATCATTGCAAAGTATGCAACGCTTGTGTATTACAAATGGACCACCATTGTCCTTGGACTTATAATTGTGTTGGATATGGCAACTTGCCTCATTTCCTTAGATTTCTCGGTTGGACATTTTGGACAACTAGTTATTTATTCGTATTGTTGTGCCAGAGGATCTATCTGTATTATGAACAGGCAGATTTACCTATATATTTAATCAGCAAGACAGAGATGGCAGCTGTGATATTCTTGACACCCATTGACTTCTTTATATGTTTCCTGCAATTGGTGTTGTTGATTAGAGTGTTTGGTCACATATTCAAAGGGATGACCCAAATTGAAACATGGGAATGGGAAAGAATTGATTCTCAGTTTTATTCAGAACATTTATGGGAAACGATCCGATCAAACTATTCACAGTTGCATGGCAAAGAAATGCCTAAACTTGTGTCCTGGAGTGGATCGAGCGCGACTATTGCTCGCCAATTAGCAGAACAAGAAATAGAAGCTAACGAAGAACAAGAGCAAGAGTTTGAAATAATTAGCAAGGAACCATCGGATGAATCACTTATTCCCAAGGAATTCACTATGGACGATATGGTCTTCCCTTATGACCTCGGATTCTTTAAAAACTTGACAAATGCCCTTGGATACCCTTGGATGTGGCTCTTGCCGTTTGCCGGACCAAACTCCGATGGAGTAGTACCCGAAAAGTCTGAAGAATATCAAGAAGAAGATCAATTAAATTTGCCGTGGCCTCCAGATGGTGGGAGTCGAGAACATGTGGTTAAAAACACCCAGTATGATTACGATAAATTGAAACAAATTCGCAATTATCAAGAATTAAGGAAAAGACTTGATCCAAGACTCAATATGCAACGTAATGAATGGATGGATCATGCTGGGTCTACGTTGGATGATTTTGGGGTAGATATAGAAGTTGAGCAGGAAGAGTCGCTTGAGAAGTGATTTGCCAACTGTATAGATGTGAATAGATTAGTTGTAAAAATGACAGATACTTTGTTTGTTTTTTGATGTTATAGTCCCGATGAAAGTCCGTTTTTGTGACATTTCTCTTGACTGTGTGGACAATTGTTGACTATGGTTATACTGTAGCCACATCTGTGAATGTTAGGCGAAAAGCATAGACTAATTCAATCATTTCAAGGTGCTACCGGATAATGTGGGGGGAGGGGGGGTTGCGCGCGATATATAAGTCAATTTACATCCAATTCTGTAGATATACTCAATGCAACGTTGACAGGTTCCCCCGATGCAGACGATGTTACATCCACTGCGCGTCTACAAAAATCACCTCATAAGCCAGCAAGTGTCACCATTATCGAACTAATCAACGAATCCTACAAACAATGTCTAAATTGAATCGGCGAAAGTCACGTGCGTTTATTGTTTCGTAAAAATATCCATCCACCATATCACGTGCTGTTTGGTGATTTTTGGATGAAATTTTTCAGTTTTGGTTATTAATTACGAAGTCACAAAGGTTAGGAATTGGAGCCATAGCATTTTTAAATGCCGCCCCTCAAAGTCCGACATGTAACCCTTGTTGATTATAAATTTTAATCAATTGCCACTTTTTTTTTTGCTCAAACCCAAATTTCTTTCCTTTTCTTCAAGTAACAATTTCTATTTACAATGTCCTCCGGTACTTTAAGATTAGGTTCTACTGCCCCAGATTTCCAAGCTGAAACCTCCAACGGTCCAATTTCTTTCCATGAATTCATTGGTGATTCATGGGTTGTTTTGTTCTCCCATCCAGATGATTTCACCCCAGTGTGTACCACTGAATTGGGTGCTTTCGCCAAGTTGGAACCAGAATTCGCCAAGCGTGGTGTTAAGTTGATTGGTCTTTCTGCCAACAATGCTGACTCCCACAAGGCCTGGATCAAGGATATTGATGAAGTCACTGGTTCTCAGTTGTCCTTCCCAATCATTGCTGACCCAGAAAGAAAGGTTGCTCACTTATACGACATGATTGATTACCAAGATGCCACCAACGTCGATGACAAGGGTGTCCAATTCACCATTAGATCCGTCTTTGTCATTGACCCAGCTAAGAAGATTAGATTGATTTTGGCTTACCCTGCTTCTACTGGTAGAAACACTGCTGAAGTTTTAAGAGTTGTTGATTCTTTACAAACTGGTGACAAGTATAGAGTTACTACCCCAATTAACTGGGTTCCAGGAGATGATGTTATTGTCCACCCATCTGTTTCTAACGAAGAAGCTAAGACTTTGTTCCCTAAGTTCAGAATCATCAAGCCATACTTGAGGTTGACCCCATTGGATGTTAAGGAACAACAATAAGTGTATTTAGACTGAATATATATATATATAAGTAATAACTTTTTTTTATTATTTATTTATTTTTGATTAAAATTAATATGGTTTTAGCGTTCATGCTGGGACATATAAATATGTGGCGCGCAGTCAAAGCAAATACGATAAAGAAAATTGCCAATTGAGACGATTGTTGATAGGTATTGTTAACAGTTGTGGATCTTCTGTCCGATCTTTTAGTGGGGTTACCTGTGGCTTAGATAGTCAGTTAAACATAAATAGAATATTCTTTCAACTGCAAATTTGCCCTAAAGTATAGAGTTGCCTTATACGAGTACGTCAAATTAGACCACCTTAAATTCTTTTAATAGAGAATGTTACTATTTATAGAATATCATAACTTATAGATTATAAATAAGCTCGTATGCATTATCCGGATGAGGTTGGTTCACGTTACGTCCTAAATCATCGTATAGTATAAGGAGAATAGTGGTTACCAGGGGGGGATGTATGAGCAACCAGAGACCATTTTAAAAAGAAAATAAAAAAAAAAGAATCGGCTGATGCCTCACCCATCGGCATAATGATAGCCTACGGGTATTTAAAGCGGAGGGAATCCGGGGTTTGGAGGAATGTGGTTTATTTGCTCTTGGCGTACCTCTCGTTTAGCTCGTAGTAGATGTCGCCAGAAAAAGCAACACGGTCGCGGTTGAATTCCTTGACACGCGCAAGAAAAGCAGGTCGCTATTTATAGCATAATCAAGAACTATAGTACATTCAACTCTAGTATACAATAAATGACAAATACATAATGTGTACAAATACTACATCTACTCTTTCGTCTCCTCTAATAGTACAATCGGCTAGTCGGCTTCCTTTGTTCCACATTAATTCATTTCATCGTCTTCGATGGAATAGTTAATTTCACTACAATCAAACTCTTCTTGTTGGTCGTGCATTCCAAAGTAGTTTTCGTGCTCTTGTTCAAACTGTTGTTGTGCCTGTTGCTGTCTTTGGAATTGTGGAGTAGGGGTTTGTTGTGCAGAAGTTTGAGGGGCGCTGACTCCACGATATCCATCGCGCAAGTATCCCTCGGCCTCGCACTCGGGACTTAATCTGAGCGGAGAATTACCTCCTGGCATGTTATGACTAGCGAAACGCGTGTTTGGTTGGTATGAATGGGTTTGGTATAATGACTGAGGCGTGGATGGCATGCTAGGTGGTTCCTGGTGCTTTACAGTGTATATATCCTCGACATTCAGGGCTTTAAATGTATAGTCTTCAAAACTCATGTCTTCGAATTTAGTAATGGATTCACCGGAGATTGGGTCGACAAATTGTCGCAACGACCCCCAGGGCGTAATTTTAACTATTCCTCCCTCGGGGTGGGCAAATTGGGGCCATTCATTTGACTCAGTGATTTCTTGATGTGATTGTTGGTTAATGTAGTTTTTTATCTTTTTGGTGTCGGGCTCAAAGTCCTCTCTTCCTCTTTTGGTAGTATAGCTCATCTGAATAATTTATGCTAGTTATGTACGTAATTAATGCAAAATGGTAATATGAAATGAATGCTAATAGTATTTATATCTCAATAGATATTTTTCAAACAAAAAACTTAAGCGATATTAAAAATACCTGTAGTGTAATCAAAAGCCAAAAAGAAATATAGTGAATTTTGGGTTTCTTTTATATCACAAAGGAAATTGAAAAATCTACATTTACCAGCAGCAGCCAAAATCGATTGCAGCGGCGGCCCGGAATGAGTAAGAGCCAAAATTTTTAAAAAAAAAAATTAAAAAGAAAAAAAAAAATTTTTTGCTCCCCACTAAAAAAAAAAAAAAAAAAAAAACTCAGATTACAAAAGCAGAATAATTTTTTCAGAATTTGGATGGCGCCTTGACTACCATAATGTAAACTTAATTGGAAAAAGAAACAGTTTAGTCCTTACATTGTCTTGATTGGTACATTAGTCACGCTCTCAAGTCTGTCACAGCGTAATTCGGCTGGACTCGGTAAATGTTTCCCTGTAGATGTAGATATAGTAACTAATTCAATCCAGGGATACTTTATCCCCAATGAGCTGGGAACATGCGCACCAGCCCATATATAATATAATTGGTGCGGATTTTGGCTTTGTCTTGGTACTGCATGTACGTGCACAAATGGAACCAGCTTGACAACTCAATTTTGGAATTTGACGAGCGTGACATCTGTCCACGTGATTGGGTTTCCTAAATAAGGCAAGGGGGGGTATGGATGGATGACATGGGGAGGTAAAATCCAGTAGTATAGTATAGAGTCGTAGCTTGTTTCTTGGCTTAGCCACTAGTTTGAAGTGTAGTAATGAAGATTGTATTAATCTTAAGATATAATCCTTGTCGTGCTGGTGATAGGGTAACTTGATGCTAGAGATTTGTTAACTTTTTGTCAAAAATTTTACCGATTTTGTCAGAAACTAGAGAATACCACAGCTTCACAGAAAATCAACTTGAGCTACCTTAAACTTCTCCTGGATATTTAGACAGTTATTGGGTATGACTAGATACCTCAAATCTTACCTAAACTAGGACTCTTTAGTGAAGTATCTGATAGCTCAGGGTACATTCCTGCACACAAACACCTCAAAAATTCTCACCAATAGAAGATTTTCATTTAATAATTTTCCAGTGCGAAGGTACTAACAAAATTTTCGAGTTATAAACCCATCAATACAGGACATTAGCAATCAATCACCAATTATCCCTGTTTATAGCTGTGTTTGGGGTTCTGTACAATTATATATAAAAAAACAATTCAATAACCTTATAACAGGATAACATACCATGTTGAGAGCATCAAAGAGAATTGTCACTGGTGTGCCATCATTAACCAGAAGGTTTGGAGTATCTGCCTTAAGATGTGCCGCTGCTCCTGAACCAAAGGAACAAATACCTTCATTCAAGAGTGCTATGGGTACCGTATACCCAGAATATTCCCCACCAGTAGTTAAAGACAAAAGAATCCCAGATACTGTATTCAGTCACATTTTCGATGAAGTTGACATGACCAGATCCAAGGCCGATTCCCCAACCAATGTCGCCAAGCAAAACACCAAGATTCGTCATTTCACCATCAACTTCGGTCCTCAACATCCAGCTGCCCACGGGGTGTTGCGTTTAATTTTGGAATTGCGTGGGGAAGAAATTGTCCGTGGTGATCCTCACGTCGGGTTATTACATAGAGGTACTGAAAAATTAATCGAATCCAAAACTTATATGCAAGCATTACCATATTTCGACAGATTGGATTATGTCAGTATGATGACTAACGAACAAGTATTCGCCTTGGCTGTGGAAAAATTGTTGAATGTTGAAGTTCCAATCAGAGCCAAGTATATCCGTACCTTATTTGGAGAAATCACCAGAGTGTTGAACCATTTGATGTCTATCTTGACCCATATTATGGATGTCGGTGGGTTGACTCCTTTCCTTTGGGGGTTCGAAGAACGTGAAAAGTTGATGGAATTCTACGAACGTGTCAGTGGTGCTAGATTACACGCTGCCTATGTCAGACCAGGGGGTGTTTCCCAAGATTTACCTGCCGGTTTATTAGACGATATTTATATGTGGGCTACCCAATTTGGGGATAGAATTGATGAAGTTGAAGAATTGTGTACTGACAACCGTATCTGGAAAGACAGAACTGTTGACATTGGTACTCTTTCTGCTGAAGATGCCTTGAACTACTCCTGTTCCGGGGTCATGTTGAGAGCTTCTGGTATTCCATTCGATATCCGTAAATCCCAACCTTACGATGCATACGATCTCGTTGACTTCGATATTGCCGTCGGTCTTAATGGTGATTGTTATGATCGTTATTTAATCCGTATGGCCGAATTCAGACAATCATTGAGAATTATCTTCCAATGTATTAATGACATTCCAGAAGGACCAGTTAAAGTCGAAGACTACAAGATCAGTCCACCAGCCAGATCAGCCATGAAGGAAGATATGGAAGCATTGATTCATCACTTTTTAGTATTCACGAAGGGGTTCGCCGTTCCTCAAGGGGAAACTTATACTGCCATTGAAGCACCAAAGGGGGAAATGGCCGTGTATGTTGTTTCCGATGGTACTGAACGTCCATACAGATGTAAAATTAGAGCTCCAGGTTTCGCCCATTTGGGTGCATTTGATCACATGGCTAGAGGACACTTGTTGGCTGATGCCGTTGCTATTATTGGTACTATGGATTTAGTGTTTGGTGAAGTTGATCGTTAAGAATATTTATATATTTGCATATACTTGTTTAATTGAAATACATTTTCTAAGGGATACGTGTAGTGGTAGATATGCTATTGTAGATCTATATGCAGAGGTAAACTGCGCTATGCAATTAGTTTATATAATAAATACAAGGAGAATCCTCCCCCACTCATAAACACAAATGTTCGTATTGAAGGTCCTTCGTTAGGAGGAGGTGCTCGTGACTGGTAAAAATTCTGGCTTGAAGGAGGGGTATAATACATATACTCCCTATGCTGGTTACACGAAGACCGAACTTGTGCTTGTCGTAACAAATGCTTGGTTTTCACTTCTTCCGTCATGGGTAGGCCCGATTTGGCCAACTGGGCAAGGATCTTCTCTTTTGTCACCGAATCAAGACGTTTATCAATCAACCGTTGTTCGAATTTTAAGTTACGATTGAGGTGTTCATCGTAGTCGAAATGGGGCACGTCGTAACGATCACCATAGTTCCTATGTTTGCCATGGAACCCAGTGTTGTTGTCTTCCGGCACCTGGCCATGATCGTACCGCACACGATGGCGTCGCGTGTTATACCCCGATGCGGTAGTATAGCTGTTCCCACTTCTTGAGTAATATTTCGCCTCACCATAATACTTGCTATGCCAGTCCAGTTGCTTATATCGGGCCGTTGTTGTGGCATCACCGCCAGAGTAACTCCCCTGTGATTTCAAACTTAGATCATATTCTCTTCGCTTTCGTACGTCCTTGAGCACGGTATATGCATCGACCATTTTGACATATGTGGCCAGGTTTGACTCTCGTTCTTCTGCCGATAAATGCTGGTTGAGATCAGGATGGTATTGCTTAGTAAGTTTCTTGAATTGGAGTTTGATCTCCTTGAGAGTAGCGTTTCTGGGGATATCGAGAAGTTGATAGTGCGTTAGGTTGGCTGTTGCTGCAGCTGATGCTGCGGCTGCGGCTGAGTAATGTCGTATTGAATGTAGCATGGCTTCTGTACGAGTAGGAATGTCTAAACGATGATGTTTGCTATGTTAAGCGTTGTCGCGGGGACACAGTTAAGAGAGAGAGAGAGAGAGAGAAAAAAAACATCGTTTCATTGCCGATATCTCGGGAATTGGTCAGAAGATCATTACGTTTGACATGCGTTAAAGTGCAGATCACCAATGTCAGTTTTTCATATCATATGATAAACGTGATTAATTTTCTTGCCGTCATCATTCCAAACTTTAGTGTTTGCATAAGGTTACACGAAGAACAAATAAACAAAGAGATTACAGTAGATCGTTTATTTTCTGAACATGATTTAGACGGGATGGAACTGACGAAGAGTAAACTCCATTATAAAACCACCTTGTAGTTATATAGTCACTACAATTCAAGCACTGCTTGCAAAGTTTAAACCTAGAAGACTAATCTCGCGAGTGGTAGCGCTATGGCGCCATAGTGTGTGTGTGTTTGTGTGTGGCATATTTCCTGTAACGGGCAAGCAATATTTGTTAGTTATGGGCGAAGTCGCAAATTTTGATTACACGGAAATGACTGGGTTCAGCCAAAAAAGAAATTTTATTTTGTCGGAGTACGCCAGGGTAGAAATTTCTTTTGTGGGCAAGCCAGACAAAAAAAAAAAGAAAACCGAAATTACAAAGTGAGAAATGCATTTTCAAAATTTGGGTTGGATGTCTGAAGGAGGTTAAGAAAAAAAAAAAGTGTAGATTTGTAAGTGACACACAAGTTCTTCATTCTAACAACAACGAAAACAATACCGCTCTAGTGTAACCACCACAACAACTGCATCCCCCCACTTTCTCATCCACTACATATACACTAACTGTCATTACCCACAGTTTTCCCTCCACAAACAAAAAGAACGACATTTTTCTAAAGGTTTTATAGAGAAAAAAAAGCAAACACAAACGCAAACCGAAAGCAAAACTTGTCGACTACTTCATTTCTGTTTGTCATATTCGTATATAATCCTAAGCATATACACCTAAACATACTAGCACATAGTCATAGTTTGTACTACACCGTTCCACTAACACACAAACAACAACAACAACAACAAATAACATCCTCCCCACTTTTTTTACAGCACGCATTTGTCATATAATACGCCCCCATCTCCCTCCATGAGTTCCAAATCCGCAGCTGCCATTTTACAACGACAATTCAAAGACTTGACTGACCCTAGAAAGGGTATCCCATCGTTCCACATTGAACTTGATGACGACAACATCTTTCTCTGGAACATCGGCATTATGGTCCTCAACAAGGAATCCATCTACCACGGAGGTTACTTCAAGGGTCAAATGAGATTCCCTCTGGATTTCCCCTTCTCCCCACCAACTTTTAGATTCACTCCTGCCATCTACCACCCTAATGTTTACCGTGATGGAAGATTATGTATTTCTATTCTTCACCAAGGTGGGGACCCCACCAGTGACGAGCCAGACAGCGAAACTTGGACTCCCGCTCAAACCGTGGAATCGGTTTTAATTTCCATTATTTCCCTTTTGGAAGACCCAAATGTCTCATCGCCAGCCAACATCGACGCTAGTGTTGAATTTAGAAAGAATAAAGAAGAGTATAAAAAGAGAGTCAAGAAGGAAGTGGAACGTTCCAAACAGGACATCCCTGCTGATTTCGTCATGCCTGATTCGGAGCATTCGGCCTACGCCAATGCCCATAATAAGAACAAAGACATTATTGAAGAGCCGGTTGACGAAGATTTCTGGTACGAAAGTGACGAAGAAGAAGAAAGCTTTGATGAAGAAAGCTTAATGGATGACATGGAAGACTACGAAGAAGAAGACGAAGAAGAGGAAGATGAAGATGTTGACATGGGAGCAAAGTGATACTTCATTAATCTATCCCTCCCCCCACCGCCCGTCATATCTTTTCTCCCACGCAAGGCTCACGCAGTGAATGTTTTATGATTATTTTTTTAATGGTATACCCACTTTAAGCTGTGCTCTGTTGCCTTTTCGTCCAGGTGGAGGAGAAAAGTTTATCCATCACCAAATTGCATATCATTTTTTATATTGTCTTATTTTCTTCGATTATTTGTTTATTTTGATTATGTCTTTTATTTTATACAAATTTTGTTTCATGAATAGTTTTATTACTGCTAATAAAGTATTATTTATAAACTGGTCTATGTAGCTTTCAACTCCGCAAATATCCCTTCAACCCGTCGTTGAGTGCTCCCACCAAGGAATCAATCTTGACCTTGGCCACAGCATCAGTTACGGTACTATCGTAAAACAATACCACAAACAAGACATCGTCTCGCTTATCCTCGTCATGTTCTATATCGTCTGTAATCGAACCAGGAATGATTTCGATATGCGCATCACTAGCACCTGTATCGACCCGACCACAATCTATCGTGGATACAATCCCCTTGATTCCGTCTTCAAATTGAACAATTGTCCATCCGGAAACAAGCGAATGACGGGCAATAAGACTGTATATTTTGATGGTGTCGTTGGTGAGGATCGATGGTGTGTTTGTGCTTGTCACGAGTGGTATTCCCTCTGGCGAGAGGAGGGAAACTGCAAGCGGTTGTGCTAGTGATTCATTCTGTTGTGGTATTGGTTTAAGCGATTGTTTGAGGAGTTTTGTTATTGTTTTCAGTTGAAGCATGACTTTGCTGTTGTGGTTGTGAGACGGTGCAATTTTCTGTGTGGTTTTCAAATTTTATTTTTTTTTAACTATGGGAACATAAAAAGCTGCAAATAGAAACTACACAACTATTTCATATTAATCTATAAATATTCTTACAAACTAAACAATCCAGTACGTCTCTTTCCCAAGGGGTAAACCACTAATGCAGCAGCAAACAACCCCACACTGATCCCAATACTGACTTCCACCATGGTAGCCCCAAAACTCAAACTACTTGCACTCAGCACATCCGTTACGGTTCCGTTGTGCTTGGTGATTTGATCAGCATTGATGATACCAGTGATAAGTGAACTCTTACTAGCGATACCCAGGGGCACTTGCACGAAAATTGCCGGCAACATGGCACTCACAGCCATCCCTCTTCCTAGCCGCGAATACAAGTTTCCGAGAATCCCAATGATGAATGCCCCAATACAGGATGTGAATTCCGTCACTTGTGAGAAATGCTTCCCGGCAAAATATGTACCAATATACCCAACACCGGCAATCACAACCATGGCGGGGAGTTGCTTCCAATGGCTCTGGTTGATCAAGCCAAGACAAAGGGCAAACATGGGTACAAACAAAATCCGGAACTTGTCATCCATGGCATGCCCTGCCCGACACGAGTTATCAGAAACTGCCGTCTTATCGACCCATCCGTAAAGAGCAGCCCCTAGCGTGATTCCAAACCCAAGTAAAAGTGAGTATATTATGGCGTAAAACATCCGCACCGACCCAGCAACCAAGTTTCGTGATTGGAGTTCTAAGGACCCACAGAGAATAATGTATCCCGGTAAAATCAATGCTAGTGATCCTTGACAAATGGCAGAAAAGCAAAACGTACTTCCATTATTAATTGATCCAATACCACGAGATATGAATGCAACGACAATCGACGCAGATACTTCAAACACCGACGAATACAAGTGAGAAATTGACGACACGTAAAATTGTAAAAACCCAACACATAACCCCACACCAAACGAAATCGGTAAATCAATCCATCCTCCTTCGAAAGCGAATGGTGTGACTGCAACTGATCCTAATCCATAAAACAAAACACAAAGCCAAGGTGGGTAAAGATTACGGGACAGTACCAACTCATCCAACTTCGCCCCAGCATCTTCCACTCCAATCAAATCGTGAATCACCGCTTTGTAAATCCGATGAGTCTGGGCCAACTTAGAAAGATTAAGTCCCTGGGCACATCTGACTAAATGAACTTCACTGGTTCTTGTAGCAGCATCACCAAACGAAACCAACATACACCCAGGAAAATAAATAAACTGACCGTCAATTTCAAGCACACGACTAGTCATAATCATATACTCTTCTAACCGATGCGTGGGTGCTCCAAACAACATAAGTGCACGACACATCTTCATAATGAACCGCTGGCGTTGTAAAATGTCAGCAATGTGCACGGTGATACGAATCCGATCTTCACGACGCTTGTTATGTTTAAGTTGTCGTTTCAATTTGCTCACTGGCTCAGTAACCTTTTTCGGGGCTCGAGGACGAGCATTTTGAAAACTGGGCATCTGGGAATTCCTATCTTTGTCATCGTTCTCTTCGTCGGAGGATGTGCCTAGTGGACTTTCATTGGTGTAAGGCTTGAATTTGGAAAAGTCAATGTTCAGGGATGATGGTTCAAGATTTTCACTCGTGGTAGCACTGCTCTCTCCAAATGTAGAAAATGACGATTGTGACTTCAGTGCTTCCTCTTGATTCTGGTAAAGTTGTAATAACGAAGACAAAACACCGGCATGTACTCGTTTAGGTGGTTCAAAGTGTTCACCATCATAATCTTGCAAGAAATCATCAGGAGGATCAAACGCCTGAGTTCCTTCTCGGCGAAGGAATAAGTCGGGATTGGGAGCTAAGAACCGTTCGTCGGTTTTACTGTTGTGAATTGACTTCTTTCTTTGGAGGTTATTTCCTTCTTCTTCGGCTGTTTCTTCACTCTCGCGTTCATCCTCTTCGTCTTCTTCTTTGATATCATCAATGTGGGGATGAGCCACTGATTTGCGCGATTGCGCTTTAGCATCAGGAATATGCTGGTCAATCAATTCTCTGGCTTCTAAACTCAAATGGTCATATTTCATGGGTTGCATTTCAATCGCATCAGGTGCAAAACCTACCCTTCTTTCTTCATCGTTGTTTCTTGGACCTCTGGTAATTCTTGATGCTCCAGGTATCAACCCTCCACCACTAAGTGTCCCCACTGTGCCTCCTTCATTGCCCATGCTTAAAACCCGGCCGATAAATGTATCCAGGGTAGACAAATCTTGTTGGAGATCATCAAGACTATCACCGGGCATTAGTGTAGTTGACATTTTCCGAAGAATACCTCTGAATGTTCCATGTTTAGTGTCTTCAGTTGCATCGTGGCTATGTTCGAGATCCAGTAATCTTCTATGTCTACTTCTGCTGCTTCCTTCTTCGGTGAGTCTTGATGGAGAATCTCGTGATTCTCGAGTTGACATTCTTCGAATCATGTTCTTGAAGCCACTTCCTCCAGAATGGACTGATTCATGGGTTGAGTCCGAATCATGGGTTTCAACATGAGACATGCGCCTTAGCATGTGTTTGATCCCCTTAGGAGAACTGTCTTCGACTGCTGATTTGATTTTGCGTATGAACGGGCTGGAGTCGCGTCGTTGTCGGGAAGGACTTTGGGAAATGGATCCTTCATCATCTGATGAGTCGGTGTAAAACTGCTGGGGAGGATTGAATGGGTCTGTTCTATTGTCACCTGTTCCATCTTCTTCATCAACTTCTTCTTCTTCGTCGTCGTCGTCGTCGTCTCCTTGTAATGCCACGCTTATTCTATTTGGATCAAACGTAAATTCAGGAAGGTTTGGATCTACACTGTCGGCGTCATCGTCCGAATCACTCATATTCGAGGATGAATTGATAGCTTCGCGAGGATTGCGAGGCGTGTATGAGTCAGCGAACTTGGAAGGTTTCTGTTTGATCTTGTTGGCAAAGTTCTGCGTTGCACGGGCGATGTTGGATTTGGGTGTTTGTTCATGGCGTTGGTTCTGCCTTCGGACTGCTGCTAGATCGAGGGTGGGAAGCTGTATTTGGGTGCGGAAGTCGGTGATTGAGTCTTCGTCTGATGTTGAGTTTCTTGTGCTCATAGACATGGTTGTAAATGCTAATTATAATCAAGTGTCAAAAAAAAAATATAAAAGAATAATGAAGTAGATTGGGATGAGAAGAAATAGTAAAGTTGATGTTAAATGTGGTTGGGTATTCAGAGATGTTGAATCAGGTATGACATCACTTGTGACACAATAACCACAGCAAAAGTAACAAATGCAAAAGGGCTTATATTAGTTTAGGGGCCATAGCCTAAAGCTAAAAACACGGTCGCAATTTTTCCGGTGAGAGTTTTACAGTTGCGTCGCCAAACGGCACGAGGGGGGTAGGGGGAAAGGCATTTTGTTTCTCCCTGGAATGGACAAGATCGCAGGGGAGATTGTTCTTTCTCTACCGCGACAATGGCGGTGGAGCAAGAAAAGAAAATAAAAAAAAAAAAAGAAAAATCTGAAATTGGTTCAGCCATGTCTTTCCAGTTTCCTAATCACCTCGTACAGAATTACACAGGTTGTACACTTGTCATAAGATATTCTAATTATGCTTGCTCTATACACTCTCTTCCCATTGTACTCCACACCATTCTTCTATATAAGCCACATGATTTTCATCAAACTCTTGTTCAGGCATGTAATCTTCCTTATCAGTAGCAACTATAATTGTCCCCCACGACATCCCATTAAGAATATCACTAATTTGTACAGTATTGGTGTTGATCTCCTCCAAGTCCATAATAGCCTTGGGCATTAACTGTAATTCATATTGACGTTCAGAGGAAGGGTTGTATGCCGGCTGTGGGATGTTAGCTGGCTGCTGACTAAGGAACTTCTTGGCGACGTCGTCCTTACCATTGTATAATAATGGCTTCCCTCCTAAATTGTAACGCAATACCTGTCCTGGGTTATGCTTGACGGTGTTTGAAAAGGCTTCAAAGTATTTATCGTCCAACATGTTGGAAATCTTGGAAGTTTGAGGGTCCAATACCGAAGAAGAACCCCTTCTACTGGCTCCAACACTCTCACTGTCATCGTCTTTGTTGACATCCATATCTATTAAATGTTTGTATTTCTCCAATTCGGGATCATTGGTGGCCTTCTTGAACTTTTCAGTATCCACATAGACAAAACTACCTTTATATGAAGGGAGGTCACTAACAGTCTTTTTCTTGGGAGCTTTCTTTGGTTCGTTCTTCGAGGCAATTTTGGCATATGATTCCGGTTTCTTCTTTGGTTCTTCTTCAGCTTTCGCTCCAAAAGGATTAGCACCAAATGGTGATGTGGAGCCAGCTGCAAATGGGTTGTCGTTCTTGTTATCAAACGGGTTGCTTCCCCCTCCAAACGGATTAGAACTCTCTTCCTTCTTGCCAAACAAATCCTTGGTTAATTCAATATTCAACTTCTTTTGATTATCAGCCTTCAATTTCTCATCCAATTGCTTTGCCTGCAATGCTTCGGTCTCCTTTTTAATCTTATCGATTGTCTCTTGATCCTTGACAATACCTCTAATTGCCTTAATACTGCCTTTCTTCTTGGAACATTGTCTGGTGTCCTTGCATCCAAAGATGTAAATCACACGATCGTAGAGCTTTCCATCCATAGGAGCAAATGCTTGTAAAAGCAATGCCATCTTCTTATTGCAATTGTCACAAGTAAGTGACTTTTCATTAGGTTGTGATTGAGGGTGTAGCCAAATAGGTTGGCCCCCAATGAAGGTGTCTTCTATAGTGGGGACTTCTTCCTCGGTGATTGGTGCATCCACAAATCCCAAGAAAACATCAGACTTTTGTGATTCATCAAAGAGATCTTCCTCATCAGAGGAATATTCGTCGTGGGATGACATGGTTGGTGTGTGATGGTATAAAGCTCACGATGAGATATCGAATTTTTTTTTTTTCGATTTTATTCTACAAGAAAAATCAGCATTTCTTAGGGGGTAATTCTTGAGGGGTGATTCTTAAGGGTGATTCTTAGGGGTGATTCTATATACAGCTTCTATTTACAAGTATCGTTTATGTTCAATTCTTTCATAATACTTCACAACATCGCCTTCTTTAAAGTCGTTCCAGTCTTCGAATGTCAATCCACATTCAGACCCATTTTTGACCGAAGCAACATCATCCTTCTCGTGCTTCAATGAACTCAACTGCCCATCATAAACCTCTTCCTTGCCTCTAAACACTTTAACCAGACAATTACGCTTGAACTCTCCCGAGGTGACTCTACACCCAGCAGTAACAAGCTTCTTGGCCTTACCACTGAACTTAAACACCTTAAGAACCTTAGCTTCTGCATGATACTTATACTCGATTCTTGGTGCCAAGTGCAGACACAATTCTTCAGTCACCTCTTCAATCAATCGATAAATAATGTTGTGTTCCTTGATAGCAACCTTGGCAGCATCGGCCTTGGTGGACACTTGCTTTGGAACTTTAACATTGAATGAGATAATAGTGGCATCTGCAGTTTTGGCAAGTTCAACATCGGAATCGGTTGGTGCTCCAGCCTCATGGAAGATAACCTTGGCTTGCACTTCATCGTTACCCAATCCATCCAAACTTTCAGTAATTGCTTCGGCCGAACCGAAAAAGTCGGATTTGACGATATAGTTACAAATCTTGGTCTTAGATTCACCTCCCTCATTCTCCAATTCACTGTAGTCCAATCCAGCCAATTTCAACTTTTCTATTTGTTCTAACCTGGCAGACTCCTTGATAGCTTCTTGTCTCTTGATGTTGATCTCTTCCACTTCACGTTCAGCCTGGATTTCCTTGGCTCTCGATTCACGATAATCGATAACCTTCTTGGCAATACTTTCCGATTTAGCTTGCAAAACTTGTTCTCCACTATCGGGTAACTCCTTCCATCCAAAGATTTGCACCGGAGTAGATGGACCCGCAGTCTTGACTGGCTTACCATATTCATTCTTCATTCCTCTAATCTTACAATACGTGTTACCAGCAACGATTATATCACCGGTTTTAAGAGTACCCCGACGAACCAACACAGTGGCCACATTTCCCAAGCCCTTGGCAACTTCAGATTCAATTACCCATCCTTCAGCAGGAACACCTTTTTCTTCACTCTTGAACTCACTCAATTCACTCAAGGTAATCACGGCTTCTTCCAACTTGTCCATATTGAGACCTGTCTTTCCGGAAACTTTAACCGTTTGGGTATCTCCACCGTAATCTTCAATATCTACTCCTTGAGCAGAAACATCAGCCAACACTCTGTCAACATTAACATCACGTTTGTCACACTTGTTAATGGCAACAATAATGGGCACTCCTGACTTCTTAGCATGCTTAATGGCTTCAATAGTTTGCGGCATGACTGAATCATCAGCGGCCACGACTAAAATCACAATATCAGTAACGATAGCACCACGCTCACGCATCTTCAAAAAAGCCGCATGCCCAGGAGTATCCAAGAATGTGATTCTCTTATTAGAGACTGGAGTAGTCACGGAAAATGCCCCGATACGTTGGGTAATTCCACCAAACTCGGTATCCACGATACTTGACTTTCTCAAATAGTCCAAAATCGTAGTCTTTCCATGATCAACGTGACCCATGATCGTCACCACCGGTGGTCTTTCCTTCAAGAACTCCTCTTTGATGGGTGCTGAGAAAAGATCATCGCTATCGGATCCCTCCGAGGCAATGACTTCGATCCCGTATTCGTCTGCAATCATGGCCGCGTTCTCTTTGTCCAAGATATAGTCATGACGCACGTCTTCATACCCTAACAAAGTCAACTTCTTGAACACGTCATTGAGTCGCACGTTCATGACGGAGGCAAGATTGGCGATGGTTATATAAGGGGGGATCCGGATTTTGACGATTTTCTTCTTGACCTTTTTGGCCTTTTTTAGTGAGGACTTTCTGAGTGGGAGGTGAACTGGAGGAGGGGATTGGGCTTGTTTTGGGGGATGTGGAGTTTCAGCAGGTACTGGTTTCTGTGGTTGGGAATGTCTTGCCGGTTGCGTTTGCGTATGGTCATGACGATTGGATTGAGGGTTGGACTGGGGTCTGGACTGAGTGTTAGACTGAGTGTTGGACTGAGGTCTGGACTGAGTGTTGGACTGAGACCTGGATGGACCGTTGGACTGGTTGTTTCTTGGTGGCCTCGATTGTGCTGGTGGATTGTAACGAGGTCTATCCTGGTTGTTCTGCCCGTTCAGCCTGCCAGCTGGGGGTGAATTCAGATACTTCGCTGCAAATCGATTAACCTTGGGCTTCCCAGGACCATCAGCATAACATCTATGCTGCTGCACGGGAGCCAAAGCAAGTGCCCGCAAAAGGTTCGGTACCTGCCCTATACTTCGATTACAACATCTTTGTAACATCATTGTGGTGCTTGACAGTTAGTAGCGGTTAAGGTGTATCAGTTTACTAACAAAAAATTTTCAACGATGCACGAGTTCCAATTGTCTCTCCATTTTTCGCGACCATAGAGACTCCCGTGCCCAATCGTTAGCCAGGCAAGATACTCGTGAATAAAGCTATGTGAACAGGTCAAACTCGATAGTTCTATATAGTAGTAGTTAATCGAAATGCAAATCAGTTGGTTTGACCTGGCTCATACCTATAAGAAAACTGGGAAGTGTCGCGTGGTAGCGCCGGTGTAATATCCCCTAATGCATTTCCAAGCAAAGTCTAATTTAAAACACATCACCCATTAAAGCCACCATCAGATTTTCCAGCTCAATGAATGCAATTACTACAGGGCAAATATTCAGGGGTTCGGGCGCTGTCTCTCCTATTTTGCAACTACCCAATGAAATCCTCACATTTATCTTTGGTCACCTTAATCAATTGGATACTGTGCAAGTGCTCTGTGTAAGTAGACAATTTTACAAGTTAGGGGTGGAAAGATTGTATAATTCAATCTATATCAATGACGGAGAATCCAAATTGTTGGTCTCATCTCGTCTTCATACCGGCCTCTATTTGAAGTACGCTATTATTAACGGGTTTGATCTACTCAAACAATTAAAGTCAAGCGACATGAAGCATTTGATTAAAAGTATAACCTGTGAAGAGTATGAATCAAACCAGTATAGAACTTTAGTTAGTTGGTTCCCCGGAACCAAAATCATCAATGAAGGATGTCACCTAGTTGCAAGCCAGAATATCGTGAACCCCCTGCACACCCCAGTACTATATCTCAACCGTTACAACTACATATTCTTCAACACAAAGTTCCAAGAGTGCAATTTCTCAATCAAACAGCTAACTATAGATTTTAAATTGCCAGTGAGTGACATATTGGACATCATGCCCATGTTCAAGGGAGTGGAAGTTTTAGATTTGCGAAATACCACACTGGCTAATCTTCTGGATTTTGAAGATAGAGGATTTAGGAACATCAAGCTCAAGGGATTATATCTACACCTTGCTGGAGGTGGGTTTCTGAATGAGGCTAGTGCACTGAGATTAAGTGACTTATTCAACTTGAGCACAATTACCTCATTTGGTCTAACTAATTGCTACCGAGGTAATCAAAGTTCGGAAATGGTGTGGTTGCTTGGGAAATTGCTGAGTCTTACCAGATTATATCTTGACATTAATGTAGAACTTTTGTATGATGCAGTTTGCCAAGTAAGACCACATACATTGACTAGCTTGTTCATTCAGGACCGATCCGACATATCAAGCTTGGAGTATGTGTCCATGTTGTTTCAGATCCCTATGCCAATTTGGGAAATGATAATCCAGCATGGAGAATCCTTAATTAACTTGGGTTTTCTGTCTCGATTTATCTATCCAAATCTGAACCTGATTGTAGATGTTTTTGAAAGAGTTTATCTATCTGACGACGAATGCACTAGTGTTATTAATCTGGAACTTGAGGCCGCAGAAGTGCTTTTCAACGATGGATACTTCCCCAGGTTGAATATGGTGGTTATCAATGAACATTATTTTGAAATTAGCCATGGAAATGAATCTGTTACCATTGCCTTGTTTGACCGTTCTGAGGGAAACCACAAACTTTTCGCCAAGACCAAACTGAAATGATGTGCGTCATGACTTCTATTTTTATTATGCTTAGTTATAGTAGCTACACTTGTTTATAAAGCAAACTACCTGGGTTTAATATGCTTTAATATAATTTAATATGAATGTTTCTATACATTTTATCCATGTACTTTATCTATAAGGTGCCATAGCAACCCGGTAAATTTACGACATCAACTTTTCAGACATGATGTCACATTTTTCGGCTGCAAAAAAAAAAAAAATAAAAATAAAAATAAAAAAAGGTTAATGATTATGTTCACTGTTAATGTGGAAAAAAAAGGGGGGGGGCAAACAAAGTTTACCAGAAGGATAAATTACCGGGACTAGTATACTCTTATTGGTCAAGCATGTACAATACTATCATTCTGTTCTCTTGACCATACCCCCCTTGGCATTCTTAAATGTTGTATTTGTTATCGCCAAGGATTCCAAGAATTCGACCAGTTTATTAACATCAGTATAACAAAAAAATTCGAATCTAAAGAAGCCAGCCAGGAAACTTGACAAAATAACACATACAGTTATGAACATTATCCCTTATGAACTCACTCTCTATTAGTTTTTGGCCACTCTACTCTTTGCTATCATTAGTAGCTACTGCCATTTCGGTCCCTGACACCGAAGTCAGCACTCTGGCGATTTTTCAGGTGTATACTAACAACATTCGGTATGATGCTAAAGATTTAATGTCTATGGAACTTCCCTGGGCTGAAAGAAAAGTTGGTGTTGTAGGTACCATGCTTGCTGTTTCTGCTAATATGTCAACTGTCTTTGCTCTTCAGGAGGTGACGTATAATCAGCTCTTGGATATAAAAACCGAAATGAATTGGAACTCACAATCATGGGCCCATATTGGCGAAGGTCGCGATGGTGGTGTTGCTGGAGAGTACAACCCAATCTTGTACAATGTCAACGAGTGGGACTTGTTATCCAACTACACCAGATGGCTTAGCGAAACGCCTGGTACCCCCTCGGCATACAAGGGCAAATGCTTCAATCGGATAGTCTCCATTGGGATTTTCAGACACAAGCTGACGGGATCTATAGTTAATGTTCTCAATACTCACTTTTGCCACAAGTATGAAGACTCACGACAATTTCAAGCCTATGAGATTTTAAAGCATGTGGATGCCATTGGTCTTGGGAATCCCACTATTGTTGCTGGCGATCTCAACAGCGAAAGAACCAGCGTTGCTTATCTGATATTGTCTGATGTGGTAAAGGAGCATGGGGACCCTTTGGAACTACCCACTGTTTCCGGATTTCAATCAGGCGGGAAAGGTAGTACAATCGATTATGTCTTTTCTAAAGGCAATCTTGTGTCACTTCTGCATGCAGTTTTGGATAATATGTTGTATGATCAGTATCGGTTCAGCGATCACCGGCCAGTACTTGAAGTATTTGAATTAGCCCCCACCCTCGTGGCCAGAGCTTGTGCAGCATGAATTGTAGTTTTAGCTGTTTCTATGGTTATTTTGCTATTCATTTTACTCTTTGTCTACGTAGTATTAGAATAGGTTTTGCTTGTATTATACAAATGCAATCATATATATAGCCTAAATACAGCTAAAGATAATCCCCGCTTGAAGCGACAAATCCAAAGGATCTGCTTTCATTCAACTTGGTAATCAACTCATCAATATCTTTGAAATTAGAATCATCGCAGGCAAAATTGCGATGTCTGTTACTCTTAATATGATCTTCAAAGCAATCGTACTTGGCCCGACAGTTTTCACAATATCCCGGATTCAGCTCGCGCACATCTTTACTCTTGGGTGGACTGGTCTTACGCTGCTGTTTCTTCATGATGATTCTCCGCTTGAGATTGTTTAAGTTTCTCAGAGGTACTTGGGACATCATGGGTCCTAATCCATTGCCAACCATTGCGGCAGCGTTGCTATTCAAATTGGAATCCATCGAAAATTGCACGGCATTGGATGCACTGTTATACCCTGATGCAGCAAATACATCAAAGGTTTTGCCGGTGGTGGTAATGGATTGTACACATGATGAGTTTCTAGCCAATGCAGGAGGGATAGGCTGTCTGAACTTGAGAGGCTTGGCATCTGAAGTCCATTCAACCAGAGATTTGCGGGAGCTGGTTGAATTAGAATTTTGAATCACGGTAGTGTTTTGGTCTTGTGGGATAAAATCTTCCTCGTGAATCATCTTGTCGGTGCTGGTGCTGGTGCCACTGAACCCAGACACATGCAATGAAACCCCACCGTTTTTGATGTTGTTAATGATATTATAAGTGGCTTGTTTTAATGACTCGCGATACTCTTGACTAGCTTCGAATTTACGAGCCCGTCTCAACCGTTTACGTTCTGTGTTTGAATTTTCGGAAGGATCAAAGATGAACGGACACTTACCATCCATTGTCAAGTTCAAGGTGGTATAGCTATGATCATCGTGCCATTCTCTGACAGCAATAGGACGAACCTTTTGTAATAAGTCATATACAAACAAGTAATTCTTTCCCAAATAGTGCAAATCATCTCTTTTTGCATTGGGATCTCTATCAGTTGACCCATATATTTTTTCTTCCTTTAATAAATTGTATAAATTATCACGATTGGTCTTGCTGGTTGAATCTGTAGTCAATGATGGTGGTAGAATAGTATGTGTGTTTAAAGCATTTTCATCAACTCCGGTGAGAATGTTTACCCCCAAATTCTTCAAGAATCGAAACACCTTCTCATAGTTCCACACTTTGATTTTCAAACTTGCAACATTGGAAAATATGTCATTGGAAGGATATGTCTTTTTTGCATCATAGTGGCGTCTAGATACAATGATTGATACGGTATTATCGTAAAAGGGAGTGATTGCACATCCAACCAACTTTAATAGTTTCGATGCACGTCTGTATTCCGTGGTTTGCATCCGGCCCAATTCTTGGACGTCTTCAAAATATACCGTAGATTCGCGCATAATCTTCCGCCATGACTGTTGCCAATTGTAAAGCTCTTCTCCTGCTAATCGACCTACACCCTTTGCTTGTTGTTGTTGTTGTTGTTGTTGTTGTTGCTGCTGCTGCTGCTGTTGCTGCTGTTGTGTATGAGTATGGCTGCGGTGTTCATGTTGTGACTTGGGTGGCAATTTTGGTTGCTGATGCTGTACAGTAGTAACTGCTTCTGGTATGATTGGTGTTTGTACCCTTTGAGCTTCTTCTGTTTGGATTGGCTCCTTGATTTCGTGATGCAATTCTTGTATATCGATTTGTGTTGCCACTTCGTCCTTGTATTCGTTAGCTGTTGCAGGAAGTAGGGAAGGTTTACGCGTTTCTGCTAGACTAAGCTTGTCATTGGTAGGAAGGGTGCCTGTTAGGGTAGTATTAGTAGGCACAGGCGTGCGAATATCTTCATTTCCCTTTGAAGGAGACAAGTTGTTGCTTGACTGAGGCTGACTGTGGTGGTGGTGGTGGTGATCTAGCTTGGCTCTTTTACGTGCAGGAGATGGTATATTGCTGCTAGTTTCACGTAATGGACGTCTAGGTTTGGTTAGCAATGAGTTGAACTGCTTCTTGAGGTTCCTTCCTGGCATTGCAGTGGTGGCTGCTGATGGATTGTTGCCAGTGTTGTCATTATCCATAATGAGTGCGAGCGAGTTTTCACTTTATTTTGGATGGGACTGAGACTGTGTGTATGCAAAGACGGGGGGATATGATAAGATGAAGCAGACCAGGTAATGAGAGACTATGTAATTTGCTGGTGGGCACCGTCGTGTAGGGTATTTGTTGACTTTTGTCTTGTTTTGTTATTTCCCTGTTGCTAAGGTGATAGGCACACTGCAGAAAAAAATTTAGTGTAAACAAAAATTCGTGTCGGGCAACTTTATTTGATTTTCAACAATTGCTGTATGTACAGGTAAATTGAGTAAGTTAAACTTGTATGAATCAAATTAAAATAACTTGATGAAGTTTACGATAGATTATGACGATGATTATTAATATGAAGATCTACACAATTCACCTAAATTTCAGATTTGGTGGTGGTGAGTTTGTACTATTTTCATACGCGAAATGTTTTTTTTTGAGTGCATTGTTCATCGCAAAGACTACCAAAGTGGAAGGGCAGGGACAAAGACACCAGGATTTCTTGGTATGTTCTAAACTAAAAGTGGCTAAAATCTGTAGCTTTTATATTAGACGTCAAAGTATAATTGACGAAGAAAAACTGCAGAAGCGGGTGAGAGATCTGGGGGAGGAGGGCCTACTTAGCAAGACACCAAGCATGAACTAAACCTGAAATTCGCGTCAAAATTTATTAATTATGGTAAATCTATTAGTGAAGATGTTCTAAATTATGCTGCAGCTTCTTCACTTGATAGAACAATACGCTTTTCCGTCTGTTACTCTCCTTTCTTTCTGGCTGGTTGCAAAAATTATGTTGCTCCACATATTAAATTAGAACATAAAAATCAAGACACAGTCAACCCACATGCAAAAAGGCACAACACAGTGTCCCCTTTGCAATAAACTTAACCAACCTGTCTTCATCTGCCTCTAAAGGACATTCGAGGAAAAAAATAAAAAAATTAGGTAAGGTAGGAATTGCTGGTGTGTTAAATCATAATGATACCCGCGAGATTCGAACTCGCGCCTCCGAAGAGACCAGGACCTTACCCTGGCGCCTTAGACCAGCTCGGCCAGAGTACCCCAATTCCTGCGCAAATTTTTTTCTGGATTTTTAGCATTACTCTTAGTCACGTGAAAATCAATTATCGGTTTACTTTGGCTATTCGATGTGTTATCTCGATTATATTGTATATACTTCTTCTGGTTTATATTCGTAGATTGTGTATATGTGACATCATCAGAGTTTTAATCCATTTTATCCAATAACATGTCGTTATTAGTTTCGAGCAAAATTGGTGTAAAATCTATAGGTAATTTAGGGGATTTACCAAGCTCTGGAACAATATTTCTAATAATTATTCAAATTAGTACTGTTCAATTAAGTTATCATATATCTTTTGAAAGACACAACAGTTTGCTATTCTGGTTCTACAATCGTATATCTTTGTCCAATAATTTAGTCGCTGCACCCCAGAATTTGACAATCCTCGGTCCGCGAATTTATTCCGGCGAGATTAGCCGTGGAGCAAAACGTACGATCTTTTTCATTTTGATCTATAAATATCCATTGATCTACCAGTTTTCCGCTCATAAACCTTCCTTTCCAAGCTGCAAACCCCTTTACAATGTTACGGAGATTCCCTGTCAATCAATTGAAACGTTGCTCGTTGAACCACATCAGACTTGCTTCGTCATTATCGTTGGTGGAGTATTCCGACGACCAGATCTCAATCATGCTTAATCACCACCTTCTCCACTTCAAGACAGCGTTTTTAAGGGATGCATGTCAAGACCCCAGCTCAGTTGATCCATATAATAAGCAGAAATTGTTTAGTACTACTGAAGCCGTCACTGGATTGAAAGTTGAAGCTCCTCCCAAGGTTATCGAAGATTCCGTCACAAAAGAGTTGAAGCTATGTGTGGATTGGAATACTAATGGAGTCACCAAGAGCTCCGAATACCCAATTTCGCTCTTGGAGAAGTACTCTACCAAAGCATCGAGACGTGCTGGCAAGTTTTTCGACAAGGAACGTAAATTATGGGATAGACAAGAGATTGAATCTAACTTGTCACAGTTGGAAGTTGACTATGCTGACTTCATTAGTAATCAAGATGCCCTTAGCAAAACATTGCACAATTTGAACAAGTATGGTCTCACCTTTGTCAATAACATTCCTGAGCCACAACTTGAATCCATGAATGAAGACAATGCGTATGAATGGCCCGTGGCAAAATTGGCATCGAGATTTGGCTACATCAAGAAGACATTCTATGGAACATTGTTTGATGTCAAGAATGAAAACACCGATGCAAAGAACATCGCCAACACTAATGTTTACTTGCCGTTGCATATGGACTTGTTGTACTATGAATCTCCTCCAGGCTTGCAATTGTTGCACTTTATCAAGAATTCCACCATCGGTGGTGAAAGTGTGTTTTGTGACTCATACTTGGCTGCCCAACGCGTGAAGGAACTTGACCCAGAAGCATATAAAGCGTTGACAGAGATTCCTATCACATTCCATTATGATAACAATAATGAATACTACTATTACAGAAGACCCTTGATTATTGAAGATCCCGATATTGCTGCCGTAACCAAAGATTTCCCGCCTATTGATGTGGTTAATTATGCCCCACCTTTCCAGGGGCCTTTGGAAGTCGGGATCTCCACCCGTGAAGATTCTAGTGTTGAAGAAGCCAAGCAGTATCATAACTTTGATGATTTCCTTCGTGGACTTGAAATCTTTGAAAAGACAATCAACGAACCCGAGAACCACTTTGAAATCAAGATGAAGGAAGGTTCATGTGTTATTTTCGAAAACAGAAGAGCTTTGCATTCAAGAAAGAGCTTCAGTGACGAGAATGGTGGAGATCGTTGGTTGATGGGAACCTATGTTGACGGAGACTCCTTTAGATCTAAGTTAAGAGTTTCCAAGAGAAATGATTAAACTATTTTATTTATTGATACAAAAAAAGAAAATATATATATATATAACAGTACATGAATATATGATTCAAAGATAATAGAACATTGTTTTTAGTAGCCATAGTTGTAAGATTGTTGAGGTGGGGGACGAGAACGAGCACCACCAGCACCACCTTGTGATACATAAGATTTAAATGTTTGCTTAAACCCATTACATAATCTTAACATGTTTGGATAACTGAATCCCTTTAATGTGTATCCTTCTCTTTCAGTTCTCACGTGCCAAGTACTTATTGGGGTGTTGACATTCACTTTAAATAACAACAAGAAGCTTCCTGGCAACTTATGGTCATAACAAAAGACATAAGCTGAACTCTTGGGATTGGCTCTGGTATATGATTCCAACCATTCATTGACTTCTGTAAGGGCACCTTCTCTAAACTTAGGATGACGAACCATGTCCTCCACCTTCTTGGCAATAGCTTGAATATGTTGGAATACCAATTGATCCAAATCAGCATACTTGAACCCTTCAACAACGTACTCTTTGAATCTACCCTGGTTTTTCTCTTCAATCAACAAATGCTGGAATAAATTGTTGGCCACTTTCCAAGTGATGGTAAGGAACTGTGGACCCTTGGAAGATGGACGAATAACACAGTCTCCCACGTTTTGAGGAGCCAAATACTCTTCAGCTTGCTTGTAATTGAAGTTCTTGTACAATGGATGTTGAACATTTCTAGTCTTGGCAAGCTTGGCGTTTTCTCTCGCCTTTTCTCGATTAATATCTTCTTCTTCAGCTTGGAAATCCCACTTACCTCCTTCCTTAACCACTCGGGACATAGAAGCTCGTTTGATTTCATCTGGCAATAAACTCAAATTGGCACTGAAACTTTCATAAAATACATCAATGGTAACGGCTTGGATAACTTGACCCTGTTCAATATTGGTACCCTTGGGAATCTTTTCTTCTTCGATATTACATTGAACCATGGACGAGGTGACACCCTTGATGAACCTAATTCTCGTTTGCAGTTGATCATAGTTTTGGAAACTCTTACCAACTTTAGTCACCGTTAAGGGAACAACCACATTCTTGCCAAACGTATCAGGAGTTTCACCAGTCAACATCTGGAATACTTCAATACTGTCCAAAACCTTGAAAGATCTCCTCAATTCTTCAAAGTTATTCACCAATTCTTCCTTGATCATCTGTAAAGTGGCATACTTCTTTCTGCCAAACTTGGTCTCTAATTCCTTACCATAGGCAATCAAATTCAACTCATCAACTTTATTAACCCCTTCTTGCATTAATTGCAAAATAATTCCTCCATTTTCTTCCATTGCCGTGGTATCTTCTTCATCCAAATCAAGAGCATCTGCTGCCATCTTTCTTGCCAAATCATAATCTTCAGGATGGATACGGGTAGCATCCAACAATTCCACAGAAATGTCTCTAATAGTGGACCCTTCATTGAATGGGATATTCAAAAATGATGAACAGTTATTGAAGATAATGGCCCCAGTTAATTCTCCGAGAACCAAATCATTACGATTAACCAAAGTTGAACCCAATTTAGAGTTAATATTTCTGATCAATCCCAGAGCTTTACGTGGACCCAATCCACAGACATATGGCAATAATTGAGCAATGTAGTTGTCACGGACCGCTTCATTAATTTCAACACCCACCATATTAACAATATCGACAAACACAGATTCTAATGCTTCCTTGATCAAATCGTTGGAAATAAGCTTTTGGTGTTGATAAAAGTTAAGCGAGAGGATATCATCGCCCAAAGACACATATTCCAATAATGGGTTTTGTGTGTATCTGGCTAACCCAATGGCATACTTGATCAAAGTTGGTTTGTCCGGGAATTCTTGTTTGGCTCTAGCTGAGTTCTGATATAATCTGGCAGTTTCATCTTGACCCCAAATAACATTTAATAATGGAGGAGCAGCAATAGATGTAGGTAAATCATCAACGTTACAAGTGATACGATTAGTTTCAACAAAGTTCTTGATACAATCATACAACTTCTTGGAGTTGGCATTGTACCCGGAAATAACAATAACGTCAGGCTTAACGTATTTCAAATTACGGTCAAAGTATTCCTTCAATTCTCCTTGGAACTCTTCTTCATTCTGACGATCTCGCATTGGGTTACGTTCAGACTTGAAGAATTCATCAACTTTACCTGATTCCTTGATAAGCACACCAACAACAGCACTATCAAATTCACCCTTACCAAAAGTTAAAGCCAAAACATTTGGCTTGGTTCCTCTGTCAAATCCGTATGGAGTGTATGGAGCTTGATCCACACGAGTCAAGAAACGTCTTCTTACTTCACCGGCAATCAAACGTTCACATTCACGACGCAAGTCTTCCTTGGTGTTTAATGCAACCATCAGGCACAACTTCTTGAATGCCAACTGTAAAACAACTTCTCTTTCTTTATTCCATCTATCGGATATGTCGGAACTACCATCTGACTTCAAACAATTGAAAATACATTGGAACCAGCTGTCATAATCCTTGGTTTCTACCTTGACGACAACCAAACCTAAACTTTCAGCTTCCAACATTCTCAATAACAAATCCGGTTGTCTCACTAAATCACTTGGAGAACGGTTGATGGCATATTTGATATCTTCATAGGGACTATTCATATCAATGGTAGTTCTACCCTTTTCTGTGATGGCGATACTAATAGATGCAAACGATTTGTAAGTTTGTCTGACTTCATGTCTAATCTTTGGATTATGGAAAATCTCTTCTGCAAAGGTTCTACGAATGGCATCACGAGCGGTGTTTTCATCCTTGAAAAGTATCTCGTCATCTTCAATCAATCTATCAATCAAATCCTGAGGAGATTCCAAGGAGTCATCAGTGGCATGAATACGATAAGGTACTTCGAATCCTTTGGAACTTTGATCTTGAACATTTTCCCCAAATTCTTTGGCAGAGATACCATAGGCTTTGACGGCATCGTACAAAATGTTCGATCTGATACGTTCAAACAAGGCATATTTGGAGTGCTTTTTGGATTTGGTTTCGGATGTGACTTCTTCTCCTTGTTCTTCGCCGGATGCCTCTTCACCTTCTTCTCTATTCTTGTCGGTATTTGCCAACTCTCTAATCTCCTTGGAATATGTGAATTGAATATAATCATGAATATCTTGAACAGCAACCATAGTGTCCAATGATGTGATATCCTTGACCAAATCGTCATCAAGACCTAATGCTTCGACAATCTTTTCTGTATTCATTCTCTTTTCATACAAGGAATGATATTCGACATCCAATTGGACGATTCTCCATAAATCATCTTCATATAATAACTTATGCACTTTGTTTTCAATGACACCTTCAGCATTAACCATTTCTTGTGAAAACAACAAGAAATCACGACGATGAGTCCAGATAAAGGGAACCTCAAGTGAATCTTTGGTTATAAAGTGAACAACTTGACCCACAGCTTCTTTGAAAGGAATTTCCAAGAGTCCATTGAACATGCCTTGCTTTTCACGAAATAAGATATTGGCAACCCAATTTTTTTCTTGTTGCAAGTCGTCATCTTCCAATGACGCATATTGAAGATTGGCTCTATACTTTTGATATCTTTCTGGGATATCGATTATTCGAATAAGGTTATCTTCTTCAGTTAACATTCTTTCTTTCAATTCCGAGTGTTCAAATACTTCGTCTAATGAAGTTGGTTCCTGTTGATCTCCAGCACCAGCATCTTCCATATCTTGAGCTTCCAAAGCCCATTCGTATTCGCCTCCATTACCGAAAACTTCAAACAATTGTTGTAAACTTTCACGGTCGACATTGGACAATTTGGAGGTATCCAACCTTGGACCTCTCTTTTGGACTCGCTGTCTTTCTTTCAATTTACGTTGTTGTCTTGCTTCTTCATCTTCGTCAGAGAACTCATCTTCTTCAATGAAGTCTTCAAACTCATCGAGAATATTACGGTCGGCTTCGCCACGGGAGACACCTCTGGCTTCCAACTCTTGCTCTTCTTCTTCTTCAAGTTCTTCGTCATCGGAAAAGATATCGGGCAATCTTCCTTCTCTAGAAACAGTATCTTCTCTAGATCTACTACGGTCTTCTCCTCTTTCTGGTATATCTTCAGATTCATCATCGGCAGCTCTACGCTTCAACCGTTTAAACTTCAGAGTTGACGGACGCGCACCAGAGTTTTCCAACAACAATTCCAAATCATCTTCGTCCAATTGGTCATCGTCGTTGGCACGACTTCCTTCTCCGTCGCCTTTGTCTCTGTTTCGCTTTCTACGGTGCTTCTTTCTTTTCTTATGCGATTCAACTTCTTCTTCTTCTTCGTCTTCATCGTCGACAATGAATCCTTCATGGACCTTTTTGATGGCTTCTTCGTCGTCATCTTCGTCCTCGTCTTCTTCGGAAGAATCGACTAATTCGTCACCGGTTCCTTCAGAAGCATTGGAGAGTTCGTCATCATCAACAACCTGTTGTTCTTCCTCTAGCTTGACCATGATCAGTAGATGATAGATGTGCTAATGTGTATCTGATATGTTGTAATCCCCCAAATAACCACCAAATTAGTGATGTTGAATGTTTGATTGGGTTTGATTGGGCTTTTGATGGTTGGTGTTTGTGAATGAATGATTTGGGCAAATTTTCCACCACCAACAAAAAAAAAAATCACTGGAATGATAAACTGCGGGTAACCCTTGTTGATTATGCTGGGTGATACACAAGAGTATAAATACGGAGTACATTGGCTCTATAAAGCTCTACGTATATGGTACTGCTACAGGTTCTTGTCGAAATTTAGTATAAACAAGAGTGAGCTAGACTGGTTTGACGTGGGGATGCAATTAATTGTACTGTCGGTTCAACTTCATATTGAATTGGCGATTCTTCTCATTGATGAATCCACCTTCATCCTCATCATTGTCTCGCCTTCTTTTCTTCATTTTACGTTCGTTGGCTTCCTTCAACCTATCAACCAATTCCTTCTTTGTTGTTTCACTAGGTTTGAAATCAATCGCACCCTTCACATTCCTCTCTTCTTTCTGCTTCTTGTACTCTTCTATATCCACCTTTAATCCTTTAATTTCTTTCTTATACGTGCTAGCAGCCAAGGCATCCATATTCTTGGTCCCATCTTCGTTCTTTTTCTTCTGTGTTTTGTCCCACTTCTCGCATTCCTCAAGTGTGTAACTCAAATTCTTCGTTCGTTGATCGATGACATCCTCCACTTTATCACGAAAATCCCCCTCGGCTTCTTTGAGTCTACGCTCTTCTTCCTTTTTAGCAGCGACTGATGCGGCTCGTTGATTCTGACGATCTGCTATCAACGCGTCTCGATTTAGTTGTTTCGACTGTTGTCGTTTCGCTTTTAGAAGTTCCAATCTCTCAACTGGCGATATTGTTGATGTATTCATTGCTGGTGATGATACTGCAAGCACAATAGACCAGAGTAACTGTGAAGAGAGTACGACATTTGTTTTTTTTTTTAATATCGTTTAGTCTTTTGCGCGACATTTTGACAACTACGGTTATTAGCCCCGGCCGGGAAAACATTAAGCCGCACCGTGACGCACTCCTCCTCCCCCCCACATATAAATGATTTTAGCCTCTCAGAAAATCACCTTATGTTTAAACTTTAACTCCACAACACAACCGAACACCTCATACATCATGACCGTGGATAAATCCAAAGAGGAGAAACTTGCTGATTATATCTTGACGCATCCTCAGGTTGAATCTGTCCGAGGAAACCCTCGGGAAATACTTCGGTTGATCGAAGAGTATGCCCCTACAATTAAACTCGGGATGATAATTGGCCCCCATAGGGGACAAGTAATCATTGACGAAATCAAAAAGGTCAACCCCAAAGTTATGATTGAGCTAGGCTGCTATGTTGGATACTCGGCCATTTTATTCGCTCTGGAGTTGCCCGAGGACGCAAAGTATTACAGTTTTGAAGTCAATGAGAAATTTGCTGCCATCGCAACAAAATTAATCAGATTAGCTGGATTGACTCATAAGATCGAGATATTCGTGGGCAAGGCAAGTGACAAGTTGCCCGAGTTTAGAGATGGCATGAGTGGTCCGGATGAGAGGTTCACCCCTGTTGACTTTATATTTATTGATCATTGGAAGGACATGTATGTTCCCGATCTTCGTATTTTAGAAACTTTAAATTTGATTGCTCCTGGGACTGTAATTGCTGCTGATAATATTATCTACCCAGGTGCACCAGATTATGCCAAGTATGTCAAAGGTTCTCCGAAGTACAGAAAGGAACATAATATGTCTAATAAAAATAAAAATGGTACTAAATATTTGGGCCGGTGGAATATCTTGTATGAATCGGAAACAATTGAGGTGGTGAGTCCAAATGGAGATAAAGATGGTGTGGAAATTTCAAAATGCGTCGATTATCTTTCAGGATGAATCAAACGGGAGGTAACAAAAAGATCATTAGTCGGTTAGTAACTTAATGGATATTGTCTAAGTGCTTTTCTGTAGTATATGTGTATAACAAAAGCGTCTATCGCACAATCAGTAGATAAACTATGAAATACAGGACTTGCCAACTACAATCACAGGCTCGCATGCCTGACCCTGCAAAATCCAAATGTCATAAAGCTACCATCGTAGTTCCAGTAGCCCACAATTACAGGTTCTACAGACTGTGGTAATCAAAGGTTTCTCAACCTATAAAATGCGTGGGTTCTCGATCCCACAATCATGGGTACCCAAACCCACCAAATGATGGGGTTCATAGACCTATAATATGTATATAGTCAGCCAGCAGTCTACAGTAGTCATCTAACAGTACGACTTTTTTTTATATATATATAACCTAAACTTTTTTGCGACATTTTGGCAGCTACGGTTATTAGCCCGGACCGAGAATATACGAAGCCGCACCCGACGAGAATTTCCAACAGCCCCTATGTATAAATGATTTGGTCTATGTAGAATCACCTTATGTTTAGACTTTAGCACCGTTACACAACCAAACAACACACATTGATAGGATGATGAGGGAAAATCCGAGTACCTATTGTCAAGGCTACGCTTATTTATGTCAACACAGACACTCAAACACCGATTGCTACGGGCTTAGCATTGAGAGGCTCGGTCCACCCCCTGAGGCATATAAATAGTGAAATTCCCAACAATTAAAAATATAGTGAGAATTATTTTGTATAATAATAATAATAATAATAATAATAATAGGGGGGGCAATTTTCCATTCGTATTTATTATTACAAATCAATACTTCTATTATATACAACATACAACATGACTGATCAATCCAAAGAGGAGAAACTTGCTGAATATGTATTGACCCACCCTCAAGTTGAATCTGCCCGAGGCAAACCTCGGGAAGTCCTTCGCTTGATTGAAGAGTATGACTCTAAAACTCAGCTTGAGATGATAATTGGCCCACACAAGGGACAAGTAATCATTGACGAAATTAAAAAGGTCAATCCCAAAATCATGATTGAATTGGGCTGCTATGTTGGATACTCGGCTATTTTGTTTGCACTGGTGTTACCGGAAGATTCAAAGTACTATAGCTTCGAACTCAATGACAAGTTTGCAGCTATTGCTAGAAAGTTTATCAGCTTGGCTGGATTGGATCATAAGATTGAGATTTTTGTGGGAAAAGCTAGCGATAGATTACCTGAATTTAGAGATAAGATCGGTAACGTTAACGGGAAGCCTAAGGCTGTTGAATTCGTATTTATTGATCATTGGAAAGATGTGTATGTTCCTGATCTTCGTATTTTAGAAACTTTGAATTTTATTGCTCCTGGAACTGTAATTGCTGCTGATAATATTATCTATCCAGGTGTACCAGGTTATACCGACTATGTCCAAGGTTCAGCTGAGTATAAAAAAGAGCATAATAAGACCAACACAAATAAGAATGGTGCTGAATATGTAGGCCGGTGGAATATTGTGTATAAATCGGAGACAATTGAGGTTGAGAACCCAAATCGTCATAGAGATGGAGTCGAAATTTCAAGATGCGTAGATGTTCTTGCAGAATGAACAAGTGGGCAGAATAGTAGCCAGTTAGCAATTAATATATATATATTGCCTAATTACTTTCCTGGAGTAGACGTGTATAACTAATATGTCTTCTACAACCAACAGAAAAGCCAAGTGATACAGGACCTGCTTGCAACAATCATGAACTCACATGTCTACAAACTAGCCTCGCCAGGCTACAATAACACACACGGTTCCACAGTCCTCAAAAAAAAACATAGAATTCTCAATCTGTAAAAATTCACAGGCTCTTGGGCCGATAATCGTAGGCTCCTAAGCCTTCAAAAAAATGGGGGGTTCAAAGACTTTGATTTATGGTAGAGTCACCAGCCCACAACAGTTCATTGTAGGTTTGTCAAACTATAAATACTACAAGTTCGTAAGTCTACAAACACACATTTAGAGTGCCCTACTCCGAAAGTGATTCTTTAACAAAGTACATGAAGAACGTTGATCTCTATTCTAGCCGTAATAACCGCTACTGCACAGCACTTATTACCTTATTTAGAAGGTGCGAACCGCGGTTGACTCCTTTGATATCCCTTCTGTATTCTTCTAGGAATTCCCCAAATACCCTTATTTTCTCAACCATTCCGAATTTCGAAAATATTAAGACTGTCAGTATATCATTTAAAACCCTGAAATTCCCTCAATTTCCGAAAGCGTGGCGATTCTCTTAGTTTGATATGCCTTCAGCAAAGCTTTTTTTTTTTTGCAGCTTCTTCGGATGGGTATTCGGAATTAATTTGTACCTTCGCTATAATTAGAGTTTGCCTCGCAATACTAAGCAAATTTAATACCGGCAAAGCGTCCTTTGTTTCGCAGGTCTAAATATAGATGCCTACTTAAAAACACTCGATGCTTGTTTATAATAATCAGTCATAAGGCAAAACAATGCCAAGATAGTCAAGTAAAAAGAAACAATATAGCTTAGACACAAGATATGTGTATGTGGTTACCATTTCTAGATTTAAGAAAGCTCTCCAGAGGAATAGCCAATACAAGTATATGTACAGTAGAAACCAACAAGCCAGGGCAGAGAAAGACAACCACCCCCCCACATAAAAGCACGCTAATATTGTTCTAGAAGCGCGAGAGGGAAGGAACAAGCCAAAAAATATCGTGGATAAGGTTGGGCGCGGCTCGCTCATGTGAACAATTAACAGACTAGCGAACCAAGGTACAAACTACTTGATGCAAGGTAGACAATTAAACATAAGATGGAGTGGATGGCAGCTAAGAGGCAATGTAACAGGGACCGGTGGTATTTGTCCAACAAGGTCAATTAAAATGGGGGGAGTATCACATGTGATTTCTCACGTGACAAAACAAATTACCGTCATCAGGCGATGGGTGAGACCGTTTCAACTTCCACACATAAAATCTCCATTCAGGTTACCATCATATGTTGTAAACAAATAATAGGATTTTCCTACCACATATTATTCAATTGAATCTACTATTGCTAATACTGTCATATCTAGCAGCACTTTTGTATTGATACCAAATATTTTATCATATTCCCTATTGTTTTTGTCATTATCCAAAGTCATAAATAACTTTTGTTGCTATTTTACAACCTTTATTTTACCAAAGTACTAACCTACAACAGCATGACAATTAAACAAATTTATATCGCCCGTCACGGATTCCGTGCCAATTGGGCACCACCACCACACCCACCCAACCCTACCGGGATCGATTCCGACCCACCGTTAGCTCCTCATGGTGTCACTCAATCACAACAACTAGCAGGGTACTTGTCTTCGTTACCATTGGAAGAACGTCCGCAATTCATCCTCAGTTCTCCATTTTACCGTTGTGTTGAAACATGTGCTGCTATTTCCAAGATGCTTGATTGCAAAGTTGCCATTGAACGGGGGATAAGTGAGTGGTTCCGGAAACAAAGGAAAACCAAGCCGATCCCCGCCGATTACAAGCAATTGAATCATTTCTTCCCTGATGTGTTGATAGACGAAGAAGAGTGGCCCAGAGACCGTTCTGTTGGAGTCATACCCAACACAGAGGGAGAGGATTACGATGAAGTATACGACAGATGTAAACAATTTGTCAAGAAGTTTATTCCTATATTTGAAGCAAAATATCCCCAGATAGAAAATGTGTTGATTGTTAGTCATGCTGCATCAGCTATTGCCGTAGGATCAGCATTATTGGAGTTGAACTCTTTGGTTGATTTTATTGACGAAGACAAGAATATGATCAGAGCCGGGGCATGTTCGGTATCCAAGTATGTGCGAGTCACCAATCCTGATTCCGAAAAGAAGTGGGAGATTGTCATGAATGGGAATTGTGAATTTTTAACCGACGGAGAAGAAATGAATTGGGACTTCCGTACAGGAGTCGAGGCTGGGTCAGCCGACGATTTAAAATTACGAGAGCAACAGAAAAGCCAGAGCCAAGATGTGAAACAGCAAGAAACTACAGTCACGGAAATGGCTAGTGGTTCTGATGCGATAAACAATGACGATTTTGAGGCACGTAATAAATTATAGATTATAAATATTATATACATCTTCATGTATGTACTAACATATTCTCTAGACATTCTACGTTACGGTAGATTTACCAATTTTGGGTAAACCATTGGAAGAACAATCTGTAAGTACCGTGAAACAGGAAAATGAAGCTGCATCAACCAGAACGAAGGTCAATATGATTAAACCCCATGCAAACTTTCAGTATACTGATCTTAGTCAACCCAACCCCTTTGTCAAGCTATCCAATAACAGCACGGGGAATGCATTAGATAGTGTTGGAGGCGAAGAGCTCTTGAATTCTATGAACTTGATCGATGGGAAAATCTTTGAAAGCAGTTGGAAATCACTCGTAGGCACCGAATTGATATTTGATGACTACGGAGAATTGATTGGAAGAGTTAAGGAGCATTTAGTTTGTAATGAAAATGTCAAGTTGGTGCCCAAGAGGGAAGAGATTAAGAAGGAACCTAGGAAAAAGAAGCCTGATGAAGATGCGAAGATGGATGTAGATGTCGACGCCGATGCCGATGTCACGACTGAGACACTGCAAGCAGAAGAAAAGCCCGCTGACAATTCAATCCCTACTGAATTCCAAACCCAATTCTTTAAACGTGCCATGAAAGAAGCTCAGAAAAAGGAGGAACAGTAGATATTCAGTATTACTTTATTAATTAATATACAATTCTATAACTTTATTTCTTATTAACAACTAATCTCTGGAGATGTTCCATATAAGTTTGTAAATTCAAATCATCAGTGAGGACATCATAAGGACTAGAGGAGCTGGTACCTCCTACACCACCACCAACAAATTGGTTAACATTGGATGCGTAGTTAGTGGAAGGATTCAATTTAGCCATAAGGAATCTTGCCTGGGATCCATTTTCATCACAATCAATGAAACGTGGCAACGGGAATCTATCCATAAGCAAAATCATTGCTTCTTGTTTAGGTGCCTCGAGGAAATCCTTGAAATAGGCAAAGTCGGCTTGTTCATGATACCCAGCATTTCTCCACGCGGCGATTTGCGAACCGTGGTAAATCAAGATTTGGAAAAAGGTATCAAGGAGAAGAATCTTGGAAGGCCCCAAACTAAGCGAGTCTAACATGACGGGAATCGGTTCGGTATTTTCATCATTCCAGTCATTTATGTCATAGGATAATAATGTTGGTTGAACCATTATTAATGAGTTCGACGTGTCTTCATGCATAAACAAATGTCTGATATAACTGGTTTCATCAGGAGAATTTCCAAACACATTGATGAATGGTGATCTTCGAAGATGATAAATGAATTGAGGAAGAAGATTGTAAATCGAACTTAAACGGAACAGTTCTGGCTGGGCCATGGTGTACACAGCGAATCGAGCACAGAAATCAACAAGCAATTGGTCCAATTGTTTAAGGAGGACCTCTGTTGTTATTTGATTAGAACATTCAGGAGAAAGCTTATATATGGATTTTCTGGCAATTAATACAAGTGCGGCTTCTTGGTCAAATCCTGGTTCGAGGTTGAGTGTGTCAGAATCGGCTACGATTGGTAATGCAACGGTAGTTACTCGTAACCTCATCTCACCACTGGGGTGCTGATAATGGAATAGGAATTGGATAGTAGATGCACCTCCAGAAGAATCCAACTTTTCAAGGAAAATGGCATATGTGGATTGTGGATTAACATTACAAAGTTTAAAAGAGTTGGTTCCTGACTCACCAATCTTGGAATCGTTATGAATGGAGAACATCCGGCTATTATGAGTAATGGTTTTATTAAATGGCAATGCGGTAGCATTACCCAACAATCCTTCAATTTTCAAATCAGGAGAAGTTTTGATTTCCAAAGTGGCATTGAATCCCATATCCAAATATTCGTCTTGATCTTTCTTGAAAAATCTAAGGAAACTCTGTTTGAAAATTGTGGTGGTGAATGAGTCACTCATGACAACAACCCCACCAGTCTTGTAACAAACTTCATCCATTTCAAATAAACCAATTTGATCATAACTACCAATAAAATAGTTACAACTCAAGCCCAACTTGACTAAATTCTTGGTCACTTCCTTGTAGAACTTCTTTGCATTTTGGAAAAGAGAAATGTTAGACTTGGTATTGGAACTTGCTGTGGATGTAGTTGGAAGCATGGAATGGTACGACTTTTCAATTTCATTGTGCGATCTCATTGGTTCCTTCAACGCCTGATCAACAATTTTCCCAGGGCCAACAGTACATACTCCAGAAGAGAACACAAGAAGGTGTCCACCAGTAGTAATAATATGATTTCCCAAGATAGCTCTTAATAACAAACTAGCAATGTTTATGGCACTACCGGTACATCTTTCTGGACGTTGAGTAAACTCATCTCGAGGGAACAAATTAGGGGTAAGCGATTCAATAATCCTGGTTAATTGATATTCACCAATGTTTACTGGAGTCAAGAACTTCTTACCGACCACGCCAAGAATGGTATCCACACTTGCATGGGTAGCACCAGCACTAGCAGCACCGGCACTGGATAATCCAGTCAGTAACATACCCAAGGAAGCCTGAATTTGTTCCAAAGTATACTGCTTGCTTCCATTGAATCCATAGCTTACATTATCACCATTGGCCAAGTCATGGATACGAACATGTTTCCCGTAACTGATGAACCCAACAAGGGCATCTTCCGGCAAAAGACTTAACGACACCACTAAACTTTCCTTCAATTGGGCCAACGCATCCTGATCACCTTCTTCAAAACAAGTGTCAACGACATAAAAGAAAATTGGAGGCAATGGAGCCTGTTTACCCGTTTTATATTCAACTGTGGAATATTCGGGAGTAACACTGGGGTGTAATTGGGGAACTCCATTGACGTCGAATAAAGGTGGGAGTTGGTTGGACGACAGACAGCAAGGACATGTCCATATTTCGTTGTTGATAAACACATATGGATTAAGGATGGTACGACATCCACGACAGGATACAAGATACGACGGATCTTCCAATAATGGCACCATCGGGTCGGCTTTGTTGTTCAAGGGAGTGTACAATGCACCCAAGGGGATAATGTTTCTGTCATGTTGGAGCTTTGACTTGGGAAGACGGTTCCAGGAGAGCCTGACTCCATCTTGGTCTTCTCGTGCTTCAAAGTCCATGTTGTGGATAAGGTGTGGTAAATGTGGCTATTGTGATCAATACGACTTTGAAATTTTATCTAATAGGGTTGCGAGGTCGTGTGAACGCGCCCAATAAAACGGAAATCTTAAAAGTGTGAAAGTGGTGTGGACTGCTGATTGGTAACAACAAGGCTGAGATCTTAGACAATAGGAGTTACCCTGCCTGGAAAAAACAATAACACCACCGCTTAGGGGGGAGAGGGAGGGAAGGGCCTTTGTCTATTTTAACACCCAGGAAAACCGCCGAGTTTGCAGCTGATTTATAACGAGTGCTGTAGTGGCGCATGTTGTTGTAGACCAATCCACTTGTTGCTAATTCTGTTCACCGTGAGGAAATTTGTTCTTATTGTGCATCACATTACCCTTGAACAGTTTCAAGAACAGTTCTGTATCGACAAAGACACGACACTCGGTTAGACGACACTTGGTTAGACGACACTCGACTATGCTACACTCGGCTATACAACATCACTAAAGTTGTGAGTTTGTCAGTGTCATTGATAAAAGAAAACAAACTCACCATAACTTCGCAGGAAAAGCCAATTCTTGTTTGAAACTGCCTGGATTGAAAATTCAGACATGTATCAACTGGATAATACCCAGAAGAAGCAAACACTCTACAAACGTACGCCAATTCAATGTAATAATATATATTAGGAAATTACAGCTAGGAAATAATTATACCAATTTAGAAGTATCTAGCCACGGAGCCTAATAGTTTAACCTGGAAATTAAATCGAGTGGGCTATTCCGAGCAAAACAGATATTGTAGAAGTATCTCGATCTAGAGCCAGGTTATTCTTGCAGCAAACCATCAAACTAAACCTATAACCAAACCATCACTAACCTATAATACGTATACAGTAGCCATTATGTAGCTTACTATTATTGATTCTCCCTTTTAGTAGAGTCGGGAAAGAATAGAGTATAAAATTTTGTTGGGATCCAAGACGAGGGAGATCTGGAGATATTTATAGTTGGGAGGGAAAAAAAGACCTTTGGAAGCAATGTACTCTGGAACGAATCAATTGGATAACGAAAGTTCTATTTTCAGAGAGGGGAAGATTCTATGACTAATATTGACTATTTACTTTAGACGGAAACGTAAAAAATCGTGAGTTTATGACTAATTTAGCAGGTTCACGAGAGAGGAATGTAAATAGATATTAGTCACGGGATAGTAAACAACAACATTTATAATTAGTCACATTAAACAGCGCCATTCATAATTAGTCACATTAAACAGCAACATTCATAACTAGTCACAGTAATCAGCAACATTCATAACTAGTCACAGTAATCAGCAACATTCATAACTAGTCACAGTAATCAGCAACATTAACAATTAGTCACAATAAACAACAACATTCACAATTAGTCACAGTAAACAACAACATTCACAATTAGTCACTGTAAACAATTAAATCAAACTACAAATATCAGCTGGATTTTACGTATCCAATTAATTTCCTATTCAATAACTAACGATGATATTACAAGAAACCGCGCTTAATTCCCTTAAAGGAGTGTATATTGACCCAAAGTGTCAATCTGCACATGATGTAATATCCCAGGACACAGTATATACCTTCATGTTAGAAATGATTCATTTGAACTATATTTTAGAAAAACCAGTAATTGACGATTTGTGTAAGTTATCCTCGGTAGAAGGTGGTAAATTCCTCAAGGATTTCTTATCGATAATCCAAAAAAACATTGGTGCCCATGTCAAGTATGAACCTATGTATCCTAATTTCCCTCAGCAGGTAATGAATGCTTCTGATGTTGAATTGGTTCTCAATGCCATTTTGCACTACTGGTCGTTTGGTGCATGGAGACCTGTATACATTAAAGAGAAGCGGGTGGAACTTGACGAAAAGAACCCGTTGGAAAAGTTGAAATTGATTTCATTGGATGATTTAAGAGAATATTTCATTACCTTGATCAATTCAAAAACTGGTATTCCAGTCATATATGACGAGTTCATTCGAGAAGGACTTAACCTTGGCTGGTTTGAGGATTACAAGGCTAAATTCCCAGAGATTCCATTCCGAGTAACATCATGTAAACTTGCTGTTGAATGTTTGAAACAAGGCAAGTCGATTGATTATTTTGTCAAAACAACAACAGATGTATTGCGAATAATGGCAGTTTATTCTGGCCAACCACCAGAATTGGACAAGGTTGTAAAATTCAAATCAATGAGGAGGAAGGAGAGGAGAGTTTTGATTCAGAATTTGGAAAGAGTGATTAGTGTAGAAGATGTCAAACGTCATACTTCTATCTGGATAAGGGCATTTCATTGTCTTCATGTTGGTGAATATGGTGGCAAAGTCAATGAGATTGCTTCAAGGTTCAGAAATGAAAACAATGTTGCTACCAAGAATACCGCCTTGTGCAAGGCAATTGAAGCTAGTGATATAGACACTGCGGTAAAAATTCTCAAGAACCTTCCCTCCATGTTTGCTAGATATTTGGACAAGCTATTACGAGATTCACAGCATGATCAGGAAACGTTATTGGAATTCTCCAACATTGCCGCTGGTGTTGAATCCAAGATCTTGTTACAAGCATTAGGTCATTTCAAAGGAAACAACAAGGTTGAACAAAAGACCGTATTTGCTAAACTGAAGTTAATATTGATTGAGAAAAAGGAAAACCAAAAGGTATTGGCAAATTCAGTAGCAGTAAAAGTAGTTGACACTATTCGAAAGGCTTTGGTTGAAAAATACAAATTATTGAATCATTTCAATAAGGATCTGAAAGTATATATTACCAAAGAAGCAGAAGGGATTTTGCTTCCAATGCAGCTCAACACTGGAAGCAATTCCAATAAGAGATCAATAGCTCGTGGTTCACGGTTATTACCTAATGAGGCTGACTTGGATAAGAATATAATCAGGTTCTTTGTTTATTGGGTAGGACGGGACATTGATCTTTCTGGGGTCTTTCTTGCAGAAGACTTGGAAACAACAAGCTATATAAACTATACTAATTTAAGGGAAGGTTATGCTGTCCATTCAGGAGATATTACTTCTGCACCAAACGGTGCCAGTGAGTTTATCGACATTGATATAACTAAAGCATTGGCTGATGGTTTCAGATACGTTGAAATGAGCGTAAGAGTATTTCTGGGACCAAATTTTGTTGAGCATGAAGAATGTTTTGCTGGTTATATGATGAGACAGGAAGCGCAAGCCGGCGAAATATTTGAACCATCAACTGTTAGAACTAAAATGGACTTGGTGTGTGAAACTAGAGATATCAATCCATTTATGTTTGATTTGGTGACAAAGGAACTTATATGGTTAGATATCCCATCACATCCTAAAGTGTTTGGTCCAAATAATGTTAATGTAAATATCAATCAAATTAAGGAAACATTGAAGGCAAGCCTTGAATTACCATTGTTGAAAGTGAATATGAGGGAGTTATTGGATTTGCATGTAGAAGCTGGTTCTGCTACAATTGTTGATGATCCCAAAGATGCTAATTTCGTAGTTGGATTAGGTGATGGCGATTTAGATCTTTATGATTTTGCAACCATAAATTCCAAATGGATATAGTTGGGTTATATAGTGATGTAATATACAGGAATCGATCCGGGGAAATTCTGCGTCGAGAGCTACCAAACGAAACCGTAAATAAAATTTTCAAGTCAGGCGATTGGGGGGATTTGTAGAGTTTAACCAGGGTTATTTACACACAATGTTACGAATCGCACGCTTCAACTCATTAAGATCAACTAGATGCATACGGCCAAGTGCACCGGTTCGTTTTAAATCTACAGCAACGAAGCAACACGTTGATCTCTCAATTGCCAATCGTAAGTCCACCATCGTCTCCCAAACGGAGCAGTACTACCCACCGATTGACAAAGTGAGAAGCAAATTCCCCAATACTAAACTCATACGTATATCCCAATTCGTCAACCAATTCGATTCATTTGATTTCAGCGCTCTTGAACACAAACGAACTGCAGAACAGTATAACCTTGAAGGGAGAATAGTTAGTATTCGTGCCCAATCCAAGGGGCTATTCTTTATCGATATTGTGCAAGATGACGTTCAAGTTCAAGTCAAGGCCCTTAATCAAATATTGAACATGGAGAAAGAAGAATTCGGAAAGGTTAACCTGTGGTTTAAAGTCGGCGATTACATTAGTTGTAATGGGTATGCGTCCCGTACTCCTGCAGGTCAGTTGACTTTAACTTTAAGTGATCCTATTGAAATCTTGTCTCCTGTATTGCACGAGATTCCCAACAAACTCGTGGACAAAGGTAATATAAGCTCCCATCGATGTGTTAACTATTTGGTCAATCCGGAGAGTAAACACCCTATAATTGCCAAATCACAGTTAATCCAATCCATGAGACAATTCTTCATAAATCGGCAATTTTTGGAAGTGCAAACTCCAATATTGAGCGGTGAAGGAACAGGGGCACTTGCATCCCCCTTTGTAACTCATATGAAAAATACCGAATCTACCCCGGTGAGATTAAGGGTCGCTCCTGAATTGTGGTTAAAGAAATTAGTCATTGGTGGATTTGACCGAGTTTTTGAAATTGGTCCTAATTTCAGAAATGAAGGAATCGATCGAACCCATAATCCGGAATTCACCAGTTGTGAATTCTACCAATCGTTTACTAGTTTGTCTGAAGTGATGAAATTGACGGAAGATTTATTTGCTCATTTGTACAAAACATTGCCTAATATGGAGCATTTACAACTGTTTAATAGGGAATTCCCCAAATACGAATTTGTTCCAACTATCGAAGCCAAAACAGGAGTATCAATGCCAAAGAATTTTACCGTGGAAGCCTTGTATGACTACTTTCAACAAATCAACTTGGCACCATTGCCCAACCCCAATCCAGTAGCATTACTTGACAGATTAAGTCAAGTATACCTTGAGTCTATCTCATTGGAGACTCCCAACACACCAATAATCATATACAACCAGCCGGAAATCATGTCTCCCTTGGCCAAATCATCCCAGGGTATCTCACACAGATTTGAATTGTTCATTAATGGACAAGAGTATGTAAATGCATATGAAGAAGAAAATTCGCCCGTGGATCAGTATGAAAAATTCAAGATCCAACAAAGGGCCAAGGACGAATATAAGGATGACGATAGTATTGTTCCTGACTGGGAATATGTCAAGAGTATGGAATATGGATTGCCACCTACTGGAGGATGGGGGTGTGGAGTTGACAGATTGGCAATGTTGATTAGTGGCTGTGATAGAATTGATCAAGTTTTACCATTTGGGAACTTGAAAGATGTTATTAGACAATAGACACGATTTGTCATACCATTATTGTATATACTGTAAATAGAACCGAAATCTACGTGAATAATATTCTAATCTCGTATATTAATGCAAATGCAAATGCAACTTACCTAGCAACTTACCTAGCTATGATGACTACTCTAAAAACTCTTGGAAATCTCATACATTGCTTCTTTATGATTTAACAAAGTTCTAGCAGCACGACTCATGGCCTTCTTCTTGGAAGAGTCTTCCGCTGAAACAATTGTAACCCCTCTAATCTTCAACGTAACAATATGTTTATTATCACTGGTTTTTGAAACAATGTATGTTGGTTGAACCCGAGCTTTTTTACCGATTAATGCATACAACTCATTTTTAGCCTCATGATCCAATGGCAAGGAATAATCTGGTTCTAATGGGAAGCAACTGGTACGGATAGGTGATGGCGGTGGCAATGGGGGTAATTTTGCCGCTTCGGCTAATTCCTGTTGAATCTGCTTAAGCTTCTCTTCCCGTTTGAGTTCCTTTAATTCATTACGACGTTTACGAATGGGTAATTCGATTTCTTGTCTGTGAAGATAGTACTTTTCCAACTTCTCTTCATGAGACAATGCATCCATGGCAGCACGAAGACTAGCTTCCTTGATTGAATTACCAGATCCAGATCCGAGAAGTTCACCTTCCATGGTACAATTAACCACGAAATCCACGCCTGTAACGGGATTCCCCTGCTGAATGGTTCTGTATTGCGGGTGGGATTCATTGGTACCAATCATGGAGTACAATTGCGTCTTGGCCTCACGGTCAATTGGAGGTTTGATATATGTGTCCCGCAAGTTGTTAAGCATGGGAGTATACAATTGGTCCAACCATTGACGAATATCTTCAAGATCAAGATCGCGCTCCACGGCCAAGGCCCCAATATATGCTTCAAATACATCGGCAAATAGCTTTTGATCAGGAGTCACAGCCAAGTCAACGATGGAAGTTTTGAGTCGTTTATCCATTCCATAAGCTAATGAAAAATGACCCAAGGTCTTGTTGTTGACTAGATCAGATCTAATCTTCAGCAATTGACCTTCAGATGCAGTGGTGAACATATTATAGATGATTATTGTGACTAATGTGTTTAGAATGGAATCACCGAGGAATTCAAGACGTTCGTTGTGGCCATTGATTGTAGTTTCCTCGGATGTCAGTGAACGGTTGTTCATGTATGATCTATGAGTGAAGACCCTGGCTTCAAGTACAGGGTCACGAATAGGCGGTAGTGGAGGAAGGTCAGAAGAGTCAACGCCATCAGCTTGTGCAGTGTTAATTATAGGAGGCACTTCACATACTAAGTTTTCTTCTTGTAATTGTTTAAGCAGTTCCATATCAGTATCAGTCATGCCAATCTTGCCGGTGATGATTTCATCAAAAATAGGCAATTTTCCAATCTTGTACCTTGATTTAATTCTAGCCGCCATAGTAATCAATTCATTATGCTGGAATTCAATAGCAGCGCCAGAGTCCAAACTGTCAACCACTAATTTCAACTGATAAATGTCAGGGGCCTGTTTGGTGATCAACTTCAAATTCTTTTGTAGCTGTTTCGCGGCGTATTCTAATTTAGCTACATCCATTATACTAACACCGCGGGTTATTGGTTTGTCAAATACAGGTGGAGCCGGGGGTGGTAATAATTCAGCAAATGGATCACCAACTTTGGGAATTTTTAGTGGTGGTTCGCCAGGTTCCAGTATAGTAATTTCACCAATTTCAGAAGTGATAAACTTGCGTTTACCGGTTTCAGATGCAGTTGTGGTAGTAGTATGTTCAGTTTGAAGTATAGGAGTAGGTGTGACCATAGTAACCGACTCAGGGGTAGAACTACTTTCACATCCTGATGTAATGGACCCAGCAGCTTCAGCTTCAGCTTCAGATGTGTTTTCACAAATAGGTACCATCGTGGGTTCTTCGGTAGTCAGCAGAGGTGCGGGATCAGGAGTATGGGTTGACGTGTCATCCATGTCTTCAATAGTGGCAGCAATATCATCACTGTTGACTTTAGGTTGAACCAAACCAAGTGAACTTATGAATCGGTTAAAACTATCAACAGAACGCAGACTTGTATCAGAAGTACCAATTAATGGACGGATCATTATTGCATTCTATTTATTTACCCAACGTGACCATATGGAGTAAGATTGCAATTTTGGCGTCTTAAAATTTGGCTGCCGTTTTTAAATTAGAATATTTATTTTTTTTTTTTTTTTTTTGGCTGTCTCAACTTTGTTAGAGAGATTTAGAAGCTGCATAAGAATTTGGGTGGCTTGGAGATTTACTACTGAAGTGTAAGATAAACATGTAGTGTAAGATAAACACGTAGTGTGAACAGCAAGAATGTAATATACTAGATAAGTGGCTGTTGTGCTTAACATTTTGGAGGCAATTAAGTAGTTAATCTGTAGTAAGAATATGTGTTGAAAAGTGATGGCAATAAAAAGACCAGAAAATATTTGTACATAGCAAGCCACGACACATGACAAGGGCTTATATGGTCTAGTTTGAGCTACATTGTCCAAGTTTCCTAGAGTAGTAGATCTTTTGTATATCACATGATAGTTCGGAGAACAACAAGCATTCTTCTCCGAAATCTCGAACATTGTGGGATGAAAATTTGATGTATTAATACGACAACAGCACTAACAAAACACAGGTAACACACTGGAATGAGATTAGATAAAGTGCATATTTGCCCATCATATCGGTTGATACAGCCGAACGAGTATGCTGATTAAACGACTACCGGTTCACTGAAACAGGCAAGAATGTTTTTTTGCATTTTATTTATTTTTTTTTCTTGGAGTTTCCTTAGACCAGGAACAATCGACTTGCAGGGCAACATAACCACCAACTGGATAAGCCACATCAAGGCGACAAGAGGTTAGCTCGTGGGATACACCTGCATTGCTAGATGGATGCTTAATTATCATTACAGAATAACAACAAAAAAAGTTAAACTCAAAATGAAACTCGCCGGTTATGATAGTGAATCTAGTACATGGAGTTACAAAAAAAGTTGCAGTGAGAGGGGGAAGGGGGGCAGCGGCGGCGGCGACGGGAGGAGGAGGAGGATCATACCATATTGAGCCCGTGAACAGTAAAGGGTTATCAACAAAAAGAATAATGCCAAAACAATAGAGCGAAAATACCAACACTGGATGTTCGTAGATTAACATTCCGATTTGACATGAACGGTAACCTAATCAACTTCCGGTCAAACAGTAAACGAGAAATTCACTTACATTTACGCTTGCTAGCGTAGTTCGTTTCAAATGAAAATTAGACTATTTTTTTGCGTTTCTTTTGCTCACCTTTTTTTTTAGTTACCATTATTTTTTTGGTATTTATTTGTTTGGGGGAAAATTTATTTTTTAACACGTCTCCCATATGTCTGTCTGGGTGTCCTCTGCGTCTCACTTGCTCACTTTTGCTCCAGTTGTCAATAAATGCACCATTTTAAAATTTAAAATTTGAGAAAAAACTTTAAAGTTGAAGAATCAAACCGTGATGGGGATGTGGGGGACGGCTAACCAAAATAGCTAAACTGGTTGTACACAGCGTAGTTTACGTGTTTGGCTTACGAGTCGTATTCAGGAATGCTACATTTGTGGATATGTACAATGACTAAGTTTTTTCTTAGAAAATCTCGTTGTTTATTGTCGTCAAAGGATTTAAAATATTTTTTTTATTTTCTTTTATTTTTTTCTGTATTTACATTTAATATTTATTTTTTTTTTATTTGATCTCACTCGTTTTTTTTTCCTCTAACTTTCGTTCGATTTTCGTTGGCCCAAAAAAGTGAAACAATTTAAACAACAACAAGACGTAGGAATAACGACAGTCAAAAAGTATAATCACATTATCTTCCGACAGACACTTATTTATTTATTAAACCACAATGAGGAAGATTTGGAAACGAGAGAAGGAACGAGGGATAACACGGATATCCACCAGAAGATCAAGTCTATCAGCCACACCCAACTCACTAACGCCCCAGGATTCAATCCACGAACCCACACCAAGCGCGAATGAATCGGACGACACGGTGAACTCGTTGAAGGACAACGTTGCCGTTGCTGCCGACGATAGTCTAGTCGAAGAAGACAACAACAACAACAACAACAACAACGACGGCGACGACAACACTGCCGTTGCCGACGTGGACGACGTGGTGTCGCGCGTTAGTTCCCTCATGACCGAACATAAACACCCGTCGCCAGAACGAAGACCAATAGCAACAAGACTGTTTTCCTCACTAGTCAAATCTGACTATGACTACACCACCATAAAAGTGGCGTGGATGAATGTGGTAATAAGCAACAACAGCAACAGCAACAACTCCTCCTCAGCAGTAAACAATGACCCCGGCCTATTCCGATTGTACAGAGCCGAACTCAAAGGATCAAACTTATATTTATTCAAACCAACTCAGAACATCAGAAGTTTCAAATTGGAAGAACAAGAAGAGGGTGCCGAACTAGCGCCTCAGTTGTCCCATGACGAGAACAAGCTCAAGTTGACCCTCACTTCAAACGGTTCCTCGGCATCTAACGGGATGAGTGGAGCCATGACTGCCCCGGCCAATATGTCCATGTTTGAACTGACAAGCCTTTCCTACTCAATCACCCACAGCTCCAGTCTGATTCATCCTAATTTGCAATACGACGAAACGACCCGTACATTCACCAGCTACCGATTGTCATTAGAACCAATTACACCCCCAGGCACCAATTCTATCGAAGCCATCCTTCACTATATACTAATATACTCCAACAAAGAAGATAACGTTGATATGTTCATTGAGCTACTTCCGTTATTGCCTGACTTCGGGTCGATATTGACACTATTGGCAAATATGCTTGACGCAGTATATGCAAATAAATACGGAGAAGTGGATTTACACCAAGTTGTCAGCCGAGTGTTGAGTATATTGAACAACATCGATAAAAACTTCCCCGGGTATTTACTCAAGTCAGATATTGCTCCTTACATTTTACGAATTATTGAGATATTAACTAGCAAACTTAAAGATGCTGAACTAAAAGAAATTAACCAATTCAAAACGAAAATGTTACATCAACAACATAAACTTATTGACTTAGTAGGGAATAACACCACGGGAAACCCACTTATGCAGTTGAATGCCAATAGCTTCCTAACACTTAATATCATGGAATTGTCAAGATTCATTCTGGAAATTGACTTGAAGTTTTACAGCCTGTGGAATCCAACTATTGACAAATCATTACTTGTGAAACAACAACTAGACACATTCTATAAGAAGAACCCATTGGTATTCAACGACACACACATCCACTACTTGTCAAGACTTTTAATAAATCATATACTTGTTGAAATCCACGACTATGAGTTTAAAGCTAGAGTGCTTGAAAAGTGGATTGATTTAGCATGTTTGTTGGATAAATTAGGTGATATGAATTCGTGGTTAGGTATATCTTCGGTCATTGTCTCGCAGCCTGTTCTTCGATTAACTAAACTATGGAATCATGTGTCATTGGATTACATCAAGCTTGTTCGTAATGATTGGTCACCGGTGTTGTTTGAACTTGATAAGAACAGCTTTAATGACTCGGAAGAATTGCATGTGATTGCTTCTCGAGGATTAGGAAGAATATACCCTAAGGAGAAGATTATTCCATATTTCGGCGATTTGACTATTGAAGTAAACAATACCGTTGATATCAAAGAGTTGAACATTCAAATGAACAACATTAATTATAGCTTAAACCGATGGCACGAATATTTGCACCATATTGAAAACAGCAAGGATGTGTTGGAATACAATAATCAAGTCTTGTTGCGATATGACAATATGGGATTTATCTTTTCCAATGAATCTTTAAATCAAGTGCTTTATCTTGGTGGAGATGAGCCAGTTAAACCAATTGAAACCACAGTAACAACGAGAAAACCTCTTCATCCAGAATTGAAATTGATGTTACTTAAGTTGGTTGATATCAACAGTGATAGCATGAATATGGAAGGTGTAATGAAACTTTCACTCAAACTTGAACCAGACTTGACTGAATGCTATTTACAAGAATCTCCCAAGAATCATTCCACAACTTCACTCAATTCAATTGATTCTAGCGATGATCCAAGCATGAAACTACCAAACTTCAATAACAGTTATTTCAAGATCAACACTAACGAAACTAATGACATGATTATCCTGGAAAGTTCAGAATTACAAATTGACGACGAACTCATTTTGAAAGTGACACAAAACACTACTGCTGATGGTTTAGGAATTGATGTGGAGGATATTTTAAACGGAGTGACCACGTCTAGTGATAAGTTTATTCCTAAATATGGCACCCTCGATAGATTGCTTGATTTATTGGTTTGCGATAGTAGCTGGTTCATTGATAGTGTTAAATTGGATTTACAAGAATATAGAAGTGTTTTCTTGTTAAATTATTATGCTTTCATAAGCACTCATGATTTGTTTGAGAAGTTGACTTATCGATTCAAACATGCTGAAAATGCCGTCAGTAGTTTGCGTGGCCAATTTCCTAATTGGGAAGCACCTGTCAATGAAAATCTTACCATCAAAGACTACAGTAAGATTATGAGTATTCAAATCAATATCATAAAGGCATTAATTGTGATCATCAACAACTTTTACCATCCAAATTTCACCACTGATTTGTCCAACCGTACAGTATTCACCTCGCTATTAAAACTTATTAATTCCACCATTGTGTCATATTATACAAATACCATTCATACTGAACAGTTTGACAATTTAATAATGTATTATAAGAAATTAAAACAATTATATGTTAAGAAGCTGTATCGACCAATTGAACAACTGAAATTTGACGTTTATTTAAATCATGAATTCAAGTTTAATAATTCACTCCTGGATGTTCCAATTAATAGAAATTTACCCGGTCATAGCAACATTCATAAGATTGAAAAATTCTTGGTTAAATTTAACAAGTTCTTGTTTGTATTTTACAAGGGAATCACCATCGAAGATTGGATGAAGGTTTATCGGATCTTGGAAACAATGTACTACAATAATGATTTGTTGAATGTTGACTTGCAAAGGAATAGCACCGCTGATGAGCAATTGATTATTCTGACTGTATTCACGTATTTGGAGAGCTTATCTGATGATACAGGATTAGTTATTGACAGATTCCCCTTGGTGTTTCAAAAATTGTTCAAGTTGTACTGCAAGTTCAAGACCTATCTTTTGATACAATTGAGTAATATAACCGTGGAAGAACGTCTTGATAGAATGAAGGCCTTGTTAATCATGGCGAAGATTGCCAATATGAAGCGGAAACAATTTGAATTTGAAGGTACATGCAGCACCATTCCCAGTTTTATTGAAACTGCAATCACAAATGTGATTCAATCACGGGTGAGTAGGTCATACTCTTCACTTTGGATTGAAGCTTCAAGACAGTTAAACCCAGCCCATGCTGCCAATTATGATGATATTACAAGTTTATTCCCTAATTTGGACAAGTCCGAGTTGAATAATGACGAATGTTTATTACCTTGTTTTGGGTGGATAATTGAAAACCTCATTGAAATTAATAGAGTCCCCTCATACAAACTAAATATGATTAATTTTAACAAGCGCCATTTGGTGTACAAACTTATCAAGGAGTTATCGATTGAAGATTCGGATATCACCAAACATGATACCCGTGAATTTGATTTCTTGTTGAGATTAGACGAGAGGGTTAAGTTTAAAGTTAGTATGGATAATAGTAACCGATTATTCCGTTCACTTATAAGAGAACAGAAGCGGATACTCATGACTGATAACCAAAAGAAAATAATCAAGAAGTCAATCAATAGCCCAACAGTTATGCATTCCGTTGCCAAGAAAAGTTCTACAAATTCGTTGAAACGACAATCATTGAAACCTAATGGAACTAGTAGTTCAAACAAATTTAAATTAACTGGATTATTTAATAGAGCAAGACCATTGTTAAGTTCGGAGCAGAAAATCCTTGCCGTGAAAGATTTACCACCACCCTCCATTGACAATTGTCAATATAAGAAACCAGTCGTGGTGCCATTGCGTAATCGCAAGATATTCCCTATATATCATATGAGACATTGCTTCAAACTTGATAGTGATGTCACTAACGACAGTTATTTGTTACAGGCCGTAACTGAAGACGATGTAAATGATTGGTTAATCAAGTTGGACTATGCTAATAGGCATTGGTTTATGTCTAGAATAATGAATAGTACTGTGGCTAAAAGTGTTACTTTTGGAATTCCCTTGGGTTATCATGGCGATTGTCCTAAAGTATTGACCATCTTGTTTGATATTATAGAATTAGGATTGGATGAAGTCGGGATATATAGAATTAGTTGTTCAACAAGTGAATTGCTTAACATGAAGGCTTATATTGATAGATATGGCACTGTGGAGAGAACTATTGATACTCATACAGCCACATCACTTGTCAAAGCATATTTCCGAGAATTGCCTGATTCGATATTCACTGATGAAGTAATCAACTTGCTTTTTGAAATTCGTCAGAATCTAACTTCCGAGAAATTGATTGAAGTATTGGCCAAGCTTCCACAGGCTAATTACACCACCTTGAAAACATTGACTAAGCATTTGAGTAAAGTGTGTGAAAATCATGAAATTAATAAGATGACCTCGTCTAACTTGGCTACCGTGATTGCTCCGGCTTTGACTGAATCAAGTCATTTACAATGTTTGGTTAATAACTTTGGGTTTATGAATAAAATTATGGATAATTTAATTGAGATGTATGATGATGTGTTTGAAGGTTAGATATTGTATACTAATAAATAAATATTAAACGGTTATCTAAATGCTTGTATATGCGAATTTTGATTCTTGGAATATAACCTAGTTTCGAGAATTGAAACACTGCTTGTAACTATATTCCTCCAGAGCCTTACAATATTATTGTTTCTATACAGACATTATTGAATAAGAGTATGAAATTTTATATCAGCAAAACTATAAAGGCATATCAATCCTTGGAGCAGAAAAAAGGATTATAAAATTCAAGAAGTTCATCATAATAGGTGTTGTTTAACTTTGCTTGTTGGATAAGGGAACGATGTAATACTGGCATCATATAAATGCGACTTTGAGTAGAATTATCTGTACTTTTTGTACTTTTGATAGGATAAGTTATGGAGATGACATTGTCAACGAAGTCAATGATAATGAAAAGAAACACAAATAAAACCATACATATATATATATATATTCAAGTGGGTATATTGGCCGTGCTATTGGTAAATAAGGAATAGGTCTTATCAACGTCATAAGAGACTCCTTTTTCCAGATCTCAGTTCTCACTAGATTTCCCTGGTTTGGAAGGGTTTGACTCTGATGATTCGATGTAATTTCCTTAACTTGATGGTTCAGTTGTTAATTTGACTTTTTTAGCTTGTTTATTCTTTTCCTTAACAATCTGGTATGATTCCTTCTTGGTATCTGGGATGATCTTATTGCTTTTGTTAGTGTCTTCATTAGAAGTATTACCACTAAAATGGTTCAGTTTTGAAGATGAAGAATATGGGGGAACAGAAGGTACTGCTTTTGGTGCGGGAGTATCTTTTGTATCCTATGTTTTGTTCTTATTTTGGGATTATGACATTGTAAGATTAGATGCCGAAGGAAAGAAGTTGTAAACTTATTTGAGTTTAGATTTTTTGCAACTGCGTTTTATAGCACAATTTTCGCAACCATTTTTATTTAAATGCTGCATAACCTTTGCTAGTATTCCCCAGACCTAGCTTGGGATAGATAGTCCAATAATATATATCTGTATATTTGTTGGTCTTTATATAATTTAGTTTTGAGGTGCTTCTATTTTGAGGTTTATTATGTTATTCTGCTGATAGGGTTAGCTCAGCATAACCTTAGCCGGCTCAGAACGTTAAATGTTACATTTATATAAATATCTTGCTTTTAAAATGATACTACCCATAAAATTATGTTTGACTGGATACATAGACGCTCTTTTGTCTGAAAACAATAATAGTCACGAGAAATTTATGTTATTCCTGCTTGGTTTGTATAATTAGGAACATTTGAACCATAATTTCGAGCATAATTTACTACGGTGTATAACAGAAATTGCGGCAAACTTAATGTGCAACAAACTTGATGACTATATATAAAATAGATAAATAATTTGAGAAAAATGTGTGCCTTTACATTAGATACAATACGGTTATTGCGAATCACTCTGTATTTGATCATTAATCTAAAAAAAATTGGACCAGCTATCAACTGTAGTACATCGCAAAAGTAAAGATATACCGGCTCCGAACGACTCTGATAATTTCACAGCACTACCGGATGATATTCTTCTTGAAATTTTAAATCATCTTAATCAAGTAAATGTGTGCAATATTTGTCTTTTAAATTCAAGATTGTACATTTTAGGGAAATCCGAATTGCACCAATCTATTTATATCAATAGTGAAAGCAACCTTCCTATTCTAATTAATGCTGTGAGATACTCTCCATTCTATATCATCTTTACAGTTGTGAATGGAAAGAATACGATGATAGATTAAATCAACTTGTTTCAGTTGGGTTGTACCAGTTACCTGATCAAAATTTGAGATTATCAAATTCGTTGACCTTTTCATCTGTTTGAAAACTGTCCATAGTCTTGTTTTGATCTCACGACCCATTCAATTGGATCAAATAATGAAACAATTGAAATCAAAATCATTACACTCACTCTATTTGAAAGCAATTGGTAAAACCCCTGAAATGTTCTTCATTAGAAATATCTTGAATCAACAGTATTTGAAACGATTATCTATAAATGGAGTAGGTTCAACCTGCTCATCTTCATGCAATCCCGTACTCGAAGAATTTAACGGGATCTTAAAAGTTAATCAAGGGGAAATAACACCCGATAAGTTATCTCATGAGATATGTTATATTAGATATCCATTAGACGGTGGTGCAAGATTCAGTCAATTAAATCAAGTCTTAGTGAATGAAGATCGTTATTTCATCTATAGAAAGACCAATGGAAAGATTTATATTTCTCCTTGTAATAAATTGGTTCATGAAACCTTTAAGGATGAATAAGCAAGATTTACTTGGAGTTGATGCATCTAATCAAAAAAAAAGTCAAAAATTTGGTCGTTATTATTACATTTTTACTATAGTTCTATATATATACAGGTTTTTACTTAAGCAATTTCAAAAGATGACTTTCCGAAATCTGGAGTACCACCATTGGTACCAAAAATATCACCAACGTAGTTCTTGGAAGAGTACTTCTTACCGTCAGCATAGACCTTTTCCCAGTTGTTAACAATGTCCTTAACAATTGGTTCACCGGCTAATACCAAGTTATCCAAACTAGCTTGGATACCACCATCAGTACGGTTAAAGAAGTAGTCAATGGCATTCATGGTTGGAGGTGGTCTAGAGAAATCAGAAATGGTTCTCATAACCATAACTCTGTCGAAATCAACTAAACCATACTTGTCCAATCTAGTGAAGGCTTCCAAGGAAGCATTGTCTTCTTGAGCAGTAGAACAATATTCACCAGTACCGTTAGTCATTAATCTAGTGAGATTGGAAAAGTAGTCGTTAAGAACATTACCACTGAAATAGTTATCAGAAGTAACAACATCACATTTAGAGACAGTTGGGTAAGCCTTGGCAGCAGCTTCTGGGTATAATTGTCTGAATTGGTGGTTTAAGTCATTACCACGAGACAAGTTAGCCTTTAAGGCCAATTCAACAGCTCTATCACGTAAGTTTTCATTAACTTCAAAGACTTCAGTACCATAAACGTTACCTGGGTAAGTATCTTGATCTTCAGTACCGTATGGAACATATCCTCCAAGCCAATCAGGATGGATGTCATGGTAATCTTCATAGGCAAACTGATATTCTAAACCAACTTGAACAGCATATTTAGCAAAAGTAACACCACCAATAGTAGTATATTGTGGTTCACCACCAGCGATACCAGCAATTAAGAAATAGGTTTTACTCAAGTCAAACAATGGGTTAAGACCTAAAGCGGTCACTGAAGCAGCAGCATTAATTTCACCTTCACCAATAGTAACTTGACAAATGTCAAAGTTTTTATCACAGTGGATAGTAGGATAAACTGGAGATAAACCTGGGACGGTAATGTTATGTGGGAAATCCATTGAGGTTAACCATGGATCACGTTCTAATTCAAACATAGAGATGACAAATACCTTTGGTTGGTAAATGGCATTTGGGCGAATAGTACTTGATTGAATGTTGTTGTTAGAGGAAACAATTGGGGATGCAAATGCAGTAGCTGCAAGTGCTAATAAGGAGAAGAACTTCATTTTGGTGATTAATGTGGTTAATCTTGAAAACAGTTTTCAACGAACTTCAGAGGAATTTCCCCAGTTTATATAGGAGCAAAAGGGATGCTCATCGAAGATCTAATTTATTATCTTTTGACTTCGTTGATATGAATCTCGTATCACATCGGTGGTTCCGATTCCTAATTAGGAAACTCATGATGTGCATAAACAATTAACATAAAAAATATTTTTTTGACATATTAAATGTCAAAGTTGGCACTTTGTTTTACTGACAATTCAGAGAAGTTTTAGTTCCTTGATTGGAACATTCTCGGAGAGTGGTAGGGGAAGTCATAGCACACCTGAGTTGTTAAAGTTGTCCAGTTTATTGCATCTCTGGTGGTTCTCGTAATACATCTTGTAAAAGCTCGGTTAGTAAACGGCATCAAAAAATAATAAAATTTTTTGTTTCTTTTTTAATTCACGCAAGAAAGATGAGATAAAAACAATGGGTCTTTGGGAATCAGCGATGCACTACTATCAGTTGTTTCGCATATAGATATCATTGTTGTTGTTATCTATAAGCCAATTAATGAGTGGCTCAATAGCATATTTATCAAAAGGAGAATAAGATAAACAGTCCATTGAAGCGGGGGAGAGCGGAATTTTCTTTACCAGAGTCGAATTTGGATGTGAAACTGTCGGAAATGGAGGATGCACTTTTGTGTAGCTTAAAGTGAAATTTTTATTCCGAAAGAGATTCCGATAAATATTACCTTAATTGTGACTCTGCACGAATGCATTTATTAATGGGGGAGGGACCCTTGTACCTTGCATTTTCTAGAACCTGGAGAAGTTCGGAAAACGCTTGGCGTAAAACTATAAGTGAGTTATAAACTAAAATTACGAAAACAAATAATTCTCACAATGCTTTGATCTTAGCAATATTTAGCTACTTTTTCTCCATCTGGTTATAACCAACTGACTTTCTTTTCAGTATGTTAATCTTAGCTAATTATCCCCTCTCTGATATTACAGTCACCTCGCTCCTGCATGCTATTTAAAGCGAATTTACTGCAAAAAATATCTTTTGCAATCTAAAAAAAAAAAAATATCGGTTCACCCAATGGAATAACACATCAATTTTGGTGCTTACATCCGATGTTCAAGCCATAGACTGGGTTGTATATTAAATTATGTTCATAATAGATTTAATATATTGTAATAACTAGTAACAATCAATGCTCACAAAAACAAAAGTGCCTGTCAAAATCGTTTTCTACATCCTGTGGTATTGATCTTTCTTTCATCAATTCTTCTCTAACAGGTCTAGCATAGTTCAAAGTCAAAGGCCATTCTTGGTTACTTTCCGATTTTAACTGTAAAATCTCTTGCTTGGTGTTATCAGGGTAAAGATAACTCAATTGTTCATCGTCCCACCATTCCTTTTGTTGAGGTGGAATTCTATCAGAACTTACAACATTACTATTGTAAGGATCAGTAATAAAGAAACAAAGAATCTTACGATGGCCCAGCTTGGTTTTATCCTTTAACTCAAAGGAATCAACATGATGCTGGTACATGTTTGGGAAAATAACTACCTTGTTTTCCTTTGCTTCAATACTACCAATATTCTTCATCATTAAATCGCTATCCTTAAGTCCGTAAAAGTGCTCCAAATAAAAAGCATCATGTTGAGCATAATTTGGCTGTGAATAGTCTGTTCTAAAGGAAAGTTTAGATTCTGAGATATTATCCATATCATAATAGTACAATACTGTGGCAACAATATCTTCATTGATTGTTCCTTCAACATGCCACGAACCACCATTATAGGAAGGATTCTCAGGAGTCAATTCAATATTTGCTAATTTAACAATTACCTTCAAACTTCCAAAAGTCCTAACATCAATAATTTGATCAAGAACTGGGTGATTTTCTTCCCAGTTGGGCCTAATTGTTTTAAGAACAAATCGGGACTTATCTTTTTCGAGATCGCTTATTTGATCGTACAAGGCTTCAATTTCTTCCTCCTTGTCTTGATCCATTTCGTCGATTCTGTCGTATATTGCGTCTTTCTCTTCATCTAATTCTTCAGTATAGGCATCTTCACCAGGTGGAACTCGAACACGAAGATGTTCCTTAGATGCATATCTACTCAATGTATAGTTCAATCCTGGGATTATTGCATTGAACACATCTTCAATTGAGCTATATAACTCTTTATGCTTAACGGGATGCAAGTTATTAATATAAGAACTAAAGGTAAATTTGCCATTATCTTGTAATTTCAACAATGCAGGAATCCATTGAAACTTTTTAGAAACTGCGTGATTAAAGACATTTATTTTGGCATGTTGAATCTCCTCGGTGTACTTGACAATTTCAAGCTTGTTGTCTTTACCGAAAACAGGAGTTATATCATATTGCAATGGAAATAATGAAGGATGGACTAAATCTATTACCTTATTGTCGGAGCCAGGGTGATAATCCAAAGCTTCGCCAAACGATTCAACTAATGGTAATACTCTTGCTTTTAAATCTTCTTTGACTTCCCACGTGATTACACTATTGGAAATCGCCATATATTCATTGCAACCAATTTCAAATCCTGATGATTCCATTAAAGTTGATTCAAGTTCCTCATACCATTCCAATTCCTTGAAAACGTAATCAATCACTTCTTCCATGTAGTTTGTTTTGTTCTTACATTGATCTCTAATTTCTTGTTTCCATTTGGAAGCAATAGTTTCATCTTTATATTTCCTTTGCCATTCATTTTTGGATCTGAGTGACTGAGAGATTTCCATTATCAACCAATCATCCAAGCTTCTAGCTGAGAACAAACCGAAATCAGTACACCAAGGATGGGGAAAGGGCGAGCCTACAAGCATAGTAGCACCATGTGATCTCTTTTGTCCACTCATAATATCGATTCAATTCTTTTATGAATGTTATAAATGAAGTGGGACGTTCAACACGTATAAAATACAAAAAATTTCAAGCTTTTAAAAACTCGACGCGTTCTACTAGGTAGGAGAATTTTTATTCAACGATCAAAACAATTGACGCAAAAGACGACCAGCAACAACTTGTCTGGAAAATTTAAAATTTTTAAATACAGAAGTTAGTAATTCCATTGGTTTGGTAGTGACAACGTTTTTTTTCTTTCATATAGAGTTAGAAGCTCTTGGTTATTGATCATCCAAGTACTAAAGCCCACCAAAGCCTCTCGCTTAAACCATGAAAAAAAGCGCATTTTACAAAAAGGGTAATCCATTTTATCAATGAAATCAGGGTTCTTGTTGAGATTTTCAAGATAAGTTTCAATCTTCTCTGTAAGAAGAAATCTCAAAAAGAGTCCCTGAATTGATATAATATTGCAATAAATTGCAAATAAAGGTTGATTTTTAGTGGAACCCCCTTCTAATCTCAGCTCTGCTCTCGTTTGAACTTGCAAAATGCTAGTTGGTTTCACTTCAATCCCTCTTCCCATATTTTTTAGTGTTATATTAAAATATGTAAATATATCATCTCCTTCAAAGATTTAATTACTCCTAGATTAAATTCAACCTCATGTCACTAAATTTAAATTGGTGGAAACCAAATAATGTTATTTATAGACTTTCTATCTAGCGAATTCAATCGTTCGATACTGAGAATGTTATCATTATACTACTTGGTTTAATTCATGCAAGGAATCATACGGCTTTAGTGAGTTGTATTACCAAAAACGGTAAAATATTCGACTGATTGGTCATAACCATCATGGTAATTTTCTCACTTTAGCGAGAGTAGTATTACGCTTTTGGTGTTTTTGTTCAAATGGAAGTTAAATATTCAGAGGCATGATTAACAAACTTCTTCAAGATTTATATTATTGACCGGTGTCAGTTTAATCTTGGCAATTGTGGTTTTACATTATAATTTTAAGCTTGGCGAAAGAGGATGGCTTCAACCTTGTTGGTTATCTCCCTAATCTGAGAACAAAATTTAGCCGCAAAATTTATGGTCAGTTCACCAATCTTCTTCATATGAAGATATATTAAACTTTAGAAGCTTGGCATTCTACCCTTAATATGCCATGTTTCGAATGAGACACAGAAATCTCGAATATTTTAAAGTTCTAAATATCCTTGGCGACACCACCAAGGTATATACTTAGAATGGCCACACAGCCAAAGCTTTCACTTCAGAATTGGGTATAAATATAGGGTAAAAATCAAGCCAATCTAGAGAAAAGTTTGTAGATATTCTTCTAACAAAAACTGAGACGATGAAGCTTTTAGCCTCCTTAAGCTTGCTTTCCTTGGCCTATGGCCAGTTCATTAGAACGACTAACTACGCTGCAGCGACCTTGGTTAAGAAAGAAGAAGTCCAAACAACTGCTGTTACTAGATGTCATTTCCATGATGACATTCAATTCTGTGTTGATGGACATGGAAACGAAGGTTCAATTGTCCCAGCACCTACTGACAAAGCAAACGCACCTACAGAATATACTGGTTGTCATAATCATGGTGATGATGTGTTTTGCAGACACGACGGCAAAGAAGTTGAGTTTGTAAAATTGGGTGAAAGTGGCCATGGTCATGTAACTTCCCATGACAATGAAGCAACAATAACCACCAGTGCTGAAACAACTGATGCCATTCAAACAACTGCTGTAACCAGTTGTCATTTCCATGAAACAGTCCAATTCTGTGTTGACGGACATGGAAATGAAGGTTCAATTGTCCCAGCACCTACTGACAAAGCAAACGCACCTACAGAATATACTGGTTGTCATAATCATGGTGATGATGTGTTTTGCAGACACGACGGCAAAGAAGTTGAGTTTGTAAAATTGGACGAAAATGCTACTAGTGAGTCGCTGGTTTCTTCCACATTATCTACCACTACCAAACCTTCAGTTTCGGTAACTGAATTAAATAATGCTGGAATGTATGGAGTCCCAATAGCTATGTTAGTTGTGTTTAGTTGTTTATTGTAAGTTAATAGTTTAGATCAAAAAAAGAATATGCCATTTATTTAGACTAGTTCTATATACTTATGAAACTCTATTTAAAGAGAGTATTGGGATTGATTCTTCATTAAGCTTCTTATAATGAGGATATGGGTTGAATCCCTCTCTAGTACCATTCTGATTTTGGTCCCATAATACCTATTTCGGCAGTATTTGGCTTCCATTGTTCTTCCCAAGGCTTGGTTTCGATTTCCATAAAATCAATCCCGGGATATTTCGGTTGGCCTTGTTTCACCTGCCTTTGATCTGTTGAGAATGTTCGTTGATCTACATTATTCATACTAGTTTCTGAATATTTTATTTTTTTACAGATATATATATATAATGGATACATTTGCATCACCTCCTATCTATACTAACAATTCCAATGGGTTTTCGATGATTCTCTTTAATTCTCTGATCCAATCACCACCCTTGGCACCATCTATGATTCTGTGGTCAAAAGTACCAGTGATGGTAATGACATCGTCAAAGACGAAACCTTGTTCATTGACCAGAGAAGGAACAGCCTTCTTTTCAGTAGTACCAATGGCGAAAATAGCAGATTGTGGTGGGTTAATGATGGAAGTGAAAGCAGTAACAGCTGGGTTCATTCCCAAGTTGGAGATACAGACGGTACCACCAATGTATTCTTCTGGGCTCAACTTACCAATCTTGGCTCTCTTACCCAAGTCCTTAATTTCGTTGGAGATGTCAGCCAATCCCTTGATGTGAGCATCCTTAACAATTGGGGTGATCAATCCAGTTGGGGTAGAAACAGCAACGGAAACGTCAACATTCTTGTATTGTCTAATGACACCTTCTTCACCTAACCAGGAAGAGTTGACTTCTGGAACACGAACACAAGCCCTGGCAATGGCCTTGACTAATAAATCATTGATGGATAATCTGTATCTGTCATCAGCACTAGCGTTTAAGGAAGCACGTAATTTCAATAATTTAGAAACAGAGATTTGTGATTGGACAATGTAGGTTGGAGATTGAGTGGTTGATTGTAATAATCTGTTGGCAATAGTGGATCTCATAGCGGTGATTGGAATATCTTCGTATGAAGCGCCAGCTGGAGCAGCAGCGGCACCGGATGGGGTAGCAGCAGCTGGTTTGACGTTTTCAAGATCCTTGGCAACGATTCTTCCACCTGGACCAGTACCTTGGATACCCTTTAAGGAAATACCCTTTTCTAAAGCAATAGTCTTGGCTAATGGAGAGGCAATGATTCTATCAGTTGGTGCCTTCTTGGCTGGAGCAGCAGCAGCAGCAGCTGGGGTAGAAGCAGGAGCAGCAGCTTCGGTGGCAGCAGGAGTTGGAGCAGCAGCTTCAGCAGCTGGGGCAGCTGGGGCAGCAGCACCACCGGCAACATCAGCTAAAGTGAATCCTTCGAACTTTGGAACGTCTTCAGCTTCTTCGACATAGACGGCAATTGGCTTACCAACTGGGACATCCTTGGCTCCAGCATCCATCAAAATCTTAGCCAAGAAACCTTCTTCTTGGAATTCAAAATCCATGGAAGCCTTATCGGTTTCAATTTCAGCAATTGCTTCACCTGGGGATAATTCATCACCAACCTTCTTAGCCCAAGAACCAATGTTACCTTGGGTCATGGTTGGAGACAATGCTGGCATATTGATAACAGTGTGAGGAGGGAAATCACTTGCGGCATAAAATCTGGCAAATTGAAGGGAGTTAGAGATTCTCACGGATCCAGCGATGGCACGCATGGCCAATGTGGATGATCTTGATGCAGCGAACAATGCAGACATTGCTAATGAATAGTTTTTCGATTTGAAAGCTTAAGGAAACAGAGCTGTCAAGAAATCTTGATGGAAATTTTTTGAAATCTTTTTCCGACCAGTTGTGTGGGTCCTTCAAGGTTTTTGTTCGCATCAATGTTCTCCGTGCTCCCGGACATTAAAGTCCATGTGTCATGTGATGTTTGTTCACGTGATGTTGCAAAATGCTATATTAAATATCTACTATAAAGATACAGACTCTGTACTAGTGTAATATGATCTATTAATCTTCAGTTTATCGGTCTTTGATTCAAACATATCCCCCACGTCTTGATACCCATTATCTCTTTTCTTTACTTGATCTTCATAAATCACCTCAACTGCATTGTTTTTTACCAATGAATCCTTGGCTGTCTGCCATGAGTACCGGATAAACCCAAAGCACCATCCAAATACCGGATCTACGTTACTGTTTAACCATTTACTGGTATTGGGATCACTAGGGTATCCTGAACCTAAAGCATGGTTTTGTAAAATAGGTAATGATTCATTATAGTATTGAATATTCAAGTCACGAGTGACTTTGGCCACAACTGATGCGGTGGAAACAATCGGATATATGGAATCAGCTTTCTTCGTCACTACAATGTCAATCCCTGGGAATAACAGTTTTAATTTATTTTGATAAGTGATTGGAGGACCCACAGTATCAACGAATACTTCTGTCACGTTGACTCCCTTGGCAAGAACTTGTTTGATCAATTCAATTGTTGTGTCATGGGCTTGTTCATTTAAGTTGTACGCACCCGTTCCTGCTGTGCTCTGCAACATGCCTGAGCTGATATCTTTTGCAGTCATGGTAGTTGTAGCCCAGCCCACATTTTCGTACAATTCGTGTGACAAATCTTCCATCTGTTTGAATAACAGCTGTCTCTTTTCATCTTTTAATACCTTGGAATCGGCAAACCCATATTCTTTAAGTTTAGGTTGGTACTCTTTAAGACAATAAGCAATTCCATATACCATGGGACCAAGAACTGGGCCTCTCCCAGCTTCGTCCACACCAAGAGTTACTTCAGCTTTGAGGTCCGATGCGATTAAGGACGGGATTTGCGAGTGGTATGTGGTGGTGGTGAATTGGGTGGGGTTGGTGATTGTAGTTACTGACGGAGGTTTCCAAGAATCCAACGGCTCTTCTGACTCTAAACGTCTTCGTTTAGTAGGAGGTTGTATTTCCTCATAAACTTCTTCCTCTTCTTTTTCTGCTACTTTAATACTGATCTTGTCGTCTTCTATAGCTTCAACTGTCATTTGTGGGTTTTGATTGTTGGAGATAAACAAATACTGAAAAAAAAAAAATTAACGCGTCGTTTTTAAACTTCTATAAGATCTCTATATACATACACCCTTGGTCAGCACACTAAAAGGTAAGTGCCATTCGCTATTGCTCCGTCGACCTTTTCAGTAACTTTGCCTTTACACTTTCATAAACCACAAATGTGATACAGGTAGCGGGAACCACCCGGAATAAAGTTGCACTCAATCCTCTATAAAACCCACGAACCCCATCGCCCCATAATTCTCTCACTACTTGAGTAATGGTTCCCTTCTGCTTGTTATTCTGTAATCGGGCTCTTACCACTTGCGTAGGATACATTATTATCGTGCTCATTACTTTTGCCAAGGCACTGGTATATATAAATTCTACTGTGGTCAACTGATGGTTATTAGATGAAGTGGGAGATGATGCCTGATTCTTGGAAGCCATGACCATTACCTTTAAATTATCATAGAATGTAAACTGTAAACTTGCCTGAAACACTTGAAATAAGCTCGGTATGGTTCCCTTATAAAAACTTCGGAACCCTTCTTGCGTTACCATTTTTCGTACACCATCCACTAATCCTTGATAGCCTTCTTTTCTTGAACTACCCAATATTCTAGTTTTCAATACCCATAATGGATTCGTAATCAACGATGTAGACAATCCCGCACAAGCCGAACTAGAGAAGAAATGGAAACTGCCATCTCCAGGTATTACTCGTTTAAATTCCGCATATAGTAAAAAGTAAATCCCCCAGGCTGATACATTTCCAACCAAATTAGGGGTGATCCCACGATAGTACTGGTTCAAATATGCTATGCCTTTGCTTCTGCCTGAGCTAATAGCATCATGGTTAATCTTTGAAATCACATGGTATAACGAGCTAAACTTTTTGTTTGTTTGCGATGATGCATGAGATGACGATGGAAGGAGTTGAAGTCGAATCTTGATCACATCCAAGGGGTGGGTTAGCATGGTAGTTGCAAACCCTGCTGAGATCCCGGATATGAATTCTATTTTCCGTCGTTGCGTCTGCAGTAGTGGTGTTGTCGCCAGTGAATTGTGCAGCATCTATTAGTTAGTTTCCTTGATTCTTGGGTTAGTAATTGCTGCTTAATCAATTTTCAGATCAATTTTTCTATTTTATACCCTGGCATTAATCCATGAATCGGCACTTACGACGTGCATTATTCAGACTGACAAAAAAAAATAATAGAGGATCACCACTGATATGATCTACAAATCAATTACGTTAACATTCTTCGTTTATTTGATCTTACGTTAAAAATAAAACTATGTACAATTCTCTCTCTCTCTCTACAAACCACGTATAATCAGCTCAAAACCAATAGTTCTAACATTCGGTACCTTGAGTATATGAAATAACTTAAGCAGATGGGAATGGAGATAACAAGTTGAATATACTTGGCTTGTTGGAGGTGCTAGACCATCCCAAGTATAAAACAAATGGAATGAAACCAAAGTGAGCAATGGTCTTGGTGACGTCCAAGATCTTGATTATTCTTTCTTTGGATTCGTCAGATAATGTGATTTGGAATTTGGATACGTCAGACATGCTGTTTTATTTAAGTTCCTTAATGGGTTGCGGATTGACAAACTATTGAGTTGATGTTGAAAGAAGAAAAATTTTAATGTTCACCAGAAAATCTCAAGAAAATTATTTGTCGCAATTTTGAAGACTGTCGCGACAATCCAAACAAAAAAAAACTATATAAATCTATAGATCTTTGGTTAAATTCTTGACAATCTCTTCAATCAGTAAATCTGGGTTGATCAGATAGTAGTTCTGACCAGCTAAATAAAATCCAACATCTAATTCTCCTTTATTTAATCCTCTCAATTCTTTATATGCATTATAACGATATCCATATCCTGGCAACTCTCCTGGGAATTTCTTAGCACTATCGATCAACGCATCAATAAACGGGGTACGGACAGTACGAGCAAACTTTCCAGAAACTAAATCGACCATAGCAGTGTTTCTTCTCTCGCTTCTACCAACATTACTAAAGAATGGCGAAGTTAAAGATTCACGCACTCCAAGGAAGGCGGTACCCACTTGAACTGCTGCAGCACCATTGTCAATGTAATATTTCACTATGGCACCATCATCAATTCCTCCTGCTGGAATTAAGAATGGTCCTTCTCCTTTGAAATGATCTCTCACTTGAACAAACAACAGTTGCGTAGAGAGCTTTTCATCTACATCGGCATCGCTCAAAAAGTTACCACGATGGCCTCCTGCTTCAAATCCTTGTAATATTATTCCATCAATTTCAAACTTGTGCAAATAAACAGCTTCGTCGAGCGATGTGGCCGAAGCAAACACCAATATTCCCAAGTCGTGAAGTTTTGCAATTGTCGAACTTGCAGGAATCCCAAAATGGAAACTAACAACCTTGGGTCTGAACTTGTCCAAACAAGATAACAATCTGGACAATGCAGCTTCGTCGGTTTCAAATTCTTTAAAGGATTTGCTTGGAGTGAATAATCTCACTCTATCCACCACATCCTCATCACTGATAACTCTGCGATACAATTGTTTCCAGTTATCAATCAGGACTTCAGTAGGTTCCGGAACTGGCTCATGACAAAAGAAGTTCAAATTGACAGACAGACGATCTCGCACTTGATATTTACTCATTAATTTATCCAATTGGTCAATTGAGTTTGCATTAGTGAAATCAATGTGAGAGATTGGAATTGAACCTAACCCGCCAAGATTAGTGACTGTTGCAGAAAATGCCAGAGTGAGAACCCCAGCCATTGGAGCAAGGAGAAGTGGGTATTTGATTCCTAGACGTTTAGTGAGGTTGATTGATGCGTTCATATTGGGGTATGGAGAAAAGACAGGGTGAATAGATTATAAGCGGGCTGATTTGATGTAGTAGTCATTGTAAGGGGTGTGCATGAACCGTTCCAAAACTCCGCGGGTATAAGTTAGCGGGAGTGGGGCGAGGGTTGGGGGGAAAAGGCTAGCGCCCAGAACAAACAAAATAGATATTAACGGTTTTTGTTTTGCGGAATGTAGAGGATAATATATTCATTGAGCTTGAAAGCAAGAGAGTAAAGTGTTTGTGTAAATCAAAAGGAATACTGCATTGGAGAGAATATTAGTTTTGCAGTAATTTAAACGAATGACATCATTGAAGACTCGTATAAATGTGGTGTGGCAAATATCTGTCACATGGAGGACGTAAAAAAATATCATCGTACCTAGACATGTAATTAAACTAATAAACCACGGTAGAATATAAATGAATTACTTAAATGGAAGTCCGAGGGGCAACTTTGGCATGTCTATTATCGTAAAATCAGACCATTTTTTTAGTTGCTACTTCCGTTTAGATTTCTCCACACACATATGATAATGAGATTATAGCATGTGAGAAGGGCGTTGGAAATTTACGCGTATGAAAAGAAAAAAAACCTACCGCCTTCCACCGTTAAACTAAAAAAAAAAAAAAAAAAAAAAAATAGCGGTAAATCAGGGTGTTAAAGCCCAATAAAATGCGTACAAGATGTAAGCAGATAATTTGCCATATTTGTTATAACTTATATTATACTATAAAGAGAGTCAAGAATTGAAAAAAAAAATATACTGGCATAAGCCTGAAACCAGGATCTGAAGGCTATATTGTCAGATTCTCCAGTTGTACATAATTATGTTGATAAGTGTAGTTGATTTGATAACTTGATTCTCCTTCTCTATTTTACATTTGTTTCTTCTCTAATCAGAAATCTACTTAAGTTGACTCTTAAGGTAGTAGGCAGCATAGGCAAGCAATAAGACGAAAACGGCAACCAATGGGAAATTCAAACCTTGTTGGTCACCAGTACTTTGAGAACTTTGAGCGTGCTTAGCTTCCTTTGGAGCAGCACCCTTCAAATCACCAATGTATAATTTCTTTAAAATTTCATGTGCTTCATCAGAATGACCAATATCATCGAAAGCTTCAGTGGCATCACCACCAGCAACATCGAGTATAACTTCTTCTCCACCTGGATGTTCATCTATGTATTGTGAAATGTCGTATACTCTTCCGTTAAGAACAACCCATAAGTCATCATGGGAGGTGTGTTTTGCGACTTCTTCGTGGTCAAATACCTTAGTGGTGGTAGCAGTGTCGGACATATTGAACTAGATTATAAACTGATAAGAAAAAGGAGTAGTAAATACGAAAACCCACCGAGAAGAAAAAGAAAATCCTTTTATATTTTTATCAACAAAAATGAAACCCAACAGGTAATTTTTTTTGTTTAATTAAACGACATTCTTGTTGCATGCAGGAAATTCCCATCGTACCGATAAAAAAAAAAAAAGAAATTTGAAAGCGGAACTAACCTATTAGTTGTGATGCCACCTCAGTCTAAAAAGAAATGTATAAACTAATTAGGCTTATAAATAGGAACATCGTAAATGCCTACAATCTGCTACATATCGTAATTAGCTGTTTGCTAAAGGGTAGTCTACTAAGTTGTTTATAAAGTGTGAAAAATTCTAGTTAATTTCTTTTTTGCTGTATCTTGTCACGTGGATCTCAACAAAATTTAGCTTGCGACAAAACGATCTCCCTCTGGAATTAATTACTGGTTTAGGTATCAGGTCGCAAATTATGCGAACTGGTTATCTTAGATAGGAAGTTACATCCTGTTTATATATTATTTAAATCGAAATCGATACCCTTTGATTTCAACTCATTTTGCTTATTCTTCTTTGATTGTTCAAACTTCTTAACCAAGACTTCCCATTGTTCCTTAGTCTTTGGCTTATCATGCTTATGTTTGGAAATCTTACCCCATGGAATGACTTTGAATTTCTTGTTGGCATCTTTAAATAAATCTTGATGGATTTCGTCATTATTTTCCAACACTTGACATTTCAATAAATGTCCAAATAATAAATAGTTATTCATGGTTTCAGCAGCAACCTTGGCCACTTCATAAGATTCAAATTCTATGAACCCATAATGCTTTGATTTCCCGGTCTTTTTATTTCTCAGTAACTTAAGATTGATGATATCACCAAATTGAGTAAAGTACTTGGTTAATTCTTGCTCTTGGAATCCAGAAGGTAATCTACCAATGTACATGATACCACGCTTGGATTTCTTCTTCTTGTTGGATTTGGCAGCACTAGATGATTCAACGGATTTATTTACAGTATGACGAGATTTGCTCTTTTCTTCTGGTTGCTGTTGTTCTTTTTGTTCCTCCTGTTCCTCCTGTTCTTCTTCATCTTCATCATCACTAGATAAACCATGCAAGTCTTCATCATCATCATCATCGTCGTCTTCACTGGATAAAGGTTCTTCTTCTTCTTCCTCATCGGCTGCTTGCTCTTCCTCATCGGAAGAAGATGGCAATTGTAAATCTTCCTCGATTTGTTCTACTGACTTTTCAACAGTTTCCTTCTTTGGAGCAGCCTTCTTGGACTGTGTCTTCTTGACTGATTTGGCCATGTTATTCTATATGTATTATTTCCCTGCTTTGATCTATATACGATAAAAACTTTATTAGAAATTAATTTTTCACATCTCTTCGCAAAGGGAAAAAAAAAAATATTACTAGGTCCCCCCTTGCGCGTGATTTATGTCACGTGTACTAAACAAGCACTGCCCTGGATAACAATTCAAACGTTATAGAAACAGGTAATCCAACAACATTGAAGTAGTCACCCTGTAAGGAATTGAATAACAATGATCCAAATTCTTGAAATCGAAACCCACCAGCTACATCTAGTCCTTCTTCGCTGTCAATATAGGCATTAACTAAATCATCAGCACCTTCATGATCATTAAACAGTAAAGTAGAAGTACATTGATCGGCATACTCTGATGCTTTGCCGTCCTTGTCAATTTTAAATATAGTCACTGCTGATATCACTTGCACTTCCTTGTATTGTTTATATATTTGAAAAAACTCCTGTTGCTTCTCTTTAGTCATTGGTTTTTCCAAGATGTGATTGTTGCAACTGACGATCGTATCGCACGTTATGACAATTGTTGGCTCGTCAAACTTGTTCTGATTGAGTATTGCCTTTGCCTTATGGTGGCTGGTTGCTGTTACATATTCCAAGGGATCATCAATGACTAAATCTTCAGCAAAATTCGATTCAACAATTGTGAAATTGTCAATTCCTAGATTGTTTCGAAGTATTTCCTGACGTCTTGGTGATTTTGACCCAAGGATGATTTGATAGCCTGACAATTGTTTATATAATGGATGGTTTAACATTTTTTTTTTCTTTTCTGCTTTGAGCTTGAGCGTGTGACTTGTACGTTGAGTTCTTGTGACTTTGATCCGTGCGATGTTTTACTTCTTACTCACTTGAGCCAAAGTGTCACTTTCTTTTCGCACTCTGAAAATTTCCACTTTCAAAATTCCTATTCGTTAGTTTCACACCTTTGTTGTTTATATCTTTGATCCTTTGTCATCCAACCATAGTAGATATCGATAAACACACTACCCGCCTTTTTATAGACTTATAGAGATAGGGGACAGATCAACAATGAGATTGCTATACAAAGAAGAGCCACGAACGATTGCGATCCAATCGCATACACATACCCTTAGATTTCGAGCACAACCTTCATCGGGCGAAACCAAGAAACCATTGGTCAATCTTGAACTAGTGCCCAATTCCCACATCACCAAACACCAAGGATATCGTGCCTTGCTTTCTAAGGAGATATACGGATGTCTAGGACTAGCATATGTTGACAACCAAACCTATGTTGCCATAATCACCGGTGCCATTGTCAATGTAGCCAACCCACTTGGCAATGAAACTGTGGACCGAATCTATTCAATTGATTTCATATCGTTAGAGGATAACTACTGGGACCACAAACTTCTTGATAGTAGTGGGTTCCCTGTGATTAGTGCTGAAGACCCTGATGATGATGGGGTTCGTATCCAACACCCTTGTATTGATTTGAAGAAGTTGGTGTCTAACGGTACATTCTATTATTCAAATGATTTTGACTTGACTTCGCTATTACAGAATCGGGGTGTGAATACTGAACAAGGAGCTCGCTCAATAGACCATTACCTGAAGGAATACATGTGGAATTCTTTCCTTATGGAAGAAATGATCAAGTATCGAACCAATTTGGACCATCAAGCCCAGCAGATTCTTGATGAAAACAAGTTCTTAACTGTGGCTATTCGAGGATTTGCCAAGACCGTGCAATTGGGAGCCAATGATTCAATAACTCTTATTTCAAAACAATCATGGAAACGTGCGGGTACAAGATATAACACCCGAGGAATTGATGATTATGGGAATGTAGCTAATTACGTTGAAACTGAATTCATTTACAACAATCCTAGCAACAGCTCAATCTTCTCGTTTGTTCAGATTAGGGGATCAGTGCCTACATTCTGGGAACAGGACTCCACGTTAATAAACCCCAAGATTACATTGACTCGTTCTAGTGAAGCAACGCAACCAATATTTAATGCCCATTTTAAACAAATTTGCGAAAACTATGGAGTCACTCATATTGTTGACTTGCTATCAAAAACCAAACCAGCCGAATCACAATTGTCCAACCGTTACAAGCAATTATACGAACAATGTGATAGAAACAACGAAATTGAATATACTGCATTTGATTTCCATCAAGAAACTAAAGTAGGAGGATTTGCCCAAGCAGGAAAGATTATCCCGTTGTTACACAAACTGATTGAACAATTTGGGTGGTTTTATTACGACTTGAACGCAGAAGAGATCATTACACGGCAAGATGGTATCTTCCGAGTCAATTGTTTGGATTGTCTTGACAGAACTAACTTGATTCAACAAATCATTTGTCGTAACATCTTGCAGAATATTTTGTCTAATACTGGGTCACGTCGAAGTGAAGAAAGCTTGATGCTTAGATATAATTCCTTATGGGCCGATAATGGGGATGCTATCTCACAAATCTACACTGGGACTAATGCTCTTAAATCATCATTTTCAAGATCAGGGAAAATGAATATCGCTGGTGCATTATCGGATGTAACCAAATCAGTCAGTCGGATGTATCAAAATACATTTGTCGACAGTAAGAAGCAATCAACTATCGACTTACTTCTTGGAGTTGATGGGAAATACTCGAAAAAGGTTAAGATTTTTGATCCCTTGCATGAATTCGTCAATGGTAAGTTGAAGCAGCAAGCAGGTACATTCACTAGTTTTAAAAATATCAAATGTTTTACGGGAACCTATAACGTCAATGCATTAGAACCAGAAAGTCATATCGATTTAAGCAGTTGGCTATTCCCACCTGCTTCGTCATCTGCCGATATTTATGGTATTGGATTTCAAGAATTGATTGATTTAGATCCGAGATCAATCCTAAATGCGGATACTACGAAAGCCGGAAAGTGGGCTGAGATTTTGAATCGTGAATTAAACAAACATGGTGAACAGTATGTGTTATTACGAGTTGAATCGATTGCATCGATGTCATTGTTTCTCTTTGTCAAGAAACTGCAAGCTGTCCATGTGACTAAAGTTAGTGGATCATCCAAGAAGACAGGTTTAGGAGGAATGACTGCCAATAAGGGAGCCTGTGCCGTTAGGTTTAATTTCGGTGATACATCATTTGTTATGATTACTTGTCATTTAGCAGCTGGTATGCAAGCAACATTGGAAAGATATAACGACTATTCCACAATCTTGCAAGGGTTGCTTTTCCCCAGAAACTATTCCATCCGGGACCATGACCATATAATCTGGTTTGGTGATTTGAACTATAGAATCAATATGATGAATGAGCAATGTCGAGACTCGGTTGCTCGTGGGGAATACAATGAATTAATTCAAATGGATCAATTGAATGAAGAGCGAAGACATGATGGTGCGTTCAAGCCATTCAATGAAGGAGTAATTTCATTTGCACCTACTTATAAATTTGATAAAGGTACTTCGAATTACGATTCTTCTGAAAAGCAGAGAGTTCCTTCTTGGACTGATAGAGTATTGTTTACTTCGTCAACTGGCCTTTCCAAGGACTTGACTCTTTTGAAGTATGATTCAGTCATGGATATGGTTCTAAGTGATCATAAACCGGTGTATGCTGTGTTTGATGTTAAGGTCAACTTCATAGATCGGGAAATGAAAGGCAAGATTGCCAAGGAATTGTACAATGTATACAAAAGAGAGCACGGGGGAGAATTAGTACTGTTAAGTTCAAACTCATCGGTTTCATCATCAGCAGGAACAGTTGACTTTTCAACTGACACCTTGTCAGAGTTGAATCTATTAGACGATGATATTAATGAAGGAGCTCCTAAATTACCTCAAAGACCAGCAAGAAGAATTCCACCACCTCCAACTAGTAGGAAAGTGGCTCCACCAATGCAGGAACTCAAACCAGCCCCAGTTCCTAGACGATTACCACCAACTCCTAACTCGGCCCCACCTCCTCCACTTCCCAGAAGAGTACCACCTCCATCTAGTGTAGAATCTTCGCCTGTTATCCCTGCATCAGCATCGGCATCGGTATCTCCTACCATTTCGCCGAAGTTGCAAAATGTTCCTATTGGATTCTCAAGTGCTCCTTTGATTCCAACTAGATCAAATACTGCTGGTTCATTATCGCCCAATATTACTCCTGTAAAATCGGCAGCTTCATTACCTGCAAAGTCTACTAGTTCAATACCTGTAAAGTCCACTACTTCATTACCTACAAAGACTGCAACTCCTCCACCACAAGCGTTTAAACCATTAGTTCCTTCTAAACCACTGGCCCTTGCATCAAGGAAGTTGAGCATTGGCAAATCTGAAGATGAAAAAGATGAAAAGGTTAACAATTCAGATTCTGATACTGGATCTGATGCCCGTCTACCTCCACCTGCACCACGTCAAGCCAATAGCGTTGGCATGAGTATGTCTGATTGGAAACCTTTGATTCCAAAGTAAAAAGCATTCTTTATAGTTTAATATAGCGACATTTTTTTGTAGATATTACACGACTTTTTTGTCGTTCTTCCATAGATGAGAAAAATGTGAAAAAGTAAACATATAGTTAAGCATATCCCATCCAACAACATAGGTAAAAAGTCATGTCGCATGCTAGAAGAATTAAACATATTTCCATATCCGTACCTATAATGTATGGAAATCACGCAGTTAGGTTGACTGACGACATGCGTAAACCAACTACTCCACCTGACCATACTCATGAATGGACAGTGTTCTTCAAACCCGTGCTTAATGATATTGATTTAACTCCACTTATCAAGAAGGTTACATTCAAACTTCACGAAACTTATGAGAATCCAGTCAGATCGATTGAACATCCGCCTTATCAAGTTACAGAAACTGGATGGGGTGAATTTGAAATTATTATTAAATTGCATTTCAATTCCAATGTTGAATTTGGTATAAATGAAAAGAACTTTCAAATCTTCCATGCGTTGAAGTTGCATCCTTTTAACCCACAAGTACCAGTAAAACCGGATGGAGAAGTTAATCTGGTGTTATATGACGAGTTGGTGTTTAATGAGCCTACAGATCGTGTGTTTGAAATTTTGACTAGAAAACCGGTGAATTTGTTACCATATGAATTGTCCAATCCGGACAAAAGAGATCAAGAATATATACGACTCGACGAAATTGATGAAGTCAACCGTTTGGAGGTTTATATCAATAAAGTTAAAGACGAAATTGAAAATCAACGTGATCAATACAAGGATTTAGAACAGCAAAAATTGGCTTTATTGCAATAAGTTCGTTAAAAGAAATTTATATACTCCTCAATTATTGAAGGAAGGTCGTTTAACTCGATTCCAAAGTTTAAATGCTGAGATACGCCAACCCCCATACCAGCATAGGGCTTCTTGTTGGCTCGGCTTATGCTTCGCTGGAATTTATTTTGAGGATTGGTAATTAATGGCAATTTACAATGGACTTTATCGTCATAAACCACATATAAATAGTCCAAGGGGTAAGTGCCTCCACCAACAGGATCCATGATTTGAAAATGGTTAGCTAAAATGTGACATTGCTGGTTACTGCAATGATTAGGTTCATTAGCAGTAATAAACATTACGCTAATATTTTCCGGAAACTTTTCTTGTATTGTTTCAATAAACTCTTTTCCTTGAACACCAAGGAAAAATATAAACTTCAATGCGGGGTCGGGAGATTGGAATACGTCATCAATCATCATGCTATCTGGGCGTTCGATACACTGTAGCATTTCTAAGGTGGATGTTGGGATGACTTCAGCTTCAGATTCGGGAATGTACCGAGGAGGAGGCTTCAATGTCTGCTGTTGCTGTTGTTGTCGTTTAGTTTCCAGTCTTTGGAGTGAAAATTTTGGGGATGGTTCAATGAAACCGGGATAAGTCTGACCAGCAGATCCAGGGGAGATGATTACGGTATTATCATCGTAGAATTGACGTTTCATAGTGTTGATTTGTAAGTAATAGTTAATCTGAATAAATAAAATATAAAACCAGCGAACGAAATAAATGAATAAAATGTACAATGGGGGTAATATATAAATACTTTCTCCCCAATAGGACGGATATTTAGATACCCGAAATGATCATGTATAAAGTACGGGGAACTACCCGAAATCGTATGAGAGAGATCAAAAGTGGAAAAAAATTTTCGATTGTCACGTTTTTTCGAGGTAAGGTTCTGCGTCAACACCTAAGCCCCCAGTTACCCCACCTATTATTAGTAACAAATCACAGCAATAGCATTAGAAATTAAAGTTGGCGTGGTTTATTGGAATATGTTTTGAACTAGATCTATAGATTCATTAGTAATGCTGCATTATGTAAGATGATTTTGCAGCCTAGATTTTCACAATTTATAAATTTTGCTACACGCGTAGTTCTTACTTGCAGTGCTTATGAATTCAGATGATCATCTTTTGGACAAACCATTTACATTCTTCTTCTTCTTAATATCAACCCCACTTTATATGGTGAGAGCCTTTGCTACCAATTTAAGAAAATTCAAAGAAGTTACTTTTTTTTGAATAGTAAATACGTAGCTAGGAGCAACGTTGCACCCTATTTCCATTTTTAAATACAAAAATACATCATACTTAAACAAAACTTGTTCAATTAATTCTTGCTGCTCTATGATGCAAATACATTCTATATCATACGAACATAGAAGGTTATTTCTTGTGATATTTGGTTTCCAGATGAAATTGTATTTTAAAACCACCAGACAAGTGACGCAATGCCATTGGCATTAAAAAAAAAAAATGGGCAATATAGTTTTCTGATAGAGAACCAAGACAAACTTTAGGATTAATATAACTTTGAAACATTACAAGAGTAGTATTGGAACTTATTTTCTTTTCACCTGTTAATTCATCAACCAGATACAAGACATCAATTTGAATTTCTTCTTTTCTTTGGTTGCAAAAAATTGCAAACATGACACAGTGAGTAATAAGTTACATCAAAAATATTGAGAAAGCTTTGTAATCAAAGAATATGGGCGTTATTTTTTTTGTATATCTATATTATAATAAGAATATGGATCCATTTTGCTCATATGTTAGTAAGTTTATCTGTTCAAAATGCTCGACGTTGAGTATTTATGCTCAATTAGTTGCCAAATATTGCAAAATATACATGCCATGCAAAAAAAAGTAAATCTTCATACACTTTGCTTTCAGAACAATTATAAACGCTTGTGATATATGTGATGAATTTTTTTATTCTACTTTCTCCTAATTTATAGAGACTACTGTTGAATTTTAAATAATTTAAAACTTTCATTAGTTAACAAAATTTATGAGCAGCAGTTGAAAAATAAAAATTTTGCATACTGTTCTATATCAGAGCCTCTCTGATTAGAAACATAATAGAGTCATATCATTGACTCCAAGTTGGTTTATTAAATGGGATTGTGTTACATTAGTTAATGTTATGGTTTGAAGTGTTGGATTGTTTTAGCTATCTCTCGACTTATGGGATAGAATACAAGACGCTTTATGCAACATTGTTCATAATGGAATGTATTGGTTTAGAGCTTTGGAATGTAACATGACGTCGCGTTACTGAATGACGTCACGGAGTCTGAAGTATTCTGTCTTGTAAGGATGTATGGCCTTATTGGTTTAAGGGGCTATGTATCTCTAGTTTCAAGGATTGACAGGATTCTCTATAAGAATATGGAAATCCGCAGAAACTTATTTTCTAGGTTTGTATATCTTTTTCTTTAGTCAAGTTTTATTTTAGTTTCTTTGGTTTAGGATTAAATCCATTGATATTGTTATTTGTTAAGTAATTGGCTCATATTTCACCGGTTATTACCCAACAGACTCAGATTATAGAACACATACATCAAAAAGCCTGGTTAGCTCAATCGGTAGAGCGTTTGACTCTTAAATTTGAAGACATCAAAAGGTTGCGGGTTCGACCCCCGCATCGGGCTTATTTTTTTATTTTGTTATTTCCTATAATATATTCAAAGAATAAGTAGTTCTTGATCTACCCAGTGAGCTATCACTAGGCACAACTTTCTCTGTATAAGGATGCATTTAATACCTCTACTTTTTGACCGTTTTTTTTTTGGTAAAAAATAGAATATTAGATCACGTTTTTGAACAAAAGACATTCCCCTAATATTGGTTTTGGTTATAACTCTACTGCTATGATATTTCCAAAGTCAATATAAATGAGAAAATAAAAAGAGGTTTTCTCTAATGTTAATTGAGATGTATATTGATTCTACAATAACAAAATGATTGCGAAACTAAAAAATTTCCTTCAAGCATTGTTTGGGAATGTATATTGGCACTATCTATAAACAAGAAGGTTGATTTTTTAAGTTAAGATCACTCTGTCTCCACAATTGAAATCATTCATTTTTAAGTAAGGTTAAGACAAAAACATCAAAAGAAGATATTTCTTTATGGTGTTGGAGAAGAATTAAGACGATCTAGCTCATCGCTACTCTGTAGTTGCTGACTAGAAATCTGTTCATATAATGGCAAATAAGCAGGGGCAGGTTGTAATGGTATCTCACTCATATTATAAGCTGGTGGAGGGGAATCAGACTTATGTCGCTGAACAATGTGGCACGTACCAATTTGAGTAGGCAGTGAATTAGGAATTGTTTCAGCAATCTTTCTTCCACGACTCAAGCATCCTTTAATCATATAATAGACAAGGGTAACAAGTATTACTGGAATTATAAGCAATAACCATAATGTACTCAGTCCGCTGCGAGAGCTACTGCTGCTGCTGCTGCTGCTACTTCTGCTGCTGTAAGAAGAATAATACCTTTTTATAGTGCCAACTTGGTTTTCATATGGAAGTATCATCCTTGCTAAATTTTATGCCACACAAAGGAAAGAAAATATAGCAATTAATACTATATTATTTATATCCATAAGAACTATTCAGGAGGTTGAAGCGAGTAAGTCATGCATTCTAACAGCTATCTACAAAGATCCTATTTTTTAGTAGGGTAATCTGCGTAATCAAATAAAAAGAAAACCAAAAATAAAATTACGAGATTTGAGACCCCACGGCTGGTCATGTTAACGTACGTGTAAGCATAGCCAATACGGATTTCAAATTTTACTTTATTTTTTTAGGAAAAAACTTGCATTATACCGGACCATATATTACCTTGTCCATATACTATACATTTTCTTTATAACAGTAATCACAGCTGGATATAAATAAGCGAATAGGCTAAGCCTCGGATTGCAAATTTCCAAAGTGGCTGATTCAATACAAAATTATAATCAAAATCAATACTCATTTTTTTCAAGGTACTTTATGACTGCAAAAAAAGCGTCCTTGAAAAATAAAACTAAAAATGAAAGAATAAAAATAAACTGTTTATTTGCCTTCTATCTATAAAAACTCCTGGTGTACTCCTTGAATAAATATTATAACTTAAACTGAAACTAATCTGAATGTTAAATTCATTTATGTTCCAAACAAAAGGATGATACAATCAGAAGACTTTCTTTATTTTCAACATGAATAATATCATTTAAGACGATTGCTCGATATAAGAATCATTTATTTCATTAAAGACAATTTCTATCTCTTCACGATCATTTGATTGATGTGAGTAACAATTTGGTTCATCTGAAGAAGGTATATAAGCAGGTGAAGGCTCCGATGGTGCTTCATAGGGAGGTGGCGGTGGTAGATATGTTTCGTTGTCCTGTACGCGGCGTCGATTCGTTTGAGGTTGAGAACGTATTGTCAGTGATAGTGGATTTCTAGGAATCAGTGCTTGAATACTTCTTGTCGCTGAATCCTTGGGGCCCTCTTTCTTCTTAGCTTCCCTACACCCTCTATATATACAATAAATGGCAGTCAAAAATAATGGTATGGCTAATAACAGCAAATAAATTTGTCTGGTTCCATTGTGTGAAGTACTACTAGTATAATAATCATAATCTCTTTTGGCTAAGTCAGTATGTCCCTCTCCTTGTATTAACATAGTTAAACAATTACAATGCTGAAAATACAAGAATCCATAGTGATAAAAGCAGCATTATATATCACTTCAATTTCCACGCTATCATAGCTCGTAATTGAAAACTTATAAAATATAAGTTTAGACATATTGGTCAAAACCAATTTGACTACGATCCCGATCTGTGTACTGTTATTGCACTAATAATAGAAATGTAATTGAAAATATCTGTTTGCGAAATTAGAGAATTTGGCGCAGGCTGCGCCCAAAGTGCAACAGTCATGTTCACGTATATGTTAATCACAACTAATACAAATTTCAAATTATTTTATGACTTTAGATAGATCTTACTTGTATTATTAGAAACAAATATATGTTTCCAAATTGTGGTGTTACACTGGCTGCTTGAGGTTATTCTAAGATCTAGTGATCTTGAAAAGGAATGGTAATAATTATCATCATGATTACCGCACACTCAATCTATTAGAGTTGTAAGACTTTGGAGTAGAATACTAGGTTACTAAATCACCATTTCTTTATATTCTGAGCCAAGTTAAATATTGTAATTATAAGATTAATTAAGGTCTAATTATAGCTCCAATAAGATGGCATGCAAAAGTTTTGCTATAGATAAAACTGATGTGCTTATATAACCTCTTTTCACACCATGACAAATAACCACAAAAGGGTATTTTTAACCAATGATTTGGAGAATAAAGAAATAAAAAGGAACTATTTATTTGTATACTATCTCTAAAGACTCTAGGTATATCCCTTGAAGACATAGCATACCTTTAATCCAGAGTTATATTTGAATGTAGACTTTAACTAAACACGTACCTATTCCACAGTAAGGACATTGAGTTGATTTGCAGCATTCTTAATAATATTTAAGATGATTGTTCAAAACGACCACTTATTTCATCAAAGACGTTTTCTATTTCTTCACGATCATTTAATTGTTGTGTAGAACAAAATGATTCATTTAAAGAACGTATATAAACAGCATCTGGTTCTGATGGTGGTTCATAAGGAGGAGGTGGAGGGTACTCTTCTTCTTGAACTGGTTGATATGTAGGGGCTTGAAATAGAGTTATCCCTGGTGGTGGTCTTCTAGAAACTTGCAGTCGAGGATGTCTTGTAGTTGGTACCAGCGCCATAGGAACCTGCGTTTGAAGAACACTTGTTGTTGATTGGGGTCTGGTTGGAACGTGTGGTTCAACACATGTTATGGTTGGTGGAAGCAGCCTCTTAGCAGCCTGTTTCCTTTTTGATAGCACGTATACTCTATATATACAAGACAAGAGTAATGTTGGTATTCCCAATAACAAAAATATTAACATTGCATTCCTTACTTTGTTAGACCTTTTGGCCAAGCCTGTAGGGCCCTCTCCTTGTATTAACATCGTTAAGTAATTTTGATATTGAAAATGAAAATTTTATGAAAATTCATAGTGGTAAAACCAACGTTATATATATTAGTTAAAATCCCCAATTCTCTCCGACTGTATTTAGAACTCGTAATATATAAAAAAAAAGTATCTCATATAGATCAGCACTAATTCTTTTGTTTCTACGATATTGATCTCCGCCTTGTTAACATGCACGTTATTGATAAAAAAAATAATTGAATAAAATCGCTTACGATATTGATGACTTGGAGGGGGGAGGGGGCTTTGCCACAGGAATGACAATCACATTTACGTATATGTAGCCACAACCACTATAAATTTCAAGTTATTTTATCTCCAGAAGATTCTGCACGAGATTATTTTTTGTTGTCCCCTGCGTTTAGTTTGCATTAAAAGTGTATGCTGCCATAGATCGCATTTTGTACAGAATTGATATAGATAGGATCTAAAAGATACTGAAGAAAGGACCAGAGATACTAAACTGTAATTCATAGCCAAATCCTATGTGCACCACATAGTATATAGGTTGATCGTCTTTTTGACCAAATTTGTGTTGTCAATGTTAAAATGACTGCAAAAAAAAGAGATTTTTGTGAACCACAAGAGAAGTGGAAATTAAAAAAAAAAAGCATTGCTATTTGAATGTTATATATAATGAAATAATAACTTTACATAAATCTCTTTCAAGAAATCAAAGCAGTTGGTAAAGGAATTTTTGACTGTAAAATCCCTGTAGCCCCATTACAGGGGATTTCGTTGGTGTACATATGCATTTTTATCATACGGAGGGGGCATATAAGCTGTCGGAGGTTGTGATGGTAATCCATTCACATACGTATCTGGAGGTGGCGGACCTGGTGGAGGACCTGGTTGATATATCGGAGGTGGAGGCATTGGCATTGGTTCCTGAGTAGTAACCACTTCTTCGGTATCCTTTTTTCTCAATATTAAGCTAAAGAAGAAAATTATTGGAATAAATAGTAGTAATAACCCCCAGAACCGATGATAATTGGTGTAGGTACTGGAATATCTTTTGACTAACTCAGCCTGTCCTTTGTTTGGTAATATCATAGTTAAATGGTGAATATGAATCTGAATCTGCAAGAAGGGAGATTTAACGATAGTGTTTTATTTATACTAGTATACAAGAAAAGAGGTTTGGTGACAAGGAATGTGTTATTTATGTTGTAGATTCTTAATTGTCGCAGCATGTCTAAAGTTCGTAAGAGGTAAACTTAGCACAAACTAGCTTATGGCAGCGATATCAGCTAACTATTTTTTTGCCGATTGGAGCAGATGAAAACGAGGTGCAAACTACAAGATTGGAGCCCCTTTTGGGGCACAGCTCGTAATCAACAAATGAGTTACTTTTTTTTTGTTTTTTGCAGACAATTTTCAAATTATTTTATTTTTCAAAATATTTTCTAAATGAAATTCTGCCCCATACCCATCGCAGCGATATGAGCGACAGGGCAGTGACAAACGTCCAAGCCCCAGAGGATGTAATGAAGTTGGCATAGTCCAATTATTCCAAGTCATTGAGTTTCTTTAAGTACTTATACTTATCTTGATAGAAGGAAGAATAACTCCCTCCTCAAAAAGAAAAACATTTTCTTTGAATGGACTATTTGCACAGCTACAAGTATCCCAACTTACAGCTCGCCATAAGCTTGGAATAAGAATCCTTGTGATTGCAGTTGTTTTTTTCGAGGCAATGTAACAACATTAAAAATTCAACAATTCAATATATATAGTACAATTAAGAAGGTACAGATATAAATTTATAGGAGTGTTGCATCGTGGTCTCGCTATTAATTTCCAGTTTTAGTTACATAATTGCAAAAAAAAAAAAAGTTTCTTCAATAGTAAAATAGGGGATAGGGAAATAACCCTTAACCTGAAAATACAAAAATTAATTGTATATTTACATACTACATATAATAATACTAGAAAAGATCCTTCTTTAAAATTGAACTAAACAGCAATCTATACATATAAATATTTGACAACTTGTTGTTGGTACAGGCTAAACAAAATGGCAACTGAAATACATATCATCTCAAGTGAATCACGTTTAATTCTTTGGAGGAGGACCGCTAGGAGGATTGAATTCGTCATTATGATAGCCACCATAGGTACCTTGTTGCTGTCCAAATGTATCTTGTTGTTGTCCATATGAAGTTTGTTCATATGAAGGGGGAACATAAGCAGGGGTTGGTTGAGGTGGCAAGTCATTCATGTTGTATCCTTGGCCAGGAGGAGGAGGACCTGGATGATATCCCTGGTTGTAATATTGTTGTGGAGGAGGTCCTGGCATTGGCATCTGAGTAGTTACCACTTTTCCTTTCTTTCTAAAAAGAGTTGATCTTAAGATGAAGTACAAAAGAGCGAAGATAATTGGAATAGCGATTAATATCCACAACAACCATCGACGACGCTGCCAGTTGTTATTACTATTCACGTATATTATTCTCTTGACTAACTTTGCTTGATCTTCGCGTGGTACTATCATGATTAATTGGTGAATACGGTTAGAAAGAAGAAGAAGAGGTGATAGCTAAGCCTGATTTTGTTTTTCTTACTCATGTTCAAAATCATTCACTAAGGGGAAAAGCAGGCAGGGCTGAAAACCTGCAAAAGTGAGAATACAAACATCAACTTGCAGGTTGAATTTTAAATTTTGCAGATTAGTAAATAAAAGAAATATACTGCCTTGAATTGGTGAGATAAAAGGGCGCAACTCCGGGGTGGGGGCGAATACCAAGGTACTGAAGTGGGAACTTTCCGTTTCAACGTGACAATACAGTTGCTAAACAGTTTGAAGTGTGGACTTGAATAGAATAGAAGTATTAATCATTTGAAGGAAATCGAATCAACATAGCTACTATCAAAACTGTTATCCAGCACAGAAACACTCTTCAAGCTTAGATAGCCAAGGTGATTGGATTCAGGTTTATCAATCTAGACAATTATAGATCCATATAAAATAGCTACTTGGTTGTAGTGATGATTCTTCTTAAAATAGTGAGTTGAGTTTTGAAGATTTTTGTTGGCGTGCTCACCCCACACCAGCTGAGGCTGAGTGATAATAATTCTAGAATTCTACATAAAACTTAACTTTACTTTATAAAAATTAGAACCCTGGTAGGTCGTAAGCTGCAGGTTCAAAGGTATCACTTTGAAAAGTGTAGGGAATATGCCACTGCAATTTAATGTAAGAAGAAAGTGTCAAACGTGTCATCTTATGAACCATTGTTGCCGCCTCGGCGCTGGCCCAAAGGCTTAATGAATGATTGTTTTTATTTTTTTTTTTGTTATCAGTTTTTCTTGTCCCCTTTTTTTTCTTGACTCTTAGTTTGACGTTTTGAAAGGCAGTCATTACTGATTTTTAAATTCACAACTTAGAAGATTAGACTCGTTGTTCATTCTAGTTATCGTTTCATCACAACTTATACCTTTCTCCTAGCTGTACCATAACATTCCTATCGATTTCTCAGTTTAATTGTAGTCATATTACATGATACAACTTACAAAATTTGTTGCCAACTTTTAACACTTGAACTAGTTTTAACTCCCAGAATGAATTTCTATATTGTTCCTTCCGTGTCCTTCCAGACCCAGGAGAAGTTAAAGAAACATAAAAAGATCCTGCTGCATCAACACAAGAAAAAGAAACATCTGGGCAAATCGCCAGTACCCGATGCTTCCGCTAGCCAAGTAACTATCACAGACAGCAACCCTAGTCTTCTTGGGTCCAACCAAGCTTCTCCCGCTGCTTCACACAGACATAGCGTAGACTCATCACGTTCCCGAAAGAGTGAAGAGACTATCAAATCTAATCAAGCCATCAAACCTACAACACCCCTTGTGCAAGATCAAATACCCCAAACATATTCCCACGCAACAAGTCCATACGGCCATGACATATTACCAAAACCTCATGATGATGATAGAATGCCCTCTATTTCAGCCGTGTCCGAGTTATCCACAGAGGAATTGTCGGTTGCCCATACTGTTGAAGAACAAAAAGAACAGGAGAGGATACAACAGTTGCAACAGAAGTCCAGTGGGGTTTCCATTCAAGAGGATGATCCGAATGATCCATCCCTGATAATTGCTTCCAGATTCAGCGCAACAATATCTACTAATAGTTCACCCCATTTACTGAGGTTGAATTCTCATGGTCCTTCTGCCGCAGGAACTGCCAATATTACTATACCTACAAATGCCACCAACTCATCTGCTGCTTCGCAATATTCTTCATCGCCACATTACACAGCTACAAGTCTCGCTCCTAGTCATTCTTATAACCATGCATCTCATGTTTATCATGCCCCAGTTACTCATGTACGACCTCGATCGAACTCAATTTATTCGCACACATATGATTCTAATTACCACCGAACCCCGCCTTCAGTTCATATTGCCCAGAAAGATACACCACAACAGAGTCGATTCCGAAAACTATCGTTTTTGACAAAGAAGCTGGGGTCCCATCTTCCTAAAAGCAATGAATCATTAGATGCTACCGAGATGAAACCTCCTCCAACTGCAGAGCCATCTATGGGCAGGGCCCTGGAACGATTGGGCACCCCTCAAGGTGAAGGTACCATCCCTCCATTCAGACCATTTACTGATTTAACAATTTTAAATTCCATGAAGGAAATGGAACAACATATGTATTCTCCAGGTTATCAAATATTTCGATACAATAATTTCTTGTATCTTTTAAGTGAATATCATCCTAGTGATGCAGTGAATTTTGCCAACGTTCGTAATCATTCATTGTTGAAATTTATAACTCGTCAAAAAAGAGCGCATGAAGTATTACAAGATGAAAAAAGCAACATCAGTACCGAAGAACATTATGATGTACGGATATATGAAAGTTTTTTAGCATATGAATTATATTCATCAAGAGTTTTCATGAGACAATTGATCAAGCAAGCATCATTTGATCATCAAATGTATAATCACGAAGAATTGGTTCAAACGAATATTTCTAATTACATTAGGTACTTGCTAAATTTGCCAGTAAATGTTAATGTGAATGAACTAAATGATGTGGAAAAGAAGCATTATGAATTTAAAGCTTTATTTAAAAGAATTGCTGATGCCTTGTATCAAATGAAGAAGGACGAAACAAGTGATGAAATTTCAAATGAAAAGGAAATAAAGACAAAATTGTTATTGGAAGCAATCACCAAGGTTTCTTATGAGTATATTTTGTTGGAGAAATATAATATTGAAATTTTGAATAAGTTCAGTGATAATAATATACTTGAAAAGAGAGTTTTAAAATACTTGTTTAGTAAGTTTCATGAAAGAGTTAAAGTTCATAATCCTGAAAGTACAAAACTTTTACTTTTCAATACGTTTTACTCCGTTCAGTATGGCTGGTATCTTGCAGTTGCATGCCCTTTTGTGAGAGTTTTTGAAACCAACGTTTATGCTGAGGATAAAGATCTAATTGCCAATAAAGCTGCTTATGAAGAAATTGAGCTGAAGACTAGCAAGCGAGATTTTTCCCAATCCGACCAAATGTTGTTTGATACATATTTCAAGAAATTGATGTTTTCCTCATTCCAAGAATATAGTACCATGAGTTCCGAGAAATTAATCAAATTGCTTAAATTAATAGATAATCAATCCCCAAAGTATTCCCGAATGAATAGACATGAAATTCCTGATCCATCATCGACGTTTTCCCACAAGCCTATGAATTTTGAATATTATAGCGATGGACTTGCCACGATTGAATCTAATTCGTTTGATATGATTGACTCTCCAGATTTACCATTGCAAGTTACTGTGGAAAATTATAAGACCATAATTGGAGAATTTTATAGAATTTTGAAACCCGGAGGAATTTTTGAAACTAAATCTATGCAATTTGGTTCCAGATCAGTTGTGGACTTTTTAGAAAAACATAAAGGTGGTGGATATCCAAGAAGTTGGGATTTTGATGTCTTTAATCTAGAATGTTTTTATGATGTTGTGCCTCAATTTGTTGAAGCAATTCTCAAAGAATTGAATTTCGTGTTTGGAACCGGCAATGTTAAATTCACAGTATTGTTAGTTTGTGCCAACCTGGAAGTTAATAACTTCTTGATTAAATTTAGTGGTTTAAAACTATTCGAATTGGCTGGAAAATTTAATGATTATTGTTCAATGTTTGAAGATCAAGGCGATTCAAGTATGATAGACAAAGATTCTAGTGTACATTTCGTGGTACACATTAGAGCTAGGAAGACAGTGCCATTCCGCTCCTTTGATAGAGAGACATGAGTAGTATTTTGTATATTTTAAATGCTGGACATCTAAATATTAACTTTGATAGAACACATTTGGCCCGAAACCATGTACTTCCGGGGAGACATGCCCCCATCCCCCAACTTTGGACAGAACCACGGAAAAAGCTCCAACCTTAACTTGCCACTTTTAACGTTGATGCAGAACATATGTTCTCTACAGTTGCAAAAAAAAAAAATTAATTATGTATGAAGAAAATAAATAAAGCTATAGATTGAATAGATCACCACTGTACCAATAAAGTTACAAGGGCCCTATGTATCAATAAAGGTTGCAGGGGTCTCTAGAGTGAATAGATTAGGCATCCTCATTAAAATGTTAAAAACCTTCGAATCATCGTCAACTTTTTTGAATCTCTTTGCAAGCAGTGGCATCAACCACATCAATAAAGTCACACGGGCCCTATGTGACAATAAAGATGAGTCTTAGCCACATTTTGTTAAGAGAATTTAATTGGTTGATTTTAATTCTATGATTTCTTTCTCTTTGTTAGGGGGAATAATGGATAGTGCTTCCTTTTTATTTTTCTTTTCTTCTTTTAATCTGAAAATAATCGAAAACTTAGGAGTTGCATGCGTAGTAGTTGTCTAATTGATCTAGACGTCTCAACAGCATAAGTGATCTTCTTTTATCTCTTTCAGTTTCCACATTGTCCTTATCATTGAAATACTCAAAAAATTCAGCAGTGTCTTTCTCATCTTCTTGAACACAGTTTTTTGTCTCCAACTCATAATTTATGTTGTTCTTTGATTTAAGAATTGGTTTGCGTTCGAGACTATCGGTTGTAAGTGTTGGAAAAAGACAATTTGTGTCTGTATTAGCATCAGTAGCACCGGTATCAGCAGTTGTAGTACCAATATCATCAGTAGTAGCAGTAGTATTTGAGGACGAAATAGGTTCTCCTGAAGAAAAATGTGACAACCAAAATGATTTGGAAAAGCAACTCTTGGAAAGCTTGCCTTTAAATAAATTATATCTAGAATCTGAGGTTTGTGTATCTTCGATTTGTTCAGTTTTAAAAACAACACATTCAACATTTCTTTTGAATTTAATATTTCCCTCACATATTAATGATTCTTGAGAAGGATTTTCAAAAAGGGAAATGTCAATGGGACCTTTTGCTAATGATTTTCCTGGACCTAACAATGGTGTGTTGGTAACAGTAACAGTAATATGATAAGTTGGTTCTTTTCTTTTTCTGAGATTAAAAAATCTCTTGAATCTCTCCACTTTTGAGAGCTTCTTCAATGATTCAAAGGTTGATTCTGACTCAACTGTTGACCAGTCATCTTCATCACTTGAATAATCTTCCTCATCACTAGAACTGTATGGATCTTCTTCTGGATATCTTGGTAAACAGTTATTTGATTGTATTTTATCTAAGAGTTCTTCTTTATTCTTCTTATGAATAATCTTTGTAGCCTTCTTCAAAGCAAGTTTGAGTTTTGACTTCTTAATAATGGTAGTTTCAGGATCAACATTAGCAGTTGGGACTTCAATAATGGAGTCAATGGAAGGTTGATATTCAACGTTAGAAGTTGTGTCTTTAGTGATGGTGTTGGTTGAAGTAGCTGTCTTTGAATTGCTGGAAACAAAATGTTTTTTAAAAACTTGTCTGAATGATAAGCGTAAGCACATTGTTGGATAAGTTTAGATTGGTTAACAATTGATGTAAAAGTTGAGATACACTTGAATGTATTGGAGGGTCAAATAAGATTAAACTAATGTCAAATCAGTATAAAGTTATTTGGTAAAGAAGAAAAGAAGAAAGTGAAAGAAATTAATTTGAAATGAAGGGGAAAATTGCCGCAAATTTATAGAGTAACTTTTTTTTTTGCAACCAATTGTTTACAGACAAATTTTGGTAAACCTTGAAATATTTTCTTGTTTCAGATTATAACATTTAATGCAAGTTCAGATAATATCAACTTGCTTTTACAGTACCTGAAACATAGATAAGCTCTGCCTGACAGCTATTTTGTAGTTTAGTGTTGTACAAATACGGTTTCTATTGCCAAACTTTGAGGTTTTAGCAGTATGCGGCTTGTCAGTGCCTTGTTTCAGATTATGTCCATTATGCAGCTTTGATTATCCTTGCATTAATTCTGCAGAATCTGAAACGTAGATAAACTCAGTCTGTCAGTTATTTTGAACTTTACCGCTACGCAAATACGGCTTCTGTTGCCAAACTTTGATGCTTTAGATTCAAAATACGGCGTTTGTTGTTCCCCACCTATAATTACTATGTATATTTCTTGCCGAATAATGGGATTATTACATAGTCTGAAACAACAAGTAATTTAAGAAGCCATAATATGCATGGAAGTGTGTCAAATCACAAACATCCTTGTTTTTATTTTTAGTAGCATCAGGTTTGATAACGAGCAAGTGGTTTTTGACTTATTTTCCAAGATTGTTTCTATAATAACAAACAACAAGTAAACAATAAGAGCATTACATGAACTGGTGTAAGCTAGTGGACTATACAAAACTATAAACTGGTAGCCGGTTGAGGAAGTGACTCATGGGGGTCTTCAAGTCAATTTTCCTGTATATAACCCAGACTGAGTCACAACAATTTTTCTTTTTAATTTTTCAGACCAGATTTCCGGTTATCTATGAACAGCTGTACTTGCACTTTAGGAAAACCTCTCTTCTTTTTCTAAATCATCGCAAAATGTCAAAAACAGTGTACATCATTGATGTGGAAAGTGGTAACTTGCAATCCCTTTCCAATGCTATCAAGCGTATTGGTAACTACGACATAAAATTCATCCACAATGCTGAAGAATTTAAACAGTACGATTCCCAAATTGAAAAGTTATTATTCCCAGGGGTGGGAAACTATGGCCATTTCGTCAAAGAAATCCATGCCCGTAGTTTGACAGATCCAATTAATGCTTATATCAAAAGTGGCCGATCACTTATGGGAATTTGTGTTGGATTGCAAGCATTTTTCAAGAGTTCAGAAGAAAGCCCTGAAGCCGAGTTTGAAGGGTTAGGATATTTGGATTTCTCGTTGACTAAATTTAATGTTGAAGATCCAGTATTTAAAGCTCGTGGTATGAAGAAAAGTGTCCCACATATTGGTTGGAATCATGTTTCTGAAATCACTGTTGGTGGTGAACCTATTGCTAAAGATACTTCATTATATGGCATCAACTCTGTTAACAAGTACTATTTCGTTCATTCATATGGTGCTATATTGACACCAGAATTAAAGGCTGGTGTAGTTAACAAGTATGGAAAAGAGCAAGGTTGGGACTTTGCCTTTGCCAGATATGGATCTGAAGAGTTCTTAGCCGCTATTAAATATAAGAATTTCTTTGCTACTCAATTCCATCCTGAAAAATCTGGTATTGCTGGATTAAAAGTCATCAAGAACTTCCTTGAAGGTAACCAGTTCCCAACTATTCAAACTGCTGATATAGAAACCCATGATAATACTGAAGTTACTTTAAGTGGATTATCAAGAAGAATCATTGCCTGTTTAGATGTTAGAAGTAATGATGATGGAGATTTGGTTGTCACAAAAGGTGACCAATATAATGTTCGTGAAGAAACGGATGGTGGAGAATCTAAAGTTAGAAACTTGGGTAAACCAGTTGAGTTGGCTACTAGATACTATAACCAAGGAGCTGATGAAGTTACCTTTTTAAACATCACTTCATTCCGTAACTCTCCTTTAAAGGATTTGCCAATGTTGCAAGTGTTATCAAAAGCTGCAGAAACCATTTTCGTTCCTTTAACTGTAGGTGGAGGAATTAAAGACATGATTGATCCTGAAACTGGAGCAACTGTTCCTGCTGTTAAGGTTGCTGATTTATATTTCCGTTCTGGTGCTGATAAAGTTAGTATTGGTTCAGATGCTGTTGTTATTGCTGAAAATTATTATGCCAACAATAAGCAGAAAACTGGTACAACCTCAATTGAATCTATTTCTGCTACATTTGGTAACCAAGCGGTGGTTATTTCTGTAGATCCAAAGAGGAAATATGTTGCTTCACCAAGTGAAACAACCATGTCCACAATTAAGATTGAAGACCCAGCAAGATACGGTCCAAATGGTGAACAATATTGTTATTACCAAGTTACATCACAAGGTGGTAGAAAAGTTCATGAATTAGGAGCATTAGAATTGTGTTTGGCATGTGAAGACTTAGGTGCTGGTGAAATCCTCTTGAACTCAATTGACCATGATGGTTCAAACCAAGGGTACAATTTGGAATTGTTGCAACAAATCAAGCGCAATGTTTCAATTCCAGTGATTGCTAGTTCTGGTGCTGGTGTTCCGAAGCACTTCCAAGAAGTTTTCGAATTAGATTGTGGTATTGATGCTGCTTTAGGTGCTGGTTTGTTCCACCGCGGTGAATATACTGTCAATGACGTTAAAAGATATTTGCAACAAGAAGCAAATATGGATGTAAGGTTGGATGATAACGTAGAATTATAGATTATCATATTGCTGTAAATACATATATAACACTTTGCATGTGCTTACTACCTATTAGCGTTAGGCATTCGCACTTTGTGTGGTAAAAAGCCCGTCTATAAAAAATTCTTGTCTCAAAATTTTTTGGTTGTAAATCTGAATGTCTACATGCCAAGGTGTCAAACATAACAGAAATATGAAGTCTAAAGAAATATGAATGGCCCTGTAGATATAATAAAACTGCCATCAATGACATATCTCGCCGACAAGAGTGACATGGAAGAAGAGAGCTGTGTTAGTCCCTCTGATTTGCATTATTCCCCACCTCCGCTTGAGACAACCACCACTACTACTCTTATAGCAGATATAGTTCCCAAGACAACCCCACTGCCATCACAGTCACCGTCACGGACATCATCACGGTCACCCTCACCTTTACCAATCCCTCCAATCCAATCTTCTCTTCCTTCTATCTTCAATCATTTACGTTCAAAGGATAATAATAAGACCCAAGACCCAAGTGGCAATACGAGCAAAAAGTTTATCAAAAAGTTACTTCATTTGAACAAGTCTGCCGACGACGATATATCTTCATTAGAACTGAATTCTTCTACGGCCAGGTCAGTTGCTTCGTCTATAACGAGAAAGTTGCAACGGTCCCCCTTTATAATACATCCTTCCATCGCAACAGATGTGCTAGATCTGTTGGAAGATGAGATTGAACTTCATCCCGACCTTTCTAAATCCATTGGTCATATAAAAATTCCACCTTCTTTTGTAAAAGAAGGCTTGCCATTGTTGAAAGTTTCACACAAGTCGAAGAAACGAGTGTTGTTCTATATTGATCCTGCCAACTTTAAATTCAATTGGAGAGTTGTGAGCAATTCCTCGGCTCCTTCACAGACTCACCGTTTGTCCATAACTGGAAGCTCTTCAAGGATATATGAGTTCACGCTTGATGATATCAAGTCGGTCTATATGGGAGTAGAAGCCAGTAGTTATCGAGAAGAGTTCAATATTTCCAAAGAATTTGAAGAAAAATGGATAACTATTATTTACTTCAACCAAAAGAAGAAGAATTTGAAGACTCTTCATTTAATAGCTGACACAAACCATGATTTCAAAAAGTTGAGTGTGATCTTACAAAGTTTGCGTAATTTACGTGATCAGTTGGCTAAGCAGTTTTTGATTGATTTCGATGATCTTGATAGTACACAAAAAAAGTTAATCTTGGATAAGGCTCTAGTTCAACCCGATGAAACAGGCGAAGTTAAACAGGTTCGGGAATTCCTTTCATTTAATGATATTTTGAAGTATACCAAGCGGTTAAACATCAATGTCAATAGAAAACATTTAGAGTCGATATTCAATGAGGTTTCTAAGCAAGAAAATGATGGGGGGTGTAATTATGAACAAGGTTTGAATTTTGAACAATTTAAAATGTTTGTTTCCAAATTGAAGAAACGGGATGATATCATTGATATATGGAACAATATTTGCGGTGATGGAGAAGTGATGGATTTTCAATGCTTTGCCAAATTCGTCACTAAGATTCAAGGAGAATCTTATAGTGAGGAAATCATGAGGAAAATATTTAATTTATTTGCAATTAAGAACGAATATTGGCTGCAGGAAAGTTTAAACAATTTCTTATTGTCCAAATTTTCTAAACCAATTCATAACATTGAGACAAGAGACTATTTTGATCATCCTTTAACTGACTACTATATTTCATCTTCACATAATACATATTTGATTGGACGTCAAGTTGCTGGAGATTCCTCGGTTGAAGGCTATATAAGAGCTTTGCAACGAGGATGTAGATCCATAGAAATTGATGTTTGGGATGGTCCGAATAGTGATAATAACGACTTGTCTTCTTCATTGGAATCAGAGCCTATAGTAAACCATGGGAGAACATTCACCACCTCGATTAAATTTGATAATGTGATTAGAACTATCAAGAAATTTGCATTTATTACTACACCGTTGCCACTAATACTAAGTTTAGAAATTAATTGCTCGGCTTCAAATCAATTAAAAGTTGTTAATATATTAAAAGAAATTCTTGGTAACAGCATGGTTCTTGCACCGATTGACGACACGAGCACTATACCCTCCCCGGCCCAATTAAAGCACAAGTTTCTCATTAAGCTGAAAAAGACCAGTGCATTTCATAATTTGGTAGCTATGGAAGATGGAAGTTATACTACTTCCACCACAACCTCATTCAGTGAAGACGGAAGTACGGCAAGTACCAAACTGAATTCGTTTATTATTCGTAGAAAACAATCTACTAAGATAATTGAAGAATTAAGTGCATTGGGAGTATACATTCAAGGAATCAAGTATAAGAATTTCTCATTGCCTGAATCGAAAACATTCAATCATTGCTTTTCATTGAATGAGAAATCTATTAATGTCATGATTAAGGATGAAGACAAGAAAATTGCTCTTGATAAACATAATCGGAAATATTTCATGAGAGTATATCCGGCTAAAATGAGGTTGAAATCCACTAATTTTATTCCCTTGAGTTATTGGGAACATGGGGTTCAAATGGTTGCTACAAATTGGCAAACTTACGATTTGGGACAACAGCTAAATGAAGCTCTATTTGAAGGTGTTGATAAAAAAGGATATGTATTGAAACCGCCAGCATTGCGAGCACCACAATTGAGGTCGTCAAAACGGTTGCGTCTATTCAAGCAACCGCCTCCCAAGAGAATCAAGTTCCTGGTTGATATAATTAGTGCTCATCAACTTCCTAAACCTAAAGAAGATGATATTATAAATCCATTCATAACGTTTGAAATCATAGGGGCAAATTCCATCCAATGGGATTCCCCGGAAATGGAAAGCGGTAAAACGAGAATAATTGTTGAAAATGGGTTTAATCCGATTTGGAATGCCAAATTTAGTGGAGAATTAACTTGTTCCTATAATGAATTTGTATTTTTAAAATTCACAATTAATAGTTCATCATGGGGAGCTGAAGAATCTGAGGTGTCACCCATTGGTATATTAGTAGCTCGGATGAGCTACATGAAACCAGGATATAGGTATCTCCCTATCAATGATGTATTTGGAGAACAACTAGTTTATTCTTCATTATTCGTTAAGATTGGATATAGTGAATAAATTATATAGAGCAAGCCGCATTTCCTAATTTGGAAGCGCGAAGAGATGATTAATTTTTTTTTTTTTGTTTTATATTTTTTTTTCATTTTCTTGTAAACTTAATAGAAGACTTGTACTTTAGAACTGCAAACTTATAGAAGACCAAGATGGGTAAAATATCAGTTAATGACACCAAGGGAAAGCAACGTCATAACCCTTTATTGAAAGATATCTCATCTCAAGGAGGAAACTTGAGAACAACTCCAAGATCATCAGCATCCCAAGCCAAATCAAACAAGAAACCTCAACAGGAAGAAGAAGGGTACTTGGATGCTGTTACTTCGAGAAAGATTTTGCAATTAGCCAAGGAACAACAAGATGAGTTGAGAGAAGAAGAGGAAGGATCTGGACGACCAGCAACTTTTGGTGAATCATTCAGAAAACAACTAGCCGAAAGTGATGAAGAAGAAGAAAGCGAAGACGAACAAGAGTATTCTGATTTTGAAGAAGTTGAGGAAATCTATGAAGAAGAGGAAATCGAAGTGGATGAAAAAGATGCTGAATTATTTAATAAATATTTCCAAAGTAATGGAGCAGCTATGGGTCAAGGTATAAACTTGGCTGATAAGATCATGGCCAAGATTCAAGAAAAAGAAGCCCAAGATCAACAACAATCCCAAGGTGGGAAACCAGTGGATGCTGTTATGTTACCACCTAAGGTTATTATGGCATATGAAAAGATTGGTCAGATATTGGCTAGTTATACCCATGGTAAACTTCCTAAATTGTTCAAGATCTTGCCAAGTTTAAAGAACTGGCAAGATGTTTTATATGTCACCAACCCTGAGAAATGGACTCCTCATGCTACTTATGAAGCTACCAAATTATTTGTTTCTAACTTATCTGCCAATGAAGCGCAAAAGTTTGTTGAAACTGTCTTGTTGGAAAAGTTTAGAAGCTCAATTGAAGATTCCGAAGATCATTCCTTGAATTATCACATTTATAGAGCATTGAAAAAGTCCTTGTATAAGCCTGCTGCTTTCTTCAAGGGTTTCTTGTTGCCTTTAGTTGATGGATATTGTACTGTGAGAGAAGCAACTATTGCTGCTTCTGTATTGACCAAGGTATCTGTGCCTGTATTGCATTCATCTGTGGCTTTAACTCAATTACTTCAAAGAGATTTCAGTCCAGCCACCACGGTATTCATTAGAGTGTTGATTGAAAAGAAGTACGCTTTGCCTTATCAAACATTGGATGAATTGGTGTTTTACTTTATGAGATTCAGAAATGCTACTCAAGAACAAATGCAAATAGATTCAGCCGGCGATGCTCCTCAATTACCTGTGGTTTGGCACAAGGCATTCTTGGCATTTGCACAAAGATACAAGAACGATATTACTGACGATCAAAGAGATTTCTTATTGGAAACAGTTAGACAAAGATTCCATCATGCCATTGGACCTGAAATCCGTCGAGAATTATTAGCAGGTAAGCCAAGACTTACTGCTGATCAAGAACCAAAGGATGGATTAATGGTTGATGCATTTTAATTAGTCGTTTTTTTTTTTAGGAAAAAAATAATGTATATTAGTAATTGTCTAGATAAATGTAAAGTAATGCAGTATTTACACATGGCCAGAAGGTTCAGAATGAGTTCTCTTTCTGGCGTCTTCACAAAGCTTTTCAGGATCAGCAGCGAGGGCAAAATAACTTTGAACGGAACCAATTATAGTCAATGCGACACAACTACCAATCCAAAGACCGTGTAATGATCCCTTCCAAGGAGAGTAGAATGACAAGTAAAGCGAGAGTGGTAATCCAACAACATAATATGAAAATAAGTTGACGATTCCTCCAATCTTGGTTTGTCCTTGACCTCTCAAACACCCAGCTGAATTGGCATTCATGGCATCGGCAATTTGCATAATAGCAATAATCCACATAACCAGGGAAATTGTACTGATGACTTCTTCATCTTTAGTGAATGTAATGGCGATTTCTCTTCTGAAACAAAACAAAAACAAAAAGTTCAAGAATGCAATCAATAACCCAAAGGTGAGAGAAACTTTAGTAGTAGTTCTGGCAGCAGCACCTAATCCAGCACCAAGATAATTGGCAATCCTCGTTGATGAGGCAATACCAACGGCAAATGGAACTTGATAGGTGACACAGGCCATGGTGGTACCGATAGATTGTGCAGCAAGGGCAATCGTACCTAAATAAGATGCCATCAATGTCATGATTTCGAATGCCAAGAATTCTGCTTCCAACATGATAAGACCAGGGATGGCAAGTTGGGCTAATCTTCCCCAACCTCTAAATGATTCCTTAAAGTCTAATCCACCCCAACATTTTAATGGGTGTAATCCAGATGGGGTATCCTCGGGCTTAATGAAGAAAACAATAAATAACACTAATAAACTGATCATGAGCCAATAGTTGATAGCAACAGCAATGGGTGCTCCTAAGTAACCAATATGCTTCACTAACAAATAGTTCATAATCAAATTAGAAGGAGCAGCTATTAACAAAACGTAAGTTGAAATATGGTAAATTCCTTGTGCCTGTAAGAAACGTTTCCCACATTCAAACAAAATGTAAGCTGGCATACCAAATGCAACATATTGTAGATAAACCGCCGATAACTTGGCAGTTTCTTTATCAGGAAGGATCATGGTGATCAAATCGTACCCATAAAATACCCATATGAACAATATTGGTAACATAATAACAAACTCCAATGAAGTACATTTCTGGAGATAGGTTCCGACCAAGGTATATTTCTTGGCTCCAAATGCTTGAGGACAAAGGGTGTCTAATGCAGTTGCTATACCCTGAATAGTAGCATAACCTGTGATGTTGGCCGTCATGGCACCCATGGAAACAGCAGCCAACTCAGTGGCACCTAAATGGCCAACCATAAATACCGATACGGTAGAAAGGGAATTTTGCAATAAAAACGTCATAACCAATGGAACTGAAGATTTGATTAAAGATTTCAATTCTATTGCTGCAGTAGTGTGGTCGAGTTTCTTGTTGGCAATGGCGTCTTCAAAGGCATCCATAATCTGTTCATCACCGCCGAGATAGGTAATATGGTTCTCCTTCAACAAATCACGTTCTTGCTCTAATAGTTCACGGGCAACCATCAGGCCTCTTCTGATGTTCAAAGTAGTGTTACTGGTGACAGCTAATAATGGTTGAGTTTCGTCTGCTTCAATTTCATCTCCGGTTATTGCTTCTTCAATGGGCGAGGCTGGTGGAGAAGTGATAAAATCCGAGGGTATAAATAACCCCAATTTACCAACAGAACCAGAAACCACCGAGGCACGTCTCTGAGTGTTTGAATGAGTGAACTGATGTGTTCGATCCAGTTGAGTCATGGTGGTCTATAAGGTACTCTTATCAAGGAATAGGGTTTAAAATAGAAAGTGAAATAAGATTAAATTCCAGTGTGAGTCAAGATGAATTATTTTTTTTTTTTTCGTTTCTTTTTTTGCACGCGATTTTTTTTTTTTTTTTGCGCTTCAATTTAAGATTAGATTGCAAATGCTCATCGTATAATAAATTAGCCTGGCAACCACAGTTACTGCGATGGGTATGCTTTGTGTCACTACTTCCTCATCTCAAGACTAATTCATCTTATCCCAACTTCTACCCAGTTTAACGAGAATTACACTATTAATATACATTGATAACTAATTATACACTGTTTTTTTTTAATTGTTCTTCAAAATAATGTCAGGTTGGCTAGCATTTTACTGCTCATCCAACTCATCATACTTGTCGATTCTATCTTCGGCAGCATCTTCATCTTCAATTTTAACCCCTCCACTAACTGAAAACTGTCCTCCAGCACCAATCAAATGAATATCTTCATTCTTGGTAGCAGTGTTGACGATTCTAGTTGGCTTTTCAACATCTTCGTCCAATGGCCCCAATCCTGGTCCATAAGTATCAGCAAATCCCCACGAGTATACAAATCCATCATCAGTTACGGCAAACGAGTGATGTGATCCAGCACCAATGGCCTTAATCTTAATACCTTCTTTACCCCCAAACTGAAGTTTGGTAGGAGTAGGCACTGATCTTGGGTTCCCGTGTTGATCTTTAAATGTAGATTCTGGTAATTTATCCTTAGGAATACCAACTTCCTTCATATCGTATCTTCCCCATGCATATACATCACCGTCAGCAGTAAGAGCCAAACTATGGTGTTCCCCAGCGACAATTTCTTTAATACCCTTGTAAGACAATTCAGGAATTAATGTAGGTTTGGAGATAATAGACCCATCTTCCAATCTACCCTTGGAATCGGTCAACGCACATTGACCATACTGGTTTAAACCCCAGGCATACACCTTGTCGTTATGATCAATGGCAAAACAATGGAAGTCTCCACTGGCAATATACCTGATGTTGTATAATCCAAATTGTTGTGGCTCCAAAGCTCTGTAACGGTGTCTTTCCAAGATTCTACGTCCAAGTTGGAACTGTTGACCATTACCCCAGGCATAGACAATTCCCTTGGAATCAAGGGCAAGCAAATGATCCTTACCAGCGGCCAATTGAACAATGTTTTTCAATTCTTTGATTTTCAATGGAGTTTTTTGAATCTTGATCTCATCACGTAAGAACCCCAATAAACCTTCGTTACAACGGAAACACCCCCAGGCGTACACGTCTCCATTGGCAAACAAAACTGCACTCAAGTTATCAGTAGCGGCAACTTGAACGATTTGGGAATCATGGGGTAAGTTTTCCACTAACCCTGGAGTTGACTCGGCTTCATTCAAATCACCATCTTCGTCATCATCATCACTGTCGCCACCATCCATGTCTTTCAACACTTCCTTGGCTTTGGAGGTATCTCTACCTAAAACACCACTGTCATTTCCTCCCCAGGACCAGATTCTACTCTTGCCATCCACAGCCAAAGTGTGCATTCCACCGACGGAGAAATCAACAATCTTGGTACCATTGAGCTTTTCTTCAGTCAAGTATGGGTTCAATCTTGGTCTCTTGACTTCTTTGTTCTTGGAAGAAGGTCCTAATCCAAGTTCACACATGGAACCGGTACCCCACACAAATATATCAAGAGGAGTGGATTTGGCAACAGGCATTTCATTGATATCAGGTAACTTGGAATATGAATGTAAAATAAAAGAGGCGGTGGTGAAAGAAGATTTCAACTTCTTTCTTGCACCGGCTTCGCCGTCTTCGACCTTTCTTTTCCTTTCTAAGGCTACCATTGTGGTGTGTTGTGAACCTCTGTTGATACTCTCACACTCTTTTTTTTTTAGTCAGCGGTTCTTTTTGAAGATGTTGATCCATCGCTGCCGAATCCTCATTGGGAATTTTTGTAAACAATACACGACACTTTTCGTGTTGTTGATATACCAACGCTAATACATACCACCTATTGGATGGTTTATTATTTCTAGGAATGAAATCTATTAATGATTCTGCATATTATTATTATTACTACTACATATATTAGTCAGCATATTTAACATACGCTCTATTCTATCATTCATCATATCTCGTAACCACGTAAGCTGACTATTGCAGTTCGCTTATATTGGACAAAAGTTGTGCCAAACATCTCTTGGTAGCAACATCATCTTGTAATATCAACGAGAATGTACCATCACGTAAAGGCTCTGGTAATATACTAGACAAAGCTTTTCTCGCCTCTAAATTGTCTGATAATCTCATGTAGCATCTAACCACATGTTTTAGTAATCTACCGGAACTATTTGATGGCTGTTGTGGGTTCTGGGAACTTGCAGATATGCTGAGTTGGTCAATCATTTTAGACAAGACCGATGCAACGGTGTGGAATCTTTCAAATGTGGTGCACACGTAGGACAATCCTTGGTCATCCAATAAAATCTTTTGCAAGATGAAAATAGCAACTGTCTTGGACAATTCCGATGAGATTTCCATGATGTTCAAACATAATGGCACGATTTCCGTAGTTAACAAGAAATTTATAACTTCAGGTGTATCGTTCTTGACCAACGCTCCAATGACTCCCAAACTAGTTAATCTCAAATATTCAAATGACCGTTGTCTAGCATTGGTAGACAAGAATGGATAGAGGTAAAGAGGCAAGTTTGCACTTAAAAACAATCCCCTGGTTTGCACGTTGGATGCCACGCATTGAAGTAAAGCCAAAGCATTACACACCCGGTTGGAAACTGATGCACTTAAATTGGGAGGGTTCAAATAAGGGTAAACAGAAATAATTTCCTCCAACAACACAGTCATCACCCCGAATGAGTTCCACAACACTAGTGCTAAGTCGTCATATTGTTCTCTTTTTTTCCCCAACTCTAATAGTGCCCGCTCTCTATTCGTCCCAGTGACAAGTTCGGAAATCCACTGGTAGATTTGTTCATCATTCAAAGCTTTGTTGGTTGCTAATCCAGACTCCTCCCTGGATGGAGTTCCCATCTGTCCCATAGTTTGAATAGGACCTTTCGCTTGAGCTGTATTGTACATGTTGTATAAAGATAATATTGTAAAAAGTCGCGGTATAAAATGAGGGCGTTGGGTGGGAAATAGTTTTGGTGAATGTTTTTTTCTTCCTTTCTTGAATTCTGTTAGGAGACCATGCATCAATATGCAGGAACATCCAGTTCAAGGTTAAGTCACCAATATAACGGGGTATATTTATATTAAAATTAAACTACTATATATCTTCATTTAATGGGTTGTGACTGGTAGCATTGTACCCTGCTCGTTTGTTTGACCATTTGCTCTTAGCTTCAACAAAAAATCTGGCGGAATTTTGAAGTAAGTAACCAACAGACCCAATTGCTCTGAAGCACGACAAGATGGCCACCATCCACAAAATACAGGCTAGGTAAAGGTTACGACTGGTTTCACCCGGTTGGTAAACATGAATCATGGTCATAATAAACACCAAGTTGGCAAGCATCCATGTTAAAACAACTCTAGTTCTCACATCCTTGGCATAATCCTCTCCTTCAAGTGGTGTCTTGGCTTGTTGCACCACACTAAGTTTCTTGTTGGATCTCTTGGCTCTGATATTGTACAACGTTTCAAGATATACCTCATCGATATTGACATCAACAACCACAGCTTCGAACTCACCTTTTTCGTTCTTTTCAATAATATATTGGTTAGATCTATCTTCCTTAGGGTTGTTGTCACCCTTGGTACCCCAGGAAACATCATGAGTGTTGCAAAAGGCAAAGATCTGCAATGTACATGTATATGAAGGAATCATCAAGAAATATTGCACCGAACAAGTAAGCATATGCCAAGGATCCATGTATAAAATCGACATCAATGTGTACAACCCATACGTGGATAACAAAGACACAACAATACTAATCAAAACATAATGTGACGTACTACCACTACCAAACTTTTCAATAGTATTCACCACAAACACAAAACCAACAATTAAAGCATACAATGCACAAACAGTCAACAAGATAATCAACGTTTTGAAGATGTTTTTCGAAGCATGTGGTCTGTTTCCAATCGATACAATGAATAATGAAGTCAACACCGAAATACAAAGATAATTGAACAAAGTAAATATCCAAAATCCACCATTATGACCAAGACCCTTATAAGATACCAATGAACCGGTCAAGAAGTAAAAAGTCAAGTAGAAGTTACTCAAGGAAAAGAAGGAAAAAAGCAATGACACAAACTGATAGGCGAATTCCACATGTAACCAAAACTTTCTCGCATAGGAATGATCGGTAGACCAAATCTTACCACAATTGTATAACGAATATAAAGCAGCAAAGAATGCCCCATTGATCCATCTTCTTCTTTGTGCAAGGAATTCCGACACGGTTTCAGGAACATCAGTTTCACCTGTAGCCAGCTTAACAAACTTAAGCACCCAGTTTTCGTTTCGTTTAGAAACCAACTCCCAACATAAAATACGATCTTCGGCCAAGTACATATTGGCTTCAAAGAAATTGGTTTTGTTATTTTCCTTTTCGGACTCATGGGCATTAAGTAAATCTTCACCCTTGAAATATGCCGCCAACGGACCAGTTCCATCTTCATGGTTCTTTAATGCAATATACCTATAGGCAGAAAGAGCCCCTGGTAACACAGAAATATATCCAAACAAGGATTCAAGTGGCTTATCAAGAATGTTTGACATTTTGTATTCGAAGTTCTGAGAGGCCACTAACGGGTTAGTAAGGTTGATCCAACCTTTACCCTTCATGGCTTTAATTTCTCCGGCAGCACCCGCAACATTGGAATCACGATCAAATGCTTTCCACAAATTGTAAACAGCATGGTTATCTGGTTTAGTACCCACATCTAAAAGAATGATAACATTAGGGTCTAAAACAGGGCAAAAGGCATTGAATAACCATCTGTGCGAATTGATTTTCTTTTGGTTCTTTTCTTTCAAACAAAACAAAACTTGGACTGGAGTCAAGTTCTTTTCATCACCTTTGAACTTGAGGTTTTCGTCAATAGAAATTTGGGTGGTATATTCGAATAAATGGGCATTGACTTTCTTGTTGTTAACATATGGTCTTGCTAAATTATCTTGGTAACAACCAGTAGCTGTCAATAACTGAAGCACTGATTCGTTGACTTTGTTTCTACCATCGGCAACAATCACAACCTGAATCTTTTTCCAACCATCCTTACCCCACACTTTAGATTTATGTCTTGAGCATAAATGGGCCACATTCTTCATAACCCCATGCATAGTTCTCGCAAAGGAATATTCATCTTCATTATACATAGTAATACAGATCACCACTTCGGTCTCACGGCCATACTTTGCTGCACGTAAAGTGAACCCATTGGCGATGAACTCATCTGGTTCAGAAGTACAAGCGGTATATGTCATATTTGTAAATTCACCAAATGGAGATTCAGTCCTGGTCAACACCTTTCTTAATTCCTCAGGAATGGGGTTTTCCAACACCAAGTTACCAGCTTGACCACCAATTAACTTGACTTTTCTCTTGGTGGTGACCTTATCACGAGGTGGTATATAACCATTATCGATATTTTGCATAATATTCCCATCTAAGGAATTGCTAAAGTAGTTACTTTCATTGGTGTTGTTATTGTCTTCGGAGATATAAGAGCGGCCGCTATAGGTAGATGCAGCGTATAATGACTTTTCTTCTAGATCGTGATGTTTTTGGTATGATTCATAATCGTAGACAGTTTCTTGGTCGCTTGCTTCGGGGTTAGCTTCAGCAAATGTTTGCGGAGAAAAGATCGGTTGAGGTGGTTCCAAGAACCTTTCGCTGCTAATTGCACTGGCTCTAAATGACCTGCGTGGAGATCCATGAAGTAACGATTCAGCAATCTCATCTTCTTGGTCTTCGGGTATGATTAATTCTGTTTTTGTTTGTCTCTTGGGTGACTCTTGAGCAGTGTATTTTGCTCTTGGAGTTTGACCATCACTGTGTTTCAAGTTAGGGGTTGTGTTGAGAAGGCTTGATTTACTGGCAAAAGCTCTGGCAGTACTGGCGAAAATGTTTGGTGATTGTCTTGAAATTGGAGATTGTTGCTGTTGCGTTGATTGAGGAAATGCTAAGAATTTCCCATCGACATCATCTTCGTCATCGTCTAATGGCTGGTATCTCCTTCTTGGAGAAGCACGATCACTAGTGAAGGCGCTGTTAGGGTATGAAGGTTGTGAATCCTGAAACGGATCGGTACTATTGCTATCGTCAAATGGATTCATTATTGGTTAGAAAAGAAGACTTTCCAAGAAGAATTGAGTGAATTGTAAAAATCTATTTTTACATTTTTTTGCACAATTCATGGATTGTATATGAGATCCGGTTGTTAAACATAATTGGGTTTATTTAGATTTGTTCCTAATTAGGAAGTGCATAATAATAAACCTGCACCAAAGCTGCAAATCATTTTGGCTAGTATGCAGGATGACAGCTAATCAAATGTTACACTACTCTACAAGTATACTCCAGTTTGTTTACAATATGGCCTATCCTAATGGTAAACTTGATTCTATAATGGTACGTTGTAGCTATAGAATTACATTAATTACAATAAATTTCTTAGGTTCATGATATGTGCTGCATTTGATATATTTTTCGTTATAAATTAGGCAAATTTCTCATAAAAATACTAAACCTAAACGACAAATTCACCAACAATGTACAGTTCAACACATTTTCGTAACGCTGTGTTAGGATAACATTGTTCTTTGCTCAATTTCTGTTTAGTTAACGGATCAAACTTATGGCTAGTTAAATGTTGCCATAACCATGATTTTTCAGAAAAGTGGCCCGAAAGAGTAATGACGGGGATCGTGTAAAAGATTGAACGAAATGGGGTCGCATAGAATGTCTGGTGGCTCGCGTTTATCTTGGCCACCATATTTGTGTTTAAACATCCCCACTAACTGCTTTATTTGTTCGTTATATTTTATGCTGAGGTTGGTCATTTTAATTTGGAATTCATCTTTGTCACCTTTCAGTAGTTCTTTCAATTCACAATGAAACTCCTTTTGAAGAAGATACACTGATTTGTTAAAAAAACGGATGGGACTCGGCCAAGTTTGTTGCAAATTCCATTTCACTTTTAGAATCTCTTGGTATATTTCTTGTGGAAGTGTGTATTGCTTATAGTTCTTTGCTCGTACTACTGATGCATTATAAGCCAACTCAAGCATCTTTAATCCCTTTGATTATTTCTTGTATCCGTAAATCCGACTCAATGCATTATAGTACATGGCATCATAATTTGACTTTTCCAAGCCCAATTCAGTGGAACAGTCATCTGTTACTTTCTTCTATTGTGATTGAGAGGTGTTATCGGACGTTTGAAGGTGAAGATAGCATGCTTTAGCTCGTGACGAATAGAGTTTTGAGCTCGAACTATCACTCTTGATAGCTAAGATATAAAAGTTGATGGCTTTGGAGTACTCCCCTTCGGCCATCAACTCCCGCGCCTTCTATAGATGCTGCAGAAGCATTTCACAACTTTAACTTTTGTATAGACAAGGTTTTGGTGAAGATTCAAGATCTTCATTCTTTTTTTTTTTTTTCTTATTTTCATACTCCAGATTTAATCGAAGATAATTTTTCTTAATATGTTACACTAGCTACCAAGAAAATGGAAGAGAGCAATCCATCTCAAAGCTTTTATATTCAAACAAATGGTTCCAGCTCTTCTCGAATACATCTACCGGGGGTAAACAAACCCAGTGCCAATGTTTCTAGTGTGGGTTTCAATACATTGAAGAAAATGGCTACAAATAGTTCCCTGTCTTCCATAACAACCAGTTCCTCCACGTCCCGAACCAATCCGTTAACTAAACTATTCTCAAAAAACAAATCAGTCTCAAGCTTACTTCCTCAAGCAACCAGCGAGTTGCTGTTGAAAGAAGGAGACGATCAATCCTTTCTTAATGACAGTAACAGTCTGATGCTTACATACGATTCTAAAAAGGGGGGAACTAACAAATTTCGGATTTCACGAAGGTTAAAATTCAAGAATAAAGGAAAACCCGATCTAACTATTCAAACAACTGGTCATCATGGTATACGACTACCCAAGAAAATAGTAAGCTCAACTCTGTTAAACGAATCCAACTCCGGCGGCACAAGAAAGAATTCATTAGGATCTCCAGTTTCAACTTTTCATAGCTTCTTTCACAGATCCCATGCTCTCCTGTCTCCATTAGAACCTACAAATTCAAAGGCCAAAATTGACGAGCATACCAATAATACCCGAAGCGCATTATGTTTGTCATCAAATAGTTCAAACTCCTATATTGCCGATATAAAATTAGCTTCAATCTACAAATTTACAGATCCCAATTATTCCATAGATGAAACCGAGGGAACTACAGATTATGCCCTTCATAAAAAGATGTTACTTCCAGCTGACCTGTTTTTCCAATCTAGAGCCCATAAAAACTCCCAAGATGGAACTATACCTGTAAGCGACGATTCTGAGACCGAATCAATTCCTGCTATACTGGACTTTTCAAAGACAAATGCTAGATTCTTGGGAAATCTTATGAATGTTATTAAACCTTTATTCTTGGTCCCAATACGCAAGAATTCAGAGGCAATTATTATCCATCCGTACTTGGGATACTCAACTGAAGATATTGCATCTTTTATCAAGGAGAATTTATTTGAAGAATCCAAGCATTCACCAGAAACAAGTATCAGCTCACCAAATAAATCTAAACCAAAACATAAAACAGGTTTAAATAATTTACTTACATTACCAAATGATAGTGCTGAAGATCTTGACTACTTCAGGGCGAGAGAGATTTCCCAAGATGTTCAAACATTATTCATAAAATGCTTAACTATTTTCAGAAAAGATATCACCAATATGAATTTTAATGACTCTAAAAGCAAACTACCACCCCCTTCAACCAAGGGGCTTGTAACAGATTTGCTGGTTTCTTGGCAGGAAATATCATTTGGTTGGACTCATTTCAACAAGAAGATCCGTTTTTACATATTGAGTCTATTTGAACCGCTCCAAGGTTGTTTTGACACAGTTTCTCAATACAAGTTCAACTCTTCATCAGATTTCCCACCAGTTAACTTTGAAAAAGAATTGATTTTAGCTTTCCGTGATGCCATATTAGTGCCATTTCTTTTAGAACGAAAACAAAAGTATTTTGAATTTACTGGCGAAGATACAGTATCTGATCCAGAATCAAGTTACCACACGCTATTTTTGGATGAACAAGCATTTCTCAAGGAAAACTCACATTTAGTTAGCGTCCTAATTGATTGTTTTGCGTCAATACTGTGCCACACCTTATCAGGGAATGGGTCATTGACGGCAGATGGAGAGCAATTTTACGTTACTGAAATTATAAGAAAAACGTTTACTTGGCTATCCTCATTACTGTTGAGCTAAAGATTTTACAACTAGATTATACATAGAGATGAATCCTATTGAATTACTTAGATGTTTATCTTCCATAGGAAATGCTATATATCCTTAAAGAGATCTCATTCTGTTGTACAGATCCGATGACTCCGCCTAAATATTCCCGTGAAATGACATCCTTTTTTTTTATTTGTATAAGTTCAAATCTTAAGAGGGGAATAACTTGAAATGACCTGTGTCTGTTTGAAACAAACACATTAACTAATATCAACCATATAAGTAAGTACTTTCCACGTATGGAATATTTGAATCAAAAGAAAAGTGCATTGAAGTAGCCAAACATGCTCCCATATTAATTCAGTACTCAAAACAGGCAAAATGGGGCTTAAATATTCCACACTTCAAACAACAATGAAACTTACTTAGACCATTGAAACAAATAAGAATGAATAATCTCATTGATTAACTTATGCGCTGTTTTTGAATGTTGAATTTCGTGAGGGCATATCTAGTTACTTCTATGCTCTATTCTATGTTTGATTCAAATATTCCTCTACTAAGATAAAATGCAAATGATAGAGAAGATATTCCTTTCAAAAGCATCGATCTAATCGTGCAACTAAAGGATTTTAAATACAAGTTACAGCAGAGCTGTTCAATGGTTCATGTTATGACAACCAAAATTGTAGAGTATCAAATTTATTAAAAATATCACAGATTTTACACAGATATTAAATACTGCATCATATAAACAAGCCTAGTTTTCATCATCGCTTTCATCATCTCTATAACCATGCTTTCTAATTTCTCCTAATCTCTTTCTAGCAGCATTCAATTTATTTTCCAACTTCAAAATTTCAACTTGTTGTTCCATCTCAACAGTCTTACCCTCATATGGAGTCAACTTGCTCAAATCAATGTCATTAGTATCTTGTTCCTTAGTCAACAATTGTTGAACTTTGGACACAAGAGCTTTACATGCACTGGTTACATCACTTGATGCATGTTCTAAATTGTCTTGGGTCTTGGATACGAAATTAGCTTTGACTCTTGAAGCAGCGACTAATTGTGCAGTAGATGCAGCAACTTCATTAGAGGCCACAATCAATTGTTCATGAGAATTAACATCTCTAAGAACACCATCAGCTGTCAGGATTAAAATGTTGGTTGCGCCAGCAACAGCTTTAGATGCACTAATCAAACCTTCAGTCCAACGATTGTTCTTCTTATAGAATTCAGTTCTTGTTTGGGTGCCTTTACCTTTGCTAACAATTTCATTTTGCGATTCAACAGAAGCAGAAATCAAATTAACCACAGCATCAGTGACTAACTTGGCAGCAGCCAAAATCATTTCGTGAACTTCTAAGTTTCCTCCATGGATACTTGGATTGGCCATCAAATCATTCAAGAAATTGGATGCCTTACTGACAATTGCAGCAGTTTGTTCCATTTCATCGTTAACGAGCTCCTCCAAGTTACCCAGGAACTTGATTCCACTATGGGATTTCAAGCCATCAACAAACAGACCTAATTCCTTTAACAAATTCTGAAGGTCTGCATTACCATCATTAACTCGAGCAGCTTTTCCAGAATCATCAAGCTTGTTCAACTGATCAGATTTGATGCTTTGGAAGTAATCTAATGTGCTATCTAATACACCATGGACATAAGTCAACAAATTTTCTTCTTGAGCTCCAGGAATACTTTTTGCAACACCTTTCGCATTCATCAGCAAATCATTGATGGTAACGGTCAATTCAGAACTGTTCAAAATGATATCTTGATAAATCGAATTATCATCATAATATGAGTTCTTCCCTTCAGAAACATAATTCTTAAAAATAGATGTGAAGGCATTAGCAGTATCTGAAGTTTTTTCACAAATTGATAATAAGTATTCTGGAGTCGAATTCAAATTACCTGCTTGTGCTTGCGATGATAATTCATGCTTTGTTTCCAAAATACGTCTAATGTTATTGTCCAAGAAAATATCAACCAAGTCTTTAAGTTTTTCAATGTTACTGAGAAGAATTTGATCAATTTGAGCATTATCAATTTCATCTTGATCCTCTTTAGCCTTGGCCAACTCTCTAAGGGCACTATCCAAAGACTCTTGGGCAATTTCTAATTCAAGTTCTTTTTCTGTCAACTTATCTTTCAAAGCCTCCGAGTCACCCAAGTCATTTAATTGTAATTCTCTATCTGCAAGTTGCTTCTTTAAATCCTCAAGCTCACTTTGATGCTTGGACATGACGGAAGATAAGTTCAAGGTTTGTAATTTACCTGATTCTCTTGCAGACAAAGTTAATTCACGAATTTCAGCCTCAAGCTTTTCAATTTCTTGGTCCTTGCTTGCTTTAACTCGGTCAATATCCAATCTAGCTCTATCACGTTCACGGATTAAGTCAGCCAACTCCACATTCTTGGCCTTGAGGTCCTTTTCGAGTTTCTCTTTCTTCAAAATTGATTCTTGTGCACTATTAATCTTCTGCTGAATCTTTTTAAATTTGGCTAACAAGTTCAAATGTTCTTGACGTAATTGAGAATACAACTTTGCAAGAGATTCATACTTTTTGGTCCAATTGTCAATCTGATCTTCTAAATTTTTAATTTGCTCATCCTTGGAGGCAATTTGTTGAGTAGCGGTATTGTTAAAAGTCATCATTTCGTTTTCCAAGGTTTTAACACGGGCATCATATTGTTGTAAGAGCAGTTGATCATTATCATATTGATTCTTGAACATTAACAAATCATGTTCTAACTCAGAGACACGACTTTGTTGTTGTTGAGTCTGTTGCATTTGTAAAGCTTGTTGTTCTTGCAAAAATCTTCTTTCTTGTTCACGTTGTTGCTCTTCAAAAAGACGTTGTTGCTCCTGCTGTTGTTGAAGTTGTTGCTGACGTTGCAATTCCAACTCATTTTGAATTCTAGCTTGCTCCTGCTGCTGCTGATACAAATAGCCAGTTTGTTGGTCAACTTCAGGTGGTGGATTAGGAGGAGCTTCAAAACTGGTAGGTTGAGCAGACAATTGAGGAGTACTATTTTCAGTAGTATTAGCGGAACGAGGTCTAGAAATAGCTTGGCCATCGTCGCTAATTTGCAAGTTTGGTGCACTGTTAGGTAATCTAGGAATAGTAATAAGACTGGTCAAAAACTTAATTGAATGGCAGTCAGTGTAAAAATCACGTAACATAAAGTGTTGGGAGTCGAATCTCTCAACCAATACAGTTAATGCATCATCAGCACCCAATTGTTGGTACATGGCTCTAAGCATCGAGGTACAAAACTTGTAAATCCCATAAGACTCAGAAATCAAAGGAACCAATGCACTAACTTTACACAAATTGTTGTGGGTTTGATGAATTGTCGCGAATATAAGCTTTTGGAGATCGTTAATCAGGTCTTGGAGATCCATCAATTGTAAAATAGATTCATAACCTTCATTGGGGTCATTGACGGCCCTTAATGAGATATACTCTTCATATTCAAAAATACCATTAAATCCAGGATTGTTGCGATGGAAATCTAACTTTTGAAGAAGATATCTATCGTACTGACTAATCAATCTTCCATATGCATTTCCATGGGTAGGGAAAACAGATCCTAACGAAGAAATGAAATCACGATTTCTATAGGCATCCTTAAGTGTATTTGGATGACCTTCTTGAAGAACCTTATGAATCATGATAAGGGCTTTGAACAATTGAACCTCGTTACTCTGCAATGGTTGTATCTTCACTGCGTTCCAAAAGGCACGAGAGTTCTTATGATCCCAAGTGTAAACAATACATGCTCTGACATGCTTTCTCTTGGGAGGAACTTCGTCCACATTACACGCTTTCTTGACACTTGTTTGCAAATCAACCTCAGCACGACTCATGATGGAATTAATTATTGGAGGAATCAACATTCACTGTGCTCGACTGAGTCGAATTTGAAGTCACCCAAAAAAGGGGGGGGGTGCTCGGAGAATCGGGCAAAAATTTCAAAACACGTAATCACGTGCCAACACACATAAGTACGAAAAGAACAACTATCAAGGCTTAGCGGTTAAAGATGTATTAAAGTACTATATAACAAGTAAATAAGAGTGATATAGTACAAGAGCGATTCAGCAATAGATTAAAAAGCTTCAAGTTCTTCTATATCTAGCTTTACCAAAGTCAAATGGCAAATATTTGTACTTGATCATGTGTTGAATCTGTTTTCTCATTGTCAAAGTGAACAAAATGATAAAATACATCAAAAGGATTGGCCAAAACACAGGAATATCAAAGATCTCAAAGAGAGATAAGAACAAAGCAACAATAGTTGCGCGTGTAGCATTGTACCAAAACTTAAATTCAGGTAATCTTCTAATAAATGGTCTGAATTCATCGCTGTCTTTATCTGGTTCTTCGTCTTGTACACCTTCTTCAATTGATTCGTTCTTCAATTCTTGCTCTAATGATGGATCAAACTTTGGAGTCAAGAAGGCCAAGAAAAGGTTCAATAGGTATATTCCCAAAGCGTAACATATTATATACCACCCTTGAGCCATAAATATACGTAAAAGAAACAATGCAATCAAAACACTGAATCCAATCCATCTGTTTCTTGTATGCGGAACAGACTCATCTATAAAACTATGGTAAGTAACCACAATCTTGGAATAGTTTTGGTAAATGAAATTGTCCTTTGGTATTTCAAATGGTAATTCGATGGCCATTGTATATCTAGTGAACTTTAGTTGATGATCCTCGAAAGAAGAGTTTGTACTAACCGTTGGACAACACACACTTTTTTCAAGCAATTTTTTGGCCCGATTTTTTATTTTTTATTTTTTATTTTTTTTTTTTTTCAAATTTTGCGTCGCGTTAGTTCACTTTATGATTTCAGTATATTCTATTTACAAAGTATATATATGGAGTGTTATTTACATGACTCTATTCAAATACAGTTGTTGGTCTGCCAATGAATGCATACTTTTTGGTAGATTCATCATAAATTTGTTGAACTTTGACATCTTTGGCAACCTCATTCGGATTAACGCCCTTAATCACTGATCCAGGAACAGAGTATGGTAACTCGGAGGGCAAGTAAATAGTCTCAAGTTGCTTCTTTTCTGCTTGACTGAAAACACCAATAGTATTAATGAGAGAAGCGACCTCCTTTCTATATTCTTTGGTAGTCCCCTTTTCTTTCAAAAGTGATTCCATACTTGCTTTGAGTTCTTGCTTTTTCTTTGATAATTCTTCTGGGTTCAAATATTTACAAAGCTTACCATCCCAAGAGACTGAAACCTCGTTGTCAATCTTGCTGGTTATCTCGATATATTGCTTCTTAAGTGTTTCAAATTCTTCTTGACTAATCTCGCCACGCTTAGCTCTCAATTTTAACAAATAAATTTGGCTAAAGGTTTCTTGGGTTTGTGCAGCTTCCCATGTTTGACCAGTTTGAGAAAGTTCAAAGACAGCAAGCAATCTAGAGGAAGCCAAACTAAGTTCCTCATCAGAAAGTTCCAACTTGAAATCATTCACTAGTCCCTTGGAAAATGCGGACAAGTTTGCTTTACTGACTTCTTCCTTTTCTTTAAGCTTTCTTTCAAGTTCTGGTTGGTAGAGAAGTTCTTTTCTAGATTTGACATTTTCTTCTCGTTCAGCTGCTTCTGGATCCTTAATTTCAATATAGCCAAATCTTCTTACTCGGGCTTCAAAATGATCCTTTGGCAAAGTCAAATCTCTTCTCAATGCAACACCAACATACTTTCTTAATGGGTGGAAAGGATCTCTGTAATATCTGACAAATCCCGGTTCAACTGCATAAATTGTATGATCTTTACCAATTCTTACATTTTCACCAGGATGTATTTTGGTACCTCTTTGTCTCATGATAATATGACCAGGCTTTACAAAGCTCCCATCACTTTCCTTAGGACCAAGACGTTTACCTGGAGAGTCCTTGTTATTTGTTCTAGAACTAGCAACTCTCTTAGTGGCAGTACGTATTTGGATAAAATTTACAGGATTGGCAGTTAAGCCAATAATTACCCTACTGCTACCGAGTATGCTTTTGGCAAGTGAAGACATTAGTTAGGTGTTACAGACTGAATAGATCATAAGCTGACTACTCTCATTTTTCAAATTGAAAATTTTAACATACTTTTTTTCGTGCTGAAATTTTATATGAACTGTGTAAATATAGTCACTAGCGAAATATGAATCTAAAGTGCCAAGCCAAGCATGTTCATTCAACCTCGACCATTTAAATATATCGTCCTTAATACAAAGACATGCCCGCCTCTAAAGCTTAATATACACGCTTATTAGAGGGTGATATATCGAATTGTTGTTGAAATTATCTGCTCATGCTGAGAGATTAGCTGCTAGAACGTATTATTTGATGAAGGAGGATTCTACAGAATAATAACTTAACCACAGTGTTTATAAATTTCCCTCTATATATGGATATTGAGAAGCATAGGTAGCGAATTATTGCTTATTTGTTGAATTGCTTTAAAATTTCAACAGCTAACAAGTGATCTTCTTCTTGAGCTAAACCACTAATTGTCAAAGCTCCAATAACACCATCATGTGATTTGACTCTAATAGGAACACTTCCCCCATGAGTGGCAAAATCATTTGATGAAATGAAGTACACATCTTCCAATGGCTGCTTCTTTTGTCTCAATTTTTGGCCCATAAAGAAACTGGATTTTCCAAATCTAAAGACAGTATTGACCTTTCTTTGAACCCATTTGTCATTATCAATTGTGGTACCTGGAAGAGAGGCAGTGTGGAATAAAATGTGACCGGAGCTCAATGTGATGTCAATGATGACTGCCTTGTTTGGAAATTTTTGAAGGGAAACTTCTCGAGCATAACTACCAAGTTTCCATGCAACTTCGGCATCAAACTTTTCAAAGACGGTACCTTCTTCAAGAGCAGTGAGTTGGTCTAAGGAGTAATCGTAAATTTCGTGTACCATTGTAAGCTTTTCTACGAGTCAATTGCTATCTATGATTAAGATAAATAAATAGAAATTGCTTGCTTAGGGGGACATTGTCGATTTTTATAGTCGCGGATTTACGCGTGGGGGATTTCCACGTTTATTCTGCATAAACGCCGTGGGGGATCTGACCTAATTTAAAACAAACACAACCAACTGCTTAGTAATCAAAATCTTGCAGAAAGCCGTATTTTAGACCAAGTTTAACCTACAACCCTTCGTTATAATACCATGATTGCAATGACAGTCACCATCTACGTTGTTCAATAATGCCACATATATGGAACCACCTTGATATGGAGATTGCTCCATGAACTTATTCTACTGGCAACTTGCAGCTGGTACTCAAGTCTTTGCCTTGATATAATATTCAATAACGTTTGTTTATCATCCGGAGATATTTGGGATTTCTCCGCTTTTAGCAACCTTAAAGGGGGGTAATTGTTAAATTTAGTGCCCAAGAAGCTCATGCAAGCCATAAATGTGAATCTAGGTTCCACTGTTACTATTTCAGTATATGCGGCTAATATTTCAATTAGATTCAGTTGTTTGAATGCAATTTTCAGACAGTTTGTACACTATTCCACAAATGTAAAAGGGATATCAAACCTTTAGGAAAAACTTCCAACCCACAAAGTAAGTGGTTCTGTTCTTTCCAATTCAAGTAACTTAGGAGCCTTCAACAACAGATTCTACAATATTGCACCCATCGAAACAACAGCACTAAACAACAGAATCCACAACATGTTCAGTGAAAAAAAACCATAGCATCAAGTGGATGCTCTGTCAATTTTACTAAACAATTCTCTAGCGAGTAAACGTACAACTGTGGTAGCAAATAAATTGGATGTTTTGCGCATTGAAAATCCACAGAATATAAACAGTTCTAACCTTCTAGTTCCAGCCACAAGATTGTTACTACACCCGAACATACCATGATTACTACTTTCTTCAGAACTATGCTGCTATGAGGTATCAATCAGTGAATAGCACTGTCATACAAACTGGGAAATAATACTCCGTTACACAAATTCTTCCATTCGCATTAGTTGCAATTCCCTGATATGAACCTGTCAAAAAAGGTATCAGTTGGGCGCATTTCTCTATTAGAATAATAGATCATATCATCTTGTCAAAGCGTCCAAGCCCTCTACGGTAAGGACCTTGGTAGGTGGAACAACGAGTACACTATTTCTGATGGTATGATATCAGAGAAGAACTGTAGAATTCAATGACAATTGGAAGAAAATCACATGGCTGATCATACTATCGTAATCTCTACTCAAATAGCATTTTAATACAAACTGCACTAGTTAAAATCATTCAGGAGCATGGACCAGTTCATCAACTGGAAGTCTAACTTTGAATCCTGTTGTAGTACTATGGGTTCAATTTCTCAATCTATTCTTTTGTAACTATATTATTTCGCTTAACATTTACAGTTTGAATTATCTTCCGTACAGTCAGCAACTAAAACATTGTGAATAGGGTATGTTCGTGGATATATCCTTTTGAACTAGTTTAATATATTCTGCCGGTTCCAATGAAAAGAATCCATACAACAGATCACCGGGCCATCCTAATTTCTAAATTCTCTCAATAAAACATAACTTGTAGTTAATTTCAAATCTTTAAAATACCAACCAAATCCTTAATACTCTAACAATATACAAAAACCTAAAAACACCCATTCATTTCCTAAAGCAAAAACACTTCTAACGCTCCGGGTACAAACAATCGCTGTTACCTCCACCAAGCATGTCTAGTAACAAACACTACGCTACATTAAATAAAACTGCCTGAGTGCCAACTCCATCAATGACGTGAAATTAAAACCGAAACCAAGGATGTCATGCCAGCCTAAACAACATATGACTAAAACTAGCACTGTTCTACAATTTCTAATTTCTCAATCCTAAATATCACTCTACAAATATAAACAACTGCCAAAACTTTAGAAAGAAATTAACCATACAATATAGTAATTAATTCAGAGGACTTATCAATTATCAGAGCCTACTTAAAAATACTTTAATACAAGAACAGAAAATATAACACTATAATTAATTTCCATGAAGGATCTAAACCTCATAACCAAATTAAACTTTAAGAAGCTGTGAAAATTCAATTCTATTTACAATATCCTGTTACCTCCAGCCATTAGCTCTAACCAAGTAAGGACTGTACTTAGGGTCAACTCAACTCGCTAATCCAAAAGCATTAACAATCTTTTAAATGCATTTGTATTAAGATAACTTTTGATTCTAGAAAGATTGAGCTTTATAATGCTTCCAACAAACTGCTTTCATTGGAAATAACATCTTAATAGCTCTCCGAGTTGTCTCTATTGAAGCTCTAACTATTGCTTGATTCACATATTTATCTAGTGACTAAACTCAAAAGCATAGTTTGATATCAGAAAGTGGAACTATACAGTAAAATTGTTTATAATGTTAGTTTACAATTCAATTTTACACGTACAGTATCATTCCGTATAATAAACTCAATAAACCATTCACACCCTTGGAATGTATACATAAAAGTAATACAATTTTACTAATCTAAACAGATACCAATAATTGAAAGATGCTTGATTTGAGATTTGTTGCAAGCAGCCTTATGTTCATAAATACTTTCTAACTACTACCTATATTACAAGCCTAAATCATGTAAAGGTGAGATCAATTATGTATAATGAATTATAATTCATAATATTGATTTCTGGAAAGAGCGGTATTGGCGTCTTTGTAGAAAGATGTACTGATATATTATTTATAACCATTCATGATATATTCAAGAAGTAAATCGAGAAGTTATATGAATTCAGGATGCATACTAAAATATTGTAGCTAACAATGCAAGTAGATGTGTTTCAAGTGATTACTAGATTATACTGTAGTCAAAGGATGTATTGAAGATCTTCGTTGAATTTAGTTATCTACACAATAAGTGCTTCCGTTATATAGCAAGCAAAGGTAATTATGTAATAAGCATGACATACTACAACCGAGTGAAAACCGGATGATTCTAGATATTTTGTCATAGGCAGCTACTTAGTTCAGAATATGTTGTGGGCAAACATGTGTACGTTGACCATGGCTACAAATCATAATAGGTATTTAGAAATACTTAGGTTATAATTGTTAGAAGCATAGTTTGGGATTTGAATTTGTAAAAAGAAAGATTAGTCGGTGGTGTTTGAATGTTATATCTTATTATATTTTTATTTTTGATTGAGATTAATAGGATGCCTATAAGATACGTTTTTGCTTAAAACTTTAAGAATAAGTGTCATACATCTACAGATGTAGTAGCTAGTACATTCAACTTGAACTACGAATATTAGTATTTAGTAGATTTTCTTCCTGAATGGTATTTGTTCGCAATGTAACTCATCTTTAAGACTTTCAGTCAAATTAATACTAGTCTTATTGGTTATAGTTTTCTTGAAGTGTAATGAAGATTAAATCGGGCAGCGCTGTTATTGGAATAGCGAACACACTGTTTGATACCCTATAGAGTGAGTTTTATATAGATGTAGTCATGCAGTTATAGCTGTATGATACTCTGTAGTTTTCCGTAATACTAGTGTGTAGAGTATTATTAGAACTAGTTGGAGCTTGTACTAAGATAAATATGTTAATCGCTACATATTGAGTATCGAGAGTGTTGATTTTGAGTGGGATTAGAATGCTGTAGTGAGTCTAATTGTGTCTATCAGAATTAGTATTTATTCAATGCTTACTTAATTGTTCTGGGAAGTATCATAAGTAGTCTAGATTATGTAAGTTATGTGGGTGGGGTGCAGCACTTTTGTATAAAGCTGTTTCATGCATTGGTTGGTTGGGTTGGAGGGAAGCATTCGAGTTATTGTTGGGATTGAATTTAAGTAGATTTTTGATTAGATCAGGGTAGATGGTATTATAATTGAATGCTTAACGCTTGAGTATATTGATTATTCTGATGAATGCAACTGTATAAATGAATTAGTTAGTTTGGTGATATTGCTTTGTGAAGTCTGATCAAAGTTTAGGAGGGAATGTAAGTATTTGTTGCAAAATTCGTAGGAACAAACATGTTTAGGTTTATGCATTATTCAGAAGTCTTTGTAATTCTGGTTTGGATGCCAGAACTATATTGACTAGTTTTTGCTATCTGGCAATATTTTGTAATCCTATTTGCTATTATCAAGTTCCTTGTTGAGAAGAGTTGGCTATATAGAGTGTTTTTCTTTCTTGAAAGTATTCCTACTTCGTAAGCAAGGGCTGTTTGTACCGAGTAAGCAAAATCTTCAAACCAGTGGTACACATAGATTCATGCGGGAAGGAAACAAAGCTTCGTTCTATGGTACTCAGAAAATTTTGTACCGTTCTTGTGAAGATTCTGTTTGCATGGTGTAAAGAGTTTGAGCTGTCGTAGTACGATTTCTTTTCCCTTTTGTATGAATAATTTTTGTCGTAGTAGTACGAAAGTTTATTTCTACTAGTTTTAAAATAAAGGGAGAGACTGTACTGTGGCAGTTAGAACCATGTAATGTATGCTATTTATAAGATTAGAAAAATTATATTCCTGACAAGAAATCACTTTGAAGGTACATAGAGGAAATTATTTTTCTTTCGTTAAGTATTTATGTTCAAATAGTATGTGTGCAATACAATCCTTTATGTAGTGCAGAAGGTAGAAGGGCAACAGCAGTATAATCTTATGTTCCTACCGCTTTCTTGTAGAAAAGAAGTCTAGCTAACGCATTGCAGAATTGAGTAGACTAGTAGATTAATCATCTTAGTTGTTTCCAGTACAATAAATCATCATGTGAGTAGTTAAATTTATTGTCTTTGTCGTAATTGTCTGCAATATTCTATTAGAATTGCTTGCACGTAACGTAACATTTTCATCAACTATAGTTGGTACATGACCATGTGGGTTCAATTCTAAGTATCAGCTTTCTTTAATTTCCTGTGTTGGTCAGCAAAACATGTGCACATCATGAGGAACACCCAAGATATGTAAGAAGTTGGATCACTTTGTGACAATATTTCCTACAGTTGAAAAATTTCTATCTTCATGACAAATGGTTGGCATATTGACACAAACTAACTATAGTTTGATTCCTTTTTGGAAATTAAATTAAATTTTCAACATTAATAAGGTATTACTATTCAAATTTTATAGATAAATTATGGTAATGTACTATGGCTCTTCTTCATCTTCGACATCTACCCAAATAAACTTAGTTCGAAAATATCTAGCAACAAATGTCAAAAGTAACAAGATTGGCACTTCCAATAATGGACCAAATGTAGCGGCAATGGCTTGCTTACTTCCGGAGCCGTAGATGGAAATAGCAATAGCAAGGGACAATTCGAAATTGTTGGATGCAGCAGTAAAACTTTGGGTCACGATTTGTGAATAATTAGCAGAACATGCACTCTTCCATTTCGTGGGATGTTTCTCAATTTTCTCTTCACATCCACACAACAATCTCTTACGTTCATCATATTGCGCTTTAAGAGGTTTGGACATCCATTTCAATCCAAAGAATGTAACAAACCAGCAGATGATGAAGTATAACGTTAATGGAATAAAGCAAAGGAAAGCCGTTCCAACCTCGTCGATAAATTCTTTCCCTTTATCTATAAATATGACAATAATGGTGTATAATAATCCAATCAAGGCCCAAGGACTAATAAATGGCATAAGTTTGTCATATACCTTAAAATATCTCAAGACGAACCTTATAATGATACCAAAACCAAGTGGAACTCCTAAAAAGAAAGCAACACTCTTGGCCACAATTGAATAGGAAACACCAGAGTCGATCGGAATAGGATCACCACTGATAATATAACAAAAGAATAACTGATATGGCGCGTACAAAACAACTTGCAACAAACTATTGATAAGCACAAGTACAGCACAGAGGGTGTTATCTCCTAGAGCAATCTCATTCCACAATAAAACCATGGCTATACATCTTGCTATTCCAATCATAATAATACCCGTTCTATACTCATCGTAGTTAAATAAAACCAACCAAGCGAACGCAAGCATGATAAATGGACATATAATCCAGTTTATAAATAATGAAATCAATAGTGGACGTAAATATGTGCTTTTCTTGAAAAAATTATGGAAATTCTCCCACTCTACTTTACACAACGGAGGTACCATCATAACTATCATACCAACAGCTAACGGAACAGAAACCCCAACGACTTGGGCTCCCTCAAAAGCATCTGCACTTGAAGGGGCATACACCGAAATCAACACCCCAACTATAATAGCAAGGATAATCAAAAGTGGAAGTAGCTTATCTGTAATAGATAAACCACTAAATACAGATTTTGCGTCTTGCTTAAAGGACATGTTCGAATGATAACATTTGTGATTGTAAATAAGTCATCTTTGAGTGAAGTTGAATAAATTATTTTTTTTTTTTGCTCTCTCTACATCTTCAGCTTAGTAATCATCACTGCCATTTTTTATTTTTTTTTTTTGAAATGTATGATGGAACTGTTTATGGTTGCAAAAAATACATTGATTTCATATTACGGGATTTCAATACTTGAAAAGTAAAGTATTGAAAGTATTTACACCAAGGAGAAAATATTTATTTAAAGTAAATGAAGTTAGTTATCATCATCCCAAATGTCATACAATTTTATTGTGAATAATCTTGGTGGTACGAAAATTTATTTCCACTAGTTCGAAAAAGAATGTAGGATCCTATGTTGCTATATTTCTTCCAAGATTAGAACATTTTAAAAATTATGATAAGAAATGGCAATATTTCTTAGCTGTTAAAGACATGACACCAAAAAAAAATAGCAGAGAACTCTTTTGAAGTAATAATAGATTTATTTATTAATGAAATTACCAAAGAATATAAAATGGAAGTAAAAGGATATGTTATGAAAAAATATATGGAAGCAAACAATGAATATGGTAAACAACATTATTTAGATTTAGTGGAAAAAATGTTAAAAAATTCAAGATAGTTTAAGTAAGTACATCTATTATTTGTCTTGGTTACAGTGTTACTACCCGGGTAGTATTTATCATTTGTCATTTTCACAGTCTTGGTGCTGAGTATTTGTAAAATATTATTTTGAGTTACTATTTATGGCTGATCAATGGATGGCTGAGAGGGTACAACTAACCAGTTCTATGCAGGGAAGGGTGTGTGCAAGCTTTTCTTGTTTGGAACGATTGTATGTTTTATAGATAATTTGATTGGCAAGAGCTCGATTGGATCAATCAGTTTTATATTCTATATCTACAGTTATTTGATATCCTACAGTCAAGCAAAATATTTATGTTAGATATTCTCTATGTAATGTAACACTCACTTTTGAATTAACGGACTAGAGCATAATTGAAAAGGCAAGCTTGATTTTTCTAATATTATCCTTCTGCCTGGATTTTATACCGTGACGAGAAGTTATGAAATGAAATGTTTGTATTATAATGAAATTAATATTATCTTGGTGTGTTTTTTGAATAACTTGGTTTACCAGTTTCCTCCACTGCAAAAGGTATTTATGAAACTTATTAGAACCACTTGATATGCAACTTAAGTGAATGAATGGCTTGGTGGTGTTGTATCAAATTAAACTTAAGCCTCTCAAAATCTCACAATTAGGCATGGCCATATTTTCAGCAGCGGCCAATTTCTCTGTATCTGTAAAAAACCATCCTTGGGCATCTTCAATCATTTCATTCTTGCGGATTTGTTCTCGTGAACATTTTGCCCTCTTATCTTGTATATACACATTCTCGATTTTGTAGTCAAAGTTCTTTAATTGCTGGGGTGATTTTCCTGAATATTTTTCAGTAAATTTCTTATTAACATAAAAAGGTATGTTGAACCTGGGTGTCGATCTTTGAACACTGTAGTCTCTTGTCTTATGAAATGAATACTCTGGAGCAGAATTACTATCAGAAAACAATGCTGAGAATATAGGCACAATTAATATCAAAAGGATGGGTGCTAATGCTTTAAGTGACTCTGAAAGTGATGCTTCCTGTCGTCTGTCTTGATGTTGGGTATTTTGTTGATTGTGTCCTCTGAATTGATGTCTGTGTCTCACGAATGGATCTGCTCCACCGAAAGATTGGAAAGTGAAACCGTTGCCAAATTGAAAGGTAGTTCCACCACCACCACCAAATGGACTAGCACCTGAACCACCACCAAAAAATAAGTTGAAGATATCATCATCAAAAGGCACTCCTCCGCCACGATAATATGGTCCTCCATTGCCAAATGACCCCGTTGAAGCACCGCTGGATGAAGCTGCAGAAGCAAAACGAGAATCTGGATCACTGCCGGTTTGATCGTATATCTTCTTTTTCCCAGGATCACTTAATACACCCCAGGCTTTATTTAAAAGTTTAAATGCTTCTGCTGAACGCGGATGAGGATTCTTGTCAGGATGGCATTTGATCGCTAACTTTCTGTATGATTTTTTGATCTCTGATTCATTTGCTGACTTTTCAACGCTGAGTATCTCGTAGAACTGGTGAGGCTTATACGAAAGCACCTTCAATACGATAGCTTCTTGATCCTTTGTAAAAGACATGTCACTGGATGGACGTGCTCAATTTTATCGTGCCAAATACGTATTAAAGTGGGTTTTTTTTAGCAAACTTTTTGAACTAATACTTGTAAATCTGATAACCAAGTCCAACAAAATCACGAGTGGCATTTTGCCAACAAATTTCCTTTTTTTTTTTGTTAGAATTTTATGTGAGAATGAGAAAAGTATTTATGTGCAGTACCAATTCTCGGAGATTGAGCTCCTACAAATGAGGGGGGGTGTCTCTCTCAAATATGGGGATTGCCATGTGATAGATAATATGGTACGAAGTTTAATATAAATATTAGCGAGTTTCTCCTTTGGTGGCAAAAATAAATCTTTCTACAATAGAACGTAATGAAGAATCGTTTGTTCAAAAAAACTCGTACAGAAGCAGCTTTATTTTTTGTTAGTTTTCAAGTTACTTTCTGGACTTTGCGTTGGATCGATCCAGAGTGGCTTCACATATTTCGAATATGCAACGCTAAAAAATCTAACTAAAATGCGCGATAAGTACTCTGATGAATACCACACCATAGAATGTTCTATATCAGGCTGTTTCTGATAAGAACTAAGATGCTCTAATGATATGGCTCGGTGTTTAGTATGATTATTGGATTGTTTTGAATTAGTTAATGCTATGGTTTGAATTGTTTGGTTTTTGTTAATTATCTGTAATTATGTATTTGTGCTATTGTCGTGAGGATACGTGACCTTATTGGTTTAAGGACCAAATATTCCTAGTTTCAAGGATTGTCAGGATTCTCTATAAGAATATGGAAGTCTGCAGAAACTTATTTGTAGGTTTGTATATCTTCTCATCAGTCAAGTTTTTCTAGTTTCCTTGTTTAGCGAACTGAATATCATTATTTGTTTAAGTACCTGCTCACAGTTGCATTGTTATTCCACTGAGACCCAGGTTATAGAACATTTATAAGAAGCATCAAACCCTCTAAAACAGCACCCATGTCTATTATAGGAGTAAAACGAAAGGTCTAGAGGAGATATATAGTAAGCTTATACCAAAGATATCTTATGTGACAAGATCAGGACGAGCCATTAGAGACTCCCCAAGAAAATACCCCAAATGTTATAGGGGTCACAATTAATTATGACTGTCTTCACTGGAAAGAAGTTTTAAAGGGTGAAATTCTTGCATTCAAAAAGGATGAGTGTATTCGAAACAATTAAAATGCCAAGGATATAGTTTTCTAGAAATTAACCGATTTTATGTACTGTCTGCCATAGTAGGTCCCTGTGTGCTACCAAGTGGTTAGTAAAAAAATCTAAATACTGATACCCATGCATTACGTCAGGTACTAATTGAGTAAGGCACGCACCCGATCGTCAATTATTTTTTTACATATACAAAGTTCGTTAAAATGCACGACCTTTGGCATGTGCTAATTCGACCATACACTTAGAAGCTTGGTAACTACGTATTGGTTGATATAAATAGGTAGTAATTGCATGTTGAGGTAATTGTCAATGAGAGTGATGATATCACTTCATATATTCCAAAAAAGTGGTACCTGTTGGTTTAAATTTTAGATAAACGTTTATCCTGCACATAGCGGGGAAAGAGGAGAATCAGAACAAATCTATTTTAATTCAAAGAAAGAGCAGCAACCAATGTTACAAATCTGTATTACATGCACAAATAGTTTTTCCTTTTTAATCTATCAAGTGTACTGCTTTCAAATCACTAAATAGTTGATTCATATTTATTTCCAAAATTCAGTCCCCAGCTAAGAAACCAAAATTAGACGAAAGCTGTCCTGTTTTTTCTATCAACGACAGTGCCTGCAACAATACGATGACAGGAACAAACGAAATTAAAATACAAAATGGTAGAAATGCAAATGTTGACATTGGATCATCTGCTGAGATTTTAAAGCTCTTAGAAGATCCAAATGCATTGCAGGATTCTTCACTTGATCTTAGAGATGTGGTAATAAAACATATCCGAAAACAAGATAAATTGATCGATGGTTTATCTCATGAGTTGGACACCTCTAAAACAGCTAATAAGGCGTTCAAACAAGCTTTGAGTGAAATCGGTACAGTTGTTATTTCCGTTGCCATGGGTGATTTATCAAAGAAAGTTGAAATTCATTCTGTTGAATCAGATCCTGAAATTTTGAAGGTCAAGATCACGATTAATACTATGATGGATCAGCTACAAACATTTGCTAATGAAGTTACTAAAGTGGCCACGGAAGTTGCCAATGGTGAATTGGGAGGACAAGCGAAAAATGAAGGCTCGGTTGGGATATGGCGCTCATTGACTGATAATGTCAATATTATGGCCCTCAATTTAACCAATCAAGTTAGAGAAATTGCTGATGTTACTAGAGCTGTTGCTAGTGGGGATTTGTCAAGAAAGATTAATGTACATGCCCAGGGTGAAATTTTGCAATTGCAAATGACAATCAATACTATGGTGGATCAATTAAGAACTTTTGCGTTTGAAGTTTCAAAGGTTGCCAGGGATGTTGGAGTGTTGGGTATTTTGGGTGGACAGGCATTGATTGAGAATGTAGAAGGTATTTGGAAAGAGTTGACAGATAATGTCAATGCTATGGCCCTCAATTTGACCACCCAAGTGAGAAATATTGCCAATGTTACGACTGCTGTTGCTAAGGGTGATTTATCAAAGAAAGTTACTGCTGATTGTAAAGGTGAAATCTTGAATTTGAAATTGACTATTAACCAGATGGTGGATCGATTGCAGAATTTTGCCTTGGAAGTGACGACATTGTCCAGGGAAGTTGGTACGTTAGGTATTTTGGGTGGACAAGCCAATGTCCAAGATGTTGAAGGTGCATGGAAGGCGGTGACAGAGAATGTTAATCTAATGGCAACTAATTTGACAAACCAAGTGAGATCTATCGCAACAGTGACGACTGCAGTGGCACATGGGGATTTATCACAAAAGATTGATGTTCATGCACAAGGAGAAATTTTGCAATTGAAAAATACTATCAATAAGATGGTTGATTCATTGCAATTATTTGCTTTTGAAGTGTCCAAGGTTGCCCGTGATGTTGGTATTAATGGTAAGTTGGGTATTCAGGCACAAGTCAGTGATGTGGATGGGCTTTGGAAGGAGATCACCTCAAATGTTAATACTATGGCTTCAAACTTAACTTCTCAAGTGAGAGCGTTTGCTCAGATTACAGCTGCGGCTACTGATGGTGATTTTACCCGTTTCATTACAGTTGAAGCTTCTGGAGAAATGGACGCTTTGAAAACGAAGATTAATCAAATGGTCTTGAATTTACGTGAGTCTATTCAGAGAAATACAGCAGCTAGAGAAGCAGCCGAGTTGGCAAACAGTGCTAAATCTGAATTCTTGGCAAATATGTCTCATGAAATTAGAACACCTTTAAATGGTATCATTGGTATGACCCAGTTATCTCTTGATACTGAATTGACTCAATATCAAAGGGAAATGTTGTCTATTGTCCACAATTTGGCCAATTCTTTGTTGACAATTATTGATGATATTCTAGATATTTCGAAAATTGAAGCTAATAGAATGACCGTGGAACAGATTGATTTTTCATTGAGAGGAACAGTCTTTGGTGCATTGAAGACATTGGCAGTGAAAGCAATTGAAAAGTCTTTAGACTTGACATATCAGTGTGATTCGTCATTCCCTGATAACTTAATAGGTGACTCGTTCAGATTGAGACAAGTCATTCTTAATTTAGCAGGTAATGCTATAAAGTTCACCAAACAAGGAAAAGTCAGTGTAAGTGTTAAGAAATCTGACAAGTACATCGAAGGAAGTGATAAGTTGTTATTAGAATTTTGTGTTCGCGACACTGGTATTGGAATTGAAAAGGATAAATTGGGTCTAATTTTTGACACTTTCTGTCAAGCTGATGGGTCAACCACAAGGAAGTTTGGCGGTACGGGTTTAGGTTTATCCATCTCGAAACAATTAATTCATTTAATGGGTGGTGAGATTTGGGTCACTTCTGAATATGGGACAGGTTCCAATTTTTACTTTACTGTTAGTGTATCTCCTTCCAATATTAGATACACTAGACAAACTGAACAATTATTACCTTTCAGTGGACATTACATTTTATTTGTATCAGCTGAGCATACTGACTCGGAATTAGAAGAAATACGAGCAAATGTCATTGAGCTAGGATTGAATCCAGTTATTGTTCGTGATATTTCTGATGCAAATTTAACTGATCCTGTGAAATATGATATTATTATGATTGATTCCCTTGAAACTGCCAAGAAATTGAGATTGTTATCTGAAGTCAAGTATATTCCTTTGGTATTAGTGCATCATTCTATTCCAGAGTTAAACATGAGAGTTTGTATTGATCTAGGCATTTCCTCCTATGGAAACACTCCTTGCAGCATCACAGATTTAGCCAGCGCTATTATTCCAGCCTTGGAATCTAGATCTATTGCACAAAACTCCGATGAGTCTGTTGTTTACAAGATTCTATTAGCAGAAGATAACCTCGTTAATCAAAAGTTAGCTGTTAGAATTTTAGAAAAGCAGGGTCATCAAGTTGAGGTGGTGGAGAATGGTTTAGAGGCTTTTGAAGCGATTCAGAAAAACAAGTATGATGTGGTGTTGATGGATGTTCAAATGCCAGTTATGGGGGGATTTGAAGCCACAGAAAAGATTAGACAATGGGAAAAGAAATCAAATCCTATTGATTCCCTTAGTTTCAGAACCCCAATTATTGCTCTCACTGCCCACGCAATGTTGGGAGATCGGGAGAAATCTCTAGCTAAGGGAATGGATGACTACGTGTCAAAGCCATTGAAGCCTAAGTTGTTAATGCAAACTATTCACAAGTGCATACACAACATTAACCAATTGAAAGAACTTTCTAGGCAAAATAATAGCAATAGAACTTCAAACTTTGCCAAAAATTTACAGAAGAGTGCCATAAAGAGTGGACACTCTGAGGCTGGTGGTGCTGTTGATGATGGGAGAGACACTTTAGGTTGCCAGGATGATAATAATGCTACATTTGGAAGTGGAAGCATGAGTTCACCATTAACTGGTACTAGCATTCCTTCAACAAGATCTGCACCACAGCTGTCGGATATCAACTCCCAGAGAACAAAGAAAGCAAATTCCATGCCATTTATTAATATTTCAGGTGTTTCCCGGCCCGGACAATTGAGAGCGGAAACGAGAACAAGAAGTGACACCTCCGACACCTTCACCAGTGCTAAAATAAGCGAAGTGCTTGATGACGATATGGATGTAGATACTCCGAAGAACTAGAATGAAGCGGATGTATTTCTATTATTGTTAATGTATTTTATATAATCAATGTGACAATTATGTAATCTTTTTATAGTGACTTCTGAAACTGAGGGAGTCAGTGGTGCTCTGAATTTTTATGTATGCCGCTCTCTCAAATATTGACTCTGCAACAACAAAAAAAAGGGGGAAGGGACATTGTTTCGTTGACTCGGATAAATGTTTAAGCCGGTGCGTTTATTTGGACCAACTTTTTCAAGAACTAGTTCTAGTAATTTGAATCTCAATAACTAGGAGCAGTGTAAGATTATAAAATCGTCAGCTATGAAGTATCCATCTGAATTTACTCCTGTGGCAAACAAGCAAGAATTATGCAAGCAATATGTTGGTAAATCTATAAAAGAATTACCAACCCCATCTATAGTAATTGATCGGTCGCAATTCCGGGCAAATTGCCGACAAATGATTGAGAATGCCAAGAAGCTCAATGCTGATTTCCGTCCACATATTAAAACCCATAAGACAGTAGAGGGTTGTATCGAACAATTGGGTGATGGAGAAGTATTCACTGATAGAATTGTGGTGTCCACCATGATGGAAGCGTGGGGTGTTTTACAGATTCCTCAGGTTCAAGATGTTCACTATAGTTTACCAGTGGTCAAGTCAAGAATTCCAGAGTTTGCTTCATTTAGCTCTCGTGTATCTCATTTCCGCTTAATGTTGGATCAGATTGAGCAGTTAGAAGCATTGGCTGCTTATAGAGAAGCCAATCCTTCTATTAAGAAATGGTCTATCTTCATTAAAGTAGACATGGGGACCCATCGTGCTGGTTTGCCTGTAGGGGATGAATTAGGGTCATTACTTCAAAAAGCACTTAAGGATCCAAGAATTAAAACGCATGTTGAAATCTACGGACTTTACTGTCATGCGGGGCATTCCTATTCCTCTACTTCTGAGAAAATGGCCAAGGATTTTCTTATTGATGAAATTAACTTTGCGAACGATGCTGCATTGTTAGCTAAATCGCTTGATCCTAGCTTGCAATTAGTTCTCTCTGTGGGTGCAACTCCAACCGCCAATGCTTCGTCGCTGTTGACTAATGAAGAATTACTTGAAAAGCTTCACAATCATAAGCTCGAGGGGAAGTTAGAATTACATGCCGGAAACTATAGTTGTTGTGATTTACAACAATTAGCCACTGGATGTATCACACAAGCTACTATTTCCTTAACTGTCCTTAGTGAAATTGTTTCAACATACCCCGGCAGAGGTGATAATGCGCCCGGGGAGCAACTTATCGATGCCGGTGTCCTTGCCTTGGCAAGAGAGTTCAGTGCCATACCTGGGCATGGTAAAGTAATTGAACCAAAGGGTTTTGGAGAATGGACAGTAGGAAGATTGAGTCAAGAACACGGGGTTTTAACGCCTCTGGATAGTAGTTGTAAGTTTATACCATATGGGACCCAAGTCAGGGTAATTCCCCAACATGCATGTATTGCTGCTGCTGCTCATCCATTCTTTTTTGTCGTTGGTGATGATAACACAGTAGTAGATGTGTGGGTTCCATTGAGAGGTTGGTAAGTTAGCTGCTAAAATACTTTGTAGCTACGTTAAGAATTTGCGCAGCTGAGCAACATAGAAAAACTTGTATAACTATTATATCATTTCTAGAGCTTTATTAGTATGTATTTTTACTATTTTTTTTGTAGTATTAAGTTAAAAACAGAAAAACTAATGCAAATAATGCATGTAAGTTATTTGTACCACTTTTTTTTATTTTTTTTTTTTACTTCTAATAGAAATTATACGATTGGCACCCTTTTTGTTTATTTACATTTTTTACTTATTACGAGATATTTAGAGGAGTTTCCCGGGAGTAATCCATGGTAGCGCAGTTATTACCTATTTGAATAAGAATGCATGAACTTCGTAAAACTTTTTGCTGTCAAGGTAACCTTGGTTTATATATCATTTTCATTTAGCACTGGATATCACTCCAAATTTATGTATCAGATAGATTAAATTGATAAAGTATGTGTAGTCAATCGATATTGGATGAAAACCAAGAGGGTCTTGGGCCTGAGTTGCAGAAATTGGTAATTGAGGATAAGGATGAAAACGCTGATTTTGAAGTACAGGAGAATTTAAACGAGAACATCCATACTGCTAGTGGAATTGAAAATGAGAAAAGCTTTCAAGAGAGCTTCAGTAATTGTACTGATATTGGAGATGTAACCGATCAAGAGAGTACCCGTGATACTTCTGAAATTGCAAATGTTTCTCAGAGCAGCTCTGATGCTAATTATGTTCAAGAGAACGTCCCTGATTCTAGTGTTCGAAAAGATACCACCACATATGCCAAGGAGATCCCTGGTATTCCAGTGACCTTTCAAGTAAAAATCTCAGACCAGAAGTCAGCTAGTTTTGAGCAAGTATTACTTGCTAAAGGATGTACAGTGGGGGTTCTAACTTCCTGTGAAATTTGTTCTAGGGAATTTGAAGACAAAGATTCTGCTATTTGTCATGGTGTACTTCATAAAGTCCCCGAAGTTCAAAAGTTGGAAGAACTAAATCAACTAAGATTAGACGTTTACTGGGAGAAAACTACAACTGGGTTCAGATGTATATTTGACCAATGTAAGAAAGAACATGGAGAACTAGTACAAGCTCGTTGGCATGCACTCAGTCACGCCGATCCTAAGCATGCATTGCGAAACATGATTCCGGTACCACAGCCAGAGTTATTTATGCGACAAGTCAATAGTTGGATTCATTGTACTGGTTGTTCTCGCGTTTTTCGATCCGCTGAGGAGTTTAATAGCCATTACCTTATGCATTTGGGTGAGTTTCCTTTTATATGTAAAGCTTGCTCCTTGTCTTTCAAAACAAAAAGTAAGTTGTATTACCATTTTTGTTATGAATGCAAGAAACGCAATAGGAAATAAGTTTTAATATTGTCTAAGAATAGCATTTCCTTGGAGAAAAAAGTTGACTCAGTATATAGGGTATATAGTTTTTTGTTGATATTCAAACGTAATTGTAAGCTTTTACCAGATCACGGGGCGCGTGCTCAAAAAAAACGCGTATTGCTTTTTTTTTTTTGTTCTAGCAAAATGCATTTCTAATCTTGCCTACGATTCTTTGCTACTATCATTTATTACTAAGCAATGCCAGGAGAGAAAAGAGCCTTTGAGGAGGTGCACCAAGATCAGGCGCACTCGTTGCCTGTATCGTCCCAGATAATATCATCTCAAGGGGGGTTAACAGCTTCCGAAGAACAGGTTTTAAGACAGGTGAAGCGTCCCAATGGGAATCAAGAACCTTCTGAATTTGAGCGAGAGTTATTGGACATGACTCAAGCAGTCCGTGGAATGGAACAGGAGGAAGATCAGAATTGGAGCAGACCTGAATTATCAGCTGATTTCAATTCCGAATTGGAAGATGTCAGTTTTCAACAATTGGACGCGGAAGAGTTCAACGAACGAGATAACACCTTTGCTCGATTCTTTGGTATTACTGAAGCTGGACATTCAGTGTTGTGTAATGTTGTAGGATTTATCCATTACTTCTACGTTCCAGTTCCCAAAGGGTTCGTTAAGGATCAGCATTTGCAACAATTCACCAATTACTTGCATGCCAATTATGAAGGTATAGATAAGGTCGAAATAACATTGAAGGAAACAATCTGGGGATATAACAGAAATATCAAGACTCCATTCTTCAAAGTGTTTGTCAATAATACTAGAAACATCACTAAACTCAGAACAGCTTTTGAAAGAGGTGACATTCGGTTTGAAAACTTGTTCAGTGAAACCGTGTCTTACGACAATATCAACTATTTGATGAGGTTGATGATTGACTGTAAAATCACTGGGATGTCGTGGATAACCTTACCAAAGTCTAAATATAAAATGGTTCCTGATAATCTTAAGATTTCTAGCTGTCAAATAGAATGTTCCATTGACTACAGGGACTTGATCACCCATCCATCAGAAGGAGAATGGTTGAAGATGGCACCACTTCGTATTTTATCCTTTGATATTGAATGTGCTGGTAGAAAAGGTATATTCCCGGAAGCTCAACATGATCCGGTCATTCAGATTGCTAATGTAGTACTGAAATCGGGTGAGTCTAAACCATTCGTCAGAAATGTTTTCACTGTCAATACATGTTCTCCTATTATTGGGTCTCAAATCTTTGAGCATGCCAAGGAAGAAGAAATGTTGATGCATTGGAGACAGTTCATCACTGAGGTGGACCCTGATGTTATTATTGGTTATAATACTTCCAATTTTGATATCCCTTACTTGTTAGATAGGGCCAAAGCGTTAGGGTTAAAGGATTTCCCCTTCTTTGGTAGATTAAAACGTATTAAGCAAGAAGTCAAAGATGCCGTGTTTAGTTCTAGGGCATATGGTACCAGAGAAAACAAGGTCGTTAATATTGATGGACGAATGCAATTGGATTTGCTTCAGTTTGTTCAAAGAGAATACAAATTGCGTTCTTATACATTGAACTCGGTCTCGGCTCACTTTTTGGGGGAACAGAAGGAAGATGTGCAACATTCTATTATTACTGACTTACAAAACGGTACGAAAGAAACAAGAAGACGGTTGGCAGTTTACTGTTTGAAAGATGCATTCTTGCCTTTGAGACTTTTGGACAAGCTTATGTGTTTGGTTAATTATACAGAAATGGCTAGAGTCACTGGTGTTCCATTCTCGTATTTGTTATCCAGAGGGCAACAAATCAAGGTTATCTCACAATTATTCAGAAAATGTTTAGAAGAAGATATCATTATTCCAAATATGAAGAGCGAAGGAACAAACGAAGAGTACGAAGGTGCAACCGTTATTGAACCTATAAGAGGATATTATGACGTACCTATTGCAACCTTGGATTTCAGTTCGTTGTATCCTTCGATCATGATGGCCCATAATTTGTGTTATACCACTTTACTTAGCAAGAGTGCAATCCAAGCGTACGGGTTGACCGAAGAAGATTATACTAGAACACCAAATGGTGATTTCTTTGTCAAGTCACACAAAAGACAAGGTATTTTACCAACCATCTTGAATGAATTATTGACTGCTAGAAAAAAGGCTAAAGCTGACTTGAAAAAGGAAACAGATCCATTTAAGAAAGATGTGCTTAATGGTAGACAATTAGCATTAAAGATCTCGGCCAACTCGGTTTATGGGTTCACTGGTGCTACTATTGGTAAATTGCCTTGTCTTGCAATTTCATCTTCTGTTACTGCTTTTGGTAGAGAAATGATCGAGAAAACCAAAAACGAAGTTCAAGAATATTATTCTAAAAAGAATGGACACCCGTTTGATGCTCAAGTTATTTATGGTGATACAGATTCTGTTATGGTCAAGTTTGGTTATCAAGACTTGGAAACTTGTATGAAATTGGGTGAGGAGGCTGCTAATTACGTGTCGACTAAATTCAAGAGTCCTATTAAGTTGGAGTTTGAGAAGGTTTATTATCCATATTTGTTAATCAACAAGAAGAGATATGCTGGGTTATATTGGACCAGACCCGATAAGTTTGATAAGATGGATACCAAAGGTATTGAAACAGTTAGAAGAGATAACTGTAGATTGGTACAAAATGTTATCACCAAAGTTTTACAATTTATTTTGGAAGAACGAGATGTTGAAAAGGCACAGAGATTTGTTAAACAGACAATTGCTGATTTATTGCAAAACCGAGTAGATTTGTCACAGTTGGTTATTACCAAGGCTTATGCTAAGCACGATTATTCCGCTAAACAGGCCCATGTTGAATTGGCAGAAAGAATGAAGAAGAGAGACCCTGGTTCAGCTCCTACTCTTGGTGATAGAGTCGCCTATGTGATTGTTAATACTGGTAGTGATAAGAACTATGAAAAATCAGAAGATCCTTTGTATGTTTTAGAAAACTCATTACCTATTGATGTCAAGTACTATTTGGATCAACAATTGACCAAGCCACTAGAAAGAATTTTCAATCCAATTTTGGGAGATGGTAAGACCAAGGAGTTGTTAGCAGGTGCCCATACAAGAACTATTAAAATGTCTGCTCCCAAGACAGGTGGATTAATGAGGTTTGCCAAGAAATCTGAAGTCTGTATCAATTGTAAGACACCATTGAAATCAGAAAATCATGGAGCTTTGTGTCCAAATTGTATTCGGGAAGGTAAAGGTCCTGAACTTTATTCCAATGCTCTTTCACAAATGAATTACTTGGAAAACAAGTTTTCCCGTTTATGGACCGAATGTCAACGTTGTCAAGGATCATTGCATCAAGAAGTTTTGTGTGGTAACAAGGATTGTCCAATTTTCTACATGAGAACAAAGGCCCAGAAAGACGTCCATCAACAAGCAATGGAACTTGTCAAGTGGGAAAATACTGTTTGGTAAATTGTCTATATAGCTAGTGTTTTATAAACATATCTTCACATTTTATTGACTTTCGTCCTAAGCTTCTCTCTATGCAATTTCTTAGTAAATTACCATATTCGAGTCCCACTTCCCATTTTGAGTTCCTGTAGGTTGAGTGAAATATCTTTAGTAATCCAACCACGTTATTCTTGTTGGGAATTTCTTTCAAATACTCGGCATATATGTTTATGTTGTTATGGAAAGTGGCAGCATCAATTCCTGAGGTGGGATATGAGTGGAACTTACCTGCCGATGATTTTGATAATTCTGATTTGACTCTTCTCAAATAAGCATAACCATCTTCTTGCTCAGGATAGTAGCTCGGAGCCTGTTTATCAAAAATATCAATTTCTGGTCCTTCTTTTGAAAAATTATAGGCAAAGATCACAAGGACAGCACTAATGATAATATTCCTCCTATGCAAGAATGGGTCGGCATTAGGATCATAAGTGAATACAATCTCGTCATTTAATGGTGAAAGTAGCATTTCACATAGTAAAAGATATGCATGGATCACGGTAATACCGCCATTTAAACTGTTTGCCCAAGCATGTATTCTCTTATTGACCACTTCGTATTCGCTGTCAGTGACGCTGACATTCATTCTGCTTGGTGCACCTGCGTAAACAATGTAATCATAATGGGTAATTCTCATATAGATCTGGGCAATATGGTAAAGACTGAATTTGCAGCGAGAATCATCTGGTTTTAGCATGGGTGATGGTTGGGTTAGTGTTCCTATTTCGGGGATGTTAACTGCCGTGTCGGTGTAACAGCAACCTTGGGGACAAAGCTCGGTGCGCCACATATCCATGGCAAATGACATTGTATCATTCCATGATTCCTTGGCCGAGTTCCATTCAAGGTAGGAAAGTTGTAGATCACGTTGCTGCATTTGAAACATTATTGATAGGAGACCAGCTAGTAGTAAACTTCTCCCAAACCTGGTGGTTTGTACTGGTTCGCGGTGTAACACCTTTTTAAGAGCATCTAAAAACTTGGGTGTTTGTAAGTATATCGGAGATACAAGTTTCAGATGTTGGCTATCATACTCCCACAAGAAATCTTCACAGGGCAAGGACAATTGGATTTGATAGGCATAAAGGATAACTGTGTGACCATAAACCGTAGCATTAACTGTATCTAGATAAAATGCCATAAGGCAGGCTCGTTTCATGGATTCATATTCAATCCATTGTTTCCATGCTTGTGGTGGTCCCTCGACTTCCTTCTTGAGTGGGTCTCCTCCTAGCAAGGGACTTCTTCTTAGCAATTGAATCTTAGTTCCATGGTATAGAAATGATCGCTCATGCAAGAATCTAGATGTACTGGTGATTTCAAAAGATTCTAGCAATAACAAACTTTGGATGATATATACTTTAGCTGGGGGCTTACACTCAGGGTTGGAAAATATAAGCCAACGAAGTGGGGTTGCAATTTGCTCTGCTAATTTATGAGGATCAATAAGCGCATTGACAGTTTCACTACAGCTTGACAAACTTGCACCCAACATAATCATGGCTAGAAGTAGCAACGGGTGAGCTTCCCAATTTGAAAACGAAGGTTTATGAAGGATTGGATATTGTGGATGGTATATTGTCCAGTATAATTCTAAACATTGTTCAATCTGGGGGATTCTGAAATCGGGATTAGTAGCTAACTCTGGTAGATACCCAAGTAGATTCTGTCGTATATTGGGGTCGATAGTGGTTCTGTTCTTTGCGTGCGGGAAATTTGGTATTATAGCAAAGGCATTTTCCAACAACGTTGAATTAGAAAGATCATTAAAGTTGTAAAACTCGCCGACTTTGCCTTTGGAAGTGGCATTATCTTGGAAAAGCCAATCAAATAGGTCAGTGGGGTAGGTCTTGGAATTAGTCAAACTTGATTCTGGTGGGGGGATCACTGGAGGGACACTTGTTGTGGACATTGTCGAACTGGAAACATCTACGGCGGGTGTGATAGCAGGCGAAGCTGACGAAGAATAAGTAGTATCAGATACTGTACTTCCTTTCTGTGATCTGGAAATGTGTCTTTGATAGTGTTTCTCTCTTATATCGTTCCTTGCAAAAGTTTGATTGCAGTTTGGCCAAGTGCATGGAAGCTTCTTTGAAGGGTCATGGTTCTTTTTGTGTCGTGATAAATGATCGGCTCGGGTGAATACTCTACCACAGTTATCGTAATCACAAACAAAGGTACCATAAGTCCTTTTTCTTTTCTTTGCTGGCTGTTGGCTCATTTGTTGAAGTGGATTTTTTGCACAGTTGGGTTGGTGGGGGGCATTCAATGACAGCCGTTTAAGGGGGGGGGTCGAAAGCCTAAACAGGAAAAAAACGACTGAGAAAAAAAAAATATTTTTTAAATTTTACGACGTGCATTATTGTGCTACCAGATGGGTTGCAAAAGGATCAAGACGTTGATTTACAGCGATTGATTGTGTGTAATGTGCTTGATGAAAGGGAAGACATGGGTTAGGTGCCACTTGAAGCGATAAGTTGTTTGGAAGAAACTATTGCTAGAGTGTCAACTTTTTTTTTGGAGTAAATTTTGCTGAAAATCTTGCACAAATGTAATTGTTTTCTTACTTTTGCTCCAGAGTGTTGTCTGTGCTTGCAGAAAATATAAGAGCAATCTATAGTAAGAGGCAAGTAGGTATTTAGAGCTAGGGTTCTAGAAAACCAAGAAAACAATGAGTCATGCAGTTGCTAAAAGCTTAACCGAACATTGATTGCCCCACCTTGACTTGCTCAGAGAAAAAATGACTCAAGAAGGGACAAAAAAAAAAAAAAATGACATTGTTTTGAACAATTTCAAGTCAAATACTCTTGACAACAGTTACAACTTACTACTAGTAAACACACAACAATGGAACCAATTATCACTTCGTTGTTAGACACCGATCTATACAAATTGTTTATGCACGCTGCTGTTCATAAACATTTCCCCAATGTCCCAGTAATCTACAAATACACCAATCGTACTCCCCAATTAAAATTGAATAAGGACGCTATTCAATGGGTCAAACATCAAATTCAATCATTGGAAAATTTGAGATTTACTAATGAAGAAATTGAATTTGTAAAGAAAACATTACCTCAATTCCCAGCCGAATATTTTGAATATTTACAAACATTCAAGTTCAAACCAGAAGAACAAATCAAGTACCTTGATGGTGATGACGATTTGAAGTTGGAAGTTGCTGGGAATTGGCAAGATACTATTCTTTACGAGATACCATTATTAGCACTTATTTCCGAGGCATATTTCAAGTTTGTGGATACTGACTGGAGTTATGACGGACAGTATGAACAAGCCTTGGACAAGGTCAGACAATTGGTGGGGAACAAATGTGCCTTTAGTGAATTTGGAACTAGAAGAAGAAGATCGCTTAAAGCTCAAGAGATTGTTGTTCAAGCCATGAGCGACTTTAGAAAGGAGAACCCCGAGTTGGGTGCCAAGTACATCGCTGGTACTTCCAACGTTCATTTAGCCATGAAGTACTCGTTTATGCCAACAGGGACTGTGGCACATGAATGGTATATGGGAATTGCGTCAATCACGCAAAATTACCCGGAAGCCAACAGGATAGCCATGGATTACTGGATTGACACCTTTGGTAAAGAGAATGCTGGATTAGCATTGACTGATACGTTTGGTACTGACAATTATTTGTCAGTTTTCAAGCCTCCATATTCGGATGCATATGTTGGGGTCAGACAAGATTCAGGAGATCCTGAAGTATTTGCTGAGAAGGTTGCTGCTCATTATGCTAAATTGAACTATCCCAAGAATTCGAAGGTTATTTGCTTTAGTGATTCGTTAGATATTGAAAAATGTTTAAAGTATAGAAAGAAAGCTGATGAATTGGGGCTACTTACTACTTTTGGTGTGGGGACATTCTTTACCAATGATTTTATCTCTACGACTACTGGTAAGAAGTCTGCTCCATTAAACATTGTTATAAAGTTGAGAGAAGCAAACGGACAATTTGCGATCAAGATTAGTGATAATATTGGTAAGAATATGGGAGATCCAGCCACTGTGAAGCGAGTCAAACAAGAGTTGGGATACATAGAGAAGGAGTGGGAAGAAGGTGACGAAACTCATAGATGGACTTAGTTTAGCAACAGCTGTAGTGTACGCAGCAACAGCCGTAGTATACCTAGCAATAACTATAGTATACCAGCAACAGCCGTAGTATACCAGCAATAGCCATAGTATGCCCAGCGATAGCTGTAGTAGTGTACCTACCAACAGTAAGATGATGGATTCAAAAAATTTTTTTTTCTGGTGTAAAATTATTTACACCAATACAGGGCAGCTTTCTCTGGGGTCACTCTTTTTACAACTTTACCACAGTAATCGTCAATTGTCCAGTACTCTCGAAATTATAGCCATCACACTGTTGGAGTACTAGTTACAGGATTGCATAAAGGAGTAATTAACCCGAAATAGCCCACCTTTTTTAAACCATTCGCCCCCCCTTCTCCTCCTCCTCCTCCTCATAGATATACCCAGGACCATTTTATTTATTGCAACACACCATTTATACCGGTTTAAACATGGACTTGTCGTATGAAAACCTATTGACGGTCCTTACATTAGCCAGTGGCTCCGAAAGAAACGCCGACCAGGGAAATGCCGAATCTCAATTAAAGAAATGGGAGGTTGTTGCCGGATATCACTACTTATTGCAAGAAGTGTACTTGAACCGAGAATTACCCCTTCAAATTAGATGGTTGGCCATTATCTGTTTTAAAAATGGTATTGACAAGTACTGGAGAGCTGCTAGACAGTTTGCCATTTCCAAACAAGAAAAAGCCCAGATTACATCACGAGTAATGCAATTGTTGAATGAACAAAATAACCAATTGATGATCCAGAATGCCCATGCCATTGCTCGGATTGCCCGGTATGACTTCCCTAGTGATTGGCCTAATTTGTTTGACGATATCGCCAAGAATTTAGATGAGTTTGTCTTTAAAACTAATGATATAGTGTCCACCAACAACACGTTAATTATCTTGAATCGTATCATCAAGACAATTTCCATGGTGAGAATCGGGAGAGCAAAACATGCAATGCAAAGTAAAGCACCTATAGTTGTGAACATCTTGATCAAATTGTACCAAAAGTTTTTCCAAACCTGGACGACTACTTTAGATTTAACCTTGATGGAAGTTTGTTATCTTTGTTTAAAGAACTTGCGTAGAATAATTCCAGAAGGATTTGATCAACCCCACAAGAACCAAGACGTTTGTGAGTTCTTAGGAGCTACAATTGACCATTTGCAATCGTTGGTTAGTGAACATGACAAATACTCTTCGGACTTGTTAGAAAGATATGTTAAGTGTTATAGCAAGTTGTATGTCACATTAATATCCACCAATCCAACAAGTTTTGTGTTGTTGCCATGTTCACAAAGGATAATCACCACATTCCTTCTGTTGTTGGAAGAGAAGGCTGAGTATATTTACAACAGTACCGAAGAGAATGATTTCTGGGAAGTGTTGGCATTAAAGGCATTTTCAATTTTAAAGAAGATCATGGCATATATCTATAGGAAAGGTGCTGTGACTTTAAAACAAAGAAACGATAAAGTTGAAGTTACTAATGCCATACAAAAGTTGTCTACTGATGTATTCACCAATGATTTAATCTTACGCTTATGTGATTTGATTATAAACTGGTATCTTCGCTTAAAGCCTTCCGATTTGGAAAGTTGGCTTTTGGAGCCGGAAGAATGGTGCAATGAGGAATTATCGACTAGTTGGGAATACCAAATACGTCCATGTGCAGAAAATTTCTATCAGGATTTAATCAAGTATTTCCAAGATGTATTATCGGGATTTGTTTTGAACAAGATTTCCTCAGGATTAATGGAAAACGATTCTGTGGATCGTATTCTCATTAAGGATTCCATACTTTGTACATTTCAATTATCTTCCGGTACTATTGCGAATAATGTCAACTTTGACACCCTTTTACAAGAAGTGTTTATACCTGAAGGGTTAAAGAATGACTTAGTGGAAAACAAGATTTTAAAGAGAAGAATTTGTTATATTATCAGTGATTGGGTTGGTGTTCAGTGTAGTCGAGAACTGAGAGTGTCAATCTACAAATTGTTGTTAAACTTTTTACAACCAAACAATCCTATTAATGATGGTGTTGTTAAAATTGCTGCTATTCAAACCCTTCGTGCTGTGGTTGACGATTGGGATTTCAACAAGCATGATTTTCAGCCATTCTTGAACGAATTTGTTAAATTGCTTATCGATTTATCGGGTGAGATGAGATTAACCGAACTGAAGTTATACATTTTCAACACATTGGCCGTGTTGGTGGAAAGATGTAATCCATTAGTTGATTATCAAACCTTGATTGATATTTTACAAATTGTGCCAAAGTACTGGGATTTAAGCACTAGTGAAAACCAGCCAATTATTAAAAGTTCGCTTTGTCGTGTATTAAAGAGTCTTACTGTTTCGTTGAATGAAAATTCGGTGGAAACTCATAGTATTTCCATACCGTTGATTCAAACTTGTTGTGCGGAAACTTCGGAATTTTACATCTTGCTTTCAGAAGATGGATACGACTTGTGGTTGGCATTGTTGAAGTATTGTCCACAATCTAGATTGAACAATCCCGATATAATCAATCTTTTTGAAATGATTCCAAACGGATTAAGAAACTCCACTGAGATCTTGCCCACGATATTGTCAATTGTTAGAAGCTATGCATTGTATTCACCGGAAATTTTCTGTCAAGATGGAATTATAGAGACGTTCAAGATTATCGGGGGATACCTTGACAAAGCCAGGGATGACAGCTATGCCATATTCATTGGATTAATGGATATTTTACTCATTGAGAATTCGTTGAATGAAGCATTTATAAATGGGCTCGTCACGAGTGGATTATTCATATCCATGGTAAACTATGTATTGCACGAAGATCAGAGTGCAATCTTGTCTTCGAGAATGTACTTGTTGTTTTCAAGGTTAGCCAAGAATTCGCCAGAGGTGTTTTTAAAGATTTTGGAAATCACGTCCGTGGATCTAGTCAAGTTTTTCAAGAATTGGGTGGCGCTTTATAATCACAATGGGAACCCCAGGAACCGCAAGATTAACTTGTTGGGGTTGATCTCGGTGGTCAGCTTTGGTATACCCAAGAACATCCCCATACTCTATGAAATCTTACCGGAGGTGGTTAAAAAGACATTCTTCTTTTTGGAAGAGATCAATGAAGCGGACGATGGGTCTTGTGAAGCGTACAGAAGTAACTTGCTATACGAAGACATTGACGAATATTCATATTTGGATCCGGATATCAAACCGCATGGTGAGAAGATTAGATATCATACATTGTTAGAAAAGAACGATCCTGTTTACAACACCAATCTTGTGCAATTCTTGAAGAACAACATTTTACAGTTGAAGTCTCAATTGCAGGATTCAGATTTTAATCAGATCATGGCATTGAACGACTCATATACTTTAGAGCGATTAAAAGCGTTGAGTTAGATAAATACACATACACCACCGTAGTTGTAATTTTATATGCAGGAGACATGCTTATAGGTGTAATTTTGTATGCAGTCCGTGGAGCCCTCTGGGAAAAACAGTGGCAATTGAAAAATTGAACCAGGGCAAAACCCATAGATTGTTTAATACATTATCTAAGTAGCTACACAATTGACCATGTTTAGAAACAATTACGATAACGATTCCGTCACATATTCACCCACTGGGAGATTATTCCAAGTAGAGTACGCCCTTGAAGCAATCAAGCAAGGAAGTGCCGCTGTGGGCTTGACCTCCAAAAACCATGTTGTATTGGTAGCCTTGAAGCGTAATGCTGAAGAATTGGGATCATTTCAAAAGAAACTCATCAAGATTGACGACCACATTGGAATTGCATTGGCTGGATTGGCCCCTGATGCGCGAGTATTGTCCAACTATTTAAGAAGACAGGCGATGTCGAGCAAGATGATTTTCGATAAGCCTATCCAGACATACAAGGCCGTGTTGTCGATTGCCGACAAGGCCCAGGAGAACACCCAGACCTACGGTGCTAGACCATACGGAGTGGGGTTGTTGATTGGAGGATACGACGAGACTGGGGCACATTTGTTTGAGTTTCAACCTTCTGGTAGTGTGTTGGAGTACTATGGTGCTGCCATTGGGGCCAGATCACAAGCAGCCAGAACTTACTTAGAGAGAAATTTAGACGAGATTAGAAACAGCGAAAGCACCGAAGCGTTGATTGTTCATGGATTGAATGCATTGAGGGATACCTTGTCTCAAGATATCGAGTTGACGAATAAGAATACTTCGGTGAGCATAGTTGGTAAGGACCAAGAGTTTGTCGTGTATGACGACGAAGATGTTCAACAATGGTTAGATAAGTTAGACTCTGTTTCTAATGCCAGAAATAGAGACGACGACGATGACAACAACAACAACAACAACAACGATGAAGAAGTTAAGGATGAAGAAGTAAAGGAGGAAAATGCTGAAACTACTGAAAGTGCTGCTGATGCTCCAGATACTACTGAAGGAGATGATAGAATGGAAACTGATGAATAGTTTTACTTCAATACACACAGATACACACACGAATTAATTACATGTAGACTAAATACATTACTTGTTCTCTTGTTGCTTTTCAGCGACATATTTAATAGCTTTCATACACTCACTTTGCATAGCATTTACCTTTTCATTGAGATCTTTTGGATCGTGCAATTTCTTATTTCTGATATCGTTAATCATGATTTGCACAGCTTCAAGGTGAAGTTGGATACTATCTCTGTGATGCTGTTGCATGAAACCGCCATATTGCTTTAATGCATTTTCCGTGTCGGTGCACAATATTTCTGCTCTACTAGCATGTTCAAAGTATTTGCGGAGTTCTTCATCGGCTTGCTTGTTCCGGGCACTTTCTTCAACCATTTTGGAAACTTCTTCATCAGTCATGGCGATTTCTGTAACTTGAATGGAAACCGAGTTTGGCTTGTTGTAGTACTCCAGATCCTTAGGATATTTAGTCTTGTCGGTGGCACTGACATTTATGATTCCATCGGCATCAATTTCAAACAGGACGGCAATTTGTGGAGTTCCTTTTGGACCAGGGGGAATGTTTGAAAGTTTGAAATTACCAATTAGTTTATTATCCTTGACAAGAGAACGTTCACCCTGATACACTCTAATCTCAACACCAGTTTGCCCATCTACTGCAGTGGAAAACATTTGTTGGGTACGTATAGGCACAGTAGAATTACGGGGGATCAAGGGGCTGAATATTCCCCCATAAGTTTCAATACCTAATGATAATGGAGTCACATCTAGTAACACAACATTCTTGATTTGTCCCGAGAGGACACCACCTTGGATAGCAGCACCCAAGGCCACAGCTTCATCTGGATTGACAGCAGTGCTTGGTTTCTTGTTGAACAACTGCTCCACTTGCTTTCTGATTCTGGGCATTCTGGTCATTCCACCCACGAGCAAGACTTCATCGATTTCATTGACTTTCAATTCGGCGTCACGAATGCATTTCTTGACTGGTTCAATGGTTTTTTCAATAAGTGGGAGGGTCATATTGTCGAGTTCTTGTTCGGTAAGAGTCAATTTTATGTGTTTATCTTCATGGATGAAAGGAATGTTGATTTCAGTGGTTGTTACAGTGGACAATTCAATCTTTGCCTTTTCCGCAGCTTCTCTGATCCGTTGCACGGCTAGTCTCTCATTAGATAAATCAATACCAGTCTCCAGTTTGAAATGGTTGAGAATATGGTTAAGCAAGACAATGTCAAAATCTTCACCACCCAAATGGGTATTCCCATTAGTGGCCCTGACTTCAAACACGCCGTTTTCAATGTCAAGAATGGAAATATCAAATGTTCCACCACCAAAATCAAACACGGCAATGATTCCTTCATTAGTCTTATCACAGCCGTAAGCCAATGCTGCGGCTGTGGGCTCGTTTATAACTCTCAATACGTTCAACCCCACGAGTTTTCCTGAGTTTTTCGTGGCCAGACGTTGCGAGTCGTTGAAATAGGCCGGTACAGTGACCACGGCGTGTTTTACTGGTGTAGGCAAGTGGGTTTCAGCAATTGATTTCATTTTATTAAGAATGATCCCACCTATTTCCGATGGCGACAAGGTCTTCTTGTCAGTTGCCAACATGGCATCTCCATTGTGGCTGGGGATGATCTTGTAAGGAACGTTGGAAATGTCTCGTTGCACCTCCGCATCCTGGTACTTTCGCCCAATTAACCGTTTAGTAGCGTAGAAGGTATTTTCTGGGTTGATTACTGCTTGTCTCTTAGCAGCGAGGCCAACTAGAGTGGAATCATTGGTGAATGCCACTATCGAGGGTGTTGTTCTTCCACCTTCTTCATTTTCTAGAATTTTCGGTTGATGGCCCTCCATTATCGCCACTGCGGAATTGGTAGTTCCAAGGTCAATTCCAATGACGGTATGGTTGAACCGCACATGTCTTAGCAACCGACTGCGTCTTATAGTTCTGAGCATGGTTAAGATGTATGGTGATCACTGGTAGGAGTTTGAGATGAATGGCAATTTTTTCGGTTGCTCCGATCGGAGATTGAACTCTGATCTACGATTATCTATTGTATAGGTATATAGGTATATATCTGTTATGTACACGTATGTATCCGTTATATATCTATTACATATCTATTACACATCTATTACACATCTATTACATATCTATTACATATCTATTATATCTCTATTAAATATATACAAGATTAATACGGAATAAACTGCATTCCATTGTCAAAAGTAAACCCCTTGAAATATAACAATCCAATAACATCCAAGCCCATCTGATCAAGAATCATCAACAAGTCGGGAGTGTTTAACAGTACCTTGACTAATCGTTGAGATAGACATTTGTCTAGTTGGTGAAAAGTAGTGTAGATTGTATGCAACTCATCTGACTTATGCACCACTACCCCCACTCTATTTGTTCGTTTATTCATCACTAACTCTCCTACATCTTGCACATGTGGAAATTGAGGATATGAACCATGTATAAAATTGTTCAAATGACCCAAGAACTTTTCGGGAAGTACAAATTCACCACTGAATACATTCGACAGAAGCAAGTCAATGAGGGAGCGATCAGTAAACCCAGTCAAACTCATTGCACGATACAGATGCAGAACACTCCAATTGTCACGCTTAACTTCCTGCTCATATGATTCCACATCAATAAATAATCGAAACAATGCATGTAAATCCACAGGGTTAAAGTACGCTTCAGATTTAGGTTGGGTTCGTCTCATGTACTGCTTCACCTGGGGTATGCTGCATATTTCAATGTGGTTATGCTGTACAAGTATGCAATAGTCACCAGCTAATATGCCTAGTTTGCACAATACCAACTGGGGTTGAATTTTCCCCTGTACGTCGATGGTGACGTCTGCTAGTGTTTCATGGATTAGCATTAGTGAAATGGACTGGACGAGAAAAATGTGGCCCTTGGCATGATGCGAGTACACTTTCAATAAATCGAGATCTTCAGCATATGTCTTATTGGGAAGGTCAGTTACGAACTTGAAATGGGAGAGCACAACTTTTATCATCTTGGCTATGAATTGGTTGTACTCGTGTTTGGTCTTGAAGGATAATCGCGACTTGTGGGGGAACTTTTGGTTTACTTTTCTCGATAGTTTGAGTTTTAGTTGGGATATCGTGTCATGTCTTGCCTTGACCATTTTATAGCTTGATTTGTTAAGTAAGCTTATGTTGAACCAGAATTGTTCATATGATGCTGGGGTTATTAGGCCCTCTTGTAAAGTTTGAACAATTCTGGAAGTGCCTAGATTGAACGTGATTGAAGATATTAAGTTTTCAACGAGACTTAGCCTGGAGATATCAACATAGTTGTAAGCCCTGCGTATATTTTCTTCAAATTCTAGTCTTTGCTGGTGTAGAAAGTGTAGTATTATAGGTATGCATTTGGTATGGCCAAACTCTGAAATTATATCAGAGATTGAATTTCGGTTGTAAATTTGTAGTACATGTTCAAACTTACGAAATATTCTGTTCATCTCAAGACACAGTTCGTAATTGCCTACGGTGTTGTTTATACCATAGTATGTCAATTGTTTACCGAATAACAATTTATAAATCTGTTGCCAGAAATAGTAATCGTTAAGCTTATGACGGAGCTGCTTGTTTAGTTGATACAAATGAAATACATCGGATATGGTAAGATTGCCTAGTTCGACAATGTGTAGTATTATATCTAGTGATAGTGTAAACATTGATGGGATCAACAAAGGCTGTATTATGTTTTTTTTTTTTTACCTCATCAGATATTGCAAATTTATCTAGCTGACCAAGTGTAACACGTAATGGGCAAAAGAAAAGGAGGAGACGACAAGTCGTCTAGGAAAAGATTCAAGAATTCAGGTAAACTTCTTGATCCAAATACATCGGGTGTCTATGCTACTTGTAACAGAAACAAGGAGACGCAATGTAGGAACGAGTTGATCAACTTGTTCAATGAGAAGATCCCAGAATATTTCAACGTTAATGAAGGAGGAGAAGAAGACGAAGAAGAAGAACAGAAAAAGCTTTCGATTGAAGATAAAATCAAGTTGGAATTAGCTGAATTGAAAGAGACCAAGGCAGACTTGTTGAAACCTATTGAGCTCGATGTCGAGTGTTTGATATTCATCAAGACCAAAAAACCAGTTAATCCCGTAGAACTCGTGCAAAGATTATGTCAGGAACTGTACGACAGTAAAGTCAAGACTACCAGATACACGCAAAAGTTGAGTCCCGTCACTGACTCATGCAGTGCATCAAAGGAAGAATTAAAGAACTTGGCTAAACGGGTATTGGCCCCCCATTTCCATAGCGGAGACCAACAACAACCGGTTAAGTTCGCTATTCAAATTTCCAAGCGTAATTTCAACACACTAAAGAAGGACGAGATGATCAAGACTATTGCTGAGTGTATTGGCCACGACTATAATCACAAGGTTGATTTAAAGGACTACGACAAACTCATTGTCGTCGAATGTTACAAGAACAATATTGGTATGAGTGTAGTTGAAAACTACCAAAAGTACAGCAAGTTTAATTTACAGCAGATATTTGAGAAGGAGGAGAAGGAAGTGAAGGAGAAGGAGGAGAAGGAAGTGAAGGAGAAGGAGGAGAAGGAGAAGGAAGTGAAGGAAGAAGGAGGAGAAGGAGAAGGAAGAGAAGGAAGAAAAGGAAGAAAAGTAATGTCTATTAGCATGTAAGTAATCAGGATAATCTTTGTATATAATCGGTCGGTTGCTTCCACGCCAACCAGTCAGCTTCTTTATGAGGAATCAATCCCATATTATATAATTTATAAACACCAATTGCCATATTCAACACTTGGAAAAACACAAACAATAGTTTTGCCATGAGTATATCCTGTTTATTCTCTTTTGTCTTTAGCTTCTCAAATGTTGGCCCTGTCTCATAGACAATTGCCTTGAGGGGATTCACCAACAACATTAGAGTCATAGTCATGGGGATAATTTGTAACGAATTACCAGTAAAATAGCTCATTATCAAATTCATGGGTATGGATTTGGCAGGTCCATTGGCTAATGAGTATGCCTTTTTGGTTTTCAATATGCCAACGTCTTCCTTCTTATGGTGGTGGGCTGTAGTGGTTGTGGCAGTATTGGTGGTGTCACTGCCTGGCGGTGATTGTATAGCTTGCTTTGGAGGTATCACTATAGTTGGCTTTGTTATTTCCGAGTAGTCCATGATGATGATGATGATGATGATGATGATGACGACGAGGACGAGGACGACGATTTGCTGTCAGCATACAATAGAAAGTAAAACAAACTAAGGAGTTAAATTTCCGCATTCAAATTAGGAGAGAGAGAGAAAAAAAAAAAGGCTGAACTTTCAAATTTGCCTCACCCACTAACTCTATCACCATCTCCACAATTCCCATCTCCCAGTGGTTGAAATACATACACACTGGCATAGACATAGACGACAATCAATATGAACTCAACAACATCATTCAAGTCTAACCCGTTGAATAGAATTATTGGACTCTCAATAATTTTATCCATGGGATTCTTACTAGTCATCCTTGCTGGTATCTACGGTAATTGGTTCCCCATAATAATTGGACTTATATTTGCCATTGCTCATTTACCAGTAGTCATCACAAAGGCAGTCACATCCAATGACTACGACTTCAATTTTGAAGGAGGCAATAACAATGTTGTTATCGAAACTGGTCAATTCTTGTCAGCATTCTTGGTTACTTCTGGAGTGGTGTTGCCAGTTATTTTACACCATTCGTTGATACTTACTAGAACTGCCATGGTTCTCACCATCATTGGTGGGTGCTTGATCTATGGTACTGTTTATACGTTTAGTCTGTATTTTGATGAATCAGAAGAAGATGTTGATGACTTAGGTGGGGGTGTCATTTAGCTGTATCTGTTATCTACTTAATACATTGCATATAACTTTTGTAACTACGTTTAATTTAATGTTATCTCTAAACTCTTAATGTGTGACAGAACAGATATTCTACATGTATAGAGTGGATGCTGTACATGTGTGTTTAGCGGAATATATTCTTGTTAACCGTCTGATTGACTGACTGACTAGCCGTGTGATGGTCGGTTGTCATTAATGCTCTGCACAATCTGCCTTGCCCCCTCACAAATCCCACTCACAAAAACTGAAAAATTGAACCCAAAGAAAAAAAAAAGCACATACATCAACAACAACAGCAACACCATCACCAACAACACCATCACCATCATCTCAATCACAATCTTAACAAGATGACAACGAACGAATTCGCCAAGGCGGAAAGAGAAATAATCCAAGAACAACAACTACAAGAGAAAATCATAAATGAAGAGTTCAAAATCTGGAAGAAAACCGTACCATTGCTATATGACTTGATTCACACTTTTGTCTTGCCCAGCCCTTCCACAGTGTTTCAATGGTTGCCTAGCCACACCACTTCCAATGAATCAATAGTAGTCAAGTTCTTACTTGGTACTAAAGAGGGCAATGAACATTATTTGAAATTAGGATCTGTGAATTTGCCTGCTACTTTGGCTGACCATAATGGTAACTTGACAATTCCAACTTCCGATGACACTTCCAACTTCAAAATCTTGTCTAGATGGAAACAAACTTCCGACATCAACAAATTAAAGATCTCTCCTGATGGGAAACTCGCCATTTCTTTCAACAACGGAACAATCCATAGCTACAACTTGGACAACAGCGACGTGTTTGACTACAAGTACCATAAACATGAAGGATACGCCTTGGACTGGATAGACCAGGGATTCATCTCTGGGGCTAATGACGGCCAGATTGCCTTATGGAACATTGAAAAACCATCCACGCCTATCCAACTATTCAAGTCTCATTCGGGTGCCGTGAATGACTTGTCGGTTGTCCCTGTCCCCCACCAAAAGCTATTTGCCTCGGTGTCGGACGATTCTACCACTCAATTACATGATATAAGAACATTAGAGGCTAACCCAGTCATCACGGTTGAGAGCAGCCACATCCAGAACGCTATCAAGTTCCATCCAAACATAGATACGTTGTATGCAACTGGTGGTAAGGATAATGTCGTTAACTTGTACGATATCAGAAAATCGGACGTGCCATTCAGAAAATTGTATGGACATAACGATAGTATTACTAGTTTGCAATGGGATACCCACAACCCATTGACTTTAATATCTTCCAGTATTGACAAACGAGTCATCTCGTGGAACTTGGGTAAGTTGAATGAAGAGTTTGATTTGAGTGATGGAAGAAAAAAGAATGTTTCACGAATTGATCCTTGTTTGAGGTTTATCCATGGTGGTCATACCCAACGAATCAATGATTTCCACGTTCATCCCAGCGTAAAGAACTTGTTTGGTACTGTTGGCGATGATAATTTGTTTGAAGTTTGGAAACCAAAGACTTTAGAAGAGGAAGAGGACGTGGAAGAACACGAGGAACACGAGGAAGAACACGAGGAAGAACATGAGGAAGAGCACGAGGAAGAACACGAAGCGCCAGAGGCAGAGACAGAAGAGCAACCAGAAGAACAACCAGAAGCTGAAGCCGAAGCCAAAGTCGAAGCCAAGGAAGAACCACAGACAGCCGATTCCATGGACGTTGAACCTAAAGAGGAACCCGTGGACGAGCCAAAGGAAGAATCTCAAGATGTTGAAATGAAAGAGTAGAATTTTGTATTATATAGTATAAATCTTTAAACCAAAAAAAAAAAAAAATTACGCGTTTGAAAATTTCACTTCCACTGTGAATCACCAAACTAACATGACCAAGGAACTTCTCTGGAATAAAATCCCAATAATCCAAACAGAGCTCAACTTAAGCAAGGTGCTTCGTTGTGGACAAACCTTCAGATGGAAAAACATAAATCATGAATGGTCATTTACTACCCAAGACCGCATAATCTTACTTAAACAAGATGACCAATTTATCCACTACTCTCATATAATGAAACATGACACAAATGGTACATCTAGTCAAACCTTGGATTTCCTTCATGATTACTTTTCACTAGACTTGAAATTAGCCGATTTGTACACCCTGTGGAAAACTAGCCATAAAAAGTACGAAAAGGGTATATCTCCCTTTGATGCTTTCCAAGGGATCAGAATCATAAGACAAGATCCCTGGGAATGTCTCATTTCCTTTATTTGCTCCTCCAATAACAACGTCAAACGTATTTCGAAAATGTGTGACAGCCTCTGTCTGGAATTTGGCACCTACATCAACGAATACAACGACTACAAGTACTATTCGTTCCCCACGGCCGAAACCCTCGCCCAGCCTGATGTCGAAGCTAAGCTTCGTGATTTAGGGTTTGGCTATCGTGCCAAGTACATCCACCAGACCGCAATGAAGTTCACCAGCCCTGACTTTCCGGAAATCACCATAGAAAACTTGAACAGTTTGCGCAGTAAGGACTATACTGAAGCCCATGAGTTCTTGTTACAACTCACTGGAGTCGGACCTAAAGTTGCTGACTGTATTTGTCTCATGTCATTAGACAAACACGATATCGTACCTATCGACACGCACGTGTACCAAATCGCAGTTAGAGACTTTAAATATAAGGGGAAGAAGGAGTTAAAGACTATGAATAAAGAAGTTTATCACCAGATTAGAACATTCTTTAAGGAGATATTCGGGGATTATGCCGGGTGGGCTCAATCTGTGTTATTTGCAGCTGATCTTGGTGATTTGAATAATGGTACTAATATCATTGATATAAAGAAGGAAATCAGCAAGGAAAAAGCGGAACCAGTAAGTAGATCAAGGAAAAGAATCAAAGTGGAAGCTTAATAGACAATATACAGTACAATAAGAAGTTGAAATGGTACCCAATAACTCTCTCAATACTAATCTTGCTCTTTATACAAGCAGAAATATTAAACCCTTTTTAGCCTATTACCATATAGCTTCTCCTACTATACTTGCAGAAATTCATTCATGGGAGATTTGTAGTCCCACTAGTATATATAATCAAAGATACAGGTGGTACCTTTTTCGACAAGGTATTCCGCGACGATACAACACTGGTATAAAGGCCAAGCTAGAAATAATCATGTTTCGTGTACATTGTTCAAGAATAGCGTTCTGAGTTGAGCTTGGTAGATGTATATGATTTCACGTTGATCCGCCTATGGGTTCTGTGGGCTAACAAAGTCATAGTTCTTTTTGTAAAGAGTTTACTTCTATAGATTAAACCTGTGTTCTATAATGACAGGTAGCTAGACGTATTATATACACAGGAATACAGGAACAGATTATCTAAACCGAGGCTCGATTCTAGATGCTTGAGCAATTGTAGATTGACTAAAGAAAAGAGATATGAAACTATAAAACACAAAGTGAACACTTTCACTTTAAATAGTTTGCAAATGTCACTATTGTGACATTAACCAAACTTATTCAACACGCGTCACTCTTGACACGCTGTGCAGTACTTGCAACATGGTCACGTGGCAAGTGTGACTGCTTAGCTGTAATCATATTTCTAATCGCACTAGTGCGATTATGGAACAACCTGTATAGAAACGGGCGTGTGGTCTAGTGGTATGATTCTCGCTTTGGGCGACGACTTGGGAAACAAGTTGATTTAACTACAAGCATGCGAGAGGCCCTGGGTTCAATTCCCAGCTCGCCCCAATTCTTTCTTTTTTTTTTCTTTTCAAGTCTGGCTTTGTACTACCTGGTCCATATCATTCTAAGACATTTATTAGTGTGATCAGACTTTGTGTGAAATTTTTTAGCTAACAGAAAATTTTTTTTGTTGCAAAAAAAAAAAATTGTAAAATTGAAGATTCAGATTGGCTTATGCACGACTTTAATTTAGCTTTCTCTATTTTTAGTTCTATGAACTACTTTCATAGCTAAATAGTTGGTTCTGAACTATAAAAACAGAAAACTATTTCCAAAAAAATGAGGATGATTGTCACATAAAAATGAGTATATTTTGATTACATGCTATACAGAAACAATATGGGCATAAAATAGTATATAAAATAATGAAGCATATTAAATAACATACTTCAAACCAGAGCAGATATGATTATATCTAACATCTTTTTTTGCTGGTAAAATGTTGTGTAGGTTTCCTCAACTAATGGCTTGTGGCACATACAGTACATGGGCTTTTAGGTGGTGCAACGTTGCTTGTTTTTTGTGAATTAGATGGATTAGAAACAGATGGAGAATAGTTGCAATAATAATAGTATCCATTACCGTGGGAACGACAATCCTTATAAGCACAACCAACCTTGCTGGTTGATTTCCAAATGAGGTTTGTGAATGCATTCAAAGGGCATGTAGCACCGTAGTTATATTTCTTACCTTTGTTGTACCAAGAATTGACGACATTACCACAGTCAATAATAGGAGAAAAAGGATTGCTGCTACCGGTACCCCAATTGCCACTAGATGAACTACCTGACGTTTGGGAATTACTGGAACAGTCATATTTGCTTACAACTTGTTTTGCAGCTGTATAACAGTTTTGGTCCCAATTTAAAAGTGGGCATCCATGACTGGAACGCATTGAATTCTGGAGCGAAAGGATGTTGATGGAGAAACCTAAATCAAAAGAAATACCAAAGTTACGTTTGCTGAGTTCATCACCACCAAGTTCCCCTCCCATTGCTTGGAGAACAGAACGCTGAGCATCGGCAACAATATCAACTTCAGGAGCATCTTCAGGTAAAACAGCAGATTGTGCAAGCAATCCGAGGAAAGCGACTGAAAAAATAGTAGAAAGCTTCATTATAATGATTTTAAATACCAAACTTTAGATTGTAATTGTTAATCTTAGGTAATGTTTTAAAAAAAATTTGTAGAATGAAATCTGGGATCTGTTCCTCTTTTTATACTGCAAATCTCCGAAACTTGCAGTAAGGACTCTCCGTTGTTTTAGAACTATAAAGCATTAACATGGACGGCCATAAGTTGATTCATTAGATTCTCGCATGTAACTAGCTGCAACAACCTGCAACATTAAGCATTTGTGACGTGACATTAAATCTATTCCACCCTACACGGGAAATAATTGTAGCGCATACTCAAGCATCCAAGGATCCATTATGAAGTTGCTCTACATATAATAGTAAAGTAACAGGGTAGGGAAGATAATCAAGGCGGTAGAAGAGGATAAAAATACTCGTTTAGCAATGCCCATGAACTTATAATTGCCTATTCAACTTATTTCCCCTGAGTTTAGTACTAAATTATTTTGTCTTGTCAATTGTTCCAAATTCTTGCAATATGAAACAGCCGAAGAGTAAGAAGAATAATTAACCAAATCAACCGATTTAATTTTCTAAATTAGTTATATGACCAAACTAGGAACAAAAAAAAAGAGTGAACTATTACTAACAATCAAATAGATATTTTAATTGAGGTTAGAATAAAGCTTAACCTTTTCTGTTATCGAATTAGAAAGGGAACATCCATAGCTAAACAAGTACTATTTGATAGCAATCATAAATCAGATTATTTCTTTTATGATTTAAATTGAATTTTTAAATGTGAATATGTAACCACTAAGCCATTAAAAGAAAACTCTCTCAGGTCCAAAGAATTAGGAGCAAAGGCGGGAACGTACATTTGAATAATAATGAAGTAAATTACTACCATATTAATAACTTCATTTTTTATGCAGTACCGCCATAAATTTGTGGGATCGGAAAGAAATCTCTAAGCTTATTACTTTTTATCTATTAATGATTCCGGCCAGCATATGAATAGCTGCATAGCAAAAGTAGAAAGGTATTAGACAGTTTTAGACAAATGTTTAGTTTCTAAGATATTATATGAAAAATATCAAGAAACTTTATACGACGAAATTGTTTGTATTCAAATTAAAGAAAGACTAGTATTCGGATCAGGATTTATTTGTAACTATCAGAAAAACTAGATCGAACTCTACATTTACAATCCATTTATATAGTTTGACTGATACCCTCGGGAACTAATATATGGATTCGGTTGTATTTTCAAAAACCTAAAATTTTTGGGGGGCATATAAAGATATATTTTAATTGATTTCTATGGAAAAACAATATTGGCATAAAATAAAAAATATATATATAATAAATAGAGCATACTAGAAATATCTCGAAGTGATCAAATATAAGATCATGTCTAATAGTTTCTTCTTGGAGGAATGTTGCTTTGTACAACTCTGTAGGATGGGTTATTAGCACATGGGTCATAGTTACAGTAGTAAAAGTAACCACGACCCCTATGACGACAATCCTTATAAGCACATCCAACTCTGCGGGTTGATTTCCAAATAAGATTGGTGAACGAGTTCAAAGAAACTTTGGCACCAAGGCTAATACTCTTACCAAAGCCAATACTCTTACCAAGGCCATACCATTTATCAACAACAAAACCTGCGTCAGCAGAAACAGAAAAAGCTTTACTGCTACCTATACCCCAGTTAGAACCATATGGCCCATCTGGGTGGTGGAAATCACCAGAGCAATCGTATCTGTCAATATAATGCTTGGCATGTCTGTATAACCCGTGGTCCCAGCATAATAACGGATCACCATGAAGAATACGCTTGAAATTGTGGAAGGTAAGAATGTTGATGGAGAAACCTAAATCAAAAGAAAGACCAAAAAGACGTTTGCTGAGTTCACCACTACCAACTTCTCCTTCCATTGCTTGGAGAACAGAATTTTGTGCAGCGGCAAGAATATCAGCTTCTTCTTGTACTGAACGTTCAGCAATATCAACAATACCAGCTTCTTCTTCTATTGAACGTTCAGCAACAGCGACAATAGGAGCTTCGGCATTCTCGTCAGGTAAAACAACAGATTGAGCGAACAACGCAAGGTAAGCGAGGGTAATAGCAGCAGAAAGTTTCATTGCGAAATTTTATCAACAAATCTTAGAATTAGTAATATTGATCTTAAGTGATGTTTTTAAAATTTTGGAGAAACAAATCTGGGATCTGTTCCTGCCTTTTTATATTGCCAAGTTCTAAATTTTTTGCAGCGGAGATTCTTGTGTGTTTTCCGGAAACCAAAACATTGTTCCACCCAGTTTATCATGAATTGATTGATTAAATGCTCTCAAGCAACTCAATATTATTGGTGCAAAAGTCTGCAACTTGAGGCACGTGTGAAATGATAACTATATTCTTCCATAAATTGACGAGAAGTAACTGCGGGGGTGTATGTAGGTACCCTAAATATCTATGTTTATATACCTATTACAGTAAAGTATTCGGGTTGAAAAAAAAAGCAGGTAAGAATAACCGTATAAATAATCTGATAAACCCTCAATTTTTTTTTCTTGATATTATTACCCCCTGAATGTAAGCACATGCAAAACAATGAAATATTTTCTTGGCAATTACTGCAAATTGTTCCACTATGAGATAGCCGAATAAACAACAAAGCTAAATAGAGTACTTTTTTACTTGATTAGACGATTGAAAGCAAAAAAAAAAAAAATAGAAGATTAATAGTTAATAATAATCTAATTATGTGTGTTTTAATCGAGGCTGAAACGAGGCGCATAGTTATATCTCTTGTTAAACCTAAGAGTTAAGGAGTACATGAAACCCACAAAGTCAAACAATAATATGATTTAGCAATCATTAAATCCAATATGGATTTAAATTAAACTCAAACGATGAGTCTAAGCAATAGGAAGACCTGAAGCGAAACCACAATGCCAAGCCAAATTATTTGGAAGCAAATGCAGATACTGCAAATTTGCAAAACTATGACCTATACCACTATCATGTGAATATCTTAAAAGGTAACTAGGTACCCGAATAGTTTCCGGAGATCATTTTAAAACTTTATGGAGCAATAATACTAAATACAATTGTTTATAGACTACTATATCTGGAAATTAGTATTCGGGACCAGTTGAATTTGTCGCTACGATACGAACTACTAATTTCAAATTATTTTGACTGTTAACTGTCTATGGTCGATTTCCATCGTTAAAAAACAATACTGAAATATACTTGTAAGAAACAAGAAGGAGTGTATTTTCAAATTTAAAATGGTTGGCACCAATATGTATTGATAAAGTGCACAGGCAAGTTATAAAAGGCTCTCTTTAAGTAAGCGTTATATATTTTGTTTCCATTTCTTCATCAAAGAAAAGTAGCCTATCTACGTTCAAAGAAACATCTCTTTTAAGACCCTGTACAGCAGAGACATCATCAAGTTTCCTTTTCTTGTTAGAGACGGGGATACGCACTTTCAAGTCTATACATCCCTCGGAACAGATAGTACCAAGCAAGGAAACATTCACACCTTTGATCACAGGAGCGGTAATAACTGCCTTTTGTCCTACACCCGACTAGCCATATTTCCTTCTCATGCCAATATTGAATCCTGAATTATCAATAAAGGCGCAATTCTTACTGAAGTCAAACTTATTTTTGTATCTTTGTGCCCACTTAAATCACCCTTGTTTCACATCATCCAAACCTCTTTTCATTGGCCATTTTGAAATTCTCGTAAGACTGAACTTTACAGATCTTGGTAATAAAACTATAGATAGCAGCGGCACTTGCTTTTACTTTAGAGAAAGATTTTGCAAGACTCTCCTGCAAGAAGTTCAATGTCACTGATGCATATGCTTCCACCAAGTTCTGCAAGTATTCTTTGTGTTTATCTGTTAGAAGAGGTTTACGGCCACGCTTTCTAGGAGTTCAGTAAATGCCATTGATCTCCTCTACAACTTGCTGATCCCAATTCCTTTTCCAAGTATACGCAGTTTGCAAGTTAATGTCATTAAGTAAACCTGATCTATACGTTGAATTCCCTTCTTCAATGATCATATTCCAGAATCTTTGTTTCTGGGCTTGAGAGTAATATTTGTAACAACCTCTTTTACGTTTCACAGACTTGTTGAGACTACTATCTACTACATCCATATTAGTATCATTGCTGTTTAATTCTTCCGCAGCATCAAACTCCATCAGATCGGCCACTGTCTTATACTCTTTAAAACTAAAGCATGATTCGAGTTCAGTACCTTTCAAATCAAAACTATTTCCAAGAGCGTCAATATAGCCTATCTCGATTAGCTTCAGCCTAAATTCCATTTGCAATTATCTCTTTTATTTTCTCATATAAAATGAAATCACATAGGAGCCAAAAAAAAAAAAATGAGAATCAATTTCTTAAATGAGCGAGGAAAATATAACAGTATTTATACTGGTGAACTTTAAAGAGTATCAATTCATGCTTACTAATGAGTCTTTGTAGAATCATATTCTGTTCTCAAACACATGAAGTACGAATATTTTTATCCCCCATAGTACGATTATTTTTAACATCGTGGTGTAAATTATTTTTGTGAGGTGGTACGAATAAAAGTTTTACTAGTTGCAAAATTTATGCCCTGCTTGGTACGAAAATTGTTTAAACAAATAGCACGAATATTTCTTCGCAGTACGAATATTTTTTGCCCCGGCAGGTACGAAAATTTATTTCCACTAGTTCGGAAAAAAAAATAGAAAAAGACTGTATTTGTTGTCGTGAGTAGGGTGGACATGCGGCTCAAAAAATTGACGATTTAGTGCAAGTTTTTTATTAGTTGCAAATTATACAGAGGTTTTGTGTAATCAAACTTTTGACGAGAGTTGGAAATATTATGAACAAAACATGTGTATACTTTTCTATCTTAAATGATAATTTATATATGAACTACCTTATACAACTAGTTGTAAACCTTTATTAAATATAAAAGTTGGTGAAAATTTACGAAAATGATTATAGACAGTCATATTCTCTTCCGCTCACGAAGCAACAGCAATAACATCAATTTTTGGAGCTTCAGCGTCTTCTTCATTTGAACGTTGGGCAACGGCAACAACATCAATTTTTGGAACAGTGGCATCTTCTTCATTGGAACGTTCAGCAACTGCAACGGCGACAGCAGGAGCTTCAGTATCCTCTTCAGGTAAAACAGCAGATTGTGCAAGCAATGCAAGGAAAGCAACTGAAAAGATCGAAGAAAACTTCATTGAAAAAAAAAAACTTTAGAATGTGATAGTTGGTAAAGTTTCAAGAAAAATATATCATGAAATCTGGGATCTGTCCTTGCTTTTATATATTGCCGAAACGTGCATCAGGGATTCTCATTGTAAGAAATATAAAATTCAGTAGGCCATAAGTTTATTAATTATATGTCTTTATGTAATTGGACGCCCTACTGCAGCACCCTGCAATAAGAAGCATGTATAACATATTAGCCACTAATTGACGAGACTTTATTGTCGGATATCAGCCGGTTCCAAAAGATCTACGACGTAGTTGTTTTTTACTTAGAACAGTAAAGTAACAGGGTGGAAACGCAACAAGAGTAACGGTGAAGTCGGAAATGGTTCTTTTACAAGTGTCACGAACCGTCACTTGCATTACTCCCCTTAAATTAACACCTGTTTATAAAATATTTTCTTGGCAATTGTTGAGATATGAAATAGACGAATAAACGAGAAGGCTCGGAGTACATTTTTATTTTATTTTTTTTTACAAATTATATTAGACGAGTATCACATAGTAAAAGGCAATTAAAATAATTTCTAATATTTGTAACTTCATACATTCGTTTTGGTTTACTCTAAGAGTTTTTAAATGTATTCAAAACAAATACTAAGAATTATTATTAAGATTATAGATTCAAATGTTCCTTTGGAGTATTTGGAGAATTATTCTTGGTTATCGGTATTACAACTTTGTCAACCATTTAGCTTTATATCTCATCAAGGATTCCCGATGGATTATAGTAAAATAACTTAGGATTATCCAAGAATCTACTAGGATTCAAACACTAAGCTACAAGATCTTATCTCTCACTGAGATGTTTTTTTTCTTATATTCTGAGTTGAGTCGAATATTGTCTCCATGCGAGGTAATAGTGATACACCACTACTCTGAACCTGTTGGAAGTCAGAAGTTTTTCTATAGTAAAAACTATTGGAGAAGTATCAATCATATAACTACACGACTGCATGACAAATACCAAGACTAAATTGGCGTAAGTTTGAATAACTGTAAAATATATCGCTACCATGTAAATAAGTTTTGCAACTTTATTCTTCATATGTTACTGCAAGGATTTCCAGCAGGAATTCTCTACACTTATTCTTTCTATTCATCAATCATTTCCATCAGCTAATAGATCAAAGCTGTATTACTTTAAAAACGTTATGGTATTCTGGCATTATCCTAAAACCTATATGCTGAAAATGCTCGTATTCAAACTAGGGTAATTTCGCTACCATGTGGCATACATCCAACCTTTACCCATTTGCAACCATGCAACGCCAGCTCCTGCAAATGTTTCTTTATAGAGGTTCATTTTGATAGTTATATTGTTTGGCATATAAAAATATATTTTGATTACTCCTATACAGAGGCAATATGGCATAAACTAGTATATAAAACACGTGGAGTAGAATAGTGTTGCGATCACGTATAAGTAAACCATGAGATTAGATCAATTAATTTGCTGGCAAGATATTGTCTATGCATTGCTTTTCAGAAGGGTTAGGAACATATGGATCATAGTTACAGTAGTAAAAGTAACCACGGCCCCTATGACGACAATCCTTATAAGCACATCCAACTCTGCGGGTTGATTTCCAAATAAGAGTAGTGAACGAGCTCAAAGAAACTCTGGCACCAATACTGATGCTCTTACCAAAGTTAATATTCTTACCCACGCTATACCAATTATCAAAAACAACACCAGAATCAAGAAGAGCAGTGAAAGGCTTAGAATCACCGTGGCCCCAGTTACCACCGTATTGATCATTTGGACCATGGAAATTACCAGAACAATCATAGTTGTCAATGTATTTCTTAGCATGTTTGTAACAACCCAGATCCCAGTTTAAGATTGGGCAACCATGAAGAAGACGCTTTATATTGTGGAGGGAGAGGATATGGATAGAGAAAGACAAGTCAGCGACAAAACCGAAGTTACGTTTGGCAAGGGCATCACTGACATCTTCTTCCATAGATTCAAGGACAGAACGTTGAGCAACGGCAACAACATCAACTTCACGAACCTCAGCGACATCGTCTTCAGGTAAGACAGCAGATTGAGCGAGTAAAGCAAGGAAAGCGAGTGAAAAGATGGCAGAAATCTTCATTGTGGGTAAACTTTAATGTGGCAGTTAGTTCTATAAGAAGAATTTTTTTAAAACCAAAATAGAGAGTAGATCCTGAGATCGGTACCTGACTTTATATAGCGCCAGATTCTGAATATTGCAGCTGGGAGTGGTTCCCCCTATGCCAAGGCAAATATTAATAGGATTAGCTATATGTCAAATCGACGGTATATTGGGCTTTGCGTTATTTGATATTACTGCTGCAAAAACATGCAACATGACGCATGCATAGTTCATCAAGTTTATTCCGTGCCTAGACGAGAGTTACACGCAGGTGCACCACGAGAAATCCATATTATAGTTCTTTTTTTTTTTGTTTCTTTCCCCATTACAGCAATGTAACAGGGTTGAAGGAAATTTACTGGGGGCGGAGAACCTGGTTTCCAATTATAGGCAAACTTCATTAGTTTTCAGTTGTCTCTTCGACTCACTGAATTGGTTTCTTGCTGAGATTAGGTATTTTCTTGGCAAAGTTGCAAATGATTCAATATGCGCGATATAAGATATCCGAATAAACGAGACGACTAAACAATAAAATGAACCAACTTTTGTACCTTATTACCCACATGGAGAGACGAAATAATGCAAAAATGACATTATTATAAGCATAAAAAAAAATCTACACATACATATTAGATCAGGGCTTAAGCGAGTCTCCTGCATTACCCTCCCAGAATTAAATTTACAAAGTCAAAGCAATGTGGTATTTGAACCGGTGAGATGAAATATTTAGCAACAAGATAGTTTCCAATTCGATTTAAATGGAACTAAATAGAGGCATCCCCCCGCTCTCCACTACCCCCCACACTAGGTTGTAAGGGAAAACACAATGTCGGTCAAATATTTACTAAATATGTATGATCGCTTAGTAGGATGGCAACTAAAACCGCGAAAAGCGGCTATTTTTAGCTCATGATAGTAAGGGGAATATGACAGAAGACAGAGCTAGTTTGCATTAGATGCATGTACATGTAATATAAAAAGGCTTGGCACTGTGTTTCGAGGAAATACATATACCTTGTGGTTCAAAGCTTATTGCCAAATTGGTAAATAATATTGCTTAGTACTAGTCCATAGAAAGAACCGAATATTACCACATTTGGTGAATATCTTCTAATCGTCATGGATTTTGCTCGCTAAAGGAAACAAGGATGAGTTGAGATCAAAGGCATCCAGAGCTTTGTCGTCTGTGAGCTGATTTTTGCTGAAGGGAGGGGATAAAGACGGCTATGGAAATGGAAGCAATATAAAGGTTAGCATCCATATCCCTAAATACGCAGGCACAGAGTAAATGTCGTCCCAATGCGAAACAATCCATCATTTTTTTTTGCAGCAGAGTCGTGTACTTTTACCAACATCATAACTGGCACAAACAATTTTTCACGTTAAGAAAAAAAAAAATTGAAAAATTTTTCTTTCTAATGTTTTACCTCTTCCTTTCTTAAGCACAAACTTAACAAGATGCCTTTCCAAAAAGTTTTCAAGACCTCCGCTTACCACTCCCGTTTCCAAACTCCTTTCCGTAGAAGACAAGAAGGTAAGACCGACTACTACCAAAGAAAGAGATTGGTCACCCAACACAAGGCTAAGTACAACACTCCAAAGTACAGATTAGTTGTTAGATTCACCAACAAGGACATCATTGCCCAAATTGTTTCCGCTCAAATCACCGGTGATGTTGTCTTAACTGCTGCTTACGCCCACGAATTACCAAGATACGGTATCAAGCACGGTTTAACCAACTGGTCTGCTGCTTACGCTGTTGGTTTATTAGTTGCCAGAAGAGCCTTGCAAAAGTTAGGTTTGGATGAAACTTACCAAGGTGTCGAAGAAGTTGAAGGTGAATTCGAATTAACCGAAGCTGTCGAAGACGGTCCAAGACCATTCAAGGTTTTCCTTGATATCGGTTTACAAAGAACCACCACTGGTGCCAAGGTTTTCGGTGTCTTGAAGGGTGCTTCTGACGGTGGTTTATACGTTCCACACTCTCCAAACAGATTCCCAGGTTGGGATATCGAAGCTGAAGAATTAGATGCTGAATTATTGAGAAAGTACATCTTCGGTGGTCACGTTGCTGAATACATTGAAGAATTGATGGATGATGATGAAGAAAAGTTCAAGACCATCTTCAAGTCTTACATTGAAGATGAAATTGAAGCTGAAGATATCGAAGAAATCTACGCTAACGCTCACCAAGCTATCAGAGATGACCCATCTTTCAAGCCAACTGAAAAGAAGTTCACCAAGGAACAATACGCTGCTGAATCCAAGAAGTTCAGACAAGTTAAGTTGACCAAGGAAGAAAGACAAGCTAAGATCGCCAAGAAGATTGCTGAATTCCAAGCTGCTAACTAAATTTAGTGTTTTACGTTTGTATAATTTGTTTATAACATAAACGAAAGATTCTAATTTAAAATAATTAAACTGACTCTAACTATGATGATGGTGACTATGATGGTGCTTCTTATCCCGCACCCTCTTTTCCGCATCGTTTAACAACTTATCGTAAACTTCATCGACTTTAGGATCAACGGCTGTATCCTCATCAGTTCCTTTAGATGAGCTGCCACTGGTGTTAATCGTATCCTTATCATCGTCGTGAGATTGAACAGTCGTCAATTTTGAATCTTCTGAATCCATAACGGCACCTTCTTCAGGAATCAACTTCTCCAAGGTAATACGATTAGTTTGAATCTTGTCAATCAATTCCGTAACATTTCTAATCCCCTTGGCGCCCATAATTGCTTGACGTAATTCAGAACCCGATGGTAATCCACTAAGCAAGGGGAACTCGCTCTTTTTATCATTGAGTTTATCCGATTTAGGCGATGATGGTTCTTCATTTTCTCTCAGCTGCAAGAATGCCCCTAATCTAAGGAAATCACCTTCTTCCAACTCTTGCTCTTTTGCATACAACGAAGTCTGACTTAATGAGCGGAGCAATACCGGTCTTCCGGTGGTCTTATCAACGGCAACGTCTTTACCACCGTCCGATTCCACCACGACTTGGTGAGGATGCAAGTTTTGATCATTGCTCATTAATGCTGACGAGAAGTAGTCCTGTTGTTGCGAATTGATATTATGCGCCGACAAGATTGGTCCCGAGGTAAGTAATTCTGAAGAACTTTCATGCAAATGCAACCCAGTGAGTGTAGCCAACCTCCATCCACTTCCCACACGAGATAGCGGTGGTGTTTCCACACGAGGTGGCTGTTCCGAAGTTGGTGTCACTGCCATACTAACGGTGCCATGTTCCTCAAACATGTGAACTAATTTCTCAAGCGATGCATCGAGGAGACAAAATCTGACTAGGGTTTCCTTACCTTCAAACGAAAGTGTACCGGCTTTTCTTAGTTCAAATAATTTATCAATAGTGGCATGAATGTCCTTTCTGATTGCTCTTGTTCTTTCCATGATTGTTTCGGTAATAATTTGTTGAATCTTGGCGTCTTCTTCTTGTTTCCCCTTGTCCACTTCCATCAACAACTTCTCTGCAGTTTCCATTAATAAAGATCCATCAAACATTAAATCTTCTTGGTCAATTTCGGCCGTGCCTTCAAAGTATTCTGGTTTGAGTGATGTATCCATGTTTCTCATCAAATAGAAGGCTATTCTTGATGCTAAATCTTCCGAAACCAAATCATAATCTAAATCTAACGCATGTAACGTATTTGAAGATTTGACAGCCGTATACAAGGTGAATACCGCTGCAGGTGATAAATCTCGATTACCCAATAATGAAACATGGAATAATCGAGGAACTTTAGGCAAGAATGCTGCAATCAGACCAATAGCCTTGGAGGTCAATTCATTGAAATCAAAATGGATCCGTCTTAAATTATAATACCTTGGTAGGTACTTGGCCAAGGTGGCAATGAGCCCTGGGAACACATGAGGTATTGAACTTAAATCCAAGAATCGCAATGTTTTGACATTAGCCAATGCCTTGATTAAATCTGAAGCTTGTTCAACATCGGTCAATTGTGTCGAGTTTAACGAAAAGAAGACAAGATTTTCCACCGTTCCCTTGTTGAATGCATTGATGAATGGTATTAATTGACCTTGGCCAAGATCATTGGAGGCAATATCCACCCCGACACATTTTGATTCTGGATCAGTTAACCAACCAGCAACCACTTCTGCTTTGGTTAAATTCAAATCGATTCCAGCAATACCAAATCTACGAGTGGATTTCTTGACGGCTTCATTGATAAGCTTGGTGAATGTTTCATCGGTCAATTTACATCCGTTAATGACTAACTCTTCGATACCACCACGCAATATAATTGCTTTGATAAATAAATCCCAATTCATATTTGCTCGAATTAAGCCTGGGTTAGTGTCGGGTTTATACTTTTGTTGAGAAATATCCAACTTCTTGACAGTGGTGTTTCGAGACAAGAACTTACAAAGGAATTTCCAACCTTGGTCATCAATAGCGACGTTTCTGAGGGAAAGTTTTTCCAAAGATTTGTTGTATGCTAATGAACCAAGAAAATGCTTCAACATTTCTGTGGTCATGGTGACGTTATCAAAAATCACAGTATAAATTGGTGTGATTGCGATAAAGTCTGAGAACGATAACACATCGATTAATGTTGGTTTGGGATTCAAAAATTTCAACACTTGTAATGGTGCAGTTTTATTTGTCAATTGCTTCAATGTGGCCGGAATGGGTAAAATCTCACGTAAATGGCAGCATCTAGTATAAATCATTTCTAAAGTTACACCCTGTTTATCATGAACTTCCTTTTCAAAGTGCTGTTCATGTACATGCAAAGGTTTATCAATATCGACATGAGCATGTGCCTTGTTCAATAGCAACTTCAACTCTTGTTCTTCTTCCAACTCCTGTTCCTGTTTCTTTTCCTTGGAAAGCTTTGATGGTTTGAATGAGGCAACTTCCTGAGCAACCTTTTTTGCTTGCATGTAGGCATCATGGGCATGCTTCTCAGCCATTTGCAATGCTCGTTTCTGGGCTTCCAAAGCCATGGCAATTTCTCGTTCGGTATATGCTTGTTTTTGCTGGGCCGAGTCCTTGCTTGAAGCATCATTCATGGCAATACCTTGACATAATCTTGGTGGAGGGGCTGCAATCTCCTGGGGGATTATGACGTTACCTCGTTTAGGACGACGAGAGGGGATTTGCTGCTGAGGGTCGTATTCGAGCTTGTCAATAGCGAAAGTAACTCTTCGCAAGTGAACATCCTGCAATTCCTTGATGGGGATTGTTTTCTTGTTGGCGTTCTTGTTCAAGATTTGGCGCTTAGGAATGACAGGAGCTGCTGGTGATGGCTGTGGTACAGTAGCGGGAGTGACTGACGATCTTCTTCTGAAAAACTTCAATCCTTCTGAAGAAGCTTTAGGTGGTGCAGGAGCGTTATCATCTTTAAACGAATCTTTAAATAGTCCCGAGTTTGCCTTTAATGATAGCGAAGAGCGTCTTTTCGTTTGTGCTGCAGCGCCTGGGATGCCACTTCCCGCAGGAGGTTTGTTAATATTCGAAGGCAAATCGTTGGGGACTGTCTTTAATGGAGACGCACTGGCCAACTTTGCCACTGCGACTTTTGGTGAGGAAGTTGGGGAAGACTGCGGGGAGCCAGATTTGAACTTTGAAGAAATGGACCCAAATAATCGACGTGTAGTAGATGTAGATGTAGATGCAGATGGAGTGGATGCATTGTTCTGTGCAGGCAATGGTAGGTTCAAACTTCCTCTTCGTGGTTGTGGGTCTGAATTGAGGTACGCTGACTTGGTTTCCACGATTGATGCAGATACTGAACGTGATCTCCCACCGGTTGATGCAGATTTAGCGGTTCCATTGACGGGTGTATTTTTTGTTTGGTCAATAGGGGTGACTATTTTGGAGTCTTCAGTAGATTTAGGTTCAGATTTGGGAGTGTTTGGTGGAGTTTGTTTCTTGTCTTGTTTGGCAACGTCGGTGTCCAATGCAAGTTTGGAGTTGTTTAACTTGTTGACCTTTTTTGAGAGTTTTTGGGATCTACTTCGGAACAACCAGTCGACGTCAATGTTGGATACACCGTTATCGATTTCTTCTGAATGCGAATGTCGAAGGGTTGATGGTAATAGATTTGCAGTTTTACCATTTAGGGTTCCGTCAATAGACAACTGAGGATCTGACATGGTGTAAATAAATGAATGAATGAATGAATAGTTGGCAATGTTGTGTAATTATAAGAAAAAGTATTGGATAAAGCTTTGGATTAAACTGGGGGGTTTAAATCGTCTGGCTATTTTTTTTTATAAAGTTAATTCTGGAGTCAGTCAAACAGTCAGTCAGTCAGTCAGTGAGTTGAGAATCCAAGCAAAAAAAAAAAGAAAAAGAAAAGATGAAAAGAGTACAAAATTAAAAAAAAAGACAGTCTTTCGGGATGTAGTTCCACGACACAAAACATTGACGTAAACAGTTCTGTAGTTTCATGTTGATATAACAATGACAGCGTAGCAATGACGTGTATTGTTGATGTGTATGAACCAACTTACGTAAGACTTTCCTAGGAAAAGAAAAAAAAAAACAACCACAACCACAATCTACCCCTAATATTTTTCGATCTATATGTAGGAATGACGTTATCTATCTCTGGTCCGTGATCAGCGGCAGGTGTAACCGTACATAAGCCTTAGACCGTGATGGAATCAGTTCATATGTTGCACACTCAAACAACAAAACCTGTAAACACTCGTCATTCATGATCGATCGGTCGACGCAGCCAAGAAATAAAAAACTCCCTTGCAAAAAACATGGGGAAAAGGGTTTGCACAGGTTGTTCCCCCAGGGGATACCTAACCACCAGATTGAAAATACATGATTCAAAATTGTGTGTGCAATCTAAATATAAAAAGCCACTGCGGACATAACCGTAAACCTTTTTTTTCTTCTTTAGAGAGATCTATTCCTATGTGATTCGGCTATAACTGGAGATATGGTTTTATCCCTATCCAAGCATATGACTTTTGCCAGAAACTGGCCAAAATTATACAAAAATTAGACAATATTTGATACCACATGTACTGATTTAGAGTACTAGGCTGGCATATTTGAACTAAGGAAGCATCAACCAAGAGTGTGTACTACTACTGTATATAAATTAGTGTACATTGCTTGCGGTGAGAACGTCGTACCAAACTGTGGGGTCAATGGTATGGCTAGAATCTGTCAATATGCACACCCCTTAGTAATTCCGATGTTTTGTCCGAGTTCCGACTTTTTCGAACAATCTTTTGGTTAGTAATCACCTAAAATTAGCGGCGGTCGTGTACCTTGTCCCAAGATTGTGTATCATCGACATTTTTTTTTTTTTATCCTATAAAAGAAATTCAGAATTTCTAAAAATTATCTTTTCTATCTATTCTTACTTTAGTTTTCTTTATAGAGGGTTTATTAGGTTATATTTATTTTACAATTTCAATATGTTTTCCAGATCAATTTTACGAGCAACAAGCCAGGCAGCACTCAGATCAACCGGGGCCAGAATAATAACCAATCCAAGAGTCATGATTCCAACCGTATCGCCAATTGTTTCCGTGGTCAAGAGAAGCTATCACGAAAAGGTCATTGATCATTACGAAAACCCAAGAAATGTCGGTACTTTAAACAAGAATGACATCAATGTTGGTACTGGATTAGTTGGTGCTCCAGCCTGTGGGGATGTCATGAGATTACAAATCAAAGTAGATGAGGCCACTGGCAGAATCGAAGATGTCAAGTTCAAGACATTTGGCTGTGGATCCGCCATTGCTTCCAGTTCATATGCTACTGAATTAGTCAAGGGAAAGACTCTTGATGAAGCTTTACAAATCAAGAATACCTTTATTGCGCAAGAATTGTCCTTACCACCAGTCAAGTTGCATTGTTCCATGTTGGCTGAAGATGCCATCAAATCGGCCGTCAAGGACTATAAGTCAAAGAGAAGTGGGCTTAAACCTACCCTTGGTCCAGATGCAGTTGCCAGTGCCGGTGTCGGTGCTACTGCTGCACCTGCTGCTGCTTAAAAAAGCAAACCACAAGAGAACAGGCTTCCCCTCTCCCCTCTACCCTAACAATATATATAGACATCCATACGGGTGGAGGTAAGCTATTGTATATTGTATCTTTCAGTGTGTATATTAATTAAATCAGAGCAATTTAACTATGTGTAGTCAGGGGGGGGGGGAGAGTTCGTCCGAAGGCGGGGATTTGAAAGTTAACGAAGATTTTTTTTTTTTGTTTGTCAGTCCCCTCAAACGTGTGTGACAGGAAAATGCACCGAGTAATCTCCGTAAAATCCGAAAACGTGATAATGTGTGACTGGTGCATTGTGTGTATGGGTGTGTATATGGGTGTGTATTATGTACAAAAGGCTATATATAATCGGCTATACTTGTTATATCCAGAATGAATTAATATAACTAGCAAACGACTTGCCCAAGTATCCATTGACATTAATGATGTCGGTATCAATCTTGTAATAATATATTGCCAACATTCCTAAACTTCCAATGGCATTAATCATAACCAAGCCAAATCGTTTCCAATTCTTATTAAACTTATGATTCAATTTAAGTAATCCATTGCAAACATGGTAGGTTGCTGTCCACACTAAACCGGAAAGTGCCAACAAATTAGCCGTGGGGTTACGTAAATTAACCATGTAGGTAATATAGTCAAGATTGATCAACGAGGAATCCCCTTCAACTAACAACGGACTTAATCGGAATTTAAAGTAATGGTAAGCAACTAATGGAATGAGTATATACCCACTAAATTGTAGAGGTGACACTCCGAAAGTCTGACTTATCCAAGATTTCTTATATCCTAAACCAAATATACTGGAAATGCCCCCTAATCCAATATCATCGTCACTGTCTTTAATCTGAATCGAATCATTCATATTGAAATGCCCTGTTTTCTTATTCTTTTTCTTTTGTTGTCTTTCGTAAGTCCGAAGGACCCTCAAGGTAACCCCTGAAATGACGTGGAGCAAACTTGACCCGTAAATGATTGTAGTTTCATACAATGGAAGAGCATGGTATACTGCTTTAGCCAAGGAAAAAACTTCTTGTTTAATACCCGTGTCTATAGGCAAGATAGGAACAATCACCACCGAAGTCAAGTGAATCCCAACGAACGATACGAAAGAATAAGCACTATACTTTTGGATCTTGTACAATATGGGGAACAACCATGGTTTCTTATGGGTAGGTTGAGATGGTGTAGGTGTGAGCTCGTTAGCTTGGATTTCTTCCAAGATATCCAAAGGAATTGGATTAATCTTGTGTAATTCTTCTGGCATGTCAATGATTGTGGAGAATAAGGCAAATGTTAGGCAAAAGTTTAACTGAAAAAAAAATGAGCCAATATAATTTCACGAGAATATAATCAGACTAATCGTCGCAATTGCCACTCTAAACCGAGTATAGTTAAGCCGGAACAACACACGTGGTCACCAGATTATCTCAACTTATCATATGAACCAATATAATGGTGAAATCTCCTGATAATAGAGGCTATGTTATGACATTGGTAGCACCCGCCCCTAAAGATCATTCGTGGCAACACCAATAGTTAAATCACAGGGCAAAAAAAAAAAAATTACAACCGAAAACCAGCAACAACACACTTTGCCATTATCCTCAAAAAACCAGCACAGCACAGCAAAATGTCATCCTCAACGTTTGCTCAAACAAGATCACAAGCATTAAACTTGGAAAAACAGACCGAACAGTTATTATCGCAGTATTCCCAATTCCTAACCCAACAAAATGTCGAACCCAATGAAGAAGAAGTATCCGTGAAAGCGGCTATCCAGGAAATACTCACCAAGCGTGATTCCATAATAAATAAATTGAACAGAATTGGCGAATCCATGGACAACTTGTCCACTTCAAAATTGCAGCAATTGACGAGACATCGAGAAATCTTGCATGATCATAAATTGGCATTTACCAAGATTGAAGACACGATCCAAAATGACCGAAATAGAAACAACTTGTTGTTTTCGGTAAGATCTGATATAAACGCACATAGACAGCAAACTACTGAAGGCCACTCGGAAATAAATGCTCATGATTATATCTTGGACGAGAGACAACGAGTGGATTCTGCCAACTCGTTTGCGGAAAGGTTGTTACAATCGGCATTCAACACACGAGACGAGTTGTTGAATCAACGACAATACTTAAACAATGCCCAGGCAAAGATGTTTAGCACATTACAACACATTCCCGGTATAAACGTATTAATATCCAAGATTAACACTAGAAGGAAAAGAGACACCCTTATATTGGCCCTGGTTATTGCTTTCTGTATCATACTATTGTTTTTCTTTTAAATAGGAAATACATATCACGTGATCACTATTTTTTTTATTTTTTTATTTTTTTTAAAAAAAAATAAATGTATTTTTTAACACGGATTTATACCAAGACCTGGGGGACTAAAACATAAGATCTACATTTACCCTGTGCACCATCATGAATCACGAAGTCAATGAACAAATACAAATACTAAAACTAAAGCGGATTAAAGAGCTCATTAACAGACTTGAAGAAAGCTTGAACCGAGAAAGAATCCCCGCTTCAAACGCTTGTGAATTGTAAGTATGACCTCATACTGTATAAACGTGCATATACTAACAGCTACAGGATTATCAACTACGTGGAGGAAACGCCTGATTATCTCATACCTTATAATTGGAAACTACCACCCGAACGCAACAAATTCGCTCAATATCAAAAATATCAAATGATGAAACCTAAACGGCCTTCTGGTTGTTGTACGGTTGTATAAGTTTAATACTATATATTAAATTCATATAAAACTATCTAACCCATCTGTAAAGTGTCTGCCTTTTCGTCCACATCTATGTTTCTCAACTTGTCCATGCTTTGATTGCCCAAAGTGTAATCGGGAGCCTTCTCATCCTCGCCGCATCCACAGTCATAATCGGTCAAGATCTTACTACAATCATATTCTGGCTTGTGTAACTTCTCATTAACTTTATTATGCACATCACAGCCCCATAAGGCAGCTGCCTTTCTCGAAGTAGTCTGGGGTGGATACTTAGCTAACAATCCCGTGAAATGTCGAGCACAGTCACCGCAGGGATAAACTTGTGCAAACAATTGAATGAATGTTTCCAAAGTTTTACGTTCTAAGTTATTAGGCTTCTCAGGGTATCTTGCTAATATGGTGTGGAACAATTTCCAGGTGGATCGTCCAAGCTCGGCCCGCAACGTAGCATTACCCATCTTGGGCATGAATGGGACTTCCGTCATATCCTTTTTACTGTCACTCTTTGTTTCTTCAAGAACTTGCTGACCTGCATCTGGCTCTTCTTCAAACATAGGAGCAGGAGCTACGGCCGGCTCATCCGGAAGAGGTGGTGCTTCTTCCACGTCTTTCAACGCCTGATCTTGGATATTGAAGTTTTTCTTTAAATTAAGTGGTAACGATGGCCCCAACGACAACCGGGCACTGGATGTGGCTGATGTCATAAAGTAGATCACAGAAACAATCACAAACAATGTGAATGTGACCACTATGGGTCTCCTCATAAACTTCATGGTTTTATGGTGCTAACAATAAGATCTTTGTTGATACTAAAAATTGGTTACATTCTTTTTCAAGGCTGACAAAAAAAGAAACAGCAAAAAAAAAAAATGACGTGACAAAATGACTGGACTAACTGACTAATACGTGTTTAATTTAGTAGTCACTTACCAAATACGGTAATTTATTTCTATGAAAGTTTTCTTAAACAAAAATATACACTTAGATGTTCTTTCTTGGAATAGTAGCAGCTTCTAATACTCCTGGTAATGGATCGTTACCAATGCTAGACAACAATTGAATACCCCCAACTAACAATACCAACAATCCAATACTGGTCCAAAGAAAGAGATTGGCTTGCACAGAAACATCTCTCTTGGAACAATCATACCCAGCCCAGTTTGTAGTCTTGGAACTAGTCTTGTTAAATGTAGATTCACAAGCACACCCCCACTTAGAACCACTGACTTTAATACACTTACCGTGAGAATTACACTTATCAGTAGCTTTTTCACACGATTCCTGGGATGAAAATTGTCCATTACCAGAAACACCAGATAATTCTCGCTTGGAAAACACTGAACTCAATTCATAGTCTCTTTTGTGAATATTTTGCACGTATTTGCTAGTTTCTGGTTCAGTAAAGATTACAATGTTAAACTTGTTAGTTAAAGCCTGTAATTCATTGAACAAAACCTTTTGGGAGTATTGGAATGTTTGTGAATCTTCACCAATCTTACGCTTGATTGATAACAAAGAAGACAATTCAATAAAGAATGTGTCTTTAACTTCGACTTCTTCGGATTTGCCCAAGTGAATCAATTGTGATAATTCGTTGATAAACAATCTATCATTAGTCAACTTGTATGTCAACACTTGCTGTTGGCCTTGAGTGTATCTGTTCCAAATTTGCATCAATTGTTCATTAAAGTATTGGAAATGGGTAAACAAGTCAGAAGTACCATCTTGAGTAACCACCTTGATTTCTGGAGTTAATTGATATAATTTACCTTCAGTGTGTTTACTCAAGATCTTTGGAAACTTTCTGAATAACAATTTGTTGATATGGCCAGACGAAACTTTGAATGATGGAGTTTGGTCAAATTCAGAAACACCTCTCACTGAAATAAACAAGTTAGGTTTAGCACTAACTTCCCCATGCAATTCATATTGTTGATTCAAAAAGTCAACCAATTGAGGATTACCCTTTCTTAATGACATGTGTTCAGCAATACCAAATCTATCACTGAAATATACTAATGCATCGTGTCCACCAATGGTATATGTATCTTCCGCTGGACTGACACCAAGCTCATACACGGATGACACTGAATCGTGTATTTTGGCAAATGCACCAGTCAACAATGACAAGGAAACCAAATTGATTAACTTCATATTTGCTTAATCAATTGGAGATAGATAGGAAAACGTTTTCCAATAGTTGTTGTTACACCCTTTTTTCCCTACCACCAATGAGTTTTCGAAAACTGCAAGCGAAATTGGAAAATACACGACCTAAACTATTCCTCGTCATGTGGGTTGCTGCTGCTGTTGCTGCTGCTGATACTGCTGCAACAGACTATGCTATAGCTACTACTGCTTCTACTATCAATATGTATTAACTAATCAAATTAGAAAGTTTCATCCAAAGTAATGGTAGGAGAAGTTGCAAAATCACTAGCCCTGTGAGTCTTGTTAGCCGATTCAGTATTCAAATGCAACAGAGGTTTGTATAAAGTCTTGGTAGAGCTTCTTCTCAATGCTGGTGGTCGTTCTGGTGACAACGATCTGCTTTGCAATTCATCCTGTTTCAACTCTTCCATTTGCTCTTCACTGTTGTAATCGGACAAATCTATGCCTAGTTTAGGTAAATCTAATAATACATTGAACTGCTGGGGTTCGGGCTCGCTATAATTCTTGTAAATGTTGTCGGGGTCATTATGGAAGTTCTTGAACTTTTCCAACGATTTAGCCACGGCCAAGTTGTCATTGTCTAAATTGTCGGTGGACTTGGATCTCTGTAACAAGTTTTCTTGCAAGGCCACTTTAACGTATGGGTACAAGCCTTGCAAGCTGGTTGCACCCTGGGTCAAATGTTTGTAAGCAATTGAAGCTGCCAGTTCGTCTCTGAATATGATGATTATTCTGTTCAAAAAGGGTAAACTTGACCAATACAGGATTTGTTCAATGAAATCAGGAGTTTCATTTATGTTCAACACACTCAATTTGATTTGATCAACCAAGGATAACTTCTTGGACAACAATTGTGGTGTGTTTGAGTCAACTATTATAAAGTCGTTCTTGTGGAGATTACTAATGATTATACATGTCTTGGGTGCAAACTCGTTATAGATTGATGGAGATCTGGATGAATGTTGTGACATGACTATATGTTGTTGTAAGTGATTAACTATATAAATATATAAGTGGGTGTGGGCAATTCGGATAAACTTGGGAAAGGGGTTGGGGAAGACGAAGGAGGCGGAGGCTGAGATTTGGCTTTTTTTTTGGCTGCTCTATTTTTTTTTTTAGTGTGTGACTAAGAAATCTACTTGTCTATATATCAAAATATAAATCATAATGTAAAGAACAACCGGGGTTGAATTCGTGGTGACAATACACGCATTTCATTTGGTTATTCTTGTATTCGTCAAATAGTAATTCATTGTAACATTCTCCACATAGAACTACCTTGATTGATTCAAGATCAGTTAGATTATATTTCTCAACTTTATGATTGGTTAATTCTTGATGACATTGAAAGCAAGGGTAGTAAGTTTGGCAACACTTATACTTTAATGCAATTATATCTATTGTAGTATGATAATGTATACATCGACTATGTTTATCTACCAATTGACCTTTTAGTGTTAGGTCCGGAGAGATTACTTGTTGTGTGGATATTATCTTGGGAGAATCTGACATTTTAGCAACCTAGTTTGTTAGAAAATTGTCTCTATGAAGTAACCAGTGGTTCTATAACAGTTTAAGCAATCAAGCCAAGTAAACGTTCGTGGTTGTTGAGCAAAGTGTTCGTGGTGGCTCAGAATTTTAGTGGGAAGCAAAAAAAAAAAGGCCAAAACTTTTGGCAACAAAGTCATCCTAGTCATCATAGTCATCTGAGTCATACAAGTAACAGCATCACTATTAGACTCCCAAATAGAGAGATTATAGAATATTGATACAATATATTGGCATGTAATGTGGAACGGTACGTATTCTGAGAAGTTACTAACTTATCGAGCAGATACATAATAATCTATTGATAAATTGGACTAAGAATGGTGAAGTTCATGCCAAATGATATTGCTACAGTTGGAAGTTTCTGTTGAAGATTGCGATCCACTTTGGTATCATCTCTTACCCGTAATACTGATTGCCATCACCACAGAGTGAAGAGATCTATTAAAATGGAGCACAAGCTGAAATTCAAACTTACAACTGCAGATAGTTAAAAGGTACTGGTATAGTGTTTGAGTTGGTGAAAATGAGAAAAAATAGGTTCGCTTTAAAGCAGACTTCTCATCACATGTGGGTTCTGATAAATGAGAGACTACCTAAAATCATGGAATTCCATATGATGGTATGATGCAGAGATTAATATAAATATCAGGGAGTTTCTCCTTTTTATACAAAGAGTATATTTTTAGGAAGTTCGTGAATTCATATATTGTAGTAAGGTCTTTGAACGCTACCAAGTAAGTAGTAAACCTAAACACTGACAACCATACGGCTACGCCAGACACCAATTGAGAGTTGGATATGCACACATCTGATTTCTCAATTATATATTCAGCATTCCAAATTCGTTTTGGTCATTTTAGTAAACAATCCAAAGGATTACCAATGGATTAATACAAGGTATGTGAACCAATTCATTTCTAATGTTTCTAATAGCATTGTTAGAGTCTTAAGTTACCCCTCCTCCTCCCATACAACCAGGAAGCCCTCTGATACCATCCCAGTTGAAAATAGCAATTGTACTGATTCTTTATTTCAACTTTGACAACTTCCCTCCGCTGTAGTAGAGGAAATATTTGCACTAGTCTACCGAGAGAGAAAGGGAATTGTTAAAATGGACGCTACGCAGGAAGGCAAAGTTGGCGATTCTGGTTGTTACACAGTAACACACTTCCCAGTAATTATTCCCTAAATAGCCAATTGTTCATCTTACATTTCCCCTACAGTTTTCTTGAGTACCAATCACATTAATTAGTAGGCAACATCTCTGTAGAGTGGTTAACCTTGCAATTACTTCTAAATATAGTGCTAAACTCACACAAGTGTAATTGGAAAATTGTACAAAACTTTGAACGAAAAAAAATATTCACCAACCAATTGTTTAAGAAAAATCCATACCAAATCGAAATTACCATTTTAAACTATAAACTATTAGTCATATAGAACCTTATACCATTTCCAGCATGTCAATCAACAATTTCGAACAAGTAATAAACTTGAAAGTTAAAATCACTACATTATTAGACCAAACCATCACTGGATACATTTACGCATTCTCATCTTCCAATGAAGTACTCTCATTAAGAATAACATCTAATGAAACCAAAAAAGACACAAATAAAGGTGACACGTATAGAATCATCAACACTTCATTCATAAAATCAATGCAAGTGTTACCTCCGTTTCCAAACAAAAAAGGTGGGTCCAATCTTGCTAAATATTCCACAAACAACTTGACATTGCATCCCATTGATGTTGCCAAACTTGATGAAACCATACAACAGCGCATTATAGATTACAAACCGAGTCCTGTTGAACCAAATGTGTCTCCACCACCACAACAACAACCAGCACAAAGAAGGCAAGCATCTACCTCACCAAGAACTCAATCGCATAATTCATCTCCTCAACCCATAGCACACAGATTATACGATAAGTTTGTGAAGTTATACGGTAAGGATAAAGTCAAATACAGTCATAACCAACATGACATCATTCTTTTTGAGGAAATCAAAATCTCAAAACCTTTCACATTAAGCAAATCCAACTTTCATAAATTTAAACAAGATTCAACTCATGTTGATCTGGTACAGCGGGCATTAAAACAATTTTGGTTAGAAGTAGATAATGAAAAACGAGGTGGTTAATTATATAGCTAGCTAATATATATAGAGTTATTCTTGAGGTATATTCCAATACACTTCAATCTCATCAAAAACTTTTACTCCTCGTTGTCTTGTACCTTTAAATCCATCTAAATCCTCCCATTGCAAGATAACACTTGGCAGACTGGCCAAGCTTTCGAAATAAATATTAAACCAACAGTAACACCAGGTTTTAACCCCGAGTTTTATATCTAACATACTTGAATCTAACTTAATTGGTGTATTTGGTGTAAAGAACAAATTCTGGTCATGTTTCGTCATTTTGCTGTTCTCGGCAGTTAACTTCTTCACGAATTTAGCAACCGTGTTCAATCTAGTAGGTTCTTGTTCAGTGACATATGTCAGAAACAGAAGATTTAACTTGTAAAATTCACTCAAATTGCAAACATTTTTAACTCTTACTTTGTATATCTCATATGGCTTAACTTGTTCCACATATTCCAAATACTGTTGTCGTAATTCAGGAGTGCTATTCAAGAATGTACTCCAATAGTCAAGATATCTTTGTTGGGACAATATACTTATTCCATCACCTGCAAAGCTTTGCATGCGCTTTTCGGTAAACAAATCAATTACCAGTTTAACGTTAAACCCACGTCCATTACTGAACTCATCATACATGAGATAGGCACAGCATAAAGACCCACTTCTTCCCTTACCGGCTTTACAGTGTAACACAGCAACGTTTTTTGTATCCTGTTTCAAATACTGCTGTAGTTCCTTCACACATTGTAGCATTATATCGAATGAAGGTGGCAGATGGTCAGGAAAGGGATAATGACTGACTTGTCCATTCACCTCTTCATCAGTGTATCCCGGATCCTCCCCTCTAAAGTTAAACAATCTCCAATGGTTCAAGTGGTACGTGTTGAGAAATGTGACTAGATCAGACAACGGGTATCGGTAATATTGTTGCAAGAACCCCAGCACCGGTGCCAGGGCCACTATGATTTGCAGAGTGATGTATGAAAGATCATACTGTAGACCAAGCGGTTTATCATAATGGACGCGTTTAGGAGACGATACTATAGAGCGAATGATTGATTTCATTAGCTTTTCTTCATTGGTGGACAACTTTTACAGAGAAAACTGGTTGTCTGGATTCTCGTTTAAATGTGGGGGATAGAGGAGGAGGGGAGGGGGGGGGGGGGAAGGAAGAAAGAGAGAGAATTTTCAGATGTAAATTGTCTCGTGCAAAAAACCTACAAAGTCAGCCACAACATAAACAATAATAAAACTACTTCATCGTATATATAACAAGATAAGAAAAGGGAAGTGAGCAGATTCAAAGACTCTCACTCACTTTTATATACAAAATAACGATTGAGCTGAGTCGTTGTCGTCTTTGACCGGTTCAATCCATAAACTTTTTCTATTATCCATATTTTCGTTTTTTTAGTTTTTTTTTTTTGCAACTATTTGATTGTCCTTCTATCCTTAGATAGCACCACTTTGTCTCATAACTTCAGCAATCTTGGCTGTTAAAATTGGATCACTCTTGATTCTCTTTTGCATCTTGGTAGCTTCAGCGAAGGAAGTAGCTTGTACCTTTTCTTCAAAGCTTCTGGCCAAATCAGAACTTTCTTCAAACAATACAATGGCATCATCAACTTCATCCTTTTGCAACTTGATTTGGGCTAATGAAATTCTAGCCAATTCACTGCGTGGGTCTAATTCACAGGCACGCACCAATAATTCTTGAGCTTCATCAATACGTTCTAAGGATTCACGAGAAATAACAGTGGCATGGTTAATCAATGGCAAGGCACCAACAGAGAATCTTTCCAACTTTTCTTGTAATCTAGCAGCAATTTCAAATTGTCTAACAGCACCTTGGATGTCACCTTTATCAGCCAAGATTTCACCATAGTAGTTTGGAACTTCTGGAGAAGTTGGGAATTTTAATCTGGCTTCTGTGAACTTTTCATTAGCAGATTCACCAGATCCGTTCTTGTAAGCAATACATGCTAATTGAATGTATGCGTAGACATTTTCTGGATGCAATTCCTTAGCCTTGTTGAAGTTGGTTTCGGCTTGAGTTAAATCACCAGTAAGGTAGAATAATTGACCCAAGTGGTAGAAGATATCTGGACATTCTGGGTCCATTTCTTCGGCCTTCTTGAAATCTTCAAGGGCTTCTTGGTAAGAGGACTTGTCAGCATTGATCAATGCTCTAAAGATGTATGATCTTGGTCTTGGTTTCAAGTTGATGGCCTTTTCAATAGAGATAGTGGCATTGGAAGGATCGTTCTTCAAGAATTGGAATGCGGCAAGGTATTCCATGGCAACAGCATATGGTCCCTTATTTTCTGGTTCGGATTGCTCATAAGCACCAACAGCTTGGTTAATTAATGAGTCAGCTTCTTCATATCCTTCTTGGGTGTTGGTAGCAATTTGTTGCAAAGCCTTGTACAAGAATTGGTCACCGCCTTCGCTTTCTTCGGTGATTCCTTCAGGATTACGTTCTTCAACAAAAGCGTTAAAGAATGAACCAATGGTGGCGGCGGAAGGCAAGGCCAATTTCTTTTCCTTACCACTAACAATCTTGACTGCATGTTTTCTCAATACTCTTTCCAATACTTGTTCAATTGATTTGTTGGAGAATCCACCGTAAATGGTCAAGGCAGTTAAGTCAAACATGGCATCTTCGTATTGTTCTAAATGTTCATAAGAAGTGGCTCTTCTCAAAACACACTTGGTATAGTCTGGTTTCAATTTAATTGCTTCAGTGGTATCGGCAATAACATTTTCGTGATCTTCTAAAGCAGCATAACAAGCAGATCTATTGGAGTAGTAAATTGGATCTTGCTTCAATTGTAAAGCAGCAGTGTAGAATGCAATTGCTTCTTGGTACTTCTTGTCTTTGAATTCAGAGTTACCATCTTCCTTCAATTTCATAGCCCAATGAGCCTTGTCATCTTCCGATAATCCGCTGATGATTTCTTCAGTCAATGCTGGCAATCCCTTAGCATCAACAGGATATGGAGCTGGAGAAGATTCCTTGGTTTCTTCACTGGTTTCAGTTTTAGCATTGGAATCTGGGGTAGAAGCCTTGCTCTTCTTCTTCTTCTTATTTTTCTTCTTGGAGCTGGAAGCTGTAGATGAGCCATCTTCTTTGCTGGTAGAAGAGGTATCTAAGAATGCTTGTGATTGCTTATAGTAGACATAGGCACCAACAGCAGAGGCAGCAGCCAAGGCAGTGATTATAATGGCCCTCCTGTTCTTAATGAAGAAATTATCGATATCTGACATGGTTTTAATTCTCAATCACTTGGATTCAAATATAAATGCCTTCTGGAAACTTAGTGATGGAAAAGTTTGCCGTTTTATTCGTCCGATTTTTTTTTTTTTCAGCAATAAAATTTTCATTCCCGATTTTTATTCTTTGCCATTTTCCCCGGTACTGCATACGAGCTTGACAACCTTCGGGAATAAGCAAGAAAGTCGTGTGGTATTAACAAATAATCCTAGGGGTATGAAAGGAGATTAGTTGGATAGGCTTGGTTTGAATGTATAAATAGTGGAAGTTGAAGTGTCAGGTTTCGTTGAATTATAATAACAAATGGTAGCTTCTAGGCTGACGCGAGCCACAGCAATTGCGTATACTTGCTTGGCTACGCTTGCCTCACAATATCAATGACGTAATATACGATGTTAACTGCAACATTTTTAACATAAACCGAATTGATGGTAAATACTGGATAGTAGGGTATATGTTAGAAATCAAAGAAGTGATTACAATAGGAACACAACCCCCTGCTTTTGATTTGCAACATTCACTTGTTACATTTTGCAACTGCAAAGCATATTACCGTTGAAAATTAATATATATATTCGATAAGGTAACCAAAGAATATAGAGCAAACTAAAAACAGAACTCTTGTTAAGAACCATAAAAGGGAAATGATTGTGTAATTTCAAAAATAAACTGCTACAAAAGCAGCAACAAGGCTTCATACAATGACTTTCTAATAGACAACATAGCGCTTATGGTTTACTTTGTCAAACTCAATGTCGGACTTTCCATTATTTCCATTTCCGTTAGAATTGGTATGGATATCCCCTTTGTATGGACCATTTTCCCTGGCCCCCAGAACCTAGAAGATTTCCTCCCTTTGCCTGGCTTCCTTGGTTATTCACAGGTTTACTTCGGAGCCTGATGTTGTTGTTGCCTTGACTGCAACGATAATTATCACCATCACCTGCTGGTTGACGTTTATGAATTTGATAAACTTGTTATTGATTATAAACATCGGAAGCAAGCGAATGTTGCCAAGCACAAAATTGATTATTTGAAATACATTATTCATTTCTATAAAAAATATAATAATCAACTTATTTTCTATGATTGGTTTAAATGACAAATACAATGAGTTAAATATGCAGATACGAACTCAAATACAATGACATGCTCAAATGTGTAATTATGAAATATATTTTCTACCAAGAAGAAACCCCCCTTGCTCTGCCAATTTCTTTGTTTGATATAAACGAGAAACATTGCGAATACCACATAAAGCTTTATAATACTCAAACAAATATCGTTTCTATAATCTGACCTAGTGCTCTATTCTGACCTAGTGTACTATTCTCACTTTTTTTGGGGTACAATACCAACTCGTTACAACCAGGAAGATCAATTACCATTGTGAATAGGAATCACTATTGATTGTACTCATTATCCCTTACTCTAAGTTATTATAATATTGTTCATGTTGTCTATACCTCCGTCTTGCCCTTTGATGTTCACTGTCATTTTGATAACTCGACTCTCTCATAACATCATCATATGTGGGTAAATCACCACCTGGACTACTATCATAACTTGCAGAATCATCACCAGTAGAATGTGCCAGTGGTGGTGGTACTGGAGAAGTTGAAGAACCAGTAACTGGCGGGGTTTGTGATTGTTTCCGATCTGGTAATGGAGGCACAATTGATGTTGAACTTCGTGATGCATTTGATTGTAAATGACTGGTTACACGCAACCCACTCAATACTTTAATGTTTTGACAATCTAGATCAACATATTTAATCTTCTTATTCACCTCAATACTATTTTTAAAATCAACAATTTTCTCAGCCGAGAACCCTCCAGTTACAACCAAGGTATACTTTCTTGAAATATTACAAGTTTTGAATGAAGGTGCCAAATAATCAGGTAATATACAATTCTCAAAATACTTTTTGGGGATTTCCAATTCATAAAGTCGAACATTTGAAGCATCACATTTCTTGTTGATTTTACACTTTCTTAAATCAAATTTCAAATTCTGATAATTGTTATTACATATATTTATCCGTTCTTCATTCTTACCCATGTGTGTTTCATTCATATTCCCATCAGTTTCCAATACTGACACCGCAGTAGTACATATTAAATCGATGGTTAATCTTTGTAAGTAAACAACACCTAATCCATTTGATTCTTCAGGACGTTCGTACTTAGCAAGGGAATAACGGTCTGGATTTAAGTTCGATATAAGGAAGAGCTTAAATGAAGGACGTTTGGTAGGGATAAGGAATGCTGGATGTCTAAACCTAATTTCAAACGAGAATGGAACATCTTTTGCTTCAATTCCATAAGAATGCGTACGTGGACGACCAGGACGTTGTGGTTGAGGTGGTGAATATGACGCAGAGCCGTTGAAATCAGGATTAAATAATCGCTTCATTAATCCTGGTTTCTTGGGAGGAATGTCATGGATCTTACTTGGTGGTTCGGATTTTGAAGGAGGAGCAGGTGGTGGAATCTTCACGCCAACAATCTCCGGGATTCTATTCTTGAAAATCAATTCTTTTCGAACAAATACTTCTCTGTACTCTTCATAATCACCACCAACGGTATTTAAAGGTCTATTGTATTCATCCAAATCTAATGGAAGAAATATAAATGGATCAAATGCTCGTAAATTTGTCTTGAAAAACGATGAACGTTTGCATGTGACTTTAACATAGTATTTTATACTGGCAAATTCACCATTCCCACTAAGTGATGGTGGTAATTGTGATGTTATATGATACAGGTGTTGTTGTTGTTGCTGTGGCGGAGCTTGCGAAGATCCCGGAGTAGAGGGCGGAGTTCCACTAATATAATCCAGATATAGCTGTTGAGCCTTATTCTGAATTAGTGCTGGATTAAAATTCCCATTATTGATCATGACATCAAATGTTTTCGAGTTAAACGTGACTTTATTGGTTATTCCCGTCATTTTAACACATGAATTATTCAACGGGATTTTAAATTCAAAGGGATATGAATAATTCCCTGGGGTCAATGTAAATTCTTTAGCTTGACTGACTTGTCGAACATTATCAGGAGGAAATACAATCGCTGTATCATATAATATTTTATGAACGTCACGAACAATCTTATCCTTTTTATCACGATCTCTGCGCCTGGAGTTAACCAGCGCTACACGAGGTATTGATAACTGGGACAGGGAAACTCCCTCCAATTTTACTTGGATCCAATTGAGTGAGATGGAATTAGTTACAACGAGCGTAACCGAGCCCTTAATAATATCATAATTGGTAAATGTGCCATCTGTAATGCGGCGGTCTATTTCGATCTTGACGTCACCCATACCTTGCAAAGTATGTAGAGGTTTGATGTAGTATGATGGATAACGGTAAAGGGAGAAACTTGACGTGAAACGAAGAGCAAGGGGAAAAAACAAAAAAAAAAATTACGATTACCGAAAATTGCAATACGTAAATATCGGAGTTAATAGTCGGCATATACGACGACTAAATGTACTCATCGTGCGATCATATTGCTAGTTTGATATTCCATCTTGTGTAATGTTTCACAAACAATAGCTTTATTGCCGGTATAGTCGGGCTTAAAATCTTGCGCAAACATGAGAAGCTGAGCGTGCTTACGAATTCATTATTTTAATGCCACACACATTATTGTTTCTATAGACATATTGTTGCATGCAAAACTTTGATATAGTATATAATATTATATTGGACCGTCAATATGAAATATGCCAATCAGAAGCAACCATCTCAATTGTCATGTATTTTCCTATATCAGCAACTGTAATAATAGATTTCCCTTAAAAAAAAATATTGCTCTAACACTGGTATTGAAACACATAGAGATGTATTACCAGCGATATTTAAAACTTTAAACACGGTGGACCACCAGTTGTTTGAATATGAAGATATTTCCGAAGAAATCACTCTATGGTTCAACTCGTTCAATAAATCCTACGTTTATCTTATTAAGAGTTTACTGGTGAATAATCATCTGTGGAAACTTCTGATGATCTGCTACTTCCTTGGAAAACCAGGCACGGCCCAGAACCTTGGGGGATGGCAATTTTTGAGAGAAATAAGTACATATGTAATTATATGCTCAAAATTATTGAATATATCTACAAGATGTTCACTCGAAGAAAGTGAAAGTTACATTTTTTTAATTGATAAAATATAGTAGTAAGAAAATGGCTGGTTACAATCACATTAAAGTAACCAAGTTAAGGAAATAGCTAAACAGAGTAAAATATCAATGGAAGAAACAATCGAGTCGGCTGAGGATACTTTCTCATCAGATCTTCCTCTGGAAGCTAAGGTTCTGTTCACACCAGGAGGTGGAAATACCTCAATATCTTGCTTCCCGTTACTGAAGTCTGATTGTGCCAAGGATACTTCTTTGTCATCTAAATCAACCACGAAATATATGCTTCGTAACACATCCATTCCCAAAATCAAGTGATCATCAAAATCGATTCCAAAAGCACATTCTTCATGTGTGCCATTGTTAATTTTCTCATAAATTAAGCTATTTACTGGAACTGTGATTGTCTTACCATCAAACTTAATCTCAAACTTTAGATTTTCTATTTGAGAGCAATCAGGAGAACTAAATCTGTGTTCAGAAGCGACATATTTGGAATCTTTTATTTGTTCAAGCAATGTATCTAAAAACAGCGCGGGGAACCGTGATGCGCTAGTTCCTGTATCCAAACGAAATGCTGATTCGGAAATACCTCCGGATACTTTTGTATCATTCATATTAATATCTATTCCCGAAACATTTACCATAATTTCTGGGAAAGTTTCATTATAGACAATGGGAACTGTTTGTAAGTCACCTAAATATTTTGAATGATCAACAGCTCCAAATAGGAGTGAACCTGTTTTATTAGCCTCATTCAAGAATATTGAATATGCACTTCTATTGGTTATCCCTTGACTTGCCAATTCCACAGGAAGAGAATAACCAGTGAAATTTTCCTCTGGGAAACTTATCCCCAAAATTGAAGTAGCCAGCGTAGTTTCATTAGCGACTCCAAACCCAAATCCTTTAACAACTGTATTTTTTCCAATCAAGATGTCATCGTTACCAATGGTAACTGATGCAGATTCTCCATCCACGTAAGTCATGACAAACCATAATTCTGCACTATTAAATGTTTTAGACTTCTCAGATGAGAATGTTCCCTGAGCTTTACAATCTGGGACTTTACCAGTAAGTGGGCTTGTCTTACACTCAACATCGGAATCCATGACCCATAACATTCTTGAACCGGTGTCAACAACTACTTTAACTTTATCTCTGTTTGATCCGATTCGAAGTTCCGTTAAAATCAGGGTTTGCTTGTCGTCTTTTAAGGACATATCTACAGCATCTCTTTTTCCGAACACATCTCTGGAGACATGACTAGGTTGTAGCTCTAAATTGAAGTACCCCGGCGATGCAGTTGCAAATGCTGCTCCACATAAAACCCACTGTAATAAACAAGATTTGAGCATTTCCCAAGTTTTCTTTTATAGTTGTCTATTCAAAATGATATCGAAAGTATCAAATGGAAGAAAATCTATACAATTTATATTGTATCTGATATATATGATCAGACCATTTGGATCACGTAAAGTCATCCTGGCTGCATGGTGTAGTTGCAAAAGAATATTTTGGATGCTAAAAAATAATATGCGAACATATGACCAAATCAGAAAATGTAATAAAAACAGAACACGTACGGAGTGGGCTTTTATTGGTCTTTTAGGAGCTTTGTCCCTCGGCTGATGTTGATGTTTATTAAACATAGAAGGTAACATGGAATACAAATCATACAAAATAACTCCAGGTTATGTAGATGCAAGCGATCCACAACTAGGATCTGACAGAAAAAAAATCCTTTGATGTGATGACGTAATTGGGTCATTTACTCGATCTTATCTTTATTATCGTCATCATCTAATTCAAGATACAGGAACACGATGCTTTCCTTATTAATATAATTAAATACTAATCTAGGCCCTTATAAAAGAATTCTTGCTTTGACTAAATGAACAATACATGGAAATACTTGTAGTATTTCTGTATCAACGGGCGAATAAATATCTCTACAACAAGTTTTGCATTTTGGCAAACCATCAATAATGTTCTTCGCTCCAGCTTGTTCAATACTTCTACAAATAGATTCATTTGAAAATTAAAGTAATTGTTAATTCATAAAACAAATATGTAAACAAGTGATTGGGTTACAATCACATTAAAGTAACCAAGTCAAGGAAATAACCAAACAGAGTAAAACATCGATAGAAGAAACGATTGAGCTGGCAGAGGATGGCTTATGTTCAGATGTGGCTGAAGGTTCATGGTGTTCAGATGTGGCTGAGGGTTCCTGGTGTCGATGTATGGATGTGGATGCATGGTGTTGAGGTCTGCTTAAGTGTGTTTGGTGATCAGATATTCCTGTAGAAGCTGAGGTTCTATCCACACCAGGAGGTGGGAATACCTCGATATCTTGCTTTCCGTTACTGAAGTCAGATTGTGCTAATGATACTTCTTTATCATCTAAATCAACCACGAAATATATGCTTCTTAATGCATCAATTCCTAAAATGAAGTCGCTGTCAATAAAAGTGACCTCAAAAGTGCATCCATCTGCATCTCTTTCAACCATAAAGTTATTTGCGGGAGCTATGATTGTCTTACCATCAAACTTAATTTCAAATTTTAGATTTTCTATTTGAGAGCAATCAGGAAAACTAATGGTTTTGTTAGAAGCATCATATTTGGAATCTTTTATTTGTCCCAACAATGGTGCTAAAAGCAGCTTGGGGAACTGTGACACAGCAGTTCCTGTATCCAAAAGAAATGATGATTCAGAAATACCCCCAGAAACTTTGGCATCATTCATAATAATGTCTACTCCCAAAACATTCACTTTAATTTCTGGATTGGTTTCGTCATAGACAATGGGAACTGTTTTCAAGTCACCTAAGTATTTCGAATGATCAACTGCACCAAATAGAACCGACCCTGTTTTATTAGCCTCATTCAAGAATATTGAATATGCGTTTCTATTGATTACCCCTTGATTTTTCAATTCTTCAGAAAAACAACGACCAGCTGGATTTCCCCCTGGGAAACTTATCCCTAAGATTCCTACATCCAGCGTAGCTTCACGTGCAAGCCCAAATTCAAACCCTTTAATATTCACATCTTTACCAAGAGAAATGTCATCTTTACCGTAGATACCTTTACCGTATGAATTATCCATGTAGGCCATGCAAAATTCTTGTTTTGTAGTATTAAAAGTTTCTGATTTCTCAGATGAGAATGTTCCCCGAGCTTTACAATTTGCGACTTTACTAGTAAGTGGACTTGTCTTACACTCGACGTTGGAATCCATGACCCATAATACGCTTGAACCTGTGTCAACATCCACAGTAACACTATCTCCGTTTGATCCGATTTGAAGTTCAGCCAACATTTGCTCTTTCTTATCATCTTCCAACGAAATCTCGAAAGCATCTCTTTTCTCAGACCCATCCATGGAGACATGACTCAGATGTATTTCTAAGCTAAAATATCCCGGCGACACAGCTGCAAATGCTGCTCCACATAAAACCCACTGTAATAGCAAAAATTTTAACATTACTTAAATTCTCTTTGATGCTTGCCTATTCAAAATCATATCGAAAGCATCAAATGAATGAAAAATCTATCCAATTTATATTGCAAATGATATAAATAATCAGACCACCTTGCTCGTTGTTGTATCCAAAATGATCTTGGCTGCCCAGAGAATATGCAAAGCAAAATGTAACATACTATAAGATTGTCGTATAGTCAAGACAAATAACTTGTTTACTAATACACAGTCCCAATTTGGAGTTATACCAAGAATTATTCAACATCATGAAAAGACAAGATCCAAATTATTATACATATGAAAACATGTGACGTTATATTTTCAAGTTGGATTGACTGGTAAATTAAACATGTTTGGTTGATACTATAAATCAATCAATTATTTTCCAAGCTTTATAATTTATATATATTCTTCCTTAGGGAAAGCTTTCAATAAACATCTAATATAAGAAGGTTTATTTTGCAGTCACTGTACTGGCGCGGCTCAATCCGAATCTGTAACCCTAAAAAAATGACTTAGTCGTGTGCATGCCCAAATCTCACCCACTTTTCTTTGGTTTAACCATCGTTAAAAAGTGGCCAAAATTCCTGGTTGCTACTTCTCTTACACTCAATTGAATACAATACGCCATGTCTGAACAATTACCACAAATCGAAATCATCCAAGAAGGAGACAACAAGACCCTTGCTAAGCCAGGAGATGTTGTCACCATCCACTACGTTGGTACCTTAACTAACGGTAAGAAGTTTGACAGTTCCCGTGACCGTGGTAAGCCATTCACTTGTACCATTGGTGTTGGTCAAGTTATTGCTGGTTGGGATATCGCCTTGACTAACAATTTCGGTAAGGGTTTAGCTACTCCTATTTACAAGGGTTCTAAGGCTGTTTTAACTATCCCATCCGAATTGGCTTACAAGGATAGAGGATTCCCTGGTTTGATTCCTCCAAACTCTACTTTGATCTTTGAAGTTGAATTGCTTGATATCAATGCTTAGGTGTATAGTTAATAAAGTTGCTGTATGAACTGATTGAGTCTTTTTTTTAAACAATGTACAACAATGTAGATACTCGTAACCCCGAGACCCCGTTGTAAAATAAGGTTTTTACTGTTGGTTAAATCTTCACTTTCTAGTAACTTGTCCAAGAATTTTACTTATATTAAAGTGTGCAAACTACGTCTATTCTATTTGCATTTCCAATAAACATCTCCCAGCTTGACAATTGTCTCCTTCAGACAAGCCAAAGTAGGCAACCCAACTTTATACTGCACATCAAACACCTTGAAAAGTGGTAACTTAATCTCATCTTTTTCTTCACCTGTATACTTCCCATAGAAGATCATATGGTGTCTACTGAACGGCAATACCGGGAATGGATTCTGCTTTATTGGAACAATATTTCGTTGATCTTCAAAACTCCAATCTTCGAACGTTAACAAGGTAGTAAATGTAAATATCCTTGGTGTGGGATTTTCCAAAATGTAATTCAACGTGAATGAATCAGCATCAGCCTTGGGAACTAAGAGCAATCTAGGATCAGATAACGGAAGCGTGACTTCCCATTCCGGCGTGGTGTAATCGTTCACAGGAGAGTGTTCATCTCGACGCCATTTAATCGTCGATGATGTAACCACATTGACATTTCTGAGATTGAATCCGCCAGATTTGGCCCTGGTGGTAAATAGCACCATTTCTTTACTGCTTGACAACACATTCACTTCAATCTCAGGGTTTGATGAAATAATAGTGTATTCTATATTGACAATCTCTAATCTAAATTCATCATTGATGTCTAGTTTTCCCTGCCACAAACGAGTAGTCACCGGCATAGCTGTGTCAGTGACAACAAACGGGCTGGGCATGTCCAAAGTCAGGTCTCGGTAACTAGGGCTGATCAAGTAATCACACGCAAAAGGAGACTTTCTCATTATGGGGAACACATAACTTGCTACATCGTACACTAGTACTTCCTCGTCATCATCAACCATAGCTGTTAAATCCACTGATAATAATTCTTGAGGCGTGCGTGTGAACACGTGCAATTGATAGTTATCACTTCCAGTTTGTAGTAATAACGGTTCGTCGTCTTTGAGCGAGTGCCAATTCCACGTAACATCACCCTTTACTTTTGCTGTAAGTTTCACGGATTTGTTGTCCTGGTTGGGGAACTCAATTTTCAAAGGAATGACTAGTCTTTCGCCGAGGATGTACGATTGAAGGTCTTTCAAAAGAGTGATGGAGATTGTAGGGCGTACTGGTAGAACTTTGATGATGTTTCCCGGGGTTGTTAATCTCTTGTTGTATTTACCGTGGTCTTGGTAGATAGTAGTGTGGTGATGGTGAGGAACAAACGTGTTGTGAAGTTCAATCTTGTTTAATGTGATTGTGTGTTCAGAAGTGATCTTGATAGTAGTTTGTAGTTTAATGCATTCAATTTCAAATGTTCCTGAATTAGTCATGGTTTGTAAATGATGAATAATCTTGGATTTGTCGGTGAATTGTAAATTCATGGAATCTACAAATGATTCATCTAATTCTTGTCCGTGAAGTTTGGCCAATTTAGTTATTGGTTTATTGTTGTCATGAGTGATTGAGATAGACTTCATACCCTTGTGTTTTCCTTGCGAGGTCACAATCACATCAACTTGATTGATTGTTATATCAACATTACCCTTGACTAATCTTGACAAGTGACTGTTTGAATGGAGGACGATTTGTAAAGTTACTTCGTCACGAACATATACTTGATCATTGCCAAATATCAACACATCAACAGAGAACAATTGATCCTCATCCAACAAATCAATCTCTAATGACTTTTCAAACGAAATTTGTGGCACTGGTTTATAAGACAATAACGATAACTTCACCAAACTGGTCAATGCTAGCTTGGTATCATCTGTATGCAAATAACACTGAAGAAGTTTATACAAGATGAAATTCGTGGCATGAATCAACTTATAATGATCTATTGCTTTAGCATATTCATTAATGGTGTAGTATTCCTCGGCAAGTAACCAATTGATATACTCGATGAAACTAGACAACCCGTCAAACCACAGTAATGCCTTCTGCAACAACTTGATCTTCTGCTGATGATCACCGTTCTTGATTGATTCATATGCCTTTACAAGGAGTAAGCTTGCATCGGAGATTATGTCAAATTGAGATAAATGAACTCCACCGAAATATGTCGTGAGTGGTGGTGTGCGTTTGGTTTTCAGTATGGTGGTTATTGCCAGTGGGATCGTGTGGACTAGTTCTGCTAACCAGTGATATTGGAGCGATATCCAGTTGTCATTGTTTGTGTCTCCGTGTATGATGTGTAGCTTGTGGAACTTGAATGCCTTGAGTGGTTCTTCGATTGAGAAATAGCCTCGAACAATGTGGAAACAGAGAATGTCAAGCAATGTTTTGAATTGGGTGGTGAGCTCAATGTCATGGGGTAATTCATGAGGGGTTGCAGGAAGTAATCCGAGTAATATGTCGTAGGCAAGTTCAAGCAATCGTATGGCGGTTGTCAAGTCTGAGCTGTTCATAAACTGGGCAATCATACCTTGTTTAATCAAGTTACGTACCTCCAAGAACTTGGGAGTTAGTTCGACATTGGTGTCAACGGTATCATTTTCTACGGTGGTGTAGTACTTTTTGTATCTCTGCTTGATCTTGGCTTCTATGTTTGCATAAAAGTCGTGGGAGATATGCATGAGTTGGGCCATCAACAACTTTATCAGATCCGGGTCTGATTCAAATGTATATACAATTACAGACGTGTTTAGTTTGACATAGTCTATAACCAGGTCACCATCAACTAGCAACACCACGGGGGTGATTCCCAATGGTTTCAACGTAGCTTCAGCTGCGTTTATCTTGTTCAACACATTGTCGTCTCCTTGGATAATATACACCACTGCAAACGGGATATGGTTGATGTACTTGTCAAACCAATCGGAGTTGATAATGCCATTAGGAAATAGCTTAGACAATGGATTGAAAGGAGATAAGATTGAATGGTGGTCGTTCTTTTGTTCCTTGGCAATAGATATGGAGCTGCCTTGACGAAACTCAATTATGAATTTGGTGGTGGACATTCTGTTTTTTAGTATACAGTTGTCCCATTGAGTATGAGATATGTTGTATGATTGGAACAAGTCATTATGAGATGCTGTATCTGTTTGGATTACTAGGAACGGGTTCAATTGTTGGAGATACAATTGATTGTAGTGATCCATCCTTTACTTTGGCTGTTGACAACAGTGTTGCCAAAAGGAACAAGAAAAAAAAAGGAAAGTTGAAAATTAAATTGATCTTGGTTCATCAGCTTAGTAATAGATAACACACATACACACATACACACATACACACATACACACACACACACAAACACACAATATGGCTATGGAAGAACCTATAAACGCAAACCCAACCATCTTGTCCCTTGCCCAACTCCCAAAGAGACAAGAGACTGGATCTCCTTTCAGTACCACATTATCTGCCAATCATAAACTCATTAGTAATGCCCTTAAGTTGTCGTTACTAGAAGAAGAAGACGAATACTCAGAAGAAGACATAGACTCAGACGAAGAAGAGGACCCTATTGATCCCCAAGAAATCTTTGATTTAATATCCACCATCTCTGATCCAGAACATCCCTTGACTTTGGGGCAACTTGCTGTGGTCAATCTCAATGACATTGAAATAAACACTAGTAAATATCTCACCGAAGTTGTCATTAGAATAACTCCCACCATCACCCACTGCTCGTTGGCCACACTCATCGGATTAGGAATCAAAGTCCGTTTAATCCGAAGTTTGCCTGGCAAGTTCCGAGTCAAACTCTTGATCAAGGAAGGATCGCATCAAAGTGAATCCCAAGTGAATAAACAGTTGAATGATAAAGAAAGAGTGGCTGCTGCTTGCGAAAACGAGCAATTGATTGAAGTGATTCTGAGAATGTTAGCTACATGTGTATAAACATCCCATATCTGTATATTGTCATATCCTAATATAAACCGTCGTAACGTCCTACTTTATTTGGTTAAAATTTCTAGCTTTTAATTTACAGTAAGTGGTAACCATCGTCATTAAATCGATAACAAGGAATTTAAGTATATGCTTCTCAATAAACTCAATGAACCGAGTGAACTTCTTGTATCCTGCGTCACTCTTGCTCATTTGGTTCAATCGTTTGATGATGTCGGTGCAATTCTTGTGTAGTTTGTTCAACGTCATGTAGTATTCGTATGTCTGTCGTTGTGCTTTTAATTTCTCAAACTCATCATTGCTTTGTCGCTGACTATCATGGGGTGATCGGGTAGTTGTGGTGGTCATTTTGTGTGCAGATATTGGTCTTGATGGTGGTGCAGTACTCAGTCGGGAGCCGGTGGATGCAATTGATCCTGCTGATTCTCGCTTCTTCTTGACGCGAGAGTATAATTTGGATTTACTAAGGATGGAACTGAGGGTATTTTCTGGTCCGGTGATAGATCCGTTGCTAGGAGTGTGGGCGTGGCTGTGGGGGCGGGTATAGCTTGGGGTGCTATTATGACTTTGGCTGTGTGTGTTATGACTGATAGGGAAAGGATAACTGTTGTGACTGATATTTGGACCATGAGTAATACTGTGATTTTGCCCATGACTAATACTATGACTTTGGCTATGACTGTGGATTTTGGTTGGACTATATCCGTTAATGGTACTACTGCTTCCGTTGGTTTCAGTTAATGCTGGCAACGCAACGGTGCTGGTGCTGAAATCAAACGATTTGCTGGGATGCAACAACATACTCAGAATCCGTTTTGTGCTGGACCTGGCTTTCTTGCTAAACATCTTGAATGAACCAATACTGTCGTTGGAAACGGTGCGATAAAAACTAGGCTCGATAGGATCGCTGATGCTATCGGTATCTGTCATCAGATACATGTCTTGTTCCTCCTCGTCGTGGATAATACCCATACGGTCAAGTTCGTATGAAAGCTCCAGGCTGTTGGACATTCGTCCGGGTATATCATAGACTTTGTAAGCCATGAGTAGCTTCAGATAGTAGTTTAAGGTGATATCTTCAAATTGCAAGTGTTCGTTGTTGAATTCGTAGTCCAACATTTGGTTGATTTCGTTAATGATGTTGTTCTTGATGGCGACATCCTTGATGGGAATATTACGTAACCAGATGTCACCTGGGACAAATACATTATCAAGTAGGGATGACCTGGTAGGAGAGGGAGTACCGATCCTGGTATGATTTCTGGTGATGATTAAATTTGCATCGTCGAGATTCAACAACAAGGAAAATATGCTCAATAGTATCGAGTGATCCCTGGGAATAGTTAAATCCAACAGTTGGAACGGGGTGGCCAACATCGTCTCTAGACTGTTGACGCTGTCGGTTCTAGTAACGACCTGGTCCTTCTCAAAGTTCGGTAAGGGAATCGCGGATGGAAGTATCGTCATGCTTGAGGGAGGGAGACAAGTAACCAATCTGACCACTTTGAAAATAAAAAAAAGGATGGAGGGGGGGGATATTTTTCAAGAAAAACACGTAAAGTTTTTAGTTGTTGTTTCTTGCTTCCGTTTTGGCTAGACTGTTTTTTCTTTCTTTCTCGGGTTTTTATTTTTGGCAACTAATGCAAATGGTGCTAATCGCTTTCTCCTTTATTAAAATCGCGTCAATTTCGAGTTGGCAATACGATTTTCCCAATGGGGTAATCGCATATGCTAACCATCTAACCCTCCCCATGCATGTCTACGTCACAGCATGCGGTATACGAGTATGCTACGGCTAATAATAATAATAACCAGTAAACATTAGTCATTATTGATTTTTGGTTCCAGTTTTAGCGATAGTTCTAGTCCCGCATTACTGTGTTACAGAATATGCACCATGCAGACTAGGCTACTCTCGCTATCGCTAACCTCCACACACAAAAGTCAATGTCATCCCTGTGAAACTTTATCTGACACACAACATTCTTATTTCTGACTATAGACACACACACACACACACGCACACACCTCCCAGTTTGGGGTAACTACATCACTTCATCAATATAAATCTTTTTTTCTTTTTTAGTTTCTAGAGTCGAAAAATACCCGAATCATCCACTCATCTCTTTACAACCAATGTTTACTTCAAATAAACCCAAATTCGCCTTTTCCCTTTCAATCAATGAACTCACCAACATTCCTGAGATCAATGGGGCGTGTTATATAAAACTACAAATCAAAGATGGCCATCATCGCAACAAACTCACCGATTTGATAAAACCAGTGCCTCCCTCCGCATCAACTGCTGGAACAAACAGCTCTTCATCTTCCGTCAACAAGAGTTTCTTCAACAAGTTTGACGATGCAGTGCACAAGAGTCTGAGTGGGAATAGCTCAAACAATGCAACCAGCAGCTCGGTCAATTGCACCACTTCCAAAAAGAAGATTCACAATTTCAAGTGTGTGTTCAACTATAAAGTGTCATGCAACTTGCGCTTTGGCTTGAAAAAGAAAGAAAACTTGATCAGCAACAAGTACCTACTCCTAAAAGTATACTACGTCCACGAATCAACGAAAAGGAGCGACGGTGGCTCTTCAAGCCAAACCACTGAGCTAGGCAGGCTAGACATCAACCTTGCCGAGTATCTAAACTTTGACGAACCAATAACTACAAAGTACCTCCTCAACCAATCAAAAGTAAACTCAATTCTAAACCTAACTATCCAACTAAACGAACTTCCTGAACTGTTTGACTTTCATACCCAATTGCAAATCGACGATAACTCGTCAGCAAATTCATCCAAGAAATTACCTAAACCAACACACACCTCTTCCTCAACAACGTCATTCCCGAAAAGAACCACGTTCAATGTTCCGCAATTTGAAAACAAACATGTCTTTGGTGGAATAAACACAGTCTTTGGCGAAGGTACATTTCAAAACTCAACACCTAATCACCCACCAACACCAACTGACGAGAAATCATCTGTTCCGACACCAAGCGTAACTGCTAGTGCAACCACTGCAGCAACCACCACCAACACTACCACCACACGCGGTATCAATTCAAAACCACAAATCTTGATTGATCCCATAGTCGGCACGTTATATTGTAAGATTCTTGAAAGTAACTGGGATCCCGAATTATACAAGCTCTTGGAATATTCCCCTGACCAATGCATAAACGACATATTTGAAAACAACAACAATCCATACGGACATAACCAGAAACTCAAACAGTATGTCGATGAACACATCAACTATCAAGATGATGACGAAGATGAAGACAGTAAGCCGCGGGAATTAAATGGACTAATCAGTGAGACAAAGTATCGCGAAGACTTGAAAAGCTGGAAACTAACTCGAATTCCAAGTTAGATTTTCATTAGTACTGGATGACGATGATGATCTTCGCTTGAGTAGCTTGCCTTTCATTATCCGTTGTTTGAGTTGACACTTGCTAACTTCCAAATGGTCGAAAAACTCTGTAATCTTATTGCTGATTTCATTCCCGGAACTCAGCACTATCTTGTCATTCTCGTCGGGTGTATCCACACGTGATGATGATGCAGATGATGATGATGATGATGATAATGATGACGACTTGGACCGTCTGGGAATAAAACTTCCACGATTCAGCAGGGCCGTAGGTGTTATATTTTGAACTCCACAGGAATACCGCAACGGCGATGAAACATAAGGTACATGACGACAGTATTCGCACAAGGCAAACTCGCTAGTACTCAGATTGCATCCGCTGTTGAAACATTGAAATCGACGTAAATCATTAAACCCTCGAAACTGGCCTCGCGATATAGCCCTCGTCGGGAGATATTTGCATTTTGTACTGGGGTAGTAGTAGTTAGGCACTCTCTGTGACATGTGTAGAGAAAGACTAAACACAAGAGATTCTTTTTCTGTAAAATCCCTCACTTTAAAAGGTGCTACTTTTGGTATGCTTGTTTATTCTATAATACACAAAAAATACAAATGGGCATAACATAACCTATTCATTATCACGTTGTTGGTAGTGATGGTTGTTGTTGTAATGCCTGTCTCCTTGGAAACGACGGTTACCGCCCCTTCCACCGCGTCTATGATCTCTGCCACCGCCACCGCTTTGATTACGGTCTCCGCCTCTTCGTTTAACATTCTTGTTCCGTTGTTCCATATTCAACAAATTCTGCTCCTTGGCATAGTCCATAATCTCATCAGGGATACGCAAGTACTTGATGTGCATCCCACGAATATATACTTCGGTTTCTTTACTGAACTCATCGGCTCCGGTATTGGTATGGATCACATTGCTCAAAGTGAGGTTCATCCAGGGATCAAGGTTGACCAAGTCTCCTTGATATGTTTCTCCCGTTTTCAATTCAATTAGTACCGGTTTATTCTTGGCTGCAGTCAATAAATATAATGGAAGCTAAAGCTGTTAGTATATGCCTGGCAAAGTGTAAACCAATCTTACTTACCATTTTTTTTTTGGTCTGTTGTGTCACCCCCTCTTTATTTTGTGCCTTAAAAATACTTTTCTTGAAATTTGTTGCTGGGTGGGTTTTTTTTTCCTCTTGGTGAAGTTAGCCATGGTGCACGACTTTGGTGATGTATTTGCAACCACCACCACCACCACCACCACCTACAAGTTTTTAACAAGCCAGCAATTATCGATAGCTTTTCCCGGACTTTACAATTGCAGGAGGATAATTGCCTTTTTTTGTACTCTGCATTACTATCTCCTATTTTTTTTTTGCAGAGTTATCTGATTTGGTTTTGGTAGCTTCAGCACTTGCTCGACATTTACCCTTTCCTAGTAGCTTCATTTCTTTTGGCATACATCCAATGAAAACAATTGACTACAGTAACTAAAATTGAAAACAAAACAATCATTTTAAAATGAAAACAATCATCTAACTAACTAAACTAGTTTATTGTTGACGGTATGTTTCTGGAGGACCCAAGAAACTTGGAACAACACCACCAAAATCAATAACAGCCTTTTGGAAAACTACACCTGGTTCCAAAGCCCACAATTTCAAAGTATGTTGACCAGAAGAGGAAATATTATGAGTAGTGTTATGTAACCAAATAGTATCTGAAGCAGCTTGTTCCCAGTGATCAGGCATGTTCAATGGATTAGTGGTGTCAATGACCAATTGAACTTCTTGTGGTTGTTCATCATCAATAGCAATGGCATACTTCAATGGACGGGCTGGGTAAGTGTTCAAGGATGGGGAAGTGTAAACGGTGATGTTAGTACCGTAAGCTGGAGTAGAGAATGAGTAGAAGTCATATTCCAAGTGTGGGGCATTGGCATCAGAAGTTTGAGAATCAGCAGTAACTGGGAATAAAGTAACACCAGATAAGGTTCTACCATATCTGTTAATAACTTCATAGTTAACCTTGTTGTTGTCAACCTTCTTGGAGAAATGTTCTGCTTCGATGGAAATAACTTCACCAGCTTCAATGAAACCCTTGAAGTTAGTTGGGGCTTGGTTCTTGTTAATTGGAACATGGATTTGTGGTGGACCAAAGAATCCATAAGTAGTGTTGGAAGTAACATCAATGAAAACAATGTTGGAACCTTCTGGTGCCTTTGACCAATCAACTTCAACCCAAACCTTAACAGAGTTCCAGATACTGTCGTTGGTGGCAGAAATGTAACCAGTGGTTTGAGAAAGAGTAACAAAATCATTTTCAGAAGAAACCTTGAAGTTGACATCTTCATTACCTCTGTTGAAGATTTCGATAAAAGTGTTACCAGTGTATGGATCTTGTGGTGGAGTAATCAAAGTGTTGTTAGAGTAAGCAACAGCATTGTATAAATCATCACCTGGAACAGAACCTCTGGATTGATCAACAGTAACACCCATAGCACCAGCCAAGTTATTATCATCAGCTTGACAAATGGAAACAGGAGGCATGACATCTCTCATTGGTTGTTGCCAGAAGAAGTAACCCAAGTGAGTTTGATCCATCATGTGGTGCCATTTACCATTAAGCATAGAATCCCATTGGTTCTTCCAAGAGTGATCATCACCAAATCTCGTTTGAACATAGGTGGCCAAGGAGTTAGCTTGGTTTCTTCTTTGTTCAGCATAGACATTGTTCTTACCAGCAGAAATCATAATATCATGGACAATGTAACCAGCGTTAACTGGGTGCAAGACTAATTGGAAGAAAGAAGGTTGGACATTCTTTGGTAATTGGTTGTAAACATTCCAAGCTCTAGCGGATAAGTCAGACCATTGTTGTAAGACAGTGTCGGCTTCTTGGTAGTTGTAAATAGCATAAGTAGTGGCGTTCAAGGATTCATACTTCTTTCTGTTAATTAAGAAACCATAAAGATCAACAATATCAGCAATTTCAGTGGTGTTTTTGTACCATTGACCGAATTCTCTTTGGGCCCAAGCTTCAGTGTATTCAAAGACCTTGTTAATTGGACCCCAAACATCGTAGTGGTAACCTAAGGAAATGAAATATTCAATTGGTACTTCTAATGGCTTGATATCACCGACATTGACTAACCAGATTCTGTCAGCACCTCTTTCCTTAGCCAAATGCATTTGTTCCCAAGTCTTTTCATTAGAGATGGTGTTGATCCACTTGTAATCAACTGGATCGCCAACATAATCGAAATGGTAGTAGACACCAGCACCACCAGACCTAGAAGTTTCATTGTTAAGTGGCAATCTTCTAATGTTACCCCAGTTATCATCAACCCACAATAAAGTGATGTCATCAGGAACTGGCATACCAGCTTCATAATAAGATTGAACTTCCTTATACAAACACCATGATTGTGGAATATCAGTGACAGAACTGTTACCAAAGTATTGACCTAACAATTCACGTTGAGTAGCAATAACATCTTCCAATAAAGAAGTTTCAACACCACCAGAGATTGGAGTATCACCAAAACCTCTAATACCCATAGTCCAAACATTTTCGAATGGCTTAGATCTTTCAATACCATCCTTCCAGAAGGAAACAATGTTATCCTTGTTGGTACTATAATCCCAAGCACCCTTACCAAAGGTAGACCATTCGTTGGTGGCTCTCATTAATGGTTCAGTATGAGAAGTAGCCATAACCACCCCATAGTAGTCAGCCCAATATTGGTTTTCTGGATCATCAACACCAAACATAGATGCCCACATAGCTGGCCACAAGTAGTTGGCTCTCATTCTTAACAAACATTCAAAGAGCTTAACATAGAATTGGTGGACAAAGTAGGAGTTGTACTTACCTTCAGGGAAGAATTCAGCAACCCACGCAGCAATAGCAGGTTGTTCATCGTTAATGAAGATACCTCTGTACTTGACCCCTGGCTCACCTTGGGTCTTGGAACCAGAGAAATAAATAGAGTCATGAGATTGTGGGACGACATCAGCAAAGTAATACCATGGGGAAACACCGATTTGTTCGGAAATATCATAAGCACCGAAAATAGCACCTCTCTTGTCACTACCAGCAATGACTAAGGCATTCTTAATACATGGAACTGGGTTTTCAACTTGTTCTTGAATGTAGGATTCCCATTTACCCTTGATCTTATCGACATTGATCTTCTTTTCCTTAATCAAGTTTTGGATAAGGGTGTTGTTACCAATGGTACCAATAATAATAGCATTTTCAACTGAACCATGAATCTTTTTACAGATATCGTTGGAACTAGTATAGTTGGAAACTGGTAAGGCATGACCAGTAACCTTTCTGAAATCGTCACTTAAATCTTCAGCAGCACGATTAACACCAGGCCAATCGTTTTGATCCAAGAATAAAGTAGCAGTGCTTGAATGGTCGTGTAACGTGATTTCCTTATTGTTGCCATGCAGGCCCTTTTGTTGGAAAGCAATGTTAGTTTGACCACCCAAAGCATTAACGGCTCCGAGAAGAGCAATCAATGTTGGAATGTATGAAAACAACATGTTGCAATTGTTATCTTTGTGTGATGATTTTAAAAAAAAACAACTAGTTTTGTGATTTCAAAGGGGATCTGGGGTGGTATTTATAATATTCAATGGCAAATAGTGAGCTTCAGACTCCCTTTCCCATTTGGTGCTCCAAGTATGCCCAAAAGGTAATACCATTTGGCAGCCGGATACTCGGGCCACCTATTATTTTCTGGAGAACAATGGAAGCTAAGATATTTTCAGCAAATAATATGTCAGGGGGGACCTTAAAGAGACTTCCAACCTCTTGGACCTGCTTCCTTGATCCCGAGGAAGTCCATGCTTTACTTAGTTCCAGCTTTGAAATAGTTTGAAACAAGTTTCTCCTAGACCTTCTGGCGCTTTAGACACGACACAAAATTGATCCAGGAAATATGGAGAACAATGACCCCAATTTCGGTTAAACAATGGCTTACAAAAAATATGTCTATTGTTTAGGCTTACACTTGGTAGTGAGCGGGGGTGGGAGTTAGGTGTTAATTGGCTAATGATCCCGGCCGTATATATGCGAGGTAGTATCATGAACAATAAGCCTCTTGTATTTCCATTATTGGAAGGATTTCCCACTTATAAGGCAAATATCAGCAGACGTCACATACTTCATAGACAATAGGTACGGACAATAGATCCAAGTGTGTTGACTTTTCACCTAGTTACAGAAGGGGCCCGTTGCCAACTCAAACTCCAGAGAGAACAATAACCCCTCAGAAGATGGATCGTCGTAATCCTTAGTAATCAGGTTTAGATTCTTCGAGTTTATTCAAATTGGACTGGGGTATATTGTTCGCAAACAAACGCAATTAAGCAAAAACCCAGAAATAACCGTGGATTAGAATGTGGCAAGGAAGGTGGATGTTTAAATCCCCTCAAACAAAGACAATAATGGTGGTCATTATTTCACCACTTATAATCATTCTATGTCGTTCCGGCATGCACATCGGGTAAAGGATGTTCCTAAGGAAGATGACGTGAGGAGATGGTCTTTCTTCAAAAATGCGAAGGGCTTTACAGGATCACGGTATCTACTTTCCTCGTGTGCAAGTCGACAAGAACCCCCCTCTAAGCCTTCTTACAATTGCACCACTTTTTAAATTTCTTCGATGCACCTTACTGCCAGATGAATGTTCTTTGGAATCAACTCAGCCGTGAGGGGTGTGTGTGTGGGGGGGGGTCCATTTTTGATGATTTTGTAGCCTGTTTAGGGTTAGTCTAAGAAAATAGTGATATGTTCCAAATGCAGTTACTTAATGCATAGAAATTAATTTGCCCTAATTTGGATTATATATAGGTTTATTGTTCACGTGTTAAATCATTGTTATATCAAATAAAAGACGTGTCAAAGTCCAGTTAGATATAATGAAACGCGAAATTATAAATTCGCTCACTGTACGGTTGAGGCGGTTCCCCTTACATTTGACAGGTCTAATACCGACCTAGATTATCTTGAACAATGTGCACTGGAAATCTTGTAAGACGTTAGTGAGGACAATGGATATGTCAAAAGCCAACCGAAAAGGACGCGCGCATTGATGGAACTTTTTATTGTCAACTAATGAGCCATTGTGGAGAATGTGAGGAGAACCATGGGTTTAATAATATATGGATTGATGATGATATTAGTTGCAAATAGTCCATTAGTTTGCATCAGCCATCCCTATCACCAGCCACTCTAGAACTATTTGGGAAAATCGGTATCCATAAAATTCCCAAATTTAATTTAATTTTTTTTTTTTTGAATTCTAATAGATTCTTGATAGAGCAAATGTAGAATGGTTGTAATCTTTAAACCATTCCGAGTTTTCTTGATATGATGAAATCATCGTTGATATTGTTTTTCTCTCTGAATTGTAAAGGGTTTGTTCTTGAAAGTTTTAGATAAATTTCACCAAAATTCAAGAGAAATCCAACTTTTTTATTCATGTACACTCAGAACAGTTATATTTGTTATAAATAGGACACTCCAATGCAATTAAACTGATCTTTATCCTTTAAGTAATTCTGACCAGCGTGGAAGCACTTATCAAGTTGCAATAACTCTTGGTAACCTGCTATAATTTGCAACATTGCCGATCTCGCGCACGACAAAAATTGATCGAAATCGAATGCAACCCCTAACAATACTCCAAAAGGATGATGATGACACAACCCCTAGTTAAACTTACATTCCAATGAACTAAATCTTGAGAGAATATATAATAGATTACCAAAAATCCAACGTATTGAATATTCAACTACCAGTAGGTGCCATCATTTGAACAATTTCCATTATAACATTAGCATGGTCGAGTTTGCTCAATTGCCAGATGATATAATATTCTTAATATATGATCAGTTAGAGGTATTAAGCATCAAGAAATTACAATATTTCCCGGAGTTGGCTCAAGGGATAAGGCATTACTTGTATGGACACAGTCGGTATTTGATTTGTTTGGATGAAGATCCCAAAGTGTTGACTGAGCACAATCAAAATCAGCAAAGTCAATTTAGACATAGTGAAATAGAAGATACACCATTTGATATGGCAGGATATAAACTATCCAAACTTATCCATAATGAATCTATGAGAAATCATATATCCCATTTTAAATATTACCAAATCGAGATCTTGATTTCTCAATTTGACAGCACCTTAGCATTGCTTGAACTTTACAAGCCGGTGATTCACGAATTATTTTATAGAGAAGAGGAAGAAGGAACAAAGAATATTAGATTGCATATTCGTTTACATTACACGATGAATACGTTTTACGATATGAAGAATTGTTTGGTTAATGTGGACAAGATCTCGCATTTTTTTAACAATAACAATAAAAACAGCGTGCAAATAGATTTGGAATTAAATAGACGATAATAGAACCTGAAGCATTCTTCGGAACCCAAGGGAAACTGTAGAGAATGTGACTTTTTTTGTTTTGTGTAGGTCACTAGTTAATGAATTGTCTTGACGTAGGCAAAGAAAAAAAAAACCATGACACAACAATTACGTCATTTGGCAACCAAAATTAGATTCGTTTAATATATCTGTTAAATCAAAGTATGATACCGCCCAAAATAAACACCCTGACCATAATATTAACCCCGCCGTACAAGTCATTCAATTCTCCCTCGAGTATGACCTTACGGTTTAAGGGATCTTGCAGGGTAGAAAAAGTGGTTTTTTTGAACTCAGCCGGGACAAGATTTCCTTAGCCGGAAATAAAAAAATTCTAAAAGTGGCAGCAGAAAAAAAAAAAAAAGGAAAAAACAAAATTTAAGAAACCCACCGGGAAAAAGGCCATATAAGTAAAAACAAGGCTCAGATCATTTACCTTCCTTCAAAAAGGTGTAAACATTTCCTAATAAAAATCACAGTTTCCTTTGTTACATCTTTTTATGGCATATTTTTAATTAACTCACAACGTTCGTCTAAAACATATAATATATTAGACATACATAAAAAAAAAAGGCAACACACTTAGCAAGATGCGATCAATATATACATTCGTTACGTTACTAGGGGTGGCGTTTTCCCTTGATGACATATTAATCAAGGACGACACCCCCTCATCATCAGTGAAAGCAATAACAACCAAATCTCCTAGTTCAGATACAAATGATGATGTATTACGAGTAACGTTGGACCGACAAACCACCACTGCCACCCCAGTCATTACCCGATCTCCAAGCAGAACCACATCTATACCGGCAAACTTGACTCAGGAAGGATCGGGAGAGAATTCATTATTTAAATTAATGTTGACCATGCCCACTGATGACAACTATTACAATGTTAGAATGAACCTTGGCAATGAGAACGACCAATTAGTGGAATTAAGAGTAGACATAGCCCAACCGGAGATGTGGGTGATGAATGCCGACGAGTTCTTAGATTGTAGTTATCTAAGTGAATGGTGGAGTTCAGAAGAACCTAATTTATCTACAAACACTGCATCCGAACCAGGGTCATTAACTACCTTGAAAGAATATACCGCCACCAACTGTGGTAAGAATGGATTATACACACCATCACCTTTACTGGACCAGCCTACACCTACCGGATCTTCCAATATACAGAATGGAGACGCATTTGTTCTTCCTTATATGAACCTCATAGATGCCAGCGGTGTATGGAATACTGATAATGTCCTGTTTAATTTAACCACTGGAGACCTGGTCAAGTTGACCGATGTTACCTTTGTCAATGTGAATGACACTAATATGTATTCTGGTGGATTAGGATTGGCTGGAAGTACCAGAGGAACCGGATTCTTGAATACATTAGTAGATATGGGAATTATCAACTCTCCAGGTTACTCCCTTTGGTTTGATCAGAATCGAACCTGGCAAGGATCTCTTGGACAATTGATTCCAGGGGCAGTAAGTACCAAGTATTTCACGGGTAAACTTATTTCCTATAACATGTTGAAACAACTGGGTACTAGATTTCCTTCGCAAGACGCAGCTGCTAATGAAGACTTGGTAAGTCTTAATTTACCAATTGTTTTAGTTTCTGATGTCCAGGTTGAAAATGACGATACTGGTAAAAAGCTATCTATTCAATCCACACCCGGTGGTTTCCCAGTATTGTTGGATACTCGATTATATTATTCATATTTGCCCTTGGACGTCATTGTGAACTTGGCTGTTCAAACCAATGCATATTATAGTAATGATGTTGACCGTTGGATCGTGGAGTGTGACGTTATTAGAAATTCAAGTGCATCGATGAATTTCCTCTTTGGAGATTTAACTGTCAAGGTCCCCTTGAGTGAATTTATCACCGATGCAGAAGACGACGGTCGATTATTATACTTTGATGGCGGACAAGCCGCATGTTTCCTTGCCCTTTCGCCAACTTCAAACACCGGGTACAACTCCCTTGGTTTACCATTCCTCCGTCATATTTACTTGGCCGTGGACAATGAAGGCCAAACATTGGCTATGGCCAACACTAATCCGTTTTTAAACATTGATCGAAATGCCATGGTTCAAAATGTCACTGAGGGGAACGATAGTGTGTTTTCCCAAGCTGAGAAGGATAGTGCAAATACTTCGTCGTCAAGAAAGAGCGACAACAGTAACGAATCCATTGGCATGATTAAATCAGGATCCATTCCATTTGCAAGTCCTATGAGCAATCAAAAGACCGATGTAGTTTTGCTGTTTACCCTGGTCGATACTTCATCAGGCCACCCAGCCAATCTCGATATCCCAGCCAGATTGAGTGGTGCTGTTGTGATCAATGGTTCAATTTATGTTACCCGTACTGGAGGACAAATAATCACAACATTAATTCCAGGAAGAGCCACTGCTGCTTCGGAAGAAGCTTCTACTTCCAAAAGTAATGTGGGAAGAATAGAGACTCCATTTGTGATTGTTGCGGGAGAAAGGCTTTTACATGATATTTATTTGGTTATTGGGATGGGACTTGCCGTTATTTGGATGATTTCATTGTAGAGATTAATAGACACATGCGTTTATTAATGGTTATATAAAGTTATACTAGGTTATAGTAGTAATAAAACATAATAATTTCTATCACTTGGAACTAAAGATGCATTGTTTGAAATGTTCTCTATTACATCTTTTGCATTTCGACTCTTTCTTCCTTAAGTGCAGTGTATCCTTGAGGCTTGGTTTTGGCAATGTAACGGTAGTAGTTGTACCACATAACATCACAGAAAGTCAACACTAAACCAACGCAGTTAAGAGAGGATAACCTGTCACCGAAAACAGCAGCACTGACGGCAATGGTTAACAATTCCTTGAAACTACCAGCCACAGAAAGAGTGATCAAATGGGCAACCTTCAACAACATGAATTCACAAGACATCATCAAGAATGCAAAAACACCAGGAATAATCAATAACCCAATAGTGGTGAAAACACCCTTGATTTCCCAAATTGGAGCCGAGGTGAAGTTACCCCAACCTTCAACGTAACATCCCAACAAGAACAAGGCAAGAAACATACATGGAGAGACGTAGAAGATAGTGGCAATGGAGTTTGGAGTGTATGGGTTCTTCTTTAACAAGATTTGGGTGAATGACCAACGAAGACCGGATAACATAGCAGCGGAAATGGCCAATGTGATACCCAAGGTGGAGTAAACACCTCCCTTGGTGGAAGTGTCAATGTTGTCAGGCTTAGCGGTCATCAAGGTGACTGAGACAGTCATAACCAAGACAATGACAATCAATCTCCAGTTGAACTTTTCCAATCTGAATAAAAGGCCAAATAAAAGCACAAACATCAAAGACGAGGATTTCAAGATGGTGTATAAACTCAAGGAAAGAAGAGAAACAGCAACGTTGGAAAGACCGATATCACCGGCAGATGTAAGAGCACATGGGACCATTTGACGAACGTAAACTCTAAAGTCGATATGAACACTTTGGTAAAACAGGGCTTTTCTTATGGTAGCATCGTCGACATGGGAATGTTGAGGTAATGCATGGTTTGCACCAATTCTAGGACGCATCTCGGGGACAAAGTACAAAGTCAAGGTACTGAGCACGGCAAGACACAACTGATGGAACGAAGTGATAAAAAGGGGGAATCTAAACCCAAGACCAGGACCAAACATCCACTTGTTGTAAATGTTGATGGAGAGGGAAAAGGTATACCAACCAGCGATATAAAACAAAGCAGCTTTCCCATTGTGGCCAGCGGTGGAGGCATGCAACGGTTCAGGGTCGGAGTTCTTTCTGGAATGGGAGGACTTGGACATTTCACGAATGGAGTCTAATTCAAGATTGGGAGGAGCCATAGCGTATAATTTAATTTGTTCGCGTTTTATTTGTATAGATTATCCAGGGAGGGCGGGAGGCTGTTAAAATGACAATGAGCGGAGTTTGTTGCGGCTTACTAAATTAGTTGGTAGTGAGCAAAAACGTGGGGGTAGAATCTGGTTGATAGCTGTCAATATATGTACAGAATATATTGCCAAGCACGTCAATCAAAAGTTAAAAAACTGTTTATCTTCTGTAAACAAGATCGATTGAAAAGATTTCGAAAATTTTTTATGAGGTGGCTAATCAGTACAACCACGTAACACGAGGGTTAATCTTCGTACTTATTTTTGTCCCAATTAGGGGCGTGGGTCTTCATCTTAATTTTTTTTTTTGGCTAATACGTGGCTGTTCCAATTTTAACACACACACAGTCGCTTTGTGTAGCTTCCATCTATATCAGGAAATGCGGCTCAGATTTCAAATTTCACAGTATTTTTTTTTTTTGCTGTTCTACGGTTAGCTTTTTTGTTTGTGGTTGGTTATGACAATGGGGGAACAAACCACCAACGAAACCGGCTCATATAATTGCTCCCAAACTCAACAGCGTCACCTGTTATAGTGTCATCCATCATATTTCAACTATATAGTTAATAGATTAATCATAATTCTTGCATATAAACTGTACTACCCCTTTGTTCTTCCCAAACACACAACAAATCTGGCAACCAAATTTTATAGACAGGCACAATGTCCTCTAACAACAAAGTTAGGGATCCTACTTCCCTTCTTAACATCCAACATGACTACCTTTTATCTCAAATAAAGCAGGCCCAAGTTCCAGGCCAATTATACAACTTGATTATTGACAGCACCACTGAATCCATCTTGTATCGTGTGATTACTAAGGAACAACTTCTCCGGATTGTCACCTCCATTGAGAAAATAGACGAACGGAGAAAGAATGCCGGTAAGTTCATTAATGCTATTTATTTTGTCGATATCGACATCTACAACATCAACTGTATGATGGCCGATGCCGAAACCAACCGGTTCAAATCGGGAGTAGGTTTGTTCTTGCCGTTACTGTCGCATCTGCTGGAAACCGGCCATTACTTCAACAGCCGGTTCCTTCAAAACCCCAAGGTCACCGCTTATTTCAACCAGGGAGCATCAATCAACTATATCAATGCTAACATGTATCCTATGGAATCAAGAGTGTTTTTAACCGACAACAGAACCCCTAATTCAATGCCAATTTATTTCAACGAGAATTGTTCGGAATTTGTCAAACTTCAAATTGAAAAAGCTGCCAAGTCGTTAGTGAGTTTGATGGTCTTGACTGGGGAGTACCCATTAGTGAGATATTACAGTCCTCAAGGCACATCCCACCAAGCTCAACCATTATGTGAACTATTAGCTTGTGAATTCCAAAATCAAATCGACGAGTTTGCTAGATTAAACCAAGATTACCCACCTGCCTCAGTTGCCGACAAACCAAGATCTATTTTATTGATCTGTGATCGTACATTAGATCTTTTTGCTCCGTTGTTGCATGAATTCACATATCAAGCCATGGCCATGGACATTGTCCCTAATTTAGAAAGAACCGGTGTTTACAAGTACCAAGTTGAAACTGAATCCGGGGAAACCAAGGAAGCTGAAGCAACACTAGACGATGAAAAGGATGAAGACTGGGTCAATTTAAGACATACCCATATCATTGAGGCTTCTGAATTGATTATCGCTCGTATTAACGATTTGATCAAAAATAATCCGTTAATGGTTGATAGATCCAAAGCCTCCACTTCATCCGATTTAATGTACATTGTTGCCCATTTGAAAGGATTTGATGAAGAAAGAAAGAACTTGACATTACACAAGACTTTAATTGATGAATGCCTTGATATCAATAGTCTGAGAAAATTGGCTGAATTTGCAGCTGATTTCGAACAAACTTGTTGTGCCGATGGTGTCACATTTGAAGGCGAAAGAAACAAAACCTTGCATGACGACTTAATTGTCTTGTTGGCAAGAGAAGATTTACATATCAATGACAAAATCAGATTAGTTTTAATGTATGCATTCTACCGTGGGGGATTACTGGAACTGGATTTCAAAAAATTGGCAAAATTCATTGGTGTTAATGATCGAGAAATTGTGGGATTAATCTCAAGATGCTTCAACAATTTGCATAAATTAGGGTTCCCCATTGTGAAGGCAAGCGCCAAGGATAAACCAGTAGTTAAAACTACATTCCACACCATTAACAACGAAGGAACCTACAACACTTCTAGATTTGGCCCTGCTATAAAGCAAGTGTTAACCAATGCATCCAGATATCATTTGGATGAAGAGTGGTTCCCTTATTTCCGAGACAAACCACTACAAGATGATTTACCTGCATCTGCTCGACCAACATCCAATTCTCGGGTCAACCAACTAAATAATGGAACTGGATCATTAAGAAACCCCAGAATCAAGGCATCCTGGGCCTCAAGTTCTTCACTAAGACATACGGGATCTACAACCAGTTCCATCCACAATCCTTTAAATCAAAAGATTTTCTGTTATGTTGCTGGTGGGATCACGTACAATGAAATGAGATCAATCTACGAGTTATCCCATAGTTTGAATAAAGAGTTTTACATTGGTTCAGAATCGATCTTGAAACCAAGGGATTTCCTTATCGGATTACAATGCATTGACAAGGCCAAATCCATTAAAGATTTGGATTTAAGTATTGCTCGGGAAATGAACAAGCCCCAAGAATGTCCTTCTCATCTTTATGAGACAATTGCATCTCCACCACCTCCTCGTACTGTTTCCACTCCACAGAATCAAGTACAAGAAAAGATGAACAGATTTGAACAACAAGTTCAACAACAACAGCAATCTTTCGAAAGTCAGCATGCGTCATCTACTCTGCATTATAAGAAACGGTTATCTCTTAGTCCAAACTTAAGTGGAGACTCCAAATTTAAGGAAAAGGAAAAGAAAACCTCAAGATTAAAAAAGTTGTTCAAATAGAAAAGCAAACACGTAAAGAAAAAAAAACTAAAAAAACAAACAAAAAGGATTATAGATCAATATATAAGTACAATACGTCTCACATGAGGGCTACGGTTATTATTATGTAGTAATCACTCGTTTAAATTGCGTTACCATGTCAGTTTCCATTGTTCCTTGATGGTTAGACTTCCCGATTGGGTTAATAGGAACGGTAAAATTTTCGATAGGTGTGGAATTTGTCAGCATTCCTGCACACAAGCCACAATGGGGGTACGTCAAAAAAAATTACGTTTCTGTGAAGCGCCCTCTTTCATATATAACGGCGGCTTTGTCTTTTTCAATTCAAGAATTTCAGTTTCAAACCAGTAAAACACGTCTTTTGCATTTCAACGATGGAACATCAATTAGAAGTTACATCGTCATCAGACAGTTTGAACGTGCTAAGTCAGTTACCAATGTTGCTATCAGTTGGTGGTAGTGCATCATCTGGCAGCATTTTATCTGAAGGCAACAACTCTACGACATTGAAAAATAGCGGTTGGTTAAGTTGTAGCGACCCTAATGGAGATGGATGGGGTCCTTTATCACCTACTTATCATGATATCGCGCCATGTTTCCTTCAAGGTGTCTTGTTTGGATCATCTGCTATTCTTATGATTTTAGTTGGGTTGCAACAATTGATTTACTTGCGAAACAAGAAGATCCAAGTAGGTAACAGGAAAACCTGGAATTTCTATGTCAAATTATTGTTGGTCGCATTACAGTTGGGATTCCAGCTCGCCTTGGTTGCCACTTCCACCCAATCGGGTATTATCCATTTAGCATTGATTTTGAACGCCGTTGCCACAGTTGTCGCTTGGGGGATTCATTATCTTGAACAATACAAATCTACAATCCCTAATGGTGTCGTGTTGTTTTATTGGTTATTCCAAATCATTTTGAACCTTGGTAGAACCGCCAATATCCAATTGAGAACCGGTACTGGTGATGTCTTTTCCATTTTTGTCATTTTATCCACTGTCAATGCATTCTTCATCTTGGTTATTGAAACCGCCTTCCCAATCCAACCATTGAATAACTACACTCGTACACTCAAGGTGTCTCCTTATGATCGCGCCAATGTGTTTTCGAGAATTACTTTTGACTGGATGGGTGGATTAATGAAGAAAGGTTATGTTCAATACTTGACCGAACGTGATTTACCAGCATTGCCTAACAAATTAAAGGCCACCACCACTTCCAACAGATTCCAGCACTATTGGGATTCCCAAGCCGTGGAAAAGCCATCCTTATTCCTTGCCATCGCTAAAGCTTTCGGTGGTCAATTCATGTTGGGTGGGTTATTCAAGGGTTTACAAGATCTGTTGGCATTTATTCAACCTCAGTTGTTAAGATTGTTGATTAAGTTTGTCAATGACTATTCCGAATCAGTTAAACGTGGTGATCCAATTCCATTGACTAGAGGGTTCTTGATTGCCCTTTCCATGTTTATTGTTTCCGTGGTCCAAACCGCTTGTTTACATCAATATTTCGAACGTGCTTTTGAATTAGGTATGAAGATCAAGTCAGCTTTAAGTTCTCTGATTTATAACAAATCATTGGTTTTGTCCAATGAATCTAAACAAGAATCATCCACTGGTGATATTGTCAATTTGATGTCGGTTGATGTTCAAAGATTACAAGATTTAGTGCAAAACTTGCAAATCATCTGGTCTGGTCCATTCCAAATCGTTTTATGTTTAGCTTCCTTACACGGATTGATTGGTAACTCAATGTGGGCCGGTGTTGCCATTATGGTCATTATGATTCCATTGAATGCCGTCATTGCCAGAATTCAAAAGAGATTACAAAAGACCCAAATGAAGTACAAGGATGAAAGATCAAGATTAATCAATGAAATCTTGAACAATATCAAATCTTTGAAATTGTACGGGTGGGAAACACCATACTTGGACAAATTAAGACATGTCAGAAACGACAAGGAATTGAAGAATTTAAAGAAGATGGGTATTTTCAGTGCCTTTACCAACTTCACTTGGAATTTGGCTCCTTTCTTGGTTAGTTGTTCCACTTTTGCTGTTTACGTGTTGACTCAAGACAAGAGTTTGTCTACCGATTTAGTGTTCCCTGCTTTAGCATTGTTTAACCTTTTGTCTTTCCCATTAGCCGTGGTTCCTATGGTTATTACTAATGTTGTTGAAGCTCAAGTTGCCATTTCCAGATTGACTAAATTCTTAACTGAACCGGAATTACAAGTTGATGCTGTTGTCAAGGCTCCAAAAGCCAAAAAGTTGGGTGATACTGCTGTTTCCATCAAGAATGGTACTTTCCTTTGGTCCCGTGCTAAAGGTGACCAAAACTACAAGGTTGCTCTTTCAAACATCAACTTGGATGCCAAGAAGGGTGAATTGGATTGTATTGTTGGTAGAGTTGGATCGGGTAAGTCCTCGATCATTCAAGCTATTTTGGGTGATTTATATAAGCTAGATGGTGAAGTCACTCTACATGGTAAGATTGCTTATGTTTCTCAAGTTCCTTGGATTATGAATGGTTCCGTTAGAGACAATATCTTATTTGGTCACAAGTATGACCCAGAATTCTATGATCTTGTTATTAAGGCTTGTGCATTAACTGTTGATTTAAGTATTTTGCCAAAAGGTGACAAGACCGAAGTTGGTGAAAAGGGTATTTCTCTTTCTGGTGGTCAAAAGGCTAGATTGTCGTTAGCTAGAGCTGTGTATGCTCGTGCTGATGTTTATTTGTTAGATGATCCATTGAGTGCTGTTGATGAACATGTTGGTAAGCATTTGACTGATCATGTGTTGGGCCCCCATGGATTATTAAAGACTAAATGTAGAATTTTGGCAACTAATAATATCAAGGTTTTGAGTATTGCTGATAGTTTAGCTTTGGTTAGTGATGGAAGAATTGTTGAACGTGGTACTTATGATGATATTATGAAGCAAGAATCAAGTAAGATTCGTCAATTGATTGATTCCTTTGGTAAGAAGAGAGATGGAAGTTCCACTCCATCATCTGAATCCACGAATTCTCAAGCTGATGCTAAGAAAAATGAATTGGAAGAAACTAAGGTTGATGAAGAAGAAATTGATTTACAAGAATTGGACTCTGATTGTGATTTTGAATGTGGTAGTTTGAGAAGAGCTTCTGAAGTGTCTCTCGACCAAGAAAGTGAAATTGACGATGAAATTGAAGATGAAGATGCCAAGGCAAGAAAGGAACATCTCGAACAAGGTAAAGTTAAATGGGACGTTTACAAGGAGTATGCCAAGGCCTGTAATCCAGTCAATGTCATGATCTTTTTATCGTTTACTGTCATTTCTTTTGTTATTAACGTTGCTTCTAACTTTTGGTTGAAGCATTGGTCTGAAGTTAACTCTCAATATGGTTACAATCCTAATGTTGTGAAATACTTGGGTGTTTACTTTTTGTTAGGTATTGGTTTCTCTGGTGCTTCTTTGATTCAAAATTGTTTCCTTTGGATCTTTTGTTCCATTCAAGGTTCCAAGAAGTTGCATAACCGTATGGCTGTTAGTGTTTTAAGAGCACCAATGACTTTCTTTGAAACTACTCCAATTGGTAGAATTTTGAACAGATTCTCCAATGATGTTTACAAGATCGATGAAGTGTTGGGAAGAGTTTTCAGTATGTTCTTTAGTAACACCGTTAAAGTTACCCTTACCCTTATTGTTATCTGTTACTCCACCTGGCAATTTGTTTTGCTTATCTTGCCCCTTGGTATTTTATACATTTACTACCAACAATATTATTTGAGAACTTCTCGTGAGTTGAGAAGATTAGATTCTGTTTCTAGATCGCCTATTTTTGCCAATTTCCAAGAATCATTAACTGGGGTTTCAATCATTAGAGCTTATGGAAAGGAAGAAAGATTTAAACACTTGAACCAAACTAGAATCGATAGAAACATGGGAGCTTACCACCCTGCAATCAACGCTAATAGATGGTTAGCTGTTAGATTGGAATTCTTGGGTTCTGTCATTATTTTGGGTGCTGCTGGATTATCTATTCTCACCTTAAAGTCCGGACATTTAACTGCTGGGTTAGTTGGTTTGTCGGTGTCATATGCCCTTCAAATCACCCAATCCTTGAACTGGATTGTGAGAATGACCGTGGAAGTCGAAACCAATATTGTTTCTGTGGAAAGAATCTTGGAATACTCTCGTTTGACTTCAGAAGCTCCTGAAATCATTCCCGACAATAGACCACCTGCCAATTGGCCCGTTGATGGTGAAATCCACTTCAAGGATTACTCCACCAAATACAGACCAGAATTAGACTTGGTGTTGAAGAATATCAATCTTGACATTAAACCAAGAGAAAAGATTGGTATTGTTGGTAGAACCGGGGCTGGGAAGTCTTCCATCACATTAGCTTTGTTTAGAATTATTGAAAGATTCGGTGGTAGTATCACCATTGATGGCATTGATACTTCTACTATCGGGTTATACGATTTGAGACATAAATTATCGATTATTCCTCAAGATTCTCAAGTGTTTGAAGGATCTATTAGAAGTAACTTGGATCCAACTGACGAATTCACCGATGATCAAATTTGGAGAGCATTAGAATTGTCACACTTGAAGGATCATGTTACGAAGATGTACGAGGAAAGAGATACCGATATTGAAATCGAAGGCCCATTACATGTTAGAGTTACCGAAGGTGGTTCCAACTTGTCTACCGGGCAAAGACAATTGATGTGTTTGGGACGTGTTTTGTTGAAGTTGAATAATTCTAACGTGTTGGTCTTGGACGAAGCTACTGCTGCCGTTGATGTCGAAACCGATCAAATTCTTCAAGAAACAATCAGAACCGAGTTCAAGGACAAGACAATCATTACCATTGCCCACAGATTGAACACCATTATGGATTCCGATCGAATCTTGGTGTTGGATAAGGGTGAAGTTGCTGAATTTGAAGCTCCAGAAGTGTTGTTGAAGAAGAAAGAATCGCTTTTCTACTCATTATGTGAACAGGGTGGGTTTATAAACGACGAAGATAAGAAATAGGACCACTTGATATTTATAGATATTATACAAAATTATATTTAATCCGTGTAAACGTGAACTCCAATGGACTTTGAACTTTTTTGCAGGAAGTCAACTTTCGCATATGGGAGCGCATTCATTTCCGAGATTAGTAATTACCGGAAATGAACTTATGCGACTAAGCAGTATGAAAGCGGGTCAACGAGCCAAAAAATACCCCATGGCTCCTGGAATTAGTTTAGAGATTGATTGATTGATTGATTGATGGATGGATGGATGGATGGATGGAAGCTAGAACTAGATCAGGTTGTCGTTACGACAAGGTGTAGATTGTCTTAAACAATAAGGATGACGCAATTGCAGGCAATTACGTAATCTCAGGACACCACGAGATGCAGAGATAATCATTGTACATCTGAGTGATTCTCGAAAACAATACCGTTCTTAATATTTTATACACTTACAAAACATATAGAGACAATTCAAAAGAATCATCAATTTTTATAGAATTGGATTACTTATAATTGACCAGAAGCATCAATGGTGATCTTGGCAGAAGTTCTACCAGAAGCGGAACCGTAAGATTCAATCTTCTTAACGAGGTCGAAACCGTCAGTGACTTCACCAAAGACAACGTGGGCACCATCTAACCAAGGACATGGAACGGTGGTGATAAAGAATTGGGAACCGTTGGTGTTTGGACCGGCATTGGCCATGGACAATAATCCTGGTCTGTCGTGCTTCTTGGCGAAGTTTTCGTCAGCAAACTTAGCACCGTAGATGGACTTACCACCGGTACCGTTACCGTTGGTGAAGTCACCACCTTGCAACATGAATTGAGGAATGACTCTGTGGAAAGAAGAACCAGCGTAACCAAAACCCTTTTCACCGGTACATAAGGCTCTGAAATTTTCAGTGGTCTTTGGAACGACATCGTCGTACAACTTGAAGGTAATTCTACCTAATTGTTGGCCATTGGCGGAGACATCAAAGTAAACGGAAGTCATGATTGAATGAGTGGGTTTTTGTAGTTTATGAATCTAAGTCAATTAGAATTGTAAAAAAAAAAGAAAAAAAAAGAATTATGAATTTGCCATAATCGACGTTTCGTCCACCCCTTGCCCTCTTTATATATGAAGGAAATGAGATGAAAAAAAAATTGTAGGGTAATCCTGCACAATGGGCCTGGCACTTTATTGATTTACCAAAAAAAAAAAAATAAAATAAATTAAATTAAAAAGCGGAAAACATGCAAGATGGTAGAATGTTTTCCCAATCCTTTCTATATGTCAGTAAACGCAAGATCAGTAATGTTAGGGGATGGGTTCCCTGAGATCCATGCCGTTGTCTGTGTGATTATTCACCAGGGACTATGTAAGTCAATTGCTGGTTGCATGTGCCAGCAATTCTTTGTAATGCAATAGAAGGTAGTGTACCCATGCAACATAGAACAGTCTGGAACAATACTCCCCAGAGGGTTACCCGGCTGCACTGCCACTTACAATTGTGAGGGGGTTTGCTGGTTTGGCTTTTTACCTTTACAGGTTACTACAACGTGGAGATTACATCATACGCGGTATTAAGGGTAAAGAACACTTGTTGTTTTATTGTTTATTGTTTGATCTAAAATAATAAATCAGCTAATTATAATTTTGACAAGACTGCATCGAGTCCAGAATTGTGTACACCTCTTTCAACTTCAACCCCAAGATACTTGATAGTTCTGTCCTTGGCATTAACCACTGTAGCATAACGTTTGTTTCTCAAAACACCACCTCTGTCTGCGGCCAAATCATGGGCACCACTGAACCCCCCGTCACTAGCAAAGATAACTTGTGGTAAAGCCTTGTCTGATTGCTTGACGTATTCTTTGATCAAGACCTTACCCCAGGCATTGACGACAAAGGCGTCGTTGAATGCAAGGACAAGCAAAGCCCCAACCTTGGCCTCGGTCAATTTTGGCAAGTTTTCTAAATATTGAGGGATGTGGACTTCAGTACATGTTGGGGTGAATGCACCTGGTACAGACACAATTAATAAGTTTGGAGTGTCGGTGGTGGATAACTTGGTTAAAAGTTCATCCACTTTTAATTGGGCACTGGTATCACACTTCAAAGGGTTGATCAAGGCTAAATCATCCAATTGAATTGGAATATATGTAAACTCGACGTTATCTGGGAATTGCTGACCTTCGGTTAATGACATTGCGATGACTGAATAATTACTTGATTGAGTAACAACTTGCTGTATTTCCCACTTGGTTACCCCCTTTTATAGTTTAAAAAAGTCGGGGGAAATCGTCCACTATCGGTGCACGAAATTTGCAAATAAAAGCACGTGATCCACACCACAGTTAGCACAAGCTTGATAAGACGGGAACGCTAACAATAGAACGGTAGAGATCCACAGACCACAGTTGAAACATGATTACACGTCTGTAGTGTTACAAAGACGCGTCGTATGTATTAAGAAAAAGGTAGCGTGATTAGTCAATTTTGGACACGGAGCCAGGATTGAAAAGATTGTGAAACCATTCAATTTCTTTTTGATCTACGTTTGCAGATCAATACATTTAACAGCATTATACGCTTAGATGTTGTAATATCAATTAGTTAGGTTGTCATAGACACCCACCATTTTTTGGTTGTAACCAGCTCCAACATCAAGTGGTAGCACGGCGATCGTCAAAGGCAACCACCACACACACAACACAAACACCAGGGGAACATATTTTCTGGTGATCAGGTTTACAGATTCCGATATTGATCTCACAAGTGTAATATACAAAGGGAAACTACAACTTTGAGACAACTCCAGCACACACACACACACACACGCAACCCCCCCATTTGAGCTTATTGTTTCTATTACATTATGAGTTCGGACAACCCATTATCGGAGCCAGCATCCACACCGCTGCATTCTCCGAAAAGACCAGTTATGGTATCGTTAAACTCGTCAATTGTGTCATCGTCCGCTATGAGAAAGAAACGAGATAGTACCGACAGCACAGCTTCATCGTTTAGTAATGGGAGTGGATCTACTGTTGCACACGGCGGTGGTGGATGTGCCAGTAGCGTGGGCGCAAGCGAACCTCAATTACGACCATTAAGATTAACCCTGCAGCGAACTAACTCTAGTTCAGGCAGTTCTTCCCATACATTATCACCTCCAAGTTCCAAATTAAAGAAACCCAGCTTGACCCAGGATGATTTCCAGTGTCGTCCTATACGGTTGGGATCAAGATCGGTATCGGTGAAAACGGTAGATCACATATCTCTGGATACTACTTCTGCTGCCAGTAAACGAAAATCAATCCAGATCAAGAATCTTCCCATCGAATCATCGACGTCAATTCATCAGTTCACTCCACATAATGACAAGTCCAAGTTTGACGATATGATATTTGCCGTGTGCTTAGTAGATTTCCACCATCAACGAGGTCCCGAAGTGCAATGGTGGAAATCAAACTACCACCCAGATTACAAGCCAGATTTGTTCAAGAATATACCGTTCCAGGCGCTCCCCGACGGATCTCACTTGTTTGAAGAGACGTTTTCAAATTTCAATCTCTGCTATGATTTCAAACAGGGGAGATCGGTGGATGACTTCCAAGATTTGAACAGCTTTAAAGGCGATCCAAGATACATCAAGACTTTGTTTGGGTGTTCATGCGTAAGGCAAGTCAAGACTAGCGATTTGAAACAAGAGGAGCGAGAAAGAAATAAAGATATAACCCGATCTATTGTTCAAAAGGCAATTGTGATTATCGTCCGGAAACAACCGATATTCACCAAGATCAAAGAGAAGTTGTCGATTATTACCAAGACCTATTTCCAACAGGATACGTTTGACAATTTCGAATTGTTGGAGAACTTGTTTGAGAATTTGAATAATCAGTTTAAACTTCTTGATAATGAGTTACACGAGGTTGATACTATTGAACACGAAGAGGAAAACTTTGTGAATTTAAATTTGAAATCGTCGATCTTAAATTTAAGGTCAAATTTCATGGTTATTTTCAAGGCTCTTTTGCTTGAAAAGAAAATCGTTATTTATTCCAATAACAACCTTCAAAAGTTGACTCAGTTTCAAAACAATTTAATTTCATTAATCCCTAATTTAATCAATAATTTAGATGATTCAGGATGTCCCTTGACCGATTACACAGAAACCAATGGGCCCTTGACAAAACCACAATCTTTAGTCACAACCAATAGATTATCAATGTTGCGATTCTTTGGATTGCCATTACAAATATTCAATACGAAAAACTCATTCTGGAATCCTTACCTTCCATTACAACAGTTGAATGAGTTAGCCATAGATAGTTTTATGATCGGTTGTTCTAACTTATTGTTTGTTAACCAAGCTGCCCAATTCAATGTCGATATTGTTGTTAACCTCGATACTAACGAAGTAACATACCCCAGGGCCACTTATGCCCCTGACGAGTTCCATTTGAGTTCGTTGGATAAACGATTTATCCATCATTTGATAACTAAAGTGAAGAGCGATCAAGGCGGAGTGTTTGAAGGCAATGACGATTATATCCGATACCAATTTGAAGATTACATAAACTCGTTGATTTCCACCATGAGATACGCTCAGTACGCCGACAGGTTTGGCCAACCACCACCAGGGTTCGGGCAGGAGAGTAATAAACATATAGGTAACTTATCCGACTTCAACAAAAAGTTTATCCAATGCTGGAAGGAATCGTCCAATTTCAAAATATGGCATGCTATGGCCGACGAATTCATTTTCAATTTTGTGGACCCGAAACATATGGCGACGGAATTGGTGGAGGAGCCTGTATCTTTAAACAAAAATATTTCCAATTTCTTCAATAGTTTTAAGTTTAGGGCTAGTGCCAGCAGCTCTCCTGTGAATGATGGCGTCAAGGCGCAAAAGTATATCCCAGATGATACGTCGGATGCCACTGTTGTTCTGGAAAGTACCGATAGGAATGACGAGAATGCCGAGGAAAACGATGATACTATTGGCGAAATTGCCGAGGGATTTGAGAATGTCGAAGTTAAAGACCAAGTTCCTGAAGAACCAAAGAGTTCGAAGTCATACTGGGGGTGGGGTCAAAAGTAGATGTCTAAATAGCTATGATTTGACCGTGTATAGTTACAAATCCATGTATAGTATAATATAATATTTACCCAGTATACCATCATCATCGGGTTAAGGTGTATCACGTGATCTCTTCTCAAGATTTTTTTTTATATAATTAATTTTTCACTAGTATAGATGATGCACACTTTGCAGTTCTATTAGAGAAACCAAACAATGAAGCACCCTTATCAAATAGTCATTGTCAACAAGGCGGGAACCCACTTGTTCACGTCGGTGAAAAACACTGTTCAAGTGTTTGAGCTTGCCCTGGGTAAAAAGGTAGGCGAGTGGATCGATGACATATCTCCAGATCAAGTCACCCATCAAAACACGCAAATATCGAAAAAGAAAGGGGAACCAATCATGTCACAGCCTATTTATAACCATATCCGATCCTTGCTCTTGACTGGAAATGAAGAGTATCTTGTGGGTACCACTGACAGCGACAAGTCCACCATAATATTCCATGTTGATTTCACAGGTGAAAACTGCTTGACTTTGAGTAAACGTCAAGTGTTGGCCAAGAGACCATGTTCCATTTCTTTTGATGCTGGCAATGAGAATGTTGTTGTTGCAGACAAGTTTGGTGATGTGTATTCGATCCCTATTGATACTAATGAACCAGTTCCTGAAAAGGAATTGGCACCTATTCTCGGTCATGTGTCTATGTTGAGTGATGTGTTAGTCACCTCCTACAAAGGAAAGCAATTCATAATCACCGGTGATCGTGATGAACACATTAGAATTTCCAATTATCCCAAAAGTTACGTCATCAAGAACTTTTTATTTGGCCATCGCGAATTCGTGTCTGATTTGTATGTTTCTGAACATGATCCTTCCGTGTTGATCAGCGGTGGTGGTGATGATTTCATTTGCTTGTGGCATTGGTTCGATAATGAATTGTTGACTAAAGTAGAATTAAGGGACTTGGTTGAGGAATACTTGCACGATGGACATTTACCACCAGCAAGATTCTTGACTGAAGATTCCAAGAAGGAAATATCCATTGCCAAGATTTCCACTTTGAAAACCGACGATAGTTACTTTTTGATTGTTTTAGTGGAAAACACTAGATGTTTATTGGTGTTTGAAATCAACGACGATTTCACAGTCACTCATAATCAGACAATAACTATTGACAACTCCATTGTTGATTTTTCAATTGATGAATCAAACAAGAGGATAATTGCATCAGTTGATACTGAAAGTTCACAACTCTTTGAAGCGTTCAAGTATGAACAGGGTAAGTTTAGCATTGACTCCTCTCTTGAACAATCTTTCAAGAGTGTTACTGACGCTAATCCATTTGACGTTGAATCAAAGCTGGACTTCCAGCAATTGTATTATATCAACAGTATGAGAAAGAGAAGTGAGCATTAGAATAGATTTTGTATAATAGTAACAAAGCAATGAATATATATAATTGGCAAAGAGACAGAGAAGTAGACATATACACGTACAAACACTCAGGAAGTATGGTTACGTTGCAAGTAAGTCAAAGGAAACCAGAGGGAACTTTAAAGTTACATTGGGAGTGTCTTACCGAAACCAGGAAAACAAAGAATGCCCACACTCCTAAAAAAACGAAGCTTCTTGTTCCTATTGAAATCGCAGGATGCTAATCCTACCAAAAGCGTGAAATTCTGGGGCCTATCATGGTTGCAACGTTCAAGTATACGATGGTTAGCCTATGACTGTACTCTACCAAAAAAAGATGCAGGTCGGTTACTGTTTGAATATGACTCCGAATCACATAGAAAAGATTAATAAAAAGCTTAAAACAAGTTCTGTAGAAGTATCTGCTCAAGAAATGGATTCTCATCTCCATTTTCCTAAAACTAAAAGCTATTTACCCGAACTCGGCAAATATATTCTTGGCTTGGCAATTTCCCAACTTTTGTTGCAACCCGAATTAGTTTGTTTGGGGCCACTCGCTCCGGCCGCCTCTACTTGATAATGCAACCTGAAATCAATACTATCGCACGCGACTTTTCCAGCATAGCCCAGGGTACATAAATTGGATGAATTTAAGGTTGGTCTTGTTTGAAGTTTAAATTACAAACTTTTCGCAACAATAATAAAAATAAATTGCTATTTTTGGCAATGACCCACACACACAATCTAGAATGAGATTACGTTCGTGAATTGTTACTCACCCAAATAATAACCTTATTTACACGATGTAATTTGGAGCGAACGCGTAGTATAAGATTGTGCCAAGGTAATTTTAGGGCAACGGTATACTATATCATAAGTGTTAAAAACTTTTCTTCTTGTCAAGTAGAAAAAAAAAAATATTCGCAACTATGACGGCACAACTGGCTTTGGTGACAACATTTGTCTAGAACAAATTTACGAAATGCTTATTCTTGACATCAACAAAGTTGACTCTGGTTTTGTCTTTGATCAACAGTTATAGCATTTATTCGTGTTCATGGGCGGGGTTTATTTCAGGTCTAAATCTGCCCTGGCTGAACAATACGCGGCAGGGGCGATTTGACATGAGGGCTATGTAAAAATCGGTAAATCATGCACTAATTAAATATACAGCTCATAGTCTATTTTGCTCAACGATACAAATGACGGATTAAATTTAAAATTTTGCTATTACATAATTGCGTTCGAGGCTTACATAAGAGGAGTAGAAGTTCAAGCGAAGGATGAAATTCCCTGGCTTATGCATGTGGGCTTATGATAGAGTCATACTTTAGTTTGTAGTTGCGCGAATGGTGGCTTTAATTTGTAAGTGGAACCTGTGACCCCAGAGTTCAGCAGGATCCTGTTTGCTAAACTGTTCGCTGAATCACAACCTGAATTAGTAGAAATGTTTTCTCTGTGGGTACAAGAATAGTTTAATAAATTGCTCATCATAGTTAGTGATTAAAAAAAAAAACCCCTAAATCTTATTTGGCGTTGTATGACAAAATTATATAAATAAAATTTTCTTTTTCGCAATTTTTTATTTTAGTTCATGCACGTGGCGTATGTTTTTTATGCATGTCCATTTTGATTGTTCTTGTTAGATTGATAATGAGGATGGGAAGATCATAGAATAATAGCCACGTTCTAGCAACGTCTGACGAGACGGTAACGAACATTCTTGATTTGAAACAACGCCAATATAAACATGTTTTTTTGGGCAACAGCGAGGAACGTGGACTGAGGTATAAGCAACTTTCTTGGGACTCTTGCAGGTGCCGGCCTATTATCACGAAGGCGTACAATTTTACGAGGTATGTCCCACGCGCATTAAAATCCAAGTATTGGTATCATTACTTTTGTGGGATATTTTGTTCTTAAAAAAGACATTCGCTATTGTTTGCGATTTTTTTCTTGGCCGCTTATTCATTCACGTTTCTAATGTATCATTAAAAATAATTAAGCTCTTTTCTGGGACTGTTCTTGTCTATCTCGCGATCTGCTATATATAAAACTGGGTAAGCCCATTTTTAAGTTTTTCACGTTTTAGTTTTAATCTCTGCGTGTCGCCAGGCATTCTTTTAGTTATAAATTATCTAGGGTTTCGTTTGGATCCTGCTGCAAATCTTTACAGTTTCTCCCCCTTCCACCCCTGAAACCGCCCACAACATATCATAATACCTACTCCTTAAAAATATTCAGTTCAAATTTGCCATTCATTACAGATGACTACTAATATGGAAAAACCAATAAGCGATTTACCTCCCACAAAGAACCGATACATCCAAGTATTGGACTTGTATTTGTCCAATATAATACATAATCCGATATTCACATCCGTAGCTGTATTAATACTGTTTTGCTACTTGCAATGTAAACAATGGGACTGGCTCATGATTTCCTCCCACAGCTTTGAATTTATATTTGTTGAAGATTACGAGTTTGATATCCTTTCCAATATAATAAACTTGATATTTATATTCCGGTTTGTCTACTATATCAAGTTGAATTTGATTGGAGAAATTGCGTTATTTTTGGTACAGAATTTCGCCTGTTACAAGTATGTACTCATGAAGGATGGCATATCGTTCTTTAAAGATACTGACATGTCCATGTTTCTCAAGAGCTGCATAGCTTTACAAGTAATATTTCCCTGGTTGATTTTGTTGTCTTGTATAGTGCAACGCATGCCATGGAACAAGACATTGGTCGACTGCAATACTAATTATCTCCCTTTGTTTATGAGTCAGTCATTTATGTTTGTCAACACTACATTCCCCTTGCTTGACAATAGCTTCAAGAATTATGAGTTGCTTTATAAGTTGGCATGTTTCTCATTGAAATTTTACTTGGTGTTCCAGTTCGTCTTGTATGAGTTTGTCTTGATTAATTATGAACACGAAGACGTGGTAGACTATTCGGTGTACTATAGAGAGGTGAGCTGTTTTAATGAAAAGGGTAGGCAAGGTAAGAGCAACTTCAATTTGGTCAAGAAGTATGCCATGACTGTGGTTTGTTTGTTTATAATTGTGATAGATTTAGGTTTTATTGGTGCTGTGCACAAGAATGTATATAACATGTTATAGAATTTGAAAAAAAATTAGATCATTACTCACTAGTAGTATCTGCAATAGCTTCGTTAAAGCTAAACTCTTTGGCCCGGGTCGTTTCGGTCGCTTTGGTCGCTTTGGTCGCTATTTCCATGTAAAAGTTGCATCATTTTAAAAATAGTACTGGAACGTGTTTCTATACGCGGCTAGCTGCTAAGCCAATGAGAATGGTGGAGAATATTAGTTGACATGTCAATATAGACAGAACGATGCAAATATGCAAAGGGAATAAAAAAAATGTGTAAGTCGTGTGAGTAAATCTAAAAAATAACTTGAAACAAAGATGTTCTCAGCCAAGAACTAAAAATAAAGCAGGCTTACCCACAGTTTTATACACTATGTCGTATGGGATCATGTTGCACTTTATATCACAAACATTCGTCTGTTTCAAACTGAGAATGAAGGCTTTGACGTGCTGCTGTAATGGCTTAGTATGCGCAACTGTTGCTATTGCTCACAAACCGTGTTGAAATATCTAACGCCGCATGCGAGATTTCGGGACCATGACACAAAATGGTGCACAATTAGCTGGGCTTTAAAAATGTCTATTATTGCGCTAGTTTCATTATGTGTTAAATTTCTGCTTTGTTTGAGATTATTTAGTCACACAAAACCTGCAGTTGCGATTTATTCACCATTTCCTCCCTTCCTTCCTTCCTTCGTTCCTTCTTTCTTTCTTTCTATTCATTTATTTCCTTCTTTCACTACACTCTCGTTAACACCCCCAATGCCACTTACTCCAGTTATGCCTGTCAAGGGGTTGCGCTACCTCGTGCTCGCATTGTCGTTCGTGCTTCTTATGTCCATAACATATATTTCTACGGATACTTTTAGCACAACATTAAAATCATACCACGAAACATACAAGTCATACAGGTTCAGCAGTCAACCAAACATCAAGCAAGTTACCTCGTTTCTCGATTCTCTTGTTATATATCCCAAAACTGAAAACTTAAAATATGAACAAACAGATTTTGTCGTGCAGTATGCTGGTGACTCCTCGGGATTATCTACAACCATTGTCGAGGACGAGTACAAGAACCACACTCTTTCAATATTCATGTCAGAAATCCAATCGGACGATTGCAAAGCCATTAATGTCAAGGAAAATATCGGCATCAACAACTATCTCACACTTCCAGACAACCTCGCTGAGATGGCGCAGATCTTGCAGGATCAGCTTGACAACGAGGACGCGTTCAAGCATATTGCGCCCTTTTTCGAAAACAAGATACCGAACATGATCGCAGCACGTAACGTATCCAAGCATTTCTTCAAATTTGTTGGTACATCGGTGTGGTTAAAAGAGTACGGCGTTCATCTTATGGTTAGTCGAGTATTATTCTCACGCCGAGGGATCAAATGGGATCCCCAAATTTCATTGATGTATGCACAAGTATACAATGAAGACTGGCAGGAGTTGCATAACGTTAAGTTAAAGATCCCAAATAGGAACGGCGGCGGCCCACAAACCATGAAATTCCCTTCATTCCTCCGTGTCCCATTCAACTATGATTCCAGCCGAACCGCGAGAAGATGGTATGGTCCAGAAGATGGCCGGATCTTACTCATACAAAACGAATACGGCGTTGAGGAACCAGTGCTTATTTTCAATTCACATACACGAATGTTGGAGACGACAGGCGGTGAAACCGAGGAAGTCTTCTACAGATCTATATTCATGGGATGGGTATTCCAAGAACAAATCGGTAAGGCAAATGTTGATGGTGAAGAAGATATACGATTTGACAATACGAGATACATCAAAGTACGTCAGTTGCAAATTATCGGCGAGGAGCGCAACCAAATTGAAAAGAACTGGACACCGTTTGTTGATGTCAGCGAGCGAGACAAGTTCGATCGCAACCTTTACATTGTATATGACTGGCACAATTTGCAAATCCTCAAATGTGACTTGTACAATTTAACCCTGGACAGATTCAGCAACTGTGAGCGGGTATATAATGCTGGAACACCCCATTCTAAAATCGGGGTGATTCGAGGAGGTACAGAACTAATCCCGCTAAGCAGCGTTCGTGAAACTGGAAATCAGCTTTGGATAGGGTTTGTTCGGACCCATATTAATAGATGTGGGTGTGGAAGTTCAATGTACAGACCCCATCTTGTAATTCTCCAACGTGCCGGTCACAACTATAGAGTGACACACATGTCATCGTCCATTTCGTTTGATATTCCTGGATTAGGCGCAGGAAGAACTGCAGGGTTATGTGGGAAACGTGATCCAAATATTTTGATTGCCAATGGGATTTCCAATTGGGAATTGGATGAGAATACAGGAAGTGATTATTTGACATTGACGTTGAGCACCGGTGACGAGTACAATACTCTCGTTCATATCAAGGACCTTGGCAAGATGATTGAAAGGTTAGACTTGGATGTTGCGTATGAAGAAGAGAATACTTCAATGAGAGGTTGTGTCGTTAGTGCAGCTTTTGATTTCTGTAAAGCATTTGGTATAGAGATGGATGAGTTAGGATTAACTCAAGCTGCCATGGATCGAGCTGAGAAAGAAAAGCAAGCAAAAGAGAAAGAGGCAAAACAGAAAGAGGCAAAGGAGAAAGAGGCAAAAGAGAAGCCGAAAACACCCAAATATACATAGTTAGGATACTTATACATTATGCATTAGTTCTATTAATATCTATAAGTTCTATGAATTTTTGTCATAATTGGCGTATGTGTATGTGTAACTGTCGACAACCAAGCGATGAATTGTCGATGGTGAGATTTTGCGTTTTTTAGTAGGTGGTTCTTCCGCAGCTGGCTCTTGATTAGGTAGCTCTGCAGGGGGTGGTTCCTGCGTAGATGGCTCTTGGCAAGTATATTGTACCTCAATTGGAACGTCTTCCGGAGCAACCGATGGGGTTCTATTTGTGAGTTCTGGATCTATCAACTCTAAACTGATTTGAGTATCCGCTTCAGCCACATTGGATTGAATTTGCTCAGGGGCGACCTGTTGGTTAAGCTCCAGTGTATTGTCCACATCCTCCTCTTCACTTTCACTTTCACTTTCACTTTCATTTTCTAATTCTCTCTGCTCAGTTAACCAAAGAGCAGCTAAATCTTGTGCCTTTTCTGGTTCATAATAAGCACTCGGCAATAACATTGTTGCCAACCCTCGTTCATGCACTTTGGAATTCATTTGATCCAACGCCTCCAATTCTTCAGTTTCATGCTCAATCAACATGTCTTCTAGTTCCTCATCTAGTTCCTCGGAAATGTTAGCGATATTGCCTTTCCTCAATGAATTGATATGCATTATTCCCTTTGGGTTTTCTCCTTGATGTTTCTGGGGGATGGTGAATGTGGGATCAAGATATAGTGTTGGTTCGTACAAGTTCCGTTTCTCCTTTTGTAAATTGGAAACTTCAATCCACATGTTTCTATAGTTGAATAGCGAATCCGGATCGTTATAATTGAGTGATGCAATTGCTTGATCTATATCGAATTTTCTGATTGAATTTGAATGGGTGGATATAACTTTCAAGATGATTCTTTTAGTTAATAGACGGATCAATTCTTCGATTAGTATCAATGCAGGAAACCCAAGGTTTAATGAAAACAACTTCTTGAAATTGTCAAGGTTGATCAAGGACAAGTCTTCATATATTGCAAAACTCGATTTCAACTTTGTGGCTTTTGCCAATTCGAATGTTCTCTCTCGATATCCAATCAGTTCAGTTTGTAATTCCTCAAAATTGATAAAGTAAGGCGATATCTCGTATGCAATGGGCATTTCGTGGTATGTCAATAACTTGGTGCTCCAATTCCGCTTGAGTCCGAACCGATTGACCACCGTCAGCTTCCGGTTCTTCAATGCTTCTGTCAGCTTCTTCAAATGTGTATAGTAATTCATGATCTCCAATATGGACTTTGTCTTTACCCGTTCTTGGATCAAGTCGGCCCGATGGATACTGCATTTGCTCAAGGCATCAAAGAAGCGCTCTTTCTCCTGCCAGGACCAAAACGTTCCTGGCGTTTCGTGTTCAGTTATTGTTCCTTCTTCGCTTCGGTAGTAGACTTGCCCATTGTGTGCGATTATCGAGTCACGCAAGTGGGATGTGGTGTATGAATTGGAATAGGTGAATGTTTCCTCTACGAACCGATTGTAGAAATCAACGTAAGCTCGGTTTCCTATAAACACTCGACTTGGTCGTAGGCCCTCTGATCGGGATATTACAGGAGGGGCAGGCCCAGGGGGGATAGAAGTAGGAGCAGGAGGAGAAGTAGGAGCTGGTGTATCCTCTTCTGCCAGCATGATATGGTTGTGATGTATGGTGATGACTTGATCGGGAAGGCATCACTGAGATTTTTTTTACACTACGCGGTACAAAAGTGAGCGGATTGTTTAACTTCATTACACCTAAAAAAATTATTATCTACTGTGTCATATCGTAACCGTATTGATCTTGTCAGTCACCCCCACCATCGCTTCTTCTTCTTCTTCTTGTTGTTGTTGTTGTTGTTTCTTGTCTTCTCCATCATCAGTATCCACCCATTCACTACTATCGCTAGTATATCCTTTCTCCTGACGTAATATCTCGGGCAAGAACGGTTTAGCTTCATCTTCTACACCAATTTCTTTATGAAATATCTCCACGTACTCCTCCGGAACCAATCCATTCTCTCCAGTTTCTGGGTCTTCCGCTACTAGCCAACCCTGTCCGTGACGATAGCTGATCCATATGATTTGTCCTTCCGTTAAACTCACCTCGTTATCATTCTCGGGCACAAAATCAAACAAAGCTCGGGCTTTACGATTGATCTCATCTCGTGGCCCCGCCTCATTGCTAATATCGTCATAGTCATCATAATCGTAGTCATCGTCATCATCATCATCGTCTGCCTCCTCGCCTTCACTCAGGTGGAAATATTCATCGTCGTGTCTCCTTCGATCTACCATATCATCTTCAGAATCGGAGTCTAAACGAGGCGCATGGGCAAAATCCCCGCAATACAATGGATTCAGACTTGCATACCCATAGTCTCGAATCACTGTCGATGGAAGAAACGAGTTATAGTTGTTCATATGAGGGCTTCGTCTAATATAATACAGGGTTTTGCTATGTTGTTCTTTTTTCTTTTATTTTTTTTTTGCCAGTAAAAACTTATCCAGAATCAAAAGTAGGGAAATTGAGGTTATAAACAAGAAAAGGGGACGCGGTATGGTTTTGCTTAATCAAGATCGGTGTTTACTCGGTTATGTTTCCTAAGGTTTGCAACTTAATGTTTGATAGATGTTGTCCCTTGCTACCCCCTCTTAAAGTCCTATGGTTAGCTTTTTTGGCGTTGTGTATTTTTTTGCTTCTAATTTTAATCTCAGATTGTTTGCTCACGTGATTACAAAGAGTGGTCGTTCCTATCAGTTACTCCCTAGTACAAATCGACAGTTGTCTGTGTGATGTGTGTTGAACTGGTTTCTACATATATACTTGGTGATAGCTGACGAATGGTGAATATTCACTTCCTTTTAGTGTGCAGTTTACGTGTCCAGCCGTGCTGCTTTGACCAAAGTTAAACTTCTCCCACAGTAAACAAAAAAATTTTTTTTTTTTCAAGTCTGCACTATCAACGTTGCTTGACAGTAACTAGTAACCTTTTAATAGACATAAACATGGATCCAGCTGAGGAACAACAGCAAGAACTAGAAGTTCTTGAATCGATATACCCTGATGAATTAACAGTTATCAGTCCTACCCATTTCATAATCCGAGTGCAATTAGATACCCCTTCACAACGTAAGCACTACCTTGACTTGATTGTCAGGTATCCCCCAACATACCCTGAAGTCATACCTAATCTTGATCTCGAAATACCGGAGATATCCGAAGAAGAAGAAGATAGCGACGACGATGACGAAGATGAGGATGACGACGATACCAAGGCCATTAAGCTTGCCTTGAACATGGCCGAGGTCATTGAGTTTACTAGAGACGAACTTGCGTTATTGTTATCGAAATTAAACGAAGAAGCTGAGTTGAACATAGGCATGCCTTCGGTGTTTGCATTGACTACCCAGTTAAAGGACGAGGCTGAAGCTTTGTTTGTGCAAATTCTCGAAACCAGACAAAAGGAGTATGAACGCGAAAGAGAAGAACGGGAACGAGAAGAACAGAAAAAGTTTATTGGTACTAAGGTCACCAAGGAGCTGTACTTGGAATGGAGAGACAAATTCAGGGCAGAAATGAAATTCGATGAAATTGACAAAAAGAGATTCCAACAGATGCATCAAGGGAAGTTAACTGGTCGGGAAATCTTTGAAAAGGGTTTGGCTGGTGCTGAAGACGACGAAGAAGATTTGACTGAAGGTGTAAAGAAGATAGCTGTATAGATGAATAACATACATAACATGCATGTGAGTACATATCGGCCCATGTAGTACATATTACACAATTCTTCGCGGGAATTTGCACCCTTTTCTTGGTAGTAGTGGGGAGTAACGTAGCAGCAGCGGAAATTCCCAATCAGGAAAAGAACAAAGTCTATAGCTCCTCTCTCTCTCCCCCCCACAAATACACATTTATAGAAAATCACGGCAGGAATTACTTCGGTTATATTTTTAGTGGCCGGCTTTCAAGGGTTGCACATGGGCTTTGATCCTGTGGGGACACTTGTTTCTTATCTGAACAAACACATTTAACTAAAACAAAGGCTTTAGCAATCGTGGTGGGTGTATAACACCGAGCAGGGCACCGAAAAAAAAAATGCTCCACAAAAACTGGCGCAAACATCGGCAATAGTAAGACCATGCAAATTTCTGCCAATTTTTTTATTCACCCATTACTAATTTTAGGGCCGTCCGGCTGTAATATTATATGGTTGCAGCGCAATAGTTGTCCAGCAAGGTTTAATACATTTGCTGTAGATAACACCCATTTTGCACGAAATGTTACCCTGCTGGTTAGAAAACCCCGGTATTATTCTTGTTAGGTTTTCCTGACCATCTGCCCCTTTTTTTATTCTGATTGTTCTCTGTTTGGCCCGGTGTTAGACAATCTACATTTCCCAATGCGGTGTTTGACGTGAAATAGTCCAAATCCGATCGAACATTCTAATCTAGATATAAACAATGGTCATGGCCAAGAAAATAAATGCTGAATAATGAATGTCTTATTTCCGAGATTTCCATTGAACCAAAAAAAAACTTTTTGAATTATAGGGGAAAAATCTAAAGATGACACTTTATTGCATATGATTACAGGAGACTTCCCTAACTGGTAAAATACAGTCATTACATTCCCATGGCTATCTGTAGGTTAGCGGGGTTGGTCCCTCAGTCGTTTCCCGTAAGATCAGTGAAGGGGGTATTTTCGCTTTCGTACCATTCGCGCCGATGTGTTGCAACTCCTCATCACTAAAAAAAAACAATATCGGCACTAAGAGCCCCACTATCATTATACACACATTTCCATTACTACAATAAATTTGACTATAATTAAAAAAGCATTAATTTAAAAAATCTATATCGAACTGAAGGTATACTCTATAACAAATAAATAAATCCAAACTCATTCTGTATGCAAACGTAACACTGTACTTCGTAACTCATAAAATATTTAGCCATGTAAAATATTATCTAGAAAACATGTTCCAAGGCAATGGTTCCACCATTAAACATGTTGTTGAAAGGTTGTTGCTTGTGTTCAACCTCTATGTATTTGCTCTTGGGTGTACTCTTGGCGATGGCATATGGCTTTTCGTGAATATCATGAACTTCAATCTCATCATCAGTTAATGAATATGAATCGCTGAGATCTGGCAATGACAAGATAGAATCTTCAGATTCTGAATCACTTGAATATGAATCTTCGTCTTCATCTTCTTCTTCGATTGCAGAAAGGTTCATCACTGGCAATTCTCTGAATACTGGTAAATTATCTGGTGATTGTGCTTGTTGTTGTTCTTCTTCGTCTTCTTCAACTTCATCAGAATCAGAGTAGTAGTAATAGTCGTCTGAATCAGATTCAGAGTCGGATGACGTGAAATCATCATCATCGTCTTCTTCCACTATGGAGTTGGCGGGACGGAAAATCAAAGGACTGAATTGTTCGACATCTTCATCTTCAGAATCTGATTCGGGATCTGAATCACCTAATTCGTATTCAGTTACAGATGTGTTGGTATGGTTAACTGGCTTAACTGGAATGTTAAAAGTAACATGGGCTTGTACTTGTGGAGCGGCCTTTTGTTGCTGTTGCAACTTGCTCTTTTCTCTTTGCTGGATTGTTCTTCTTTCAGTTTCTTCACTGATGTAATCCATTATGTTATCTAACATGTTAGCTTGAACAACTAAATGTCTTAAGGAAGCCTTTGGTGAGGCGGCCTCTTTAGTAAGCTTGGATCTTACTTTAGATGCTAAGATATATGTTTGGGCAAAGGATAATTCGGACATTGCTTGCTATTGAATTGATAGTGATTATAGAAAATTTGAAATCAAGAAATAGGAGATTATAATTATATTTATATTAATTTTTTATTTTATTTTTATGACTAATGGAATTTGCGGACAATTCGTTAAATCCAGTCCGCGGTTTATTTCCGATCGGTGTTGCGATTATTTTTTTTTTTGTTATTTCCATGTTTTAACAACCTTTTTTTTTTTTTTGTCTTTACATCCGAGATTCTTTTTTTTTTTTGCTCATAGAACAGCATCGATGGTTCCATTGCGCGGCCTTTTGTTTCTTTGCGTTGTTTTGTACAAGGTTTTTTTGTCTTTGTGGGTGCTCATCATCCGATCCAACTTTTCCGACAAGTCCACATTTCCGAAGATGCCACATCTTCAACCAAAAAAGGAGATCCCCTACCTGAGGTTACAATTTACAAAGAAAGTAAAACTCCACAGTTTCACCTACAAAGGAGATAACTAATATTGTTAAACATTAATGATATCATTTAATTAATAAGCGATTCATATGCAAAAGAGAAATTAACTATATAATTCTTAGTATAATTTGTCATCATTTTTTTTGTGCCTACTTTTGAAATTTCTTTTTTCTTCTATATTTTTTGTGTTTACTCAGCCGTTGACCACTTTCTCTATTTAGTAATCCCCGTGCAGCTACCATCCCTTACTGAAAGTAGCAACAACAATGGCAATAACAACAATACGATCAGACAATATATGTCAACAAGATGAGTAATCTATGTTTGCTATAACATAAACATTTGGCAATGACTAATAGTTAACACTGTGGCATGCACCCCCGCTGACATCGCACAAGGAAAGAAAAAAAAAAGTAAACAGAGTGATTCATCGTGTAAGCATATTAGCTAAGCAAGGTGGGAAACAACATTTTTTATGGGGTCGGATCGGAGCACTAGGGAGGGGACGAAACTTGGGGCTATGATTAACATTCTTAAAAATCAATTTAAAAGCCTAGAATTACTCTTGTTTCAACTATTGTAGAGCCTTATTTCTGCAAAGTGTCTAAATCTGGACTTTCAACATTTGCTCTGTTTCAATCCTTCACATCAACCTGGATTACTCGCTTTGCATCCATCTAGTTTGATGTCGGATTTGTATCACATCAGATCAGGAAATACCTAAATCCAGCTAACTCCGCAGCTGGAAATAGTGATAATCATGCCCCTCCTATCATTTACTCCATAATTCGGTTTAAATGTCGGAACTGCGCACTATCTCCGAATCTGTCCCTTCTTTTTCTCTTTCTCCCACATAATATTTTTAGTCAGATTGTACTTTCATATGCATGCGGCGGGCCATTATGTGAATATATATACCGTTCCGATCCTTAAAAATCGTAAGCCTGAATAAATGTGTTACTGGCTTAACTAAGTGATTATTTTTGGATGAACTTGACAAACTAATAAGCATAACTACAGTCTGGGCTTAACCAAGCATAGCAATCAGCAAAGGCGGATCGAATAATAATTCTCTAGTCTATTGTTTCGTAAGGTGGAATTGCGGCTAGCCTTGCCAAAGATTTAACTATGCACATAATATAAAGGAACAATTTAAAATCTCTCGGGATCTGAGCTAATATTAGATTCCTGCTTTCAGGAGGTTCTCTTGTAATCCTCTCAATTTAAGCTTTATGGCTAAATAAACTTTAATATCACGGCCCCATCACGTAACTGAATAAATCACGGAACTGCTATATCCCTCCCGTGTATATTTGAGCAACCGCGGTATATACTCGCTTGTAGTATATTGTAATTATTTTTTTGGGGCGGCTACTGCACATCCGAATTTTCCAGATGTACCCGCGTAAATTTCACAACCAGGTGTCTTTGCAACAATAAACATTCTAGGCATAATGCAGCAGAAGTCAAATATGGCAAATCTGACTTTAGAAAAGAGAAATATAGAAGTTACAGGCGTGTAGGTGCGTTATGAGAGAAATGCTAGGGTTGCTGTTTTTAATGCGAAATATCTCTTGATTCAGCCCAACAATTCCATTTTGAAATATCATTTGCAACCCAACCTGTTGAAGATAACAGTTCTAGAATTACTTGCAGTTACTCTTTCCGTTACCCTCGCATACCATTCCCATTGTCTACAACGACATGGCTGCCTATGCTTATGACCTACGTTAACTACAAAGTTTAAGATGTTACAAAAGATCAAGATACAATTCAAACAGTAATTACTAATGAAATCCCTCTGATAGGATTCAAAGGAACATTGCGTTGACGTGTATCTTATTCCTATCATCTTCTAAATTACTGTAAACTTTGGTATTTCAAATTGAAATTATATATTGTTGTACATTTTATGCTATCCCACTGTAAAGTATGGAATTATTTAATAATGCAATGAATGTGCTGAAAATATTAATGGAGTCATTAAAAAATCATCATAACCTGGAATTGTTTATTTCTTGTTTGTTTAATCGAATAAACCGAAACCCATGTCATCATCAGATTCTTCCTTTTCTTCTTCCTTTTCTTCAGCAGCTGGTTCATCAGCAGCAGCACCGGCAGCACCGGCAGCTGGAGCAGCACCAGAGGCAGCTGGGGCAGAAGCAGCGAAGGAGAATAATAATTCCTTCAAGTTCTTACCTTCAACAGCCTTGGCGAAAACATTGGCCCAGACACCTTCAACGGAAGCACCAGCAGCGTTGGTGATGGCTAACAACTTTTCAGCGGTGATTTCTTGCTCAGCATCGGCTAAGATTAAAGCAGCGTAGGAAACAGAAGCTTCGGCAGACATTGTTTGTGTATATGGTTCTATAGTTAACTATATGGAAATATTTTTCTTATTTTCCATTGAAAAATGGTGAAACCTTGGGTGAAAAAAAAAAAAATAGATAATGGTAAGTGCACGAATATTTGTTATTAGGGTATTAGCCCTAATATTCACGTGATTAATAACAAACCAATATCAGAACCATTCTTATTAGCTGCTTATTACAGTTGATGATCTAGCATAGCGTTATTTATCTTAAATTTCTTACAATATATACAAACTTGGGGGAGGGGAGGAGGGGGATAAATATCATTTTACAAACAAAGTGCTTACTTTAAGAATTTAGAAATAGAAGATAACCAACCTCTGTATTCACTTTCTTCCTTGTGTTCACTGTAAGCAACAATGAATTCAGCCAACTTTTCATCAATACCCTTGGCAGTAAGATAGTTTTCAAATTCAACTTGTAATGATTCATCTAAGTCTTCGAACTTAGGACCTTCGTATCTGAACTTGTCTGTAAAGTTGCCCTTGGAAACTTCGGAAATGAATTCAGTAGCATTTGGTTGGTAGTTTACACATTCGACGGAGAATCCAGATTCGATATTCTTCAAGAATAAATCAAAGTTTAATCCATCATTAGTAGCTGGATCTTCAATGAAGACCTTGAATTTGGAAAAGAATCCATTACCAAAGGATTCACTGTCTTCATCTTCATCAGCCCATTCGTTTTCTTCTTGGAATTCCAGGAATTCTTCACTTAAATCAGTAACTTCTTCAACATCAAAGTAAACATGGATGACATGACCAGATGCATCAGTTCTGATCAATTCAACGTTAGCATTACCTTCCTTTGTAATAACCTTGTAACCTTGACTTGAAAGGTATTCTTCAAATCCAGCATCTAATTCATTTGGAATTTCTTCAGCGACCTTTAATTCACCTTCAATAACGGCTTTGAGGGAAGACTCACTGCTAGATTGCTTTCTGATGATTTGAGTGCTAGAGAAAGAACGAATGGAGGTGGAAGCAACAAGCTTTGGTAAAGCAGCAATGACTGGGGTTCTAATAGATCTGGAGGTGGCAATTGCTAATCTCTTACTCAATTGAGTACGCAAGGTAGAAGATAATAACTTGGACATTTTTTTGAAACTTGTGGTGTTGATGGAAATGGTTAGATTATGATTGGAAGCCGGGGGCGACATATTTGAAAGGGGAAATGAATTTTGGAGATGGTGTGTATTTTGGTCGTGTACACACCAAATGTCTTAAACCTAAATTAGGGTTGCAAAAAAATTTAAACCAAACAGCAACTTCAAAGATATACGAATAGCACGGCTAGCAATAGATGAATAAACCTCTTTTAAGTGAGAGTGCGATGCTCTTCATTACTTACAATGTTAATTCTAATTTTAAATTGTAGATTTTTGAACTATTTTAAATGTTCTATTATACAGATCTCTACTTTGTCTTTAAGATCAAAGAGAATCAAAATATTCTTGAACGAAAATTGAACTTCGTCTGTATCTTCTTTCCAGGTACTTTTCGAAAATTGCCTTATGGTTCGTCTCAGCATGACGACAGCTTTCCAATAAAATTTCAGCAACTGGACGTAATTGACGTTCAGTATATCCGCTATAAAATACATGTAATTCGGTCCATTCTCCCCGATTCAATAATTTGCGTGATAAATAATGAGCACTTGCTGCCAACCAACTTGGTGGCGAGGCAACAAATTTAGAATCCATGATTGTGATTTCTAGGAAGTACTTGGCTAATGTTCTAGTTTCGTAGTCGTAATCATCGGCTTTTGATGTTCTTCTCAAGAATGACATTGGTCCGGGCCATCCCATATCGAATTCTAATACGTCAATCATAAATCGTTCTGCTTTAAGGAATTCGTCTATAGTATAAGCATTGTCGGCCATATAAGCAACTTCTTGAACTGTGGGACAATTGATTTCTTCATATTTGGCAGCAATAAATAATGCAACTGCTCCAACTAATTGGAATCGTGATAATGAAACTTTACGTTTGGATAAGAACCGGTCAATATAATTAACAGTGAGAAATAAGGTTTCGGAAAGTAAATTGAATCTCAGGTGGACTTGGACAACCCAGTCTATTAATACTGATCTCATTTCCCATTTCAATTCATCTTGGTTGTCCATATAGTTGGCATCAGGTGCCAATTTATTTTCTAGTTCATGAAGATAGTTGAAAATTTCGGGAGCATACTCTGCAACCATTGCCGGATCATATGTGTCTTCATCATCTTCATCTAAAGTATCACGCGAATACTTATGTACGACTCGCCTCATTTCAGCGATAATTGAAGGAGTCCAAGTTGGCTGCATGGGGATATGAGTATTGAATGGTGATCTCAAGGATTGCTCTTGGGTATCTAGTTCATCTTCGTCGGGCTTCTGATATTCTAACTCTTCATCTTCACTATCTAGTTCGTTTTTGTCAATAACATGTTGACTGATATCAATATCGTCAACACTATCAGAATTAGTTATTAATTTTTCACTAGCATGTTCAAACAATAATGCATCTTCATCATATTGGTCTTCCTGCGATATATCAAAGTTAGTCTGCATATCTCTTTCATGCTGCTGATCTACATCGTTTTCTTTTGTATCTATTATATCATCGTAAAAATTCTCTTTATCGTCTTCATTGTCGGCACCAGTGTGAACAGACAGTCTCTCCAATCGTGGTTTCTTAAATTGATGGAGATTCAGCTGCTTAAATATGGAAATTTTGGTACCCTGGGACGAAGTCGGTTGATGTAAACCCCGCGATTGTGATTGTGATGGTTTGGATCCTCCATGTTGATAATGGAGATTTTCTTGTGCCGTAACATCACTTAACGCTTCTCTATATTGTGATGATACGTATACATGCTGTTGCAGTTGTTGAGTGCTCGAAGCAATTGGTCCATTGGAAGTTGTATGTGACTTTGCCTTGATTTGATTGCTCAATACTTGATTTTCATCATTGACAGTTGATTTAGATTTAAACGACTTCATGATTGAGTTGCGTGAATATTTGAATTGTCAACCTGAATGGTTATTATGCAAAGTTGTATGGTTATACTGTAAGGTATGACGTGTTTTAGGACGTGTAATTAATGTTTGTAATTGGCGGAAGCAAATCCTGAATTTTTGGTGTATGTTTTTTTTTTGTGTGTTTGTTTGTTTGTTTATGTTTGACTGATGATGTGAAACAAAACAAAAAAAAAATCTGAAACTGAAAGGGTTGCCAATGTAAATAAAGTGACAACTAGCTGTATGTTGAATTAAATAAACGATTAAGCGAATGAAGTTGAATCGAGTATTATATTGAAATTATACTCTGATTCAGTGTGTATGTTAGTGGTTCTTTTTTAGTACAAGGATGGAATGGTAAATATCATTCAAACAGCCTTGGTTTAACTTGAACGGAAAAAAATCTATAAACGAATGTGGTTATTTGCTGGAGAGCAAAAAGTTGGATTTAAGAAGTAAAAACTTGTCTGTTAGGGATGTCTCTGAAAGGATACGTTCAAAGTGACGTGGTTGTTAGGGGGGTGGGACGAGAATGTTGTGGTATTTGGAATGGGTTGTTTGACGGTTAAGTATCTGGTTGATTTCTCTTAGTCTTTCTTTGGCAGAAGCAGTATAAATTAGGAATGAACAGTCTGCTCAAGAAGAAGAAGAAGAAGAAGAAGAAGAAGTTGAGTTTGGAATGAGAACAACTGTTTAGAAAAGCGTAGATGGAAAACCAAAATACAACACAATGGAAAGAAAAACAATCAGATTCACCGCCAATTTTTTTTGCTACACAAAAACACCAATTTCGTAGCAATTCAAAATAAATAAATAAAAAAAAAACAAAAGATTCCTAGAGTGAAGATTCAGTCTAGACTTCCCCATCTCCAGTAAGGCAATGAGCCGTACGCGTGCATTGTCATATCTTTCTTCTACCTGCTTGGCATTGTCTCGTTCTCTCGCCCCCCAGGCTTGTTATTCTGGGCGAAAGCTCAGTGAGGCAAAAAAAAAAATAAAAATTACACCCAGCCATCATTCTTGGAAATTTTCAAGACATTACTTAAATACAACCAACATCTTGAGCAGAAAATAAGACCTGAAATCGTCTATTTTGCATTTGCTTTCTATTCCTTTCTAAGTAAAATTGCCAAATTTTCAAGCGGAGCTCAAAAGTTAAGTTTAAGGAGAACTGCGCGCTCGGTGTTATGCTTGCTTCTGCGAACTTTCTAACTTTAAACTGAATTGATAACACCGATAGTATATAAAAAGAAGTAGCTATTTTCATGACTTCGTAAGAGCTTTTAGAACATTCCTAGCAAGCCAATTCTTGGTTGTGTCCAGAAATTATTGCAAAAATAAAACATGGGAATGGTCGCGCAAAAAGAATCCAAAATGTAAACAAAGTTTTGTGCAAAAACTGTAAATTTAATTTCTAGAATAAGAATTACAGTTTGGTTCAAATTTTGCAATTGCTGTGATAAACCCGATCTGCTTTTACAGACCTCTTAAACTATCTCCATTAGATCCGGCTTTGCAAATAGTAAAGGTTAAAGTTTGAAGAAGAGAGAGATAACAAGCATTTACTGAAACACATTTATGAACATTCACATCTACGAATGCACACCCCTTTCTCCACTATTTTTCTTTCGGGTGTTTTTAGTGAAAAATTGATTAAATTTAGTTTAATTGCAGTGTCAATTTTAATCTCCCATTGTTAAATCAATCAAATCAAACTCCCTGGGTGTTTCAAAAACTGCAAGACCTAAGTGAAACATAAATAAGGCACAGGTCTACTATTTCCGGGATCTCTTGCAATGTTTGTGTCGTATTTTTAGTAATATTGCATATTACCATTTGCACATGCCAAGGAACATTGTTTTTGTTACAGGCGACAATAGCACTGTTGTCAACTTATTTCGATTTCTGCTAATGTCTATGAGAACTAAATTGTCATGTCCTGGGTAGATCAAACTTACATCAATACGCTTTCATGGTTTGTCAACATCTCACTCACCTTCCCCCTCTTTTTTTATCAATAACGTAAAATCGACCCAGAAGTTTATTTCTCTTACGCACCTTCACTAACTTTATTTTCAGCCATAGAATAAGGGCGGGCCAAAACATGGGATCAAACACCCTTGACAACACCGTTGTCACCTCCACCAATAATATATAGGTTACAAAATGATATGTGCCTTCAAGGCAATACAAGCATCCGCGGCTCTCAATCACGAGTAGCACTACAATGGGGCCCTTTCGGTTTGGCTTAACTTATTTTTTTGTGTTAATTTTTTTTTTTTCAGTATTAACTTATATATTGTGATTGCAATGGGTTTTGAGCGTTGTCTGCTCACCCCCCTAGAACTCAAACAGACAATGAAGTTTGTTCTAGCCGAAGGGATAATAACCTGCAGATGATAAAGCGCTTTATTAAAAATCTTATTCGAACAACATCCAAATAGGCTTTGGTCCAAAAGGGAAATAAAAAAAAAAAGTATACTCATTGAAACTGCCAAAGGTTACATTGAAAAGGGTACATAGAAAAGGCACCATGCAAGGGCAAAGGCATTGCTACATAATTTCCAGTGAGCACTGGTTAACTAACGACATGCAACTGTCAGATTATTTTGTGGTTACATCATAATTTTTACTTCGTTGAGAGAATTACGTGAAAGCTGATACAAAAACAAATGAAGGTTTCCGAAAGGGAAAATCGTATAGTATTTAAATGTATACACAAATAATACCTATGAATTAAACTAGTATTAGCGAGAACGAATTGAAATGACAACCTAACACCAAACAAACACACCCCAATAATCTTTTTGTAGTCCAAATAAACTTTAATCAAACTTAAAAATCAAGCGAACCCAAAAAAGCGCAGCTGCAAAAAAAAAGAAAAAAAAAATGAATCAAACTAGAACCAAATAACAAAATAAAAATTCAATGTACGGAGAATTAAAAATGAAAAGTAGAACATACTTCAAACAGGGTATACTTTTGTGTGGAAATGTGTTCAAGTTTCAAAATGACAAGTCTTGAGAATCAAATTCAAATGAATCCCAGTCCAAGAAATGTTGATTGAATTGAACAGTTCCATCAGCCAACAAATCTTCTTCTGAAAATATTATATTTGGTAAATTGGAGCAGTTCAAGTTGGTAATAGCGTGATCAAAGTTAGGTTGCTTGGGTGGTGCTGGTGGTGCACAATTTTCATAGTCAATAATCTTATCTCTTGGTGTTTGGTAGCAAAACTCTTGGTTAGATGAGGGTGGAGGTGTTATGAAAGTTTCTTCAAATGATGAAGGTGGAGTATGTATTATGAATTCATCAAAAGTTCTTTGAGGCAAAGTGTCGTTGTCTTCGACTTCTTGTAATATGTGTACGGAGTTTTGAATCAATTGAAATATTTCTCGTTTCAATGCACAGTCTTCCATCATCGATACCTTCAGATGAATCATTGACAAATTGTTTTCAAACATAGTTAGTTGTTTCTTAATAGGTGATATTGGTGTTTGCAAGCAATAAACTGTGCTGTCCAGACTCTTTTCTGAGAATGTGGGGGTTGGCAATAACAAGTTGTTATTGTGATTTGGAATATGTTCTGGAGCAGTATATGTGAATGGTGATTGTAATTGTTGCAACATTGTTATATCATTTGATTTAAGCTTCACTTATAAAGGGAAGGAAATATCGAAAGCTTTCAAATGAAAAGGAGAATTAAAGTTATATTTATAATAGGCAACAAAAATATAATCAAACTATAAGCGGGGCGCTAAAGCGCTTTGGGGGGTGGTGAGGGAATATTCAAAAAATTAAACAAGGGAATTGCAAGATTGATAAAAAAAAATATAATAATATTTTTTTCTCCTTTATAAATAATTTTCTTAAGTTTATGACTATGTGTTAAATGTTTGTATATGCAAACTACGCACGAGTATCTAATCTAAAAAGAAAAAAAAAAAAGATTAAATAATAATATTTTTTGGGTTTCAAATAATTTTTTTTTTGGCTGCTATTTTTTATGCAACAACATACCTCAATTAGTTTCCTTGCTTTTTATACTATTGAACTTAGTAAGTACCATATATTTTTCCACCTCAAATTACGAACACGTATATACAGAACTACTTTAAGTGGAGCAATATTCCCCCTAATATTCAAAGCAATGATTGGTGCTTCAGTTAAATAAGTACACATTCAGGTCTATCCCTTTCGATTGCCACATACCGGTTGGCTTTTCATTGACATTATTCTTGAACACCGCATTGTGAATTTTCCAAAACCATGTTTTTATTAAAGTTTGTGACTTTGTCTTTTTTTTTGGCTGTCTCGTAATTGACTTCTCTTGTTCATGTGAAAGCTTCTTAATTAGATATCCATTTCGGTGACGGTGGAGTGTGTTACATATACCAAGAACAATCTTGTGATATCTAGTATCCTTCTGACTATAGGCAAGCATCGACTAGTTAAATATAACCAGCTCATGTAGTAGTTGTCCTCATCTACAAACTAAGAAAAACTTCCTGTGTCAGGCAAAAAAAAATTTTTTGTAGATTAGCTAATTTCTCGTTTTTTTTTTTCTCATTGTTTGCTTAAATTGCAATTTAAATTAAATGCTGCAAATACAAGCACAAGAGTAAAAGCACCCCATAACTAGTAGGAAACCTGTCAAGTCAGTTGTACAAAATCATGTAATTTAATATTGTGGAAACTGTTTCATTGTTAATTGTTGAGACGTACACGATGATATCTTCTTTGTTCCCATCAAATTTAAATTACCAACTATTGAGAACAATCTTCGACTAGATTGAAAAAGGTACCACACCCGTATTGTCACCAACCGTTGCCAGGTAACCGAATGGTGGTCCTTGATATGACGCCTTGCAATAGTACAATATTGCATTTTCAACGGAAGTAATTTCCACCCAATAAAGTAACAATTGGCACATGTTACCCCCTTTTCATACGAATTAATAATGGCCACAATCCAATTTACTATCTGGAGTCAATAAATTTAATTATTTGCTAATTTATATTGTGACAGATACACATTCCTTCCTTGAACTTGCCAAGATGCGGGAGGATTTGTTCGATCTCGTTTTGTATCGTATAGAAAAGTAATCTAAGGTTCAGCAAAAGGCGTGTAGCTAACGCAAGGCGAAGCAAGAAATAAAAAACAGCGCAATACTTCACTCTTGTTGTAATTACTAACTCTCACTTGTGCAATTGCCCTAGAAGTATGGCAATCCGTGGATCCACTTATATAGTACATAATCGTACTTTTTTACGCAGCCAACAATGGAACTTGAGATCTTCGCGTAGGCTGGCTAATTTAGGGCGGCGATGATAATCATTCAATTTATTGCATTTATTTGCATAGACCCACGGTCCCTAAATGATATGCAGCATTACTTAAATCTCTTCTCAACTTGACTGCACATAATAAAAATCAGGTCAAACCAGAGTGCAGGACGCACCGAAAAAAAAAATGCACAAAAGAACAACGCGTCTGGCTAAATAATTCAACCTAATTAGGCAAATTAGCTGAAAAAAATAATTTGTTCTATTTTCCACATTGGGATTGATGGATGATTGTAATTCATCGATATTTGTGTATTGTTCACACATTCAGTCTTTATTATATATAATAAGGAATTTGTCAGAAAAGTGTGGAGAAGAACAATGGAGACAAAGCAAAAGAAGAATTGGGTGAATGGGCGGAGAAAGCGCCCCCCCCCCCTGAAAAACCCACATATTAAGCAAGTACAATCATAATATTTGCACTTGATAATTTAGGTTAACTATCAGGAACTCCCCCCGATAGTATCTCCAACGAGCAACGGATAGCGTAACCGCGTCTTGTGATCACCAAGGTGGGGTACGCGCTAGTTTTCACCCAGTTATTGAATATTATCAGTCCCTTCAAAAAAAATAATCGTCCATTGTCAACTCGACCTTGTAAAATTCCACTTCTAATCGCACATTAAAAAATAAATTCGTAAAGTAAAACTTAGTAGGGGTATTTTAGGGGGTTGAGGAAGGTTTTTTTTGTAACACATTTTAGGTTTTGGCTATCTTTCAAATTTTAGTTTTTCCTAATCCGATTAAAATGTTTTAGTCGTCATAACACCATCTAGATCTTTGGGCTGGTAACTTTGGTTGTACGTAGAGGTGTAATTACGTGGAGTTACATATCCACCAAAAACTCTCGCAAGAGTTATTGGAGGAGGGGGGGGGGGGTTGAAACTCCTATTCTATTGTATGTCTTTCCGAATATTCTACCTCATTGACATATTTCCTTCACAAACATAATAAAATATCTAGAAGCTTTGTCTCGTACTATTGTTTTCCAACTCTTTAAAACAATATGCCGTGAGAGTTGCTCAATAATAAGCCAGAAAAGAGTCGCAGCCTGGCCTGGCTGGATTAGGCGCGCTTTCGGGGAGGAAAGCTGGTGGCTTAGCTTTACTTCCAGTACAGCCACCTAAAACCCCCTAATTTACTACAGATGCATTTACGTTTTTGACGCTCAGTATGTTACCCCTGATCGGATTTACTCATATCTACGACCATCAATCACTTCATGCTGCGTGTGCTATTTCAAAAAAGATCATCGTAAACCACATATGATCGAAACGGAAATTTTTTTACTACACGTGTATAATCTGGAAATATTGTTGAGAACTCTTGTAATACCCAAATTGGCATATTGTGAGGTGTGATTCATATTGTTCTGTTCTACAGATCAATGGAAGCTCAACCTTCTCTTTGGAACGCTGTTTATATGTCGACATAACCAAGTCTCTCTTGGTTATTTGAACCGCCTTTGAAAACCCAAAAAACTTCTAGAATATTTTGCAAAAACAGAAACATGTGTGTTATTGTAGAATATTATTGACCATAACTTGATACCTATGTTTCGAAAAGTACGATGAAGCTGGCAGTTGCTTGGTGGAATTATTGTCCTCATGACAATTTGATGGTGTGGATTCGAGCTTCACATAATTGATAACTTGCATTTGGGGTCTCCCCTTGCAATTACAATTTCCTCTTTTGGAGGGCTATTCTACCATAGCGACTACCAATAGCTCAACCAGTTCAAGTTGAAATCATAGATTAAATCTTGTGAAAGACGGTAGCCATGAATGAACCCAGGCGAACTACGCAGCCGCACGCGTTGGTAGCGTTGCGTCTAAAAAGAAAAACACAACACTAAAAACTAAATCACAGGTTACATTAATACAAACTGTCGACCCAAAAACAACTGTGGACACCATCAGAATCTCACTGCTTGATGATGCAAGATGAATTGATCCTGATTGATCAACTCGAGGATCAGATAATTGACCATCCTGATGCATCAACGGAGAAGGAGTTGCATGAATCTCTTGACGAGACATTTCAAAAGAAACTAAATGCTCGTGCTGAACGGCTCCCTAATGATGGCGCCAATAGCTTGCACGCTCATCACCACCACCATCACCATCATGAGAGCAACAGCAGCAGCAGTGGCAGCAAGAATGATGACAATAGCACTGGAGGCAGGAATGATGCTGATATCGCTGGTCCTCAAATTGGATTACTGTTTTTGATTACTAAGTCACATTTGCAGTATGAATATCAAGAGATCGGATCGTTGGAAACTGAAATTAATGAATGGTTTACATTGAATGATTTGAAGATCTTAGGAGGATTAAGTAATATGTACCAGTTGTATGAGAGGAGTCATGAAGGAAATGATATCACTTTGTTTTTGAAGAGGAACATTGAAGTTATTGACGAAGCTAACTTGCTTGACACAAATGCAGCGGTGTCGATATCACTCAAGATATTGTTATATTTTGCATTTGGAGAATATGCCACTAAGAAAACTCGACAGCAGCAGTTGGATCAGATTAAGAAGAATAGTTTTGTGTTGTTACAATTACAAGTTTACAAGCCTTTGATTAGGTTGATTAAAGATTTGGTAGATAAACGAATTGAATTTGACAAGGATATAGATACTGACGAAGAAGAAGAACAAAGTACATTATCTCAGAAAGTGGAGGCTGACTACTTCAAAGTGTTGACTTTGCTTTTCTTCTTGACTCAAGTTAATCTACAAGACCGAGATAATGAGCACTCAATCGAATTTCGCAAATACTTGGGTGAAGTTGATTTTTTGACGACTATTTTCAGATTTATAGAACATTGGAAGTGGTATCCCAACAACTCGTATAGAATACGATATCTCATTACGCTCGTCAACAACCTCATTCTTTTTGAATTAGGCGGAGCGACGAACTTGAAAGCATGTGACAATTTCCTTGTTGATCTCCACCAAATCAAAAACAAAAAGGGAAGAGATCTTGGAGAAACAGTGTTGACTTGTTCACCACTAGATTACTTTGCATTTAGGGAAGATCTTCTTGATAAATTCCCCTTGTATGAAAATACCGAATTGAAGGCATTTGATTTTACGGAGTTCACACGAACATTAGAACGAGAAGATGACATCGACGACACCAGCAGTATCCATTCTCATGAAAGCACAATTGAGGGGAAGTACAAATATTTCATGGCTGTCAATAGTTTCTCCAATTCTCTCTCGAACTTGATGGAGACGCCAAAGACCACTAAATCACATACTGTTTTGAGTCAATTACCCACACAAACAGTACATATTGCCACACCGGTACCATCACCTACATTTAATGCTTCTGATTATATGTCTGGTGGAGAAAAAGTAAGACGATCATACCAAGTGAATCAAGCCATGCCATTTATTTATCCTAACCTACCAGCAGCTAGTACCCAGCAAGAAGTTGATGATGAATCGCCCCTGTCCACAGTTACGGTCCCATTGGCCATGAAGGAAGCTGATGAGATTTTGAAGAATTCAATATATGAAAGCTATTCCATTAAACGACTTTGGAATGAACGAGAGAAGTTTATGATTCAGGAAAGAGGGTATGTTAATGAGTATCAAGAAGAGCAACCAAAGGACGAGTTTGACTATGACTATGACGATTTGAAGCAAAGATTCCCTGAGAAGATGGATGTTATTGAATTATTACAACGAGTTGACAAGATGTATGCTGCCAATGTAAGTCGATTATATACTGTAGTTGAAGTTCTAATGGAAACAATCAAAGTCAATAGAATGGACTACAATTTAAACTTTGCTGAATTAGAATTAAATCCAGAAACGTCATTCTTATCGCGCAATGGAGTACCCACCCCTGGTGATGCTAAGTTGAAGAGCATCGAACAAACAAAGGAGAAAATTAGATATGTGTTGACCCTGCAATTGGAAGTGTTGAATGTAAAGGAAATAACCTTGAAAGCTTCAACCAATATTGTCTTGCTTCTTTTGAAATGGTTCAAGATTAGTCATGTTCTCAAGTATTACTACCTTTCCTCGATCTTATTTGATCAACAATTCTTTACTGTGGCCTTGGACTATCTTTCGAGATCATTCAACAATGCTAATTTGCAAAGCCTCAGTAAGGACGAAGCTAAAAAGGATGATTTGACCGAGTATGAAATCTTGATTAACCAGAATAAGTTGATGAATCCAAAAGTTGAGTTGCCAACATATGATTTCTTCAATAACTGTCTCCAGGTGTTCCCCGATGGCAACTACAGATACAAATTCATCAACAAGGAGTTTATACTGACGTTACCAGAACAAGTTGACGCCAACAATATCAACCACGTCTACATTAAGCATTATAACAGCAACTTCGCATTCATTCTTTCCAATATGCTCAAGATAACCAACAAGATTCTCATCAAGAACCAAACACAACGGATTTTCACCTTGAACGATCTAAAGCCATCTGAATTATACAAGATGATTCTTATGAATTACGACAATGATGCATTCACCAAACCAATTCTCAAGACGCTAAAGAAACTAATTCCGTACCAGGGTCGTAAATGGAAGCTGATAAACATGGACTTGATCAGTCAGATCTACCTCAATTTGAAATTATCCATGAAGGATCATTGGCTAAGTGGTAAAGATCTTGAGAGTGATTTCAACAATTCATATGATCAAGAAATTGCATTAAGAGGACTATTGCAGTTTTACAACATGCGCAATTTCCCTAAACAAATGGAGAAGATTGGATACCAGGTCAATCACGATTTGGATATACCCGTAATGAACTTGAATGATGAAGATGATGGGTACTTTTAGATTCTACATAGATATAACTGTAGTAATACGTACTTTTGTATATGGTAGCAACAAAATGTTTTGCGTGCGAATACCGAAAAATAAAAAATTTTCCCTCCACTACAAAAAAAACTATCATAGAGTTGTTGAAGATCGTTACAGCAACCTTCTTGAGCAATCACCCTTATAGAAATCAATACACCATGGTCAAATTAACTCAAATCGACGACGAAACCCAAGCCCAATTCGAAGAAAAGCCAGCCAGCACTTCCATAGTTGACAGTGAAGAAGAATCCGAATCTGAATCCGACGATGAATTCGATGATGACTACGATTTTGAAAATGAAACTATTTACGACAGAATTGTTGCTTTGAAGGATATAATTGCTCCTGAACAACGTGAACAACTTGTTTCCGTCACCGAAACCATAAAATCCACTGTTAATGCCACCTTAAACAATGGTGGTAAGTTCTTGTGGACTTTGACCTCCTCCGCCTTATTATTAGGTGTTCCATTGGCCTTGGCTATTTTATCCGAAACCCAATTACAAGAAATGGAAAAGGATTTGTCCTTGCAACAATCGGCCCAAGATGTGTTGGCTCCTGGTTCTGAAGCCGCCTTTTCCGAAAAGAAGTAAAGTTGATCCAAAGCCTGTATATAAATATAAATGTGTGTGTGTGTCTATTCATGAAATACAAAGATTTACAAGTTAATATTTATCTATCCAAACACTTTCTTACTCTCTCTATATGTAAGTCGTAATAGTGCTACGCTCTCTTGTGCTTAATTGACAAGGCCCAGATATCCAAATAAGCAGTGATATCTTGGATAATTTCAGCAAAGAAAAGGGTATGGAGTCCAACACAGAATCCACATCCTAACCAACAAATAGCATGTAAAACCTTTTCAGTGTCATATCCGTAAACATTGATCAAGAATTTACATATCAAGAATTGAGCTACTGGAACAAACATAGGGTAGTTGACAAATGGGAATTCTTGATGGGTGACATGAGCAACAATGATTCTTCCGACTGAAAAGGCAACTGTGCTTCCCATACTGATAACAAATGGGAACCCGTAGATGGTCATCACTTGCGGATAGAAAATAATAAAGGCAATTGCTGAAGCCCAGTAGATGAAGAAAGGGTAGAACCCTAAATATGCTTCGTCAGTAGCAGTCTTGGCACGGTCAGAATGGTGAAACTTTTCCTCGTAGTATTTGCTGACATTTTGCATGGCCGAGACAATATTGAAGTATAATGATGATAATCCAAGAATGACATAGATAATCGAAGAATTAACTGGCAATTCTCCTCTGTCCAATGAACTCAAGTCTAAAACGAAAAGTTCTTGGTTCCAGATGTCGGGACCGAAAATCCCAGTTATGATAAACACAACACAAATCATGAGGATCCCTTCAACTGGTCCAGAAAATTTGGAAAGGAAAAGGGTCCCGGTATGGTATTCTTCCCAGGTTGAAGCATAAAAGTTACATGTGGATGCAAATAACGAAATCATCAACAATACTCCATAACCCATCTTCATAACAGACCCAAACACAAGTGCACCCAAGGTGGTGTTTATAGCATCAATTGAGTGATCAAATAACTCTCCAAGAGGTCCAGATTGCCCCGTTCTTCTGGCGTGACATCCGTCACATCCGTCCATGGTTTGATACATAAATATTCCAAACGCATAAAAGAAATAACACCAACGAGGCGATTCAGTGTCCAAGTATGGATCATAGTAGAAAACAGCAGCGAGATTGGCGACAATGAACATCAACCCCCCAAGGGTCACCATATTGGGAGCAACCCACATGGGAATAATTTCAACAAAGTAGTTCCACCATTTTTTCAAAATGTACTTGGAGATCACAGATTCGTCAATGGCGGAATATTTGTATAATTTCAAGTTTGGTAGCTTGTCTGTAGGAATGAATAGACCCATAGTGTGATATCTATCTATTTGTTACACTTTGGCTAATTGCAACGTCTTTTTATTATGGTTTTGGGCTATAAACCAAAAGAGAAAGAACAAGAAAACAAAAAAAAAAAAATCACCAATTGGGAACTTCATCGAAAGAACGTGCTAGTTTAACAGACCCATGAAACGCATGTGATTAAAGTTTTATGTTTGTTACTAGGTGATATAGCGATGACGATACTGTTACTACTTACTCTTAAGCTCCTCTATATATAATCTCCCATAGATCTGCCCCAGATGTCCCACCCCAACAATGACAGTTATTGTACTTGACCGTTTGACGATTTGACATATCACGTGGTAGATTATTACCTAGATAGGATAAAGACATCATCATCTTACACCACCCCAAATAGAAAACAAACTCTAAATACACAGTATTACATTAAGACTAGCTACCTCTTTTTATAAATATATACTAAGCTTTTTCTAGATCATTACTTCATCTAATCAACTTCTTCCATAACAGATTCACCAGCTGGTTCTTCAGTAGTGGTTTCAGTAGTAGTACCACCAATTTCTTCAATGGCAGTTTCTTCAGTATCATCATCAATGTTTAAACCCAAGGCAATCAAACGGTTGATTCTGTGAGCAAAGTTGGATGGTTCATCCAAAGAGAAACCAGAGGTCAACAAAGCAGTGTCAAACAACAAAGTAGTCAAATCCTTGACAGTCTTGTCTTCAGCACCATCAACTTCAACCTTTCTCTTCAATTCCTTGATAATTGGAGACTTTGGAGAAATTTCAAAAGTCTTCTTAGAAGACATGTAAGAGGACATGGTGGTGTCTCTTAAAGCTTGAGCCTTCATGATTCTTTCCATATTGGCAGACCAACCAAATTGACCAGTTCTAATGGCAGCTGGAGCATCAACCAACTTGTAGGAAACAACAACCTTTTCAACTTGTTCACCCAAGATTTCCTTCAAGGCCTTGGTCAATGGTTCAAATTCAGCAACTTCCTTTTCACGTTCAGCCTTTTCTTCGTCGGTTTCTTCCAACTCGAAATCCTTGGTGATATCAACCAACTTCTTGTCTTCAAATTCCTTCAATTGAGTCATGGCATATTCATCAATTGGGTCAACCATGAACAAAACTTCAAAGTTCTTAGCCTTCAAAGCATCCAAGAATGGAGACTTTTCAACAGCCTTGATGGATTCACCAGTAATATAGTAAATGTTCTTTTGGTGAGGTTGCATTCTAGTGACATAGTCAGATAAAGAAGTCAATTCTTCACTAGACTTGGTAGAGTTGTATCTCAACAATTTAGCCAAGGCATTTCTGTTTTGTTGATCTTCGTGAATACCCAACTTGATGTTCTTGGAGAAAGCAGTGTAAAACTTGTCAAATTGTTCTTGGTCTTCAGCAATTTCGTTGAAGGTTTCAATCAACTTCTTGACAATGTTCTTTCTAATAACCTTCAAGATCTTATTTTGTTGCAACATTTCTCTGGACAAGTTCAATGGCAAATCTTCAGAATCAACAACACCCTTAACGAAACCCAACCATTCAGGAATCAATTCTTCGGCATCATCGGTAATGAAAACACGACGAACATACAACTTAATGTTGTTCTTCTTCTTCTTGGATTCAAAAGCATCAAATGGAGCTCTCTTTGGAACAAACAAAATAGCTCTGAATTCTAATTGACCTTCAACAGAAAAGTGCTTGACAGCCAATGGGTCTTCCCAGTCGTTAGAAATAGACTTGTAGAAAGCATTGTATTCTTCTTGGGTAATATCAGTTGGGTTTCTGGTCCACAAAGGCTTGGTCTTGTTCAATTCTTCAGTTTCGGTAACTTGTTCCTTGACCTTCTTGGTCTTTTCCTTCTTTTCACCTTCTTCTTCGTCGTCAACTTCTTCCAACTTTGGCTTCTTGTCTTCACCTTCTTCAGTCTTTTCTTCTTCTTCTTCTTCAACTGGGACTTCCTTTTCAACTTCCTTGGTGACAACTAATTGAATTGGGTAGGCAACGAATTCGGAGTGCTTCTTGACAACTTCCTTAATTCTCTTTTCTTCCAAGTACTCTAATTGATCTTCCTTCAAGAACAATCTTAAAACGGTACCACGGCCCAACTTTTCGTTGGTTTCATCCAAGGTGACGGTGAACTTACCACCAGCGTTAGATTCCCAAACATATTGTTCATCGTCGTTGTGCTTGGAGATGACTTGAACGTGATCGGCAACCAAGAAAAGGGAGTAGAAACCAACACCGAATTGACCGATCATGGAGACATCGGCACCGGCGGACAAAGCTTCCATAAAGGACTTGGTACCAGACTTGGCAATAGTACCCAAGTTGTTGACCAAGTCAGCCTTGGTCATACCGATACCAGAATCTCTAATTTCCAAAACCTTTTGTTCTGGCTTTGGGGTGATTCTAATAAATAATTCTGGTTCAGATTCCAACTTGGATGGATCGGATAAAGCTTCGTATCTGATCTTGTCCAAAGCATCAGAAGCGTTGGAGATCAATTCTCTCAAGAAGATTTCCTTGTTAGAATAAACGGTGTTAATGATTAAAGACATCAACTGAGAGATCTCAGCAGTGAATTCATGAGTTTCAACCTTAGCGTCAGACATTTTTGATGTATAATTGAAAGTTAATCAGTAAAAAAACGAGAGCAATTAGAAAAAGATAAAACCGGGAGACGTGGGTGTTTTATATACTTAATTTTTTTTTCACTAACGTCCGTAACAAAATTTGTTGCAAACTTTTTTTTTGGCCCCTCGAATTTTCCATAAGCTTCCATGGGAAATTTCGACGAACAATGAAATTTAATAGTGAACAGGGTACACGACCTGGTATCGATCCTACGGCTTTCTATCTAGTTCTACCAAAGTGTATATCATATAATGACTTCTTCGGTCTCTATACCACAATCAACGCATCTTCGCTTCACCGTGTTGTCTCCAATGCTAACTGGAGCTGACCAATCATGGACATGTCTTTCGCCCAAGCCTTGGCCGTTCCTCAACTTTCTAGTGTATTCTTCGGCCCTGGTTCGTTTCCTCATTTCGCGCAAGGAGTCTTGGTACTTCTTGTCGCGTCTCTTTATTCTTTGCTGTTCTCTTCTTTCCCACTCCTCATCCAATTTGTCTGGCCCTCCCCACTTCTTCCATGCAAACTCTTCCACTTGGAAACGGACAAACAATTGCATTCGACTATACCCGTGTGGATTTGGCTTCTCTATTCTCGGCAATAAACTGACATCCTTCAATTCTGGCTCGGTCAACAAGTAGTCCTCGCGACACTCTGTCTTGGTTAACAACGAGTACTTTTCCGGGTGTGCTTTAATACATTTTCTACACGCACGAACTTGAAAATTGGTCATTAAGTTAGCATCAATGTCGATTGATCCACACTCATAGCACTTGGGGGCATTTAGTAGATCTATAGGTGGTGGCAACTCTCTGATCTGTTGAAGTTCCTTTTGTTTCTCCTTCCATTCATCAAGAGACTGCTGATCCGGTGCTGGGTTTTTCGGGTCATCCAGGATAAACCCACCCCGTGAATCTTTCATAGTAGCAAAATCAAATTCAATGTAATCTTGTTTTCTAATTGGTGGGGGCTCGAACTTCCTTTTGAACGCAGTTGGTTCTTGGCTGTTTTTGTTTAATCGAATGGAATCTTGTGGTTGTGCATCACTCAGCGATCCCTCTTTTGGAGGAGCTGACGCGTCTGACGATTGTTGTTTCTCTCGTTCTTTCCTCTGTCGTATTTCTATTGCGCGTAGCCTATTCTGTTCGATCCTATTACGTTGCTCATCGGTCAATTCAACCCGCACTCGTTTGAGGGATCCATCTTCAGACACGTTCACAAACGAGGAAGATATCTTCACTGGCGAGTTAACAATCTGGTTGAGAGTTTTTGTGGGTTCTGCACGTGTTGATGGCGGTGGTTGCGGTGGTTGTGGTGGTTGTTCCAGTTGTACTGGCTTTGCAGTAGCAGTTACCACCTCGCCCCGTTTCCTTTGTAGACGTTCCTTTGCCTTTTGGCGATTTGCCTCCTTAAAACTGTTAGTATATAATGGGTTCATCCATTTATTGTATCGATACATACTATTAGCTTCCTTTGCTTTTCTGTCAATGTTCCTCGTGTGAACGCCATTAGATTAACATGATGATGTAATGAGAAGCGATGGGGGGAAGTAGGCTAGTTTTGTATGGCAATCTCAAATGTTAGCAATCTTGAGCCGCATACATTTCTAGAAATTTTGGCACGTGACACCGGTGAAGCTGATAGTTTCCACTTTTAAGACCACTAGTATAAGTAAGCAAGATCAGATGGGTTAAAATAGACATGTATAAACATTTTCCTGTTTTATAATATTCCTTTAAGGCATAAATGAAACGTGCCAAGCGTCACTTTGTAATTTTCAATTTCTGGGATCACCAGAATTTCCCAATAATTCTGCTAAAATTATCCCAAAAAGTAAATAAAATGCATGACACGGTCAAAATAATATTGTCAAGTCACCTGGTTTTGATTCATGTGGTTTCCCATAATTATCATTAGAAACCATCTTCTGAAATTAAACTTTTTGTTGGGCTTGAAGATTTGCGGAAAAATCATCTTATTTTTGCAGCATTTTGCACATGCAGGGGGTTGTGAGGATGCTTTTAATTACCAGCTCGGCAGGACTGCTCTTGTATGTCTTGGTTTGAATAGACTCTAATTCATCTGTGATAGTTGCTACCACCATTATACAATCGATGATGTAGAAAGTGTAGTTGGAATAGTTACAAGGGGTTTTTTTTGGTGCAATTTCACCTCCCTCCCCTGTGATTTCCTTAACGACGGTAATCTTACATCGTCGTACATCGGCCCGCCTTCAAACTTAAAAAGACATATGCAAGTATCAACACGCATCCCTTGAATTTTCTCTATAAAATTATATTTAATTCTACAGATATCCAGTTCTTTTGAAAATTATGCAATATAAGCTATCACTATGGGTGAAAAGAAAGAAAAGCGTAGTTCAATTAAACGACTCAGTGCTAAGTTAACCAAGTCAAAGGAAAACAGTGAAGCATTAGAACACATCTCAAAGCATTTAGCAAATGATGAAGAAAAACATAAAAAGAGTAAGCTAAAGGGAAGAAGAGCCATAAAAAAGAACAAGAAGCTACTTCAAGGGGAAATTGAAGACCAGGAAGAAACTACGGAAATGAAGCCAGCAACTCTGCTTGATGAAAGTACCAAGACAAATAGTTCAACAGATGAGAGCACCCTGTCTAAGATTGAAGATATGTCCAATAGCGAAGGATCTCAGGATGCGACTGATGACACGGTTATCAGAGATTCTGATGTGGATACTGGTGACAATAAGAAAACTGAAAATGTCAGTGCTGATGTAGCTACTGATGCAGCTACTGATGCAGCTACTGATGCAGCTACCGATATCACCACCGATATTGCTACTGGTATTACTACTGATGTTGACACTGGGGAAACCAACAAAATTGACCAAGTTAGTGCCGAAGTTAGTACAGATGCTACTGCAAATACTACTGCCACTACTGAAAACACTAATGACAACAGCGATGAAGAAAAGAAAACCGAAATCATTAGTGATGAAGAAAAGAAAACTGAAATCGTTAGTAATGAAGCTGCTACTGGAATTACTACCCCAGTAACTATCAAAGTACTGAGAACTCCAGAATCCCCACAAGCGGTTACTCCAAACCATTCTCAACTTCTTGTTAACGAATGTCAAAATCGTGGCACTGAGTCACCCCGCACCTCACAAGAACCAGAACTTCTACCAAATGCACCTGCAATTGGAAAAGGTGGCTACACTGAGTTGGCCAGAGACGATTACCTCAGTCATCTCAAGCAACTTGCAAAAAGTTATCGGGCTTATGGAATCCAGTATAGATTGAACCAATTGCGCAACCTTTACTATATACTCAAAGACAATGAGATTATTTTTAACACGGGCACCAAATATGTGACAATTCTCAATGATATAGTGCACACCATGGTTCAACTTAAAAACTGGGATAAACCCGAACCGGTGAAGCCATTGCCATTTTCATTAGCTATGAATCCAGTTTATGTTGAAAGAATACCACTAGGGTTAGTGCTACTTGTTGCCGATACCTTTTATAATGTGATTGATGCCCTAGTTGGATGCATTGCTCTGGGAAACTGTTGTGTCGTGAAACTAAATGACGACAAATACAACATTGGAGAATTATTGAATGAAGCAGTAGAGCCAATCCATATTGTTGAAGGCGGCGAGGAAGAATTAGCTATGTTGTTGCAGAAGGAAAAATATGATAAAATTGTCAATTTCAATACCAATATTCAACATACTGTTGCTATTACAACATATCCAACTCTAACTCCCGTTGAACATGAAACTGGGAAATCTCTAGCAATAATCTTGAACGATATTGACGCAGTTGGAATAAAGGTGGCTTGTCGTAGAATCTCATGGGGCTATGCTGAGTTTGGAGGAGTGGATTATGTATTGGTTCCTGAATCATTGCATGATTTGTTCATCACCGAGATCAAACAAGTTGAACCAATTCCTACAAAGGATCTGAATGAACAAGAACATGATTCTGAGCACATAGATGAGACCGAGCATGCTGACGACTCTGGAAATGAAAGAAATAACCGCAAGTTGCCCACAATACTTGACATGGCAACATGGGATGATTTAGACAAACGTGGTAATATAATACCTGTGTTAACATACACAAACCTTGATGAAACCTGTGAATTGATTAACATGAACCATGTTACTAATACCTTATACGTATTCACCAATGGTCCTGCAAACAAAACACACAACAAGTTTGTCAACACCATTGCTACCAAAGTCAAAAGCAAGGGATTGATAGTCAATGACGTTTTACCACTCAGCTTGGTGGACGCACCCAATGGAAGTATTTATGGCTGGTTCAAGAAGTTGACCCATGAGCGCACTACGATTGAACAATATTTGTGGAATGATTGGATTTTGAAGGCTCGGTATCCTCCTTACTCGGCAAACAAAGAAGAAATAATTCTGTATGGTCAGAGTAGTTTTGGTGGGAGAGTATGGTTTGGAAGAACAGGGGATGTACCTACAGATGGTCCAACCGAGGTGTTTCGGACCTGGACCGGAATTATAGGAGTTATTGGACTACTTTGGGAGTACATGAGGGGATGAAAAACGAGGCTAAAGTTGAAAAATTAGTGTTATTTCTGTTTATTAGCTAATATAAACTAATCATTGGTTGTAGTTTGTTTCATGTAGCTTCTAAATTAGCAAAAATTAGCAACTCAAGAAAAAAAAACAAAAAATAAAAAAGACAAAGAATCTCACACAATGACGAAACCGAGATAGTGCATTTAAATTCATTATCTATGAAATCCGCCTTTGTTGATGACAAAGAACAAAATGACGAAATCGTATCCACAAATGGTAAGTAAGTCACGTTTGATGATGTTGCTATCTTTTGGCGGATATACCAGATAAGGATATGCCGTGTTATCTATCCCAAAACAATATGTGTCACCAACACTATGTTTCAAAAATAATGGAGTACACGAGATAACAAATTTCGGAATAATGGGTTCCCCAGGGTAGATGACTATAACCAAAACAAGCTGGTGGATGCAAAAAAGAAGAAGAAAAAGAACCGGGCCAAGAATAATCAAAAGTAACAAGAAATGAGATTCAGAATGCCAAGATCTGTCGTAAAACCAATTATAAAATCTGTCAAAGAAAAGTTTTCAAATGTTCGAAACAACCGAGATCCCAGCAAGGCATTACAATAAATTGGTTAAAATATCCAGGGATAGTTCTAAGGGATCCACGGGACGCCTGTTCCGGAGCAGATCTCCAGACACGTTTGAACCGCCCGATAATTAAAATAATAATTACCTACCCGAGTGTTCCCTTGCACATAATATGCAAGGCTTTCCAGGCTCTAAATTTAATTACAACTAATTGCAAATGCAAAAGAAACTCGGATGATTCGATTGTTTCAGTCATGCTCGCTAATTCTCCTCATAATTAGGTAATGATTAGTTTCTATTGTTGTTTTGCAGCCACATCAATTTTTTTTCCTCGCAATAATTGACTTTGCAGCCACAGAAAATCACGCAAGGAAAAAAACACAATTAATAATCACCGCAACCACCACAGCTAGAAGGGACACCACACTAATATCCTTTAACCGATACTACAATACAAATCATGCAGGTATTGTTAATTAACAATCACCATTATAGGTCTCGGTGATAGATGATCATCCCCATCTCTTGAAAAATACTATAAATATATCTTGAAATTTCTCCACCTTCTTACCCTCTTTTGTCTAAGTCATTAATTAAGAACAAGTAAACATGTCTGCTTCTTCTATTAATTCCATCGAAAGAGTAAATGAAGTAACAACTGAAAAAAAAGAAGATTATACTATCACCGCTCTCGATTCCCAATCTTCATTGGAATCAGATCTTCTTGCCAAGAATCCATTTTTAGATCCAAAAGTTGAAGAATACTACCGTCAAGTGTACAGTGAGTCAAAATATGAAAGTTATTCAGCATTTGACCCACACTTCACCTGGACCCCAGAAGAAGAAAAGAAGCTCGTCAGAAAACTTAACTATAGAGTCGCTGCCGCTGCTTGTCTAATGTTTGTTGGTTTACAAGTTGATAGAGGTAACTTGGCCCAAGCAGTCACCGACAACTTGTTGGCTGATTTGAACATGGACACTAATGATTATAACACCGGTAATACCATTTTTTTGGTTGCCTTCCTTCTTGCTGAAGTTCCCTCACAATTGATTTCCAAGGCCTTAGGTCCTGATATCTTTATTCCTATCCAAATTTGTTTATGGAGTGTGGTTGCCATGTCCCAAGCCGCTCTTTCCGGCCGTACTTCTTTTTTCATTACTCGTGCCATTATCGGTGCATTAGAAGGTGGTTTCATTGCTGATTTAGTCTTGTGGTTGAGTTATTTCTTTACCAGTAAGGAATTACCAGTGAGATTGTCGTGGTTCTGGACCACTTTGTCGTTGGTTGGTGTTTTCACTTCTCTTTTAGCTTTCGGATTGTTAAGAATGAGAGGTGTTGCTGGCTGGGCTGGTTGGAGATGGTTATTCTTGATTGAAGGTATCTTCACTTTGGCTATTGGTATTGGGTCTTTCTACATGATGGTACCATCCGCCGTGCAAACCAAGAACTTTTTACGTCCAAAGGGTTGGTTCACTGAACGTGAAGAGAAGATCGTCGTTAACAGAGTTCTCAGAGATGATCCTTCTAAGGGAACCATGCACAACCGTCAAGGTTTAACAATAAAGATGTTGTTCAAGTCGCTTATTGATTTTGATATCTGGCCAATTTACGCCATTGGTATTCTTGCTTATATTGGTCAAAACACATTCGGTTCTTATTTCGGGTTGATCAATAAACAATTGGGATTTTCCACCTTCAATACCAATCTTTTGGCCATTCCTTATCAAGTTATCCACATTATCTTCTTATTAGCCATCACCTGGTTTTCTGAACGTATCAATGAAAGAACTTTGACATGTATCATTGCACCATTGTATGCTACTCCATTGATTGCCTTGATTAGATGGTGGCCACAAGCTGGTAAGAATGTTTGGGGTACTTGGACTTTAAACACTTTGTACTTGGGTCAACCATATATTCATGCCATTTGTGTTGCTTGGGTTTCGAGAAACTCTAACTCGGTGAGAACTAGATCGGTTTCATCAGCTATTTATAACATGTTTGTTCAATTAGGTAACGTTGCCGCTAATTTTATTTACAGAAAGGATGATTTACCATTGTATCATAGAGGTAATATGCAATTGTTTGCTATCACTTTTGCTTTGATTCCTTTGTTGATCTTGGTCAAGGTTTACTACATCTATAGAAACAAGCACAAGAGACAACTTTGGGATGCTATGACCCCTGACGAACAAGAATATTATAGAAATAACACTACTGATGAAGGTGCTAGAAGATTAGATTTCTTCTTTGCTCATTAGTATATAGGTACAATAAAAAATAAAACTGGTTTTGGAAATTATCTGTAGAACAAGTAAATCTTGAAAATTTCTATAGAATCTATTTCTCTTCATATAACTCCATGGCTAATTTAACCAACTCGTCAATGGTATCCAAAACAGCAGTTGCCTGTTCACGCACAAGCAAATCAGAGTCAGTCTCCAGAACATACCGCAATTTAACAATTACCCTCTCCCTATACTTTTCTGGGAATGGAACCTTATCACTCTCACTTGTACCCAATACCAAATCGTGAATTAACACTACGGCACTACGTCTCATGATCGCCTTATCTTCATCCAGTTCCAAATCCAAGATTCCCAACGCGCAATCCAAGGCCTGTTCCAAATGACCAAGCATCCCCAATGGATTGACTCGACAACAAGAACCCAAGATTGACATGGCAGACATACGTATCCGATCGTCAACTACAACTTCACGTCGTTCAATCAATCGCAAAGCGGTGACGACGATCGGTTCAGGCATGACCCCGCCTTGCTGGACCCGTCTTAACAAAACTTCACCAATTCGTAATCTCTCATCAATGTCTTCGCCTGCCCCGTACAACTCACAGAGAGAAGTGACTACGCTGTCATCAAACTCAATCATGGCTTCAAGCCCCTTGATTACGTTTAGGTAAATGAACGGCTCAGGGTCCTTCAATTGAACCAAGTGTAAGTTAATCACGAAATCAACAGTGATTATTGGTGAATGGGCTTGGATCAATTGTCGGAGTAAGTAAAGGCCATGTGCACGGATAGGAACTAATGGATCATTGAGTGATGCGATGGCACGAGTAAGTACAAGTTTATCAGACTCGTCTTGACTGAGTGGTTGGAGCGAACTTGTTCGTAAATTGGCGATTCTGGAAGCGAGCGCTAACGATTGCAGGGTATTGAGGCGAGTCAACGACTTTGAGATTTGATCAAGAAGAGATTGACAATCGGAAAAGTTTGTAGTTTCGGTAAGAATGGCAGATAAGAGTTGAAGCAAGAGTGATGTCGTTTCATCAGATTCTTCTTCTTCTTCTTCATCGTCAGAGTCTTCATCTTCTTGTTTAGTAACAGGATGACTTTGTAAGAAGGACGCAACAATCTCAAGCATTTCTTTAGGTGTTCTCGCCAAAATATCCTTAAATTTATTCCCTACACTTTCTAAAACACGTAAATCAACCAACATAATAAATGGATTGCGTTGTTCCAAAGCATCATCAGAGCTCAACCAGCGTTTAAGCACGGACACAAACAAGGAATTGACTAGCTCATCCGTAAGATCTTGTAATAATATGACAAAGCAATCAATGGCAAAGTCTAAGTCGTTAATGAATTGATTAACTTTTGCTTCTTTACTCTTGTTTTCAAATTCCGCATTTCTGGGGACAATCTCAGTCATTGAGTTGGGTCCTAGAGAAAATTTCCACAGGTCAGTTCCATCAGTAACGAGGTTCTTTGAAATATCATCCAATCCAGTCTCTACGACCGTGAAATAACTAGTTAATAATCCAGATACAACCTCGCTTGGTTTCTCGTGCTTTTTGAGAAAAGTGAAGTATCCCCAGAGAGGAACCAATATCAGGCCAACTATCTCCAGATAGAGATCAAGCGCTGGTGATTTCTTGGTGAGTGAAATCAACACATTCACGGCATTATTCAATTGAGCTTCACTAGTGACACCATCCTTCGGATTAAAAGCGTCATGCAAGTGGCTTAAAAAGAAATCATGCACCACTAATTTGTTCCTGATCCAAAGTTTATCAATCACATAACTGACACAGCTGGTAACCACTGGTCGATTGATATTAACCAACAAATCATAAGCTTGTTGGCCGATACTTGTAAAGTACGGTTTTGTTGCTATAGTCTTCGGTTTCTGAAGGACAACATCGGCAACCTGGTCGAATTTTTCAATTTGGATATCTTCATTATCGCGAAGCCCCAAGACGAATTCGATGAGACTAAGAAGACCATCTGGTCGAGTATATACAAGTTGTTGAAGATGGGCCATTACAAATTGAGCAAACAACCGTGGTGATCCTGGCGTGGCTAGGAGTAGGGAGTATGTCAGGTATAATTCGTAGGTGGAAGGAATTGCTTCTATCTGGTCAAATTTGTCAAGTACTTCTTGATGATTGAATTGTGTGATCAATGCTATGGAAATAGTGAGGAAATCAGAGTATCCTGTTCCCTTAGTTAACAAATCAGCGACATCCGATGGTTGTGAAAACACCTGGAATAGTTTAGTGTATATCAACATAAGCAATTGCTCATTATTGGAAGCAAGCTTGTCGATGGTGATGTTATCCTTGGTGAATTGTTTCAAACGACGTTTGTTGAACGGGATACCAATGTTGAATGGGGATATACATGGGTAGATTCCATGAATTATAATGACGTTGATTAACTTACTGAAGGTTTTGATATCATGAAGGGAAATACTGACCAAGTTCTTGTCTTTAGGAGATTCCATGGAGTACTTTTGAATGTTGATTAAACAATCAAGTAAATATTCAATCACTCGGTACCTTTGGTCTAACAGTGACTCAGCCGTTGTATCATTAGGGAATATTGTCAGATATAATGAGTTCAATGAAAGTTTGTCATATGGCAAGTCCAATAGTTTTTCCAACTGGGCAAACAAGACATCAAGCGGAGTTGACGGAACGAAATCAGGCTTGTTCAAACCTTGACGGGGGTATACTTCTTTCGCATCTCGTTTGATTGTGGTTTTCTTCCTGCTTGCGAATGGATTCTTCTTTGGAAGCTCCTCTATCTTGGGTGGCGACATGCTCAAATGGTTGCCATTCACGGGTAGATTTTGCTGCTTAGTAAAAATGTTGATATATTCATTGTCGTGTATGCAGGAATGATTTATGTCACTAAAAATCCCATCGCATGAAAATTTGAGTCTTGTGTTAACCACCAGCACCAACAACGACGCCTACAACACATACCGCACCATGTCAATACCAGAACTAACCCAAGAGGAAATGGACGTAGTAATCTACGATGCCAGAGTAGGCGATCTCGAGACGCTCGAAGAGATCTTTGCCGAAATTCCGCCACTCACACTACTCAATATCAAAGATGACATAACCCTTTCTACCCCTTTACACATGGCGTGCGCCAACGGCCATTTCGACACCGTCAAATACTTGCTATCCATACTCCCCAAAGAGGATGCAGTCAACTGGATCAAAGCCAAGAATGAAAGCGGCAATACTGCCTTGCATTGGGCTGGATATAACGGACATTTGGAGATTGTCAAATTGTTGATTGACGAATATGAAGGGGATGTATTTATTAAGAATGATGCTGGTCATGATGTGTTGTACGAAGTCGAGAGCAACGGACAAGAAGAAGTGGAGAATTGGTTATTGAAGAAGTTTGCCATTGAAGAAACTGTTAATGAAGACGGAGACACCAAGATTACATATACTGCTGGTACTGAGAGTAAATTGGCAGATGAACAGGCCAGAGATGCGCTGTTCAAGTCAGCCACTCCTGAAGTGCCTGAGGATCTTGATAAAAAGACCGACAAGTTATCGTTAGAGTAGATAGAAAGTACATAGTAATTACACCACATAGCGCAACAGCAATAGTAACAGTCGTGTACTTTGCCTAACATCACCCAGTGGGTTTCCACTCACGCTTTAAAAAAATTTTTTTTTTTTATGTGGATTTTTGAAAAATCTCTTTCAAAGTGGTTAGTCATCCATCGACATATAACTTAGATCATATACAATATGAGTGACTTAGGGTTTGATCCTTCATTAAAGAAAAAGAAAAAGTCTAAAAAGACTGACGAATCAGGCGAATCTCCTGCTCCCGAATCTGAAGGAACTCCTGCTGTTGAAGATGAATTATTCTCAGGATTAAAAAAGAAAAAGAAAAAGTCCACCAAGGCATTTGAAATGTCTCCTACCCCAGGCGAAGAAGACTTATCCTCTTCATTCGACGACTTGACATTAAAGAAGAAGAAAAAGAAGAAGAGCACAAAGACCACAGCCGACGATTTCGAACAACAATTGGAAGAAGCCGGAATTGAAGAAGTGCCAGCAGAAGCCACCGAAGAAGACGGCAATGTGTCCAGTGGCGGATTCACATATGAAGAGTTATTGTCTCGATTCTTTACCATCTTAAAAACTAATAACCCTGAGTTGGCTGGTGACAGATCTGGACCTAAATTCAGAATCCCACCTCCAATATGTCAAAGAGAAGGTAGTAAAAAGACTTTGTTTGCCAATGTTCAAGAAATCGCCACCGTATTACAAAGAAACCCTGAACACTTGATACAATTCTTGTTTGCTGAATTGGGTACTTCTGGTTCCATCGATGGTGAAAAGAGATTGGTCTTGAAGGGTAAGTTCCAACCAAAACAAATGGAATCCGTTTTAAGACGTTACATCATTGAATACGTCACATGTAAGACTTGTAAGTCCATGAATACCGAATTAAAGAGAGAATCAGCCAATAGATTGCATTTCTTGAGTTGTAAAGCTTGTGGATCCACCAGATCAGTAAGTTCAATCAAGACTGGGTTCCAAGCCCAAATTGGAAGAAGAAAGAAGATGTAGATATAGCACTAATATATTTAAATATACACATTCTATTAAATACTTGTAACAATTTTCTTTAATGGTGAACACCAAAGACTGACCCCTTCTTGATTCATCATATACTCGACAACATCGGCCTTGATTTTTGCTTTAGCTTGTGCGTGGTCTTCCTTGTATGCCGACAATAATCGGCTAAGAATATCCTGTAAAAATGACAAATGGTTGGATGCTAATGAAGGAATCAGTTGGTTAAGTTTTGTCTTGTAGTGGGCCAATTCTCGTTCTGGAAGCGACAACGGAAGTTCCAAGGTTTGATCAAGAAGCGAAATTACTTGATCGGAAGTTATGCTAGATGTTTTCGCCGATTCAGATGCAGTTGGTTCTTGCTGTGCAATGGAAGTTGATATTTTCCTGGGCGGAGCCGATGCAGGAGTTGGGGTTGTGGATATCGGAGGAGCAGCAGCAGCAGCAGCAGCAGCAGCAGCAGCTGGAGGAGGAGGACCTCGTATTGGAGCACTCACAGGAGGAGTACTGATTGGAGGAGCAGGAGAAGCAACACCTGATCCACTGCTGTTAACACCTGGTATTATACCACTGCCATCAAAGTTCATGCCGACTCTCAGCACGCGTTTTCTTGATCTTGAACTGACACTGGAACTAACACTTGTAGTGGAGTTATTGGACAGCGACATCATCATATTGGTTGGCATGTCGTTCCAGCCTTCAATAGCATCGCCTCTTTGGTATTTCGTAAGAGTCATTGTTTATTTGTGTATGGCTCTATAACCAATAGTTAAAGGATTACGTAAATTTTGACGAGGGATTTTTTTGCTAGGTCAAATCCAATTGATAGGGGGAGGGGGAGAGTGGGAAAACATCAAATAATATTGGTTACAAAAATATCACACATTACATTGTAGCGTTATATACTATTAATTTCTCGCTAGTTGCAACGTTGTTTCCAACAACTCAGCTACAGTAGGCCTATTCTCCGGCTTGACTTGCAAGCACAGATCAATAAGCTTTATCAACTCTTGGCTATACTCGTGGCCCTGGGGGATAATGTACTTTCCCTGGCTTATGGCAATGTTTAAATTGGCACCTTGCTCCAATTCCATTTTCTCAAATGGCGAGAATCCAAAACATAAACTATATAATAAACATCCCATACTCCAGATATCAGTAGCTTCGGTAATGGTAGAGTTTGTCGAGACGTCGAGCAATTCAGGGGCTCTATAAGGTAATGTACAATGTTCCTGGGCAAAATCAGTTAATGCTAATGCTTGCTGTCTACTTCGAATATTGAATCTGGCTTTAGTACACGATCCGAGATCAACAAGTACGGGCAATCCCTCGGGGGATACCATGACATTGGCTGGTTTTATATCATGATGCGCATACGGAGTAAGCTCAGTCAATTGGGTTGATTCCGGATCGTTATCTATCCCAGCAAGCGTATCTTCATCATTATCCGGAAGCAATTGACCTTGCTCGTTATCGTCATCGGTAGTCGTATTAGTAGTAGAAGTGGCCTGATAGTTGTGCATAACTTTCAATCCACGACATACACCGGTAAAAATCCTAATTATCTCCAGTTCCGGCATCTTCTCATCATTCAAGACATTCTTGGTAATTACATCTTGTAAACTAGACTGGAAATAGGGCAAGAGAATATACACACTCTGTCCACCGTCCACTTCGGAAATGATACATTCATCAATTGTTTGAATGATGTATGGTGTCTGTGAGTTAGTAAAGCGGTGATAGTTGTGGATTTCCCTCATGGCATTCTTGTAGCTTTCATCACCGGTGCCAAAGGGACATCTGATTTTCTTTAATGCATAAAACAGATTGGGGTTGGAAGTGGGGGACACCAAGTACACATAGGAAAACCCACCTTCTCCTAAAAGACGATGGATTTTATAGCTGGTAGAGTTGAGCGATAGTGTAGGACTAGTGGGAAGACATGGGAAACAACATGCTAAGATGTTCATGGTCGATTCTTTACTAAGGACATGTGGTGTATTTTAGAATTGCGACTTTACAATTTTTTTTTTTGGAAACTTACAACCACCTCCACCACCACCACCACAACCAAATGTCAAGTCGATCTGTTTCTCCGCCAATGTTGGGCGAGATCAAAACGGGAACTCCATTAGATGTAACATTGGACAATTCGCTACTTGAATCGGTGCCTACTACTGCCGTCACTGAACCAGTAACCATTGATGTTCCTGCCGACAATCTAGTACAACTCACTCCACCCGAAGTAAACAACAGCAATCCAGCTATGGATATTGATCCATCAGAATCAGATGTAGAAGAAGAAGATCCAATAGACAAGATGAGATCAATGGAAATTCTTCCTGATTTGTTCAATTTGATCCATGATGTTATCCAGGGAAAGATCCAACCCAAAGATTTTCATAATAATGCTGGTAGTTTACGATTGAAATTGAATACGTTGAAACAATACATGCAGGAAGTGGAAGGGATTGGTGAAACTTTACAGAGCACTCAAGCAAAAATTGAACTGTTAAGGGAGAATAATGAAAAAAAGAGAGCATTGTTGGAGGTGTTTAAAAGACAAGTTCAATCTGAACTTAGTTAAAATCTTCTCATAAGAGCATCGTGCTCACCTACAGACTCTTGTGGCAGTGTCAGCGATAGTACAAATTCAGATATGATGTGCTGGGAAATAATTCCTAGTTCGATGTTTGGAAGCCAACGAAATAACGATTTGGCCAATTATTAGCTTTTGATGACCTTTTGAGGCAATGAATAGAAATCCTCCAAAGTAAGATCCATGTGAATCAATAGTTTGCCTTGGGCCGGGTGCTCTATGTCAACTACTTAGTTTGGAACAAATAGTTCTTATTCAACTGTATATAATTAAGATATCTGGATTGAAATGAGAAGAATAATGGTTGTAGTTGTTTTTTTTTCACCAAAAGCTATCCAAGCCCTGGCATGTCAAATATTATGTGACAAAATTTCATTTTTGCATCTAGGATATATTAAACGAAATGTTTGTTGTAATTGTTCCAAACTAAGACAAAAATAATCAATTATGAGTTCCAATGGCGAGCTCACAAAGTTTGTAATCAATTGCTTTGGTCGTATTCCTGAAGAGATAATCGGCCGCGTCTTCTATTGCCTTACCCCGAATCATGTGCATGATTGCTTTATGTGATTTTCCAATGATGGTATCCGTTCACTTGACATCATGGTACTTGCACATGTACTTGCCATCTTCAATTCGAAACGAAAACGAAATAAGAAAATACATATTAATCCACATTGATGAATATTGCACTATTAGAAGATTAATTCCAAAACATTTACCAACCGATTATATTGGATACAATCATACCTGTTCATATGTAGATTGTAACCGAAAATTTACAGACGACGCCATCTTGTTGCAACATATTGTCAACGACCATTTGGACAACGATACGTTGAAATGTGTGTCAGATATCCCTGCTGATTTGACGACATCAAAGAGTGCTATATCATACTATACTTTACCCACACGCATTTAATCAACTAGATGAGAACAAACCTTAGATCTCACGGGTTGATTATTATAGTTAGTAAATACACATTATCTCTCTATTATATGATGTGTAGAGACAAGAACACACGATTGTTGCGCGCGCCCCAACACCACCACCACCACAGGCAAAACAAACAAACAAAATAAAAAATTTCACAAAATTTATTTCTTACGATGTTGACGGGTTCCTTATACAAATGTTCTCGTTAGACTACAAGACCCACTGGTCTAAATTCAACCAAACCCCTGCTCTCACAGCAGGTCTCATCCTATTCACGTGCATATTATTTCTCCTAAATGTATACGATGTAATGGACAAATCTCCATTTATCCTATACCCCAACTCACCCTTGGAACTCAACCTCAATGCCATTTCTCTCTACCTTTTATTCCACACAAATTTCGGCCATTGGTTCATCAATGTACTTGGTATAGCCACTCCGTTGGCAATGTATGAAGCAACCCACGGGACTATCTATACCGGAATCACGTTGAACTTACTTGCCGTGATCACCGCCTTGCAGTATTGTCTCGTCGGACAAATTTTGTACCCGCACACAGGAGTGATTGGACTTTCGGGAATTATTTTCCTGTTGTTGAGTTATACCCTGTACAAAGAACACCAGAATCGTCCTGTTATTCACACTTACCGTGTTTCGTCATATGAGATTAAAATATATACATTGGCGGTGCCATTCATATTCTTGGTCTTTATGACTATTCTTATGCCAGGCAGTTCGTTTTTTGGCCATTTAGCAGGAGTGTTTGCAGGGTTCTTGTTGGGTATGGGTTACTTGAAGAAATTGTTCCCACCTAGTACAGCTATAATATGGATTGAAAACAAGGTCGAGCCCGTGATCAAATTGATTAATAAGTTGGTTACATTTGTTAAAGAAGAGGATGCTATTAATAAGAGAAGCGTGACCTATGTAAGTATGTTTAGTTCTGATTTAGAAACTGGGTCAGTCAACACTCGTCCGCCTACTTATCTGGCTGAAACTAGAGTATTGGGTGCATAGTTTTCTTGTATAGTTTAATTTTTCAAAAATATAAACCTTATTAGCCTCGGGAAATTTTAACGTCTCCGCTTTTTTTTTTCCCTTTCTTTCCTACCAAAACGGACAACTCCTAGTGTAAACACAAGCAACCCAACTACACAAACAATGGTACCTTCCGAGCCAAACACACCGAAGAAATCGGTAAATAACAGTAACAACACGAATGCTGACAAGAAGAAACGACGGAAACTGAAACAGAAAAAGCGCAAGCTGCTGATACCTACAACTACAGTTTCACAAACACAATTGGGCCCTTCAGTATTGGCAAGTCCTCGACAACAAACCCTAATGAGACATAAACTCGATGATGACTCTGACAAATCGCACCCAGTCACCCTCCTTAAACAATTGAAACGCCATACGCCTCCACAAGAAGTCGAACCAGATATTTCCATGCCTGATATTGCCCACAAACTAACACTATTCAAGTACAAAACAGGAACAATTATTCAGTTTCTTGATCAGATAAAACATAACTCAAGCGGAACATTACTTGCACAAGGTGAAATTGAAATATTTCAATTACATAATGGTGATGTGACGTATTTATCATGCGGGAAATCATTCATATATCCCTTGTTGCCCAAGATTAAGATCCTTCGTGCTAGTTTTAACCAATTCATAATCCCATTAGTCAATCCTGAACGATATTGGAGGTTGAGTGTAACTACAGAAGAAACAAACGTGGTGGATCTATTAGAAACTACGTTTGAAAAGTATGCCCAATATCGAAACTTGTATGTTCTGGGACAACGCCTGATCCTGCCACAGACTCTAGTACAAGCACTGCAACTAACACCCGTTCAAGCCAAATCACATTTCACTCTTGATGACACAATACCCGAATCTCCACCATCAGCACCAATCTCCCCACGACAAGAAGCAATAAGTCCGCCCCGTTTCGCGTTACATGATCCTATACCAAGCCACCTTATCCACCATCCTACCCCGCGGGTCAATCCCAGTTACAACCCGTTTCATCCACCAATACCCCAAGACAACAACATTGACAACAAGTCCGATCTAGATTCGCTTCTTGATGAATACGAACAAACACTCGAGGCTACAACCAGAGCTAATTCAATCGTACACGAAGGAAGATCAAGGCGAAGTTCAATTAGTGAATTATATACACAAGAAAGTGGGTGGATGGAGCCTACACCGGCACCAGCGCCACAACGCACGACTGCTCCTGTTACGAGAGGAATACCGAAGTCACGAAGTATCTATAGTATGAACAGTTATCGGAGCTACGACTTGAATCATATTTACAATACTGTGCGTCATGGAAATCAGGAACGGGAGGAATTGAAATCAGCCAAAAGTATGTCGAAATTACCCCATGATTATCAAACAAGGCTCTCATCACGACGATCCTCAGCCATTGCCCATCCGTTAGTTCCGTCAGCACCGGTTGCTCCTACATCTGCAACCACCCAACTTAATTCCAAGGAAATATTTAATATGCTTAGTTCAAAACCTACGCCTCCACGTACTACTAGTTTTGCCGCAAGATTATTCGGATGGGGCTAAATTCTTGACTCGTTTTTTCGTATTTATTTATAAGAATTTTTATTATATACAAAATATTTATCCCAATTTCTAAACTTGAGGAGCTCCAGGAACAGGGTTACCTTGAGCATCAACCAAACCTTGTTGCATCAACATCAATTGTTCATTACCAGCAGCTTCAAATTGTAAACCCAATCCGATCTTGGAACTGTTCTTGCTGTGGTCGATTTCACCACTGAATAATATAGACACAGTAGGCAAGATTCTCTTTTCTAAAAATGCAGAGACTTTACCTAAGGAGTCCACTTGACCTCTGAAAACAGCAGTTCTATATTCATACTTGGCACCAATGGTGGTTTGACCTTCAATGACTGGTTCAAAACCAATGGTTCCCATTAATGGATCAGCAACTTGCTTCATGGTAGCGGCGACTTGAGTTTCTAAACCAGCTTCAACCTTATCAGTGACTCTTCTCCAGAAAGAAGCGATGATGGCACCTTGGGCTTGAACTTGAGCAGAAGCAATCCATTTTTCAGCATTGTATCTGGCAACATAAGAGACAGCAGTGTCTGGAGGAGATGATGGTTGCTTGGAGTACATGGCTTCTAAACCAACGGCGAATTTAGGAGTCAAGGATTGTAACAAAGAGGCAACGGCGACACCGGAGAAGCCACCATACAAGAAGTTAGGGTTCAAGGTCTTGACGTTGATGGAGAAATCATTGGCTTGGTAATCTTGTTCTAATTGAACCATGGCTGGTTGTCCATTGGCCAATTGTAAAGTCAATTTGGAGATGTTCAGTTTATCCCAACCATAGTTGATTCTACCGGAAAAGGACAATTCATTGTCAATGTTACCTTGGACGAAATAGTCGTCAGTAGCAAACAAAGCTGAGAATGCATAGGTTGGCAAAACTTGAGATCCAATGGATAAAGTGTGGGATGTTTGGAAGGCTGGACTCATGGAGAAGGCCTTGTTTAAATCAGCACGCAACCCAGTGAAGAAATATTGGTTCAAGAAAACATCACGGGCAACTTCCTTGTTCAAGTTTTCGATGGTACCTGGGTTGTTCAATCCAAGCAGAGCACGATGTTCACTGATGGTGGTGTAAACGTCATTGATATAACTGAAGACTGGATTGGAAGACCATAATCCGGCCTTTGGTGGTTCGGTGGTTAAACTAGGTAATGTGTGCACCACAGAACTTAATGGAGCGACCGGGGTAGATTGTGACATTGTGATTTAAGTTACCTCTATATATGGTGGTTATTTGATTTCGATTTGGCAAATTGTGAAAAATTTGTATGGACGAGCAAAGGAAAAAATCTTCAGTTTTGGGATGAGATTTACTACGGGGTGAGTATACTTCAGAATGAAACAGATATATATATATGGTTGCAAATACCCATAGTGGACTTTCATATGATTACAACACCTGTTGCATCGTTAGCTAGGCTTGTAATTAGCAAATAGAATCATTGTTGATTTAATTGTTTTAAAATCCTAGTAAAATTTGGAAGTTTGTCCAACCAATGTAAGGCAATGGCGTACCGGCCTTTGCTTACCAATAGAGATAATCCTACAAAGCTCTTTTGATCGCTGTGCTGAACTATGTACATTATCTTATAAAGTTACTTAATACAGTTTATTTTCCTTCTCCATTTTTGTCTTCTTTGTCACCTTCCTTACCATTAGCATTTTCCACCTTGTTTTGTTTCTCGTATTCTTGCATAACATCCTGGGATTCGCTCTCCGATTTCAAATAATATTTTACATACCATTTCAATTGGTTTATACTTTCCAAAATATCAGACTTTGCAGTATGCAACTGGACCTTCTTTGGACAACACTTCATTAATGCAGGATTGTGACGGTACCCAGTCTCCATAATTGAAGACACATCAATTAATCTATAATGTAAATGTTCAATTACTTCAGGGAATTCCTTCATCATAAAGAATTTGTCCATATGAACTGAGTTACCCGCGATCAAACCGGTTCTTTGTTCGGGAATGTACTTCTTAATATACTCGAGCAATTCGCGTTGTACTTTTTCCAAAGTTTGTTCAGGATGATCAAGAATTTTCTGAGTAAGTCCAGATTTCCCGTGGGTTTCAATACACCACGGATTCATTTCATCTAGCCTTTCCTTAGGATAGTATATAGTAGATTCATACCCTACTTCATCAACAATATTTAAATTTCCATCGGTGATAATACAACAAATCTCGATGATGTTGTCACCCCCAAACACATCCAAACCAGTCATTTCACAATCGATCCATACAAGTGGTTTACTAGGTAGCTTAGGATGAGTCTTTAAAAAACTTTGCATAGCTGACACGGTCTTTATTTTCTTTGAGGGTGGTTCCTCATTGGAAGTATGTACGGTTGGCTGTTCTGTTGTTGACATTCTGGAAGCTTTCTTAATAAATCTGGGTGCCGTTTGGATAGTTCTATAACAGTTTAATGAAGGTGTCGTACGAGTGATTCGAGTCAAATATTTTAACATTTGTTGATTTCTACTCACGAAGGTGTGTGAGTTTTCCAGTCCGATGTTGTTTTTTTTTTTGGCCTGCAAGTGTTTACGCAACAATGCAACCAACCGTACGATATAGCAACTAGACGTGTATCAATTGACTGCTCAAAAAATGAAAACCGTTGATAAGATCTTTCTAATTTACTTCATCAGTCATATCCCCATAACTATATTTATGGACTCCACCATAATTGTCCCAAAGGAGTACCAATTAGAACTATCCAAAACACTTTTAGACTTTCATATCTCCGCCAACAAAGACATCTTGTTGATTCATTCTCCAACATGGTTTAAGTTGTTTGGTGTAGTTGAATTAGTATTCCAATTACCCTTGTTCTTTTACTTTATTTACAAGTTATTGGTTGCCCCAGTCTTGGATTCTGATTACTTTATCTGGACCATTGTTTACGGATTCAATGCTAGCTTCACTACGTTTGTGTGTATGGGCTGGATCATTATCGAAGGACAAGACTTGGGATTGAACTTGCAAGAAATAGCTAACTTGTGTGCAATTTACTCACCATATTTGATTATTCCCGCTTGGCTCTTACTAAACTCAATTAGTCGATTACGTAAAATCAAAACAGATTAGACATACACTGATGTTACAGCTGCATATTATATATTTTTTGTATAGTATATAACTCTATAAAACTTAGTTATACTTTTCAATTAAGCTGGAGGCAAATTCAATGTATTCAGCTTCAGCATCTTCTTGAGATTTACCTTCCAAGGCCTTCCAGGCATCCCATTTGTACTTACCTTTGAAGTCAAAAGCACTTGGTCTGTCAGTGTTGACATCACCAACGGTGGCTTGCTTGTACAAACCGTACAATTTTAATAATTCATCATCGGAAGGCTTGGTAGTCAAGTTTTGGACAGCGTCGGCCTGGCCAGTTGTTAGTATCAATCCTAGAGCTTATTTGTCAATCCAATTGCATGTATACTTACTTTTGCGGTGAATTCGGCAGAGACCATGTTTGATATTTGTAAATGTATAAGGGGGATTTACCCAACACGATTTCAAAAAGTGTGGTTTGAAATTTGTTGAGGTTTTTATATGTTTGAGCTATGCAGGAAAATTCGTATTTTTTTTTTCTTTGCTATTTTGCCTACCCAACAACTATTGCAGGCGGGTTGTATTAGCCGATTGTTGCCAAGTTGACGGACATGTTGCAATGAGACATATCGTCTATAAGATATGAAAGATTGGAACCAGTAGTCAGACAATTACTGGTTATATAGTGCTTATGCTGTGAGTGGTGGCAATTACTAGTCCGAGAATTAAAGTTGGATGTTTAGCCGCAAAATCTGCACATGGTGTTAATTTCTAAAATTCCGAGGTTATTTATAGAAGAGATCACACACACCCAGAATAACAATCAGACAATTGATTAGATTTATGCTTATCTGGATTGTTATAGATGGAGCTACTATTGGTTTTGCCATAATTCTCTAAATAACATCATTGATAACATACATATCCTTGTTACATCTCTCCGCATTTAACAACTTTGCAATCTCAGGAACCCCAGATTTCACTTACTAAGTCTTTATAGGGGGTACAGTATACACATTTCTCATACTTCATTACATATATTAACTATGCTAAATACCATCTCTACTCATCCAATATGGCCACTTCGTTAGTGAACTTATTAATACATCTTTGCACCTGGTCAAAATCAACCGGCTTGGTAATTATATAATCGAAAACACCCGATTCCTTAGCTTCTTCAGGGAATCCAGTCACGGCCACAATTGGACTCTGGGAGTTCTTCCCCGTTGTAAACTTGATTAATTTAACCCCGTCAATAGCTTCTACGTGAGGTAATTTCAATGCTGTGAATATCAAATCGAATTTAACACGAGATGTGGCTCTTTTAACCAACTCCTCACCATCAGTTATAGATACAACAATACATCCTGCGCGTTCAAGTAACTTAACCACACTATGGCGAACAACCAGGATAGGTTCACAATAAAGAACATCCAATTCATTCGCTATTGAAATAGAATCATTATCCATTCTTGAATTCTCTCGTTTTCTACGTTGTTGCACCCGGAACAAGGCGTTAGAACTTTCTTCATTATCGGAAGTCAATGGTGAATTCAAATCTCGAAGTAATGAAGAATGTTTGCTGATAGCCATACTTGAAGATCTCAACTTCTCTTCACTTCCACTGCCATTCGCACTTCCAGCCATACCTTCATCACCCAGGGAGTACGTACTTACAGCAGATGCAATTCTTTCTTGTCTTCCCACTCCTACATTGCCTCCGGTGACAGGTGAATCAAATATTCGATTAGGCAGAGCTGATCTTACACTACCACCACCTGGAGCACCTGCAGGAGAACCGAGACTTAATGAATGAGGAGTTGATGGTGACACCGGTCTCTTGAATGGACTTCCTGACATAACACCGGAACCCGACCCAATACTACCTGATACTGATCCTGGAACAGTGCCACCACTGCCAATACCGCCAAAGGAGAACCCTCGGGAGCGTAACTTGGGTGAATCAGATGAACTTGACGAAAAACTATTCCGATGTTCCAAATGTTCTGTTTTTAACCTATTAATCACATCTTTGTTCTGCTTTTCCAAAACTGACAAGTTTCTGAAATGGAACGATCCAAATTCACCTGGATCAGCTAATCGACTGCTTCTTCTCTCTTTCTTGAATTGAATCCCTATTCCAGCACTACCACTACTACCACCACTATGTCCCGTTCCTGGAACCGAAAACGACCCACCAGGGGATTCACCACTATTATTGGTATTTATACTACTTCGATGAACCACATCACCAAAAGTTCCGCCTTCACGTTCAACATCACTTTTGTTATCATCGGTGTCGGAATCATCCTTAGGGAATTGAACCACGCCCACACCACGAGGATCGAAATAATCAGTCAGGGCAGGGTCATCAACAATAGGTACAAATGGAGCTGGTTCTTCAAATAACGTGTCCCAATGAATATCCTTAAAGAATGGATGTGACTTGATCTCCTCGGCACCATGATACCCCAATCTCTCATGGGGATCTAGAGTTAATAATTTAATAATCAAATCCTTGGCCTCCGGTGAACAAAAATTCAAATCTTCTTCAGGTGGTAATCCGGGCCAATCGATTTTACACTCAAGAATATTCCGGAATACTTGATCGGGAGTGTCAGCATGAAATGGGGGATATCCATATAAAAACTCAAACAAGATGCATCCAATCGACCACCAATCAGACGCTTCACTTTGTCCTATACCTTCAATAGTTTCTGGAGCCAAATAATCGGGGGTACCTACAAACTTCTTGAATTCGTGCTCATTTTGAGGATCGTATAATGCATAATTGACCCCAGTTTGGTTTCCCATTGTTGTAATGGGTCCAAACCCTGTAGCGGACGAAGAAGAACCTGATCCTGTTCCTCCGTGGCTGTAATCTTCATCAAGGATAGCAAATGATGACTCTGAGGACGTGCGAGGAATAATTGGTTTCAATACCGGAGAATCCAAGCCACTAGAATTCGAACGACCCTTCAATAACGAGCTTCTGTGAGGAAATATGTTTGAGAGCGACCCTGAATGTGAGGCCCCTGGTGGTGGAGGTGCAGGCAAGGGGAATATTGGTCCTATAGGAGTAGCCAATGTCAGCAGACCTGGTGTTGAAGGAGATGTTCCACTAAATGCTTCCATGAATGATAATGTTGGTGAACTTAGTTGATGCTGTAATGCATGCTGCTGCTGTATATTATTTATGGTGTTGAGATTATTAATAGTGTTCAATTTAGCATGTTCAATAGTTGGGGACAACGTAAATGGAGTTCCTGAACTTGTTCTCTTATGATGGAATTCATGTAAACCGGGTTCCACACTCAAAGTGCTTCTAAATAATTCAATTCCTTGATCATTAGTGCTACTCTTTCTATGGGTATTTTGTCTTCCAACAACCCCTAATCTAGATAACCCAAAATCCGTCAATTTCAAATGCCCATCTTTATCAATTAAAATATTATCTGGTTTTAAATCACGATGAATAATACCTCGCTTGTGCAAGTCATCAACTCCAACAATGATCTCCGCAATATACCTCGCGGACCATTCCAAACCAACAACTTCTAAATTCTTAATCAACATAGCACAATCACCACCAATCAAAAATTCCATCACTAAATAAAGATAGTCACGAGATTGGAAACTACAATACAATTGAGCAACATAAGGCGAATCAGTTTGTCGCATCATTACCGCCCGCTCAGACTTCACATTAAGAACTTGATTCTTGGCAATCATATCTCGTTTCCTTAAACATTTAATGGCTACATAGTCACCCGTAAGCTTGCGTTTAGCAAGAAAAACGGACCCAAATGCACCTTTACTAATGGGTTTGATCACTTCATAATCACGAACTCCTCCTCCACTGATAGGTTTTGACAGCGCGGTTGAAGAAACTAACAATGGCGACAATGGTGCCGTCATCTTTTGCATTGATACCAGTTGAGGTGTTATTGGCATTGTCGATCCATATGCGTCGGTGGTTGTTAGTGATAGCTTAGTGATCTTTTTATGATCACCTCCTTCATCGTGAGTAATCATAGGTGACGATACTGGAGTGTATCTCGAACTAGCTGTGTTCTTTTGCAAACTTGTTAAATTCAGCTTTTCAACATATGGAGCAGGTGATAAATGTCTTCGTGGTGATGAGAAGGATGAATTGTTTTCTGAAGATTTCTTGGATAGGTCTAGATTTTGAATTGATTCCAACAAGTCCCGTGAATTGTTCCTCAGTGAGTGATCTGAGTGATGATGGCCCAACTTAGAACTTGGATGACTAATTGACATGGGTGATGCGGAGGACACGGAATGATTACTCTCACTGTGTCGTTTTGAATGCTCTCTACTAAGCAATATATCTCTTGGTGTAACAACGCTTTCAAATGGCAGCAGGAATAACTCTGAGGCAGGACTTGCTCTACTTTTCGATGGTCTAGGTGCTTGAATGATGTGGTTTGATACTGGAACTGGTAGAGGACGTAAAGGCATAGTCAGCGATTGATCTAAATGAATGATATCAGGAGTAGATACTCTAGGCGGCTCTTGGTCAATCTCACTAATGGTTTGTTCTTTTATCTTTGTCACTGTTTCTCGAACTGTTTTCAATACTAAATCATCTACTTCCTTGTTTATCTTATCCATGTATTGCAAAATCGAAATCAATCGAGAAAGTGTGTCCATTTTATTATCAATTAACGCTTGTGTATCCTCAATGATTTGTTTGATTGCAAAATCTGATGTTTCTAGGATTGGCCTAGCAATGACATTGTTCAATGCTTTTTCTGAGCTGGGCGAAAACTCAAGAACATGTTCTTCATTATTTGATGGTGGGTTCACTAGTAATGCATCATCGCATATATCAACTACTTTTTGAAGTATCCCAAATGGAAACTTTCTCGACTGAATTAAACTTCCGCTCCTGGCTTGGAAATTCTTGGTCAATACTTGATTAGCTAAACTTGGTGACGCATTTGCAATATCTCCAACAATAGGTAATGGAATCCCTTTATAATCATAAATCACAGGTGAGGGAGTTTCTGAGGATGACAATGAAGACGATGACGAAAGGGTAGAAATCGAGGATGTTGGAGATATTGATTCTGATGATGATTGCTGGCTACCCAGTTGCAGACGTGCATGTTGCTGTGCTAAACTCTCGATAATCTTAAGGACCAAGTCTCTTTGTTCACTTATAGCATCATGACATTGTTGTAAGTTTTCCTTGGCTCGATGTTCCAAAATACACAAATCAGAATGTTTCTCAATAAACCATGCAGGGAAATATGCTTCACAAATCCTACATAAAACAGTCTTGGGTTGTGGCACTGATTCCTCATCAATGATAGCCAACTCTTTTAAATTAAGTAAATATCCTTCGAATATCTCTGACCCAAACCCTAGTAAATCTATCAAAGCATTAGGTAAAGTCAAGTCCAAATCAATGTGTTGAAATGGTCTGATTGTCCACATGGAATGACTAGGTAAGTTTGTCTTGGCATCGTGAATTAATATACCTTGGGCTTCTAATTCTATTATACCCCCATCGTTTGATAAAGTTGAGCTTAGCTGACTTAATGTATCTTCTTGTGAGCCTAGACTGCTTTGTTCAGCTCCATCCTGGATTTTAATGGCTCTTGAACCAGTTCTTATATAGCCTGGAATATAGTCTTCCACAGGTAATTCAATTTCGGATTCAGCTTCAGATTCCACTGCCGAATTCGGAGGCGTCATATTAATTTCTTGCTGATTATCGTTATCTAAGTCTCCAGGTCTACTTAGAAGTCGTTTCAAATCATTATACATTTCTTGTTCTTGTTTCATCAGTTCACTTGGTTCCATGCGAGGAGCATTATTGGTTGCAGTTATAAACTTTACTTTATAACTACCGTCATCTTTGATCATTTGATCAATGGCATTATTGAACACTTTGAAATCATCATCATTATTCCCAATGATGATTTTTGAAATTGGACAATTGATAATCTTGCGGATGTTTGTTCCTACTATATATTCCCAGCTTTTACTGATATATCGTATGTTCCCATCCAAATCAAGTTCCATAACAATTGTGGGGTTGTTTGACGATGCTAATCTGAGATCGATTTGTTCTTCGATTGAACCTATAGGTCTGTGTGCAGCAGTAGGTGAGTTTGGAGAGTTTGGAGATGGTGGAGGGGAATGTGAGGGTGAAGTTCCAACGTGTGAGGAGAGTCCCTGTAGTTTTTGTTGTATATGTAAACTTTCACTGGGGGTTGTTTCACGTTGCACAGCAGCTATGCTAGTAGTTGCTGACACATCCAACGAAATGGGAAGTCTTTGAGGAGAATGGATTGGAACTGGGGATGCGATTGAACGATTAGATGTTGCAGGTGAGATTTCAGCTATCAGAACTAGGGAATTCAGCTGTGGGGGTGGTCCGTTTCGCAGCTTTGATTGATCAGGTATTTCGCGGGGTGATAATGACCTCTCAGATGGCTGATGCAGCAACGGGGTAGATTCAAAGATTGGTTTATAGAATAGTACATCCTCATCTTGGATGGGAGTTTGAATCCTAGGGGTGGATTGGTTGGACATGGCTCGTTGTGGTGGCCATATATAATCTGCTGGTTAGTTATGGTTGTCTGTTGTCACTCTCTCCTATTCCTTTTTTTTTGGGCTTTGAAATTTGACCTCTCAAAAAGTTGCTTGTTTAAGGAATATAAGGAACTACTGGAGATTTCAACTAGGATGTGATGACAGTATAGTCAGAGACAAAGTATTGTGTAATACTTAGACAACCCTATTGCAACTTGTACGCGAGTGGCGAGTTAGTACGAAACTTGGATTTGGAGAGATTTTTTGGTGGGATTCTTGTAGGCTAAGCTTTATTTTTTGAAGGCTTCTATGGGCTCTTAAAAATAAATGAAATTGAGTCAACCTGACAAATGAATATAGATCTGGTAGAAGAGAAGAAGCAGTACAAGAGATACTGAAAGAAGATCAAAGACTTGACGAGTTCAACGAATGGAAATTAGTCCTCTGTATGCGTATAAAGCACAAAGGGGGAGAGGAGGGGAGGTAGTGTAAATCTATGGTAAGGCAAATCTGTTACGAAATGTATCATTTCCCTCCGGTCTGCCGATATTCGCTGTTTACGTTTCTTCACATGGAGTTCTACCTTGTCGCTACTCTCGGCGAGAATTTTCTATTCTTACGCCGAATTGCTTTTCAAGTCCCGCCTTACTAAAATGGATACTGTTAAGGTAATGCTGCATTGGTGCGCCCTTACGTAACCCGATGTGCAAGGGGGGGGGGAAGGGGGGAATTTTACTTAATCATACGATTTGCAAGATCAAAACAGGAAATAAGATTTGGTCCAATTGCAAACAACACGGAACAACGATGTAAATCTAAGTACGATTGGTTAGCTGTTTACCCGGCAATGAGTCACTTTTTCATATCGCGTGGGGCTGGATCGTAAACTATACACCGTTCCAAGTTCCCCTTTGATGATGAATTAGATTGGAAGTTCTTTCGCATGTTTGAGGATGTTTCTATTTTTGAAATAGTGATTTATATTAAACCAAGCTAAATACGTTTTTTATGTTTGATTTGTTGGAAATCAATTCAATATATATATAGATGTAATAAAAAAAATTTTTTTTCAAATCAAATCATATACACACAGTATATGTTTGAATCATCCACGTTCATCATCGTCACTCTTTTTCACTCCTGAGCTTTAAAACTAAAATATCTCTTTTTTGCTTTTTCCTGTTGAAGAATTGAAAATATATAAAAATAAATTAAGAAACTTCTTCACGTTCCTATGCTTGTTAGTCTCCGTTAAATGTCTCTGGTAATAATAATAAAAATAAAAATAAAAAAATACCCACACCCAAATATTAATATGTACAAAAGGATTAATAATAATAAAATGAACAAAGCTTCACTTATTGTTTTTGTCTAAGGATATTCTAATTCAAAGAGTTGGATCATTGAATTGAATTGCCAGAAAATCAAGCATTTAACTTGACCTCCTCACCACTGTTTCTGTCTATCATAACGTCATGGACAATCTACCTCTCATTGTCATCTATTTTCCCCACTACTTCCGTCGTCATCACTCTTAGTTAAAAGTTGGATTTTAACTAAAAGGTAATCTTTCCCTTAATTATAAAAGTTCATTTATTTTTTGGATATCCCTTTATCATTTGGTGTATTGAAATATAGATTTGGAATCCAATATACTTCTCTCTTTTATGCTCTTCAACAAGTCTTCGTTCTTTTGTTCGTTTTGTTGCAAAATCATATTCTTGAGGCACTTGTTTTCCATTTCCAATTGCTTCAACTTCTTTTCCAACATGACAACCTTCTCTTCCAATTCCTTGGATCTCTTTTCCATCTCTTGTTCCTTCAACTTCTTCTTGATTCTAAATCTGGCGGAAGCAGCGGTGTTTCTCTTTCTCTTGTCTTCAGAGGCAGCACCGGTGGCTGATTCATCAGAGAAGGTAGACATTGGAGTGTTGACTTCCGAGATAGATCTCTTTTGTGGTTTCTTGAACTCATGGTCGACGTCAGAAGAAATTCTAGCTTGGGTATTAATGTCGAAGTTTAAGAAGGAATAGTCTGGTTGTTGTGACAGTATTGGTTGTTGTTGTTGTTGTTGTTGAGTTTGTTGTTGTTGAGGTTGATGTGGCAACAAGACCGGATCAGTAACTTCTGACTTGACTGGGACGATATTGTCATTTCCCAATACATCAAGTGAGAAGAAATGGTTTGCCAGGGAGAACAAATCTAAATCATGGTCCAATTGTTGTTGGTTGATATTTGGGGAAACAAATTGCGAATCGAATTCTAGATTCAAGTTTTGTAAATAATCGGTAGGTTCAAAGTTCATCTTGCACTTTTAACTAACTTTTCAACTGGTGTATAATTAGAAAGAGTGATAAATTTTTAAGGAGAAATTTGTCTTCATATGAATACCGAAACGAAGAGGAGAAAAAAAAAATAAAAAAATAAAAAGAAAATTCTGAGTCAGGATTTTCATTGTGTTGAGTTTATTGCACACAAAGCATTTTTTTTCTTACTAATACACACAGACTGTATGCAGGTGTATGAATATCCGCCCGCCAATAGGATATCCGTTCCGACCCGATTAGGAAATAAAATCCCGGTTTCGCGAGAAAGAGAGAGAGAGCCCACGCTTTCTATTGTACATGAGCAACATTTGAGAAAGTAGAAGCATTACCTCAATTGTTGCAAACCGTTAGTTATGCGAGTACGTTTTTGAATTGCTCAATGTAGCAACATTTTTGAAAAGTAGCAACCTCTACTTTGTATTTCTTCCACTTCAACCTTAATTTTACCCGTGAAATTGTTTTTCTACTGTGTGAGATGAAAACGTCCGATATCGCTCGTCGTTTCGTATAAAACGGGTGATTTCTTTTTTTTTCAAGTTTGATCGGAGTCCAATTCCGCAATGGTCACGATTACCCGGACCAGTTGTCTCTCTTACTAATATTGCTCTGTAACCAAAACAAGTATGCATCCCTTTCAGACTCCGCAGACATGAAACACAAAGAGTTGCAAAATTCGGACTTTGCTGCAATAATTAGTAAGCAATGCTTAAAGCGAAATACTTACATTCCTATACATACTATACAAGCCTTTAACTGTTTCTGCAGAATGGCATCACCAAGCTACTTCAAGCTCAAGGTCAAGACCCTTGATCAACTTATCCATCTCTCCTAAATCTCTATAGGTAGACAGAGCAATCTTTTCCTCCTGTTTCGTCTTTTCTTCCAACAATTGTTGATAATTTGCTTCCTTCAAAGCCTTTTCGTTCTCCTCGTTGATGATTTCTTGATAAAACATTCTGGTGACCGTCTTCAATCTCGAGAATGGATCTCCATCATCGGTGACTTGGCCAATGTTTCTTGATTTAATTTCGGCCTTTCTAATGTTTGTTTGGTTAAGTTTTCTATTACGTTCATTAATCTTGGACATTGAACTGTATGAGTCTGAGCCAGCATTCGAATTGGTTTGTTCATTCAAAATTGAATCAATATTTTTCAACCTGTTAATCAAATCACGGACCTTGGTAGTATGGCCCTGTTGCTTAGCAATCTTCAATTCATCCATTAACTTAGCTTTGGTAGCCACGGCATCGTAACCTGAAATTCCCTTTTGATCTTGCAATTTCTTTTTACGTGCAAGCATTTCATTGATATCCTTGTCAGACATACCCTTGTTGAAGAATTGTTGCAATTGTTCAAATTTATCATTCACGTCGTCCAAATAATCAATTGATTCATTGGTTTTCTTCAATTCGTCTAAATATCTGTTGAACTCATCTTGGGAAATTGGAGAATCTGAAAACACGCTAATAGGGAAATCTTTGGTTTGTTGACGATTTTGACTGACAGTCAAGAATAAATCACAATTGGAATTATTTAATCTGTATGACTTTTCTGGAATTGATTTCACATCGCTTATCTTAACCATTCTGTATAATGGTCTTCTTGTTCTCTTGTCCATCCCAAGATTAATTTTGGCAAATGTGTCCAATACAACATCATTGAATCCCGAATAGAAACAGTATTGTATTAAAATGGATCTACCAATTTTAATACGATTAATATCATCAATCTTGGCCAATTCTGTTGATCTCTTGGGTTTAGACCTGGATGCACCACCCCAAGTAACAGTTTCGGCATCATAATCACTGTATTCTTCCTCTTCTTCAACTTCTTCATCGTCCAGTTCCTCTTCCAGCTTTTCTTCATATAGTTCCTCTCTTTTTCTTGTTTGTCTTCTGGAATGTTGTTCACGTTGCTTCTTTAATTCTGACAATTTATCTCTCTTGTCAGGTTTAATTGACGTCTTGACACGAGTAGATGCTCTTGACGGTTTAGCTTCCTTCAATCTACGTTGTTTTCTCATTCTTTCTTGCAAATACTTCTTTTCATTATAACGTTCCATTTCTTGGGTACGTTCGAAAATTATCTGTTCTCTCTTGAAATCATCCATTGATTCCAATTCCTCTCGATCTTGTTCATTTTTATATTTACCTTCGAGAGGATATGGATTGATCAACTCTTGTTCCTCTTCTTCCTCCTCTTCATCATCATCTTCTTCTTCCTCATCATCTTCTTCGTCTCCTTCATCGGCATATTCACCTTCTGAAGTGTCTGCTCTTCTTCGTTTGGACAATACCTGATCATCACTATCTTCATCATCACTTCCTCTTGGTCTACGTTTGCTGGAGGAAATGGCTTCATCAGAGTCATAACCATCATCTCCTCCGGCCAATGCCAACAAGTCATCTTCTAAATCGGACATTTTTCTATAATATATTCGATTGATTGTACTACGAATCTCCCGTTGTTGATGAGCATTTCAACATCAACTATTAATTCAATCGACATACTGCTGGTGCGAATCCAACGTCACAAACAAAATAAACATTTTGTCGCGACATAGAAGAATGGATGTTCTGGAAAACTTCGCGACACAGAAGAATGGAGGTTTTGTTGATTTAGGGTTTCAGTCCTAACAAAAAAAAGTTTGCACGTGCTTCACGTGCGCACTCAGAGTAAAATTATCTACAACTACAAAAATCCTACAACAATTTAAAGATGGACTATTGCCTGCTTATCGTGTTCATTGCTTCTGTTCATTTCGAATGGTATGTGGTTTGCAAGGTAGTTCCTATCTCTTCATTGTTGATGTATATCACTGGAAAAATATACTTTGGATTTCCACAATTTTCAAAATGATAATATTATATTAAAATGAAACTATTCGATTCTTAAAAAGCCTTTTAAAGAAACCCAAGATACATAAAATGATTTTGTTTTATAAAATGTGATAATATAGTAGTCGTTGGAATTGTATAGCTTTCTTAACGTAATCTTCTAGCTTCTCTTTCAGATTCCATCAAACATAAGATGTCGTTTTCTCTGACTGGACCCTTGACGTTTCTGACGATAGTTCTGGAAGCATCTTCTAAGAATTCAACTCTGACTTGGGTGACACCACCTCTGGAACCGGTTCTACCTAAGACCTTGATAACTTTGGCTAAAGTAACTGGAGTTTTAGCGTCCTGAAGAATGAGAGTTAGTATATCCTGTTATTATCACTGGGTTTGTACAACTTGTTACATCAAGGTACAACTCGTATATCATGTTTCCACATACCATTTTGTATAATTATCTTATTTGTATATAGAAAGGAGAGAAGAAGAAGAGAAAGAAAAACGAAGAGTGGTTTAAAAAAATTTTGATACAATCTCAGTGAAAAATTTCTGCCTAAGCTAAACACAGAGAAGGAAAAAAAAAAAGTTCAACAGTGGACAGTATGCAGGAATTTTGTCACCTGACCTAGTATCGACAAACCTGCAAAAATGTAAAGCAAACCTGTAAACTATAACCTAGTACAGTAAAAACCAGCTGCAAAATGGATATTCACCGTAACGTCAATTTACCATAATCATTGTTTCAAGAAAACAACAGCTTAATCAACCGGAAGAAGAATTCTTTCTGGAATTCCTTTTCTTGTGACAACAACAGCCTCCCATTGGCCACCAGTATACTCCACCCATAGCCATGAGAGTTCTTTTTCGTTTTAGAATCGACCAGGGGCATGATTTCTTGTTTTCAGTTTGATTAGAACTTTTATTGGAATCTTGATTAGTTTGAAGTGGTTGATGAGTTTTGATATCTGTTTGTGTTTCTTCTGAGTATGGTGGTGGAGGTCCTTTTGGTATAGCAGCAGAAGACATTATGAATTATTGATTTTCTTTTATAGGAATTTGATTTACAAAATATATAATAATAATAATATTAGATCATTAGTAAGAATTGAAGATCGTCGTGTCTATTTATAATAGTAATGACAAAAAGAATGCAGGATCTACCGGGGCAAACATGGCATGTTCAAACTTTAGTTTTAGATGTGGGGTTCATAAGCACCAACGGTTACTACGGTTCATTGTTCAAACACACACACACACACAATATTCGTAAACTAGATGAAAGTTTGATGATACTTTATGGTAAATTAATTAACGCGGCGCAGTTCAATTTGAGGTGAGGAGGGGTGTGGCTAGATCAAAATGTTGCAACATTTCTTTTTTTTGATATTATGTGGGCTGTGCATATTAAGTGCGGTTAACGGGCAAAATTGTAAGACCCGTTAAATTTCCGCCCTCCTTGTTTATCACCGAGAATTGTCGGAAATACCATTATTTTTTTCAATTAATATATCTCCGAATTCCTATTGCCTTGTCGTATATAAACAATTCCATCTCTCGTGGATTTCACTTCCAGGCTTTCAAACAACGCTAGAACTTAACGAAATCACACCATGACTACACAGACAGAAGCCCAGCCCAATCTTCCCGATCAGCACCCAGATGCTATGAGTAGAATGAGAAACAAGAAGAATGAATTTAATGATGGCAGAAAGAGACCAATTTACTCCTGGAAAGATTCTGCATTTGATTGGATCAAACAAACCGTATACAGCGACTATTCTGATGAGAAAGTCGAAGCTAACTTATTGTCACATTTGCCGTTTTTCCCTGAATCGGATGGTAAGAGACGAGCCTCGGTTATCAACACTGATCTAGGCGATGGCAAATATATCCACGAATTGTTTATCGAGAATATTGAACCTGTGACCGAGTCAAGTGCAGTAATGAATCCTAATGGTTTGCCAGCCACTAAGGAAGTTGTTTTGGTTCATGGTTATGCCGCCTCGTTGGGTCTTTTCATTGACAATTTTGATTCCTTATCATCCATCCCAGGAATCAAAATTCATGCTATTGATTTGCTTGGATTCGGGTTTAGTGCAAGACCAAACTTTCCACACTTTCCTTCAAAAACTAAACAAGATATTTATAAAGTGGAAGACTGGTTCATTGATTCTATTGAGGAATGGAGAAAGAAGAGAAACATCAACAACTTTGTCTTGATAGGTCATTCGTTTGGGGGTTACTTGAGTTGTGCCTACACTCTTAAATACAACCAGAAACTTATTGATGCCGCCACTGGCATTAATCATAATTTAGTGGAAAAGTTAATTTTGTTAAGTCCAGTCGGTGTTGAACGCCACAAGAATTCCTTATTAAAAGATCAAGAATCTGTATCTATTTCAGTTGCTCAACAACAAAAAGAAAACCAATTAAGTCCGGTTGTTTCTTTGGAACAAGAAGTGTTGACCAGTCAAGAAGAAATTGTTCACGGTAAAGCTGGTGTCAAGCCTCTCTCAGCTTCTCCATCTGCATCTGTATCACAATCATCCAATCAAGAAGCATCTGAAGAAGAACCAAGAACCAGAAGAAGAAAGATTATAGATTTCATGTGGGAACGCAACTTCTCCCCCTTTTCCATTGTCCGTAATCTTGGTCCTATCAAGTCCAAGATGATTTCTGGATGGACAACCCATAGATTTGCTCATGTTTATTATCAAGATCAGCAACATTTCCAAAATGTTCATGATTACATGTACAGAATCTTCAATGGTAAAGGATCTGGTGAATATGCCCTTACTAGGGTGTTGGGAGTTGGTGCATTGGCTAAATTGCCATTGTTGGATAGATGTCCTGAAAAGTTTGTTGCCATGGGTATCCCAACTTTGTGGGTATATGGAGATAAAGATTGGATGAATGATGAAGCTGGGTTGGAAATGGTTAATGAAATTAATGAATTATCTATCAAGAAATCAGAAAAGAAATTGGCTAGTTTCAGTATATTACCAAACGCTGGACATCACTTGTATCTTGATAATCCCCCAGCTTTTGCTCGTGAAATATTTAAGTTCTTGGGTTTTAGAAGATAAATTCAAACTAAATAGGTGTATATATGGTATTTATAGTAGAGAAGGTAATTATTTAAGAATTTTTTCACATTCTTGTTTGTAATATTGTTGAATTTCTTGTAGTTTAATTTTGTGTTGATGTTCAATTTTAGCAAAGGCATTATCTAGTTCTTGTTGCAATTGATTTTGCTTCTTAAGAATGTTAAATTCAAGCAGTTTGAGTTTGTTGATAAGATTAGAAGATAAGAGTTTCAAACTTTCATTCATGACATCGTAGGCCGAACCAATGGTGGGACATGTGGTTTGATTCAAATCTATATCGGTAAATTCTCTGGGAAGGATGGTGTTATTAGCTGTAGATGTTGCACAGATTTCGTCGCTTACGGTGGAAATAGGAAGTTGTTTATTAGCAGCTCCTGGCAAATTATAGTTGTTCAAACGTTTAGAAACTTGACTGTTGGTTGCTAAAAGTATATCTTGAGTCGAAATAGGTTGAACCATCTCTTTAGCTTGGTCTATCCCTCTGTACTTTGCAAGCTCTGATTTGAGATGATTCTGTGGAGTTTTGACCAGAGACTTTGGACGTTTTCTAATTGATCCTGAACTTCTTACTGGACTTCTTTTTGGAACTGTCTCTTCGTTTTTCTCTAAACTAGTAATCTCTGCAGAATGTGTATCTGTAGAATTTGTTCTGGTAAGGACAGAGCTAGTGATAACCTCATCTGTTACCAAACTATCTGTAGTTTCATTTGTATCAGGCATAACTTGTGACTCGGAAACATGGATCAAAGAATTAATAGAGATCTTCCTGGTCTTGTTTGTCTTGTTTGACTTGTTTTGACTTAAATATGAAACCAACCAATTGAATTGCAGTTGCTGTTGTAACTTTAACTCGATCTCAATATCGGTAAGAAATTCAGTTCTTTCCTTTACAATAGAGAACGATTGTAAATACTCTGGGTTCAGAAGGCTACCTGAACGAGTACGTCTTGAGTTCATGCATTCAAATTTTATTCGGAGTGTGGAATCTGATAATGCCAAATAATTGGAAAGGGTGTGGAGATTGATTAAACAAGGAATAAAACTCTTTTTATCGTTCATCCATAAGACTAGCAGTTTTGATTCTTTTGGTTGAATAAAACAGTCTGGACAATCCGGGAGTATGATCGCCTTGGAAGTAATTGAACAACTAATTAGATTCCTAAAACTTGGATTGTAGTTGGTAATGTATTTGATTTGATCCATAGGTAGGAAAGATTGAGGTAACCCTGCAAGAAATAAGTGATCTACTTTTAACTTCTTGAACAATGTCATCAAGCATATTATGTTTGTAAAATCCAGATTCTCTTGTAATAACTTTTGGAATTTGGCATGATTTTTAGGATTAACCATATTGATATAAGTGCTTACGTTGAAATTATGGGCTGTATTTATGAGGATATTGGTACTTAACCATGCCCGAGACTTGGAAGAGAGTGAGTCATCTAGTAAGTTTGACAAATAGGAATCTTCAACCAAATTATAAATCGAGATTTTCTAAAAGTAACTTGTTAGCACTATGTTTGAAATTATATCACAAAGTATATCTTACTTACCATTAGAATTGAAGTATACTGCTCCATTTCTCTTGGAAAATGAGTGTGAATGAATTCACTGAGATGGAGGTTTACAATGAAGTAACTTAACTCATCAGAAAGGAAATCTTGTATTCTTGCAATAGTAAACAATTTATCAAGTAGGGTCTTGATTTTGTCAATTGATTGTGCCTCTTCAGAGGACATTGATTCGGATAAATGTTGTTGTAATTTGTTCAAGATGTCGAGTTGTTCTAGGTAGTTAATCAATTGGTTGAAATCGAATTCCTCGTAAGTGATTATGGGTTTGGAATTGGTTCGCTGAATCAAATTCTCAAACTCCTGTGAAAACAATCTAAGACACTCTGACATGTTTGTTCTTCTTCTTCTTCTTCTTCTGTTGATGTAAACTGTTTTTTGGTTGCAAATTCAAAATTTGTTTACACTTTTTTCTATGGGAAAAGTTCGTTTGGTTATAAATTGGCAGCAGAAATTCTGTAAATATTATTACTACCCACAATGTCTGAATAGCTTACTTTGGTTACTAGCTGTGATCTTCAGTGATGCAAAGTTGGATCTGTTCATAGAATTGAATTCTTTACTAACATGGATTCCATTTATTTCATTTTTATATAAAATTCCACAAAATATTAGAATATTTATATCGAGAAGTGAAGACAATGACAAACTGTGGCAATGGCCCAAATTTACAACATCACATACGAACCACTAAATCTAGTAATCCCTACAAGGAAAGCACCCCCCCCAAACGAACGATCATTAGATGGAATGTCAAGGAAGGCAAAATTGCCTTCCCAACTGGTAGCTCACAGTTTTGATCACGACACGATCTGAGAAATGAGTAACAGAAAAAAAAAAAATTTGGCATTAAAGATCTCTTGTGTTCTATCATCTTCTTATTCATACAACACATAATGTCTGACGACTTAATCGACTTGTTTAGCAAGGTCGGATTTGGCGATAACAAATCAAAGGAAATTGTCAAGAACAAGAAAGTTTCCACTTCACTTTATGAAATTCTTCATGACGAAGCTAATGCTGACTCATACAACGACAAACAATTGGCACTTTTGCATCAATTAGCCGTTGAATCCAAGGGCGCCGCCATTCCTAACCGTAAGCTCATCACTGATGCTATCTTAGATGGCCGTGTCAAAACCAATTTACAAATCCTGGAAGCTGTCAAGTATTTGAAATCTCAAGGTGAATCAGATGTCAGCATCGACAAGTTTAATGAAGTGGCTGGTGTTGGCATTGAATTGAGTGAAGCTGATGTTAAGGCGGAAATTGTCAAGTACTTGGATTCAATTAAGGACGAATTGGAATCAAAGAGATACTCAATCTTACCAAAGGTTCTTGGTGAAGTCAAGAAGTTGCCAAGTCTTAAATGGGCTGCTCCTAACTTGTTCAAACCCACAATTGATGCCTTATTCTTGGAAAAGTTAGGTCCTAAGGATGAAAGAGATGTTGTCAAGAAGGAAAAGAAGCCAAAGGCTAACGCTGAAGCTGCCGCCAAGAAAGCAGCAACCACTGCTGTTGAACATGAACGTTCTATGTTCTCTGAGGGTTTCCTCGGTGACTTACACAAACCAGGTGAAGAACCTCAAATGTATCCTGAATTACTTGGTCCACACCGTGATTTCATCAAGGGTAAAGTTCACACTCGTTTCCCACCTGAACCAAATGGATTCCTTCACATTGGACACTCCAAGGCTATTATGGTCAATTTCGGGTTTGCTCAATTCCACAAAGGTAACTGTTATCTTAGATTCGACGACACTAATCCTGAAGCCGAAGAAGAAGTTTACTTCAACTCCATCAAAGATATGGTTGCATGGTTAGGATATGAGCCTTGGAAGATCACCTACTCTTCTGACTACTTTGATCAATTGTATGATCTTGCCGTCAAGCTTATTGAAAGTGACAAGGCTTATGTATGTCATTGTACTGCTGATGAAGTCAAGGCTAGCCGTGGTATGAAGGAAGATGGTACTCTTGGTGGAGAAAGAAAAGCATGTGCCCACAGATCTCAATCTATTGAACACAACTTGAAAGAGTTTACCAATATGAGAGATGGTAAGTATAACGTTGGAGAAGCCACCCTTAGAATGAAGCAAGATTTAGAATCAGACTCTCCACAAATGTGGGATTTGGTTGCCTACAGAGTTTTGAATACTCCACACCACCGTACTGGTGATAAATGGAAGATTTATCCAACCTATGATTTCACCCATTGTTTGGTTGATTCTTTTGAAAACATTACTCACTCGTTATGTACTACTGAGTTCATCTTATCTAGAGAATCATATGAATGGCTTTGTGATACTCTTCATGTTTATCGTCCACCACAACGTGAATATGGTAGATTGAACATCACTGGTACCATCATGTCCAAGCGTAAGATTGCCAAGCTTGTCAACGAAAAATACGTCAGAGGATGGGATGATCCTAGATTGTACACTTTGGAAGGTATTAAGAGAAGAGGTGTTCCTCCAGGAGCTATTTTGTCATTTATCAACACCTTGGGTGTTACCACTTCCACCACCAATATTCAAGTTGTTAGATTTGAAAGTGCTGTTCGTAACTACCTTGACCAAACTACTCCTAGATTAATGATGGTATTGAACCCTATTGAAGTTGTCATCGACAACTTGCCTGAAGATTTCTCATTGGATATTGAAATTCCATACAAGCCAGGTAAGGGAGAAGAGAAGTTTGGTTACCGTAAAGTAAAATTCTCCAACAAGATCTACATTGACGCTAATGATGTACGTTTTGAAGCTGCCGATTCCAACTATTTTAGATTAGCTCCAGGCCAACCTGTTGGTTTAATCAAGGTTCCATACAACATTAGTTTCAAGTCGGTTGAAAAAGTGGGAGATATTACTCGTGTTCATGTTAACTACGAAAGTGAAAATCACAAGAAGCCAAAGACTTATATCCAATGGGTTCCTCAAGACAGTGCTATCCACATTAATCAAGTCCGTATTTACAATCAATTGTTCAATAGTGAAAACCCTCTGGCTCATCCAGACGGATACTTGAAGGATATCAACCCTGATTCTGAACATGTGATCACCAATGCTGTAGTTGAACCAAGTTTCAAAGAAGTTGAGGCTAACTCACCATTGAATATTGAAATTCCTGGTAGTGACTTCAATATCAAGGAAGCCAAGGGTGCCAACACCATCAGATTCCAAGCTTTGAGAGAAGGTTATTTCTGTGTGGATAAAGACAGTAGTTCTGATAAGTTAATTTTGAACAGAATTGTCACTTTAAAGGAAGATGCTGCAAAGAAGTAGATCTAGAAGTTAAGTAGTCACAAATAAACGATTTCCTTGTACAAATTTTTTTTTCTTTTTGTGATAACAATCCTATCCGATTGCCCCGCCTTCCATTATTTGTTGAAAGTTGATTATATCATCATGAGATGGAACTAACGGGAAATGATGTAATCTGGGATGGACCTACACCCCCTGAAATCTTTTTATCAAAACAAAAAACAAAAAAAAAAATATTAGCGAGAAGCCCCTGGCGATCTTTTTCTTCGTCTTTTCTTTTTTATTTTTATGTGTTTTGATGCAAGTTCCGGCAACGTATGGTCTGCATGAGATGAGAAATGATAAGGATCCCGATGGATCCATGATCTGAAACAGGGAGAGTGGTATGCTGGCGGAAATGTAACCTAAATTTACCAAGCCATTACCAGCGTGTCCGTTTCATGAGGATGACTAGGCGTTACCAAGTAAAAAAAAATAATAACTCCGAAAAAAGAATCTAGATTGTGAGTATTTTCTTGTCGTGGGTATTTTTTAATGCTAAATTTGGCATGCAAACTGAATGATTAACTATGAAATTTCTTTTGATTCTCATACGATTGTTCAAAGCAAATCCGGTTAGTATTTTAGTGGAATTATGGCAGGTTTATTTTTCAAAAGAAATGCATAATTTTATTGGTTAGAGTAATAATGAAAAATCGCATGCACGTTTCAACTGTACGTACAGTTATGCAAGACCATCCGTGAATATAATCTAACGACGTAAACGCTCTCTCTTTGTGGTATCTTTGATAGAAACGGGTTAGGTGGTTCCGTAATTACAGATTGGATAGTCCACTTAGTTAAAAATATAGGTATCTTGAAAACAAAGGAAATTTCAGGACTAAAAATTAGTGCTGTGTGAGCAAGCAGGAGAAAAAAAAAAAACTTGGCTGTAGTGAATCATACTCAGTGGGGGGTCAGCCCCACGACGAAGATTTTTCAGTATGGTTTAGGAAACCGAAAATAGAATTTATCAAGAAAAAAAGGAGAGGAGGAGTCGTCACAACAAAACAAAGAAATAGAGTTAGAAAATATTCCTAGCCAGGAAAATAAAAGACAAGATTGGATAACAAACGAAGGGCTGGACAAGTAAACAAGGGCTTTTAGCCTCTAAACATGGGAATGACAGGTTAGCACAGATGTGAAAGTAATCACTAACTAGATATATGAAGAGGGAAAGATAACAGAATAAGTGCAGAAAAATACAACCGCTTTGTTAAACAGTTGACATTGCAAGAGAATCTATGTTGTTAGGGACTTCAACTGTATGATAAAGTTAAGTAAACTTTGTAAACTACATTTAGTTCTTTTAGCAAATGTATCATTATTGGATTGTTCCCCACAGTCTTGATTTCAAATTGTCAACCAAGTTGACTTACGCTTTTAGCCATAACTTATGGGGGGAAAAACCTTTCTTTGGACTTTACTTGTCCCAAAAGGGACAACTTACAGCAATTACCCCAGATTAGGAGTAAAGTATGTTCAAGCTCTCCACACAATAGCCAGCGCAACCACAGCAACCATATTATAGGAAATGTTAAAACAAACAAAGCTTACCCCAGATGATTCAAAAAAAAAAACAGAATATTTTCTACATATTGTTTTTTTTTTCTCCCACTTTTTGTTGAGCTATGTAAAAAAATAAACTCTTTACTAATTCTATTTCGTAATTCACACTCGGGCCTCAGAGTTAGCCCACTATACCTTTCTGTTCCTTAATCGTGTAAGGTTTTGCTAGATGGGGAAAATTCTACAAGAAATGGTCACTTGAGGCGTGTACCATGTGTTTGCCTCATCTTTTTTCTGTCAGTCTTTTTTTTTTTTTGCAAATTGACTGCAAAATTTACAAAAAGAACTTTAACTGACCTGCATAATACAGAGATTTTTTTAATTCGATTATTTATTGTTCAAGGTGGGGAAAAAGGATATTTTTCTGCAAGTTAAGCTATGAGGGCTTTGCGCAGGTTCCCCCTCACACAGGGGGGAGAAAGAGGAAGGAATTTTGATAATATTCGTAAGAGCAGTGACGTTCGCCTCCGCTGGTAACTTATGTAATGATAATGCAAACTTTTCACGCAAATTAAAGTTTGCCACGCTGGGGTTTGTTTTTTCCAGACCAAGTTTGAAAACTGTAGTGGTTACAACATTTTAGTGTAATTTTTTCTTTAGTTGTAGTCATCAGCCATTGTGTCATGTAACGTATCTGGATTGGACCTCCTTAGCAGGTCCTAATTCTACATCTCGTTTATATCTGCGATGAGATAAAAAGAAGTCTGGGTGTGTCAATGCAACAGGGTTATTGATTTCCACCCCTTGTGTACGATAGAAAATGTGTGATATTTTTTTAGGTCATAGTCATGCATAAATAATAATATATTTTTAACCTATTGTTCTAATTCTTATGATTTTTATTATTTTTTTTATTTTGGGTGTTATCCAAAGGGTAATTTCGGGACCGAATGTGTTGTTGGGCATTTTTTAAATATTATGTGGGATTTTTTGTAAACATGGGTTGAAACAATCGATAGGAACATGTAATAATAATCGCGCTAGGTAACAATTGGCGAATTGACACATCTGATTGACGAAATGTGTTACCCCCTGGGGGAGCCATATAATTCAATGATGAGGTAGGTGCAACCCATGGGGGATAGAAGGTTCGCGTAATACAAAGAGCTGCGGCAAACCAACAAAAAAAAAGAAACAGAAAATCTAATTGTCTTTTTTTTTTTTTTTGTGAGTCCCACGGCGTGCGAAAATGTTTTCCGTGGAAGGAAAAGTGCTCAAGGCACCAAAAAAAAAAAAAATTATGGGTAGGGGGTGTAGTTCGCGATGTTACATTGGTACAGATACTGCATTTAACACTGTGGAGGGCTCTTGTGGGGAATTAAGTAGTGGTCTGGGGTGTATGGTCATATTCCAGAAAGACCAAATTCGACACGGTCTCTTTTTATAAACTTTGATAAAACCGAAACACGAGTCAGGGCGAAAAACGCAGGTCGTGTAAACTGAAAACAAAATAGAAACTCTAAATTATAATCTCATTGTTAAAAGCGAATAGTTTTAGACCGTGAAAAGGGCCGACAGGGACCTGGGCAGCCCTGAAGCCTCTTTTATTGTAGCCGATGTAAAATTTGTGTCTTGCGGACGGCCCGGTTTGTGGATTTAACACACACTAGTTAAAAATGCGTATGGTTTTTAATTTAGTAACAATACGTTCACTTGCAGGCGAAGCCTGATTGTTGATAAATGCATAGAAGGAAATATGTAAAAAAATTATTCAGTAAACAATGGAATTGCAAGCGCAGTTTGCGCGCAAATAAAAAATTTTTTTTTGATTTGTAAAAGCAAGACACAAATCCAATAATAACTAGTTACTGGGGTCTGAGTGTATATTTGGGGTACACACATGACTGTTCGGGGACCGATTACCATTAGCAATTGCTATGTTAATGGTTTTCCACATGGAAAGTTCGGAGATTGTAATAAGATTATAGCCGAAAAGTGTAAACTGTGTGCGTAAATAACTACAAACCAGCTGGTTGCGAGCGCAAGTATCGCCAATTCAACAACCGCCCTAGAGGGCTACTTAGCTCGTTGGTAGTAAACTGGACTCCCTTATTTCAAACTCCGATAGTTCACGCATGACAAATCAGAAAAAGATAGGACGAGGGATACGAAAAACAATAGTGGAAAGGAACGATCCGTGTAGCTAGGATCTATGATTTTGCATACATACACACACTATTGTGCTTTCCACTATGGTGTAGATTTTCTTAATTGTTGCATCTTAAAGTCAAGGTATGTGTCAGTTTAATGTAACCACCCACACTGGGTTTTGACTCCCCCCCTTTCCCGCGTAAAACGTATAATCGAACTACATCCAGAGCCAGAGACCAGAAAAAAAAAGGAGGAGAACTACAGATAAGACCCATGGACCAGAGCTTATCTAGTTAACTTTGAGCTCTGCCTAGACCAGACGCGGTATCTTTACTTTCGATTCAATACTGTGTTTTCTTTTCTTGCTTAGTTTTGATTTATAAATCTTGTGCATATTTTTATTTTTTTCATAGCTAGTTATATTTTTTAAATTTGGCTACAAACACTCAGGTCATTTGTTCTTTTAAACTTTCACTTGCTTTAAAATATTTTTTCCCACATTTTTTTTCTGGTGTGTTTACAGACGAAAAATGAAAGGTAAAATCTGCACGGGTTTAACGATAAATCGACATGCATACTGCGATTAAAATGATGTCACCTGATACCACAGAGTAAGTGGGGAAACCAACATGGTGTGGGTTTTCAGAATATTTTGGTTTTGTTATATACATTTCGGTGAGGTAGATGTGTATTGTGTATAAAGGCAACCTTTCCGATGTGGATATATGTGTTCTGATTAATAGACACACACACATTTAATTTTACTTTGTTGGGAAATAATTGCCGTGAAATTTATGGTAAAAAATAATTTGTTAACAATCGATGTTTCTGAGTCAATAGAATTGGCATTTTCTTTTCTTTTTTTTATTAAGATTTATTTTTTTTTTTTTAATTCAGATAATTTATTTTTTTGGGCTCGGATTTCCCATTCCCCCCCGTATGGAATTTCTGCAGTAGTCGCCGCCACTTTAACACAAAAAAAAAATCAGATTAAAAAATATACATGTAATAAAAATTATAAATAAATTAGAAATTCCAGCTTTAATGACTTTTATAAATTTTGCTGTGTATTTTCCTTCTTCTCTTGAAAAACCAACTCACTATTTATATAGAACTTATCTGGCATAAGTTCATAAAAAACCAAACCACCTGGTCATCATAGTCATATATCAGTCCTACGTGTCTGATCAAACCATCTTTTAATAGATCCATTTATAAAAAAAATTACACCGAAAACGGAAACTCTTAGGGGCGAGTGAGAAATTTTTTTTTTTTCGTTTACATTGTGTGCACTAACCAAATAGACGCACACACATTAACCACCACCACCAACATCCGATTTGCATACACAAAATCTTAAAGAAGCTTTTTTGTGTGCAGGAAGAAAAGGAAAATTTCTGATAGAAGCAACTTTTGAAAAAGGGAAAAATCACGCAAAGGCAAGGCGGATATCTACACTACCCCTTTAATCATCCAAAACTAGCCGCAACCACCGTAAACTCAGACGTTTAAACCTACTTGACAGTCTGGACGGTACTATACAAGGGACCACCAACAAGAACCGGCTATATTGATTATTGCATTTATCACATTACATTCATTCCAAAAAATTTTTTTTTTTTGCATTTATAATATTCATCATTTTTGTAATACACATTAACCACAATGTCTACCACCATAACAAAGGGAGGACCAATGCCTTTGACATATTCCAATCTCATTGCATCAAACCTTTACACACAAAGAGAAGCTGCTTCATCTAGCGAGTCTGTCGATTCAAACGCTAGCACCATTAAACTAACCCTGGGAACACCACCACCACAGCAAGTTCCAATACCAACCACCACCAATACAACCGCTATACCATCGTTATCATCGGCAATCACCACCTCATCATCTATAACAGCTTCCGCCACATCCGCTTCAACTCCACGCAGGAAACTCCAGCTTCCAAATTATTACGTGCCTCCTAAAGTCAATGTACAAGAACTGGATTCACAAGACAGCAGTTCCAGCACATCCATGTCGTCCACCTGTTCCACATCCTCATCCATGTCATCTACCAGTTATGTGCTTCCTCCAAGGTTGGTTCGCAAAAAGTCAGGGGAATTAGTCAAGTCATCATTGAAGTTGCCTCAGTTGTTGCAACGTTCGCTTTCAACACCACAATTACCAGCTCGTAAATCCGTGAGATTTGCTTCTAGATTAACCAACATCAAGATGTTTGACGGTATGGAATCACCCGCTGCAGTTTCATCCACCGCATCTACTCCATTGCATTCTCCACCTTCGGGCAGATATGATGATGAATTGGATGACTTTGACGATGAATTGAGATTCCTCAAGACTAAGCCTAAAGTTGATTATTTCGATTGGAACTGGCATGGATCCATGGAATCATCATCTTCCACTTCTAGTGACGATGAAGACGAGTATTGGTCTACACCAAAGTCTTTGACTGGTAATTCATTGAGAGAATATAGATTGACTAGTCACAATATCCCCAAGATTGTTAATTTCAAGGATATGATTGTGTGGTTGCCTAGTGCCTATGTATTGAAGACTGACGGTATGACATATCTTTATGGGTTAGTTAATGTTAAGAATTTGGCTTTTGAAAAGAAGATTTTTATCAAGTTGACGTTGAACAATTGGAAAACAAGTGTTGTATTTGGCGGCAATGCCATCATCACCTATGTCAAGTCTATGGGCGATGTTGATCAATTTAAGTTCAAGATTAATGTCGATGATTTGATCTCTAATAGATATGATGGGTTTAATGCTATTGATTTGCAAATGTGCATCAAGTATGAAGTTGGAAGTGATGTTTACTGGGACAATAATGGCGGTGCTAATTATCAATTCAAGTTAACTATGGTTAATGGGATTAAATCATACACTTATTCTCCAAGTCCAAGCAAGAATTCTCCATCAATTAGTGAAACTCCCAAGAAGGCTGAAACTGAAGAATTCCCACAATTTAACGAATTGATTTCGAAGTTGATTTTACACCAACAAGTATCCAAGTCAGATGCATCTTTGGCCAGAAGACCAACCATTGCCACTACTACTGCTCCTCAACAACCAAGATTTTCATTTTCAGTTCACAACAACTTTGAAGATCGTAAACCACAACGTCCATTTTTAAGAACTTCATATTCATCCAGTGATGTCACTACTGCTGCCAGTCAACAACAGCAACAAGCTGGCAGACCAAAGTATTCACAATCGTTTAGACAACGTCAACAAAAGAAGGACACTGGCAAGCCCGAGTTTTCCAGTGTTAGCTATGCTGATTTACTTAACAACTATTGCTTTGCCAATAGTACCAATTCATCGCCCGTCCATTCACCAACCCCATCCACTACCGGTGGAGCTGCTGCTACTGCTGCTGCTGGTTCTTCCACCCCCACCACTCCTGTACTTGCTGGTTGTTTGCCATCGACTGCATCTACACTTCATTCATTTAGTGATTCAATTCATATTTAAAGATACATTTTTTGTTTGAATCATCATCATCACACACACACACACACACAATTATTTATCAGTTGTGTTTTGTTTAATTCTGTTTATTATTTATATATTTATAGTTTGACTTTTGTTTTTATTTGGGTTTAATTGTTTATTAGTTGTTTATTAATACACATATATATCGGATAGCTACTTGTAGATTCGATCTAAACATGTTAGATTTCATGTTAAGGCGAGGTGAGGTGACGTTAATATATGCAAAGATAAGCGGAGCTGCATGACAATGCCATTGTTTATGTGCGGATTGCCGATGCACATCGGTTAATCCTTTAACCAGGGCCTGGAATCCCACCACGCGTCATCATTGATGATGTCAACATGATGCTCGACAATGTCGGCCTTTTTTCTCTTCTTATCTTCCCTTGACTTTTGACGCGAGCTGAGGTTCAGTTCATCCTTGGTATTGTAGTCTTTGAGCTCGCGGACATAGATTGTTCCCTTTTTGAACATTTCCGGTTCGTTATTGTAGTTTATCCCCATTTGGAAAAGGATTTCATTCTTGTCGGAACTCACTGTGCCCATCAACTTATGCTCTGCTTGTTGTGGCGTAAGTTCTTGTTTAATGACAAGGTTCCAGAACGTGGTATTGTATAGGTTGTTAATGTGACAGTCCACTTGTCTCCAGCTGAAATAGTCTCTGACAACGTTGAAATTGGGGTATACTACTGCGCGCCCGTCAAACACGGGTAAATGATCTTCTTCGAGTTGTTTGTCGGGGAATGCCTGGTTCCAGTAAAACAGGTAGTAACTAGACATAAGACTGGCAAAGAGAGTGCATAGCTTCATTTCTCTTCGTTCGTATAGCTCGCATTGGCGACGTAGTAAGAAAGAGTATTCGTCGGAGTCTCCATATGCCATCATTACATCGCTGTATTTGGTCATAATCTTGTGTGCGGCCCGGTTCATTACTTGTAGGGCTGCGATGTCGTTGGGCTTGGTGAATTGATAGTGCTGTGAGAATTTGTGGAATCCCTTTCCGTCGACACGGATCACCACGTATGTGTCTGGGAGTAAGTAATTTTCTCGTTCAAACAGCTTGACATATTCATACCGACTGTTGGCCATGTCTACGAGGTATAGAATTACATATATATATAGACCGAGTACATTTCCATGACGATGCCGAAATTTTACTATTGTGTCAATCACGTGACCCCATCTTAAAATTCTCATCCCAAAAATTTTTATCTTCATTTTTCATAAAACTACATACATTTCCTCCTTTATCTACCCACTGACAGAGTCACAACAAGATGAGAGCTCAGTTTAGGACTCTAGAGAGAGAAGCTCGTTTCCAAAACCCACCCGCTGACAAGTCAGCCTACCCTTTCCTAGCGGATGCCGTTGCTCCACACATTGGATCGTTCAACGCCTTGACTTCAGGTCCTGGTGGTGGATTACTTAATCTTGGTGTTCAAGACATCGGTACCAAAACCATCTTCGATACTGCAGAAACAAGCGATCGATTGGGTAACAAGTTGCAGATCCGGGTCGAGTCTGTCCAGTTGGCCAAGCCGACCGTCCCTGCCACCGACAAGTTGAGTCTCAACAGAAAGACATTCCCTAGTGAATGCAGAGAAAGAATGAGCACTTACAGAAGTAGATTGATGTTGAAAGTCAGCTGGAGCGTCAACGACGGCGAAGAAGTCAGTGAGATTAGAGAAGCAGGTCAAATCCCCATCATGCTTCAAACCAACAGATGTCATTTGGAAAAATTGTCTCCAAAGCAATTGGTGGAAGCCAAGGAAGAGAGTGATGAGTTAGGGGGGTATTTCATCGTCAATGGGATTGAAAAGTTGATTAGAATGTTGATTGTGCAAAGAAGAAACCATCCTATGGCGCTTATCCGTCCTAGTTTCGGTAATCGTGGTGCCAGCTATACCAAGTACGGTATTCAAATCAGATGTGTCAGACCAGATCAAACTTCTCAAACTAATGTGTTGCATTACTTGAATGACGGAAATGTCACTTTTAGGTTCTCCTGGAGAAAGAATGAATATTTGGTTCCTGTCACCATGATCTTAAAGGCCCTTGTTGAAACCAATGATAGAGAAATCTTTGACGGTATAGTTGGTAACGATGTCGACAACTCGTTCTTGACTGATCGTTTGGAATTGTTGTTGCGTACTTACAAGAGTTATAACTTATACTCCAAGCAAGAAACATTGGCATACTTGGGTGACAAGTTTAGAGTTGTGTTTGGTGCCACTCCGGATGTTTCCGATATTGATGTTGGTAAAGAAGTGTTAAAGAGAATCGTCCTTGTTCACTTGCCTAACAACACCGACAAGTTTAGAATGTTGTTGTTTATGATCAGAAAGTTGTACTCGTTAGTTGCCGGTGACTGTTCCCCAGATAATCCAGATGCCACCCAACATCAAGAAGTTCTTCTTGGTGGGTTCCTCTATGGTATGATCATCAAAGAAAAAATTGAAGAATATTTACAAAACATCAAGCTTCAAATTACCTCCGACATAAACCGTGGTGTTGCCATCAACTTCAACGACAGAAAGTACATGACTAGAGTGTTTTCCCGTATCAACGAAAATATTGGTCAGAAATTGCAATACTTTTTATCCACAGGTAACTTGGTCTCCCAGTCCGGTCTCGATTTGCAACAAGTGTCCGGTTATACCGTTGTTGCTGAAAAGATTAACTTCTACCGTTTCATCTCCCATTTCAGAATGGTCCATCGTGGTTCTTTCTTTGCCGAATTGAAAACCACCACCGTGAGAAAGTTGTTACCAGAATCATGGGGGTTCTTGTGTCCTGTCCATACTCCTGATGGTTCTCCATGTGGGTTATTGAACCATTTAGCCCATAAATGTAAGATTGCCACTGAAGACTCCGATGTCAGTCAAGTTACCTCAGCATTAGCCCAATTAGGTATTTCACCAGCTGACTCATTCGCTGCTGGTCCAAACTTGTGTTGTGTTCAATTAGACGGGAAGATTGTCGGTTGGACCACCCACGAACAAGGTAAGATTGTCGCTGACACATTAAGATTCTGGAAAGTAGAAGGCTCCCATGGCTTGCCATTAGATTTAGAAATCGGATATGTTCCACCATCCACCAAAGGTCAATACCCAGGTTTGTTTATCTTTGGTGGCCGTTCCCGTATGATGAGACCCGTCAAGTACTTGCCTTTGAACAAGCAAGACATCTTGGGTCCATTCGAACAAGTATACATGAATGTCGCTGTGACTCCCGAGGAAATCGAAAACAACATTCACAGCCATGTCGAATTCACCCCAACTAATATCTTGTCCATCTTAGCTAACTTGACCCCATTTTCAGATTTTAATCAATCACCAAGAAACATGTACCAATGTCAAATGGGTAAGCAAACTATGGGTACCCCAGGTACTGCTCTTGTCCACCGTTCTGACAACAAGTTGTATAGATTGCAAACGGGACAAACCCCAATTGTCAAGGCCAACTTGTACGATGATTATGGGATGGATAACTTCCCTAACGGTATGAACGCCGTTGTTGCCGTCATTTCTTATACAGGTTACGATATGGATGATGCGATGATTATTAACAAGTCTGCAGATGAAAGAGGGTTTGGGTATGGTACTGTTTACAAAGTTGAAAAGGTTGACTTGGGACAATCAAGAAGAAGAGGGGATCCAATCACGCAACATTTTGGGTTTGGTGATGATGAATGGCCCGAGACCTGGAAGGAGAAATTGGACGATGATGGGTTGCCATTGATTGGTGTCAAGGTTGAAGAAGGTGATCCAATTGTTGCCTATTACGATGATACCTTAGGTAAGACCAAGGTCAAGACCTACCACTCCCTGGAACCAGCATACATTGAAGAAGTCAAGTTGCTTGGAGATGACACTGGGGATCAAGAAGGGCAAATGTTAACCATCAAGTATAGAATCACCAGAGCTCCTTTGATTGGGGACAAGTTCAGTTCCAGACACGGACAAAAGGGTGTCTGTTCAAGAAAATGGCCACAAATAGACATGCCATTCTCCGAAACTGGTATCCAACCCGATGTTATTATCAACCCACACGCGTTCCCATCCCGTATGACCATTGGTATGTTTGTCGAATCTCTTGCTGGTAAAGCCGGGGCCTTGCATGGTATTGCCCAAGACTCGACTCCATGGAAGTTCAGTGAAGATGATACTCCAGCTGACTATTTCGGTGAACAATTGAGACAAGCTGGTTACAACTACCACGGTAACGAACCAATGTATTCTGGTGCTACTGGTGAAGAATTGCGTGCTGATATATATATTGGATGTGTCTATTATCAAAGATTGAGACATATGGTCAACGATAAGTTCCAAGTCAGATCTACTGGTCCTGTCAACTCGTTGACCATGCAACCAGTCAAGGGTAGAAAGAGAAGTGGTGGTATCAGAGTAGGTGAGATGGAAAGAGATGCGTTGATTGGTCACGGTACCGCGTTCTTGTTGCAAGATAGATTGTTGAATTGTTCCGATTATACCCAAACTCCAATCTGTCGTAGCTGTGGTAGTATCTTGACTACCCAAACCACTGTGCCTAGAATCGGTACTATGGCCAGTGTCAGATGTAGAAGATGTGCTGTCAAGTTGGACAGTTATCAAGGATTTGCTGCTGATGCTGACATTTGGGAAGATGGCCAGGGTAAGAAGTTTGTGGGTGGTGATGATACCACTACTGTTGCTATTCCATTTGTGTTGAAATACTTGGATTCTGAGTTGTCAGCCATGGGTATTAAGATGAGGTATAACGTGGAGCCTCGCTAAGTTTCAAGCTTAGGATTTTGAGGCGCAAAAAGTCTAAGCTCTGCTTAGCAATATACACTAGCATTGTATTTAGTTTGCATTTCGTTTGTTTGTTTTAGTAATATAAAAAGAATCTATAAACTAATCCTCGTCTGTATCAACTATAACTAGCTTTGTCTTTTTAGAATTTTCAATGATGTACCTGGCATTGATCAAATCATTTCCTTCAGCACGGTCAATTGCTTCTTGTTCATCCAGGGAAATCCCGGCTTCGATGTGTCTCCTAACAATTCTTCGTTTCGCCAAGCCTAAATCACATTGTAAGAACCAGGTGTCGTCGACCAACAGCTCAATCTGGTCCCATACTTCATCCTTCAAACTGACGTAATTCCCTTCGACAATTACAACTTGAGCGTCTGGACCTATCGTGACTCCACCATCCACGGGGTCTTTCACCGCATGATCAAATGAGGGGGCATATACCGTATCTGTGTATGCCGGATCACTGATCTTCTTGATGACATCGATAAATCCACGAGGGTTGAAAGTAAATGGAGCACCCCGGCGTGCAAATGCCTCCTGGGGATCATCCATCCTTGCCAATTCCTCTCTGGACAAATGGAATCCGTCCATGGGTAAAACTACCGTATTGAAATACCGTTCAAGACGAGGGAGTAAGCGTTGGGCAAGGGTTGATTTCCCCGATCCGGGAATCCCAGCTAGGGAAATGACAAGACGGCGACGATTATCGACGGAGTGATATTTTTCATAGACGCGTTTGACGATTTTATCAAGGTGTGATTTCTTGACGTGGACGGTGCTGGTGTCAGTGTGGGTGTGGGTGATTATGGTCAGGAAGAATAACCATAATGCAGAAGTTAGTGCGATAGTATAACCCCAACGTGGAAACATAACTGAAGATCGTCAAAAAAAAAAAAGATAGACAGTATAAATCAATTAGAGTTTATTTGAAAAAACTGGGCTGGAAATCTTGGAAGCAGGTGGAGTAGAACGAAAGACTGCGCAAACAAGCGACATTTTAATGTGATGCTCCTTCCCAAATTATGGAAATCGTGTAATTTACCGTTTTTAGAGTCACCGTGCATCTATGGATTCTCCATCGCTGACGGATACGGCTTTTACTTGACCGACTTTACTTCATTATGGAATCAGCGATTGAACCAAGACGAGTTGATAGCTGTTGCGGCCGAGAACGGGTTGGAAGATGTTACTAATGAATGTATGGCAAATCTACTATGCGCACTCGAAGAAAGTGTACTGAACAAGGACAATTTATCATTTACTCAAGCAGACAATGTCATTGAATGTAAGTTAACCGGAGAATTCAATTGGACATTTACTCTTACTAAACGATCACCCGAGCAAACAGTTACATTCCTTAGTCAGTTAAATTACCAACAATTCTCCAATAATGTGTACTTAACCCATCAAATAAACAACCTACAAAAGATAATAGCAGTAAAAGACACATTCATTAAATTCCTTACCGAGAACTTCAAACAAACTCATGGGTTGGACTTGATCAACAAGTATAAACGAATGAATAAACAAGATATAGAGGCAATAGAGCAATTCAACAAGATACGTTGGAGTAAAGCTAGTGCAATTGAATACCGAAAAGTACGAACTAGCAAAAAGCGAAGCGAAATGGAAGAGTTGAGTAAGAATATTAATGAGGCCATTGGAAACTCGTGGAAATTTGCCAATCTGTTTTACACAAATGAAGAAGAACTCGAGGAACAACTCAGCCCAATCAAAATCCACCCAGATTTGTCGCCTATTAAATCTTCAAGTCCTCCTCCACCTGGTGCCAAGAAGAAACTAAAGTTTGGTGCATTAGGAGTAAAACCTTCACTTCCTAAACCACATACGCCGGTTGCACCAACTGGAGCTACTCCTACACCCTCGCCCAGAAAGAAGAAACAAAAGATTGGATCTCTTCATTAATATATATATATCTATCTACAATTCTATAAATCAGCCATTTTATGCCATCTTTTAATTAAATGCTCAAGTGCCATTTGCTGAGTTTCATCCATGACTCCATCATATATGATCTGTAATGCCGTGGTCCAAAACTCAATAAACTCAACTAGCTCTGCTGGTGTGGTGGGTATATCCACATACAAGGGATGTTTCACCAGTTTCCGACCCGTTCCTGTTTCCTGAAATGGAACAAACTTGGCCGGACTAGCTCGGAAATACTGATCAAACACAGTAAACCAAAATCTTATCAACACCTGTGAACAGTCCTGGATAGTTACAATTGATTCTTTAGTGTAATCTCGCAACAAATCAAGATCTTCCCCATATTCTACTTCCATACAATGATGGATAGCTGAAAGTAAAATCATTTGAATCTCACTATACACTTTCTCGGCAACTTCTGCGAATGAACGAAATGCTTGGACTTCTTGAGTGGACTGCACCCATTCCCTTGAAGGTTCGGCCAGTGCTTCCTTGTGTTTATGCTTCAAAGATGGAACATGCTCTATTTCCATTGGTGCCAACTTGCCAAACTGGTTAACATTCTCATCATAAATTACCTTGGCTATAAGTTTTGCAGACATGCCCGTTTTAAAAGTGACAGTCAAGACATCGTTAGTCAATGCCTTATTACACAAATTCTTATCATTAGAAAGTAACACCACCAAATTGGCCCGCTGTTTGAAGTACAAACAACAATCAAGAATAGCATCGTCTTGAATCGCATTTTTATCCAACCTTTGTCCAAGCTTCTGGCCAATGACTACACTGCTGTTATTAGCCAACGAATTATATATCCAATCATTCGCCCATCTGGCCAAATGACCTACACTCACTCCCAGCAATCTCTCAGGAGAATCATCATCCACTAGTCGTGAAGAATTCTTTAACCCGTCCAATTCTCGCATCACCATAACCGGAATCACAATCCGCAACCCAAACTCCCTGGCCAACCCCTTTAACTCATCGACAACTTTCAAATGACTAAGTATGAAATTGGTATCCACCACAAGCATAGACAAGTTGCCATTTGCATGGGTTTCTTCCGGTTTCTCCACCATCATAATATCGTCATACATTTCATCGCCACTATTCACTTGCAAATTTCCTGAATCCCTACTGTAGCTGACGTACGACGATATCACGTCCACCTCGGCATCATCCATAGGAACCATTTCAATGTCTCCATCCACCGTGTTGTTCTGATAAGTTTGATTAGTTAGTGCATCATGGATCTTCGATTCAATAGTTTTGATAGTATATTCTATCGGTTTAGACCTTCGTGCGTGTCCCAGTGTGATCACACGATGCTGGTCTTCTTCAGATAAACCTTCAGGGGCGTATCTCAGAGGTAACAGCAGCAGCAGCAGCAGCATTAGTGGTGTTTACCTTTATGGAGAATTTACGTTTATACAAACAAACAAACAAAAAAAAAATTAATTATGTATTAGACTAGGATTTGGTAGCGTAGACATATAGAGGTGAACTTTATTTATGGGGCAAGATTTCAAGAATGAATTCAAACAAACTGACAAATAAACTCAAGCCGATAATCACAATAATCATCCATGTGATTCGGTTGGTGTTCTTTTCACTCATACTATCACTGGCAATATCAACAAACTCCAAAAACATCTTGCATCGATCATTCAACACGGTGACTCGCTGGTCGATTTCAAGGTATTCTCGAACAGCCTGGTATAATGGATGCAACGCTGGTTCAATACTCCAAAAGAAATCAGGCGTGTCCAAGATCGAACTGGACAAGTTCACATCCACTCGTAACTTGAACAATTTCCCACTCTTTTTAAGAAGCTGGTTTCGTTTGTATCCTATTCTACCAGTAAGTGCTAACTTCTTGGGAATACGCGAAATCAGCGATAAGATATTGACTAATTTACTCTCAAATAGCCCAAGTTTAGTCAGTTGAGCAATAGCATGGGACATGGTTAGCTTGATCATATGATCTCCCAGTCTGAGTGTAACCATATCATTGTATATTCTCGGACGATGAATCTGTGGATCATACTCAAAATGAAATTCCTCTGTCTCAATATCTTGTTCATCAATGGGGTTAATCACTAGTTGTTCTTCCGAGAATGCCAAATCAGCAAGGATGTTCTTTTCGTGGATCTCGGAAAAGTTCCAAAACACCACAATCCCATATTCGAATATAAACATCTCTGCGTGGTGTTTAGACACAATCGACTGAGAATGCAATGGTGATGCCGAGCGTTGCTGTTCTGCACTGGTAGATAAAAACTTTTTTACTCTATTAGGTGGAAGTTCCGCCGGTGGTGGGGATGAAACGCTCTCATTTATTATTGCATCCTCAGTCATGGGTCTTTCCTCCAAAGGTGGGGCAAAAAACTGGGGTTCACTTGGGTCAAAAGGTGCATTAGTGTCTTCCACTTCTGGATCCATAGAATAGTTATTGGCATCTTCTGGCGTCTCCACTCCCGAATAATATTCATACAAATGATCAGTTTGTTCACTTCGATTAATCAATTTCTCCATGTATCGATTGTTTGCCATGAGCTTGGCTGAGTTGTTACTCTTGACACGTAATCCGTCGTTACCTGGGAGTAGAGGAAGTGAATAAGGAACATACAATGCCTCGTCATAGACTCGTGGTTTCACTTCGTGGTTTTCTCTAAGGAATTTAGCCACGGCTTTAAGGTTGAATGATTCACAGATGAAATAAGCCGTCATACGACTAAACTCCTGGGCACGTGCATCTTTATCCATCAACTCGGCTCGCGATCTAGTTATTTGAGGTTGTAATTCTGGGCTGGTGGGAGGAAGTGGAGGCGATGATGATGTAGACACAGTTGGTTGTAAAGGGGGAGAAATCGACCCAGGGCGATGAGGATGATTATGGTTATTATGATGATGAAGATGATGCTGCTGCTGCTGCTGTTGTTGTTGTTGTTGTTGCTCAGGAATCAACACCAATTTCTGAGAAGTCTTGGATGTTCTCAGGGGCAAGGACTGGGATAGCTTGGGAATACTTCTGATGTTTCTTCTAGGGATTTCTAATGCATTGGTAGGCTGTAATGGAGGAGAATCATATCGATTACTGGGCAATCTGCTCTGGCCGGACGGGATATCACTTGAATTACTCAACAATTTATCCACAGATATATCTGTATACTTATTTCGGAAAGCTAATCGCTTCTGTAATGCAGTTTGGTGGGCCAGTTGTTGGAACGTGTACCCTTGTGACGATTGTTGCTGTTGAAGTTGCTCCTGTTGTTTACGGAAATTTTGACCTGCAAACGGTGCTCGCGTTCCCTTAATGTTGTGACTTCGTACATCTGTGACTAAGATGGAAGGTGAACGTTTAGCAGTAGGTCGTTCATTGGGTATAGGAGACCCTGCCCTGTGTGATTTACTCATTTGGTTGCTATTAGATAAGGTGCTGTACAAGGAAAGTGATAGAACCTTCTGATGGCTTCCTAATGAGATTTTTAACCGCGATCATGTGATTTCACGTCATGTGCCCACGTCACATGACCAGCGGCACTACCATGTGTGCTACCAGAAAAATTTTCCAAATCTTTTGCTGCTTAAATCCCCTTGTTTCACTCTACTTTATCTTGCAACCAAACTGTATACCATGTCATTCAGTTTATCCATTGCTGCCAAGGCTCAATTTGTGGCCTACCCAGTATTGATCGCTGTTGGATTCATCAACTCCAGTGATTCCACTGTGTCAATCCCTATTGAATTTGTTGACGACAAGTCCGTTGATCCAAAAGATGCCAATGCCAGTTTCAAATTAGTCACCCCAACTGAATCCTTCACTGAGCAAGCCTCTGCTCTTGAGTTCTTATCCAAGCAATTCCCAGATGTTTTGCCTGGCCCAGACGGCGTTTCCACCTGGATCAAGTTCGCCATTGACAAATTATACATCAAGAACTTCAAGGTCTTGTTGGTCGACTTGGAAAAATTGGACGCCCACCTCAACTTGCGTTCCTTCATGGTTGGCTTCAACTATTCCATCGCCGATATTACTGTGTGGTCCGTTCTCCGTGCCAATGCCTTGATGGGTTCTGTGCTCAAGCACCAAGTCTACGCCAATGTCAGCAGATGGTATGCTCTCCTTGCCAGCGACTCCCGTTTTGAATCCCAAGTTGAATTCATGACCAAGTCTGTCAATGAATTGCGTAAAGCCGCCAAGTCAGCCCAAAACGGTGGTAAGAAAGAAACCCACAAGGCTAACTTTGACATTGAATTGCCAGACGCGCAAATGGGTAAGGTTGTCACCAGATTCCCACCTGAACCTTCTGGATACTTGCACATTGGACACGCCAAGGCTGCTATCTTGAATGAATACTTTGCTCACAATTACAAGGGTAAGTTGATTATCAGATTTGATGATACCAATCCAACCAAGGAAAAGGAAGAATTCCAAGACTCCATTGTCGAAGATTTGGCCTTGTTGGGTGTCAAGGGTGATGTTGTCTCTTACTCTTCCGACTACTTTGACAAAATGTACGAATTAGCCGTCAAGATGATTAAAGATGGTAACGCTTACTGTGATGACACTCAGTTGGAAAAGATGAGAGAACAAAGAATGGTGGGTGAACCAAGTGAACGTCGTAACCGTACCGTCGAAGAAAACTTGCAAATCTTCACTGAAGAAATGAAGAACGGTACCGAAGTCGGATTAAAGAACTGTGTTCGTGCCAAGATCGATTACACCGCCTTGAACAAGACCTTGAGAGATCCAGTCATTTACAGATGTAACTTGACTCCTCACCACCGTACCGGTGACAAATGGAAGATGTATCCAACTTACGACTTCTGTGCCCCAGTCGTTGATTCCATCGAAGGAGTGACCCACGCCCTTAGAACCAACGAATACCGTGACCGTAACGCCCAATACGAATGGATCATCAATGCACTCGGTTTGCGTCCAGTCCACATTTGGGATTTCGCCAGAGTTAACTTTGTCAGAACTTTATTGTCCAAGAGAAAGCTTCAATGGTTTGTCGACAAACAATACGTTTCCAACTGGGACGATCCACGTTTCCCTACCGTCAGAGGTGTCAGAAGAAGAGGTATGACTGTTGAAGGTTTACGTAACTTTATTATTGCCCAAGGTCCATCGAGAAACATCATCAACTTGGACTGGTCAGTTATCTGGGCTTTGAACAAGAAGGTTATTGATCCAGTTGCCCCTAGATTCACTGCTGTTGAAGCTGAAAACGCCGTTGTTGTCAACTTGGACGGTCCTGCTGAACCATACACTGAAACCAAACCAAAGCACAAGAAGAACCCTGATGTTGGTACCAAGCCAGTTGTCTATGCCAATAAGGTCTTGATTGACCAAACTGATGCTAAGGAATTGGCTGATAATGAAGAAGTCACCTTTATGGACTGGGGTAATGTTATCGTCACCAAGGTTCACAAGAACACTGAAGGTGTTGTCACTTCTGTTGATGCTAAGTTACACTTGGAAGGTGATTTCCGTAAGACTTCTAAGAAGTTGACCTGGTTGGCTGATACTGACGACAAGGTTGAAGTTGATTTAGTTGATTTTGACCATTTAATCACCAAGGACAAATTAGAAGAAGGTGACGATTTCGAAAACTTTATTACTCCAGAAACTGAATTCCACACCAAGGCCGTTGCTGATTTGAATGTTGGTAAATTGAAGGTGGGTGATGTTATTCAATTTGAAAGAAAGGGTTATTATAGAGTTGATCGTGCTTATGAACAAGGTAAGCCAGTTGTATTATTTACTATTCCAGATGGTAAAACTGTTTCTAAATATGGTGCCAAGAAGTAAGTATATTTTTTTTTATTAACAGAGAAATTTATATATATATAACAGAGTCTAATATTTTGTCTTCCATTTACTGGTGAATTGAACCACATTGGGATCGTACTTGTTTGAAAATGCCGAAGTTGTGGTGGTAGAGGTCTCCTTCTTGTTCCCCACATGTGAATCTCTATAATGTCTAAGATAATGACCCAATACTGAACTTCTACTAGTACAGTTAACTTCCAATATTTGCCAGCAACTAGTACAAAGCACCCCTTCTCTTTCCAACAAATGTGCATTGGTTCTTCTCTTTTTCTTCTCGGGCTCTTCATACTCGCCCTTCTTAAACTTGTATTTGCCGTAATATTTCGGATCGGGGACACTGGCACCATTAGTCAATATCCCGTGTTTGTAAGCCAAATGATTACCATAACTTGAATTCTTCAATCCAAAAAACTGCACCTTCTCACAATAGGGACACAACCCGGCACGTGTGGTGTTATCAGGCTTTCCATACCTGTCAAACTTGGTCAATATATATTGTGCTTCATAGCTTGTCTTTTTGAAATTCTGATTGAGCGACAATTCGAACTCGCCTCTAAATTCAGGTTTCAATAATACTTCTAAATCTTCACGGAGGTAAAGAGTTCGTTGAATATGACACGTTTCAGAACATGAATACGGCTGGATTAGTTTCTCATTGAGGATTCGGCATTGCGCTGGGGTGGGGACGTTGGGGGAGTGGTTTGCTAGTTTGGCCGAGTAACTGAGGTCAGCAATTGATGGAACGTCAATGTGGGAAAAGTCGAGTTTGGTTGTACGGGAATCTAATTTGCGTTTCTTGGTCAGGGCGGTGATTGGTTTGGGAACAGGTGAAGATATGGATTTGTGTTCTGTTGGGGGTATGGATTTGCGTTCAGGAAGTGTAATTACAGGATGCTGGAAATGTTGTGGTTCAATAGTTGAGGAGTATGATGATTCAGGAGGAACAGGTGGGAAACAATGCTGAGTTGTGGCTGGTTCTGGATTGAGATCGAAATTGAGACCGGTCCATGGATCACCTGTGTTTAATGCAGAAGTGTTGATTGAAGTAGGAGTAATCAATTGTAAGGGAGATTGTGACTTGGAGTAGACTTCCTTGTGCTTGGTGGAACTGACAAGTTCGGGCAAAAACTCTTCTAAATTGATTGAGCTCTTCCATTCGTCCAACTCTTTGCATGTAGCTTCAAACAAATTCATCATGTTCTCTTCTTCCTGAACATTGTTGTGGGGTTCTTCTTTGTGCGGAATCAATGTGCTTGTGTTTTCAGTCTGGGAATTATTAAGTGCCAACTCCATATACCAATTCATATTTGTAGATGGACATATTGTATTATCCACTGTTTCAGAATGAGCTATTGGATCTTGAAACATGGCAAGGAATTCATCATCTAGAGACAGGAACTCTTCCTTGCTGATGTTGCTTGGTTGTTCGGGATCTATATGATGGTAATCCTCCAAAGTTTTCTTGGGTTCAACGGGATTTTGGTCAAAATAATCGAAGGAGAAATCTTCACGGTGGTAGTTTGCCGATGCCGAGTTGGTGTTGGTGGTGGAGTTGGTATTAGTGATTAGATCATCACTAAATGAAAACTCCATAGTTTCATTCAGAATCGTCAGAGTCATAGTGAACAAACGATAAAAAGTATCAATAAACCGATCATCCATGGTTTTCGAAAATATATATATATGCAGACGTCAGGTTGTCTTAGATTGTGAAACTGTTGTTTCACTTTTAGAGAAGTAACAGCAAATATGCTGTACCTTCCTCCAATCATGGTGTTGTAAAAGTTTTTGCAGCAATTTTTTGCCAAGTTGCAAAAACAAAAAAAAAATTATTTTCATGGATGAAACACGAATCGAAAAATTATGTTTTAGGAAAGTGATATGCTAGGTAAGATAGATTCAGGGAACGTTTCTCCTTCATTCATGGTCTTGGAGTTTCCCTTGGTGCCCAGCATTCTAAAATACTGAGAGTTTCACCAGTTCTAAAGTACAAAAGATCTGCAGTGGAGTAGAAGATTGTGCCACAAAATTTGTTTCATACATGTCCGTTGTTTTTGTTTTTTTTGTTTTCTTATATTTTTTGCACAAGCAGATGCATATCTACATTTGATATGCTATAGCTTGTGTTGTTTACAGAAGTCATTGTAGTGAAACAAGGGAGTAATTGTTGTTTGTAGATTGCTATTGTAAACAAATTAAAATGTTTTACATGATAGTTTATTTTCTAATCTGCATCTAATTGTCCTTTCTGCTTTTTAGATAGAAGTATTATTTCTTTAATTCGGCTTTACTTTTACTAAATATTTTTCTAAATTTTGTACAAATTAATCGTAAAATAAAACAACTATTTTTAAAAATATTATCTTGGAAGATTAAAACTTCCGTAAGTACTTGAATTAGAAACTCCCAGTCTCAGCGATTACCGATTTCATCGATAACGTAATATACTTTGTCTACGTGTGTCTAAATTTAGATTTAAATTCAAATAGATTTGCAGCCCTGTTGTACCCTATTATGAACCGCCCTATCATTGTTGCAATTGACAACACGAAAATGTTACCATGTCACTTGCGCATCCTCTTATATGTGAACTGTTGATAGAGATATATCTACTAGATATTGGACTAGCGTCTAGTGCCCGACCAGGCCAAACCGAGGCTCAACTATGCATAAAAGATCACGTGACCAAGATCTTTTCTCATTTGAATAGCAACAAAAAAAAATAACATGAAATTCAAACCACATCAACACTAACTATCCTTGTACACATACAGATTAGATCAGGTCTTATCAAATCAAACCTCTTAAATCATACCATTCATTAAAAGCCACACTGCAAATAGAAAGATAGATACATAAACAGAAAAGAAACACGCCCTTTCAACCCCACACCACCATGTCCCAAGATATAATCACTCAAGTAACACCAGAATCACAGTTTGGATCAGCAGCCATACCTACAAACTATGACGACAACGACACAGAAAACGTCGACTTCAACTCCAAGATTCATTTGAATATCCGTGGAAAGGAATTCACGATAACTCGTGATGAATTAATGAGTCTTCCTGAAAGCATATTGTTGTGCCTCTTCCCCAATGGTGTATTTCTTGACTTGAATGGGCAAGTTATCACTAACTTAACCGAGGAGGATGTCGTTTATGTTAACTTTGACCCTGGTTGTTTCAAGTACATTATGGAGGTCTTCTCCCAGGCACAAAAGGATTTAGAAGAACTGTACGCATTATCACCGCAAACCAGCTACACCAGCAACAGAGCAAACCAACCTGAGAATGTTTTGCAATCCAAGCCAGCAATTATTGTATTAAGAGAAGATTTAGATTTTTATGTAATACCACCAGCACAAAATCTTAATGGTGAACAAATAAGACAATTAAAGTTAGGAGTTTCTGTACAATTACTCAAGAACAAGTTAATATTTTCAGGCTTGGGTTACAAATTCGATGAGCCACAGAGTCAGCAAAAAGGTATCACTGATGATCATGGGTTTGGTCCCGCTGAGCAACATTTGTTTGATATGTTGTGTTCCCTGGGATTCGATACTTACGGAGTATGGGGTTCAAGATCATTAGAACCTAATAAGTGTGTTATATCGAGTTTATCATTAGTGAGATTGAAGAATAATCCACCTTCCGAGAACCAATCACCATCATTAACGCCAGTTACATCTAATTCCAATTCTCCAAAGCAATCCCGGTCTCGATCAAGAATAGCACAATTGGCTACAAATGCCTCTCGAGCAGCATCTAGGTCAATATCAAGTAAAAGAAAACCGGTTGACTCGAACCAAACTAAATTATTGTTGTTTTGGAGAAAGCCTGCTAGAAAGTGTTGGTGGTCTCATTCGATAATTGACGTAGATGTTGATGCTCCTGCTTTATTTGACAAGAGTTTAATTGGACCAGATGGGAAGATCAAAGTTAAGGTTCATATACGTAGGGTTTGGACTTTAGAATTGTCCGTCATTGGTGTCCAGTAGTTTTCTATATAGTTTTGCTATATATATATATTTCTTATATTAATACGCGGTATAAATTTTTCGTACCTATTTTTTGGCAGCGCGTTTTTTTTTTATTTTCAGGAAGCGATACCAACAGTAGTATATTAACACTAGCATGACCACCACAGATCAATACGAAGAAGAACGTCTCCATCATACTCCCTGGGTTGAAAAGTACCGTCCCAAGAATCTTGACGATGTTGCCTCCCAAGAACATGCAGTAGCAATTCTTAAACGTACCCTTGCTACTGCCAATCTTCCACACATGTTGTTTTATGGACCACCAGGTACAGGTAAGACATCCACCATACTTGCGTTATCCAAGCAATTATTTGGTCCCAATTTATCCAAATCGCGTGTATTGGAGTTGAATGCATCCGATGAACGTGGTATCAACATTGTTAGATCTAAGATTAAGAACTTCGCTAGGTTGACTATAAGTAACCCTACACCAGAAGATTTGGCCAACTATCCGTGTCCTCCATATAAAATCATCATTTTGGATGAAGCCGATTCTATGACCAACGATGCCCAATCGGCATTGAGAAGAACCATGGAGACTTATTCTGGTATGACCCGTTTCTGTTTAATTTGTAATTATATCACAAGAATTATCGATCCATTGGCTTCTAGATGTTCCAAATTCAGATTTAAATTATTGAATAATGACGATGGGTTAAATAGGTTGAAATATATTGCCGAACAGGAAGACTTGACTTTGGATCAGGAGGAACCTGTCTTGCAACAAGTGTTGGACATTTCTGGTGGGGATTTACGTAAAGCTATCACATATTTGCAATCAGCCTCAAAATTAAGTAATTCCTATGATGAACACCAAGAAATTCTGGGTAAATTAATCAGGGAAACTGCCGGGGTATTATACGAAGAGATTATTGATGAATTAGTTAATGTGATCAAGGGGAAGAATCATACTCAAATTAGCAACTATGTTAATGAAATTATATTGCAAGGTTGGAGTATTCAACAATTAATCAGTCAATTGCATGATAAGTTAATTTTGGACGATTCCATCGACTCATTAACCAAGAATCAAATTGCAATCAACTTATTTGAAACAGACAAAAGGTTAAATAACGGTAGTGACGAACATATTCAATTGTTGAATCTTTCATTACAAATCTCCAAAGTTATGTAGAGAATAAAACTATATAGAAAAATATACAAAGCAAGTAATATACAACTCTAACGAGGTTGATTCTGTTGTTGTTGCTGTTGTTGTTGCTGTTGCTGCTGTGGTTGCTGCTGTTGTAAATGTGGAGGTAATGGCATACCCATGAATTGAGGTGGCATGAATCTATTTCCAAATTGCGGTGGTGGCTGCATTTGTCCACCAGGTGGGCCTTGTGGAGGTCCATGTTGGAAATTTGGAGGGGCAACGCCAGGTGGCGGAGGTGGGAACCCATTAGGGAACATACCTGGAGGAGGAGGAGGGTGACCAGGGTGACCAGGAGGAGGATAAGGATACATTCCTGGAGGAGGAGGAGGACCACCTGGGGTTCCTGGCGTACCTGGAGTACCTGGGGTTCCTGGTCCTGGAGGAACATTCATTCCTGGTGGAAGTTTTCCTTGTCCTTGTGGAGGAGGTCCCATTCTATTTTGTCCATAGGCTAGTTGTCTCATCCAAGGTGGAATTTGTTGTTGGCCTGGTTGTCCTTGCTGAGGCGAAGGTTGTTGTTTCAATTGTTGTTGTTGTTGAGGAGATGGTTGTGGCTGTTGTTGCTTTTGTTCAGGAGTTTCTTGTCCTGGCTCCTTCTTGTTTAATAAGGACATAAAAAAGTTATCATTGGTGTTGGGTGGCATGCTTGGTGGGAATGGGAATGCTTGTGGGTGTTGTTGCTGTGGGCGCTGTTGAGGTGGTTGCTGATGTTGTGGTTGATTTTGTTGTTGTTGTTGTTGCGGTTGTTGTTGTTGTGGTTGTTGTTGTTGTTGTTGTTGCAGCGGAACTTGCTGCTGTTGAGGCTGTTGCTGTTGTGGCAGTTGTTGGGGTTGAGGACCGGGTGGACCTCTGAAAAACTTGGACATGCCTGGTGGTGGGCCAGCTGGAGCTTGCTGAGGTTGTTGCTTTTCACTAGCTGGTTGTGGGAAAAATGATAAAAACCTTGAACTTTTATTCTTCAGTTCTTCATGATTATCATGTTCTGGAGTGTGACTAGCTTCTTCTGGATGACTTTCGTCATCATTTTCCTTTGTTTTGACAAACGAAAAGAAATTATCAACTTCATTACCAGCATGAGCAGCAGCAGCATGGACAGTATTTTCAGCTTCTAAACTTTCATCAATTATTTCCCCATTTCTTCTACGTTGTTCTAATTTCATCTTGGACTTCCATCTTTCAAAATCCTCCACTGTCTGTCCCATGCCCATCAAACCAAGACTATCATCATTGCCGTTCTTCTTGGTATCTTCCCATTCAGGCTCGCCCAAATCGTCATTTGATTCACCCAATAACTGTGAGATTTTTTCCATAGACATAGAATCCAATTCGTTACTTCTGGCAAAACCCAAGTTATCCAGCTTCCCTCGTTCCCAAGTTTCATTCTGATGGGATCTTCGATTGTAACTGTTTTTCTTATTATGATGTCTACCAGTGGTAGCGGATGCTTGATTATATGATTCTCTAGGTTTGTTGCTTCTCCAGAACGACTTCTCGGGCAATTTATCCTTAAAATCAGGGATATCGGGAGAATTCTTCAACAGTAACAAGTAATCAACGGTGTACACCCCTTCCATACCCTGCTTCTTCTCAGGAATAGTGCTATAGAATATGGCTGACTCACTACTAACCTTATCACTAGAACCACTAGAACTTGCACTAACTGCAGGAGCATCACTAGTGACTATATCAGGAGTAGATTCCTTGGCAGCATGTGCCATTGCTGAGTCCAAGAGTTTTGATAATGCATTTCCTGGTTCTAAATTATGAATTGACGATGTATGAAGTTGGGTGGTAGATGTAGACGTAGATACTGATGTTGAATTAGGTTGATCTGATATTGATACAATTGAGGGATCCACTAATAGCGGATTGGAATCTGTTGTTGATGACATTGGAGAAAGAATTGTATACTTTGATATATAGCAAATATATTAGCTTCCCAGTCAATTGGATAGTTTATCTATTATTTAAACAAGTGTGATTCTTTATTGGCCTCTCCCTTTTTTGTTGAACGATTCAAATTTAAAAAAAAAAAAAGAACAGAGAAGAATAAATTTGAATACGGACTGGTAAATGCACGACGTATTTTTGTAAGTGGTTTTTATCTGGCAGCCAAAAAAAAAAGATCAATCAGGATTCAAGTTTTGTTTACTTTTCTTTTTGGTTGCAAGTAGGAATACTCTTCAATTGACTAAGTGTATACACTTGACATAACGTAAATAAGGTAAGTTTACCACTTAATTTGGCTTTACAAAAGCCACTTCCTTTTTTAGAAACAAAATTTTAGTGGTTTCTCGTATGAATTGAATCTCACCTGAAATTAAAATCTATGTGTATCTATACAAACGGTCAGACCCTTCTACTAATTTGTTTTTTGAACTCCTCTATGTTTAGGTTAGCTTCAACGCTAACTTTATCATTCATTTTGCAATTTGGGAAATCATAGCAACCATACTGTTAAGAGCTTCACAGTGATTCTTTTGCTAAAAGGTGTACTAGGCTTGACCAATATGATTTCCAAGAAATATAAGTATCATGCCGTGGAAGTCAGAGCCAATACTGCAATCAAGTGTTTTTGACCAAGCTTTAGAACTCTGGATTCTGGGTGCAACATTTTAGACATAAAATACTTTCTTGCCTTCATTCCCATTTCTTCTTTAGTGGCATATCTTTGGAAGCACATCCTGAATACAACAAACATATGTTTAATGGTTGTGGGGGAAAGAGTATTATTAAAGTTCAATTGTTCTTTAGATTCTCGTGAATCAACCAACAATAGTTTTCCTCTCCAGCCCACCTGATACTGGGAAGATCATCTAATTTATTGCTAATGTGTTTCAGTAACTTTTCCCGTTCCTTTTTAATAAGAGATAACCTCCAGAGATTCATCATGTAAAGTTTTTAGTGATGTACTTCAGAATATCTTCTTAGATTGAATCTGGATATCTTTCTCACCACACTTTCTATTTAGGAAAATTGTTTGAGTTAGTTTGGAATGGAACTAATTCGTTCTCTTGCATATTTTTCTTCCATTGATGCTGTCTGTTGGTATGTCTTAGATGAATAACAAAAGAGAGATACATGTAGTTTATTGTGACAGAAACTTGCAGCAAGTCTGCATGAGTATTTACATGATCATTTCATAAAGTTGGAACCAATGATATGAAATGAATGAGCTTTCTACGTGGCATATCGATCCCAGATGCATATTTTGGTATGCTGTTTAACAACCTGTCTTTTATTATTAATTCTGGTGTCAAGGACATATAAATGTACACAAAAACTTATTACCGTTTATCTAGATCTCATTTCTTGCGATAACAGCTAGTCTCTTGAATTAATTTTACGTTTTTAAAGTCATTTCTTTCATTAAAACATCTATAACATCTAATGCTAATTATTTAAATAGGGAATATTCAACTTCATGATTTCGCGACACATGATAAACCAATCGATTTCTCGTAACATCACCGTACCATCTAGAAAATTTCCATTTTCCTTTTGTTTGAGCTTAACCTTCTCCTCCCACTTGAACAATTCATACATGAATCGCAAATTTGGTTGAATTATAATGTTTAATCGTCTGACCCGGGTGAACAAGTATGCGTAGGGCAACGACACGTTTAATCGTTTCATGATTTCCGCAATGACGACAGTGGCACTTCGACTGACACCAACACGGCAATGAACAAGGATCTTCCCATGCTGGTAGTGGTTTTCAATAAAGTGGAGGATGTGTGGGAGTTGTCGTGCCAATTCGTCTATTCCATCATCTTCTAAATTGTTTACCTTCATGACCGACTTGACAGTAGTGTGTCTCCCATGCCCGTGTTTAGGGAGAATTTCCGATACTTCCATGTTATGGGCTAGCTTCGTATGTGTTATTTCATTGTTGTGCAAAAACTTGTATCCATTAAGCCAGGGGAGGGTTTCGCCTACTGATATGATATGGGTGATTTCTAGTTTGCTAAGCAAGGGCAAACACAGGGCATGCTTAAGCGAGCCGAGGTATAGATAAGGGAGGATCTTGGAGGGAAGAGACCCCTCGACTTCCTTGACCCAATCGATTTCAATTTCGTCCTCCTCGTCAGACTCGTCGTCGGAGTTGTGGATGTGGCCTAATTTGGGAACTGTCCTTACCGGACCCAAGAGAATCTCATTCAAGTCTTGGTTGGTTAATGTATCGAGTTTCCCCCAGTCGATTGTTGTTCTTCTCTTGGGACTGAATTTCCTCAACAATGGTTGGAGCTTACGGAGAATTATTACGTCACTGTTGAAGATGTAAAATGGCCGGCCGTATTTCAAGTGGAGAGTGAGAATCGCATCTTCCAAAGGAACATCCTCCACATACATCAAGTAACTTAGAACGAGAAGTGAACACTCGGTATACCCATCACTGCAATAAATCAACGAACTCAACGCAGAAGACGACGCCAGGGAGGAATAGAGATATATCAATTTGCACGTGTTTATAATCAGCTGCAAATTTTCTCCTTTACAATCGCCAATTCCGATTGATCCCAGAGGTGGGAACTCCAAGCTGTGGTATTCCGAGGAAGTATCGTGTGACGATATGCTGTAGATGAATAGAAGGTGGGATAATGTGGATAACGATGGGAACTGGGCATCAATGTGGCATTGAACGAATAACCTCCAGTTAGCTCTCGGTACAATCGATAATGCCGTGTGCGAGGTGATGATCGAGTTTGTGGGGTCATTGTATAAGTTGGCGAGGGATTCAGGATGAGGAGTAGGTGTGACGGGTTTATCTTCGAGGATATAGTTCATCATAATTTGATGATCGTGGTAATTCCCTATCCAGACATTGTTGTGAAGTTTAGTAGCCGAGGACATTTTCGTAGTTTCTAATTTCTCAAGAAGTTTAATGTCGGTGTCGTAGATTAGAGTGTTGTCGTTGGGTATGCTATCGAGAATGAATACATTGTAATCATTAACCTCTTCACCGGAAGCCAACTGTTGTTGTTTCTCATATCGCTGTGCTAACCAGAGTATTCTTGCCATTGATTCAATCTTGTCAATGTCACTTCCGTACAAGATAAAATCGGAGCATGTGGATAATTTTGCAACTTGAATGTGGAAATTACGAAGGGAAATCCCACGATCGGGGTCTAAATTGAGGAATATTGGGAGCACATTCAATTGTATGCAGTCGGTAGTAAGTAAATCTATAAGTGAGTTGTCCTCATTGAATATGCCCTCGATGATGTTCCGTACTTCTGTCTTGGAAACGTCAATCTTCTGTAAAATCTCCAGCAAGTTGACAGTGTTTTTTAAAGTTATGGGTTGGGATTCATCGGTGATGCACATCAAGAACCTTATATGCTTGGGTTTGCTTAAATGGAAATCAGGAAATATATCCAAGTCATCGTACTTTTCCTTTAGTTGTTGTTGCTGATAAAGAAAGAAGGACTTTTGGGAAAAGTTATCCTTATGCAATCCATGCAACCAGGGAAACATGGTGGTTGTTTTCGGCAAGGATGAGTTAAAATAGTATGCAAACACTGATTTCAATTGGTGTGGATCCAATGTTTTTATGTTTATATGGCCGTCGGTATGTGTTTGTAATTGTTTGTAAAACGTGCTGGTGGGGTCAAGCGGATTCACATTGATGTTTAGCTTTGCTGTTTTGTATCCTATTCCATCATACAAATCTTCACTGCCGTCGTTAAGAGTTAGTAACCTGGCTCTAAATCTATCGCGTTCGTATATCAAGTCGTTCGAGGATGACGAAGACCGCTTATAGGGAATGCGGTCTATGGCCGAGGATGACTTTATTGAAGGTATGCTGGGAGGATGTTCCGCTGTGCTTGCTGTGTTTGAACTGGATGTGGAGGAGCTTGGTTGTAAAGTAGTGGTGGAATGGATGATTGGGGGATCACATGATGACGATGATGACGAAGCCGTGGTGGTTAGAATGGTGGGAGATGCAGGTAAGCTAATAGATTTGCGGGTTAATGTGTTGTCGGTAGTGATTACCAAGGATGTGAGTTCAGTGGTGCTAGTCATATCAACATGTGTATTAGCAAGTGTAGTTAATAGATATGAAATTACTTATCTTTAAGGTTTTTTTTTCTTTTTCTTTTGCCTTGGATTTTGTTGAATGATCTTCTCGCAAAAAAGGTACAAAATTGCAAACAATGATGCCAACGCCGTAAATGGAATCTGGCCAGTGATTTGGGAGGTAGATTGAATTGATAATCTCTGTAATTGCGCTATGGTAAGAACGTACAAGCAGATATGAGACGCCACGGATAATCTCAACCAGCGATCATAACTTGTCAGTTATCTGGACCAGTAACTTTAAGCAAGGGGGTCATTTGGGTCCACAGTTTTTTTTAAATTTTTTTTTCTATTTTCCCACCCCCACACAAAAAAAAGTCTTTCGCTGGTTATCAAACTAATTTTTTGCACCCCGCGCGTTCTTTATGCTTTTGCGGGCGGAGGAGAAGTAGCGATTGAAGGTGATGGTCTACTGTTTAGGCAATGTAATGAGTGGAATGTGTTATTTATGTACTTGAAAAGACTGGACCAGACCCGGGTCGTCGTCTCGTTTCATGCAGATTATCATTCCAAGCTATCACAAATGACATATCCCTTTGTGACTTTGCAAGTTGCATCAGTTTGCATGTTGAAGCAGCTTACAACCACTTCCCACTTTTCTTGGACAGTCTTGGTAAATGTGTTGGCAAAATAAAATACGAAAACAAAAACATAACCATCTTGTTCGCTCATTCTACTCACTCTTTTTACTCAGCCTGGATTCTGTTGCGTCAACTTTACACGACCAACATTTACAACAGTCAACTCTGCACAGCCAACTTTGTCCCCCGTCAAACTTTACCCAGCCACAGAAATATCTAACCATTTATAACTAGATCTAATTGTCCCATCTTTCTTTCCTTCTTTCTAGCACTAACTATAGTTGCATTGTTGTCTAAGCCGTCTATAGCTAAAATAGGTAAATGGGGGAAAGTTCTACTCACGTGACCAACCCTATAATTTCTTTTGTCTTGTTGTCCAAAAACACATTGATCACACATCTCCAACTATCGGGTTCTTTCACTACCAGACTCACCATGAAGTTTGCCAAAGTGCTTGAGTATTTACACGACAGCTCGTTCAATAGGAAAACCTTAGGGTTGAACGACAATAGTATGATTATCAGATGGAGGTTTTCTGACTTGATATTGGTGAATGTGTTGGCTGTACTTTACACCTTTGTCAACGGCATGGAGCCGTTTGAACGACAATTCACCTTGAATGATGTCACAATTCAACATCCATTTGCAGAGAGAGAACGTGTGAATCTCGCGGAATTATTCATATACGCGACCGCGGTTCCCTTGGCCACCATAACCACCTTGGGTATATTACTCACAAAACCAAAGTATAAGATTTACAATACGTTTGTTGCGTTACTTGGGTGTTTGTTGTCGATTTTGATCACTGGTATATTCACCGATTTTATAAAGAATTATATCGGGAGACTCAGGCCAGACTTTTTGGCCAGATGTATCCCCAAACCAGGCACCCCCACCGACGTATTAGTATTCGCTAAAGACGTATGTACTAGCACCGACCGGAAAAAACTCTTGGATGGATTTAGAACGACTCCATCCGGTCACTCCAGTTTAAGTTTCTCTGGATTGTTCTACTTGACACTCTGGTTACTGGGCCAGCTCGTCAGTGTTCACACTCAAGTAGGCTCATGGAGAACCACTGTGTGCTGGGTACCCTCTTTAGGAGCATTGCTTATCGCGTTAAGTAGAACTGAAGATTATAGACACCATTTCGTGGATGTTATAATCGGGAGTCTCATTGGGATATCCGTGGCATATTGGTCTTATTTCAGATTGTTTCCTAGTTTGAAACACGATCAAAGTTATTACAATTTGATGATTATTAAGAAAGAGGAAGGGGAAGATGATGAACGCGCCGAGCGTCATCCACCTTATCAAAGACTCGAAGTTTAGGTTTGTATATTATCATGTCAATATATGAGTATTCGATAGAAGTTTACAATGGTAGTTTCAACGTGTATTCTATATTAGGTTTTTTGAAATATGCACTACATCAAAGTAACTCTGCCACCAATTTCATTACTCGGTTGGCCATCAGGCATATTCCCATCTCTTCCACTAACAAATTGATTGTAAATATTACTCAACTTGTTCTTTTCCGAAATCGAAATAGAAGGCTTGGTCTCTTTGAGCGAATCCACAAAGTTCTCATGGGTAATTACCACCTTATTCTTTCCAGTGGCCTTGACCGTCTTTTCATTAGTGGTTGTAAACTGTTGAATTTGATGTAATAAACTAACTCTTTCATGTGGTTTCACCTTGGCATCGACTTTAAAGAATTCAATAGTTTGGTTGTCTACGGGTTGCACTTCCTCTTGTTCCTGTTCAAGCACGACATGAACGGCCTTCAAATATCCATTATACACCAACCCTTGCAAATCGGCCCCACTGAACCCGTCAGTACTCTCAGCAATCTCTTTCAAATTGACATCATCGGCCAATTCCATATTATTGCATACTCGTTGTAAAATGTCTAATCGGCACTCATAATCCGGCAAGTCACAAATAACACTCTTATCCAAACGACCAGGTCTAAGCAACGCACTATCGATCAAATCAGGACGAGATGTTGCAGCAAGCACGTACACACCATCTAACCCTTCAGCACCGTCCATCTGAGTCAACATTTGATTGACGACTCTGTCAGTGACACCCGTAGAATCATGACCTCTTTTGGGCGCAATAGAATCGAATTCATCAAAGAATAATATGCACGGTTTGGCTGATTGTGCGCGTTCGAATAATTCACGTACCGATTGTTCACTGGCACCAATGTACTTGTTCAAGATTTCCGGCCCCTTGATGGAGATAAAGTTCAATCCACACTCATTTGCAATGGCACTGGCGAGAAGAGTTTTCCCACAACCAGGGTATCCATAGAGTAGGATACCAGAACGAAGACGCAAGGGACAGTTGGCAAAAATGGGGGCGTACTTGGTAGGCCATTCCAATGTCTCAGTAAGAATCTTCTTGGCCTCAGTCAAACCACCAATGTCGTTCCAGTTGATCGGCGATTTTTCAAGGTTGACCCCACGGAGATTGGATGGAGTGAACCCCGTTATGGCCTTGGTTACGTGGTCTTGTGTGATTGTTTGTGCTGAGGAGAATAAGCATTCGTGATATATTCTGTCAGCAAGGATCTTGAGATCGTTGGGCAAGTATCCCTCTGTTTCTCCGACCACATCCATTAAGTCGATTCCAACTTGCACTTTGCTGGATAGGTAGTGATGAAGTAAGTCAAAACGTAATTGTTTATTGGGTGGGTTCAAGTGGTGGTAATTTTCAATTAAATGGGAGCCTCCTAATAACTTATTAATTGACTCTTGCGAGTTGGAACTGACGAGAATGGATACGTTGGAGTTTGGTTGGTTGTGGATTTTAGCCAAGGTGGAAATCAAGAATTCCGTGGTCTGGTTGGACTTGCTGGAGTCAATCTGTTCCATTTCCACTGGGATAATCTTGTCTAGATCGTCCAAGATTAACAAACTTGGTTTATGCCAGGAACATAATTGGATGTACTTGAATAGGGACTTGCTTATGCTTTGAAAGTTCTCATTGATTAATCCGTTACAGCTGACATACTTGACAAAGTGACCTTGATTTGTTAGTTTTTCAGCAACAAGATTGAGTAACAAGGTTTTGCCACTACCGTTACTTCCATGGACCAATGTTCCTGTGTTTGGACTAATGGTGAATGAGTCAACGATATCCTCAACAATCGCATCCAAGCCAATGGCTTCACCGACTTCTTTCTTCTCCTCCAACTCCACAAACGAGGCCGGACGTAATAATTCCTCACCTAGTTCTAATCTGATTGGTTTCTTATTGTCTAAACTATATGGTCTAATCCACGCATTCACATCCTCATTCCGTCTGAATTTAAGAATACCCCCATATGGTAACACTCCTGGCACACTGGGGATCCTGGCGAAGTTAGTCATGGCCAGTGATGACAATTCTGGATACATTGCATCCATCAATGCTTGAGTTTTGGTATCTTTCTGTTTGGCTGGTGTAGATAGTGTGTATGGGTGAATGGTAAATACTGTTGGTCGTTTAGGCAAGCTCTTGACTGCAGGCTTCAACACTATTATGTTCCCAATTTGACCAGAAACATTCAATGCATGGGCGAGTTTGGACGAAAGGGCGATGTTTCCTTTGGGACTGTCTTGGCAATCTATTAATCGAGCCACAATACGTTTATTCTCTTTAATGTCGAAATCATTGGGTGCTTGTTTCGTTGGGGTTGTAGTAGGACCAGAAACAACAGACACAGCAATATAAGGTTCAGCAGTTAGTTCACTGGGTAATTCTTGAAAGTTGGCGTATACTTGGTATCCTTGGTTCTTGACATTGTACAACTTGTGCGGCAACGAAATTCCTCTTCGTAATACCAGGGTGAATTCCAGGTAGTCTTCTTCAACCCTTGCAGCAGTGCTCCTGCTGCTCTTGCCACTCTTTGTTGATTTAACCGAGGTATCTCTTACTTTTGGCGCAATGGCAATTTCACAATATGGTGATATCTTACCGTAGGTGCGGGCACCATCACCGATATCAACCACATTCAACTTGGCCACTGTGGTCAGCGAGGGGTAAACCACGAGGATTTGGCCGATAGATACACATCGGGTTTGACTTAATAACTTGTCCTCGATGTTTTGTGCGTGCAACTCAACCAACTCCCAATCGGAACTAGTCACAGGCTCCAAGTTGATATTTGCAGTTTCATAGTTGTCCAACTTTAAATTGAGGACAACTGAGTCGTTATCGGAAAGGTTGATGGCTTGTGCAAACACAGGATCGATTTCCAAAGTCTGGGGTGAAGTCAGGGACATTCCTGACCATCCAACGTATTTTGCCTGTTTCGATTTGGTGATTATCTCAACGATGACATCCTGGATGTTGATGTTGGCTGTGAACAACAAGTTGCTCAAGTGTGATGGTAAGTTAACCAAGTTTGACTTGATTGGTTTGTATTTGATGTTGACTTTGTGATTATCCATATTAGATGTCTAGTTAAAAAGGAAAAGAAAAGTGGTGGACAATTGGTGAAAATTTCCAGTGGGGTATTTGATCGCGGGGGTAGGTGGGAGAGGGACGGTGGAATAAAATTGGCGGTGCGGTAAAAGTCAACAACCTCGGCATAAAGTTTTTTGTCTATATAGCAGCAAATGTCACAAACAGGGATCATTCAGTTCTCTAAAGTGTTTGAAGAAGTCAACAATCCTACTCCTCAGAAGTATGGTGAGTTCGAGCTTGATCAAAACACCGTGCTAAGTTTCGCCCATCCATGGTTTGCTGCCATCGACAACGAGTCCACCATCAACTTGTTCAAATGTGGACTTTACGTTAAACTTATTACGTCTATTTGGTCTACACTAGACGAGTCTACAGCCAAGCAGTGTCGTGCATTAGGTAACATCGATTCTATGTACTTGCCATTGCCAGTGGCGTTAAACTCGGCCATTTCTATGGTCCCCTGGGTGGAAACTAAACTTGGGGTGTTTAAGATCAAGTGGCCTATGACTACGCTTAAAACTTGTTTTCTCAACTTGCAATACTTCAAGAAGAAGGCGTTTGACGAGTTGGGGATAGTCAGTGAAAAGACTCGCGATATCCCTCCCGTTCCTGCTGGTCAAGACGAGTGTTTTAATAGACGATTCTGGGGTGATCAAGAAGGATACGAAAAAGTCGACTTTTTCATTGCGCGATACCTCAAGGGAAAAGGACTCCCTAAACTCGACAAGAACTACACCGATGACCAGATAGACAAGCTTATATCGGAGACAACTCCAAACTTTGACAGATTGAGAAAAGTATACAGGATGTATGCGTTGTCGGGGGATGCACGATTACACTTGTTGAACCATCCAGAAAAGGACGAGCACAAACTTTTAGAAGTGATATCGCTTATTGGTTTAAACTACTGCACTGTCCCCATTGAAACCCTTGAAACAGACTTGATTGAACTCATGCATGTCTACGAAGAATCAGAGTTGAAAGATATCTTCTTTATGTAAGTTATCGTCATATACTATTTACAGTTAATCCTTTCTATTATTAAATTGTTGAAACTTTTCAAACTCCTCGTCTTTAGTTCCTTTCAATTCCTCCCACTTTTTCATATTCTTTTCCTCTCGCGCCTGTTTGGCCTTGGCCATCACTTCAAAACTCCTTCTTCTCAAACTTCGACACTGTTCCCACCCAACTAGATTACCAAGAAAGAATCCACCAATACTCCAATTGAATGACTTTTGCGGGTTCTTGTGGATGAGGAACGTGACTACCCCCAACACACCCATGGCTTGGAAACCAGTGATCATCGCTTCTCTGAAACAAGGCATGTGCACAAATCGATCTATGGTAAAGTCAGAAAGTGAAATCTGCTTAGCAGCATCAAGAATAGTGGGTTGTTTAGGTGGCAACGCATGGGTTTGTCCATTGGGAGAATTGTCTTCAAATTTCGGTGGGAGGTCTTCTAAAAACTTTGGCTCTTCCGATTTGAACTCGGAAACTACTGATACCGTAGCTGGTGGTTTACCACTACTGAACCAGCCCATTCTTGCAGCTTTGTTTTAGACAACCAAATGGGGTTTGTAAAAATTTAATTGTTTTTTTTTTTTGCTCTTTCTGTTTTAACTTTTGCCTCTTCTTTGATTGACCAAGTAAACATGACCACATCAGATCTTGTATTAGACCCGCAATTGAAGTACTGGGTGTTGTTGCCCATCTCAATTGCCATGGTGTTGGTTGGATTGATTAGAAATAACATCACTACTTTGTTGCAACCATCTCCAAAACTCCAACCCTACAAACAAGAACGGGAGCGGTATGTCCAACACTATACGTCTTTCTATAAAACTATTACTAACTAGTCTAGCCACTTCCTTGATAGAGCCAAATCATTCACAGCTCATAACCACATCCTCACGCCGGAGGAATTCGCCACAAGGAAACAATATCTCCTCGCCAAACTCACATCCAACGACTTTCTCGCTGTATCCCCAGAAGAAGCCACCACAAAGCAACAAGACCCACTAGCCCAACTCACGGACCCCAAGAACAACGAAATGATGATGAATATGGCATTATCCAGTATTCTCAACTACATTCCCCAGACAGTCATCATGACCTGGGTGAACACCTTCTTCTCTGGTTTCATTATCATGAAATTGCCATTCCCATTGACAGATGGATTCAAGTCAATGTTGCAGAATGGGATAGCCACGCCGGATTTGAATGTCAGTTACGTGCTGGCCATATCTTGGTACTTTGTCAATTTACTCGGGTTGAGACCGGTATATTCGTTATTGGCTTGTCAAGAGGAGGCGGATTCTATTCAACAGCAACAACAACAGCAACAGCCTATGAATATCGCTGGCCCTGGTGCGCCAAAGATGGATAAGGTGTTTAAGGCCGAGGCCGAGAATATTCAGATATTGACCCATGAGTCGATTTACACTGGCGTTTTGCAAAGAGTGTTGGAGAGGAACGGATTATAATGAAACACCCTCCGGCCTGAGACCCAGATTGGAAGAACTAGTTTCGTATACAAGCTCGGTGTAACTCTAAATGTATTAGAAAGAGCAATTAACTAACCAGTATATATATATATATTGCATTTGCATCTTGTATAGATATATTTGTCATGTGACCAAATACACGTGACAACATCACCATCGCTTATAAATTAAACTTTGTGAAAAAAGCACCCATCGAAGTAAGCATATACTTAGTAATCATCCTCATCAAACATGGCACCCAGCACAGTGATATGTATCGGTATGGCCGGTAGTGGTAAGACCACATTTATGCAACGTCTCAACTCCCATTTACATTCCAAAAAGACCCCACCGTATGTGATAAACCTTGATCCCGCGGTATTGAAAATCCCGTTCGGGGCAAACATTGACATCAGAGACAGTGTCAAGTACAAACAAGTCATTGAACAATACAATCTTGGTCCTAATGGTGCAATCGTTACATCATTAAACTTATTCAGTACCAAGATCGACCAAGTCATCAAGTTGATTGAGAAGAAGGGGGACAGTGTCAACAACGTGATTATTGATACACCAGGACAAATTGAGTGTTTTATATGGAGTGCCAGTGGTGCCATCATAACTGAAGCATTTGCCAGCACGTTCCCCACTGTGGTTGCGTACATAGTCGACACACCTAGAAATACCAGTCCTGCCACATTTATGTCCAATATGCTTTATGCGTGTTCGATATTGTACAAGACAAAATTGCCCATGATTGTCGTTTTCAACAAGACCGATGTTACCGATTGCCAGTTCGCCAAGGACTGGATGAGTGATTTTGAAGTGTTTCAGCAAGCATTGAAAGATCATGAGAATGAGGATGAAGGCAGTGGATACATGAACTCACTTATAAATTCGATGTCGCTCATGTTGGAAGAATTTTACAGTCAATTGGACGTGGTTGGTGTCAGTTCATACACCGGTGATGGGTTTGATGAGTTTATGCAAGCCGTCGATAATAAAGTCGATGAGTACAATGAATTCTACAAGGCAGAAAGAGAACGGATCTTGGCCAAGAAGGCCGAGGATGAACAAAAGAGAAAGGCTTCCAGTTTGAACAAGTTGATGAAGGACATGAAGATTGATGGCGACACCGACGTGCTCAGTGATTACGAAGACGAGCCAGATGAAAACCAAGGCGAAGTGTTGCGCGATGAAGACGATGTCGAGAGAGAGTACACTTTCCCTGAAGATCGTAACTCCGAAGTCAACGAACAAACCGATGCCGACTTACAAGCAAGATACCAAGCTGCGTTTGAATCTACTGCTAAGACCGCCTCTTCCAAGACGGCCGAATCTATTGCTGCCTATATAAACCAAAGTCAATAGTCTTAGCTTAATACTTTATCTATATCATAACTCTGGCTGAACTCGTCTTTGAAAATCAAATGTGGTTTGTGCTTAGCCAAATGTAAAATCGTCTTTCCAAATTCCGAATTGCACCATGCAAACCAGGACCGACTATACTGGTGTCCACCGCGAGAGTTAACGTCTACCGTCTCATGCATCAACCCTAAACCGGCAGTGGTCTCCATGACTAATTTCAAACTACGCAAAATCTCTTCATCGTCGTCAGTAGTTCTCATACGTACGAGCAATGACATTGGCCATGCACTTCGTATACCAACATGCGGACCACCAATACCTTCAAAGAATGCCCCTTTCAAGTAGTACGGATTGCCTTCCTTGGCGAGGATCATCTTCCGGGTGTTTTGGTAAACTGGATCATCCACCGATGTGAATCCCATGTCTGGGAGTGCCAATAATGAAGGAATGTTCGCATCATCCATAAACAAAGAGCCACCATATCCGTCCACTTCATACGCGTAGACTTTCCCATACTTTGGATGTTGGACAATTCCATGTTCCTGAATACCCTTCCCGATCTTGGCAATGAATTCATCGACGGCAGAAGTTAACCCCTGAATGCCATCAATCATGTCGGCATTAAGGTACATTTTCCTTGCCCGGATGAGTTCAGTAACCATATGGGCGTTTCCTGGTATAAAGAACTGGAGAACAGTGGCATCATCACTAGGTCTAAATGCTGATCTAATGAGTCCAGTACCGAAGTTCACAGGATTACCTACGCCACCAAGTGCGAGTGTTTCCGAGCCAATGTTGGTGTGGCGCTGGAACGAGTAGTAGTAAGGAAGTGCCTGGCCCGTGTCCTCGTCAAAACTAGGCTGGGCCTCACGCCGTAACACAATCAACAACTTCTCCAATGCCCGCAACCATTCCGGTGTGATGAACGCGGGCTTCACTTTCGTGTCGGCGTGTTCAAAGTATTCATTGGACAACGTCAAGAACAGGGCAAGCGAGTCGATCTCGTACTTGCATTCAAACACTTGTTTCCAGTCTGGCCTAGGGTGCACGTCATCCATGGCCGTACTGCCTTTTTTCACACCTGAATGTGGTGGTGGATGGAACGCATTACAGTATGGGGAATTGTTGACGTAGTATGCCTGGGTGTTGATCGCACCCAATATTAAAGTTTGTAATTTCTCATCGTGCTTGATCAACGGTTGGTATACACTGAGTTGACGTGCAGCATCACGGAGCCATTCAGCGTGGATGTCACCAGTAACCACAAATGTCTGGGGACGGTGGTCTTCTACTTCAGCATGCCAAAGAATAGTGGTATCCAAAGTGTTGGGAAGACAATTCTCAATTAACCGTGCCAAATCGGGATTCTTGACCTTGCTAACTAGATCCTGAACCAATTTCTCAACTGCTGAAGAAACAAATGTCCTACACTTTGGTGCTGGTCTCATGTAGGGGTACTGATACTCGGGAGATGAGTAAGGAGGATGAGGATGCTTCGAGTATTCCACGTAATCAGGACATTTCGAAGTATGTTTATCCATCCATGTCAAAAACTCCTTGTCCACTGGTTTGAAATTGGTACGGTGGGGCGCTTTATGGGGTGAGATATCTTCCGTAGATGTGTCAATCTTGGTATAGAACGTGTTGATATCATCGATTGGGTCAATCTTGGTAGGTCCTTGAAAGAACAAGTACAAGGTAACTAGACCAAGCATGCCTACCAACACCTTAACTGTTGGAATTCTGCCTTGGGTGATCATTCTGGTTGATATCTAAAACCATAGTTTGTTATGTGGGAATTCGAGCAATCTTGAAATTTTTATGATAACAATAAACTCCGTGGGCCACGTGACTTTCGGAGATATGCCAGATCCTACTTAACTATGTACAGGCAATAAGTATATACCAACACCATCAGCGCTCATTTCTACACGGGTTAATCCTTTGCGAGCTAGATATTTTAATATGATTTTGGCATTATGTTTCTTGGGATCTGCCTCTTCTTGTCGTTTCTCCTTGAGTCGTCTCATCATGTCTTCGTATGACCCTTGTGTTTGGCCCATGCCTATGCTTGCTAAGGTACTGCCTAATTGATACGAGTTGAGTCTGGCTCCTACAATTGTCATTTCTGGTGGGATGAGGTTGAGTATGTCTGTGTGGTCGATGTATGGGTTTGATATTGTTAATGTGTAGAATACTGGGTATTTCAAATCGTAAGAACCTTCGTCAATGTCTTGCGATATTGGTATGCTCTTTTCCCCTACTATATCCAATAGTTCTGTCTTGTTAGCTTGGGTTATGCTGTCTGCTAACTCATCATGGATCTTGCCAATTTCATTCCAGGGAACGAGGTGTGTATGCGAATTGTTGCGGATATGCTTGATGATTTCCGCATTACCAGTCTTTTCATAGGTGTTTACTCTCAATGCAAGATTGAACAAATCGGGAACAGTAAGATCGTCAAGACTAGCCCATTTCCACGACCTGTCCAACCTACCTTCCTTTTGACTCTGCTTCATGACCGATAGTTCTTCAATGTCTCGTTGAACATCATTATAATCGCACCTTCTGAATAACCTTTGATCCAGTTTAAGTATGACAATCACAGGAATGGACTTTATCATCTTCATTCTATGGGAGAAAGTATCCTGAATCGATCGGGGTGGATCCACTTTCCTGTTGGGAAATAGTGAACTGCGTAAACAGCTTACAGCTTGAGTGTAATGACTATCAAACAGAGAATCCTTTTCTTTCCATATACTTCCAGAAGGATATCGTACTGGATTCTTGAATAACTGTCGGGTGTTAAGAAGTTCACTTGGTGGGAGTGGTAGTTGTGGATTGTAGAGGGCCAGTTCTCGATCTGCATATTCGGTGGGGTATCTTATACGACGGAGTATGCTCTGTATTTGATATTTCGAATCAGTAGTTGATTTCAAGGGAGATGTGCTGTCATGACTTGCTTTGTATGTTTTTAAAAGCGTTCGTACACTTTGTGGGAACTTGTTCATTACTGGATGCGGTTTGGATATAAAGTAGGAACAATTTCTGGTGATGGGAAAAATTTCTGTTTTCTTCTTCTTCTTCTGCTCTCCATCACCAAAAAATGTTAGCCAGATTTGCAACAAGGGCAGTAAGAGTAGCAGTGCCACAAGTCACCAGGAGTGTTCGTATTGGTAGTAGCATCGCTCTAACTAGAAGATGGTATACTGATAAACCAAGCACACCACATGCTACCCCCACCACTACTACACAGCAGACCAGAGGCAACACCGAGACAGCCGCAGAGCAAGAGCCAAAGGGGGAATATCTCATTCAATTTACATGCAACCCCTGCTCTACCAGATCAACACATACATTCTCCAAATTAGCCTATCACCACGGAACAGTCCTCATTCAATGTCCAAGCTGCAAGAACCGCCATCTTATAGCGGACAACTTGGGGTTTGCCCGTGATGGTCGCATCAACATTGAACAATTGCTTGCTGCCCAAGGTGAGAGTGTTGGTAAGGAAAAGGGAGATCTCGTATTTGAAGATGTTCCTGAGTCTATGAGAGACAAACTTAACAATGTTGTTACTGGTATTAAAGTAAAAGAACCAGAGGTATAGCCAGAGTTAAAACTAACCAACAGTGTTGCCAAAAAAAAAAAGACATTGTGTTGCCAAATGTGCTGCCAAAAGTTTGTATAGAAGTCCATAGAAATTTTTGTATGCCAACAAAAAAAAATTATGTATATAAAAATTTTCATATACTAGCACTTGGACCCAGACCATGTTCAGACTAGGGAGAACCCTTGTAAGATACAACTCCATCTCAGCCAAGTACCAAGCCAAACTCGCACAAAAGGCCAAACAAGTCGGAGCAGCATCAGTTGAAGAACTCAAACTTAAACTCGCAGACCAAATCGAACAAACAAAGAAGGAACTCAACAAGATCGACCCCTTAGCTGAACTAGAAGCTTACGAACGAAAACAAGCCATGAAAGCACAGGCCACCAAACCAGCAATTCCTATCGCCAAGGATACCCCAAAATTGCCATACAAGGTCCTCAACGACTATGTTGACCTCGACAAACTCAAGGAATTGCCCCGTCGTGAAATTGAATACATTTGGAAAGCTCGTTTCCAAGATAAGCAGAAGTCAGTTCATGCCGTGATTGATGCTGTTCCCTTTGCTGCAATGTATGCCAATGCATTCAAGAACCCAAACTTTATCTTGCCATTGCCAAGAGACAACGGTTATGAAATGCACTTTGTGCAATGGGCATTTGTAGGTCCTGCCACCGTCCATTGTATGCTTACTACTGTAGCCGAATACAAGTTACATGGAGAGTATGCCAAACCACACACCACCTTATCTTTCCACCAAGAAGTCAGCGATAAGGGGGTGATTTTAATGAATGGGGTTATTGAAAACGATACTATCCCCATGGATGAAGCGCAATTGCTTGTGTTGAATGTACAAAGATTCTACGGAATGGGTGAACAAAACGAAAAGAAGTTGAAGTTGTTGAAACAGTTTACTACTGGTGATGACGGATTTAGCACCGAGGACTTGATTAAAGAAGCTACTACCTTTTAGATCTTGTATATATACATTAATTTTTGTTTCTCGTTCTTGTAGTTCTCGATTTAGCTGGAGCTCTGGTCTTTGGCTTGGCCCTTGACTTAGCTTTTGGCGCACAATCATCATCACTAAGAATTTCCACATCTGATTCTGAATCTAATATGTGATGTACTTCTTCTTGAGCTGGAACTGGAATATCTGGAATATCAATCTCCACAGGAATACTTGCCAGTGGCGCTATCTCCTTTAGCAACTGTTTAAATGCATTCTTGGCCTTCACATCATCACCATTATGAAACTGATCTTCGTCTATGTCTACTGATAGCAACATCTTGGTCTCTCGTTTAACCTCCTTTTCTATATATTGTGACAAACTCGTCTTGTCTTCATTCTCGATAAACCGTTTTACCGCATCATTAAGTCCGACTTCTGGAATAAGAGTCAATTGCGTTTGCTTCAAGAAATCGTTGATTATATCATGAAGTTGCAACTCGGTTGATTTTTTATTCATGGTGTTCTCTTCAATAGCATTGAACTTTGTCCTGTTAAGTGTCTGCTCTCTTGGTTGTCGTTTCTTAAAGAATTGAATGGCATCATTGGCATTAGCGATTTTACCCACAAACCTATTAGAAAATCTCTTTACATTCTCAATTTCATAGCCTCCAGAATACTCTACTTTTAACCGGATTAAGGGGAGCGGTGGTGTATCCGTCCTATCTGGATTCAGTTCTTTCCATTTCGTGTTTGCCGCTTCTATAGCCAACTCCATTTCAGAGGTCAAGTACTCAATCACATCAGACTTGGACGCGGCACCGGGTATCAAATCGGTCTTCAGTAATTCTAACACCTTTAGAATAAACGGACGAACCGTTGTTAATTTGATTGGCTCAATCGAATAATCTTGTCCCCGCACACTCATTATGAATATGTGTTTGTCTGGAACTTCACCCTCGCTTAATGAAGTAGCTACTGATGAGCCAGCTTGTAATACCTCAAACTCCATCTCGGGGTTGTGAACGGGGTATGGTACACACTCGTGTTCATGTCCCCACAATATAAAATCTAGGAATCGCGGAAGGAACAGCTCGGGTATGCTTGATGTGAATGAATGAGTAGCGTGGTTTTGATGGAAAGCTAAAAAATTAAACCATTCGTCAGTGTGGATATCTGGACGAAGAAACTTGACTATCCCATCACGAAAAGCCCTATGGAGTCGTTCATCACGAACGTTTGCCATTCCATAAAGAGCAAGTTTGGTCGTGCCCTTTTGAAAGAGTAATGGAGACACGGTTATGTTTTCAGAATCGGGGATGGCTCCGAAATGGTTAATCAACCCACTCATGGCAAGAACGTCCATTGCCAGAAGTAAACCCTCACCTGTAGCATCATCGTGGTTCCCACTGATGGCAAACACTGGGATTGACACGTTGACATTGGGATCTTCGTAATTCACCCCAAAACTTCCAAGTACTTCTGGGTCACTTAACATCTCAATCTCAACTGGCTTGTCGCCCATGCAGTTCAATCTTAAACTCTGCATAACATGATACATTGACTTCTTGCTGGGTTTGGTGATATGGAAGAGATCTCCTCCCTGTACTATCATGTCGACGTTGTTGGTGGACGCGATCTGGGTGATTTCATGGAAGGTGAGGTGGGAGTCTGATGTTCGAATGGGGTCCGACTCGGCATATCCGACATGATTATCTGTGGTTAGGAGGATACGAATGGTGTGTTCGTCCTGGGGAAGATTGTCTACTAGCATGACGCTGCATACGTCCTAGATCTCTCGCTAAGGTTTTAATCCTCGTCCTAAATTTACTGCGAAGACCAGAGGGGCCCTCGCCCCAAGAAAAATCAAAATCTAACAGATCATCACTAACATCTCACGACAAGAACCAATTTACAATACACAATTTAACAGACACAATTGACATCTTCCCTCATCCCCATGTCAACGGATCAGTCAACACTAACGGATGACCTCATCCATAGACAACAGGATGAACTCCAAAGCATAGCCTCCATTTACGGAGACATATTCGAGGACATCACACCTACGGGACTCGTATGGAACAAGAAACCATCACCACATTTCAAGATACATTTAACATCTTCAGAAGACCCCAATTGTCCCGTGTTGGAAGTAACACTTGACATTGAATTTACCCAGACCTACCCTCTCCTGCCACCACTTGTGAAACTCATTAATCCCGTGAATTTACTCAAAGCCAGTTTGACCAAGTTGGAGAACAAAGTCCAGGAATTGATCAAGGAGTATCCCGAGCAGGAAGTTTCATTCACTATTATTTCCGAAGTAAAGTTTTTGCTTGATGAAATCCAGGGAACTACTGAAAAAGTGCTTTCGTTAGAGGAAGAACGGGAGCAACGACTAAAACAAGAAAGACAAGCGTTGGAACAAGAAGAGAATCGTAAGAAACAAGAACGAGATCGAGCCAGAGTGGAACGAAGCAAAGTCGTCAATGAACAAATTATGAAGATTAAAGTTGAGGAAGCAACTCCTGTGCCTGAACAACCGGAACAAGAACACGACGACATAGATCCATCACTAGATATATCTGATCTGTTCACATTTGATAACACCATCGAGGTAAAACATCCAGGTTGGAGGACCACTATCAAGTTCAAAACAATATATGGCTTCATTCATTACGTCAAACCAGGTATATTCACTCCACCAATTGCTACTCAATACATTGTTAAACCATACCTCAATAAACAACTACAGGCAAAACTAAATGCCAAACAAATCGACATCACATACTTGTTCACCCTGATTGAACTTACAAATGCATACTGGTGCACAGATAAAGGAAAGCACGAAATTCAGAACCTAGAAAGAGAACTTCAACTAATAACAGCATTAAATCACACCAACATTTTAAAACTAGTGGCATTCCAAATCACAAAGACAAAAGCACATACCTGGAAACTAGTCCTTCTCAATGAATTCTCGATATCAGCAGACTCGCTTGCTGACATTCTCCCCACGGCACAATTCATCAACTGGGCATTAGCAAGAACTTGGCTTATCCAGATCCTACCACCATTAGAATACCTTCACACCGCTGGGTTTGCTCATAAGATGGTATGTCCACTAACAGTAGCTGTTTTCCCCAAGAATCTCAAGCTCTGTCATCCATCATATGGAAGCAGAATCCTTCAAATGATCTCAGAACATCCTAACAACTCGGAAAGTACCCTGCCAGTGACGGCACCAGAACCCTGGCTTGCGCCGGAAGTCAAATCGCAAAACCGCCACACTCAGAAAACCGACATTTGGGACCTTGGTGTGCTTTTCCTTAGGGTCATGCTTGGCAATGACGTCTTTACAAATTACACCACTCCAGAACAATTTCGTACTGAATTCTCACCGGCAGATTATGGAGACCTTGAAGAGTACGCTGCGTTGATCTATGACCTCCTCACGAAAATGCTCCAGCTGAAAATTTCCAAACGACCATCACCATTAGAATTAAATACCGTCAAGTTCCTCCGTGATGGGCCTGTCCGAATAAACCCTAATCTCAAGCTCAAGAATACCGATCTAGGTAATGAACCAAAACGTAACACAACTACAACAGCAACTGTTCCACGACGGAGATTTTCCAACGACCTGTACCCTCCTCAACAACTTCAACCGCCTCCGCAGCAACTGTCTTCAAGTAAAGGTCGATATGCGCGTGATTTTGAAGAAGTGGGCAAACTAGGCACTGGTGGGTTTGGTGAAGTTGTGAAGGCCAGGAATAGAATGGAGGGTGCATTTTATGCCATTAAGAAAATCAGACATCGGGCAGATAAATTGGATTCACTCCTTCTGGAGGTGTTAAGTTTAGCAAGGTTGAACCATCAGTACATTGTCAGGTATTATGGAACATGGGTTGAGCGTGATGAAACCAGTGATGATGAGAGTGAAGAAGAACTGGAACTGGAACTGGAACTGGAAACTACAGATTTTGAACTGATGAGGCTGAGCTCGATGATTCCCCATGATAACTCGTTTCAAGTGGACTATATAAGTAACTCATTTGTGTTTGAAAGTGATAGTGAGGATGAATTTGACGATCGAATCGTATTCGGAAACTCCACTGATTCAGGCGAACCCGAAGATGAATCTACTGAAGAAGAACAAGAGGAATCATCAGCACCTGCACTTCAATCACGTCAATTAAAGGCCAACCCTAAAAGTATTCTTTACATTCAGATGGAATTCTGTGAAAACAATACCTTGCAAAACCTAATTGAACAAGGACTCCCCCTGAATTCCCATGAATACTGGCGATTGTTTAGACAACTCCTTGAAGCGTTATCGTACATTCACAGTGAAGGGTTCATTCATCGAGACCTCAAACCAACCAACATTTTTATTGATCGTCAGAATAACGTCAAGGTGGGTGATTTCGGATTAGCGAAAAACTCTCAGTTTTCAAGTATAATTACCAGTGATAACCAAGTCCCTGCTGACAAACAGGACCTATCGACTATTGTAGGAACATATTTCTATACTGCCAACGAAGTGGCTACAGGGCAATATGATGAGAAAGTGGATATGTATTCCCTCGGAATTATCTTCTTTGAAATGTGTTATAGTTTATCAACAGGTATGGAACGGGCCAAGATATTGAATGCGTTACGGTTGACATCGGTAGAGTTCCCCTTGAACTTCCACAAAACCACTGAACAGAAAATCATAAAGCTTTTACTTGATCATGATCCCAAGATTAGACCAAGCGCCAAGCAGTTGCTCACTTCTGGTTGGTTACCTGTTGAACACCAAGATCAAATCATTAAACAGGCTTTAAAGCTGCTTGCAGATCCGGCAACACCATGGCAGGCCCAAGTCAGGGAAACATTATTCAATCAGCCGTACTCCCTTGCCAAAGATCTTATGTTTGACAAACCGCAGTCTATATCTACTACAGACCATCTCCTCATGACAAAACTTATCAATGAACTATTTAGAGTGTTTAGAAAGCATGGTGCTGTGGAAAACCACCATCCTTCTATCCTCCTTCCAAAACCACCTATTCAACGTGAACAAGTATATGAAGTTCTAGATAGAAGTGGATCAGTGCTTACACTTCCTTATGATCTTGTCCTCCCCACCGCGCGTTTCCTTAGTCGTTGTCAAGTCTCCATACCAAAGATATTCCGGCATGAAATGGTATACCGGCCCAATGCACGGGGGATAGGCATGCCTGATCGATACGGTGCCGTTGATTTCACTATTGTTGGACATGCCAAACTGGAAAGAGTAGCTCATGACAGTGAATGTGTCAAGGTTCTTGATGAAATTGTCCAGTTGTTTCCGTGTTTTCTGCATGCTGGTGTCAAGGTTGAGCTTGTGGTTAATCATGGCGATATCCTCGATGCAGTTGTTTCGTTCGCCTTTGGGAACATTGGTATTTCTGAATCACGAAAACATGATGTATTTGGTGTGCTTTCACAGTTAGGTGTAGACAAGACTGCTGATGAGATTAAGCGATATTTGCGCCAGGAGTTCCAGATCCCACTGACTGTGGTTACCGAACTTGTCGACACGTTTGACTTCAAATGTGATTTGGATCGGGGAAGACAGAAGCTTCAGAAAATCATGATTGACTCACCATACCTTGTAAAAGTTGAAAGGGCATTCCATCATTTAGGTGATATGTTTGCCATCATGTCCAAACTAGGTGTCGGCACACCCGTGGTGTTTAGCCCCTTGTCAAACTACAATAGTAAGTATTACTCCCATGGGATTATGTTCCAAGCGATCCTCAAAGATAAACTGAACCACTATACAAGAATAGCCACTGGAGGACGGTTTGACAGCTTGATTGAGTCCTTTTCGAATGTCGACGTCCTCACAAAGAGTTCTGTCCAGCATGCGGTAGGGTTTACATTAACCACCCAGCTTTTATTTGCCCTTATGCGAGCCATGCGTCGCCAGAAGCAGAAACTGAACTTATGGCGTGGCAGCAGGGTCGATGTTTTAGTTACAGCTACCCAGGATCTGTTTATGAACTGTGGCTATGACTTGCTCCGTCTGTTGTGGAGTCGTAATATCAGTGCTGATTTGTTCTTTGGTAAATCTAACGACGAGATTGTCCTGAGATGTGGCATCGACGGTGTTCATGTTGTTGTGTTTATCAAGCTGTTGCCGACCAAGAAGAAAAAGAGTGGGTTTAAGTCGTTGAGAGTGAGGAATATGCTAAGCGGACGTGAGATTGATGTTGATGTGGATGAGCTTGTTGGAATCGTACAAACAGAATTGGAAGATGATGACATCGATGATGAGCCTGGATCAGGTACTTCTGCAAACGCAGCTACCACTACTACAGGTAGTAGCAGTACTACCACACATACCGATTCGAGTGATCCAGAACTAGCACTCTTCTCTATGGATATCACTCAAAGAGTCCATATCATCCCTAATGATGCACCTCGAGGACGCAAATTCACTAAACGAGACAAGTGGGAAATCGAAAATGATGCCACAGTAGCAGGTGCTCGTTGTCTCAAACAACTCAGCACAGGACCAGTGCTCTCGCTTGATATCCGCGATGAAATCTTAGACATGATTGCCATAACCAGCTTATCATCCCAAGACGAATGGGTAAGAAAAGTGGTGTATTCCAGTAATAACTTCCCCATGAGTTTTGCCATGAATATTCATAATGCGTTAATGAAGGAAAGATCAAAGGGTCATAATTGGGTGATATTGGTAGCATCAAGAACCCAACATACAGTAATTGTAGATTTAAGAAGGTAGAATAGAAAATAATTAGAATAAATATAAAACTTACATTATTATAAATAGCAATCGTCTAACTTACAAACTCTTTCTTCCAATCCCAGTACTCACCCAATCTCAAACTAGCATATTCAGCATAATCAAATTCAATCAAAGAAAGCTCACTTTGGATCATGCCCCATATACCCCAGTAAAACCCGGGCATTCCGTAAAACAACTTGATTTCATCAATTACAGCACCAACTTGTTCATTGCTAGCTTGCATGTCATCGAGATAAGCTCGCACCCAATGTGTCATTACTGGATTATCAATACTTGGATTAGGAATAGCACTTCGATCACAATTGAACCCTTGCCATTCAGCAAAATGGTTGGCAATATCGAATCCTCGAGGCGCAGGAAGCATATACTCATAATCGATAAACTTGATGGGATTTTCATTAATCGGTGGGATCGTTATGCACGGTTCGTGACTATGGTTTTCAGGGATGATGACATTACCTGAAAGTAAATCACAATGTGATGCAACATTAGGTGAACCACAGTTCTCTAAATGGCGTCTCATCCAGGACAATTCCTGATGAATGACATCTTTCAAGTTTTCTGGGGTAACCTCTACGTCTAAATGAGTATTGAATGATTCAATGAGAAGTGGGTTTATTGGAATAATATCAATCCACTCCTCAAGCAATTCCCAGATATTACTGATGTAGCGCTTTTTATCATTGGCAGCACTTGACTTTCTCCTCTTTCTCAAAGTTCTAATCTTTTGTACACCTTCGTCAATCAACCTATAGTCCAATGTACGATGGAGATTCCCCAATTGCTGTCCAATCAAGGGATACACCCAATCCTTGGCCAATTCCGCTGGTTCCAAAGAACGGCCCTCCAAATACCCGTACACTAGCCCATTTTTGAATCTTGCATATACTGGTGGTGCCAATCCTATCGAGTTGAGCATTAAATGAGACACAAATTCTCGATGTCTGTCAATAATTAAATTGGTTCCCTGGCCATATACACGCACCAACACTGGTTGGCTCTTTTTGTATTCACAACTCAAAAGCATGTTGGTTATACCTCCAGTGAGTTGTTTCACGGTGATTTGATTGATGTCAGACCATGATGGGAATATTTTAACTAGCAAATGCTTGAGTTGAGTGAAGTTATTTTCTAAATTATCCTTGAGATCTATGATAAGCTTAGGGAGGTATATAGCAGCTGAGGAAGAGTCGGTTTCTACTTCTGCAGGTGAGGGAGATCTAGAATATGTAGAAGATGCTGTGCTCGGTATGACCAAGTCAGGAGTCGCTAATGCAGGAGTATTGTTATTGTTGTTGTTGTTGCTGTTATTGTTGGTTGGGGTATCATTCTCGATATCAGAAACTGACGAGGGGTTGTTGAGACTATAAAGCAAATTACGGTTCTTGAGATAAAGCTTGTTGGGGGTGAAATCGGCCACGTCTACTTGATGGATAGAAGCTGTGCCATGTTGGATCTGAATTTGTTTTTGGTCCTCTGGTGGCTCAACGTTTAGGTTGGTTGGATTAGATATCTTGTGCAAGGGTATACAATGTAATTTTTGATTAACGATAAAACAATAGGACGAGTCGTTTTCATAGTCAGATACACCTTCGGTTTGTGCGCCATCTAAAGATGGAGATGGTATCATTGTATCTATATTAGTCATTAGGAAAAGAATGGTATAGGTGTGCTGTTCTTTATGTGTGTCTACTAATAGGAGTAACTCCTTAGTGGGGCTTAACCTTCTTCGACTAATGTGGAAATTTATCAAAGCAAAAAAAAAAAAGAAAAAAAAAATTTATCCTCAATCACGTGAGAGATAAGACACGATTTCAGCACGCGACGGTTGCTAAATGTGTACTCACGATAGCACATGGACCAAGACAGCCGGGTTATCCGAGTTCTGTTGCGTTATAGAGTTAAGTATAGATGGATCTGGTATATTCTTGGATTCAATATATCTTAGGATGATAATTTAGTAAGTTTTTATACTGATCATCGTCTAACTGTATGCCAAGCTGGAAACTAATACGGTTGACGATGAAGTGTTGCCAACCAATGAAACACAATTGCAACAATTAAAATCATTAATACTTCTGGAAATCAATATTAAGTCTGAGATATTTTTATGGTTAATTCTTCCCATTGAAATATACAACTCAACATGCTATGCTTAATACTTTCCTAAATTAACGGCTTGTTATTTCACATAGCACAGACCAAGGCAATCAAAAATGCTTCGTTTTTCATTCCATGATTTTGATGATATTAATGTTTGAAACTCTTATAGGTGGAACCTAGTTTAAACTCAAGATGTGCTTCACAACCATCTTTATCATTTTAATCTTGTTTCTCCTGGTGCGTCTATTCCAATACACTTCCAACCAAATGAAGTTGTTACAAAGGAGAGTTGATGAAATGAGCAAGCAAGCCCCGGAGAACATATATTGGCACACTTATAGCAGAAAATCTCCCATCAATTCCCTTACAATCAATTCCTTACCCGATGAGATAATTTTGAATATTTTTCGTTATCTTAATCAAATACATGTGTGCCATATTTGTATTATCAATTCCAGGTTTTATCGATTGGGTAAGATCAGGTTGTATCATTCAATCTATGTCAATCTTTCTAATGCAATCGAAATCCTGTCTGCAACATATACTCCATTCTATACAACCTTTACCATTGTTAACAAATGGGATAGTACTAAATGGTCACCTGAGAACTCAAATATCAATCTTGTTAAACGAATCTTGTTCCGAGAGAGCTATCTGTGTTTTTATGATGTTCCGCGTCTTTTTCCTTGGATTGATGTATCATACGAGGAGGAATTTCGTACCAATGCGATTTGTAACCGAGTGAGACTTATGTATAATGGACATCTCGTACTTCCATTTTACAGCAAAGGCTTATCCCTGTTTGACAAATGGATAAAGGTCAAGAAACTAACGATATATATGAATCTGTCTCATCGCACAAACCTAGATGTAATTTTGTGCTTCCCTAATTTAATCGACTTGGCAATTGAATTCGACCACTCAAGTCAGTTGAATAGGTTTCTTTACATTAGACTAGGACGTATACAACATCTAAGGCTTGCATTCTTCAATCCTGTAACCCTAGATCTAATTAAACAAATAGAAGACATTTTCAATTTACAGGAACTAATTACATTTCAACTCCATTTATGGAATGAGGAGGCGTATCCTAGATTGTTGGAAAACCTGCTCCAGAATTTGATATCAACACTATCTAGCGTCCAAAATCTTTCATTGATCTGTAAACCGGTTCAGTTTGGAAATATTATCAAAAACTTGAAACCAAATTCGTTAACTTCATTCTATGTAAGAATTGTGGGAATAATGGATAAACCATTAGCAATAGAAACCATTTTGATAAACCAACACCAATCGATAAAACAGTTATTCTACTGCTACGTATCTCCAAGTTCTCCTTCTAAAAGGGTATATGGAATTGAAGAATTTGATAAAGTCTTTAAAGTCAAAAGTAACACCTACCTTGATGATTTACTCGATGGTTTGAACGAAATTAAAACTATACTATATCATGCTGGGAGATTCCCTAATTTAGATCAAGTATTTTATAATGATTATTGCTACTTCATCGAAAGAATTTCAGATAAGATATATATCCTGCCTTCTAACAATGTTATTTCTACATGTTGCATTAGACCTTACTGATGGTTCTAACTACTTATTTAGCAATTATAGTTAATTTGAAATTAATTTGGTTTGATAACCCGGCTGATGCAAGAATCTAGTATTAATACTCCATTTCTAATCTCAAAAAGACTACCAACACATTTGGAATTCTCAAGAAAACACATACGGAGAGCGTGTTCTAGAATTTTCTTGGGAAACATGATTTCTATTCGTGGCAATGGTGGAGACACGTCAAATTCCCTGTTCCCTTCCTCTAAGCAATTGAGGAGAGCTTTATTCATGCTTGACCAATATATATTGATTTTTGCTAATGGTGCTCCATCAGATAAGTATTTATGATAACATGATCTTACCACCGAGTCAGGATAATTTATTTTATATGCCATGACTTCACACATTGGATATAACTTTGTATAAATTGTTTCAATACTGGTCTTGAAATCGTAAAATAATACTATTCTTAAAATAAATCCCACAACAATCATGATAATGATAATAAGGCATGTTTCGTGAGCAACTGGTTGTAGTCCCAAGTTATCGTTAAATAACGTCCAGATTTGAGGGCAGAATATTCTGATAACCAGATTCATCAACCTAATAATACCTTCTTGTTGGTTAATTTCAATTACTGGATCATGTGATGCAACTATATCTCGTTGTTGTTCTTGATATGAATCAAGATCATGTGCTGCAAATGGGTCGGGTTGCTGATCAACGTTTTGATCAAGATAATCTTGTTCCAAATCGAATCCATCATCTTCTGAATCAAGAAAACCCTCTTGTAAATCAATTGCATCATCTTCTGAATCATATTCGTATTCTTCGAACTCAAGACCATCTTCTTCTGAATCAAGTGCATCATCTTCTGAATTATATTGATAATCTTCATCTGAATCAGTAATTTCTATAGCTACATTGTTGGCACCATATTGTTGTTCTAATTGGGCTGATGTTATTTGGTTTCTGTTCATATCCAGCACAATACCTTGAAGTTCCATTATTTCTTTGATTCAATGGTGATATTTGAGCAATTGGTGGCAATAAATTCTCTCTTGTTTCTCTTTTTTTTTGCGATTTTTTGCAGTATTTTTCCAAGGTTACACAGAAAATTGCATATAGTTGAATATATCTGTATTATTCTAGAAAGCCCAAGTAGAGTAACAAAATAATGCAAATTATATATTCCATTTTTGTACCCTCTAATAATTTCCCCTGTAGTAACCGTTGCTAGAATAACAACACCATAGTACGCGCTTTGTTGGATGGATGTAGTTTCCAATCTTTTGTTAGCATATCTTTATTTCTGGCAACGCGCGTTGAATTTTATTTAACTCCATCAATAAGCACCACCACAACAATGTATGGAGACATCGCCAACAAGCTCATTCTTGAGGCTAAGCGGTCTGTTAATCTTTCTGAAGTTCCATTATACCAAACTGAATTAGTTAAAGACATAATCAAGGAGATCAACGATCTAAATAGAGATGCTGACTACTTGACGGAAGAACAACAACTATTACAGCAGGAAAGTCAAGATGGTACCGAAGAGGAATCCAAGATTAATCAATGTCAGTTATTTGTTACCATATTATCCATGAGACGTAATAAACGATGTTTATTGGCGTATGAGAAATTACGTGCTGATAAATTAGTCGAGTTTTCATGGTTGAATGTGGATCCTATAGTAGAAGGTAATGACAAGCAACCTACTAGTGTTCCTGTGGATCCAATATATACAAACTATACCACACAAGTAGCATTAGATAACTTGAACCATGCTGAACAAGAATTTCTCAAGAATTATCAGGAATTGTTGTTATCTTATAAGTCGAGTTTTTCTGATGTTGATTTACTGGGAGATTTGAATCCACCTACCAACATATTCATTGATGTTCGAGTACTCAAAGATGGTGGTGAAGTTCAGACTGAATACGGTTCGTTCAACCTTATAAAGGACTCGCAATTTTATGTAAGAAAGTCTGATGTTGAGAGGCTAATACAACAGGGGTATTTGGAAGAAATATAGAACATATACATTTAATACACACTAGAATAAATCATCAACATCATTCTCTAATTTGTCAATGACATTATCTATTGAATCCTGTGGTTTTATTTCTGGGATAATCATGTCAACATCTTCAGAAGAGATCTGCTGTTCTGGTTCCGGTTGTTGTTCTTCCTCTTGAGATTGTAATTGTTCTTCCTTTTCTAGTAACTTGTCCAATTCCTTGACTTCCATATTTAGTCTCTTCACTCCTAATTGAGTGTTTTTTTGTTCAACACTAATAGGCAAGATCATAACCCCGTCTTTGTTCTTGTCGTATACTCCAATGTTATCATCCATTATCTTGACTTCCTTACGTAAATCAATCGCCACTTTACTGAGTATATCGTATATTTGAGATGTCTGTTGTGGGAACAGAGATTTTATATTGTCCATGCTTTCAGTGGAGTATGTTTGGAATAGCAGCGAGAGGTTGTCTAGGAGGGAGACAACCTTGCAGTCAATATCGTAGAGGGCGTCTAGACGTTCTTGGATGAATGTATCTGCTTTTTCGTCTTCTAGTGACATGTTGTGTTGTAGTATGTGTGGTATAAAAGGTGGTTTATAATGGGATGTAGGAATAGCAAAGGAAGAAACAACCAAAGGTGTTGCCAAAATTGATATTTTGAAAGTATATAATTTTTTTTTGGCTTTGTCAATAGTAGAAAGATATATTCATCTTGAAATAAAAAAGTGGGTACACACAACCATGCCAATTGATCTTGGACTCACTCGAGTAACAAAACTTCTTGCTCACTTAGCCAACCCTCACCTATCCTACAAGTCAATCCATATAGCAGGAACCAACGGGAAAGGCTCGGTATTGGCATACATCTCATCCATACTTACAACAGCACAAATACGTAATGGGAAATTCACCTCGCCTCATTTAATAGAATATCATGACTGTATCACTATAAATAATCAAGTGTACCCTAAATCCAAATTCGAACAGGTTCAACAATTAGTGGGAATGACTAATGAACAACATAAACTCAATTGCACGGAGTTTGAATTGTTAACGGCAACAGCATTCAAGATCTTTGAGATTGAAAATGTGGATATTGCCTTGATTGAGGTTGGTGTTGGTGGGCTCACAGATGCTACAAATGTATTGGAGCCATATAATGGAAAGACTGGTGTTATTGCCTGTGGTATTACCAAGATTGGGTTAGACCATCAAGGATTGCTAGGTGGAACATTGCATGAAATCGCCAAGGTGAAAAGTGGAATTATGAAACCGGGAATTAAGTGTTTTGTCGATGGTCTGAATGAACCTTCTGTGCTTGATGAGATCAGAGCAACTGCTAAAGAAGTTGCAAATGAAGTGGAAATAGTACAGCCAGAATTAGAGCTCATCCAATATAGCCCCCTTCATGGCCAATACCAAGCCAACAATCTAGCCATATCTTTGGGAATAATCAAAACAGTGAGTCATTACTACCCTCAATCCATTTCACAGGAGATTATTATTCAAGGAATCAAAAGTACGAAATGGCCCGGTCGATTACAACTGGTGGTCCATCCCACCATTGGTGAGATCTTGGTTGATGGTGCTCATAATGAAAGTGCGGCTATTGAACTAGGAAAATATATAAACCGTGAGTATGATCCGTCTAAGAAAGGAATCATCTATGTTATAGGTATAACCAAAGGTAAATCGGCCAGTGACTTGCTTAAACATGTTGTTAGATCTATAGACACTGTGGTCTTTACTACCTTCACTCAACCGGAAAATATGCCTTGGGTTAAATCTACCCCAGTAGAGGAACTTACAGAGATAACCCAAAAATTAACTAAGGATATATATGGTGTCGATGGTGTAGAACAGGCTATTAATCACATCCAATCTGAATTCCGAGCTAAAGGCGATGATAGGAAATTAGTTGTGTGTGGAAGTTTGTACTTGGTAGCGGATGTGCTTCGTATAGCTTCAAAATTGGGTGTTCCTGTATATAGTTAGAAGTTTTTTAGTCTGGCATAATTTTCGAATTACAATATATTCCACCAACACGCGTTACCTAATTGACTTCATCACCAACGCAATGGCACTTTCCGAGTTTGAGAGAAAACGTCAGGAGAATATCCAGAGGAATAAACAACTACTTGAACAATTGGAGCTAGATACAATCTCAGCATCGCTTCCTACAAGAACTCCTACGCCTCCAACTAAAAAACGAAAGACTGCCACCAGTCATAAACCCGTCAAGAAAGAAGTAGTTGAACCCACGCGTAGATCACGTCGTATTGCCGGGATACAAACTGAATTGGAAAATCCTGAGGAGTATGCTAGAATTCAAGAGGAACAGGAAGAGAAAGAGAGACAGAAGAAGGAGATTGAAAAGTTGAAGCGGACAAAGTTATTTGGTGATTTCAAGTTGATTGATTTGATTACTGATAAACTGGGTGATTTGGTGTATGAAGATAAAGTTATCAAACCCAAAACCAATGGAAAAATTAAGAAGGAAGAAGAAGAAGAAGACGGAGTTATTGTGAAGTCGGAAGTTGAAGATAATGGACAATCGGAACGTGTTCTTCATCTCATTCAATCTCTCGGTGATAAGTTCTCGGCTGGAGATTTCTATGAATTCATTAGGTCGAACGAATCGGATAAATCGCTTGAAGAAAAACGGAAAAAGTTTGACAAATTGCACATCTATAAGAAACATGACCCGTTGGATATCAAGATGTCTCATGGAAGAATCACCGCAATGCATTTCCATCCAGCTACCAAGGACAGGCTAATTCTTGGTGGTGATACCTTTGGTAATGTTGGTATTTGGTGTGTTGATGACACCAATCCCATACCTGCAATAACCATCCTTCATCCTCATGGAAGAAACATTTCCAAGATTCTCACTCCTGCCCATTCTCCTTCCAAGATATACTCCGCTTCCTATGATGGAAGTGTGCGAGAATTGGATTTACACAAACTTTCAACTAATGAAGTTGCCTACTTGAATGATCCATATGAAAAAGCCGACTATCCCTTGGGAGTTTCCGATATAAATCATTGCATAGACGATCCCCACATTTTATACATGACTACCCTTGAAGGACATTTCTACAAACATGACACCCGTACACCATTCAAATCAACCAGCAAGAAGGGATTGTTACGTCTTCACGACAAGAAAATCGGAGGTTTTGCCATAAACCCCAATGCCTCCTACCAAATCGCTACTGCTTCCCTCGATAGAACTTTACGAATTTGGGATTTAAGAAACATTGGCAAATCAACTTGGTCGGAATTTGATCAACAGAATTCCCCTCATGCTTATGGAAGTTATGGAAGTAGATTGAGTGTCTCTTGTGTTGATTGGAACAGCGATAATCATTTGGTGTGCAATGGTTACGACGATAATATTTGTCTTTTTGATTACAATGGGAACAAGAACCTACCTGTGATTACTGAATGGAAAGACGATTTCACTCCTTCATACAAAGTGAAAAAAGATGAAGAAGAGGCTGCTATACCTGAAAATCTCACACCATTCACCAAGATTAGGCACAATTGTCAAACTGGTCGTTGGGTATCTATTCTTAAATCCAGATGGCAACCTACTCCAGCTGATGGAATTCAAAAATTCGTGATTGCCAATATGAACCGAGGTTTAGACATTTACGACCAACAAGGGCAAATGTTGGCTAGATTGAATGAAAGTGTCGGAGCAGTTCCCGCTGTGTCAACCTTCCATCCAAGTCAAAATTGGGTTGTTGGAGGCAGTGCCAGTGGTAAAGTTTATTTGTTTGAATAAGTTGTAGTTTTTACTGTATTATATGTATTTGATCCACCATTAAAATATATAAGAAAAGAAAATTGTTTAAATTAATTATACATTTAAGCAGATGGGGTCATAACTTGCCAGACTCTGATAACGTTATCAGTGTAACCAGCGAACAAGTTTTGACCGTCAGCAGACCAAGCTAAGGAGATAGCTTCTGGGTCCTTGGCGTTGGCACCAATGGCGAATTCTGGCTTCAATTCATCCAATAATTCACGTTCTTGCAACTTGAAGATCTTGATACCAGTGTTGGTGGCAGCAGCTAACCAGTATCTGTTTGGAGAGAAAGCTAAAGCGTGAACTTCAGCCTTGGCGTCCAAGGTGTAAAGGGTTCTGTTTGAGTTCAAGTCCCACAAGTTGATGGAACCGTCCTTACCAGCGGAAGCACATAATGATCCATCTGGGGATAAGGTGATACAGGAAATGTAACCGGTGTGACCAATGAAGTCAGCGTTGACAGAGTAGTCAGTTAAGTCCCAGGACTAGAATCGATTGTTAGTAAATTGGTTCAAACTTCAAAAGGTTAAAACTTCTTGTTCCCTTTTTTTTATAATAATAATTCATCAGAGATCTTGGTGATAAAAATATGTCTCATTCAAAAGCTGGTGAGCCTTTGTCTGAAGTAGCAAATATAGTTGTTCATCACTTTAGGAACAATAAGTCGTGTGAAAGAAAAAATTGTAACATACCTTAACAGTCTTATCCCAAGAAGCAGAGATAACAGTGGAAGAGTTGTCAGCTGGAGAAATTCTAACAGCGGAAACCCAGTCCTTGTGACCGGTTAAAGTGGCCATACATTCACCAATGGTGTTCCAAACCTTAACGGTCTTATCTCTGGAAGCAGAAACAATTTGTCTCAAGTTCTTGGAGATAGAGACGGATAAGACATCACCAGTGTGACCAACGAATCTTTCGGTGGTTTCACCAGTTTCCAAGTCCCATAATCTCAAGGTTCTGTCCCAAGAAGCAGACAAAGCGTAAGCACCGTCAGCAGAAATGGTAACATCTTGGACAATGTGGGAGTGACCCTTGAAAGACTTCTTTGGGACACCGTATTGGTTGTCTTCACCACCAGTCAACTTCCATCTGATTAAAGTCTTGTCTCTAGAACCAGACAATAATAAGTCTGGGTGAGCAGCGGTGGTGGCAAGGGAAGTAACCCAACCGTTGTGACCTTCTAAGGTACCTCTTAAAACTAAAACTTCTTGATCAGCCATTGTATCTAATTGCAATTGTACTTGAAGAGAAAGGGATAAAAGAAGGAGAGAAACATAAATCAAACTTTTTTGAAAAATTTTTTGGTGGTCGCTGCAAAAAAAAAAAATGGTCACGTGAGACCACGTTGAAAAAAATTCTCATCGCAGTTTTTGTGTGTGTTAGTGATGAGAGTTACGCTGCAATTGTGCTCGGAATTACTCACTTCAAAGTGACTGCTTTTTTAACCGAATTGTATGCAGGATTGTGGTTGCAAAAATAGTGTAGCTCATATTCCAAAGTACACTACGGCCAATATATTTGAGTTCAATTAGATCAATTCAATCATTGAAAAGAGCTGGAACTAGTAGAGTTTATCTGTATAGAAATGTTTTTTTGAAATTTTTTATCTTCAGATATTTTTGTTTGCAATTTGGTCCTTTTTCGGAATAAAACTTAAAAATTATAAAAACTGATGAGTTTTAGAGAGAAGAATTTATTATTATTTTAATGAATCGCGTTTTCGTTAAGTTGTACTGATGTCTTCTCTTATTGCTTTGATTGTTTGCCTTTGACTCAAGACAAGATGCTTTGGTTCAACACTTATAATTGATAATTCTTCAAATTCTCAATCTCAAACATTATTTTTATTTTGACAGGCAAAGTTATTTTGAAACTACTATACTTGTGTCTGAAAATACTTTTGAATTTTTTTGTGTTTGCATATCATAGCAGAATTTAGTGATTATTATGATTACCGTTCACTCATCGAAATTATAAAGTGCAATAAAAATGCATTAACTCAGTTATCTGCAACATACATGTATTGAATGGAAATAACCACATCATATTGGTTAAAGGAAAGTAAAACCGTGACTGGCAACATGGTACAAAGTTTACAATAAAAAACTAGGTCTATTGAGGGATGTACGGTCCTAAGATACCTTTATTTAAACATGCAAGTTAATGGTTGCAAAATGTTACAAATCATATACAAAGTACATTTCTGTGTTTAATTGATTGCAATTGGAACGTTTAATTCAAGCACTATTTGCAATAAATGGCAGTGATTTCCAAAATGTAAACAATTCTATATATAACCCGTTTTTTCTCTCAATTACTCCACCAAAGTGCATAGAGCAAAATTCTTTTTGCCAATTTGTACCCCACGCGCTTTTCTTGGCCATTTTGTAACTGAAATTCTTCAATTCGCTTAACTCGTAAAACTCAAACAGAGAGACAAACTAATTTGGTTTATTCTGCTATAAACTTACAGCTCGTCCTTTACAGATAAAATAGCCACTGTCATTTACTTTTACAATAGAGTAGAGAGTACAATGAGGGGTGCAAAGGGTGACTTGGTATCCACCGAGAGTTTCGCGTTATTAAGCTTACCTGATGAGGTCACGACTCAAATCATTGCTGTCCTTAGCCAGATCGATATCCTTCTGCTAATACAAGTAAATAAACATTTATATAGCTTGGGACTACCAAAGTTATACCATTCCATCTATCTCAATAATTCCACCAGTTGTACTCCATTAGCAATTTCGAGTGAGATCAATTATCCATTTCATATAAAGTATACCATCATCAATTGGATCACGTTTTTTATTCGACAAATGGAGAACAATCCAAATAAAAACTTGGTCAAGGAAATAGTAACCAATTGCATAGAGCCAGATGACTTTAAAACCATACAGGAAATGTTTCCAAAGGTGAATATAACCATTGAATATGATAGTGAATTATATAGGTTCAGGAGCCTTGATTTGCTGATGGTTAACGGTCTAGAGCTTACCTACGAGAATGCTTTGTTTTTTGACGAAAATATAAGGGGCAAGAATTATTATTCCATTAAAGAAGTGGGTATTAACGAAGAATCCGATCATGATTTATTTGGGATAATCCCTGTATTAAAAGGATTGGAATCGATGCATATCACCTCGGTATCAGATAGAACATTTACTTCGCTCAAAGATGCAGGTGTATCCAAGTTGGCAATCAAAAGGTTATTTTTACAAAATTTCATAACTCCAAATAATCCAGGAGACTTATTCCGCGACTTAGATGAGTATTTCAACCTTGAGCTGCTTGAAACCTTTGGTTTTGATTCGAAATACGATTCTTTATTCCAGGACTTACAATTGACTATTCCTCGATTGCTGAATCTAAAACATTTATTCCTTCATGGTAACAGAAAATGTTGCTTTGATGCTAGTATGATTTTACCCCGAGATAGTTTGGAATTCTTATGTTTGCATGATAGTAAAGAAAATGGTGAATTCTTTGATTATGATTCGCTTATGACAATTATAAGTCGCCAAGAAAGCACATTGACTAGTTTGTGTTTACAATGCAATATTTATCATTATATGGGATACGAATGGGTAGATCGGGTTTATAATTATTTGCATGAAGTTACAGAGATTGACAACAGGCGGAATATCCATTTAATCAACCAGATTCTAGCCAAGGGAACGAGATTTCCTAAATTGGACACCATTATTATAAATGAGAAATACTATTTCATTAAAAGAAATGGACCAGGCGATATAAAGATTAATACTATTTAAAAGTAAATTTTACCATCTTCATTGTTATAGTTGGTTATTGTTTTCTATTTATTGACAGAGGATACGTAATGGGGGGATTGATCATAGATAAAAAGATCATTTGGAATTAGAGAGAATGTTGTTTGTATTATAGTTTTAATAAAGGTAAATATTTTGCACACAATATAATATCCAATCAAGTTGGGTAGCTATAAACTAGATAGATAATCTCAGTAAGAAATTTTAACCCCAAAGCAGAAGTAACTTACACTTTGCCCTTAGTCTGTTTGTTTGATGCATATGGTGGTGGGTATTCAAATTTATCTATAAAATTCTGAGTGGACAAAAAAAAACATGCTCCAACATCTACCTGAATCTTGAAACCAATCTGCAATTGAAATTTTGTATAGACATTCATCGGCCAGTAATGCATGATTGATTAGACAATCTGGCAGATTTTGGAGATTGGAATGTACTTGGAAGTACGTACTAAATGAAAATTGAAAACAAAGAATTCTTTAAATTAGGCAGTAGTGGTACATTTTCGATTTAAACTTAGTTGGAAAGTAGACCTCTTGGATTGTTTACTAATATGTATTTTTCCATTATTCCTTAATTGCGATAACACAACTGTTTAACTATGTAAATAACACTTTTGATACATGGGACAAATTTGTGTATATAAAGAAAAAGCAAACGTGCATAACATAGATATTGCAATGAACAACTACAATAAATGTTATATATATGGAAGAGGCTTCAAAACCCTGGAATGCCAAAATATCTCCCAAATTTATACCTATAACTATCTATGACAGAATATACAATATCATACTTTTGACTCCACCAATTCAACCTGTGCAACACAAGGCGTGAACTGTATTTCCTTTCGAATGGTGAGATTTTGCAAGGTCAAAGATATTAGTCCACTTTTCTCTTTGCTTCGTAAAAGGATCTAGTAGTTGAGATCCAAAGATATGTAATTATCAGGGAGTTTCTCCTGCTATGTGGTTCCAGTTTCTGATAGAGAAATTGGCAGCCAACAATGGAGGGTCTTAGCTCACGTGATGATAGATTTCCCCCGACTTGAATATTTGATTCAAACTAAAACACCAAATGCCCTGGTCCATTTACACAAAACTCCTTCCACAGATATGATTAATAGGAAAATAACAATTCTAAGTGGGGGCACAGCAACCAATGAGCTCGTCTCCTTATTCAAAAACCTTTGTCCTAATGATATAAGCTATATCCTCCCCATTCTGGATAATGGAGGTTCCACATCTGAAATCATTCGGATAATAGGAGGACCAGCAATTGGAGATATTCGATCACGACTTACTCGATTGATTCCACCACATCAAGAACCATTACGTCGATTACTAGGTTTCAGACTTAGTTCTGAACCGAAAATAGCCAAGATTCAATGGAATGAAATTGTGGATGGGTCACATGAGTTATGGATTGATATTAATCCAGCCACACGAGAGATATTCCGGGCATTCTTTATCCACCTTCATGTTGAGTTATTGAAACGGTCAAAATTACATTCTAGCAAGAAGCAATTTCGGTACGAATTAGCTAATGTAGGGAATTTGTTTCTTACTGGAGCCAGATTGTTTATTGGATCATTGGATTCGGCCATTGAATTGTTTTGCAAATTGGCTGACATTGATAGAGAAGTTCAAGTGATGCCATGCATTAATACAAATTTCACCTATCATATAAGTGCATTATTGGAGAATGGGTTGATTATTACTGGTCAATCACAAATTTCCCATCCGTCAGAGACTCATGTTCATCCTCATAAAAAGGAAGACAATTATCCACCACCTATTGATCATACGAGACCCTCTACACCATCCGAAAATGCTTTGATGACTAGCTATTTTGGCACTCCCCTGTTGGGTAATGTTAAACGAGAAATCCCCATCAATGAAGTGGCAACAGCTAATCAGTACATTTGTACTTCAGAAGAAGAGGAGGAAGACCAAGAAGATGAAGAGTCAGGGAATGTTCCACAATATACTCATCCTGAATTGAAAAAGTCCCAATTGCATTTCAACAAGTCGGAAAATATTCAACCATTGTTGTCTCCTATCAAGAGGATCTTTTATATTAGTCCTTATGGCGAAGAAATCCGACCAACTGCTGATTCCAAGGTTGTCTCAACAATTACCAACAGTGACACCGTGATCTACTCAATAGGCTCATTGATGACTAGCATTGTACCTATCATCATCTTGAAAGGAATTGGAAAAGCCATAGCTACTGAATTGCCAGGAAAACATAAGAAAAGGATACTTTTATTGAATGGATGTTTAGATCGAGAAACATATGGGATGTCTGCAGTTGATTTCATCAAGGTTATAATTCAACTGGCATTATATTCTCAAGGTTCTACATCGAATTATCAACAAGTGGAATGGAATAAATATATTACACATTTAGTATATATGAAAGAAGGGCAGATCCATGTTGATGCCAAGTATTTGCAAGATAAGGGTATAAATTGTGTTGAAGTTCAAAGAATCCCCGACACCAATTATTTTCATCTTGATGAATTACAACTGGTATTAAATCGAATTATTTAGTCGTACCAGATCTTGATCAATTCTTCACTGACTGCGGATGGGGTTAATACACCCAAATCAGTAATTAATGCAGTGATGTAAGAACTTGGAGTGAAATCAACAAAGTGTGATTTCAAATCGTTGGTGGTTTCTTCTTGTTCGTTGGCTTTGGCAATTAAATGGTTCATTTTGTTTGGTAAATCATCAGGAGCCAATGGGAACAATCTGACGAATTTATGTGATTCGGTGACAACATAGAATGGCTTGTTATTCACCTTGGCCAAACATCCAATTTGGTAGGAACCAATATGATTTATTATACCACCACTTTCGGCAACCCCTTCAGCACCAACTAAGATCTTGTCTACTTTATGAATAACATACCCAACTGCATTATCGACAATCACATCAACAGGTATATCGGCCTGTCTCAACTTTTCTGCCATGTAGTACCCACTTCCAGTAGGTCTTGATTCAGTAACCAACACCTTGAATCTGATTAGTTTTTCCTTCTTAGCCTTGACTAATAAGTTATAGACAACTCTCGAGTAACTGTGGACTAACACAGTATCGTCATCTTTAATAAAACTAACCCCGAATTCCGCCAGTTTCTCACGAGATTCCTTAGCTCTTAATACAAACAATTGTCCATTTTCTACTAGATTCTGGGAGAAACTTTCCCAGTCCGAGTATATATTGGTGTTACGCAACACGAATCGCATAAACAAGTCACACCCAGCTGAAAGGGAGATGTTGTTTGGGATGGACGATTTCAATTTATCGATATTGGATTGGATTAAACTGATGAGCTCAGAAGATGTAGATGGTTGTTTGATGCTTAACATGGAAACCAACGACTCGATAGCCGCAATCGGCATGGTCATGTCCTTATCTTCTTCTAGGAACTTCAAATATGTCTGTGTTATATCGAATTCGGTCATATTTATCTGCTATGAATCAGCAACAAAGTGGTTGACTTCCATGAGTAATAATTTTCTTCACTATGACAAAACAGGTCGTCAATTCCGGGAAGACATGCCACGTGACTGATCACACCCTCGTAATTCATCACAAACATTTTCTAAAAAAACTTACTAGTGAAGTATCTCATTACAAATAGGTAACCCAGTACAGAAAAGATGACACCGGGTAATGAGTTGTTTGTAGAGGAAGACGAAGAAATGAAGTCTGACTCCGAAGAACCAAGATTGGTCATAAAGGAAGAACCGCAAGATGGACTCCCAGCAGTGCCAGAACAGCCCGAGGAAGAAGACGAAGAACCAGTGCATGTGGAAGCAGAAGAAGAGGACGATGAAGAAGAGGATGATGATCCAATTATAGAATCGATTCCATTATACATCAATACCATGCCCTCGCGATTTAAAAACTCATTACACATATTACAATACCCTGGTCGTGCCAAGGCTCGTCGTTTGGACCAGGGCCATTTCCATGCATCTATAAAGCCACAGCTGAAATATCTTGAAGTTAAAGTCCCCTTGGACACTTCCAAGTTCTTTGATGGGACCAAAGTCGAGGACTGGGGTGAAGAAATTGGCGAGCAGACCTTGAGCGGTGTTCTTGATCCCCTGGAAGGTGGATACTATATCGCGAAAGTCGAGACCGACAGTGAAGGTAACAGAAAGGCTGTGCTTGTTCCTATAGACAGTACTGCCCAATTACGAACAAGTTTCCAATACATCGACGCCATTGATAATTCTGCCCATCAACAAAAGAAGCAAGAACAAGCCGAGATCCATAAGACTACAAGTGTACAAATCTTACAATCCGCAGCAAAACATACTGGGACTCAAGCAAACATGGATGGGTTCATGCATTCCTTAGGTGACTCGCTTAAGCATGTTAAACGATTTGATGAAGAAAGTTGGAGTCTTTTAAGTTGGAAGAATGATGAAGATGAAATCACCAATAAGATCAAAAAAGAGTTGATTAATGGGGCTGATTCCATTGAATTGACTACTGAAACTAAATTTGATGATTATATTCAAAAGTTAATCAATGAATAGAATACTTAACCTGTATATTAATAACATATCTTAAGACATATTATGAATAGTAACTTAGTCTCCGAGACTTTTTCTTTATATTAGGCATCGTGCGGCTCAACCTGATATCAATTCGAAAAACGCAAAAAAAATTACTAGAGAGAGAGAGAAATTACTATATCTTCTTGACAAACGGACTACTATATACACATAATGAGTGAAGACGACGGGCTTTTGTTAAACTTTGCTAGTGCAGACACTCCAAGTGTTAGTTCCAAGAAAACAGCCAAGGTTTCTGGTGGGAACTGGAAAGAAAGAAGAAAACTTCAATTAAGACTTACAGGACGTGGAGCCAATAAGAAAAATGACGCCAGTGGGGTAAACAAAATCACAGTCGATTCTTCTAGAATGGAACGTGTTAAGCAGGCAAATAAAGAAGCAGGCAAGGACCGTGGCAGTGATAGTGGATCCTCTAGAAAGCGAGTCAAGTTTGCCGAATCGAAAGGTGAATCTGGAGGAAAGGATAATTCGTACGTTTCCTCGTTATTCACGTCCAACGCAGAAACAACTACATTGAAACCAACAACTTCTTCCAAAACATACGATGCGTCGAATGCACCACTTCTGGATTCAACCACATTCCCCGGATTAGGAATCAATGAAAAATTATCAACCCACTTGACTGATCATTTACGATTCAAGCACCCCACCAAGATTCAAAGAATGGTTATACCGACATTACTCGCTCAGGACAACGATGTCTTTGTCAAAGCACAAACTGGGTCCGGTAAGACATTAGCATTTTTGTTGCCATTATTTCATAGACTCATGTCCGAGGATATCACCAGAGAATCGGGGTTGTTTGCCGTCATTTTAACTCCAACTCGTGAATTAGCCACGCAAATTTACGGTGTCTTGGAAACTTTAACTAGATGTCACCATAGGATTGTTCCCGGGATTGTCATTGGTGGTGAAAAGAAGAAGTCTGAAAAGGCAAGATTGAGAAAGGGGGTCAATATTCTTGTTGCTACTCCTGGTAGATTGGCTGATCATTTAGAGAATACCAAGACCTTGGATGTAAGTCAGTTGAGATACTTGATCTTGGATGAAGGTGACAAGTTGGTGGAACTAGGGTTTGAAGAAACAATCACACTGATTACCAATAAGATTTCACAAAATTCAAGAATTCATGAAACTTTAACCAAATGGAAAGGCTTGCCTTCCAAGAGAATCAATGTGTTGTGTTCGGCAACCATGCAGAATAACGTAGAGAAATTAGGTTCGATAATTTTACAAAATCCAACCATGATCCAAGTTGAGAAACAACATATTGGAACTGTTGAGTTTGAAGAGAGTGAAGTTGGCAACACTGCTCCTGATCAATTGATTCAAAATATCGTGGTTGTTCCACCAAAATTACGATTGGTCACTTTGAATGCTATGTTATCGAAATATATCAGATCTTCCGAAGCTTCACGTACAATTGTCTTCTTCTCCTGTTCTGACTCTGTAAACTTTCATTTTGAAGTGTTTACCAGAAACGGCAAGAACCCGAACAAGAAACAAGCAGCCGAAGATATCGAAGAGGAGGAAGAAGAAGAAGCAAATATTCTCACCGCACCTGGCTTATCATCTTCTACCACAGTGTATAAACTTCATGGATCCCTTTCTCAAAAGATACGTACTTCAACATTGAACCATTTTATCAAGGACACTACACCACATCAAATATTATTCTGTACTGATGTGGCATCGAGAGGGTTAGATCTTCCCAACATTGCCAATGTCATCGAATACGATCCTCCATTCACCATCGACGATCATTTACATCGTATTGGTAGATCAGCAAGATTGGGTAACAAAGGTAATGCCACTTTGTTCTTGATGCCGGGTATAGAAGAAGCTTATGTTGATGGGAAGTTGCGTGTGGTTCATCCTAACGAAGGAAGTTTGCGTATTTTAAACTATGAACAAATTCTTGAGGATGGGTTCGCCGAAGTGCAAGAGGAAGGTACTGCTGCTGCTGCTGCTCCAGCCAAGAAGAATGACCCAAAGAGAAAAACTGGGAAATGGGATATTCACGCAACAACTTGGCATTTGGACATTGAAAGGTGGTTATTGGAAGATACTGGTGCTCATGACAGAGCAGGGCATGCATTTACATCCCACATTAGAGCCTATGCTACTCATTTAAGTTCCGAACGTGATTATTTCAATGTTAAATTATTGCATTTGGGACATTTGGCCAAGAGTTTTGGTTTAAGAGAAACTCCAAAGAAGTTGGGTAAATCTATTAACCACGAGTCTGTATCTACTGGTACTACTAAACGTAGAAAGAAGGATGAAGACCCAAGAAAGAAAATGTTACGTATGGCAAGATTGGCCGTTAACTCAGCAAGTAGTGAATTCAATTATTAGACACTGTATATCCTTCTATTTTCCAAAGCCCATGGTTTTCACCGAGTAAATAGCCAATAGTTTTCTTTTTATAATAATCACCATCTAATTTTAAATTATCAATAACGTCATCTAAAAGAATAGCCTTTCCGACCGCAATACCATCACCTAATCCAGGATGGGCAACATTGACAATATGTATATGGAAATGGTAATATGAAGGTTGATAATGAATAAATATTCTCAACTGGTTTTTGCCTATATTGTACTTCTCCACTGTAATTTGCTTTACTTTTTCTTGCAAGCTTTCCAAAAATTCAATATGATTTTCATTTAAATCACGAACTGACGAAATATCCAATCGATTAACAATACAGCACAAGTATAAAGTTTGTAAATTTATAGTATCCCACTTCATATCTGGCAACAAGACAAATCCATTAGAAGGATCTTTGTCATGATACACAAAGGTTTCACTTTCTTTACCTTCGAACAAGATATTGTAGACCCACTTTATACGATCGCCTTTCATACTTTTAATATAAGGCACGACATATTTCTCATACATTGCAGGAGTCTCGCGGATGTAATGGTATGTTTGCTCATCATACTTATGGATATGGGTCTCTGTAGCAGGATAAATCAAATTGATCTTGGCACCAGGCAATTCAGGAAGTTGTTGTAAGAGGGAACCAATTGACCAGTAGTAAATGTCATTGTTGTTAATTAAAGATATGTCTTGAATTAACTCGTTAACTTTGTGGTTTTCGAATTGGAAATGTGACTTTTCGAGGGTGATTATAGCATGCTCATTGTCAATTGAACCTAGCAATGATATTGTTTTTGTTTGGGAATCCGATTTAAGGATCCTTACAAATTGGAATTTGCCAATGAGTTCGCTAATGGACATGGTGTGCAAGCAATTGTGGTAAATCGTGAAATTGTGGGATGAGGTTTAATGGTTATTTCAATTGTGAAAAATTGAGCACAAGCACACGACCTCTAATTATCACTTCCCTCTTCATCCAGGTCTTCTTGGTCATTCAAATCAAAGCAAATCCAGCTAGGCCAGGCCATCTCCTCTCGAAGTATATTCCTCAACTTTTCTACAAGAAATTTTTCAACTTTCCCAACATTTCTCAATACATTTTGTTCAACTTCTCCAATTTCACTCTCAATTTTCACTTTTTTAATAATATCAATTCGTTCCTTGTTTGAGTTTGGGGTTGATTCATTGTAATAATCGACAAAATTGGCACCTGAATTCAGTCTATTTGATTCTGTTCTTTGTAAATTTCCAAGATTATTCGTGAAATAATCCATAGGATTAATATCAGTAATATCACACAAAAAAGTCCAGAATACACTCTTTTTGAGATATGCTAATGCACAAATGGAATGGATAACCAAATCGGTAACATGTAGCTTAATAGGTAATGTAATGAAATTTGGTGCAGGATAATTGACTAACAAGTTAACTAGTAAATTTATGTGAACGTCCCCCTTATAATTAATTTCCACAATTAGTTGTAAATCATTGTTTCCCTTATTGGGTGACTTTCTTCTATGGTATATCCTTGGGGCCCTAAGATTCGGGTTTAGGATAGTTGTAGGTGTGTCTGACCCTGTTGCTGGTTGAGTTCCTAACCCAATTATATTGTTATAACTATGATATGCATCATGGGTTCTGAGTGGAGGTAATGGTCTCAGAGGGGGCGAGGGGCTAGGGTTGAATGGTGTGGCTCTCAATGGAGTCGACGGAGATACATCAAGGGGCCTGTTAATGTTGAGAAGACTCACATCTTCGGTGATGGACTGAAATAGAGCATCGTCATCTTCTTCGTCGTTTTCTTCATCGTAGTCTTCCTCATCCTCGTCCTGTTTAGACGCAGTTTGATCTTCTTCTTCTTCTTCTGGGTGGGTTTCCAATTTTTCAGCTTTAACCTCAGGACATTCTTCTTCATAAAACTCCTCAAATGGATCACAAATATGTCGAATGGTGATCTCCGGCGGGATGGTACCCAAATTAAATTCCGCCACTTTTAAATCAGATATGAATGACGGCAATTGAATTTTTTGGAATTGCTCATCTAAAAACTCTTGAATCACCTCATTGAGAGAGTTATCTTCTGTGAGTTTATCCCAATTAATATCAAATGACATAGTTAGGGTGTGGTTGACTTCTGGTGGTGATCTATTGGCAACTCCAGTTTATGTTTGGTACTGCACAAAAAAGTGTGCTAACAAACAAAAAAAAGAGTCGTGCCATTGTGTGCAAACAACATTACACTATTGTCATCACTATAGTGAATAGTCAACTCATAGACCAAAAGTTTATAACTAGTGATTGGGACAACTACTTGGTAAGATAATGATGAGAAACGAAAAATGTGTGTAATTATCATTTCTTGTCAGATTACCCTCTTATGCTGCCAATACAGAACCTAGAGATATAGGTCTGCTATATTAGCACTACTACCTAGTTATTAAATAAAACAACGTAAAAATTCATAAATATTAAAATATAAAGAACAGACCATATAAATATAAATAAAATCTCAAACAATAAAGTCAACTAAAATGTGAAAACAATCACATTAAATACACCAGCCAAAACAACAATCAATTTAGATACACCAGAAGACAGTTCTCGGCCCGAATCAGCAGAAATAAGTTCTGGTGGTACCGTTCCACCAATTCTACTATCTTCTCCTCTAGATGTATCTTGACCACTACCTCTTCCAGTTGCAGCTTCTCCTGTTCTTTCGCTTCTAAGTGTCTGGGAAGTAGCCCAACCATTGCCGCTTCCTTCAAGAGCACTACTTCTCCCAACCATAGTTCCAGACCCTGGTGTGACTGAGATTCCTCTTGTATTTCCTCTTTCGCTTCCATTCCTCAATGCCGAAGATGTGCCTATTCCAGAACCTTGACGGCTTGTAGGTTTAGTACTACCCTGATCTACTGGACGATATTCAAGCACAGTATCCGGTGCGCCTGCTTTCCCAGCTCGTGTACTATACGAAACAGTCTTGCCATTGTATGTTCTCGTATCTGTCACTTGATTCGGAACTTGAACAACCACGGTTTTTGCTGAGTCAACCTTGGAATTAAATGGTAAAGTAGAGGTTCTTCTAGTTTGGCCAGAATATTTCGAAGTTTGAGTAATGGTTCTGGGCTGACGTGCTCCAGCGCCTCCACCAGGAGATCCAACAGCACCACCAGCACCACCGGCAGACTGAGGAACATATTCAATAACTCTAGCAGTTGAACCGGGATTTGCACTCTGAGTACTATAACTAGTGACCTTTCCACTATATGTGCTCCTTGTAGTAACAGTAGGCACCGGAACTTGCACAATAACAGTCTTGGAATTGTCAACTCCGGATCTAAATGGCACGGTAGATATTATAGTAGTCTTACTATTATAACTTCTGGTTACGAAATTTGTGCCAGGTAATCCAGGTCCTGGTCTAGTGTAGTATTCAGTAACTATCACAGTCTTTTCAACACCTGATGTGACAGTCTTGAACAAATTACTTTGTCCATTATATGTACTTCTTTCGGTAACTGTAGGAATTGGAGTCTCTACTATAACAGACATAGTTCCATCAATTTTGGAATTAAATGGTAATGTAATTGTACGAGCAGTTAAACCTGTCCACATTCTAGTGGAAGTGACTGTGACAAGTTTTCGGGGCACACTTTCCCCAGTTGGAGGTGCCAGTCCAGGGATATACTCAATAACAGTAGCTGTTTGACCAGGATTAGCAGTAATGGTAGAATACGAAGTTACATTTCCATCATATTTACTGGTTACACTAACAGTAGGGATTGGTACTTCCACGAATACAGTAATAGTTTCATCCATATCAGGATTAAATGGCTGGGTAATAGTCTGAGTAATCATACCTGTCCAAGTTCTTGTTCTAGAAATAGTAACATGATGTAATCCTCCTTTATCATCAGTCAGGATAACACCAGTAGGTGGTGCACCAGGGTGGTATTCAATCACAGTAGCGGTCTCTCCTGGTTTTGCAGAGATAGTGGTATATGAAGTTGATATCCTTTCATAAACAGTTGTAATTGTCAAAGTAGGAATTGGAATTTCCACAATTATAGTAATAGTTTTATGAATATCAGGATCAAAAGGTAACGTAATTTCTTGAGTAAACAGCCCAGTCCAAGTTCTTGTTTCAGTTGTGGTGGCAAGACTAACACCGGTGTTTTCAGAACTTAGAGTTAATCCTTCAGGACTTGGATGGAGCTCAATAAAAGTGGAATTTTGTCCAGATTTAGCACTTTCCGTAGTATATGACGTACCAATTCCATCATTTGTAGTTGTTCTGGTCTCAGTTGGAGTTGGTACTTCAACAATAACACTTATAGTTTTATCAATGTCAGGATCAAATGGTAAGGTAGTAAGTTGAGTAAATGTTCCAGTCCAGGTCCTAGTCACAGTTACAATGTCAATGATTCGTCCAACAGACTCTTCACCATCTGGAATAAATTCAATAACAGTGGCTGTTAGTCCGGGCTCTGCAAGAACTGTAGTGTATGATGTAACAGATCCATCATATGTAGTAGTCACGGTCACGGTTGGAATTGGAACTTCAATAATTACACTTACTGTTTCATCCACCTCCGGGTTATAAGGTAATGTTGTCAGATGAGTATATATCCCAGTCCATGTTCTTGTTTCAGTAACAGTATCAAAGGAATGCACACCGGGCTTTTCAGGAATTGTGGCTGTTTCAGCTTTTATGGTTTCAGCAGGTATACTTGATTCAAAGACACTTCCATTTTCAGGAACAAACTCAACTATCGTGGCAGTTTGTCCTAATTCAGCGACAATTGTAGTATATGATGTAGTTAAACCTTCATACGTGCTCGTTATTGTGACAGTTGGAATAGGAACTACAACAATTACTGTGATAGTCTCATCCACTTCTAGATTAAATGGTAATGTGGTGGTTTCAGTGTAAAGTCCCGTCCATGTATGGGTTTCAGTAATCGTCCCAAGCACATGTATACCAGTTTCAGGAACACCAGTTTCAGGAACATCAGTATCAGGAGTGACACCAGTTTCAGGAACACCAGTTTCAGGAACAACAGTTTCAGGAACACCACTTTCAGGAATACCAGTTTCAGGAACATCAGTTTCAGGAACACCACTTTCAGGAATACCACTTTCAGGAACACCACTTTCAGGAACACCACTTTCAAGAACAACACCACTTTCAAGAGAAATACCCATCTCAACGATTCCAGGAACGAATTCAATTACTGTAACTGTTTCACCAGGTTCGGCAGTCATGGTAGAATAAGTAACAAATGACTTGTCATATGTACTTGTGATGGTTACTGTAGGCATTGGAACTTCAACGAGGATGGTCATTATGGTATCTACTTCAAAATCAAATGGTAGGGTTGTCAGCTGGGTAAATGAACCGGTCCATGTTCGTGTCTCAGTCACAACATTGAGAGATCTTCCAAATGGCTCGCCAGGTTCGATAGGTTCACTTGTCTCAACATTTTCAAAACTTGTAATAGGTTCACCAGATTCAATATTTATACCGCTCTCGATATATTCACCAGTGACAATTGGTTCCCCACTTTCAAGAACAGGAACATATTCAATCACAGTAGCTGTCTCTCCTGGTTCAACTGTAACGGTACTGTACGAATTTGTGGAACCATCATAAGTAGTGGTCATTGTTACTGTAGGGATAGGAACTTCTTCAATAACAGTAATATTGTCGTCTATATCTGGATCATATGGTAAAGTAGTGATCTGAGTGAAAGCACCAGTCCAAGTTTTTGTTTCAGTTATAGTAACAAGAGAGCGTATTCCAACTTCACCAGTTTTTATAGGTTCCTCGGTTGCCATTTCAGGAGCAAACTCAATCACAGTAGCGGTTTCACCTGGTTCAACTATAATTGTAGTATATGAAGTAGTAAACCCATCATAAGTGGAAGTGACAGTGACAGTTGGAATAGGAACTTCCTCAATAACGGTAACAGTTTCATCAATTTCGGGATCATAGGATATTGTTCTAAGTTTTGTAAATTCTCCAGTCCATGTGTGTGTTTCTGTAACAGTATCAATTGAACCTATCTTGGCTTCACTAGCTGTTAAAGGTGTCCAAAGTTCCTCTGTTTTATTAGGGTTTTGTGTTTCAAGAATAATTTCGCCTTCGTCATCAGGAACATATTCTATAACAGTGGCAGTCTCTCCGGGTTCTACAGTAACTGTAGTATATGAAGTAGTATCTCCATCGTATGTAGTGGTAATTGTAATAGTGGGAATTGGAATTTCCACAATAATGGTCATTGTTTGATCAATTTGGGGATCAAAGGGTAATGTTATCAGTTGAGTGAAATCACCAGTCCAAGTTCTTGTTGTAGTTAAAGTATCTAGGAATCCACCAGACGGAGTTAAAATAGGTTCTTCAATTTCAGCTGGCTCTTCAGTTTCACCTACTGGGATGTATTCAATAACAGTAGCTGTATCTCCTGGTTCAGCAAGAATTGTGGTATAAGAAGTAATAGATTCGGCATATGTAGTGGTCACAGTTACTGTTGGAATTGGAACTTCAACAATGACTGTGATAGTCCCATCTACTTCTGGAATAAATGACAAAGTATACAGCTGAGTAAACACACCAGTCCATGTTCTGGTTTCGGTTACCGTGTCTACTGCGTATGATCCAGTTTCCCCTTCTGTTTCAGTCACCGGTAAAACTTCAGATTGGTCTACGATTTCAGTATCTAATGGTACTTCTGTTGCTGTTAGTACTTGTGGTTCAACTACTTCGTCTGTGTTATATGGTTGTAGTGTTTCCGAGAATATTTCGGTATTTGAAAGCATTTGAGGTTCTGGGATGGCTTCTGTAAATATTACCTCCTTAGTTTCCAAGGTTTCTTCAATCTCCAATACTTGCTCGGTTGCAACTGGTTGGACAATTTGGGTTTCTTGAAGCACATATGCCGATCCTTCCATAGTTCTAAATTGTTCTTCTGACTCAGGTACTGATTCAGTTTCAAATGGCTGTTCCCATCCTGGTGAAATTTCAACCTCACCAGTCTTTTCATCAGGATGAAACTCGATCACAGTAGCAGTATCACCTGGATCAGCGGTAAATGTAGTATATGAAATAGTAGACCCTTCATAAGTACTGGTAATTGTCACAGTAGGAATAGGAATTTCAACAATTACAGTTATTGTCTCTGCAATCTCAGGATCAAATGATAAAGTGTATATCTGTGTAAATTCACCGGTCCACGTTTTTGTCTCAGTAACTGTGTCAACCCCAAGAGCTCCACTCTCTGCAGCTTGTTCAGTCACGAATGATACGTGAGTTTGGGCTGGGATTTCGTTGTCAAAAGATAAGTCTGTGGATGGTGGTGGTTGGTTTTTAGTATATTCTTCTGAATAATCTGGTTGTTCCATTTCCAGGGCTATTACAGACTCCGAAAGTACTTGGATTCTTGGAAGCATTTCTGTTGAAGTTATTGCTTTACTTTCAGGAGATTCTTCGGTTTCAAATGGCTTTTCAGTTGGCAAATTTTGGAGTATTGTTGTGGGAAGTACTTCCTCGGTTCCACTTTGTTCTTCAGTTTCAATGAGATGTTCAGTTTCAAGAGACCCTTCAGTATCTAGTAGCTGTTCAGATATAATAGACTGTTCAGTTTGTGTTTCTTGTAGTTCTTGTATGGTAACTTCTTCCTTGTTTCCAGAGAATTCGTGAGATGAAGTTGGATTTTCAGCTTCAAGTTGCAGTTCCCATCCTGATAATATTTCCGCTTTGCCAGTATATACACTAGGATGATACTCAATAATAGTAGCTGTTTCTCCAGGTTCTGCTGTTACGGTAGTATACGAGATGGTACTTCCATCATACGCCGTAGTCAGCGTCACAGTCGGAATAGGAACTTCAACAACGACGGAAACAGTTCCATCAATCTCAGAATCATAAGGTAATGTTGTCGTCTGAGTGAAGCTTCCTGTCCATGTTCTTGTTTCAGTAGCAGTGTCAGGAGAATGACCTCTGGGTTGTCCAGTTTCATCAACAGGATGGAACTCAATCACAGTAGCAGTTTCGCCAGGTTCTACTGTCACAGTAGTGTACGAAACAGTGGAACCATCATAAGTTGTACTCAGGGTGACAGTAGGAATAGGAACTAGTTCAACAACAGTAACTGTTTTGTCAACCTCAGGATCGTATGGGAACGTAGTCAATTCAGTGTCAGTGCCAGTCCATGTACTTGTATTAGTCACGGTATTAAGTTCACCTGGTTCAGGTTTTTCCTCGGGAACTAATTCGATAACCGTGGCAGTTTCACCGGGACCAACAGTAACAGTAGTATACGAAGTACCAGTACCGCCGTAAGTAGTGGTAACGGTAACGGTAGGAATAGGAACTTCTACAATGACAGTAACTGTTTCGTCAACTTCACGATCGTATGGCAACATGATCGTCTGAGTGCTAGTACCAGTCCATGTTCTAGTTCTAGTCACAGTATGAAGTAAACCTGGTATTTGCTCTTCTTCGGGAATAAATTCAATAATCGTGGCAGTCCCTCCAGGTTCAGCGGTAACCGTAGTGTACGAAATCGTGGAGCCATCATAGGTCGTACTCAGAGTCACTGTGGGAATAGGAATTTCCACAAGGATAGAAACAGTCTCGTCAATTTCAGGATCATAGGGTAATGTAGTAGTCTGGGTGAAACTACCTGTCCATGTTCTTGTTGCAGTTACAGTCATGGCTGTTAATCCTGGTTCTCCAGTACCAACAGGTCTACCAGTGTCAACACCAGGATGGTACTCAATAACAGTAGCCGTTTCACCTGGTTCAACTGTCACAGTAGTGTACGAAATGGTAGATCCATCGTAAATAGTACTCAGTGTCACAGTAGGAATTGGAACTTCTACAACTATAGTTACAGTTTCATCAATTTCAGGGTCATATGGTAAGGTTGTCGTCTGAGTGAAGCTTCCTGTCCATGTTCTTGTTGCAGTAGCAGTATCAAGAGAAGGAACTCCAGGTTCTCCAGTTTCAGCAGGTCCACCAGTCTCGCCAGGCTCTCCACTTTCACTACCAGGATGGTATTCAACAACAGTAGCAGTTTCACCAGGCTCGACAGTCACAGTGGTATAAGAAGTAACCGTACCATCGTAAGTACTTGTTACTGTCACAGTGGGGATAGGCACTAGCTCAATAACAGTAATAGTCTCATTAATCTCAGGATCATATGGCAACGTGGTTGTTTGAATATCAGTGCCGGTCCACGTACTAGTTTCAGTCACATAGTCAAGAGAACCCGGTTGAGGCTTCTCTTCAGGAACAAGTTCAATAATCGTAGCAGTTTCACCGGGTCCAGCAGTCACAGTGGTGTAAGAAATAATAGTACCATCTTAAGTACTAGTAACCGTAACAGTAGGAATGGGAATCAACTCAACAACAGTGACCGTTTCGTCGACTTCAGGGTCATATGGCAAGGTGGTAAACTGAGTGTCAGCACCAGTCCACGTACTAGTTTCAGTCACATAGTCAAGTGTACGACGTGCAGGTTTTTCTTCAGGAACAAGCTCAATAACCGTAGCAGTCTTACCAGGTTCAGCAGTGATGGTTGTGTACGAGGTAACAGTACCATCGTAAGTACTTGTTACTGTCACAGTAGGAATGGGAATCAACTCAACAACAGTGACCGTTTCGTCGACTTCAGGGTCATATGACAAGGTGGTAAACTGAGTGTCAGTGCCGGTCCACGTACTAGTTTCAGTCACATAGTCAAGAGAACCCGGTTGAGGCTTCTCTTCAGGAACAAGTTCAATAATCGTAGCAGTTTCTCCAAGCTCCGCCGTAACCGTTGTGTAAGAAGTAATAGTGCCATCATAGGTGCTAGTAACAGTAATAGTGGGAATGGGAATTAGTTCCACAACAGTAGCCGTTTTGTCGACTTCAGGGTCGTAAGGTAAGGTAGTAAACTGAGTGTCGGCGCCAGTCCACGTACTAGTTTCAGTCACATAGTCAAGGGAACCTGGTTGGGGCTTCTCTTCAGGAACAAGTTCAATAATCGTAGCAGTTTCTCCAAGCTCCGCCGTAACCGTTGTGTAAGAAGTAATAGTACCATCATAAGTACTGGTAACAGTGACAGTGGGAATAGGGACTTCTACAATTACAATAACCGTCTCGTCAACTTCACGATCGTATGGCAACACGATCGTCTGAGTGCTAGTACCAGTCCATGTTCTAGTTCTAGTCACAGTATGAAGTAAACCTGGTATTTGCTCTTCTTCGGGAATAAATTCAATAATCGTGGCAGTCCTTCCAGGTTCAGCGGTAACCGTAGTATAGGATGTCGTGGAGCCGAGATACATAGTGGTCAGGGTGACAGTGGGAATAGGAACTAATTCGACTACTGTGACAGTTTCATCAACCTCAGGATCGAATGGTAACGTGGTTGTCTGAGTATCAGTACCAGTCCACGTACTAGTTTCAGTTACGGTAGTGGCAGTAAGACCAGGAACAAATTCAATAACCGTGGCAGTCTCACCAGGACCAGCAGTCACAGTGGTATAAGAAGTAACAGTATCGTCGTAAGTACTTGTTACTGTCACAGTAGGAATGGGAACTAGCTCAACAACAGTAACCGTCTCGTCAACCTCAGGATCATATGGTAATGTGGTTGTTTGAATATCAGTACCAGTCCATGTTCTGGTCTCGATGACGGTTTCAGGTGGGTGATACTCAATTACGGTGGCTGTTCCACCAGGCTCAGCTGTTATAGTGGTATACGAAGTAGTTTCACCGCCATATTTTTCAGTCAATGTAAAAGTAGGAATAGGAACATCCACAATCACAGTGATGGTTTCAACAGTTTCGGGGTCATACAGCAACGTAGCTACCAGGGTAAAAGAACCAGTCCATGTTCTGGTTTCAGTTACCATAATTGCAGGTTGGTATTCAATAACAGTCGCAGTAGATCCAGGTGGCATTGTCTTTGTCGAATACGAAGTTGTTTTCCCTTCATATGTTTTTGTTACAGTAACAGTGGGTATTGGAACTTCGACAACAATGGTCATTGTTCTGCCAGCATCGGGATTATATGGCAATGTAGTTAATCTAGTAGCCAGACCTGTATAGGTTTGCGTCTTTACGATAATTTCTCTCCCATCTGCCAAAGGATTACTATTTTCATAGTTGAACCAGTTGGCCAGAAGTTTTCTTTTTGTTTGTTTCTCCTCGCCTTTACATTGGTAATAATCAATATAATGCACCACTAGACTCGCTCCTAGAGGTAATCTCGCAGGGATAGAAATAAATGGCCGGTACCCCGCGGGAACACTTCCGTAGTCAAATTTGAATAAATGCTCATCACAAGTTGAACTAATTGCAACTGGTTCAATAGTTGTAGGGTAATACCAAGGATTTAATTTATTACTCATTCCTGATTCCTGCATGGAGCAATCAAATTTACCATTGGGGGTCTGAAGCTCAATGCCCAAGGTTCCAGATTCGTAGCCATTTGGACAATTCTTTCCCATAAAGAATTGAAACAGTACATCTAATAATGGAGATATACGGCCCTGACGTACTATATTGTTGGGATCATCAGGCCCATATCCTCCTTGAAAATTTACTTCAGTAGAAAGAATACGATTGCCATCGGTGAAGGAAACGGTGTTTTGTCCATCCTTAAACATATTAGCACACTTCATTGCGGTATCCAGTCCAGCCCAGCCAACATTAAATGACATTGGGATTGTAATAGATCCATAAGCCAAAGTCAGATCTTTTACTTCATCCAGCAAAGTACATTGCAATTCAGAAAATGGTACAATAACATCTCCTGGACTAAGTACACATGTAGCAAATGTGGTAGTAGAGTCCTTATCTGGATTAGTTGTATTCAAATATATATGGGTTTCAGGGGTAATAAACTTAAAAACACATGGCATAGATAAGATGAATGTATCTCCAGTTTTCATAGTAGATCCATCAATCTCCCAACTCACTTTTGCATTCCAAGTAGGGTATGAGGGGGCAGAAACTTGGTAATTTCCAGCATTATCCCAAGTCAAAGAATCAAATGAAGTGAATACTCCACTGAGTTGACGGGCCAAAACACTGGTAAATACAAATATAAATAATAGTAATGGCGAAATCATTTTTGTACTGATTATTTAATAATTTTAGTTCATACGTTGGAGGTTAAATTCTCTTTCTTTTATACCATTTAGGGAGTCTTAGGTATCATATCCAGAACATCTTTCATGTTGTTAATATTTTGACTGGGGCTGCTTTGCAGCCAAACAGTAAAAAAAAAAAAGAAAAAATAGGTAACAACCATATTTGACTATAAATCTACATAACCAAACATTGTCCTTTCCCCCCCATAAATCTCCTTACTGGTAAATTTGAAAGGAATACTTTGAAGTGAAACCTATTTATTGGTATTTTAGGATATTAATTTTCAAAATAGTCTATATTTTTAATGAATTCTATTTCTTGCAACTATTCAATTAGCCCCCACCTCTCCACTATAAATGCAATTAAATACCGATGCTAGGCATTCACTTCGGTTTTGAGGGTTAACAGCTCAATTCAGAGATTTATCACACCATTGTTACGGTTTGATCCTTTTCATGAGAATTATCACCTTATCTTTGGCTAGAGCTGTTGAATTTCAAGGGGTAGTTCCGTGATTATTTAGCTATATGGGTTATGATACAATTAATTGTTCCTAATACATGGCCTGTGTCAATGTCAAACGCTCTTTTTCCAAAAACTACTAGATGATTTACTTCTTACCAAGCTTTGTTCTTACTATAGTTAAACCAGGTATAATTAACGCAACTAGCCTATATAAAGCAAACAATGCATTGCTAAAGCATTTAGAAAAAACAAATTGTCGGTGTTTATCTTAGAAGATTAACTAACTTTAATTCTGGGCAGATTATCTTTGAGGTGAGCCCTGGGTGGTTCTTCGTTTAAGATAGAGAAATAGTCTTGGATGCTGCTGTTGCAGAATATATTCAAAAGTAATTTGAGCAAACCTTCTCCTCCTCCTCCTCCTCCTCCTCCCCTCCCTCTCACCCACAATAACTACAATTAGGGGTAGTCATGTGAAATTATTATAAGTGAGCTCATTCAGGAGGAGAACATTTATTGTGCATTTTATTTCTTTAATTTGTGTTTTTGTAATTGCAAAGAAAGTCTTAATCCCAAAAACATTTTTCAGTACTGATATTTATGGTCTATAATAATGAACAAAAAAAAATAACTATGGTGTTTACAACGAACACAGATCATTTTTACAACTTTTAGGATTCTAATTAGACAGTCCAATCTGGTTATTGAGTTCTCCTATTGAATTTCTAGTCTGTTTGTTTTTAGTCTGGATGTTTATTGTTGAACTGCTTTGCTAAGCAAACTAGATGTTTTTGTTTGCTATAAATTGCCGGTGTAGTTTCTAACTTAGGTTTGTGTCACTTTACCCCTTTTTGTTACTGTTCACTTGCATAAATGTGCTTTCAATTATCTTTGCACAACTAAACCTCCCATACCTTTCTTTCCTTTCATATATTGACACATTTAGTAAACAATACCCCAGAATTTCACCTTGGAGGAGTTTACTCCGGTACCGGTATAATAATAAAGTTTCTTTTTTTTTATATTTTCTTACTCGAAAAATTTTTCAATTTTTGAGTCAGGTAACTTTTACTCATCCTGTCAAAACTCTTATAATAAACCCCATTCTGAAATTTTGCTTTTTGCATAGTAGACTAGTTTAACCTACTTCACAAACTTAGAACAAAAAGTTCTAGTATTCTTGCATCACAACTTCATTTCTCCTGCATAAACCTTAGTCATACATTAGTAATACCTCATTTTTGCATCCAACCAAAATGATTGCCCCATACCCCGTGAAAATTATAGTCATAGGAGCCGGTTTAATCGGACCACGTCATGCCCAACATGTACACGATAATCCACTCACTGAGCTTATGGCAATCATAGATCCGCAACCAAGCACAACTGAGATCGCTGACAGACTCAATACATTGCATTTCCCCTCCATTACCACATTTATTGAATACTGTAATACAAGAAAATTACCATATCCTGACGGTGCAATTGTGTGTACACCCAATCACACCCATGTTAAAGTCTCAGCTGAATTGGCAAGTTATGGGATAAATTTGCTTGTGGAGAAGCCTATTGGATCTACCCCACAAGAAGCAAAACTGTTGAAAATGTACACTAGCATGAAAGATGTTAAGGTATTGGTGGGTCATCACAGAAGGTTCAATCCTTATATTATGGAAGCTAAACGGAATTTACATAAATGTGGAGATATTGTTGGTGTTCAAGGAAGCTGGATGTTATGTAAGCCCCAAGACTATTTTGAGATTGCCCCATGGAGAACACAGAGTTCAGCAGGGGGTGTGTTATTAATTAACTTGGTTCATGATTTGGATTTATTACAGTTTTTGTTTGGACCAATACTTCGAATTTACGCCGAGTTGTTACCAAAGAGACGAGATCATGAAGCTGATGAAGGTGCTGCATTAACTATAAAATTCAAAAATGGAATCTCGGGAACTTTTATCTGTTCCGATAATGTAACTTCCCCATTCAATTTCGAGAATGCCACCGGTGAAAATCCCATGATCCCACATCATTCAGAAATCAATGGGATTTACCGAATTTTTGGTTCAAAGGGAACACTTTCACTCCCAGAAATGACATTGTTCCACCAATCCCACATCAAGAATTCCACCTGGTTGCAACCTTTAACTGAGGAGAAGATTGAATTCAACAGAGAAGAATTGCCATTTGATTCACAATTAAATCATTTTGTGGATGTAATTAGAGGCAATGCTGAGCCTTATTGTTGTATAGATGATGGTATTTCGGCATTACTTTGTATTGATGCTGTCTTGAAGTCTATAGATACTGGTATGCCAGTAATGGTTGAAGATGTCAAGAATATTAAACCTAACGACGAAGCTTTGGGTTTTTAAAAAAGTTTATATCAAATGCATATTTATAAGTTTGCTTAATACACTTTGGTAACATGATCTAATTCTAAATTGTTCGACACATTTGAAGTCCAAGCTGAAAACACTACTTCACCCTGGCTATTCTAGCCTATATGTTGCAGTGTTTATCAGTGAAATATCTAAAGCGATAAATGCAGATTTGCTATTTCGCAACCATTCAGTTATTAAAAAGATGTGTCACGTGCCAGAGGTCACATGCGCAAAAATCCACCCAGTAAAATCGCCAACATTTTTCAGCAAAATTTAAAGTGAGAAAAGAGCCATCTAACAATCCACTTAGCATTAGTCATCATCATGTCCAAATTCGTCATTCCTACAGCATTAAAGGAGTTAAGATTCCATTTATCACAAACCGGAGAAGCTTCAATACCTGTAAGGAACTTCTTGACCAAGAATTACGCCACCTTAAAGACTCAACTGGATTACAAATTACCAATTTTAATCAGAGAAAGTTACGGTATTCCACCAACTTTAACTGCTAGATTCGAAAAGGGTCGTGAAGTTAAGAACAGCTTAGAAGGATTAGATGAAGCTGGTGTTGCCAAGGCATTGGCTGATATTTTAAAACAATAGTTTCTCATGATTGTTTATGTACATTACTAATATATATATATCTAATTTATAAAGTAGCCTCTGGCTTTTTGTAATTACCCACTTGATAAATACCCCAACCCAAACTTGCAAAAGCGTCATTGTAAACTTCTTTGATTGGTTCGTCTGATTGGTTGGCAATACCACCGGCAACAACAATAGGCAAGAAATGTTCCAAGGTAGGATGAGCTTGTCTTAAGATGTCCTTCTTTTTCAACTCCAAGAAGTTTGGTAATAATTCGTCTTTGGAGGATTTTTCGACCAAATTAGTCAATTCCTTGTTGAATGGTTTCGTGTATGGCATAAGGCCACCATATTGTTGGAATGCTCTGCCGAGATCATATAAATTGTGGACAGACATACCGGAACAGACAATTAACCCAGTCAAGTATTTCTTCTTGGATTCATCCCATAATAATTCATTCTTAAATTTACTCAATGCTTGACCTAATTTGAAGTGTGTTTCGAAATCTTTGTCATTCGAAGTTAAGGACACTTGAATAACAGCAGTTTCTTCTAAATCCAATCCTTTAACTTCTGGTTGAGGTTTGGTTTGCGTGTTGTAGTCACTGAATGCGACTTTAAAAGGAACCCAAGTACCATGGTCAATACCTCTTCCTTTGGAGATTCTGCTGTGGAACTTGTTATTTTCGAGATGTTGTCTGATTTGTTCGGCAACAAACCATGAACCTTTGGTATGGAATTCTTCCTTGTACATGTGGTTAGGGAATCCTCCAAAATCGTAAATCAACTTGTTTTCCCCGTCTTCAGTAGAAGGAACGCTGATTTCAATCAAGTTCGATCCGGATGATTGCCAGTGGGCACTGACAACAATGATATAGTCTGGTTTCCATTGGTTTTTGATCTTGGTTCCGATCTTCTTGACGGTTCTCCATGCACCTTTGTTTCCGAAATCGTCGTCTTCATACATGAAGGTTGGACCTCCATGACTGAAAAAGTAAGCTGGGAAGGGTGTAGGATTCTTGATGTATTTGGCGATTGAACTCATTTCTGTAACTTGTGGTGTAACTTTGGTAGTAAACTGTGGTGCAACGGATATAGCGGGAGTACTAGTAGTAGTGGCTGGTTTGTTACTATAGTAATAGTAGGTGAGTGCAGGTAATAATATGGAAAGGAAAGTGTAGATAAGATTCATAAAGACAGACAACGGATTGATTTATATCAATACCTGCTTACAAACAATAGTTCTACCCTAGTAATATTTATGTAAAGTGTGGTTGCATCATAATGGTACGGTTTTCTTTAGAAAATTATTGATTTACTAATGCTGACAAATTTTATGCCGATCGGCTCATTGTTTTTCCGGTGGGTGGATGGTTCTGTGCATAAATCCGCTAATTCGAGAAATCCGCTACACTAACAACACCATTTTCTGTTAGTAATCACTTTTCTCGTTTAATCTGATAACAAATCGTATTTATAACAGATTAGTAGTTTTGTTGTTTATTATTGTGATTGTGGGTGTTCTTTTTTGTTTTTGCCACCAATTTATAGTCAATTTCGAGATTCTTCCAGAAAATATGCTGTAAACTAGCCTGCCTTTGTTAGTAAAGAAGCTGTCAAGCACTGTCTTTGTGATTCTACTAAATTAAACTTAGCTCTAAACGTGATATGACCATTTTGGGCCATAATCACTTACAGAACCAGCATTTGGTTAGCTTTCTCTGGTCATTTAGTTATGAATTTTGAGATGTCAGCCGTGCAAAAAAAGAAAATCAAAACTATTACGATTCCCCTAGGTTACCGTAAGGATAAACAAACAACCCAAAAATAGAAGCAACTATGCCAGAAAGCAATTATACCCTCATATTGACATAGCAACGTGAAATTGAACCATGGTATGTATGAAATTTAGGTTTAAGCAGCCAGTTTCCAAGTCCAACCAGGGAACAAAATTCCCTTTGGGTAAAAAAATAAGTGCAAAGACTACTCACTTTGAACAAACATTTGCGCAAACATTGATAATGCCAAGAGTATCAGTCTAAGACATGGTTTGACATGGAGCCGCATCAGCCGTTGTTGCTTCGAATTGGCGATGTCAATTCCATGTGATTGACACACACTATGCAGTACTTATTGTTTTACAACTGTTGTTTTTTTTCTTTCCCTTATTGTACTGTCTGAGGTTTCACAACCGTAAATTTCAGGTTGTTTTGAATGACTATGCCCTTTCCCTTCTCGGATTTCCTAAAATTTTATAGTTGTGAACGTTAGTTGTCATCTTGAAAGACCCAGCCACTCCCCTCGATCATTTATACGTTCGCGTTGTCCTAGCACTTCCCCACTAAAATATACAGCCATGGTTAGCCTATTCCGGAGAGTACGTACATGCACACCGTCCCCCTCCACCTGTTTCTTTTTCAACCAAATACTAACATTGTTTTGATTAGCGAACTAGCCGACCTGATTCATACTATGACATGTCGAAATATGCCCCTGAAACAAATAATCGATCATTACCCCAATCCCCTTCCTCGTCGGGATTAGCGGCTGCCACCGCAGCTTTGCGAATGCACAGTCTGCCTGTGTCTTCTTCCCCAGTCAAACAACCACCTGTTCAACGACATCCAGCGGCGGCACCAAGAAGTAATTCCTTGTCCAATAGAAGCAACTCCCTTCGTCAATATACTTATCATCCTAAAGCATCGTATGCCGTGGGACAACCATCAATACCTAACCCGAGAAGGTACAGCAGTTTGACCAATAAAGTAAATTCCACTTATGCCCAATTCGCCCCTCCAGAGGATGATGAAGACATGGAAGAAACAGTAGTCACCACAACAACCACCAAAGTCGTTGATTCTCACGGACGCACCCAGTCAATAACAACAAAGACAGTAACCACCCTTCCGGATGGATCCAACATCATAGAAACAACAACCAAGAATATTCTGAGGACAAGTTCCCGAGCCAATTCCTTGAATTCTGGAGCCAACCTCCGAGTCAATTCCCTAACCCATTCCAATAATCTCGAGAAGATTGACGAACAATTACAGAACTTCGAGTATGACTACCAGGTCGACTCAAGCCATTTGGACTCGCCTGATACGATGTTGAAATTGAACCTTCCTGATAACGCCAATCAATCTACTCCCAAGGAAATCTTGCCTGTCCATTCAGATGAACCTAAGCCAATTGCAAAGACGGACTCAGTCGAGAAACCCAGATCTATATTAAAGAACTCGCAACGACCTCCGATGGAAGAACCATACGACCAGCCACTAAATGACGTTTCGCCAGCATCACCAAGAAGTCTATCCACCCCACCCAACTCAATCACATTCAATGAAAAAGTCAAGACCATCCCTGTTTACACTGAGCATAAAACTCTCAGAAAAGCATCTAAACCACGACCCCAATCCCACGTACCTCCTCCATCATCGCCAAAAACTCCAGTTCCCGATGCCGATTTCTACGCGGCAGCCATGCAAGCAGCATATAAGAAAGTATATGGGGACAGAGTGCCAGATGCGCCTGTTGCAACCGCAGCTCCTCTTACTCCTCCTCCACCTGCAGTTCCTGCTGCTGCTGTTGATGAAGTCGAGCCTGCATCACCCAAGAAATCCAAGTTTGGATTCCTTCCATTGAGTCCGAGAAGAATGTCCATTCTGAAGGAAAAACCAAATATCCCGGTTCCAACCACAATAATTCCTGATCATAAACACGAAGGTGAAATTCCCGACGATTACAAATACCAAGGACATCATCGACAATTTGCAACTCATTCGATGAGGGATAATATTGCCAAGAAGGATACCTCGCGAAAAGAACGACTTAAAGAGGAAAAGAGACAAGCTAAGGAAGAAGCCGATAGACAGAAGCGGGAAGCTAAAGAGAGGGCCGCCCAGGAGAAGAAAGAGGCTAAAGAACGAGCTATTCTTGAAAAGAAATTAAAGAAGGAGCAGGAAGAGGAGAATAAGAGATTAGCCAAGGAGAAAGCCGAAGAAGAGAAACAGTTGGCCAAGGAAAAGGCCGAGGAAGAGAAACGATTAGCAGAAGAAGAAAAGATACTAGCTAAAGAAAGAGCCGAAGAGGAGAAGCGATTGGCTAAGGAGAAAGCAGAAGAGGAGAAGCGATTGGCTAAGGAGAAAGCTGAAGAGGAGAAACGACTGGCTGAAGAAGAAAGGAGAATAGCTAAAGAAAGAGCTGAAGAGGAGAAGCGATTGGCCAACGAAAAGGCCGTGGAAGCAAAGAGACTAGCTAAACAACAGGAAGAAGAAGAGAGACGGATTGTTAAGGAAAAGGAACTTGAACAGAAACGGATTGCTGAAGAGAAGGAGCTTGAAGAAAGACGATTAGCACAGGAGAAAGAGCTTGAAGAAAGACGATTGGCTGAGAAAGAAATTGAAGAAAGACGATTAGCGAAGGAGAAGGAAGAGGAAGAAATTCGGATAGCCAAACAGAGAGAACACGAAGAACAGAAAATGGCAGAAGAACAGAAAATGGCAGAAGAACAGAAACAATTAGCGATCGAGAAGGAACGTGAGCAAATCCGATTGGCGAAGGAAAAGCAAGCGGAAGAAAAAAGGTTGACAAGGGAACAAGCCGAGGAAGAATCCCGGTTGGCAAGGGAACAGTCCGAAGAGCGGAAACAATTAGCCGAGCAACGGAGCTTAGCTCAGGAGGTGAAAGAAGATGAAGAAAACAAGATTGCTCAGGCTGAAGAACCACGTTTATCTGACCAGGATATAGAAGAAGAAATGCCTCGCGCTCAGGAGAAGACAGATGCAGAGAAGCACTTAGCTGCAGAGAATACCCCGGGAGAGCAACCAAGAGCCACGGAAATTTTGCCTGACAAAACTGTTTCACGGGAGAATTCAACCAAGGAGCTGGTTGGAAATTCGCGTACTGAAACTCATAACCAAACATCACAACCAACAACGCCAAAAAAGCGTGGATCAAAGATTTTTAACATATTTGGAAGACACAAGAAATCTGCCAGCACTGCAAGTTCCCATTTCTCTCACCGTACTATCCTGAATCCTAACAATATGGAAAGCGAAACCATCAAACTAACCGAAGAAGCATCCTCTATTCAAAAGTATGAATCGAAGGATGCAACACGAGCCAACCACGAAGTCCAATCCAATAGAGATACAGTAGACAATCCTACTATCAAGTCAGACAATCATGAATACGTCTCTGGTGTTTCTAGTTTTGCTGAATTTGTCGATGTTCACATCACCAATGACCATGACGATGCTTCTTCTATAGCTGAATCCCCTGCTGTGATGGATGAAGTTAAACGTCAATCTACAATTGATGATGTTATTGCTCCTGAACAAAGCGAATTAGAAGCTCCCAAGCTTGACCCTGCAAAGACTCACGATACTGTTTCGTCAACTCAAGAAACTTCGCGACCTTTCTTAACTCCGGCTGGCACTTTGGATGACGTGAAGCTCCAACCTACCAATGAATCCCAAGTGGAAAACGCAATTGAACATGAAGACATTGGTACCTTGACCAAGGAAACCACCGATGAAGACGTTGGTGGCGTCAGCTCTCCTCAACTAACCGAAGTTGAACCTCCACTCGAGAAGACAACTCCGCAAGTAACTGCACAACCTCAGCAATCTTCTCTCACCGATCTTCAACCACCAGCAGAGCCAAAGCTTAAGAATGAAGCTCCAATTGCTAGTGCCGATGACAATTCCACACCTGTTAGCGAGCAAGAATCAACTCAAGGAACCCATTCCACCAATGCTACTGACCATCAGGATCTCGATGACACTGAGGTTACCACCAAGAAGAAGAAGCCAATTGGAAAGTTCAGACGCACAGTTTACAAGTACTTTGTCAACAAGTATTAATTTATTCATAGTTTATGTATTTCGGTTTATGTATTAGTTTATTTAGATATGTGATTGCATTTGAACAAACTAATCACTGGTAATACACCTTTATATAGAACTTTAAGTCAACAGTTATATATGCCACACTACGCTACCAATTTTGCCAATGATGTAATAACCAAGTTTTTTTTTTTTTATTTTGTGGCTGATTAGATTGTAAGGTTGACAAACAAATCTGAAAGTGTTGCCAAATTACAACAACAACAATGGCCGACCTTATAAAAGACCTAAGAACAACAATGATACGGGAAAACCCTGCCAGACCAGATAGTCTGTCTAGCACGAATGATCTGGTTTTCTCAAACAACCAAACAGATGCAACTTCTACAAGTTCAACTGTATTACCTGTCATCCAGCAAGATCCAGAAGTTGCCAAAGCATTTGCAGATATTTGTATGGCATGTCGTACTGGAGACATTGAAGTTGTAGACTCCTTGCTTTCTACGCCCAATCTAGATATCAATCAAGTGGACGAGTACAACTATTCACCATTGATCTTGCTGTCTTTGTGCGGGCATTACCCCATAGTGGAATTGTTGCTTCAACGAGGTGCTGTTTGTGACAGAGATACTTTCCAAGGTGCGAGATGTATCTACGGGGCATTGACTGATGAAATTAGGGATCTTTTGGTGAGTTTTGATATTTCGAAAGCGGTGGATTCAACACAACCTTTTGCTGCACATATTGCATCCTTGTTGAATCCGTTAGTTACCAATACCAGGGATGTGGCGTTCCAATTCAAGAGCGCTTCTGGCGAATTGACATCTTTCAAGTTGCACCGATTTTTACTTGCCGCTAGATGTCCGTATTTTAGAGAGCAATTGTTGAATGACGGCAAATGGGCGTATTTGACAGTGGTTAATATGCCGGAGAGTGTTGACCCGCTGGCATTCAAAGTTATTATGGATTATATATATCTCAGAACTGATTCCATTGCCATTGATGATACGCTGATTCAAGCCCAGTTGATTGAATTGGCGAGAAAATACAAGCTTCCGGATTTGTTAACAGGAATCGAGAAAATCAAACAGTGTAAAGACGATAAAGAAAGGGCAAAGGTAAAGCATGACTTGGCATTTCAGTTTGTGGAAACAGCAAGAGGTAACCTTGATGAATATCTTGATAAATATGTATGGAACGAGAAGATGGTATCTCCTATGGATTTAGAGGAAGATGTTGATATTGATGATATTAATAGTGAAGAATTTATTACTGAAGAGCAAAGATCTACACTTTTAGAAGCTGATTCAATCCCGGATATCATTCTATCATGTATTGATTCTGAAACTGAATCTGTTGTTTACTACCCTGTAAACAAATCTATTCTTGCCAGATCTGAGTATTTCGATACTATGTTCAAATCAGATATTTTCAAATATTCTCAAGAAGATATCCCAGTTTACAAGGACAAGATCCAAGATCAAGAGATCATCAATAGGCCACAACTTCAACTGGAACATCTCCCTGTTGTGCAAATAACTACAACTACTACTAATCAGAATGTAGCCCAAATGATCTTGTCCTATTTGTACCATGATGATGTGAAACATATTCCTTTGCCATTAACGATTGAGCTATTGCTAGGTGCTGATGAGTTGTTTTTAGAACGGTTAAAGACAATGTGTGCAGTTAATATTTCATCACAATTCAATTCATTTACATTTGATGAACTCCTCGACCTTAAACTAAAGTTAGGATATAATGCGTATGATTTAATAAGAATAGCGTGGCAAACCAGGTGTGATAAGTTGGAACAACATCTTACAAAAATGATAGCGTACAATCTTCATAAACTCTTTCAAGTTGAAGAAGAACGTGAAGAGTTTGCTAAGCTAATTGAAGAGTCTGCCGCCAGGATTAAGGAAAGACATGAAACCGATACTATTGAATTAATTGATGATATTCGTTATTACTTGTCGAAGAAATACGCTGTTCATACTGAATTTCAATCGCTTGATCCAGCCATGAGTTTTAGAGATCCTGATGCCAAACCAGCGGAACATATCCAACTTTATAAAACCGCATTAATGAATTACGACAAGGACATTGAGATCATTGACTATTTCTTACTGGAATTACAATTAGATGCATAAACCTTGTATTTGTATAGGATTGAATATTATCACGTGACAACTATTTTTGCAATGAAAAAAAAAATTGTATAGAGACGAGATGAGCAGAGATTTGGAGAGATCATCTTATCTACTAAGAACATTTAAACTTCAAGAAACATGGCAGATAACAACCCCGATGGTGGTGTATCTGTAGATACACTTATCCTTGACGATAAACTTGCCAGAATAAGAACCCAAATCAACTCAAAATTGGACAATCAGAAGCATTTAGCCATTATTTTGTCAGCCGTTGATGAAAATATTGAAGAACAAAAAAACGAAAAGACTCCTGTTGCATACTTTGTCTCCTTCTTGAGTTTATTAGACCAATGTATTCAAGATGATCAAATTGTTGATACCAGTTTAGCCACCACTACTGCTTATTTCTTGGATCTTGTATTCCCATTCACCCCAAAGGCATTATTGAAAGCCAAGTTTAACCAGATCTTAGCCAAGTTGGCACAACCTTTAACTCATCCAGATGCTGAGGCTCCTTTGGTCAGATCAACAATTGGTGCGTTGGAAAGTTTGTTATTAGCACAAGACCAACCACAATGGACTTCTAGCAGTGCTATTTCTCCAAAGAGAGCATTTTTAGGGTTGGTGGAATTATCATTCGATCACAGACCAAAAGTAAGAAGAAGAGCACAAGAAGCAGTCAACAAGATTTTGTCTAACCCACCTGCATCACCTTCTCCTATCCACCCTGGTGCTTCATTAGCTGCCGATGTTTCTTTAAAGAAGTTGAGAGAATTATTGCAACAATTCAGAAGCCAGAAAAAGAAGGACAACAAAGAGTTGAATTCTACAATCATCCACTGTTTACAATTAATCACCTCTATCACTTCATCAAATGCTTGGCCCTCAGCACAAATTGAATCCTTGTGTGATGTGTTGTTGGAAATCTCAAAGACTTCTGATCAATATTTGGTTTCTTCAGCATTTGGTGCATTTGAAGGGTTGTTTAAATCAATGACTAGTATAATTGACGCGGATAAGTTTGCTAATGTGTTGAACATAATCTTTGATTTGAAACCACCGGTAAATGATACCCATTTAGCTGCCTCTTGGTTAGCTGTCATTGCCAAGGCGTTAGAGAGCTTTGCATCTGTAGCTCCTCAAGTTTGTATCGAAAAATTACCAACCATTCTTCCAACCGTGGCTAGTTTCTTGGGAGCAGACTCCAAAGACACTTACACTTCTGCTTCTCAATGTTTGATTGCTATTGTTACCCAAACCATTCCTGATAACTTCTTGTTGCAACCTTCCCAAGATAATGGAATCACTGGTGAAATTTACGAATTGGTGGACGAAACAGTTACTTTCATTAGTGAACTCATTGAAAAAGAATTATTCTCAATCAAGTATCAACATGCCACTAAGGAAATTCTTGAATTTGTTATCGGTGCCACTTTGAAATTGAGATCCAGAGCTAACCCTGACTTCCTTTCTATCCTTGAAACTGTGGGTCAATGGAGAACCAACGAAGCTGAGAACTTCCCTCACAATAAAGAAGCCGAACAGTTGATTGCAGCTTGTATTTCAACCATGGGTCCTCAAGTTGTATTAAGTGTATTACCTTTAAACCTTACCGGTGGAGACCAACCAGGAAGAGCATGGTTATTGCCTTTATTAAGAGACAATGTCAGATTTGCTGAATTAAACTTTTACAAGTCTGAAATCTTGCCACTCGTGGAATTCTTTGACAATAAGATCAAGCAATCAACCAATAAAGAAAGTGTCAACAATAAGATTTTTCAAACTATTATTGATCAAATTTGGTCTTTGTTACCACATTTCTGTGACTTGCCTCGTGATTTGACTACTGCATTTGATGACTCGTTTGCTGCTCAGCTTTCTGATTTAATGTATGCTCATGTCGACTTGAGAGTTCCAATTTGTCACGCATTGAGATTATTAGCTGAATCTAACGTTGCCTACCAAGAAGGTGCCTTGAATGATGATTTGTTGATGCAACAAGAATTCCCAATCACTGAAGCTACCAACAACATACAATACTTATCCTCAAAATCTTCAAACATCTTATCAGTGTTGTTTAACGTTTTTTCTTCAACTTCTCCCGATTCAAGAGGATTTGTTTTGGAAACTATTGAAGTCTATTTACAAATAGCACCAAAGGATGAGTTGGCCACTACTTTCGATAAAGTCTGTGGATTGTTAAAGAATGCTATGGACGAAGAAGCTTCCAAGCCTGAACCAAAGGGAAACCAAACTCAAGCCAAGTTGAGTATCACCATGATGGATTTAATTGTGTCTATGGCTAAATATGTCCCGGTTTCTTCTCACAATGCCTTGTTTGCAATCTTCTCATCCACTGTTGTCTTGAAGGATAATGCATTAATGCAAAAGAGATCTTATAGAATTATTTCCAAACTTGCTGAAACTGATGCTGGTAAGGCATCAATTTTGAATTTCATTAGAGATATTGAAAATGTTGTAATTCAAACTACTGAACTTACCCACAACTCAGCCAGATCAGCCAGATTGACTGCTGTTTTATTGATCTTGGAAGTTTTGCCTCAATCAGATTTATATTTCGTTCCTGCCATTTTACAAGAAATCATCATGGCCACTAAAGATGTCAATGAAAGATCAAGAGAGTTATCCTATCAAATTCTCATAAAGATGGGTCACAAGATGAATGAAGGTGGTATCATTGAAAACTCCAAGGTTCCGGGTTTTGACGCCGATGCTCCAAATTCTCAAGCTTCCTTGACTGAATATTTCACCATGGTTAGTGCTGGTCTTGCTGCTCAAGCACCTAGTATGATTTCTGCCACCATCACTGCTATTTCCTGTTTAATCTTTGAATTCAAGGATGTTTTGCCTACCGAAGTTCTTTTGGAAATTGCGTCTACTGTTGAATTGTTCTTGACTCATAACTCTCGTGAAATTGCAAAGTCTGCCATTGGATTCGTTAAAGTTGAAGTCTTGTCCTTGCCTGAAGAGATGGTGAAGGCAAATTTGACTGAGCTTTTAGCTAAATTGATGAGATGGTCTCATGAACACAAGGGTCATTTCAAATCTAAAGTCAAGCACATTTTGGAAAGATTAATTAGAAAGTTTGGTATTGAAGAAGTCGAACAAGCTATCCCTGAACAAGACCGTAAGTTGATCGCCAATATCAAGAAAGCTAGAAACAGATCTAAGCGTAAGCAAGAAGAAGCCGGCGAAGAAGCTGCCACTGCTACCACTTCCGCTAACCCTGAAAAGAAGTTCATGTCTGCTTATGAAGAAGCCTTGTATGATTCTGATATTTCTGATGAAGATGAAGTTGACATTTATGACGAAGATTTGAATAGAAGAAAGAAGGGTACAGGCAAGGGTAAGTCCAACCAATTCATCTTGGAATCCGGTGATGAACCATTGAACTTACTTGATCGTCAAGCATTGGCCCACATTTCTTCGTCTAAACCAAAGAAATTTACTAAACAAGATGTCTCTTCTAAATCTTCTGAATTCAAGACTAAAGACGGTAAGTTTGTGTTTAGAGAAGATGCCCAAGAAGAAGATCCATTGGCTGGTAAGAGTTCTGGAATTGATGCTTACTTGGATGCTGTTAAGCAAGCTCCAGTAAGAGGCCAAAGAAACAAGTTGAAATTCAAAAAGACTAGAGACGACGAAGAAACTTGGTCTGATGATGAAGAGGATGCAAGACCTGTTAAGAATAAGGGGAAAGTCCATGGTAAATCCAAGGTTTCCAAGCCTAAGCAAAAGTTTAAGGCAAGAAAGAAGCTTTAGACAGTTGGTTGTTTTATTGTATAGTAGTTTAAGTATAATAGAAATGTTACAGTTGGTAAGAGTAGTGATCACGTGAGCAGTCTTTAAATTTTTTTTTTTTTGTTCTGCACCAATTTTTCAATGTAAAATTTTCAAAGAGTATCAGTACGATCCAACTAATAAGCAAACAACAGTAATGACAGGGTGGAGTGGACCTACTACTAAGATAGCTAAGAATGCTAATCGTATAAGATTGGCCCGTTTTGGAAGAAAACATCAACCATTTTATAATATCGTTGTGATTCCACGTTATAAAGCCAGAGACAGACTTCCAATTGAAGTTCTCGGTACTTATAATCCAATTCCAGTACCTAAAATACCTGGATCTCAAGAGAAGAGCACCAAGGAAATCGAGTTAAACATGCAAAGAACTTTATACTGGCTCGGTGTCGGTGCTGAGCCAAGTGATAGAGTATCTTGGTTACTCAAGAAGGCCGGTATCTTACCTGAAGAATGGCCAAAGGCACCTGTCACCAAAACCGTTGCTCCAAAACCAGTTGTTAGCGAACCAAAGACTGTTGTTGAAGAACACGTTTCCTCTATAAGGGAGAGATAAGGGAGAAATAGATTTTCTTGTACATATAATTAGGATATTTTTATTAATATACATAGCATTTTAGTAGCCATTACATTTCCAATGAAAGAAATGCAGTTTGGAAGAAGATTTGTGGAATCCAAGTTTTGCTTTGAAGAAATTTTTTACGAGTTTCTTGAATCTAGGCTTATGGGCCGATGGCATACGTATATCTGGAAGGCTTTCTTCAATTTCCGTGTTGCCTTGACTTTCTTCTTCTTCTTCTTCTGCTTCCTCTGCATTCCCTCTAAAGTAAAACTCATCAACCCAATCAGGGATATCGGAATCATTCTCCATATGAAACCTAAAATTCTCATTGCGGTACAATAATGGTTCCAAGTCACTATTTTGAATAATGGTCTCCTTGGTTCCATTAACAATGCCACTATCAATTGTCTGGCAAATTTCATAGTAATCTTGAGTAATCTGTCTATAGGCACTCCGCTCTAAGTTTTCATATGATTTTAAAGAAATGAATTTAATAACCAGCCGATAGATTGAGTCAACTTGTTTAATAAACTTTGCAGTAATTTCTGGAGTATGTTTTGAAACCTTGTTGAAGTTGGTTGACAAAGCAGCAAAATCAGTTATACAATTAGCAGCCACAGCCATTGACTTTGCGTGAACAAGTTCTGTCTCGACATATTGGAATAATTCTGGGGTAGGTGTCACCGTGTTGAAAACCTTGAGCATAGTGTCGTTAGCCACTTTGTGTCTTTGTCTGCAAAGGAAGTAAGTGAATCTGCTGTCGTCAACGAATTGGAAAATAGTGGAGTTGGTTTGTCGTTTAGCATTCGAGATAAGAATTGAATCTTTGACACAGTCGTTTAATGAATGTATAGTACGAATCCGTAAACTATTCAATGTCTCCACGATATTCAATGTTACTTCTGCGCTAATTGTAATACCAAACAAGTTTGCTGTATGATAAACAGTTTCAACCATACTTTCAACCATTTTCCATATGGCTTTCTCAGAACTTGACATCTCGCTACTCCAAATGTCAACTTGACGTAATAAGCTGTCAACAACAAGAATTGTAAGGATTTTGTTCAAGCGGCTATTGGTAAGATAGTTCACAAAACTTGGTGTTAATAATGGGTCTTTTTCAACAATCTCCTTCAGGGAATCAATCAAGTTAATGACTCTTTCACTATGAATGAGGGTGGTATTTGGGTTTTCAATGTATGGACCTTCATCTAGTAGCAATGTGATTTTATTAAAATTTACAACCAACTTTGTTTCTTCTGATTGATAAACCTTGAATGAAGTGACGGAACCTAAAGAAGACGTGGTATGTAGGGTTGTACATGTTGGATTGAAATCCGAAGCATACGTTGTCCTTGACCTGGTATCAACCTCCTCTTCTTCCACAATCATGGTGTAGCAGTATAACTTTAAGTTGGTTGCAAAAAAAAAAATGCCTTTCTAAATATCTACAATAATCTCAACTTGTGCACAAAAATCGTTAGATATGAATATTATAATGAAATTAAATACTATTATATAAAAGTTTCATTCTAATCAGTTTAATCGAATAAACCGAAACCCATGTCATCATCAGATTCTTCAGCTTCTTCAGCAGCAGCTTCTTCAGCGGCACCAGATTCTTCAGCACCGGCAGAGGCAGCAGCAGCAGGAGCAGCAGCGTAAGCTTCTGGGTTAGCCAATCTGTCCTTAACAGCTTCAGAACCTTCGTAAGTGTAGTCAGTGGCAATAGATAAAGCCAAGACGTTCTTGTAGTTGTTGATAAGGGAGTGACCAACGGATGGTAAGGTTGGGTAACCAACAGCCAAGGAGATAGAAGCGATGGCGTTGATAGCAGAAACGAAGTGACTGATCAATTCATCATCGGTAATATCCAAGATGGAAGATGGGAAGACTTGACCGTTGTCGTAAACTTGAACAACAGTCATACCATAGGTGAATGGAGAGATGTTCAACATGTTCAACAAGGTAGCTTCGGAAGGACCGACCTTTTGGTCAGCTTCAACAACCTTAACATCGGAAACAATTTCAATAGTACCTCTGGCAATCTTGGTTGGGACACCTAAAGCTTGGAAGAAAGAGGTCTTACCTGGTTCCATACCAGTGTTACCGGCTGGGATCCAGACATCTAATGGAGCAACGGCACCGGCTCTGGCTGGAGCAGCAACAACGTTGGAAACAACGGTGTCTCTGATGGTCTTCAAGTCAGCGTTGGTGAAAATGAAACCAACGTTACCCTTAACGAAAGGTAACAACTTTTCAAATTCTGGCAATTCAGACAAGAAACCTCTGATGGCTCTTCTGACCATGGTGTTCTTACCCATCAAAACGACGGCATCACCTCTCAAGGCCTTTCTGATTTCATGCATTTGTTGGGAAGAAACATTGTCGACACCAACAACGAAGATAGACTTGTATTCTTCTAACAATTCTCTCAACTTGGAGAAGTATTGGACTTTCTTATCACGAGCACCACCCATTTCGACTTGTATTTATGTTATTGACGATAGGAATTTAATGGAGTCAAAGTTAATTTCTAAGAATAAGACCAATATAGTTTTGATAAAAGAAGATTTTGAAAAATTGTTTGGTGACAAGCCCCAATGTGCGCCCACTAGAGTGCGAAAAAAAAAAATTTTTTTTTCCTAAAAGAAATGACTAGGTATTGTGCCCTAATTTTTGGCACGTGACTATGGTTTTGTGACATGCCCATAGGTCAATACTTCTTGCAACATGTTTGTATAATTGGTAGTTAGTTGTACATATTCATTCTATTTAGTATTAAGTAAACTCTAGCTTTATGTGCCCGATTTTATAATCTTGAATCATAGCCAAATCTGGCATTTTAAAAGTCCCTGTAAAATCTAACAATTCTACCAGTTGCAAACTCTTGGGAAGTTTCCAACTTGGTTCAATCATAACACCAGGACATTTCAAGTATAACTTTTTCAAGTTTTTAGGAAGTTCAAACAGATCATTTAGCTTAAAAAATCCAAAATCAGTAAACAGTTCTGGGTATCTATACACTACTGTGTCATTGGTGCTACCTCTTTGAAATGATGGTTTGCAGTTTCTAAAACTTAGATCAGTTAACGATTGAGGTAGTGCAGTATTGAAAAAGTAATAGTAGAATAACTTTCCAAAATAGCCTGATATGTGTAGTGCAGTCAAGCATGAGAACTTGTTACTAGTATTGAAGTCTAGGAACAGGTCGATTTCACAATCGCGAAATACTAATGTTGTCAAATGTTCTGGGAATCTAAAGTATCCCATATCTTTAAACTTCCCTCCTTTAAATTCAATTTCAGTTAGCAGACCGCTTGGTCTAATATTCAAGTAAGTATCTAAAGGTAATAAACTTCTCACCTGCAATTGTTTTACTTGAGGGGGTAGTTCTAAATCATATGTTGGAAGATGGAGGATAGCAGAACTCAAAAGAGATACATAATTTAGTCTCTTGGGAAGATATTCAATATTATAATGTAAAAGCTCATTCAGAGAAAAGCTTCTTAGGTTCTTGAGTCTGGCAAAGAAAACAGCACTATCCATTACTTTTGCTTGAGGTATTTCCAAATGTTGTATACTGGGTTGAAATTGTACATCATCACATTGACAAAGCACAGTGTCATGTTTGTATTGCTGGGAATAGATATTGTAAGGATAGCGTTGGACCTGTTTCATTTTAAACCAATGTGGACTATGTTCTCCGTCGTATTTTTCTTCGCATATTCGTACTCTTTTCACTCTAGTCAACAACGTATCATGAGTTTGATGCATTGCAATCAAATCATCGAGGTTATCAAACGAGATTTCATCTGGTATGAAATTGGGATAAGAATTGAGAAAGTTAATTAGACTTTGTCTGCTTCCAAGAACTGCGTACTCGCCAAAATTAAGTTCAAAGGGATTGACTATATCATTGGAGTATGAGTTCAGAGACTGATTTGGTATCCTGCTTTGGATGCTTATCTTTTGGTAGTACGCACAGAATGCATGGCTGATTGCCCAATTATTTTTAAAGTGTAATAGTTCGAGAAGGATATCTCGAGGGAGTAAATCTATAATCTTCTGGATTACTTCATGAGGGAGATCTGAGAGTGTAACAGATATCATCAGGATGAAGAAGTAATATGTTTTAGCCAGAAATAAATTGATTCTCAAGAATAAATAAGGAAATCGCCTGATGGGATAAAAAGGGCGGGTTTGTAAATGACCTCGGGAAACCTAAATTGTAGCCGAGATCTACGGGCTCAAAAGTTTTTAGATTTCTAACTAAATATAAAAATAATAATGGAGTGACTAATCTGGGGAAGGAAGGGGGGGGTATATAAACTACAGATGCACTAGTACATTAGACAACTTACATGGTCAGGAGATGGCTGCAATGAATGACGTGACTTTTTTTTTGGTGTATTGTTTTTAGCTGCAAAAAAAAAAATAAAGGTTCGTAGTGTGTTTCGTTGGTAGAACCCTGTATGCGGTTCAAAAAAAGATTGCCCTATATTTCAACTTCACCCATTAGTTCTGCTATCTATTCACTTTCCCTTTTATTGTCTGCTTGACTAGTGCTTCCTCCTTGGGGCTCGGCAGTAGCGTACTTTTGTACTGGTTACTTCTTGTTTTTCTGTGGATGATACTGATGTCATTTTGCTAGTAGTTTCATCTGTTGTTTCACTGGAGGTTTCATATTGTGTGTTGCTAGTTGTGGCAAGCGTAGTTTCGTCTTGTGTGTTACTAGATGCAACAATAGTAGTTTCGTCTTGTGGGTTACTAGTTGTGGCAATAGTAGTTTCGTCCTGTGGGTTACTAGTTGTGGCAATAGTTGTTTCATTTGTTGTGCTAATGGTGGTTTCCTCTTGAGTTTGGCTGGTAGGCAGTTCTGTGTATGCATTTGATTCTTGTTCGGTGGTTGTTTGTTCATGTATATCACAAACGTTCTTCCAACATTGAAGTGGGGAGTCATGTAAATCGCCGAAATCATCTGGAAGACATCCATGTGTATAGGAAAATGGAATTCCATTCCAATTATATTCAATTGTAAATGGAGTGGTACAGATATACTGATCAATGTTTTGTGTCTTCATAATCCAGACTAAGTAGAAGTGGTAAGGTGAGTTTCCGACATACGCATCAAGTTGAATACTACTCAAATAATCGTCAGGTGTTTGCAAGTAGTAAGCAAAAACAGCATGCAATTCACTTTTTGGAATGGTATCTTCAATCTCAAATTCAAGTGTAACTTCATATAAATCATCTTGGATAAATTTAATAGATTCAAAGTTGAAAGTCTTAACCTTTGGGTAAGTGGATTCTGAGAGAGCGTGTGCACCAATAGGGATATCACAGACACTGTTACCATTCCACAGCGTGGGGCAGGCTGTTGGGTCTGGCATTGACGGTAAGTTTGTACGTGGTGGATTAATAGTTGAGGGTGTTGGTTCCTGATATACGGTACTAGATTCAGGTTTTGCCGATGTCAGAACGTCTTCTTCTTCAGTGGTGGTTTGGGCAAGCGGCTCACAGACCTCTTCCCAACACAAAAGTGGTAAGTCACCAACTCCATCGAATACATCACATCCATGTGCATATGTAGCTCCTACTTCTTGCCAAAGATATGAAATCTCAAATGGTGTGGTACATGTAAACTCGTTGATCTGTTGCATTTCCATTACCCAGGAATAGTAGAAGTGGAAAGGTGAGTCTCCAACAAGATCGATACCATCATCTTGTTGTGGATTATAGAGGTAATCACCAAAACTGTAACCACCTGGCATATGAAGGTTTCCCACATATATATGTTTCAAATGGTCTTTCGGGTATACACTACCATCAACTTTGAATTCAAAAAGAACTTGATACAAATTTCCAGTCAAATATTGTATAGATTTAAATTCAAATATTTGCACTTCTGGATAATTTGCATTTCTTGCGTGTTCTCCAACATCGTAAGCACAAACACTATTGCTGGTCCACAGGCTTGGACAATCTATTGGTGATGGTAATACAGGCAAGTCTGTTCTTGTAGGTTCAATGGTGCTAGGGGTGGCAACTACATTACTTGTACCTTGTGATTGTGTTGTTTCAAAGGATTCTGTGCTAGCTTCAAGATTTTGTTGCGAGCTAGTTTCAAGGTTCTGTTGGGAACTAGTTTCAGCAAAGTTAGGCTTATCCCAACATTGAGCTGGGAGATCAGTTAACTCATCGGAGAAACAACCATGTTGATAAGTGGCAAAATATGTATCCCAATCATAGTAAACTTGGAATGGGGTCGTACACGTGAGTTGATCGATATCTTCAGCTTCCATTACCCAGGTAAAATAAAAGTGGAAGGGTGAATCACCAAGAAGGTTTTGTTCCCACGATTCAACGAAAAGTTCGACACTTCCAAGATAATAATCTGGGGTTTGTAAGGAGAAGATATATATTGCTCTCAATTCAGATTCGGTATATGAATTACCGTCAATTTCGAATTCAATCATTACTTCGTAGAAGTTATCTTCGATCCATTTAATGGATTTGAATTCAAATATCTTTAGTTCTGGTTGGTTGTTTGCTTTGGATAGAGCACCAAAAGGAGAATCACAAATACTATCACCATTCCACAGAGGTGGATAAGTAGATGATGGTTCTGGTAAGTCGGTATATGGTCGACTAACAGTCACTGGCCCGGTGTCGGCAGCAACCATAAGTAGCATTTGGAATAGTAAGTAGCAAAAACATAAAGTTTGTCGCATTGTAAGTAATAGTTCAGCTGCAAAATCAAAATATGGTATGAAATGACTAATAAAAATTTGAAAATTTAGCAGATCGTGCTCTTATATATATAGGAGTTTAGAAATTGAAATGGTAACATTATTAGTACGGATGTATTCGAGAATGGATGCAAGAAAACTTCTTTCGTTCCAATTTTTATTTTTTTTTTTTTGCTGCAACTTTTAGACGAGGATCTAGTATCCAATAATGGAGCACTTTAACCATATATTAACATAAAATATTGTCCTTTAAAAAGGAGGCTTGTACATAAAACGAACCCAAATCCGGTCAATGTCGCTTACGTGTAAGTTTGAATGGATAATCTGTAAAAGAAGAATGCTAATCAAAAATTGTTATTGTGCTAACAATATCAGTCCATTCTCGGGTTTACTACCATCAGCACTTTGTATGGTTTGTGGGATACATCATGGTGTGTAAACCCCAGCTGCAAAAAAAAAAAGTAAATAGTCAATAGCATGAATATATGTTTGGAAATTCTTGGCATCAATATTTTCTGATAAAATAAAAATAGTCCATCACTCCGTCAAACTTGGCATATGGAACGGGAGCCCAGACAGATTTATGCATTAAGTTGCATCAAAGACTGAGGTAAATATAAAACTGGAAAAAGCCAATTATACTGACATGAGTATATGAGCTAGTATCGATTTTACTGGCCAGGAATTTAGTGGTATAAGCATGTCAAAAAGTGGTGAATCTGCAAATTACAAGTTCTAAGAATTGATTGGGGAATCACTTGTGAATAATGCTGTACCTAATTATTTAGTTTAGTTTCCCTCGTATCTCTGCCTTACATTAGAAATATGCAGGTACATGCACACTACTGCATGGGGTTATTCGTGTGCGAATTTTGATGTCTAAGATATGTACTCAACCCCCCGGGAGTGCCGTGGCTGATACACGAATTGCTTACCATGTACGACTATGTGTTCTGCTGCGATAATCAAACAGTGAAGTTTTTCTTCTTGTAATCGAATTGGAAAAATATAATTCGCCCCAACCAAGTCAAGTTGCACGGCAAAACGAATGGTATCTCTTACAAATCGAGGTAGTCCATCTTTTGCATATGTATTTACAAATCTATTGGGTGGATTTTTTTTAAATATCTGGACATATCTATCGGATGTTTTTTTGTCGATGATAGTCTAAAGAAATCATGCAACTATGATCAATATATCTGGCCTTGAAAAGGTCAAGGATAAGCGAACCACTCAGACCAATTTATTAATTCTTTGGCGTTCTTTTCCAGGTGAGGTATTGCATCGTTTAGTTTTTATGTAAATAATTGCATAACCTTTACAATTGAAGGTTTTGGTGACGAAGTATTTTTTGTATATTTGCTAAATTCAACCTTGAAGTAAAATGGTAAAATTCGTATATGAGACGGAGTCGGAATTATACTACTTCTAAATTTAACTCGCCTGTCATTCCTAATTAATATACCTGCACATGTTTGACGTTTTCGGGTTTACTGTTATGACCACAACTTGTATAACCTGTTCCTAGCCTTGAACACTAAACAACTAATGATTAAGTTTCAAGCACTATAAAAAGTTCATTAGAACCAAACTAGGTTGGTATCACTTTTTGGTTATATAAATAGAAAATTATTTATTAAATGCAATAATACAACTGTCTTACAATCTATTTAACCGTAGCCTCTGTTTTCGTAGTCGGAGCTGACAAAAGTGTTCTTTAAATATTCATTCCAGATCTTTCCTAACTTTTCATAATCAACTTTCTCTTTACCATTCTTTTTCTTCTTGGACTTTCTCTTTTTACCAGCTGCTTCAGCTTCATTGTTTTGGTCCTTGATTGGCTTTCCTAATTTACGACCATACTTGATCCATTCATCGACAACCAATGAGTCCATTTTGTACAAGTCGTCAGTAGTGGAGTATTCAATTTCATAGCCAAAGTCCTTTTTCCCCAGGTTTATATTCTCCAAATCGGCATAATATTGAACATAACGTTCAGGAGTAAATGTTTGTTTAACATATCCAGGACCAAGTTCTTTATCCTCGGGCATTGGAAGTGGGAAAGTCTTGTCTCTGTTTTTCTTGCCAAAGATACTAAAGAATGAGTCGTCTTCTTCGGCTTCTGGTTCTGTATCGTACTTATCAAATGATTCCAACATTTGGTCTAAGCCAGTAAAGAATTCATTCCAAGGGGCAAACTTGACACCGGCAAGATCTTCAGCCAAATTGGTGATATTATATTCCCATACTCTAAGACCAGGGTTGAATGTAGGAATAACTGATGCAGTAACATGGGCAATCGAATAACGCTCAGAAAGGTATCCTGATTTTCTCTTTCCTTTGATGTCAGCATACAAGGTTTCTCTAAGAGTTTCCATATATTTCACTTTACCGTTTGGAACACCACCTTGAACACGGAAGAAGTCCTTGTCAAAGTTTTCATCAAATACTCGGTAGAAGTTTGTTTCTTCGAGTGGAGCAGTATAGTCATCATCGAAATCAGAGTCATAATCTGAATCATACACTGAATCATCAAAGAATTCAGCTTCAAATTCATCAATGCTGTTCTTTTTAGACTTCTTTTTGCCTTTACCTTTGCTTTTTGATTTCTTTCCCTTCTTCTTCTTTTTCTTCTTGTCCTTGTTGGCATTATCTATAGATTTATAAGCAGCCACCGAATCCAAAGGAATGAAATGATCCAAGTTCATATGACCGTAAAGACCACCAATGATAATATCTCTATATTCATGCATCCACACAATATATTTTCTCAAACAAGAAATATCGAAATTCTTTTCATTAGGAGGAACATGTCCAGAAAGCCAAACTTTCATATTTCTAGCTCTCATTTCTTTCAAAGTATATCCTAACCATTCAAACAATTTATAACCTGGCTCCTTTTTCTTGTCACAATTGTCCACTAAAGGATTAGATTGGAAAAGGTATAATGTGTTGATAGAAAGGACAGCCAACTTGTTTGGAATCACTTCTTGGAAGAAATAGGCACCTCTATTGAATGTATGCAATTGTTCAGGGGGGATGAATTTTTGCCAAATTCTGTATAATTCTCTGGTTTGTAAGGTTGGTCCCGGACTAAACAAATTATGAGGATAAACATCATTGTTTCCCAAGGAAGGAACCAAGTCAACATCAAGTCCTGGGGTGGAGTCGTTTTTCTTGAATACTTCATACATTAAATCACTAACGTGTTGGTTCATGTCGAAAATTTGTGATTCAGTTCTAGGGTATTGTCTATCGTTATCATGACGAACATTATCCCCGGTCCAAACGACAAAATCAATCTTATCCTTAAGGTTTTCCTTAATCCAGGCAATGGTATCGTCCATTAAAATCATAGGTGCATCACATCCCAAAATGGCATCACCATACTTTCCTGCAGTTCCTTTACCTGCGTGACAGGCTTCGTCAAGAGATGAGCCAGCCTTGTAGTAAGGGTCAGGATGGATGTCAGTGATGTGTAAGAAACGACCATGGATTATACGTTCTCCCTTTTCATTAGTGACTATCTTAACTTGAGGTTTAGGGGTGAGTCCCAATTTCTTGATGTCTTTGGTTTGTTTATCGGTTAATGGTATTGTTTCTATGGAAATGTATGGGGAAGTTTTCTTGTGAGATGGGGCATTTTGAAAATTGGTAATGGAACTGGTTGAAGGAGGGTAGTAATAGTGTAATGGTATTAATATCAAAAGTAACAAGAAGGTAATGGATATCCTTTTAAGAAAAGAAGATCTTGAAACCTTTGATTGAATGGACTCAGTCTTTTCGTCCATGGTGTGGGATTATTCTATAAGTCTATGAGTTATAAGAAGGAGGGTCCCTATCCTTAGCAAATGTGCAATCTATTTATACTAACAAGTTAAGTTGTGAAACTAAGTAGTGTCTAGCAATGAACAACTGGTTGCTTGCAGCAGCAAAGGTGGGGTTTTAGTGTGTTGCTATACAGCGCTGGGGGGGTGGAGATGGAAGTAGTAGCTGTGAAAAAAGATGAGCCATAATTGCTAGTGAGATTCTGAGAGTCCAGCAGAAAGAAAAAAAAAAAAAAAAAAAGGGAAAGCCGCTGTAGGAGAATGAAATGGAAACCATGCACGACCTCAATTAACTACGTTAAGTTCGTAATCCCCATCATGCACGTGCTTAACTGATCACTGAAATTTACAACTAAAAAGAAATCGAACAAAACAAACGACTAGTGATCTAAACATGTGGAGAAACAATGAGGAAGAGATTTCTTTCTTACGGCTGATAAAGTGGTTTCGAATAGAATGCATGTTCCACAACGTAGCATATGCATAAAAAAAGCTATATGCATCATTCGAAAATATAAATGTTTAGTATGGATGTTTAATAGCTCTCTTTTTTACCATTTAAACTAGTAATATTCGATCACGTGATAAAGGTCTAGTGACTAAAGTCGCACGATTAATAAAATGAGGCTGCAGAAGCAGTAAAGGAGTAGCAATTAAAGGAAACCAGGACTAGAGCAAAGAACAGTTCGCATCATCATTTGAAACTCGTACAATAAAGGGGAACTCATTTGGAATTCCTACAATAAAAGAAATTCATATTCACGAAATATACAATCATATCGGATCATAACGTAAGCTTTTGTTTACTGTTCGCGTTCCATCACCAAAGTAATACCCTATTTTCTTCACATAATAAACAAAAAAGTACTAGTATGTACAATTTCTAATCAATCAAAATGTGAGATTCTTGCCTAATTGGGATATTGTGATTGTTCTTTTTAATTTAGTTCTAGATTTCTTAACACCTAAGTTGACGCGATATATATATATATATATATATTGAATAAACAATCAAAGAGCCAAGAAATATCGCGTAATCATTAAATTACTCTTCTGTATATGGTTATGTTTACCTTTTTGTGCTGTCAATAATACAATCCTTGAATTGTCAGTTTTAATTTTCTCGTTTTGTGTTTTTATTGCCGGACAATTATTTTTTTAAAAAGTAAATATTTTCTATGTACGACGCGATATTTTCCAGACCTTAATTTACTGTTTTAGACAATTGTTTCCCAAAAGCTCCACTGCACGAAATAAACATCAAGGAGTAATCCCCCATTGTTCTCGCGGGCACTTTTGCATTTAAATTACCCTGCAATTAATCTAAGCGTTTTTTGTCACTCGGTATATTTTTTTTGTCAAGTTTCATATTTTACCAGGTCGGTTCAATTGTAAACATAAACAATTAAACTCAAACTCGCGTCTTTTCTTAATTTGGTCTTGTTCCTTTAAATTAAATACGCCAAATTTACAATTAACTTTGGGTTAATTAGGAAATTTTTCATTTATTGTGTCTGGTAAATTGCACAAGCAGCTTATTTTACAAAACAGGCTCGTTGTTTACTCGATTTGTATTTATACCAACGGGATTTCCCATAAATATTTTAAATTACTTTGCCTCTTTTTTACTCTTTAGTTTACATTCGCTACATTCATTCTTTTAAATATGATTCACTTACAGACCCCAAAGAGAACTTTGCCTCCTACACCACCAACCATATCACACAAACCAGTGTTACCACCATTGTCAACAATCTTATCCACCGCACAAGCCAGTCATTTAATTGATCACCCTTTGGCTAGCGCAGTTGCTTCTACTCCTTATTCTCAACACAAATTACCTTCATTCGAAACATTCACTCCTATATCTGCATCTTCCAACAAGTTCTATAGAACAACCTCGACCGCCTCGTTGTCACCATCCTTTACCCCTCCGGTAACCCGAATCCCATCAGTACACGACGTTACCAACTACTCAACCAGATCATCATCTCCACAACAAGTACACCACCAAGCACCAGAACAGCCAAAACCAACTGTCTCCCCAACTTCTGACAAGTCATACGCCTTCATTTCTCATTCACCCGCCACATTCCCTTCTCAAGAACCAGCTATAGACAATGCTCCATTAGCTAGAAGAAAACGAAGAAGAACTTCTCCAAACGAATTGGCCATCTTAAATCAAGAATTTGAAGTAGGCACAACCCCAAACAAACTCAGGAGGATTGAAATTGCTGCAAAAGTTAATATGACTGAAAAGGCCGTACAAATATGGTTTCAAAATAAGAGACAATCGTTAAGAAAGCAACTGAATCACGAGAAAGAAGTTACGGAATTACCACCTACTCCACATCATCTCACACATGCCATACCCCAATTCATTCCACCATCACACCCACACCCAATGCCATTCTCAGTTGCTCAAACTACAGTGCCTACTAGATTCACTCAAGAGTCTATTGTCGCATCTACACCAATCAAGTCAATACCTTCATTTCCAACCACCATATCGCCATCTGGTTCGGAAGAGAACCACCCTGCATCACCAAATGATTCAATTGATGATTCTATGATGAAGACTAATCTTGTTCTTAATGAAACTAGAAAGAAGCAGCCAGTTAACTTAAATGGTGGCAATGCAAGTACAATGACTTTTAAGTTGATACCGCTGAAAGTCAATGTCACTCAAAAGTTGATGGAAACAACCAAGGAAAGAAAACCATTAGGGGAAGTCAGTGTGAACACCACTAATGTCTTACCTCCAATTATGAAAACTGAAGCGGTTGAAAATTTACTAAGTTTAAGAGTGCCTAGATCTAACTAGAACCTTGTATACTATATATCAGCCCATATTATGTACTATTAAAAATATAATATTTATTTATTGTAAACAACTTCCTTCCTTCCTTCCTTCCTTCCTTCCTGTCTTCCTTCCTTCCGTTCGTTAAAGTTTGTTTCGATACCGTTTCAAAGTAAAATTAGTCATGATGTAATAACAACCTAAGATTTCTGTCATGATTGTCGTGATCTCAATATTTCCTATTTCGGTTAAATCGTTAGCGAATCCATCGAAATCGATTTTGTGTAGGTTGTTTCGCATAATTATTTTTTCAACCAATTTCGTGGCGCATAATGAAAAATCAGTTTAATTAATAAAAAAAATGGCGTATGTAATACCCACAAAATACGAACAATGATAAATCACCATCGTAAGGGGTATGCAGGGACACATTGATCTGGAAGGGGGGGTTCCTGATTGGGAATAATCACGAGAGCACCCTCGTGATTATGTGGAGATACTTTCGCGTTGTCGTTGGCTACTGGAATACACGATATCTAAGTCTTAAATCGCTTGTTGACGATGTCAAATGGAGGGGTGCCCCCGTTATTTGTCTTGACCATTGACCTGTGGTTTAGACTCGTACTGATATATTACAGTTTGGTGGACTAGTTAGTAGGTATTGTTGTATAATATTTTAGCAGAGCAATTAGTAGGTCAAGATCGTTGTTTTGAGTCTATATTGGTTATAAGACTCCCCCAGCATGTATCAGTTCACTATTATATTTCTCTTGCAGATCATTCTCGAATTCCTCGGCACTTGTATTTTACTTTCGGGCGCAATCTTTTAGACATTTCTTGGTTTCGGTAATTTACTTGTTCTAAGCCTAACCCGCTTGGTACCTATAATAGTTGGTTAATGTAGACGGTGATAATGCATTATTAGGCTTGAATTGCTTTTGTTAAGCCTGAAATAGGTAACGCATTACATACAATTGACGATTATAGCAAGGTTCTGATCACCGTGAAAGCAAATAAAAGTTTTTAGTAAATTTCGCAACAATTTGGGGAGAAATAATATGCAAAGAATGTAAAATTGCATGCTGCACTCAATCCATTTTAGAACAAACTTACGAATTGAAATACACCTTACAACCCATTCGTATGTTATAACCTCTGAAAATCATATTGACACAATGTAAAAAGGAGCTATATACTGATAACACAGACAAAGTTTACAAGAATTATTTTACTCTACAAGTTAATCTTATATTGATTCGTTTTATTCTGTAGATAAAAATTAAATTACATAGAAATTATAAACAAAATATTCGAAAAAGAACCAAACCTTCTTTTTAAATGATGCATCCTTCTTCAAACACCTGTTTAACGACCACGGGAGGTGGTCTTGGTGTGTTGACCTCTGACCTTTAAACCCCAGAAGTGTCTGATACCTCTGTGGGCTCTCATCTTCTTTAATCTTTCCAAGTCATCTCTCAATTTGGATTCCAAGTTGTTAGCCAAGACGTGGTAGTCCTTACCGTCAACGTGATCCTTTTGTCTGTTCAAGAACCAAGCTGGGATCTTATAGTTGGTTGGGTTTTGCATAATGGTGACAATTCTTTCTAATTCTTCTTGAGTTAATTCACCGGCACGCTTGTTTAAATCAACATCAGCCTTCTTACAGACCAAGTTGGAGTATCTACGACCGACACCTCTGATCTTGGTCAAGGCGTACATGATCTTGATTCTACCATCAATGTTGGTGTTTAACAAACTATAATGAAAGTTAGTATTTTATTCAAAATGATATATTGATATAACCAGTCGTAATCCTTTTATTATTCATGTGTACTGAGGTTTTATTACTATTGGGTTTGAATGTTCACTTTTTCACTTCAAGTTTTAATAAACATTGTGTCTTCTCTTCTTGTTACAATCTCTCCACATTCACTTCTTTAGATGTTGTATTTATTCCTTGATTCCTTCAAAAGTTATCTTCACATAAAGATTTTCCGACAATTTACAATTTCTGTTGATGATAATTTCTCTTCATTTCAACGACAAAACAACAGGGAAGGACGGTACGACAACATGGTGCTAACTTATTGGTTCGAAACATACCGTAAAATGTGTTGGAATGAACCTTGTTCTTGGACAACTAATGGCATCTTGGCTTGTGTTTCCTTGTATACTAAAGAATTCAATCTAATATGAAAGAAGAAAAAATTTTTATGTTTAATTTTTCACTGTGCAATGGGTGAGACCCAAATTGGAACTATGGATTTTTTCTCTCCTCCTCGCCCCCTAACAAAAATTGCACTAAGGAGCTACCATACCTTACGCTAACTATGAGAAAAAAAAGATTGAGTGCGCTTGCACAGAGAGAAAATTACCAGTGCGCACGACCTTCTATGAACAGATACTGCATATTATATATCTAGGGTACAGCCCTAATAAACAACACGTGATCACATATACACTTCAATATCTACAATATTGCTAGTGTACGTTAGCTTTTGGTTACACACTGGTGGTTGAATTAAATAAGTTTATTCTATTTACATGAAACTTATATATCTATATGTACATCAAGTCATCTATTAGGTTGAGTATTTTCCTATGAGCCATTGCAATGCACTCAATTCAATATATATACGGTTAGCCTTTAAGATATCTCTAACTTCGACATCTTCCTTGACTTGAACGTCAGCCTTCTTGGCTAACGAAGCAGTTCCTGCCACTAAATTAGACTTAACATCTTCGGTGATGAATAACAAATTCAAATTTTGCAAGTTGTGACGTTTAACAAACTCAGGGCCTTGAGATTCGTGATCATATTTAAAATCAATACTAGAGTCGTCAGATTCATGCTTCTTTACTCCTTCTCCTTCTCCAATAATGTACAATTTTCCTTCCTTATACTTGGAGCCCAATGCATGTTGCATAGCTTGAGCATATACCTTGGTTGGCAAATCAGTAGACCAATCATGTGGCGCTTTAATACCAAATGGTTTCAATCCGTTGTCCATATGTGGGGAGTTGGCATCACCCAATCTGGCATTACCAGTACCCTTTTGAGGACGTAACTTTCTATTAGAAAATGGCTTGTCTCCCTTGGTTGGAACATTACCAGATCCCATTCTGGCCTTATCGGCTTCAAACACAACAGCACTCCATAACTGGTCTCTTCTGACATTTGGAGCAGCAAAGAATTTGGCTGGAAGTGGGATGAAAGTGTGTGGTTCAAGGGATGGGAATGTACGCAAGGATGCTAATGTGTATTGTGGAGGTTGGCCAATGTGGAACGCTGGTTTGGCGTTGGATGCTTGTGTGGCCAATGTACGTATTTGCTTAAACATTTTTAGTATTATATGACAATATTATCGTTGATAAATTATCCCGAGCGGATACGTTCAAAATCAAATTTGTTGTTGTGGAATATAGAACCTTTAATGTTTAGGTTGATCTCTAGCTCGTCCCAGCCAATGCTTTTGGTTAGTCAAAAAATTTTCGAGTGGTTGATATTGTGCCAAGTGCACGACCTCGTACCATTTTGCACCTATAAATTGCCCACAGCTTACAAAACATTACATAGAGTTACTTTATATTTTATTCAAACTACTTGTCACTGGGTTCGTCAATTAGGCTTTTCTTTGTACCTTCAGATTCCTGGCTAAGTGGTTGCTCCTCTTCTACTTCTTGTTCTTGTTCTTCTTCTTCTCCTTCTTCTTCTCCTTCTTCTTCTTCATCATCACTACCAATTATAAAGTCGTCAATGCGCGCGTCATTTAATCCTTGCAACTCGATATCATCAGTAAAATGTGAAGAAGCAGGGGCGTAATTACCACGACTACTATCTCTCCCAACAACACTAGACAATTTATTGAATGTTCTAGTCAAAAATCCAGATTTGCTGTCACTAGGAACGAAATCGTCCAATTCATCTTCAAATCGTCTCAATTGATCTGCCCATTGGACATTCTTCTTCTTGGTTCCTGTGGTTGAGTTGGATACATTTCTCTTTTTGATTATGGATGATGGTCTTGATCTATAGGATGCATACAAGGCATAAATACCCCATAAGATGACTAGTATTACCAACAATTGAATGATTCGTGTGATGCGATTGCTCGTTGGTTCGTTCTTTCCTTTTGTTTCTGCAGTTGATGTGGACGAAGAACTAGGTGATAATGTAGATGACGGGGAAGTGGGTGAAGTGGTTGTTTCTGTCAAGTTGGCCACTTCTTTTAAAGGAGCCACTTCCCGCTTGGTTCCAAGAGGATAGGTAATATATGCAGTTTCGTTCTTGTCAAAATTCCCCGTGGCTAAATCAATCAAGGATCTTGAAACCTTAGGCACATCATAAGGAACCATGTGAGACGAGTTATAAACATTAACAAAGGTCATATTTCTTGCTGATTTAATATATCCACTGTTACTTCCATCGAAAATCCAATCATACTTCTCTTCCAAATCTGGCGGACCAAATCCCTTATTTCCACCCCATTCCAACTTCTTCAAGAAGTTGAGCGTGCCCATACTGTTACAAATGATATCTTTGTCCCCATTGAATAAAAGAACTTGAATCTGTTCGGTTAATCGAGGTAGTAAATGAACAGCGGGCACAGAATGTCTGGCCCTGAACTTATTCCCCACTCTTCCGGTACATTCATGCCATCTTACTAAAGTTTGCAAATTCAAATCATGCATGACTTCATCTTGGTGCAAAAACGGAGTAACGTATTTCAATTCCAAGGGCCAATGCATACCACAAGCAGGTGACGAATCTGTCAATCTAAAGTCGTACATGTTTATACACTTGTCGTCTTGAGTCGTTGCAGAAAGAATATCAGATAAAATTCCCTCACATACGCCAGTGTCTACTTCGTAGCCATGGACTTCTATGTCATTCCAATTTGAATCGATTTTATCGACTATTTTCTGACACTCTTCCGCTTTTTGTAAAATATTACTAAACTGTGGATTGGCCGAGGTAATTAATCCATTGTCATAGCAAAAGGGTAAATAAGATAAACTCTGTTCATTTGGCGATATCCACCCATTTCCAATCATTACCGCACGAAGATCATAAGGTTTCTCTTCACTAGTCAAATTTTTATTACGTGTCAATATCCCATCGGCCACGTATGGAATATACTGTCCGGCATAACTTTCACCAGCCAAGTATATCTCATTGTTCGCATCACTAGGAAATATTTCAAAAAACTTCTTCATGAATACCAAATAGTAATCACGCACTTGGTCTAAATCTGACAAGTAATGTTCGCCGTCGGTGGTACTAAATCCAGTTCCAGGTGGCTGATCCACAAACACAACGTCAGCAGCGTGGTGCCAAGATCCTTCATTATAAATGATTTTAAGATTTGGGTTGACACGGAATGGGCCTAGTTCCAAAAGCGCCCCATCCATCGATGAACACCCTGGCCCACCATTAAACCAAAATATCGTTCTATTGTGGTTATATTCTGTCTTTTTAGGATCGCTGAACTTCCAAAAGAAATATGACGTGTTTGTATCGGGAAAGATTGGCAACTGACCGGCAAACATAAGAGGGATCTTGTCTTCGGGTATATTTTCATAGAGTCCCGGAATATCAGTTACCAAATATTGCTTTTGTAAATCCGATCCTTCAAATTTAGGAGGGACAGCTAAGGTTATAGCTGAGTTTAACACCAACAATACTAAATATAGTAACAACATCGTGTACCTTAAAGTCGGCTATTACGGAGTTGGGGTAATGAAACAAAGGAGGGCTGTGGTTTAATCAAAGCGTCTGACTGTGTCTCAATAACAAACAACCTAGTTTTCTATAAAGCTGACCTATCCGGCTAATGTACAGGAACAATGTGATGTATGATGTGAGATGTAAGCAAAAAGGTTGATATTGGCCACCGTGTTGAGTTGAGGGTTATAACGTAATCAATTCCCTAACTAGGCTTTTTTTTTTTGCTCTAATGGATAAAAATCGGCCGATGTGGAATTTGGAACCGACGCGCCGCTCCTATATCGATTAACTTGATATGTTATCTATCCCACCCCTCCCATTCAGATATACTTTATTAATTCATAGCACTTGCTATAAGGAAATTGAATATAGTGTCCAGAGGTTATACGTTCTTGTAACAATAGTTTATTCTCTTTTACTGTTCTTCTTGTAAGTGAATTGATAAAAAGGTCGACCCGTTGTAGAAATAATTATCTCCGTGTGCTCGTCTACGTTATTCGCAACCATTAATCCAAGGGGATATACACGTTTACAGTACTTCTAGTAACAAGGATGTATAAAACTATAAAGGCAATACAAATATATGAGGAAGTACTATATAGTAACAAAAACATAGCACTTTACAAAAGCAACTGAAAAAGACCAATTTACATTTATTGGTTAGATGGTTCGACATTCCAGATATTTTCAGCGTATTCATCAATACATCTGTCACTAGAAAAGAAACCCATATTGGCAACACTCCAAACAGACTTCTTGACCCATTCTTGTAAATGGCCACGGTCAGTGGCATCACCACCATCATGACCATAAACCTTTTCCAACTTCTTGTGGGCATCCAAGAATAATTCAAAATCATCAGTAACTAAATAATAGTCACCGTGGTATCTAATTGAGTCAATCAATGACTTAAATTCATCAGCAGGACCGAAAACTTCCTTTTCAATGGCATTAAAGACAACTTGTAAAGTTTCTGGAACATTGACACCTTCAAATACATGTTTGTGTCTTAATTCTTCCACGGATTCAGCCAAGTTACCAAACAAGAAAATGTTTTCTTCACCAATTTCTCTGGTGATTTCAACATTGGCACCATCAACAGTACCAATAATCAAACCACCATTCAAGGCAAACTTCATGTTGGAAGTACCAGAAGCTTCAGTACCAGCAGTAGAAATATGGTTGGATAAATCAGAACCTGGACAAATAATTTCTGCCTTGGAGACATTGTAATCTGGAATGAAAACAACCTTTAACAAGTTTCCAATTTCCTTATCAGCATTGATAACTTCACCAACCTTGTTGATCAAGTGAATAATGGTCTTGGCCATGTAATAACCTGGAGCAGCCTTACCACCGAAAATAGAAGCCTTTGGAATGTAGTAGTTCTTCTTGATTTCTTCAATGGTGACACCCTTGGATAACAATTCCTTGATATGTAAGTAACGGTAAATCACAGCGAAAATATTCAATTGTTGTCTCTTATATTCGTGGATTCTCTTAACTTGAACATCAAACAAGACAGATGGATCAATGTCAATGTCAGTAAGTTCCTTAACCAAAGCAGCCAATTTACGCTTGTTGTCAAACTTAATGGCATGCCATTGCTTCAAGAAATCTTCATCATCAACAAATTGCTCCAATTGTTTCAATTTACCCAAGTTGGTCAAGTAGTCATATTCTGGATCATTCAACTTTTCGGCAATCAAAGCAGCCAACTTAGGGTTAGCTTGTCTCAACCATCTTCTAGGAGTGATACCATTGGTAACATTGGTGAACTTTTCTGCACCAAAGACCTTGACAAAGTCCTTGAAAATAGTAGTCTTGATTAATTCAGAATGTAATTCGGCCACACCATTGACCTTGTGGGAACCAACAATAGCCAAGAAAGCCATCTTAACTGACTTTGGAGATTCGTCAATAATAGAAACTCTTCTAATCAAGTCACGGTCACCTGGGAACTTACGTTCAACCTCCTTCAAAAAGAAAAAGTTGATATCGTAAATGATTTCCAAGTGTCTTGGTAATAATCTACCAACTAAATCAACTGGCCACTTTTCTAAAGCTTCAGCCATAACAGTATGGTTAGTGTAGGCGAAAACGCTGGTGACAATAGACCAAGCTTCATTCCATTCCAAACCTTCTAAATCAACCAAGATTCTTTGCAATTCAACAACAGCCAAAGTAGGGTGTGTATCATTCAATTGAATGGCAACTTGATCAGGGAACTTCTTCCAGTTTTGCTTATGTTGCTTCTTGAATCTTCTGACAATATCATGTAAAGAGGCAGCAACCCAGAAGTATTGTTGCTTCAATCTCAATTCCTTACCACTTTCAAAATTGTCATTTGGATACAAAACAGAAGTAATGGATTCAGCACGTTGTTGGGCAGCAACCGATTGTTGGTAATCACCGGCATTGAACTTGGTGAAATCAAATTCATTGGTTGGCTTGGCATTCCATAATCTCAAATTGTTAGTGTTGTCAGTATTATAACCTGGAATTGGGAAATCAGAAGCAACAGCCAAGACACGTTCACCACCATTCCAATTCTTCTTGACCTTACCAGTGTTTGGGTCATGTTCTTCATAAACATAACCATAGAAATCAACTGGGATTTGAATTTCATTTCTGTCAAGAACCCAAGGGTTAGAATACTTCAACCAGTAATCTGGAGCCTCAATTTGGTAACCGTCAATAATCTTTTGTTCAAAAATACCATATTGATAGTTTAAACCATAACCCCAACCAGAATAGTTCTTGGAGGAAAGGGAGTCGACAAAACAAGCAGCCAATCTACCCAAACCACCGTTACCTAAAGCAGCGTCAGGTTCTTGGTTCAAAACATCTTCTAAATTGAAACCCAATTCATTCAAGGATTGTCTAGTGTTGTTTTCACACTTCAAGTTGATCAAAGCATTATCCATAGCCCTACCCATCAAGAATTCCAAAGAAAGGTAGTAAACTCTCTTACCGTCTTGAATGGTTTGCTTTTGTTGGGTATTAGCCCAATCAATAATCAAAGCATCTCTAATTGTGTTGGAGGCGGCTTGATAAGCTGCTAAATCGTCACAATTATACATGGAACGACCTAAGGAGGTTTCGACATGCTTGACAAACTCTTCTTCAAACTTTTCCTTGGAATCAACTACGGACTTGACGGTGTCACTAGGTTGCTTTCTCTTGGAGTCTAAAATGGTCAATTGCGAGTTCTTGTACCAAATGTGCTTGGCCGATTCCGGAATGGACGCATCCAAGGCGATAATTTGGTTGGGGGTGAACCCAGTGTTGGTTCTCTTTAATTTTGGTTGGGGTAATGTAGAAGGAGTCAAGTAATCACCCATGGTTAAAACAATTGATCTATATAATTTAACAGTTTAATCTATATTGGTAGTTCTATAATCCGACAATCAATTAAAAAAAAAGCGTTTCTCTCTGATGAATGTTCACAAAAGTGATATGGGGTGAGTTAGCTGAGGGTGAGCGAGGGGGCGAGGAGAAAGTTTAATTAAAAATTAAGGAAACAAAAACGTGAAAAAAAAAGAAGTTCATGCAAAGAAAATAGTGAAGAATTTCGGTGCATTTATACCCATGCACCACCGCTTGCTCCTCGTGTACACGTAAATACTTGCGCAATAGGTACAACTTGAAACTAAATTATTTTCTACAGCTGTGTACGAATCAAAAAAAAGGGGGGGAACGAAATAGATGTGCAAAAGTGTGTGGAAGCAATGGAAAAATTACATGTTTGCATTGATTACATGAAATTCGGGAGAATAAAATATGACAATGCCATGTAAAATTGTGATGTCGGCACCGAGGAGTCAATTAAATACTTCTATTTTTTTTGGCAAATTAATGGTGTGTTTTTTCTAGGAAGGAAAAAGATGTGGTGGAAATCTTTCGACTCACAATGTGGTAATCATTACAAGAACCTATTGGGGATGTTCGTAAAATAATAAAATATTTTTTATGCGAAGGAAATGTGGAATCTAAATCAAAACAATGGGTTGTTCCAATTGTTCCGAATTACTTTTACAGTTTGTTCTCTCCTTGAAATTAAACAACCAGCAAAATAAACCCATGGTAAGTTGACCCGAACTAGCCTTTAGTAAGACTCTTTACTGACAATGTTCATCTTTAAATATAATAATTTCCCAGAGTTATGAAATATTAATTAGGAGATCATTCTTTCACTGTTTCATTCAAAATTGTACAAGGTCGAAACAATATAGTATTAGAAGGCGGAGGGGTGCATTTGAAACTTTGAACCACGACAGCACAATACACTCGGGCTTTAATCACCATATTTGGAGATCTGCAAGGAGTCTATCACAAGTGATAACTCTGCTACTGTTTTGTAGATAAACCTACACAACATTTCTATTATGAATTCTGATTTCTAATTTCTAATTAACCATAAGAAAAAAAAATTAGATCTATTGTTGTCTTTGTTACTTCTTGTGGGGTTATAGCGCTAAAAAAGTTTGATTTCGATCCAGAGTTCTGAAATTTCGGCACTATAAACAGAGAGGGGTTAAAAAAAAGGGCTGCAAATTTGAGTCATGCCTGATTTTAGTTACGATTGTGAATCATTTCACTTCAGCTTATTTTTACAGTGGAAATGATTTTACAACTTGATGGAGTAAAATCTCTAATCGTGATAGTTCCGGACCTAAAACTCTGTTGAATCTCGTTATTAAACTTCATTTTTTAGCAGCTTTCCTTTGGGTCAGATTTGTTCTATATTACGCAATCTTGAGACAATGCGCTAATCTATCTTGAAATCTCGTACCTTATGTGATTGTACTGAAGTACGGCAAATGTCAAAACAATGTACTTCTTCGGACATGATTTCTGTATGGTCTAAACTTTAAGCACACTATGTTATACTTCTAATTATAATATAGTTAATTTGATATTATAGGATAAGGTTATCTATTAATGTGCCACGAGAATTCTAAGCTCTTATTCCCAAATATCAAAAGGCAAAATTGGTCTGTGTATCCAGTATTCTTTGGATACCAGAACAATACCGATTCATGACACCTAATAATACAGATCATTTTGTTACAGATCTTAATCAATCCTCTAATGTTTTTAAAAGTCTATATTAATTGATTTACTACCCAATTTGGAATATTCAGGCATTATGTCTCTGGCTAGAATTATGAACCTTGTGTCTGAGCGGTCTTGATGATAACGCACTAGCAACAGCCAAAAAAAAAAAATAATTTGACAAAAAAATAGAATTGTAATAAATAACCAAACAATAATATAGGTTTTTGTCATTTAATCACAAGTTATCAGAGGAGCTAATTATCGTATGGCTTCAAAATCTTGGTCTTATCAAGCGCATGAGTATCCGATTTCAACATTCTGTCGAGTCGAAGGCACAAACTATATTTTAACAGTAGCAAAAGATGAAATCAAACTCAAGAACTTAGAGGATACACAAGCACAACAAACACTCTTTACTAAATCCCATAATGCCGACATAACTCTGATTGATGCCAGTCCATCCACTTTAAAGGTTGTGTCTGCTAGTTTTGATCAAGTACTTCTAACTGATATGACTGTAGGCGATGTTATCATGCGGTTCTCAGGTAATAAAGAAAGCAAAGGGAAACTAGTGAGGGATTGTAAATTCCTTAGCCGGAACTTGATAGCTACTTGTGGAGACTATACTGCATTGAATCTAGCTGATATTCGAGAACGACCTGCATCGAATTCCAGTAAAATACAAGAGTCACCTAATTGTTGGACCTACCCGTTTCTGACCGAGGATAATTTGACCTCACTTGGATATTCTCATCCTTATATATCCATGGGATCGTCTAGCGGGACAGCATACATTCTTGATTTAAGAAACCTGCAGTTCATTTACAGTAATGTTTCAAAGAATTTATTGATGGCCGTTGAGCAGCACCCAGGTAACCTATCGGTTCTGTTTGACAAGGAAGGGATAATACGATTCTACGATGTAAAAAAAGATCAGTTTATGGCACAAGGATGCTGTGTAAATCGGGCAATTGAACACCAGATCAACATGCATTATGTTCCTGAGCTTGACTTTGTCATAAATGGATCCGAGGAAGGAATAGTACATTTGTGGCGTCTAAATGAAGACAGATCAAGGTTTGTCAGTGCTTTAAATTTTGCAGTTTTAGGAAGAGTAGATTCTCCAGCTAGTGGTATACCTGCAGCTAACACAATTAATCATGTTGATTTTGACCCAGCTGCCAAAAGGTTAATTGCAAGTTCTGCAAGTGGAGTATTGCATGTTTGGGATGATCTATCTAACTTAAAAGCTTAACAATGATAACCTTTATAAAAAGTGTACTGATATAATGTCAATTGTCATTATGGCGGTTATTTTTTTTTTTTTTTTTTTGCATCTCGCGTTGGGTTCAATAAATTTTAGATGCTGCAGATTATGGCGCAAACCATCGACGTACCCAAAAAAAAGAAAACAAATTCCGAAAACCAGATATTTCATCTCCGTTCCACCAAAAAGACATGTCGGAAGATCCAGCTATAGATGCATTTCCACCAACTACGATAGTCCTTGCTAAAGTTAAAGGGTACCCTGCTTGGCCAGCCATGGTCCTTGATGAAACAATCTTGCCTGAACATATCCTAGCCAAGAAACCCAAAACCAAATCAACAGCAACAGCAGCAGCCAGTGCTAGTTCATCACCAAAAAAGAAGACCAACCTGAGTCCAACGCGGATCCTTCCAGTTCGATTCTTTAGTGACGACACCTATATATGGATAAACAGTCATGACGTCAAGTTATTATCTCGTGAATCCATCGAAGAGTATTTTTCATCTAGTAGTAAGAAAAGAAGAAAGGACAACTTATTAGAGACTGCGTATCAATTGGCCAATGACCCTCCTGATATGGAATTGTTTATTAAATACGGATCTAGAGCTGCTCCGCCTGATGAAGAGGAGCAAGTTGAAGAAGTAGTGGAGAAACCACCCCGGAAAAAATCCAGTGCAAAGCCCAAGGCTAAGGCAGCCCCAAAGGCTAAAGTAAAACCAGGCCCAAAGCCTAAGGAAACTGCAAAGAAACAAGATCCTAAGAAATTGGCCGCGGAAAAGAAAAAACAAGAGGAAAAGAAACACATGGCAGAATATGATTCCGATTGGGGATTGGACGAATTGAATGTGTATGATCCAACTACAGGTGATTATATCTTTGACACTGAAGAAAAGCAGGAATCATTTTTTGACCAAATACCTGATGCAACTACTATCCAGAATGATCTCAATAAAATAACCAATAAGTTCACAAAAATCGAAGATAAACTAGTAGACTTGTTGTTACTGGAAGAAACAATCAAGGAGGATGCAATTATTGACCAATTGTCATTACTAGAAAACATGCTCAAACAGCTTCCAAAGACTGTTATCACAAGGAGTAAACTCTTGCGAGTGTTGATTCTAACTAAACGTAAACCAGAAGAAAGCTTCAACTATGAACAAATCAAACTGAAAATTGATCGAGTATTGAAGAAATTGGAGTTGGAAGTTAGAGAAAACACTGAATCTGAATTAAATCCTGAAAGTAAATTAGGAACTCCAGATATCAAGGATGAACCAGAGGTTATAGAAATAAAAGATAACGTTGCGAACGGTACTGTATAGATTATGTGTATTAGTTTAATTTAATTTTGTATAGTATATGTATGATTAGGAATGTTTTATCAAGATTTCGCAGCAAAATCCAGAAAATGTATCAAATTAAGTCAAAGTATGACGCGTGAATTAATACAAATGATGCATACAATAAATGATTTCTTACAACAGTCACTACATTCTACAATAGCATCACCACAACAACTACCTAATAGAGGAACTACTACACGTGTTTCTAATGTCGAGCAAGCTCTAAAGGTATACGCTGTATAATTGGGCCCAGTTTGCTTGTTTGTGTAAATTTGATCACACGTAAGTACATTTTATACCAAGAACTTTAAAAAAGTCTCGCCGCATTATTTCCGAAAAAGGTCATGCGCCTAGGGGAAAAATAGGGGGGTTGGGAAAGCATGTAGGCAGAACAAAAAAAAAAACTGGGCGATTTATTGTCGGCCCATTACTAGAATAGTCAATTTTTTGTTTAATTAGTATTAACCAACTGGAAATTAAAATTAACCTCAGGAAAACACGAACGTTTACTGTAGTTGTACCGTATAAAAAAATCTTTTCTGGCATGACACAAACCGCCTCGGAAGTAGTTCCGTTTTGCTTAGTCATTTATTTATATTTTTTTTTTTTTTTACTTTTTTTTTTTTATCAAAGAAATTTCCCGAATGAACTGGCTTTTTTTCCCTTGGCCAACGACAGAAAAAAAAACTGAGTTTACCTAATTGGGAGGGTGGATGCTTTCATTTCCTATTACGGATTACGATACCCATTTTTTTCATTATAAACAAATATATCAAAACACACAAACCACAAAAAGTAGTAAGGGTGCAAATCACGACAGATAGAGAGTAAGTAGATCGGCCTTGATAGATGCATAAAATTATAGCACTGATTGGAAAGAGAAGAGTATGTACGTGGGAGAGAGGGATTGACACCACGGGGGGTTGGCAAGTGGGGATCCAGGTTTGTTTTGGAGTTGGTCGTTGAGTACACTATTTGTACGATAACTCCCCCCAGTTTGAACATACGAGATCTCGCAACGCTTTAGAAGAACTATATCATGGATAAGGAAACATATACGTGGCGTTACTCGTAGTGTATGGAAATGCGTTGGGGGATTTATACCGTTGTTTACTTCTTTTCCATTTTTTGTTGTTTTTTTTTGTATTAACAACGAACCCATATACTAACTTGGCGATTTAGAAAAAAATGTCTAGTGTTACTGATCCTAAAATAGAGGGAGAATCCCATTTCGATACTGGTTCCAACGGAGACCCTGCCAATGCAGGAGGAATTGCTTCTGTTGGTGGTGCTGACGACGATGATGATGATGATGGACCATCCGGAGGCAAAACCCAAAAGGAAAGAAGAAAAATTGAAATCAAGTTTATCCAAGATAAGTCAAGACGTCATATCACCTTTTCCAAGAGAAAGGCTGGTATTATGAAAAAAGCTTACGAATTGTCGGTTTTAACTGGTACCCAAGTGTTATTATTAGTTGTTTCTGAAACTGGGTTGGTTTACACGTTCACCACTCCAAAGTTACAGCCATTGGTTACTAAATCAGAAGGTAAGAACTTGATTCAAGCTTGTTTGAATGCTCCAGAAGAAGGCTTAGGTGACGATCAAGGAGATCAAAGTGATGGCAATTCGGGTGACTCTCCAGACCAAAGTCCAGCTCCAAATAGTCTCCCACAAGTTCAAGCGCAACAGCAGCAGCAGCAACAACAAGCTGCCGCTGCCGCCGCCGCTGCCGCTCAAGCGCACCATGTTCAACAACAACAAGCCGCCGCTGTTCAACAACAGCAGGCTGCCGCTGCAGCAGCCCAACAGCAATTGCCACCAGGTGCACATATACCCCATGGTATGCCATACCCAAGTGCTGGTGGCCACCCTGGTCAACCAGGAGGAATGCCAATGCCTCAAAATTATGGAGATTCTCAAGTTTACCAACAATATTTTTCAAGTATGCAAAACAGTAATATACAAAACCAACAACAATATCAATAGGAGGGTTTTGCTTTATTACGTGTGACATAGCATCATTTTTTTTTATTATTATTATTATATTTTCGAACTATTGTTTTGTACATTAATCTAGAGGTTGTTGGAGAGGTCTTTAGTTTATATGAAAGTTATCGATCTCCTACTGGTTCAATTTCTATTCTTGTTTTATTCTTTACATTTTTTTATTATTTTGAATGTTTTCAATTTCTCCAAGTAATCTACTTATTTTTGTTTTTATAGTCTATACATATGCAAATGAAATATTTGCCTGTAAAAAAAATTGAGTGTTTATTAATTGAAGCCAAGTGTAAAAAAATTTGCAGCAAATAGGGATTGGTTGGTTATCTAAGCGGGAACCAATTGTGGATTCAACCAGAAAGGGAAATGTTGTTGCATATTATTTTCTAATATTGGGGTGAAACTCGTTAAACCTGCGCACATAATCCTGAAATAATCGGGTCAAGAAATTAAAATTTAGTAAATATTACCAATTAGGCATATTAAGCCACATTCCGTTTGAGACTAATTGGCAATATATCGTTTAAAATAGAGCAAGTAGTTCTTGTCCACAAACAATCGAGATTTTTACTTCTGTTTAGAAAAGCAATTAAACGAACTAAAAGCCTCACAAAACAATGCTCACCTGCATTTTAGACAAGTGCTACATTATTAAAGTTACACCCAAGGGGAGGGGGGAGGGGGGAGACAAGGAAAATTCGGTATCATGTTGTGGGCTAATGTTTGGTTGCCACCGGTTGTTACGTTAGCGTGCTTCGAGATGGAACCACTAGTCATCCTCCTGGAAAATGAGTATGAGTACACTGAACATTGCTTGAGCTTGCCCGACTGATCAGACTCAATCTATATTTGGAATGATTCCGACATCATTCTATATATGGATTGAAACTACTGTCTAAACTTTGGAGCAAAGTAGCTACCATATCAGGGAAAACAATTGACTTGAACTACAAACGCAATTTCTATCAGAAAGAATCCTTACCTTCCCTACTGATTCGAATAGCAATGAATATGGAAATGAGTGCAAATAAGTTTACTTGGTAGGATAGACAAATTCCAGAAAATTTTTATTTATATGCAATAATTAGACACCTCTAAACTTGCTTAGTCGATATGCAAACAAGTAGCTAGTGCATACTAATTGGGGTATTTTCAGGAGGTTGTAATTACATGCGTGAACTTACTTCGTCATAAGATGTCCCATAAAATAATGGATCTAAAATCCCAAGTTTTAACGCCCTACGTCGAACCCAGCGCATTCCTGTGAGTAAGGCAAAATGTCAACCCTTAATTCTGAACCGAAAAGTGTAACTGCCCACAATCTAAGAAATCAATGTATTACTAATAGACAGAAGAAAAATGGACGTAGTTTAGTTAGTATTAGACCAAACTATAGTGTGAGCATGCCGTATAATCAAGATAAAGTCGTGTGGGTGCAGATCTTATTCAAGCAAAAATAAAATATTTTCCACTTACCCCATAAATCACCTCACATAGATTGTTTCTTTGTTGAAGCCCGCCTTACCTGCGCTACTGCAGACAATTTAGCAACCCTAAAATGGTACTGTTTTCGACATAACTATGACTAAAGAGGGGATCAATCTAAAGAGTGGTTCGAAATCTAAGCGTGATGCATAGTCTGAAAAATAATCACAACTTCTGCATTTGTACTAATTAATATTTTTATTGCTTATAAATGTGAGTGTGTGGGGTGCGGGTCATGATTCTTTATAGCAAGTGAGCTAAAAAAGAAAAAAAAGGCTCGTCCATTCAGATTTGGTAAGGGTTATTTTATCATGATTATTATTTAGTTCTCTAATTCCTTATTTTTTGAGTTGCGGCGGAAAACGCAACCGCGGATACATTCTCGAACGGAAGTAAACAGATGTAGAAACCTGGAAGAAGATGTAAGAGACTAGAAATACAGCGGAGGAATCGCCACCAGGTCAAACGGAGGTGGTCATAGACCCTAGGGTCTTGGTGTTGACGAGGATTTTGTGTGGTTGTCCAGTCCACCAAGAATAGGTAGCACAAGAAATTCGGCAATGAATTTCACGTCAAAACTCGCCCAAAGGTTACGAGTGTGCCCAAAAAGCTTACACACGAAACAATTTCTTTATTCTTCTTTGGAGATTACAGAAAATAACAAATGTGTTAAAAAAAAATAAAATAAAGAATTATAAAAAAATAAAACTTCATTCTTTTTTTTTTTTTTTGGGTTTCCACTCCACTTTGTTCACAAAATGACAAGCAAAACTATGGAGTTTATTCATTCACGTTTTGGTCAAACTACAATCCATACCCAACTTAGTTTTGGTTTTGTTTCCTAAAAGCAATTTTATTGTCTGGAAAAAGCATCTCCTTGAAAAATGGATTTGCAGATTCATACGCAATATTTTATGATTGTTTTTTTTTTTAATTCTGAAAAATAAATCTAACAAAAAAAGGAAAGGATCCTTTTAGAGGAAATTTAAACTATGGATGTCATATTTTTATTTATTCAACCTATAAATAATGTAGAAACATATTTCCACAAATTAGAAATTTTGATTTCTCCATTTTTCTCATTTCCACTAGAAAAAGCTTAATTATTCTACTTTGTATTTGTTGTTCATTGCAATCTCGAACAACTTTCCACCATACTCCATCCCTAATCACCAGCATACTATTGTTAATAGACAAGAGCAAAAACACAAAGGGGTGAAAAAAAAGTCATTCCACATATCACACGTATAATTTCCCGCGCGCTGGGCATCACCTCCACTTAAATAACCAGCTTTAAATTTACAACATTACCCACACCACCTATTTCAAATAAACAGAGCGAGTTTACGTTTAAGAAACCTCGACCTATAATTTTTCAAAGGATATATTTTTAGGAACATTTGTACGAATAAGGGAGAGTATATCCAATTTTATATTTTTTTTGCCACCTCGTTCGAACGATATTCCATTCCAAGATAGCAATTATAGAAGCTCAAGAAACCACATAGAGAAAATAGAAGTGAAATCGCAAGAAGAAATAGACTTATACACATTCATTTAGAGATTACACAGTTGATTTATTAGAAACACTATAGAGGATAAAGGAACAAAAAAAGCTTAGACAAAACTTTCTTTCCCCCCCCCCCCAGAATTCTAGACCGCCTCCACTTTTTATTGCTTGATACATATTGAGAATTTTGTCACCACATTTCCAATTTCTTGGTAATTTCAGCAATTCAAGGGACCATTTTATCCACAATTACTTATCTTATCCCATACCAAACTATAACAGGGACATTCATACACCTTTTTTTTTTTTACCTAACCTATTTATTATACTATATCTTCTTTTTCCTCAAATCAGAGTTTTTTTTTACACCCACAAAATATGATGACTCTAAATGAATCAGGCCACCACCAACACCATACTCCAGACAACACTGGTAACAATTATAGCAATTACAACACCAGCCCATCAGTAGCTGCCACTAACAGACATAGACATTCTCATTCTGCCATGTTTCCACCAGCACGATCTTCCCCGACCCAAATTGGATCTTCCCCACCACAAGCTGCTGTCACATTCAACACATTTACGCCACTAATGCCGCCTCAAACCCAAACTTCCGGTTCCAATTATCTACGTAATAACAACAATTCCAATAATCAACAGACCAATCCCGGAAATATCTGGAACAACAGTAATGGTTCAATTCCTCATGTTCAACGGAGACATTCTGCGATTGATGCAAATATTTGGTCGCAGGGTCCAACTAGTACTTTTCAACCAACCACAAATATTTGGTCGTCGTCTGGGCCGAGCCCAAACCAGGAAAATTACACTTCTTCGTTGTCGAATCGATCATCCCTGATTAGCGGGTTTACACCTCCACCTTTAGAAGAGCAACCAAACCAACAAAAGCAAGCAATTATGAATTTTCAATCCGGTTCACCTTCGCAATTACTTGATCCTGGTCGCAGGCATTCCTTTGCTGAATCATTACCTACTACCAATTCCATTACTGCAGGCAGTAATAATGGAACTGTGTCTATTCTTAATGGAGGAATTGATTCGAATCAAACATTGAAATTGGTTGATGAGTATTTTGAGACTGATCCTCATGAACGAGTCAAAGTGACATTACGATTATTGAATGAACGATTTTTCGATGAAGAAAAGTACCTTGGTGACGCGTACCAATTACCCAAATTCCCTATTGAATCTTCTTTACGTAACTATCAGTTGATCTTGGTTGGGTTTAAAGCTGGGAGAATTGATGTGTTTTATCTTCCTAGCAACAATCCTCCTAATTCAGATTTGAACCGGTTGAAAGTGGGTGATTTGGTTATTGTTGAAGCCGACCGGGGTCGTGATTTAGGTAAGGTCTTCAAGATGAACATCTCTATTGATGAAGCTAGATTGTTGAAGTTGTTGCAATTTCAAGAACAGCAAGCAGCCTTGAATGAGCATGATAACATTTTGGATGATTTGTCAGTCAAGAACTTGTCAGACTCCAGTAATTCCGTTGCCCCACCAACTTTACATTTCCCCAAGTCGATTATTTCTTTGGCCCAACCAAATGAAATTTTGCAGATTTTAAATAAGAAACAAGATGAAGAAAAGGCATGCCGGTTATGTTTGGCCAAGATTGCCAATGCCACCAGTTCTCAACAATTGATGGGTGCAAATTCAAGTGCCACCCAAGATTTATTGCAAATGAAGTTGATTGACGCCGAATATCAATTTGATCGGAAAAAGTTGATTTTCTATTATTCAACATCCAAGAGAATAGATTTCCGAGACTTGGTTCGAGAATTATTTAGGATTTATAAGACCAGAATTTGGATGTGCGCTGTTATTGGCTTGCCTTACAATGTGAATAGAAAGAGTGTTCTGCCATTGATGAATGGAGCCACCAGTAATCCATTTATGCAAACACAAGTACCAACGCAAAATCCACCCCAGCCTCAACAGCAGCCTCAACAGCAGCCACAACAGATTGCATTTTCTCGTGGATTTGAACGGAGATTAAGTTATCAACCACCTCCCACATTCCAACAGTATCCTAATGTTGCAAACCCGCCACCACATTTGCAGCAAGCTCAGCAACAGCAACAGCAACAACAAATTCCACATCCATTCCAAGATGGAATTCCTAGAAGGTATTCTGACAGCCGTCCATTCCTGCAACAATCACAATATGCCATGTTTCAAGGACAGCAAATGCAAGCTTCACCAATGAACCAACCACAATTATCCCCATTTCAGACTGATTTCCAATTCCCACCTCCCCATCCAGACAATAGAAATGAGGGCACTATAAGGGAGGAAGAGGATTTAAACAACAACTCGGGAGAGGCATTTGTTTTGAAGTCGTTGGTTGATTCCATAAACCATTAAGATGTTTTTAGATTTTTTTATTGTTTTTTATTTTATTTTATTTTTTTTTTTAAACTCGAAAAAGAGTTTACACGATACAATGTTTGATGATATAAAATGAGCTTATACAATTTGGGTGTGATTACTTGTTAGGAAACTTATATATGTAACGTTTATAAATTTATTATATATTAGAACTTGAATAGAAGGCCAATAAGAGAACTAAAATGTAGACAAAAACTATACGCTAATTAGTATTTATGCCATTTCCAAAGAGATTGATCTGGGTTAATTAAGTCATCATCTTTACCACCATGGATAAGTCCATTAGCACCAGCAACATGCAAGTAAAACAAGAAATCCTTGGGGTTGAATCCACCCGATTCCTTCAACTTCTCATCCAATTTCTTTTTGGCTTCTTCAGTAGTAATTTTTTCCTTGACGGTCAACTTGACATTATGAGACTTTTCATAATTGTTGATGATGTCTTTGTAGGCAATTTCACCAGACTTGACCCTGATTGTATCTGGAAGCTTGTCAATTGGGGTCGTAGCAACGGCAAGAACAACGTTACCAATATCTTCAAGCCTAGTGAATTCCAATTCAGTATCTAAATCACCAATTTGGAAAACCGTGTTTGTATCTGGGTCAATTCCAACATGAGCAACATGTTCATACAAGAACGAACCTGGTTGAGCAAACAAATTAGTAATTACATCTACCGTCTTGATGCCCAAGCCTCTAAGATTTTCAGAATGCTTAGTCTTGAGGGCCAAGAACCCAGGAATGAGTTTACTAACGGATTCAATATCGGCACCGAATTGGGAAGGAATGTACAACTTGGGCTTAACTTTACCAGCGACTTTCTCTAAAGTGGAAAATAAATCTGGGTTAGGAGTAACCAATTCAGCAATGACATCAACCCCAGACAAGGAGTTAGCAATGGAATCAACGGTTTCAGAATTGATTTCAGTTTTGATATATTGAATCTTGTCAGTGGATGGAGTGTCCTTTCTGGTAAGTGCCTTGATGGGAAATTTCAATTTATCATCGAATTTGCCAGAGTTGATAGCATCAAGAGTTGGTTTGCCTAAGGCACCATTAAGACCAATAATTGCAAGTGAGATTTGAGACATTGTTAACAAGAGTGAATTGAACTGTTGTAATAGAGAAAGAAAAAGAAAAAAGTAATGTGAATTCTTGAATGGAATTTTCCAGGCATATTTATAATTGAGGAATTTGGCCTCTTTTTGCAACAAAATGGTGCCTGAGAGTGAACCACAGTTATCCTGCATATAACATACAATTGCTTAATAAGCAACATTACTACCATTTTACAAATCAAAACGGTTAAATGAATACCCAGAGCCACCACTTCCGAACAGTAAGCCCCTTGAATCAATAGCAATGGCATACTTAGTGGTTTTTGGATTACTAAAATAGTCTAATGTGGAGAATGAAAAGTATCTACAAAGGCGGTGGTGGCTTATAGTTTTACGGTTGTTGTTGTTGTTGTTGTTGTTCTTGTTGTGGCGCTCTACACCCCCCGATTTATTCTGCAAAATTACTTAGCTAAACTATGAAAATTCACTTTCAATCATTACCCAACGGTCATCCCTGTGACCATTAACCTTTTTATCTAGCACTAATCTACCATTACACCACACTTTCACACAGTTTCTATCATCACCACTGAAAACCCACTTGCCCAACAAATCAACCATATGTTGATAATCAGACTCTGAAGTATTAGAAGTATCAGGAATTTGCCAATTAAAAACATCAACATTGGATTCTTCTATGGTTAAATCTATCAATTGAACGTCAAACTTTTTCCCAAGTTCAAATGAACCAATCATGTCGGGCAACCCGACAGCTTTTGCCCCACCCATTGTAGACATGTATAATGCATCTTCTAAAGTTAACTTATCCTTGGTATCATTGGTTTTCATAGCTAAATGATGACTGACCAAGATGGAATGTTTGACAACTCCAAGAATCGAGGAATCAAATCCACCACTGATGTCGGTACCCAATGAAACATTTATTTTATCCTTGGTGAGATACTGTTTGATTGGTGCCTCACCACTTGAGATGAATGTATTCGAAGTTGGACAATGGCTGATGGAACAATTCTTCTTCTTGATCAATTTGCGCTCCTTATCAGTTAAATGAATTGCATGAGCCAAGATTGTAGATTCGTTGAGAAGGTCATGTTTGTCATAGACAGTGGCATAATCGGGACATTCTGGGAATAAATCATGAACAAGTTCAACCTCTTTCTTGTTCTCACTAATGTGAGTTTGAATAGGGAGGTGGTTAATATTACTTAAATTACCAAGGTATTTAAGCAATTTTCTTGTACAGACAGGTGCAAATCTTGGAGTGACTATTGGACGGACCAAGACTTCTTCTTCAGGATTAATATTCGACAAATGGGTAATGATTTTCGTCATGGAATGGATACATTCTTCATACGTTTCCTGGTACTTGTCATAGGTTTCATTATGATCCATGCATACTTTCCCCACAAATCCTCGTTGACCAAATTGTAATAAAAGCTCGGCAAATAAGTTGGTGGTGTCTGAATCAATAGTGGTGAAATAGGATGCACAAGTGGTACCACTATTCAATGTACGCTTGATGACCTTGGAATAAATCTTCTTGGCAAACTGGAGTTTTTGGTAATGAGCGGACGAACCTTTGTCAGTAAACTGATTCTCGACTGGGAAAGTATAATTATTCAACCATTCCAACAAAGGGGTATCAAGACCAATGCCTATATTTGGAAACTGGGAAGCATGAATGTGAGTATCTATAAACCCTGGAAAGAAAAATTTCATCCCTCCATCTTCTGATAAATCCACAAATTCAAAATGACGCCCATATCCTCGATGATATCGGCCAGAGTTATTGACAATGTGGTGGTTTTCAATAAAGAAATCAATAGGGGATTTGCCATCATGGTCGTGTGGTTTATAATTTTTGTGGATAAAATCAATTATTCCCTCATCAGTTACACCAACTAAGGTATTGAAACATATTTCCAAGTTATTTATAGTAGGAGTATGAATAAAGGTCCCGTAGTATAATGTATAATGAATTGATGATGTCGCTTTAACGGTTAAATTGAAGTTCGAAGAAGGCATGACTGCTAGGTGAATTGATGCATGTAAATAATAAAAGAAATAACCAGGAGAATTTATACTAGGGAATTTATAACTCTATTTATTTTCTAATTTAAATGACCTAGCCAAGATTCAACTAACATCATTAGGTTATGAATTACAAGGAATTTCGGGTTTGTATTTTTCTTATCGAAGCTTTTTAGCAACAACTACGACCGCAAAAAAAAGATAAACAATGGCAACACAAAAAAAAAAGATAAGATAAAAATAAGCAACTCAAAAAAAGGTCATACTTGACACCGGTGATGCCGCGGAGGTACCATTTCTCCAGTGGTTCCCCGTTTTTTTTTAACTTTAACGAAACCAGAGTACTTACAATGATCTTCATACTTGCTTAGGTTGGGTACAGAAGCTATTTGAATGCTTACCTTGAACTAGATGCTACTCTTAAGTGTAGTTTGAAAGCAATGTTAAGGTCATAGTTGTATATAATTTCGGCAATAATTTCCTTTAACAGAGAAAATATGTCTAATTCAAATTTATACTGCCCCCCCCAGAGGCAAGCAACTAGAGAAGTTAATAGCAATGTAAGAGAAGTCTAATTTCATCTCGATCAGCCCCAAGGACTATATCCTCATATGGCAGAGTATGTAGATAAGGGGGTGCTAGTCCTCGTTCAATACTGTTTACCCCACCTTTAGTTCCATCTCGAACTCTCATATAAGCAATTACTAAGCCGAGGAGTTCCGCCGGAGGGCTCCTGGTATACTCCATCACAGTTGTGTAGTTGCCTAGGAAAAGTCGATTCATTGTAAATAGAAACGTGGAAGGATGAGTCAATCTTTCATGTCATTTGGAATGCTTTTCCCCATACAATCTTACCAGAACCGCAGCATGATAAGTTTATGAAGAAAATTAGGAAATTTAAAGCTGAAGGGGTCGTTACAGAGTGTAAACGTCCAGAGAACTACATAATCATACCAACCAAAATGGGACCATAAATCTCAGGTAGTTGGCACTGTATAAAGACTCTTTGAGCTTTCAATTTCAATCACAACTACTATTGTATCTTTCAGTTATGGACTTAGTAATTCATTGTAATTAATATGATCAGCAGTAGCATTTAATTGGTATCAAAATTTTTCATCTTTGTTAGTTCTAACGTTGAATACAAATTTGGGCAGGGAAGTGATGATTGTTACTGAATTATTAATTCTTTTCGTAGTTTGGGTTCAGAATTCTTGATACTTTCTTACCTTCGAACTGTATTTGTTGGCTGTATTGATGCCGAAGAGGTTGAGGTTCCCGTAATATCAGTGCCTAAGTGGAGCCATATATTTGTGGTGAAACTCGTCCAAGCTTTTGATTTTGTTTAATACCTAATATTTGTAACTCTGTCATGCAAAATGACGCACGTACTAATAATAAAAACAATGTATCCAACTATATGGGTATATTAACAAAGTATATACTTTTTTATAAAATCATGTCAAAACATTGTATCAAGTTCTATATAAGTGACTCTTTCCAAGAAAGAACTTCAAAACGTATGAAGTGAAAAATCAAACCAGGACTAATCCAAAAAAAAAACTAAACCAAAGAAATTACCTAAATCGCTTACAACAAAGCAGCACCAATCAAACCAACAACAGCGGCACCAGCAGTCAATCTAGAACCAGCGTTGCTTGGGACAGTGGTGACGGCTGGGGAAGATGAGGTTTGAGCTTCAGAAGAAGTGGCAGCAGTGGTTGGTGCGGAGGTGACGGTGGTTGGCTTAGCAGCGGAGGAAGTAGCAGCAGCGGAGGTGGTTTCAGCGGCCGAACTAGTAGTAGATTCAACTTCAGTGGAGGAAGCAGCAGCAGAAGAAGAGGATGAAGTGGTGGTGGTGGATGAAGCCTTGGTGGATGAAGTAGTAGCTTCAGTAGAAGAAGCTTCAGTAGAAGAAGCTTCAGTGGAAGAAGCTTCAGTGGATGAAGAAGTGGTGGATGAAGAAGAGGCCTTGGTGGAGGAAGAGGCCTTGGAAGATGATAAAGAACGAACAGATGCAACCTTGTCACCGAAGGAAGAACAGGTGCTTTCAAAAGCAGAAATGGCATCATCAGCTTGACCGTTAGGACAGATATCCTTTAAACATTGTTCGACATCACTTCCGTTACTGGTACAGACACAACTGATGTCATTTAAACCAGAACAGTCGGAGGCCTTTTCAACTTGAGCGACACAGGCTAATAAACAAGCTGGTGGGGCAGCATAAGCGGATTGTAAAGAAACTGCTAAAGCAACTAAAGTGGAGATTTTTAAGAAGGAAGCCATTATTGATGTAGTCTATTATGTGATTCTATGGGGTTGGGTATCTATGAGTTGGAGTGTCTATGCTTCTATAAACGATTGACTTTTGGGTAGGATCGAATGATGAAAGAAAGAGAATGTGGTGGAATCTCGAAAAATTCTCTCACGTTTTATTTTTTTTTTAGGTGCGCTTGTCTTAACTATGACAAAATTTCGGTTGTCCTGGCTTGTGTATTTATTGGTGAAGGACACGCCCTTTTCGCATCATTGTGCGCACACAAAACGTAAACAAACACTGCAGGTTATGCAACCTTTTTTCTCTTTCGTTAATTGCATTTCCCCTTTGGGTAATACACCTGCATGGTAACCAGCAAAAAATTTGATCAATCTAAAAATAGAACAATCGGATGTTACATAATTTGAAAACAATTTACATGTTACAAGATATTCTAGAATCGCAGACACATACTATAAAACCTGGAGCTGCAAAAAAAAAAAATATAGCTAATATTAGAACCCAATTTTAGATTTTAAACCATTACCTTTATAGAATAAATTAACATCAAACTCATCTAATTGAACATTCAAAATTGCCAATACTTCAACATCCAATTCTCCATTCATGGCCTTTTTCAAAACATCCATACCAATGGAGTTGATCTTGATTGGTAACTTTGGAGTTTTGTAAATACCTGGAGGTACAATTAGCCTTTCTCTTTGCTGTAAATACCCCAATACTACATCCTTGTATTTGGCTTCAGCTTGAAAAACTTCCACTATAAGTTCATGATTTACAATTGGGTTAAATACAGTTAATTCAACCTCGGAACTGAAGATATGGATGGTGGCTTGGACAATAAACGGACATGATTTAACTGCAACTTGTTCACTTTCTTCAGGAAGTGGCAAGCTAATATTGGGAATGGTTAGATTAGTAATATTGATTTGTTCAACTAATTTGTTCAACCCAGGATTGTTATAAACATGATTGTTTCCAATGTTGATCTTGATGGACGAATTCTCATACCCACCAGATACAAATTCACTGAGGAAATATTCCAATACTGCCTTATCTTCATTAGTTTCTGATTTAATGGTACATCCAACTGACATATTAACTTGTTCATTTTGAGGAATGAATACATCTTTAATGGTTCCATATGCTAGATTTGTATTGTTGTAAATCACGCCTAATTCTAAAACTTCATTAGGCAAGTCAAACGTGATATTAGTAGGGTTAAATATGGACATATCAACTAATAACTCTAATGACGTTGGACTAGAACCAACATATAGCACCGAGTAAACAGTGGCATTTAACTGGTTCAAGAAGTCACTGTCTTGATTCTCTGTTAATAAAAGTAAGTTGTTAGGGCCAGGTAAAAGTGGGATTGATGCTAATGTGAAGTTGGTCACAGTCATATTCAAGATAGGAGTTTCAATAACCAAATCATATAGATTGACATCTAATAAAACTGGATCATATTCAATCAGTGATATGACATCACGAACCAATTTACCCAAACTAACTGAATCAATAATAGTCAATTCCGAATCTGTGTTGGTACTGATATGACAACAATCTTCAGATAAACTTATCTGATTGTGACTGTTAGATGTACCTTGCATCAACTTACTTTTATTTTGATATATTGTAAACTCTGATCTAAACCCAGGAACATTGAATGGGATAGGAACTATATTCTGGACGTCCAAGGTGAAATTGCTAAGTAGATGAGTTGAAAATGAATTATCGTCCTTAGTTGGGTTAACCAATACCTCAGTTGAATTATTTATAAATTCAATCAAGTTAACTGGTTTCCAATCAGGTCTAGGTAATTTTATTTCAATTCTTTGATTCATGGAACTCAACATTGAGATAATCCAATCTGGCAAATCTGCTTCATCTTGTTCTTCACATGCACTCAAATATATGTACAAAGGCTCATTTTGTAGATATCTGTGAATTAAACGGAAGATAGGGCTTGTTTGATCACTAGGACAATCATGGGTGAGTTTAGAAGGGACACTAGCAACTTCACCAAGCACAGAGACTGAAATAGGAATCTTGGGAGAAATCAATATGGGTGAACTCTTCCAGTTACCAATATCAATTAGGTTCGAATCACAATCAGGTAACATTACCTTCCAATTTATACTATTGAGGAACAACAGAATGGAATAATCATTTTCTATATTTATGGAGGCTTCCAACGACAAGCCCTTATCTGAAGACGTAACATCCAAACCATCCAAACCAATTTCTGGAACTAAATCTTGTTTTGAAATCTGTATAAACTCACGGAATTCAACATTTGGAACATTAACACTTAGGAATCTTGCCTTCACATTGGCGTTCGCAATACCTTTAATTTCAAGATTAACAACATTTGAATTCACTTGATTAAAATATTTCAAGAATTCCCAAAAGTTTGAATTAGTGAAATTACACGGAGTTATGAAATCAAACTTGTTTGTGGTATTGGACGGATGAATGTCAATATTCATGATTGGTGGTAACGTATCCACCATGTGAACAAATGGGCTGTTTACATCAACTACTTTGGTAAAGATTTCAACCGGCAAAACATGACTGATGGTTAGATTTCCTAGAATTAAAGCGCCCAATTTCAAAATATTTCTGTGGAAGAACTTGGAGACGGCATTATAATCCACATCAACTTTGCCTTGAATGTGGGCATCTAATCCAAATGGAGTTATACTGGAGATGGCAACTGTATCCAACTGAATATTGACTGCTTGAGAAGCAGATCCGTCGATATCACGTATAATAACATATATGATGGTTGTCAATATAAGAAACGACACTAAAACAATCATGATGATAGGATTAGGTTCGGATGAAGGTACCGGGATAGCATTGACGGATAAAAGGGGAGTTTCCTCATCTGCTTCATCCAGCGGGTCTGCAGGAGGTGGCTCCTGAAGATGGGAGGAAAGACTTGCATCAGTTGCTCTAGTAAACAATATCTTTGGACTGGATAAGTTTGGATTAACTTCAACATCTTGTTCTTCTTGAGTATGTTCTGGTTGCAGGGACTCCTGTGTCATCTTTGTTGTGTTGCAAACCAAAAATGAATGACCTATGATCAAGTGGAAAGAAACAAAAATGTGAGCAGTAACAGTCGATGGGAATTTAAGAGAACGATCACAGCTGATGTATAGGCTGATTAAGCGTGACTAGTAGGGACGGAACAAGGCGTAGTGACAGTATTTCAGAAGGCGGGAAATCTAGGAGATTAATATGTGGAGAAAAAAATGAGGGAGATTTGAAAGGGACTTGGTTGTAAAAATCAGATAACGCAAGTTTACACCCTACACTTTTTCCAAATCACACGTTTGACAAAGATAAGCGTTTGTGATGTGAGATTAAGAGCCCAGGTTGGCAAAGACTAAGCAGTCCAAGAAAGTATTGTTCAACAGAGGATTACTACAGATAAAGTCAGTTACGAAACGAAAGTAGTGCTGGCGACAAAATTAAAAAGACATTTTGTAATAGCAACAGCATATCACCCAAAAAGAAGCCGCAGTTTGAATCTGGAATTTGCTGACGAGATAAGCGCTGCAGTTTAAGGTTTCAGCGAAGGTTCTTTTTGGGGATGACTTGCTGTTGCTGGTGTTATCCTTCAACGTCGTGTCTTTTGGTCAGAAAAACGCGTACTCCCTCTCCATATACAAACCAATATCATCAAAACAAGGCGTCCTAATAAACAACTCCGAACTTGTAGTAACCAACATGTCCAATTACTACGATCTAGACGATATATTAGCCGATGGGGAGAAAGTACCCTGTAAATTCAATATTACTGTTCCAGGACTAGGTTATCTACAAGGTAACCCTGGAAAGCCAATCGAGAAAGATACCAAGATTGAATTGCCATTTTGGTTAGCAGAGATCTTGGCAGTTTGTATAGTGCTGGATGAATCACAACAAAGTTTCATTGATATGATTGATCCTGAGTTCATAAATAGCAAAGTTGTCAATGCTATAAAGTCAAATCCTACTTCGGTCGACCTACATAAATTGTTACCTCATTATTACAAATTAATCGAAAAATGGTGTCTGATGTTCAGTGACGAACAGCTCATAGACAATGTCATGAATATGTTAAAGGAAAGGTCGTTTGAAATCAATAGTTTTGCAAACAATGTCAATAAGCAAGTTAATAGCGAATTTATTTACACCTTGGATGAGTTTGAAAAGAAGTTGTTTAAGCAAACAAGCGAGAGTAATAAGTTAATGCGAAATTGGTTAAAAGAGTAATACGTGTAATTAGTTAATATACATTTATAGATAGTACAACACAACAGAATGTAATTTTGTTTATTCATCATCACCATTATTGGCTTCTTCTTCTTCTTCTTCTTCTTGCAGGAGCTTAGCCTCTTCTTCGGCGTCATCACCACCAAACAAATCGTCATCTAAATCATCACTGTCATTGATGAATTCATTTGACTTGAACTGTTTCTTGCTCTTCTTCCCGCCTTTTTGTGTGCCATTATTATTGGTATTTTCTTCAGCATCTGATTCTCCACCACTGGAAGAAGCCGCTTCTTCCTCGTCACTATCATCAACAACATTCTTCTTTGCCCTCTTCTTGGTCTTCTTTTGTTTTTTCTTGTCACCTCCCTTGGCAGGTTTACTCTTTCTCTTCTTATCGGCAGCAGCAGATTCTTCATTGAATAAATCGTCATCATTTTCTTCATCAACTTCAACATTCATTCTAGCTTCTTCAGCCCATTGCTGTGCTTGTTCTTGCAACAAGGCACGCTCTTGCGCCAATTTCTCTTCCTTTTCTTTCAAAGCAGCCACTCTTTGTTTTTCTTCTTCCAACTTGGCCTCTTCTTCTTCTTGTCTGAGCTTCTTGGCAACTTCCAACTTTTGTTCAACTTCTGCAATACTTGCCTTAGTTTCTTCAAAAACAACATTCAATCTATTCAACAAAGTGGTAGTACCCAAATTGGCTCTAGCTCTCAATTCTTCCTTTGGATAAGGTGGATGTTTTTCATCGTCAGACGCCAACTCATTCAAAAGCTCAATACCTTCCTTTAATCCCGTGATTGCTGCTTCAATATCTTCAAGCTTACGTTGGAATACTGGTTGTTTGGTGACAAATTCAGCAATTTGGAAATGAACATAAGCAATATTGAATCGGATCGAAGATTTAGATCCTGTTCCTTTAATACATTCAAATGCCAATTTACTGTATTCCAACGATCTTCGGTAGAATGATAAGTTGTTCTCTGATTGGGCACGTAAATACCACGCACGTCCCAAGAATGAAAGAATCTTTGAATCCTTACCATCAGTGAATCTTCCTAATGCTAATTCATAGTTTTCTATAGCTTTACCGTATTGCTTCAATTCAGTCAAAACATGACCCAAGTTCAAATACACTGAAATATCATTCAATGAATCTCTGATTTTTCTCAAGATATCCAATCCCTTATTGCTTTCCTTATTTTCAATATTAGCGATAGCCAACCCTTGAGCAGCATACACATTCTTAGGATCAACCGATATGACCTTGGTGAATAATTCAATGGCTCTGATATAATACTTCTTTCTCTTTTCGTTATCACCCTTGGCATCTCTAGCCATAATACAATAGATGTTGGCTAACGAGATCAAAGCATAACAGTCATGAGAATCGTAGTCAACCAAAGTATCCTTTTGATGTTTGGTATCGGCATCTGCAGGCAATCCCAACTTCTTCCCGAAATTCTTAATAAACCATCCGTAAAATGATCTGATTTCTAAGTTGGAACTATTTGAACTCATCAAGGCCTCTAATTCAGTCTTGATTTCTTGTTTGGTGTATCCACCTTCTTCTAAAATGCAATTCAAGAATAAGATACGTAATTTGGCCGAGAAATAATGTGGACATTCTTGCAAAAGGGTTTCGTAAATCTTTAACGCATCATCCTTATTGGAAATTTCCTTCGATCTGGCCAAGTTGAACGTCAATGAAACCTTTAAATCTTGAGGCAAGTCAATTAATAAATCTCCATCAGGGCTCTTAAATTCAGCCCCATCTAATTGATCAAGCGCAACTTGGAAATTGTTTGATGCCTCATCATAATTTTGCTTCATGAAATTGAATACCCCAATGTTGTTGTATACTTCCAAAGGCACTGGTTTACTAATATGTTTTCTTGATTCTATAGCTTTGTTTAAGTAATTCAACAGCTGGTTAACGTCACTGGATTCGTATAATTTACTCAAGGTCAAGTATGCATTCAAACAAATTGGTTCCTTATTCAACAAGAATTCAGACAGGTCTTCCTTGGAAGATGATAATCCTCTATTATTCGACAATCTAACATATCTTTCAAGAATTTGAATGGCCATTTCTTGCTTTCTTCTGGAAGATTGTTTCGAGTACAATATACCAAGGGAATAGTTGACTTCAAGACACTTCATGTTACTTCTCAAGATAGATTCAAATGTCATGATAGCTTCTTCTATAGATCCTCTATTATATTGAGCCTGACCTAATCCTAACTTAGCCACGATATTGGTATCATTCAACTTGATTGCTTCTTGGAAATATTTCGATGCTTGGAGGAAATCACTGTTAGTGAATTGGATACGTCCTAACCATGTACAACATTGCGATAATATGTTGCTGTTATATTTGGAAATCTTGGTGAAGTTGCTGAACTTGGTCAAGTTATCGTCTCCAGTTATGTTATACACAATCTTCTTAATGATCTTTTCCACGGTTTCGTAATCTCCTTTGGAAAAGTAGTAAGATGCCAACGGCAATAATACAGTAGCATCTTGTGGTGCTTTTGCATTAATCTTGGACACTTCCACTAAACAAGTCTTGTAATTTTCCAAGAATTCTTCATCGCTCAAAGAGTTATTGAATGCTAAGTGGAATTTAGCTAAATTTATAAAAATCTTCGCCTTGATATTTTCAGGATCCAATTCTAAACATCTTTCCCATGCAGCCAATGCCATTTTGTCATCTTTCAAGAACCAGAAACATAACCCAACACCCAATCTAGGGTCTGGTTTCATTAGTGGGTTTAAAATCAATACTTGTTGGTATAATTTCAATGCTAATGAGTAATTCTTGGTTTTGTTTAAAATAACTTGAGCTTTACCCAATGTAGCAAAACAATTGTTTTGGTCAATTCGTAAAATCTTGTCAAAGATATCCAAGGCATCGTCATCTTGACCATTGAACAATAACAATACTGCTTGAGATAAGATGTTTGAAGTACTATTCGACGTACTTGTACTTGCGTCCGTCTTTATTCTTTGTGCCAACTTGTTAATTTCCACCAGGGCTTGGTTCAAATACTGGTCTTTTTCAATTCCCAAGGAAACAAATTTGAAATAAAGCCATACCAAGAAACTTTGGAACGACTTTTTATCTTCTTCACCGAAGTAGTCTAATTTCAATGCGGCATCAATGATCCCCATTGCTTCAGTTAGTTTATTAGTTTTAGCGTATGCTGAAGCAACGGTTATCCAATACTGCTTACCACAGTGCTCTCCTTCAAGAAACCCGATCAAATCATTGTGATCCTCAGGTAAGTCGTTAACTAAGTTGATTTGGACGATTTCCCCATTGGATAAAGGAACATCCAAATTGTGCAATTTCTCAAGGGATTGGGAATCAATATAGTAGGAAATATCAGAGACAACAGCATCGGTAGTGGTGACAGTGCTTGTAGCTGCTCCTGCCGCAGTTGCAGTAGCGGCTGGGGAATCCACAGCGGATGATGCAGTTGTGGCGACAGCTGGAGCAGTGGATGGATGTGCCATTTGTGATTGTTTATGCTGCCTTATTGCTTGGTCTCCAACTCAGTCTGGGTTTTTGTTGTTGGCAGAAATCTTGCGGTAAAATTTCAAAGAATTTTTTCCAAGATTCGGGTCACGTGACCGGGTGATTCCCGCCAGAATGTGACGAGGCTCGGGATGGGGGGTCGATTACAATCTAGGTATGGAACTAGGTAGGTGTTTGTTATAGTTCCTGGCGAACTTACGGCTGTAGCACTTTTGATTCTATATATATATGTGCTATAGAGACCTGGTTATTAATACATTATGTACAATTTTGAAGCAAAAATCTAGGGATGATAGGTAATGCCCCATTCAATGCTTAGAGCAACATGATCTGGATGGAGGTTGTGGATGTTGTGGAGGTTGCTGTGGTTGTGGAGGTTGTGGAGGTTGTGGAGGTAGCTGTGGTTGTGGAGGTTGTTGTTGCAGTTGTTGTAGTAGCAGTCTTTCTGGATCACCAGCCAGGGGTTTCAATAGTTGCTCATACAACAAATCGTTTTCTTGTTTCATTACACTATAAATATCCTCACCACCATTCATGGGAAAATCATTAAACAAGTCATTCATGGATGTAAAATTATGGGTCTTGAAATAGTCATCCAATTTGTACCCATTTATGATACCATGAGTCTCACAATTGGTACAATCACAACCGTCAGATGGACAGGAACAGACATTGGGAGATGCTGAGCCGGTGCTGGCAGTGGCACTGCTATTACTGACTGTATCTTGTTGGTAGGGACTTGATTGGGTTAACGTTGGATTAGGAAATTGGTTCGCGTACAGGTTGTCGTGTCGTTGATTGTGAGGATATGTGGTGATATGACCTGGTAAACCAGGGACACTATTAAAGATGATATTTCCGGAATCTTGAAGATTATTGTTAAAGTTGGAATCAGGGAGTGGCAAATACTTTGCAATTTCATTCATTGATGCTTTGGAGTTACCATGGACCATGCAACCTGCACAGGTACAGTTCTCATCACAGGAGCACGTTCCAGGAATAGAACATGAAGGTATTGAAACAACATCAAATATTTGCGTTGAGGAAGAAGAAGAAGGTGCTGTTTGTGGTTGTTCTATTTGAGATTCATCTTCAGTCTTGATCTTGGTTGGTGCTACTGTTATCGAAGGGTCGGCTTCTGGCAGATATTCATTAACAAAAGTCCAAGTCCAACCAGTAGACTTGGGTTGTGATTTGACATTTATTCGTTTTTCAATCTTCTTTTTAATGTATGACTCAAGGATCTTGGACTTGTTGACTGGTTTCTTTTTGTTGGCACAGCATCCACATGATTTATTAGGTTTGCTCACGTTGCTGGAATGCACGGTGGGATTGCAACAAGTGCTTGAATTTATAAAGCTGTCAGAATTGATAACCGGTGGGGTAGTCTTCGGCTTTACATTTGAAGGTTGACAGCTTGCTTCGTCATAGGGCCCCACAATTACCCCACTAACCAAATCTATAACTTGTTTTGGTGAAGCCTTTAATATGACTACCGGTTGGCTCTTTTTACATTTGTTTAATTCAAAATCAGGAGAATCTGGTTCCTCTTTGGCGATTTCTTCCGCAAACACTGCTATTCGATGGTTGGGATTGCCATTAGCATATACGTTAGGTCTGCCCTTTGACCTAACTTGTAGTAGTGGACGGGTATGATGTTTGCACAGGGACGACCTATGCCCACGTATGCATTCCATACATGCATACTTGACCCCGTTTATTAATATCATTTACTGGGACTGCTCTAATGTGTAAGAACTCTGTGAATTATGATTGATGTATGTGATTACTGGGATGCTAAATCCACGATGTCGCGTATCAATGCAGTCGTGCTATCCTGTGGAAAAGTTTGCAAAAGTATCAACTAAACATGTTTTAATTTCAATTTTTTCTTGTCTGATAATTTTTAACCACCGTATACCAGCTCACTAAATGAGCAAATTAATTACTACCAAATTGGGAAGTTGGAACCGCCGCACTTTTCTAAGAAACAAGGGTCTGAAATGACGAATCATTCAGTTTAAGGTACCCAACGTTCTACGTCAAGAGATATCCTGGTTGTTCTATAGCCGAAGTGCATCTCAATTGAATAATAATTATTATATCGTCAAGTTGATTCATGCTTCGTGATTCTGTACAAGGTGTCTGTTTAAACCTTGATCAAACTGATAACGTGGATATTTACTTAAAACTCACGGCAATTCTATGGGATGTACCTAGGAAATATATCTGCTTATACATGCTATAACTTCAGTTGCATGTGATTTGATTACGATAAATGTCTAACAATGGTGGCATCGATTGATCTCCCTGTCGTCATACTGGCAACCACAACTGTCTGCAGGAATGACGAACATAATCATCGCTCGTAATAATAAGGACGAAAAAAAACAAAAAACAAAAAAAATAAAACAAAATACAAGGTCTATCTTCTGCAACCGTTTGTGAAGCATATCAAACATGCCCATCAAAACTCTTCAAGAATACGATCCAGATCAGATCCACGCCGATTCTGATTTGATAGCTGATTCGCAAATAAATTATGATGACGCTATAGCATACTGGTCATCAGTGCCTGCATCAGTCAATGGTGTCTTGGGTGGATTTGGTGAACAAACCCCTGTGCCCAAAGCCGATATCGTTGGATCCATGACCTTTTTAAGAAAACTAGAGACTAGAATGTCGTGTCCTGCCCCATACAAGAAATTGACCATTGACATGGGTGCTGGTATAGGAAGAATAACTCGAGATTTGTTATGGCGTGTAAGTGATACTGTTGACTTGTTAGAACCAGTAAAGCCATTTGTGGCTCAAATGGAAACAGAATTAACTCAAGTGCAACAAAAAGGAAAATTAGGCACCATTTATGATATTGGTATGCAAGACTGGATACCTGAACCAGAAAAAAAGTATTGGTTGATCTGGTGTCAATGGTGTGTCGGACAATTACCTGACGCCGAATTGGTGGAATTTTGGAAGAGATGTAAAGATGCCTTGATTGAAAATGGTGTTGGTACTATGATTGTCAAGGAAAATATTGCTCCTTTTGAAGATATTTTTGATGAAACTGACAGTTCTGTCACTAGAACTGATGCCAAGTTTAGACAATTATTTATCGAAGCAGGATTTAAGTTGATTGCTAGTGATGTACAGAAAGGATTACCCAAGGAGTTATTTCCAGTGAGAATGTATTGTCTCAAGCCGCAATAGCTATAGAACAAAATAAAATTTAATTATAGATAATAGATCAAAACATTATCCTGGCACAAGGGTAAACCTACAAGTCATACAACCTAGTCATAAACATAACAATTACAATATTAATACACATTTAACATATTAAACCACTCTATGTTTACTTGGTTCGAATGGGAACAACAATGCAAGGAATCCAAGAACACCCACAAACGCACCACAAATCCAGATAGGTACCAGGGAACTGGTGTCTGCGTAATAAGCAATCAAAGGAACAACCACAGTGGCAACTCTGGTACATGCAACAGAAAGAGCATTCCCAGTCCCTCTAGCAACAGAAGGGAACACTTCTGGGGTATAAGCGTATAATGCAGCATAGTAGATATAAATCGAGGCATAAGATATTGAGGAAAGTGCAACATTTTGGGCCCGAGTTTTAATTTGGGTATATCCAAATAAGAAGGCCATGGAACAAACACCCCCGATAAAAAGAACCCCACGGCGACCCAAAAATGGGAACAAATAAAGCAATGCACCGGCAATTAAGGGACCTGCAGTTGAAACAGAATTTGAAATCAAGTTATCACGATACACACCGGCAACATCAGGGGCAGAAATGGTAGCACCTCTAGTAGCCAAATAAATTGGAAGGAAAGACGAATATAATGGGTATGAAAAACCTAAAAGTAACCAGGACAAGAATACCAATCCAGATGATCTAGCAACTAGTCTGTTGGAGAATAAAGTTTTTACGTGTCCTGCAATCAATTGCAAGGTTCCCTTGATATCCAAATGCTTTCTGAAATCATCATTGATTTCAATAGTACCGATACTTTCTAATTGTTCCAAGGTCAATGAACACTTACGGTTATACTTGTTGGCAATATTATGCAATAATTCCACAGCCTCGGCATCACGATTGTTGGAAATCAAGAATTTTGGTGTTTCCTTTAATCTAATCACGGTGATACGTAAAATAGCCATAACCAACACAATACAACCATTGACATAATAGACATATCTCCAACCTCTATTCTCGTGGGATGGACAGTCTTGGATCGAAGAACATGAATTGTTAGGTAAGAAAGCGTAAGCAAGCCCAACAGCAATCACTTGACCGATCCCCCAAAAGAATGCAAAAAAGGTTAATAACCATTGATCCTTGTGGGGTAAGTATTCCAAGAACACACAAGTATCCAAAACTAAGTTACCACCAGCTGAAAAACAACTCAAAAACACAAAGATACAATAGGTAGCCATTGAACTCATGGCACCGGTCATAATTGTGAAAATAGCACTTAACATTAAACTAAAGTTGAAAGCAATTTTTCTACCAATTAAATCGGCAGAAAGACCCCAGAATAGCGCCCCGAATAGTAAACCGGTAGCCAACATAAAGTTAGACACTGGGAACGTATACCCGAATTGGTAGTTAATGAATGTTCTTACACTACTTTCCAAAAATGTTAACTGGGTATCAGTCCAGTACCCCATACCGTTCAAGAAAAACAACTTCAAATGATACGGAGTAAACCCAATTTCGTCAATAGCGTCATTTATAAGTTTCATTTTTTGGTGTAAGACGGAATCGCTTAATTCATAAAGTTCTCCGTCACCGTCCAGGATCAGGGAAGCTGATTCAATCGAAGCTTTCTCTGGGTGCTTCTCAGCATCATAGTGATTACCAGAATCAGACATTGGTTGTAAAATAGTGTATCTACAAAGAAACACGCGTAAAGAGGATTTGAATTCCACATTGCGACAAGTACTATTTATATACAGAGCCGTAGATTGTATCTAACTGAAATGATGTAAACTATTAAACTTTCTATTGTTGGTTAAGCTATATGAATTACTGCACGTTTTCCATTGTTTGGTTTTGGTATGTGTGAGTGTATCGATCACGTGTGCTATTTCAATACAGGCCAAGCGGCCATTAACCCTTTCAGGAAATCGACCAAACGAGGAAGGAGCACGCGCATGACTTGCTGTTAATATGTTTCAAGTTTTATGTTAATAGGGTATTCCTGGCGCGTCCTTTTTCATAATAAATTGATTTATATCTATCAGCTAGCGCTAGGAGAGGGTGTGCAAAAATCACATGCTTGTCTTAGAAGATTTGTGTCGTAATCATTGACTAATTGATTTTGTAACTAATTTATATTAACACCCACCGCCTCACCTACCCAACGTTTTTCGTTGAGATATTTTTCAAGCGTATTTTCTATTACTTGCATATAGCGCCCATTATGAGCGGCTTATGTAGTATCATGTTCTTATTGGACAGATTAAATGAAATTTATGTAAATCACTCAACATTCTACGTATTAAGAAAACTTGAAAAAATACATATATTTTTTTTAAAAAAAACTAATAGTAATTTAGAATTTTGATTTGAAGGACGATCCCGCAATCCCCCCTAAAATAAATAAATATGAAATAAATCAAATTGTAAACTTTTTACACTGCTCTTTGCTTACTTGGTTCATAAGGTAAGAATAATGCAAGCACTCCAATCATTCCCATGAATGCCCCACAAATCCACATTGGTACTTGGGAACTAGTATCTGAAAAGTAAGCAATAACCGGTACAATAGTGGTACAGATTCTGGTACATGCTAAACATAGACAATTACCAGTTGCTCTGGCAGCCGACGGCATAACCTCAGGAGTGTAGGCATATATAACCCCATAGTAGATGTATAATGCACAGTAAATGGCCGAAGTTAACCCAACATTACCAGCACGATTACGTACAGCAGTATAACCGAAAAGGAACCCCATAGTAGATAATCCTCCAATGGCAAGAACACCTCTTCTACCTAGTCTTGGAACGTAAAATAGAAGCAATCCCGCAATAATAGGTCCTCCAATAGAGGCTGTATTTGCAATCAAATTATCACGATAAACTCCGGCAACATCACCTTCAGGAGGGGAAATATTTGCACCACGAGTAGCTAGATAAACCGGAAGAAATGATGAATATAATGGGTATGAAATCCCCAACATGGCCCAAGATAAAAATAATAATATTGTAGATCTAGTAGATTTCACGCTGGCAAATAAAATCTTTAAATGATCAAACATTAATTTTAAGGTGCCAAGAATATTCAAATGCTTACGGAAATCATCATTACTTTCGATAGTACCACATGCTTGCAATTCAGCCAAAGTTAATGAACATTTACGATTGTACTTGTTGGCAATATCATGTAATATAGTTACTGCTTCTTCGTCACGATTATTAGATACCAAGAATTTAGGAGTTTCCTTTAATCTAATCACAGTGATACGAAGAACAGCCATGACTAACACCATACCCCCATTGGTATAAAACAAGTATCTCCAACCACGATTCAAATGAGAAGGACAGTTATCTACACTCTCACAAGAGTAATTTGGCAAGAATGCATATGCTAATCCCACAGCAATCACTTGACCAATTCCCCAAAAGAATGCGAAAAAAGTTAACAACCATTGGTCCTTGTGAGGTAAATACTCCAAAAATACACAAGTATCCAACACTAAATTCCCACCAATAGCAAATGCAATCAACAATATAAAAAGAGCATAGGATGCCATTGAATTCATAATCCCGGTCATGATTGTGAAAATTGCACTCAACATCAAACTCAAATTAAATGCCAATCTTCTACCAATTAAATCAGCCCCAAAACCCCAAAATAAACCCCCTAAAATCATACCCACACCGTAAGTCATTGCTGTGACTGGAAAATCATAATCAAATTGATAGTTAATAAATGTTCTCACACTACTTTCAAGATACATCAACTGGGTATCAGTCCAATAGCCCATACCGTTTAAAAAGAATAGTTTTAAATGATAAGGAGTGAACCCAATTTCATCAATAGCATCGTTGATAAGTTTCATTTTTTCATGAAGAATGTGGTCATTACCATCCAAATCATCCATATCCAAATCAATCTCCGAGGAAGATCTATCCTCGGAGTTGACCAAATAATCTTCTTTAGTTAAATCATTTGAAGGAGGTGGTAATAATTCTGTTTCAGCGTTCTTGTCTAGCGTGATAGGTTGTTTCTCTCTCAGATTCATGATAATTTTCAAAATCTACAATCAAAAGTTGTGTTCAAGATAGAGGTGGAAAAAAAAATCTATGAAAAAAAAACTATAAATACTTCAAATGCATATTAATAGTAACTTGAAAATCTCATCGAATTTTCTAATTTGAAGCCCCTGGAGTCAAAACCATTCGATTATAGTGTAGTGTGTGGGGGTCTAATCATTTTTCGCTTCACAAAACCAACTAAAAAAAAATAAGTCAAAAAATAAATAAATTGGGCAAAGAAAATATACGATTGGTTTGTTTTCCGAGGTTCTATTGGTACACTGTAATCTTTGATAAGCTTTCAATCTGTATTTAAGTAGTCACACTTCCAATTATCTTGTGAGTTAAAGATATTTTCAAGAATAACCGATATCTTAAACTCTAGAGAAGTATAAAAGTACTTGATTCTTCCAAGACCGAATGTGGTAATTAATCAAAAATATTAAATTAAAGACTAACCAAAGGGCTAAAATTTTGTACTTGGGGTTATGCATATCTTTCTTGACATATTTCTTTTAAAAACGGTGTGTACTACTCTTGTATTACCAGTTATGAGCATTCGGAGTTCCCGGAAACTGCGGTTAGTATGAGCCGTTGGACATTTACCTCACTCAGCACCAGAAACACATAACCATTTCTCAACGAAAACGTTATGATAACCCTGCCTATTTCATCCATTTTTGGACAAACCAAAGAAAAAAAGTTAGAAAACAATAGAACAAGGGATAAAACCTTGGTTTTGATTGGGGATGGAACGAATAAATGAAATTAGTTTATGACGTAATGGTTACATATGTAACCGAGGTTGCTCTTTTCTTTTCTTTTTTTTTTTTTTTGCTAATTTTTGTCCCAAATTGGACGGCCCCAAATTAGTTTGACTCGACAACTTAGAGTCAAGAAAAGATCATTTTGACGATCAGAGTACTTAATACAAAATTCTTGAGTCATTTTTTTTTTTGTTTTGATATGAGTAAATTAAGTTACACCGGTAAGAAATGTTATGGAAGATATCGTTTGATTTTTTCTGTAGTAATATGCAAAAGAAGCAACCCTGAAAATACTTCTAGAAGTTCTATATATAAGGAGAAAACTAAACTAATTTTTAATAGTAGTTTCCCCTGGCTTCAGTGATTCTATGGTATAATGAATTATTTGAATCACCAGAATCTAATCTGATTACAATGTCATCACTGTTCCATTGTTTATCTTCATACACTTCAATGTGATCTTTTAATTTAAGTAATTTTTCATAATATTGCTTTTGGGAATTAATTAATTCTGGGCCAAAATTATTAAATTTCGAGTTTTGCAATAAAAATTCAGCGCCTGTTTCTTGGAAAACATTAATGATGATCGATACAATATTTAATAACTGTTTGATCTTGGCAGAATACTTGGTATTCAAATCACCCAAATTGACTGGATCAATACATAATCTCTTTGTATGAGAACGTAAATGATATCTTATTGGATTGGTTTCAATATCATGGCATAATTGATATATCCAACTTAAATCTAAATCGTGAGGTAATGGTACTAGTCTTGAATATCTCCATTCGCTTAAAATATCAAGACTTTTCCTAATTAACGAGTATTTAGAAGTACCGCTAGGATATCTTTGATAAACATTTAATCTCAATTTTTCATCAGCATCCGGGAAACTATCAAAACTTTCAATTAGCTCTGGTGTCATATCTATATCGGCAACACCTAATTTATACAACATTCCTTTAATGTTTCCCCAATGAACACAACTTTTTAACGCAATCAACACATCTGAAGAATTTAATGCTTGTTCTCCGTAATATTCTTCAATAAATTGCCTCATATATAACCCTTCCAATTTGGTACCTATATGGTGATCAGTGTGTAAGAAATTCAATTTGGCGGCATACATTAAATTCACTCCATATTTAATATGATTTTCCGTAATAGGATGCATTTCAATATACTCTTCTGCCAAGTCTTTTAAATCCCGTGGATCGTACAGGGAGTAACGAATGTTAACAACACACGAATTTTCATCTTCAAACCATTTATTCCGTTCTAATTGACGAGCCATACTTAATATCGTACAACAGAAATCGGGGAACTGAGTCAAAATCTCTCCATTGTTGATATTATACAAAATGCTGAATGCTGAAAGTAATCCAATATCTTCATCAAGATTGTCGGGATCAATGATCAAATGTTTATCCTGTTGCCGCACTCTCTGGAACGTATGGTTGACAAACCGGTATGTCCTTCCCTTTTTCTTGTATTGAACTTGATGTAAATCATCGATTGAATCAAGAATATGATCTGCTAGAGTAACTAATGCATCTGATGTAGATACTAACTGTGTCATTTGGTGGATCAGTCTAAGGAATCTAAAGGCTGTCTCAATAATTTTTTTGTTTACCTTTTTGTTTACTTTTTTTTTCGGTTAGAAATATTTTAGATTTACACGTAAAACACTCGCGTGGCCGATATTGCCTAATTAGTAAATCTAGCTCAAATAGATATTTAAGACGCAAACTTTGATAGACTGTCAAAAGTAAGAATGATTGACTTGACAAATTTAATCGTCTTTACAACCGCTGAAATTCTTTCCCAACTTAGTAATCTTGCATGAGTATTTTACTCGTCCAACCAAGACACTAATTTAGGTTCATTTCGGGTTGATCAAAAAAAAATCTTGATCTAAACCTAAGTTCACTGAATACAACATGAACACAGCAGAATGAACAGCGCCTTTTTTTTCCTTTTGTGAACCAGTTCGTAATTGAAAAGGCTGTTACATGCATCTTGAGTTTTATAATTTTTCTTAATTATTACATATCATTTTTTTTTTTCTTCGATTGCTGCCAAGAGAAAAAAAAAATAAACATTGTCATATGAATCATCATCTAAGTGCGCAATTTTTTTAAAAAATGTCGTACAATTCTTTTTTTTTTTGACAGACTCAACAATCTGCAATCTATTTCGTATCTGCAGAAATATGTATGCGCCAATTTAACAAGCAGACGCATTACACAGATAAAGATAGTTCAAATTGGCCTGACCATGGGATAGTGGTTGAGAGGTAACACTAAATATATGCGTGTAGAAAACCTCCAATGATCAATTAGTTACAAGATTGAATTGGGCTCTCCTATTTTTTTTTTTACTTTCATTTTATGTTGCAGCCATTCACTCATGGAACGGCTATTTGCTCAATTCCAGGATCTTAGCATTTTCCGAATAGCACGCCTACTTGTGCGTATTTATGCTTGCGTGTGATTAGAGTCGATCCATCACCTGTTTTAATTAAAGCAGACTTATGTAGGCTAAACCAGGTCCGCCTTTGTCCCTTTATTTTGGCCGGGATAAAATTGGAACTATCGGTAATTGACAGAATGATTGTTTGATATTACCGGAAAGGGGCATTTCTTATCCTTTTCTCTTGCACAATAGATTCACCTGGACACGAGCTGCAAAAATCATACCTATTTCGGGGATTGCCGGTATTACTCGCATAACTTTAATTCAATATTTTTATCGCCTTATAACAAAGGATATAATTAACGGCTCTCTAGGCATCTCCCGCGTATGTTTTTCAAACCCCCTTATGTCATGTATGTTGCACTAAGGATCTCCTGCTTTTTTTTTCTGGTTATGTGTTTACATACAATTTTTTTTTTCTTCTTCTAGAAGTGCATTTGACCCTTTTTTTTCTGTTGCGCATTTGCATTCTATGCATGATCGTTTGTTTCAAAATGAATGATGAATTACCTTTTTCTGGTTATCTGAGTTTTTCTTTTTCCGCCGAGCGGGGTTGATGCCATGGTGATAACTTAAAAGTCATATCTCGTGCATATTTTCTCACCCCCCCTCGGGTCTCGTTTGATTCAAACACTGATGTTTGCGTCACATTGTTATGTCCTATCCAAATTGACGTGATTTGAGTTTTTAGTTTTTAAACGCCTCGTTTTTTTTTGTTTGCTAGCGAATGGCTTTTTCAACAAAGCGTTGAACAATAGACTAAATAGAAAAAAAAGGGTTATGAAACAGTCCAAACAGAAAAGTTTAATGCATATGTAGATAACCTTAACTTAAGTCTGGCAAAACTGGTTACCCTTTTTTTTCCCCACATGGTTTTGTGACAGGTTGCAAGGCGGTTGAACTGTAATCAGTTTAGTATTGAAGAAAAAAAAAAGTTCAGGTTTTTTTTTTCTTTTAGTTTTTTACAGTAAGGTGCAGTAAAATGCGTACTGTCTGAGACATTTGCAAACAAACGCAAAAGAAAATGGTATGTCTACATCCACACTTGTTAGAAACCCAGGGCATAATATTGATTGAAAATACGTAGCTAATTGTAACTAAAATAAAGAATTGAAAGGTAAACATGTCTAAACTACAATCAAACCAAATTCAACCGTTTCTGTTCTTTCAACAGTTTAATTTTCCTTCTTCTCGCGTTAATAAACCAATTACTTAATTGTTGTTGGTTTAAACCAGTAGCCATCATTAATTGATTCTTTTCAAAGGAATTTGGGTAAGGATGATTCAAGTGGTCGTTAAGCCATTTTAATAATATAAATGTTATTTCTTTAGGTAAATTGTTTCTGGTTTTCCTCTTGATTGGAGGTGGCGATATGGAACCATCATCTGAATCATCATTTCTTCGGCGGTGATTATCCTTGCAAGGATACGAATTATGTCTGAGGAATGGTTGAACTTGAAGTGATGGTAATCCTATTGCTCCTGCCTGAGAAGTCGTGTAGAATACAGGTGAAGCATGGTGGGAAATTGGAGAGCGATCAAGTGTACTTTCACTGGGGTAATAATCATAGTAGTATTTGTAATTGGTATTAGTAGGTGTACCTAGGGATTGTGGTGGGATTGGTGTCATGACCATCTGTTGCTGTGTAATAGAAGGTAATGCGTATTGCGAAGGCACCGCTCCAGGTGGTGCAGGAGGTGCCGACATTGGCATAGGTGGTGGTGGTGGTGGGGGTTGTTGTTGTTGTTGTTGTTGTTGTATTTTTGGATATTGAACGGCGGTAGCCGTTTGTTGTAGTGCCAGCACTGGAGGTAATTGAGATATAGATAAAATGTCTGATATTGGTGGTAAACTGATATTTGACGATGGTGATACAGTTGGTAACACCACTGGCCTTGGAGGAGAAGGCCCTTCATTTATAATCTCATTCAAGTGCATTGTCTATAATAAATAACTTTACAAAGAAAGATGAATACGAGTATCAAAAAATTAAAATAAAATAAGACGACATGATGCTGGGTTATATATATATATATTTTATATGAATTTTTTTTTTTAATCATAAGTGACGTTTCAACCAAACCACCTCCAAGAGTTTATTTTATTTTTACCCAAGACACATGAGAAAAAAAAAAAGAAAGCAAAGAAATTGCATATATTTTTAAGAAAATCTAGTATGTATTTTTGACGGTTTTAAAAAATTAAGGTCCTTTTTTTTTATTTTAAATTTAAATTTTGCATGAACAGGGAATAGAAAAGAAATAAATTGCAAAATAAAAATTTTTTGATGCACGAACTGTTAAGTAATAATCAGTCAGTGTTCGCCAAGAAAATAAAAAGTCACATTTACTACCAAAATATTTTTACTGTCAAATAACTTTTTTATTGTTCTATTTTTGTGGGACAATCGTATGTATTTCAAACAGTGTCAAAAAAATCTCAACAGCAGTTTTTCTGTTCCCTCAAAAATGACCACACTTTGTTTTATTTGCGTTTTTGTCTTTGTCTATTTTGTTCTCAAATGGGCTTTTTTTTTTTGACAGACAATTTATTTCATTTTCTCATGATATAAAAAGTACCCGAATACGGACGGCGATTTTTTCTTGAAACAAATGACAATTGTAGATGTATGAACTGCAGAGGCGCTAAAACCCAAGATCATAACCAAAACTATCTCTCTTATTTTGACCATTATAAAAAAGTTAAAATGAGTCCCTTGCAGTTTTCACCCTTAGACAAGCGCAAACAATTCGCGGTCTGTTTCCTGCCCCATATACTAAGAAAAATCAGACATGACCATATAAATTTTACTGCTCAAATTTTATTCTTGAGTCAATTTGTCTTTAAATGAAGCATTGACATTTTAAACATTTGAATCTATATTTTCTTGGTTTTCCATGGTTATTTCTGACCCCAGGGCTACAATATACTAACCCATGGGAATCCGGCTATTCCCGTTTAAACTTTTTCCTTTCCATATTGCGTCAAACTCGAGCAGCATTTTTTACAGTTAAGACATCATACATGAAGAATTTCAAATGAGGCCATTTTTAGATACACAATACTCGATGAATCGGCACTAGTGACCCGCAGAACACGTCCACCAAGTTACCTCCTGTCAAAAATAAAAAAAAAGGGCGACAAGAAAATTTTAAAAGAAAGGCAATACAATGTGTGTGTCCTGCATATACCAGATACTTCCATTACATCATTATTTACGAGAATTAAAGAGTAAAAAATATCTTTGATTAGATGTTCTAGTACCCAGTGTTAGACAAAAAAAAAGTCAAATTTTATAGAATAGTGTCTAGACATATGCATGTCATACTTTTTCGGAAAGTTTTGTGGTTTTGATGGTTTGATTAGAATAGCGTTTTCACAGGACGGAATGAATAACACTAAGGGGTAATGAATTATATACAAATAAGCAAAAAGTATATGCATAGAAGTTAATCTTTGTTAGTATATTACTATATAAGGTTTTAATGCTGCATATTACTCAAGGTACAGATCCAACCCAAAAATAAAAAAAACTCCCGTACCAGAAATACTTTAAATTTGTAACACCACTGAATAAATCTTGTCAAATCTTGCCACTGACAATATTAAGTTATTGTCGAAATCTTTTTTTTTGTGTTTTCAGGATCCACATAAATAATATATTTACGATCTTGAATTATTTTTTATATTTGCGTTTTGCCCATAAAGAAAAAATTATGTGTCTTTTTTAAAATTTTCCATTGTTCTAAAATTTTCTTTGCATTTACCTTCATTTGTGACACCGGTCGGTAAATATATCCATTTATAGTCATCAACTATTCACGACTAAAAGTATCCCCCAAAAATCAACACAACAATTGCTTAAAACTAGGTGGTTTTCGGTGCAAAGAAATTTCAAATATTCTTATCTCACATAAAACTCCCTAAACCATGCAATAAAAACTTTAGCATCAAGGCTTAACTGATTTAGCGTTTTCGGACATCCGAGCGACATAAAAATCTGCCAAGAAGTTTTTTGTCATTACACAGTTCAAACAACAAAATAATATGAAATCCGTCAATCAAATCAATCAATTTGTTTTTTTTTTCTTCGCTGATTGTTTGTGTTTGGATTGTTTTGCGAGATTTTTGTTTACTAGGAAAATAAATAATGTGCCTAATTCTGGGCTTGGCTGGAAACGGTAAATTCTCCAGATTAAAATAGACATAAAAAATATTATCGGATGACAAACAATCACACAAACACAAACTGTACCTTGTGTGTCTTGCAAACTCTTGCAGCATGTTACTGCTGTTCTAGGTTAAACCCTCCCTGTTTTAAAAAATCAACCGCTAATAAATAAAAAAATTTTTTTTTGGTTGATGTATGGTCTGACAGGTGGGACACAAAATTAGATCTTAAAATATGCTCTCACAATATAATAATCTACATGAATGATGAATAACGGTAAGCACGTGATTTTTTGAACCCGCAATGGTATCCTCGGCAATTGATAATTATTTTTAGAATATAATCAAGAAATATATCAATTGCTCTTATAATATTACACAATGGCATTTATTAAAATGCCTGACCTCCCAAGGCAAGCAGATCTGAGATTTGGAAATTGTCTAGGCAGCATACTGCCACACATCCTGTTGTTGACAAAGAAAAAGACTTGGTCATTTAATAATGCTTGAAATTGATTTCTTTTTTTAATTCAAGTCGCTAATACTTACGTATTTATTGTTATTAGTTGTTGAGTTAGACGATATATAATTCAATTACATTCATGAGAAAGAAGCTGCCTTAAACATAGCCTACATTGTCTCCTTTTGGGATTGCTATAATTGAACACAACAATGATAGGGGTAAAAATAACTTCAGTCTAATTTCAATCCTAAAGTTCCAGAACAGCGTCTTTTTTTTAGCAATGTAACACCTTTGTGTCAGCCGTGACCTTTTTCGTAAAGCATCTCACAACTTCTCATTCAAGAGCTTTTCAAATTGATTTTTATCATATTTAACGTATTTCAGTTTATTCTTGGTAAAATCAGAAGTTCCATATTTATCGTACAATTTAAAATATGCGTTTCTAATAAGTTTCTTAATTTCATTTCCAAGATAATTTTTTAAATCCATGTCCCCAAAATTGTAACGTTGGTAATTTGAAATTGCTTCCTCGAATGATTCGTTGAAATTCTTGAACAATTCCTTGACTTGCTCTTTTTCCTTGGCCGACAATTGTTGCGCAACTCCTCCAGTTCCTATGTTCGTACCATGTGGGTTTTGCGTGGCAATCATAGTCATATCTCGAATAATAATGTAAGATGCATGGTTCCAATCATCAAGGAAGAATTTCAAAAATCTATTTTTCAATTTGTTCAATCTTTCAATACCCAAATTACCTAAACTTGTGAATAGTACTTGAGACCTATTAATAATTGATTCAATCATAATTAAATTCTTGACTAATAGAAAACCTTGGGTTGATTTAGGGTTGTCTGTACCTTTCAATCCTATTTCAAGATTAACCATTATTGAGTCTATAACATCCGAATAGAATGATGATAATAAATATTCGGCACTAAGGTCATTGGCGGTGTTTGGAATCACAGATGTGTAAACATTGATAAATCTTGCGGGCGGGGAAATTACTAACCAATCTCCAAGGGTATACTCTGAGACAAGTACTAATAAACCTTGGTGAAATTCACTTAATTTACGCAATCTACTCATTAAATCAACCACAATTTCAGGAATGTGGGCATCTGTGTATCTATCAAATTGTTGAAACCTGCTTTCGATTGCTTTAATAAATTCTTTGAAGATACCTTTATTCTTTTGTTTATACAAGTTAAATTGTACCGTGAATTCATTATTTTCAATTCCCACATCTTCAGAAAATTGTTGAAATCTGGATAAATTATCCATGATTTCCAATGCAAGTATAAAATTATCCATAATAACCCTTGGATTATCAAAGTATCGAGAATATGAATTGGTTACCGCTATTAAATCGAGAAGTACGTCTTGGGTAATATTTGAAAGTAGTCCTGATAAGTGTAGTTTGTTTAATAGCACCATTTCACCTTCAATTAATTGAATTAACAAATCAATATATTTCCCAATTCCGTTAGTTCCCTTCTCATACGGAACATTGGTTTGTTTTTTAATTTCAGTCAGAGGTTGTAATGGCTTCATGTTATTCGTTAAAATTTGGCTTCTAGCTCTAACATATAACTTATTGACATATTGATCGTTTTCAAAATAGGATAATATCAATTGGATCTCTTTAATTTGATGGGTTTTCTTTTGTACTAACACTTGTGCATCTTGATTAACTAATCCCTGGAAATAGGTTTGTAATTTCAAAGTCGAGTTATCGATTAATCTTTCGAAGTTTAATAAAATCCCATGGAATTGCTTGAACTTTGGTTTGATTTCAGTATACATTGATTTCAGCTGGTTTAAAGTATTGATATATTTAACTAACCCAATGACATCAATTGGGTTAGAAAGGATTTGCTCAAATTCATTGACAGAAGAAGCATGTTTACTAACATCAGAAAGTAAATCCAACCCTCGTTCAACTTCATCTTTGTTTTTAGTTAGTTTATTCACTTGTTTTAATACTGGTTTTATAGTGGATGAAGCTGAAATTGACTTATCAGCAATCTTTAAAAGTGATGTGTTGATGGTTTGAAAAAGCTCTTTGGATTTGATTAAGTTTTGATTAAGCACAGCAACATCGGCTTCGTCTATATCAACTCTATAGGGCAGCATGTTCGTGTGTTGACGAATATTTCCGATATGTTATGGTAGATCTTATGAGTTATTTCTTGGTACTAGCTTTCTATATATGATTCACTAGTTCGAAATAGGACAATAGTTTGATTACGATGAATGATTAAAGTTGTAATTGCTGGTAATCGGGAGTTTCTAAAAGATGCTTGTTGTGTCAAGGGTTGTTAAATAGTCGAAGCGAGTTGTTAAGTTAGAAAAAAGGTCGTGCGGAAATGAAGAAGTGTGGTGCTACCAGATGTTTATCAAGAACAGGCACAGGTCTTTTTAATTTTACATAGCATTACAAATACGATATGCACGTTTAAACAAGTTATATTGTTATGGCTTATCAAATGAAAGTTGTTCTGATTGATTGTCCCAGTGCTAGATTATGAAAGTAAATATTTCACCGTTTACAATAATCATACAAATTCTTATACAATTTGCAGTAATTGTACGAAATTCTAATAAAATAAGAAAGCATTCAGAGCCCACAAGTACCATAATGCAATAATAATTCTCTGTGGTAGATTGTCTAAGTTTAAAATACTCTCATGACTAAATCAATTAAACAAAAACAAAAACAAAAAGGAACTGGTGCTGGATAGAGATTTTTCAGCCGATATTACTTTATGAACGAAGAATATATTGTAATGCATGTTCAATAAATCCATTGTCACATGCACAAATTAAACTAATCAAACAGTCAAGCATCAAACTTCATAGAATTCAACTAAGAAGTACATATTGTTAAACTTTAGGATAGATAACTTACTGAATATATCTTTTTAAAGAACCAAGTAACAACAACTTAGCGAGATTTAACGATTTAGAAAATTAGCCGCACCCAGATAGTCAAAAGCAACAAGGAAGGTCGTGCAAAACAAACCAAATCAATGCGAAAAATAAATTCATACTTTGCATCTCTTCTAAACCTTTGAGTCATAAAAGTGGCAACAACCATGGAATCGTTCATTGACTCACCTGAAGAAGTTATTGAATTGTGTAATCTGTTACATCAATCAACGCAACTTAAGAAATCTGGTCGATGTATCAAATTCACCAATACCATATTCAATACCGACGTGGCTGTTGATTCCTGGAAGTTTATGGATTGGGATTATGGTAAGGATAAAATCAAATTGCCAATTCAAGCCAGAGGGTTGTTTACTATAAACGATGAAAAAATTGCTGTTCGTGGGTACGATAAGTTTTTCAATGTGGATGAGAAAGTTTTTACAAAAGTGGACGAGTTGAAGAAGAGCACGTCTGGTCCATATGATGTTACCCTAAAAGAAAATGGATGTATTGTGTTTATAAGTGGATTAAGTAATGGTGATATCATTGTGTGCTCAAAACATTCAACTGGACCACGTGACAACACCACTCGGAATCATGCATTAGAAGGAGAGAAACGATTACGTTTGCAATTGGGAGAAGACAAGGTTAAACAGTTGGCAAAGTACTTGGCTGAGCATAATTTGACTGCAGTTGCTGAATTATGTGATGATGAATTTGAAGAACATGTTTTAAGTTATAGCAAGGACAAATCAGGATTGTACTTGCACGGGTTGAATTATAACACCATACAATTCCGTACAGTTCCAATAGAGAAAGTTATTCAGTTTGCCGATGACTGGAATTTCAAAAAGGTAGATTATTTAACCTTCACAGATGTTGAAAAACTATTTGAGTTTTTGGAAAAGTGCAGCGAAACTGGAAAATATCAAGATCGGGAAGTTGAAGGATTCGTCATTCGTTGCAAACGTAACAATGCCGACTTTTTCTTCAAGTACAAATTCGAACAACCCTATTTATTATACCGTCAGTTTCGAGAAGTTACCCGACAGCTAATCATTGATGATATTCCTATTCAATCGGTTCGAATGAAAAAGAACAAATTTATAACTAAAAAATATCTCGAATTTGTGTCAGAATTATTTGCCAAGCAACCTCAATTAAAGGCGGACTTTATTGATGGACATGGAATTATTAAAGTTCGAGAATTATTTTTAGAAAATTTACATGAAACTAATGGAATGAAATTATTGACCATTGACGAGAGTTTGTCGCATGAATTAGACAATTTGTCGTTACAACATGAAATAAAGTATGTTTTAGTACCTGTAGCGACTATAGGTTGTGGTAAGACCACGGTGTTTAATACCCTTAGCGGGTTATTTCCAGATTGGGTTCATATACAAAATGACAATATTGCAAAAAGGTCAAAATTGAAAATTGTCGATTTGACGTTAATGTCATTAGCTAATTATGACGTGGTATTGTTTGATAGAAATAATTCTGAATACCGGGAAAGAAAACAAATTTTCACCACAGTCGATCAAAAACGCCACGATTACTTAGATGAGACTACCCAGATCAAATATATTGCCATTAATTTTGTTCATGATGTTGATTATGATCAATTATGGGATATAACATTTGAAAGAATTAAGGCTAGAGGTGATAATCACCAATCTATAAAGTCTGATTCTGATGAACTATTAGCCACAAAAGTGATGAAGGGGTTTATTAATAGGTTTCAACCACTAGACACGGAAAGAGAACCCGACAGTGGGTTTGATCATGTCATAAATTTAACCTTGGGCGAAAATACTTCATTGGGAAATGTTAGATTGATAATCAAGGAGTTAGCCGAGAAGTACCCCGAATTGATCCCAGAACAACCAACCGAAGAACAAATATCCCTGAAGTTTACTGAAGCTTTAAATTACAAACCAGATTATACCAAAAATATGACCAATGAAAAGCCCAAACCTGTCTACTATGGGGTAAATATCGATCATTCAAAAATCATAGATGCAGTCAACAACCAGATAGGGGGTCATGATCTGTGGCAATCATTACAAGGTATTAATAGAGTACAACGTGAATTTCATGTAACTTTATCCCATAGTGCCAACGCCAGAGGAGAGAATAAATCCAAATGGAAACAAATCGTTAACAAGTTAGGTAAAGGAGAAGACAAATCAGGTAAATCATACCTTGAGTTTTATGCTGATGTCAAGTTAACTCAGGTTGCAATCACTCCAGATTTGATCTGTTTAAAAGTTGATTTACTCGGTACTTTTGATAGTGACTTCAATGTAGTGGAACTGGAACACTTGAGTACAATGCTTCATATTACCATTGGTACATTTAGACCTGAAGTTAAGCCAGTTGAGTCGGGGATTATCTTGCAAAAGTTATATGCTGATGATTCAACCTTGAAACCAGATGGTGAATACCGAGTGGAAGGAAATACTGTTACTATTGTCAACTTTGCAGACGAGAGTATCTTAGAAAAGCAACGATTATTTGTATATAAATAGAGTGTAGAATAGATAGTTGCAACTTTCGGGATTTGGTTCTTCACGTGAAACGTTGTCAATAAAATAAATTATTTTTTACTTACTAATTTTCAAACGACAGACAATAAAATTAAAAAAAAAGATGTCAATTTACCTGTCTATCAGATTATACCTCATAGAGTGTAACAATACCATGTTTGAATTTATAACATCTTGGTTCAAGTCCGAGCCAATATCTCCAAAGATCATAGAAGATATCAACTCCACCATCAACTCACATAAAGTGGTTGTTTATTCCAAAACTTATTGTCCTTACTGTAAGTCTACCAAAGAATTATTTGGTAAATTGAATCAAGACTTCAAAGTTGTAGAATTGGACAACGTGAGCGATGGAAGTGTAATCCAACGCGGATTAAAGGAAATCACTGGACAAGGTACTGTTCCTAACATTTTTATCAATGGGAAACAAATTGGTGGTAACTCTGATTTGCAAAGTTTATACAGTCAAGGAAAGTTGTTGGGTCTTTTAGCTTAGATGTCTATGCTAGACAAGAGATGCAAAAAGCTTATGTACGATTTAATTTAGAATGTTTATAGTAATGGTATATGTTTTATGAATTATTCACGCGCGGTAGGTCTAAAATGCATATGCTATCGAGATTATGCTAAACTGGCTGCCTGTCAACTAGACTATACAGATGGGCAAGTAGGTTCCAACCTGCTCAAATCCTTAATAAGATTCAAACCATTTAACTATGCCATCACGACTAATACTTTTCCAATGGTCGACAATTACAACCAACAAGTATATCATTATACTGAGTTTGTTTCAGCTTGGGATTTGTTCCTGCTATTACACCAGTATTTTGATGATAATGGCTAGTATAAACCCCCCATTAAACAAGCTACCTTAGCAATAATTATACAGTTTTGTTTTGTTAGCGACTGAAATCTTGGAAGATACTACTTCAAAATATCTTTCAACAATTGCACAGCCCATAAATGGAACTTGACAAATATTTCATCATCATTAGTCAATTCCACCAAAGATTTTGGTTTGATAAGGGACCTTCTCAAATACCGTTCATTAAGCACGCCACTAGGATCTTTACTCTCTTGATTAACTTGATCGACTCTCTTCTGGATCAAGTCAATAATTTCATTGAAATAAATCGTGATTATATCCCAATTCATAAGTAAATCAGACTCAACATCACTTATAACCATGAGGGAATACTTTCGCTCTGATCCTCTGGCATTGGCATCATTGATTTTAAAGATTTTGTTGATACAGTAGCCATACACCACATCACCGAAAAACATCGGTTTCGATAAATCAGCCGTGGTTTCCACTGATAAAGATTTCATGACTAGTTTAGTGAGAGAAGTGAATCTTGTTTGAGATGCAGGGTAATGAGTAGACACAAAGAGGGTATCTTCATCTGGTTTGTCCTTCGTTATTATGTTTATCGAGTTGTCAGGAAGTATTAGTTGACATGATTGACAAGCTTGCTGTGATTTGGAGTTGGCGGGGATAAGATACTTCAGTTTGTCTTTAACTGGTCCAGTCTGTGTGCACACTATAGTGGATGGTCCATGCAACTCACAAAAGTGCGCTAGGCATATGATGTAGTTTGCCATTGTAACTGGTTGGTTGCCTGTCTGCCTGCCTGTTTGTCTGTCTGTCTGTCTCCACAAAAAAAAAATTACAGCCTTAAATTTTGTCAGCATTGTCGTTGCCTCTGCGTCTTCGCGTAAAGGGCCAAGACAAAATTTTCAACAAGTTCCTCCCCCTGTTTCCACTACAAATCCCACTTAAAATGTCCACTGACGCCAGTATGTACTTAATTGGATAGAAGTCCCTCTGTATTGTACTAACACCAGGTAGAATCCGCACCAGCTCCAGATTATACCATCGCCAATGGTGATGTTGTTTCCAAATACAAGACCGCAGGTGAAATTTCTAACCGTGTCTTAGCCCAAGTTAGAGCTTTAGCCATTGACGGTGCCACCACCTATGCTCTTTCAGTCAAGGGTGACGAATTGATGACTGAAGAATTATCCAAGATCTACAATTCCAAGAAAACTTCCAAGATTCCTAAAGGTATTGCTTTCCCTACTTGTGTTAACCCAAACCACATCCCAGCTCATTTGGCTCCAATTAGCGAAGACGATGAAGGAAACCTCACTTTACACAATGGTGATGTTGTCAACATTATGTTGGGTGTTCAAATTGACGGATTCCCTGCTATTGTTGCTGAAACTTTAGTCATTGGTGAAAGTGAACTGGAACCAGTCACTGGTGCCAAGGCCGACTTGTTGCATTCTGCATGGAAGGCTTCTGAAGCTGCCATTAGAACTTTCCGTGCTGGAAACAGAAACTGGGACGTTACTAATATCGTCGGTAAAGTTGCCAAAGAATTCGGTACTACACCAGTCGAATCCATGTTGACTCACAACCAAGAAAGAAATGTCTTATATGGTCCAAAGGAAATCATTCTTAATCCAACCAAACAAAACAAGAGTTCTATGGATACTGTCAAGTTTGAAGAAAACGATGTTTATGGTTTAGATATTTTAATTTCCACTTCTGCTGATGGTAAGGTTAAACCTTCAAATTACAGAACTTCATTATACAAATTGACTGGTAACTCCTATGCATTGAAGATGAAATTGTCTCACAAAATTTTGACTGAATTTAAGCAAAAATGTAACAACCAACCGTTCCCATTTAATATCAGAAACTTGGAAGAACCAAAGAAGTCAAGAGGTGGATTGGCCGAACCAAGTAACCACAATGTGTTATTACCTTACGAAATCGTTTCTGAAAAAGATGGAGAATTTGTGGCTCAATTTTTCACCACTTTTGCCATTACCAAGAATGGTATTGTAAGATATACCACTCCAAGCTTCAAACCTGAATTGTACAAGACCGACAAGGAAATCAAAGATGAAGATGTTTTAAATGCTTTGGCCCAGCCTTTGAAGATCAAGAAGAAGACCACTTAAGCCTCGGACTACTTCCGCAAAAAGACATTTGTCACCAGACATTTTTATAGTATAAAGTATTGACGAACATTAACAGTAAATTCATAAATGTAAACATATATAGTTATATAAATAAATATAACACGTATCTACACGACACACCCACTTTTAAGCCGTTCTCGTCTAACGTACTTGGTGTAGGGTGATGTGGCCTACCTTGGTTTTATTTCCGAAAATTCTTTTCGAGATTTCAAAATTTAATTCTCATTTTCTGTCAGACACTCCAAATACGTTCGTGCAATACTCACCCCCCTTCTAGTAGTGACATTTGGAAGAGAAGGAAGGTAGAATGAGTTTATCCGGTGTTCCGTCTAGCAAGGATGGAACTGCAAAACCTGAAAATAATGGTGGTTCAAGTGGTCTGCTTAAATTGAAGAATGGGCAAGCAATATTCACCAACAAGAAACTAGATCTCACGTCCAAGAAGAGTCCGAATGACACGCCCAAAAAGGACAACAAACAAAAGGGAAACAAAAGTAATGGTACAAGTAAACGGAAATCAGCCAGAATTGCCCAAATGGAATCTCCCACGGAACTGCAAATGCCAACCGTACCTCAACTCAAACCAAGTCCCGACATAAAAGAAAATGGCAACGACACCACCAGCCAGGAAGCTGTCTCAGGAATAGTTTATAGAAATGGTAAAAAGGTATTTATAGAACCAACGCTAGCTGAACCTACCCCTATATACACGGGATTGTCACTAGAATCATATCCCAGTGCCAAAATAAAGAAAGAATCACAGTGGCCGAAGTTCAAACGAAATAAGTCAAGTACTACGTCTAGAGAAAGCTCGGTTGCTCCGGAACAAGAAGTAGACAGCGAAGTCGAAAGAATATACAAGGAGAAGTTGGCAACCAAACTAGCTGAAGACTTAACAGAAGAAAGTCAAATCAGAGATTCCGACAAACGAGTACTTCCCATGAGAACAGCAAAACTAAAATTAACTTTAAAGACCCCCAAAACAAAAGGCAAACGTCCTGCTCTGTCCTCATCACCAGTACGATCATCCAAGCGGATTAAGGTGATATCGCCTAAAAAATCAAGCACAAATTTAAGTGTGCCTAATTTGCCGGCTACTTCCTCCGACCCCGCCGCCGCCAACGAAGAAACAAAGGATAATGATGACTTTTGTAGTTCGTGTGGAAACCCGGGTATATTCATATGTTGTGAAAACTGTCCCAAATCATTCCATTTCACATGTTGCGATCCCCCAATTGAACAACCACCTGAAGACGACTGGTTCTGTCGAGAATGTATAGCTAAACTCCACCCCGAGAAAATTAAAACGTACAACGACATAGGAGTATTTGGACAATTACTTAACCAACTAGAAGTGAAAAACCCCAAAGTTTTTCAATTACCCAAACATTTACGTGAAGATACCTTTATTGGAGTCACCACCGGAGACAATGGTGATTATAGTGACGACACAACTAAACCAGACGTGCCTTCTTCCAAAAACTCACAAGATGTGGACATAGAGTCTTCACTCTATGACAAGGCAGGCAACCCTTACTTGTGTCATAAATGTGGAGAATCCGGCATGAACAACAGAACATTGATGCATTGTGACTATTGTCCGTTGATTTACCATATTGATTGTTTAAATGACCCGATATGTGGACCTAAAACAATTGGAAACAAATGGAGATGTCCTAACCATATAGAAGATTTGTTACCTCCTGGATACGCAAAGCTTCGACAGTTTAAGGACTGTCAAGTGGTGGATAGTTCCTTGCATAAAAGTTTTCTTAAAATGGCCGCGATGTCGAACATACTTATAAAGTTGGAAGACCAACCGTATTTGAAACAGGAAGTTGCACCACCCAATTTAGAGGAGTATTTACAATTTCAACAAGAGGATTTTAATAACAAGATATTGAAAAATTGGGGTGATGATATGGATGCTATCCATCCTCAGTATCAAGTTCCATCATACTTTCAAAAAACCATAGCAACACCCGAAGGTGTCACAGCCAAGACTTCTTCAAAACTAGCAAAAATGTTTACATTAACTAAGCCAGGAACAAGTTCATCATTTATTTATAGAGTTCCTGAAAAACTGATTGTCCTTGATTTTATATCCAAGACTAAGAAACAAGATATAATAGAGAATGTTTCACAATACACAGCCCAATCCCGATTAGAAACAAATCCTGAGGAGTTGGAATTAGTCGAGAATTTAAATCAGTTAAAATCCATAAACTTTACTGAATTGTTAAAAGCCGTGGATATAGCGAGTGAAGATGTCGATACAGAACTATCACTCAAAGAGATCAAAGAGTTACGTTCAATTAAGAAGTTGATGGAAGCTAAAGGAGAAGAAGCATTAATGAAGTTTTTACAATCGTAAAAAAATATGTATTCTGCATCTAGTAATATATGTACAAGTATTAAATGAAAAGCATCTTACTTACTTCTTCCCTTTATGAGCATCACCAGTAATCACAGGTATTTCTTCGGCAGGAACTTGTTCGGGTTTGGTTAATTCCAACAATTCAGTCAAAATTGCACTTCTTTTCTTATTCTTACCATCAACAATAACTTCCCCGTTGGCACCATGAACAATCAATCTAGCAGGAACTTTATCAACTTCACCTTCCTCACATGAAATCTTGGTAACTGTGAAATTTAAATCTTGATTGTGAAACTTCAAAGTTCGTAAATCTTGCCTCCAGAAATCGTAGATTCCCTTAGAAGGCATGTGTTGTCTATCATCAATCATTTGTAATTCAATCCCGCTGTATTTTTCTGGGTTGAACTTGACGCTTGCTCGTGAATGGACACCGGCTATCCTGTTCAATTTTGAGGCTTGGACTTTGTATTTACTTGGATTAACCACTGTAGGAACGGTCTTTGTAGCTGAGTTTGCTGCTGATTCTACGGCCCCTTTAAACATAATGCTATTATCTGTCTTTTCTGTGTATGGACTACAAAGTCAAGAATAGTATTGATATTCAACTTAAAATTTTTTTTTTTCAAGTTGGTTTTCGCACGATCCTGAATGATTCAATGCAAAAAAAAAAACAAAAAAAATAGGCAGCCAAATTTACAACCAATCTCTACGAAACGAACAGTTGGAAAACAGCATCTATATAAGTACAACACTGATCCAATAGATTTGATAGAATTATTAGTTATAATAAGGATCCAGTAGTTAGTCCAATTTTCTTGTCTACTTACACTACACTGGTAGGTTGTCTACTGTTCGGTTCATACTAACCCTCTCCCTGCCCCCTTATATTTGCAACCAGGTAATTTGTTAGATTTGTAACACCATTATGACATTCATCATTAAAGCTTTGTATTGGTTAAACCATAAATTCAAAATACTTTCAGATCTAATCATTGGCAACACATTTGAACCTAAATTTGATATTGTTTGTGTCACTGGCGGCTCTACAGGATTAGGTAAGGAAATTGTCAAACAAATCGCAGATAGAGGGGCCAGGGTGGTTGTGCTAGACTTGATTGTTCCTGATGACCAGGATAAGATTCCCAATGCCACTTACTATAAGTGTGATGTCAGTGATAGACAGCAGATTTTGGATTCACAGAAACAAATTTCTCAGCAGATTGGTACAGTCACAGTACTTATTAACAATGCTGGTATTACAACCGGCAGAACAGTTCTTGACTTATCCTTTCAAGAAATTGAGAAAACTATCCAGATTAACTTGTTATCTAGTTTCTATACCATTAAGGCATTCTTACCAGATATGTTGAATTTAAAACGGGGATATATAGTTACAATTGCTTCTGTGTTGGGATATATGTCACCAGCAAGATTAAGTGCTTACGGTGCTTCGAAATCAGGGTTGATTGCCTTACACGAATCATTAACCTATGAACTAGGTCCGCCATCTGTCAACCCCCACGGAGTTAAAACTTTGTTAATTTGTCCTGGACAACTTAGAACAAACATGTTTCAAGGTGTGGCCACTCCTTCTAAAGTATTGGCTCCCGAATTAGAACCGGAATTTGTGGCTTCTTGCGTTGTTTCCGCCATAGAGCAAGGCAGAAGAGGTGAAATTAAATTACCACTTTATGGAAAATTTATCCCATTGTTTAGAGCAATGCCATGGCCAATTGTGGAATTGACTAGGAAAATTTCAGGTATTGACAAGAGTATGAATCATTTCAAAGACAAGTTATCACGAGTAGCCAGCAGTGTTGCTTCAATTGCATCAAGATCAAAAAACCCTTCCCTTTTAGGAACACCAGCTGGTGATGCTGAATCAAATGATTCAGCCGTGGGCCCTTCCAAAAATCTATTAGCCAGAGCAAGTTCATCAGCAGTTGCACAAAAGCATTCAGCGCATACATTATAGGTAAGTCCTCGGATGATCGGAAAAGCGCCCCTGGATTGTTTCTTTTGTTCGGTAAGAAAATGTGCATGAAAAAACAACACGCGGAATTTCGGATGCAGATCAAATCACACCTTTGTGACAAGGGAGACGTCTTCCGAATCTGGTTTTTTTTCTTTTTGAGTTCACCATTCAAAAGTCTTCAGATTTTCTATTTTTGTTTGCTTTTTATAGAAAACTTACTTCTAGATGAAGTATTGCTAGAGTTTGTCTTTTAGTATATATATATTATAACCGATGTGGGAAAATGATTCCATGCTTGGAAACTCCAAAGTGGATACTATTACAGTAACGACAAACTTGTCTAATGTAACACATGACGTCGTTGAACACGACCATATAAATTTCCATACTTATACCGTAACTGCCAACCCCGAAGTTCCTTACCGAGGAAAGTTTATCATATTGCATGGTTGGGCGGAGCATTCCCCCATGTATATTAATCAACTTGAATTTTTAGCAATGTTGGGATATGATTATCTTATATATGACCAAAGAGGTAGTGGACAAACATCCAAGGGGAAGTATCGAGGAAGGTCAGGTCGATACAGCACCGTAGCATTAACAGATCTTGATTTCATGATTGAACATTTCACTCAAGGGGAGGGAGAGATTAACCTTATAGGCCATTCCATGGGTGGGTCCATAGCTTTAAGTTACATGCAAAGCGGAAAATACCGCTCAAAAATCAACTCAGTCATAGTAACCAGTCCATTAATTAGACTAAGCCCTTCCAAGCAACCAACCTGGCTACGTGTAAGCCTCGCGTCACTTATAACATTATTGTTCCCTTATTTTCACCATTATGAAGAACAGGATCCAGCAGTAGTAGAAAATGTTACCCATAACACCAAATGGCAAGCGTACCTTCTTGAGAATGAGAGTTGCCAACCAGTAGGAACTATCAAACAAATGTTACAGTTAATTTCGAGAGGTGAGGATCTTTTGCAAACTGCAAGTGAAGTAGAATCAAACGCAAAACTATTGATATTTCAAAGCGAACAAGATATTATTGTTGATGCAAACGCACTGCGTGATTATTTTGATCGAGTTCCTTTAGATGTCAAGAAATTTGAATCAATGCCTAATAGTGGCCATGCCATATTTTTAGAGAATGATTCTGTATTAGACAGCGTCAAGAGAATAATTCTGGAGTTTCTTGGATAAGATAATATTCAAATAGAACAAGTATCTTGCATCTTTGCCTGTCGCTGCTGAATATCCCGTTAGAGCGTACTATATGGTTTATATTAAATTGCATATTCATTAAAGTTTTCCCTGATCTATTTCTAATCTCTTAATTGGGTCACCAGTAGTATTTCCAACCCAAGGCGTCTAAAATTGCCGGTGAGCACCTTGTAACTGCAGTGTGTTCTTAGCAAACGCTTTAGGAAGCCACGGGCCCAGAAAAGTAATAACTGGAAAGTTTCTTCCATTCCACTTATTTTTAAACCTGCATGCATAGACGATTTCGTCACATGGTTAAACTAAACACGTTGATTTTAAGGATTTAATTATATTAAGTTCATGTACAATATTTCTATTTCGTTTCTCGCTTATGTTATACAATAGCTTAAATTTCGAATTCAAATATGGATAGGAAATCATATCACGAATTGTTCCTATAGTAATATTTCACAAATTTCCCACAGGATATAATACTCTAGGTCATTGGATACCTAACCGCAGATCATGCGATATCTTAGTTTAAACAATAACCTATCTTTGTATAAGTTGTTCATTATTATTTCTCTGAGATAATACGTATTATAATCTTGGAGCTTACGGACATACATAATGAGTATATCAGCACAGGACAATTTGTTAACATTTCCTAACTTGGTCAAGTTAGCTATTCTGTAGGAATTGAGATCAATATTACTAGTGTTAATTGATAATCCATGGTTGTAACACCATCCAGAAGCTTAAAGAGATTGGCTTTTCTCATTATAGTATTAAATGATTGGCTGGATGCTAAGTCCCCACAAAAATTGACAAGTCTTCAGTTTACTTGTTATAATGAAAAGAATGTAATGTTAGCAAGGAAAAGTGATTCATCGGAATTCTCGTTCATGGAAAACTTTGCAGAAATAAAATGGCATTTACCTGGTTAGTTAACTATACTTACTTGTTCTAAAAGCAAAGGTGTGTTAGAATAGTTTTATTTTATCATTATATAAAATCTAAGATCTATAATCACCATTTATAGTAATGTATTCATGGGACAAATCACAGGTCCAGAAAGTGGCTTCTTGACCAGCACCAGTTCCTAAATTAATTTCAATTTCTAAATCTTCTAATTCTAAAATTTGACTTGCTCTTGCTTCATCAACAACTTCAGGTTCTCCATTAACCAACAATTCCAAGTGTTCACTTCCATCAGTTGGAATGAATTTCACACTGGTCTTTTCAGGAATAACATTCTGAGCATTGGCATATCCAATAGCACAAAGGATTCTACCCCAGTTAGCATCTTTTCCATACATTGCAGTTTTGAACAACGAAGAATTGGCCACAGAAGAAGCAATATTCTTAGCTTCAAGGTATGAAACTGCATCCTTAACTCTAATGGTAATAAATTTGGTAGCACCTTCACCATCTCTAACCACCAATTGAGCCAACTGTTGAGCAAAAGATGTTATTTCAGCTTGTAAGCGAGCATATCTTTCAGCACAAGAGGAATTGTTATCAATGAGTTCTCCTCCGGCAGCACCGTTGGCAATAGCGACGATTGTGTCATTGGTAGACATGTCACCATCAACAGTGATGCTATTGAATGATCTGTCGACGGAATATTTCAAAATTTGTTGTAGTGCAGAGGCACTTACTGGTGCATCAGTGACAAAGAAACCTAACAAGGTGGCCATGTTTGGACAAATCATACCAGCACCTTTACATAAGCCTGCTAACGTATAAGTATCTTCACCTATTGTGAATTGCTTAGAAACTAATTTTGGGAATGTGTCAGTAGTACAGATTGCAGTGGCACAATTAATCCAGTGTTCGTGGGAATCTCCTAAGTTAGATAATGCTAGCTTTGGGATTCCAGTGAGAATTTTGTCTATTGGAAGATTGTTACCGATAACACCAGTAGACATAACTAATGTCGAGTTTTTAGGATTCTCGCAGACCGAATCTGTCACAATGACCATATCCTCGGCATCTTTGATACCTTGAGCTCCAGTAACGGCGTTGGCATTACCGCTGTTAATAACAAGCGAGTTGATACCTGAACCATGTTTTTCTTTCAAGATTTTGGAAGATACTTGAACGGGAGCAGCTTTGAATTTGTTGGTAGTGAAAACTGCAGCAGCAGTAGCTTCCTTACCAAATGTATTTTGTAAAAGGGCCAAGTCAAAAGAATGTCCATCCTTTTTAACCCCACAATGAATACCACCAACTTTAAAACCTTGGGGATATACACCTGCTTTTGGGACAAACCTAGCAGCTTTAGATAAGTGACGAATGGATACTTTAGTCACTGGATGCATCTTTGACAATATTACTTTTTTCCGAACCTAACGAATGGGCAAACTTATGAAGAGAGGGAGTATTTAGCGGATAATCAGTGTTTTCCTTCGCTGAAATTCTGACTCATCTGGATCGGGCAATTTTTTCCATGAGCTAAGCGCGGTAACTCGCTCCTGGTTTACATGCAGGTCTCACATCATTACAAATAAATTTTGCAGAACATTACACAAATAAGGCAACCATTTCTTCTTCATGGGTAGTTTAATACATTGATAGTATGTTATATAATGAGACATTTGCTACGAGTATGCTCATTTCCAACCATACGACGACTTAATATATGTCGTAAAGCCTCCAGTTTGCCTCCGTCAACAGTATCAGAGCATAATGATCCAATATCCACCCTTATCTCCACTGATATATCACAATTACATGTAAAAACCCATCATATAGAGTCACATCATCCAACCCGTATCCAAATTATGAATCAATACATAAGAGCCATCAAGTCTGAAGATATAAACAGTTTATTTAACGCTGTTCACAAATTAGGGAAAATCGACTCAGCCAACACAAAGAAAGATGCAGAGACTTATGTACATTGCTTACAATTTGCGTTATCGTTATTTCTCAAAACGCAAAATCTTAATGATTTGAAGTTGTTGAAGCCGGAGATAGATAGGTACTTGAAACTTTACCACACTTCAGAGTTTGAAGTTGCCAATGAAATGACCAAGGAAAAGGTTGGTATTGCATTTGCCAAGGCTACAATACATCTTTATTATATTGCTAATAGATATTCTGTAACTAAAAGGATATCTCCATTTCTAGTGGATTTTCTATTTGATAATTTGGCTGATTTCAAATTGGAACTACAGTCTGTGGCCAGTGAGCTATCTGAACAATATTTAAGAGATTGTATCATAACTATATGCAGAAGAAAGAAGATTACCATACCTACATTTAAACAGAGTCAACCTGTGCATGATAATAAGTTTCAAATTGCATTATCCAAGTATAAGAACGAATATGGTAGTATCCTGATTCATGAGCTTTACAAATTTATTCAAGAAACGAAGTTCGATTGGAATGGTAAGATCAAACCAAATATCAAGCTATATGAATTCTACGACACATTAAACGCCCGGGACAAGCATGAATTCATGCAAGCATATTTAAACTTCCACACTGAGAAACAAGCAATTATAGAAGAAGCCATGGACTTTATCGAGTACATTCCGTCAGAGTTTAAACAAAAGTCTAACAACCTTATCTCACTTGTATATAATAACAACGAATTACTTAATCAATGGATATCCAAAACCAGTACTAAAATAATGAACATGTTGCAAGTCAAGAATCCAGAGACAGACCAGGAAAAGCTCCTTCATCAGTACCAGTCATACTTTGTATTTGTTCCCGTAAGTCTACATATCCATGGCCTCTTGTCAGAAATATTAGGAAATGTGGGTTTATATAATGATGGTGTTCCCATTTACAAGATCAAATCGCAATTACGTTATTCCTTTGATAAACAGATGGTCAATGCTATACCGTTCAAGCACAATGGAGGAATAATGAAGTATATGAACAGAAATGATAGAGACGACCTAATATCAGTTTTTTTGGACGTTTTAATTGAATCAGCAACCATTGAAATATCAGAGGATAATATCAAGTTAATGAAAACCATGACGAAAGATGTTACATCAGAGGAGTTTCTCAACCGAAATGAAGATGGTTCATGTCCTGCACTAATTGTATGTGACAGCGAGGGCTCTTACAAATATCCAGTCATCAAAATCCACCCTATTCTCGAAAATGATTTAAGTAATTGTCGTGGTAAAGTATCAAGATTTCCAATGGTAGTGCCTCCAAAACCTTGGACTAATCTATTTGAAGGTGGATATCTTGTACACAAGGAATGTGTATTCATGGCAAGATTTGATAAAACGTATTTGAATTATTTCAAACAAGTGAGTTATGATGGACATCTCGATTCGGTTTTCATGACCCTAAACAAACTTGGATCACTTGCATGGGCTATCAATCCCGATATGCTCAAGATTTTGAATAGAGCTGCTAATATGCCCCAAGGATTCTTGAAAATTCCTAGGCCAATTTCTGACAAGGTACCTAAGTTCAAAGACAAGTTTGCTCAGCAAAAGTATATAAGTTCAAAAGGTGCCCGTATAACATTTAATATGCTATTGGATATGGCCAATGGGTTCTCTAAGAACGGAGAAATGTTATATACACCATACCAACTAGATTTTCGAGGTCGTGTATACCCTTCTTCAAATTTGTCACATATATTAAGTGATGAATTTAGATGTTTGTTTATGTTTTGGCACAGTAAAGCGTTAGGGAATGATGGTTTCAATTGGTTAAAGTATCACCTTAGTTCTATGTTTGGAAATAGTGGTTTTCATATGGAACAAGCTATTGGGTTTTGTGATAAACACAAGCAAGATATTATAGATTCCGCTAAATATCCATTTGATGGCAAACAATGGTGGTTGAAATCTAAGACTCCATATCAGACTTTATCTGCATGTATGGAATTGACTAAAGTTTGGGAATTTGAAGAGCAAGGAGGTAATATTGAAGAATTTCGAACTAGATTCCCTGTGCATCAAGATGGTAGTTGCAATGGATTACAACACTATGCGGCATTAACAAGAGATGAACGTGGTGGTAAAGCCGTGAATTTATTAGATGAACCCAAGAAACAAGATATCTATATGGAGGTTGCAAATATTGTGGAATCCAAACTACAAGCATTAATTGACTCACCCGATGAAACTGAACGTTTGTATGCGAAACTTGGTCTAATTGTATTGTCGAGAAAACTAGTCAAGACAACAGTAATGACCACTGTGTACGGAGTCACTACTATTGGTGCAGCTGGCCAAGTTCGAAATAGAATAAAGGATTTTGTGGATGATTGTAACCAAAATCCTCAAATGAAAGGCACAATATCAGAAGAAGCTCTTGAGAAAATCCAACTGGAAAGTTTTAAACTTGGTATGTTCTTGGCAAACGTGATTCTTGGTTCAATCTCAAGTTTGTTTGCTCCAGCTACTGCTGTACAGCAATGGCTCCGCGTAAATATCAAACGGGTGTTACTGTCATTCAACCTGAAAAGTGTTATGTATATCAAGAATATGAAGCCAGAACTTTTTGAAAAAGTATTTACTCAACCACAACTGTTGAGACCAATTATATGGAAGGTACCTTCGGGCTTTCCTGTCATCCAGTACTATGTTAAATCACCAAATAATCAAAATTTCCAAAGTGTGTTATCAAGCGTAGTGGCTAGTCAGGGTAAACGTACCCTCTCACCAATGAGCAAATACAAGAGTGTGAACGGAATAGCGCCAAACTATATTCACTCTCTTGATGCAGTACATATGATGTGGACATGTAATAACATGTACAATGAAGGTCTTAGCTTTGCTGCCGTTCATGATTCTTTCTGGACTCACCCTTGCGATGTAAAACGAATGAGTACCATCCTAAGACAGGAATTCGTTAAGTTGCATACACCTGATTTACTTATGTCTCTACGTAACGATTTGATGCAACAAGTTAAAGGTTCTTATCAATTGGTTCAGTTCCGTTCATGTGATTTCCCTGAGTTGGCAAAGAGGATTAAGAGACTTAGACAAACATATCCATGCCGGGATAATTTGAATGAAATGTTATACTACGAGTTAACCCAATTGGAACAAGGGACCAGTGAGATTTCGCTATGGATTGAAGATTACGATCCCAAGGTTTATTTCAATAGAGAGGAATATAATAGTTCACCTCAAGTTCCAGAAAAGTATGTTAATAACGGTAGAGAAAAAACTTGGGTGTTTGTACCTGTTAAAATTCAAGATTTACCCGCCAAGGGTAAGCTAGACTTAAATAGGGTGTTACAGTCGGAATTTTTCTTTCATTGATTGTTTTCTTGTATATAATATAGAGTAATAAAGTTTTGATATGTGAACTACTCTAGTGTCTTCACTCATCAATCATTCGTTCAAGTTTCCCAAAGATCTTGTCTCTATATATGGCCATTGGGTCATCTTGATCGCCTTTAAAGAATGTATTTCTTTTGAAGCCAGATGTATCTTCGTCGTCATCCTCTTCATCATCTCCGTCATCTATAACGTTATGGAAATCCACTTCATCATAATCAAAATATTCATCGTCTCTAAGACCCACTCCTTCTTGAGGCACATATCCTTCGTCTTCGTTTTCATCATACACGTCACTGAATGCACCAGCATCTTCATCACTTGGGTAATCATTCTGATAAAAAGACTCCGTATTAGAATCTTCATCATCGGTTAGATCAGGTTTGACTGAATCGTTATCTTCATCATTCATCAAGATATTTTCATCATTTTCGTCATCATCAAAGAATCTAATGTATCCAATGAGAGATTGAGGGTGGTTTGCCGAAGTTAGCGGTTCAGCCATGCTCAATTGATAGACATCGTAAACATATTGTGAGTCATCAGCTTCTGCATCATGTTCTGGTTCTTGCGCCTCAGGATGTACTTCCGCTGGTTCTTCTTGAACACCTTTGTGTCCTCGCTTTTTCCTTTGTGTAGTTGGTTTGTCAAATGTCAACACAGAATTGACCATATCTGAGAGTTCATTAGGTATAACAACATCTTCTTCAATCTGGTGCTTGGGAATAACGAAATTTCTAGCATCAACTTCTGTGTTTACACTTTCCGATTCTGCAAGGATAGAATTGACAATTGACTCATCTTGAATGTTAACAGTATCGTCAGTTCTCGTTAATTTGAAAACATAGTTCAAATGTTCCTGGCTCTTTCTAGGTGCTATTTTAGGAGATGATGTTGGTGAACCCACTGGTGTAGAAGGTTTGGATCTTTTTGCCAATCTCTTGTCTTCAAGAATCAAAGCTTGAAGTGGGTCTTGATGCCTCTTTCTTTTGATACGAAGGATCTGGGGTGGCTGTTCTGACATGGTTTGTGGAGTTATAAGCAAGTGAAATATGGAGGTGAATCACAAGATCTTTGAATCTTCGCACGTACACAAAGAAAGAGAAAAAAAAATGACAGCCAATATGGAATGCCATACAAAAATGTTTTTGTTGTGTATTTTGCTATAGACTATACAAGCTCAATTGTTTATTGCCGTGTGAATGTTAAATGTTACAGAAGGAAATTGGGTTATTTCTGCGGTTACATTTGCCTCAATGCCAAAATTCAGTAATATACCTCTGATAACACCACATGGGAACCACATATACACTTTTGCCTTAGATAAAGTGTCTTGCATACCATGGGGACTATTCAAGGCACTAATCAACTTGTAATTAGTATCAACTAGCACAAACGTACCTCTGTGATTAGTACGTAAATTGTCCATTTGTTTGTTGTAAAGGCATTTCCAAACATCACGACATACGAACTTCATAATATCCAAAATATCCACGATTTTATTCCCACCAGCTCTATATAGTAACACCTCGGCAATTTTGACCCCCAAGTTATAACCATAGTTTTCTACTCTAATTGTGACTTCATCGTTGTGTATTAATGATGAATCAAGTACATTTACAGTTCCAGGTAAATCTCCTTCTATGGAAGATAATTGTTGATCTATAGTTGTCGGTACGTCTTGTTCTTCTACTGATGATTGTTGGGAATTCATAAGTTTGTGGGATACTCGAATTGAGGTGGGGATTAGCTCCTGCAAGAGAAAATCCAAACTTCTGCTATTCACATATGTTTGTCTATCTAGTATTTCTTCTGACATTGTTGATGATTCAGCGTGTATGCCTACTGCCTAGCATGCACCGTTTTTTTTTATCTGTTGCCAATAGTGTGCCTCTCTTTTTTTTCCCACTCCTTTTTACTCAAAACTCCTTTTGATTTTGACAACCAACAGAAGAACACTACAATCTTTTTGGTAAGAGCTATGAAATTCCTTTATAAAAACTACGTATGATTATTAAGTATATACAATCAACTCAATTACTATGCTTAGAAGCTTTGTTTTAAGCATTATCCTATAGAATTCTACTGCAGAGCAATCACTATAGACTTTTGTTGGATTTCACCCTTGCTTGATTGCTGCGATCATCAAATATGATTACCATGTATTCAACCACCCACCAGCTTTGCTGGTTCACTGATAACTCATATCTCACCTAAACACATGCAAATTCAACTAATATTGGCACGTGACCTTGTCGTGGCGTTGTTGTGCTCAAATTTACAATTGCCCTAGGTAAACTATGGTCCTGATTTCCTAATTGGGTTTTTTGCTTGCTCTTGTTTGTGACCTGCAAGAAACTTTATTTTTTAGTTGTTGCCCGCACAACACCTACATACTAATTGGCGAGTACCTACATCTGATAACACGCGTTGTAATAATACGATGCAAAGTTTGTTCCAGTTTAGACATATTGGCGACACTATACGTGTCTTGGAGCTAAGGAACGTTTCAATACTTTGACACAAATGATTCGAAAGATAATTGATTAACCCTTTCGAATTTATCCCGTTGATAAGGTTTATTTGGTGGAAAATGATATTTTTTTCGTTTATCCTTTTTGTGTCCATCATAGCCTAATTAGTCCCACCTTTCCTGCAGTAAAATTTAAAAAAAGTTTGAACCAAAACAGAAATTAGCTAACAGAGTACAAGCTTAATTGGGTGAGAACATCCATAGACCATTACAGATTTAAGTTAGAATGAAATATTTTGCGATTAAGTTTTGACTTCTCCGTTTTTTTTTTATTTGCATGTCAATTATTGTTTCTAAATTAGTTATCATACTTGCTAGATTACCCTGGATTTTCTATGCTTTTCTAAAGACACTTGACCAGAAGAGTTCAGTGTTTTCCTTTGGAAACTTGATTGGATATAATTGATTTACGAATGGGTCTGCAGCGAGAGAGAGAGAGGACACAAATCCCCTTTTTGTTTTGTCAGAATAGCTAATATCTAAGTGGAATAAAAGGCAGTATATGGTTCCTCATACGGTTAATCATTTTAGATCAATTTATTGCATAGAAATATGCAAGGATAATTGATGTGTACCTTCGTGTTATTAATTGTATTTCGTCTGTTCGAATCTACCCCAATGTAGAGGAGATGAAAAATATTGATATCCAAGACTGTCATGAAATCAAAATAAATTATTCAAACTAAACCATTTTGGACAGGAGGCATGAGATCAATAACCACATATATTGCACTCCAAATAGTCAAAGTTCTGCCAATAATGGGAATTGTTTAATGTTAATATGTGTAATTGTGTTTGTGGTGGGGAACCAGCATATCAGTTTTATTTTTATTGAACCGTTTAAACAACTAAAATGTGGACAATATTGACAAAGGTTAAAAAATATTTTTTGTTTATTGCCAGGACATGAAGAATTTGCTTACCAGTTTACCGGTCACACAGTGGTGATTTTAATACGAGTCAAGCTGGGAGTTAAAGTGTGATCAGATGAATCGATATTGAATTACTAATTGAAATTTAAGTAAGGGTACATGGGTTCTTATGCATCATGAATAACTTAAATCCTTCTACTTGATTTTTTTGTTACTTCGAATTTTTTATTTTTTACTTTATTTTTTATGCTTTATTATTTTCTTTCTTTTTAATTTTGTTTTTTTTTATTTTATTTTTTTTTTTCTCACTCACTTTCTCACATTTCTTGCTCAATTTTTTCTTCCTCGTTTTTTTTTTGGTCTTTAAAAATTAATTCATCTGCTCAAAAAAGAACAAAACAAACAAGTTACATCACCTTCATCATACACATATCATTTACCAAAGACACTTTTCACACTATACATACAATCCTCGTCAAAATTATCGAGTGAAAGCATTAACCACTACCTATACAACTACCCTCGTGTCTTTTCGTACCGAACTCGCCTTTAATTTTGCATTAGCAAAGAAAAAACCTCCCAAATTAGCAATATCAAGTAAATTGCAGAAACCACAGATACTCGAAACAACCAATCAACTAATATACAGAACACGAAGAAGATAACTAATCCGCTAAAGCGTGGAACATCAAGCCCTTTTTATATTTGTCATTTATCATTTTTGAAAGCATTTGCCAGTTTTTGTATTAACATTGATTACGCCGTTCTTGTTTTTGTACTTTATACGATCACACAACATTTACACCAGCATAACAAATATTTACCATCTACTGTTAGTTTACAGAAAAATAGTCATCATCAATCAAGATTGTATCATAACTACTTTGAATTCAACAATAACTCATATCTGCAAGAACCGTATAACCATACTGTGTCCTGTTTTAAACATCTTATAACAAATTTAATTGCATTAGTCGTATCATCAAACAAGCATTACTACCATGACTTCAGAATCTAATATTGGACAATATCAAAATTTGTCATCTAATGGACCCTTAATGAACCCCAACCAGATGCAGCCTCCTCTACCTGGAACCACGGCCCCGCCACCGCCTCCACATATGCTTCAGGGCCATCCCCCTCCCCCACCTCAAGCACAGCCAATAATGTCACATATAAACACGTATCCACAACCACAGCAACCCACACAAACGTCTAACTCCACTGGCGTTTTAATAATTAGTAACATTCCCTCGGATTTGACATCAAGAGAAGCAACCTTAATATTTGCATTAGTTATTGATGAAATACTAAGTATTGAAATGAAGGATTATAAGATTTACGCTCAGTTTAAGAATATCAATACATGTATTACTACGGGGAAATTATTGGAAGGGAAATATATATTTGGAACGGACTTCCCACCTATAAAGGTTGAGTATGATAACAATACTTTAATGAATTCTCCTACAATACTTTCTAACACTCAAAATGCATTTAATCAATTGAGATTATCTTCAGGTTCAAATATTTCCCCACCTTCCATCAATAACCAACAATTACATCATCAAGGTTCAAATCAATCGTTAGGAAACGGGAATTCGGGAGTTAGCACCATGGGTCCAGTAGGCCCAGCTGCACCTCCTGGTCCACCACCTCCCACGTTTGATATGCTTCAGAAGAGGCAATCTGTGGGAAATCAACGATCAAGATTTGTATTTAGTGATCCATTTGCCCAAGAAGGTGCCCAGCAACAAGGTCAAGAACAAGCACAACAATCTCAACAACTGCAACAACAACAACAGCAGCAGCAACAACAACAACAACAATCGTCTCAACAACAATCCCAACCACAACAGCAGAATTTACATGGACTGCAATCACATTCTGTTCCAGGAGGGTCTACACCCACTGCTACTGGCCCAGGTATTGATTTATCCGATTTAACCGGTAAGTCCATATTATTAATGGAATCACAAAATGATGCAAGAGAATACGAAAACCTTGTTAGAGATACATGGGATACTGGAGTAACTCCGTTAGCTTCAGCACCAGGGCAAGCTCCAGGAGTTGGTGATTGGAACAATGCCCAAGGTCAATCTAATGGTTCTGGACGTCCTGGTGATAATAGAAGAACTTCATTTTTCAACACTGCTCCTGCATTACACACAATGACTTCAAATCAACAACAGCCAATTTCGAATTTGATTGGTTCCCAAATACAACAAGGTCAACCATTAGGAGTTACTTCCAAAGGTCCAACTGCATCTGTGTTAAGAGCTACAGCTCAACAGCAGCAACAATCCCAGCATGAACATGTTCAACAGCAGCAGTCTACTTCACAATCATCCCTGGACTTAGCCCTGCAATCTGTATCAGTACCCCAGCAATCTACATCTGGTGGACCATCACCTCCAAACCAATATACCGCACCACAACCATACACCACTGCAACTCCACCCGGTATGCAACCACAATCCTCATCCCAACATATACCTAACAAGTTGGTAAATCAACCACCATCATCAGCATCTGGGCAACCTGTAGGTAGTTCAACCACTCCACAACCACTGGCACAATCCAGTACTAGTCCTACTGATTCCAGTTCCAAACAATCAGCTAAAGATATTCCTGATTTGTCACTTTTGGCAAGAGTTCCCCCACCAGCAAACCCAGCCGATCAAAACCCACCATGTAATACATTATATGTTGGTAATTTACCACCGGATGCCACTGAAGCTGAATTACGAACATTATTTTCACCACAAAAGGGATTCAGAAGACTTTCATTTAGAACTAAGACACAATCATCTACTGGTGGCTCATCAAGCTCAGGAAGTCATAGTCATGGACCAATGTGTTTTGTAGAATTTGAAAGTATTGCCCATGCCACTAGAGCATTGGCCGATTTATATGGAAGTGCATTACCTAGACCTGGTGGTGGCAATGGCAAAGGTGGTATAAGGTTGTCATTCTCCAAGAATCCATTAGGTGTAAGAGGACCTGGAAATCCAAGAAGGCAATCTGCCAATCAAGTTTCTGGTTCTGGTAGTGCTTCAAGTGGTACTTCTGGTCAAAATCAACTGGGCAATGGAGTTGGGAATTATGGATATCTGAATTATCACCAGAAGTGATTGAACTAAGTTGTCCACATTTTTACCATTTTGTTATTTGATTTCCCCTGTTATATTGTTAATTCATTGATATGTTGTGAAACTGACAATGAAACATTGCCTGTGATCTTTCGGTATTCAGCCTGAAGCTGTTATTTTGTCATTTTATATCTGTTGTTTTTTTTTATATGGTCATTTACATTGTTCGTGATATTTACACTCAACATGTTTGGTTATTATTAATCTTTATTGTTTTTTTTTATTATTATTTGTTTCTGTATCTACAAGAGATACATACTCCTGTATTATTTCCTTTGTTATTATTTTGCTTGCACATCTTAAATACCCAATCCATGCATACTCTACATATATATATACCAATATATAAATTCTTTGTTTAACAAAATTTTCTCTAACTACACTATTTTCATCCAGAAAAATCACATATATAAACGTTGCAACTTCATTTTTTACAACCAAAATAAACTACACATAGTAGCAAAACAATGACCAAAAAGGCTAGAGGACCACTTCTTTCATCATCAATCAAAGATTCAAGAAGTAATAACCAAGAAACATCAAAGCAACCCATGACATCTTCAATGTCCACTACCCCTTCAGCCGCATCATTGTTGGCAAATACTGCAAATTCTAGAAACTCCTTGAGTAACTACCCAACCTTCAATCTGAACTACAAACGTCATACCACAACTAACCTATCCATTTCTTCTAATTCAAAACAACTCAAACTCAATACCGAAGCTGTCAATTGCAAGAGTAGCTTAAAATTTAAATCTGTGGGAACACAAACTACTGAGAGCGCCTTATTCCAGGACAAGCGAGTTAAATACGTTGACGATGACGCGTACAATTCCCAATTGAGCTCCCTATTTGCTACTTTCAACTTTGGCTCAAAACAAGATCTCGTGAATGACCTTACAACTTCCCTTAATTAGAGAAATTCAACTGTATAGCTATATAATCTTCTATCTATTCGCAACTAAATATAGAAATCTATTTTAATAACTTGATAAATTCCTTAGGATCGGCATATACTTGGGTCAACCAGTTTGTATTGAGTAAGTCATCGGGAGTTAGTCTTTTCTCGGGATTAGGGTTCAATAGCCCTAGAATCGACTCTCGTGAATCATAATGCAAACTCTTGAATAAGGCCACTGCTGGGTTGCTTTTGAACGTGCTGTGTTTGCTGTTTAACTCATTCATTAACGCATGCACCTTATCTGCAGAATCGGGATATTCCTTAGAATATTTGATATAAGCAATGTTCATGGGTTGTAAAGGATTGGCCATGCTCCAGGGTGCTTTCATTAAGAATAATTGGAAATATATCATTCCCAAGGCCCAATAATCCCAGGATTTGAACAACATCTCGGCTGAGGTAAAGAAGTCCGAGAAATTAAATTCATTATGATTGATATCATGTTCAATTTGGAATAACTCTGGTGCTTTAAAACTATTTGTTCCACAATATATAGTTCGTGGATTCAAAAGTATTTCTTGTTGATAGTCATTAGTGTTCAAATCCAAACTATAACCGAAATCGGAAATCTTGATAATTCCGTCGGAATCAAGGAGGAAATTCTCGGGTTTAAGATCACCATGTATTATGTTCTTGCGGTGAAGATATCGAACTCCAGTTAGTATTTGTTTGAAAATGGCATCCTTCATATTTGACGAAATTTCAATTTTAAACCGTCGTAAATTGCTAAGATAATCTAAAAGGTCTCCCTTGGGATAAAAAGGTAGAATCAACGCAAGATCAGAACAATCAGGAATTGTAGCAAGCAGGAGTACGGGAATTATATTCTTATGATTACATTTTCTCATGTTATTGTACTCTCGAATGACTGCCTTGGTATATCCATATGCTGAATGGTCCTCTCTTTCTTTGATTCGTTTAAGAACAACCACTTGAGTATGCGTAGAATCTGTGCCTTTAATAATTATACCATTGGCACCTTCATATATTGGTTTTGATGCCGTTTTATGATATTCAACGCCAATTTTAGGAAGTGAGGCAAGTTCAGGATCAGCAAGTGACAATGGGGGGATTTGGGGGGACTGCATCGCCTGTCTTGATACGGAGTTAGTTGGGGTAAGTGTTCCTGATTTGGGGGTGCAAGCACCAATCTTTGGGGTGGCTGTTGCAGACCTAGACATAGGGTCTTTTGAGTTAGCTGTTGTTGCAGTCATAGAACCCCCTGGGAAACTTGAAAGATGTGAATGTGATCTTGAAGGTTTAATCATAATGACCGTTGGGTCATGCAAAAAAATCTTGGTAGTACAAAGGGGGAAAAAAAAACGACTGTCAAGCTATTGAATTGATAGAAATGTCAAATAATGTTTGACAGATCAGTATTTCCAAGTCATACAATTGTATATAAACGTTTTTTAAAGATCAAGTTGGAAGTACGGATTTCCAATAACAATGATAAGAAAAATGTGGTTCGTTTTTTTCTTATTTAAAGATACGAAATGTTGGTTGTGTTGGTGATTTCTTGGCTGGAAAAAGGGGTTGGAGGAGAAAGAGGGGTTGAGTGCATAACGATGAAATTTCACTTGAGTCAATGGAAGAACCCCGTACTACTATATAACCCGAACACACAAAAATATCCTACCACTACGAACATACACAAAAGTATGGTATTAAAAATAATATTGCTTCGATAATAAAACAAGGAGGAGTTGTGCAGTGGTGTCGCATGTGGCTAGTCCTCATGGTTTATTAAAAAAAAATTATTTAAGCTTTTGGATTTACGACATCAACATGAGCTTGTTCTACTCCAGTCATTAGTTCTATATGTTGTTCTAGTTTTGATCTCTTATCCGTGTAGTTGTGCTATTGTGCATAGTTCTAGCTAAGTTGGAAGATATCAGGTGATTCAATTATCTCGAATTTCACATTTAGATAAGTGCATTCAAGTATGTAAAGCGTATATGCTAGCATATGGCACATTCTTTTGTGATTTCTAGAACAATGGACCTGCCAATGTTGAAAGGCTTTAATGTGAAACAGGGCAATGGAAGTTAAAAGAAATGAGCAGATTTGTTGATGCGAGCATACGGAAAGATCAATTTATGGTTAATTCCAAAAAGGGCAGTCAAGCAAAACATTTATCAATCCTTAGATTAGTCAATATTATAGTAGGTCTACTTGTACATGGGCTACATAAGGTACAATTAACATTATATAGGAAGGGTAATCTATAGTAAAGCAGCATTGTACTCAGTAGATAAGAATTGATGGCATATTCTTGTTATTATGTCTCTGTTTGCAGCAAAAAAAAAAAAAAAAAAAAATAAAAGGTGAATACATTTAATTTTCATCCGGGTCATTTACATACTTATTTAATTCCTGCAAGAAGGTACCTGTTTTGATTTATAGTTGGAACAAGTTAACGTTGACTAACGTTTGATGCTTCAGTTTCTAAATATTTCCATTTGTAATGGACTTGATTTAATTTGTTTAGCTTGTGTTTATCAGATTAAGTATGTTAATCAATACAACGTTACCTTTTAGGTAAAAGAGAAGTGACCCAATGCATGACACTGTGTGAAACTTTGTCATTTCTATATTTTATTAAACCAGCTATGATATTATTCTTGATGGACAGCGGCCACACCCATTATTTAGTATGGCCCATATCTGATGATGTCTTACTGTTCTTTATGCAGGACTAACATTTTTTCATTTTGTCTTACTAATTATTTAGTAGAGTGCCTCTTTCAGGAGATAGTCCAACAGTATGTCATGTCAAGGAGATTGTTCATGTAAGGAACCAGTAGTACCGATTCAATCAAGTCAAAACATAGAAGACGATGATATATGGGGTGATGATGATCCAAAATCCCTCAATGATATCAATAGAGCTCATCACAAACAGGGTTACCTCGATGGATTAGTGCATCAGCAAGAAGACAGTCTACAACAAGGATTTGACGAAGGGTTTCCTAAGGGAGCTGAATTAGGTGTACAAGTCGGTAGGATATTGTCTACTTTAAAACTCAACAATCAAGACTTGTTTAATCAAGCCAAGGAAGAACTTAATATTGTTAATGTACTTGATAGGAAATACTTTGATGCCAAGTTGAATATGAATGAGGAAATTCCAGTCATTGCAAAATGGTTGAAGATTATTCATGAATTATAAATGTATATATGTACTATATAAAAAGAACCAGTTTATCTACTAGTTGGCATATCATTGATAATTTCGCGATTTAAGTTATCGTATAATCCCACAATTTTCTCTTCAAATCTGTATCTGCCTTTACACCATTCAATCCACAATTCACCAATCAAGAATTGAGTTTCTTGAAACAGAACAAACTCTTGAAAGCAGCATTGTTTAATTAACCAATCCTTATTTAATTGTTGGAAAATTTCTTGCTTGTCGTTGATTATAATTTGTCTTAATTTTGTAATATCTGCACCCTTGGCATCAGCATCCTCGGTACTTAACTTCTTGAATTTGGTTTCATTTTCTCGGATTTTAGCTTCTAATTGTTCAATTGTGTTGATGGAAAGTCTTTTGGTTCTATCAAACAACTCTTGTAATGAGTACAAATAATCCAAATAATTCTTGAACTTTTCTAAAATATTCGTGTTAATAGAATAACTTTCATCAATTAGTATTTGACTTGACTTGTTGAAATATTCACTAATGTATCCCAACAGGTCATTGACATTACCAATATCGTTATCATGCAACAATGTCTCATTGGAATTTGGATATACATTGGTATCTAGTTCTCTAAACTTACTCAACATTTCCACAAATTTCCCATTGTCAAAACTAATTTGCTGTTGACGTTTTTCATGTCTTTCCACCAATAGTACAACTTTTGTCCAAATTTCAATCAACTTATTAACATTGGTTTCAGCTTGTTTCCAGTTTTTTAAGAATTCAACCCCAATTTTGGGCCAAATCACATTGATGAAATTAGGACCGATTTTCTCGCCCTTAAACTCGAGTGAATAATCAATCTTGGCTTGTTTCTTCCAAGTGGTGATATCAGTAGGTACAGAAAGGAAAGTTTGTACTACTGGCTCCTCTGAAAGTACGGGATGTTTAATCAATTGATTCAAAAATCTGTGTAATCCGCGACGACGTCTTTGCAAGAATTGTGAATCTGGGGAAGATCCTACTAGATAAGATTAGTATCATGAGTGAACAAGAAAATATAAACTTGTGAACTTTACATACCTGTGAATTTCTTTGGTGGTAATCCGGGAATGACTCTAAAGGGATATTTTTGTAACAAAAAGTCCAATAACCTGTAACTGTTAGTAATAGCTTTGAAATTGTTCACAGTGCAAACTATACATACCATACGAAATCGGAATATCTTCGAATAACTTTCTTTGAATGTCCACCTGATTCAAATGTAATTATATAATTAATATGCTTGAATATGATTCCTTCCTTTTCTGGTACTTCTTTAATTCTAACTTGATCATTCCCTTCAAGTAAAGGCTTAAATTTATCTCTAATTTCGGCCACATAATTGTCGATTAATGCTGAATCAATGATATTACCACTATCAGTTCTTGATTGACCAGTTGGTTTCAATCCTTCAGCCTCAGTTTCATCAATTAAACTGTGAGAACTAGTATGATCGGCCAATAATGGGTCATCAGTATCGTCGTCGTTATCGTCATCTTGTGCAGCACCCAGATTTCTTCTTTTCCACTCACCACCATCAGTAGAATTACCAATTGCATGCAAGGGATCAGTAAAATGTCCACCTTCATCATCTTCATTCTCTTCAATTATTGACTGGACGAATTTCCTAGGTAATTCCGGTAAGTTATTCAATCTAAACTGTAAACTTACGTAATCTGCTGAACCAGGCACATCAATTTCCAAAGCTATCAATCCTAAAATCTGATAAAAGTTGTTGGCAATGTTAACTGGCATTAATTGATTATCATAAGCGACATCCAAGATTCTTGATTTCTGATAATTGCTCAAATAATTCATTTTAATTAGTTTGGAAAATACCTGTGAGTCCAAATCGTTAACATTGGATATCTTGTCAATTAAATGTGAATGGATTTCCTGGTATGAACCAGGGATATTTGAAAGAATAGCAGGACTTGCTTTGTTTAGTAATTGTGATGATGTTAAGTATGTGGAACCACTTGTTGTCCCAATAGCAGCGCCTCCCAAGGGGCCAGGGGAAGGTGATGGTTCGGGTTGAAGAGGATCTGACCATCCAGAACTCTTCCAAGGATCATCATCAGTGTTGTAAAGATTACTATTCATTCTGTCTGTGAAAATTGTTCCTAATAAGTAATTGTATATAAGAACTAAGTTTGACGAAAGCTTTTAAGGATAAATTTGCTGTGTTACCTTCGCGGGGGGGGGCAGCAGAGAAAATGCCACAAGAAACAACAAAATGTTTTGTGCGACGCTTCTGGTGAATAGAAAATATTATGAATGAACTAGAATAGTTAAGGACGAAAAAGTAACCCAACAAATTTCGTCTTACGTCTACAAAGAGTATTAGGTACTATTTTAACAATTGATAAAAGTACTTCTGTTTTGAATGTGATTCTTTGAACACTTTTCTTTCTTTTTTTTTTTTTTGAATTAATTTAGTGCTAAACTCTGAAAAATGCACGTACAAAAGGAAATGCAATTGCTTATATGTCCTATATCTCGCCTGTCAGACGAATTTCCTTCACAGATGGAACCTTGTGAAAATATACAAATATACAGGTTTACGATATCTGTATTGCAACTAAAGCTTGTACAATATTAGTTTGTTGTATTCTGAACCTCTACACGAATACGCTAAAGCACTCACAAAATGTTTCTGATAACCTTCTAAAACGCCTCTTGTCCCCTGAAATACTTGAAAGAATACAGTCGAGTTAGATTAAACATAGCAATGACAAGTTTATGATGTGCAACAAACGCGGGAGGCTGAATCTGGGTCTATTGTATAATTGAATAAGATTAGAAGGTGGTATCTAATCTTCAAATAGCAAGCCGGGATTTTGAAAGACTAAAGTATGCAAGCTAACTAATTTACCCCGCTTATCTTACCCATATGACAACATAGTTTGAATGTCAATATTTGCCAATTTACGTAATCCAGCAGGTATATTATGGGAACAATGCTAAGCTCCATTAGGTTATCTGTAAATTTGGGTCTTAAGACGGAAAAGTCTAGGAAAATAGTCAGCTCTGGATGGAGTTGTTGTAGTATTTGAAGGATTGCAATTGAAGTAACACCAAGAGATATAGTCCAAATCTTCATTAGTAAGGTTGAGACTCGGAATAAATATTCCTAACTCATCGACTCTAGAAACTCTAACATCTTGCAATACTTTTTTTACATTATTGAGGCCTTGATCCAGCTTCACTTAAAATGTCTAATTTATGAAGTGTGATAGGAGGGTGCAGCCTCATAAAGAGTATAATGTTAGGTCAAGTATCTTATAGGTTTATCATCATGCAGAAATTTTATTAGCTTCTCTACAATACCTTCGTACCAATGAAGAATGGCCACCGAGGCAGTCACATGAAGAAAGAAATCACACAGTGCTATACAACACTCACTTTTATAGTCAGAATATGCTTCCCAACCATCTGAGATTGCAATAGAAGGTTAATCCGGCTTATATATACTAAATACGTAGGGGGGTTATATAACTAGTATATATTAATATTTAAATCAAGATTAAATTAGGTTCATGCTAGATAATACCTACTTCTGTTAAATGTATTATTAAACTGAGCTGCTACATCGTTAAATTTTGCAATGCAGCTAATATGGAACCTATACATTGAACTAAGTAGCAAACTTTTCTAACTTCTTTTTAGCTTCTTCTTTAACATCTTCTTGATCGCTATCACTTAATTCCTTCAAAACGTCCAAACAAACTTGTTTAACCGGAGGTCTATACATAATCAAGAACGACAATGCTAAAAACCCGATGGTTGATCTAGCAGGATCATAACATAATGATTTGATTCTTGAAATCAAGTCTTGGTTTAAATTAGGTAAATCACTTAATAATCTAATGAAAATCTTTTTGTCATTGGGTTCTAGGAATGGAATCATGGCATCCAATACTTTTGCAGCCCATTTGTCATATATTGGAGTAGATTGAGTGGTTTCACCATTCTTAATCTTGTTGGCTTCGTTGAATACAACTTCGGAATACCATTCTTCATTTAACCATTCAATAATCACATCTATTCTACCATGAATATTTTCCAAAAAGTAATCGAATATTGCAGTTCTTATCAAGTCTCCCATTTCTTGGTTCACTTTATCGTCCGGTGAAGTTTCAAGATCATATGAGTCTTCGTCTTCATCGTCCTCAGTTTTTGGTTTGCGTCGTCTCATTCCTCGGGTTGCTAGTCTAGTCAAGAGTAATATCCAACTATCCTTTTTCCATGATTTAATTGCAATTTTGGTTAATTCGGAACTTATATTATCTTCTGCCTCGTTGATTTCTTCTGTAGTTTTCTCACCTTTAGCTAATTTGAAAAAATTCTTAATGATCAACTCAATTTGAACTTTTTTATCTTGAAATGATAAATCTTTAGGTGGTGGAAGGGTATACATTGCTTCTGGGTTATATTGTTCAGCATCTGATTCTTCATCTGATTCATCCTTAACTTCGGACTTAACTTTATCTTGTACTTTCATTTGTTCTCCTTGGACTGATTGGGTTGGTCTTTGGTATACTAGACTACTGCCAGACATAGTTAACGCGTTTGTGTATCTTTCACTAATAATTTCCAATGCCTTTGTTAATTTTGGTACGGATGCTCTTTCTAATGCATTCATAACCATACTAACAAGAATATGTTGGGGTACTGTAGTTAAATCGAAATTGTTGAGTTCATTATTCAAATCATTCAATGTGTACAAGTTCTTATAATCTAAAGCCTTAACTCGCTTGGATGGGTTCAAGAATCCTTCAAATTTACGCTTTCTAATATTAACATTATCTTCGAGAAATATATTCTTTCTCCTAATTTCATCCCCTCTTTCAATCAATAATTGTAATTTCTTATTAAGAGAGTTTTGGAAATTGGTTGGAATTAATCCATACTTTTTACAGTGTTGGATGAAAATTTTCAAAACTCGATCAACATATTTCCTGGCTAATTTAAACTGTTCAATTGTTTGATAATTAGATTGTAATTTTGTGTTGGTATCGTAACTTTCAATTATCTTCAAAATTTTAGTGGCATATTGTGGTTTCTTCTTCATAATGATAATACCATGATTTAATGTTGCTGAAATCATAGGAGGATTCAAAATATCTTGGCTTAAGGTTTTCAATGTTAAGTCTAATAAATTGACTGCTTCATATTCCATATTTAAGTATTTGATGAGGGAATGATTCGGTGGGACTCTGTCTAAGGAGAATGCGATTTTGATATTACCTCCGTTGGTAGATCCTACAACTTGGGTCTTTGATTGATAATCCACTACTGTCATTATAAATTTTAACAACTCTAATTTTGTAACTACATTTCTCAACAAGTCATGTTCAACGTTGTCACTTGGTTTTAATGGGTAATTGGTTTGAAACTTGTTCACTAAGGAATTCTTCAACTCTGTTAACTTGCTCCATATTTGATTGCATCCATCATTCTCAGAAACGTATTGAAACACTAACTTGTAAATTATATTAGCGATGTTTATGACTTTACAAAAATTATCGATGTCTTCTGTGGTGTTTGTCAAGTTAATCAAAGAGTCTAATGAATCAATAGCAAGGTCGACTTTATCAGCGTGTCCTAATTGTTTGTTATTGAGGAACGTATCATGTATAAATTGAATACACCATTGCTTTATAGGCAATTCAGATCTATTTATAAAGGGAAGAATTTGGCGAAATACTTGTGGATGAGTTTCAGGCTGGTTGATAGCTAATTGCTTAGCTTGATCTAGTTGCGATATGATTTGATCAGGTGAAAATGACGCTGCCATTGTTCATATAGTGTTTATTTCAAGACTGACAGCCCGTTGTTGTTGTGTTGCCAAAATTTGTAGTTTTGCGTGTGCAGTAAAAAAATTTTGCCCATTTGAAAAACCTCAAACTGCACGACACAAATGTCGCGAAATAAAGTTTGTGTCGATTTTCTAAAGTGTTGCAAACTTTTTTTGGCCCCCCTGGAAGAGCAAGCAACTTTAAACAAACCAAAAGTTGTATGGGAATACTGGACATGTAATTATAAAATCAGTAATAGACAATAGTTGGAGTATATCTGGTTTATTTATATTATACTGGAACTTGGTGACAACTACAAAAAAAAAACCAAAAACGGGAAAACCTATTGACAAGAAATTACATATACTCAGCGGCAATTTAGCAACTATTACCTTTAAGTAAATAAATCATTACCATATTGATGTTTTCAGATTACATTAGCACTATATAACAACAGGAGGTAAAGGTGGGAGATATTTGTTTGAAAAAAAAAAAATAAAAAAGAAGATAATCACTGAGTAATACCAAGATAACTGTAATCTGGAATAATATCCTACTGACTATGTTATCTAATCTATATAAGGGTTGGTGTTTTCATTTCATTTGCATTTAAAATGTTCTGGTCATCATTATTGGCCCCTTTCGGATACATGCAAGCCCTCCTAGGCTTAGCACTTACGAGGTACAAGAAAACCGTGCAAACATCTTGACATGAAATAGAAGATCCAGACTAAGAATCATCCCTTTGCTACAGCGATCATCTTCGTATATGTACAATCTAGAATAATACAATAATATGATGGGGGGAAATCAAAGAGCCAAGAAATTTTCGTGGTTTGTGAGATGGTGGTGAAAAAAAATACCTTCGTAATTAAAATGGCATCATAACACTGTGGAGATTTCGTAGTTGCTATTTCAGGAATATTATTGGTGCATTTCATGTTTTGAATTGTTGTGTAGTGCTGGAGGGATTGAAAGTAGGGGTAAATTTCTGTAACCATTTACGCTGGATACTAATTAATTTCATGATATATTTACGCAGATTTATGCAAACTTTAACTATAAATATTGACAAAATATCCCTGTCAAATACAAAAAGACCAGATTAATAGTGAACATCCTTAGAATTACACTGAATTGATTATTACTATAAAATAGTGTCAAAAACTGTCCACCAACAAAGTATAACCATTTGCAGTAATTGCAGATTCAGCAACTTGTCTCAGATTCTTGGTATCGTAAAACATTCCAATCTGAGGTTCCAATTTACGCGCGACTGAAACAAAAATCAAACAAAATATAAAAACCTAAAACAGAAAAAACAAAGAACGAAAAAAAAAAAATATAATCTTAAATTAGCAACATTTTAACGAAACTTTGATTTAGTTCAAAGTTGAATAATTATTGTTCTATATCTGACAGTTTTTCTCATAAGGCTCTACCACTTTTAGAGCTTGAAAAACCACCAATCTAGTTTATCTTTGCCATTAGAGGGCATGGTAACACCCCATCAATACTTACCAGATCGCCACTTATAGACGCGATTTTGTTTGACGAATCTCATATCCCCTTCCACTAGACACATTAAAAAAAAATGGCCAAAAAAGATAGGTTCAACGCAGATGCTACTATCGAGAAATACTCGTTAGATGTTTCTACATTTGACGTGGTTAACGTCGATTCCTTCAAGAATTTCAAATTTTCAACTTTATTCTGGTATCTTTATATGTGGATACTAGCGTTATTAGCTATAATATTGTTGGCAACTGACATTTACACATGTTTAAATATCTTGGTGTTCAAAAAATGGGGGACAACAGACGGATATAAACCGTTTGCTTATTCTATAGCTAAATGGATCTTTACCGGGTGTATCATATTCCAATTTTGTCTCTTGGTCTACCATTGGATTTGGGGGATACACATTTACAGAACCAAGAATATCGCTCTTGTCTATTTGAACATGATTGCCAAGAGATTGTATCTGATTAAATCATACAACCATTTTTGTTTATTTAATGATATCGATGAAGGGTCATTCTTTGATTGGTCGTGCTTCTTGGTTTACAACGAATTGGATAATGCGTTACAACTCCTTGTTGCCGACACGCCAAGACAAGTTATTAATATTATGACATTGAGATTTTATGCTACTGGAGGCGAATCAAATAATAACATTCTTGCCAATATTCGATGGATAGCAGAAACAAATTTGAGACTTTCTATTATCTTGGGATTCATGTGCTTATCCCTTTTCATTTATGCTATATTCATGATAAAATTTGTATTTGCCATGGCAATGTACATTCCGATCAGATGTTCTTTAAAGGGCAATGAACAACACACTATAAAGAGTTACTGCTGTAACATTGTTAATAAGCATGTGGCCAAGGCTGTCAGACAACACCATAAACCAAAGCATGAACTTTTGAAGAAGTTCTCTGAGGATAAACTCGGCGATTTACCATTATTTCCAAGACCAGATCAAACTTATAACGATATTAAGAAGGATCCAATTATTGTACGTTCTGAAACTGCCGATTCTATACCGTTAACTAATCTTAAGCCATACACCAGGAAACCACCTCCAATTAGAAACTATTCCAGTTCCAATAGCTCATACACCATGTCTAAGTCTCTGTCGGGTACTTCTGACGCACCTACAGTGCTTCCATTCCCATTGAAGAAAGAGTCATTATCAAACCTCAGAGAAGGTAATGAATCATATAATTCACTGAATACTTTAGCTCAAGAAATGTATAGAGAACCAGAGCAAATGTATTCAACATTACAACAGCAACAACCTCAACCTTCTCGAATAGATTTATTACGCAGATCCATGAGCCAACACCAATATTTACCTCACTCTAACTCCCAAGATCAAATTTACGACCGTGACAGATCAAATCAAATATATGGCCAACAACATAATAATTCTTACTCAAGTCTTACCAGGACATTGCCGCAATCGAGCTCACAACAACAACTCTATAACCGAAGCAATTCCAACCATAATCTCACCTATAACAACACTTCCCATCAACAGCTTAACTATTCAAACTCACCGCAAGAAATTTACAACAGGAGCAATTCTAATCAACATTTGATGTATTCAAATGACGATAGATCCCAGGAGATTGATCAGACGTATCACAACTTAACTAATCAAGAAAATCCATATGAAAGTTCCTCACATAGTAGTCTGCACAACCATTCCCCAGTGTACGATTATGAAAAACAACCGGATCAATATACCAACAATAATAATGATAATAGAGAAGAAGAAGAAGAAGAAGAATTTAACTTCCCTGTCAGGAACTTTGAGCAGGAAAAATCCTCGTCAGAGTCGCTCCCGTATCCTGTTAGAGGAGTTTCTACATTTTTTGAAGACAAGTAAATAACAATCCATATAGATATAGATGAGGCACTATTTATATGCATATAACGTAAATCAGTTTATATACTCTATGTACAAGTTAATCTCTAGACCACGCCTCTACTTGGCAGCTTTCTTTTCTTCGTATTCTTTTTTCAAAATCTTCAATTCTTCATCGGAAATAGGTGGGATTGGAATATCTTCCAAATCATCACCTTGCATTTTCTTAAATGTATAAATATAAACACCAAGTGGAATAGAACCAAGGGCAATGAAGGAAATTGTGTTTCTCCAAAAGAATGGAGCACGAACTCTGTATAATGCCGGGGTTATTTGATGAGTTCTGGGGTCACGGTATCTATTATGTTCTTTTCTGAAAATGTGTTAGTAATTTCGCTAGTACTATTGAATGCCACACGATATGTACATACCGTTTATTCATTGTGTGTATCTTGTTTATTTGTGTATATGCAACTGGGCTTTGGTGTGAAGGAGTTTTTAGTTTTTCTTACCACTGGCGTTCTGAGCAAATTGAAAATTTTAACGCCAATCACGTGACTCAATCTGGTAGCACCCATCTTTAATAAACTACAATGTGGTTCTTTTTATACGTACTATTTCTATATACTATACTCCATAAGTACGTTAAATTCTCTAATAATGATCAAGTCTCCAAAGAGTAACTTTCCCTGCTTCATTACCAATAGCCAACATTTCATTATTAGGAGAAAATGCAACTGAAGTGACTTTACCCAAAGGTGTACCACTGGTTGGCCAGTTAGAATAAACGGAACCACTAGGTAAATGAACCAATCTCAAGGCATCTCTTTTACCTCTGGAAGCAACACACAATATTTGTCCGTCTGGATTGAAAACCAACGAAGAAATCGAAGTGATTAAATTCTCAACGGTCTTAATTGGCTTAGGACGTACGGTAGTTTCAGTAAAACCGTTACGGTCATATATGTTGACGATACCATTATTAGTACCAATTGCCACCCATCTATTCTTTGGACCACCAAGTTTAATCTTGGTTATACCTATACCACCATCATCAGTCCATTTTCTAAGAATTTTATTATGAATCTTTTGTTTTTTGTTGCCTTTTTGATTAGAAGTGGTATTTGCACCCAATTCATATTCCCAAACTTCACCGGCCGAGTTGACAATAATTATAAATGATTCGTCATTGGCAAATTCAAAATCAACAATTGTTCCTTCAATCTTAAATCCTCTAATATACTGTCCAGTGGCACCATTCAAGATGTTGCACCAACCGCTGTTACCAGTCAAACCTATGTAGGTTCCCTTGGAGGATATTTTGAAATATTCAAAAGATTTTTGATGTTGTTCATGTCCATATAATCTACTAATCTTTTCCACGTCTCCGTTATTCAAATCAATTTTGTTCATGTATCTTCTTCTTCCACCAGCAAAGATTAAGTTGTTTCCATTAGGTACAGGTGGTGCAAATTGAACGGTTTGTATAGGACAATTTTTAAGGAAAAATGATGTTATGAAATTATTAGCTTTACCGTCAATGTGGTATACCCTTATAGTCTTGTCAAAACCACCGGTGAGTAAGAAAGGGTGGGTTGGATGGAATGATATGGATTGAATGGCAGACTTGGCGTATTTCTGATAATTGGCATCTTTCAAACGGGATATCGCGATTCTATTAGGCGAGATTAATTTTAATTGTTTGGTGATTATAAATGATTGAGTAGTAGATAAGATGTTTAAAAGTGCATTGGTTGATCTCAGGACAGGTTCAACTTCTTCGTCAATAATTTCATCGTCAGAGTTTTCTACTTCTTCCTGTTGTTCATCGGCCCACAATGGTCTTGGATAAATCTTTTCAAATTGTGATCTTAACCTTGTGATGTATGCCCTGCCGGAAATTGTAGAGTCTTGTTGAGTCTTTCGTAACTTCCTTAGTCTATCTGAAGAAGTTAACAGGATATCAAGATGTTCATCATCACTATCTTCCCAAGCATTATCCTCATCTTCTTCGTCTTCACTTTCATCATCATGTCCTTCTTCATCGCTGTTTTCTTCTTCTTGATCCACATCCATGGCATCACCTTCATCAATGAAGAACAAATCATCGTCTTGAATATCTCCCAATTCATCATCCCCATCTATATCCTGATCACTTCCCCCTTCATCAATATCTTCTTCTTCGTCTTCAGAGTAATCAAATAAATTGTCAACCTTCTTTAAATTTGATTCAAATCCCAGTTTGTCTCCAAACACGAGCTTTTCAAGAAGAAGCTCTTCTTCATCCTTGGGAGGGATTTCCACTTCTCCTTTATCCATCATGAATCTGTCTGTGTGAAAGTTAGAAGCTTAATAACAATACATACCAGATCTCATCTCATTGAAAAAAAATCTTTGGCAGCGCTACCCTCATCTGGTACAGAATTTTTGGTCGTGCCATTTGGTGAATTACAGCGCTACCAATGTCCAAATACAGAATTTGGTAACGTACCGTAAACAAATAGAGTACTATTCAAGAAACAGAAGTACATTCCAATTATAAGATATTAAATCTACGTAAGACTAAAGATAATATTAAATATATGTCCATTTTTTTAATAATCCTATATATTTTGTTTTCTATTACACGTAATATAACGTTTCTTCTCCTCTATTTCCCTCCTTTTATCTTTGTAACAAAGGTGATAAAATACTTTTTAAAGTCCTTTAATTCATCTTGGATCAAATTGGTACAGAATTCATTCATCAAATTCTGAGATAATCCCATATCCAGAAGATATCTTGACAAATAATTAAGGAATGCATCACCTTTTCTAATTTGGTATGTTTTTAATAATACAGCGATTTCCTGGGCAATCATTCTAAATTGGGCATCATTTAAGTCAAACTCGGCACGTTGAAATGGCAATTCAAATGAAAGGTGGACAACTCTATTCATAAGAAATTCGTCAATTCCTTCCACGGCAGGCAAGGCTGCGCTGTATTTATCTTCAGAGTCAACAATCTTTCCTCCATATCCAAATATATTGACAATGTTTACCAATTGAGAAATGGCAAGTTTTGAAACAGAAGTATCCGATAAATCATATGCATATTCAAACACTTTACCAATTACTTCCGGGAATTCCAGCTTGTTGGTTTCTGTGATTAATAAACTTGAACAATGGTTGATGATAATTGCACTTAAAAAGTTCAAAACCGACTTCTTCAAAAAGTTTTCATCACGAATTACATCTGGGATAATTTCTCCATCACTCTTGGAGTCTTTCTTTAATACTTCAAAGATAGTCTTGAATAATGAGCTCAAGAAGTTGTTTAACAATTGATAAATGTTTTCATCGTGTTGGTAATTATGAACAATCTGTCCCAAGAAGCTTAGGAAATCACTAAGCTCATGCAATTGTAAATTAGGAGCCGACCAAATCAAGGTAATCAATTGACTTAAATGCATGCTGATACTACTCTTCAATATAGGAATAAATCTTGCAAATGAAAACCTTGAAGCATCTCTGATCATTTCAGATTTAGAAAAATTTTCCAAAGTAATAAGAACAACTCTGGCTGCATTGTTGATTTTATCAATGATTTCGTTTGCATACTTCATATTGTATTCATAATCATAACCTCTAACAATTGTTCCAATAGCCATTAACGAATGGTGTGCTTGTAATGTGACCAATGGATCATCTGGACGGGTCAGTTGAATTCCAATACAATTCTCTAAATCACTAAACAATGGTTGGAAAATCAAGTCAATAAGTTTCACCTTCAAGGATTCATCTTGCATTAACGAAATCAATAATCCCATGGTTTCAAATAAGTATTGTTGATTGTTGAAATTACCATTTTCTACAACATCATTATCTTCATCAGTATGTGGCAATTCTGCTTTAATAACTAATAATGGTTGGATTTTGATAATAATCTTTTCAAGCAATTCCTCACTTAATCTTGGTTTGGTCAATTTCATGAATCGGAATAACAAGTACCAACTTCTAAGTCTAACCTTTTCAATCTCATTAAATAAACCAAGTGGACTAGTGAAAATTTCCAAAATCCGGATAATTAAATCGGTGCGGTTAACATGCTGGTTTAAATATGTATAATGTTTCACAATAATATCGAAAAATTCCAATTGGATTCTTGGATGTCCAATTTCCAACAATATATCAGAATTAATCAACTTAATTAAAAACTCTTGGAAAATCATATATGGTTTACTTTCATTGATGCTTGATTTTGGCAAATTAATCAAATTGTTTCTCAAACTTTCTGAAAAGTTTCTCAATTCATACAATCCCAATTCCAACTTTCGCCAATCTGACTTGTCTTTATTATTGAAAATGGATTCATTTATAACTATAGGGATCGCATTCAAATATAATTCGGGGTTTAATATTGCAATTGTATCTTGGAATGTCTTTAACTTCTGTCTGATTTCCAAGAATTGTTCAGTTTCCTCATTATCGGATTCATCTATACCCTCTTGATCGTCATCAAACTTCATTTTCAAGATGACTTTATTCAACAAGTTAGATAATAACTCAGTTGAACTTAAAGCTGGATTCTTTTTACATAATAATAAATATTGCTGAATGAATGGAAACACTTGTTGACTGACATCATCATATTCATGACTCAATAATGAGAAGATCATAGGCCACAAGGTAAACAATTCATTAGATGCAGAACTAGTTAAATCAGGTTGATTATCTAATACTATCAATAATTCATGTCCAATTTGATTCACCAATTTGGCAATATGCTCCATAAAATCAATATCATTTGTGTTCAAATCTATGGAGTTGATAACAGTGGTCAAGTTCAATAATCTGATTAATTCTAGTTTATTAGCAGGGTTCATCTTTTTGGAAATGACTTCGATTAAAGTTTCACAAGTAGTGTTTCTTTCTGGACCGCCTCTGGTTAAGTAACCAAGGATTAAGTTGACAAATTCTGGGGTCACAAATAACCCAATTTCCATCCAACTGATATAACTACCAACTATTTTAAGAGTGTTTTCTAGTATTTCACTGGTGTAATTATATTCATTGCATAAAATCTTTGACCAGCTTGCAACTAATGTTTCCATATCATGGAGTCTAATATGATCTTTTAATAAGTTGTTACGATCTTGACCTTCTCTGGTTCTTGAAATAAACTTATCACCAATTTCCAGGTGAATGGCAAGAATAATTCTGGTATAATAGTCAACAGCAAGTTGCAGTTGCCCATTGGTACCAATAATGCTAAGTAAGTCCTTTATAAAATTAGGGTAGATTTCAATATATACAAAACAGAACACTTTGGCAAAGATTTGTGAAAGTTTATTTCTGGAATGAGGAGCATCCTTAATATCTTTAGTGATATATTCTTGTAAAACTTTGAATATGGAGTTGTTTAATGCAAATAATTGTTCTTTGGATAATTTATCAATGTTTTCGTCAATGACTTGATATACAAAGAACTTTAGTTCTGGGTTGACCGGATCAGTTGAAGATTTGATCAATATATCCAAACATGACTTGTATCCTTCCTCAGTGGACTTGATTTGGTTTATAAATTCAAAAGCTTGGTTCTTGAGGTTAACGTCAGCAGTTCCACTGAGAGCAATCTCTACTGCTTGATGAATCTGTTGTTCCATGAACCAGTGTTATTTCAGTAGTTACTTGAATAGTTCCAGTGGTTGGTAGGAAGGATGGTGTGGAGTGTGGCGTGAGAATTTTATTCGCCTTGCTGATTTAAATATGAATGTGTCTGTGGGTTATGAATGACTAATGGGTGTAACTTTATCGTTTAGTATATGCTGCTATATAGTTACCGTCTTCTTCTTCTCCTTTAGATTTATATTGATGCTACAAATCCAACTTCATATGAGAATTTCTATGCTGTTGAAAGCTTGTATATGGTGTCCCCCTGGTTGTAAAACTTTTTTGGTTGTCAAAAACTTTTTGGCAACAGCAAAATTGAGGCAGATGAAGTTCACAGAAGAAAAACAAAAAAAAAAAATTTTTGAAAATTTTTTTGATTCCACACACGACTGTTCTTCATAACTAGAACCATGCAAAGTATACGAGGATGTTTAGACGATAAGTTAGGTGTCCGATTTTAGCTGATACTATACATAGTATATACATAGTATATACATAATGCACAAATATTGGTTAATCCAAGACAGCATATTTCTTTAAGTTGTCTGGGATAGCATCGTACAAGTTCTTTTCTTGCAACCAGGTCTTGGAAAAGATACGGTCGACATATTTATGAGCTGAATCAGCTAAGATGGTGACAACATTGCTTCCTTCAGGCAAGGTCTTGGCAACTTCACATGCAGCAACCACATTCAATGCACCAGTTCCTCCAAGGTACAATCCTTCTTCATCCAACAATCTGTAAACCATGGCGATAGAGTCTTCATCTGGAATTTTTACAGCATCGTCAATCAATTCTATATCTGGCTGCAAATTGTCAGTGACTCTACCTTGACCAATCCCTTCGGTAAAGGATGATCCACCTCGGATCATTTCCTTTCCATCAGACTTGATGTATGAATACAAAACAGATCCTGGTGGATCAGCCAAGACTGCCTTAACTTGACCATTGGAAATAGTCTTCAAGTATCTGGTGACACCAGCAAAAGTACCACCAGTACCAGTAGAACAAGTAAATGCATCCACTTTACCATCCAATTGGGCCCAAATTTCTGGCCCAGTAGTTTCAATATGTGCTTGTCTGTTGGCAATGTTGTCGAATTGGTTGGTCCATACAGCATTGTCCAATCTTTCGGCGTGCCTCTTGGCTTGATGGTTATAATTTTCAGGATCAGTAAAAGCAACTGCAGGAACAGGATGAACTTCGGCACCTAACAATCTTAATGTTTCAATCTTGGTTTTTGATTGGGTATTTGGCATGTAGATAACACACTTGTAACCTTTAGCTCTACACACATGTGCTAAACCAATACCAGTATTACCGGCGGTACCTTCGACAATGGTACCACCAGCTTTGATTAATCCCTTCTTTTCGGCATCTTCAATGACATATAAGGCAGCACGATCCTTAATTGACCCACCTGGGTTCATAAATTCAGCCTTGGCATATATGTTTCTTCCCACTGATTTGGAAATATTTGGCAATCTCAATAATGGAGTATTACCAATTGCACCAGGGAATCCACTTTCACTGACCAAAGGAATGAAAGGAAGTGAGACTGGGGGTTGTTGCTTGTTGAGGGAAATAGAAATGAACCTCTTGGACACTCTACTTAACATCGTTGGAAATTGATCTAGAATATGTTTCAATACGATATCCCACTCAATAAATCCGTTGAAATTTGAATCACTTTTTCTTTTTCCGAAATTTGTATATCTCACGTGATCCTGAGTTACAAGCTTGGGGGAGACGGAGTTTGCAAATTCCTTGATTAACAGCACCAATTACAACTGGACACCACCACTTCTGATAAATCTTAAAGCAAGACATGTGTAGTCATGTAGCAATGAAAGAAATTAGTTCATAATTTTTATTCTGTAGAACTGGCGATTTTCAAATCTAGTTGGAAGATTTAAACTTGTTACTTTATTAGTTAACTGAATACCCAAGAATAAGAAAAGATATTAGATTTTTGATAACCATGACTGTAATTCCCAGTCAAGATCACATATTCACTAGACGGATACAATTTTGAGACTATAAAAGTTCTCTAATTTACCAGAATAACCACTAATTGTAACTACGACTCTGAATACCTTCAATCCTGCTAAATCCGATCTCACGGACTTATTAACAAGTCACACTAAGTTTAATTGTATGTGCCTCATGCTCAAATCATGCTTCAGGCAAAATTGCTTAAAAAATATGTTTGAATAGAGTTTGCTAAAACAAGCTTTACATCTCACAGAACTTTGCATCCGTGGAAATAGAAAAGCATGATAAGATCTCACTATGCCGTGATTCTATTGGTGGAGAGACTTCAAAGTAATCCCTGCATGAATTAAAGTATTAGTCATAGGGAAATAGATTATGTCTTGGTTTTACTCCATAAACGTGCATTTGACACGTCCCCTCTTTTTTGAGTATCCACGGAATATGACATCATCGTTCAACTCTGGCATAATCTTCAGTTATCGTCGCGAAGTTTTGCAATTTTCAATAAGTATATCTAAATAAACATCCATATTGTACCTTCAATTGATTTACCACCTTTTTTTTTTTGGAACTAATTACTTAATATTTGCTAAACAAGTGATTATAAAACAAAAAAAAAGAGTGTGTTTCTTGTGGCGCGATAAGATCAAGATTTTCGGACTTGTTTGATAGAACGCCGAAGAATAGCCAAGAAAAATAGTTGCAATATCAACAACAATCCATAACGCAATTATTACTATTTGAACTTGCGTATATGTCATAAACCGTACGCTGTAGTTATTATAACCGAAAAGGATGCATTGCAGGAGAAAATATTAGACCAATTAAAACAAGCCACAGCGCATTGTTAAACGGCAAATGTAATATTGAACCCTCAGGTTGGCAATAAGGGGATAGCTACCAGCTATTTGAAAATATCTGCCTATAGTACTGACTAAAACCAAGATTAATATTGAAATCATAAGTAGTGCACATTCTAAGATAATCTTGTCACTTCCTAGAAGTTGTATGGAAATTTATTTCCGCTTTGGATACAATATTTCGCGATTATTTCCTTTTCATACTTTCCCTGTAGGGCCAAGGTTGTAACAACCAGATATAATTTAATTCATTTCTCAGTCACGCTTGTAGTATCTGTAAATAGACAAAATTATTATGGGAATTTCTGTCTTGGTAAACATCTCACATGAAATGGTGTAGTTGAGCATCTGTCGATTGTCAACACGACGTTGCAACAGGTATTAGCGAAACCAAATCGAGGTATATTTCGGAAAACTTTGCTTAGATAAACCCCGCTACGAGCCCCGCTTCTTACCCTATATGAAGCCATTGATGTCATGACATAATGAAAATGAAATGTTCCATCTGTAACGAACCTATTGAATTCGCACCACCTAGCAAAACACCTAAAAAATAACAGCCTAAAAAATAATTTTAGATTATTTTAGTTGTCCTGATTAAGACAGGTTTTTTTAGCTTAATTATTAAAAAATAAAGTTGAGGTTCATGAGTATTATCAATTTGCAAAAATATAATCATGCAGATATTGCGTGGGTTCCTATGCACGATTCACTTCAACCATTATTTCATCATGTCCTCAATTTTCTTGCCAGCAAACTATGGGATTTATTTGGTTGGATAACTTGGGTTACACGCCTGAATCCCAAGCAAATCAAATAGGTTGTATCAACCCACTGTATAATCTAGGTTACATGTTTCCCATCCAGTCTCCATAATTGGCATCGTAGCATTTCCAACTACACCCTGGAAATATCTTGGCTGATTTCTGTCTGGGGACTTTTGATTTTTTACGTTTTGACCAAAAAAAAAAGTCATAACCAGTGCATTCCGTCATTCAAAAAGCTTCGCCATGCAAGGTGTTTCGTTTGGCATTTTGCAGATGAACTTTTTAATAATAATCAAAAGAAAAGGGAAGGTTAGTAATATGCCGACTGACCTCGCCCTGCACGATTTGAGTGAGAAACAATATTTTAAATCTTGAATGAATGTAATAAAAAATACCAGTGACTAAAAAATATCATCGATTTTAATTTTCTTTCTTTACTTTTCTTTTTTTTATTTGCTTTTTTTAAAGACAATAATTTTTTTAATTAATATTTCTTTGCAGTAAATAATATTACCAAAATTAAGCACTAGTTTTTATTTTAATCTCATTTTACTTTTTCTTGGTTCGAGCTCCAAGGAACAAATATATTTTGATATTTAAATATCAACTGAAATCCCCAAACCAATTTCTTTAAATTGATATGCCATTCATTCAACTCTACTTTTTTTGGTATTTCTATTCAACTTAACGATCAAGCTATAATTATTAATAAGGAGTTCAAATAGAAATTCCCGTCAAGTACAAATAACCGCTTTGCTGCTAAAATACTACACAATAAGAAAAATACGTAATTTAGCCGCTGATTAAAAATAGACACAATGCTTTACGGTCACCAGACATTTACCAAAGTACCTTCTGGTATTTCAAACTTGGAAAAGTTGGCATCAACATCTTTGCCTTCATTCAACGAGTTGCTCACATCCATCCCATTACCTAATGAATTCAGGTCACGTCAATCATCAGTTGCATCCTCTTATGACAGTTCTCCTCAACATCCAGCAACAATATCAGTACCATATTCACAAACAACTCCTAGGTTACGCATGGTTCAATACCTGCCATCTTCAATTTCCCATGCTCTGCCTAATCCACCGCAACAATTCATGCAACCATACGCGGCATACTCATATCAAACATATATGCCAGCAGGATACCATTCACCATGGGGTGGTTCTATAAATGGTGCTCCACCAAGTCAACATATCATCGCTACAACTATGACTAGTCCAACCACGTTGAATGGAACCACAGCTTTTGATAATAAGATACGGTCACATTCCACTAGTGATTTAGTTATGACTGGAAATGGTATCTTGGTCAAGGACTCAAAGAGAAAACACGTTTGTAAGGTGTGTTCAAGGTCGTTCACTACATCTGGTCACTTGGCAAGACATAATAGAATTCATACTGGAGAGCGTAAGCATGTATGCCCTTGGCCTACTTGTGACACTAGATTTGCAAGACAAGATAATTGTATGCAACATTATAAGACACATACAAATGGCAAGAATAAGAGGTCAAGGACTAGCAAACTTTCAACAAAGAGCTTTTCTTGAATTGAAAAGAAGAGGTTCTATTATGAGTAACGACAAACACTAAATATACGGTTCATTTCTTGGTTTGGTTTTAATTTGTTATTGTTGGTTTAGTTCTTTTGGTTTATTTTGCGTTGAAAAACGCAAACGGGTTTAAAAAGAATGTATTCATTGTATAGTAAATACATGCTGTAAACGATTATTCATTTATTGTAGTAAAAGAATTTGTTCAACAAAAAAAGGCTGCAAATGGGGCAAATGTTTGTACTTGAATAAAGTTTGTAATGGCTCAGAGGAATTGCCCAAGAGACTGACATTCCAATTGCAGGTAAACTTCTCCTTCGCCTCAATTCCTTGGCTCTTTAATTTTGCTAGTTACGCAAAATCGTTCACATCTGTTGGGGTAGCAGCCCCTCAAATTAGATTAAACTAAATAAACAAGCCAAAAAAAAAAATTAAAATTAAAAATAAATTCTTTAGAGTTTTAAAAACTTTAAACATTCTTGGTTTGAGGTTTATTTACGGAATAAGCGACTTTCAATTCTACAAATACAACCCCTCTTGCTCCTTTAAAGCTAAATTTTCTTGTTTTATATCAAATTTGGTTGTATATGAGACGACTTTTGTGTTTCATTTTATTTAAATCTCCAAGATTTTATTTAACTTGTTGGGTTTTGTACTTTTATAACCTGGCATCAGGTCTCATAATCATAAAGCTCTAGCTTGGCTTAATCACCTGATTTATTATCTCCACCCTTGACAATCCTGAAAAGTTTAATTCTACAGCCTTCGCCGTTGCCGTTGAGATTTCGCGTTGTTTATTTTGTTCATGATCGCTAGCTTGGTGATTACACAGAAATTAAGCGATTATTTTAACAAACGCAAACCGCGGTAAGATAGATGTGCGTAAACAGATGGTATTATCTTGGTAGAAACTTTTTCCGCCTTAATTGCAATGTCACTTAAACATTGTGGCCAAGAACTCTATTTTCCCCAGGATTTGGGGCGAAAAGCCAAGAAATAAAAGTAAATCTCGATAGCTTTTCTTATCCCCCAACTTTAAAACATATGCCACATGCTTGGTCCTGGCTCAAACAAGTATTTTAATCCTTAAAAATAAAATACCATTGTATGTAAGTAACAGTGATTAGTAAGCGAATTAAAGTTTGGAAATGTTGGGGACATATTTTTGAGGCTAGTTTAAAGGGAATGGTCCAAAATATTATGATAAATTTCACAAGATAGTTATAAATGGCCCTGTCTCACTACTAACCACTCTTATCCAAACCCCTTTTATAGAAGAAGAGATGAAAATCTACAAATAGAAGAAATTTGAAAGAAATTATTTTTAAAGAGCAGGAGCCATTCGAGAGAGTTAAGGATATTGGGGTAATTTTTTTTTTTTTGTAAAAACTTCTTGGTGAAAATTTTGCATGTCTGTATTTCCTCCTGTTAAGAAGGTTTTATGTTTTTACTTAATGATGCCCAGTAATCTAATGCAATATTCAAAATTTCGAACTAAGATGCATATATCTAAAGATATTCTCCTCTTTGATGAGTTTGTCCGAGGATTTTTAAACTTTTAAGTTCTGCCAACATTTGACATTTCCTTGTGAAGTTTACAAGCAGGTTCCAAGCAGGTTCCAAGCCACAATTGAGTTTGTTGTATGGTGATAACAATTATGTTACAAGGTAGTGATTTTCTTCTGATATTAAATGATAATCCTCTCATGTAACAAATGTGTGCATTATAAAGTTCCATAATAAAGTCAAGTAATTTATAGGGTTCAAATTTAAAGTTTGCTAGTTGTAACTTTAATTATTTTTGAAGCTGTGAACGATTCCTATACTAAATAGGGCCATGTATTCCAGCACTGACAATTGTAGAAGTGCACACTATAAGCATGAAAGTCAGATTATGAGATCTATTTCGACCTTAGATTTCCTGTTTCAACAGATAGTGGTTGAATTTCGCTTATAGTTTCTAGACAATGTAATTTTATTTTCTTTTTTATGGAACCTTCCCTGCCCATACGGCGGAAATTTGTCTGCATGAATTATTTTTCTGATTAAAAATTTTATAGACAATTATTTTTTGGGGATTGAGATCTTCTACGTACCTGTTCCATTTGCAACGTAATAATGTGAAAAATTTCAGGTGACGAAGAGGAGAAGCAGCATTTGCTTTGAAACTTTTACTCTGAAGGTGGCTACTATTGTTTCATATCATCAAAGGGTATCATCAAAGGATTAGAAACATGCTAGATCTGGTCATCAAATAGCTATCGGAGAATCTGATGTTAATAGGTGATGTAATATCCAACATTAACGTCGGCACGGAAACATGCAGTAGCAATGACATAAAATAAACATCAAAAAATCTTTCTAGAAGAAAACAACGATGAAAATATTCCACAAAAAGGGTTTTAGATCGGAAGTGTTCCTTTGTTTGAACTGGTCTCAGTACCTGTGATTACCTCGAATCTGAAACTCGAAAATTATTATTCTTACGTATCGGAAATTTAACCCATTCTACATGAAATTGCCGCAACTAGAATCGCCTTATTGCAAAGCCACGCCTGTTACATACTGGAACAAGACCTGCGAGCAACAAAAAAATAGTTGACCATTTCAGGGTTTACAATTATTCCGAACAATAGGGCGATGAAAAAGAAAACAAAAAAAATATATTGAACTCCTCCGATGGGCGTTTGTGTGTGTGTGTGTGTGTGTGTGTGTGTGTGTGTGTGCGTACACGTTAAAAGATTAGTCAAGAGCAATATCGGTAAAAGTTACCAAAAAAGAAATATGTCAAGTTTAAGTCATGAATAATACATGCACGATTAACTAGTCAACACTATAACGGCGGGATTACTACATCAAGTCAGTGTCCATATGATTCCGTATGCTGATCACGCATATAAACGCAGGTACCACAGGCTGAGCATGAGGGAATGACCGAAAAAAGGTGAATGCCGTCCGATTAAACACTGAATCAAATCCCCCATTATTTTGCCGTAATGTCATACTGCAGGGATTGGGATAATGATTTGTTAGTGACATCACTTGTTTATGTTTACTATGCGGAACTATTTTCCACGGCCCGTGATCATCATTTTCTTGGAAACCCAAAAATATTATTAATTACGAGCAATAATTACAGATCAGAATTTTCAGTAAAGTTTTATGAAAAAAAAAATTGCATTAATAATATCTACAACATTTCCGTGATCCATGTTATTATTTCGGAATTTCACAATGGAAGTACCTTTACCAACAGTGAAACGCCTAAATGCTCTTAATATCGCACGTTATCGTGGTACAGCGCAACGGATACATTGATACTGGTCCCGAAAATCCGCCGAGAAATTGATATGTATTTTGACTAAATTCCTTGCAGCTTTACACTGTTTAACTCCATCGGATTTATCGTCATTCAAAATTTCCACCTTTAATCACCTTGGTAGATCGCCCCTACAAAGAAAATATCTCAAACACTGGTGGGTGAACGCCCTGCAGCTATGGATAAGGGAGGTGTATGACGGTACATTGTTTAACCGGTTTCTTTTTTTTTTTGGAGGGCGAACCAGATTAGAAAATATCTCACTAGAAATATTAGGTTACATAAAAAATAAGTGTGAACAATGAAAAAGAAGGTTCGGGGAAAGGCGTATCGATTGAAGTAATAAAATATACAGAAAACGTTGGATTAATTTGGATTATTTTGATAACTGTGCATGAAGCATGATGCATTTAATTTATAGAGTAGGGTTCTAGAAGCTCACAATACGAAATACTTTAGAGAATCAATCACGTAGTTTTTCCGACTCAGGGTGAGCCCCTCTGGTCCCCTTATCAGAGTCTAAGAATAGCCTGTCTCTCTATTAAACGTAGATATATACCTATGATTAAGCAACATCATAAACATTTTCATAAAAATGGGTTCCATTAATTTCATGGTCAAACATATAGCTCACCCCATTAAGTATGCATTTCCTCATGTTTAATCTGAATTCTTCATCACCACCATCCATGAACTTCTCTTCGTCCTCGGCTTCAGCATTACCCCTGTTTAAATTAAGAACATCAAGAACTAACCAGTTAAGGTAATGAGTGATTGCTACTGGAATATGCATGTAAACCGATTCATCGAATTCGCAACGGTACTTGTTAGGAAGAATATCTTGGTCTTCGTCAAATTCTCCTTGGTCAATTAGTTCTTCCTCATAGCACTTAAAATCCTTGAATGTGGCATTACTATGGAAATCCCATAATTTGTTCATCAATGGGAATCGAAGTTGAGAAAGCTGGGTAAGAAGTTCATCCTGGATCATTCTCTTATTAAGTTGATGCGCTATAGTGGTGAACAAATGTGACGCATTCAAGTCACGGAATGCACCAAGCTTGTTATTGAAATATTTGTGATGCATGAGGTAATGATCAAGTTGGTCCAAGTATATATTGCAATGTTCACACTTGCATCCATTCCAAAGAACCAAGTTCATATATTGCTCGTATCCGGAAAATGATTCAAAAATGTTGGGTAAACTAAGGATAATGTTATGATTGTTGATGATTTTAGGTAAGACTTTCATAAAACTATCTCTTCTTCTAAAGTAATTACCTTCCATTCCATCTGGGAAATCTCCCAACGGAAGAGTTTTGTGCTTTATGGACAAGTAGATCATATGTGGTGACGAGGATAAGACGTTGGTGAGAAAGTTGAAGGTGTTCAAATCGTATACTTCGTTTTTGGCATGGGTTGGAAATATCCCACCTTGGACTATGGAAAGTTTGGTTAATTTTGGACAAATGGGGATGAGATTATAAAAATCAATCACATAATCAGTATCGTCACCATCTTTGTAACAAATCACTAATTCCAACTCCTTAAGCGTTCTCCAGGGAATTATTTCGGTCAATTGTAAGTTCAATTCCCATTCATTGAGGTTAAAGACAATCTTAAACCTTTCAAGTTTTGGCAAGTGTATTTTATGGCGAAGTAAATTATGGTTTATCCATGTCCAATACTTGTCATGGTCATCTGGTAATATCAATGATCTCAAGTTAGGACAATACTGGGGCAATGACGGCAAGTTTGTGTTCTGTCCAACTAAGATTTCCGTGATATGATCACCAAAGTACGGAACGTCATCATCAACTACAAGTGAAGTTAATTTCGTTAAAGCAGACAAATTCAATTGTTTACGCAACTCGTAGTTACCAACGTAGAACTTCTCAACTGATCCACTACTTAATACGTTGATCAATTCCTGCAATGGTTGTACCAATGAGCTATTGTTGTCAAACCCAAGCACGTGTACCTGATTAACATACGAAATCAATTCAGTATTTATAGTCAATGCTTGAATCAAAACTTTGGTTCTCGCTATAATCATTCGCATATGCACCTCCGGTTTGATCAACTTTCCTCGTACATGGGAAAATCCGTATACCACAGTTTGAACTGAGTCATGGAAGTCATTCGATCTTCCTTGTGGGTGTGGTCTTAACGGAGGATCAGGTTGAATGGTGATGCGAGAATATAATTGACGCATGCATGGGTGGTAGAGGTCATAGTTTGTAAGGGCAAGGTTTATAAGTGATTGCTGCGGAAGATATTTGATAATATAGCCTCGTATAGCCTCAGGAAGGTCAAGAAACAGGGTCGGCATGGTAAAGTAGGGGGGTTTTTGGGGGCAGTTTTACAGAGGTGGAAGTTTTAGTGAAATTTTATCATCCAACTTTTTTCCGGCATGTTGTATTTGTTTTCTTTTTTTTTCCCCATACTTTTTGGGTAAATCGATCATCGCTTTACTTACCCAACAAAATGGCTAACTTTGCAACTTGCTCCCGTTGCAACATAATAATTTTGAATAAACATGTGAATGTATGTAATACATATTTATTACCAAAATAACAATTATGTTAAGGATTGAAACTTATAGTATCCATGCTAAATCCCGAAAATTATCTCTTTTCAATATTAGATTTTCAGGGTTTATTTTTTCTCAACAATTACTTCTCTGGCCACCATCTGCAACCTTTTTAAAATATTATACGATAAATACAACCCCCTTAGTTTGGATTACCATTTGAGTTTCTAAATATAGACAAATCTAGAATATTTTTCATGGCTTTTTACTTCCCAACTTTTTGTGTGACAGAACTTCAACGGTCTGAAAAACAGGTCTAGATCTAAACCAAAGACCGACATCTATGTGAAGTAATGCAAGTGAACCATTGTGCTCCCAACCACTTGAAAATCCAATCAAGAGAACTCTCCATAATGGATCATAACCATTTAGACTGGTGTAAAATGCAGAACTCCAGGGAAGTCTAAATCTACCCTTGCTGGAGAAGCAACCCGATTTATAATTTCTAGAATTTAAGGTTACGTAAGTGGATGAAAGGAAGGAAAAGCTTAATCCCTTTTCCATAGTTAGAAACACTGGATAATGTAACCACCATGATTTAAGAAACTATTCCCTCGGCTATGCGAAAAGACAGCACGTTGATGTTGCATCCACGAAGTTGACAATGGTTCATAGTAGTTAAAAACAAAGATTTTTCAGGGCTGATATAGCTTTGAGTTGTTGCCATGACAATAATTACGATTATTACAGTGAAGCTTAGTGATTAAATTATACTACCCCTAGGGTGTTGAAAGAAGTGGTTATGATTAATGTAGGAGTATCTAGTACTAATGGTTATGACCCCCTAGCAGGAGGGTTAAGTATAATCGTGCACCTCTCTAACCTGGCAATACTAATGCATAAACACACTGATAGACGTGTTACATTGACTCCTGAACACCGACTCGGAATTGATATAGTAGAGTCAGTTATTTGTTAATATAAATCAAACGTTTGGATAGCTGAAAAAAAATTTTTGAGGATATTTTTTGATCCTTAGTAGGGAGAGCATTGTCATATATTCAAGATCTGAGCAGAGCTCGTTTCATTTTGCACCAGATCAGCAATATAGTGCAATATGTGTTCAATACTTTAAAGGATTGGCCAAATATTGGCAACCCTGAGATGGTTACCAATATAAATGATTCATAAAATGTATAAAACATTGTGACAAGAATTGTATCTTGAAAACATTCGTTAATGCATGTCATAAACAATTAACACGACAATTAGTGGTAATTACAGACCCGTGTAATAAACATCCGAACTCGGATCCACAGTCGAATGGCTTCTCTGTTAGATCTGCGACCCGGCAAAAGTTGCAGATATCAAGACAGTCTCATTCACAACATTTCAGTTACCAGGTCAAAAACATATTTCTTATGCTTGCAGATCCCCTCATTTACTTTTCCGTATTGTTCTAAATTTCCAAATCCAGATCAACGGCTTTTGTATTAGTCAGATCTGACCAACAGCATGTATAACTGCCCGAGTTATAATTCGTAACAATACACCAGTTTGAATACTGTTTTGCTACATATATTCTCTACACCATATAAGGCGCAGTCAACATAGCTGAAGTACACTTACATTGTAAATCCGAACCATCGGCAATGACGTGTTGTTAATCCTTTCTTTTCTAACCGAGTTGAGCTTCTCAACAATCGCCGAGGTGAAATAAAATTAATTTTAGCCTCCTGCTAAGCCATTGTTCTTCGGTGATAACAGTACGGATTTAGAACCATATTGAGCAATAAAAAAAATAACTAAACAAAATAGTGACCACAAAATAAATATCGGGTTTATTCTTGCTCATCGAAAGTATCAACTAATAGGAGAAAGACCCTTCCTATAACTGATCAGGATAAACTTTCCTAGCAAATCAAGCACACTGCAACATACTGTACATCACTTCCAGGAAAATCTATAACTAATCACCCATTGTTCTCCCTGGAAAACTGTAATTCACTCCGCAACGGATATCGTTGCCGTACAAACGGAGTTATTATAAAAAAATATTTCCGTCTGGTGGCAGAAGGAGTCATTATAAAAAGGACAAAAATTTTCCAAACTTTATTTTTTTTTTCTGTTGCGTTTTTCTTCATTAAAGTTTGAACCTGCAGCCCCACAGTTCCAGAAAACAAAACATGAGCTCATCCGATACAGAAACACTGTCACTCCGTGACATGCACCAGACCAAGCCATACCAACCTTCGCTCACCGAATCTTTTCATGCCGGCGACGGTCTTCTTGAAAACCAAGATGAACTTCTGAGGTATGAAAGTAATGTCGACCTTGCCAGAACTCTTTCTAGAAAACTTACCGGGGCAGAAGAATTACTTAATGAAGCAAAAAAACTTAGCGATGAACCATTACCTTCCATGGGTGGTGACAGACCCTACCCGCCAATGTTACCTGATCGTTCCCCATATTCCGTCGGTTATGACGGTCCTTTGGACCCGTTACATCCTCATAATTATCCTGTTTGGAAAAAGATATTGTTTTGCGCCAGTGTAGGGATGGCAGCACTTTCAGTCTCTATGGGATCAGCCATGTTTGCCGAAGCATCACAAGATTTAATGGAAATATACGGTATTGGGATATCGGTAGCAGCATTGACTACTTCCCTTTTCGTTTTTGGGTTTGCATCAGGACCTGTTCTTTACGGTCCTCTTTCCGAATTATATGGTAGAAAAATAATTATGGTTATCAGTTGTTTGGGGTATGTTTGTTTTTCATTTGCTGTGGCAACCGCTAAGGATTTACAAACTATTATGATTTGTCGTTTCTTTGCTGGGTTTATTGGTGCTGCTCCTTTAGTTGTTGCCCCTGCAGTCATGGCAGATTTGTTTTCGGCTAAGATTAGAGGTACTGCTATCTCTATTTTTGCCATGATTTTATTTGGTGGGCCAATGTTGGCGCCAATCATTGGTGGATTCACTGTCAAGAACCCTGATATGGGATGGAGATGGACCTCTTACTTGTGTGGTATAATTGGATGTGCTGCTCTTGTCATGAACACTTTTATTTTAGAAGAAACCCATCATCCAATTATTCTTGTTCGTAAAGCGGAAATGTTGCGTCGTCGTACCGGTAACTGGGGGATTTACGCACCACATGAAGAACTTACATTATCCCTTAAGGAAATTGTCGAAAAGAATATTGCTAGACCAATGAAGTTACTTTTCACCGAACCAATCATTTTACTTATCTCCATTTATAATGCCTTCATCTACGGTATGCTTTACATGTTCCTTACTGCCATCCCATTGATCTTTTCTGTTAACTACAGATTCTCACCAGGTGTCGCTGAACTTCCATATATCTCCATGCTTATTGGTGTCTTTACTGGTGGGTTGATTATCATCTATTTCGAACGTCGTTACAACATCGCCATGGATAACAATGGTGGAAGACCACTTGCCGAAGAGAGATTACCACCAATGATGATTGGATCAGTCACGTTTGTGATTGGTATTTTCTGGTTAGGTTGGACCGGTTCATACCCTGAACACGTGCATTGGATTGTCCCTACTATTGGTGCTGCCTTTGTTGGTAATGGGTTAATTTTAATCTTCTTGCCATGTATGAACTACATCATTGATTGTTACTTGTACTTGGCTGCATCCGCTTTGGCCGGTAACACCTTCTTGAGAAGTAGTTTTGGTGCTGCATTCCCATTGTTCTCGATGCAAATGTTTGTCAATATGAAGATTCAATGGGCATCCACCTTGGTTGGGTGTATTGGTGTGGCGATGATCCCAGTGCCTTTCTTGTTTTACAAATATGGTAAGAAGATCAGAGAAAAGAGTAAGTTCGCGATGTAAATAGACTAATACCTTAATAGAATACCTAATAAACAATAATTATTTTAATCAAGTCTACAAGAGGGTAGCATTGATTGATAAAATAGAGCGACAATTTGAACATATGCAATGCTCAACGGGGCGAGCAATCGCTGACACCAATTGGATGCATTATCATGCATCGTTCTTATACAATATCCCAAGGATCTTCATATCGTTTGATCTTGTACCAGCGGATGAACCTTCTCATGCGGGAGGGGATCGTGACCCTCAATTTGCAACTACATCCGATGCCTCAACGTCTACGAATCTTCGGAATAAACTCAACCCCGAGGAACCGAGCTGCACCCCCCATTACATCACGTGGGGCGGTGTCATACTTCAAATGCGCGGGATGGTATGAATTAGTCAAGTTTTACCCATTATGCCGAAAATTCCGCTGGGGTCCCTTGCATATGCATTGACTAAAATTAGTTCAAATCTTTGTGTTGGATGTTCCCCTACATGACAAAGCTTATGTATCTTTGTAATCTGCGGCGTTTAGGACATTCTTTGCGTCATTTCACGATAGTTATCTGTTCTCTGTAAGAGTATAAATGAGAAACGTTATTTGTCATATATTAAAGTATGTTCTCACCTTGGTCCTAACCGAGGAAATAAACATCGGATCGCATTTCCAAATTGAAGTTTTTTCCGTGATGCACCCTATGAACCATCACGCAGCCATAATTATACGAAAAGGACTTTCATGTTTCTTTTTAGAAAAGTTATTGTTATGTGCTGTACATATCAACGGTCAACTTTTAGCGGGCCCCATTAGAATTTCTTGGTTAATCCGTTACAAGGCAAGTATTGGCGATACGGTCCAATCCCGAGGAGAACTGATCACACGAGAACTTGGCTTGTTTATCTACGTGTAATGGGCATCTGCCTCTTAAAAAGCACATCAATACAGTCGGGTAGACATTAGAATAGAGAATATATGGCAGATAAGTAGTAAAGTTGATCTGAAATCGTAATACGTCCTTCAATTGGGGGGGGTTTTATTTCTGAGTTTTCACCAGAAAATAACAATTGTCGTTTGGTAGCGTGTGAATGTACTCCTGTATTCTTTTCTTGTTTTTCAAGTTTGAAATGTGGAGTTTTTCACATTAATGAAAGATTGAAAACCCAAGAACGGCTGCTAAAAACTGGGGGTTTATATGAATGATCATCTAGTTAGGGCTGACCACATCCGGCGATTCCTATCAATTTGGCATGATTTAAGGATAAGAAATAGATGTGACTAGTTAGTCTAGATTTTAGTTCAGGAAGTTGCGGATCAATAGTCCGATTTGTGCATTTTCGGAAGTTGCAAAGAATTTTGATGTTTTCGAGATATCCGTTTGTAATAAGAGTCTTCTAGTATGTAAGTTCAATTAAATTGACAATTTGAAATATCTAATGGAGTGGATTAGCTAGGACCAACAATTATTTAACAGGACTATGTAAGTGTTAAACCAAAATTTAAAACAAATGAAGGTGGATTTAATTCAAAAGATGGATTATTAGAAGGATCTTTTTCTGGGGCATTCGAAATTTTTGGACTCGATCCAGTTCATCTGGGATCATCTTTTTGTCATTGTCAAGTTCAACATCGACCAAACGGAATTAACTGTAAAAGGGGAAAATTCCGCGGCTGGATCTATGTCTAGCCTCAATAAAGTGTGATGGTCTAACTTGTTTTGGCAGTTTATCAGTGACTCAATAGGAGTAGATTATCGGTTGAATCGGTTCATTTTTTTTTTTGTTTTGTTTTTTATTTTCGCAACTTTTTCAGGGTTCTTGTGGGGAGGGGTGGCATTTTTTTAAGTTTTCGAGTTTTCACCAACTAAACATTTTCCGGTAGTGATTAAGCTGTTAGAGAGATAGTATTGAAGATTACTTGTACATTTCGAAATAATAGCCAGGATGCAGCAGCCATCATAAAACCAAATCGGAAAAAAAAGTAGGATCTACAAAGCTGGACTAGAACCTCTATCAAACCCATCACCGTAAGCCAATACTACAGGGGGTGTGTCACATTTTCATTTTCGTAGTTGTTAAAAAAATAGTACTGTCATGTTAAGACGTGGAAATGTGGCTACCCTGTGTGTGTGAGCGAGCACATGCAACCCCAGGAAATAATCTCACTATACATGCCGAAAATCCCGCTGATTAAACTGATTGAATTAATTCGTATCTAACTTGGGCTTTTTTGTAAACCTATAGTGTTTGTTAGCTCGGGTTATTCCATTGTGCTCAAGATTTACCTGTTGGTGCAATTCCGAAGATTGTACAAGAGGAGAAGATATATGGTTGGCAACAAGATGATTAGCGTTTAGTTAGACAAACCGCGGAAATATGCAAGAGTCAAATTATTTTTCTGCTGCATTAGGACAACTAACCATGATGCCAGATCGAATCGAACTAGACTTGGTTTACGAGGCGGCGGGTGCACAGTGGCACGGAAAATAATTTTTCGGATGTAACTTTTCTTATTCTTCGTTAATAAAACTCATAGTTAAGATAATCCGAAGCGACCGTTTCAGGGTCTGCCTCGGTGTAAATATAGTAAGATGCGTTTTCGGAGGAGGAACTTTTGTATTTTTGGAATTTAATCCGAGTATGTATCCTAGCCTTACTCGGATGGATAGGCAAATGGGTCATGACATGGGTGATTCCACTTCGTAAGCTATGCTCTGGCCATGCGATGAGGAGGTGTTCTTGTGAGGTATAAATAGAGGTGGTGGATCCCTGGATTGTCAATACTTTTACTTCTGTTCTATATCATTCACACATACACATACACATACAAATACAAATACAATGCAATTTATATTTTTCGCTTTATTAACTACAATTCTTGGTTCACCAATAGGTTTGGATCGTCGTTCAAACATGCGTGGCATTCTCAGACTTGATCAAGAACAAGATCAAGCCGTTGGTGCTGGTAAAGATGCCGTTTCTATTGAAGTCACTCCAAGAGAACAACTTTTCTTGACTACATTGCAACTCGGTTCACAAAACGAGCAGGTCACTGTTGCTGTTGACACTGGTAGTGAATATCTTTGGGTGATGAATGATAATGTCGTTTGTGAAAACGGAGCCAACTGTCAGGCACAGGGTACTTTTGCTAGTGGTAATTCCGAAACTTTCTCTCGTGATGAAGAACGTGGTGCTTTCAAAGTTGCTTATATTTCGGGAAAAAAGACTGAAGGTGCTTGGGGTAAGGATGATGTTCGTGCTGGAAACGCTGTGGTTCATGACTTCAAGTTTGGAATTGCTGAACTGACATCAGCCAAGATGGGTATCTTGGGCTTAAACTTCCCCAGAAAGGACGAAGGATACAGTTTCACCCAACAATTACGTGATCAAGGTGTAATCCAACGTAATGCCTACCTGGTCTTTTTGAACTCCAAGAAACAAGCTGGTTCAATATTATTTGGTGCTGTTGATCATGGAAAGTATGAAGGTGGTTTGGTTACCGTTCCTGTTACTTATGAAGAAGAAATGCCAAGAGTTAAGGTCAATGGTAGAATTGATGTTAATTACAATGGCCATTCCGTTGATGCAGGTAATGAAGTGGGATATATTTTTGATACTGGAAGTACTAGATCTCGTCTTCCATCTTCTTACATGGACACTCTTAAACAGGTGCTTAATGGCTGGTACGATGAAACCTGGAAGGGAATTTCCTTTGATAGTTGTTCCCAATTGGATTCACTTGTCTTTTATGTTAATTTTTATGGAAAGACCATTACTATTCCTGCCAAGTCATTAGACTATGGTAAGCAAGGAGACAGATGTTTATTACAACTTAATTTCAACACTCCAGAAAAAGACTTGTTTATTATGGGAATGGATATTTTAAGAAGTGTTTACTTTTTGGTTGATTTAGATGATCGTGAAATTCAAGTGGCTCAAGCTAAATACGATGGTGGTGAAAACATTGAGGTGTTCCAACCAGCAGGATTGGAAAGATTGGCTAGTTACAATAAAGATGTGAAAAAGGCTGTTGAACAGCTGAATAGTGGTGCTGCTTTGGTCAGCCCATATAAGCTTATGATTACGAGTTTGATTTTGTTTGGTTTGCTTTAAACTTAGATGACCCCTAGATTAGAGTATAGATTTACACTAGATATGTTATGATTTAATTCTGTTCAATAAAAATTGTTAATACGTTTGTTTTAGGAAAGACTAAAGTAGCAAAGATCAGCAAATCAGTTATGATGGTTGATTGATTTCCTGATCTGTGATACTTGTGTCTGGTGTCTGATTAGATGGCTAATTTAATGTCTGAATAACTTTGTAAGGGAAGTACAAGAAATCTTATTTCTTGGCTAAAATCGATAAACTAGTTCACAACGACAAAAATAATTTTGATAATTTTTCAACCAAAAAACCTGCAATCAGCATTCAATGATCCGACACTTTTCCACCAGTCTAACAAGACTAGCAAAGCCTGTGCCAACTACTCCACCGTTATACCTTGGTCGTCCTTCGAACAACTTATCAGCAGGTTTGGTTGGACTCGCCAACATCGGGAAATCAACCTTCTTTCAAGCATTCACCAAGCTGAAGTTAAGTAATCCTGCAAATTATCCATATGCCACTATCGAGCCATGTAAACTGATCTTGCCTATTCCTTCAACTATTCTCAATCACTATAAACAGATATTTTCCAGTGAGAAGGAGATCAATTCCAAATTAACCATCTGGGACATTGCTGGGTTGACTAGAGGGGCATCGAGTGGTGCTGGGCTAGGCAATCAATTTCTTAACGATATAAGACAAGTCGATGGGGTATTTCAAGTGGTTAGAGGATTCATCGACGATGACATCACTCATGTAGAGAAAACCGTGGACCCCGTGCGTGATTGTGTTGTCGTAGGTGACGAATTGATATTAAAGGATTTGGAATTCATTGAGAATGAACGAAAAGTGTTGGAACGTGAGAAAAAACAAAAGAAGAGGGATAATATTGAGTGGTGTGGAGAAGTGCTTGACAAATTGGAGGGGATGTTATACGACGGAGTGAAGGTGATTAACGGTGAGTATAACGAGGAGGAAATCAAGTATATCAACAGTTTGAATTTTCTCACCGCAAAACCTACGGTGTATCTTTTAAACACCAGTGCCGACGATTATGCAAAGGGAACTAATCAGTTTATCCAGCCTGTGTCACAATGGATTGAGGAAAACTCGCCTAACGATAAATTGATCGTATGCAGCGGGGAATACGAAACAAAATTAAACGAGTTGGAAGGAGCAGAAGAATTAGCCGAATATATTAACACTGTTGGGCACGGGAAAGAATCAGCCATTGGCGACATTGTCTCAGCCATGAAGGATGTGCTTCATTTGATCTCGTTCTACACTTGTGGTCCCAAGGAAGCTCATCAATGGAATTTACGCGCGGGAAAAACTGTAGTTGAAGCAGCAGGTGTAATCCATAGTGATTTGCAACTGACGTTTATAAATAGTATAGTTTACAAATGGGGAGATTTGCGAGGCTTAGACAAATTTGACGAGGCGAAACTCAAAAGTCAAGGTAAACAGTATCGGCACGGTAAGAAGTATATTGTTGAAGATGGGGATGTGATTAATATCAAAGCTGGGGGTGGTAAGAGTAGATAGAAACACCTTATATATATATGCCCTGTACATAGGATTTTAGATGCAAATAAATGCTGGAAACGGTTATAAAACGCACCCACGTGACTAAAATTAGTCCGACATTTATTCACTGATTTCCTTCGCTGTCAAAATTTTTCTGTCTGCTTAACGAAAAATTTCTTTTTCCATCCAATTTTTTATTTTTTTTTTTTTTCTTAGTTTCAAGTCGGGCAGACAAATTTATTTGAAATCGTGGAAATCAGAAAACACCCTGTATGCTTCGATCAACAAGAACCACCCGTGTTTCGATGTTGTCGTCTATATATAATTACTTTCGAGGTATCACTCCCCTCCCCACCACCCCACAACGTACCTTCACCACCAACCCGAGTTTGCCAGAAAACGCCTTCCATCCGCGTCTTTCACCTATCATATCCCAACTTGACTCGTTAGCTCCTCGGTTTGCATTACATTCAGACGACATAGACATTTTAAGTAGTCCCGATGAGTTCTACAATTTGCTTACCCAAAAGATTAGTGCTGCCAAGAGCAGAATCTACTTGAGTTCATTATACATTGGTAAGAAACAGACTGATTTGATTGATTGTATTGATCAAGCTATGAGCAAGAATGACGAGTTGAAAGTGCATATATTGACCGATGCATTACGTGGAACGAGAGAGGCACCAAACCCATGCAGTGCAAGTTTGCTTGTCGGTCTTGTTGAAAAGTATGGCAAGCATCGAATCGATGTTAGAATGTACCATACACCACACTTGTCAGGAATAACCAAACTGATTACCCCCAAGAGAATTAACGAAGGTTGGGGCTTGCAACATATGAAATTGTATGGGTTCGATGAAGAGATTATCTTGTCCGGTGCTAACTTATCCCAAGATTACTTTACCAACAGGCAAGACCGATATTACGTGTTTAAAAACAAGTCAATTACCGACTACTATTTCCGGATTCATACGGCTATTCTGAGTTTATCCTACCAAGTCACGGAAAGTAAGTTAAAGCAAGGGTTTAAGTTGACCTGGCCAACTAGTAACAAGTCGTGCGAACCGCATATGAACTTGCACCGATTTATAAGCGACTCCGGACATTTGTTGGAACCAATCCTCAAACAGCATCCAATCACTGATGATGGTTCTGATTTTGATACCATTGTCTACCCTGTTTCTCAATTCACACCATTATTCCCACAAAATCAAGATAGTTCCACTGAGAAACCTTCCATCCTTAGAATATTGACTTATTTGGATTCACCTTCAATCAAATGGTGGTTTACTGCTGGTTACTTTAACATGTTACCAGAAATCCAACACAGATTACTCAATGGGAAGGCTGAAGGATCAGTCATCACTGCCTCGCCTAAAGCCAACTCCTTCTATAAATCCCCTGGTGTGTCGTACTACCTCCCACAAGCATACCTTCTCTTCACCAAACAATTCCTTCAACAGGTGAAACAGAAACATAGCGCCATCACCGTGTATGAATGGGAAAATGGTGAAGTCAACACTCCGGAAGGGTGGTCATACCATGCAAAGGGGTTATGGGTTAGTATTCCTAATGAAACGAAGCCAAGTATCACAATCATCGGAAGTTCCAACTACACCAAACGGGCATACTCTTCTGACCTTGAAAGTAATGCCGTGATAATCACCAAATCAGACAAACTCAAACTGAAGATGAAACAGGAAATTGACAATTTGATGAAACACACCCAAGAATTATCCTTGGATGACTTTCAACCACGCGCTGTGCCAGGTACTAATGAACAAGAACCTCCTCGTTATGTTATTGACGAAGATAGAAAGATCACTTATGGTGTTCATCTTGCTGTTAAATTGCTTGGAGGGAAACTATAAATATATAGATAAATAGAAATAGATTATTCTGCATACTTTAACCGAGGTTTATTTTCAGCGTAGATTAAGAATTGGCGCCAGAGTATGATTATGCAACTGGTTTGAATTCCAATGACGAACCAGCTGGGATAGTTGACAGGTATGTTCCAAAATGGAACGTCCATACTGTATCTCAGGATCAACATAAATAGCACCGCTAATCCCTCTAGTAATAACCAATGATGATGTAACCCTCGGACGCACTCGCCAAACCAGTTCATAGATATTTGAGGTATATACTTTACTGCACTTGATACCTTACTTATCATCCATATGAAATCAACGATATCTAGCACATATAATGGTTCAGACGTACATACCATGTACACTAAATACACCAATATGACAAAGAATGTACTAAGAAGAAAAGTACACGGATGGCTTATTCCTTGGTTGGTGTTTCTAGACTTGCTATATGTGAATAATTGTCTGAATAGAACAGTATATGCAAAGAATATAACTGTTTCCAATATGAGTACGGTATAAGATATGGGGATTTCTGGATATTGGCTATAGCGTACTACGTACTGATGTCGAACTAGCGAATCATAGGAATATAGAATGGTGGAAAGCATTGATGTGAATGCGGACACAAGCGCTAGTATTATCATGTCATATGATAACCCATAGATTGACTTTTTAACCTTGTTGAAATGTAGTTGATAACATATTGATGTGAGCTGTAGGATATTGCTTAGCAGTACTGACACATTTGATATTGACATGCTATATACCATCTATTAGTTTCTGTGTATCCCTTGGTATAAAACGGTGTCTGTTTTACCCTGTGATCGGATTTATAGCGGTCTTTCTTTTTTTTTTTCAACTTAAAAAAAAAAAATAAAAAAATAAAAACAATCAACTCCAACTTTGCTTATACGATTGACTTATACGACAATACATCATGAGTGTAGACCTTCAAGGCAACTGGGACATTGTCGTAACATCCCTCCAAGACATATGCAACGCTAACGAAACGATAACATTTAATAACATCTACAAGGGCGTATCGAACTCCACCCTCCAACAAGACATAATCGACCACAAGTCCAACATTGGCACTGGTAAACGTCTAATCAAAACATCACAACAATCACTCAAACTCATAATTGATAAATTATCTGAAGAGCAAGCAAAACCAGCCACGAAATCCATTGCAAAGAAAAACTTGCACAGATCGAGCAAGACATCCACTTCCAAGAAGAATGTCAGCACTAGAAAATCAGGCCGATCATTCTGGACATCAAAGTTCAATCCAAACGAACCGATCGTGGTATCCCTGGAAGTCGCTTACAAACTCAAGAACCGACATTTTGAAGAATGGATTCAATGTGAAGTTATGAAGGTTTTGGGTGATGGTAACAAATTCGAAATTAGAGACCCTGAACCCGATGAAAATAATAACCCAGGTCAAACATTCAAAGCTACTTATAAAGAAATATTGCTTATTCCTGATGAGGATAGTGAGTTGTTGGTATATCCTTATGGAACAAAAGTATTGGCGAGATATCCTGAAACCACTACATTCTACCCTGCTATCGTGGTAGGAACCAGAAAAGACGGTAGGGTTAGACTAAAGTTTGACGGGGAAGATGAAGTTAACAAAGAAACGGAAGTTGAAAGAAGGTTGGTTTTGCCATTTCCTGATAAGTGATCTTGTGTGTATTACTTTGTATCTATTAATGTATATTAAATCTGGCAGCCATTAATGTTTGCGTAACTGTTCACACAGAGTATAGAGAGTATAAATATGGCGGCAAAACCTCTTAAAGACTTTTCTCTCTAATCAGCTGTCTTTTTCTTTAACTGCCACTACTTCCATTAATCCTTTGTTTCATAGAGTAGCAAAACTACAGAATATCTGGTAAGTCGATCAATGTATAGTTGTTGATAAGGTTTTGGCAGATTCTGACCTTGATCCTGGTTCCGTTTGTGATACCTTTTCGAAAAAAAATACTGACATTGTTTATTAATATGTTTACTAGGTTCTGTTATGCAATTCTGTTTCAATTTTCATATTGACTAGGCAGGTGCAGCTTTACTAATTTAAACTTGCTAGCTGCCCCCTTTTCAGTAAAAGTTAATATTGGTTTTTCTAACAGGGATATTTGCACAACAGTTGGAATATAGTAAATATTGCTTTCGTGTACCTGCTAAATACAAAGAGTTGTTGAAATAGATAAAAGAGGATAGTATTTCAGGGAATCTCAATTGGTTTTGTTGCATAGTGATTAATTTGAGAAACCAAAGTTCAGCTTTTTCTAAAAATATTGACATAGTTAAATCCACTTCTGATTGTGGGGTGTTGTGTTATGAAATTTCTTGTAGCATTTTGGTGTGACTGCAAGTGGTGAAGGAAGAAATCTTCACTCGCTGGCAAATATTTCGGAAGGGTTAAATCTTGATTTCATAAAGAATGATTGATTAACCAAGGCATATATTATCCAAGAGATGGATTTCTTGTTGCTGTGAATAACATCCAGAAGGGGCTTCTTTTTTGTTTATGAAAACACTAAAGAAATCTTCTTGGTATACCTGGTTGGGGATATTCCGTTTCCACAATGACCAAGTTGAAACAAAACTTTATCAAGACCACATAAAATTAAAAGTTCATAAACAAAGATATAGCTTTCAATGTTCCTTTGAATGTTGTTCTTTTTTGCATGAATGTTTGATTGTCTGCTTTCTCGGAAAGGATCTGTTGCAACTTGGTCATTCGGAGTACTCTTTGTTCAGCATGTTCAATACACTGAGAGAAGAAAGATCTCGTAGTAGGTTACTTGTTTGGTTGCTCACTTCAGACAACTTTTATTCTAGTTACGAGATACTAGATAAGTTGGAAACTGAACGCTGTCGTAAATAGTCTAAAAGTTGTAGTCATGTTAACACTTACTTGTTTCATTATCGATACGATTTACCGAGGAATTGCTGCGAAAATTTGCAAAAAAACACTTTTGAGAATAGCAGAGGGTTGACCTTCGAGTAAAGATCGTGACTGGAGGAATGTCAACATCCACAGTAGTATAACTACCGTTGAACATATATCCAGTCTCAATTCACTGATGTACAGCTAGACTGATGCTCCTCGTATAGCGATAAGTGGCATCCACTAATTAGGTCGTGCAAAACCATACAGGGTCGTGCGTTTCATTCCAAAAAAAACTTTCATCATCAAAGACAACAAATTTTCAACATTTAACTAGTGTGTGGTTTTTTTGTCCAACACCAAGCTGTTACAATTACATTAAGTTAAATCCATTACAATGGAAGGAATGGACATTGATGATTATTCAAGAGTATGTTACAGGTGTATTGCTTTAATTACGGTATAGATGCTAACAAGAATGGTAAATTAGGACAGGTCGAGATCTCCTGTACGTGAACGCAGTGATAATAATGACGTAGAATCCAGTGCCGCTTCTACAACATCGTCATATTCTCGTCGAGATTATTCTTACCGATCAGACAGATCCGGATATGGCAATGAGAGACGTGGTGGAGGAAGACGTGATCATGGCAGTTATGATCGTCATGATCGTGGCCGCAGAGATTATGGCAGAGGCAGAAGTCGTGATTATTCGTCCCGGGCCGAATATTCTAGTGGAGGCACCTCTGACGAAAGCTACCGTGCCAAGACGGAAAGAAATTACGATAATTCTATATTCATTGGTAATATTCCGTTTGATTGTTCTGATAAAGACGTGGCCGATATTTTCTCCAAGGATTTCACAATTGTTAGATCAGATATTGTCACCAACCGTGGTCGATCTCGTGGGATGGCCACTATCGAATTCAATAACAAAGAGGATGTTCGTAGCGCCATTGAAAAGTTTGATAGGTCGGAGTATAGAGGAAGAGAAATTTTCGTTAGACAGGATTACCCCCCACCAGAAAAGAAGGAGGAGTTTAGAGAAAGAAGAGAAACTTATGATAATAGAAGAGATAAAAGTTATGAATCTAGAAGAAGAGACCAGCATCAACAACATCAACAATCTAGTAAGCCTGGATGTGAAATTTTCGTGGGTAATTTACCATTTTCTATAAATTGGCAAGCATTGAAGGATTTGATGAGAAAAGCCGGGGATGTCATTAGAGCCGATGTTAGAATGGACAATTGGGGAAAATCCAGAGGATTTGGAACTGTTGTTTTCGGCACCGAAGAAGAAGCTAATAAAGCCGTGGAAATGTTCCAAGGGTATGAAATTGAAGGAAGAAAACTTGATACTAGACCAGGACGTAATCAATCAAGTGCTTCCAATGGTAGTAACACCAGCGACAGAAGCTCTTATCGTGAAAGAGAAAGAGCAAGCTCGCAGCCTGTGGTTAAACCATCTGAATTTACCGATGGTGTAACTGCTGGTGGAGAAAGATCAGATACCATATATGTAAGCAATTTACCATTTGCCACTCAAAATGATGACTTATTTGAATTATTTGAAACTGTTGGTAGAACCACCAAGGCTGAAATCATTTTAGATCCAATAACAGGTCGACCATCAGGAAATGCTGTGGTACAATTTGAATTAGCCGAACTTTCAGATAATGCGATTGAGAATTTGAACAATTACTTGTATGGAGGAAGAAATATTCAAATCAGTTATGCAAAACGTCCGGAACAAGTTTAACACTCTTTGCATGTTTAGTAATAATTATGTAGCTATTTTTTTTTATATATATATATATGTATCATTACAGTCATTATTCCGCTTGCTATTAGAAATGAAATTAGTAAGAAATTTAGAAAGATCATTTTTTTCGGCTTTCGGAAATAAACTTTCAACCCCCCCGTGTTGCCCCCTTTTTTAACGATCAGTCAGCAACAACTTGGTCAGATACACCTAGTAATCATGCTATTAACGAGAGATACAGCCAAAGAGGTAGTAGATAACGCTGCCGCGGAATCATCAGTACCTGGTGCGCCAAGTACGGGCTATTGGTTCTCTGCATATGTTCCATCCCTAGAAAGTCACCCAGTTCTATACTTCCTCCTATGCGCCACCACTATGTTCCTCATATCTTTCCATTTAAGACATAAGATAGGTGCAGCTATAGATAGATTCCGGATGAGACGCCGTTTAGCCAGAGGCTACTACGGACCTGTTGGGTCCTTTGATGAAGATATAGAAGATGGGCTAACCAGTGATGCCTTTGATATAGAACAGAACCGGGACAAGGGGGATACAAGAAAAGGCCTCTCTTTACAAGCCAAGCGAGAAATCAAGCGTATTATGAAAACTATGAAAGTGCTGTTTGATGAGGCTAGGTTAACATATACGAGATTACAGTTTGACGAGAATAATGTTGACGAGGATGGATTACCTAAAGATCCGAAGTTGGTTACCTTTTAGGGGTAGGTAACCACACACAAACACACACACACACACCTGATCATATCCTTTATCAATTGTTTATACAACTAGTTGTAGGTATACCATTGGGTTACCATTGCGAGATACGCGATATTAGGCTTTGCTAGGAAAGGGCTGGGTCACGTGGACGATATTTCCCGATTTGGCGCATGTCACGTGCCTTTGTTTATGTTTATGTTTCAAAAGGCAACTGTCAAAAAATTGCAAACAAATGCCTTTCGTTTGACTTTAGTATTTTTATCTGTTTTATCTCTTTTATGTTTATAGAATACAAATCATCATCAAATACCAATGAGTTTATACAAGAGATATGCGTCACGAGAGCATGATAAAGACTTCTTCACGCAACAACAACAGGAGAAGGAAGAACAGCATACCCTGACATCGTTAGCGATCCCCCAATTGCATGCCACATTTGATAACCGTAACAAAAAACAGCCGCTGGATGCGTTTTCCGTCAAAGATTGGCTTGGATTATTTCCTCAGTTAACATTCTACACTGGATACGATGATTTAATCTTTCAACAAGTGTTGACTTTAGTGCATAAAAAGTCCGATCTGTATAGCACCATATCGCTTCTGAAGTTCGGAGTGACATCGTACGATAAGATGATCCTTGACAGTTCGTCTAGGTTCTATACCAGTGTTGAAAATTTACACGACAAGTACCAATCAAGCATGACCCGTCGAGCATTGGCCGTTACTAATTTGAAAAATTGCAATCGTTTGATCAATCACGGTGGTGAATTACCTGAGTTACCACTTTGGGACGGTATCAATGCCGGTCAATTGGCTAATTCTATGACCAAGTTGACAACCCCTGAAATTGGTAACAAGTTGCTTGAGTTGGGTTTAGTCCAACCACATGCTTTGAATTCATTTGTTGTCGATGTTGTGTACGATAATTCTTCCGGTTCCAAAAATATAATCGAAGACAACAACAAGCTTGTTAATTTACTAGGCATACAGTCACAACATTTGTTTGATCCTTTATTAGAATACTCCCCCGAATCCATTAATATTACCTATAGCCCACCCATGGATAACACAGTCCAAGATTCTGAATTGGTTTCTGCTATAATTAATGAATTGTTGACCGTTCAGGAAAACTACACCTTAGGATTAGTTGAACTTTTACAAAACTTCCTTATACCATTAAGAATCACCGTACTTAATTCAAAGAACCCAACAACAACAATTACAAAACTTAATACCATTTTCCCACCAACCATTGATGAAATCACCAGAATCAATTGTATCCTCCACGCTGCATTGCAAAACGCCAGTCAGTACAACCATCAAGAAGTTATAAAAGCCATGGCTATGTTTATGCCGTACTTCTACAAAGCATATATCCGTCACGAAGCAAACGTTAACGGGTTCAACAAGAATTTACACGCATTCGCGCAAAAGAATCGCAGCAACATCTTGGACAATTTGAATATTAACAAAAGTGCATATAGTACTCGTGAAATTGAATCGGTTGTTATTGGAGCTTTGTTGGAGTTACCTAAACTTAAATTGATTATCCAAAGATTAAAACTGGAGATTAAAGATTGCAGTGAAGAGACTGAACAATATTATAACACTATTGTCAAAGTCATTGACGCATTTGGAACTGATGCCATTACAATCGACATAAGCAAAAGAATATTCACACCTACCGGTAAGATCCTTACTGAGTTAGCAACTAACTGGCCCAAGGAACTTCAATATGGATGGCTCACGAGAAAAGTAGTGGGAATCTATGAATTGAAAAACATCAAATCAGACCTGAAATACGATCGCGATGTCATCATCATCTTTTCTGACAATGTCTTAATTTTAAATATTGTCGATGACGATTATTATACCAATGATGGCTTATCCGTCAGTGATATCCTTATGCATTCACTAATCAACCAAAAGCCATTACCTAAATACGACACATTCCCTAAGATGGAAGTTACTGCTTGGAGTAAAATCACCGATATCATTGTGACCACATACCAAGGCACCAATGGTGAATACATCAGAATCTTGAACACGTCATTAAATGGATTCCAAACAACCAACTCCAATTATAGCCGTAATTATCAAATCAAAACCCCAAACATAACCGGGGACGACATCATTCAACTAATAACCAAGCTGAAGATTCTCTCGAAATCACAACCATTCCATCTTTTCAAGTCTCGAGGACAGGCCAAGATCTTGTTTACGGCCCATGATGTGGAGGTATACAACCATGAAACTACAAAGTCTCCATTTGCAATTTATTTGAATATGGATATTGATGTTAATGAGGAGTTTGCCAGCAATTCTGACCTTCAATTGCTTATGCAAGTTTCATTAGTTGATGAACAAGTCAATGTTTTAGCGTTTGATAGAACCGGGACCGCTGTCCATACTGTGGAAATGATAAAGTTTGGTGAGTATGTTAGTCAAACAGTGGAACATACAGTGAAGAAGGTTTTTTCTGGGTTTAATAAGATCACTAGGGCTATTATTGGTAGCAATGGCGACGATTTGGTCTATTTGATTGATCAAGTGGGCGAACCCGATACAAATCCGATAGAAAAGAAGGAGGAGCGTAACATAGAAGTACAAAAGCAGGAACCTGCCAAGAAAGAAGAAAGAGATGTACTGGTTTATTTACATGGTATTATTTCAAGAGAACCAGAAGTGGCACCTTCTCCAAAAAGAAAGAAGTCGTTCCTTTCTAAACTCTTAAGACCATTCAAAAGACGGAAGACAAAATCAGGTCGTGCTCGCTCTGCCTCTGATAGCCTGACCTTAATGCTTGAATCTACTGATAATGACCATAGACGAATTGTTTCTGCTGGCAATCTGGTATTAATGCACGAATCTGCTGCCAACAGGGATATTCATAGACGAGCTGCTTCAGCTTCTAATCTGGTTTTGAAGCACGATAAGCCCACCAAGGTCAAGCTTCCCGAACTTCAGATGGCTCCATCAAATCCTCGTGTCATTGAAGAAAATATTCAGAGGACAATGCGTGAACATGCATTAGAAGTGAACACCGAACCAACTTCAGAAGTGCAAACTGAACATGACCCAGAAGTTACTGTGGATATAACCAAGTCAATGATCAAACCCGAAACAGCTGAAATTGTTCAAGTAAAGCGTGTCAATGGAGCTCAGTTAGTGCAAACATCTCCATCAGTGAATACCATGCTTACCAAATCATCAACGTCGTTGCACTCTACTAAAGCTGATAGTGAACCCAAATCTAGCTCGTCGTCACAATGGCAAATCAGTGTTGCTGGACCCAAATCAATACCAGCTCCTGCAAATCCTACACCACCAGAACCTCAAACCATTAGAGTTACAAGTGAGCCAAAACAACAACAACCACCACAAGCTTTCCCTCGTCATGGCATGAAACAAGTGGATAGTACTACTTTGCTTACGCCAAGAAATTATAAACGTCAAGTCGTTCCATTCTTGCATGAGTTTGCCGTGCTGGATTTCTACTCAGATGGAACACCAAATTGGCAAGTTGCCTTCAGTAGAGATAATTCGCGCAATAGTATTGCAGAAGAGATTACTGCCGAGCAGACCGTTGAAGCCGTAGGTGAAGACACTGAGAAATTCCATGACGAAATCAATTTGTTAAAAGAGAAAGAGAAACGGATGGTTTCCAATCATTCCCTGATTTTCTCTGCTGGTGATATGAACAGCATTGCTAGAAAAAATTCCCGGGTTTCTTCCGGTGGTGATTACTATAGTGTTAGAAGATATTCTAGAGTTTCCAGTGGTGAAAGCAATGTATATTCTAGAGTTTCCAGTGGTGAAAGTAATGCATATTCGAGGGTTTCTTCTGGTGGAAGTACCAGAAAAGTCAGTCTTCCTCGCGAGGAATCAGCACAATCCATCACACCAGAACAGTATGCATGTCAATTGAGCAGTATCATGGATTATGAATTCTCACGGGTTGAAGAAGAACCAACACATGTATCACTTAGACCAGTGCGTCATAGTGTTATTTCCCTTAGCAGTGATGAAGATTTCTATGACCCTGAGTTTGAACCTAAATCAGATACAAGCAGTGATGCCACCTTGACTGAGAAAATCGACAAAACAATGCCGATTTCCGCCACCATGAGAGATGAATCGATCGCACAATTACTGGCTCTTTTAAATAAATCGTTAAATGTATAAGTGTGTATAGTTTTTATTTACTTGGCAGCAGCTTTTAAAATCTTTGTAACAGTTTCAGCAACAGCATCACCAACTTCCTTGGTGGTGTTTGTACCTTTCAAATCACCAGTTCTAATTCCAGAATCTAAAACTTGTTTGACAGCTTCTTCCAATGCTTCGGCTTCCTTGACACAATCCAAAGACAATCTCAACATAGTAGCTGCAGATAAGATAGTAGCGATTGGGTTAACCTTGTTTGGAGGCAAGTCTGGAGCGGAACCGTGGCATGGCTCATATAACCCGAAAGCAGTATTGGTGTCTGGTAAGGAAGCTAAGGAAGCAGATGGCAATAAACCAAGAGAACCGGGGATGACACTAGCTTCGTCGGAAATGATATCACCAAACATGTTTGAAGTGATTATTATCCCGTTTAACTTGGTGGGGTTTTGAATTAAGATCATAGCGGCAGAATCAATTAATTGATGTTGGACAGACAAAGTTGGGAATTCTTCGGCAATGACTTTATCCACGGTCTTTCTCCATAATCTAGACGAAGCTAAAACATTAGCCTTGTCCAAGGACCAAATAGGTAATGGTGGGTTGTGTTGTAAAGCCATAAAAGCGGCCATACGTGTGATCCTGGTAACTTCGGCCACTGTATACTTTTCAGTATCCCAGGCAGTTTCCTTGTCTTCGGATTGTTCTTGTTCCAATCTTTCCCCGAAATAGATACCACCAACTAATTCACGAACAATGATCAAGTTGGTACCCTTGACAACTTCAGCTTTCAATGGAGACAATTCCAAAAGGGCGTCGGAGGCGAAGTTACAAGGACGAATGTTGGCGTACAAGTTCAACTCCTTTCTGATTTTCAAGAGCCCCTGTTCTGGTCTCACGGCACCAGTACCCCATTTAGGACCACCGACAGCACCTAATAATACAGCATCCGATTGCTTGGCAGCAGCTAAGGTTTCATCGGGCAATGGGCTACCAGTAGCGTCAATGGCAGCACCACCAATCAAGTGATGTTTGAAGTCAAATTCGATGTTGTGGTATGGAGTAGATGACTCAATGGCTTTAAGAACCTTAATGGCTTCGTCACAGATTTCGGTACCGACGTGGTCACCTGGAACAACAGTGATTGTTTTAGTGATTTTAGACATGATTGTATTCAATTGATGGCTTGGAGAACTGAATTTGAAAAGAAAAAGTTGAGTTGGGAGGAGGTGAATTTTTCAACGAGAGCGATCCCGTACAGGAATTGGTATTCGGTGATGGTTGTGATTTTTTGTTTTCCGGCCCGTTTTCGCTGGCCGGAAAAAAATAATTATAAAAATACATACGGCCATGAGGTCAGCCAAGCAAATATTATGCGGTAACGATGATATCTTTATTATTTACAGTAAAATACAAAACTACTTAATGGCCACTCCATTCGATACTATTCAAATCAATCCCTTCTTGAACCATTTCCCATAATGGCGACATTTTTCTCAAGAATTCAACTCGTTCGTTAATGGCTTGAATAACATAATCAACTTCTTGCTCTGTAGTAAATCTTCCAATCCCAAATCTGATTGACGAATGGGCTAACGCATCATCGGCTCCCAAAGCATGTAAAACATAGGAAGGCTCTAATGATGCAGAAGTACATGCAGATCCAGAAGACAAAGCAATGTCTTTCAAGGCCATCAATAAGGATTCACCTTCAATGTAGGCAAACGAAACATTGACACAACCAGGGTATTGAGAGTTTGGATCTTCGGAACCGTTTAATTGAGTAGATGGAATAGCCAATAATCCTGATTTTAATTTGTTGGAAAGTCTATCAATGTATTTTTGGTCATATTCCATTTCTTGTTTGATTAATCTGGCAGCTTCACCAAAACCAGCAACTAATGGTGGGGCCAAAGTACCGGATCTCAACCCTCTTTCTTGACCACCACCGTTGATGAGTGGTTCCAATCTTACTCTAGGTCTTCTTCTAACGTAAACCGCACCAATACCCTTTGGACCGTAGATCTTGTGCGATGAGATAGACAACAAATCAATCTTCATTTCATTGACATCGATTGGAATCTTACCAAATGCTTGAGCGGCATCGGTATGGAAGAAAATCTTGTTCTTTCTACAGATTTCCCCAATTTCCTTGATTGGTTGAATGACCCCGATTTCGTTATTGACAGCCATGATGGAAACTAAAGCGGTGTCTTTTCTAATAGCGTTCTTCAAGTCGTCCAAGTTTATCAAACCATGAGAGTCAACAGGTAAATAAGTGACTTCGAATCCCTCATCTTGCATATGTCTAGCAGAGTCCAAGACACATTTATGCTCGGTTTGAGTGGTGATTATGTGTTTTTTGGTATTTTTGTAAAATCTAGGAACACCCTTGATGACCATATTGTTTGATTCGGTGGCACCACTAGTGAAGATGATTTCCTTGGGATCGGCGTTAATGACATCAGCAATGTATTCTCTGGCCTTTTCCACTTCACGATCAGTTTCCCAACCGTAGGAGTGGGTGGAGGAATGAGGATTACCATACAACCCAGTATAGAATTCCATCATCTTATCCAAAACACGAGGGTCGGTGGGTGTGGTGGCTTGAACATCAAGATAAATAGGTCTAGTACCAAACTGGGTGGCATCTCTCTTGGCAGATTTCAAGGAGATGGTTGATCCCTTGGGTGGTTGAGTACCGTTGGTGAAATTGGTGGTTATGTGGAGTTCACCGGTGACAGGGTTTGAAGTTTCGATGATTCTGGTGATTTCTTTGGCTTCTTGTTGGTGCTGTTGCTCTTTGGTTTGTGCTTCAGTGGCAAGTCTGCTGACAAACGTTTGTGAGAATGGACGAACAGATGAGGCGCCCACGGTTGATTTCCTCAATGGCTTTCTGCTGAATGCGACTAATCTTCTGTACATGGTGGATATACGCTACTTGATTTGGTTGAATTCTACCGAATTGATTAGTCTATACTCTGCTAAAGAACTGATTGATTAGTATAAGGTTTTCTTCTTTTTCTGTCAAACATTCTTTTATAAGCAAAATGACAACGGAAAAAAAAAAGAAATTGAAAAAAGTGAAGGGGGGAAGTGATATTCCTGTATACAAAGTCTCCATCTTTATAATTTGCCGGGCTCTGATAATCTAAACAATCAAAAACGCCACGGAACGGTCCGAGTCAAGATTTGTTCTGGTTGCGTAGTGGCACGGGGATTGTTTACAGGTGGAGAAGTCTAGTTGGGGTTGGAGAGGAGGATGAATTTACTTAAAATCCGTTTGTCACATCTAATGCATTCGGAGTTAAACAAAGGGCGCCATAGGTACGTGACTCGCACGTCCTCATCCGAATCGGCAATGGAGAATTACCATAGATCGTCGTCAGATCTACCTCAAAGATTAGCTGGTTGACGTTATAGATCTATAAATATGCTATGAAATCAAACAAAAAAAAATATTAAAAATCTAGTGTTCGGACTTAGGTCGGCTCCGATATATATATATATATACATGTTCTATTGCAACTTCTCTTCCTTGGAATAGCTCAAACTGGCATGAACTAATTCATAACAACCCAAAAAGATTGCCCCACCAGCACTGATCCAAGCAGTTCTTGGTCCGATCCCATTCAAGAATGTACCAAGCCCTTCCTCGCGAATAATACTCTTGACTACATCGACAACATTAACTCTATCCTTATGTAACATAATTCTCGTCTTGATCACATCTAACGGAGTAGTCAAGGCCGCAGCCACCCCGCCGGCAATTGATCCACATATGGCACCTTTGACTGCCGAAAGCTTTTCTGCACTATGAGTAGTCTTGGCCCATTTCTCCTTAAGCCATTCATACAACGGAAATTGAATCACTGTGAACGGAATTTCTCTCATTATGGTGGTGTTCCATCCACGGTACAATCCTCGGATTAATCCCTCTCCCGATTTATCCTTGATCAAATACATGAAATTCGACCAACTCGAACTGACACCATTATGCCCTACTCTCCCAGTTTGAGTACGTTGTTTGATAACTTCAGCAGGAACTCTTACCAAACACGCGGCAATTTCACCGCATGAGGAAGAAATCATATGGCGCTGCACTGGTGAATCAATATATTGCTTAGTATAAATCTTCATGGAATCGTACGTGATGAAGAAAAGGGAAGCCAGCGGGGCCAGGGCAACTACGCAAGATCCCAATCCTCGATAAATTCCATGATATCCTCCATTGGCGAAGAATCCTCCCTTAGCTTGAAGTCTGGTTTTTATGGTATCAATGGGGAAAAATGCAAGATCGGTGGATGTACCTGCACAGGCACCACTCTGTTACTGTGTTAGAAAAGATGTTTCACCGTAGTTACTGGAATTACTTACAATTAATGATATTATAAAAGTGGAGTTATCCATGTTTATGTCTATGATATTCTATAAGGCTGTTGGTAAAGTTCCAAAATTTTTCAACTTTTTCAGTGCACTTTTTTTTTTTATTTGCCCAGGGTTAAGTCACACTATATGATTCACGAATCATCGAGGACACACTGTAAATTTATTCTTGGTTATCTTCTTCTTTCTTGCATACTTTATAATCAAAGTATCAATTTTCTTGCCCTTTGGTACAAACTCTTCAATTAAAGGTACAAACAAATCATAATCCCAATTATTGTCAATTTCAAACAACTGGCTAAATCGCGTGCTCAAGTTTGTTGATAATAGTTTTGGGTTAACGTATCTCATTTTATTCAATATTGGACTACTGTAATATCCTCTCAAGTCAGCAATATCTAAGCTAACATTGTAGAATGGTGGTAATGATCCTTTCCAATTGATCAAGAAGTCATTGGCATTGATCAAATCATCTGATTTTGCTAATTCAATCACCCCAAACCATTTGGCAATTTTATCATTTTGCAAGGTGACTTCGTTATCAGCGACCTGTCCAAATTTGTGTAATACAGAAAACACCATTGATTCGTTGATATTCTCATCAACAACTTTTATATCCTGCAAATTGAACAGATTGTTGTAATTGATCTTACGGCTGATCAAGTAGGTGATTATAACATACAATATCTCGGTAATTAATCTTGGCGACAACAAATATGCTTTACCCATAATTTCACACCCACCTAACTCATACCAGTTGTTGACAAACTCGTTCTTGGAACATAAACTGTCGTATGATAACTCATCTAGAGTAATACTCTCTTGTAATTCGTCACCATCATACACGGGTATCTTGTCCACATTAATGACCCCTTTAGTCAGAGTCAATTCGTACTCGTATGAGCACATATCCCCTCCTATTAAAACATTAGTGGTTTCAGATAAGCTGGTATCTCTGTGTTTGATGTTTAGATTGTCCAATAGTACTACTGTATTGGAGTGGTTCATCTGGCGCAATTTCCAGGTGGTATCATTGTTGCAAATCACAACTGACGAAGCATCTGCGTCGGACTTTATTAAAAGCTCGGAGTCGGACGACGTGGAAAGATGAGTTAGGAGGTCGGGTGGTAGCTGAAGGAGTTTGTATGTGTGCTTGTCATCCTTGTTTATCTGCTGGTATAGTTGATACATTGCTGATGTTGTTGACAACTGTTGTATACCAAGACGCGTAGAACAAAAAAAAATTTTGATATATTAAAATATGCATACTAACTATACAAAAGAGAAAAAGCAGACAAATTAATAGTACCTTAAATAAACAAAATAAACAAATATTGTGGCTTCTCTAAAAGTTTGATCCTTGGTTGATGTTTCTATCTCTGACCCCTAATTCGCCGTTGAAGAACTCGTCACTACCAAGTTTTTCATTCTTTCTCCAGAAAGTCCAACCTCCGTTTTCAAAATCACGGTTGTTTCTTCTTCTCAAGTAAAAGAATACCCCTAATAACCCGAGCAAAATAGACCCACCAACACCAACAACAACACCAACCACGATCTTGTTTGTGTTGGATAATCCACTCAGCTCTTGGCTATCGTTGTTGTGTTCAGTGGCATTAGTTGGTTGGGTACCGTTGACTATTGATGTCATGGTAACCACAATGGTTCTACCGTTATCTACGGATGTGGCGGTGGTGACTTGCTTGGACACTCCAGTAGTAGCAGGGGCAGAACTAGTAGGGGTGGTCTTAGAAGAGCTAGTCTTGCTTTCTGATGTCTCACTGGTTTCAGGAGGACTGGTTTCAGTAGGTGATGGACTAGCGCTAGTTTCTTCCTCTTCAGCGGTGGTAGATGATTCGAAAGCAGCTGTGGTTTCATTATCAGGAGCTGTTGATTGTGGTTCGGGAGAAGCACTGGTGGTTTCATCCTCTGGTGTTGCGGAAGTAGTTTCTTGTTCTTGCTCACTGGTCTCAGGAGGTGGAACAACGCTAGAGGAGTGTGATGGGCCATTGCTGCTGGATTGGGAAGTTGTTGATGAGGTTCCATTTTCAGCTCTCTTGAGAAGAGAAACGATATGGTATGTACTGGCAACTTCAAAAGTGGTCAGAGGAATCACACTAGATAACTCAGTCGTGGATGACAAGTTATAATAAGTGGTTTCGTCCTCATACAAATCAATTGAATGATTGTAATAGTGGTTGTTGTGGTGGTGTCTATGATGAGAAGTATGATGGCATGGTGTTGCTGAAAATGATAATGTTGTAGGCATGAACTTGATTAAGGATAAGATGGTTATTGACGTTGCCAATATCGTCATCAACACAAGACGAATATTAGATCTGTGGTTAGGTGCTGGTATAGCTACACTTCGATCCGATTTTTCCATGGTTGGTGATATAGTTGTGTGAGGTGATTATTCTAGGTTATAAAAAAAAATGGTTGATTCTTGGTTTGTCTAGTTACTTGTCTAGTATAAAAAGGTGTTTGCAAAAAAAATTACTAATGAGTGAGGTGAATATGTTCACGATGGTTAACCTTTCACTAAGAATGCTTTGGTTTCGTGTGAGAATTTAATGTGGTGATATGGTTACGAAAGGATTTTTCTTATTCACACTGTTTTCCTTTTGTTTACGAACAAATAAAAAAAAAAAGTCACCGTGAACTAAAAAAAAAAAAAAAAAAAAAAAAATTTTACCACCTGCACAAACCAAAGGCTGAGTTATTTTTAGCAGGGACAAAAAAATGACCCAATTTTATCTAGGCACCGTCCTGGTGATTTTCCATATCGAGTTTTTGATCTCGGTTAGTCCTCGTCAGTATGCCAAGTAGGTAAATTATATAGTGTTCCTGAAGTACCTCGACTTAGCCAAAATCAATAAGCATGCAAGAACTAAGGCGTACTGCAGTGTCTCGCAGAAACATCGAATAAAAGTTTTAAACTGCAGCCAAAAACTTTTCCTTGTAAATCCGTAGCTAATTCTAGAACTCCATTTCCGCAGGGAACATTTCATGTTCTGATCCCCAATCGGATTAAACCAATTTTAATTTATTGATTTTGTACCCTGGCTCTGTTTTGTGACATACCGGAGATCGCGATCTAGAGCGCCCTCATCAAGGGCCTCCCCCCTAATTAGTTCCACTGTGCTACTATAGTGAGCAAAAAAAAAAATTCTTCACTGGACATCAAACACGTTTGTCATTCTCACCTGCGACCCTTTCAAAACGCGAAATCAAACTCAACGCTCCAGCGAAAACTATCAGATGTAAATCGTAAAATGTTCGACAAAGCATTTGAAATAATGTCGATGCACGTACTCTTAATGCGTGCAGTAAGTTTTACCTATTTGGGCCCAAATGGTAAAAAATAAAAGTATAAACAATGAATTTTTTCTTGTGGCTCAGGGTTACTAATCTTTTTAAATCTCGGGTACAACTAGACGCGAAGATTAGATCCGAAGGCGATACAGAGGCAAATTTAAGTGCTGCCTCGCCCAAGGTGTGACCCTCTATGGCATAAATTCGTGTTTGCCAAATAATATGTCTATTTCGTTGCTCCTGAGTTTGTACATTATCAGTGTACGGTGGTACTTCTGCAGGTTGAGGTACTGTTAGTTAATGCTGTCTCCAATTAAACTTGAAACATATCCTAATACGCTTTAAATCATTGTCTGAGATGCGTATTAATTCTAGTAGATCTGAGATAGTATTAATTCTAGTAGATCTGAGATAATATTTATTTCTAAAACCGGACATTCAAAATGTGTTGTCAGCTTGTCTATACATTCCTTATGGTATCAACGTTTTCCAAAGTTAGACCTGATTCGCTCTTATACTGGCAGAGCATGACTTTTTGGATACATAATAGCTTGATACATTCTCACAAGATTAAATTTTACTCTGATCTTGCAATCTTTTCCTATAACATAGTTAAAAATAAAAGGAACCAAACCAGGTATTACGAATCCAAATAGTAGTACTGAACAATCCAGAACATTACAAGTCTAACTTTGGAAACTTCTCCTATATACACCACCATTCCTTCAAACTATTTTTATTCCTGCATTTTCAAGATTGGACTTTTATATTTCCTGGTTCGACTACAGTAGTTGGTAAGTCTTGAACACGGATTGTGATCCATGAAAGACTTTAGAAACTGCTGGAGGTGGCACCTACTTTAAAGTTTGAATCAATTGAGAAGATGGTTAATCTCATTTGTGCAGAAATGAACTGATATATTCACCTTTATATATTTCAAAATTAGTAAGGAGGGTGGAGAATAAATTCCACCATGTCCAGGTTTTCAGGGGCAGATCATGTACATTTGACAGGTGTTACACAAAATAATTACAAAATCACAGGGGGGGGGGGGGCACTTGGTATCTTGTCTTAGGTGCTGACCCATGCATCAGACTTCCATAGGGTTATATCACTTGGTCATATTAAACAATGTTCTATAGAAGTTCTGATGCATAGGTCAACTAAAGATCAATTTGTTCTAAAAATATATTTTGGTTGGAAAATTTCAACAATCGCCCAGACAACAATTGGTATGTGTGATTTGTATTAGTAAGATGGTTCAAAAAAATAAGGCTGTAGTTTACGTGTCGACATATAAAAGATATGATCAATGAATCAAGGACATAGTTGCCAGGTTATCGCTCTTTGCGCGCCCCTTGGTTTCAATATTGATATGACTGTAAACAATTGGGTGTAAATATTTTGCTAGTTATAGTTACTTTCCAATTAGAATTACAAAGGAAAATTTGAACTCCAGTCACATGTAATGTAGTACCAGGTAACATTTTAGAAATCTAGATTATCTCTGTAGATATGAAATAACATGGTGAGCAAAAGTTTTCAGTATAAATTGTTTCTAGTTTGAATTTTGAGATTAGTTTGTCCAAGCATTTCGCGAAATTGTTGCAAAAATCTTACCCAATTAACTGAACCAACTATCCAAACATTCGAATTCAATTAGTGGATCTGGAATATAGTCTATCTAGTATCTTATCCGTATTTACCGGTCATTAGCAACATTCTTCGTATTGTGCTATTGTTTCATGTCGACAAATGTGTGTGTATGTTGCTTTCTAGAATATTCCAGCACTAAAAAAAATATTTTTTCGGTGGTTGGTACTTCCATCTGCTTCCGTGATGTTCTCCCCACATTGTCTCACTATGCAGGACTAAATTGGGTTCCAGTCATGCCGCCAAAAAAATCCCTGTCATTCCTCTAAGTTTAAAGCCTATAAGAATGGCTCGATTCCCAGGTACTTTTTCATATCCTTTCTTATTCCTATTTCTTTAATAACCAATTGCTTAAACTTCACATACAATGTATCCATTCAACACTTACAACCTTCCAAACAACTTTGACGTTGATTCCCTTTTCAATCTTTTGCATCAACAACAGTATTACCAACAAGCCCCTAACTCCCGTCCTAGAGTCGTCAAGAAGCTTGAGACTGAAGACGAATTCCAAATCCAAATTTATAAGCCATACGGTAACTTCAACAATTATGAAGTGAGAGTAGTCAAGGCTACACCACCAATTGTCAAGGTGATTATTTCATCCGCACAGGACAAGTTCAGGCAGGAGTTCCAATTCAATGTCAATTACATCGATATTGAAAACATTAATTGGCAATGGTACAAACTGAGGAATATCTTGTGTTTGAACATTCCCAAGAGAATCCACTACGTTCATTCCAACTTAGAAGACATTTTGAATTGTCTTGTTGGTAATCATGAACACGAGTATCAAGGTGAACCAGAGCAGGAGCCACGTTATTTGGACGAAGAGTCTGATTTCGATGAGGAAGATGCATGTCCAGCACATGAATCTGGAGCTGTTAGAAACGGGTTCATTCCACAACAAGATGTTGCTTCCAGAAGAGCTGCTATTGAAAAGTCAATTTTGGAACAGAGGCAAGCTGATGCTGCTGCTCGTCGGGCTGAAGAAGAAGCTGAGCGTTCTAGAAGAGAAGCTGAAGAAAGAGCAAGACAAGAAGCCGAAAGAGCCAGACGAGAAGCCGAAGAAAGAGCCAGGAGAGAAGAACAAGCTAGAAGGGAAGCTGATGAAAGAGCTAGAAGAGAAGCTGAGGAGGCCGCTAGAAGAGAAGAACAGGCTAGAAGAGAAGCACAAAGAAAGGCTGAATTAGAATATAGAAGACATATTCAACAAGAAGCCAAGAGAAAGCACGAACAACATCAAGCTGCTTTAAGGCAACAACAAGCCGAAAAAGCTAAAAGAAATCAAGATCAACTTGACTACGATGATTTCGCACAACAGCAACGTGATTTTCTCAACCAATTCTTTGGATTTAATTTAGGAAGGTCACCTCCTCCACAATTCCAATCTTCACAACCAGCCAAACCAGCAGTATCAACGAAACCACCTAAAACCACCACATCCAAACCAAAACCTCAAGTTGCTCCAAAACCTGAAAATTTGAGAAAACAATCAATTCCAGTAAAAGTTCATGACACTGATGCCGACTCAATATCTTCAGATCATCAACAAGCCAAAATTGAAGACTCACACCTTGCTGCATTACACAAACATCCTTCCTTAGAGGAAGTTGAAGATGAAGAATCAATAATGTTTAGGAAAAAATTTGGTCATTAGTTTAATTTATATATCGTTTGATTTTTAATTCATAATTTGCAATTTGTCTCATATAAAATTTCACTGTAGATTTTTTTTTTTTTTGCAATTTTTTTTGTTCCCCATAAAAAAAAAGGCCGCTGATTATCCGATCATTCAAACACCGACACCATTTTTTTTCCCGCCCTTGTCACTTACAAACTTATAATACACAACTAACTACCATGCTGAAAGCAATTGCCGTGTTTGGAGGTAACGGATTCCTTGGCCACAAGATCTGTGAAATAGGGGTACTTCGAGGCTATGACGTAACTTCATTCTCTCGATCAGGCGACCCACCTGAGAATGTTATTCATCAGCCCTGGATTAAGAAGGTCCAATGGGAACGGGCAGATATATTCTCTAGCAAATCGTATGCTGAACGTCTTGGTAAGTTTCATAATGTCGTTCATTCAATTGGTATCCTTTTTGAAAATCAAGCCTACAAGAAAGCCATGAATTCTAATTTCAATTTCCTTAATGACATTCAACAATTGGCTAATACCGTCAAAGGTGGAAATCCTATGAAACGAGGTGAAGGTAATGCTACTTATGAAGCAGTGCAAAGAGACACAGCCGTATTATTGGCAGACACGTTTATCACTGAACAAAAGGAATTGCCCCGCAATTACGTATACATCTCGGCCGATTCCAAACCACCGATTGTCCCGGCGGGATATCTCAATACTAAACGGGAGGCTGAATTTGAATTAGGGTTGAAAGAAGGTATCAGAGGGATATTCATGAGACCAGGAATCATGTACGATGAGACTCATGAAGGTCCTATGACCACAAGAGATTTCTTATTACGTGGATTAAGAATTGGTGTTGCTGCCAAGGAAATGGTTTTAGGAGAAAAGTTTTGCAATGAAATCATCAAGCCAGTTGTATCGACCGAGCAAGTTGCTCATGCTATTTATGATAAATTAGAACAACCAGATTTCAAAGGTGTTGTTACACTTGATGATATCAAAAATACTAAACTAAATTATTAATTAAAAATTACACACATTAATATACATATTACTCAGAACTTAATAGTCTTAGTCTTGACTGTAACCCTTCTAACCAATTATTATCGATTTCATCTAAATCTATTTCTTCAGGAACCATCACACTATCCACAGTTATAGTAATTGTGTGTATTCCAGGCACTACGGTGATACCACCTTCAGAATGAGGTTCACCTTCGCTCTTTCCGGAAATGACATTAGCCAATGAAATCAGCTCTTGAACATCTCTCGTAACTGTCTTGACCAAACTTTCCAAATCTTCTTTTGGTTTTGGTTTACCTACGGGAGCAGGAGTCCACCAATACACAGGGTATTTTCTTAGAATATTACCAAAAATCAAAGCCACACAAATAATTAAAACAGAAGACACCAATTGGACTGGCAAATACCACCAGCTCATAGACCTAATCAGCTCGTCTACACTAGGAAGCAACGCACTTGCACCAGCGGGCGGATGGACACAATTGAATATCGACATGGCCACGGAAGCAACCGCCACGCTCAATGCTCCACTGGCCCAATAATTATCTCTCCCAGCTTGACTCAACAGGAACAATTTCTCGATACAGAGTCCAATTAATGCACTAAGAAAATGGCCAACAAGAATATTTCTTGGCTGCGACAACGGTGCTTGACTGGCATTGAAACACAAGATGGCCGTAGCACCGTAGGAGGCGATTATTAATGGGGCATTATGGGCTGTAAACACTGTTTGCGACTTGAATATACCTTCTATTAATGCGATCCCACAGAAGGAACTAACCAAGATCTCTATCCAGATCAAATAGTCATGTTTAGGTGATGGAGTGTGAGCACCAAGAAAACGGGAAATCGGGTACGGAAGCCGATTGAGACGGTTAGCAGGAAGGTATCGATTAAGTACATCGTCAATTGTGAATTTGAATACCATGATTGTTATTATAAAAGAAGTATATCTAGTTTAAAGTTGCAGATCTGGGTTAGTATTTATAATTAAGCTGATCGTGATGAAAGAAGCTTGTTTAAGGTTGACTCGGTGTGGGGGGACAAAGCGGGCCCGTTTCTTTTTAGGTTTTTTTTTTTCTTGCGCGAAATAAATTTCTGACTTGCACTGCATTTTAGGCTGTACTGCACGTATTCTGTATGACGCACAGTTCTGAGTCAGACAGAAGTCAAAGAAAACTTTCGGACTTGAAATTTTGTATGTGCGTGCCATTACTCATCACGTCGTCTAGTGACTCGGATTTGTGGCTTAATCATCCGGATATATGCCAACTTGAACCGTCTACCAATGATGCTCTTTGTTGATCAATCTGATAAACCTCTCTATTATTGTAAGCTATTCCATTTACGGATATTCAAGCTTGTTCAAGTTATAAACTTTAATCTGCTTACTAATAAACGTTTTCCCTTTTCCGCGGTGTTTTTTTTTCTCCCTCATTTTAACTTTTTTTTTTTTGCAACTTCAGGAAATTTGCAACTCGGCGGTAAACCAAAGCATGACTAATTTATCAACCAGAACCACATCTCCTATGGTGAATTTTCCCCCATGCATCATCAAGTAGCTATTCTCGTTTCTAGGAATTTTCTCTTCCTGCAACACTACTGAAGCGAACGAAATTGAGGCAGAAATGGTATAGATTCAAATTTAAGTTTGATCGATTAACTCATCGTCCTGCAATCAGGAACAAGAAGAAACATGATAGTTTTAAAGATTGGAAGGTAACAAATAACAATATTAAGTTGTGGAATATCATCATTTCTGATGGGGATACTGTTAATGACTCCCTGGTTGATTATCACGATAATTCTGACATTGAAATTATATTTTCTAGCGACTATGGAGTACTACATCCTGTTATTAGCAATCCTTTATGAGTTTGGCATATGGTGAATAAAGTGGAAAGTAATGATTGATTATAAGAAATAATCGATATTGCAATCGGTTGGTTCCATCAACTTGGAAAAATTGGTTCTACAACCTATGTTTTCCCTTGGTTGAACTTCGGCTGGCCTTTGGATGGAAGAAAGGTTGAGCATAATGACACGCATGAAACAGACACAACGATACAAGTTCTCTGTGATGGCTCAGTTGAACGTGCAACCATTCACCCAGCCAAACAGAGAGTGCCCTGTCTTAAAGCATCCAGCATTTGCGCTAGAATTACACAATAGTACATCTTTAGTTTTATTATCTCTATTATATACACTAAATAAAAGTACACTTTATAACGCAAGTTCTTCACCCATCTACACATAATTATAACTGGTCAACACCGTCTTTCTTCTCATCAACCACTTTCTAACTTCATCCCCAATAAACACAGTACTACACAACACAAGCAAAGTGACAATGTCACTGAAATACAATGCTTCAGTCTGGAAAATCAGTTGGAAAAATGGCACATAAATAGCACAAAACTGACCAATCAACGATCCAATCACGGCAAAATTAAACATTTGATTCTTGAGCCCCATCTCGAAAATTGATTTGGAGTAATGACGACAAGCAAGGGCATTGAACATATCGAAAAACACAAAGCATGTGAATGTCATGGTGGTGTCTCTAGCAGTAATTTCATTATCAGTCATTTCCTTGACGAAAATGAACAAAGTACCTAAAATAATCATAATGGCAGATTGAATAACTCGCTTTATAACTAATTGAGTTAAAATCTTGTCGTTTCTCCTTCTTGGTGGCTTGTTCATAACTTCGTGATCAACAGGCTCAACACCAAGCGATTGTGCTGGAGGTCCATCCATCAAAATGTTAATCCACAAGATTTGCATAGCATTCAAGGGGTTAGGTAATCCGAAAAATGTCGCCATGGCAATCAAAGACAATGCTGCAATAGAGGTACTCAACTGGAACGTGATGAAATTTTGAATATTGTTGAAAATACCTTTCCCTTCTTCAATAGCAGAAAGAATGGTTGAGAAATCATCATCAGTCAAAACCATATCGGCAGCTTCTTTGGCAACATCAGTCCCATTTTTACCCATAGCAATACCAATATCAGCCAATTTTAAAGCAGGAGCATCATTAACACCATCACCAGTCATAGCCACGATATCACCTCTACGTTGTAATGCTTTAACAATAGTAACTTTATGTTCAGGGGTAGTTCTGGCGAAAACGGAAACGTCGTGAATAGCATCTGCAAGAGCAATTTCAGAAAGGTTATCGATTTGATCACCAGTCATAACGGCATGGTCACCGACAATAGGCATACCAATTTGTTTAGCAATATTCATAGCAGTAGATGGGGAATCACCTGTAATCATAATAACATGAACACCACCTTTCATCAACATGGCAATGGATTTACTAACGTTAGGTCTAGGAGGATCTTTCATTCCAACAAGACCAAGGAAAATCATATCGGAAGGTTCGGTAGTTTCTTGATGGATATCATTCTCACTCGAGGTGATGACTTGATTACTCTTGGCGAAGGCCAATACTCTTAATCCATCACTGGCTAATACTTTGGATTTTTCATGAATTATGTGTTTAACTTCTTCGGTAATCGGCTTCACTTGTCCATTTTCATCTAAATATTTAGTGGAAAGTCTGACAATCTTTTCCGAAGCACCTTTAGCTAAGGTTTCTGCCTTATTCATGTCACCAGTGTGCACACAAACAGCCATATACTTTCTAGCGGAACTGAATGGCAATTCGTAAACTCGTTGTCTAGTACCTCTAAAATCATCTAAACCAAAGTGAGGTAAACATTCAACCAAAGCAATATCACTGGGGTTGCCGACATATTTTTCATTTTCGTGTGAATATCTGGCATTGTTACATATAGACCCACATTGCAAGATTTGGTGCATATTCTGAGTCAATTTCAGGTGTAATGTCTTGTCATCTAACCTTTCAACAACAAGGAATGGACTGTTGAAACTTCCTTTGAAATCAGTGGACCAAATCTTGGTGACAGTCATGTGGTTTTGGGTTAAAGTACCAGTTTTATCAGAACAAATAACATTGACGGAACCCAAAGTTTCCACCGAGGGTAACCTTCTAACAATTGCCTTTTGGCGGGCCATTCTTAAAACACCAAGGGCAAGAGTAACAGTGACGATAATTGGCAAACCTTCAGGAATGGCAGCCACGGCCAAGGAAACAGAAATTTGAAACATATCCAACCATTCTCTTCCTTGTATTATACCAACCAAACAAATAATACCAATGACAATAAATGAGAAAATAGAAAGATCTTTACCTAATTTATCCATAGCTTGTTGCAAGGGAGTCTTTGGTTTTTCGATTTCGGCCATCATTTCAAAAACACCACCAAACACAGTCTTGTGACCGGTGGCAATGACAATACCTGAACCATGTCCGTCACGAACTAAAGTACCCATGTGGGCAATACAACTTCTTTGATTGACAGGAATATCGGCGAGCGATGTGCCATTATTGATCATTGTTGTGGATTTCTTAACAGGACGGTTCTCACCAGTCAAGTTACTTTCGTCAATAGTAAGATACACGGCTTCAGTTAATCTGACATCGGCGGGGATTCTATCACCTTGGGAGAAGTGAACCAAATCACCTGGAACCAAAGTTGATGCCAAGACAGTGGAAGTGTTTCCGTTTCTAGTTAATTTAGCCTCTGCAGGAACTAATTTGTTTAAAGCAGCTAACGATTTTTCTGATCTATATTCTTGAACAAACCCAACGGTAACGACGATGACTATCGCTAATGTGATGGAGATGGCATCGTCCTTATTACCCATCCAAAAACTTATAATTGCTGAACCAATCAATAAGAGAATCAACGGATCTTGGTAGAATGAAGATATGAACTTCATAATCAAGCTCTCGTCTTCTTCGCTTGATAATTCGTTGATACCGTGAATGGATCTTCGGTTGAGGATATCTTGAGAACTTGATAACCCAGTAGTTGCATTGGTTTGTAATTCTGTAGCGGTATCTTCTGTTGTCTTTCCAGAAAATCTAATGGATGGAGTAGCAGATCTGAACGTTTCGCGAGCTACTCCTCCTGGACCTAGCGGTTTGAGTTCAAACGGATTGTCGGACATTGATTAGGATGCAAATAAAACAAAGTGGAAAAATGAAACAACAGTGTAAAGTTGTAATCTATAAATGTCGATGCAAGGTGAAGTTGGATGATTTATAGGGTATGAAGGCGTGATGGTTGTCTGACACGTAGTAAAAGAAAAGTGTTGTAAAAAAAAACGGTTGACTGATTTAAATTTGTCTAGTGCCAAAATTGGAAGTTGGGAGGGGAAGGGGGATATGATCTGGTTACAGCACACGAATCTATCTAGATGGATATAGTATATATACGTGTGTGTGTGTATAATGTGAATGTGAGTGATGTATTATGTCAAAGCCAAAAGCTATACGACAGATGGTTAGAAATTGAGTGTTGTAAAAATCGTTAGCGTTGAAAATTTGAAATTTTAGGCGTAACCCTAAAAGAGATGGCAAGTTATTTTTTTTTTTGATTAACGTGTCAAGTAGAGAGAAAAACGAAAACAAGATTTCGATTTTGTTTGTCATACAAAAAAAAAAAAAAACTATATCCGAAACAAACCTATAAATGATCTTAAAGCCGAACTGTAGCAAACTTACACCGAATAATTGGTTAGGTAATACAATATATAGCACGTCGCGCATATTTTATACTGATTTTCATTTTCGATTTGCGAAAGAGATTTTGTTCCTGCCTCAATATAAAAAAATATTGACATTGTTGATGTAAGCGCACTAAACACATACTACGAAAGTGGGGAGACCTCAAGACGCAAAACAGCCGAGGCGACGCACGTGTGGGGAAGATCAGTGGGAAGGTTTACTTCAACACGATGATTCTTGCTTGTACCTACTTGACTCATTTGACTCCCTCTTCTCTCTCTCTCTCCCTCCGGACTTTGATTTGAGCCGTACCAGATTTAGCCGACATTTGAACAGTTGTATACAGGAAGTAAACATTTACTCTTTAAACCATGGCTTATTAATGACTTGTATTATGACTCTATAAAACTATTTACATATTTTCCCCGTCAATAGTTTCAACTGCTGCTTTACTCAACCGGTTCATCACCGCAAGTCCCTCGTTATCTTCCTCTATACCCTCGACTAAAATCACATCAACATTCAATTCGTCTACTTCTCGTAACAATTTGAATAAATTAAATGACACATCGCTTGCTTTGGTTCCTAAATCACGAACTACGCGTATTCCAAGCTCGTTCTCGTTAATTTCAAAATATTTTGATCTTAATAATGCAATCTTCTTTCCTTGTAATTGATGTTTAGTTATGTATTTGCTAATAGCAGTGTTGCCATCTTGACAATTGACAAATAACACTACTTTTGCGGTAGGGGAATAATGACGATACTTCATTCCTGGTGTTCTCACAACTTCATTCTTACCAGCAGTCTTCTTTGCTCTTATAATATTCTCCCACTCCTTACCTCCAACTTGTTTAATCTGTTCTAACGATACCCCACCTGGTCTTAATAACATAGGTGGATTGCATAACCCGTCAATCACAGTAGATTCTACTCCCACTTTACAATTGCCACCATCCAACACTAATGGAATTCTTCCTTGTAAATCATGATACACGTGTTCTGCCATGGTTGGGCTGGGACGAGTGCTGGCATTAGCCGAAGGTGCGGCTATAGGAGTATCGCTAATGGCAATCAAGGCTCGAGCTACAGGGTGACTTGGCATTCTGACTGCAAATGTGTTTTGATTGGCGGTAACCAAGTTTGAAATGTTAGTCTTCTCATCAACTGGTAATAAGATGGTTAAAGGACCGGGCCAGAATTCATCAATTAACTTGTGATAGATTGACGGAATCTCTTGACAGTTTAATTTTCGGGATAATTGATCTCGACTGGAGATGTGCACAATTAAAGGGTTATCGCTAGGTCTATTCTTGGCACGATATATAGATTTTACTGACTCGTCATCAAGGGCTGATCCAGCCAATCCATAAACTGTTTCTGTAGGGAATCCAATGGCATTATTGGTAGTGGTTAATTCATGTGCAGCAAGATTTAAATTCTCTTGCGTTTTTCGGTCGGTTATGGTTGGAAGTAAGTTTCCTGGTTTGAAAGAAATAGATTCTGGTTTTACCTTGAGGACCTTGGTAACGAATGTAGGAGGGGGTGAAGTCATATTGAGGGTGTGTATATTGGGTTCTTCAAAAGTAAGATTTGGAAAGTAAGATTGGTTTGAAGTTGGTTTGCTAGATATGGATATTGACTTGCTTATAACTTGGAATGGCCTTCTAATGGTAATGTATCTAGTATGTATGGGTAATTTCATAACCCTTTATTTGGCATTAGCGTAATGATCTGGTCTAAAATTTTCCAAACGAGTCTTTAGTCTCATCTGAATAAATTTCTTTTTTTTTTTTGTTCTCAAATATTATTCTGTGCTACCAACTGAGATTACGTGATGTAATTGAAAATTCTAGACTGTGCTGCTGGCTATTTATATCAATAACTGTAGCTGTTGTAGTAATTACTATAAATGGCTATAAATGACTATAGCTGGTTATGACCCTGCTACTATATACAAAACTAAAAGACTAAATTCTCAGTGATAGTTTTCTTTTCTTGATCATTCAACTCTTCGTAGTACTTTCTAAAATGCCCCAAGTCCTTAACTGTGCATTCTCTTAAGAATTGAATCAACAAATGTTTTAAACTCTCATCAGAGTCTCGGTCACCTTCAGCATCTGAATCGACATACGATTTCAACTTTTCAAAATTAGGAACTCCAATATCTTCCATATCTTCCCACCCTTCCTCGTCGTCGTCGTCGTCGTTGTCAGCTTCTCCAAGCTCTTCCCTTTCTGGCAAGTAGTCTTCTGCATTCGGTTGTTGACACTGGAATTCTAATTCACCAACCAACAATTTCAAGATTTTCAAACATGCAGGGATTTGTGTGTATTTATCAGGCATGGCCTTTGCCATTGATCTCGTAATGATCAAGTCTCCTTCATAAGGAATGATTTCACCATTGACGACAAGATTTTCCACACGGGCATCACCCAAGCTGAAAATCTTCCCCAAGGCAAGCGAATTCTGTTTGATGTGTTCATAGCCTCGAGTCACTTCATACGATTCAAACCAAATTGGCAAAATAATCTCCAACCCCGATTTGGCTACTCCGTCAATGGTCAATGAGATATTATTACTCAAGAAATCAACCATTTCCTGAGGCGAGTTAATAATCAACTTACAAAACACCATAATTAGATTCTCAATTGTAATTGACTCCTTGGCATAAGACAATCTCAATACAGTAGCCTTCAAGATCTGAGTCAACAAATCGGACGTGAGATAACTTTGGAATTGGTCAATCAAAGAGTAGACAATAGACCCACAGTTATTAGCAGCGCTATCGGACAACTCGGGCGAAAGAAACTTGTACACGATCTCCATCATACAATCAATACCCGACTGTTTAGTCTCTGGATCTTGATACTCAAGAAACAACTTGGATGCCTTTTGGATAATGTTGTTGAATACTTCTCCTCCACTTTGCAAAATTTGATTGTCTTGAGATAAAGTAAGGATTCTCCGTAAAATCGGGAATGCATAATAGAAAATCAGAGATGGCAACTCTTGTTGCGATTCAGGAACCGATTCAATGATAATGCTCAATAACTCCAATGCCAAGTATAATTCAGGGGTGTATTCAACTTCAACGTTGTTTCTCTTGATCTCTTGGTTCATGATTTCAAAGATAACTGGAAGCGATTTTTCACAAGTTTGCAAGTAATTATCAATGGAAATATTCTTCAATAATGAAGTTAAACAATCAGAAGTATCCACGATTAATTGAACATTGGCTGGATCCTTAAATGTGATCTTGAAAATCAAATCAATGACATTGATATCGTTGCCGATTTGAATCGTGGTTGCTTGTTGAGGATCAATTGAAATCGCTTCCGTGATTGCTTCCAATAATGACGGTAATCCATCTTCTTCAGACTCTTCAATTAACGAATGCACAATGGTGAAAATAGCCGTTTGAATGTCTTTGCCCTGTGGTGCTAAGTCGTGATTGAAGTCAATAACATGCTTGTAATAAGTGATGCTTACAAGACAGGCAATTTTGATGAAATCGCACGCTTCAAAGTCCTTATCGAGTAATCCTATTGTAAACACAATCATATCCGAGAATGCCTTGCGTCTTGTTTCCTTTGGTATATTGGAAAACTTTTCAAAGAACTTAGGAAGTAATATAAAACTACGGGCAGTCACCAACGGCTTATCATAGGAAATATATCTCGCAAACAAGTTTAGCAAATCTGGAGGCGATAATTCCAATTGATCAAAGCTGACATCATCATTTATAAACAAACTTTCCAATATGTACAATTGCGCTTCTATCAATCTCCAATCTCCCTGACCGCCAGCTAAACCCTCAATGACTCGTTTATAGACTTGACTTGAATCAGATTCATTCAATTCCGATAAAACATCATTGACGGTTTCTCGAACTCGGGAAACAGTGGATAATCCAGTAAGGTCGCTAGCGTAAACATTGATATCCGCTTGATATTCTTCAATTGTCAGTTGTGTCAACAGGGAAACAGTAACCAAATCCTTGAAAAATTGTTCATGTGGAGCAACTTCGCCTACAGATATATCTAATTGACAATTCGAGACTGTAACTAGTAACTCTTCAAGAAGATTACTTAATATTGAGGAGATTGAAGTGAGATCACTAGTAGTTTTTATTTCTGGAACATTGGCGGTATTTTCAACTACAACAAAGTTGGCAAATAATTGAGCAACATAATTGAAATCTTGAATTGTCAAACTAAGCAAGTTTGCTTTCGTTTCTTGTGTGATTTTCTTATGGAATTGTCCAAGTAATAAGTTGAGAATTCTATAAATGGATGTTCTCAAATTCAACTCAGACAAATAGACGGTGGAAGTGTTTCCAGTGGAATTATTATATGACTTTTCCAACAATTGAGCAAATATTTGTATGGACAGAGCCACATGATTAATAACAAATTGCTTTCTTGGAGGTTTGCTAAACGCTTCTGGACTGCTTAAAATATCAACCACATTGGAATACAACTTTATTGCTTGTGTCTTTACTTCAGAGCTTAAATCACCAGTCAATATATCATTAATATGGCTAGTAACCTGGCCAGCAATCCCACCTTCCCAAAATTGCTCTTCGGTGATTAAATCGTCAAACAAATCAGTCAATACTTGCAATCCCCCGATCAACGAATTTTCGTTAGAAAAGTTCATAGTAGCACTATACAACACATTCAATAATTCCGGCCATTCATCAGGGTAATCTGCCGACGCGATCTGAACAATCGCGTAAGCACTACCATTTCTTAATTTCGACTCTGGTGAGGAAGTCGCCAACTCCAACAAGCTTTGTCTGATTTTAACCTTGACATCTTGAGCAATTGGAGGACCAATAAATGACTGGAACCCCATTGACCAATAGTACGGCACAAGTCGTTTCAAATGAAGAAGGCATGACTGTCTCAAGTCGATAGGATAGTCTTGGTTAAGGGCCAGCTCAAGAATGATGTATGCGGCATTGGTGGGATCTTGCTTCAAAAATTGGTTGAATTCAAGTTCAGCTGCGGTACGAATATTGTTATCCGAGTTGGTCTGGTTTAGTATGAGGGTTATCAACAAGTCTGACATTGGTGTGTGGTTGAATTGGTTGTAAACAGGGTGAAAAAAGCCCAACTTTGTTCTTTTTCCTTGTAGCCGTGAGCAATGCCAGGAACGAAACCAAGACGTGCGTTTTTGTTCGCGTCGGGTGCAACTTTCCGGTACAAGTTATTACAGGACACACACACATACACACACACATAGACCATGTTATTGTAAGAACTCCTTGACAGGTTATTTCTGATGGAAATTGCCGGAGCATGCATTCTCCACAAAAATATCAGAAATTGACTAATTTATAGTACGCCGTTCATCTGCCGGCAGTGAATTGTGTTTGCTATTTATAATTAGACCATGCTGTAAACGTGACATAAACACCTTGATACGTATTAGACGATCTTGTAGTTCAGTGCTAACCCATATCGTGCACTTTTTAAAGTACTAAATTGCCTCGTTCCTGTGGTTGTAAGGGTCGGTAAATTTGCAACATACTCCTTTCTCGCACTGCCTCACCAGGACAACCGCGATAAAGTGGTGCTCCCTCTCGGTTCAATGCATCTTATGTTAAAGACAAGTAGGTCACATTCTTTTCACTGCAATGATCAAGGGAAGATGATCTTACACAACCTAATTCAATGTAATTAAAGGCCCGGTTTTTTACCGAAAGCAATCACCATGTGTCACTCAATGGCAAATCGCACTGCGTGACTCGACTCCTACAAAAAATTATGCCAGATCATTTGTCTCATGTTTTATTGATATTCTTCTCTTTTAAAGCAAGTATACACTATAGCAATGTCAGATAGTCCAATATATCAACCCTTGGAAGAGTTAAAACAACCCCTTTCTCAGGAACAGCTTCAGATCCTTAAGGATCAATTGAGATCTGAAGAGCCAAACCCTTCTCCCCAGACAAAATTTAACTATGCTTGGGGTCTAATTAAATCGCCCCACTATAAACAACAACAGGATGGTGTTGCAATCTTAGTTGAATTGTACAAATCAGAAGAAGGAATGAGAAGAGAAGTATTATACTATTTGAGTTTAGGTTCATTTAAAGTTGGGGATTATACCAATGCAAAAAGATATATTGAAGCTTTGTTGTATAGTGAACCTGATAATCAACAAGCACAGGCACTATTGCAAACCATTGACGATAGAATTACCACTGATGGTTTGATAGGCATAGGTATTGTAGGTGGTGCCTTGGCTATTGGTGTTGGTTTGATTGGTGCTTTGGTTAGAAGAAAGAGAAAGTGATTGTCACTTTGGAAAAGATTTATATATATATACTACGTTTCACGTTTGTTTTAGTTTATAAATTATATACATTTACCAGTTTGTCCAAAGTTGTTGTAAAATTTTGCCACCTATAAAGGTTTGTTGTAAATTGACTTCCAAAAGGATAATAAAAATGAATCAGAAAAGACAAAAAAAAGGTAAGCACTATTAGGGTCTAACTATGAGCAATGAATTGGGGAACAAAATCGCCAGAGAAGTGATAAAAACATTCAACGACCTTAAAATAAAGTCAGGAAAACCAACCCAAAGATCCAATGGAGTTAAAGAATGGACTGTGTTAGCCAGTATAGTGGCACTAATAAGCAACAATGAAGGTGATGACTTCGAGTTATATCCCGTTACACTCACCACTGGTGTCAAAGCATTGCCCAATAAGACAAGGTCATATTCTCAAGGATTAATTGTACATGATTTGCATGCTGAAATTCTTTCTCTTAGATTGTTCAATTGGTATTTACTAGATGAAATAGAGAAACTAATTACTAATACAGAGTACAAATGTATGTTAATAGAGAAAACTCCCAATGGATTCAAACTTAAATCGCATGTAAAGCTTGCACTTTTTATAACAGAACCACCATGTGGAGATGCATCAATGAAATATTTATCATCTAATGCCAAAGACAATAAACCATGGCAAGACGACGAAGAGAATGCAAGAAAGAAGCAGAAGTTGGACGTGCAGCGTGGCCGAAATAATTTCGATAGGTTGGGAATAGTTCGAACAAAACCAGGAAGATCCGACAGTTTAATCACTCTATCAAAATCGTGTTCTGATAAATTATGCCTACGACAATTAATGGGAATTTGTAATTGTTTTACAGCTAATTTATTTGGAGATAACCCAATTTATTTGGATTATTTGGTGGTTAAGAATATTAACATAGATGACTTCAACAGATGTTTCCATACTAGATTCAACATCCCTTCATCTAAGTATCTCGAATTAATTCGCTATGACGGTGATGATTATGAGTATCATAAACCGGCTAGTGAACAAGGTGAAGAAATGTCACCATCTCAATTGTCATTGCTATACCTCATTCCTACAAAGACAGTACAGGTTCTAAACAATGGTGTTAAGAACGGAGCTTTTGTTAAGAACAAGCCACCACGAAAGGGCGGAGAAAGTTTCATCTGTAATCAAAGCCTTGTAAGAAAACTTAATGCCATAGCTCCGGTCAATTTCAAAGATTACAGTGAGTTCAAACGATCCAACATAGAAAGAGAGAAAGCCAAGAAACTAGGACAGGAAACCCTTGGTAATTGGGTGCCTACAGATACGGATAACTTTATGTTTCATTTTTAATAGATTCTGTATATACACACATAATAAACACTCTTAATCAGATTCTGAAGCTGATCCATCATCACTAAATTCCTCATGTGCATCTTCAAAGTTATCTAATTGTTCAGATTCAGTTGGTTCCATGGAAATGGCGTATTCGGCACTCTCTAAAAGTTGAATCAATTTTTCGTGATCTTTAGTGACATAATCTTTTGGTGTGAGATGGTGTTTATCCTTAATTCTAGGATCAGAACCAGCATCCAAAAGGTTATCAATAACAAAGTATCCATGTTCCGGTTCATCGTTATTGGTATATTTGACAGCCAAATGTAATGGCGTTTCACCTTCTCTATTTTGTGGATCGATTTCAACTCCTTCTATGTCTAACACGATATCTATAAATTCCCAGTTTCCTAAATGGCAAGCTAAATGTAATGCTGTGTTGTTGGTTATGATTTCTCTAGTGGAGTTGATTAATTCGGCTAACTTCTTGTGATCGTTGTTTAATTCCGATTTAATGGTCAATAATAACTCGGTGTTGTTTCTTCTAGCTGCTTCCAAGAGTTGCTCAGAAAGAGAGGCTCCTTCAACAGTATTGTTCTCGTGTGACATCGTCCTCAATCGATCTATTGGTAGTTTGTTTTCACGATGGATAAACTGTGGAATTAGATAGAAGAAATTTGTCGGGCTTATATTTTTCGGTGGCAGTAGCGAGTCCCTGTGGATACAGAAAAACGCAGAGCCGATACGCAAACATTTCGGATGCCACAAAATGTTTCCAATAGGGGAAATTTTCAAATCCATGGTCTATAATTACACACGGACCAACTTGTTGAAGTTTTCCATACGATAGAATATGCTCATGTGAATTCTTTTTATTCTTAATGTCCTTGTTTACATCACCTGTTACTTCCTTAGATTACCGCAATCTTTTTTGGCTGAAAAATAATGTCAACGAGTCAAACACAAAAAAAAAAAAAAAAAAATAAAAATACCGCTCAACGATTAATAATTTTGCGGACCCCGCTGTATTTCCCTCTGAAACTCATCCCCCTTCTTCCCGTTGACAAACTATCGCGAAGCAATCACAATGGTTAAACCAATTATCGCCCCATCTATCTTAGCTGCCGATTTCGCCAACTTAGGCTGCAATTGTAAGAAAGTCGTTGATACCGGAGATGTCGATTGGTTACATATTGATGTCATGGATGGACATTTTGTCCCAAACATTTCTCTTGGTTCTCCTGTCATCACTTCGTTAAGAAAAGCATTCCCTCGTGATGATGCCAAACCAATTGTCTTTGATTGTCACATGATGGTTTCTGAACCTGAACAATGGATTGCCGATATCGCCAAGGCTGGTGGTGATCTGTATACCTTCCATTTCGAAGCTACTAAAGATCCTGCCAAGGTCATCAAGAAGATCAAAGAACATGGTTTAAAGGCAGCAATGGCTGTTAAGCCAGGTACTCCTGTTGAAGAGGTTTACCCATATGCTGCTGACTTAGATATGGTTTTGGTCATGACGGTTGAACCGGGATTTGGTGGTCAAAAGTTCATGCCGGATATGATGGAAAAGGTTGAGAAGTTAAGAGCTAAATATCCAAACTTGGATGTCCAAGTTGACGGTGGATTAGCCAAAGATACCATTGAACCAGCCGCTAAAGCTGGTGCTAATGTCATCGTCGCTGGTACTTCTGTCTTCAAGCCAGAAGATCCAAAAGAAGTAACATCATTCTTGAAGGATGCTGTTACTAAAGAAATTGCAGCAAGAGCTTCTGCTACTTCTTAGTAGTCATTATATAACTATTGTATTAAAAACTTAATATAAAAATATAGATAACCAAAGCCTAATGTACAAAAATGCAATGTAATAATTTCCTTAAAAACTTTGAACTCCCAAAGTGGTACCTTCGGCATCAGCCACAACAGAGTAACCATTCTTGGAGTGGTTTTCAATAACACTCCATAAAGCCTTCTTGATTTGATCCAACTTACTTTGTTTTTCTTCAACGGTTTCATTATCGATTTCCATGGTCACATCGTCACTCTTGGTCTTGATGTTAGCAGCAAAATATTTTTGGTTTCTAGCGATCTTCTTAGCTCTCTTCTTGGATAAGGTGACATTAGTCATAGTGTTTACTGGACCTGGAGTTTCACCAGTATATAATGCAAGGGCAACGGAATCAGTTGGTCTTGGTGCAGTAGTAGCTTTATCAGCGTATCTTCCAAGTGATGATCTGGTAGATGCATTAGAACGAGCGCGAGCAGCTCTTTTGCTTCCTAAATGTTTAGCATGACTGTTTGCATTCAACTTGATCTTTGGTTTATTTATATTGTTCTTTCCGGCCATTATTGTTGTATATTGAAAATGTTTATGTATGATATTGAATTTTCACAAACTCAAAAATATATAATCTCATCTTAAAAAAAAAAATAAGTTGATGCAAGCGCCAAAAAAAAAGGTTTCATTAGGATCAAAAAAATCTCCCGGGGGTGAGTCGAACACCCGATCTCAAGATTACTTTGAGGTACTCATTACAGTCTCGCGCTTTAAACCAACTAAGCTACCAGGAGTGATTTTTTTTCAAAAATTTTTGAGTGTTTTTGCCACAGTAACTATTCTTGGTTGTAAGTAATTTATCTGATAGCGGGATTACTTTAAGAGGAACATATCCCGCCACTTCAATCAGGATTAGGCAACTCCGAGATTCATTAAAACAAGTACCATTGAAGTATTACCAGTTTACTATTTTAACGCTGGTGATTCAGTTTCTCTTCTACGATTAATTTGGAGTCTTCACTACGCGTTTTTCAATTGAAATTCTAATATAAAATTTATACCATTTTTTGAACAAAATATTGCAAATTTATACATCACAAAAGTTATCGAAAGGATACGATGTTGCAAAAAAAAAAATGCCCCGTTTCACAACTGGTAAAATACCACTAGGGTTATTAATACCTACCGATTCCTAGAGGATATCATTAAATTCAGCTTAGCATCCCCTATATTGCTATCTTCTTAGACCTGTGCAGCTTTTCTTTGAAATATGCGAGACTAAGTTTTAGTTAATTTTAACAACTGTGGTGCCAATTGGACATGTGGCTATTGCTGAGATTCGCCCCGCTCTATCGCAAAAGATGGTGGCTGATATATATTGTTGCTACTGTCCGAACAAAGAAAAAAATGCAGTTCATGATAAGAATGGTTTAGAGATAGTGACTTGACCGATAATCATGTCAATAGACAGTGGTCACACAGTAGTTACAGACAAAGATAAAAAGGAATAGACCCATAAGCTTAGTCAAAGATATCCATATTAGGAAGCCACGTTCAGCATCTGAAGTCTCAATTGCAGCTTTTTCGATTGCTCCGTATCGTAAAACTCAGCCCCTGCTTAAATATTTTCCCGCGAGAACAAAGCCACAGTGAGAACCACCCCCTAAAAATCTAAACTATAATTTCAGTTGTATATAATGATACTATTTTCTCTAAGGTAAATTGTTTTCATCAAACTGTTTATGATCTAGTCAGACTTCAAATAAATATGTTTGACGAGAAATACGAAAGAATTGATCGAAGAAGTGGAACCAATTTCCACTACTTCCTTCTCTTACCATGCTTAGTCTTCTTTGGCTTCTATAGTTTATTCAACCATAGTGTCTTTGAGTTTTCCTTTACTGAACAAGACATTGATCCCAAGAAAGTTGTCTTGGATGCACTTGAAACTAATTTAGCCTCCAACTGGTCTAGAAAATACACCGCAGAACCTCATTTAGCCGGAACCAACTACGGTCTCGTGAAATGGACCGAAGAAAAATTTGCTGAATACGGGTTTGACACAACCATTGACCCATATGAGATTTATGTCAGTTATCCTAATGATCATGATTTAAATTTAGTTAATCTGAGTGGTGATGTGATTTACAAGGCACCTCTCAAGGAAGATGAATTAAAAAAGGATCCAACTACTAAAGGTAATGACACAATCCCAACTTTTTTGGGTTACGCTGCAAATGGTAACGTAACTGCCGAGTATGTATATGCAAACTATGGTACTAGAGAAGATTTCGATACTTTGAAGGAAAATAATGTTAATGTAACTGGCAAAATTGTCATTGTCAGATATGGAAAGATCTTTAGAGGATTGAAGGTAAAGTTTGCCCAAGACAATGGTGCAATTGGGGTATTACTTTATTCTGATCCAGGAGATGATCATGGAATTACTCCTGCCAATGGTTACAAGCAATATCCTCATGGCCCAGCTCGTCAAGAAAGTTCAGTTCAAAGAGGAAGTGTACAATTCTTGGGTGGAATTGGTTCGGCACCTGGTGATCCAACCACTCCAGGATATCCTTCAAAGCCTGGTGCTGAACGTCAAGATCCTCATGCCAGTATCGGTAAGATCCCTGCTTTACCTATTTCTTACCGTGAAGTTAAACCAATCTTGGCTAAATTGAACGGACAAGGGAAAAAGATCAAAGGATTTGAAGGTGAATTGGAAGGGTTCAAGTACTATACTGGTCCTAACAGCAACTATACCTTGAATTTGTATAATGACCAAATCTATAATATTACTACTATGTGGAATGTTTATGGTGAAATCAAGGGTGAAAAAACCGACGAGGTTATTATTATTGGTAACCATAGAGATGCTTGGATCAAGGGTGGTGCAGGTGACCCAAATAGTGGATCTGCTGTGCTTTTGGAAGTTGCTCGTGCGTTAGGGGAGTTGAAAAAGGCAGGTTACAAATTCAAACGTACTATTGTCTTGCATAGTTACGATGGTGAAGAATATGGACTTTTAGGATCTACTGAGCAAGGTGAATTCTTTGCTGATAAATATCAACGTGAAGTTATTGCTTATTTGAACTTAGATGTTGCTGTGAGCGGCAAACATTTCAAGTTGGGCTCATCTCCAGTATTAAACAAAATATTGCTTGAAATTGCTAAGGAGTTGGTTTACCCAGAGGAAGGAGTAGGATCATTATATGACCACTATGTTAAAGCTAAAGGGGGTGAACACATCCCAACTCTTGGATCTGGTTCTGATTACACTGTTTACTTAGAACATTTGGGTATTCCTTCCGTAGATCTTGGTTTCCAAGAAGGAAAAGAAGACCCAGTATACCATTACCATTCAAACTATGATTCATATTATTGGATTTCCGAGTTTGCCGACAAGGGATTTGTATATCACAATTTGGCTGCTAAATACCTTGCTCTCTTAACTCTTGGAATTAGTGAGCGAGAATTAATCAATTTTGGTTTACAAGATTATTCCAAGGGATTATTACTGTACTTGAATACCACCATTTCAAGAGTTCCAAAAGAATGGTTGTCCAAACCAATCAAACTTCAAGAATGTTATGATTGGAGCGACTCAGTTTATATCAGCAAGGTTACGAACGGTTACTATGCACCTGACCGCCCTCATGGTACACGTAGCATGATGATGAAGTATACGCTGAATTTGAAGAACAAACACACTTTAGAAACTGTTATTGATCATGCTTTTGAGAATTTGCATTCTTTGCATAATTCTACCTTGTCATTTGATGCACAAACTGCTTATTTGCAAGAGAAGTTTGAAGAGCCAAATCAGCCATTCTGGCAGAAAATCAGATTGCACTACCAAATTAAATACCATAACAAGTACCTTCAATATTTTGAACGTAATTTCTTACACAGCAAGGGATTACATGAACGTCCATGGTTCAAACATATTATATTTGCCAGTGGTAGATACACTGGTTATGCTGGTCAGAATTTGCCTGGTTTGAATGAAGCCATTGAAGATGAGGATTTTGACAGATTTGTGAGATGGTTAAAAATTGTTTCAAAGACTGCTAAGCGAGTTTCTAAACGTTTACATAACTAAATATGGACTTATTTTTTTTCACTTTACAAATCTGTGAATTTTTAAATTTCAGCTGTACATCGGCTTTATCGAATTAGAGTATAAAGTATAAATAAAGTACATCATTTTGTAATATTTTTGTATCATGAAAAGTTACATCAAAACTTCAAACCAAATCTAAAATTTTAAATTTACGACCTTTACAAAAGACGGATGGTAACCAACTTGAAACATTTCTTAAACCTTAATAAATATCAATATCAAAAATGGTGTTGAAATTGCTTGGGTTTATGTCATGCCACTTATACCTCTTGTGCCTCTATTTCACCCACATTTTTGCGATCGTAAATCCGACCGATCCATTATTTAAAATACTTTTTAAACGTTGTACATTGCAATCCAAATTCCAATCTGTAGCATATGCAAAAATTTTTAAAATTAATTTTCAGAGAATCAGCGGATTTTATGGTTTGTAACTTTGTAATAAATGTTATCGTTGCTACCTCAAACCTTCTCAATCTTATTACAAGATTGTCTTGATAAACTCACTGGATCACCTACTTCCAGTTGATTGACTTCATATTTGTTACAATTGACTAGTAAATCTAGAAAATTAATAAGAAGCTAAAGTATTGATAATGGTTGCAAGTCCACCAAGGCTCAGAATACCTTCCAGGTTCTTCTCTAAACTGTCTAGAATGCAGCAAAAACCATTGCCAAGAATCCAAGTACTTGCTCATAGTTCTCCTTCTTCTTCAATTCCTGATAAAGGTTCACAAAAGAGATTTACAGCTAAGGGAATGTCTCCACCTTTACTGCCTGAGCAAACACCAGATTCAAAATGTCCCTTTTGTCAAGAGTTATTAACGTTGTCGTTACCAGGTGAGGCAATCGTAAGATTATCTTGCGATCATTCAGCTCATAAGAAATGCCTAGAATTGATGTTTGATGCAAAGGATATAACTCAGTTGCCAAAATGTGGGATATGCAACCAATTTACGAGATGCTGCGATGATAATGCCCATAGTGATATGATTGATGACTTGATAAGTAAAAACAAAAGAGGCGCTACATCTTCAGAGTCATCAAATTCTTCATATCCCTGTTCAACTCCTCAAACACCAAAGGGAACGGCTTGGTTACCAACACCACCGACCACACCAAAGAAATTTACAGTATTGGCTCCCCAGGTTCATCTCATAAGTGAATTCGATGAAGTTAAAATCAAAGATGATTCATCATGCAATTTAAGGTATATTATCAACGTGAAACCACCCAGAGTGTACAAGAGCCATGAAGAATGTTCTACTGATAAAGATTTGAAGTTAAAAGTCCTGCAACACATTTTGGAAAAGTTGAACCTTGATTTTGACGTAGGAAATTTAGTTATGTTTGATAAATTAGAAGTAAGTGCCAACGGAAATGAATGGGAAGAGGTCATAGCCTATCTTTTTGAAAGTCATTTATTATTTTACGATGGCGATTCACTAGCTGGAGCTATTGCAATGGAAGAAGATATGCATAATGTGAACTTTGACAAAGTATTGACTCTCAATTTAACCAAAGAAACATTACCAGAGTTGCTGATAAAACACGATAACCCTTTAGTTACAACTAAATGGGAATGGGTATTAAATAAGGTAATACACAATTCATTGAACTTTTCAGATATTAACTTATTCAAATTCTCAAGCACTTGCTGGGTGGATTACAAGGATCAATTTTCCCTTGATCCTGATTTGATTGAATTTTCGGCAACAGTTATAGAGAACGAGACCATTGCAACCCGTTTTCAAGAGAAAGCAGTTCCTAAACCACAAGAGTTGGATCTCAATTTAATTGTTGCTGTGCCGCTTGTAAATGAAACAAATCTAACCGATGAAGAATACAAAGCTAGGGTTCAGGACGCTCTCTTTATGATTCTTAGAACTCTCAGGAAAGGAGATAAATTAGGGTTGATATTTGTTGGAATTAACAACAACAGACAAGCAGCTAACAATGGAACCTTTGTTGGTTGTATTGAAAGTGGGTGGGATGGTTGGAAAGAACTTATTGATGAAATTCAGATTGTTGCCAATTCATTCACAGAAGGAATCGAAGAATTCAGGATGTGTTTTAAAAAATGTTTGGACATATATCCCCATATTCCGATTACTTATACCAATATCAACAAATTGTTTATTATTAATGCTAATACTTATTTGATGCAAGAAGAAATAGACAACAATGTTGAGAATTGTGAAAACTTAAAGAACGCAATTGATAATTTAAATGAAAATTTATCAATTACTATAATTAGAATCGATTCAGGCTACAATTCAGCTGTGAATACTATTCATAATTTGATTTCTCAGGGGTTTAGTGTTGGTCCCCACTTGGTACGATACAGTTCATTCGAAGAATTTATTCAATTAGGTGAAGATTCAATTAGAAATTTGATTCAACAGATTTGTATTCCTAAATTGTCAATAAATCTTAAGTTAATGAATCTTGATGTTACATTTGATCAAGTTGAGATAAATAGTGTGCTCATCAATGTCACTGAATGGCGCCCAGAATTGCATATTATAGTCAAGGATTTGATTCCTGATAGCGAAAGAAACATTATGTTTAAAGTTCATCTTGATTTACCTAAAGATAAAATAGAACAACAACATCAAGTTATTCCAGTGTTTGAATATAATTACCGCTGGCTTGAAGAAGAAAGTGAAAAGAAAGTCATGAATATCAAAGTGACTCAACCAGTTAGCCAAGAATTAACTCCACCACCGCTAGATTCTCTTTTTGAGGTTGATTCTGAAGAAAATAGTACAAAAATATTTTTGGATATCCCATTATTACCACCTCTCTCGCCAAGCCGAGATCATAAGTTTGCTAAAAGAGAAACTGAAATGCAAATCATCAAATCTCTAAGGTTAGCAAGTGAAACTAGTGCCGAGCAAGCTAAAGAATTGTTGAACAAATTAATATCATTAGTTTATGGATTTACAAGGGGAGTTCAGTGCCAAGAAGAACATGACGTATTTCAGCATAGTTCAATCAAAGGCAGTTCCACGAACATTGCTCTCAATCCTGAGATTAGTTTACCAACCAAAATTGAAGCTATGAAGAAGCAAGCTTTTCAAAATGATCAAGCATACTTTGAGTTCTTGATAAACAAGATCAAAGAAGTTATAGAAAGCTTCAATGGATCACTAGATCTTGCGCATACGAGATGTCTTGATCTAGCAATTAATCTCATGTGATCTAAAAGGAAGATCATAATGGGGGATTTTTCTCCTGGTTTGTTTTCATATAGCCTAATTTAGGAGATATTATTTTTTTTTGTGCGGCTTTTGGTTGCATGAAATTATGTCACATAACGACATGGCTGGCTGAAACTGAAATCAATTGACTACACGGATATATATATAATAAGTATAAATGATTTAGATTTTAAATTTGATCTGTTTGTTCTGTATCTTCTTTCCCTATTACATCATAATTCAAAATGTCGATTCAAATCCGTCCCTTTACCGTTACTTCAAATTTATTGGCATTGTCCTTGGCAGGGCTTTCGCAGTCAGCTTCAAATAACTTGGGAAGTCTTGACAGCTGGGCAAACTCCCAAGGAAATGATTCCGATGATTCCAGCAACAACGATGATGAAAGTGATAAGAAGAACAACGATGATGAAAGTGATAAAAAGAACAACGATTCTAATCAAGCAACGCAAAAGCAAGCCGCCGACACAACTCAGAATGCACAAGCTACTCAAGCTACCCAAGCTGATCAAACAGCTGTGACTGTGGGAAATACTCAAGCGACTGCTCAACAAACTGAACAAAACACTGGATTAGTTACAGTAACTGGTTCACCTACTTCTTTAGCTGCTGCCGTAACCACTGGTACTGCCACTACTCAAAAAACTACAGATACTGCTGCTACAAATACAAAAACTTTTAACCAATGGGGATTCACTGGTTCCAACTCTGTCTGGATTGATATTGGTTCTGAAGCTACTTCTGCCACGAATATGAAACTGGGAGCTACCACTTTAAGTACGTCTAATAAAAATTCCAAATCAGACTCTTCAACAACTGCTAGTGTTACAAAGGCATCTGGAGCTCAAAGAAATGGGGGGTTTGTAGGTGACAACCGAGACCTTAGTTGGAAGAAATCCTTATTAATTGGTGGTGTTCTTGGAGTAAGTTTATTCTTAAATGCATTGTAGGGGAATATATTTCTCTACCCTTTCTATTATTTATATGGTATCTATGTGGTTTTTTTTTTTCCTTTCTTTCTATTTATAAGCTTCTTTAGTATATGGCTGGGCAAAATAAAACAAAAAGTATTTTCTGTTTGATCAGATCGGATTACAAAAAAAAAAATGAAACACTGCGAAAAATCAAGAGGAAGTAATAAAACAAAATTGACTCATTCAAGAGAGACAAGGTCTACGGATACATTCCAGTCCAATTCAAGTACAACAATCCGAAGATTCTTGACATACACATCACTGCTAGACAATTATATTGCAATGTCCGAGATTCGAGAGGTAGAAATGAAAGAAGCAGCTGGCCATACAGAGCGCAGGCAACCCCGCCATCACGAATACAAGGATGATGACCACAAGAATAAGGACCATTACAAACATCATTATCACAAGAAATCTAATGAAGGTCAATTAAATTTCCGCAACCGAAGTTTTGAACGTGACCACCCCTCAAAAGTGGCCAAACGTAAAATTCAAGTACTTGAAATCCATCAGGAATATAGAGAGCGTGTTTCTACCCACCTACAAAGCCTACCAAAATTCAAAACACTAGACGATATTGGCTGGCTTGCCATGCCCATGTACGATAATGTAGTTGATCAATATATTTCCGACAATGCAAATTTGACCTCAAACCCCAGACTAACGGATAAAACTACCAGGAACAGGTTTATTGAAAATATGAGAAGTGTTTACGGTAGGAAAAGTATACTTTTCAGTGTTGATGTTGAGGCTTGGGAATTAGATACCAATATTATTACAGAAATTGGAATAGCGATTTATGATCCTCGTGATCAGCAAGTGGCTATGATTCCAACGTTTCAACAAATTCATATTAGAATAAAGGAAAACCTTTATAAACTCAACGGGAGATTTGTTCCAGAACACGCTAGCAATTTTAATGGTGGAGTATCATATATTATGACTAAATATGAAGCAGGTTCGTTTGTTCAAAGTTTGGTTGATTATTATTTTTCAAAGACTAAACAAGACATTGGTAGTTTTTTAGTTGGTCATGATTTACCTGGAGATATAAAATGGTTGACCACATTAGGAGTGAAGTTTCCATCAAATTTGAGTAGATTAGATACTGTTCACTTGTTGGCTTTAACTCTAGGCAAACAAGGTACAAGCCTTGGGAACGCACTTAATATGGTTAAGATCCCTCACGCATTTCTTCACAATGCAGGAAATGATGCATATTATACATTATTATTAGCAATGACATTATGTGATCCGCAATGCAGAATCAAATTTAATTTAGACGTACTTCGAGTTAAGGAAGGCCCAATATTGACCAAGGAAGAGAAGTTGGCAAAAAAGGAACTTAAGAGGCAGCAGAGAATGGAAGCGAAAGAAAAGGAAGCCAAGGAAAAGGTCAAGAATGGCACAGAAGAAGAAGAAGAAGACAAAGATAATGTTTCAGGTACCTTAGCCAATTCAATTGAAGAAGTAAATCTACTGAAAGACGAGATACCTACCGAAGCCAGCGGTAATGGAGATTGCACAAAGAATAAGATAGATGTTGTCAATAAACCAAAGAAAAAGTCCAAGAAGAAACACCCTTCAAACATTGCAGAATCTATAGAGATAACTACAGCTATTGATGCTTCTTTAAAAATTTTCAGCAACGAGTCATCCATTAATTTAGAATAAACTATTGGTTTGATCTATAAGAGTACGTTCAAATGTTTGTAATAATTCCAGAATTTGTAGTAACAACCCAGCGCATAAACTCTTTACCTTTTCATCAATAAGTGTCTCCCAGGTAATCATTAACCAACTTTGAATAAGAATTAATTCGTCGTGGTGATAAGAAATCAAATATTGACCGTCTATAATATCAAAGATCAAGAGAATACCCGTGACTATACTTTCTATTAATTGCAACTGATCTGACGATAACCTCCGAATTATTGAACAACTTAAGATAAGAAACTCCTTCACCATATCTCTTAGTTGTGTTGAAGAAGGATAGGAACAATGAATTATCAATACTAATGTCTTAATATAATGTGCAATGAATATTGGAGAATAATGGCCAATATCAATGGAACCTGCTTCATACCATACATTCAACAATGGGAAATAGAAATTAGTAGCAATTATTTTAAAGTAATTACTAATAACTGGTGGATCAGCTTGTTGTTTTGGTTGTTTCTTTAGTTTGGCAGAAATTCTTACTAATTTACCCTTGCCAAGTATTTCATCTTGTGCCTTTGACGAAGCTTCTTCCATTAGTGAATTCTGCAATTCTGTATGGATATTGTCAATATATTTAGTGTTATCAGCTTCCAATTGCATATATTTGTTATGTAAGCTTTCAGGAAGCATTTGTGATGGAAAATTGATTTGTTTGAATGATTTGGTAACAACATCATCTTTGAACCCTCTAAGTTCTCTAGCAGCTAATGAAGTTGCTGATAATATCTGCATTCTTTGTTGCAAGGAATAATCACCAGTTAGAAGCAATTTGAAAACGTAGAAAGTAATATTAGGATTAGCAACAATCACGGCTATTAAGTTGTTTAGTTTCAAAACTTCAAAATCTTTATCATTAAAATGGTTATTCAATGCAAGTAGTGATGAGAATAAATCTTCCAGGAAGAATTGTACTTCATTTCCACTTCGAGATTTTCTTCGAAGTAAGGTTGGTCCTTCAGTCAATGCCTTACGTCTCATTTCATAAGCGTTATTATCCTTTGTGTCAACATTCAAATATTGCAACAAATCCTTGATATAAACTGGGGATTGGACATCAACCTGTGGTGGTATGGAGGGATCATCATCTTCGGATTCATCATCAGAATTGACTTGTTGAACAGATAGATTTGAGATTTCAGAGGAAATAGTAGTTATTTCTTCCTTTTCTTCTTCTTCAACATATGGAGCTTTTATATTGTTCCAGGCTTCGGATTGTCCCATTGTCCTGATTTCAAGAACAGATTCAACAAGATTAGAGTAATTATCAACACTGTCATTGAATTTAAATATCTTTTCCTCTCCATTTAAGATGCAAACATGATCAGCTACAGCCACACCTAAAGCCTTGACATTGTCAGAAAAAGACAGGAGCCTTTTTGTTATAGCATCCAAGAAAACTTTGCTCTTTACAAGTTGCTTTAAAAATTCAGAACCCTTTCTTCGCGACAATATTTGGAGCAATATATGAGTTCTTGATTCTTGAATTGCGATAGGTTCATTATTCACTGATTCCTCACTTGACCAGCTCGACAAAAGTTGAAATATTAATGAATTTAGTTGAGTTTCAGGACAATCGTTAAGTACCATAGCAACGAGTTTGTTCAAATCCCGATTTCCACAAAGAATAATTGATTCCACCGTCAGTGAATCCAAGTATTCATGAGAAAAATTGAGAATATTATACAATCCAACTAGTTTTTCAGGAGATACATTTGGTTGTAAATGTATTTTAGATATGTACAAGGTATAGAACTTCTTTATTAAGTTCTTCTTTTCAAACTTCTTCATCAAAGCGAAGGAATCAAGGAAATAACCCCAGTTTTCTCTAGTAAAGAACACATCAAAAAATTGATTAAATGATTCACCTCCACTAAATTTCAAAATTGAATTCATGTAATTGGTTGTAATGATTAAGTCACACTTATTTTGGTACAACTTTAATAAGGAACTCGTCAAATAGTAAACATAGTTAGCAGTAGATTCTAATGCTTTATTATCAACTTCTAAATTATTAGATATCAAAGCTTCATTAACTATGGAAAACATTTTACCTTTAAAAAAAAACTTATCAATTTCTTTAATCTCCAATGGTGAAGAACTTGTTCGTATTAATTCAACAACTAATTTGTCATCAATCAATTCTTGTAAAAATTGCCAATATATTTGCAAGACATCTTTGTTTTCATGGGAACCATCTTTAAATACAGCAATAACATTCACAAGATTGCTGATACCAATCAAGGATTGAAAAACTTTGATTAAATTTATATGAACTTCATTTGGTAATGACAGGAAAATCTGTGGAATTGTATAGTTAAGCAAAGTTGATATGAGTTGTAATGGTGGATTTTTATTAGTCAGTAGAACATCGATAAGAATCCCATTAACTTTATCAATATTAGGATAGTTCTTTAGCACTTCTATATTTGTTTCCATTGAAGTGTGTTCAGTGTTGCTAATAGGAAAGACCAAAAAGTTAGGCTCGTAGTTTTTTGTTGCCAAAAAAAACAAAAATGCTGCTCTCTATGAGAAATTTAGCAGTACCATGAGGTATGTACCACACATTTTAGAAACAAGAACAAACGATTCTTCATAGTAACGCTTAAGAAATTACCTAATGATTAGATTGATATTGCCCTTAGAATAACCTCTTCTATTTAGACTCAAAGAAAGGAGTGTGGTAAGAATGAACCAATCTGTTATAGTGTAAATAAAAAGAAACCAAAACCACGAGCTTGGACGCGAAAATATAAAATTAAAACTTTTTGATCTAACGCGAAGAGAATCAGGTTCATAGACGCGAAGCAGCAAGCAATGCTAGCACAACAGTTTAGAACTATTGGAAGGAGAAATAACTATTTTGTGAGCATGGGTGTGGAATTTGGGAAAAGAGCAAACTTCTCTAGGAAATCATCAACTGCTGGGGTGTACCATGGTAATTCGCAAAAGCGAATATTTGATCCGGCACCAAGACTCCGTAGATATGAAACAGATATAAACTTACAAACGGAGTTGAGTCCCGAAGCTGATTTGCTCAAGAGTAGGTTATTAGAAGGAAAACCCTTGAGTTTAGACACATACTTGCAAAGTGATCATTTTAATTTTGGTGAAAAGCAAGTCAGCTCATTACAACTACTAGAAGAATACATGAAGTTAGTGTGGTCAAAAGATAAACCTTTGGTATCCATAGACTGTGAGGCATATGAACACGCTCCAAAGAAGATCACTGAAATCGGGGTGTCTATACTTGACCCAACAAAGTACAGTTTATCGCCCCAAATTCAAACTATTCATATTGTCATTAAAGAGCATTTATCTCTTCGGAATGGAAAATATGTAGCTGATAACAAGAATAAATTTATGGGAGGAATATCCCATGTATTGTCAATCAAAGAAGCAAACAAGATGATGCAATTATTGAGTCAAAAATATCTTGTTGATAAGAAAGGGATTTTAGTTGGTCATCATGTTGGAAGTGATATTGGGTTTTTGAAATCACTTAAAATTTCTCTTCCTGAGGATATTGACCAAATTGATACGTTAAAGCTTCACAAAATCTCGAGAAATAAAGGTGGCTCTTTACACATGATATTGAAAGCATTAGGTATTCCATATGCTCATCTTCATAATGCCGGAAATGATGCATATTATACCTTATTAGTAGCCCTTGCATATTGTGACCCTGTTGTTAGGTTAGATAAGAATTTGGATGTTTTGTTAGATGGTACAAAAACAGTACAAGTGCCAGTTGACCATAAAGATAAAGCTTTATTTTACTCAGTTGACAGTGCTACTCAACTTATGCAAGATTTGTTTTAAATAGAACATATACGATAAAATATACCCACTTAAATGTCTTATCTTGGATATTAATCAACTTTTTTTTTTGATAGTTTTGGGTTATACGGCATTGTTGAGAGCGAGCATTATCTTTAATTAATTTCAATTAATTTTTTATTTTTCTTTTCTCTTGCTATTTTGTATACTAATTTTACGACACGAGTCAGACCCTATTTCAGGTGGGAGTTTCTGGCGATCTCTTATTGTTGTTGTCTTTGTTACTTTTGTTGTTTCTTCCTTCATCTACTCCGAATTAGACGATTCTAAAGATATTAGCATATACCCACAAACAGAATTTTGAGTCCACACCCCCACCCATCCACTTGTTTTTTTGTTTTTCTTACTAGCCGAGATTCACTTTTTTTTGTTGTAGGTGTTTTGGTGACTGCCCTTTTAAGACAAGTTGTCAATATATATCCGCCAAACATTAGTCTGCTTTTCAACAACAGGATCCCATAGATAATGACTTCGTATGGGCAACATCCAGATGAAAACTCCCATTTACTAGCATCTAGGCGGCCTTCCTTAGCATTCTTGGATACCCCCATTGGGTCGTTCAAGGGCCCAAACTCATTGCATAATTTTGCTAGTTCTTTTACCAGAGCTCAATCATTTGCAGCTACAAAGATAGACAATGACATTCATAAGAAAAGATCGTTTTTCACAGGAGGAGAGGATGACGGAGAAGCAATCGATGATGAAACTTTTGATCCTGAGCTTATGATTCCTTCCATTCGTGGTGAAAGATTGAGCACAGTCATCCATGACCTCCAAAACAAAAACCAATTATTTATGAATGATGAAGTAGACAATGAAGTGTTTTATCATGATGATATCATGAGTGCGTTATATGAGACCAGATCAAGACAATCGGCAGATCATGCAACGGTACCACCTAGTGCTATACCTACCCTTCGTAAGAGACCATATGGAGCTTCCTTTTCCAGTATACGGTCAGCTATTTCGACAGCTACTTCAGCCTCGCATGTTACCTTAAAGAAAATCGAAGACAGTGAAGGAAATGTTGTTACCGTATTAGCTGGTCAATCTACTGCTCCACAAACTATATTCAATTCTGTCAATGTTTTAATAGGAGTTGGACTTTTAGCCTTACCAGTTGGAATAATGAAAGCAGGATGGATCCTAGGGATCCCTATTTTAGTTCTTTGTGGATTGACTACATACTGGACAGCATGTTTATTGTCCAAGGCAATGGATACGGACTATACTATTATGACATATGCTGATTTAGGATATGCAGCTTATGGATCTACTGCCAAGTTGATTATTTCCTTATTGTTTTCAGTGGACTTATTAGGAGCCGGAGTTTCTTTAATTGTGTTGTTTAGTGATTCATTATATGCATTATTAGGAGATGACCAAATCTGGACCAGAACAACGTTCAAACTAATTAGTTTTCTTGTGTTGACTCCATTTACATTTGTTCCCTTACCTATATTATCTATAATCTCGTTATTTGGTATATTATCTACCATTTCGATTACAATTTTGGTTATGATTTGTGGATTTTTAAAACCTACATCGCCAGGATCTCTTTTACAAATTATGCCAACTAATTTATGGCCCCAATCCATACCAGACTTTTTATTAGCCATTGGTATTTTGATGGCTCCATTTGGTGGCCATGCTATTTTCCCCAATCTTAAAAGCGATATGAGACATCCTTATAAATTTAACAAGACATTGAGATATACTTATTTTATTACATTAATTACCGATTGTTCTATGGGAGTATTAGGATTCTTAATGTTTGGTAATAAATGTAGTAATGAAATTACCAACACATTACTATTAACTCCAGGATATCCAGTTTGGTGTTATCCTTTAATCAGTGGATTAATATGTATAATTCCCTTGGCTAAAACTCCATTGAATGCTAAACCAATCATATCAACCTTGGATGTTTTGCTCGGTGTTAACAATATAACCACTAGTTCATTTAGAAAAGGGTTGAATTCAATTGGGAAATTTTTCATCAGAGTCGGTGTTAATGCAGTGTTTGTTATATTGGCGATTTTGTTTCCCGAATTTGATAAAATCATCGGCATGCTCGGGGCATCCATTTGTTTCATAATTTGCATAATCTTACCATGCACTTTCTACCTTAAGTTATGTGGGGGAAACATCAAAGGATTTGAAAAGTTTATAGTCTGGGCAGCAATCATTATATCTACTATATTGGCCTTTGCAGCAACTTATGCTGTCATTTTGTTTTAAGTGGGGGTGGTGAAGATGATGATGATAACCCGCTAGGCTTTTTTTTTTTCATAACGCAACAATAAACGACAAATTACGATAACCATAATCTTGCAGAACTCGGTGTTAAACAATTAAACTTTAACTATATCAAACATTATTTTTTTTTTTAGATTGCACCACTTAATTTTGTTTCTAATCACTAATATATGAAGTCAGCATACCTTTAGCACGTTCTTTGTAGATTCATAACCGTTGTGGATTACTTTTATTTTTTGTGGGGGGAAGCGTTCCCACCTTCCCAATCAGGAAAACCGCGCTATCTCGTATCTTTGTCTTGACTAATCAGTCATTTGTTGATGACTAATCACTATATAGAGGGTCCTATAGGTCGTTATCAAATATAAAAGAACCAAGAAAGTCCTATCTATTATCCCCTGTTGTAAATATAGTACACACAAAACATTGAAAATAACATGTATATTCCTAAGAATTATTTAGAAGAAAACTGGGAACAAGTTGAATATTTAGTTAAGAAATATCCTCTTGGTACCGTTATCACTACTGCAGAGGATGGAACCATAATTGCCAATCACATTCCTTTCTTTCTTAGACAAGATGAAGAAACCGGTAAGAAATATTTGATTGCTCACATGGCCAAGGCAAACCATCAACTTCCAACTTTGAGAGCTTATGAAAATGTCTTGGTGGTTTTCCAATCACAGGATACTTACATTACTCCTAATTATTACCCAGGTAAACAGGAAACTCACAAGTACGTTCCAACTTGGGATTTTGCCTGTGCTCACATATATGGAAACTCACGGATTGTCGATGATGCTGACTTTGTTAGAGATCAAATTACTAGATTGACAAACCAACAGGAAGCTGGTAAACCCGATGCTTGGAAAGTTAGCGATGCCCCAGAAGGGTTTTTAAGAGCTATGCAAAAGGCTATCACAGGACTTGAAATCGAAATCACTAGAACTGAATGCAAGTATAAGATGGAACAAAAGATGAAGAAGCCTGATATCGAAGGGGTAATTGAAGGTTTAGGTAATGATGGCCAAGAGGCAATCAAGAATTTGGCCATCGATGCTAATAAGAGATACGATGCCAAGAAAGCTATTTAGAAAAGTACAACCCAAATATTAATAATACAAAATATGAAGAGTATATAGTCGTTTGTTTAATTTATTTTCTTTTTTTTTATTTACATTCCATATAATAATACAAAGGAAGAACAACTAAACAACCGAGAGATATCTATGCATTGAATTAGTACGGGGTAAATCTGGCACCGCCTCTAAATGCTCCTCTTCCCCTTCCCCTTCCTCTTGGAGCACCTCTAAAGGAACCTCTACCTCCTCTTCCTCCTCTGAATGCACCACGCTTAATTCCAATTCCGGGAATATTTGTTCTTTTAGCACTGACTTTTAATTGACGATCTCTAAACATTGATCCGTCCAAAGTGGCTACCGCTTTGTTTACACCGTCCACATCAGCAAATTCTAAATACGCAAACCCCTTAGGTTGACCAGTATGCTTGTTCATCAAAATTGTGACTCTATTGACAATTCCACAACTCGAGAAATGTTGTTGTAACTCCAATGGAGTCGACCCATAGTCTACATTACCGATATAAATAGATCTAGCGTCAACATCTCTTTTTTCTTCATCGGTTTGTGGAGTAATACCACTCATGGCAGTGTCATTGCTTAATTGAGAATGGAGCTCTCTTAATTTGGCTGCTTCCCTTTCCATTTCTTCAATTCTTTCTCTATTTGATTCATCTTGTTCAGGGTGTATTATCAAACTAACATTGGCATCTGGAGAGGTTTGATCTTCAGAATTACCATGTTCATAAGCTGGCTGTTCTTGCTGATGGTCAGGATAATGCTGTTGCTGTGAAATTGGTACCTCGTCTGACATATTTTATATTATCGCTGCTTTCTTCTAATGTAAGGCAATGGGGTGGTTTGAAATGAGATTGAAAATTTCAAACGAAAGAGTGAGAGAGAAAAAACGCACACAAAGCAAAAGAAAAAAAAAACTAAACGGATAGTGTTACCCGGAACAAAATATACTAGCAATAAATATTCTTTGAACTATACACTCTAAAATTGAGAGAGACCAGGTATATTCCTATCTCTACTCAAGGTATTCTTAGCACTATTATTGATGTTGCGAGGCAAGGTTTGACTGCTTTCTGTCTTTTGCAATACTGGAACACTGCTTCGACTTGGTAAGTTAATTGACCCATAATCCTTTCTTCTAATCTTCTTTCTTTTCACGTACGTTGGCAATAACTGTTCACTCTCGGTACGCAAAACATCAACATCAGTTTCGTATCCTCGGTCATAAGGGTGGAACTCATCATCATCGGTAAGAACACTCATGAATCCAGAATCAGCCCGAGGAAACAAGAGAGGGTTTTCTTCGGGCATTAATCCCCGTTTTCTTCTACCACCAAGACAAAATACAAACCCAATTAAAACAGCTCCAAATAATAGCAATCCTAAAATTACACCCACACCAACACTTATGAACCCAAGATGAATATGCAAAAATGTATCGCCGTCGTTTGGGGGATTAAGCCATTCTAAATTCAATGGCTTATCTATAAGGAACACACACCCAAGATTTTTGGTATTATTATCCCCCTTGTACATTGAAGTACATCCATGTGACAAAAGTCTAACTTCATGATTCTTGTTGTAAGATTGCAGTTTCACAGTTGAGTTCTGCTCTAGCTTTTGAAATTGTAAGTAGATTTTATTGTTTGTTTTGTAACGGCATGCTAATCCAGCATCAGTATAATTGGTTCTAATAATATCATCATCTGTTATGTTGTCGAACGAGTCATAACCTCCATTACCAGAAATACAATTCAATAGTTTGCTAACTTCTTCATTAGGAACAAGGTGGAACTCGATGAAATTCATGAGGTCACTGAAAGACGTGGTGATATTGAAATCCTTCAATGCCTCCAGACTAGGTATCAATAACGAGTATGGTGTAGTGGTAGTGAAATTAGAATGACCTAAACCTAACGCCTCTCTGATTTTAGGAAACATTTTCAAAAGATCAGCAAAAGAATGGTCTGGAAAATTAGAATCTAAAGTCAAGTTGATCAATTCTTGTAATGGAATATGGAAAGATTCAGGCAACAAAAGTCTATCAACGACATGAATAACCCCTTGATTAAAAAGTATATCTGAATTTATTGGGATGGAGATTTCAGTATCATTTACTTTGATGACATTGTTACCATCCTCATCTCTTTCAACATGTTTCATTTTAACATCATATCCATTCATATCTTCCAAAGTTATAGATTTCTTCTTGCCAGTCAACCCAAAATCTGAATATATATCATCTTGAAATATCATGCCTCCCAAAATCTCCTTGAAAAGTTTTGGGTTAGCTTCAAGATAATTTAATGCCAAACCCAATTCCTTCCAAAGACCGGTAGTCTTGGCTTTATGGGCACCAATACTAGGAATACCACATGGCAACAATACTGAATAGCCATCCCCATTATCATCCAATGAACTTAATCCAAAGTTATTCAAATATTCTAATGTTCTAAGACAACTTTTCTTATCAATTTCTATATTCTCAAGATGTCTATGGATCTTGCCTTCGGATATTAAATCACCCAAGGCATGTTTTAATGATGTAGGTGGGTCAATTTCACCTTGTGCTAAATATAACACGGTTCCATTTCCGATTTCTATTGGACCACCAACAATATTCACGTCATCATTGATTGTAGTTTCCCGAACACCATTGGATAAAGACGTGGATAATTTAAGTTTGAAACAACCTCCTACTTTCCTTTTCGAGCAAAGTAAACTTTCGACCAATCTATAACTATTTTCTTCAAGATATATTGGATCGGATGCAAACTGGTAGAGTAGTTGCTGTTTGGAACTGAAACTGAGAGTGTTTTGAATAGTAACCGATGACTCGTCGTCTGAAGTATCATCACGCAGATCCATATTAACAAATAAGGTTTGGTTTGCCGTAGACCCATCAACTAATTCATCAAGTGATCTAAAGTTTAATTCTTTAACAAAATTAGAAAAATGCATGGCATAAAGTGATTTCCTTGGGATTAATTCAACAGTTGGAAGATTCAAATCATTAAAGAATGAATGCTTTTGGGTATCAAATATATGTACAACTCCATCAGATAATACTTTTGTGTGATTACTGTATGCTCTGTTATTCAAAATTATTCCATCACCTTCTTTATTCAAATTAATTTCTAATTTAATTCCAGCCTTGGATTTTATTTGGGTATCGGTGCCGTTAACTCCGGCAATTAATCCAGGAACCATTAAATTGGACAAAAGGTTGAATATATCTCTGTCTATTTCTTTGATGGCTTCATCCGTGGTTGAAAAAATAGTGGTGGTGAACGAATGGTAATTGGCAAGATAGTATCGTATTTGAAGTTCAGACAAAGATTGCTCAATATAATCATCAGTAGGAATCATAACTGTTTCAAAACCTTTAAGAAATTCTTCACAAGTTTCAGGAATGGGAGGTTCCTTTGGTACTTCTTCCTTTTTCTTCTTGCTTTTTCTCTTCTTGTTCTTCTTCTTGTGTTTCCCACTTGACTTCTTCTTACTCTTCTTACGTTTGGATGTCAGGAAGAACACGCCTTCTTCATCCTCATCATCATCATCATCCTCAAGGTACAACAGTTGAAATAAATGCTTGATAAATGTCATACGATCCAAAGGCAAATCCAGTATGTCGGCATTATCCAATAAAACTTCACACAAGGATGGTTTCAAAGGGAGCAAATGATCTATACCCTCTATAAATGAATGTTGGTGTTTGGCATAGATATCTGGTTCAACTATACTGGCAATGTCATCAACTAGATACTCATATGTTTCAAAATCAGGGGTTACACTGATAGGATAGTAAACTCCGGAACCTTCCTCAGTTTCATATAATGTATCAAACAAGACTCGTTTCTTGCCAAGATGCCCCACTCTAAATTTCGGACTAACAATATATCTTAATAATTCATTGTTGCCTATTTCATAGTCCTTCGCGTGTACAAACGCCAGGTTAATAGGGGCTAATAAGGTAACATTCAGCAATGTATTCAATACTGGAATCATACCCTGTCTTTGAAGATGTCGCAAAAAATACGAATACTGTGGTTGTGAGGATAGTATATCAACAAGTGTCGATGGTGTGGCAGAAGGCACGTCTGTTGTAGACGAGAATTCAGTTGGTGTTGCAACAACGTGTGGTGAGCCGCGCCACGAATCACCAGCTAATGTGGTCTCTGACATTGCCATGACCAGCATAAGCAAGATCCATAGTACACTTAACCACTGCATAGAATCGTAAAGTAAAACTGAGATTCAAACCAACTTGAAAAGAATAAAAAAAATTTGTGTATTGTTTTGTTTTGGTATGGGTCGAAAGGTCAAAATGGGTATAAGGCCTCGTGCTCTAATATAAAAGATTATAATTAATAAATAAAAAAAAAAAAAAAAAAAACTGGGTCGTGCAAAATGACCAAAGTAATTTGACAACTTTTTATTTTTTTGTCAGTCCAATCCTTGCCTCGTTTTTTCGCTTATAATTTTGTATGACACAGAGCAGAAAACGAAAGTCAATAAATTGAAGCAGGCTTACGCTGGTTAAAAAAAAATTGTGTAGTTTCATGTTAATCATATATCATCATCACTGTTTGACAAATGAGTTTTTCAAGTTCGCGTGATTCCATGTCAACTGGAGCTGATGTGGAACGGCGCGCATCTTTATCGGGCGGAAGTATGATCCGACGTCGTTCCAGTATCGAAAGTACTAGATTACAACGAAGAAGAACAATCGAAGAAGCATTTACCGAAGTAGCCGCCGAGAATGTTGCGCATGCATTACCTGAAGGATTCAACGCAAAGTTTGCTGATTTTAGAGAAACTACATTCTTGGTCAAGACTAAGAAATATCATACAATTATATGGAACATTATCCACGGAGCTATATGGGGTGTTCTCGTTAGACGAGGTTTAACCGCATTAACTTCATACAACGGCTCTTATTTATCAGGTGTAGTCTGGGCTAATTTCACAGCATGCGTCGTTATGGGAATAGCCGTAGATGGTGAAGAGCTTTGGAGTATTCTTGTGGATGACCATGCAGATATTTACCCTCACAAGGGTGCGATTCCCTTATATACAGGTATTACCACGGGATTCTGTGGAACCGTATCTTCATTCAGTTCGGTCATTCTAGAAGCATTCAATAAAGCGGCTGATACTGAAATAGGAATTCATTACAACTATCCCAATGGGGCCTATGGTATCATGCAGTTTCTCGCAGTTATATTAGCACAATTTGGATTATCCATTATGGGTTTCCATATAGGGAAACAAACACTGGCAGTGATCGATAATTACGTGAGACCAATAACTAAGCGTCAATATAAAATTATAGAGTATATTTCTGTAACAACAGGAGTTTGTTTGGTCATTATTACCTGTGTTTTAATTGGTGTTAAGCATGATGGTGCATGGAGAAGTTGGACATTTTCCATGTTTTTTGCTCCATTTGGGGCGGTTTTGAGATTTTATTTATCCAAATATTTAAATTCAAAAGTGGAGAATTTCCCCATGGGAACTTTCACCGCTAATGTTGGTGGTAGTTTATTATTGGGGATTTTCACATTAATTGGTAGAGGGAAATTTGGTGACAATGGAAGACTTAATAATAGCATAATTGGTTGTCATGTATTGAATGGATTAGATGATGGGTTTTGCGGTGGTCTTACCACAGTTAGTACCTTTGTGGTTGAATTATTTGGGTTGAAAACTGTTTTCGGCTACCAATACGGAGTTCTGTCTATTATGCTCAGTTTTATTATGGTTATATTAGTATTGGGATCATATAATTGGACAGTGGGATTAACTGATCCTTATTGCAGCTAAATTTTAATAGCTCATTGATCCTTATTTGGACGAGCAAATTAACCTATCGGGTAATGGCTAAAATGCGCAATTGTGTAACTCCAACAAATCCCACACTAATAGAGAGAGGGGGGGGGGGAGGATAGACTTTTTTTTTTTGATACAGTTAGTCAAAGTTGCTCAACTTGAGACTGTAGTTATTGCAACTTTATTTATATTTGTATAGGTATTGTAGCCAACTTAATCTTATCCAGCAAATAACTGCTTGGCATTTAATAAGCTGAGGAATGTTTTTACGTCAAGATCTTATCTTTGTTTCGCATACTTAATATTGGATCTTCTATGAGCAAATTTATATCGCTAAATTTGGCAGCGAAAATTTGCTCAAAATATTTTTCAGTAATAAAATTTACATTACACAATAAAAGGCTGTCCAGGCATTTGAGAAACATGCTGGGATTATAAATTATCATCAACATCCTCTCCCTTGAATTGATTTCTTAGCAGTAATATTTAGATACATTAAACGCTCAAAATGGAGAAACGTGATGTTATGTATCAAGGTTTGGATTGCATCGCCAATGCGTCCGATCCTCACTATATGATGTACATGAAACAGCTGCAAGCACAAGCACCTTGGGCAGCCCAAGCAAATTATGCAAAATACACTGTTTATTTTGGGGTTGCAACTATATTTGTTGCTGCTGTCAAACATTTATACTATAAATTACGAGATTCAAGATATAGAACAACCCAAAATTCCAATGCATTCACATCCACAATTGATGTCCTTCTTTCATATTGTCGATTTATCGGTTATAAACAAGTCCCATCTGATATTCAATTCTTTACATCGTTGCCAAACTCAGTGGGATCTTCATTGTTTATGTTTTTATCTTCATTGTACTTGTTATGTTACTGTTTGGTCCCTCACTTTTGGTATCGTGGATGCCGCGGGTTCGGTTCCCCACCATTGGCTGTGAGAGCTGGTCTTATGGCAACCGCATTGACCCCTTTCATTTATGTCTTGGCAGGAAAATCAAATGCAATTACTTTGTTGACTGGGATAAGTTATGAAAAGTTGAATGTTCATCATCAATATGTTGGAGTTGCTGCATTTGTATTGTCACTTATTCATATCATTCCATTTTTACATCAAGATCTCGTTGAAGGTGGAGCCAGCTTATTATATTCTAATTTCCAAAATGACTTTGCCTACTATAGTGGTATTCCATCAACAATATTCTTAGGATTGTTGTGTATCCTTTCCAAAGCATGGGTAAGAAAACATGTCTATGAAATATTTTTACATTCTCACTGGCTTTTCGGCATTGCTTACTTTGGTACTTTAATTTGGCACATTAATAAATCTTTAGGTGCTGATAATTATATGTGGGGAGCTCTTGCATTTTGGGCAACCCAAATATTATACCGTATCTTGATGAAGACTGCTTTCAAGCCAACATCCATGTTTTTAAGATCAAGAGAAGCCACTCTCAGCAAGTTAGGAGACAATGCCTATGAAGTAACTGTTGCTAATGCCAAGGGATACAAATGGGGTCCAGGCCAACATTTCTTTCTTAGATTTGTCGGTTCAAGAATTCTTGACAATCATCCATTCTCAATCGCTTCCATGTCTAGAGATGATGAATCTGCTTCTGAAATGAAGTTTATAATAGTTCCTCAAAAGGGATTAACAAAGAAGCATTATCAAGAGCTTGAACAACACATCACTTGTAAGAAGAAGGTTTTCCTTGATGGTCCTTATGGTGGTACTTTTAGAGAACCAACAGCGTTTGATAGAGTGGTATTGCTTAGTTCAGGAAGTGGTGTAACGGCGACGTTGCCATTTTTAACTTATTTGGCCAGGAATATTAACCAATTGAAGAGTCAAGGAAAACCTATTGTAACTAGAGGCATTTCTTTTATTTGGGTTGTTAGAAAGAGTGAACATATAAATTGGATACGACAAGAATTGATGGAATGTCAAGAATTGGCTGGTGAATATATTCAAATCCAAATATATGTTACTGAACATGAAACAATCGAAAAGAAGATTGAGCTTGACAGCAACGAAAAAGATAGTTCAACTTCAATGTTGGAAAAAACTATCGGAAATAATGACTCGGAATCATCAGAACTTCTTCTTCCTAAAGAGTTTACCGTTGATTTTGCAAAACCAGCTATTCCTAGAATAGTAAACAACTTGAGATTATCTAGAAGAAATATGATTGTTTGTTCTGGTAGTGAATCCATGAAGAAAGAGGTTAGTTCTGCTACTTCAAAACTCCAAGCTTTAATTTTCAATAATGATATTCATAATTCTCATGTTGAAGAGATTTACTTGCATACTGAATCTTTTGGGTGGTAGATTTCATTATAATTATTTGTAAATATCGGTTAATAATAGATTGCAAAAAAATAAAATTCATAATAAATTTGTAGTTTGTTTTATTTGAGCGAAAAACATTCGGACCCATTTGAAATCAATCCCATCTACGTAACATCGTTCCACAAATCAGACAATGTGAGGGATGGGGACGACAATCTGAAATTCTCGCCAAAACAAGCTTTAACCCACTTTGCAAGACCCTGTTTGTGAGCAATGAAAAAGTTAAGATAATACCACATGGCACAGAATACAGAATTGAAACAAATATCTTGGCCCTCGACCGGACTATCTTAAAAACGGAAAAAAATATTTGTTTAACTCACTTGCATGAACGTTCATTGAAGTTAAACACTGATTCTCAAACAAATACATTAATCTGTAAACACATATGTTCAAAACTAAGTTGCTTTAAATCTACTGTTATAGTTTGTTTAAGTCAGGTCTTTCTTATGATGTAAGTATGATCAAGAATGTATCGCACAATATGTAAGGTCCGGAATAACCTTAAACTTTAATTTTATATCTGGAAGAATCCAATTCGTACTTTCACCCCCGCAGCATATTCTCAAAAAAATAAAAAAATATCGGATTAATTTCTACGGCTTCGCCAAGAAAGCCACAAAAATACCCCGGCAACTTCTCAGTCTCTATCCCATCTCTTAACTTTTGTTAATAATCCTAGATCTGCTATTTACTCAATTACAGTAACACAAACATGAGAAGAAATAATTCTTTTCTAATGAACAATTTCCAAGTTCCCTGGGTCAATTGAAAACATTGGTTGTTCTTTGCAATGGAATGGCATTTGAATAATTGTGGGTCTTCCTAAAGTTCAAGTCTTGGCGAACTATGTAAAAACCTTATTTTCAAATCCTGTAAACAAAATCACACAGCCTAGAATTATCCGTTTATAGAATTAAGTTTCGGAAAAAATATGGGGGAGTGGGGATATAGTCAAACCCTAGGGTTTTGCCGTGTACCAAGAAAAATTTATGCGATTTGACCAGTCTTTCAATACTGTATAATTTGCAAGAGGATAAGATTTGATAAAGTGAGGTTTCTGATACATCAATGAGGTATATTGAACTGTTGATGTCTCCGAAAGATTTAAAATTGATCAGTATTACGGGAACTCCATAAATTCTTAACACCATTCAGATTCTGTAATACTAAAATACCATATTAAGGTTTATTACTTGGATCACACATACAAAATCGCTTCGTTTTCCGGAATAATTTTGTCTTGGCAAATTGTTTTATTTGACAATTTCCGCTTGGTTTAGGTGCAAGTTTGCAAAAAGTAGAGTTACATGATGTGGAAGGAGTAAAATCTGGACGTATAAATATCCATGAAAAACTCTTTAAGTTATACTCATTTTCATCTCCATCATACAAAACTAAAACTACAGAATGGGTTTAGAAGATAATCAATATTTGCAAAGATTCATCAATTTTGGTGAGAAGAAAGCTGGTTCAACCACAAGAGGTATCTTGGTTGGTTTATTTGCTGCTTTTGGTGGTTTCCTTTTTGGATATGATACTGGAACCATTTCAGGTATCTTGGCTATGGATTATGTCAAGGAGCTTTTCCCGGCTGCAAATATGGGCCCTAATCCAGATTTCTCTGCTAGTGAAAAGTCACTTATTGTTTCAATCTTATCCGCCGGTACATTTTGTGGTGCTTTATCTGCTCCTATCTTCTCAGATAGAATTGGTCGTAGATGGACTTTGATTATTTCGACTATGTTTGTTTTCAATTTGGGTGTTCTTTTACAAACCATAGCTACTTCCAACCCACTTTTGATCGCTGGTAGAGCAATTGCTGGTTTAGGTGTTGGTTTGATTTCAGCTGTTATTCCATTATATATTGCAGAAACTACTCCAAAATGGATTAGAGGAGCTATTGTTTCTTCATATCAATTGGCTATTACCTTAGGATTGTTGATTTCTGCAATTGTGAATAAGATCACTGGAGGTAGAAATGACTCTGGTTCCTATAGAATACCAATTGCGCTTCAATTTGCATGGGCTTTGATTTTAGCTGGTGGTATGCTCATTCTTCCTGAGACTCCAAGATTCTGGGTTTCCAAATCCAAGGAAATTGAGGCCAAAAAATCTTTAAGCAGGTTAAGAAAGTTACCAGTAGACCATCCTGATTTAGAAGAGGAATACGAAGATATTAAGGCTAACTTTGAATTTGAAAGTCAATTTGGTAAAGCATCATGGGCTTTGGTTTTCAAAAATTCTAATAAACAACTTAAAAGATTGTTTATGGGTGTTTCACTTCAAGCTTTACAACAATTAACCGGTATTAATTTCATTTTCTATTACGGTACTACATTTTTCCAGAGCTCTGGTATTTCAAATCCTTTCACTATTCAAATGGCCACGAATATCGTCAATGTTGGTATGACTTTCCCTGGTATTGCTTTGATTGAACTTGTTGGAAGAAGAAAGTTATTGTTATCTGGTTCAGTCGTTATGTCCATTTCTCAAATCTTGGTTGCTGCCATTGGTGTTGCGACAGACTCTAAAGCTGCTAACCAATGTTTGGTTGCATTTTGCTGTATATTTATTGCTGGTTTTGCAGCTACTTGGGGACCACTTTGTTGGGCTGTTATTGCTGAGAATTATTCTCTTAATGTGAGACAAAAGTCTGTTGCTCTTTGTACTGCTTCGAACTGGTTATGGAATTTTGCTATTGGCTATGCAACTCCATATATGGTTGACTCTGGTCCAGGCAATGCCAACTTAGGTTCAAAGGTGTTCTTTATTTGGGGTGGTTGTAATGCCATTGGTTTCCTTTTTGTTTACTTCTTTGTTTACGAAACTAAGGGATTATCTTTAGAACAAATCGATGAAATGTACTTGAAAGTGGACAAAGCTTGGCAATCTTCAAGTTTCATTCCTAGTGAACATGCTTTTAGAGAAAAAAACAGAGTTGTTGTTTCTGATTCTAAAGAAAATGTTAATGAAATCGAACATTCAGTTTAGACTAGCTTTCATATAGTATATATTTTGTTTATTATTGGTTTTCATTATAATGACTGAAAACTTTATTAAAAATTTGTTATGATTATTGAAAATTTTTGGACAAAATTTTTTGAAATTATTTTTGAATTAATCATATTCAAAGCTTTGAACTCGTTTATTCATTAAATGATTAAACGAGAATTAAGACATTTTAGTTTTCATTAAATTTCCTTTCAGCTTCCTTCCAGTTCACAACATTCCACATAGCGTCAAAATATTCACGTTTAACATTTTGATATTGTAAATAATAAGAATGTTCCCAAGCATCAATACCAATTAGGGGGACTAATGGCGGAAGAACAATATCTTGATTTACAGTTGTTACTACATCTAATTTGCCACCATTCTGTGTATCTTTGACAATCCACGCCCATCCCGAACCTTGAATTGATACCAATTTTTCAGTTGTAATTTCTATTAACTTATCAACTGATTCATACTGAACAATAATTTGCCTTCCCAAGGATGATTTATCGGTTGGTTTTTCACCGCCACCTGTAGCAACCGGAGATAAACTTTCCCAAAATAATACATGATTAATGTATCCACCTCCATTAAATCTTATATTTTGTTGTAGTGTAACTATTTGTTTGGTGTCACCTTTAACCCTTGCTTTACTCAAATCCTCCATAGCAGCATTATAGTTGTCAATGTACGCTTGGTGGTGTTTGAGATAGTGAATTTGCATAATTTCCGCTGATATATAGGGTTCTAAAGAGTCAAAAGCATAGTTTAATTTTGGTAGCTGAAGTTGATTCATTCCTAGCTTGGTAAGTATCTCTTCAGCTGAAGCTGATACTGGCAATTGTACTAGTTGGAAGACTAGCATAGTTAAAATAGCAAAAACAACCATGATGTACTAGAAGTAAAATGTGGAGTAACCATAATTAATGAATATTTTTGAGATTGACTCTTATATATATATAAAAATAAACTATAATAAATAATATAGAAAGAGTTAATGAAACCGGATTGCCTTGGCATTGTTTTCAGAAAGAATAACTAAAACGACTCATTATAGAAATAAATGTTTGGGGCTTCCTTTTTACCACGTAATTTCTGGCATTCCATTTCAACAGTCTTTCCAAAATCTTCAGAGCCACAACTTAATACTGCAAAAGATCTATAAGAGTTTTCTTCTGGAAAGTTTAAAGCAGCAGCTTGACCCTGTACCAATTTTTGTACATCCATTCTTGACCCGTAGAATTTCTCTGTCAACACATCTGGGGAGGAGAAGTCACTGTCAGCTTTGGAAGTCAGGGTTATAACACTGTTCTTTTTTGTGGAAGTCGTAGTCATAAAGCTATTCAAATTTGGCTTAATAGAATTATCACAGGAAGATACTTCAGTAATAGTTTCATTGATTTCTCTTGTTATGTATATTTGCATCAACAATTTTCTAGAATTGATGTATTTGGAAAGTTTATACATACTTTCCGAATACCATGAAATATCAGCAAAATTTCTAACAGACCAGTAAATCGATATTGTTGGATTAGATGGTCTGCCCATGTAATCATTCTCTAATTCTCTTTTTTCTATCTCTTGCAACAAGTCCAAACAAATAGGAAATATGAAAGATGCACCTACCCCTATTGCAAAAAAAGCAACCGAATCAAAAGTTATCAATGGTTGATGTTTAGGAAAGAAAGGACCATTAATTCCAGCTTTCATCTTGACAATATTAGGATCAGTGACTCTTTTATAATCAGGTTCAGGTTCAGAGTCCGAAGGTGATTCTTGTGAAGAAACAGAAGAGGAGAAGCTCAAATCTTTGTCTTTATTTTCCTTCTCTTCCTCTAACTGTTCATTTCTAATTTTCAATACTCTGTTGTATAACTTCTTTGTGAACCCATTCTTTTTCTTGATGATCATAACCATCTTTCCTGTTTCGGGCATGCTTACAATAGTGAATGGGTGATATTGAAATAAGCTGATCTTACCAACGTTTAATAGAACATGCAGCCCAGCTTTCCAGGTACCATACTTTGGAAGTAATAAATTGTACCATTTATTTACATCGGTCTTGGACATTTTCATGGGAACAGTAACCTTCAAAGTATCGTCATCGAGTATTTCAAATTCTGACCAACTTTTTGTTGGTGACTTTACCCTGTGAATAATCCCAAAAACTCTTCCAACAATTCTATCAATAACTAATAAATGAACAGCAAGAATGACCATAGCTTTATTTCCACCGTTATGAAAAAAGGCCAACAATAAGAAAATAAATGAATAAATTCTATGTTTCACCATAAAGAAATCGAAAGCATACTGTCTAATAAATTTAAGGTTTCCAAATACTAACATTGTGAAACATCCAAAAGCAATCCAGCCAAATATCTGAGGAGGAATAGTTAACATCTTCTTGAATCCAACAGCATTCCAGTATTTTGTACCGACAACTATGTGAGCTACAATCATGAAATATATCAACCTAGAAAACCAAAAATGATAAAACACCAATCTATCAGGAGATAATCCAGTTAAAGCAGCAACAAAATCATTCTTAGTTACCATAATATAAACAGCCGGCATATTGCCCATTGCAACCCTTCCGACTCTTTTCAGAATGACGTAGTATTGAGGTAAATAATCAATATCCGACGTTTCCATCATACTAAATCTGGCATTAATAGCAATAAAAACCAGGAAAAGTATGAGGAGACTTGGCTTATAGTAATAATTCTTGTTGATAAATGGAATTTTGAAACAAAAGCATCTGTTCAAGGTCTCCCAATGTTCAAGGAAGACAAAGAATGGTCTATACTTCATTGCTTTTATCTCTCGCTTTAGTCTCAAGTATCGTGGTAACCAGAAAAAAAGCAATCCATGTGCTATGAAGATTAATATACCAAAAATAAAACTAAGCCATTGGTACTTTCTGTTTCTTTCTGTTTCAACAAAATATTGTTGGTCAAACGGAATTGTAGACGTCATGATATAGAGAAATTGCTTCTAGAAACAAGAATGTGTAGATAACCAAAATGATGAAACAATCGCTTACCTCTAGAAGAGTTTTAATTAAACAATAAAAAAATTTTGGAAATTTAACGAGAATTAAAGAATCTTAAGGAAGATTACAGAAATTGAAAAGTTAAGCAGACTTTGCTTTTTTGACGTGCATCATCATTAGTAAAGATTATAAACAATTACATTTGAAAACCCGAATCGGAAATTCTTCTTAATAAAATTTGAAAGGGATAAAAATAAGTTGTAGTTTAACATGTGTGTTCAAATCGTATGATTGGCTAGGTTATTTTTGAATTGATGTTGAAGTTAGTTTAGAAAAAAAAAAGTAAAACTTTAAAATTATCTTGGCATCAAAATTATCTGATCAAAATTATCTGATCAAAATTATCTGATCGATCAGCAGCAACCGTTTTCTTTTTTTTTCTTCATGAAAATTTTATTGCTTTTTCCCTTTCCCTGGCTATATTTCTGGAACTAAGCAAAATGGTCGTATGCGCTTTATTTTACTAACATGCTATACTGGTTTGGCAAAAACTATTAGAAGAGTGACAATATATGATGTCCTCTTTGTACAGTCAAGAGCTCAACCATGTGTCTTAAGTCTCTTGGCAAAAACCATTTTTTATTTGCGCGCCCGATATCTGCGACGCAACCCAAATTGTTTTTTGGAATTTCTTGGCATGCCGTACATATGAGGTAATAACGATATACGAATTTGGTAGACATGGTGCGTAAATAAAAGGTTGTTTTGAAAAATGAAATTAGCTATATGCAGACAAAGTCAACCGAAAAAGTTCATTATTGATTAGCGAGCAATAATTACCCGAGCATACCGAAGAATGCTTCGTTTGCAACTAAAATGAACAAACACTACCGTTATAGCAAGATTAGACGAAGCAAGCAAATATTAACATAGTATCAAGCCAATGTCTATTTGGAATATAATGTTGTTTGTTCGGGTAGTTTGTCTCATGGGGCATCACAAATACGCCCACGCAAACTATTTTCTTTGTGATCAACTCAACAATGGGTTCCAGTTTGGCAACAAAGTTTACCAATTGGAACGGAAAGTTTTCGGCATTAACTAAAATATAGACCTATTTGCATTAACAATAGGTAAGATTTGGAAACAATACATATTTTTTATACAAGATGGGGTTTGTGGCTTACAAAATTTGTTCCGAATAGTACCTATTGCGAGAATCGACTTTTGCAAACGGAAAGAGAACGATGCTATTGGCTTAATTTAAAGCTTTTCATGTTAAACACGATAATCTAAAGATATGAATGTCAATTTTCATTACTTGGTATATAATCTGATGAATTTCGGTTTACCAAATCAACATTTTACTATTTTACGACCATACAACAATCATGAAATTCCATTCGCTCGTTTTATTAACAATCTCGGTTGTTTATGGAGTTCAAGGTGCAGATATTACAGTAGCACCTAGGGCTGAAACAACTGACAATCCCTATAGTATTTATCCTTCAGTAGAAAAGACTGCTTCAATCAATGGTTTTGCTGACAAGATTTATGACAAGTTACCAGAATGTGCTAAACCTTGTATGTTTCAAAATACTGGAATGACCCCATGTCCTTACTGGGATACTGGTTGTTTATGTATCATGCCTCAATTTGCTGGTGCTATTGGTAGTTGTGTTGCTGATGCTTGTAAGGGTCAAGAAGTTGTTTCTGCTACATCATTAGCCGCTTCTATATGTTCCTCTGCTGGTGTTTGGGACCCTTACTGGATGGTTCCTGCCTCTGTTTCTCAACTTTTGAGTTCTGCAGCTGCTGAAGTAGTTACCACTGAAGCTGAGACTACTGAAGTAGAAACAACAACTGATGCTATTACTGAAACTACTCCTCAAAGCAGTGAACCAGAAGAAACTGGGGCAACTGAAGAAACTTCTGAAGCTCCATCAAGTACTACTGAGGAAACTTCAGAAGCCCAGTCAAGTTCAGAGGTTGCTTCTGAAGCTCCCGCACAAAGTACCGAGTCGGAGGAAACCGAAGGGTCTAGTATCACACAACCTCCTGATTCTTCATCAACTGAAACCACTACCAGCACTACACTGAATATAAGGACAGCATCCATCAATGGTTTTGCTGATAAGATTTATGATGATTTACCAGAATGTGCTAAATCTTGTATGTTCCAAGATACTGGTGTAACTCCATGTCCTTACTGGGATACTGGTTGTTTATGTGTTATGCCACAATTTGGGGGTCCTATTGGTACTTGTATTGCTGATGCTTGTAAGGGTCAAGAAGTTGTTTCTGCTACATCATTGGCTTACTCCATTTGTTCATCTGCTGGTGTTTGGGATCCTTACTGGATGATCCCTGCCACTGTAGTTGACCTTTTGAATTCTGCTGCTACTGAAGTAGTTACCACGGAAGCTGAGACTTCTGAAGTCCAAACCACTACTGAGGCCCAAACAACTACTGATACTGCAGAACAAAGTTCACAACCAGCCGAAACCGGAAATACTACTGAAGAAACAAACACTTCAAGTATCACCCAAGCTCCTGAATCTAGCCAAACTGACAATCCATATTCCAATTACCCACTGGTAGAAAAGACTGCTTCAATCAATGGTTTTGCTGACAAGATTTATGACAAGTTACCAGAATGTGCTAAACCTTGTATGTTTCAAAATACTGGAATGACCCCATGTCCTTACTGGGATACTGGTTGTTTATGTGTTATGCCACAATTTGGGGGTCCTATTGGTAATTGTATTGCTGATGGATGTAAGGGTCAAGAAGTTGTTTCCGCCACTTCATTAGCTTACTCCATTTGTTCATCTGCTGGTGTTTGGGAACCTTACTGGATGATTCCCGCTACTGTTGTTGATCGTTTAGATGCTGCAGCTACTGAAGTTGGAGAATCTTCATCTACATCAATTGAAGTAGAGACTACTGCAACTACAGAGGAAGGTTCCAAGACTGCTGAAACCACAGACCAGAGTTCTCAACCTGTTGAAAGTGGAAACACTGTTGAAGAAACACAAACTAGTGATCCTACTGATCAAGGTTCAAACACTAGCCAAAGTGATTCTAACTCCTCAAGTGAAAACTCGACCCAAGATCCTTCAAGTGATGCTACTGCAACAACAACCACCAAGAGTCTGACTAACTCTTCAAGAAATGCTACTGCAACCACCAAGAGTCTGGTTGAAACAGATACCACAGGTATACCTTCTTCTGATTCCAGTGTTGCTCAAACCATAACTAAGATCGAGACCAAGACAAGTAAAGTGGAGGATTGTCACACGGATGTTCCTTGTATTGTTTCAATTATTAGTTCCTGTGATGAAGAAATCAAATCACTCGAATCGTTAGAATCCCGTGCTTCAGAATTTACAAAGACAGTTATCGTTACTGCATGTGAGAATGAAAAGTCATCTTTATCTTCTATCAAATCCGTTGCTCAAGCAACACTTGAAGATTTAACTTCTACACAATTTGAAACTATCACTAAAACCAGCCAAATTGAACACTGTCAAACCAATGTTCCATGCATTCAGTCAATAGTTAGCTCCTGTGAAGAAGAGATTAAGTCGCTCGAATCTGTTCAATCTAGTGCTTCAGAAGCTAAACAGAGTGATATTGTTACAAGTTGTGAAATTGCAAAATCATCATTATCTTCCATTGAATCCGCGGCTCAAGAAACACTTCAACATTTAACTGCTGCTCCAGTTGAAACATCACCTGCCGTGACTGTCGCTGATATGGCAAGTAATAAGAAGGTTGGACTCACTGCTATTATTGGTGTCTTTGTTGCTGTTACTTTTGCTTCCTTTGTTTAGAACATGTTATATTTGGAATCTACAAGTTCGTCTATTTCCTATTTTTAGATGATATAGAATTGTGTATGTTTTTTTTTTATCTATTAATACACCAATTGTTATAGTGACCTGCAATTTGCAACAATGGTAGTTGGTCAGTAGGGCTTGTTTACAAAAAATTATAGACTATTTTTCTTAGGGCTGTAGAAAGTGGCGAGGTGGGTTCTAGAACAAATATTTTGGTCCATTTTGTCCCCGCCCCTCGCTTAAACCTGCTCATTCTTAAATATTGACTTGGTACACGACTACAATGGTCTAGACCCCAGGTCACTTCTAAATTTAGTGTGATCAGATATATTCGCGTCTAAATACAATGAAATTCATATATTAGTAACTTTAAAGTGTGGAGAGGAAGGGACAAATGTTGTTTGTTAATTGGATGAAGTAAATTTTTGTAGTGTTTGTACAAGGGCAATATCTGTACTAATAATGGTAATTGTTTTTTTGCAAAAATACGTGCAAAACTTAACAGAAAGATATAATCATGGAAACTTTATCAAATTAAACATACTGCTATCTACTGACATAAAAAGGTGCACACACCCCACGTTTAAACCCCTGAACATTGTACAAGATTAGCCACTTAATATGATTGATAATGATCACTTTTTTTTTTGGGAGTTGAAATTGAAAGCAAACATGATACCAACACAAATAGAACAAGTTAACGAGGGAAATAATAAGAAACACAGCAAACTATCACGATGATGTTTATTTTTATCTAACTTACCATCTCCCTAATTTGTGATGCCCACCCCCCCCTCCTCCTCCCCTTAGCGAATTTGCAATTGAAAAGTAGAAAAATAAAAAGCTTGAAAAATTGATGAACTGGAATTCACCCCGGATTCCGCCTCAGTTAGATCTTTATCTTTAAGTAAAGATGCAAAATCACGAAACCCATCGCAGTTTGACATCATGCAAACTCAATTAATTTCCAAGTGAGGTTTTTAAGCGACAGCAAAATATCCCAAAAAATAAATCGCGGCTTAAAAAGGAAATCTACAGGCAAAAAAATAAATCTCCATTTCATTTGAAGTATCACCTCATATACTACGGTGCCAGGTAGGAACGATTGAACTGGCACGGTACTAATTTGATGGTTGATATTATACATTCAATGTAACTTGTACAATGAAACAATATAACGGCGAATTAGTGGCAAAATTACAAGAGGGGCCCAGGCGGCTTGCATTCAATAAACAGAAACTTCTATATATAGAAATTAGAATGACATTTACTAAAATAATAATAATTTTTTTTTCTTTTAGGAAAGTTTATGACTAACTTAGAATTCAAAACGTATCCCTGTTTATTGAAAGGACTGTAGTCCGGCGAAGTCAAGGATGCAATAGTTAGGAATCTCCAAGTGAGATTTATGTCAAGTTAAATTTAGAAACAGTCCTTTTTTTTTCAAATCACAGGATTGTGATACATGCAAACCTTTTCTTGACAACCAGGCTGGGGTAGTGCTTGAACGCGGTCAGTAGGCTACGCCATGTTTCTGCAAAACGGGCCATAATTGTTACTACGAAAGCCGACGTGATCATGCATTAGGAGCTTAGACTAATTTTACTACTTTGGGATTATTGGCGTTAAAAAAATTTTTTCCATATTTTTTTTTTTTACGCCCTTAATTTTTTTTTTTTTTTTAAAGCTCACCGTTTCAAAATGGAGGATTTTTTTTGTGGTTGCCATTTTCCTTTTACTCATTCTTTTCTTTCTTTTTGCAAATCACAGTAACGAAAGAGGCACTTATCGTAAATCAAATAGGTTCAGTTTTAATCAAACAGTGAAAGCGTGACTAGATATCAAGCACAGTAATCATATCATTTGGGTTTATTCCGTTTTCCCTTTGAATAAGGTCTCCATTTAAAATTAAGCGCGGGAAGTCAGGGTTATCTTTTAAAAATTTACGACACGACTCCACTTTTATTGATTGACTACCAAATAACTACCCACCCATACACACACACATACCCAAACACAATTTTTCAGCCAAAGAATATTATACCCAGAGATTTATAGGTAGATTATGAGTCACTCTACATCTCCAACTACAAGAAATTCAATTTTTGGATGGGCCAAAGGTTTAAAACGAGGTGGTAGTCATTTCGTATCCAATGATTCCGTAAATGAAATTAGCAGTGATGAATCAATTTCCAGATCACCTACTAAAGGCATAACAATTCAACACTCCCTGTCTCAACCAAACAATTACACTTCTTCCCAACAAAATACGCTGTCATCACAACCACAACAGCAGCAAACCAACATACCTAATTTTGGTTCGTCCCCAACTCAACAGGCGTCAGATTTTCTTCGTCCGCTACTCAATCACAAATCTAGATCAAATAATAACATAAATAGAGTGAGATCAAATTCGCTTAATCAATCTGAGAATAGTTTACGTCAACATCGTGATTCCTTTTTACAACATAATTCACTCGTGGATGAAAATTCGAAATATTTTGGTGTTCCTTTACACCAGGCTCTAGAGGAAGCCTCTTCTAATATATCGATACTAGCAGGTGATCAATCCAAAGAGTTACAATATGGACAAATTCCTATTGTGGTGGCAAAATGTGGGGTATATTTGAAGAAACACGGGCTTGCTGTAGAAGGTATATTTAGAGTTGGTGGGTCTTCCAAACGTTTAAAAGAATTACAGGTAATTTTCAACACTCCTCCTTCATATGGTAAGGGTTTAGTTTGGGATGGATATACTGTTCATGATGCTGCCTCTATATTAAGAAGATATTTAAATGCGTTGCCCGAGCCATTGATTCCATTGGAAATGTATGAATCTTTTAGAGATCCATTAAGGTCGAGGCCAAGAATCATAAATTATATGAAATATAAAGCAGAAAATCCATCCAAGTCAATATCGAATCTCGAGAGTACCAATTCCAGTGAAGTGTTAGATACTTCTCAACCGTTGACTGAAGCTAATATCGGAAGATTGAACTGTTCTGATTCTAATGGCGATTTCAAAGATTCAGAAGATGTCCCAATTAATCCAGTTTTCTCACCAACTGGTCAATCAGAGCAGCAAGAGAAGCTTCCACTGACTGAAGATGACAATGCTGAAAAATCAAAACGGAAATCCAAAAGTTATAAAAAATTAACCGCAGATGTTTATGCTGCTATTGACGAATACAAAGAATTAGTTAACGAATTACCGGTTGCATCGAAACAATTATTATTTTATATATTGGACCTATTAGCTATGGTTCAACACCATTCTCAAGAAAATTTAATGAGTTCAAGAAACTTGGCTGCAATTTTCCAACCATCAATATTATCCCATCCAAACCATGACTTGGATCCAGTTGAGTATGCTTTATCACAATTGGTAGTTGAGTTTTTAATCCAGTATGCTTATAAATTATTACCAATTTATGCAAACACGACCAAGAAGGAAGATGAAGATATTTTAGTTGGTGAAGGTACAGATAGTCAAAAGCCACCAGTTACAGAAATAACATCTTCAGAAAGTAATGGTGAAATTACCCCGAAAGAGCAAGAAGAAGAGGATGTAAAATCCGAAGATTGCAATAAATCCAATGATATAGTAGTAGGATACCAACATAACGTTACAACATCGATCCCATTTGAATCTGATGTGGATGAAGATTATGACTTGTCAGATGCTAACGATATTGGATCAGATTTGGATGATTTACATTTCCAGCAGATTCATCAGAGTCTGAGTGAAGCTAACGTAATCGATGCTTTGAAGGCAAATCCAAATTTGGCTCCACCTATTGTTATTTCATCGGCTGAAAGATTAGCCAATGCAAATGCTGTATGATTAAAATGTGATATTATGTTTTTTCGGTTGTTTCTGATAGTTCTTGTTTTGTATAATTTCTTGGTTTGGTTTCTTATAAAGTTTATTTATTATTCTGATATACGTTTTATGGTTAATAGAATGAACGGGTACTCTTTGTAATTGCTAGTAGTATTTCACGAAACATAGCAGAGGGGAGGCGGGAAAAAAAAAATAGCAGTGTAACTGAAATATCAACGAAAAAGAAGAAGGAAAAAAAAAAAAACTTGTCGATGTTTTTGTTTGCCCAGAGACTACATCACAAGGAGAACCAGGGGTATACATAGATAGATATGTCGGATGAAGAAGAAAGAATCAACGAAGAAGAATTAAATGATGAAGTTGATGAATTGTTTGGAGATGACGATGATGATGAAATTCAAGACAACAAAAGAAAATCCACGAAAGTAGAAGCTGATGAAGATGATGAAGACGACGAATCTGAAACCGACAATCAAGATTACTCAGAAACTAGTAACCAAGTGGTTGATATTTCATTGCCTCGTCATGCCATTGCACAAGTTCCAGAAAAGGATACATATATGTTGAAAATGCCAGTTTTCTTAAATGTTGAAGCCCACCCATTCGATCCTAATGAATTTAAAGCTAGAATTAAAGAAAATGCCGAATTGCGTCAAAAAACTGATTTAACTGAGAAACAAAAACACAATGATTTGGTTTCAGAAAAGTTAACCAATGAAAATACAATTAGATGGAGATACTCAAATTTGAATGATGAAATTATTAAGCAATCCAATGCACATTTCATTCAATGGGATGACGGATCCTTATCATTGAAAATTGGTCAAGAATTATTTGATTTGAAAGAATTGCCGATCTTTGATAATTATCTTGTTAGAAGTCACGACAGTTTAGAAATTTTGCAAAATGATTCCATAATAACCAAAACCATAAATTTGTTGCCAGCATCTACTTCAACTTCCACTCATAGAAAATTAACTCAGGCAGTTAAGAATATTCAAAAGAAAGCTAAGATCTTGGGTACTATTACCGATGATGATCCATTAAAGAAACAAAGACTAGCTGACGAATATGAACGTAAGACTTTGAAGATGAAACGACAATTAGAATCTAAAAGAAGATTACAAGAAGAAAGATTGGAAAGAAGTAATTCCCCTAGTTTACGAACTAATGAACGTCCATCTGCTTACGAACGATATGCTAGAACATACGGTGAAGATGAATATGAAGAGGATGACTTTGTAGCCAATGACGAAGAAGATGAAGGTATGTATGACGATGAAGAGGAAGAGGAAGAAGAGGAATCTGGAGAAGAGGAAGAACAAGAATTCGAAAAAGGAGCTGAAAGATTGAGAAAATTAAAAGAAGAAGGTGCATCTAAATATAGAGAAAGGTCACATGATTCTGAAGCCGATGAAGAAGCTAAGACTAGGAAAAAGAGAAGAATCATTGATTCTGACGATGAGGAAGATTAGATTTGTATTATAGTAGTGTGTGTACTATTTAAGATAATTTCACCCCAAAGGGGAAGTTTCTATTGGTAATCGCCGAGAAAAAAATAATTATAATAAAAAAAAAAATTAGTTGGATCGTAAGATCATACCCCAACTTTCACTATTGGCGTAAATAACAAATGTCTTCCCTTGTTCGCCCATTACGTATTATACTTTTAGGAGCACCTGGTGCTGGTAAAGGAACTCAAACAACAAGATTACTTAAGAGATTTCCCAAGGTTCAGTCATTATCAACTGGTGATGTTTTAAGAAGTCAAATAGCAGCTGGTACTAGAATTGGAAAGGAAGCTTCAGACCATATTAAACAAGGGGCGTTGATCCCCGATACTACCATGGTGGGATTAGTCATGAGTCAATTAGAACAACTCAAATGGTTAGATCCAAAAGCCAGTTGGTTATTAGACGGGTTCCCTAGAACTTACAAACAAGCAATTGCTCTTGATCACTCGCTTGATCAAAACGATTGTCGACTCAATATGGTTGTTGAATTAGATGTTGACCAAAAAGTGATATTAGACAGAATTGAAGCTAGATGGGTACACGTACCAAGTGGAAGGGTGTATAATATAGATTACAACCCGCCAAAGGTACCATTCAAAGACGATATCACTGGTGAACCTTTAACGAAAAGAAGTGACGATACTGCGGAAGTATTCCAAAGAAGATTAGATCAGTACAACAAAGAAATTGAACCAATTAAAAAGTTTTACTCCAACAAAGGTGTTTTATACAAGGTCAGCGGTGATACTTCTGATATTATATACCCTAAATTAGAAGCATTGGTTCTTGAAAAATTTGGTTAAAAAAAAGCGTAACTAAATATGATTTGTTTTATTTATATGTACATATATAATTTTTTTTTTTCGTTCTGATCTTCAAAACTTTTACAACCAAATTTCTTATAACTCTTCAACTGTCTTCAATACATCATGAAATTCTTTATTGATGACCTACCAGTGCTATTCCCGTATCCTAAGATATATCCTGAACAGTATGCTTATATGTGTGACATCAAAAAGACACTTGATGTTGGTGGGAATTGTATATTAGAGATGCCTTCAGGAACAGGTAAAACCGTGTCATTGCTATCACTTACCGTGGCTTACCAAATGCATTACCCTGAGCAAAGAAAAATCGTGTATTGTTCTCGTACCATGTCAGAAATTGAAAAGGCATTGATTGAATTGTATAAGCTCATGGAATACCGAGCCAATGAGTTGGGATATGTGGAAGATTTTAGGGGATTGGGGTTAACCAGTAGAAAGAATTTATGTTTACATCCTACAATTTCCAAAGAACGTAAAGGGGTAGTTGTGGATGAGAAATGTAGAAGAATTACCAATGGACAATTGAAGAACAAGATTGAAAAGGGGATGATATCAGAGCAACAACAAGCAGACAACCCAGAAGTTAATAGTTTGTGTTCCTTTCATGAAAATTTAGAGGATATGGATCAACATGACTTGATACCACCAGGAGTGTACTCGTTTGATGGATTGTTGAAGTATTGTAAACAGCGAGGAACCTGTCCTTATTTTACTGTTAGAAGAATGATGCCATTTTGTAACATTATTATTTATTCATATCATTATTTATTGGATCCCAAGATTGCTGATCGCGTTTCTAAGGAATTATCAAAGGATAGCATTGTTATATTTGACGAAGCGCACAATATTGATAACGTTTGTATAGAATCTTTGTCATTAGATTTAACCGAGGATACATTAAAACGAGCAACAAGAGGTGCTAACAAGTTAGGAGATGCAATCGAAGAAATGAAAGCTCAAGACAGTGAAAAATTACAGAATGAATATGAACAATTGGTGGAAGGATTACGACAAGCAGAAATAGCCCGAAATGAAGAATTATTCATGTCCAATCCTATACTACCTCAAGACTTACTCGATGAAGCCATACCGGGGAATATAAGAAAGGGAGAACATTTTATTGCGTTTCTCAAAAGATTTATTGAATATTTAAAGACTAGAATGAAAGTATTGCATGTGATTAGTGAAACTCCTATAAGTTTCTTGAAACATTTAAAAGAACTAACTTATATCGATAGGAAGCCCCTTCGATTTTGTTCGGAAAGACTTTCATTACTTGTTCGAACTTTAGAGTTGGCAGAAATTGAAGATTTCAATGCATTAAAAGATATTGCTACATTTGCAACTTTGGTATCTACTTATGATACTGGGTTTCAATTAATACTTGAACCATATGAAACAGAGGGTTCATCGGTGCCTAATCCGATTCTACATTTCACATGTTTGGATGCATCAATTGCCATTAAACCTGTGTTTGAAAGATTTTATTCAATCATTATAACATCAGGTACTATATCTCCTTTAGACATGTACCCCAAAATGTTAAATTTCCAAACAGTTATTCAAGAATCTTATGCCATGACATTAGCAAGAAGGTCATTTTTGCCAATGATTGTTACAAAGGGATCTGATCAAGTCTCGATATCTTCTAGATTTGAAATTAGAAATGATCCTTCAGTTGTTAGAAATTATGGATCGTTATTAGTTGAATTTTCCAAGATTACTCCAGATGGAATGGTGGTTTTTTTCCCCTCATACTTGTACATGGAATCTATTATTTCCATGTGGCAAAATATGGGTGTATTAGATGAAGTTTGGAAATATAAATTGATTCTTGTTGAAACTCCTGATGCACAAGAAACTTCACTTGCCTTGGAAACCTATCGTAAAGCATGCTCAAATGGAAGAGGTGCCGTACTATTATCTGTTGCTCGTGGTAAGGTATCGGAAGGTATTGATTTTGATCATCATTATGGTAGAACAGTACTTATGATTGGTATTCCTTTCCAATATACTGAATCAAGAATCTTAAAAGCAAGATTGGAATTCATGAGAGATCATTTCCAAATTCGAGAAAATGACTTTTTATCTTTCGATGCCATGAGACATGCAGCCCAATGTTTAGGGAGAGTTTTAAGAGGTAAAGATGACTATGGTATTATGGTTTTAGCAGATCGTAGATTTTCAAGAAAGAAGAACCAATTACCAAAATGGATTGCGCAAGCGTTGAATGATTCAGATACTAATTTATCTACTGATATGGCCTTGGCAACTGCCAAAAGATTTTTGAGAAGTTTAGCCCAGCCAGCCAATCCAAAGGATCAAGAGGGGGTTTCTGTATGGAACCTTGAGCAATTGGAAGAGTATCAAAGAAAGTATGAACATAAAGTACAACCAATAGAATCAGAAATAGCAGAAGAAGAAAATAACCAAGAAGATAATTTCATGGATATTGATGATGCTGATTTGGATTTGTTGTAATTTTATAACGCGACAGTTATTTTTTTTTGTTTATGTTTATAATTTTTTCTTTTTGCACTAGTCTGTTTATATTAATGTCTAATAGAATAACCACAGTAATACTCGAGATTAACTCGAGATATATTAAAGCTGGGTTTGCAGGTAAAACCGTACCTGAATGTATTATACCTATAAATTATGATGTTAATGAGAGTGAGGAACTTCATCCTCCAGAAGTAAAGGATTATTCCTTGACCAATTCCCAAAGACAAGATATCATCGATTCATTCAACAATGACAATCCTAAATATAAGAGCATGTCACGGATTTATCAACAATCAAGAGGTAATTGGCTTAATTTTGAAAAGCAAGATCTTGTATTTCTTGCAAGAATTTTATACACAATTTGGTTAGAAGATTTGCAGATAGTACCGAGACTGACAAAAGTAGTAGTTGTCAATAATGAATTTTCAGTGAAGTTTCAACAAGAATTATGTCGAATATTATTGGAAAAGTTAAGAACCAGATCAGTTGTGTTTGTTCCCGGTACACTTCTTACAGTTATTGGAAGTAATCGACGAAATGGATTAGTTCTTGATTTTGATTGGCATAGTCTTAAAGTACACAGTGTGGTGGATCTTCACGAAATATCGCGAGAAGAAGAGTCCACTTTGAGTAGCGAGAAGATATATTTTGACTCAGTTTTACAATTATTGAATAGCTCTGACGAGGTTGATTTTAAAACAGTGGAAGATTTAATATTGCAAGGTAAACTCAAAAGCTCAATTCCAATTAATTTGGTCCTAGAAATAATTGACAAGATTATGAAAAAGTCAGAAATAGATACCCGCAATTTAATACTAGAGAATATTGTTATAACTGGAATAGGATCTTCTATCCCTGGACTTAAACAAAACTTGGTTGAACTAATTACCGACATATACCCTCAATCTCAAGTAAATTCAACAGTCGGATGTTGGACTTCTTGTTCTTTATACGTATCGAGTATTCGTACAGGTTTTCAAGAAATCTCAGATGTGGCAATGATTAATATTTAATAAATATCATATAAATACTCAAACACTTTATCTAAATACACATCAGACTTGTCATCTTCACAAGTTTGGCCAATAAATTCTGGACGAGCAATAAATTGAGACCAACAAGATTGACTATCAAATTTAAACCAGTTTTTAAACCAACCAACACGATGTTTTATATCTTCTTCTTCTTTAAGTTCATGCTTCATAATGTTAAGCAAGACTAAAGAGTCTGCATCTAAATTGTCATGTGAAGGAAAGAACATATCAGGGGGAGTATCAATTGGATTAACTACACTTTCCAAATTCAATTCACAAGTTTCAGCTAATGGTTTTACCATATGAGGTTCAAGAGAAACATTAATTGTTGGATAATTTGTTTCTTCTAAAAGTGTAGGATAATATCTAATCTCCGGTTCAAGAGTGGCAACATCAATCAATTCAGGAGAAGCTTCATAAAAGATATCACCATCATCGGTACTGGAAAAGCTATCGGTATTTCTAGTTTCAAAGGTGGTGGATGGAAACCTCTTGACAGTATCTGCTTTTTGGATCACAACAGGTGAATTCTCTAATACATTGGTATGAATTCTTGCAAATGGAATTGATGTTTTCAGCTTGGAATGAAAATTACCAGTAATATCTCTAACCGGACTTATAGAACCATCTAATTGGCTATTTTCATTCTCGTTTTCATTTACCGCCAGCATTGTTAGTGTTTAATTTGGCAGCCAAAAAAAAAAAGCTTAGTTCTTTTTTTTTCTTTTAGTGCGGTGTTTGTTTACTTCTTCACGAGTCCACCAATGTACTCTTGAAAGTATTGGATTTCACTATCATACTTATCACATAAAGTCTTTGAATCTCTGATATTACTGATTAAACCATCAATCTTTGCTCTTAATTGTAAAATTAGATCAATCTTTTCTTGTTTCAGAAGATTTGCATGAGCTGATGCTTGAGCAATGAACAGCTTGCTTCGTGTCATTGTCTGTGATGAGTCATTGGAATCATTGTGGGCTTGGAGATCGTTATTTCCTTCTTGTGGTTCTTCTGGGTTCAGCATGGTTGTATCTGGTGTAAATTAACTGAACGGAAATAAAACAAAGATTTTGTTGTGGGAGAATTTCAGGATCGGCCCCACTAAAATTGGTTCATCCACTCCCTTCGCTGTCAAAAAAGGGAGAGGCACTGCGGTTTAAAAAAACGAGTGATTACAAATTGAGACGGCAACTTAGCCCACACAACTAAAACTAAGCCATTCATATCAATTGACAATGTCTTGGGGTGGATTCAAGAAAGCAGTGACCAGAGCTGGTCAATCAATTACAGTCAAAGATGTGGATAAAACCATGGACAAGGATTTCGACATAGAAGAAAGAAGATACAAGGTATTGAAAACTGCCGGTACAAACTTACAAAAGGCAGTCAAGGGATATTTAGACTCTTTACGTGCTGTTACTGCCTCACAAGTTACAATTGCTGAGATTGTTTCCAATTTATATGAAGAATCCAAGCAAGGGCCTGGTCAAAATAACAATATTGGAACTTATTATATGCAATGTGTTCGGGAATTTGATGAAGAAACGGTTAAACAATTGGATGGTCCATTTAGAGAAACTGTATTAGATCCAATTACTAAATTTGCAAATTATTTCCTTGAAATTGATGAGGCAATTAAGAAACGAGCTCATAAAAAGATTGATTACGACCAATGCAAGGCTAAAGTTAGAAGATTAATCGATAAACCTTCAAAAGATGCCGGTAAGTTACCAAGAGTTCAAAAGGAATTGCAAGTTGCCAAGGAAATTTATGAAGATTTGAACGAACAATTAAAGAGCGAGTTACCACAATTAATTGCATTAAGAGTTCCATACTTGGATCCTTCATTTGAAAGTGTGGTTAAAATTCAATTGAGATTCTGTACTGAAGGATATTCTAGACTTGCTCAAATACAACAGTATTTAGATCCTGCATCCAGAGACGAATATGCCAATGGTTTATTAGATGGTAAGATTGATGATATGATTGTCCAAATGAATGGATTGAATATAACATCATTAGGTAAGAAATAATAGTATAAATATATAAAGTGTAGTAAACAAGCGATGTGGTATCCCGCCTTTGATCCGACGCAAATCCGGTTAAGATTTCAGAAACATTTTTTTTTCAGTCACAAAATAGTTGGATTTAAGCACGGTTATTGTCTTGCCCAAATTAATAGAACATTTTGCCCCAAGTTTTAACATTTAAAATTTTTTTACTACCCTCTTCCTTGGATTGTCTTTACTTAAATGGAAATATGAAGAGTCAGAATGAACCAACTTTGCTTGCAAAGTCGTTTCTAATACGGGTCATCACCACCATCCTCAAATACCCGTCACTCTTTATCATGATTCCCTCGCTAGTTATGTTCACCCTTTCTTTCGATGTATTATATGACTTTACAATCAAACAATTTAATTCACATTTGGCAACACAGTTTGGAGTTTTAGAAAACACATATGAATTAGCAAATACCTGTGATTTCACCAAGGTAGATCGACGGACAACACTAACTAAGGTGATAATCTCCCATGACAATGTCCTTGATTATACATTCTTGCAACAAGTTAAACAATTTCAGGAGTCTATTGATTCCACCTGTATCATATCCTTGACTGATTTTGTTCCCCTTGACAACCCCAGCCATTTCAGAAACGCTTTGGTACGATATGTAAACTACGACTTGAACATATTAACCACATTCTTATTCCTTAATAAATTGGGCAAAACAAACCATATTATAGACAGTGCAAGATCTTTGAACGTGTTTATCCTACACAAAAGTGCACTACATCTAAACAATACCGAATTGACATTGTCAAGTCTGATGACTTTTAATGATACTTCAAGTATTTTCGCATTTATTGACTATTTCCTCGTCCACAACAATTTGTATTCATACACCCACTATTTCTTTACTTTCAGTGACTTGATATTTTACGGGATAGTATCAGGGTTTCTTGTGTTTATGTTTTTATCCATTGCCAACAATCATAATATTAGGTCCAATGTTGGGTTATTAGCCGGCTGGATCATCAATGTTTTTATTTCTACAGTGGCGGCAATAAATATCGACACTTTTATTCATCGATGTCAAACTTGGAATTTAGTCATGGAACCACTGACCAGATTTACAAGGTTGCAGGTATTTTTCATAGTGGCAATGTTTACATCACGAGTTCTTTTCCATTCAATTGACATATTAACTGATTCAAAGGAGTCAGATTTACACAAGAGATTATATCGATATTATAGTGGATTTAAAGGACTTCCAATGGTTACCAAAACTTTTGTGAGTAATGTTATTGCATTAGTATCCGTAGTTCTTTTAGGAACTGGTGTGTTATATTGCTGTTTCCAAGGGTATCTCCTACAATCCCTATTATCCAAATTATTCAACTTTAGCCAAATTTGCTTATTAGCATTGGTGTTTGAATATGTTATGGAACTTACTTTTATTGCAGGAATTATAATTGTTGATTTGAAAAAAGTGTCGTTAACTGATGTCATAGAAGATTCAAATAGTACTAATGCACTTTCCACAATGTTGTTGAAATTGAAATATCCCTCACACGCAAGACCACATGAAGATTCTTTACGTTATAAATTAGGTCAGCTCTTTTTACGAACCAAGTTTACTAAAACAACCGAGTTGATATTGTATGGGGTAGGTATACTACAATTACTTGGTGTTTTTATTCATTGGTCATTAATCATACCAAAGAAAGATGATGCAATAATTGAATTGCATAGTTTGGAAATTATCTACAATTCAAATACGGCAATTTACTTTCTTGAATATATATTGATTGTGATATTCATACTTGCAATTGCTGGGATTATATTTAGATTTAACCCACCAAGCTCACCTACCAGCACAATTTCAACCGAAGATTTCATTCCCGATGAAAAGCATTTCAATTCAATTAGTTTACAAAATGGACATTCCCTTGATGTAGTGAAAATCAAAACCAATCCAAGATGTTCGTTTGTTGTTACTATCGGATTAGATCACAAAATTTTAATTTGGTCCCCATTAAGTTCTACTTCCAAACCTACAGATATTTCCAGCAAAGTCAATGATAAGGAATTTTGGCCAATTAATCATGTTTCGATAAGTGAAGATGGAGATTATACTGTATTGATCAATTTTAAATTTGGAATAATTAAATGTTTTAATCGAACTGACATGCTGTTTGCTTGGATGCATCAAAATAATGATTTTCTTGGCCAACGGGATAAACACCCAAAGATCTTGGAATCATTCTTTAGAAAGAAAACCGTGCCTGGATTCTTGGCAAGAAAAATGCTCTCAAACCGAACACCTAGTCGAAGAGGAAGTGATGCTTCAATAAATGGTAACTACCCACCTCCACCAATCTCTATGAAATCATTTGGTGAACGACAACGAGAGATTGCTAGAGAGGCCACACCACCTATACCAGACTCTCAATTGATTAAAGATGAATTTGTAATAATATTGGAAACAGGTGAATTGATTGTGTATTCGTGTACCGATGGTAAAATCAAATCTTCCAACATGATTACCTCAATTTACGGAACTGAAACTGATTTGAAGATACTTTCTGCCAAGAAAATACGAACTCCTAGAATTAATGATAGAATTGTTTGCCAAATGAGCAATTCAGATTTAATTGTTGCAACTGTGATAAATAATAGTTGGAAATTTAGAAAATTAGCCATTAAACAAGGTCAATATAATCAAGAAAACAAATTTATTCGACCCAGTTCAACTGCAATTGCCCCTTCAACATCAGCCAATGATTTCACATCAATGTATAAAGAAAAACCACAAGCTACACCTCCTGAAATTAAAGGATTGAAGTTAAATGTTTCATGCATAGTTCCACTTGAATTTTTGGGTATGATTGTTGTTGTTAAAAACTTGGTTTGTGAGTTAATTGACATTCAAACGGGAATTGTGTTGAAACAATTTCATATTGCTAACTTTAAACCAAACAGTTTTAGAGTAACCCACCTGGAACCTACCCATTGTAAATTTTGTGGATGTGCCTCTATACAAGCTTTGTCAATTGTTTATGAAGATTATGATAGCAGTACTATTATCACTCAAACATATAAGATTGATGAACAAAGGTCGAAAAGTAACATTTGTTTAAGAGTTGAAAGAGATCCTCGAGAAATTAGATGTCTTGGGTTTAATGCCGTATCTGAACATCAATATTGGTTCAGAAATGTGGTTAGTTGGGAAATGACTGATGTAAATATGATTATTGGGATAATCAAAAAGGACAAGGTTGATAATGACGAAGAAGGAGATGAATCAGAAAAAATGGTGGCTAATGTCAAATCCGGTGATAAATTTGATCAATTGGTTGAAAATCGATGCTTGACTTCATTAAGAAACAGACGAAAGCATGGTAAATCTTCTGGATCCAAATCATTGAATGATATTTATGAAGGATTTATCGTAACCGTATCAGATGGTAAGAGAAGCTATTATCAACTTCCCACTATTGAAGGCGAGAAGCACCGAGATTTCTCTCATGAACGTATAAACGCAATTGAAAGATACGGGTTCAAGTCCATAATTTGTAATTTTGGGAATCTTCTTGAAATTTATTATTTGGGTAATGATAAGTTGATTGAACAGGACATATACTATAATCCTGATGTTTGGTCGCAAGATAATAAAAGTACACTCAATGGAACAAGGGACAGTACTAACAGACCTCCACAAAATAGTGAATTGTTATTCATTAATAAGCGTCGGACTATGGGCAGAAGGAAGTAATATTATATAGTTTATTCTGCATGAGTCAATCGATATAAACTTTTCAGTACTAAGTCGGGTCTTAATTTATCGCGGAATCGTCCGACAATGTCATGTTCCCATTATTTTTTTCCGGAGTTTTCCTTGTCTTTTCTTTTTTTTCAAACCCCCTGGTTAAATAACCGCGCGGAAAATTTTATTTACCAAACCCCGGATACTCATAGTTTGGTTGCAATTCCCGCACGCCTAAAAACGTAAGTCATATCAACATCATACGGTTATTTTTTCATTGTTTCTTTTTTTCGTGATTGCTTCACATTTCCACTATAAATAAACCAAAAAATCCCAATTACAAAAACTTCAATTGAATTCTTTTTATCACAAGTCAATTCGACAACAATTAACCATGAAGATCATCACAGAAGAAGAAAAGTACGAACATCAAAAACATATTTTAATTGAAGGTTTGAAAGGGTGTGCTATTGGTGCTGCCGTAGGGTTTGGTATTGTTAAATATATGAAAACAAAACAACCATTACAATATGCTAAATTCAATTCATCCGTTAGAGCCGCCATTTACGCCATGCCTGCCATTACTATTGGTGCTTTCTATGCTGATCAAGGTTCAGTTGATTTCGATGAAGATAAGTACCGTTCTGATTACTTGAAGAAACAAGAAGCCGCTGCTTTGGAAAGATATAATAAATTATCCCCATCTGATAAATTCTTGCATAAATTGAATGAAAACAAATATTCCTTGATTATTTCTACCTGGGCTGCTTCATTATATGGATCTTGGACTCTTGTCAACCGTGATAAATATATGACTAAAGCTCAAAAGATTGTCCAAGCCAGAGTTTACGCCCAAGCCCTTACTGTTGTATTGTTATTGGGTACCATTTTATTGAGTGTACATGAAGCTGAATTAAAGAAGAAGGAACCAGCTCCTGTTCCAGAATGGAAGAGATATTTAGATGAACAAGAATCCCTTAAGGAGGAACACAAGGCATAATTTTAGTTTTTTTAATATTTATTTATTCTGGGGTATATAGATGAATTTACGATTAATAGTTTGAATACTTGTAGCAAGCAATTTGTGATAAGAACAAGGCTTGCGATGTTATCACAAAAGTACCGATGACATGATTTATTTTTTTGGTTCTTTTTTCTTTTGCGGGAACATTTCCGCGGTGCATAAGATCCGATGGATCGGTCGGAGTTTTTCCCCGCGCTATTTAGTGTACTTATGCCTTTAGTGTAGACTTGGTTTCTCTAGATTTTGCGGTCAAGATTGGTTATCTTTTAATAATTTAGTTTAATACTAGATAATTAGGTTCCATAAAAGTAATATTCGTTGCATTGACTTTTTGTGCAAAAAGTGACAAAAAAACACAAAATATAGTATACTGAATGAGCATCACCACATCTGCAGGGTACACAAACATGTATACTAAATTCAAATTTAAAACCAACCAGTGTTTACAAAAAATTAAATATTAGATTGAAAGGAATATTATCAGTGTATAAGAACAATTGAAGATTTAAACAGCATATACACTAGTCAAATATGTTTTAAGCTTGAAGATTATCGTAGACAGAACTTCCCGCAAAAAGTAATTCTGTCAGCTCGTACTAATATAAATGCTGCTAAATTTACTAAGTCTGATCCACCTGTAAACCAAGTGTCGTATACTTGCAGTCAGAAAATATTCAAACCAACACTGCAAAATGAGAATGTAACAAGAAAAAAATGTAGGAAATACACGAACCAATCCCGAAAGTAATTGTAGCTTATAAATTATTCTCTCAATCCCTGCTAAAAAAAAGATTAATTGATCAATGCCATTTTCAATAGAAGCTAACTATACGTACAACCAAATGAATATCCAACTTGCAACTATTCATCTGACAAATGTCCTAGTACCCCAAAACTATGCTACAAGTATGTGTTAAACTTAAGCTCTTTATACAACATGCCAAGCTTTGAATGTATCATTATAAACTATTTCATATATAGCCTCAAGCCTAACATAATATCAAAGATAAAATGTGCTTTGGGATCGTATTTAGAGCTCATATACAAATTCCATCTCTGTACTTCAGCTTTTAACTGGAACCAGATACATGATTTGTTGTTTCAATTATAACCTATTTTGCAGCAGCAACATTCCCTCAGGCAAAGAATATCATCAAAAAAAAAAGAAATAAAACAAGAAATAAAATCCTTGTTACATTTGCATTGCAATTGTGTTTAGGGTCTCATAAACGAAAATGAATAGATTGAAACACTTTTTATATAAACAAGGAAATATGGCCTAGTAATTCTCCATAATATCTTTTGCTTAGTCATTGAAACAAATGTGGATAATTCGGCTAATTATATTTTTGCGAATGGCATGGTGCTCCACTAAGGTCATTTCGGGAACTCACCAAATCAACATGCCTTATGATGACCTGTATAGTAGTGTTTTTATTAACGAGGACGCAAATGTGGTTTTTTTTGGCAACGAAAATATTTGCATCCATAAAGAAATCGACAATTTAGGTGCAATTACCTTTACTACGAAAACTGGAACTAATATTGAGCTGGAAAATATATTGTCCTCGTTTAACAACAAGGGAATTGCCAGGTTTCATGCTAACCATGGAAAGGCAATGAAAATGAAAATATACCATGCTATATTTGAAAATAGTGGCACAATACTATTTCAAAGTGAGACAACTACTCGTGATATTGCATCTTCCACTATCCACGGAACTTTAGGATGGACCAATACTGGAACAATTATAATCAACAACAAATCTCAAAGTCCAGGAAAGTTTAGAATGGGTCTTATTGTCAAAAATAGTGGCATAATTATACTAAATAACCAAAATTACATTCAATCTGAAGGTCAAATAAATGGTGGTGGTTGTATTTATCTCGAAGAGAAAAGTAGTTGTGAGCTTCATTCAGTCCACTCATCAAAAGACCAAGTATTTGTTATGGGAGAATATACAAGTGTTTGGATTAAGGGTATTTTGGTTAATAATTACATGTTTATGAATTTTGGGGCCCAAAATGAAATCAAATTTGATGATAATTTAAACCGAAATAATTTTCAATATTTTGACAAGCTGGGTCGTTTACAGCTTTCACTTATACCTTATAGATCTATTATTATTGGAAGTGGGTATAATGTGAAATCATTTCAAGTTCTGCAAAATGGAAAGGTTTTATCTTATAACGGCCCAAGACCTAACACTACAGGTTGTGATTGTAAGAAATTTCCCTTTATCGGACAAACTATACCACCTAATGGTTGTGAAGACGGTGGATCTTCTCAATTTCCAGATATTAATGCAATTAATCAAGTGGATATAGGTATTATAGACACAGATGATAGCGATGAAAATAATGTTACAAAAGTAGAGATTCCTGATCTCATTGAAGCAGGTGATAATAGTGATAAAGTGGAAGTGCCTGGTACAGATGGTGGAGGTAGTAGCGATGAGAATGAACTTGAGCTTCCTAGTGTAGTTGGCGGTGGAAATGATAACAACAAGAATGAGGTAGAAGTTAGTGGTGGTACCGTCAAGGGTGGTAGTGAAAATAATGAAGTCCCGGGTCCTGGTGGTAGTAATGAGAATGAAGTTGAACTTGTTGGTACGATCGAAGGTAGTAGTGGTAATGGAAATAAAGAAGAAGAAAATCCTGGTGGTATCGATGAAGGTGGTAATATAGAGGAAGAAGTTCCCGTAGACTATAATGAAGTAGAATTTCCTGGTATTGCCGAAGGAGGTGGTAATAGTGGTAGTAACGAAATGGAACTTCCTAGTATCATTGAAGGTGGCGAGGGTAGTAATAAAAATGAGGTAGAAGTTCCTGGTAATGATGTTGAAAATGGAGGTGGTAATGAGAAGAATGAAGTAGAAAGCACAGCTGGTATCACTGAAGGTGGTGCTGATAAGGAAAAAGAAGTTCCTGATATCGCTGAAGGTGGCAATGGCAATAAAGAAGTAGAAAATCCTGGTGGTATCGATGAAGGTGGTAATATAGAGGAAGAAGTTCCTGGTGATTATAGTGAAGTAGAACTTCCTGGTATTGCCGAAGGAGGTGGTAATAGTGATAGTAACGAAATGGAACTTCCTAGTATCATTGAAGGTGGCGCTGATAAGGAAAAAGAAGTTCCTGATATCGCTGAAGGTGGAAGTAATGATAAGGAAGTAGAAACTCCAGGTAGTAATTCTGAAGGTTCTTCTAATGAAATTAACAATGTGAACGATAGCAAAGATCAGGTTGATGGCAGTGGATCCAATGAAATTAAAGATGGAATAACCGAAAAAAATGGAAGCGACAGGGATGATGGATCCAAAAGTGGACCTCAGCCAGATGGGAGTGGATCAAACGGAACAGAAGAAGGAGAAAATGTATCGAATGGAGATAACAGCGGTGATTCATCCAATAATGATCCCTCATCTGAATTCAATGGTATTCCACCTGAATCCAATAGTGGGTCCACACATGTACCTGATGGTGCAAAAGGAAGTACTAGTGAAGGGAACTATGGCGGTGATGTATTGGGAAATGGTTCCATCGATGATTCCGATGAGAAAAAGCTAGCAGAAACGAATAATGGATCAGATGGTATTAGAGAAACTTCAAATGAAACAAACGACAAAGACAGTAATAGTGAATCCAAGAATGAAACTCCACCTGAATCTAATGGCTCCATACCTGGAAGTACACCGGGTTCCAATAGTGGAGTTTCAGATGGTATGAATGAATCTAATGGAGTAAACACTGATGGTTTTACTGATGGAACCCCATCGGGTCCTAAGGAGTGGGACTCGCGATTTAGTTGTCAACCTGCCTAATTGAGAACGCGAGTTGTTAACCCTGGATTTTGGTGCGAATGTACTAGTTGTTAACCCTTACAGGTTACGCTCCCATAGTAAAAGAGCTTGAGTTGTTAACCCTCATACAAAATTGACCTGACTTTACAGTTTGGAATATACACCTTTTACAGGTTGGATGCCTAACTTGTAAAAATTTCAAAATCTTTTTTCGGGTGCTACCAGTGATTCTCGCGTATTTTTATAGAATAGACCCGCCGCAGGTTCCCAAAAAACGCGTAGAAAAGCTGAAAGGAGAAATATTGTTTACCTGGGGTAACATGGCTGGAACCATTTCGCACTGAGACAATAGACAATAGTACACCATCTAATTATATTTTTTTAATTATACACCGGGTTCGGCTAAAATAGAAAGGGGGTATAATTAATCCCAAACAGGAATAATACACGGTCGACACATTTTCTAGAAACATTTCTATATTTATATAACATTCCTTGAAATATGTTTTTCCTTTTGTATTTTTTTCCTCAGCAATGACGATTTTTGCACCAACCCATGATCTTTTTGATGATGAGTTAGAAGATGACGAATTTAGTGATGTCGAAGAAACTGCGAATACTTATGATCAACCTGTTAGCTCAGCCATAGCACCACTTTTCGATCTCGATGTTGTTAAATTATCAGAAACTTATACTTATGTTGAAGGGCTTTTGATACATACCCAAGGCAGAACCAGAAAGCCATTCCCATTTATTAAAGTACCAACGCCGGCCAGACTAGAGAAGATTTCAGAAAATCAGTTAGAAAACTAAGTCCAATCCAAAAAAAAATGAAGAACCTATTTAGGAAGGTCGTGGCTACTAAAGTGACTTGTTTTCCTCACATGGAGTTGAGGAAGTATGCACCTGCTACTACCGAAATGTATCTAGTGAGAACAGTTGATGGTGTGAAATTAGAGGAGGCAAACCCTGGTGGTTGCATCAAGGTTCCAGTTTATAAACTTTCAATGCAAGGATCCAAGTATCACATAGTTTACATCGCTGTTCCCAATGATGACAGTATACTGAAAGACAACCACATGCAAGTTGATTTTTCTACGGTGGACACCAGCAACAACAACAGTTATTTGTCAGGTCTTTGCGAAGGCGTCGAGTTGACTGCAGAACACATCAGTCTTTTGAAGAAGTTGGACCAGTCACCTACTAGTTTCAATGGAGAAGAATTCTACACCAAAGTGTATGATAATGTTATTTCCAAACCCACGTCTAGGTGCTACTATGTACCCAAGGGTCACAACTCCATGACTTTGTCACCGTTCTTTAATGTCCATACTTCCAATGTCAAGAAGGTTTACACTAGATACTTTGGTTACTTATATGCCATCTTGGTGAACTATGACAAGTTTGACTTCATGAATACTGCTGCTGAAGGGAAGGCACGGGAATTGCTTGAGCTGGTCAAGTATGCTGACACATTTGACGGTAGGTACATTACAATTTTAGAATTGTTTGATTATTTCATGATGGAGAATGACAATATATTAAACTTAGCCCTACTCCCGTTTCTATTGGACCTTAAACCCACAGGTTGAAAGCTACCGATTTCAGTTTTGAGAAACTCAATGGGTTAAAGAGTTTTTGTAAGCGAGTGGCTCTTTCTTAGGATGACCAAGGAACC